AGCCACTCCATACCCACAGACAGCGCCGAGCCTGCGTGGCGCAGATGAAGCGGAGTCACTTCAGCAGCGTACAGGAAAGGCAGACCGCACCATGAACAACCGTAGCAGAACTCGAATAAGAAGATAAAGACGACCGACGCCGTCAAGGAGGAGTTGTTGTACACTCCGAGCCCGATGGTGTAGCAGATCATGCAGATTGAGCAACCCACGGCTCCCCAGAGCAAGACAGGCCGCCGACCCAGGACCTCGACTGACCAGATGGCGGTCAGCGTGCCACCCCAGAAGACGAGGGACAAGCCTCCCGAGGTGATGCCTGCCTGATTCTGAGTCATGCCGAGATTGTTGATGAAGAGGTACGAGGCGTAGTACGCGATGAGGCAGATGCCCCCAAGCTGTTGGAAGAACTGGATCAGAATGCAAATCCAGATCCGCCATGTTGCGTTGACAGGCGACCGATCGAAGAAGACGTCTGTGATCCTGAATTTGACCTCATGTTCCACCTCCAGAGCCTGCATGACCTCGCGACGATGCTGCAGAACGGTGGGGTGGTCGATGGCCACGTTGAAGATGCGAGCAATGACCGAGTCTGCCTCCTCGAGGTGGCCTTTGCTGTACAGGTATCGTGGCGATTCCGGCAGCAACAGAATGGTTCCGAGTGTGAGGACACAGAAGACCATCTGAAAATAGAGTGGAAGGCGCCAAACGATCGGCCCCGTCATGTTCTTGACAGTCCCATAGTCGAACCAGTAAGCAATGACCAGCCCGAGAATGACGATCGATATCTGGACCGACACGAGGGCGCCGCGGCGAGAGGCGTGGGCACATTCCGACACCCAAACCGGGATGATGGAAGAGTTGATCCCCGTGCCAAATCCACCCACGACGCGACCGGCAATCATCATCGCGACCGACGTCGCTCCGCCTTGAAGTCCAGCACCGAGAATCAGAAGACAGCATCCGATCATCACCAGGACGCGGCGGCCGACCTTCATGCCGAAGATCGCGGTCCCGATACAGCCAACCAGACAGCCGATGTCGTAGATGGCCACCACGGTCCCTTGCAGGTTGGCGTCCGCGGGCGCGATCCCAAGCCCGTTCAGCAGCTGCGGTGTCGCGATCAGACCTCCAAACACTCCCTGGTCGTAGCCAAACAGCAGAAAAGCCATGGCGGACGAGAGCATGATGCTGACTTGGAGCCACGCCCCTTTGAGGGAGCTACAATAGCCGACATGAAAGTTTTCCATCCTTACAGAGGTATGAAAAGGTACTAAGAAGCCCAATGCTTCGAAGCTGTTTGACGGATTGCACCTCGAGCTTATAATTATATCGCACCACCAACTGATGCGTCTGCTCCATCAAGGGGCTCACAATAGCCAATGGGTCCATGGGCTGGAGCATTCCTCCAGGTATATACTCAAAATTCCGGGTCAGTGTACCTGGCAGATGTTCCCAGATACCGAGGAGAAAGATCTCCGAGTTCACCAATCTCCGACCCAGGAATTCCGGGCAGCCCCAGTTTTTCTGACCCCGTCGATAGGTCTGTCAATGACTGGTGGGTCTGGGGTATCCACAGGGAAGACGCTTCGTAGATCAAATTACCATTAGGAAGTCAAATGCTAGAACTTGTACTCTTGAAGTCTCTACGGGGAGCAAAGATCCATGTTGCCTAGGGAAATTTTGTGCGCGAGCTCCGAAGGACCAACCATGTCTTCCTAACGATTTCAATCTCCAGCACGGCAACAGATCATTAATTCGGGAAAGCAGGCGTTTCCTCAGACTTACAAGATATACATTGTTGAAAGACGTGGCTAGAATTGTTTCGCGCCTTTGAGAGACGCGCAGGCGTTCCTTATTCGATGTATATAAGCAAGGTACGGTAGAATGTGTGAAAAGGCCCCTTCTAGCTTTGGCCCTGCAAAATATTGTCCCATTCACTTGGCCAAGGTGATGTGATGCCACCAGCTGTGGTGATTTCTTCGAGGGGCGGCTGGAGACACTGCTGAGTGTAAAGTTGAGACGATGAAAGGGACGACCAACTTCCAAACATCGTGTCACCGGCGCCGTTCAGTTGCACGTCACTCTGGTCCTGAAGCTCGAAGAGATAACCCGATGAGAGGCCTTCAATGTCTTGTGCCGGGACATTTGGTGATGGACTTTCTGCTACTACAGGCTGTGTCGAAACATTGGCTGCTCGGATCCATCCAACATTGTCGAGGCTAAATTTGGCCTCGACTATCGTCTCGCCTTGTCTTGAATCCTTTCCGTCTACAGTAGCATGGCCAGGAGACTCCAAATATGTCGAATGGACTGGGAAACAGTCAGTAAGAGAGTTGATGTTGCAGGCCTCTCGAAAGATACGACATGACATACGGTCTCGCGGAGGGATTCCGGGTGTTTGTAGAGGATCTCCTGAACTCTTGCTAGCAGCCTCTAACAGTAGTACGGCCCGATGCACGGCCGTGAATCTCTTCCCGAGAGTTTGCAGAAGTCTCATCAAAGGTATCAAGCTTTGGGTCGCTAGGTCGTGTGCCTCCCCACGGGTTGATTTGGCCTCAAGGATTAGGATTGTCACGGCAGGCAGGAGAAAATGGAGGCTTCATACATTAGCGGGTGAGAACATTGAGGGAAATCACAAACTCACCTCCAAGCTGGCATGAATAACGGACATTGGGACCCCAAGGCATCTTTGGCTAGTTGAGAGGTTTGCCGGGCCGCATCGCATGCCCTTTTTCTAAACCTTCTACAACTCACTCTGTCACTTTCCGTATGCTGGCAGCGTAATGTGCACTTTGGGTCAAAGTAAAAGACGCAGTCTGCAGCCGCCATGATGATTAGCAGAAAAAGGCGCTCAGATGATGCACATTGTCCAGAATTCGACGAGGAGCGCTCGTCTGATCGTCCGAGCTGCTGGGACAAGACATCCACCCTCGTCTGCAATTGATCGCGACAAGCTGCCAGTTCCGGACTCATGAGAGCTATAGAAGACCTCGTTTCACTCTCATGTGTGATGTTATCATGGTGACTTGAAGGACATGGAGCGGCGTGCTTTATTGAAAGCATGTCATTGATAAGAGACATTAAGCGCACAAGACGCCCAAATGGTTCCATGAGATGCGCTGTAGCACCGGTGTAATTGCATGGCGATGATTTCGTTCTTGCGAATGGTAATCCTTGGTCGTTGAGCTCTTGTGATTCCAAAAGAGGCCCAATCTCGAGGTCTACTCTTATTTTTGGTGCTCGGCGCCGACTGAAGGCGAAAATTGTGTCGCTGACGAAGCAGCAACACCATAATCGGTGTAAAAATCCCTTTTCTTCAGCATCCTTTGTAGCACGCACCATTTTCAAAAGGTCGAGAGATTCGGCATAGGCTATTGCGGTCCCAGACCAGAAGCAGCAATCTCTTGCACCGTCTCTTACCTCAGGACTTTGCGTCATAAGTAAGAGAGCCTGTAAACGGTCGATAGGATCAGTCTCGACATCGCAATGCAGGAGATGCCTAACGCGCTCATAGTAGAGCTTCTGGGCATCTTGGGCGTTATTGTGTCCAAGTTTCTGTAGCAGAGACGCAGGCGCAAACTAAGTCGATGTCAGTGGTCTAAATCATGCTATGCTTGCAACCTGTCGACCTGGTCACTCACAGGACAAACAGCCATTATTACGGCATATACCTCCAGCAAACTTGGACGGGGGTTCCCCTTATTACTCGAGACTGCAGCAGGAGATGAAGCCAGCGCCACACACCCTGGGCGCAGGACGGGAAAAATTGGGTGGATGATGTCCCAATATATGGACAGCGAGTCTCTCACAACTGTCCTCGACGGAACTTCAAACACACCCTTGTTGGCAAGAAATTCAATGGTGATTGGTTCAAGATGGTTAGGTAAGGATGCAATGAACGATGGTAAACCACTGATCTGCCGTTTGGTCGGCTGGCACAAAGGCCTCGCTGATGCATCTTTTGCAGGTATAGAACTGCAGTTGAACTCATGTGTCTCTAAGATTGCGGGATCAAGCATGAATGGCTTGCTTCCCGTCGTCGCGGATGGATTGCAAGAATCGAAGGATGGCTGTCGGGGCAGAGACATGTCTTCGTAGTGACCCTCGAATTGTCCTCGCGAATCATGAGAATAAATTGGACTACATCCCGCTGCGCATTTGTCTGGTTGTTAGTTCCTCCGAAATGAACAACTTTACATTCAGGAGTCAGACATACAAAGCATCGGTTGGCGAGCTTCGGCCTGCACTCCACACTGAGACGAGGAGATGATGGGCCGTATAGTGACCTTGCGATCAAGCACAACGCAATGCTTCGAGTCGAGCTTGCAGTTTGTACATGGTATGCCTTCATGCTGCTGGTCGCACCGGACTTTTCTTTCGCGGCAAGATTCACACGCCCTGATCGCGCGACGCTTTCTTTTCATCACGGTCGTTGCCGAAAGAAGCCCTTCAGAGGTCTTTCCTATCCCCATCGTGTCATGAATTTGGTACATGTTACGCGCCGAAAACCCAAGAGCAAAATTGTTTTGCTGAACAAGGGGCCAAACCAATTCAAAATTCGCTTACGAGGGCCAGCTATCGAATGGACTCAGTCCACCAGGGGTAGCTAGTTGCTGGTGGTGTGGAGGCATCGTCGGCTAACACTTTGGGGAACCTGAGAGGGGCGGCGGTAGCAATGGACATGAATGGTCCATTCTTTCATCACCCCATTGTTGAACAGCGCCGTGGGGAAACGAAGAACACGGTCCACGGGCAGTCCACAGCCTCATACCAAATCATTGCGGGGAGACTCGCTGGTAGTGCTGCCCCTCGCAGATCCTTCCCCAGGCCAGATGTCGGAAAAGACCACGGAATTCACCAGTCTTACGGTAGGTTCAGCGAATGGAGAGCCGATCCTGAGAGTCTTGACGCCCGTCCCAGAGAAGAGCTTCTCTCTGATTCGATTATCTCACTGAGGGCGCGTTCAACCTGGTAGAGGAAGAAGAGGAAACAAACAGGGGAATATGCCTCCAGAAGGTGCAGTGCAAGCGAAGCGTCGATACTCATCCAACGCATGCATGACATGTAGAAGAGCCAAAATCAGAGTTGGTCCTCTCCCACAAGTAGAGGCGAGGGGGACGCTGACTGCCACAGTGTGACAATAAGAAACCTAGGTGTTCTAACTGCGTCTACCGTGATGTCGATTGCTTCCTTGGCGAAGACCGTCGAAAGTGAGTCTGTCCATCAGAGTTGAGAAACACTCAAGCGAAGAAAGAATAACATTTGTGCAAACAGACCTGCGTCCGTCATCAGCAAGAATCTCAAGAACAATGGAGCCAACCTCGAAGATATTCCCACGAGCAACTCTTTGATCATGTCGCCGCATGGCACCAAAGCCCCGGGAACAAACAACTGGCCAATGGTGGGTCCAGCGCCTCCAGAGTTGGGAAGGGTCGCTTGTTCGACGCAGTCGCCTGTAAGAGAGAAGATATTCAATCCCTTCAACTCTCTACCACAAGATGAACAACGCACGAGGTCGCAATTTGCAGACGCCGGGGTTGACTATTGGATCGAAATCGCCGGACAGGAAGGCTTCGCTGAAGCGAGCGATGAGCTCGATCTGCTGGATCTCAACACTACCGATACTGCCCATCTCTTTGGGCTTCCCAATGTTGATCTGCCGAAGGAAGCTCGCGGTGAATTCGGACAGGACAACCCCGACTACACGGCTGTCAGTACAACGTATGATATCGACCCATTGTTCAGCAACGAGCCTGAGGCATTCTCTGTATCAAATGACTCTGACCGAGCTAATGCCCCCGAAAAGAGTGCAAGTGAAGCAGAAAGCTGCCAGGTTCGGGTAGACGAGCCCACAGAGCAATTGGCCAGTAGACTAGGTTGTCTGCGCATCGCCGAGGACGGCCATTTGAGATATTACGGTGCTACGAGCAACCTTCATCTCATCCGAAACGGCTTCCAGCATTGTTTTCAGCCCTCTATCCGCACAATTCGCACTCACGGTCAGGATGCCCTTGAACGCGCTGGTCTACACTGGTCACCGGACACTCACTACGAAAACCATCTCACAACGTTATTCTTCACCTGGCACAACACATTCCTCGGTGTTGTGGATGAGGCTGCTTATTACCACCATCGCAAATTATATCGCTCTGGCAGCACCACCATATACTTTTCTCCAACGCTGGAGAATGCAATGTAAGCCCTCCTTGTTACCTACGGTGTTCTTTCTGTCCGGGTGTTCATGCCACTGACATGTGAGCAAGACTTGGAATTGGTGCCGCGTATGCTACTCGTAAGCACCAAGCGATCAAAGACGACCCTGCAGAATTCTTTGCCCACCGGGCGAAGGTGCTCTTGGACATCGAGATGGACAGCCCGAGTGTGGCAACGATTCAAGCACTGGTGACTTTGTCGGCCCACGAAGCGGCCTATGCAAGGGACTCCAGAGGTGAGAGTTGTTCCCCGGGATATATGGTGGCAGTTCACAGGCACTGACTCGATGCGCAGGATGGCTCTGCGCAGGTATATCGGTCGAATGTCACCTTTGAACACATCATCTTACATGGCCTTAGGAATGGCGGTGCAACTACTTTCGGATTTGGGATTGCATCTGGAGCTCGACCAGGCACGCTTCTTGGATCGTGACACTCCAGACACTACAAATTTACGTCGAACGGTCTTCTGGGCTACACAAGGATTGGATATGTGAGTCTTATGCTGAAAGAACTCCGTTCTCCTCGTCGGAAGGTTGAGAGACCGCGAGTCCGCGTCGACTCGCAGGTGTAATATCGACGGTGTGAGTTAACTTGAACCATTCTACAGCTTGTGGAGCGCCTACAGCGGCAGACCCTCGTCGATCCGATACGATGATCAGAAAATACCATTTCCTGCACCGTTCAACTCAGAAACATGGCGACCGTACGTGGATGAGGGTGACTCGACACAAATCCCCTCTGGCCTTGATGTGACCATAATCGGTCATACCCACGTTTACATGGCACAGTTGACAACCAAGATCCGCAAGATATCAAGGTTTTTGTTGGTCGACAACTTTCCTTTTGGTCCGAGTTGAGAGTCCTGACGGTTGTTGATTAGATATACTGGGCCACAAGTTGCAATGACCGAAGCAAAGACTTTTGCCAGAAACATGATGCGAGACCTACGACACTGGCAGAATTCTCTGCCCGCCGCGATGCAAGTGTGTCTGGATTCCGATGATGACGCCGAAATGCCCATAGCTCCGGCGGTGATCATGTTACAGTATGTTCGAAATGCGCACTCGTCATCTAACAGCTGCTGATCTCTGGATAGTCTACAATACCACGAAGCTGTCATCTTCCTCCAGAGGCCATTCATATCTGCGCCGGACTCGCCTGGAACAAACCTTTTCGAAGCAAACCAAGCCGACGATAGTGGCAGCATTTGCGATGCTTCTGCGAACGCCATCTGTCGTCTTGTCGTGATATATCGGCAGCAGTGGAACTTGCGACGCGTCCACGCACAAATCGTTGCCATAATCCTCACGGCTGCTCTCATTCATGTTCATAATTGCTGCGTATTTTCGAGTTCCAAAGGGTTGGAGGCGCATAAACAACTGTCGATATGCTTCCAGGCCTTAGGTGAAATGTCACATTTCAATATGAGTACACGGGCTCTCGAAATTATCTTGTCGCTGCGACGGGATTGGCAAGAACAAATATTTCGCGACCTGGGGAGAAAGCGGCTCGGTGGCGATCTTCAACGGCTATATTAGAAGGAATCAGAACGACGCCATTGTGGTTTTTCTCATTGTTATCTTGCTACTGTTGTTCCACTAAAATTCTCATCCTTCAGGGCTCCAGTGCGCTTTGGGCACGGAATTTTTGAACTCGCCAGCTTCGGTAGTTTTTCCAATACCTGAACTTGCCTTCCTCCGGCCTGGAGTTTGATCCAGGCCATTATAACGTCCGTAGAAATGATTTTTGATGACGGAAAATATCATATGACGTCTCCTTTGCACGTCTTGAGGAACCCAAAGTCTGAAGCAATGTAAAACATGTTTATTTACTTGTCGTCGATGGAATCTCCATAGTTAGCGACGTAATTGCCAGACTACTATCCCAACATCTCTTCAACCCACAGGCCAAGTCAGAGGAGAATACTCCGCTGTAACTCGGGTAAATTCCGACGATCCGCGGCATGTCCTCTGCGCCAGCTGAGATGCCGTCCAGGTTTTTGCGGTCTTCATCTGTTCGGAAATCAGCAAAGAAGATCCGAGGAAAAGTGGTCTAAATGATCTCCGAGAACAAAAATGCTGTCGCGACTTCGAGCATGACAGGGTAGTTATACCACACCATAGGAAACATCAGCAGTGCCCGACAACCATGTCGTACAGTGATTTGAAAGAAAGGGCGTTCATTGTCACTGGTGCCGCCTCGGGCATGGGCCGCAAGACTGCCCAACTGCTGGCCAAACAAGGAGCCAATCTGGCGCTGCTTGATCTGCGAAAACCAGACGATACTCTTGTTGAAATCGAGTCGCTGGGCGTTCGAGGACTCGCCTTTTCCTGCGACGTCCGGGATGCCGCAGGGGTGGAGTGTGCCATCACAAAGGCGAAAGACCATTTTGGTGCCCTCCACGGCGCTGCAAACATGGCCGGAATTGTTGGGAGCCAGGGTCTCAAAGGCAAAGGTCACGCCCTGGACATTCTGCCCGACGAGGATTGGGATTTTATCATGAATGTGAACCTCGACGGAGTCAAGAATTGCCTTCGAGCCGAACTGAACGTGTTGGAGGATGGAAGCTCGATAGTCAACGCGGGCAGCATTGCGGGCCAACAAGCCTGGCCCTTTCTGGGTCCTTACTGTGTCAGTAAGGCCGGGGTTCTCAGTCTGAGCAAGATTGCCGCACAGGAAGCAGGGTCTCGAGGCATCCGAGTGAATGCGGTCGCACCGTTAAGTGGATCGGATCTCCCGTACAGAAAGGATAAACAAACTAACATCGACAGGGGTATGATCCGAACGCCTCTGACACAGGCGATAGGCAGCGACCAGGAACTGCACGACGCGATGGGTGTCAGGACAGCTCTGAATCGCATTGGAGAGCCAGAAGAAGTCGCAAGATTGATTGTCTTCCTCTTGAGTCAGGAGGCTAGCTATGTGACCGGCACAGTAAGTGCGCCGCGGGTTGTGAATGTCGACTCATGAGCACTCACATTCACTTTCTAGGTTATCAATGTTGACGGCGGATATTCATAACGACTACTCAGTGATAATCTATTCTTCTCACGCCCAGTTTTTATGCTCTATTCCATTTTGTACTTTGAGTCTATTCTCAAAAAGACCGTCTTCTGTGATTTATGCCGAGTTTCGGTTGCTTCTAGTAGACTATAGTACAAAATTTAGAAAAAGAGATTATAGCTGATAAACTTGGAGATCTTCAAAAGCTCAGACTGTCCGTCTAAGAGTCTTCAGGTATAAGAGCGTGAGAGCGTAAGTGAAAGTGAGAAGAGATCGAGTCGCGAGCAGTTCGTCGTCTTAAAAGCGGCAACCTTGGTTATTGTTCTCAGCCTTGTCCAGCTGCAACATCACAAGGCTGCGAACTCCTGCCCAATTGCCAAGGCGCAACAATCCATCTTCTCCAACTCTTGAACTGCGAAAGTACTTTCTATCTTCGACCTACTTCCGCTCCTCTTGGATTCTTTCTCGACATCGTCTTTTGCTATTATTGCTTGTTGTACGTTGTACCAGTCTGTCACTCGCGCTTCAATCATGTCCACTTCCACAGCAGCTAGCCACACTCGATCCCTTTACCGTCGGCTTTTGCGCGAGCTCCCACCTCTTCCCACTCCACGACACAAGCACCCAAAGACACCGATTCACGCCTCGATCCGTTCACATTTCTCGCTACCTTTGGCCAATGCTTCCCCTGAATACGCAAACGCCCGCCGTCAAGAAGCCGAACAGTTCATCACCTATCTCCGCGCACAGCGCACGTACAATGTCCTGCTTCAGAGATACAATCCCGGCATGAACATGGACGAGGAAGAGCGAGTTAGACTTACAGCCAGAAGAGTCGGAATGGAATTGCCCATCGAATGGAAAAAATGAGAGTGTGGGACCAATTCAATAAAGAGTGCCAGGGAAAAGATATATCCATCGCCGCCGTCGCCGCCACCACAACATGGTGCCGGGTGGTCTGAGGTAGTCACCCAAATTGGGCCGACGATGATTAGGGACTTGCTGGTTATAACGAAGCACGTCTCATCTACAGTTCCACCAACGCAGATACGGCGAACCGATAACCCTGGGAAGACCTTGCCTCATTGTTACAGTCCGTGGCCGCATGGATGGAGTTCAATCACTCCCACAGCCCGGGCAGGAATTCAGATTGGATAGTGGCGTGTTGGGAGACATGCAAGAGGTTGACCCCCATCTCCGACAGAGGGGCAAAAGGTCGCCTAGTTTTTCAAGGCGATTTACAAGGCGATTTTTGGAGGTTCGAGTCTCCTCAATTGCCTAGGACAGCATTATCCCACTCCACGAGAACGATCTCAGCGGGTACGGGCTTTGCGAGATCATCACAACGTCTGAAACGAGTTATGAAAAGCCCCCGATGAGGTCACATAATTCGTGTCTGCTACATTGCGCGGCCAAGAGACACGAAGTCCGGACAGTTCTACCCATTATGACCCTCTTTGCCAAGCAGAAGGGCTATTCAACGAGTTTAGAGTCGAAGTGGCAATCTAGGATGACAATTTGAAATTATCTGTGATGCACATAATCCTGCGGTCTATCCTGATCCAAGCAACATTGTGTACAATAAAAAGAAACGTCAATGTCAATGTAGAACTTTAGAATATCACTCCTGCTTCTTGAAGTATCATAATTTTTCCTGTGATTTACCACTGTCGGAAAGCTCAGAGCACCGTTGACGCCCAATTTACTACTGGTGATGTGGACCAAATTCTCCTTGATATCAAGCTCCAAATCCTGAATATTGGCCAATGTGTTTTGGCAGAAAAAAATATCGCGTAAAAAGCTCATCAGCTTGTAAAAACACATACACTTGCATCTCCATTCAGCCTGCGTAGCTCCCAGAACTTTTTGAGTCGGACGGTGATGTTCCGTTAATGGTGCTGTTTCCTACACAGGAGACGTACATTAGGATCTTGGGAGAGTGGACCCTGTCGTCTACATCTGACCTTGGGGTTTCCAAGGCCAGCTGCCGTATGGCCAACAGAACTTTCAAACGTTGGTTCAGAGAAGAGCCAACAGTCCAAGTCTGTTTATCTGATTTTCATATGATGCCGGGGCGAGGTGCCCCTTGGTGTGCCCTCACCCTCGACATCCTCATTGCCAGTCAACAAGTTCCATCATTGTCGTGTCAGTGTACGATCCGAAGACCGGTAGATCAGAATCAGTTTGGATATCCGGGAGTAGAAAATTGTTCAGCCAGTCAGAGTCGTTGACAACGTTGTCGAAATTCAGGGGCTCCTCAGAATGGATTTGAGCCGTTGAAGAAACTTTGGTAGCCACTTCTGTCGTATTGATGTCGAGAGTATTGCTCGTGTCGAGGCCTGTGAAGGGACATGTGAATTCAGACTGCTGGTCAAGGTAAGGCATGCGACATGAATCATCGAAGTCCTCGTTGTCGCCGAGTACTGGCAGTTCCCAGTCGATAGGGTCCAGGGCGTACAGGTTGTTCATCGTTGGGTTCAACCCTGCTGCGCTTTCCACAAATTGCGCCCCTGAGGCTGATTCACGTTGCTGAAGATTCAAATTGCAACCTGCATGTTCATCTCCAGAGATTTTAGTCGTTATAACCGAAGGTATTGTCGTCCAGGTGTCTGCAGGACAGCTCGTCGACTCAACAGACGAGAAATGTGCCGATGAGTTTTGCAAAAGCTCGTCTGCCCCGTTAGGTGTGGTTTGGCCACCATTCTGATATACTAGGCACACTTGGAACGTCTCCAGTGACGATGGTAGTTCCTTGAAGTTGTGTTGCTCGCAGTTGACAATGAAAACTCCCTCAACTTCAGCAACATCCACGGCGTTTGACTCAATGATCGGACACGCATGAATATCTGACCGTTCGCCGCCAATGCTCGCGCCATCGTCGTTCCATATCCTCCATTCCGACCCACTGTCGTCTTTCACCGCATCAAGTCCGATTCGTGACATTTCCTCTCCGAGCTGCTCGATCACAAATTCTAGCCGTCTTTCCTCCTCAGACTCTCGCTGCTCAATCGCTCTGGTATTATTCTCAGAGATGTATTGAAGAGTAGCCTCCAGTTGATTGGCTTCATGCAGACAAAGCTGCATGTCTGTATTCTCAGAACCATATACCTTCTCAAACCCTGCGGAGGCGCGACGGTACCAGAATGCCGCTTCGGAGTAGTCTTCACTAGAATCCAACATTCCCGCGAGCAGACTCATGGCTTCGAATGGTACACTTGCGCCGTCAGACTCTGGTGGCATTCGTACGTCCACCAGCTCGCGACAAATTTCCTCTGCCTCACTAAACCTCTCAGCTAGCCAGCATGAGCCTGCCATACATAAACTCCATCTTCGGTATACCCAATGATCATCTCCTAAGGACTCACTGTAATGGTTCAATTTGTCGCTGCAAAATTCATATGCTGCTTCAAGACCTTGTTCATCCTGTATGGCCATCGCCATTGCACGTTCAATATTATAGAGGTAGCTCGAAGGTAGATGATGTTGTTGAAGTGCAAGCTCCCTAATCAGCTCTAAGAAAACGGAGTAGGGAAGGTTGTTTGTATCGAGGTCATGCCTTCGGAGATCCAAGAGCATTAGAACAGGATGCATTGTTGACAGCGACTTCTTCGCGACGGTGTATATGTATTGTAGGAAAGTATTCCAAAATCGATCAGCTTGACGGTAGAATGCTCTCGAGCATATGCTCACGATGACTCGCAGAAGGTCGAGATGCTGCGCAGCGACGACTTCTGCAGTCATCGTGAAGAGCTCTTTCAGAAGTAGCTGTATAAGAAATGGACTCTTTGCTTCAAACGTAATTGATATGCTAAGTGCAAGATTGTGGAACTCTCTTGGAGTTGGTACATCAAACGGTTCCCGGAAACGATCTTTCTCCTTGGTCAGTTTCCAGCTGTAGTAAGAGTGGATCTGATAACCAGTCTTTTCAAAATAGGAAATCCCAGGGGAAATTTGCAAAGTGACTCGAGGTATGCTTATCTGGCGGCGTCCTTGCATTGTCTTGTCCACGGCTCGCTGAGATGCACTTGTTGAGCGGCCAAGTTGGTTGCCATTTGAATAGCTCTGCCGGGTGGCTGCCCTGAAGGATTCGGGAAAATGTCGTTTCATTCGATCGATCGGTACTTCTCGCTGGCCGACTGTTGGGCGCGGGGCGGCAATCCCGGATTTGTAGAAGGGTCGTACTGCATCAGCAGCGGCAGCGAGTTCAATCTTCTTGAAGTACTTCTGCAGACCCCATTTATTCAGTCTGAGCTTATACATATGTATCCTGAATGAACTGGTTAGTTCGAGGCTAAATTCAAGGCGGAATGCCTAACACTCACGATGCGTGGAAGTTGTGCAGAGCGGCTAGATGCCTGGCAGTTTCCTTCAAAGTCAATTTCTCGTCGACTAATAGACGTTTCAGGTCTGGTTTGATTCGTTCCCATTCCTCCTCTGGTGGCGCTCGGTTGCGAGTTACTTTGGCAACCTTCATACTGTCTAGAAGGGTTGGTGAGAGGAAACAGTCGAGGGGCAGCGAGCGTGGTAGACTTCAGCCTGGTCCGCGCGACTCGGTAGACGGAGCAATATAGGTATAAAGAGTATAATGGAATTACGCAATGTCCTTGATACCGAGTTGGTTGAATATGACATGATCACAAAGAGACAAGAGCTGAGGAGAAAATATCTATTCCTTATATCGTTCAGCCTCGATGCAAAAGTGGTTATGAATTGAGGCCGGTGAGGCTGAGGCATGCGAGCTTATTGGGCATCATCTCGCCTATGTCAATTCTCTGATTGGACATCCATTTCACACAACGACTTTTGCTAGAGGCCAACAAGAGAGAGGTTGCCGCCTTACCGCCAGCGTCAGGCTGTCAGCCTCGGCGGGACAACAACTTTGGCAGAGAAGGAATGAACCGCACATCAGACGATGCCATGGGCATTTGATACCCACAAGCTATTCAGAACTCTCACGTTTCACTCCTCAGTCTATTAACAGGAGTAATTGGCTTCCCTACGACCCTCCCATCCGGACCCACAACAGCCAATATGTTCTTCATGGCATTCAACTCGAAATTCATTCGCGTCTCAATCACACCTCCTCCATTATGCGTGGTAAGAGTCACGTTGTCCATCTTGGCCAGGACCGGTGAAACCTGCGGCTCATGATAATGAACATCCAACCCCGCCGCTGAAATCTTTCCGGTTTTCAAAGCATCAATCAGAGCCTCTTCATTCACAACCTCTCCTCTGGCTGTATTTATCAGTCTTGCTCCATCCTTCATACACGCAATGCTTTCCTTGTTGATGAGATTCTTCGTATGTGCATTCAATGGCACATGCAGAGTCACACAATCCGCAACACCGAGCAACCCTTCCGGTGTCTCGTGATACGTAACATCCAACCTCTCTTCTTCGCTCAGAGGTTGTCTCAAAACATCATAATAATGTACCTTCATCCCAATAGCTTGAGCTTTTGGAACTAATTTCTTGGAGATACTCCCCAACCCGATGATCCCCAAAACATGAGCAGCGGGATTATGAGAGATCGTCCCAATCATTTTGTGAGTCGCCGTAAAGATCTCAGGATCCGCCGTCCTCGCCGCCAATTGCTGTCGGGTGAAATTTCGAAAAACAGACAAGATCATGTACAGTGCAGCATCTGACACGGCGTCGTCCGAAGCTCCGGCACCGTTGGCGTACCATATCCCTTTGCGGGCGAGGGCGTCAGTGTCGGCCCAGTTGTACCCGGCGCCCGCCGAGGCGAAGATCCGAACAGACGATGGGAGCAGTGAAATCAACTCGTCGTCCCACTGTCCCATTTCACCTCCTGTTTGGAAATGAGGTCTGAAGATTGCTGAAAATTGACCGAATCTGAAACTCGATTCGGAAACGTTCCACGATTAGCTTCGAAGTCTCAAAGGTTATCATTCATCATATCAAATGCGTGTCAAACTGACCTGTTTTGTCTGAGTGCTGCTATGAATTCTTCCCGTGTACCCGTGTCGTTACGGACGACGTTATACCGGGTTACGAACTGGGTACTGTAGAAATCGTGGTTATATTTGATTGCATCTCCAAGATGGAGAATGATGGGCCTCGACATGTTGGTCAAAGATATTGCAGAATGTATCAAAAACAAAAGAAAGTATCTGACAGTCTAGAATCGAGGTTCGAACATTGAACCGACAGTATGATATGCGGAGTGTGTATTTGTCCTTGAATTTGTAGTGTCGTCGACAAACCCCCCCCCACAGTGGATCGATCTAAACGTCGGGGTATAGACCGATCTTCTCCGTGGGGGAAATGTACATACTCGTAGACGACCGACGCCTTTTTAGTTTTGAACCGATGAGTGGTTGTTGAATAATCAGAGATATTCAAGTATATCCCAATTGTGATTATTCTAGTGACTTGATAGTTTCAACCCAAACCAGACAATTCCATTACCCACGACCTATATCTCTCAATGATACCGGTTCTAATAAAGTGCTCCTTGTGACCACCGCCTATGTACAAATGATGAGAATATCCCGGTCTTATTCATCTTCCGCAATACGTACAAGACCTTCTTGTACCCTTCGACAAATAGCTTTGACAAATTCAGACTCATTACCAGACTGAGACTGAGACTGATGAGTTCCCAAATCCAGAGCCCCGATTTGCCAGGTTGCCGTGATAGTCATCGGGCCACCATCGACACTGACGGCGTTAAAAAATAACGTCGGTCCACTCACACTCGCCGGTTGTGCAAAGACCATTTTTTGAATCTGTACGCCCGACGAATTCCTGTTTGACCGGAAACTCATCAAGTTACTAAGTTCATATGAACAATCTCGTTTCTCACCGATTTTGGAAAGTGTCCACGACCTGACGTCGTTCAGATACCTCAGCAGACCCAGAGATTGATCTTTTGTTTTTTGTGACACTGCCGCCAACTTTGTCGTCATGGATCTAGCAACCGTCCATGATCGTGTGCCCGTACCAATCGATTGTCTGTCGATGATCTCGGTATCTCCACCGGCATATAAACCCATCTCGTCGGCCGGTATACCGACCGCTCCTCGCATATTGATGGTTGTCTGAGCTGCAAGGTTTTCGTACTTGGTGGAAGGCAAGAGTTTAAACATCGCTTCCGATATGAGTTCGTGAAGCAAGCCCGTCATCTTGGCGCCGCCAATTTTCGTTCCTCGACACGCCTCGAGGACTTTTTTGAGTGTGGTTGAATCAACCGAAAACATTTCCAGACCTGTTTTAAGTTTGTCTGGGTCGTCGTAGAATATAGAACGGCCGAGCCACGTGGTGGGAGTGATGATGTTTGCCCGGAAACCAAACGAAGGAGGCAAATACACGCTGAGCAAAGGCGAAAATAAGAAAGACCAAGATATCGGTAAGTTCTTTTTCGTGTCAAATGGTGGAGGTAATTGTCGGAAGGTAGGAGAGTACACTAGGGTCTCTTTTTCATTCCCATCACGGCCTGTATCTCCCGGTTCTCGCTGGATAGAATCAAGGAAAGTCTGGTGAAAAATCATACCAGACATCCCGTCCAAAGGTCCATGAGAATATGCAAAGGCAACGAAAACCCGGCAGTCATCAAATGGCAAAATGATCACTTTCCAAGGTGGGATTCCCTGTGCTGGTTTCATGTCGAGAATATCTGGCAATAACCGTGCGATCGCTTCTTCTTCGTCTTGATCAGTCTTTCGAGGTTGAGGTCTGATTTCTACATGATTGGCAAGATCGAGTCGTGGACAAGACTCGAAATAAGGAGAATTGGTATCGGCCCCAGAAATGATGGTGCTGAGGTGTGGGTGGCTGTCAATACATTTCTTGATGGCAGGTGCAAAAGTGTGTACTATAGAAGTCGAGTCTTTTGTCGGGTGGGAGAATTCGAATTCGTATAAACCACCAACCACGATCGTACGATAAAAGTCGAGTTCTTCACGAATGATGCATCGGCATTCGTTTGGACCTGTAGGGAGAGTTCAGTCTAGCTACAATCGAAACATCGTATGCTTTCTCTTTGTTTTCTGAAAGGGAGAAAGAAAGAGAGAAGTGCATAGACTTACTGGCAGCTCTGAGGTAATTGTCACCGTACTCGTGTACGGGAGTCGATCTAGACCACCACATTTTTGGGGAGATAGGAAACAAGTGACTTGAGTGGCTCGGAAAACCGCTTGCGCTTTCTCCTAGTACTAGTTGGCGAAACTCGAATCCGAAAGAAACGATCGGGCGAGGCGTTCTCGATGAACCGGGTACGGAGTGCTCTTTTATATCTCAACCAGCATAGACGAGTCTATGCACCGAATCTAAGATGGCGACCGCCGGGGGGTCCGGCCACAATACATCATCATTGGAACATTACTTTCATCCCTCAGGAGTGTCAAAAGTTGACATGAGTACAAGTTGTTCCCCCCGGAGGTCAACTTATCCGTCACACTAAGAGTTGCGAGCGACGGTTGTGGCTCGTGCAGACACGCGACTTTTGACCCCCTTTTTCCCCCTTGGTTTCGGACTCCACCGGAAGGTTGACACCAAATGCAGTAAAGCGCCATCCAAGGACCGTATCTCCGGAGGTGGACAATTCAGATCTCTGATGTTCAGAGAAATGACCATGTTGCAAGGAATATTTCACAGGGTTATATGTCAATAAGATCTACTATGTAATTGCACGCAGGAGATAAAATGAAAACTGGTCAGGTTTCTTCGTCTTCTCCCGTCCATCAAGATGCCTCTCATTGTACGACGAGCACCAGACTCGCCCCGATACCCTCACTGTCCAAAGGTCGCTCGTCGACTTCATCTTCTCCGGCGGCCGGGACATAAAGTCTGATTTCTCTGATCCCCACACCGCGCTCCTTCAGCCAGGCTTCATCTTCACCGTCCCTCGGGGCGTGAAGCTCGATGCCGATCCTGTCCTTGACCCCTTCCATGGCTTTCTCGTTGGGCGAACTCAAGGCAAAACTCACGTTGGTGTTGGGGAGGTATCGGAAGCCACCGTGAACTTTGGCATCGGCACCGGTGACGCTGCTGTACAACTTCATATAACTTTTGATCCGTGGTTCCGGGACCACAACGTCAACGGACATGATACCTTTGGCGCCGCAAGGGTGAGTCGAGATCGAAGTGTCGGTGGAAGGAACACGCAAGTTTCGATCGGTCACGTCGTGACAGAAGAAAGGCGTATCGAGTCGGCCGGTGGGAAAGTATCGATCAATCGGCTTCGGAACGTTCGGTGCTTCATTGTCAACCATAGGCTTCGTGACGTACCATTCACACTGTTGGCCGTCTTTACGTTTGCGTCCACCAAAGAGGGGCTGCTTGAAACGTATCCCCAATCCGCCATCACCGTCACCATCAACGTCACCGTCACCGTCACCGCCAGCCGACTCGAGTCGTTTCGTCACCGCGGCATGCGTCTCTTGCGCAGTTTGCGGCGTGGTGAGGGCAAAGTCAATGAGACCAGGAGATTTTGATGCCCAATCGAAGAACTCTTTCGGTTCCGTTATCCAATTCAAAAGTTCGATACAAGTGCCATCGGCGAATATGATCAATTTGTTTCTAGAAGAGCCCCCTGGGACATCAAAGGTCATGCATGAGCTGGAGGAACCTCTTTGGAAAATAACCGAGAAACATGATGCACGTAAGATAACAACACGACATGGAGGGGCGTGAATCTGTGGACTAGTATAACCCAGAAAGACCAACTTGGAAGTATGTGGATTTGTTACCTGCATGAGTTCCTCCTTCAATGACGTTAAAATTGTCGCTGAGCCACGCCGGTAGATTCTCAAAGTCGTGCGTGCTCAACAGAAGGATGACATGGTCGTGACTGTACTCAGATACAGACTCAGTCATTGCACTGATTGTGAATCGACTTTCAGAAGAGGGAAAGAGGGAGGAATCAAACGGCGCTCCAAAGATCTTCAAAAGGTGGAAGTGTCAAGGAGAGAATCAAGGGCACCGAGTGAGTGAGCGAGGATCGTCTTCGTCAGAAATGAGTCACCACGATCTTCGTCCTTTACCTCCGGAGCAGCGTGAAGATGTCCTTATCCGAGTACCTTGGGATCTGGAGATGCCGTAATCTCAAAGTGTAAGACAAACTGAGCAAAATGTCTTGGCACGTTTGTTAACCTTGGCAGAGGTAACAGATTACAGGGTATCGACACCTCCCAATTGTGGCACAGGATGACACCCAGAAGAGGGACAGAAAGTAATGGGCGAAGCAGAGAATATTCCATAGATACGGTCCCTAGAGAAGTACTTGCCGCTTCGCATCAACATGGACAGACTATGCCTGTCAGGTATTTTAATGCCTTCTACTATTCACAGCCATGTCTCATTGTGCCGCACCAACGTGTACGGCTCTTCCAAAATAGCATTGCCGCGGGAGAGTTGGCTAACAGCATTGCACGGAGCTCAGCTCAGCATAACATCATCATCCAGTCGCGCGCGCAATCTTAGCGACGCCATCCATTGTCTGTCATTCCTTCATATCAAGCCAAAGACATTATCATGTCTAGTATGAGCTCCGAGTATTTCCGCTTCCCCTGAAGTTATATGGTACAGAATCAAACTCCGTCAAACACCTTCGCCGGAAACCAACCGACATGATTTGTGCCGAGTGCCTCTATTCCTGGGTCGTCACCGATTGGTCTTCATCTGAGGTCGTCGTCGTAGTATTCGTCGTGGATGGACCATCTGATTTGTTCGCAGCATTGGAAAGACTAATCGCGATCTTGCGCGGCTTTCGTCCTTCAACATGATTCTCCGTATCGGTATTGCTCGATAACAGAGTTTGATCCACTGCTTGTTTGGACCGTAGAAAGCCCTTCTTGCGTTTCAACGAACCAGAAGACCCAAGACTAGTCGCGCTCGAAGAAGAGTTTCTCCGTTTCGGTCCTCCAGTCAACTTACCCAGCTCATCCTCATCCTCATCCTCTTGCCGCCGTCGTTTCTCCGTCAAGCGTTCTGGAGGATGTTGTAGTTCAGTTTCTTTGATCTCGGGTGATGGCTGTAGCTTCTTGTCTGAAATCGCCCGGGGTTCAGGAGGTGAGACCTCCTTCGAACTCTCGGGTGTCAGAGGAGTCTGCGGTGTGGCCACTTTGGCGTCCATATTCTCGTCATCTTCGTCGTCGGGGTAATCAACTAGAGGTTTACCCATATTAGAAGCCCCACCGTTCATCATTTCTGACTTCATTCTCTTACGGTGCCACTGCATGCGTTCGGAGACATCTTGCATGTTTTCGCCATCAGCATCATCTTCGCGACCGTCCTCTTCGTCGTCTGAGGTGTTGAAGTAGTCTTCTTCGTTGGCATCCATCTCCTGCAGACCTTGCCATCTTCCATTCATGTTGGCGCGGTTCATTGGAGGGGTGACATCGTCCTGGCTGAAGAGGGTGTGGTCAGGTTCAGGATGGTCCATCGTCAGCTGTTCGAATCTCAAGTAAATCTGTACGAATGTATCCACATATGTTATGTCTTGAAGTTGTTGCCGGTAATTCTCGCCAAGATGATGTATGACGGGCTTGATTGCCTCCCTTTTGATGAATTCAAACAACTCCAGGCACGCAGAATTCAGGAGGTTGTCTCTGGGCATGGTATCGATCACTATTCCCAGGATCGCACCCAGTGCTCCACTTTTGATGACCTGTGCGGCATAGAACTGGTCTTGTAGTGAAACGCACGTTCGGAAAAATTTCAACGCGGTCAACTTCAGAGGTTTTTGAGGCACCTGCAACAATTGAGCGACTCGAGGTGACGGATTTTCGGAAATGATGAATGACCGACTCCTCATGGAGTGTTGTCGGACAAAAAAAGTCAAAATTTCCACCAGATATGAATACAAGGACACTTCCTGATAACTGAAATTTAGTAGCGATTCTCGATTCTCGAGGTCGTTCAGCGGCTTGAAGAGTTTTCTGCAGGAGCGATCAAAGTTCTCTTGCGCAAAGTCCTCGCGTTTTTGTTGTGCGTCGGTCAATTGGGGAGGCCTGGACAATTTTGTCATGAACTCGGAATTTTGTCGGTTGCCCATGGGGTCATTAGAAGGTGGTTGAGGGTCCAATAGGATTTTGATAGCATCAGCCAGCTGATTTTTAACTCCAAGGTCTGTCTCAGCATGGAGGAGGTCAATCAATGTATCGGTCAACGGCGTTTTCTTTTCGTGCACGGCCTTCAGCATGTATCCTCTCATCATGTTAGGATCGTGATCCAAGAGAGCCACAAGAATGTCGATGCCTGTTGTTCTCATTGATGCCTCCGAGTGCTTAACCGCAAAAGTGATGACAGAAAAGAGACCATGTGCGATGAAATTGTTGAGTAAGTTAGCCCGAGCCTGCATCTGCAATGTTTTGGCGATAGCAGCACATTGCTGCAGGAAATGGACAGCTTGTTCCTTGCGCTTGACATCGGTATTTTCGGGGCTGAAGATGGCGAACAATTCCTTCAAGAAAGAGGTGTTATTTTGCAAATGTTGGACAATATCGACCTGGTTGAAGAATATGAGAGAGTTCAGCACACCAAATGTAGGATCGTCGAGGATGCGGGCCAATACGACGTCTTTCAAGTATTGTAGCCTCCAGGTCTGCCTTATTTTGCGCTTGATGATAGGATCTTTGATCTCAACCACCTCTTTATATCTCGACTCATCCGATAGATATTGTCGGTGGTTTGCTTTGTGAGTGGGAAAGTCGGGGTCGTACTCGAGTGCGCCAACGACGCCGATAATCATATCGTCTGTAACCAAGTGCTCGATTACTGTGTTGTCGTTCATTAGAATCAATGCCTTCATGATATTACACAGCCGATGTAAATCCTGAAGGCTCTCTAAATCCTCTGCCATTTCCACAAGAGGAATCAATTTTTCCACATAGTGCTCCTTCATCAAAAACTTTGCGAGTGCTTCTCGGCCGCCCTGGGTAATGCTTGCCTGTCGGATGTTCTGCTCGACTTCGTCCAGGTTGCTCAATTCGGGAGGATTTAGAGTAAACGAGGTGGAAATATTGTCCAGCGCATCGTCCGACAAGGCATCATCTAGAAAACAGATAAGAAGAGATTCTCAGACCGATGGGGCCTTGCAGAACTTACCAGGCAGCGACATCAACTGCTGTTGAACTTCATGTACAAATTTCCTGGACTTCATCAGTATATCACTCGGCCTAGAGCTCTCCCGGGATTACCATATGACTGCGCAACCTTCCGCCTCCTGGAAACTAAGTGCCATATCAGTGCCATTGGTCTCCGTCCATACAATTAATGTGTCTATCACGCGTCAGCGACCGGCTCCAACAACCAAATGGCGGGCACAATAATATCCAACCTTGTTGTTTCTGATATCCATCATCTTTTACTATCTTCGTTTCAAGCAACATATGGTCAGGTTGGTCTTCCGACTCGACGTAAATACGCGGTTCATCCTGATGGCGACAACTTAGCAGAAGCCTTCGAAATGTGAAGCGCAAAACATGGCGCACACCAATGGAGGTGTTTTTGAACGTACATTGACGACCTGGCCGGTGCAGAAGCCGGTACCTCGATCGAACCAGTCATTGTCGCGCAGCTCATAGACTTTTACTCTCTTTTTGTCGTTGGCAAGCGGCGCTTGCATTGCCATGACGGAGGCAGAGGAGACAGCGAATGGACATCAGCAAGCGAAGAAGTCTGGAACCGCTTGCTGACTAGGTTTTATGAGGTGGCCAAGGCGCGCAGGCGAGGCGATGTTGGTTGTGGTGGTACAAAATGGGTTGCGCGGGGTGGGATCAAGCAAGCACAGAGTCTTGCACAAAAGGATCTCCGGGGACGAAGGACGGGCGCACAATTCGCAATGAATTGGTCGTGTAATGGTCGCAGCCAGGTGCTCGACGTGGAGAAGAGATCGAGGGAAAAACAATTGTCTCGTGGGAGATGACGTGCGATGCGAGTTTGTTCGAGGTTGTCGCGATGGATGGTGACAGTCGGATGATAACTAGATTGGTGTGGCTACAATGCAAGGTAGCAGAAAGGATGAGCAGCCTAGGCCGAGCACAGACTTGGGCTTGTGGACTTTCAATGAACGCCTGGTGCCGGAGCTCGGAAAAGCGTTTGAACCCACAAGACCGCAGGAAGATGGATGCTTAGCGCGGGTGACGCCCCCAAGTCAACCAGGGTGTGCCATCAACGAAAGCAGTTCAGACTGATGATTTGTTTGCACCAGTACTCAAATAGTTTCCTCCTCTTGTGAAGCCAGTGTTGATGGTGAGGACCAAGTTCGATGGGAATTGGAAGAGTGAGAGGCGAAAGTGAAGGTGTTTCAGCCAGAACAATCGACGTAGCGCAGGCAAAAGACAAAAGTGAGGCAACAACTGATGACATCAAAAGCGCAGGCAAAAATCCCTACAGTCTGATGAATACGAAGTTACTTCGTATAGCACGATCCGATCTGCACCCCCTCGTTTTGATTGCCTACGACTTTGACTTTGCCTTCGGAACGAAGGTGTACTTTGTGGATGTACTTTGTGGAACACCTTGTCGGCTGCTTCACATGTGATACTCAATGCCTTTCTGTTCTATCTACTTTGCAGTGACACAGGTCCACGACGAGTACTCCTCTAATATATCGCCACGCCGGTCGTCCACCATCTGTCCCCCTCATACCATCCAAGCGTCTTTGAGCCTTCTTGGTACCATGCCCACCATCCCTCGTCCTTGCCTCCAGGTCCAAATCCAAGTCCCCGAAGAAAACTGATTGGGACGGGTTCGAACAACCACAAACCACATCTCGCAAAGTCATCGGCTAGGAGGGGTCCGGTGAAGAAGAGGTAGACCATGACATATAGCAGGTTCCCTACTTCTCTGACTGCCAGAGGCACTCTTTCTGCGTGAGGAACATACTTGTAAACAGCCTTTACGGACAGTGACTGTAGGTAGATCCCAATTCCCTGACTGAGGAAGAACAATAGCGGCCCCGAGAAGGGTCGTGACGGGATGATTGAAAACGTTGTGTAGCTGCCAGCAGCATGTATCGATCCTGACAAGCCAAAGGCAACCAAGAGCTGGATCATTCGGGCTGTGTTACCACGTTTATCAATGCCCGTTCCTTCTATGACGAAGCGGGCAGGTTCGGAGATGCCAAATCTAAACATTTGGTGCCAAAATTTACCCCAAAATCCCGCCAGCCCTGTATGCAACACTGAAGTTGTGAGCGGGTACCAAAAAGGGGCGTACATCCAAGGTTCCAGAAGAGGAGACTTTGTCAAATGTGAAACGTCCACTAGAGAAGGTAGGATGAATGCGAAGAACAAGGGACTCAGACTGAAGATCAGAGTAAGTGCACTGATAACTCCGGATATCGACATGAACAGTCGCACAAGGCGCGTAGCAATAGGCATCGTTTCGTTGACTGCGGATAGCCACGGCCATAGGGTCGGCGAGTCGAGGGATACTACTCCCAGGAAATACGGATCAGTGATCATTGTTGTTTTCAGAAGATCAAGCAAAAGGTAGCCAACAACAAAATCCCGAATAGCCTGGCCTCGCAGAGCTTGCAGAGTCTTCTTGGGCACTGCTGTGGTTTTGCTTCGTCTGTCGCATTTGGAGTGCCGCGCTGAAGAATCACGGGGTACAGGACCATCAATACCTCCCAGCGTTGGGATACGATGTCCCCAATTGGGTCCTCGAAAGCTGGTCACGAGGTCCGCCACCCAGTCGACAGCATGAAGTACGCCTTTGCCGTGAGGGAATCCTTGCCATACTAAATCATAGGGTCGTGTTGCAGGTTGAGTAGAACCAGGAAATGTAACCTGCTTCACGTTGGTAGAAGTGTAGATGCCCGGCACTCGGCGCTTCCTCAAGTCTACTTCTGCCGTGCCGTCTGCAGAAGTTGGAGTTCTAGAACCACCGTTGGGCTGAGAATGCCCGTTCTCTAGTCTTGGTGATCGAGTTTCCAGCCGTCGAAAGCTCTGTGCGGGATCATTGAAGAGGAGTAAAGCTGCTGCCATGATAATGCCCCATTGATTAATCAAGCCGATGCCGTAGCCACCGGCCAACCATATTGTCCGACGGTGAGTGAAGAGATAGAGGCTGTGTGTCAAAGTCAGGAGGAATGCTATGAGCCTGACGAACACTGCTTGCTTTCGAGGTAGTCGGGGAGCAATGAGCAGTGCAAGAAGAAGGTATGCTGATGGTAAGGCATCCCATGGGTAGAGGAATGGCGTGAATTCTTTTGAACCAATTGCTGCATTATATCGTCGTTGTCGTTCTGCCAGTGTTTGACGGTAGAGAGAAATATAGTTAGAAACCATCGCTCAAGTCACGCATCAAGCACCAACTGCAAGAAGGAACAAATGGTCCAGGTATAGGACATAGAACACAGGACTTGGTGGGTGACACAAGTCATGACGTGGAACGAAAGAGGCGAGAGAAGAAGGAGAATGCTGCTGTTATAGTCGATGCTTGCCAATATCGGTCTGTGATACTCATTTTCGGTCGAATTCGCAATGACAAAATTGCAGCAATATATCAAAATAGGCCTAATATAATACTTTGGTTCGAAGATACAGGCAAGAAATATTGTTGAGATGCCCTGTATACCTACAGTATGAAATTGGATCGAGGTCGCATTCCCGGCACCAACCAATCACAAAGACGTGAAGAATAGTGTATCCGACTTTCTTCCTGCGCGCGAACGAAGCATTCCCTGATACAAACTTCCAACATCGACCTCTCACTGCTTGAGTTCCTAGTCGGTCGCTGATAATACACCCCTGGTTATGACTGTACCTTTGGTAGGTGATCTTCCGCCTTCATGCTACTACATACCTAGTTTCATCAATTCCGCCGAGGAAGAGCAACTCATCAGAGACGTTCGAAGGGTTCCCGAGTCGCGATGGACCATTCTGACCCATAGAAGATTGTTGTCCCTTCCTTCGACGCTCACCGGCCCTGCTCGTGACACGCTCCTCGATGCACCAATGCCATCTTACCTCGAATTCATCGTTGTTCGACTACAAGAGACTGGATATTTCAAGGACTCTACACACCAGCGGCCTAATCATGTCCTGGTCAATGAATACAAGCCTGGCGAGGGTATCATGCCGCACGAAGATGGGCCCGCTTACGCCCCCATCACTGCCACTGTGAGCTTGGGCAGTCACACTGTTCTTGAGATCTACAAGAAGAATGAGATGGGAGAGCGGGAAGCAAGACCAGCGTGGCGAATCCTGCAAGAACCGCGCAGTCTGCTTGTCACAAGAGGCGATATGTACGCCCAGACACTACATGGGATTTCCGAAATTGTAGTCGATGAAACCGTGACTCCTGACCAGATTGCGAACTGGGAACTGGTCGAGGAGAAGGATGCTTACCGGTCTGGCAACGCGGAAAGAAGAACAAGAATCAGCCTCACACTTCGAGACGTTACCAAGGTCGCAAAGCTCGGAGGAGCCATGAAGTTCATGTCTAAACAAGTTTGATAGGACGGATTGTGCCCTTGTTTTCAAACTCGGCATCGACCCAAGGATTGGACCAATACCAAATGCTTCTATTTACTTGCCCCAGCCGGCAGGATAAAACAGGATCGTTGAGATTCTTCTCAACAGACTACGAGAGAAAATATCCTTCTCGCTGTCATCCAAAACCCAGCCGACCAGGAGGTCCAGATGTGTGTGCTTTGGCGCATCGGTGTACAACTCTTGAGGTGGTTTTCTCCGTCAAAGAGAATATCTTTCACGGTGGGACAGCTGCAGTCATGTTCGCTTCTGGGAGGATCCTACTTCAAATTCATCAGTCTTCCGAGTTATGGACCACCCCCACAAACTCAGTCGACCGACTCGCCTTCTCCATTGCCGTTTCGAACCTCTTTGGCCGTTTGGCTTCTAGCTGGGCACGGGGCAACGACGCCCTCTAGCTACACAGAGGCATTCGGCATATTACGATGTTTGCAGAGAGAATGAGATCGGGATATTAGTGATACCAAGCTTTACGAAGACACACTTCGCACTTCCTCGGCAAAGGGGGATTCCCCCAGAATGACTGATTGATGAATGTGGGACTTTAAGCACCCTTTCTAGAAGCTATGGCAAACACAATACCCATGCGCAGCGACCCTCCTATGTGGGAAGTAGTCTAGACCCTCTCCTTTTACCTTTAGGAGTCATTACACAAAGCTGCTGAGCTCTACTAGTCTGAGCAAGCTGCAGCCTCCTTTTTGTTATGCTCCTTTTTGGTATGCCCGGGCACTCCGGCACACCGCGTCGAGCTTCTAGATACTCAATCTTGTCTCGGTTCCATTGCATCGGATCCCACAACTGGCATGGCTCAGTACTGGAGGCTTCGTCTTTTTCTTGGGCAGATGCTGCCACCACTACTGTTGAAGAAATCGACCTTGGCCATTCCGGCACAGTTGTCGCCCAGTCCGTAATATCACTTTGCTAAGCAAATGGCGCGCGATGCTCCGTCTTCTATACGCAAACTGTCATGGGAGGAAGACCCAAACTTTGCGCAGACTTGTTTAAGACTAACTTTATTCGCGTTGTTTAAGTGTCCTCTAACCTCGTTACTGTTACCAGATCCACGATCCTCCCTTCATGCAGTTTGCGTGTTCTGTTGTTCCTGATGATGGTGCTTGGCATGCAAGTCCTCCACTGGCGCATCGACAGCATAGTTCATTGTCTTGCGCATGTCTCCGAGGAACAAACAGAGAATGCAAGCGAGGGCACCGAAAGGCGCCGCGATGATATACACGACACGGATGCTGTCGGCAAATGCCTGTTTCAGGGCGACAACACCCGCTGCGATGATGGTAGGATTCACTCCAGGGATCTTGCCTAGTGCAGCTGTATCGCCACCGGCGAGCGCACCAATGAATGCCTTCAGACTGCTTTCGGGTAATCCTGCTCCTAGCGCAGCCTTGCCGATGTCTTTCGGCAGGTTCGTGTCGAGTCTCGTATTCAGGGCGGCGGAGTATATGGCCGTGAACATTGTGGCGGCGACGGCTCGTGAAGACGTCACCACGGCAGTCGCGGTGGCGATCAGGCTGTGCGGTGTGCTCAGTTGCACACCTGTGACGATGAGGATCAGAGGTGCGCCAAAGCCAAATCCCGCAAGGGCACAGAAGGCCAGTTGACTGAAGTCATCACCTGGCTGGATCGTGCAGAGGCCGACGATGCCTGCCGTGAAGAACAGGAAGCCGAGGAATAAAGGTTCGCGGATCGTTCGAAATCGTGTCGAGCTGTAACCCCAAACCAGCGCGGAGACCAGGCCTGCGACCCAGTATGGCTGGGATCGGGCCACCGTCAAGAATGGGTCTGTCGTGAAGAGAGAAGAGGACCTGTAAGAATCACATAAAGGATCAGCATGTGTTGCACCAGGGCCTGCTGTCACTGTTTTTGACACCCCTAGGGATCAAATGACTTGAAGCGAGAATAATGGGAAGGTAGCCTTACATGACAGGGAAGAAGACGATGTAGGAGAAAAGCATGATTCCTTCGACAAAGATGAGAGCGACGCAGATGGCAAAAGTGCGGCCCTTGTTCTTGCCTCCTTTGAACAGGTCGTGATGCAAGACCCCAGTTCGGGTACCTTTCCATTCGTACACGCCGAAAGCGATCATGATGACGATTCCCAAGACCAGGGTGACGAGTGTGCGGGAATTCGTCCAGGAATAGAGACCGCCTCCGAGGTTGAGGCCGGTCAAGAAGAGGGAAAGGCCGACTGTCAACAACGCGATACCCGGGAGGTCAAGATGTGTCAGTTTTTGCCAGAAGGAAAGATGGTCGAGACGGGTGTGTCGCTTGGGAGGTCGATAGCCGACGAAGATACAGATTGCGGTGAGGCCCCAGAGGCCCATTTGAATCCACCAGAACTTGCGCCATCCGTCCTCGACGTTGTCCCTCGCTAGAGCGCCGATGATCAAGGGGCCAGATATGGCACCCAGTGCGGCTGCGATGTTCATACACGCTTGGGCCACTGTGTTTGACGAGTCAGTATGGGTTGCTTTTTTTCATGGGACGAGGATGTGTATGATAACGTACTAGGTCTCCACTTCCTGGGCAGGATCTCACTGGGTACAGCGTACGCAAGAGGAACAGAGGCAAATCCCACACCGATCAACGTCTGCGCGGCGATGAGTCGGTAGATGTCGTTCGACCCCGGGGCAATGGCTGAACCGATGAATGAGATCAAGGAGGAGCCGACGAGGATGAACTTTCTCGCTTGGAAGGTATCTGAGGCGGCCGAGATGACGGGGCCGAGGACGGCTTGCACCAGAGACAGCGAGTTGGGCACCCAAGTTTGGGTCTCTGGGTTATCCAGGGCTTTGCCGATGATGGACAGCTAGTGACGGTCAGTAAGAGACGTCACGTTACGAGGAAGAGTCGCCGTGGAGTGTACGTACAACTGCCGGAGGTCCCTGGAGAGCAAAGACCTGGACCAAATTGAGCAAGAACATGGCCAAGAGAGCTATGTATGTACGGGCGTGCAATTCCGGCTCCTCGTCGACATCGTCGTATGTGAGATTGCCCTCATTTCCGTCAACATCTTCGAGATGCTTCTCGTCCGCTTCCGAGAGGGCGTCGTTCTTTTCATCGTACGATGCCACCTTTTGTGTAGGCTGGGTTGGGCTGGAGGTGGCCACGTTATCCGTGGTGGTGTCTGTGGTCATTGCTGTTGTTAAATGTGGTTGTCAAGTGCGCGGAGTCTTCAAGCGTTTGCCAATGAGATTGTGAACAGTGTGATGACCATCATATCATGAGATAAACACGCGAGATAAGTAGATTGAAAAACGTGGCAGATGTCCAGGACTTTGTAGACTGATCATAAACACCAACTTGTCCGACGTTGCCGCGAGTTGCGGTGGGGAAATAGTACAAACTCGTTGTCGGAGACCCCGGTGGACTGGGCCGTATTGTAGTGTATGGGGACCCTCCAACTGACTTTAGTCGGGTCTACAGCACAGGACGACTGTGTGCGAGTAGCACGGAGTAGTCTGGGAAAGAATGGGTGGCCACTGAAGCTAACAACCTAACTAACTTGGACCTGGGTAAGGAAGTAGGGTAAAAGGCCAAAGATTGATCCGCGGGGTTTTCTGGGGTCTAGTTTGTGTGTCGGTGCACGAAACGGGACGCCTTGAAGGATCTTTGTGGGACCTTTTTGTCACCCAGAATCTGAGGATATCATTGCGCACTACCGTACTCTGAGGCGGGGGGTAATTTGAGTATAGAATCGTTGCACATGCTAAAGTCGGTCTGGCCAGTTTGGTCAGTCTGGTCAGAATTGAGGTGGCGACCGTAACACAGAGAGATGTTGAGGATTTGGTCTCAATTCGCTGCAGAGTATGATATACGAGTACGGATTGGACGTCTAGCTATTCGGTGGGTCTTGATTCCGGGGAAGACGGGGAACTCTTCGAAGGAGAGTATGAGGAAACCAGTCCACAAAGGGCCAGAGTGTATCCGTACATAAGCTAGACTTGATAGAGTAGCTAGTAGGAGCATTTACAGCAAGACATAAAGGATCTACTCGGTATGCACTCCGTACTCTGTGCCCCATGTGGTGTGGGATGTACCGTTATCAGTCATTGTGGGAACTTTTCTCCACCACTTCGACGATTTCTCCCCGCAAAAAACATCTGATTCATTTGCGGGATCGAATCACGAGGTCTGTGGTTTATCTGCACTGTACGAGAATCATTTGGTCCGGATTCCGAGATTATGACATCTCGGAACCCTTGCAGGGGTACGGAGTAAGGTAAACCTCTCGAGTAGACTTTGAGCCATATTTTGATTGTTCCCAAAAACCAGTTTGCGGGGAAACAATATCTGATCTTGATTAGATTGGTTAACACGTATCATTCTTTTATATTGTATGTACCAGTTCGAGTCAAAGTTACGTACGCGACGAAACGATAGTGATCGATGCGCCGCCACAGAGTGATATTCAACTCGTCAATTTGAACATCACGGCCCTTTCACTCCGAGACACTTCACCAATGTACAAGTCAGGGCGGTCCATGTACCCTACATATATTTACTCCAGTGAACTTTTACTCAACAAAGTACGCCTTGATGGCCACTATTAAAGACTCACCACGTCGAACCGCCACTTTGGCCCAATGGTTCGGAGGGGGGCTTATTCTTGGAAACCAGCTTAGTGGATTAAACTGGGAGTCAGCAGGTTTCCATGATCACTGGATAAACATCCCTTGACCAAGGTATGAGGGGATGGCAGCGATCATAGTCGGAATAAGTAAAAGAGAAGCACCAGGTCTGGGCTTCAACTCTCCAAACTTTTTGTTCTTTTTTGCAGATTTTCAGGCAATTATTGGGAGGTGAAGAAGTGATGAGACTATCTGGGCAATACTCTCTGTACTCGAACGCGTGAAAGGGATGGTGAGGCTGAAACCGCAAGGCTGATGATGACAAAGATGGGCGGTGAGGTTAACCGGTCTTGGGGGAATTATTCTGCCGGTTATTTTGGGTTGTGTACTGTACGGAGTACATAGTAATTATTAGACTGCAGTCTGTACCATCGAATGTGAATCGGCCGCAGTTTCGAAGTGAGAAGACACACATTCACCTCCACATACTCCGTACTTGACTTGTCAACGGGAAACTATTTCGTGCAATGATTCTGCGCTGGACCTTCGCATTTCTAGACTTATGACCCCACGGCGGTTGACGTAACATTACCGCAGGCTCATGGCTGGGCCATCGTGGTTAGGGGACCTCGACAATGCCTCCGTTCCACGCGTTCCAATATGAGTGGTCAGATGACGATAGTGATGTGAATATTGAAGACTTCAAACAGGTTCCGAAGTCGCAGAAATGGACACATCAGAGGGATATCTCAACGGATGTCAAGGTTGTCGGTGATGATTTTGATTCGAGACCAAGTACGACTCATCACTCCCCCCAACACCGAGTTCGACGAGGACATGAACGCGAACGATCTCTACCTTCTAACCCAGCCATAAACCTCTCCGATGACGCGAGCAGAGAGCCTTCGCCCGAGGGCCACGCAGTAGAGATCGAGAACGACCGAAAATGGCAGCAAAACTGTCGTGGTGTTACCAACAAAGACGAATGGCTTGAACTCAGTGAGAGTGATCGCAACGCTACCCAGCAGATATATGAAAATGAGTCAATTGAGCTTCCTCCTCCTGGAGGTACAACGCTGGTACAAGAGTCTCAAGCGTTGACAAGAGGATCGTCCCTTGTGGTCGAACAAGCGCAAGATGCTGTTGTCTCATCTCCGAGCCCCACTGATCAGAGCCCGCAGCGCTCTTCACCTCCGACTCACACCAGTCAAAGCCCGCAACGCTCTACTAAGTTGCGACATGCGATATCACAAAGTGCTAGAGCTCGAGACCCGCGGGATACCACCGGCTCATCTCGTCCTGCAAGAAAACACCAAGCGAAGGAAAGGAAAAACGAGTCATCTGATATGGTCGAATCGGGTGGATCAGTGTCCCATGTCTATCCAACTGAGCGCTCAGGCGTCTTCGTCTATGAGGTGAACATCAACGGAATTCTGGTCATGCGCAACCAGAGCGACTCATGGGTGAATGCGAGTTCAATGCTCAGGGCTATCGGAGTCAAGGACGGACAAATGAGACGCAAGATCGTGATGAACGCTGGTGGTCCGCAACGAATCACCAATGGCGGTCATTGGTTCTATCAGGGTAGATGGGTTCCTCTTGCGACAGCCCGTGGCTTGGCGACCAAGTATGATGTAAAAGACGTTCTGGCACCTTTGCTGGATCTCCTAGAGGCACAACCACCAAGCAGTCGAGAAGCCAGACAGCCTAATAGTGAACGTGCTGTTACTGTACCCCAAAAGTCCATGACTACAGAATCCGATAACGGTGAGCTCAAGAACGATACGTACAAAAATGCTCAGAACTACGGCAGACTTGCTACCTGAGACGACTGGGGAAACTCCAGCGACAGCGAAGACGACGGGCCAGAAACGGGACACGTTCCTACGAGACCATCGGTCACGTCCGATTTACCCAATAGCAAAAACGTGTTGGGCGAAAGGCTTGATGGCAACAGAAAGAGGCTTTCCGATACCCAAAGTCTCGACAATACCCAATCCTTACCGCCCACAAAACGCGCCAGGATAAACAGCCTCTCTGCATTATCAACAGAACTACCTGGCCAAACCCAAGAACCGCACGTCGCACGCTATGCCCAAAGACGTCGTGACAATGAAAAGCAAGCGGCGAATGAGTTACGAGCTCTCCTTCCCCCACAATATCTGAATGATGAAAGCGACATCGATGGCCAATGCAATCCGACAACAAAAATTATCCAATCCGCCGTTGCATTCATAGTGGATCTATCACAGCAAGCGATTTCAAAAGGTGATTATGCGTGGATATGTCAACCACGAACGAGAAAAGGAGAGAACGCTGCAGATTCTGACCCGAAGATCCACGACTACAACAAAGCATCCTCCGAGTCTCTCAACCGAAAGATGATCCAGACATTGCAGCGTCCAGAGACAAACATCGTGACCGCCTTGGATCAGTATGGCCATAAGACGGCATCTGTATTGAGAAGTCAACATGTGGGTAAGCCTCGAAAATTGACAGATCAGTATGCAATGAGCAAGACGGCGGTCAAGAATCGTGAACAATGGTATAATCTTGGTGACTTGGAGAGATGGTTCCGTCGTCGCGAGTTGGCCGACAACAGTGCCATCCATGCCGCCATGGAGAAGATCAAGTATCAGCCTGTATGGGATAGGTTGACAGAAGTCGAAAAGGAGAGGATTCGACATGACGAGAGACAGACGGTTCTGCAACAACGCTTCGACCAAGGAAAGTCACAATCGTATTTCGTGGCCCAATTGATCGATGTCGGCAAGCAGTGCGGTGTCAGTGACGGTGATATGTTGAGCTTGGTGCTGTCGAAACAGTCCAAAGCTCGAGAGGCAATCATAGAACTGTTCAATGGCATGGTAGAGGTGGACGAGTCTGGCAAACTTGCACTGGTCAACACGCCAACGACGAAAACTGGTAGAATGGGGAAAGGGATTGAATATGACTCCAAAGCTTGATCAGGTGGGCATCCCTTTCGAATGAATTTGCAGATCGTCACTAGTGATGACCGATTTTGGACTGTATGAATACACCTTTCCTTCGAAAAACAGAGGACTTTAGTCGACGTGCGCGAGGCGTTTTGGAGGAAACTAGGAGTTTCGAGAGAGAGACCTGATAGGAGTTAGCCAAATAGCTTACTTATGTCAGTGTTGAACATCAAGTCAAACCGTTCCGCGCTACATACACTTGCAGAACCTGCTCCTCTCCTCTATTGTCGGTGGATTGTCCTTGCCGCCTTTTTGGTAAGCGTGCTAGGCTGACGGCTCTCGCCTGCCTAATAGTCGACTGCGTTGTCACGGATTTCGATTGAGACTCCTTCCGACTCTCGCTCTTCCAGCAACACTCAACAACCCTTGGTCTGTTACAGTTAATGATGTTATGCGAGTGGTGCTCACGAATCCCTTTTGACCTGAATGTTCTCGACACCCGTCTTGGGACCGGCTTTACCCTGGGCTCTGGCGCGCGGCTGGTGAAGAGCCAGTGTTTGTTCCGTCAGCTCGTTGTGCGCGCAACCTCCGAGGCTGGTGATGATGAGAGTGAATGCCTTCATGTGAAGGTGAAATGGACGTTGGGACCTAGTGACTACTACGCCTTCAAAGTATCGCATGCCCTTGGATCGTATATTGCCTTTAGACGGACAGCCGTCACCAGTTTTGGCCGGAAACCTCTTAGCATCGAGCCAACCGGACCTCATGTGGAAACCGGAAGAGTGTTACGCTGGATATCTTCGTGCGAACTAGCACATCGCCCGAGGTGTGAGCTTTCAGATTATATCAAGTTTGCCGATGCGTTTCGAGGCTTGCGTCTTCTTCGCCTGATAGACATCAAGAAGGGCTGCCTTGTTGAGATGAGGGCCCGTGAGAAATATGTCGCCCTGAGCTACGTGTGGGGAGCCGTGTCCAATTTTCGTCTCACCAAGGCCAATAGAATTGCTCTATTAGCGACGGTTTCTCTAATGAAAATATCGCATCGGCTTCCAAGGACAGTCCAGGACGCCATCGCCCTTGTGAGGCGTCTGGGATGCCGATATCTTTGGGTCGACGCCCACTGCCTGCTGCAGAACGACAACGAGGACCTGGATCGAGGCGTGAATGCTATGGACCGTATCTATGAGTTCGCCTGGCTTACTGTTGTTGCCAGTTGTGGCCATGACGCGAATGCTCGTCTCCCTGGTGTCCTCAGCCCAGCAGGGCATCCACTACAATCGAAATCAAGCCTGGTGGGGTGGAGATGATGCTCGTACATGAGTTGCATGGTTTACTTCGGAACTCTGTGCATAACACTAGGGCGTGGACGTAAGAACTCACAGTCGCCCACTTTCCTCGGTGAATGGTCTGGGCTAATGAACATTTAGCTTCCAGGAGCAGGTGCTGTCTCGCAGGGCAATCTACTTTGTCGGTGACAAGCTCTTCTATCGCTGTCGGGCAGCAGAGTACAGCGAACACTACACAGATATCCCGTCACAACATCTCGGCATTGATTCCACATTGGGATCCGTGCTATCAGCGGCCGTGCTGATGGAGCGACCCATAGCTGACTACGGTACTATGCTCTCGTACTACACCCAACGAGCTCTGACCGATCAAAAGGATACACATAGAGCGATGGCCGGAATCATTCGACGCTCTATGGGGGTAATGAGGTGTCAGCCGACAGCGGTGTTAACAGGTTTATCATCTTTCATGCGCACAACTGCATTCTACAGCGCTGCTCTTCCTTTCCAAGTTATTCATGGACAGGCTGCCGAGGAGGTATCAGGTAAGAATCGGCTGCGTGTGGGGGAGGTTACCACGAAGATGCTAATGAATGGCTCAGAAGCAGAACCTGGATCATTTGGTACAAGAGAAGTCGTGCTGGCAACACCAGTCTCGTCTGGGACTCCCGTGCCAATCACCATTTCCGCTCCCGAGATGTGACTTGCGTGGGAAACCGCGAAAGGGTCACCTTTTCTAATGGCCGGGAGATCTTTAACAAGCAAGGGAGTCCACCAGGACGCACGATGCCTACGGAAGAGGTGTCGTTCTCCCGGGCGGTACCCGCATACCCAATCTTGTAGTTCTGGACTCTGTGGGTGCGTTAAATCATCACCGACATCGATGTTTTCGAAGCAACCGGCTACCTTGCAGATAGCAACGGCGTCAAATGTGGGTTCGCTTTGCTGGATGGGTTTGAGGAAACTTCATTTTTTGACTTTAGCAGTCGGTTTGAAGTCATCCTTTTGTCAGAAGCACAACAACACCATGATCTTCGAAAAGTCCGCAGTTTCGGCGAGGCTAGCTACCCTAAAGTGCCTGGTCGATAGAAGTACTATAATGTTTTGCTTTTGGGATGGCAGGGTGGTATCGCTGAGAAGCGAGGTTTCGGCCTTGTATTGCAAGGCGCACTCAAAAACAGCCATTCCCCTGGTCTCTCCTGGAAAGGAATTTTCCTGGCATGAGAGATTTCGATTTGCAAGGCGAGAAGGATAACTCACAAAGGACAACGTATAGATCGGAAGTGCGATCCCGGGTCTTTTTGTCTGTTACGAATAGGAAGGAATTGGTTTTTGTTTTCTCTGATTACAGGACTAAATAAATGTTTTGACTATCTTGTGTAAGATCCTAACGCCAGCACAGACCCAAAACCATTGCGAGGGCTGACGACATTTTGGCGCAAGGTCATATATAGTATGAGCGAAGCCAACAAAGACGCAAGAGAGTAGATGACAAGGTTATTTCTCGTCTCGAATCATCGACGAGTACCAGACCCGGCTCCCAGTTGCTTAGAAAACAACCTCCAGAACAAACGAATAAAATCGCGATATCCCACTCTGCGGCTGGGCCGAATCGTTTCGAATCGAGCAAGTATGGAATGCGGGAATGGCAGAGGTACCGATTCACACCCATCTCTCTGCCATGATGGACAACGATGATGGCCTTGCCCGACGTGGTCGCTCGGCAAGTATTCATTCCAGAACAGGTACGGCGGACCCAAAGGGTCGCCGACATTGTCGTGGAGGGCGGTTGCCGTCACGTTGTTACCATTTTCACGGGTTCATCCATCAGGTTGACTCCTTCAAAAGTCTCGAGTTGCAGCGTTCTTGATCTTGTGCGCTTCAGTCACAGACCAGTCTCTGATCAGTAGACCAACAAGGTATGACACAAAATATATTCTGCTCTGTTTCGAGTTGGAAACCACCATCTCGTCCGAAGTCTCTCTTCGTCCTCTGCCGAAAAAGATACGAGCGCCGTCGTGGGGTTCGAGCGGGATCGGGACCGTTGGCCCGAATGTGAACTTTGATCCACTCGAGCTTCTCGGAACGATCGATGTCTCGAGAGCACACAGACGTTCGAATCATGGACGGTCCTCCTGACACCGGCCGATCATCTGCAAACTCATCAGCCGTATCCCCGTCGACGTACGTGCCTTGTAGCAGCGACACGTCTATCCCTTGCGTTCGCATCATGTTTCGAAAGGCGGCCGTACCGTGTCGCTCACGGATCCCGTTCGTATTCAATGATGAAATCTTCATTTTGCCTAATGACTTATCCATCATTGTTTGGTTTGGTTTTGGGCCTGCTTGGTGGCAGGTTTGTGGGTTTCGATGAGTCTGACTGCCGCACACGACGTGAGCTCCTCATGTGGCTGTTCTCGCCCATACGCGGCGCAGGATGCTTCCATAGTCGACACGAAGCATTCCCACCCGCCCGACTATCCAAACTCGGTTCCATCCATTTCAAGACGTGTGGCCACTTTGGCCGAAGGTCACTATACCCATAGCCTGCGGCGTACTCGGCGACACGAGCTAGCCGATGACGTCGTTCTCTGTCCGCATTCTGGAGCATCCGTCACAGACTCGAGGACCTCTGCGGCGTGCGACTTGAAGAGCGTCGATGACTCCGATGGAAGTTTTGGTGAGACCAAGAAGAAATGTGATGTAGTCGGCCAGTAATAAATACCCTTTCAGGTCCTCATATATGCGCACGCGCACCGATTGTGAGGGGCTGTAATAGAATCTTCTCCTTGTAAGTATTGACTAGCTCACTGGAGGTTTCCGATCCTCGTTGACCTGTCTGATGTTGTGTCTCATGCTTCATCTCCGTTCGGCTGTGTATACTTGACATTGTGTGGTGGGAAACCCGGGTTCGTGGCATTGCCACACGCAGCCTAGGTCACCGCCGTTGAATTCGACGTAGATCTGATACATGTATACATGCGCACGGGCACCAGTTGCTCGGTGCCGTGGTAGCATCGATATGATGCGATGGTGTGTGCCTCTCCGGTCCAATAGGCTTCGCGGGCGTGTTTCAACGAGGCCGAGCAACGGCTCAAGAGTTCGTTGAGGACAGCGGGGGATTGCAGCAGCCACTTCGAAGTGAACGATGCCGTGTGCTGCAGTCATTCTTCTCATGGTGAGGTTTTGGTGGGAATTGTGACGACCAGAAAATGCTTCGGACTTCTTGTGTCCCTCAAAAAGACAAAGGGTCATGGAGCCGGATCGCCCGTGCAGACCACCAGAAAGGTACACGTATGTGGTGGTACCATGTTAGGTGGATGGCCGCATGAAAAGTTGCTCGAACCGCCGAGAAGTATGTTGTATATATATATATATATATATATATATATAGGTTATGGTACAATCATCAGAGAATGCTTTGACAGAGAATGATTGATGGCAAATTTCGAGAGAAAAGGAAGAGGGAGATGGAGGGTTTAAGTATGTTTTCAGATGTTTGCTACCTGTGGCAGCCTGAATTACAACTTCACTGACCGACATTGATGTGTTTGTAATGACAAGGCAGAAATGATAAAAGGTGATGCATAGGGAATTCTTTTGCTATTGTCATTTCATTCTGTATGCAATACCCTGCCTATTCACGAACTACAGGCCCACAACAAGTCGGTGACAACTTCGATCAATCATCCGTGCAGACTGGTTACTCGGGTCTGTCTCAAAGTGACTGATACCACAATAGCATCTTAAACCCTGGACTATTGATCAGAAATGCCGTAGTCACATACTCAAAGTAAATGCTTGACTATGTTTCTAGACCGGAGGAATTTAATGGTATACATTAACATCACTGACTCGAGCGAACAATAGGACTGTCACCATTTGGAAACTCTAGGGATAAGAAGACACAGAGATTAACAATGTCCTTTTAATTTCAATAATTGCATCTTTTCAAACATGAATATCAAATCTTCATGTCTGTCAATGAGAAGTGAAGAAAAGAGGAGACAACTTTACAACGGACATTTCTCTCTGAGGAGGGAAGGCTTTTGATTTATGTTTTTTTCTGGGATCATGCTCTGTGTCCGTCTCAAAATACTGCCATGCCTTGGGCATTCTTTCCCACTCCCATCGACTCGAGGGAGAAATGCTGGACCAACTTCGCCGACCCTTGACCGCCGGATACGTCCACCACGCTGACCGCGGCCGGCGTGGTTCCGTTTCCAGGTGAAAGGGCGTAGATGAAGTTGCCGGCCGCCACCAGATCGATGAGTCCCGGGTCTCCGTCTGCCGAAAGATCCGTGGTGGACAGGATACTGGCGTCGGTCAGACTCATTTCCACCAGACGGTTCACGCCGACGTCGGCGACGAAAGCACTCCCGGTCTTCTTGGAGATGGTGGCCCAACAGGTCGCCTTTTGGCCTTCGATGGTCTGGTTTGCCACGAGCGAGGCCTCATTGGTCGCCTGGTCGACAGAGACCACCGCGGCGCCGAACGACGCGTCCGTCACGAAGACGTTGTTGGTCCCCTCGATGTTCTCGGATCCGAACAAGACGGCGGTGCCCGCGGGCGAGCTGCGCGTGTCTTGCATGGCCAGGGTTCCTGCCCTGCCCCAGGCCGACGCCTGGACGGGGAACACCGAGAAGAAACCGGTGGTGCCGACGGCCGGGTTGCCCTTGACCGTGGCGTAGAGACGGGACTCGTCCGGGGAGAAGAACAGTTGCGACACGGCGTTCGTCGGTCCGACGGGGGGAGTCGTCTGGTTGAGGTCGAAAGACCGCAGGCCGTCCATCGCGCCGAGACCCTGCGCGGAGAAGCTCGAGCACGAGACTCCATTGACCATGCCTGTCGTGCCGACGCACACCAAATTGTTCTTGCTCGACGCTGCGACGGTATTGGGAAATTGGCCTGGCAGGGCCACGGGTTGTCCGACCATCGTCAGGGACGTAGGGTTCCGAGGGTCAAACGACATCATCGATACCGTGTTGCTGCCGGCGTTGACCGCAAAGATGTTCTAGTATGGATGTGTCAGTATTGCAAAGTTACAGGTTGGTATACGTTGTCGCGCTCACATTGCCAGCTATCGTCAAGCTCGACTGGCTATCCAAGGCGTCTGGCCCTGCCATCATTCCAGTGCTGCCATCAATGAAATTCGATCCTGAGCCACCAGTCCCGGTCACACTTCCGCTCGAAAGTTTTCCATCCGCTCCAACCGGCAAAGCGACGACCGAGTTGGTCTGGTCGTTGGTGATGAAGTATATGGCTTTGGCACCGCCGGCGCCGGGACCTGATGGCGGGCTAGGTCTTTTCCAATCGGACCATGGAGCTGCCGAGGCAGTGAGGCCTAGAGAGGCCAAGAGAAGGAAGCGAGCGCTGGAAAGCATCTTCTATGTTACAGTCTCAGACCGTATATGCGTGGTGGTAAGAGGTAGAAGATGGTTGGTCGACTGTGGTCTCTTGTCCGCCAGGAATGGAAGAGGCCAAAAGATTGGGAGCCGGACTCGTTCTGTTATATATCTCGCTGGTAAGGTAGAGCATCGGTTGAAAAAGACGTCGCAACATGGGCGCCATGTTGGATCAGGAAACTATTGATTTCGATCATCTGTTTCGTTTGAGCCGGCGCGAAATAGTGATTGTCCCATATTGAGGATGATTTCATTCTGCGACATTACCAAGCCGTTGCAAGTGTTCAAATTGAGTCAATTTGGACCGTGTACTCCGTTCGAGTGCTGTCGATTCCATGTTTCTTCGAACGATTACTCAATCCAATATTCCTCCTTGCGATCTAGTTGAAGTGGACCAGGCGTGGACCACCCCAATGAAACTAAACCCAAAGTAGGAATTTTGGATTATTGAATCTCCTTCAAACGTGTCGCACACTTGGAGCCTCAGGGACCATCGTGTGGATGTGATTGGTGAACACAATTGTCGCATGGAACCGGCCTTTTTTTGGCCCCAACGAAGCGAAAACCCCAGAAGGGACAGTCAGCAATGAGATCGAACCTCCGTACCAACCGACCTCGTCGCTCGTCATTCGTAGTCGACTCGTGGCTCTCTCTTCAGCTTCTGCAAGTACGAGCAGATCTCTCTCCCTCTCTCTCTGTCTGCCTTTTTGCTTTTGTAAGCCTCTCTCGGAGTTGTCCGGTTCATCCTACCTTTCCACCAGAGTGACGACTTTCAATTTCCGTCAGCCGAATCAATTGATTGATTTCTTTTGTCGCTTGGACTTTTCGTGCAACGAAACGGAGACCGCATCTCACACTCCCCCACTCACCTCTGCATCAAGCGACGGAAACAAAATGGTTGATGTCTTTCGTCCCCTCTTTCGGACCGTCGAAGGTACGTATGCGCCGGTAAACGAGGTTCCCTCTTTTCAGGCCCGGAGAGAGACGGAAGCCCGTAACCTCTGGAGACACACAAGGCTAAATTTGTTTGTGTAATCAGATCGTGTCGCGAACCGTCGCGAACAACTGAGAAAGGCGCAAAAGTCGGTCCATCCATTCACCCACCATCTTCCTGCCACATCTTGCCTTTCTAGGGCGACGTGCGTCCTCGTTTGACCGGTGACCAGTCTTGCTGACAGTTGTGTTTGTATTCGTGTCCTTTTTGATAGAACATTTAGAGAACGACGTGATCAATATCTCAAAAGCCTCGAACAACAGGTGCAGAGACTTCAAAAATCCGAGTCCGACTTACAGACTCAAGTTGACCGTCTCGAGCGTGAACTTGCCGAGGCGACGAATCGTTTAGCCGTCATCGATAACAAGAGGAACGGATTCGCACAGTACCCTTATCAAAATCAAAACCAGAATAGTTTTCGAGCAGACCGAAACAACAACAACAGCAGCAGCAGCACAACCTGGGAGACAAACAACTGGGAAACCAACGACTTTATATCCCCGCAATCCCAGTCTCACTCTCAGTACCAATTCCAGCCCCATGGAGGTGTCAGCAATGAAAAAGTCAACAGTCAGACTCGGAGTCCAAGTGGCAGTGGCAGTGCAGTAGTCTGGGTTGAAAGTCAGAATGACAAACCCTGGCAGATGCACGTATTGTCGTCCACGACAAAGACAGATTCTGTTCCTGGTAGTAATCGTCAACCACAGTGGCCATTGAGTCCAATCAGCTTGGAGAGTGAGAATACGAATAATACTTCATCACCTCAAGATTGGTATTCTCGTTCAAATTTTACAGGTGAGTTTCGGCTGTCCTTGTTCTAATCTGTGACACCTTTCGTTATAAGAAGTCTGGAGACAGAGCCATTACTGACTCATAAAATGAACGGACTTGGCAGATCAACAACCTCAATATGACAGTTCTCAACTTTCCAAAGAATCTATTTTTACCGTCAGTTCGGGATACGTGGCGCAGCTCGACCTTGTGATTGTGGCCATGGAATTCGTGTTAAAGTATGTTACAACTTACCACTTGATACCCCAAAAAAATCCATGAACAGACGTGTGTGTGCCGTCGTTTACCTCATCACTGTTGGATTTGCTCGCTGACCTTTGATTTTTCTACTTTTAGACTCGAAAGACCTTGTCTTCCACATATCCACCAACCAGATGACGATGGGAATCAGACAGCACCCCCGGGTCACGTCCATACCGCCACCGCGGCATTACTATGCAGCAGCAGCAACAACAACAACAACAACAACAACAACACCGCCGTCGCGCCCACACATGACATTTGTTCTCGTTCGTGGAACGCACCGACCGAGGTCCTGCGTCGACTTTTGGAGGCGTCGAGTACTCTCCCTGTCGAACAAGGTCTGGAGGTCACGCCGATCCAAGTGTGGCACATGATAAGTCAATCTCGTGGGTTTGCGTCGATGAAGGTCGAAAAGTTGACGGTGATATCGGATCGATTATTGGCACAGATCAAGTGTTACGGGTACGTGTTGCTCTTTTTTCTTTTGCCCTTTGGCGTTCCGTGTCACTGTCCCGTCTTCCAAAGTCAACGATTCTAATCATGACGTCGCCCCATATACAGGTTCGGTGCCGTTCTGAAACATGATCAAATCAAAAGGATGATTGCGGATATTTGATTTGAACCTGAATCAAGTTCTGACAAAATGAGATGCGTTGATACTGCTGGTTGATGGTTTGTCGTGACGAATACTTTCACCAACAGAAAAAAACACGCCATGACACGGAAAAATATTGGGAATTATTGCATGTCACCTTTGTTTGTCTTCCATACTGTATCTCGCCGACTCTGGGGGAGGGGGGGAGGTTTATCTGCTTCGAGGTTGTTTCCTAGCCGCCAAATCATGCAAATCCTCGTTATCCCCAACCTTGACAGACTCGTCGATCTTTTCGCCTTTGTCTTGGGGGCCCGCGGACCCCAAAGATGAGTCTCTCAGAGCCTCGTCCACGCTCTCACTCAAACTCATGCCGCCTCCTATTTCTGGTAGTAATGAAAACGTCGAGGTTTTCTTGTTGTTGCCATGATTTTGTTTCGTGTCATCCATCATTGAATTTCTGTAGTTTTTGAGACAAGAGCAAAATACGTAAGTAAAGAGCTCTTAAGGAGGTACTTGATACTTCTGGTAGGAGGCGGACCAACGAAAGTATTAGGTAATCTCGGAGGAGGGTCTCCAATGGCCACGCTGTTCTCGGAGACAGCGGCAGATACAGTACAGTGCAATGAGAAATCATTAAAAGGAAGAATAGATGAGATGAGATGATGAAACAAATCAAAAAAAAGAGATCAAAATCTTACTGATTTGTTGATCCATTATTGTTTCCCCCTCGTGCGTTTTGCATGTTGATCTGACTTTTGTGACTGTAAATGCCGGAGGTCGTTGTCGTTGGGTTCGTGGTCTGTGCCTGTGTTTGACACCTAGATCTTCCTGAAGGTACTGTATCGATTGAATCGTATGAGGGGATTTGTATTTATGAAAAGAGATGATTGTGTTATGTTGAAACTCCCTCTCTCTCCTTTGACAAAAGTGTGATGTTCAGTAAGATTGAGGAAAATATCACAACATTGTGATTACCTGACCTACTTTTCTCGGCTGTATCGGCGCCTTTTTTTTTGTTTCTAGGCATTGCCTAGGTACGTACCATACTTTATGGAGTAGGTACAACGCAATACGACTGTAAGACTGGCAGTAAACAAAAATATACTGTACAGTAATTCGGTACGAGTACAAACTGCACGGTGATGCAGCTTATTACCGTAGCTCATAAGAAATCTCACACCTTCAATTGAGGTATTCTCTAGCCCTTCGTACTCAAATCCATCTCAATCGCAAAAAGCACAAATCTCTCTCTCCTTTACCGATGATACGCAAACCTACATGATCCTGATCCTCCGGTCTCACAAAATACATTTCATCTCCCAACCTCAAATCTTCGAGTTTGACCAGATTAGACACATGTTCAGTTCCATTTGTCGCCGAAACCTTTCGAAACTGTGCCATTCCTATTGAAGGAGTTTCGACCTCCAGACTGATATTTATACCGGGTATGCTGTCGACGTACTGTGGTTGATCTGGTTCGATCCGAACTTCTTGAGTCGACGGTCCCGATCGTAATGTCGACGATGAATCTGATGGGTTGCTTGCTATCTGGTCAACCTTTCGCTCGTCCTTCTCATTGCTCTGACTGACAATGTCCTCAACCATATCGGATTTCAAATCAAGTTTTTCGAATACAGCTTCATCCACCGCCTCTGCTTCACCTATAGCCGGCATGTGCGGCTGCTGCTGCTGCTGTTGAGACATGACCGAAGAAGTTACCGGCGAATACCTGGGAAAATCTCTCAGGTTGTGCCTGCTGGTCAATGGAAAAGCACGACCATGCTTTTCTTTGACGAGACGTCTACATTCGTCGTCCATGACCGTGATGACGCCCCTGAGCTTCTTAACCACCTCTGAGCTGTAATCCGCCAGGTCCGGAATGGTCCATTGATCATACAGCCGGCCGTGAGTGGCCGACACCATGAACGCCCCGTGTGACTCGATGAACAGGTGGCAGAGGAAGCAGGCAGCCTTGCTCGTCCCGATGAAGCGAGGTGGAATGCGTGGTGGTGGTTGTGACTTGAGGTAATGTGTAATGATTTGTACCTCTGCGTGTACGTGACATTTCACCCGTTTGCCTTCGGCAGATATCGTCGTCCATTTCGAAGCATATGGTTCGAGATATAGCGGTGTGATGTTTGTGAACAAAGCTCGTGAACCTCTCTTACGGACATCCTTTACCAGCGTAACCGGTATCCTGTGGTACGCGGCGAGTTTATCGATCTGCATGACGAACTTGTTGTTGAACCACTTTTTAGGACTTATTCCGGCCGAAGAGAGGGTGTTCCAGAAAGACATTTCCCCATCACGAGTGGTGACGGAGAAGCATTTCTTGACAATGACTTGCAACTCATACATCTCATCAATCGATGACAGAGATTCGGACCTGCGTAGGAACTCTTCGAAATCAATCTTCAGGCGAGACAGTCTTCTAGAAAGATCTTGACCAGCCGGACCTCGAGCAGTCTGCCGTAAGCTTGCCAGGGCACTGTTCGGGCTGTCAGAAATGACGAGTTTTAGAGTATGGTTCCCACGCCTGAAAGAAGGTGTTCCTGTAAGGAAAAAGTGCATGCGTTCTAGGATTCGACCGTGACAGAGATTGATGACCGCCTCTGAAACTCCCGAGATGCATTGTGTTGTTGTCATTTCTGCCAACAAATTTGATGAGAAGAAACACCGACACGTCAACATTTAATATACATACCATCCCTCGCGCAAGACGTCAAAAGCTCACATATGTGACCGAGACCAGCCTTGAATTCTTTATTTACTCCTTCATTGGCCGCGACACGGAAGATGAGTCCTTCGGGTTCGTGGTTCTCTTCGACACACACAGCGGTGACACTACCTACTCCTTCCTTTGCTGCCAGTATGTACGCCACGTCGTCCGCGAGCCGCCTTTCCACGTCGAAAGAGAGTTGTCGTCGGGCATTGTTGCTCCAACTCTTGTCGTGGTGGGCGGCATCGCTGGTCGCAGGGAGCCAGAGCCTTGGTTTGATGGGCACCTGATTGCACTTTCGAGACAGTGCAACCAGATCTCGGCGGAAATCGTCCTCGGACAAGGGTTTCCAAACGGAATTCTGCCGAGTGGCAGTCTGAACAGGTTGCGGCCGTGACATTGAAAAGCCCTCGAGCAGGTAACGTCGCGGGAACACCTACCGTCACTTTTGGTTCTGATTGAGCTCACCATGTTGTCCGAGATACGGCAAGCGCCAAATTGATTGGCACCAGTAAGAATGTGCCAGCTGGCGACCAGCTTAGGGTCGTTGTGTGCTGCATCATGCCTGCAGTTACATGCATCTGAATCTCGTTGAGCGAATCATGGGGACACCACTTGTGGCTGAAGAGAAACCCATTGACATGGCGTACAAACAGGATATCCCATTTGTGAAGCCTCGGCTCTACCTTGCGAACATTGAGATTACATGATCAAGCGATCAACACAACACTTGAAACATGTTGTCATTATCGAGAGGGTAGAAGGAGTCAAAAACACCATTGAATTTTCGTTTACCAACCACATGCCATGGCCAAGCCATTCTCAAAGGGAAATCTAGTCTTTAATGCTGTAATGTACGTACTGCTTAGGTATCTTGGGTATTAAGAATAGAATACAGTCTCGCAAAGAGTGCATTGTTCCTTATGCGTGTTAGTATTACTACCGCAGCAGTAGGAACAGTCTATGCAATGCATTCCATGCAATTCCTTCTCGACACCGCCATCTTTTACGGTCACTGTACCACCCATGGAAAGAATCATATATCGCCAGTATCAATGCAATTTGCCGGTCCCAGTATGGAGTAAACCATCCTCTCATAGTCGGAAAGAGAATTTCTTGGACGCCAGAAAATGCAACATGTATGGCCATCAACAGTATCAATCTCCAATCAACCTTTCGCAACGGCATCCAACCTCTTCATTATGTCATTGGTCTCATTGATCAAACCCTTTCTGAACGCTCTTGCCTCGGGATTGTCGACGTCAATAGCATCCGCTTTGAGCATAATATGTAGCATGATACTCTCGCTCAATTTACGATGCTCCTTCTCCCTATCTTGAGAATTCGAAGGAGGATTGGAGATAAACTTTTGACAGAGAGGCAGCCACTGGTCTTGAAATGTATTTGAGAGGGCTTGCAACTTGCCCAAAGGAGTGCTGGGATCTGCAGAGACTCGGGCTGACGGAGCTGGCGTCGAACTTGGTCGTGGTGATGAGCCTCGTGTGCGTAACGGTTCTCGTCGGTAGGTCCTATCGTCCACATCAGGCCTCAGACTGCCACGAGATTGTCTCTCAGAAGCACTGCCAGAGGGAATATGGCCGTTGGGAGAAAGAAAGTTCGATGAGATTGGTGACTTCTGGGTCGGTAATTGTTCGCTGCTTCGATCTCTGACCGATGATAGCGCACGAGGCCGTCTCCGGGGATTTTGGCTTGCCACAGATTCCTGATCACTGGACGACGGACTATCGCGGTCGCTGTAGTCAAGCACACCTTCGGTCTTGATCGCTGCCACTTCGCTGTTTTGTTTCATATTGTATTTCCTCAAGGGCCACGAATCATGCTTCAGATCCCGCTTTTTGTAGACCAGCCGGACCCTTCTGGGATCAGTCGACAAAGCCCGTGCCACGGCTTCACGCAGCTGACCAACATATGCTTTTTCTTCACTAATGGAGTAGGCAGGAAACTCGACCGGTATGAGGGAAGCCATGTACCGTACGAGGATCAGGTCAGGTGCTTCGGGGTCATCGTAAGTATTGTTGTGGGCTTTTGTCATTGTCGGTCGATGAGCATCGTGTAGTATGTCATGATCTGCGTCGATGTACTCGAACTGGCTTGAAAGATTGCGCGCGTAGGGGTCGACAATGTGACTGGTGTACGGTGAGCCTCCATTGCGCCCACCACCATAGGCATAGTAGCCGCCGTAGCTGCTCATCAGAAAACGGCAGACGAAGAACAGGAGAGAGAGGAGGACGACGGCAAGGGTAGTATAAGAGGCGGTGGAATAATCTGTTAGGGCGGTGTTGAGGTGATTGTGAAATTCAGGTGGGAGCCGGCGGAGGAGGGGTTCGGCGAGGCTAGTGAGGCTTTGTAGGGAGTCGGAAAACCAAGTCTGCAGACTTGAGGAAGCCACGGTGAAAGAATATCAACCCAGTAGGAAACTGAGGTAGCGACGCTCAACCACAGGCAATCGCAGGCTGAGTGTTTGTGGGATTTATTTTGACGATTTTGAGGCGATTGAAATCGAGGCGAGAAAAAAGTGGTAACAAGAATCGACGTCGTCAGTGGTGGAGAATGTTGATGTTCGAGGTGGATCGCTAGAAGGAGAAAAAGCGATAAAGAGAGTACGATCAATTCGACAGGGGAGAGGAATGATATGAGTGGTAGAATCTTCTAACTCATACGTAGTTGTAGTATGGGATGAGGAATCAGTCTTTCGAACGGGCTGGGCCACCCTGTTATGTTCTCGGTTTAGGCGGCGAGGATCATACAACAGGGATGGGGGATGACGAAGACAGCCTCGCACGGAGAAAGTGTCGAATTGTCGACGGAAATGGGTGATTGTGTGCGTGATGAATTACTGATGCCTGGTTTCAATGTCTCTTTTCTTCTTCTCTTCTCTCTCTCCCGTAACTCATTCAGCCGCAAGCATGAGATCGCAGGATTGACGCCTTTTCTTCCAGCTGGTACTTGACGGATTGGCAGTTTCTTCCGCGTTTCTCCCGTCCATGGAAAATTGTTTTTGCGGAACCCGAAGGACAAAGGCCTCAAACAGCTGACATAATTCCTTGGCGTCTTCTGATGGATGTTCAAATGCACGTCGATTTCCGACCCTGTTCCATGTATTGATTGATTTTCACAGGAAAATGCCTCGGACTCGCCTGGTCTTATCCGGTACACCTGAGAATAGTAACTCAGCCTTGGGGATGATTCGGCTCCGTCTCGCCGGATGAAAAATATCATGCTCCTATCAGACCACGAGTGTCCTCGGGGCACACAAGGCTAATGACCCCTGGGGTTGGTACTGTACGGAGTACATAGAACCATTTCTGTTTGTACACCACTGGCTCCCAATGGCCATGAAACAAGCAACAAGTTTGTATTGGGGCGTTTGACTACCATAACCTTCGAGAACAAACCCCCAAGACGTTTCGTCGCCTTGAATCCAGCTTCCGAGAGACTTTTTGGTCATGTTCTCTGCTTCATGATACAAAGACCTTGCAACAAGCCGCTCTTTTCTCCACCGGTACCTCTTTGGCAACTTTCGAATATGTAGGTACTTCTATCAAGTGGCCTCCATGCCCATGTGGTTCTCATTGTGAATCCATCATGTCTAGTTGGTGCCCCGTGCCACCCGTATCCTCTGCTGAGGCTCTACCGCCATACGACCTTATTCACCGGCTTTGACGCGCCGCGATATGTTCAATCACCGCCTCAACTCAGAACAGCGTGCTTGGCGAACAGGATACACACATCATGAAGCTATCTTCGTGGTCAAAATGGTAACATTGCAGCATGTTCCATACTCAAGGTAGTCGCGCAACTTTGACAAGATGGCCTCACGTGAAGTGTTCAGGATTCCAGAATCGGTACGAGCGCTTGACTATCCTCATAAGCATCTTCCACTAACACAGAACATCAAGATCCTCGAGAAGGCGCTGGTGGAGGTGTCGGCTCCGCAACATCATGGTCTCAAGAGAAAGCGTAACGACGAGATCAATGAAAACCCCGTCAAGGCCGATTTTGTCACGGGAAAATACAATACAATTTTTGGACGCAGGGTCGCAGAGGCAAAGACAAAGACACAAACACAAACACAGAATTACACTGAGACAATTATCGAGACGATTGACCATGACTTGCTCGTCCAAATTTTTGGATACCTCGACGTCCCGAGCCGCGTTTCACTAGCCCTGACGAACAAATTCTTTGGCAGCTTCTGCATGACTCCTGGAGTCAGCGGACCAATTCTCTTGTCAAATTGCACACAACTCAGTTACGTACCGGACTCAGATTCACTCATCGGCTACAGTCACGACGAATACCACACATACTGCAGCAGACGCCGCATGACTCTCCTCCTCCTGCGCAACTGGATGCCCAGCGACCTCCAGTTCTGTTGGACCTGCATGAAATACACGCCTCTTTCGGGAACCAAGCCCACTGAAGCCTTCTTCAAACCATGGAATGACAATGCCAAGGGCACAATGGTCATCACCATGATCGACGAGTCGGGAAAGGAAGACCCAGACTCAACCCTTCGCGTCGAATTGCACTGTCACGACGCCTGTCTCCCTCGCATCGCTGAGAACCAGCCGATGCCATTTGATCTGCTCTGTCGGCACTTGCCAGGCGGCCGTGCCGTCCACTACAACTTCGGCGTCGAGATGCAGGAGGTTGTCTACTTGGGAAGTGAGGTTTTTGAGTGGGGCCTTGCGATGCCTCGCGTCAATCACATAATGAAGATACGGCGCGTCAGCTTCGAGGAAGCTCTCTGTAAGCATGTGGGTTCTCCCATTGGCTTGTGGAAGAAGTGAGACACCGAGGAGAAGATTGGGTAGAAGAATAGGTTCTCCAAATAGGCAATCCACGTGTGGTGTTCGTTATGTCGAGCTTTCTTTCCACTGGCTTTGTGAATCGTAAGCACCCGAGTGATATTGCATGTTGTTCTTCTTCGATTATGAAGCAGTATTTGAGAGTCAAAGTGGCCCCAAGCGTGCACTGGTCTACCGATCTTTGTAGCAATGTCGTCCGTCAGTGCCAACCTGAGTATTAGGTGGAACCGAAGTTAGAGGGTAGTGATTTGTATGCTTGATCCCCCTCAAACCGAACCAATTGTTTCTGTGACGTTGGCTGACTCGCAGCCGTCACGACTAACATGAAGCAAGACGGGGCAATGACTGTCGACTGGATGGGTGTGCATGTTGGATGATGACTGATTGACAGTCTTGAAGAGGGGCTTCCCTCTTCTGGAGATGGCGACCGGGAACTATTACCACGTTCTATGTAAGACTTGCCCCATTGCGAACACTGTTGTCACGGTAGTCGTGTAGAAGGCGGCGCTAAACCTCATCAGACAGAAGGCCTTTGTGCCGTGGTGGAGCTTTTAAAACAGTGTATGCTTTTGGTAGCAGGCGAAACAAAGTCGACCGTGGTGTGATGATGGGTCACATGGCACACCTCAAATAGGTGCTCTGCAACAACACAGCATTCTGAAGCCGTGTGCTTTATGTCTAGCGACGCCTGTAGTGGTATGTCGTCTGTGTCCTGGTTGGACGTTTTTGGCGATATGGGGTATATCGGTAGGGTACCGATGCATATTGTGGATCCGTGGATTGGTGCTGAATAGTTCCAGTTGCTAAGAGAGACCTGTTCTGCACACACACACGCGCACGCGCGCGCGCGAAAACACTTGGGTTACTCAACATTCTTAGCAGCTGCAGCGTTGAGGGGTGAGATGAATTGAGGTAGCAGTTGCAGCTGTCCGGACGAAGTTGGAAGCCAGGTTGAAATGGTTCCCTCCTTTGGACTTGAGGAGAGGGCATGAATATGAGTACGAGTTCAAGGTCTTCGAAATGCAATGCATCAAGTGTCTTCCCTTCCCACAGGCTTATTTCTGTATTGGTGGGTACCTACATGTCTCGTCGATGCGTTAGGTCTTGAGTGACAGTAGAACACACAGGGCCTCGCTTCGTGTGGAGGATGAAGCACTCAACTGCAGCATGGTGACACCCGGCGAGCTACCGGGACCAGGGCTGGACGTGCAGCCTCAAAATATTATGAGGCACCCAATGGTCTCGGTGCAAAGACATCCTCTAGAAGCTATCACGATTTGCAAGGAATGATTGGTGTAGGAAAGAAAGCTGGCAACGCATGTTGTAAGCGGGGAAACAGGGAATGATTGCAAGCGGTCGTAGTGTCCGGGAGAAGGCGAAGAGAAAAAGAGAAAGCCATTTGATGTCATGGTCCATAGCACGAGTCCACAAGCTTCGCATCATGCCATGTCAAAATCCCGCGCAAATCAGTTCGCGTACCTGAAGATACGAGGAGGAAGTGTTGGGTTCGCCCGGTGGGATGTAGTGGAAGGGTAGGGAACAAATAGTGGTCAGCCCCCAGCTAAAACAGCTAAAACAGCTCCCCGGCTGCACCAACCCACGCCGCCAGTGTTGAACATCCCACGTTCAGGGTGGGATGTTCATTTCCTCCCGTGAAAGATGAATATTTATCGACTCAATGAGACATATAGAATCAAGGATCAGGAATCGGTGTTTTTCTCTCTCTGTGCGAGTTTCTCAAAAGCACCTTGAGGCTGTCCAACTCAGCTTACGCTTCGGTTTGACGCAAAAGGGGAGTAAGGCGTCGACAAGCATGCAGCATTCTGGGCATATGAGGGATAAAACAAGCAGCAGAAAGTGTCCAAGTGACCATCCCGCATGAAGTTGGGCTCGTAAAACCCTTGCACCGACCTGCGTCAGAAGAAGCATCAAGTGGCATCGCCTTCGTTGTGCCCCTCCAGGAACATCAACAAATTGGACGTCATGGGCCTTGTCCATTAAGGCCCTTTTAGGCGTATCATTGTCACTGAAACTACTACTCATCCAGTAGCTCAGAACCATCCCTCTCCACGTCGCTGATGCGCTTCTTACTGCTCCAGACTGAGGCCGAGTACTCACTTATACGCTGTCAATCTACCTGCCTACGGTACCTTACCTTGCCTTATTCACAAAAGACCGCGTCCTCTGCCTCGAATCACCGTCGCTCCCCTTGTTCCATGGCTGGTCAGCCGATGCGAGCGTCATTCCTCTGCAAATCGCATCTCTCTCGCCTATGTACCCGGAAAGGCACATGCCTCACTCCGAGTTCAACAGGTCTTCGTCTTCGTCCTCGTCCTCGTCCTTGTGAAAGATCCTTCGATTTCTGCAACGCACCTGCCCTCGTGGCCGTGTGGTACCTCTCTCCACCTTGAAATTCTCACAAAAGAAAGTCCTCTCCTGCCAGACTCCTTTGGCAACTATCGTCCTCCCTCTCTCTCTCTCTCTCTTTTTCTATATTTTCTGTCATTGCTGAGCTTCCTCCTGTTACAAGAGTGCACGCCAATTCAACATGAACAACGATCTGTATATCCTTCCTAATGCAACCGAGCCTCAGGTCCTCCACTCCTCTCTGCCTCTGCATCCCATTCTGGTCGTTGCTGCCCTCGCCATCTCGTTGGTGAGCTTTGCACTGTGGTGTGTCCAAGATTATCGCTTGTACAAGTCACTGGGACCAGGAGGGCCACCATACAATGTGTACGGCTGGGTCCTGACCTCCTTCATCGTTCGTCCTTATACACTCTCAGCACATGACACGACATGGACAGGTGACTATCCTGAGAATGCTGCCCACAAAGAGATTCTGGCACTTCCAAATCGAAAAGGATCTCGCCCACTGATCCTGGGCATTGCTCCTCAACGACAATTCAGCCAGAACCCGGGACCGTCGATGAATGCGGTGAGTTTGGTCAGCATGTGAACTCGAAAGGAGCTCATCCCCTTGATATTGTCTTGTGAGGTTTGTGGCTAATGACTGTAAGCGTGTGACATCTCTTTTTACCTCACTTGTTTTGAGAAATCCTAGGTCACTGCAGCAAAACCTTTCCAGCCTTGAAAAGCACAACATTGCTCTTTTTGTACATCCAAGTCTCCTAGCCAAACCTCAAAACCTTCCCGAGGTTGCCACCGTCTCCCGAGGAGAACTTGGTCATATCCACGGCGACGCATCCATGCATCTGTATTTCTCACCTGCAGATGCCAAAGAGATCATTGAGAAGGGCTGGGCCGAACGACACCGTTGTGCAAGAACAGCTCCATGGTGGTTAGGTGGCAGGAAATACAGTTGGAAGATCGGAGACACGTTTCTGATAGTGTATGCTCCAAGAAATGAGGAAGAGTTGGAAATTCTGCAGACTTTGCTCAGAGCCAGTGCTAGATTTATGACCGGAGAAGAGACGGTGGTGGCGCCATTGAAGGATGACCAAGAGATGGAGCATGAACATGATCATTGCCGAAGGAAAAGTGCTCCCGCAGCCTGACGATGCTCTTTCTGGACGCCATGATATCTGTCAGACTGGCAAGTCAACAATGTCGATTCACGATGGCATTCTCAAAGCATATGGCTCCTGGAGTGTTGGGGATGTCATTGTTATCATGGACCGTGGTATGGGAAGAGAGATGGAAATCAACTTGTCAACTACAACGACCATCATGTTTTAGAACGTTCACTGTGCGGAGTCCGGACGGATTGAACACTCATGAAGAATTCTAGGAGATGAAAGAAAATAGCAATCAATCGTCTGGTTAAAAGCTCGCACTGGACGAAATATGTACCTATATGTAATCTGTGCTCCGTACTAGGCTTGCTCTCGTACTAACGAGCGCAGCCGAGAATAAGCGCAAAATACTGACCCGTCAATGCCGCCGATCGGGCAGAATGGCGCATTTCATATCCCATACACCTTATTTGTCTCTGCTCATCATATTTCTAACCACCACCATCCTGTCCCTCAATCATCCACAAAAGGCCGACAGCATGGCCACAGTCGTCCCGCGTCATCGTTGTCTCAACGGACAACCTTGGTCCTCACCTTTCAAAGTCTTTTTGCTCCAGGGCACCACCAATCCAACCGCATCAGCCCCTCGTCGGACATTTGCCACCACGACCGACGATGTCCCAACAACAAAGCCACGGGTGCGAGCCACTACATTCGCAGACAAACTCAACGCCGGTCCTTCATTTTCAGATTTTGTGTCTGGCAGAGACGAGCCTTTAGATCCGTCCGAAGCCTATGCCCTCAAGACCGCGCTGGTAGGGCCGGAAGGCAAGAAGAAACAAATTACCCGGTTGCCTTCGTGGCTCAAGACCTCGATTCCCGACAGCGCAAATTATAAAAAGATCAAGAATGACCTTCGAGGTCTCAATCTGCACACTGTCTGCGAGGAAGCCCGGTGTCCCAACATCTCCGAATGCTGGGGCGGAAGCAGCAAGTCCGCCGCAACGGCGACGATCATGCTGATGGGCGACACCTGCACACGAGGTTGTCGCTTTTGCAGCGTGAAGACATCCAAGACACCCCCACCGTTGGATCCGCACGAGCCCGAACATACCGCTGAGGCATTGTCACGTTGGGGACTGGGTTACGTGGTTATGACGGTCGTGGACCGAGATGATCTGCCGGACGGCGGTGCGCACCATCTCGCCGAGACAATTCGAAAAGTCAAGGCAAAAGCACCGTCTATATTGGTGGAATGCTTGACAGGAGATTACCAAGGCGACCTGGAAATGGTCAAGCTGGTCGCTACGTCTGGTCTGGACGTTTATGCGCACAACGTGGAAACCACCGAGGCACTCACCTCACAGGTTCGAGATCGTCGTGCAAACTTCAGACAATCCCTGAGCGTCCTTCAAGCCGCCAAAAAGGCCAAGCCGGATTTGATCACAAAGACGTCCATGATGCTCGGACTGGGGGAGACGGAGGAGGACGTGTGGGCTGCGCTGCGAGATCTGCGCGCTAATAGCGTTGATGTGGTCACCTTTGGCCAGTACATGCGGCCGACAAAGAGACACATGGCCGTACACGAGTATGTCACTCCAGACGTGTTTGAGCAATGGAGAGTCAGGGCGCTTGAGATGGGCTTCCTCTACGTCGCAAGTGGTCCATTAGTTCGAAGCAGCTACAAGGCTGGTGAGGCCTTTATCGAAAACGTCTTGAAGAAGAGGCGAGCTGGTCGAGCAGAGACCGCGACGGCAGATATCGCGGGCGATATACCCGTGAACAGTATCGAGCTGGGCAAGGCTTGATTTTAACCAGCTGTTGACCGTTTTATGTTGGATTCGGCGTTTGGCTATTGCCCTGGATGTACGAAATGGCTCGTGTATAGCAGTTCTCCTTCATCGGTGGAAGATAAGAGATCAGAATGAAATATTTTCATCGTCATTGTCAACCAATGGCTAGACTAGATTGACCTTTTCCAGCAACTTAGAAGACCTGAGTGTTTATCTCCTGCAATATCACTAGATAACCTGTAACGCCACACGCCATGCTCATATGTACCAGCCCACGATTGGGCTCGTCCGGTTTGTTCACGTCTCGTCCTGTCAACCACAGCTCCCGCACTCGGGTGCCCTGACGTCGTCTATTCCGCCGAATCTTCTACCTGCACCACCTCCGCCGAATCCTGAGCCTGATCCTGAGCCTGATCCGCTGCCACTGCTACCACTACCGCCAGGACCGGCCCCCGTACGATTGACTCCTCCCCACCGCGTCCGTTCCTGGTACGCATTCGGGCGCCCGCGGGTGTTGAACTGCGAATTCTGCGCCGCCGTGTACGGATCTAGACTGAAGAGGGAGACAAAGTATAAACCTAAAAAGTTGTAGATGTCGTCGCCCACTCGGGAGATGCGGGCGGTGATGGGAGGTCTGTTTATTGAGAGGAGAGTGAGTAAGTCGGTTTGTCTTGGGCCGGATGGGAATGGGAAAAGTTCTGAGACGTTGGGAAGGGGATCGGTTTCGAAACATGGCCAGATTGATTGTCAATCAATAGGCAGAAAGAAAATGGATACGTACGTTTCGAGAACATGTCCTGACGAAGAGACGTAACTGGAAGATGAGGAGGATGAGGTTGGTTTGTTGATTGAGGTGGCTTTGGTTTTATCTGCCATCGTGGACAATGGTGAAGGATATCTTTGTTGGAGTCAAGATGAGGAGTGGAGAGTTTGTCGAGAATTATAAACAAATGCGAACAGTATGTATTGATTGAGGATATGGAAAGAGACGTGAAGTCGTTGGATGGTTCGGGGTGGAATGCGAGGGGTGATTGACGACAGCCGCAGTTTTAGTGGCAGCCTTGTTCAGCCTTGTCGGCAGGTCGTGTCGTTAGTTACACACGGGGCTTCTCCTAGGCAGTTCAGCGGACGATTTGCCTTGTCTACGAAGTAACCCATGCGGAGTACAAGCATCTGTTTCGATACAGCACCGCTTTACCTCTGCTTACCGTCTTGTTATCACATACATCCCCCACTAACAATACGCGGGGATTCGACACCCATCCTCGATGACACCCTCATATTCGCTTGCGAGGTGGCACTGGCCCCCAAATGTCTTGTGAACCAGGCGCCAGTTGCACTCAGTTGCCAGGCCTGGTTATGACTTGTCAGCCTCAAGGGATAAGATGTTGCCTTGTGATGCCTATCGCCAAAAGAAATGAACTGAAACTTGATGAGCGTCCTACGAGCCTTATCGAGAGAAATGGTCACATTTCTTCTTTTTCAGTTGACGCAGCCACAAGGCAATTTCGGGGTAGTGACCACCACCGAGGGTGCATCCCAAAATATTTACATTTGGGGTGCGATGAACAACGAGAAACTAGAGCACATATCTGTCCTCTGCTGTAATGAGTTCATACAGCAAGTGATGGTCGATGCTGTGTTCAATCTCGCCGACTTGTCCATCAATGCAGGGACGTATCCGCCGGTGGTCGATGAAAGCAGTGCCCAATTCTTCTCTGAAGCACCCTTCATGCTTTCCAGACTGCCTGGTGGAAGTCTACCGCTACCAGTTGCTCCCATGAGCTCCCAGAATCATGGCTACACCAATTACCATGATGACAGGGGCGACTTTTTCACCATCATGGCTGGGTCGAAAACTCCATTCCTCAACCCTCCGCCAATCTCAACTTGGGACGATCCTGCAAATGACGCTGGGGTTATTGATGGAATCAAGCATTTGACAGGCATTATTCGTGCACAACAGTATAACTATGTAGCACCACTAGCTTCAATACCTGAAAATGTGACACGGCGCAGCTACAATGGCACAGCCATTGATCCATATGGTACAAGAATTGTTCAGAGCAGCGTCTCTACCAGATTTTAACAGTCGTTTCTGGGTGCCATGGTACTCTGCATATTGGCGACTGCATTCCCTGTGGACACAAAAGAAGTCTTGCAAACTAACCCATGCGACATTGCAGGCATGGCCGCTCTGCTGGCTGATTCGGAATTGCTTGTTAACGAAGATGATGACGAGAAGGGAAGAGTGGCTGCAATGCCGGTGGATGCTCAAGACATGACTGGGCATCAACTGATGCGGTGGTGGGATGATCGAGGTTTTCGCTTCCGACTCGGTGGGTTCGATGATAAAGGATACGAGGAGGGCAGCCTGGTCGATTTGAAGTCACCACACTCGGCAGGAACAGCTGTAGAAAGCGGGAGTCCCGGACAGGTTACGACTAAGGTGGCGATAAGGAAATACAGATTGGGAATTGTACAAGGTCAAGACGAGGAGTCCAGGATTTGCGCGCCAGTGCCAGCAACGCCACCAGACAGCGAAGGGGGCTCGAGGATAGTACATATTCGAAACGAAGATTCTGAGGAGTATACAACTATATCGAGAACAACATTAGATCTTGGATCAGGTTCGTGTATTGCACACCGTCGAAAAGAAGGGTCTGAGGTACAAGCGACTTTATCGGAAACACAGTCAGATCCACCCATCCAATTCCGAAAACGTGCAACGAAGGCTATGACAATATGAACAACAAAAGGGTACGATAGTACATTGCTATAAACTTGAACTTGAATCAGCTCCCTCACGTGCACACCCTCAGTCACGGCTCCTTTACGGCGTTATGAGCGATCTGTCGATTCTCGGCAGTCGTGGTCTGGACATACTTCTGGATATACTCGGGTATGGGTTCGACCTTGTTTGTTGCGCTTGGTATGGGGCTGTCGAACGTCTCGTACACTGGAACAACCCCGGTCCATACCTTGTCCGTGATGTCGGCCCTGCTCTCATCTTTGGCTTCATCGTGGGGTCCTCCTTGCCGAACTTTGCCACTGCCAGTCTCGATCTTGACTCGCAGAATGGTGGTGGATGTCATTTCGACATTGTCGGGTGGGATCCGAGTGTTTTCCCACCGCCCTTGGACGACCTTGTTCGTGATCTTCTGCATCGCGTACAACTTCTCCTGGTCTGTCTCGACCACTTGGGCATAACCCTGCAAGACAGCGGATCGGTAATTGTAGCTGTGGGAGTTGGGTGTCAATGAGAGTACCAAGCCGTCCACTTTCGTCGCCGCAATGCACACTGGTATGCTCTTTGAGGAACCTCGTGCTAAGCGCATGATTCTTGAGCTGACATAGCCGTGCAAGTAACAGTCCAGTGGCTCATTCAGGTCCGCGGACGGATATTCGAATGAACCCATGACTCCGATCATTGGCAGAATCGCGGGAAACGGATCCTCTGGGCTGGGTGTGAATGAGACATGGAGGACTGGTGTAGAATTGATGATTTGGTGGATTGTATGCAAATCATATGTGCCTTTTGTGGGTTTTAACCAAGTCAATTTGTGCCCTTGAAGATTTTTTTTCTGAAAGGAGCGACTAGGACGATGGTGGTGACAAGTACTCACCTCTACTGTCATAGCGATTGACTGTATTCTGCTTCTTTTTCGGGTAAACGAGATTCTGGACCATGATTGAATATGTGAGGTGTAGTTTGTTCTTTTTGGCCTACCACACTACGACATAGACTTGGAATACGTTCCTAGAGGTATTGGACATCGATTGAGGCACGAGGTTAGTATTTAACCATCATTATGACTCCCACCAATGTCTGTGTTGCCGTTACAAAGTCAATGGATGGATGGACAGTGGACAATTCCGCACAAGGAAACTCGATGCGATGCGGAATATTGAAGATTTGGAGATGAGCGTCTGGTGTCTTTCTTCGGTCTCGATCTTCAATCGAACTTCTCTAACAACGAACGAGTACTCGCGATTCTTTGTCCGTCCGTCGTAGAGCATGTCGATGCGGAGGACATTATGGAAGAGCCTGCATTGTACCAATAATGTCCTCAACCTTTCCCAACCCATCCAAAGACTCCCTCGAACCTCCCTCCGCAGCTACAACAGTGTCAGTGGCATTGTGAATGCGGCAGACCTCTCCTTCGGCCAACCTGTCCACGAGACGCATCCTCACATCCTACAGCCGGGAGAACTGACTCCAGGCATATCAGCCCAAGAATATGCCGACCGACGTACCAAATTGGCGGCGAAGTTGCCCGACAATGCCATCGCAATAGTCGCCGCGTCCGACATCCATTTCCGCTCCGGCAGCGTCTTCTACGAGTTCCACCAAGACCCGGATTTTTTCTATCTGACCGGGTTCAATGAACCAGAGGCTCTTGCCGTGATCGGAAAGGACTCTACCGGAACGGACCACACGTTCCATCTGTACGTGCGAGAGAAAGATGCCAAGGCAGAGATTTGGGATGGCGCAAGATCAGGCACGCAGGCTGCGAGGGACGTTTTCAACGCGGACGAGACTGGGGATATAAGCCGGGTAAAGACGATTCTACCGGAGCTCGTCGGCTCTGCGACGTCCGGGGTGTACACGGACATCATGACGCCGGACTCATCGACAACTACTCAGTCCGCGTTGCGTCGATTCCTCCACGGCAAACCTCGAAGAACCACGGAGTTTGCGGATCTCTTGCAGTCGCAGTCGAGCAAGATCAACCGCCTCCGACCCATCATGAATGACCTACGAGCCTTCAAGAGTCCCGCCGAGATTGAAGTCATGAGGAGAGCAGGGAAGGCGTCCGGTCGAGCACACACCGAGGCGATGCGCAAGGCGTGGACACGGGAGAAGCAACTCGACGCGTACTTGAGGTACCAATTTGTCATGCAGGGGTGCGACACCAGTGCGTTCGAACCCGTCGTGGCGGGCGGCAAGAACGCGCTGAGTATACATTACGTCCGCAACGACGACGTCCTCCAGGACGACGAGATGGTGTTGGTCGACGGAGGCGGCAAGTACGGGGGTTACATCGCCGACATCACGCGCACGTGGCCCGTAAACGGAAAATTCAGTGACGCCCAGAGAGATCTGTACCAGGCCGTGTTGAACGTTCAGCGTTCGCTGATTTCCTTGTGTCGGGGTAGCTCGAACATGTCGCTGGACAAGCTCCACAGCATCGCCGAGGATTCCCTGTCGAATGAACTGAGGCAGATTGGGTTCGACATGTCTTCTTCATCAAAGACGGCAATTGAGAAGCTCTTCCCACATCATCTGAGCCACTACATCGGCATGGACGTGCATGATACGGTCGGGTACACTAGAAAGACTGTCTTGCAAGAGGGACATTGTATTACTATCGAACCTGGGATTTATGTCCCCGACGACGAACGATGGCCGAAGCATTTCAGAAACATGGGCGTGAGGATCGAGGACAGCGTTTGTGTGCAAGAGGACAGTCCTTTTGTTCTCACCACCGAGGCTGTCAAGGAAGTTGTTGATATTGAGGCACTGAGAGATTGAGATTGAGATTGAGATTGAGATCGATCATCTTTTGGTTCACAGTTTTAATGTACTCGGTAAGGAGTACCTGTGACAGGCAAGGTGTGAGATTGTAAGAGTAAAGGAAAGATGACTGATAGCATAATCATTCAGATCCATTGTAAATTTTTCCAATGGTTGCCTCTGAGGCATTTGACTCTTCCAGACTGTTTCTGCTTATATTTGGTGGATGTCTAGATAGCATAATCTGTAGTTATTCTGTTCTCTAATCGAAGTTGAACGGAGAGACGGAAAAGAGCTAATTTATTAGTATTCGAGAAAGATGAAGAAAAATGATCTCATCAAATTGACACCAAAGAATCCACGATTTCGACTTCAATGTCTTCCTTTTCTTATTGCATGAAACATTCTCAATTCTTCGCGCAGGTTATCTTAGAGCTTTAGAGTGTACCTGCTCGTACTCGTATTCGAAGGGGACTTCTCCGTCGGTCTTTTTACGGACGTTTTGTATCAGCTTTGACCACCATCACCACCACCCACGGATCGCAGATATTGAACATTCCAAACCCAGCCAAAGAAGAAGAAGCGACCCTACAGTAACATCACCAGGTTTACTGACACCATCAATCTTGTGATTGTTTCTCTTCTTACCGGGACCAAAAAAATCAATAAAAAAAACAAAAGATACGAAAAAATGGCTATCGAGGTCGTTTCAGAAGACCAAACGCCGACCGAGACAAGCCCTCTACTAGGCGGTCACCAAAATGGTCAAACCGTCCAACCGATAAACGCCCAACCGGGGTCGTCAAATTCTTCTGAGAATGTTGCAAACGGAAACGGCGGTTCGAGCGATTCGAGCGACGTCGAAAACATAACAGCTCTAGCGGAAGAACCTAGCACCAAAAAGCTCGTGGCAATCATGGCGGCGATATGGACTGGTGTGTTCTTTGCTGCTTTGGGTATGTTTGTCGTACGCGTCTTCTTATCTGGGCTTCCCTTACCTGACACCACCCTCCCCTACCTACCGTACCTCGTCGCACAATCCTTGCCCTTCCTACTTGGTCATACTCCCTGAATACTAAAACCTCTTTTTTCTCAAGATACCACAATCGTTGCAACCCTGACGGCGCCCATATCTTCATCCTTTGACTCCCTAAGCCTCCTGTCGTGGTTGGCGTCTGGCTACCTGATTGCCAATTCTGCATGTCAGCCCCTCTCGGGGAAACTGACAGACATCTTCTCCCGACGATATGGCCTTGTGTTTTCAAACGTCTTCTTCGCGGCGGGTACTCTGATCTGTGGCCTTGCCCCTAATGCTCAAACAATAATCGCTGGAAGGGTCATTGCTGGTGTAAGTTTCCTATCTTTTCATTGTGGATGTCAAGCAATATTTTCCACGGTCCCAAGCTATGGGTAGTGTTATACTGGCTTGACGGATCCCTGCGTTTGCAGGGATCATGCGGGTTCTTCTTGATTGCCAGCCTGATGCTTGGGATGCCCAAATAACTCCCAGAACCCGTAATGGGTGTACATTTTTAGCCCTGCTGCCCTTCCTTACTTCCTTAGAATTCCTCCGAGGCGCCCTAAACCCCCCAGAAACTCCTTCCCTGGTTGGCTCTTCCCAGTGCCAGCACCAGCACACCTTACCCTTTCCATCCTTCCGAGCACATACTCACACACACGATACAATCATTCTACCCATACCCAAAGCTCCCCTTCAGACAGGATCTGCACCATGTTTTATGAGCCCACACTAAAACTCTACCTGATTGTTAACAGATCGGAGGAGGCGGTCTCTCCTGCATCACTACCTTTGTCACATCCGACCTGATTCCCCTCCGCCGCCGCGGTCTCTGGCAAGGTTATGGCAACCTCATCTTCGGTCTGGGAATGGGCACAGGGGGTGTCTTCGGTGGATTGTTGGCTGATCGCCTCTCGTGGCGCTGGGCTTTTCTGATCCAAGTCCCATTCATCTTCGTCTCGACCGTCATGGTCTGGTTCCTGGTCGACATCCCTGTCAATGCGAGCGCGAAACCACCACTGAGTCGAATCGACTTTCTCGGCTCTTCTCTCCTCGTCACGTCGCTTGTCCTGCTCCTCCTGGGTCTAAACACTGGGGGCAACCAACGAGCCTGGTCTCACCCTTTGATCATCACGAGTCTCGTCCTCGCATTTGTGACGTTTACATTGTTTCTTTTCATCGAGTCATCCTCACCGAATCTAGTTCCCGAACCCATCATTCCCGTCTCGCTCATCGTGCGCACCCGCACCGTCCTCGCGTCCTGCCTCGTCAACTGGTTTGGCACCATGGCCGCCTTTCTTGCCCTCTACTACGTGCCTCTGTACCTCCAGGTGCGGGGCCTGAGCGCCACCCAGGCTGGGCTCAGAGTCATCCCTTTTGCGGTGAGCACGTCCCTGGGCAGCCTGGGATCAGGGTACGTGATGCGCGTGACGGGTCGTTACTACTGGTCCATGGTATGCTCGATGGCCGTCTTCGTGCTGGGCTCCGCCTTGCTGTGCACCTTCCGCCTCGACACCCCAAGCTGGCCGACCTACGTCTACGTCACGCCTTTAGGTTTGGGCTATGGGGCCATGCTGACCATCACGCTGGTCGCCATGATCAGTTCCGTCGATCACGAGCACCAAGCTGTCATTACTGCGGCGAGCTACGCCTTTCGTTCTACGGGCTCGACCATCGGTATCACCATCGCCGGCGCCGTCTTTCAGAATATTCTCACTCAAGAGCTCTACGCAAAGTACGGCGGCACGCCAGGGAGTGACGACCAAATCCGCAGGATCAGGGATAGTCTGGATGGACTGAAGCACCTCCCCGTTGGCTGGGATGTGGACGTCGTTTATGCCATCTACATGCACGCGCTGAGGGGTGCCTTCGTGGCTGGCCTTGGGTTGGCTGTGTTGGCCATTGTATCCGGACTAGGCATGAAGGAGCACGTCTTGCACAAAAATCTGGCCCGGAAATAGGTTGCAGAACAGAGAAATCTGGCAAAAGGCCAAAACGAGAACAAGAAATCGAAAGCAAAACAAGAAACTCAATCGGAGAGCAACTCGAAGGGTGACTGTAGAATATGAGATTGACAAACGTCAATCGAGCCGAGAAGGTTCCACTGTCACACATCAACCTGCAGCCCACCAAATGCATGCTAATCTTCCAACGATCGGCAACAATGACTTTCTTCATCTGTTCATGGGGGAAAAGGAAGAAAACGAGGGAGAAGCATCCTTCGCTTCCTAGGGTGGGTTGTTGTCACTCTGTCTTGCCTATGATCAGCCAATGTTTTTACTCTGTACGGCCTGCACGGAGGGTTAACTGGTCTCGACCAGCCTACAAAATCAAGCAGTGGGCCTCTTTTGCGGGCCCAAATATGCATGCATGCATGTTCATGCTTCTGTTTCCTGCTCTTTCGGCTGCTTCTCCTCGTCGCCACACACACGTCAAATGCTAGACCACGCAGATGGCTCAAAGAGGTATGAATTCGCCACCTCAGACCGTATCGATGAAAGCTACACGTCAAACATCCCTGGCCATATGAAAACAAAGATGGAATTTGACTGGTCAGTTCGTTCCCTAGTTGCATAATGAAAGAAGCAAGGAGAATGGATTAAATCATTTGAAGAGGGTCGGTTTCACTTACGTGCTGCTTTTCCCTTTTACTCTGTATGTACGGAGCACCGAGGGAGTATGCTGCTGCAGGAAATAAGCCTCATCAATATAACAATTCGATCCACGTATCCTGCTCAGGCGGCCGATTGCAGACCATTGAATGCTTTGTGGAGGAGCTCAATTATGCAGAAACGAGAGAAGAACTTCATACTAGCCCCCGCTGGTCACGGTGACGAGAGTCCTTTTTGCACCTGGGCCACCTTCTTCCCAGGGCAGCCGAGACCTAACACTACTGCATACTGGCGATATTTTTGTCACCGATGTTGACCTTGCAGAGGGCTCGTACGAAGCAAAACGCTGGAGCAGTTTCTGAAAGCACTTTTCTACAGTATGAAGGAAAGTACTCTACGACAAAAAACAACAAAAGCAAAAAGAGGTGCCAGTTACCATTCACCATTATGCTCATCATGTACGGTGTGAAAAACTTACATACAGAGTACTTGAAACGAAGTAGAGGGACGGGATGGTTGGCTGGCTGGCTGGCTCGCGTTACCAATGGACTAGAGAAGTACAGTTAATTTTCAAATGTGGAGGACTTGAGCGTGATCCCGGTGACCCATGATACCTGCGAAGCTGGATACGGCCATGGGGTGGTTTAACCGCTACGGCTAACCCGTGGAACGGCCCGTTGTGAGCCATGCATGCATATTGGTGTGTGGTGAGCTGGCACACACACACTTGGACCGTTCCTTTGTCCTTCTAGGGCGTGAGGCTGGGCCTGCTTTGCGACAAGGATCTTCCATGATCTTTCTGGAGTGGACACCGCATGTAGGCTGACTTTCCTCGTCACTCGGACCCACCGTGATGGTTTGTCTTCTACGAGTACCTGTACCCGAAGAAAACTGCTTCGACATAGTGAAGCGGGCTCATGCCTACCGGAGTTCTGGTGGAGTCGAAGCCCCTGTCGAAAGATTCTCCACTGTGGCGTGGGTCTTTCTTCGAAACCAAGTCCTTTGGAACGCAGAAACAAAAAGCCAGCCTCAGTGACAGCCGCGGTCACACGGAGTACCACGGAGAAGCAAGCAAAGAGACATCCCCCAGCACGCGGTTTCGATCCTCGCCATCGCTAAATGACCCTGCACGAACAAAACAATCAGACTCATTAGAAGCGAATTAGACTCTAAATTGATTGGTGGCCATGCATGTTTATCCATCATCTCCCTTGCAGGGGGATCATGAAAACGGACCAGGGTGTAACCGGACCAAACCAACCTTGTTGTAGTCAGAAACGCAAAGGACCACGCTAAGTTGTCAATAAACATGGATGAAGGCCACGAGCGAAGGCGATCCTGAGCCCCAGAGGGAGTGTGTGTCGTCATTTGCATGTTGTTATACGGAGTACTTCGAACAATACTCAAGTCCGTTGGCTTTCATTCAAGAGCAGCAATTAGTCCCGACCCTAAGGCTTGCATGACCAGCTTCAGGTCGGCCGAAGGTCACAGGTCATCGTGTCAATGTCCCGAGTCACGACAAAATTGGTGTGCTGGCTTTCATCTGCGGCAGGGATCGTGGCATGGGTGTACGAGCAGTCGTCGCGCTGGCCCTTTGCCTTTCACCTGTGGGCCAGAGGTGATGTCTGATAGGGGGGTGTAGTTGTACATGCTGACAGCGAGTTAAGAATCAATACCATTCAGCCAGGTGTGTATGCATATCTCTTTTACATGTGTGACAGACAACATGGTCGGCTGCTGCAGTCTCCTTCTTCGTACCTCCGTGATAGTTGGCAGTTTTTGGCGAGGGGGGGGGTTGGTTGCTCGGCCGGTAAAAGAGGAAAAAGAAAAGTGGAAGTGAAGTGAGTGCATTATGCAGTGGTCAACTGATCCGTTGTCAAACAGTACCCGCACTCCGGATTTGTTGTTTGTTTTGGCTGGGACGCCACTGGAAGGGTAGGCCAGCGCGGTGACCTCCCTTGTTGATGTTGTTGTTGTTGTTGTTGCTTTGCAACAAATATCGACCGAGGGGTGACCCGGGGGGGGGGAGGGTCTCGACATAACGACCCACGGTCACTGGTCAAAGAAAAGGTCAAAGTCGGGGGCTACGCGACTGTTTGACCCCGTACTTGCTACGCCGTCCGGAAAATGGAAGAAGAATCACCCCCAAAACATAAAATCAAGATCGCCCATGATGACGGGAACCCATGGGAAAGGTCTTGACAGTTTGGTGTGGTGGGCACTCTTTTGGGTGTGTGTGTGTGTGTGTGTGTGTTTGTACTGTACTGTACTGTATGTACATGCTTCACAAATAATCAGGACCTAGGTATCGGCTATACGAGACACCGGTCGGAACTCAGCCTGACAAGTCCACAAAATGAGGCCCGAATGAACCTTTTATTTTCTCGGATGATGATGATGACAGGGAGCTCCACTAGAGCCCCCTTCCCGCAAAGAAGGTTCGTTGCTCGCTGAAAGTTCCGTGATCGTGGTCGTCGATGTGTTGTCATTTCTATTCCAGCAAGTTCCCTTCCCTCCCCCCCTTCCCAAACATGGCTCCGGTCCCCCCCTTTCCCCCGTCCCACCTCCCCTCCATCTCCAGGTGTTTTCATTGAGTTTGCTTTTTCCTTTGTTCTGTCAACTCGATCAAGGGAAGACATGCTTTACGGAGTAGATGTTTATATCTAATTTTGGGCGGGAACGGGGAGCGGGCAGCATCTTATCCTAGCCATGTGACCAGATGTTGGTGTATTTCTTTTTTACCTTTTTTTTTTGTGTCGCCCAAGAATATCTTTAAGTTCTGGACGGGGTCAAGCAGCAGACTCGAGATTGCTCAGCACTAACTCGTTAGAAAAAACTTGTCACCCTTGCTGTGTGTATGTGTGTGTGAAACAAAGGGGGAGCCTCTTTCTCAGAGGCTTGCAGGGTACTTTCTTTGAGACTTCTTCTTGGGGGCAAAAGCAAATGCAATGTTGGTTCTTCGCTTAGCGTCATCATGTGCTTTTCAAGCGTCGAAAGTGATTGTGTGTGTGTGTGTGTGTGTGTGTGAATGTGTAATAGTAGTAACCTGCATCTCCGGCCCTTTACTTCATCCCTGCGGGGTCTCGCAGATGTCTCTACGACTCACACTCCGCCACAACTTTGCGAAAAGCGACCTGCATGCATTCCTGCCTCAAAGACCACCCCCTCCAAAAAGTGCTTCATGCGGTCCTAGTTTGCTGAAATGCAAGCCAAGAACAAAAGTACAGGGGGGTTCAGACGCCGTAGTGTGTCAGAGACCTAAAAACAAAAGATTTAAGCAATAGAACCCGACCTCCGCTCTCTCTCTCTCGCCCAGGGAGGCAAAAGAGCGACCCAAAAAAAGAAGATCATCATCCCCGTTAATTTTTCGCCACTTGAACAACGGATGATGCTCCGAGGATGACCTCTGGGCCCTGCGACATGATGGACCTTCCCGCCCGGGCCCTGGGACGCCAGAAAAGTGGAGTCTTACATGACAACTGGTGATTCTAACTCTGAGCGGAGCAAATGACTACCGGACACGTCTTTTTCGCTGTCGCCGGGTTCCCGATTCAAAAATAAAGAAGGAAGAGAAGTTCAAGAGTGTGTCTGTCTCTGGCGGGGCGGCTCGAGGTGGGAAAAGGGTATAAAGATGGGGTCGTGGCACCAGGTAAGAGATTTGATCTTTCCATCTTTCTCAAAACTACTATTTCAATCTTCAGCCGCTGACCACCAAAGGTAAAACAAGAGTAATTTGTCTCCTGTCTCATTCTGTTCTCAACTCAAGAAAGTTGAGAACCAATCCATCATCCCGCCCAATTCCATACGTTCAAGCGATTGATAAGTTTCCGACCCAAAAAGGTCAACCCTCTTCGTGGCCCAAAGGTGAGTTTCACGTTCAGGCTATTTGCCTGCCTTAGGTACGAGGTCTGGGCCTCGAATAAAACAGCTGACGGTATAGTTACAGTCTTCTATCATCACAATTCACCCTAGCCCAAAAAAAAACAAGGTCAGTGCGCAATGTCTTGACCTGGTTCAAAACAGAAAAAAAAGACAGGTTCTGAGTGTCAGCTCTTTTGGCAGAACGCCATGTGCTACTACGCCAGAACCGATTACTCCTGCGGAGACTGGCGGTGGGGGAACATGAAGCTACGTTGCCAACGACAGCACCGCATGGGCGAGACCTGCGGCGCCAAGCTCGCGGACGAGCAGAACATCGTGTGGGTTTCGGAGCAGTGCCGAACTTGCAAGGACATTGAGGTGAAGCAGAGACGCCTGCAGAGGGAGCTCGACAACATTGCCAGGTGGCAGCGCGAGGGGGACAGGTTCAGGGCCAGCATCGAAAAGGCTCAGCGCGAGGCGCGGCAGTTGAGGGAGATGATTGATGACTTGCAGGGCAAGAGGGCTTCAATCGTGTTTCAGGTGAGACCCGATGCGCGTCCGCCCACCATGTCCGATGTGCGCCCTCCGCGCGCCGTAGTCTAGTAAAAGGGGAGAAGGGGGGGAGGCGAACATTGTCGCAATCGTCATGGATCATGCATGCATGCATTGGCGTCGGAAAAAGTCTGGCGGTTATACGGGTGCATTTCCGATGGCCTCAGAGCTGGGAAGGAGGTTGGAGGACGGCGTTGCAGGCGTTCCAGGCGTTTCTCTCATTTGTTTTCTTGGTCAGGGTGATTTCATGCGGGAAGGGTGTGATGGAAAACCTTCGTACGCGCCGGAGATGCATAGGCGTCGGTTTTCAAACCGGCTGTGGCTGAGTCTGCATCTCTTTTGCTCATTCAAGATGCAGTGGCCGGAGGTTTGTCGCACAAGGGTGCTCATCGTACTCCGTAGGGACATGATGAATGCCAAGCCAGCAAGAAACCCCTGTCAAGCTGTGACTAGAAGGGAACAAATGCTGCTTTCCGGTGATGAATGACTTCGGATCTTCACCGAAGTTTTGGAAACATACAGGGATCACGTTAAATCTAGCCTTGCGGGTGTAAGCGTGCGCTAGTCTTTAATGGGCCTAGTGATTTTCTGTCACATCGATCGGGGCATCACGTGAGAAGTTTTGTCACGTGAAAAAAAGTCACGTGCTCAAGCTCAGTCAATCAATTCACCACGACAAGGCAATTTGGGTCTCTACAACCAATTGCCTCGAGACAGCCCACTGAATGATCACCAGACGGTATGTACTGTATGTCCCTTTCCTAGAAAGTCGACAAGCCAAAGCACAAGCTTTGTCGAGGGAGCCGAGGTAAAGAGTCCTTCTCTGGTCCCTACATAAACATCTTCCCCGCACTCTGAGCATCACGTCGGCTGCTAGAGACTCCAAAGGACGAAGAGCCGAACAAAGTGTCCACTACGGGTACGATCAACCAGTCTGATGGGAAATCTTTAGGGCATCGCCGCGGAGATCTGGTCGACACTAGCCAAAACGCCGAAACCACACGGTTGTAGAAGCAGACCTTCCGATCCAGACTCTTTCTCAACTCTCAACAAAAGACCACCAAAAGATATCCCATTTGGCTCGAGTTTGATTGTGATAACCCAGTCAGCCCATGCGAGCAAACCAGTGAATGAACTACTGATTCGTCTCGTCAACCACCATGGCTCCCAGCTTCCAAAACCTGACCATCGAATCACCGGCCTCGGCGCCAGGGGTCCACATCATAACGATGAACAAACCACCCGAGAATCGACTGAACATGGCGTACGCTCAGACAATCATAGACGCCCTCCGCTACATCGAACGGGACCTGATGAAGCCCGACTCTCCAGGGGCGGTCGTCATCTCGTCCTTTTCCGACAAGTTCTGGTGCACGGGTCTCGAGCTCGACGAGTCCGACTCCAACATGTTTGCCAACGCGGACGGCTTCTACCCGCTCCTCGCCACTCTCGTCGACTACCCCTACCCGACCGTGGCCTTGATCACCGGTCACACGTTCGGCGGTGCGTGCCCGTTCATGCTGTCGTGCGACTACCGGATCATGAACAGCAAGCGCGGCTTCATCAGCATGCCGCCGGTCAACCTCGGGCTACACTTTGACGGCATCGGCGCCCTGCCTCGGCTGAAGCTCCACCCGCAGATCGCACGCAAGATGCTGCTCGAGGCGCACAAGTGGACGGGGGAGGCCGCACTGAAGGACGGGATCGTCGACGAGATCAGCCCCCCCGAGAAGATGAGACAGAGGGCGGTCGAGTTCGCGAGCAGCATCGCCCCTAGAGCGACCATGGGTGTGTACGGTCTCCTGAGGGCCGAACTGTGGGGCGAAGCCCTCGAGAAGTTCAAGGCCATCAGTTACGTGCACAGAAAGAGGATAGGCACGGCCGCGAAAGCGAAGATTTAGATTTTTTGTTTTTCTTCTTGTGTCATGACGCCACAGGCCTGTCTCCAGGTAGAAGGACAAATTTTTCCAAAAAATACGTATGCAAAAGTCATGTGTCAAGATCCGCTACCATATTCCTTCTACAGCCTCGCCTTGACATTCCCAGACTGCTGTTCGTGACCGGTTGTCGTGCCCAGAGCCAATGCCTCCAGTCTTCTCCTCGCGTTCTCCGCCCCTTCCCCCATGACGATTTCCTCCGTCTTCCAATCCGGGTTGAAGGTCAGTTTGTTCAACGGGTTCTCCTTGTGGGCCTTGTGGTACAACCGGTTGTAAACGTCGCCGTCGTAGCTGCCGAGGGCGCTCTCGAGCAGGTAGTCGGGAACGGACCACGCGTCCACGAGTCGCACGGCGTGCGGCCGTACCTGCGTCATGAGATCCTGTATCGCTGGCGTGACCGTCGCCAACCGGTCGACCGTCAGAGCCTTGCTGAGGAGGAACTCGGAAGCGGACGCGTCGAGGGTGAAGAGCGCGAACAGTTTGAACAGGACCTTCATGACACCGACCGCGGTGGCGTCGAGGGGAGGGTTAGGTGTCGATTCGAACACGGCGGTGTAGAAGTTGGAGACGAGCAGACTCTCCGAGTGTGCTCGGCTCAGCCTGTGAAGCTGGATCATCAAACTCGTCCAAGGCTTCTTCTCGACCACCCTCGCGTGGTACGCCTGGTACGACAGGTACGACGCTCGATGCTTGAAAGCCTTGACGAGTTCTCTCTCGTTACCGAGAATGTCATAGTCGTGTGTTTTGGTCTTGTTGGCCACAAACTCCTTGAATTGGACGTCGACTGTCTCCTTGGGTTTCATGCTGGGACTGTTGGCCACCGCCGTCATTCGTTTGATCAGATATGCAGCCGTCTGTTGAGTGATCATCCAATTGTCGCCTTCCACGGTCGGCTTGGACAGGTATTCGTTGTTGAGGGCGATCATACCACTGCCGCCTCCAAAGCCGTGACCACCCATGGCGCGGCGGCACGTCTCGATGCCATCAGCCGCAAGGGTCGTACACAGAGACTTGAGACCCGACGACGCGGCATGCATCTCCGCCAGTCGAGAGAAATCTCCACTCTTCTCGATCGCCTCCCGAGTACCATAGTACAACTTGTACATGGCTTCGCCGGTGTAGTGTAGGGCGAACGTAGTGGCCAGAAGAGGTAAGATCCGAATTTGCACGGTCGGATAGTTCAACACGGCCTGTTCGGGAGCACCAGTATCCCTGGCATCACGGTCCGCAAATTGTCTCCGTATGGATAGGTAACGAACGGCAATCGTCACGGCTCTGGCTAGAACCAATCGTGCGTGCATGATGATCTGGGCCCGGACAAACGTCAACGAGCCGTACACGACGGCGGGGTTCTCGGGTTTGATGTAGGTACCGTGCTCCGAGTCTACCCCCGAGTACTTGGAAAGCAAAGCCGAATGGGGCACCTTGAGGTGATCGAATAGCATATAGCCGTTGTCCATGCCAGGGTAGCCGTATTTCGGACCGATATCGCCAATCACGATGCCGTCAAGGGGCTTGTTGGTTTTCATGTCCCGGATCTGAACGATGAACTGGTGAGGGCCGTATGATCTGTACTGGCCACCGGCTTTGGCGTCTGGCAACAGTAGTTGAGCGACGACAATGGCGTGGTTCGCCGTCCGACCCAATGCACCGTTCCACCATTTGCTCGCGGTGATGGTAGGACTGTGGATGTCGAATTGTTTGGTTTTTGGATCCCATCTGGCTTCGCACTCGATGCCCTTGACGTTGCTGCCGTGGCCGAGTTCGGTCTGTCCGTAGCAACCTATAATCTCCCAATTCTCGACCTTGGGGAGCCAGTAGGCCATTTGTTCGGCGTTGCACTGCTCTCGGATCGAAGTGGCGAACATGGTCGCCTGGAGAGCGTAGGGGGCCATCTCGTCTGTCAAGTAATCTGCCATGATGTAGTCGTCGCGGTCCCAACCGTGCTTGAGGGACAATCTCCTCAGAGTCTTTGCCCGAGCCAGCCCCAGGTGATACCGGTCCGGTCTGGCCATGTTCAACTGGTTCTTCTTGCAGAAGTAAGGAATGGGTTCGAGTATCGACAGGATCCTCTTCTGGCGAGCGAGAAAGTCATTTCTCGACAGCAAATGTTGTGCCAATTGGTCAATGTTGACACTTGAACTGGCTCTCTCTTGGGCCAGGACATCCGGACCCTGAGGGTCGGCAGGTTTCAGTTTATCAGTGAAGTCGGCCATGTTTCCTTCACCCTCGGACATCGAGGTAGTCTTTGTTGATTTCTTTTGGTTTGGTGATGTGAATGTCCCTCAGCCCTGAGCTTGTTCAGAAATGATAGATCAGATATAGTATATGTGAAAAATAGTCAAACCATCATCAACATGACCATCAACTCCCCTCACCATTTACAAAAATCACCGCGGCGTGAAAAGTACCGAGGAATAAAAAGACGTCTCGCTTTGTGCCCGCACTGACCACCACAAATCACCGTGATTCGTTGCTATGGACGGCGTCAGTCAATTCGGAGAAATCGACTTACGAAACTTCCTATATCGGACTGAACTGGTTCCTCAAACCGAGCCATTATGTACTCATACCAAAGTATGTATTTCCGTTAAACTCGAGAAAAGAATTCGTACTACTATGTGAGTGAGGTGACGAAACCATGCCTCACACCACCGCCACCTTCGACAGAAGAGATCTGGTACCAAGCCATGACGGAGACCACATCCTCCCGGCAGACCCTCTCTTCACCCGCCTGTTGGCCCTGGCTCACCGCCGCAATCCCAGACCTGCCATCCGCGACGTGAATGCCGGGGTGGAACGTACGGCGGCGGAGCTACTCAGCGACGTCCTTAGACTCCGCCGCGTCATACGTGCGAATCTCACACGAAAAACCCTCCAAGACCTCCGTCAGGGGCGACAGGAGGTGTACATCAGCATCGTCGCGCCCGGAGGCTATGAGTTCACCGTGGGAGTCTTGGCGGTGCTGGCACTCGGGGCGGCCGTGAGCCCTTTCAGTAGTGCCCAACCCGTCACCGAGGCCGTCTACTACATCAGCAAGGCGAGGTCGGTGGCCGTACTCGCCTCGACGACCACCGTCTCTCTGGCCGAGGCGGCGTCGCGAGAGATCCAGAGGACGGTGTCGTCGTCTTTTGCCTTCGTGCCGATACGACACATGAACCGCGAACCGCCCGTCGAGCTCGACAAGATCAGAATCTCGTCCGACAGGTTCCTGGATCCCAACTCGGCCGGCGTGGTGATTTTCACTTCCGGGACCACAGGTCCCCCAAAGGGTGCCGTCCTCTCCCGCGCGGCCATGATCGACGGTTCCCTGTCGTTTGCTCAACTCATGGGTCTCGAACCTTCCGACACGCTCCTGCACTTGCTACCCGTCCACCACTCGACGGGCATCTGGGTTTCTTTTTTCCCCTTTTTGCTGACGGGCGCCTGCATCGAGTTCAAGTCTGGCAGTTTCGACGCCGAATGGACGTGGAAGCGTTGGCTGGAAGGAGGGCTCACGCACTTTACGGGAGTGCCGACCATTTACATGCGCATGATGAGGTGGTACCTTGAGAAGTCGTCGTCGTCGTCGTCGAGCGTGGACTCTGGAGAGGGCGGTGAGATGACAAAGTACAAGGCCGCGGCGGCGGCACTCAAGACCTGCCTCTGCGGCACGTCGGCCCTACCGAAACCCATTGCGGATTTTTGGACGACTCTCCGTGACGGTCGACCCATCGTACAGCGTTATGGGTCCACCGAATCCGGGGTCGTGTTCAACATGTCCCCTTACCCGGACGAGACTCGAACAACCCCGGATGGGTCTGTGGGCGAACTCACGGTGGGTGTAGATGCGAAGCTTGCGGACGGAAACGAAGGTGAGATCTTGATCAAATCCCCTCACATGTTCAGCAAGTACATTTACGACTCCGAGGCGACCGCCAAAGCCCACGACGCCCAAGGATACTTCAAGTCTGGAGACGTCGCCCGTCGAGAGGGGAAGTACTACTTCATCGTGGGCCGGGCCTCGGTCGACATCGTCAAGTCCGGAGGTTACAAGATTTCTGCCCTGGACGTGGAGAGGGAACTCATGTCTTTGCCTTATATCGCCGAGGCCATGGTCGTGGGTGTACCCGACGACGAGTTCGGACAGCGGGTAGGTGCGGTCGTGTCTTTGCGCGACGACGACATTGCCCGGGAGTTTTACAATACCCAAAAACGAAGTCCGCAGACCCTGAGCCTCGATCAACTCCGTGACGACGTCCGGAGTCGTCTCGCCGGGTACAAGATGCCGACGTTGTTGAGGGTGATTCAAGGTGAATTGCCAAAAGGTGGGACGGGAAAAGTCATCAAGAAAACCCTGGGTCCGATGTACTTCCCGCCTAATTACATCGAGGACACCGAGGTCCAGGTATGGACAAATACTAAGAGACGTGCTGGACCTACAAAGTTGTAAAAAGCCGCCCCCAACGAAATATTTCAGATTAGAACTGAGGAGATCCTGAGAAACAAGACCAGAAAAATAAGCAGGATATTATAGTTAGACCATAGAATCAGAGATGATAAATTAAGAAATCAATGGGTTTGCATGATTGGTTGAAGGCTTGAAAAAAATAACAAGAATAAAAAAATTCCAATCTCATTCAAAATCTCAAAAGTCTAGTAGTGGGTGGATAGAATTGAAGTCCGCCATAAACCGAACCAAAAAAAGTCTCACCATTTTTTGAATTAATCAACCGAGTATACGTCCTCGAAAGAGTGTCGCTTCAGCGGTCCAAGCACAAACCACAAACCATAACGCAAAATACCCCCACGGAATGAAGGGGAAAAAAAGGAACCCCTCAAGTCCAATCCAAGCTTTGACTGTTTAATGCCAAACCCATCTGTGACGATTGACACCGGGCATATCACAGACCTTCTTGATCTTGGTATGATATTCTGTGGCCGTGACGGTATTCGTTATTGCTTCCCGTGCTTGAGGCGTCACGTAAACCGTCGTGGTCGCGCAGTAACTCGACGTCGTGCTTTCGCTCGTGGTCGTCGAAGTGCTACTGGGAGTTTCGGTCGTCGATGACAATGTGCCAGACGAAGTAGTCGTGACTTCGGAGCTCGTAGTGGTGCTAGTGGAAGTCTCCGTGGTGGAAGAGGTGTCACTGGTTGTAGTTGTCGAAGATTCAGCCGCCGAGGTCGTGCTTTCGGAGGTTGTGGTGTCCGATTCTGATGTTGTGGTCGACTCCGAGATAGTGCTCGACTCTGTGGTTGTGATCGATTCCGTCGTCGTCGTCGTCGTCGTTGTTTCGCTGCTGGTGGTGGAGCTAGTATCAGGATATCCGGATGAAGTGGTGACGGGACCGACCATCACAGTCGTACTAGTCATGGTGGGCGTCGTTGAGGTCGTTGTTGTTGAGGCCTCCTCTGTCGTAGTTGTCGATTCTGCGGTTGTGGTCGAGGCCGCCTCTGTCGTTGTGGTTGATGTCTCAGAAGAGGTCGTAGAAGTCTCTCCTGTTGTAGTCCAAGTCTCGGCAACAGTCGAAGATGTCATAGCAACTGTAGTGATGGTGGTTGAAGTTGCAATGGTTGCTGTGGTTGTTGTTGTCTCATCCGCAGGCATTGACGTAGTGGTGGTGGTCGACTCAGGGGTCGTGGTTGTAGTCGTGGTCTCAGGAGTTGTAATGGCCGTCGTCGATGTTTCGAGGGACGTGGTTGAAGTCGTAGTTGTAGTAGTAGAGGTTGCGTCGCAGCCCGGAGTGTATTGTCGGATCAGAGCGACGACATTGTCATCAGCCTGAGGGCTGTTCGTGCTACTCAAGAATCTGCAATTGTCCGTAGGCAGGGTCATATCAAAGACGATACCGACACAGCGTCCTGGATGATCGGCGTTCAAGTCATCACACTGATTTGCGCACTCTTCCGGGGTCAGTGTTCCTATGGTGTAATCCAGGAAATCATCGCTATCGTCATACGATTGACCGCACATATAGTCATAGGTGACGCAGGCTTCTTGTTTACTCTGGAACGGTGGTGTGTTTGCGTACGGACAATTAGTATCCGTACGGTAGTCACCGCTCGGTGTTGGAACGACAGACGTGGTATGCCACCCCTTGGTTGATGTTGTAGACACCGTGGAAGCCGTCGTTGTAATGTCGGACCCTTCACCGTCGTCACCCCAATCGGACCAGTCAGCCCATTCGGCCCAGGGGAAAGGGTTCGTGGAGTCAATCTCATCGACTTCGTCGACTTCGTAAGGGTTTGCGGCAGAGGTGGAAATGAAGCTGGCCAAACCCACGACCAGGGCCGAGGAAACGAGTGTAGAACGCATCTTTGCAAAAGACCAAACGAATGACTGGAGTGAAAAGACGAATCAAGACTTCAACAAGAGCGAGTGGATTGAGAAGTAAATAAACAACGAGATGATCCGGATATTCAGCAGTAGCCTGCCCGTAGATATATACCAAACGTACCTTGCCAACGCCGTGACCACCTGCCGAGGAGTGATTCAGAGTAATTTTGATCTTGAGATCTCTCATGGCAATGTTTCGTAGGTCCCTTGAAGGGAATTCCAACCTGAACAAGACGTCCGTACCAGTTGCAGTCGGCCAGGAGCGAAGAAGGTGTAGAGGAGTTGTCTCATATCGAACGCAAGGGAGGGTTCGTCGCTTGGCGAAACAACAATTGCAGTGACATGACAATAACATTGTTCATGCCAGAGAATGGGGAGCAGCAAGGGTGTCCCAAGTTTCGAGGGTGGCACATTCTCGTTGTGACAGTCTTGTTGTGATTTGCATACTCCTGTTGAAACTGTACCTTACCTTTTGCTCCAAGTGGCGCTGACAACCAGGATATGCATACACCAAAGTCCGGAGGTCTCAAAAATAGAAATGTAAAGAATGTGTCTCACTCGATCATCCTACCTGACATGCAAGGCGCAACGATGTACGGAGTAAAGGAGGTTGGCGACTTTCTGCGTCCAAGGAATACGCTGTCCCGAAGAGTGGCGACTTGGTTTTTTGGACGATGATAATGTAAAGACCGATAGCACTGTATGTGACATTATACCGACAAGATGAATCGACATCTTTCTAAGAGAAATACGTTGGATGAGAAGTGAGATGAATCTTTGTGGTGTGTGGGAAATGAAGTCAGCGCAGATCCAGCGGATGAGCAGCAAATCGTGTTGTGGCCGTTTCCAACTCTTCGTTACCTTGTTCATCACTCACTTCAAACAACATCTGATCTTTCGAACCTTTGAACATGTAAACTACTCCATGTACCACTATTAACCGACATTCGTTTTTCATTGCATTGTTCATTATCTTCTTCTACCTCTCTCTATTTTCCCCCGAACTTCCCATGTAATTGTTTGACGTCTCGAGACGCCTGCGCAGCCACCAGAACCCACCGAAATGGGTGTCTGCCTCTCCTGTCTCGGTCTGCGCCGTAACGACGAAGATGAAGTGAGAGCTGCATAACTCCCAGTCGCAGAGCCATGTGTTGACTAGTATTGTCCCCATAGGATCGATCTCGTCTTCTCTACGATGAATTAGGTGCGAACCACGGCTACGGTACTTGGGGTGCGTCGAATGTACCTGCGCAAAACGTCATGAACCCGGAAGAAGCACGAAGGGAACAAGAAGCCCTGGATAACATCACCAGATGGGCAAGCGAGTATGTGGTCCCCTTTCGACCCGTCGAGGCGAGAAACTTATCGATCCTCTCTAACATTGATTTGAACTCGCGCAGTCAGATTGTCGAAATCTTCCCACATCAACACAAAAACCTCATGACCATGTCGACATCCACTTCTCAAATCAACGGACACCACTCTGTCGTCGAGAACGGCGCCGCTGCGGCCCCACCGTCGTCTTCCTCCCATCATCACGATATCCTATTGTCGCTGATCCCTGGCGACAAGTCCAAACGGTCAATACGAATCTATCCCGCTTCACGACCGACTTCAAAAGATGCGCAGTCCTTACACAGTAAGAGTTCGTTTGGAGGGTTGAATGGAGCCTCCGTCAGAAGTAAAGATTCTTCTTCGGTACTCGTCACACTCGACATCGACTTGCCATAGAGTTGGAACAGATGGGACATAACCGCACCAAACACGACCTGTACACATGTCTCTAGAAGTATGCGTATTGTTTTTGCGACGAAAAAACAGTACACCTCCTGGGTCCCCTCATGATGGAGCGCCGTCAAGGCCCAACTTCGAGGAACGATACCCCCAAGATCAGCAACACATCATCTTGTTCACCTGGCTCTCCGTTAGCATTCAAGAAGGGCCATTCACGTTGGGACGCTGCCCGCGCCACAAAAACTATACAGAAATAATTGTACCCTGTGTATACACGGGCTGCGCACTCCTTCCGACTACGAATCCCCCAGCCGAACGAGCAAGATGGAATAGTCGGATCTGCAGTAATTGCTTTTATCCTCGGGTTGTCGTCAACCTAATCATGTTGACGAACACATTCATTGGCACATGCTAATACTAGTGGCTCACAACCACCGAACATTGTAATATTTGTCGATGTTGTTTTTTTTGGTCACAATCAAGCCAAGATAATGGATGTATGTAGTTTGGAAGCCATAGTTTGTATGATGAAACATTGATTTCCCATGCTAAAGGGAATAAAAGACTCTCTGAAGGACCTTGGGTATCTCTGAATGCCGGTACGCGTACGTATCATGCGAGCCGCTCGTGTTGCAGGGCTGCTATGGGGGTATCTTAATCGATTTGATATTTCAAGGAAAGCACCATCCGTCCAGCCCATAGCACATCCGTCTGGTAGGTCGTTTGCATAACTTGTTTGCGCAAAAGGAAGGAAGTGGGGTATCATGAATGGATTCGCGATGGCGCCAAAGGGGTATAAAGTTGAATTAGGTGCCGTGGGACAATTGTTGAGTGATGGAAAAATGGGCATAATTGCTGTGCCAGGCACGTCGTATTACATGCCTCTGGCGACCGCTGCATGGCCGAGTGATTGGAACGTCGAATTGGTTTGCCGTTGATCAAGCCGCTGGAGCTGGTCGAGACATGGATTTCTACTTCGGAGGCTCGGCTGCTGGTGTTTCGGTGGAAGCTGGTTCTGCCGGAGTTGGCTCAGCGGGAGTGTCGGCCGCGGGAGCATCGACGGGCGCTGCGCCTGTACAATCATCAGTTTCGGTGTGAGTCCGCGACCATCTGGGACAACTCACCAGCAGGGGCGGCAGCTGGATCGGCGGTAGAAGGAGCCGCTGGTTCAGCCGGTTTGGGGGCGGCGGCAGCAGCTGGTGCTTCTGTCTTTGTTCCAGCAGTACTGCTTGTAGTCTTGTCCTTCTTGCGCCTGAAGAGAGCCTTGAGCTTGTCCATGGCGTCGAGGGCTGTCGGAGAATCGACGGATTAGATGAGGAGATACAAGTGATGCAAAAGTCACAGAGGTATGGTACCAAAGTGTTTCGACGACGGGAGAGACAGTGACGAGGAAGAGATCAATGAGAAGACGTACGTATTCCAGGCATATGAAGATCGAAGGGAAGAGGAGAAGAGGATCTGGAGGGGTGGGACGAGAGCGACGGGTGTTTAAGTAGCTGCGACTAGAGGTTGAGAAGCGGCGCCTCGTTCGATAGGAAGCGACCGGGATGACAGGATTGATTAGTTTCCGGTGAAGAGCGACGGACGACGCAATAGTTCGAGGCTTGGACAGTCAGATGGGAAGGAGTGATGGATGGGGGAAGAGGATGGAAGATCAAGATTCAGATTGTCTCGTGACGGTTTGCACGAATGAATCGAGGTGCAGGAGCCAGTGAGATGTGAGGTGAGAGTGAGAGCGACGAGAGGTGCATGAATCGGCTCGGTTAAATGATGAGCTTGGACATTGGAGGGCTTTGCCTGGTACAACATTGATAATGGCAAAACGAGTATTGGAACCTTGTACAAGGCATCGTGGACCTCTGATTTCGCTTGTTGTGCTGTATCTGGCCCTGACGAAGCCTTGTTTGGGCATCTGAGGACTTGCGATACGGAGGAGTCATGGGGGAGGTTCGGGGTGGTTCGATAAGATAAGCCTGGATCATCGGGCTAAGAATTTAGTGAGCCTTAGTCACCGCTTTAGCCCGGAACAACTGACTTACCAGAGTGTCTTAGGGCCCTTGGGATCGGTGCTCTAGGTGCTTTAGGGGCACCGACCTGCGCCCTTTGAGGAGATGACGGGCATCACTAGTACCCATCAAGCACCGATCAAGCGCCCATCCACTTTGCACAGCCCCCCGAACACCTTCCGCGACAATCCGGGGTGCCTCGTGTCTCGTTTCTCGTTTTCTCATCCTCTCCATTCTCCACGCGTCCGGTTCCAGGCCCATGGCATCTGGGTTTATGTTTCAGACAAGTGTCACGCAATCACGATTCAATATGTCTCAATATCAAACCATGTTTGTGAGTTCCCAGTAGTCAAATCATGACTCACCTGCATTCCGAGAACAGCTTTAGTCTTGGTCCGTGACTGCTCTGTACATATCTCAGGCACAATCTCGACATAGGCAGGGGATCCTAGCCGAGCTTCCCCCCCGAAGGTCATCGATTGTTGTCGACCCAGCTGCTAAGATCTGCCTGAAGAGAAACCCAATGGCGTGCTTGAACCACACACAATGCTCCTTACCGTTGCGGACGGGTGTGAATTGTGGTTAGAGGTGAGAATGAGAGAATCTTCCAGACTAGAGAGCTATCAGTCAACCTAGATGTTGATGTCATATCATCAAATCATCTTCTCTCCTCCAATCTTCGTCATCATCTCCAACGCAGACCAAGTCCTCACCTACGGATAACGATGTCGGCGTCGAGCGCACACGTTCCGCCATCGGCGACACACTCCGACTGCCTCCAACAGCCGAATTCCCATCCCCCGCACCTGGAAGAGCAAGAGTTGGAGACATTCACGTATTTCTCGCGGATGACAAAGTCGAGATCGAACAGCGTCTCTACGGTACAAACACAAAGGCTGCACACTTGAACCTACAAGGTTTAAACGAATTCATCTCCTCCAGTCTTACAACGTGAAAAACCAATTCAAATTGCCAATATGCGTATCGATTATGTTCCAAACCCGCCCACAGATCTGGCTCCCGAAGATCAGGAAGTCTTGGAGCGAGTAAAGGCTCGACGAGGAGCCATGGGCTTGATTCCTCTAGACTTGACCTTGCTACATGCTCCTAAAATTGCAGATGGTATGTTGAAATGCTCTCTGTCTTTGTCGTCACCCTGCCAACATAGACTCTTTCAGGCTGGAATGGTCTTTTGGGAGCGGTCCGAACCAAGAATTCCCTGCCCGACGACATTCGCGAGATTGCCATTTCCCGACCGGCATTGATCAACCGCGCGTGGTTCGAGTGGAATGCGCATGTACCTATCCTGTTGAAGACTGCAGGATTCACAGAAGAGAAGATGAATGTTGTCAAACAGCTTCATCCTAAGGAGCAAGGAGCCCTCGACGACCGGCAGTGGGCAGTCCTCAGATTTGCGGATGCAATGACTCGAGAGGTTGCGGTTCCTCAAAACCTGTTTGATGAGGTGAAGGCAGCTGGATTCACCCAACAACAGATCGTTGAGCTCACGGCAACCGTTGCCAGTTACAACATGGTCACCCGCTTCTTGGTCGCGCTTGATGTTGCTGAAGAGAACACCAAATCTCCTAAATATCCCATTGTCGAGAATTGATGTGTGGATCCCATAGCATCTGGACTAGTTTGATGTGAGCTGTCTGCTAGCTGAAACAATTTTGTCTCTGAACCGTTGTCCTCAAATCTCTTCCAGTCTTGTCAGCCGATTTTTGTGATCAGAGGCGATGTTCTAGCTACAAAGTCCTTATATCAACCAAGGGTGATATGGGACAACATCCCCGGGATGCTCTCAATACTCCGTGACCTTTTTGGGCCGAGATCTCAAGCTACGGGCAATCATAAATCTTGTACGCGCATTAGTCTCCTTGGAACATCTCCAGCACTTCTAATTTGGTCATCACTGTCTCGCATGTACCACGACACATGGCTCGAGGCTTGAGCAGCACAGGTCTCATCACGACTTAGCCTGTCACCTCCTTCGGGGCCAGCTTCCAGAATTGATGCATGTACTTCTGCTCCAGACCAATCCCCTCATGAGAGCATTCATGCGGGATTGTCCGCTGGATGATCATTTCGAAAGGTAAGAGTCAGCGAGGTATCGTAGACTGATAAGACGACAGCATTGATACGCATCGTCTGCCAGCTTGCTTGAATTGTCATTTCTATCGTAATTCGAGAATATCATTGAAGAGGCAAGCTCAGCAAACCTATAAATCCACACAAGGAGCACACAATCATCTCGAACGTTGAGTCCGAGCGATCTACTCAAGATGCCGCACTCAACATCCCAAGAACTCCACATCACGTCCTTTGCGCAGGAGGAAGGGAAGAAAGCGAATGTAATATTGGGCCTCAAAATCATATCGAGAGCACGCTTGCTGAGAGCAGATCATGAAGTTCGGAGCCACGGTTACAGGTGCAGACCTCGGAAACCTCGACGAAGCAACTTTCCAAACACTACGAGAGGCAGTATACAAGCACAGCTTGATCGTGCTGAAGAATCAACATGATCTCTATCCAGCCAAACAGTTCGAACTCATACAACGGTTTGATCCAGACGCAAAATCTCAACATGGGTTTGGTGCAGGAAAGGGGTCGAAGCTAGTCGGCTTCCTGGGTGTTGGTTCTTTCCGCTTCACTTTCTTCCCCTTTCGTCTCTATCCTGGAGATTCTTGTTGGAGTGTTTCTGCTCCCCTCTGACCTCTTGAACCCAGGACATGCCGTACTACGGAATCCCCAACTCGGGCGGCGTCAACCTCGTGGGCCACGGTTACCAAGGTCCAGATCACTATGGCCTCAACGACGTCACGATCCGCGCGGTGCCCCAGTCCCGAGTCCACGCCACGCCCCTCCCAGCCTCGGAGTTGGCAAAAGGTCAAACGCGTTTCAATTCGTTCCACTTCGACGGTTCCATCTACGGGGCCTACCCTTCGCGGGTCACCGCTTTCCGCTGCGTCAAAGCACCCCGCGGACCCCCCTTGACGATCCGCTGGGACGACGGCACGGGTCGCACGATGCAATGCCAACCGGGTGGAACTGCCTTCTTCAGCGGCGAACAGCTCTACGGTTTACTTCCCGACGACGAAAAGGACCTGGTCGACAATAGTTATTGGGAACCGGGGCCTCACCCGTTCGCGTGGATGGGTACACGCAGGCTGCGGTCTTCGGGCATGGGTCTGGCACCTGGAGGTGAGACCGTCCCTCTCGAAGATCTACCAGAGTGGTCCCCGGACAAGGTCTACAAGTTCCCCATGGTTTGGGTGAACCCCGTGACGGGCGCAAAGGCACTCCAGATTTTCCCCGACATCATTCGTAAATTGTACATCAAGACCACCGTGCCACTTGCATCTGAAAAGGTGGTTGAAAATCTCGAAGAAATCAGAGTCTGGGTCAACGACATCTACGACAGGATCGCCACGCCAGAATACATCATCGTCCCGGAGTGTGAGGAGGGTGACTTGATTTTGTGGAACAACTGGGTAAGTTTGGAGCAAAGATATCAAGGCGCCTTCTACTTTCACTTCGCAATACGGGGTGGTCCAGGAGATGGCCAAATGCTAACGTGTCGTAGGGAGTTCAACATAGCGCCATCGAATATCCTGATAGTTATGGCAGCAGATCGAGTACGTCTTTGTCCACTCTCCTCCCTCTCCGTTCTTGGTCCTTTGGCAAGAAAGCTAATCAGAACGACTTGTAGTGCATCAATGTCATATTGCTTCGAGTACGATGCCTGTCGGTCCTGCTGATATTGCATGACAAAATTCTATGAACTAGTCTCATGAGGCTGTCGTCATCATGATACTGAATAGTCATAGAGGTGACATTTGACAGGTATAATTTGGTTTGATGATTTTGGTTATATAGCTATTGCTATCTCGAATATGATACTAGCTTAAGCCGGAAACTAATCTTGTTTATTTTTGTCCATGATTTCAAGACATTCTATCAACTGCCCGAGAACCAGGAGAGCGTCAACCCTGCGTCAACAGTGACTTCTTGCCCTGTCATTGACGTGTTTTTGGCAACCGACACGTATACATCAGCACAATCGTCGAGAAAAGTCTATTCCACATAAACAACATTAATATACATCTCCATGTCACGTATGTTGGGAGAGAAAGAGAGGGATCGTAAAAATAAATGTACCTCGTGTTTCAGGATAGCCTGGTTCTTTTCAGTTTCGATCTGTTCCTCGGTGAATTGCATACCCTAGTCATCATCAGCGTCATAAACAAAGAATAAACATAAAATGTTCACAAGCTCGGATTCAGCAGGGTCAGTTGTGTCCACAAATGGGAAATAGTAAAGATATAGACGTACCCAATCGGTCAATAATTGACCAGGGAGAATTGCATTCACACGGATCTTGGGACCCTGTGTCGCAGCAAGACTTTTCATCAAGTGTAACCCGGCTGCTTTCGTTACTGAATAGGCCATTGAACTACCACTTTGCGTCGATCCCTGGTGCACAGACAAATCAGCTCTCTCTTTTGTTTCACGAAGATCTGGATGGATGCTTGGGTATTTATTTACAGCAATAGATGATGTGACGAGGTATACGCCGCCTTCTGGGTTTGAGTTGAATATCGGAGCGGCAGTCTGCATCAATTGTAGATGAGACATGACGTTGACTGCCCAGCACTAAGATTGTTGTCAGTGATACATAGCCAACAACTGGCTTAGGTGGCAAGCAAGCACTGGAGGGGGCAATAAAGAAAGGAATCTTTCATCATGAGGAGTTCGAGTTCACCTTGTTCCAATCATCGTGACTGAGCGCATGGAGGTCCTTGAAATTTGAGAATTTTGTCCATCCGGCATTGGCAATGATGATATCAAGACCACCTAGTTTCTCGACCGTTCCGCGTACGAGTCGAGCATTGTGCTCGGGTATTTCGGCGTCCTAGATAGAAAGATTGGGAGGTGAGATTATAGAATGGTTTGAGCAAATCGTAATGGGGCCGCGGGCAGGGAAAGAAAATGGAGAAGCAGGTTCGAAGCGAGAATAGAGAGAAGTCAAAGACTGAATGGATTCTTACCCCGTGTATGGTAAATGCTTGTACGCCGTGCGCGCGGACTTTCTCTACAACTTCCCTCGCTCGGTCTTCTCGCGAGATATAATTGACCATGATGTGGCAACCCTCGGCAGCGAACTTCTCGCAGATCAATGCCCCTAGGCCACGACTGCCTGCGCACACGAGCACGCGGCGTCCTTTGAGAGTGTAGGGCATTGTACTGTGTAACGTAAATAAGGTCAGGCGATGCGTTTGGGTTGAGACGAAAAAGGATGTGACCAGAGAATATGGACTCCGTTCGATCGCCCTCGGTTCAGTCACCGAGTACTGTCGATTCCTCGGTGGTATGTTGCCGTAGTCACACCTTTCAAATAACAGTTGGATTCAGCTAGCTCCTGATGACAATTCCAGGTTCATGCCGTTATGTGTTCGCACACCATACGTCAAGAACAGTGGTTTGTCGTATGCAAGCCACCATCCGGAGATATGCGCTGGTGTTGGTTTGCGACAATTTGGGATTGGTCACGTCTGGGAAAGGCAGGCGCCAGCGAGCACTGTGGATACATTACGAGTTTCAGGACAAGGTTGATTATGACGGGGTGAGGTGAAGAAATCATATCATTGCGGTGATTGAAAAGCTGAATCCCCAACGACCTGACGAGCGATTCAACCCTCTCTCATTCTGACGAAGATAAGTCTATATCTAGATTGTGAAGCTCTCACGATCGACCGAAGATAGTTCGTCTAATATCTTGATTGCCTCGAGGCACTTCTCCCTGTGTGGGAGATCATGGGTTCCGTCACAAATTCGCCTGCTGCGAGTCGGAGCTTTGTTCCTTGACATCCCATAATTCTTCTGCCGTCTCCCTGAAGATGCGATTGACAAGGACAATGTCATTGTCACACCATCCAATGCACTGTTTCACAAAAGGCTCAATGTCCAAGCCGTTAAACCGCGTATGCGGCCAATCCGTGGCGAATACTATCCGAGTTGGTCCAGCCACTCGAAGCAACTCCTTTGCCATCGGGGTGAGGTCTCGAAGATGCGGATCATTCGATATCCTGTACGCTCCGGAGAACTTGATGTAGGTCTTGCCCTGAGCCAGGAGGCTGATGACGGACCGAAATCCCGGGATCTCGTACGGATCGGCTGGTGTTTGTCGACCAGACGAGGAAGAGCTGTGGACTGAGGATAATTCCTTTGCCACCGATGAAAGGTCAGGACAGCCAAAGTGGTCAAGACAGATCTTGACGTCAAGACTGGGAGCCAGGTCCTCTAGCCAAGCTGCGAGCTCCATGGGTACGTACAGCTGAATGACCCAGCCGAGTGGACGTACGGCATCAGCATAGCGCCAAAGAAGAGCTTCAAAGGCCCGGCGATCCATTGTCTCATTGACTGATTTGAGATTGATTCGTACCCCTCGCACACCCAAGCGGTGCCATGATTGCAAGTCCTGAAACGTGGTCGTGTGAGGATTGAATGCTACAACTCCACGAGCATGCCGGGGCCCGAGTTTCCTCAGAGCGCGCAGCAGGTACGTATTATCGAATCCGTAGCAGGATGGTTGGACGAGGACGATGTTGCGGAGGCCGAGAGAGGATTCGAAAGTCAACGCCTGAGGGAGATCCGAAGATATTGGTAGATACGGTGCGCTGTCATGGTCAAGCGAGTGAGGCTCAAACACATGCATGTGGCTGTCCCATGATTGCGGTGGTATCCGTACCTTGGACATGTTCTCGTTCTGCGTGGGTGATTGTATATTCACCATCACTTCGGATGGTTGGACCACGGTCATGGTCAGCGTAGTTTGTGGTCAGCTTTGTTCCAGCAGTCGGCAAAAGTGTCCTGGGATCCGGAAAGCCAATGAACGGCTTGAGCATTGATAGGTCGTAACATCTTCCCTGTTAGGTGCCCAAGAGCGGCAGATATATCCTCCCCTTCTGTATCTATCACTGTGCATATCCGGCAACAAAATCGGGTAATTTGCGAACACAAGAATGATCTCCATGCGGTTCTCCGGAATCCAGACGAAGTACAGTGTGTCGATCAACTCGTTTATGTGGAGCTCGGTCGTTGTCCGAAAAAGCGGAGAAATCACTCCATATTTCTCAAGAATTTTGTTGTCATAAAACGTATGCATGTGCAACTACTCAGCACCTCTCAGTCGCGCTGATGTCTTGTTTCTTGACTGTGGTCGTTCGTGAAACTGGAAAAGCATATCGACCGTAAAATCATGCCCGCAGTGATGCACGTTACCCAGCATGCACAGCCCGGACCCCGTGAACGGCTCGTGCCATACTATCTCTTGGCTGTCATGGTCATTGCCTGCGGCGGTATTCCAAAAGGTACGCTTGTCTTGCAGTGATACATTCGGGGAATATGCTAATTTCAGTGCGTATAGGCTACGACGAAGGTGGTTACAGTTCCTCGGTCTCGCTTGAGTCCTTCAAAGAAGATTTCAACCTCGTCAAAAGCCATTGGAAAGGCAATGCCACGGGGCTGGCCAATCGAACGGCCAACATAACTTCATTTGGAGTCCTGGGAGCTGCAAGCGGCTGTGTGATTGCCCTACTGTTGGATTCTTTCCATTGGGGCCGTCTGGCATCCTGGAGAGCCTACGCTGCTGTGTGGGCCAGCGGCTTGTTCATACAGATTTTCTCCTCGGGCATCTATGGACTGCTGTTGTTTGGTCGTATCTGGGGTGGCTTGGGTGCCGGAGCACTTACCGTGGTGACACCGATATACCTTAGCGAAGTGACGCCTGCACGCTCTCGCGGATGGATCGTCAGCCTTTACATGGTGTTCTTACTGTCCTTCCTCAGCCTCGGTTCGTCACCTACCAGAGGACCATCAGAATTGTCTCTTGCTAATACCTCCATCACAGGCTTCTTCATATCATACGCCGCCAGCAAAAGCATGCCTGCCACAAGGGAACAGTATCGTCTTGTCCAATCCATACCGTTGATTCCTATGGGTGTGGCCTTTATTTGCTCCTTCTGGCTCTACGAGACTCCACGTTGGCTCGTTACCAGAAACCGTACACCAGAAGCTCGGGAAGTTCTCGCCCGGCTTACTGGACTCTCCATCGACGATCCTGCGCTCGTGGCCAATTTCGATTCCCTTCATCAACAAATCCTGGCGAATGAGATAGATCGCCAGGAGCGGTCGACGAAGGATTTGTTCAGAGAAATATTGTCACGGAGGTATCGTGGCCGCTTCTTGCTCGCCCTAGCAATGCAAGCTTTCGGCCAATGGTCCGGTGGCAACGGAATCACGTATTATATACCCACGGTGTGTCCTCTTGAGCTCCCTGAATGGTGTAAAGTTACTGACTGGTTTTTCTTGCTTCGTAGATCTTCCAGTATGCTGGCATCACGGGTGATTCGGTTGCACTTGTTGCCTCTGGAGCCTATGGGATCGTTAAGCTCTTGGCGTCCACCCTCACGGCATTCTTCCTTGTCGACCGCATGGGACGAAGGCCGTTGTTCATTGCCGGCCTTGCTCTGCAAACGGTGACACATGTATACATGGCCGTGTACATGGGGGAACAACCGGGAAGCGGACAAAACCATGCCGCCTCAAATGCTGCCATTGCTTCGGTTTTTATATACGCGTTTGGGTGGTCCATCGGACTCTGCATCCTCCAGTCCATCTACGCCACGGAAATATTCCCTACGCGGCTCCGAGGGATCTGCTACGCCATCACTATGGCCTTGCACTGGTTCTTTCAATTTGCTGTGGTCCGCGTCACCCCCAATATGCTCGTCAGCTTGCATGTGTGGGGAGCTTATGTCTTCTGGGCGGCTGTTTGTGGAACTGGCCTAGTGGTACTTGGTCTCTGGGCGCCCGAGACGAAGAGAGTACCATTGGAAAGCATGGATGAATTGTTTCAGGGACCGTGGTACAAGACCTGGAAGGCAAAGGCCACGCGTGAAGCTGCGGATGGTTCATTAGAGATCGAGAATGTGCACGAGATCACCGAGAAAGTCAAGCAAGGTGCTCAAATGCAGCATGTTGAAGGAAGTGATGTGGATCTGGAAAAGAGATGATGAATTGAAAATGTCGATATTTCACGCCCTACCCCATACATTGAACAGAGACGGTCAAAAAATTGACTATGCTCCTCGTATCACAACGTCAAAGCCGAAATCAGATTCGATAGAATCGTTGGGCTCAAAGGAATGGGCCCTGCTTTGCTTTGATCTGAGCTGGCCATTAGAAAAGAAACCTCCGTAACCAAATGGTCATCGCTCGCCACGGGTTTGTTGTGCCTCGCTTCACTTTCCTAATTTCAAGGGATCGCGGCACCTTCCTAAAGTATTTAGCCGGCATCTCATTTCAGACATCGGAATCTCGTCGTCGAAACTCTTCCCAGCAATAGTACAAGGACAACTCTCTTGATTTCACTTGTCACCTCGCCTCCACCGTATCGCTGCTTAGAGACCCAAGTATATTGGTGGCCCGAGTCCTCAACTGTTGGGATCAGTGCCCACAACGGCCTGCTCACTGGGCCCCTCCATCATGGGTATGGCCAATGGCAAGTAGGTAGTTGTTCGTCCGATTATCCCCTCTTCCAACCCTAGGGCTTGGGGTCAGCGCTGTACAATTTTTCCGCTGCATTGCCCCTTTGACCTAGGAGAAGTGCTGGGCTTTTATAAATCAAGCCATGTCCACTGCAGGACGCAAGCTATCAGCGCCAAAACCCGAGCGAAGGCGAGCTTTTAGTTGCGAAACCTGCAGAAAACGCAAGGTAAATTTCAGCCAGCCTCAATATCATGCAATCATGTTAAGCCATACTGTGAGCTAGGTTAAATGCGATGGAGCAACGCCAATCTGTTCAAGATGTTCATTGCGAGGTGATGATTGTTACTACGGCTTGAATCCTACGCTTTCGTACACCAGAGCTCTCGAGCAGAAGGTCGCCCATCTTGAGGCCAGGCTTCGCGCCTTGGAATGTTCCTCGGCGGATGCGCTCTCGCCTTCGCGTCAAAGCACGGCCGGTTCTGCTCAGACCGACCTCAGCCCAAGACCGGCTGAGGGCATCGAGAGCACAAAAGTACCTAAGTTCGACGCTCTTCAGATTGACGACGGCCACTTGACCTTCCATGGGACTACTAGTTTCTTCCGACTTCCTGGCAGTCAACAAGATGGTGCAGATGGCACCGGTCGCTTACTTCCCTCTCAAAAGGACGCTGAGAGTGGCAAGGACAAATTGATCAACAGCGCATGGAAGGAAAGAGCTTTTGAACAATTCGCAAACACCCCTGAACCGATGAAGTCGTTACTTCGTGATCACTGGACATGGGTTTCGCCACTTTTCAACTTCATTTATCGACCTGCCTTCACAAGGGACATCAAGAACAACGGTCCGTATTACTCCTCTGGCTTACTGAACACTATTTTGGCACACTCGGTGCGATGGGCAAGATCCGACCCAAATCTATCCATCTTACTGGAGCCTTACGATGGTGGTGCTCAATTCTATCGTCAAGCCATTGCCGCCGTATTCGATACTGTCAGACAAGGCCCGGGCAAGATCCCTGAGGTCCAGGCTCTCCTCTTGCTCAGTGCTCAGGCAACTGGCAAGGGGCATAGAACTCAAGCGTGGCTATATACAGGAATGGCCATCCGACTGATGGAAGACCTTGGCCTCAATATCGATAGTCGTAGCTACGCCGCAACAGCTGGGCTTAGTGATGAAGATATCGAGATCCGAAACCGTTTATTCTGGAGCTGCTACTGCTGGGAAAAACTGCTCTGTTTATACCTGGGTAGACAGCCAGTCATACTTGCCACGCATGCCAGTTCTCCTCAACTCTTGCTGGATGACTCTGCCGAGATTGAGGTCTGGTCGCCGTCCGGAGTTGGTGTGATCGATGAGCAGAATTATCCTCCTACGCAGAGTCATGCGACCTCCTGTTTCATCAACATGTGCTCTCTGTCCGAAATCCTTCATCGCATTCTACTCCAGCTTTACGATCCTCTGAATGAAATTTCTGAAGAGGCGACAATATCATACGTTGTCAATGAGACCGCGAATATGCAAACTTGGTGGGACAGACTACCTTCTTTCCTAAAGATTACCACTTCAGATCCGCCCTCGCACTGTCCACCATCGCATGTGGCGACATTGAATGCGATGTTCCACATGGTCAAAATTCAGCTGAATCGACCGATACTATGCGCCCGTGGCACTTCCGACACTCTGAGAGATAACTTGGAGCATCACGTTGCTGAATGCAGCTCAGCTGCGAACGCGATCATAAACATATTTGACCTGTATACGCGGAATTTTGGCCTCGGACACGTCATGACAGCACTTATATATTGCTTGTACACATCCGCTTCCATCTTTCTGCTCCAAGCCCAGGCCACCAAAATAGACTCCCCAGCACTGGTCTCGAAGCTGAAATATTGTATCGGGGCTCTGGAAAGCGTCAAGTCCACAACTCCAATTGTCGGCACTGCCATTGAGTTGATTCAACGTGAGATCACGCGTTTGAATATTTCTCTCGATGATCCAACGAGGTCATCAACAGAATTCCTAGAGCTCCCTCGGATAGCATCAGAGGAACCGAATACGTATGAGTGGGCGGCCGTGGATCCTGAAGCTATACTGCCGCAACAATGGACCGATGTAACGATGGCAGGGGAGATGGAAACGTGGTTCGACGATAGCTTCTTTTTAGCTGCTGATGTGCATCCCACCTTTTACGATCCTTACGATGCAACAGAGAGAACATGACAAGAGAATGTGAACAACAATTTGAGCCTCGACAAATCTTGTTCTCGTGGAGAAACTTCAATAATCTTAACAAATCAACCGATCCCCGAGGAGACCGCCTCAAGAAGCACGATGTAGTCGCCCGAACAGCAACCAGTATCCTCTCAGACACTTTCAATGCATGTCTAGCCCTCCGATTCGACGTTTTCTTTTGGTGATTGGTCGTCCATTGAAGTCTGCACGTTTCAGGGTTGACGACAACCTCCGAGTTCGGTCGACACCCGAGGAACCCAGCCACGGATCCCAGCAAATCAACTTTGACTCCATAGGACTCGGCGTTAATCGAAGGTTGCGAGCTTGGGCAACTTGCCATTTATAGGGTCCGATGAACGAGAAACGGGCAAACATGATGTTCCTGCGTGACCCAAGTCGATACAGGGAAATCGAATGTTAGATTAGTCAGGGTTTCCCCAGGACGCAATACTCCTGCCAAATCGGAAAGAGAGGACAGTCTTCATATCGATATTATATTAACGGGTTTCCTAGTCAGCCGACATTAACAATCGAAATAGATTGGCGCCATGTCTTCCAAACCGTCCGGCACTATCGCAATGCTGGCTGGAGGTATTGCTGGGGCCTCGGAGACTGTTATCACCTATCCTGCAGAGTTCCTCAAAACACGGAGACAGCTTCCTGCCAGTAGCACCGGCAGACCTTCATCTTCGATTGCTATATTTCGTTCTGTGTTCAACTCGCAAGGTATTCGGGGTATCTATGCAGGATCTCCAGCACTGATTGCCTCCAACACGGCCAAGGGAGGGGTACGATTCTTCAGCTTCGAGAGCAGCAAGCAAGTCCTTGAGCGGACTATTGGGTCAAACAATGTCTTTGTCAACATCCTAGCAGGTTTGTCTGGGGGCATTGCCGAATCAATCCTGGTCGTGACTCCAGCCGAAGTTCTAAAGACCCAGTCCATAGACATGGCTGCTGCTGGGTCCAGGACAACGAGCACGCTTACCGTGGCCAGACAAGTTATCAGGCTGCATGGGCCTCTGGGCTTGTGGAGAGGCATTACTCCCACTCTGTGCAAACAGGCAACAAACTCAGCAGTCAGGTTTGCCAGTTTTGGAGCGATAAAGGATTGGATTTCCACGACAAGTCTGGCCAAAAGGCTGAATAGCGCAGGCTTGACCTTACTTGCAGGCTCGCTGAGTGGTGCTGTAACGACGTATGTTATTGTGCTATTGCTCAAATGGTCACTTGCTGATAAATTCTTTCAGTTACGCTTCAATGCCTTTCGACAACATCAAGACCAGAATGCAAAGTACAGGGAGCACACATCGGAGTATGTTGGCATGTGGAGTTTCCATGCTTCAACAAGAAGGAATCAAGGTGTTCTGGAGGGTAACGACCCCACGACTTGTCAGGTTGATGGTAAGCAATAGTCAAAGTCATGAAGTCATGAAGTATATACATTTTCTGACACTCTCCGACGTGTACCACAGCTTTCCAGTGGAATTACATTTGCAGTATTCGACCAAATTACCACCTTTTGTGCTTTATCGAATAATGGACAACGTGAGACCTCAAGTCTTCTGTGATCCCACTACTACATGTTATTCGATGCAATATCTGCCTTCCTATCGGATTTGGCTGGCCTATGAACAGAGTCGGTGAGAGCAACGATAGTTGATAGAGCTTGTATACTATGTATGTTAAGATACGTATTGAGAAGTGCAAGACCATCCATATGTTTCGGCGAATTTTCCCAATGACTTGCCATTAGTGTGTAGCAGTTGGAGTCCAGATCCTGAAATTCGGCATTCTGCCCAGTGTCACACGCGACGAAAATGATGACAAGGTGCTCGGTCGTTGTCCGAATTCTTGCCCCACGCCGCCGACCGGATTGCCGGCGACTTTCGGACAACCCACACGAGGAATCCCCAGATACGACTCTCACTCTACAGATTCTCAATAGTCCCCAGTCAGTCGTGTCTCCGGACGCCAGATGTCATGGACGTGGAGAACTAGGGGGGAGGGGGTTCAGGAGAGTGCCTATAAAAGATGGAGTCTCTTTCAAGACTTTGTGAGACGCTTCCTGCCATCCAACGAGGCGAAATACACATCCGTCATGTCAAAAGACGAAGTCGAGCTGGCCACCCAGTTAGAGGCAGAATTCACCCTGCCGGGAGAGCTAAGTCATCTCTCCCTCGAAGACTATGCCGCTGCTGAGCGGATGTTCGTACGCAAGATCGACCTGCGATTGATGCCGATATTGTGTACCATCATTGTGTTGAAGTGAGTGAATCCAGCTTCTCCGTTTCTTCACCGTGCGCCGTGATCGGTATCTGACATACTGTTTTCATCTTCATAGCTACCTCGACCGCAATGCCCTGGCCAATGCCAGAGTACTCGGCATTGAAGCAGACCTCGACCTGAAGGGATCGGAATTCAACACCTGCATCTCGGTCTTTTTCGCCGGCTATCTGGCCATACAGGTACCGTCAAATCTGATTCTCACGAGGGTTCGACCGAGTTTCTATCTGGTATGTCTTTAGGCTATGACATCTCGAATGTCCTGAATTTTGACGCTGATGCATTATCTAGCCGGCTTGCATGGCCGCCTGGGGAATCATATCGGGCTTGAGCGCCGTCACCCACGACTTCCGCGGATTGGTCGTTGTGCGCCTCTTTCTCGGAGTGGTGGAAGGCCCATACTTTCCTGGCTCGCTGTTCTTGTTGAGTTCGTGGTACACCCGCAAGGAGCTGGCGCTGCGGACGTCCGTCCTCTACACCGGTTCTCTCCTGGCCGGCGGTCTTGGCGGCCTCGTCGGCGCGGGAATTCAGTCTGGCCTGGACGGCGCCCTGGGAATTACTGCATGGAGATGGTTGTTCATAATTGAAGCCTCCATCACCGTCTTCGTCGCCTTAGCTGCGATGCTCATCCTGCCAGACTTTCCGCACAACACGAAATTCTTGAGCCCTCAGGAGCGAGCCATCGCGATCCGACGCTTGCAAGATATGAACGGGACACGCGACACCGAGAGAGGAAGTATGCTACTGGGGGTGCGTCTGGCGGTGTCCGACTACAAGGTCTGGCTGCTTGCTCTGATCATCATCACCAAGACAAGTGCCGGAGCAGTGACCTCCTTCATTCCCACCCTCGTCAAGAACTTTGGCTACGGCAAGATCGAGACGCTCCTGCTCGTTGCGCCGCCGTACATCTTTGCTGCGGTCATGGCGCTGGCCGTCTCCTACTCCAGCGATCGTTTCTCCGAGCGGTCCATGCACATCGTCGCGCCCATCTCGCTCGCCATGGCCGGGTTCATCATCGCGACGGCCAGCATGGCCCTCGCCGCGCGATATTTGAGTCTGTTTCTCATGCTCGGAGGTGTCTATGGCAGCTACAATGTCGCCCTGGCCTGGATATCTTCCACCTTGCCGCGGCCCGTGGAGAAGCGCAGCGCCGCCATCGCTCTCATCAACACCTTCGGGAACATCGCCCAGATCTACAGTCCTTACATGTACTTGCAGGAGATGGGTCCTCGGTACCTGGCCGCCATGGTCGCGAACGCTTGCTTCTGCATCGCGTGTTTCTTGGCAACTTTGGTTTTACGATGGGCGCTGGTCAAGGAGAACGCGAAGCTGGAGAATGCCGCAGCCGACATCGCCCTCGGTGCCAATGATAAAACTGAAAATGTCGAACGTGACGGAGAGTACGAGCTGGGCTTCGCCGCCACGGAGCAACGCTTCAGATATGTCTTGTAGAAAGCTAGTAAATGAAGAATTGGATAGAAGGGGGCCAGACACGTATGTCAATCCGGCCGGCTTCTTGCCTCGTTTTACTGGTGACGTTCTCGCAGCTGTCAACGAGAATGTTCTCGAGGACCGGCCTGCCCGAACGTGAAGAGATAATTCTCATTGATTGCCTGATTCTAGGTCTGGCCACGAGATGGTTCGTATCCTTGAGATGGTTTGATGTATGCAGGATGCTGGTGCTAGACAGCGTTTAGCCGAAAAAAGACAAGATTCTTCTCCCTGATTCCATCTCCAGCATCAATTACTCCCCATGGTGAGAGGTTGTTGATAGAAAGAAATGAAAGATGCTCAATTGATTTGGCAAAGTCGCTCTTCGGAAAAATGGACTGTGGGTTCTTTTCCCCGGCCACTATCAGGCCTTGACTAGCAGATGACCTTGCCCTCTCCACATCATTCTGTCCCATTCTCTTGGGTTGCCAATCATACCACGGCAAAAGTTCAACCGGGTTCAATTCTACCATTTAGCCATTTAGCCTCATCGGCCCATGTCAACATTGACAGTGGCACAAGCCTCCGCATTAAGCTAAACTCCATGATTTCTTCTTCTCCCAAATTTGCAGGTTTGATCGCAAAAGTCGTGGGGAGAAGTCATTCGTAGTGCATGGCCTGCCACGCGAGATCTTGACAAGGGACAACGCGGGTCTCCAGAATTCGGGCATTGAGCGGGTCACCATCCCATATGGAGGTCGGGTTGAAATAATACTGATCCCCCTTGGGATACGTATATATACATGTCGATGATCTCCAGTGTCCTAGGACGTCACAATCTTTTCATATTTGCACTTCTTCAAACAAAACCCACCGACTCCATCCATTGATCTCCTTTCACTCAACGTCCGAGCACAATGGGTTTCGAACCATGGCGTGCCCTTCCTGGCAAGGGGGTCTTGCTCTTGCTCAATCTCCTCAGCGCTGTCGCCCTGATCTATGAAGGGTACAACCAGGGTGTCTACGGCAGTGTCTCCGGCACCCCTGGTTTCATCGCCATGTCCGATATTGGTCACGGCGATACCGTCACCCAAACCACAAAGCAGGGCGGCCTCGCTGCGGCGTATTACTTCGGAGCGATGTTTGGTGCCTTTATTGGTGGATGGCTTGGTGACAAGCTCGGAAGAAAGAAGGCGGCTTTCCTCGGAGCCCTCCTCTCTCTTTTGGGTTCTGCCCTGCAATGTGGTTCGATCAATGCCAACATGTTCATCTGCGCCCGAGTCATCTCCGGTCTTGGGATAGGCTTCATCAACAACATCATTCTCTCATGGGTGTCGGAATTGACCCAGGCTCACGACCGTGGATCGACCTTCTCTCTGGTCTTTGTCTCCAACTTTCTCGGTATTTTCCTCGCCAACTGGATCAACTTTGGCATTCGCAACGACAACATCGCGTTCAGATGGCGCTTTCCACTGGGATTCATGTGCATTCCCATGTTGATAGTCACTGTGGCTATCCCCTTTGTTCCAGGTGAGTCGCCAATGTTTTGACTGTGATGGCGACGAAATCTAACAGGTTTGTGTTGCAGAATCTCCCAGGTGGCTCATGGCACAGCGTCGAACCAAGGAAGCGATTGACATCCTCTGCAAAATCCGTGGTGACAAGGACGCATCTGATCCGGACATTGTGAGAGAGGTGGAATTGATCAACGCCGTAGTCGAGGCATCCTACCACAAACGAAACAATTATGTCAATATTGCCCTTGGGGGTCGCTATTCGGGAAAGCTTCACCTTGGCCGTCGCGCCGTCCTCGGATTCGCTCTCCAGCAGATCCAGCAGTGGACCGGTATCCTGGTCATGGTCTCCTGGGCCACCAAGCTGTTTGAACTCGCCAGTTTCGACTCCTACAAGGCGTCTTGGATGTCTGGCCTTCTCAACACCTTTGGCGTCATCGGCACGGCCGCGGCAGCACTCGTCATCGACCGCATTGGCCGCAGAATGTGTCTCCAGATTTCCTTCTTGATTCAGGGTGTGTCGTTGTTCCTGGTGGCGGCACTCATCAAAACATCCCAGGATCGAGTCACCTCCGACCCCTCTGAATCTCAGGCTCTGGGGACCGCGGCGTCTTCCTTCACCTTCACCTTTGTCTTCTTCTTCACCATGTTCAACATTGTTCCGTGCTGGATCTACGGCACCGAGATCTGGCCCCAGGAAGTCCGAGCAAAGGGCTACTCCTTCACCATTCTAGGGTGGGCCATCGGCTGTGGCGTGACGACGTTTGTCATCCCCATCATGCTGGGCAACATCGGGTGGTGGTCTTTCATCTTCTTCGGATGCATGAACATTGTCGTCATGCCCATCATCCACCTCTTCTACCCCGAGACTGCAGGTCGCTCTCTCGAAGAAGTCGACCTTCTCTTCACCAGTGACTCCCCACTGGTCAGCAAGAACATGGCCGAGTATAATCGCCGTGTTGCCGAGGCTGGCGGTAACATTGCCGTCGCAGCCAGAAAGCTCCTTGACGAAGTTGACGGCGAGGACAATTTGGATCCGACGCGCGTTGCTCATAGCAATCTTGAACACGGTCGTGTCAAGACTGACACCGAAAAGGATCATGTCGAGTCATCGACCGACAAATCATCACTCTAGACGCAAGGGGAATGCTTGAAAGGGGAGGTCTACTCATGTGGATAGGAGGAAAAGGGTTGTGGACGGCTAGAGGCTATCGCGGACAATGTTGTCTCGAGTAGATAGTGTATGTTATATAATCAATACCTGATTGAAAAAGTCATTCGAGCTTCTACAAGTCCATAAGCCCTTTCAAAGCATTCTGTGATTTCTCGTGCGACGCCTGTTAATAGTCACAAGTCTTTTCAGCAAAAATTCGAAGCTATGTTTTTCCTACACGCGGTTGTGGTTTGAAATTATTCTCGCGCCCTCTCAGTATGGCTCAGGTCGAAGCTACACGGCTTATGTGCTCGACGGCAAATTCACTGAAGCGAGCAAAGAAACAAGACAGAATCGTCCCGGCATCGCATTTCACTGCGCAAACAAGAATGCTTCCTCCTCTTCCCCCCTCCCTTCTGCCCATCCCTTGCCCAGAAAAATAACAACGTATTCACTTCATTACCTCTCTCCTCTATCGAGAAAAAAAATAAGATACTAAAAACCGATTCCTTCTAAAGTGGGGATTTGTTCTTTTTTCTTTGCTTCGGGCTTCCCGTGATAAAATACTTGGGAACCATTGCGCCCTCTTCCGTACGTAGCTACATCATCAATATCATTGACGATATCAGAAAATCCACTGATGGTCTTCTGACATAACCTCCTACGGAGTAGCCCCCGGAAAGAGTCCCCTGGGGAAAAACGCAAGAAAAAGTTCTCGGACTTGTCATCTTGGGTGGCAAACCCACCCATTTTGCCATTTAGCCGAATCTCACTTTTGGAGCGCCGCACGCACCCACCACGCCAGTTCGAACCAAACCTCCGCAGGTAAGGGGAAGGGGAGCACTGATAGTCAGTCTGGATCGAAACAACACTCTAGTCTGGTCGCAATCCCTGTCCACCATTGGCAAGGGTACGACAATTCGATCGGCTTTCCGCGAGGGTCTTTGTTTTATTAAGTATTCACGTTCCAGCACCTACAGTTTTTTGGATCTGGATGTCGACACCCTAACAACACACAGACAAAAGTCATGTCACAATCTTCACCGAATGGCCTTACCAATGGCCTCACTAATGGCCACACCAACGGCATCAGCAAGGGCCTCGCTAACGGTCGCCATGAGAAAGGACTTGATTTGACGGTGCTCGGACTGAATTCCGGGACTTCAATGGACGGTATCGATTGCGCATTATGCCGGTTCAGACAAGAATCACCGGAGTCGCCGATGCACTTTGAGCTTCTCGCGTACGACGAAGTGCCGCTCGAGCCCAAGATCAAAAAGCGGGTGATGGAAATGATCTTGCACAACAGAACCACTCCCGAAGAGCTCTCCGAGGTTAATGTCTTGCTGGGTGAGACATTCGCTGCTGCGGTGAAAGAGTTTTCTGAAAAGCAGGGTGTTCCTCTTGAGAACATTGATGCTCTTGGATCGCACGGCCAGACAATTTGGTTGCTCAGCATGCCGGAGCCAGGTCAAATTAAATCCGCCCTGACCATGGCTGAGGGGTCATTCCTCGCCTCGAGAACAGGAATCACGTCGGTCACCGATTTCCGGGTCTCAGACCAAGCGGCCGGTCGACAGGGAGCGCCCTTGATCGCATTTTTTGACTCGCTTGTCCTTCACCACCCTACCAGACTCAGAGCTTGTCAAAATATCGGCGGCATAGCGAATGTCTGCTTCATTCCTCCGGACAAAGACGGCAAGTTAAACCCAGAATTTTTCGATTTCGACACTGGCCCCGGGAACGTCTTCATCGATGCGGCAGTACGGTATTTCACCAACGGAGAACGCGAGTATGACAAGAACGGCGCCATGGGTGCTACAGGGACGGTGGACCAGGAGATGGTGGACGAGTTCCTGCAGACGTTCCCATACTTTAGCCTCGAACCACCAAAGACGACAGGACGGGAGGTGTTCAGGGACACAATTGCTCACGACCTCATCAAAAAAGGTCAGGCCAAAGGCTTGTCACCCAACGATATCGTCGCGACGATAACTCGAATCACAGCCCAAGCCATCGTCGACCATTATCACAGGTACATGCCTCAGGGGTACGGTCCTCTGACAGAAATCTTCATGTGCGGCGGAGGTGCGAAGAACCCAAACATCACGAATTACATGCAAAAGTCCTTTCCCGAAACCAAAATCGTGATGCTCGACGAGGCCGGCATCCCAGCGGACGCGAAGGAGGCCATCACCTTCGCGTGGCAAGGGATGGAGGCGATCGTGGGACGGAGTATCCAGGTACCGAGCAGGGTCGAGACGCAGAGACAGTTTGTGCTGGGAAAAGTGAGTCCTGGCACGAATTATCGGAAAGTGATGAAGCACGGAATGGATTTTGGCGCGGGCAGAAATCATCTGGAACCTGTCAAGGACTTGGTGAATTATGTGAACGGCAAAGTCTTTGATAACAAGTGGTGAGCAGGTTTTATTTTTGGTGTAGTTAGGAGCTCATAGAGGAGAGAGGGATGTCTTTACGTCTAGAGGAGGACCATTCTCGAGCGTATTAACTTCGATACCGCATGTATACTGTTCTTGCTAAAGAAATAAATTGATGGCCGGTGCAATCTAGAATTCAAAGATGTAGGAGGAACAAATCCACAGAAATACCTGGGGTTAGCACGTGACGCTCAAGGGCACGTGACAGGCGATATAATCACGTTCGCGACTTGAGCGGCAACTGTGCCGAGTCTGGACAGTCGCCTTGCAGACGACACGACACGACCTCCAGACCACGTCCATTTCTCCTTCGCTTCAGTACAATATCCGCAGAGTGTAATACACCCTGGCTTCTATCCTGTTGTAGCTCAGTTCTCTTCGATCCTGCAGCATGTGAAGTCAAGCGATCCCACAGATCTGCATTGACGTCGATTCATGCCGTCTTCCGAACACCGAGCGAGCAGGGCGAGGCGGATCACACGAGCGTGTGATTACTGCCACAAACGCAACATTCGATGCGTCAACCCTGATGGCTTGCAGTGCCAAAGGTGCATTGAGTTCGGCCAGCCATGTACTTACGACCGAGCAATCAAAAAAAGGGGCGCGAAGCCCAGGTCTGGAGCTGGAGCGGACTCACCTATCCCACCGCCCCGGAACCTCGGCTCCGCAAACGGTATGTTTTGACAGAAATGATTGGCAATGCTGCCTTTGTCGGGGTTTCGAGAAGTTTGCAACTATCTACGACGCTGCCTTACGGTATTCCCTGGACTATGGTACTCGATTGCTGACAGCTCCCAGCGCATCCAAAATCGGCTTCCCAGCCATGGAAGGCTCCCACCCTAGCCAGTCAGGCTGTCGTCATGAGTCTTGTCGAGGTTTACTTTGAAATAGTATATCCGATCTTCCCTCTCTTTCACCGGCCGACATATATCCGAAGGGTATGTCTCACTGTGGCAGGGTGTTCTTGCTGATGACTGCTTGTGTTATTGCACATCGCTGACAGTATTTTGCAGATATCGAGAGGCGACTATACTACAGACAAGGACTTGTTCCCTGTGACTATGGCAGTCTGCGCACTCGTCTCTGCTCGGGTCCGCGATCAAGCAATCTTTAATCCTGCTTGGGATATTCAAGAATTATCCGAAACGCCGTCAGAGACATTCTATGACGCTGCGATCCGCTATAGTGCCGGTTGTGAAGATTCCGTAGAAGCTCATCCATTCAATACGCTGCGATGCTTTGCTTTACTTGCCCTCACGGCCATTCAGTATGGCAAAATCCGTGAAATGCAACTTTTTCTAGGCAAATACCACACTTTCGCTGCCATGGATGGTTTTCACAATGAATCCAATTGGCCCAAAGACATTGGTATTATTGAGACGGAGGAGAGACGACGCCTGGTGAGACTTATGATCTAGCGTGTGACACTGTGGCTAACCGATCCGTAGTTCTGGTCGATGTACACCTTGGAAGTCTATTCATCCATCATCTGGAATGGTGTCACACGGTGCCGGGAACAACAAGTCAATGTTGCATACACTACGGAGCTGGACGACGAGCTCTTCAATGACCTCGGCTACAATCAACCAGCGTCGTCTCCTGTTGACATTGGACCAAGCCCAGGTGGTAGATGGGGTGAGGTGAAAAGTAGTAGTTGGCTTTGTGGCTGGAACTTCACGACCGATTTGTATCGGGTTCTGGAGCACGTGATTACCAACTTTCGTGACCAGAAGCGGCACAAGAGGACGTTTCTCAGCGATATGTTTGGTGACAAGACCGCCCCTTCCCCTACTTCTGTCCGGGACTCCATCATGACCTTATACGGTAATCTTCCGGGTTGCTTCAAGGAATTTCCAGAAGTGACATGCAATCCTTCCAGGTAAGATTCTTTCTGATGAGGAGCGTGGACAACCAATAATCTTTGTAGTGATCGATATGGATTTCAGGCCGCCAACATCACTGCCACAGTCCAGCTGCTTCGAATGATGTTGTTTGCGTCGGGTGGAGGTACTATCGAGGAACGCTGCAAAATAGCAAGCGAAGTCGTGGATGCATTCATGTGTATTCCGGTATCTTATCTAAGAGCAATCAGTTCACCACTTCTTCACCACCTTGCTGGAATTGGCGCCATCCTGGGCAGTGTTCTTGAGGAGCCTCTCAGCGATATGGCGTATCAGCAGGTCAGAGTTGTCTTACTGTCGCTCGCACAATTGTTGGAGAATCTCGATCATGGTATCCATTCAGCAATCAACGCTCAGCGCCTGCGGGACTTGGTGGCGCAAATCGACGACTACTGGAATCAGCTGCGTATTTTCGCTACGGGCGAGCCAAGTCCTCGGCCTAACTCCGCGAGTCCGAGTTATCACGATCTGCGGCATCCTGACGCACGGAGAACCATACCTTCTCAGTTGACCACCAGTATATTCGAAGACTGGCCGTGGAGTCTGGACCTCGTGCAAGGCACAGAGAGCTGGTCTCCCACGAATATAGTTTTAGATGTGTGAGATCGAGCGAAGATCGTGCCAATACCCGTGACTGATACACTGGTGGACTCTCAACAGGGATCTGTGAGAAACCAAATGAGTACATGGGGGCCTGACCGTGCGGAACAGCATCTCGATCTACCATTTACTATTTTCGGAACCCTGGATCGCCTCACTCGCATCGTAGCCATACAGCCACATCATCACGGCAGGCTGCGGCCACCTCGCATCCATGTCCGCTGGCACTCTCAGTTTTGCCACCATCAATTCGCGACCGACCTCACGAAGTCCACGCATATAATCGTCGGTAACCTTCCTGAACCGATCATCACGAGCTACCTGCTCAGGTCCATCGGGCAACATCCAGGAACTACCATTGTCCTTCGCTATCGTCGCAACACGAGCTACACGCGGCTTCCGAAGTCGTTCATACAGGCCGGCGAGACAAGGAAGATCGTCTAGGCTGTTCAGCCTGGATAGGAGCTCGCCGAGCACGGCTGCATCTTCCATAGCCATGGCAGCCCCCTGTGCCGCGTGTGGTGACATCGCATGCGCCGCGTCGCCAAGGAGCACTGTCCTACCAGACCGGCTTGACCATGTGCTTAGCTCGGGGATCTCAGCTATCGTCCACTTTGCACATTTCTCTACGAAACCAGTCAACTTTCGTACGAGGGGGTTGAAAGTGCTGAACTCGGCTCGGAGCTCTTCGATGTCACCCGGCTGATTCCACGATGTCACTGGCGTGTCGTCGTCCCTTGGTGACACCATGGCGAGATTGAAAAACCTGTTATTCGATATCGCATAGCCGACAATGAATCGACCTGGTCCGAACCATGCATGGGTTTCTGTACTAGCCATCAGCTTTGCCGTGTCTTCGTCTCTCAGCATTGCCTCGGCTGGTATCATGGCACGATAGTTGAATTCTCCCAGTGGGACTGGTTCTATCTTCTCATTGCCGATGATGAATCCCCGCGTCTTTGATCGTATGCCTGGCACCATTAGCAATCAGAACACGATTCCAGGAAAAGAGTGCGCTTACCGTCGGCACCCACAACAAGATCTGCTTCGATTGTTCTTCCGTCCATCAGGTGGACTTTGCCTTGCTCCGCATCCACCTTCTGGAGCTCACTGCTATATTCAATCGTGGCACCAGCCTTTCGAACCCCGTCGGCCAAAATCCGCTGACAATCCGGCCGGTAAATCTGCCAGTATCTTGCCATGTTGGATCTCTGTTACTTTTGGGACTGATAGTACAATACTCACGGGTGCCCGTATATCTCGGACGCATCTGGATTTTGGGAGCTCATGCCGATTTTGGCGTTGTCATTGTATCTCCTGGCCACCGACCATGCCGGGAGGTTACAGTACTCTCGAAACTCCGAGCTCAAGCCCCATGAATCAAGTATCCTTGTCGCGTTGGGACTGAGTTGGATGCCTGCGCCGTATTCCGAAAGACCTGCATTTCTCTCCAGCACCTTGACTTTGTGGCCTTTCCTTGCCAGGCAGATCGCGGCCGAGAGTCCTCCGAGGCCAGCTCCGATGATGACTATGTCTAGTTGCATCTTGGAATGTTCTGAACGTTCTGAAATCCAATAGAGGTGTGGTTGTTTATTAGTCGACAGCGAAAGCGCTGACCTCCCTAGTGGCTATAGTACATTAAATCATTGCACGTACAGTCGCATTGGCGACAAGTGAAATCTTCGGCATCACAGGTTTTGTCTCCTCACGTCCTGGCATGACGGTATTCTTCCGTTAAGCGGAATCCTATGCCATTATTGCATCTCATGAAGATTATTGCAAACGCCACTCCGTATTCCCCGGCATTTTTTGGTGTGTGGAGAAGCCGTAATGGTAGTCGGGCTAAATCCACATTGCACATCCAGACGTATTTGAATTGGGTCTGGGATAGTAGGACTAAATCCACATGCAGTCTTTAGATTGCGGCTCCTCCTTCTCCCCGGGTCCCGCGGATTCGGCTGAGGTGAGAAGCCATCTTATCCAACAACCCAGTGTTGTGTCAAGTTTTCGAGATATAAAAACATATTGGTGGAAGTCATACCGAGTGATATACCAGAGGGAGAATATTAACATTCAAGCAGACTACGAGGATTTGAACTCCAACTTAGAAGCAAGGGCGACATTTTGTATATTCGTCATGGCCACCACGAACAACAACACCAACAATATCGACACCGCCACAAATGAAAATGAACAAGTCTCGACTCCCTCCAAAAGTATCAAAAGGCCCGACGGCAAACGTTCATTCAACGGAATCAACCATTTGAAATTGGCGACGAGCGATTTGTGGAGGTGCCACGACTTTTACACCAAAGTTTTGCCCTTTACGCCTCTGCCTCAGTATCACCACTACACCCCCGAACATAAATTGTTCGCGGTCATGTTCGAACATTCCCCCACAAAGGTCATCGTCGAGGCGAGGTACCACCCCAAACAGGCCGAGGCCCAGAGGGGTTGGGACCCGGTAACCTGGGGAGTCGGCACTCGAGCCGACCTGGAAGAGTGGGCCGCCTGGCTGGACTCGAACGGAGTACCACGAAGCAAAATCATCACGGGCATCAAAGGTTGGGTCATGGCCTGTGAGGACCCCGACGGCAAGCACGTCCGACTCTACGTCGACGACGAGGAGCACGAGTGGACGGATCACCCCGACAAGGACGAGTACTGGTTGGGTGATCTGGTTGCGGATCCAAAGGCATAGGGAAGTACAGACAGAAGACAGTACAAAATGGATCAAAGTAATTCCGCAACAAGTGAGAAAGGAGGAAAGGTAAAAAGGGTAGAAGATGAATATTGGTAATTGTTGCACAGATCATACGTATTTCTGTTTCAACAAAAACTAACGAAGCACGTACACCAGCTTAGCAAAGGTCACAGATGGTGGCAAGTTTCCTAGACGATATGAGGTTCTTGGGATGCTTTGAATATAGGTCAAACTTGTATTTAAACACTTTTTTTCTTTTTGACAAAGACATAGAAAGTTATAGAAAGTTGTGATATTGACCAGTCCAAGCTGGGTACCATATCGTCACTTCTGCTCGCACCTCCTGGATGAGACATCGTGCTTCACAACGTGTACTTGAAATCCGGATGATGGTCCCCTAATTCCTTCATCTGCCGTTCGAATGACAGATGCTCACGACCGTGAAGTAGTTCTTCTCGTCCATCGATCTTCCTCTTGTTGAGATGTTTGAGGAGGAATATTTGTGCCACAGAGAGAACGATCACCGTGGCGAGAAGTGCGATGTTGGCACTGGTGGCGGGGAGGTACCTTGGAGCGTCCTTTGTCGGGTATATCCACACACCTAGGATGCCTCCGGAGTTGCTGACCATGAAGCCGACCGCAACGGCGGTTGATCGTTTACCGTAGGCTGCCATGTTGTTTGGGAGCCAGGCAAGGATGGTCGGCGCACACGAGTAGATGCCCGCAATCAGGAAGAACAGTCCCGTATACCTGTACTGGAGAGATGTGCCCGAGAAGTTCAAGATACAACCAATGGCTCCAAGAGCGGCGGTAACAATGGCGACCAAGCCGCGCCGGCGGTATCGATCCGCCACATAACCCGCCACAAGCGTAATTACGAGGGCAAACGTGAACGGTGGGACCGTCAGAAGCTGCGTCGCGGTCTTGCTGTATCCGAAAGTTTGGACCACCGACGGCGTAAAGTACGAGACTCCCTGAGCCACGGCACCCACGGCAAATGACATGACGGCGATCATTAAGAAGTGAGGTTCCGTCAAACATGCAAGGATGTCGCGTGCTGTGACCTTGGCATCGTCTTCTGCTTTCGTCTGTTTGTCGACCGCCATCCTTTTGACGTAGTATTCCTTCTGCTCTGCTGTGAAAGTGATGACATCCCTCGGAGTGCTGGGCATGATCCAAAGAGTTGCGAAACCCCAGCAGACGGTGAAGAGGCCTTCAATGAGAAAGATCCAGCGCCATCCAGCGAGACCGGCGAGGCCGTCCATTTGTTCGATCGCCGCTGCCAGAAGGCCACCAAAAGCTCCAGCCAAAGCAGCCGCGCAGTAGAGGATGGCAATTCTCTTTTGGATCTCGTGGCGCCGATAGAACTCGGCCAACACAACAACGTAACCTGGGAAGACACCACCTTCACACAAGCCGATGAAAAATCGGCAAGCGATAAATCCGGCATAGTTTTGTATCAGACTCTCGAGGGTGGTTACGATGCCCCAGCAGATGCAAAGACCCGGGAGCATCCAGCGAGGCCCGATCAATCTCAAGACCATGGCACTTGGAAGCTCAATGAGAATGTAGGGGATGAATGTAACCATCAATGCTGGTCCACGGGCTTTAGCATCAACAAACACAGAACAGGAGACAAAACAGGAAACATACATATCTGAAATTGATGATCGGTCAGGCGAAGATCCTTTTGTAGACCAGCGACTCTGGCATTGCCGACGTTGGCTCGGTCCAACAACAAAAGGATAAAGGTGCCGAACAAGATGGGTTGCAGTAACAGATCCAGTTTGTAAACGGCTTTCCTGTCGACCTCGGGGTCAAAGTGGAAGTTGAAGCTTTCCTCGTCTAGTGGACCACCCTGAGAAGCCACTTCCACCTGGTCGTCTTCGCCCATTTCTTTTCGAGGATCACTGTCGAGAATCATTCTCTGAGGGGCCACTGACATTCTTCAGGGATTCGAATAATAGGAGAGAGCGACACACACAGAGTGCGATAGGGAGAGAGTGTAAGGAAAATATCGTTCTTTCAAAAGCACCTTGTTGTATTCATATAGCACTCCGTGTCTTGTACGCATATATATAAACATTGCTCTGAAAGCCATAAGCGGTCAACATTCCGCACCAGACAACATCTTCCCCGTGGAGGAGGTGGTGAAGCAGAGTGTAGAGAAAGAAGTCGCCTCCCCGGGACTCGGGCAGAAATTGGCGGTGATTGGCCATGTGTACAATTCCCGGTGTGTGGTGAAATGCATCCATAGTTTGGGCGAAAACGCGGAGAGAAGTTGAGGACCACACACGTAAATGCAGAGAATAATCATCAGTTCCGTAGGACTCTGGCGATGCCTTAGCAAGTTGTAGGACAGGCTGAGGGAGCCGAGGGTGTATAGTCCGTTGTTTCGTAAGGGTCCGTGCTGGGAGTAGAACACAAACCGAGTGAACAATTGCTGGTCAATAGGCTGGAACTACTTGTTGTCGACAATACTATCAATGCTCCTTCTCTGAATTGAACAACGACCGGATAGGCCCGCTTATCTCGGACCCGCTGATTCTTGCACGAGGACTTTTGCGGGGTGCTGAGAGACCCTCGTCGGCCATTGTCCCTGGCACTCGGAGTCTCCGGCTGATGAGAAAGAGAAGCTTCGTTACTTCGCTAGAATGGGCTTCATAATCTTGTCACAGCATATTCATTTCGTTATGCTCTCTAAGTGATCAAATGTAGACTTGGATGCTGATCGATAGTTGGGTAGCTATCTCTGTCGGCCCCGCATCAACCTGACCACACTTTGATTCTCTGTCCTCCAGTTCAGAAATGACGTCTCATCGATTCGGTACAAAAGTCCCTTGTCGAGAAAAATCACAGAGTCGGCGCAGTAAGTGTTGTGTTGTACAGTTGCTCAAGCACAATCTGATGTTGTATTCAAGAGAGCGATACGCCAACTTGGCTCTGCGAGTTCTGCCAGAAGCAGTTTTATAGATCGTGGGTCTTAAAGCCCTTTCTTGACTAAGGATATTGCCTTGTCATGCTGATCGATCGTTTGCACAGGGACGTTCTCAGGAGACATTATCAGTCTTGTCCGCAGCGAGGCCAACGACAAATCCCACAGCGTTTGCGAAGAGGTCGCAGGAGGCAGGCATGCGATTCTTGCGCAAAACTAAAAACTTCTTGTGATCTCGATTGGCCCTGCGCGAATTGTCTCTTCTCGGATAAAACCTGCTCGTATCTTCGAATTCAAGCAGAAAAGCAGCATGACATAATTCCGAAGAGTCGGTCCGGCTCAGAGTTAACGACTTCACAACTCCCCAGCCAAGAAGACAAAGACAGTCATAAAATCTCGATTCCTTTTTTATTGAACTGGGCAAGTCCGTACCGAGGACTCACAGATACTTTTGAGCGTTCAAATGACATAGTTGTTGGCAATGAAAGTGTCCGAGTTGATAGCGGGTCGGGAATACTGGGCGAAATCGAGGGTACCACAGATACAGACGCGCGCGAATTGTGCACTTCCATCCACTCGCACAACGGTCTCCAAGATGAATGGCTTCCCCGGTGGTCCATACCCGACGACCTTTCCCTAGACAGCAGAACACTCGATGCCGGTGCGGACATGTCATTGCTTCCAATCTACGACCTAGACATCACCAGCTTTTCACCCACAATGTTTCTACCCCTGCAAGAAACGCAACAGTCACCACAAAGTCTGATACGAGCCAGTCAACAGGCAGAGATTGAATTCGTGGTCACTTTCGATCTGACGGGAAGAGATCTGCCTGCTGAATTTGCCGAGTCTCTAACAAAACTGACCCTCTCACTTCCCCGCGATCATCCGGAACATGCCCCGAGTATCAATCTTGCTTTGGGTATGATGATGATGACACAATCCAACATCGAAAGGTTTCTGGGGCTCTATTTCCGGCACTGGAACCGTCACAGTCCCGTGGTGCATCGCAGGACCTTCGACGTGGCGGATACATCGCTGGCGCTAGTTCTTGTGATGACACTCACTGGAGCGTTGTTCTCCTTGATACCCGACGAGGTATCTGGGGCCCAGTCGATGCTTGATTTGGCCGAGGAATTCGCATTCCACGATCCAGATTTCGAGAAACTTACCTCTGGCATATCTTCAGAAGGCCCTGACGGACGACGTCGTGCGCTGCAAGCACTACAAGCTTCGTTTTCTGCGGCTCAACTACAGTTGCGTCAAGGGAGCACGTGGAAACGGCAGCAAGTACGATCGGAGCGGTTCAATCAGATTATATTTGTATGCCTACCTAGTCATCGGACGAAGTATCGTTATCTATTGATCATGCTAATCTAACTGGCAGGCTCTTCGAACAATGTCATTACACAATTCGAGTGGCTACAACTACGACAGCTCGTTTGACCAAGACGAATTAGTTGCCTCAAAAGCCTGGGCCGAGAGAGAGTCTGGGCTACGGTAAGGCTGAGTCCCAACACGGATCCTCCTCATCGTTGTTGCTGATTGTACTGCGCAGTCTTGTTTACGGCATTTTTCACCTTGACGTGGCCTTTACAATATTTTACGATCAGACACCTCGTCTGTTCTTTCACGAAATCCAATTGAGTCAACCATGCTCTCAAGATGCGTACATGGCGGAGAGTTTCGAAAGTTGTCGTGAGATCTTACGCTGCGAAAACTCAAAAGGCTGTCCCCGGTTCCCCGAGACTGTCCTAGCCCTGGCCGAGGGTCGACATGATAGTTTCTCAACGATGGAAGATTTCAATCTTTGTTACCTGTTTTCGGTCATGTTTGGTGAGTTGAACCTCTGCCTATAGTTACGTGATTCTGACCCAAGAGACATTTAGGGTTTCTTCAGATTATCAGAAGCTCGAGGAGAAATGGAGCCTCCATGGAACGGCTGCAACGGGGGCTTCGGCTCTGGAGAGTAAAATGGGACGAGGCTGTACTTCAAATGACCCCGGCACAACAGCAGGCGAGTGGCTTCATAAAAACCGCAGGACCCGAATTCTGGCACTTGGCTTGCTACCTTGTCAGCACGTCAACATCAAGAGGTGATGCAGATTCTATTGGAAGTGGCGTCTTCATGGAGCTTTTCCAGAAGGCCAAAGGATGTCCATCTGCTTGATTGTGCATTCCTCTATGCCGATTCCTCATTCAGCACCGCTTCATTCGAACATTGAACGCACCGATACCTTCAATCTCTGCGTGGATTTGGTCCCCAGGTTTCAACCAGCAACCTCCGTGGGCGCCCGCGGACCCAGCCGGGGAGCCTGTGAAGATCAAATCACCCGGCTCCAGTGTAATGAACTCGCTCATGACCGACAACATCTCCTCGCACGAATACAGCATCTCACTCGTGGACGAGTTCATCATTTGCTTCCCGTTCACATCGAGGGTGAGTTTGAGATTGGTGACGTCCGGCAAGAATTTTGCGGGTACAAGAAAAGGACCGCACGGGCCCATGGTGTCTTGTGCTTTTCCGCGGACGAGATCGACAGGAATATCACCGCCGACGACTGTCAAATCCCGACAAGATAGGTCCAACCCGATGGTGTAGGCCGCGATGGCACCCTTGGCCTCTTCCACGGTCGCGTTTCGAAGACGCTTACCGACAACCATGGCGAGTTCTAGCTCCCAGTCGAATTGATTCGTCATTTTGGGAATCTCGACCGTTTCACCAGGTCCCACGAGACACGTGGTGGGAGGGCTGAGAAAAAAGGGCATGGTCTTCCACTTCGTCGTGCTCAATCCCATCTCTTTGAGGTGATCCGCATAATTCGCACCCACGCAGATGAACTTGTTCGGCCAGATGATAGGGGTGAGGAGGTCTGCCTCCGTGGAAGGGGTTCCGTGTTGAGGTCTGACGCCACCGACATTAGAAGCAATGTCATGAGCTAGAGTTTCGAGGTCTGGAAACAAGTTGGACCAGTTTTCCAGCAAGGACTTGACGCTGGCGTCGCGCAATCTGTTGTTCGACGAGATTTCGGATAGTTGGTAGTAGTTGTCTCCCACACCGATGGCTGCCTTGGGCCCAGCAGACGTCTGTAACGTCGCGAGTGTAAATCTTGTCATGTTGTGGACGTATCGTTTTGCGAGGGAATCTATTCACTATCATGACCTGCTTTGCCAGCGGAAGGCCTTGGACCTTTTTATGCCGGCCGCCATCAATAAGGGGCCTGTTGGGGCATGGTTTCGTTCTTTACATTGCCTTTTCATGACTAGTGTTTGTTGCATTTCCATGGGATTTTTCCACATTCCTGCATGAAGTGAAATTCCGGAAGGAAGCCTTTTTCCAGAAAGCACAAATGTTGAACATCGACAACGGATCTCCACTTGCTTGGGCTGATTCTCCACGGTCCCCACCGTTTTAATCGGACATTTCACACTTGGCGATAGACGGAGACCGTGGCATGAGATTGTTGTTGATGAAAGATCTCATGTTGTCACAATCAGTTGGTTCGAATAGTCCAGTGTTTCGCATACTGCAGAGGCTAAAGTTATCACAGATTTTTGCAAAGCACAATGGAAGATCCCAAGCCCACCCGGATCTGTTCTGAGCTCGGAACAGCTGTCTCAAGATTGCATGTTACAAGTCTGGCATATTCTATACTACCACCCTTTCACCATCTTCGTCATCTCCTTCTTCGTCGTCATCGTCATCGTCATCGTCATCAGGCATTGGCGCTAGGCCTACTACCACCCCCGGGACTGTCCCCTTGACCTCTGGAACTATTTCCACCACTGTATCTTTGTCATCTCTCATGTCGACAACCACTGGTGTGATGGTGACATCTTGGCCGGCACCACCGAGAAATTTCTGCTTCTCCCTCTTCGTCACGGGTTTGATGTTAGACGTGTACCAGAGGTCGTCGCACCATAGCCCATCCATTGCGAGTACCAACCCTCCTTGTGTCGTCTGGGCGCAGCAAAATTGTAATTTCAGTAGCATATTTGTATTGCAAAACTTGAACAAAGATCAATGAACTTACCATATTTTGTGTGACCCACGCCTCAGACTTCTGACTGTCCCACCACCCAGTCGTTGCCTCAACATTTCCCACGCCTAGAGCCTGTGCATTCACATTCAAAGTCACGTTGCGTTCGTTGCCCGTCAAGAGAGCCACGGCGCGGATATCGGTGACGTAAGTCTTGGTAACGAGCCAGATACCTCTTTTGAGCTTCGGGATGTTCTTGAATACGGCCCGGCCATTCTGCACCAGCCACTTGTACAGCAGGTGGGCTGGGGTAGCCTGATGATGGACAACGTTGCCTTTTGTGATCATCATGGCTCCATGTTCACCTTCCCTACGGAAGCCGATTGTGGCGCCTCCACCGGCAGGAAGCGCTGCCGTCCTTTTGGAATTACAATCAGAATGTCTCGAGGAATATAATGTTGCGAGTGCGAGTGCGGCGACCCGCTAAGAGGACATGAAGGAACTTACTGCACGTTTGCTCCCACCGTCGTCTCCAGCCGCCTCATATTTTCCGACTTTCGCAGGGGCCATCGCTCGTCTCCTGGGTCGGGGGCAACGCTGACTCCTTCAATGTAAGTGTAACCAGCATTCTCGACTGCGTTTTTGTCGGTTATGTCGACAATTGGCGCCCAATCTCCGTTCGAGTCGAAGTAACCGCACATGCCTGGCCGCACCTTCGCTGTGGACACTTTCTTCCAGAACGCCCATCCCTCAGGCTGGTACTTGAAGCAGTTTGCGAAGATGACATCCCAATCTTTCTCTCGAGCCATTGTGTCTTTGACTCTGAACTTGCTTTAGTATACTCGCACTTTTGGTGTTCCCCAGGAAATAAAAGCGCCCACAGCGGCTTTAGTTCAGGCAGAGCACGTTGGCTACCGGCGGGCAAACCCTGCGTTGGCATTAACAGGGGATACGACAATTCGTTCGACTTGTTGTGTTGGCCCGCCGATAGCAGCAGTTTTTCATCCATGTTTATGCAGGTCTCGCTTTGTGGCGTGCCTTCATTGGTTCTGGACCCCGTGTAAGGAGCGACATTGGGATAGTATCCAATCGAACGGCATGAGCGAGGCACCAAGTGTTCCGTTTCAGTGGTTAAAACACACCTCAAAAGTTACTTGTGGCTAGCTGAAAGTACAAGGGTCAGGCATGTAATGCAGGCAAAATGCGCTCGAAAGCCTCCTCATTTGGTCACAATCTGGCTGATAGATGCTGTCAGCCTCAGGCCCATGTCCCATGTACGTATCAACTGAACTCTTCGTTGCTATTGAAATTCAAACAGAACCGAGGCCTGGTGAGGCTGCAGCCACAGGATCGGTAGTTGGTTCACTCATTTTGCCCTTCCCGAGCACGAATTCTGTGTCATGATTTAGTTTTCGCCGCCACCACTTTGTTAGCCAGGTCCAAAGTCCCTCCTGCACACCAAGGCGCTCCATTACCTCCTCTTTCAGAATCGGCTCGACCCAGAGAAATCGGAGTACGCCTATGGCCACAGCTGTGAAAGGGAGAGCGAACGCCAGCCAAATCGCCAGATAAGATACCTGGTTGTCACCAAAGATACCGGCTGCCATCAACGACTGTGTTGTGTATTTTGGATCGTCAGCTTTCTAGCATTTTGGTCGTCTGCAGGTGGGTCAAGCAGGAGGAACACTTACCGAGACGAATATTCCAGGCAGAAACAGCACAATCACGTAGGCAGTCCCTCGGAAATGGTTCTGCGACAGATATTGCAATTTGGCCGAGCTGAAGGCGATAGTAGTTTGCTGAGAGATTGATCTCTTGCTCAGTATCTCAACAAGCTGGTCGTTAAGAAGATTTGCCTGCCTTTTGTGGCTGTTCAATATCCATTCAAGCTTTTCAAGTTGATGGCGTAAGTCTTCTTTAATTCCAAAGCTTCTGGCCGCACGCGAGTTCATAGTCCAGGGACCCTTGGCCATTTGGGTCATATCTGCGATTGTTGAGAGATTAATTGATAAGCCAATGAGCATTAGCTGTAGAGTCGACAATAGCACTGCCGGTGGGGGTTCTTGTTGAGCCACCATGTCTGATCTCTGCGCAAAGATATCAGATTTCCACAAGACGTGTAGAATTGGGAGGGACGGGTACCATTATGAAGATGTTTCTCTCGATGTCTCGCAGAGCTGCCGTCCATCCAATTTTGCAAAGATTCAGCAGGTTAGCCACACCCATGTCCTCTCTGCGATGGCTGTCTTCACCTTCGCCATTAAGAAAAACCAAGACTGAATCATAGTCCTCCATAAGAAACCAAATTGGCTTATCTTCTTCGCTGCTTAATTGATGGAAAATGGTGATATGATTGACCACCCAGCAAAGTATATTCGTGTCACGACGGGGTTGCGGACAGACATTTCTCAATGAGAACAAAATCTTCATCTGCGCCTGTCTTTCAGGGTCCATGGCTATTCCAAAGGTGTAGGTTGTTTCGCAGATCTTGGAGAATTGCCCCATCTGAGAAAGGATGCCTAAGATTGCCGGTTTTATATCAAGTTCCGATACGAGCGTTTCGAGATCTCGAATTACGCCGCTGGCTACATGTTCCTCTGCAGGACTTCGTGCGGTCAAGGAAGCGAGACGGTGAACAAGGCTGAGAGTCCTGATTGTCAACCGAGCTCCACAGACTTCCAACTCTAGACTTACACGACTGACTGTCTCGCGGGCATGCCTAATCTTCGTCAAGCTCAGAACATTTGAATGGTTCTTCTATAGTCTTGCTTGGGGCTCACCATCAATTTGCATCCACGGTCTGGAAACATCGCTCGTTCCGGCAACGAAATGCGATCTTCGCCGAAAGAATCCTTCATCATCAGTCATGGCTGAAGTACTTCGTAACAAACGAATAAATTTATCTCTATCGAAATGGAAAGACGCGTTGATAGCGCGCGACCACTCCAAGTCTTCATCATTTATTACAGTAAGGAAAGAATCCATTACTCAGATGTGCGGCTGAACGATGAAGCAGAATGATTAGTTTTGAGGCTGAGTGCGATGGTGGTCGTGCTTTGCCAGCGTTCTACCAAGATGCCCCCCTCCTTTCTTGGCAGACGATGCGAGTACCCTTTATGCAAGGGTCCGAATTAGGGCAGCCTACGCTTTAAATCTGTCATCCTCTAGAGAAGAACGCAGCCTTTTTTCCACTAGGTTTCAAGCGTTGTGAGCATAACATTAATCTGGATTCAGAGGGCGGATATACATTGACTTCCGCTGTGATATGTAGAGGACGGGTCCCCAGAGATACCCTACAATACATCTCAACTCAAGACCCGCTGAGACCCCTGATCTTATCTTCACATACCTTTTCCTGCCAGAATTCTGCGGACTTCACGATTGCCCACCATGTCAGTCTTCTTTGCCACCATATCTTGAAAGCGGGAATTTGGCATATTCTTCACCAATTTCCCCCAGCCTCGCCCCAGCCAAGGGTCGGAAGACACCAGGTCATTGACTGCAGTCAATGTGTCCGAAAGCACGGCCATGCTTTTGGAGTTCCTGCCATTAGTCTGTCGTAGCAGCAGCTCTCTTTTCGCCACAGCTCGCTCGCGTTCCACCAGCCTGCGTTCTATCAGCCGGACAGACTCTTCGTGTCTGCGTTTCCTCTCTTCTGCAAGTTTCTCCCTCTCTTCGAGCTCCCTAATTTTGTCTTCTGCGAGGTTCAACCCGACTTGATGTTGCTTGAGTTTATCCTTAGCGACATCAACTCCGTGATCAAGCTCTTTGACCTGGACTTCCGCGACTGCCGCATCGTTCCTAAGCACCATCCGTGCGAGATTCACTTTGTGTTGTTGATACCGAACTCTCTCTTCTATAACGTCTGCCTCATGCTGAAATTCTGCGAGCTTTAACTCAGCATAATACTGCTGCCGCGTAATTTCATACTTGACAGAATTTATCTCGTTCTTGAGCTCCTTGAGCTTTGCTTCCGCGAGACCCATGTCCATCTGCTGCTGCATGACTTTCTGTTGAGCAGCCTTTACCTCTCCCTCCAGCTCTTTCATCCCAGTCGCAGTGACGTTCACTTCATTCTTCAGCTCTTTTAGTTTCTCACCTCCGGCATCCACCTCTACTCGCTGCTTCAACAAATCTCCCTTGACGGCTTCCACCTTCCTCTCGAGCACTGTTCCCTCGAGAATTTTCCATTCCCTATTACTCACGTCTAGCTCCCTTCGCATGAGCTCTAGCTCTCGTCGCTCAAGCCTCCTCTCTGTTCGATTGATTTGGTCCCCCTCAGAACGCCCTCTTTCAATAGCCATGGGGTTCATTCCTGCAGGCTCAACTTGGAATCCACGCTTCGAAAGTGCTTGGTCAGCTGGAGTAATACCTATCGCCCGAGTCGGTACTGCCACTGAGGGTCTGCGTTCATCCAGTGTCGTCTGCTTTTGCTTCGCTCTCACGAGCGGGGAGAAAGCGGTGGCGACTTCTAACGCCCCTGCAGCGCGGCCAGGAGCTAGAAGATTGTCAGAGTGTACGACACCTAGATTCTCATATGAAGTGTTGTGCTGGACCGTTTGCCAGAGCCAAATGGGGACAGTCACCAGCAGGATGCTGGAGTCGCTCTCGAATATTCCGTGGCAGACCACCTTGCTCGCAACGTTCACCTCGATGCTGGCAATGTTCGATGGCCTGTGTTCGAACATATCCATCCAGTCCGCATCTAGGAGCTGCTCGGCAGGATTTCGCAAACGTATTTTGATTAGAACTCGGACATCGGACAGATCCGTCAGGTTGTTGATGGTGTCCTGCCACAGTCTCGCCTGTGATGTGATCGATGCAGTAGACGAGCCAAGGCCGGAGTCGGTGTCCGCACCTGCTGCAGTAGCGCCGGTCTGCGGAGAAGACTTCCAATTCATGTCTTGGAGGAAAATGCCGGTTCGAAATGAGGGTCCGGAATACCGGCGCCAGAGAGGTGCTTGGACGAGTTTGTAGTGACGTGTCTTCTCCGTAGAAGTGAGAAGAGTATAGTACCAATTGGCACCTTGGCCGCTCTGCCTGGCCCGTTTCCTGAGTTCCTCGGCCAGGGCGGCCGTGAATGAACTCTTCCTCATAGCTGACGCCTCTTCTAGAGCGCTAGAGGCGCCGAGGATTTCAGACCTTTGGTTCCAGATTTCGTATTCGCCTTCCTGAATCATGGCGAGGGCGTAACAGCAGTCGAAGATGAAGAGAACGTCGGCGCGCATGTTCATCAATATCGGTTGACACTGTCGGAATTGCAAACGATGAGTCGGGCTCGATTGCGTCGGCTGCCACACGTACGGCGCCGCTGTATCTCCGGGTTTCTTGCCATCCAGAGTACCGCCGTGTCCGACATAGTACAAAATGAGGAGGTTTGATTCATCCTGTTTGCTGACTATCCGGATCGCCTCGTCCAGTTTGTCCTTGAATTCGTTATAGATGTCGACATTCGCCTTTTTGGAATCGGGGTGGTTGTCGAGAATATGGGTCTCCACCTTGTAGTTGTAATCCTTGAAAACAGCTCCTAGTTCGTCGGCATGTTTCCTCAAGTGGCTAACATCGCTCACTTCCCAATACGCCATGAGGACCACGACATTTTTGTACTGTACGTCAACCGCCGGCAATTTCCTCAAAGCGTTGTTCATATCATCCCTCCACGTCTTCAGATTATCCAGATGGTCCTTTGTTGGCGGGATGCAGCCGCATTCCACAAGTGTTTTACCCGTAAGAATTGCATTGACAGCCTCGTCATCTGGAACAGACTCTCCCTCGGCGACGTTGTCATTGTGCTGTTGTTCTTCGCTCTGGCGACCCAACTGCTCGATGTCGTTCTGCGCAACTTCCATAATCCTACCAGCCTTTTCGGCACCCGAGTCAGGAGTCGCGCTACTCATAGTGACATGTTAAATTGTCTTGGGCCTCGTGCTGGTTATGTCTCGGCTAGATATCAATTTGCGAACGCTTCTCAGTGGAAGAGCTATAACAACGCTGGCAGCTCTACCCAACTCTCTCAAGTCCCCTCAGGATCCTAGAATCTTGGACTCCGAACCTAAGAACGGGACTGAGCCATGGCTGATAAAAAGAACAAACAGAGTGAGTATCGGGCTGCCCGAGTGGGCTGAGCAGCTGACCGTCAGGCTGAGCCCAAGTTGAGGAGGGTCACATGACATCAAGTAAAGCGGCAATATTGGCATTTACATAAACGGTTGCCAACGCGTGCTCAGCTTGACTGCAGAACACCGAGTCACCTTGCTCCAGTGCGGTGTTAAAATAAGAGGATGTAATATTGAAGATATCCGCGTAGACGCCTATAGATCTTTATCGGGTAGCACCCTTGATCGTCGCACGTCATACAGTGGTAACCTCTTTATCCACAGTTTTCGAATCCCTAGGATAGCTAAGCTGCCCTTCTTTCTCCTCGGAATCCGTCTCTTCCAGCAGTGATACACCAAGCTTGGAAGCTTCCTCACTCGTAAAAGTACTGTAGTAGTCCATGTCGTCGTATGCACCGAGACCTTTGGGTGGGAATACCTTATTCAATCCATAATAGAGGGTGAAACTGATTGCCAGGCCCAATGGAAATGCAAGATAAAACATATCCATGCACGCTTTCGGGACAACCACGGTTTTATTGACGTTGGCAATGAATCCAGGCAGCTGTGGAGCCCACCCACAAACCCATGCCACAAAGGCGCGGGGGTTGACGCCATGGAAGTAATAGTAGATACCTGCCGGAGAAGGAGTATACAGGTCCGTCAACTTGATCTTTCGCGAGCGGATGAGGAAGTAATCGCAGATCTGGATGCCGCACATAGGTCCGAGAAACACGGAGTCTACAGTAAGAAATAGTCATTAGCTTTCTTGCCGGCCCGGGGGGGATCATGTCGAATCATCGGATATAGGGACTTACAGGCACCCATGACACTGATAAAAGTCCCAGCTGACGCAAGTAACTCCCATGGACACATGGCAATCGAGATGATCAAAGCCAAGTATGCTCCTCGCCTGATGTTGAAGAACTTGGGGAATAGACCTGCCAGATCCATACCAGCGGAAAAGGCATTGTCGATCGTGTTGATGGCCAACTGGCAAACCACCAGCCCACAGCCACCAAAGAAGGCAGCAGCTCGTGACTTGGCATTGTAGTCGGCATCGAGCCAGTGAAGGAGAAGGTCAGGTGGATTCCAGTAAGCTTGACCGTAGAGTTGAATGGAGGCTGAACTTGTGAGGCAGCCGAACAGAGGCAGAATTGTGCCCAGTGTGAGAATGGAGAACCACTGCCCAAATATCTGATCGCCCGGCTTGCGAGCGAATCGAGAATAGTCGGCTTGGTTTGTGAGCCCGACAGCAATACCCCCAATGACCGTCGTTATGCCCTGCACGATGGCCCACCCTAGTTGACTGCCGGATTGAGCCTGCGCAGGGGCCGACAAGAGAGGGCCACCTCCGTGAGCTGTAGAAAGGACGTAAATCATCATCGAGATGAGTGTGACAATCGAGATGGTGTTCATCACGAAGAGTAGACGCCTCGTCTTTTCAGGGGGGATGTAGAGCATCGGTATAGTTATGATGTTGTATACAATCCACCCAGTCAACAACTTCGTGGTTGTGTTTGCAGACTCGGGTAGTGTGTTCTTCATATGGTGGAAGGAGGAGAATATCGAGCTGAGTACTGCAGACACGCAAAGACCACCGGTCCAGGATTGTACGCAGAACCAAGTCAGACTCAGAACAATACGTTGGACAATTATGAGATAGGCACCCCAGACACCCCAGATCCCCCGCGAGAGGACCGGGAAGCCAATGTGCCAGGTCGCACCGACCATACCATTGCAGATTGCAACTCCAGCCATGATGATTTTGCCGATGATGACCGCGATCATAGTCTGCCACACCGACAGGCCGACGGCAATCAAGGAAGCACCCAGTTGCCAATTGCTCAGAGCGATTTGGTTGATTGCCCAGAATGACAAGTACGCCCAGGTGTCCCAGAGGCGCCGGGAGGGAGGAAGCGGTCGGATATCATCGTTGATCCAGACTGACGACTCTCCAGGGAGCCGCAGGTGGAATTGTCGTGACTTGAAGCTTGGTATCTTCATGTTGCTGAGCTTAGGAAGAGGATTGCAGTACAAGGCGTGGACGAGGCTGCTCTACGATTTATGTGCGGTGGGCGAGGAATAGAAGTAGCATTTCTTTTAGGACTGCCTAAGGCCTGTTATACTGGCCCGATGGAATGATAAGTCGATGTATTCACTCCATGTGAGCAGATAGTTGAGGAGGAACGTTATCGAACGACCAGACCATAAGAAAGCCACAAGATAGGGAATATTGTCTGAAAGAGTGTAATGGTAAAATGCAATATTCGTGATACAACGGAGGCTCTAGACCCAGATTGCGAGGCAACCCGTGCGTAGCCTGCTACTGGGTTCGGAAGCAAACATATTCGTTGTCTAGGCTAGGCCACGCCACCCCTAGAAGATAACCTTTCTTTCAAGCCATTTTGCTTTCGCCATGCCCGGGACGTTTTGTGAAGATGGGGTCGTCGCCTATCTCGGCAGATGAGCAGCCAATAATCAAGGCTGAAGAGAGGCGGATATCAGCGAGGTACCTATCTGAACCTATCAGTGATAATCTAGAACGAATCAGAGCACATCGGAGGAAAAATGAGGGACCAAATCTCTGGGCTGATCAGCTTGGCCGAAGTGTGGAGCCCCAGTCTCCCTCATTGTGAACTTGTTCCGGTCCGTTTTATGGTCCATGCGTATTCGTTGGGCCAAAAAAACACACATACAAATGAGAAGACGTAAACTCTGCCATTCCTTCCAACCTATCCTGGGCGTAGGAGTGAGAGGATTGCTTATTTCGATCTGGCCCATACACAACCCCTGCATGCAGTTTACCTAACCAGCCCTCGACGAAAGGTATCTTGGACGAAAGGTTATATTGATATCAATCTCTGGCAAAGTTGGTCTTCCATAGCAAAAAGAAACCCCTGTGAAGCAATGGGCTCAATAAGGACAAAACGGGCACTTAGGATCGGTGTCGACGTTGGTGGCACCAATACCGATGCTGTGCTGCTCGACCTGGACGCTGTTGATCAGCCAGACCGTGGAGTCTTGGCCTTTCATAAAACACCAACATCGAGTCCTAATGTTACAGATGGCATTGAAACGGCAGTAGGGAATGTTCTCGGTCAAGCGGGTGACTGCATTTCTGAAATCAGCTGCCTTGTCGTAGGTACGACGCACTTTCTCAACGCTGTGATCGAACGCGATAGGCATCGACTTTCAAAGGTTGCCGTAATTCGACTGTCAAAGAGCTTTACCAAAGACATCCCACCTTTTTCGGATTTTCCGCCTGCATTAGCCAGCATTCTCCATGGGTATCATGCGTTCATCGATGGCGGTCTTCACATTGACGGCTCCCAGGAAGCCCCAGTCAACGAAATGCAAGTCTTAAAGGAGTGCGAGACGATCGAGAAGCTAGGAATCAAGGCCGTTGTTATCTCAGGCATATTCTCTCCCATCGACCAGCACTTCCACCAAGAGCAGTCCGTTCGTCGAATCATGCAAGAACGATTACCTGATGTAGACATCGTCTGCTCTTCCGAGGTTTCAAACATTGGTTTGTTGGAAAGGGAAAACGCGTCAATTTTAAATGCCTCAATCATGAAGTTTGCTCGACGCACCATCCGGGGATTCCGCGCTGCCATGAGACGTTTGGGCCTCGACTGCACTCTTTTCATCTCCCAGAATGACGGCACAGTCATCGACGCCCACTTGGCTGCAAAGTTACCCATCAAGACGTTTTCTTCGGGTCCCACGAACTCCATGCGTGGAGCGGCATATCTGGGTCTTGGAAGAAGGGGAACGCCAGGTGAGACGCACACTGCGACAATAGTAGTTGACGTCGGTGGTACGACAACGGACTGTGGTGTTCTGTTACCATCGGGTTTTCCTCGCGCTGCGGCTGCCTATGTCAATGTGGCTGGAGTGACGATGAATTTCAGCATGCCTCATTTAGAGTCTATCGGCCTAGGAGGTGGGTCGATAGTTCGTGAACGAGGGAATGATGTGTCTATTGGGCCGGACTCGGTTGGGTACCAGCTGACTGAAAAGTCGAAAGTCTTTGGCGGAGACACTTTAACAACAACTGATATTGCAGCGGCAGGAGGCCTTGAAATTGGAGATGGATCCTTGGTTGACCATATCACACCCGAAATGATTCAGCGCGTCCGGGCCAAGACGAAGAAAATGCTTGAACGTGTTATCGACCGACTCAAGCTCACACCAGCGCCCCTTCCACTACTTCTAGTTGGTGGAGGTTCTATTGTTTGCCCTGAAGAACTCGATGGCGTGTCTCAAGTGGTGGTTCCGAAATTTCATTCCGTGGCCAATGCCGTCGGGGCTGCAATCTCCAGGGTTTGTGGATCAGTGGATGCTATTTACAATATTGCAGAGGCTCCATTGTCAGAGGTGTTGGAAGATGCAAAGACTCAGGCTCTGGCAAATGCAGTCAAGGCCGGGGCTGATGCAAGTAATTTGAGTGTGGTCGAACTTGACACTCTTCCCATCCCATACGTCTCCGGACAGCTTCGAGTTATCGCGAAAGCCGTTGGCGATCTTTCGCTGGATTATGTCGCTGAAAGCAAAGGTCGCTCCGAAACGGAGACCGAGGTGGAGGAGAGCCTTATGGAGGCGACAAGAGATGTGAATCCATCCATGAAGGAAGAAAGCGGTATCGGCAAATTTGACTTTGATGCTTATCGCCCTCTAGTCAAGCGCAACGAAAAATCTGGCGTCCCAGAATGGTTTGTCTCGGAAACTGATATCGAGTGGCTAAGCATAGGATGCTACATCTTGGGATGTGCCGGTGGTGGCTCACCCAAATCCGAATTCCTGAAGCTTCGAGATCAATTGCGTGGAGGTTCGTCGGTTCGCATCATTGATAGCTCGTCCCTGCAAGATGATGCCACAATCTACTGTAAGTTCGGACGAACTCAGTATTCTCTCTTTTCAATTGCTAACACGACCGTAGGGGGTGGAATGATGGGTTCACCAGCAGTGTCAATCGAGAGGCTGAATTCGTCGGAATGCATAACTGCTGTGGGAGACCTGATGGAATACATGGGCCATCAATCATTCGATGCCATTATGGGTCTGGAAATTGGAGGTGCTAACGGGCTCGAGCCTCTACTGATCGGATCTTCGCAAGCATTCGATCGACCAGTCATCGACGCTGACTGGATGGGTGAGTGCACCAACTAAGCCACTTCCGACCGAGTGAGAATTTCACTAACGAGCTAAAGGTCGAGCATATCCGACATATTGGCAAACAACGATCGCAGTACACGAAAGTGGACAGTTGACTCCATGCGCAATTGCTTCAGGTGACGGGAAAACCATCATTATGACGAAGTCGCCCGACGATGAGATAGTGGATCGTGCCTTGCGGGCATCCTGCTCAGAAATGGGGTCCAGAGTTGGAATGGCAGCTAGGCCAACAACGACAGATCGTGTGAAGGCATTTGGAGTTATCAATACCTTGTCTCTAGCCTGGCGTATTGGTAGGACAGTAGCACGGGCTCAACAAGAAAGCACCATCCATACTGTTGCTGAACAGATCATTGACGAGGTTGGAGGCCCAACAACAGCAAAGATTTTGTTCCGAGGTAAGATAACTGCAGTGGAGCGAAGGATTTACAAAGGACATTCATACGGAGAGATCACCATCAGTCAAACCGACAAAGATGAAGAGGAAGAGGGACATGAAAAGCCAGCGGTCGCTCAAGGTGGTGTAGTCAAAATTCCGTTCAAGAACGAGAATATATACGCAAAACACATCGCCGATGATGGTACCGAAACGTACCTAGCAACGGTGCCTGACTTGATATCTGTTCTCGACACACAATCTGGGTGTGCCCTCGGCGTTCCGGAATTTCGATATGGTCTGTTGGTGACAGTCCTAGGAATAACATGCTCACCACGTTGGTCGAACACGAAGAGAGGCTTGGAGTATGGTGGGCCGGAAGCTTTTGGATACAAGATCGATTACAAACCCTTGGGGGTGTTTGTCGAACCCAAGAGCGTGGTTCTGGAGTATGCCGACGCCGTTGCTTAGATATATAATGCAAGAGAAGAGACCAATAGCGAAATGTTGCACTCTTAATACTCTAGATTCTAGCAGGCGAGAAGAAATTCCAGTAGGAACTTGGAAGAGCAATTCGTCTCTTGTTGCGTCACCGTACCCCACTAAGCCTATAATAGACTAGTCACCCACGGTGGAGTACTTTTCATTTCGTCCGCAGATTGAACTTCTTTTTCATCCCTCCCCACCATTCAATATCCTTCTCATCAGACTGCAATCAATATTGACATTATTGCAGACCAGTTCCAAGATCGACTTGCTATACGGATGCTCTATAGATATAGGGGCTGCCGACGTCTCCTCTGACCATGTCATTAACGCGAGTTCGTGGCGCGAGAGGATGACCGGCTAAATGTGGCAGACTCCATCTCTATCAACAGCCTCTCCTCCGACGGGGGTACCCCATGGGTCGCTTGAGGACCAAAGGCCTGCACCGATATACTATGCCCCACGGAGAAAGCAAGCGTTCGTCACTCCCACTTTACTGACTAGCGAGTACTGCTGATTCAAGATTTAACACAACAGATGCACACGATGCCACTCGAAAAGAATAAAGTGCCTGGGTGGTAAGCAAAGCTCTGCGGGAAACCCCAAATACTCAAAGCTAATATTAATGCAGGTGTGCCATGCAGAAACTGTTCACTTTCCAATTCGCCATGTATATTTCCACCTCAGCGCAAGTCTCGCAGTTCAGTTGGTCAGTCAAGTCCGTTTCTACTGTCCAACAGCCTCGGAGAGAGTCAATCTGCGATATCATCTGCCATCAACGGCATCTTACCCCCCGCAACCTCAAAATCAGGCAACTATCGCCGCTCAGAGAAGGACTTTAGCTCAAATCGATCCAGCAATAGCAACCAGGCATCGAGGCAGACCTACTGTGCCAGTCCTTCCTGCCGGACATTTATCGAGCAGTTTGTCAATTGGGCAGCGGTACAAAGGGCCCAGCTCACTACCTTTGCCGATGATTCCTTTGACCCAGAATGGGCTTCGCTTGGACATTCAGAGTTTGGCCCGATGCATCCCGGATTGGAAATATCTATCGAAACCGAGGTCTCTCGTTCTTCGGCCCTGACGGAATCCAAAAGGCCGATCAAGATTCGTCTGCCACCGTATAACCACAGTATCTATCTGATCCAGTGCGCCGAAGCTGCCATTGGCCACGATCAGCATTACTTTCGACGACGACATCTTCGGGCCAGAGTCCGCCAAATGTATGAAGATCCAGAGTCTAGTCGAAGTAAAGATCATGGTTGGCTATGCTATTGGCTTGCCGCACTTGCACTCGGAGAGCTATACAAGGGCAACGGAGGCGCCAGTGGTGCTAACAATTCTCTTGACGTCGACCCCATATTATTGGATACGGCCAAAGAGCCTCCAGGTTCTGAATATTACCACCAGTCCATTGCTTTTCTCCAACAGGTGGCCGAAAATCCCGATATACAATATATTGAGACACTATGCTTACTGACCATGTACGCCTTTTCCATGGACAAGATCAACACAGCTTACATGTACAACGGTATCGGGCTGCGTGCGGCATTGTCATTGGGCTTGCACCGAAGTCACTTGGATTTCCCATCAGATCGCTCAGATCTCACTGTGGCGGAGCTCGAATATCAGAGACGGGTATTTTGGACCGTTTACTACCAGGACCTGTAGGTTCACCGAAATCATTCATTTCCCTACAAGACGAACTAACCTCCTTTCCTCCCAGGCTCACCACAACCACTACCGGTCGCCCTTGGGGAATCTTGGATGACGAAATCACCATCGAATACGCTGATTCTAGCCGTCTTGCTGGCGACTCACTACTAGATTTCTTCGATTCCGACGAGTCCAATGCACACCTAGAACTGATGCGTCTAAGAGGACAGGCGTATTCTTCCTTGTACGGCTACGCGGGTACTGCTATCAACCCATATTCCCATATATCGTTGTTCAACTTCGACCTGGGGAATTCTCTGTCGCAGCAGCACCTGGACAAAATAGATGAATTTCACCAAGGTTTAATCGCATGGCAGCAGGAGCTTTTGCCGAAGATGAAATTGCTTCGAAGCTGGGACGGCTCGTTGATGAATCTGAATCGGGTTAATGCCAGTCTACATCTCATTTATCACCAGGTATGTTCTCACTGCCCAGAGATTCTCCTCGTCACCTCGCTGACATATACAATAGACCATTCTTGTGCTTCTCAGACCGGCATTGGTCAATATCCACAATGACAGGTTTGATGCGCGAAGTAAAGGATTTACGAGTGTCATTGACCTTTTTCCCGGATCCAAAACAATGCTGCAAGCATTCTATTCCGCCACCTTGGAATCCGCCCGTGAAACTGCCAGGATTCTGGAATGGTTGCAGTACCAGAGTATTCTTTGTTAGTTCACCCTGCAAGCTGTTATGGTCTTGGCGAACCATGCTAATCAACGTTTTGTCTAGCGATTCATTCCTATTTCGATGCCAGCTACGCATTTACTGCCGCCATTGTCTTGTATCTTACCAAGCAACTACGAACGTTCACGTATCCTGGACTGGATCCGTTGTTATTCACCGACGATGACCAGTATGCGTTGGACACCGTGCTTCGCATCCTTCAACTTCAGAGTTCGGCGGGTAACATCCCGGCGAGAGACTTCGAAAAAAGACTGCGACTGCTGGAGAGCAACCTTTCCGCTCTAGAAGCAGCGCTCGCGAACCACGTGTGCTTGGATGAGCTCAACTTTGACATCGATCATTTGGATGCACGGATGCCGTCGTTGACGGGGCCTACGGAGACACCCTACGCAGGCCCATGATCGTTTAATCACAGCACTTGGTCGGCCTTAGATGCGTTCAATTAAGAAGGCCGCAACCGCCAGTCATGTGAGCCGCTAAGCGTCGCATCTGCTTGTGTCTGGCCATTCACTCCTCACTAAGAATCGTGGCTATGGAAGTGAATGCCCACCTACGGGTTTTGGGGGAAATCCAATTGTCCCATGCTGATTTTCTCGGCTTTTTGCTTCGCCGCAGCAACCTCTTGGTCCATGACACCCCAAGCAAAAGGCCCATCGTCGATGATAGTTGCTCTTCGTACGTCACGAGCAGTCATACTCGCGGTATATGGATTGGCGCGGTGCATCGACTGGCTATATATTATCACACGTCAGCATTGTCCATGACCTAAGATGCACTTATAGACAGGTGCATGTTGCTAGGATCTGGGCCAAGTCATGACATCAAATAGTGAGGGGTTGCTCCAGGCCACGAACTTACCGATTGTCCCACCAGACCATATCGCCACCATCCAACCACTCCATGCTGAAGACATATTTCGGTTGCGTACACCAATCAATCAATTTCCAAATCAATTTTTGACTGTCTTCGTATGACCATCCCACGATGAGCTTGGCGTGGGCAGCAATATACAGTGCCTTCCGCCCTTGTGCGGGAGCTTGTTGAACCAAACGGTGGTACGCGGGGGGTTTTGTCGCTCGTTCTTGCGGCAAAGGCTCTTTGAAGATTGTCGGCGATCCTAATCGACGCGAATGCCAGAGACTGTGTGTCGACGAGAGTAAGAACGTCAGTTTGAGTGTCAGACGGAAACTAAGAGTGGTGGATAGCAAGGACAGAAGGGACAATGCCTTACTCATGCTCCACCACCAGGTCATCTAACATTCCCTTGACTGCTTGCGGGAGGTCTTCGTATGCTTGTCGCGTGTCGGCAAAATGCGTCCAGGACCCGCCCCTAGCAGGAGTTCCGTGTGACAAGAGAAGAGAATACTTGGAGCGTTCTTGGTGGTATGAGGAGTCCTGTATCGATCATCAGCCAGGAATCTGCAAGAGGTTGACTGCCACTAGGACTGCCACTAGCAAGACCAGAGCACACTCTGGGAAACCACCAGTGTTGATGGCGAGAACGAGGTGAAGAGGAGCTTCTTACCGTGTGCCACAATGCATTTCCGAGGCTGTGGTGCCATCTGCGAGAGTTTGGTTGCACAATGCTCCCGTCTCGATTGATACTGTAGATTGAGATGCAAAAACTATGATCAGTCCTCGGAACGGGGCTTGAAAATAGCGCAATTTGTGGGAATGATTGTTTCTCTCAGTTGAAGGGTAAATGACATACTTGCTAACGTCCCAAAGAAATGGGTCTCCTATTCGATCGTTCTCACGACCATAAAAGAAGGGATTAATTTCCAGTTTCTGCCCAAGTTGTTGCGAGAAAGCGACGTGTCGGTTGTTATCGAGACCCGTTTTACGAAAGATGAGCACGGCGTACTCATCTTGTATTTCTATTAGCTGGAGATGGATGATCGAGGTCAGTGTTTCAGATCCAGAGAAAGAAAAACTCAGAAAGGCATATCATAGCTCTGGCAGAGACGGGATTTCCCTGTTGCTCACCTGTGCAATTATATCTTCCGGTATTGGTCTGCTCCAATCTATACCGTCGACCTGGGCTCCAAACGATGTACTCCTGGTAGAGCTCTCTGTACAAGGGTGCAAAACCGGCGTGATCGTGAGGGAACCCTTTCTATATGATTTGGAACTGTCATGCACAACCTCACTCCGAGGTTTCTCTCCAGATCCTTCAAGACGGAGCATGAGTGATGATGATGATGATGACTCTGCCTCAGGACACGTGTTTGCGTAAACTCGAGGCATGCTGTAGATGTTTGTCTCAGTGAAAGTAGACATTTTTGGGTAGAAAATAGTGAGCCAAGGCAGTTGAATGTAAAATTATCGGTTTGTCGAGTAATCAATTCAATCGAAGAGATTTCGATAATGTGTCGGATTTCTGTATTTTTTAATCTCCAGTGATGATGTTATTGAGGTATAATCTTTCTACAGAACAGCAACGCGGCTAAGCTCCGAGACCTTACAATGAACGTATCTGTCTCTCCACCTGTAGATCAGTTTGGAATGCATAGTGCAAACTCACTTATCAGATAGAAAAGACTAAAAAAGGGTCACAGTCGGATGAGCCGACAGTTGAGCCGACACGTCGTCGGGTTGGAGCCGAAGCTGGGAAAGGGGTATCGGCAATGTGGCGTTCCATTGCCTATCTTTCTGCGGTCCATTTTTTTTAGATCAGCTGGTTAGTCATAACGCACAAGCCGATGGTAACGCGAGGAGTATGATAAGATGGAGTAAACTGACCGGCGTACTTGTAGACAATTGACGCGGCGGGTGTAAACACGACACACACTCACCCTAGTTGTGCCTCTTCAGATTATAGATACACGTTCTATCACCTACCCAAGGTCTAAACCCAGGTCATCGCGCGAGTCATATTGAGAATGGCGTCGGGAAATCCGATTCTAATCACTGCAGGACCGTTTCAATTCCTAGCAAAGTTCGAGTCCGATGCTCCAAAGACAGTGGCAGCTTTCGCATCTGTCCTTCCCTATCACCAGAAACTCATCCACGTTCGTTGGAGCGGCGAAGGTCTGTGGATCCCACTGGGCGAGCATGACTTTCATGTAAGCTACGAGAACCACACATCTCATCCGGCAGCTGGGCAGATCCTTCTGTACCCTGGAGGCTTCTCCGAGACCGAAATTTTGTTTTGTTATGGAGGGGTGTCTTTTGCGAGCAAGATGGGCCCTTTGGCCGCAAACCACTTCTTGACCATTGTCGAGGGCCAAGAGAACTTGAGAGCATTGGGGGAAATGGTGCTATGGAAAGGGGCCCAGGATGTTACTTTCGAAGCAGCCGATTCTGAAAAGTAGGTTGTCTGCCTTGGACTTATCATTTGGAGCTTGTGTTCGCTAACTGAAACACTTTTCAGAATTGAAAAATTTCGACAGAAGAGAGTTTCCGCAGCCAGAAAACTTGAAAAGCCAGGGCCAAAGCTTTGAAGGTTGACAATTATCCAAGTTGAGAGAATCAGTCACTTTAGATCAACGGTGTCCCCCCTTCAATATCCCAGTCCTCAGTGAAGACTGGCCATTCAAACCCTGGATCCATCATTTGATCAAACAACGACTGCACGCCGGTGGTGTCAACCTGGTCCCCGTTATTCCGATTGTCACCGTCTTCTGTGAGCAGAAGTAGCACGCAGTCTTTAACAACACCTTGTAACTCTTGTGCTAAAGGAAAAGTTGAACCTTGGCACATCGTGTCGAACAGGTCAAGGGCTAGTCGAAGAAGCCTAGCGAGAAGGGAAGACGTTCGAGGTGATTGTGGGGCTACATTGTGAGTCGAGCTTGCAGATGTCAAGCATCGCAGACGCAGCTCATCTATTCGTGATGTGAGTTGATTACTTCTTACAAAGCTCTTCCTTGAGACCTGATGGGCCTTGAATTGAATAAATATACATACCGTTAACCGCTCCTTTCACGTAACAAAATGCCAAAAAGGTCACGGCAAAAGTGTAGGACACCCACGTAGAGTCCACAGCATAACTGAGGCGCTCGAGAGTGACCTTGTCGACTACAAACGGCTCGATAGGGACTGTTGATGTATTTTGCGCATCAAGACTCCATACCTGGTCATGGCCGAGAGTTGATACACAAAATATGATCTGTATCGCTGCTGTGAGGCTAGTCTCGAGGGCTTCTAGAACCCACAAATGCGACGGCTGTATACTATCTTGAGTGATTGAACTCAAATATGGACCTAGAACTGCACTGTTGAGCGCAAGCCGGCACCACTAGTTAGGGTTCATGGTTAGCATGGTACATCGAGAGCCGATATGGAGCAAGCGATTACCCGTAGCGAAGTAAATGGTAGATGGACATGTTGAAAATGAGTGGAACCTGTATGATAATCAGTCCTTTTACCTTGGTGTTGGTTGGAAAGTTCGTACGAAGTATTGGTTTCCAATGTCTAATGAGCAAAGAATAAACGTCAGTAGATCATCAGGCTATGGTATTGAGAATGTGGGCTAACCTTTCCCAATCGTCACATGCGATATTGAATTTGCGAAGGCCAACAGCGTTCAGTCGCCGAGCTGTAAACTCTTTGTTGGTCTCAAGAACACTGTGTGATATGGAGACAAGCTCCACCAACGCTGCATATCGTAGGTCATTTGGCTGCTGCGCGATAGGGTGTGCGCCAAAAGTTCGTGCAATAGTAGCACCCTCTGTCGGGTCGAGAGTGGATGGAAGAGAAGAAGAGAGCATCAAATTCCAGTCACAGGTCAGTAGGTTGAACCAAATCCTAAGTTTCGACATGTCGTCATGTGTGATGGTCGGTTGAGGTCGTCTGAAAGGAGCAATGGCCCCTCGCCCAAGATCAAGTATTGCAGCATATCTGGCGGCTAACCCAAGCACTGCCCAGGCGCTGATATCGTTATAGCGACTCAACGGCCGTTTTAGTCTAGTTGCTTGACTGCGATTATCTGAGTCTTGGAACGCTTGCTTGCCGTAAGGCATCCATTGTGCATAAAGTAAGAGCACGACCACCGAGTCGAGGTGAACATCATGAGGAGTGGGTCGTAGCAATAGTTGTGAGACTGCTTTGTCGAGTAGTACAGCAAGCTCTGAACATTTGGGATGCCATGCTGGCCAATTATGTGTACTAGTCTCTATTAATTCACTCGTATCACATAGAAGACAAATTGGACTTACATGGTATCGTTGGTGTGCCAGAATCGAGTCCCTATCGAACAAAGGGTCAAAAATAGCATCGGTCTCTCGGCTCTCAGGGCTCCTGCCTGTGATTGTAGGCTTTCACTCAACACTGGTGCCATCGGATGACAGTGATGGAAGAATCTAGCAGTGGATTTTAAGCAATGAACCCGTTCATGAGAGTATCGCAGAACGTCTTACACATATATAGCTCGAGAAGCTTCGTTCATAGTCAATATGCCATTAGAGATCGGATCGTACGGTCCGTATTGTGCTGCTTGCTCATAACTTCTCGTCGTATTTAAAGCACTGTTTTCTAACTCGAAGGCTCGTTGGTACCCATGCATAGCTCCAAGGCTGCGAAGCGTGGATATGGGAGGGCCCAAGTCGACGGCGTCTATGTTGGAAACTTGCTGGCGGTCATCCCACGGACTCCGGTCGAAGGGAGACCCTGCGGGAGCCTCTCTTGGTCCACTACTACCTAGTTCCTCTTGACTGAGGGCCGTAGAGAGACTGATAGAGATGTCAGTTATCCCACTGCGACACAGTCTCACAAACTTACAGAGGGCTAGGAGAACGAATTTGAGAGTCGCCGTGAAGAGGCCGAGGCCTTTTCGTTTCGAGCTTTGCTAAGCGACGCTCATGATCTTTCAGACTTTACCAGTAATCAGATTCCAGACTTCTGCTCTAAGAATGGTGATATTACAAACCGATCTTCGATGCTGCCCAACAAACTGGCATCAGCGCCAGCCGCGACTATTGGATCCTGATCCGCTTCAAAAGAGCACGCCACCCCATGACGCTTGCATCGCCTGCAAGCGACGCCGAAGCCTGCATTCTCTCCCAAAGGCAGACAGCGCTGTTTACGCCCACGGCACTTGTCAAGTTAGGGAGATTAGAGCTGATGTCGTATGGAAGGAACATTGCACACTGAGACTTACTTGTAAGCACGCCCGAGCTATACGTCGGGACTTTGCCGGAGGTGGTTCATCAGGATATGAACTGTCATGTATGGTCAGACCCCTCATACTACTGTCATACGGCGCAGTCAGGACTTGGTTACTAGGTGGAACTTACTTGGATCTAGAAGTATTTTGTTCCATTTGGCAACGTCCGCCGTCTTCTGATGTCCTCTGCAGCAGGTACCACCGACTAACAGGAGAAGTACATGTTTACCGAATCTCATAGGCATCATAAATAACAGAAGAAGCATTATTCGAACTATCGCTCCTTATCGCAGTGCTGGGTTTGCCACCGATAAGGCCACGCACTAAGGAGTACTTGTCAGCGGACAACGCCTAAGTGGAATTAAAGTGTGACGTGCTTATATAATGGGATTTGTCCATCTATCTACGGGTTGTCGTCGAAGGTCTATGTAAATATCTTCACGGTTCCTGGCGCGTTCTAAAAGTAACTGGATGACTTCTGCATGGCCCTAGTTAATCAAACCCATTTGCGCATTGTGCTCATATTTCTCGCGACAGTCTCTGTGTGAGACTAGTTTAGACACTATCTTTGATCTTTTTCCATAGTGTCTCGTGCTCGAGCTATCGGGTAAATTGTGTCAGCATTTACTGGATTCGCCTTGGGAATCAAACTCACCGATGTGGTCATATTATCTGATGATCCAGTGACCAGGTCAAACTCTTCGTACTTGACAATCTTACTCTTCTTGACAATCTTGTAGCCGAAGAGCAGTACCGCGAAGAATGGAATCGGGAAATATGTGGTGATGAACGAGGATACGTCAAACTCATGGATGAAGGCTCCAAAGCCGCCAAAAATGAGGACAAGTACGCACACAGTCAGACCGTAGTAACTCAGGTAAGGTTGGAGTGGTGCTCGGTAAGGCAGAGTCCCGCGATCAAATCCGTTGGCTTTCAAGCCCTTGTGCCAACGGATACTTGTCCACAAGATTCCAGACCATGAAATGATACCGCAGATCGCCGTCATGTTCGCGACTATAATGGGTCATGAGTGTCAGAGTAAAGCCAATATGGGGTTCTGGATTCGAGACGTACAGTAGCCAAATGCAGTTCCAGCTTTACCTTTACTCGCTGCCATGAATGAGAGCAACGAGAATGCGACTCCGACGAGAACAGCAACCCATGGTAAGCCATCCCCTCGAGTCTTTCCCAGAATTTTAAAAGCCTGACCACGGGAATATAGGCCGTACAGTGCGCGAGATGACACAAACAGGTCGGCAACACCAGCGGACCAGGCACTGGTAAGAAGAGCAGCGTTCACCACCGAGGGAAGCGCACTGATACCAGCATTCTGCGACAAATTCGTGAGTTTCAGGACATCTGAAGGGCTTGGCACAGCTCGTACCTTCATTGCAATGACAAATGGACTCTTTGCCGCAGTTGAGGACAGGTTTAGTGAAGGGTCAGTAGGAGATACCAACAGGCCAATCTGTTCAATGGTCAATGTTAATCAATCCTTCGCGGGATCGAACCCACTATGAAAGCGCTTATAATATAGACTATATTAATGCATTAGCTTTGAGTAGTTCCAGAACAGTTCAGTACAGATTCAACTTACACAAGCAAAGACGGATCCATACACCTTTAATCGCGCGAGGTACTGAGCGTCGCGGCTTTATCTTGTCAGCATATCTTGCTCCATAATAATTATTTTCGTACCGGGTCTTACATTCGCGGTCTCTGCAGCAGCTATGGCAGTAATCTCCGTACCAATAAAAGCGAAAGCAGCGCTGATTAGCACTATAAGCTGTTAATTAGCATGACAGCGTTGGCCTCCAGGATTCAGGAGACGACCTACCGCTGAAGAAGCCCAAGAAACGTCCCTTTGCCCCGGCTGCCATCGCACAATATGTTAGCATCAAGAAAGAATACTTGGCAAATATTATGCTCCCTTGAACTCACCTATGCCGGCATATTGAACGAAGCCCCCAGTCTCATGCCAATATCGAAACCCAATGGATGTATGATCGGGGCCACCGCCTGAAGTGATTACGATACCAGCAATGATCAACCCCAATATAGTTATCACTTTGATGGAAGCAAACCAAAATTCAAGTTCACCGAAAACACGAGTTCCGGCGAAGTTGATTGCCCACTAGTATTTCAATGTCAGGACACGCCTTTCGAGGACCGAGCAAGATAACAAACTCACCACCACGATGAGCATTAGCCCGACCCACATGGCATTGTTGCAAATTCCAGTGGTACAAGTCGAATCTGGATTACTGGCCGGTGTCCAGTACGAGATAATAACAGCGGCTGCTGAGATTTCAGCAGGAAGGACGACTTCGAATGGTCAGTGAATGATCAAGCGTGAAGTGTTTCACTTAACCCACTAATGTAGCTATATTCTAGTAAGCACAACTCAATGAATCAGAAAGTAGTGGCCATACTTATACCAATAAAGCCAGCCCATAGCGAATCCCAGCTCAGGCGCAACAAAGCGGCCCGCCAGCGCGAACTGTCCCCCAGGAATAGGAAATTTGGATACCATCTCACCCAGAGCGACCTATTAGTGGTTAGGCTGGAACACACAAGGGGTGTAGCAATGCAATACGTACCATGACAGAGAATAACAGCGAGGCCATAAGGCAGTATGCGATCAGAAGTCCTGCCGGGCCGCCGTTCGCCAAGTTACCTCCTGTCCCCAAAAACAATCCAGTTCCCTTGTGGCACATCGTCAGAATATGTGCAATGTACTCTTCTCTTCGCAGATACTTACGATGACGCCGCCAATTGCGATCATTTGCCTAGAATCATCAGCTATTCTGGAGCCGTTGCGAGCGATCTCCATACGTACATGTGACGCGGCTACAAAGGCACAGAACCAAGATCAGCAATCAAGCTCTCAACAGCTGACTGGACCTTTGGAGACCCATCCAAAGACATACCTTCAGCTGCCTGTTGAGACTGTGAGTCGGAGCTTCAGTCACGGTCCCCAGTTCGGCGCCTTTGGCAGGCTCCACGGTAGCCAGCATACTTGGCTCCTTCTCCAATGGGAGGCTGGGCTAAGTGTAAACAGAATATCAGAAAATGTTCTTTAACATTAAGACTACTTGCAATAACTCTGGAGCGCTTACCTCGTCTGCCGTCATTCTTGCTCTCGTTGGTGATATTGTTGTATTGAGGATGCTTGTCCAACCTCAACGAATAGATTCGGCTAGCAATGTGCACTCACGGGCTGTGTGGCCGAAGTGGAGAGCAACAGGATACACATGCTATATATCTTAATTGACTGAGCCTTATCTGGTGCATTTCTTCACGGCCATAATCGAAAGGTTGTTGACTTTCGGAGACGAGCCGATGAGCCGCTGTCGAGAGGCAGATTAATAAGACCATTCAGCAAGGCTATGTTCGCGAATGAATGAGTGAAGATATGACATTACAGGCTTGTGAATGTTCAATTCGTCGTCGATGTCCTTGAGATCATTCACTGTTTTCAGGAACATGATAACGGTGGATCCCCCTTTGATAACGCGAAAGTCAATGTGGAGCGAACTTGCCGACAGAGGCTATTCACGCCGTCGGCACTGGCCCGCTGATGCCGACAGTCAAAATGACTCTGCCCCGAGTAGATGTGACATGTGTAAACATACACGTACGCAGAGGAATCATGGTTAGGAATGAAGTTTGTGAGCCCTCCCAATGGCTATTGATATTCCTACCTCCATTTCTAGACCTTTGCCCGAGGCTGGTGAGATAAACTTGTTCTCTTCATCTTCATTGGATACATAACGTACGCATTTACTCTTCCCAGCTTTGGTTTTCGTTAACATCCAAAGCCATGCGAGAACTTTTACCTGGCCTGTATGGGCCTTTACCGACCTTTTTTGACGACGATCAAGAACTGGACCTTGTCAGTTATAAGAAGCATCTCACTAGTAAGTGCCCGGCCAGCATTTCCGATGAGATTCCTAGACTGATTGAATATCTTGCTGTTAGACTTGGCAACCAGAGGCATCGGTCGGTGTTTCGACGAAAGACTTAATGATAGGAGTATTAACATTCATCTCCAGTTCCTGTCTGTTCAGGTTCACTGGGGGAAGGTGCTCATCTGGTAGGAGCATGCATGTCCCGATACGCATGCAAGCACTGACCGATCTGCTTCCCAGAGTCCATCAGAGCGGCAGACCTTAATTCAGACCACTCGCCAGACCTTGGATAACTTGGGCTTGACGTCGATACCTGTCGTTGCCGGGGTCGGTGGCTTGAGTACTCGAGAAACAATTAGTCTGTGTCAAGGGGCGGCATCTGCTGGGGCGTAAGCAGAAACGTTCGGCATACTATGCTGTATCTCCAAGTTTACTGACATGGAGAAGGGACGCTGGACTCGTGATACTACCGGCGTATTATGCGGCAAGCTTGAACTCGGATCATAAACAGATCATTCAGTATTTTGTCGACATTTGTGAAGCTTCTCCGGTGCCGCATCCTTTCACCCGGAGCAATGTCCATTGAGCGCTAACAGGTGCCTAGATTCCATTATTCCTCTACAACTTCCCAACAAATGCAGCGGGACTAGACATGTCGTCGGAGGTGATTGAACAGATAATGGTCAAAGCACCAAAGCTTTGCGGTGTCAAGTTGACGTAAGTAATACCAACCTTCGATATTCAGCCAAATATTCATTCCTTAACCCTCAGATGTGGAGGAAGTGTCGGCAAACTTGTACGGCTGAAAGCAGCCTTGAACACATCATCGGCTACCATGCCTGCGCGTGCCCAGCCATTCCTTTTCCTCGACGGTCTTATTGGAGATCTTACTGCGTGGAAGGCATGTGGTGGCCACGGGACTGTGAGCGGAATACCAAACTTTGCTCCACGAGCGTCCGTGAGGCTGTGGGAACTACTTCAACTTCCTTCATTAACGCCTGAGGAAGTGTCAGAAAGGGAACGATTACAAGCGATCCTGTCACGGGCAGACGCAATTGCCGTACCTGCAGGCATTCGAGCTATGAGTACGTTGTTTCTGATGTAGCTGGAGGCCAATTGCTGTCCGAACCGCTCAATGATGTGCCCTAGGCTTACTTTTGTCAGAATATGCCCTGCATAAGGTCCATGGCTATGGTAAAGCGCCACGTCGACCTCTGTTGCCATTGGAGTCACAGGAAGGGGAAGCATTTCTCTCCTCATTGAGCGAATTACTCAGTACAGAGCGGGAATACGAGGTGGAACAGTCCATCAAGTCTTGAGAGGTTGAGATATGTGAGCGATATTCTTATGCTCAGGGGACTGGTTTTGACTCCATGGCATTGGACGTGATCGTGGCATTGGACCACTTAATGGCAGGCAGTGCCTGAGGCATATTTGCTTCGCAGTATATTTCTCCCAACGCACAACAAAGGAAGTTCTGGACCGCCGTATCTAGTGCTGCGGAGTATTTGGAGCTAGGCGTAATCAGGATCTCTGATGTTGTTCAGAACAACTCGCAATAAAGTATTCTTAACCATCAGTCAAATCCTTACAAGATGTGAGGATCATCGTCCTTGGAACGCCAACCCAAGCGTTGACAGTGACGTCTTCAATTCCCTTACCAATATGAATCTCAAAAGCCGTCGAATCTATCGACCGACCTTCTGGGGTAGCTGTTTCTCGCACGGCCCGTGTCGTCCGAAAGCCAAGTGGTGGACCGTGGGCGGCCATCGGTGCCTCGGTATAGCCATTATGCGACGTCCTACCATAACCTACTCTGCCTGGCAAGGCTGGCACGGCTGGTGATCGGCCGTCTCGAACCGCGGCGACTAGCTCGTGTTTATTCTTTGTGCCTTTGAGCTGTTATTTACATACCATCCAAGATGATTCGGTACAGATGTCAGATTCCGCACACGAAAGTCTCGCCATGAAGCAAGATCGCACCCATCGAACTAAATCGGACCATGGCTCTGCATTTCCAACGCAGGTTCGAGATCCGTTACTCGTTGCACAGCTCCCGATTCGTGAAGTCACTGAGAAGAACATTCGTAGAGTTCTAATCGCCAACCGGGGCGAGATTGCCTGCCGAATCATCGCAACATGCCGCAAACTGGATCTCACGTCAATTGCCATCTTTGCCGATGAGGATTCGACTTCTCTTCATGTCACAGCAGCAGATGAGGCTGTGAATCTAGGAAGTGTCAGTCAAACGGAAGGAAATCCATTCTTGAACGTCCAGCTACTGGTCAAGATTGCTTTGTCGCAAAATGCGGACGCCATTCATCCAGGATATGGTTATCTCAGCGAGAACGAAACCTTTGCAGACGCCGTGCGTCAGGCCGGAATGATTTTCATTGGTCCCAGCTCAGAGGCAATGTCAACACTGGGTGACAAGCGCAACTCCAAAGAATATCTCAAACAGTATGCACCGAGCGTTCCCCTCATTCCTGGGTACGCAGGGTCGAGTCAGGATGTAGCAGATCTGGAGAGAGCAGCGGAGAAAGTTGGCTTCCCCGTCATGCTGAAAGCTTCCGCCGGGGGTGGCGGGCGAGGCATGCGGATCGTTCGAGAGCGGTCACAACTGGCTGGCGAATTGGCTCGGGCACAGTCAGAAGCGAAGCGTTCGTTCGGTTCGAGCGATTGCATCTTGGAGAAGTACATCGAGGCGGCGAAACACATCGAAGTGCAGATCATGGGTGACAATCACGGCAAAGTCATTTCCCTCTGGGAAAGGGAATGTTCCGTCCAGAGGAGACACCAGAAGATCATTGAAGAAACTCCATCTCCCTTCCTGACCTCGGATCAACGACAAAGAATGTGCGCGGTAGCGGTCCAAATCGGCGAATTGATCGGTTACGAAGGAGCAGGAACCGTCGAGTTTGTCGTGGACGCCAAAGACGGAAGCTTTTACTTTTTGGAAGTCAACACCCGACTACAGGTTGAACATCCCATCACGGAAGAAGTTACGGGCGTTGATATTGTGGCTCTGCAACTGTTCGTGGCTGCAGGTGGATCTCTCACAAGTGTTCCCTGGCTACAGCAGGAGGTCATTCCACAAAACGGTCATGCCATTGAATGTCGCCTTTGCGCTGAAGACCCCAACGGTGATTTCATGCCGCAGAATGGCACCATACGTCTATGGCGGGAATCAGATCAATACAGGAACGGGGCGTCAAGGGATATAAGGTACGAGACCGCGATCAAGACTGGTTCTGAGGTTTCCATCCACTTTGACTCCATGATTGCCAAAGTTGTGGTGTGGGCACCGACACGAGACGCGGCGATAAGAAAGATGGTCAGAGTATTGGCGACCACCGCGTGTGCAGGAGTCAAGACGAACCAACTTTTTCTCCAGGCTTGTCTCCTCCACAACAGCTTCCAAGATCCGGCCTACACCACGTCGCTGATTCCGACGTACCTACAAGGCTTGCTTCGAAATCCACATGTCAACGCTACGTCGGACATGATGACAATGCTCTCGGTAATTCCCGGACTGTTTCGGAGAGCGACGACGTTGGATCAGCGTCACAAAACTTCAGGACCGTTTCAAAACGTCCGGGTGAATTTCAGGAATCAGTTTCACGACCCGGTCAATGTGTCCACGACGATAACCGTGCCTACCGCGGAGCCACCGAAACCTATATTGTCAGTGTGGAAAGCCAGCTCTTCTGGACAAGGTTGCTGCAATCCTTCATTCCATGTTACCGTGGCACCTATACCGGACAACACCTCGAAGGAAGAAACTGAAACTGTAGACAGCACAACCAAAACCACCACTCCTGCCAGAGAATTATCTCGTCAATATCACGCCATCAGTCGAAAACTCCGCGATGGATCTCTCGCCACCGCCACGCAATACACGGTACAATTGAGGAAATACCAATCCAAACAGATCAACGATGATTCGGGCTCCGATTGGCAAGAAGGTTCTGCTACTGTTGCAATCAACAACTCCACGATTCAAGTTTATGTCGCCAGCAATATCTCGTCGTCATCCTCCCAAGGTACTACCGCTGATGCATCTTCCTTTTTGTGTCACCTCCCTTCATTGGGGACATGGGTCGGATACACGTGTCACACTTTGTTGAACTACATCGAAACTCTTCGTCCTTCCTTGTCAGGTTCCGTTGTGGGCTCTTCGAACTCGAAAATCATCAAGGCCCCGATGCCATGCAAGGTCCTGTCGGTCTTGAAACAAAACGGCGAGGAGGTCAAGGCGGGCCAGGTGGTGCTCGTCATTGAGAGTATGAAAATGGAGACGAACATCAGTGTGAATATAGCTGGTAAATTTGGCACGAATGTCAAGGTTGGAGATTCGGTCGACGACGGCAAGGTATTATGTTGGGTCGAGTAGTAGAGAAGTTTTTCTGATGTACCAGGTAGCTACCTTCCTAGAAAAGCCCATGACTCTGTCTTGGTCCTATCACCTCCCTCCCTCTTGTTGATGTTAGTCTCTCTATCGGCTTCCTCTCCTTTGTTTGGAACTACAGTATGGTCTCGATGCGATAATAAATCCCACGGTCGAGCAACACCTGGGTAATGATTGGCAGCTACCAGCCTGAGATACCTACCTACCCACCTACTGTTTCCCAATTCGTGATGTGTTGTGTTTTAATGATTGACCGTAGTATTCAACCCCCTGAGACGTGGCTTTGCCCCCGCGGGCCGTGCGCGGCTTTCCCTCGACCTGTGGCTCCGGTCCACATCACTCGTACCTCCTGGGTACGGGAGTCCAGACGGCGTACAAATTACTTTGCCCTTCCTAAAATCAGAAATACTGTTCAGATTGCCGTTTGCTAGGCCGTGCTCCACGCCTCGGCTTTTTTTTGGCGTCGAAGCAAGGATAGAATTACAGAACCACAATGCCGTCCAAAAAGGCCGTAATAATAATCAACAAACACAACCTTTCCAGACATCTTGTTCCGAACGCCAAAGTTCCTGAAAGGAGAGACAGGAGAGACATCAACTCCCTTCCGTTACCAAAGTAAACATAATTTGTCTTTGTCCACCGAGCATATCATTATATATTTCCTAGAGCCATGGCTGCTGCCTTCGCGACCGCACCGTACGCGGATCCTGCGTGGCTCTCCCGCGACGTAAGCCCGTATTACACAGAAAGCCACCGGCGCCTGCAGCGCGAGACGCGGGAGTACGTCTCTACATGCATCACACCGTTCTGCGAAGACTGGGAACGACAAGGGGTCGTCCCTCGGGACGTCATCCTCAATCATGCACGACTCGGCTACATGGCCGTATCGATATATCCTCTTGCCATTGAGCAGATCAAGGCCACGAACCAACGACTGCCCGCGGACATCAAACCGGAAGATTGGGACGGGTTTCACGACTTGATCGTCATCGATGAGATCGCGAGGTGTGGTTACTTGGGAGTCATCTGGGCGTTGAGTTGTGGAAACTCGATCGGCGCGCCTCCATTGATCAACCACGGCACGCGAGAACAAAAGACGAGGTTCTTGCCCGACGTCTTGACTGGAAAATCGCGGTTTTGTCTGGGCGTCACCGAACCTGATGGTACGTAGTAGCGTTTCCATGAACCCCTTTGGTGGCACTTTTGTACTGACCCCATTCGTCCCTCCAGCCGGGTCTGATGTTGCGGGAATAACGACGACGGCTGAACGAAATGGAGACGTGTACGTGGTCAACGGCGCAAAGAAGTGGATCACCAACGCCATATTCGCAGACTATGTTACTGCCGCCGTCCGTACCGGAGGTTCTGGCAGACAGGGAGTCTCGGCTTTGATTATCTCACTGAAATCTCCCGGTGTAACGTGCACCAAGATTGAGAACTCCGGTGTGAATGCGAGCGGGTCCACGTACATTGAGTTCGACGATGTCCAAGTTCCAGTCTCCAACCTGTTGGGCCAGGAAGATCAAGGATTCGAGATTATCATGTCAAATTTCAACCACGAACGGCTGTGGCTGGCATGCACTTCCCTCCGGATGGCGCGAGTCTGCGTCGAAGATGCATATGCACACGCACTTCGGAGAGAGACGTTCGGGAAGCCATTAATCGCAAATCAAGTCATCAGTGCCAAATTTGCGGACTTTGCTCGCGATATCGAGCCTGCACATGCTTACATGGAGTCGATCGTCTTTTTGAATGAACACAACCGCAAGCGCCAGACAAGATTAAGCCATGGTGGTCATGTTGGGCGAGCGCAGACATTGACTTCAGAGTCTCTCGATGTTGGCGCTATGATAGCAACGTTGAAGACGGCTGCTGGACGCGTGTTGGAGCGAGTCAACCGGGATGCGCAACAAATAATGGGCGGCGCAGGGTATTCGAGGACTGGAAAAGGCGCAAGAATCGAGCAAATAAGTCGGGATGTGCGGGTTATGGTGGTAGGAGGTGGAAGTGATGAAATTTTGAGCGATCTGGCAGTGAAGTTGGAGGTAAAGGAATTGAAGAAGCTATCCCAGTTGTCGAGTAAACTATAATATGACATTGTCAAATGTCACAATCATGGGCCCCATTGGGTTGTCAACGGGCTCTCGCAATGTCTCTTGGTTGTATCTGTAAAGCTGCAAAAGCCTGGAACAGATGTGGAATCGGTTTGTGCCACGTCTTCGCCAAAAGTCTAGAATCTAGGGTCGCCCATCGCTTCGGACAGAATACCACCCCTGTAGGTAAATTAGCATGCAACTAATACTTGGAGCTCTGTTCTCTTCGACAGCGGAGCCAAGAGAGTGTTCGGCAAATATAGAATGATGGTACTCACATATCTTCTCCTAACATCCGGGCGTAAGTTGGAGGCAACGAGTTCCCTGAGGTAAAGAATGCCATTGGTTGCTTCGTGATCTCGGGAGAGGCCCCAGTAGCGATGTTCGGCTCTTCAGAGACGGTCTCAGACAATAAATCTGCCACTGCCAACGTGCTTCGAATCGCGGAGGGTGGTTTACTCTGAGGAAGCCACGCATAGTCAAGTAATTGCCATAGTATTGTCCCATGTGGCACATCGACTTTGCACGCAAGACTGACGGGATCAGTAAGGACCGTTTTGATATGTGAATCCAACTCGAAGGAGGAAAGTAGAGTACCCATATGTCCAACGTGACGCCATCGAATTGGCTCGTGCTGTAAAAAGCTCAATGCCTCGCGGACATGTCTCGTAGCACCTTCTGCGATGTTTTGGTCGTCGCTTTTTTCAAACAGACGTTGGATCATCCCTGCTGCCATCACGCAGTAGCCGTAGAAGCTGGCATGGCTCAGTGGACAATGCTTTTCCAGGCTGGTGAGGAGCTCAATGAGGCTTGTTGCATGCCGGTGGCAACGTTGCAGAGCTTCCTGTACAAAACTCAAAGGCACAGGTGCTATATAAGTGTGGAAGACCCGGTAGAGAATAAATGGATGATTCAGGAGACATTGGACCAGATGATAGATAGCATGAGCGAAGGCAATATGGCTGATGTCTGAAGGTGATGACGCTCCGTTGAGGGTGGATTGGGTGCGAATGACCTCAGCGACTGGAGTGAAGACACATGGTGACTGACTCTCGTACAATAACAACATACTATGGACTTCGTAGTATTTCGACCTGGGATCCCAAAGAACTCGTGCCTTGTTCAATGTGCGCTTTAGGTTGAATCGTATAAATCGACCCAGGGCCGACGCCATCAGGATCATAAGAGCAAACGAGTTGAGGGGTGATCGATTAGTAGACGCACTCTCCTGGACTTCCGTCAACGTAGGCATCGCGTTGAACGGCGTTCCGTCATTGAAGAAGTCTTCGTGGCATGGAAGGTGGACAGTGCAGTCTTCGTCTAGAAGGCTAGGCGGTCGGTTCGGTCCTATCGACATGAGTACATCTAGAAGATAGATGGACCAAAAGATTCTCCGGCGGCCTTCTTGTTCATGGAGAGGAAGTTGTGAGTCGGGCTCCTCGTTGAGTCGTAAAGATTGAGCAAAGCGACTGGACAGAGCAAGCTTGATCCAGCCAAGCTTAGGGCGTCCGGCTATGTAACACGTAGTTAGCTATGTATTGTCTGTTCTAATGGGCTTCTAAGTGTGCTTCTCACCTGAAAAGTCAATAGTTGCCAGCATAGATAAAGCTATCACCATGTATACTTCGAGCAATTCCGCGTCCGAGAAATAATGCTCAAGTATTTGAGTGAATGAAGCTTGTGCATAGGCTTCGATTGCTTCTGACCATCGACCACGGTAGAAGTCGTCATCTGAAAACCGGCATGCTGTAGCAGCGAATGCGTATAGGAGATACTCGGGCAGTACTCCTGATTCGTAATCAAGTCGAAATGTCAGTTGGTGGAAATAGGCGTATGGCTGGTTGTGACACCGTTCAAAGTAGATATCTATCAATGATTGAAACTTTGGCGGATCTGGGAGAGGCAGAAAGTCACTGTTGGGCCCGTCGACGAGATCCTCAGGAGCCTGTTGCTGCTGGTCTGGATGCTGATCCACCTGTTGTGCTGGTACTTCGTTCGGACCTGACAACGAAGAGAATAATCTGAACGCATTGTCGGCGTCAAGAAAGCTCAGGCGCGACTCTAGGAGAGCGATTCTAGCAGCAAGATCAGAGTCATGGTGTGCAGCTGCTGTAGCAGATGTTCCGCGAGATTCAGACAGTGAATCGGGAGATCTGTCTTCATGGCCATCCCAGGTACAGCGTTGACCTAGGCGGGCACAGAAGGCACATACAGGCTTCTCGCCTGAACACCTTGCCTTCTTTCTAGGTGATCAAAGTCAATGACAGTTAGCTTGATGTCCGGATTTGCGGAGCTACAGGGATCGAAGACCCGACAGTCGCTTTCTTAGGAGTGGGAGCTCTCACCTTCTACAATTCAAGCATGCCTGTCGCGCCCTCTTTGCTTCGCGCCTGTCGTCCATTGTCGTGTGAGACTACTCAGACCACTGGGCCAGTCGACTTGAGAGGAACACTGCGCAGACATATGACGAGGCAAAGAACACTCCGAGTTTACGATATAAATTGATGCTGCAACGACAGTCCAGCTTAGGTGAGAACTCGGGGACTCCTCTTGGCATCATGTCTGGTGGTCGAAAAGGTTTTAATCGGCCACAAGTCACCTGGAGGGAGAAGTGGAGGGGCTCCGTTCTCACCCCTGGGGCAAGGCTCTTGTAAGCCAAATAGGGAAGATATCGGGCGCACTAGGCCTCAGTTCCCTGACCCCAACAAGCCTTATTCGCCACAGACCCTAATGGGGCCCCAGTTTCTTGCCCAATGAGCCCCCCGAAGGATACGAATTAGTCAGAGGATGCTTGTACAATTGCCCCGTCCTTACTCCCTATAGCGACGGAGCACCCATCGGTCCTCTACTATGGAACAATTTCGCCAGTGCCTTGTTGAAACAAACGCTAAACTCTTCCACATCAACTCCCTCGCGAGCTCGTTTGTTACATCCTCGCCAAACTACGATGGCCAGCACTGCCTTGTATCTTCGGTGACTGTACCACCTCCAGGCACATTCCCAGCACGTCTCGCGTGTCGCGGGGATCAATCACTCCGTCGTCAAGCACGACACCCGAAGTCCGATAGCAGCTACTGTCTCGGTCGACCTGGGCTCGCAAGCGCTGCACTCTGGCCTCGACCTCTTCAGCCTTCAAAACGACTCCTTTATTTTTGGCGCTGTTGGCTTCCACTTGTGCCATGACTCCTGATAACTGTTCAGCTCCCATCACGCTGCACCGACCTGTTGGCCACGTAAACAGGAAACGTGGTCGATATGATCTTCCGCACATGGCATAATTACCTGCTCCGTACGAAGCGCCCATAATGATGGAAATATGTGGGACCTTAGAACAACTGACTGCGGACACGAATTGAGCGCCTTTTTTGATGATGGCTGCATGTTCTGCTTTCGAACCAACCATGAATCCGGTCACATTGTGCAGGAAAACAATCGGCGTGTTTTGTTGGTTACACATGCGCACAAACTGAGCACCTTTCGAGGCTTCGTCCGGATTGATGATAGGAGTTTGATTCGCAATGATCGCAACGGGCATTCCTGCTTGTGTCAGTTCTGGCAACCACAGTAGTTTGTCTTCGCTGCATCACTCACCCATGATCTGAGCCCAGCAAGTCAACAGGTTGGGGCCATATGCTGGCTTGAACAGTGCCAACCGGGAATCGTCCACAAGCCGAAGAACTACTTCTTTCATGTCGAATGGTTTCCGGATGTCTGGGTTGACTATTGAAAATATGTCCTCTATCGGATATCTCGGAGTCATTATTCGCCTCGTAATTCTGTCGGGGCGGTATGGGATCTTCAGAGTGCCAACCCAATCACGAGCTTTGAGGATGGCATCAAATTCGTCGACTGCAATTTGATCGGCCAACCCGGTAACGGTTCCGTGGACTCGTGCACCACCCAGCTCCTCGGGTTCAATGATTTCTCCAGTGGCCATCTTCACCAACGGGGGTCCTGCTAGAAACACTTGGGCTTGGTCTTCGACAAAGATGGTGTAATCTGATAAGCCAGGATGATATGCGCCTCCCGCGGTTGACGACCCGAAAACGACGGCGCAGGAGGCCTGTTTGTTCTGAGTCCGCACGGCCAAGTCACGAAATATTTGCCCGCCTTTGTGGAAGACGCGGAACTGTTGTGGCAGAAAGACCCCTGCGGATTGAACGAGAGCGACAAGAGGTAGGTCATTTTCGCTCGCGATTTCCGTGACTCTGTTCTGCTTGATCACTGTCAACTCGTTCCAGGCTCCCCCGCTCTGAGTCGCGATATGTGCAATCACCATGCAGATTCGACCTCTAATGCTTCCTATCCCTGCCAATAAACTGGCGCAGGGACTCGAGTCTTCAAGGTCAAAGCCGGCAAATGTGCCGAGCTCTAAAAAAGGCGAGTCCGAGTCGAGCAACAACGATATCCTGTCCCGCGCCAGTAATTGTCCCCGAGATTCATGTCTGCTGGTTGATGCTGCAGTACCTTCAGAGACTGTCTTTTTCAAGTTGTTGGTAAATTCCTGTAGCACGGGATCCCACGCTGCTCGATTTGATGTGTAGATTTCCTGGTTGAGATCGACCAAGGACTCTACAACCGCGAATCCAGCACCCTGTGCCATTTTTCGCCTTTGTACGGTTCCTGATAAGAAGAAAAGGACAATCCTAGTGCAGAATATAGGTCAAATGCGATTCTAGCAAGGACAACAGCATTTGTGTCTAGTTCTGAAGTTGGATCTGCATCCCAGAGCCCGGTGCCGAGGCTACAGTACCCCGGGTGCCAACCGGGCAGCAATATGTCCACTTCTCAGCACGGCCCGTTTTTAGCAGGCTCGGTATCCACCTAGGACGGCTTCTATTCAGGAGACAGCAAGTCGGATTTCTGAAATATGTGTATGTACCATTGTTGGCATTTACTGAACGAGAGTAGTGACAGCAGCAGCATTTGCACACATCTTCCCAATCAGAACCTCCCACACACAAGATCAAACTTGCCGCAAAATAATCACCCCCATCGCCACAACACCTAAAACAACCACAGCCTTGTATGAATATACATACATAATGAGCGGCACCATGGCTACTACAAAGGTGTCGTCTCATGCAGAACCAGCAAAATCCACATCGCCTTCCATGTCCTTTGTATCAGGCTCAAGATCGCCACCCTTGTGGGAGGAAACCCTAGGTGAATTGATCGACCGGCACGCCGTCAAGTATGGCACACATACAGCCGCACAATTTCCATGGCAGCAAAATCACAAACTCTCCTACAATGATTTAGCTTCTCGCAGCCAAGTCATTGCCAGATCGATGCTTGCCAGAGGGCTGAAGCATGGAGACTGCGTCGCGATCATGGCGGGAAACTGCTACCAATACATCGAGACCTTCCTTGCGGCTGCTCGAATAGGCTGTCCATTCGTTGTGCTCAACAATACGTATACTCCCAAAGAGCTGGTCTCTGCTCTGCAAGCGTCATGTAAGTTGTGGATGCTGTTTGGACAAGGGCCATGAATTGAAATTCTGACGAGGAAATGCACAGCATGTCGACTTCTGTTCATCGCTTCGACCATCAAACTGAAGAACCTATCGACACATATCGATGAAACCAGGAAGAAACTTCCGTCGCTCCCTTTTGTACTACTAGCATCTAAGCCCGGGATGAAAGACTACTCGTCATTCGTCAAGGAGGGACGGACAATCACCACAACAGCCTTGAAGGAAGCTGAGAGCTTCGTAGGAAACAGTGACATGTTGAATTTACAATTCACATCTGGTGCGTTGAGAATGTTTCATTTGGTATACTCTAGGAGAGACTTTCTAATGATGAACAGGAACGACGGGCATGCCCAAGGCCGCCATGCTGACTCACAGGTGAGTAGTTTCACAAGTCACAGGATCTTCTCCAATCGATTTCAATCTAATGCTCGGGACCAGGAACCTCATCAACAATGGTCGGTTCATCGGTGCCGCCATGAACCTCAACTCTGCAGACGTCATATGCTGTCCACCTCCTCTCTTTCATTGTTTTGGTCTTGTCCTAGGGTTCCTCGCGTCCTTCATCCACGGCAGCACCATCATATTTCCATGCGACCAGTTCGACCCAGATCAGGTTCTTGACGCTCTCCACGCCCACAAATGCACCGCTCTCCTGGGCGTCCCGACGATGTTCATTGCGGAAATTGAGGCCAACAAGAAAAAGAAACTCAATATCACGACCGTGAGGACTGGCTTGGCCGCTGGGTCATCTGTAAGCCCCATCTTGATGAAACAACTGGAGCGCGAGTTCGGTGTTCGAGGCATGTTGATCGCCTACGGTATGACGGAGACGAGTCCAGTGACGTTCATTACGTCTTTGGACGACGACGAGGAAAGAAGAACGAAGACCGTGGGCAGAGTGTTGCCTCACACGGCGGCGAAGATCATCGATCGTGAAGGGAAAATTGTTCCTCGCGGCGTCAGCGGAGAACTCTGTACGAGTGGCTACGCTCTCCAGAAGGGGTACTTGAACAACCCGGAAAAGACGAACGAGGTCATGAAACGAGACGAACACGGAGTGTTGTGGATGCACACCGGAGACGAATGCGTCATTGACCAGAAAGGATATTGTTCCGTGACTGGGAGGATCAAGGACATCATCATTCGAGGTATGTACACTCTGTTCCTCACGTATCTGCCGTGTTTCTTTGTGGTCATATATTGGCTGATTGATGAATTGTTTATTGACATATTTTCTTTCCTTTTTTCGTAAACAGGAGGAGAGAACATTTTTCCACACGAGATCGAATCTCTCTTGGCCACACATCCGTCCATCGCAGAAGCCTCCGTCGTCGCCGTCAGCGATGATAGGTATGGAGAAGTTGTGGGAGCGTTTTTACGTCAGCGTCCACAAGCTGGCTGTCTGATGCCGAACATCACATTGTCACACAATGCGGCGACTCGTAATCTCTCACGGCCGAATTGGCAGGAAGTCAACCATTTCGTACGGAAACATCTCGGCAGTCACAAGGCCCCGAGATACATTTTCTGGATCGGAGATGAGGGTGTGGGCGATGAGTTTCCGAAGACGGGAAGTGGGAAGATGATGAAGCATAAGCTCAAGGATGTGGCCGAGAGACTTGTCAAAGAAGGTAGAGGTGGAGGAGAAGAACAAACAAAACTGAAGGCCAGGCTCTAGACGAGTGATTTGTGTCAAAACTCATTCAGATTGAGTTAGTTCTCCCAAAAAAGGGGGTATTTGCGGTGCCCATTGGGTGAAGACGGATAGATGTGTCGACTGCCAGAGGCGCAATTACATACTAGAGTCCCGCGTTATAGCTTCACGAACCAAAGCATACTGACGATGACATCCTTCAAATGTAGTCGTTAAACCGCAGTGAAGCTATATCAAATTTGAACTGTCGTCTCTGAGTTCTGCTACAATCGCAAGGCTGGATTCTGACATTGGTGACGGGCTCCGATGAAATAATACAAGGCCGGCAGCCAGAGTTCGAGAATGGCGGATCGGTAATTTTTCAAGACCTCGGTCTCCCGATAATATTGTAGTACAAAATAACGAGTATTACTGTATGTAGGTGTTTCCCCAGCTCGGCCCGCTTGCCGTCCCCACAACCTGTTGACGGCTCGATAACGTGAGTGGATTCCCGGTCACCAAAGATCGAGAACCGAGGAGTCCGGGGACACACCCAAACTGTTCGCGCTGCGCGAGAGCGGCAGAGAGAGAGAATCGAGAATCGGTGAGCCGGGTTTGACCACCCATAATTCATCACTTACTTGATCTGACAATCAACTGAAAGAGGTAACTATTCAAGCCTCGAGACTTCTCCGGGGAGAGAGAAAAAACAAACATCATCCGGAGTAGTCCGTAAAGATTCATGGTTCCTCCCATTCTTTTCGTCCTAATCAATTGAACACGCAAAAGCTTTGCACACTTATTAATTTGTAACCATCAACCGAAGTTTGAGTCACTATTGGGGAGGGACAAGACGCAACACCACCTACTACTACACCAGTCAACTGACTTGCCATGAGGGCGAGTCGGATATTATCATCTCCCGCCACTGCTCGGGCAGCCGCCGTTCGAATCGTAGAAGTCGGTCCGAGGGATGGCCTTCAAAACGTGAAGAAAACCATACCATTGACCACCAAACTCGAACTCATATCACGACTGAGACAAACCGGCCTCGGGGCGATCGAAATCACGAGTGTCGTCAGTCCTCGTGCGATACCTCAACTGGCGGATTGTCGGGCACTTCTCGCGGACGAGAGTATTCAAACCCAAATACGGCAAAACGATAGCTCCGGCTCCAGCCCCAACACAAACTCACTTCGCCTGCCGGTCTTGGTACCGAATTTGAAAGGACTAGAGATTGCACTGCAAAACGGAGTACGTGAAGTCGCCGTTTTTGTCAGCGCGACAGAAGGGTTCAGCAAAGCCAACATCAACGCGACCGTCGACCAAGGTCTGGCGAGAGCACGAGAAGTCACCCAAAGAGCGACATCCGCCGGTCTCGTCGTCCGAGGGTACGTGTCTTGCATCTTTGCGGACCCATTCGATGGACCTACACCACAGTCGGCCGTTCTCAAAGTCGTGAGGGTGTTGCTCGACGTGGGATGTTACGAGGTCAGTCTGGGTGATACTCTGGGGGTTGGTTCCCCGGCCGACGTCAAGAACTTGCTCGAATATCTCTTCGCCAACGGCATTGGCCCCTCAAAGCTCGCCGGTCATTTCCACGACACTTATGGCCAGGCGGTCGCAAACGTATGGCAAGCTTATCGGTGTGGTCTACGGGCGTTTGACAGCAGCGTGGGTGGACTCGGTGGTTGCCCGTTCGCCCCGGGTGCAAAGGGTAACGCGGCGACAGAAGACTTGGTGTACATGTTTGAGCGAGCCGGTTGCGATACCGGGGTGGACCTTGAGAAACTGGTCGAGGTCGGAAACTGGATATCTGCGCAACTCGACAAGCCAAACGAGAGTCGCGCCGGTGTTGCACTGACGGCCAAGAAGGCTTTGCCCAGCCTGAAAGCGAAGACCGTGGGTCAAGCCAGGGATATTGCATCTTCAGCCGGACTTACGTGGAAGTTGGTGAGCGAGACGGAAAGTCTGAGGGTGTATCGGTCCGGGGTCAATCTCAAAGTGGTGCTCAACCAGCCGAAGAAAGGCAACGCTCTCACCGTCGCCATGATACACGAACTCACCCGGCTATTTCGCGAGACGAAAAGCAATCGCTCGATATCAAGAGTGGCGATCACGAGCGAAGGAAGGTACTTCTGTGCGGGAATGGATCTGGGGAAAGGAACGTCACCCGTCGCCCAGAGCCAACAGGTCAGCGACGCTCAGTACGAACGTCTGGCGACGCTGTTCCGAGCGATCGACACCGCCCCTCAGGTGACCGTGGCGGCCATCAACGGACCGGCATTCGGTGGAGGGGTCGGGTTGGCGTTCGCCTGCGACGTCAGGATAGCCAGCAGCTCGACGACCATGACCCTGAGTGAGGCCAAATTGGGGCTGTGCCCCGCGACCATATCAAAGTACGTCGTCAGAGAATGGGGACTGCCGTTCACGCGGGAGGCCATGTTGTCCGCACGTCCGGTGACCGCGGCCGAGCTGCATTCCCTGGGCTGCGTGACCAAGGTCGTGGCCGACGCAGAAGAGCTCTCGCCGGCGTTGGACCGATACTTGACCCAGTTGAAGATATCGGCGCCCGAGGCTTCCAGCATGTGCAAACAACTCATCAAACTGGGGTGGACGAACCCCGGCGGCCCAGAACAGGAACAAGGAATCAAGCAGTTGTTTGACAGGATGATGCGTCCCGACGGGGAAGCCAGTATAGGATTGAAGGCGTTCCAAGAGACCAGGAGGCCACCGGATTGGGACGAGATAACCATGTCACGATCGGCAGCGACGGGCAAGCCAAAACTGTAGATGCCACGAGCAGAGGATCATGAAGATTTGTGTAAAGGCACTACACGGAAAGGAGAGGGATCACGGAGGAGGCTAAGTCGTTATTGGGGAGCCCATGACCGTGAAGTAAATCCTGCTGCCTGCAGCTTCGTGGCGTTTGCTGTATTGATATTTCGTAGACTCCGACCCCGTTATTCAGGTACAGCAGACGCTTGCTCTCTAAACATTCTACAAGAGTCCTGGAAAGAGATGTCACTTGAGCACTCTTGCTAGCCACTAGTCAATAGTGGCCCATGCCATACCTCAAGACGAGATTCACCATAATTAAGAGAGCTTTTGCGAGTCCAATCAACTAGCACCCTATTACTGAGTAGGAGAGGCTACAAAGAACCTTTCAACTCCCGAAATCGATCCGTCTCACTCTTCAAAGCACCACTGGCTCTCCTGATATACATCGCAACATCTTGCAAGGCCAAGTGGTCCAAAGACCGGAGATGGCTTGTGGCGGCGTCAAGGATATTGGCCCAGTCCCTGCCAATTAGACTGATGTTTGGACAGCGGTGGTTCTGCACCTCAAGCATTTGGCGTCCCAAGACTCTTTGAGCAACTTGATCGCACTAATGGTAATCTTCCCTCTGCTGCCTTGTGCGTTTGAGGAGTGACGGCACATGAGATAGTTGGGCAATGTTCCACCCGTATTCAATCATGCTCTGCCAACGGCGATCTTCGACGAAGTACATGTCCGTACTTGAACATCACGAACGGTATTGGAGCCATGAGTGTTGCAACGAGCGATAATATCAGACCAGCATACTGACTGCCGACATTGTGGAAAAACTGCGACGCAAAGAGAGGAGCCACAGCACCCATCGTGTTGCGGAGGAACGACTGAGCGGCGAGCGCAGAGCCTGAACTGTCCTCCCCATAGCAATCCGTCGTGTAGCTGTAACAGGACTCAAAGATGAAGAAGATTCCTGCCGCTATGGGAGCCAAAGCCACGGCCGGTCCCACCCAGGATAGATACTCGTACTGGGTGAAACTGTAGATGAAGAGTCCCACCGGGAGCAACCAGGCGCCAGACATGGCACCGTACAGTCGATCCTCGGGGACTATCTTGCGGTCTGCAGCAGACTCTATTCGTGACCATTTCCGCATTTGCAGGAAGATGTTGGCAAAGTAGCCGAAAGTGGCCCCGATGCACAGAGATATATACGGCAGACCGCCTAGATGGAGACAAAATCAACTCAAAAGAACGTAACGGTGGACGGAAGGACGGGTGCCGGGATGAGAGAAAAACCTACCGACTCCTTCGCTCCATCCTCGTTTCTCCTGGAAAGTGATGGAAATGACCGAGAGGAAGAGGAATGTGATGGTCCAGGCGAACGCGATCCAGAGACCAAACAAAAACACAACGGGCTCCGTGAGCAACATGTGAATGGCCTTCACCGAGGATTCGTGCACCAGAGCCTTGAGGCTCCTTGCCTCCAAGTCCATGTGAGAGACAAAGTTGTTGCTCCCGGTCGCCGCTGCTAGGGTGTGGGCACGTTTCTGCAACACCAACCCACCTCGCGTCTCTGGAAGACCGAATGCAACCAGAGTGAGTAGCGGGATGTTGGAAAGCCCTTGGATACCCTCGATCCACCTCCAACCGATGGTTTCGTCGATGAAGCCGGCGTAGATCGGCGCCGCGACCGTTCCCAATATAGCCACGTACGAAAAAAAGGCCATGGCCTGTGCCCTCTCTTCTGCGTGATACATGTCTGAGAAAGTGCCCCCGACCAGGATCGTGCCAACACTGCCGAACAGGCCGAGGAGTGCTCGACATACCAGTATCGTTGCTATGTTCTTCCCGAGGGCGAGACCGATAAAGAGGATGGAGAAGCAGAGGTAGGCACCAACGTACACGACCCTTCTGCCCGCGAGCTCGCAGAAAGGGGCCAAGAATAGAGGTGCGATGGCGCAGGTGATGTTGAAGGTAAACAGTCCCAGTTGTCCAAGTTCCTGTGACACGCCCAAGTCCCTGCACATTCGACCGATTCCTGAGCTGTACGCCGTCGTCGCCAGTCCGATGAACAGCGTCATCAGACACAGGAGAGCAGAAATGAAGCGCCGGCGATGGACGCTCCAGTTGAAGGGGTTCTCGGGGTCTCCGGGGACAAAGGACAGTAGGATCACTTCCTTCCCATGAGAATCGCGGGTGGTTTCGGTGTTGGTGAGTGGAAAGTCTTCGGCCAGCTCGATTGTATCGCTGCTGGCAACATCGGAATCTTCGCCAATGTGATCCCTCTGAATCACGAACCGTCCCCCGGCGACCTTGGCCTTTGGTCTCGAGCACAACTCGATATACTGGTTGGAGGAAGGCATGGTTTCTCCAGGCGATTCCAAGGGCAAACGGGAGTAGTGTCAATGTGTGAGAAACGCACGACAGTTGCGAGGGAAACACATGATTCTCGCAGCCAGGAAAGAAACAGCACATGTTCGCTGGAATTTTCGGGCGTCAAACATAGTGGTAGACCCATTGATAGACCCATATTGGGTGGATTCTTATTGAAAGTATGTGCTTTGGGCTGTTGAGATGATCTACTCTCGTGATGATGGATCTGAGGGCCATTCTTATCTGTGCGGAAATGATGGGTACACGAAATGCAACCTCTTACCGGGCATATGGGTCCAAGGAAAAGGCTGTACCCCTGATAAGCTCCGCTCCGGATCGCTTCGGATTCCGCACCTGTCGCCGCTGACGCATCGCACGTTCAGATTTGAGTTTGCTGCTTCCACCGCCGGGCATCCTTCTATAGGTCCATGACCTAGAATTGTGACGGCAGAAGATATTTGTTCCGTCGCCTTTCAAGCTGGCCATTTGTGCCAGTGACGTGTATTCCTACCAGTCTCCTCTGTATGTCATGGCACATGTTGCCTGGTCCATGCGTAAGACTGGAACACAGAATTTCATCTTCGTCGAGTCAACAATTGTTTATGGCTCGACCGGCTCTCTTCACCGATGCATGTAGATTGAGATGGTTGAAATGACCTGTGTTCTGAATGTCCCATATTACAGTCGCATCTATTCAAAAAGAGTCTCCCGTGGTATGGACAAAAGGAAGCCAGACCGTTTGAACAGTGTGATTCAAAGGATTCTGCACACTCTAAAGCATCGTCTTTACCCACAAAATATGCATATTGCGTCGCTCGGGCCGTGAAGTAAGTTAGTGAAGCCTCCTAGCTGGCTTTTGGGACTGTCATCGACATTGGTTTCTGGATGGGAAATGAGGAGTGGCCTTCTGGGTTTGTAGCTGGGAGTTGACTTCGTCTGCCGTTATAAGTAGAAGAGGTGAAAGTAAATAGTAACAAAGAACAAAAAGAAGAAGATCTGGGTTCTTTTAAAAGTGCTCGAGCACCTTAGAATCCCAATACCGAGGTTCCCGTGCTTTTCTCGCTTTTAGGTCAAAGCACTTTGAGTCGTTTCCGCCTCCCAGGCTCCCCAGATAAAAAGGTCCGCTCCCATGCTCTCTCTCATGACTTTGAATCGCGATATACTCGTACCACACCAATGGTCCAAACTACGCGGGGGAGAAACACGGAGAGTACGGAGTATGTCAACATACCAGATGTTCTGTTCCGGTGCTCCGTAAGTCTACAGTAAGAACAAATAACATCAGGTGCATGCATACTCTTGGCCTCCGGCTCAACAGTCCGGAACACGGACATCGCATGACTATGTGATGTTCAAAAGTACGCCTGGGCGCATATGACAACAATGTGATGACCACAATCAGTACGAGAACTCTGTACACTATCACCTGAAGAATGTTTCATGGCCAAGAGAATCATCTCACAATACCCACGCTGACTCGAAGCCACTCTCTCGGCGAGAAAAAGGGGAAGAAGCAGGAACAATAACAAATTGTATGCAAGATGACTCTTCAAGTGTTTTGCATAATTTTAGTTGCAATATTATAACAATCGTGATAGCTAACGACGCTCTTATAGGGTTACCGGACACTCTCGACGAGGATGTAGCTCGTCTCTGATTGAGATCTCCTCTCACTGAAAAAAGACATTGTGAGTCGCAATGTAATCATGGCGCTGTGCAAGTATGCCATGTCGGTGCCAACCGAACACCTTTATCTTCAGCGACATGATAATGTAACTGGCAGGCATGCCGCCTCCATTTTAACTCCTTCCTTATTATGCTGAATAAATCCCACATGGCCATGTAACATCAAGTGCGTATTCAATGCACAGGCTTTCGACGACAGAGACCAGCCGGCACACTCCTGGGCCGCTAGCACCTAGTCCGCGTCGCATACTGATGATGTCGCGATCAAGCTGGACTAATACGCTGCCCTGATATGATGATAAAAACACCAACTCTTTACTCCTGTGCGCCTTTTAAATGTAATACATCAAATCACACCTTCTCTTGAGAATTGACGCCCTCGTCGTCATCCGAAAAGGCGAATTTCGAATGCTTTCTGATACTCGCGCCCTTGAAGTAGAAGACGTAAGGGATCAGACAACAAGCAAGGGCGATGAATGCCAACAAAGTACTCGCCCATCTGTCATTGAGAGTATGGTACATCTGTTCTGTGAAAAGCACGACGCTGGCGCCCCAGAAACTTCGAATACAAGTCTTTGCTGCCAACGCGCTGGCGGCTTGGTGCTGGTACGTGTCGACGAGGTAGTTGTTGGCGCTGTTGTAGAGGAAAATAAAACCAAAACCGACGGGGAATCCACCCATCATAGGTCCCCAGTAGCTCAGATCAGGGTACGAGGTCCACGCGAAGATGAACAGCCCAATGGGAATGAGCCAGCAGCTGAACATCATGGGGATCAATCGTGCCTCTGCGGGTGGCTTACCGTCCGCGTATCGAGCACAGATGCTAAGATAGTGCTTGTTGACTAACGGCGCGCAGGCTGCGGAAAGAACGACACCGATGGCCAGGGGAATGAACATCAGACCCGTGCTTCCCTCGGTCCAGCCTTTGCCTTCGACGTAGACGATTGGATAGGCGACGAAGAACATGTACAGCAGACCGTACAAGACTGACATGTAGAGACTGATTAGGAACACAATAGGTTCGAGAAACAAGAGTTGAAGAGGTCGAATGAGGAAGATCCACGCTTGTTCGCCGAAAGGCCGCTTGTCAATGTCCTGTTCCGTGACATACTTGGCATCTCCGGTCTCTTTGCGCAGCTTCTTGGCGCGCTTCGCTAGAATGGCGGGAGCGTATGTTTCGGGAATGGTAAGCGTGAGCAAACACCAAGAGATGCCAGCGAGGATGAGTTGAATCCAGTATAGCCATCGCCAGCCCGAGGCATCACCGAGGAAGCCGCCGGCGAGGGGACCAATCGCAGGACCGATGAATGGAGCGGCGCTGAATACTGCCATGGGCACACCTCGCTCTTCGTTGCGCCAAAGATCTGCGAGCGTGCCGCCGACGAGGGTCATGGGTGCAGAGAATGCAATACCGTCAATCAGTCGACAGACCAGGAGGGTTCCGATGTTTTGAGCCACCGCGCAGGGAATTTCGAAGATGACAGCGATACCGATGGTGATGATGTAGACTGGTTTTCTGCCGAACATCTCGCTGGCCGGCGCGAAGACGAGAGGGCCAACACCGAAACCGATGACGAACATGGTAATGGTAAGAAGTGCTACTTCGAGAGAAACATGGAATGTCTCCATAACACCTTCCAAATCAGCAGTAATGACAGCACTGTTGAACGCCACAACGAAACAGGTAAATGCGACCACCATGGTACACCACCATTTGTACGGTTTCGACCAGTTTTTGGGGTTTTCAGGATCGTTGAGTGTGAAAGTGACCAGTTCGTGTTCCTCTTCGAGACCAGTCACACGAGAGATGGTTCGCTTCGGGATTATACCTCCTGCGGTCTCTTCTGTATATTCGGCCATGTTGGCCTCGTCGGACAGCATATCATAGGGAAGGTCGAGGACCTCGGCGGCCCCCTGGGTAGGTCGTGTTTCATAGTGTTCGAGGGTGCGGCGTGTTGACATTCGACTTAGGTGTGTGCTTTCTTTCTGTAATGAATGCTGCACTGTTTCATGATTTAGTGTGTCGTCTGACGTGCCGGACGTGGGATTCGCCATTGTGAATGGATTGGATTCAGCCAATCTATGATGAAGTCAAGAATATGGAAGCCTGAGGGATGAGTTTGATGAAAATATTTGTGTACTGCCTGAGATGCAGGAGCTTGAAATAGTATGTATTCAATAATTGGATCGAGGCCACTTTCCAAGAGCGGAGGTACTCTCCTCTTTATACCATGATGCAAAAATGAGGTCGGACTTCTCGCGGACACCTGATACGACAAGATCACCCACCTTTGGCGAAAATAGCCCCTGTACGAGGTGACCCATTGAAGGATTACAGCCATGGCCATACCAGTCGGGGCCAGAAAGGAAAATGATCCTCATTGAGCGATATATTTGCCTTCGAGACAGACGAACCACGTTTCGGAGAGCGAGATAATGGCGAGATCTTAATGAAAGCTCAAGCCACAAAGTCGACTCGGAGCCAGAGCGGCCAATGACAGAGATGATCAATATTTAAGCATAAACTGCCACAGGAAAATCGGCAGGGAAAGAAAGGGATATAGATACCAGGGGTGGAGACTGTGAAGTCCCGGAATTGTATCCGGTCGCATTCCAGATGGCCGTTGCTGAGGGACGTGAAGAAAAACTGGACATGGTTGAGGTGAGAGAAAACGATCAACCGAGAGAAGGCCGAAGTTTGCCAAGAATCCTGACAGCCTGGAAGCGACTAGTGACTAAGCACGTGCCTGGAGTTTTGTCGGCGTTTGTCTTTCGACTTATCCGTACAGAGTACAGCAAAAACTTCATCCTCCAATGAATGGACAGAATGGTGCGCGGGCCGCTTCTCTGCTCGAGTCTTCTATCGAGTTGACCTGCGTGGTATATGTGCATTGTGTATTGTACATATTTCTATTTCTGTCTACCAAAGCCATTTGGGCCCTTGTGGCTCCAAAGGTGCGAAAAGACGGTGCGATCAAGGATTGGACTCTTAATCATCCCTTCCCCTGGTCGAGATTTGTGGTCGTCTCCTTGATCTCGAGTGCCTTTTGGACGGTTATTCCCCGTGTCTCGCAGTATATGTGCTCCTACAACGGTCTCATTATCGTACACGAACCAAAGATGCCTCATTCAGCCACTATACGTCCTGACGTTGCCAGCCACTCCCAGCTCTAGCAGGTGAGTTTCGTTCATATGAGAATAACCGGCAAAGTGGTCATGTTGCCGCCGTTCAATCGATTCATCTCACCATGATGCCTTCTTCCTCAGGAAGTCTCTTGATGAAACCACGGGAACTCTTGGATCGACTGTTCGAAAACAATGATCAGAGTGAATAGAAGCCAACAATCTCCTCAAATGGCCTTATCAACTGCAAGCATATCCAGAACCCAAAGAACACTGGCAACTAACGGTCCTTTGTGGTTTCCATCCCCAGTCTACCAGGAATGACGACCTACGGACTGCTTCTCGAACCTACTCGTCCTCATACGATTATCAGAGATCAGGGGTGTCTCCGGTGGCTTGCACAATGAAGTCATACCCTTTGGCTAGCCTTCCCGCTGCTGCCCGAAACTCGTCGTACCGCCCCGCGATGAGCGATATGACTAAGCCTGAGAACACCTGATGAGGCCGGTCAAAAAGGGAACACATGATGCGCGTCCTTGGTTCTCGTTTTGTTTTTTCTCTTCTCATTATATCGTGACAGCCTTGCAACGTATTTGCATGGTTTTTCTCATCCTCAAAAGACTTGGAAAATGGCAGACTACTACAATCCAGGTGGCTACCCACCTCGACCAGGCAGTGGGCAGAATACCTATCCGCCGCCGCCGAGGACAGAGCATTACGACCACAGCAACCAAAGTTACACCTCACCAGCACCGCAGGTAAGGGCGCGCGACACCTCCCATGGTTAGCTTTCGTTAAGACTCATCTTGTCGCAGAGTTCGTACGGCTATCAGCCCGCGCGAGAGGATCAATACAACTACTCCCCGCGCTCCTCTGCTATGCAAGTTGGGCAGTACGCCGGCACGGAACACGAGTACGCGCGCCAACGCCGAAACTCGGGCCCTTATGCCGCAAGCCAATATCGCGGCACCGAAGCCTCGTACTACGCGCCTCCCCCAGACTACGATGACCGCCCCAGCTCTCGAAGCTCGCGGAGGTCCGGTAAAAGAATCGAGAAACACGCACATCACGACGGAGCAAAGGAACTCGGCGCCACCATTGCCGGTGGTGCAATTGGCGGCTGTAAGAAAGACACCTGCTTTGCTGTGGCTAAGACCCCAGGCTGATTCTGTTCTTTGATAACCATTAGGGGCCGGGCACGAAATCGGACACAGCAACCCTCTGGTGACCGTCGCGACGGCTATCGCGGGCGCGTACGCCGGACACAAGTTGGAACAGAAACACGAGCATAGCAAAGAGAGAAAGCGAGAGAGACGCGCGAGTCAAGCAGACGGTAATCGTGACTACGACGAAGATCGGCGGAGCAGGAGTCGGAGCCGCAGCCGCAGCGCGACTCGGAGACGATCAGTCAGCCGAAGGAGCAGAAGCGAGAGTAGCAGCGACTATGACAGCGACGACAGCAGAAGGAGGAGACATCATCGACATTAAGGGGGAAAAAAGTGAGGAACAGGGACGAAGAGATCTCAACGCCATGTGTGATGAGTTGTTTTTGGTGGGACATTTATGGTTTTTTGATGACGACCGTGATGATGATGCTTCATGATTATGTTTGCAAACGGTTATTGTATTCTTGGAAATCTCTGCTTGATTGAGGTAGATTCCCATGCCAATGATGACGAAGACGCCTGTTTGTTAGATGTCTGGTATCGTCTACGTTTGTCACGGCATTTGACATGAGCATTCTACCATCCCTTTCAAGTGGGTCAGTATACACATGTCTAGGCGAGGGTGTGATATATGGGGCAGGGAAAGGTGTGGCGCCAACCCGAATCCCGCTTAACAATTCGACGAGTTCTTGCGCAGGCATATGACCTATTCCTAATGGGCAGCTTTAGAGTCAGGACGGAGTCAGCACGTCACAGCAATGACAGATGATTGTGAATAGAGAGGGTTGAACCAGGCATCCTTTGTCACTGGCAGAGTCATATGGAAAGACTCGGTTGTATGATCCCCCAGCCCGAGTCTCGACGCCGTTGTCGTCATACTCCTCCGAAAGTTTTCCACGGGGTAAAGCCGAAGAAGAAGCGTTGCAATTACAGAGTTTGTAGAATACGAGGTCGGGAAGAAAGAGAAGAGGGACGGAATTCGGTTGGTGCTTCTGGAAATCATCGGCGGCAAAAAAAACAGCGCAGCCAGTCATAAGCCCACCATATCGATTCTTGTCGCCGGGTTGGCCGAAATGCAACTGTAAGAAGATCGGTGGTCCAGCCCTGATTCGGAATCGGCACTCCGAATTGTACTCGTAACGATAATCCAGCGCAGGGCTCACCACCTGTAGTACGGAGTGCTGGAGTGCCTAGTATTGTACTGGACCTCCTTCCGTACTGTATGGCCTTATCTACGGTTATCACCACCACTTATCGATAGTGGCGATATTGCATCCCACTATTTTTTCCCCTTCCACCTCCAGATGCTGCCTGGGCGACGAACATACCCACCCCTCTTTGCTGACACTCTTATTATACTGTATAGGCAAATCATTGTGACGAGGTACTTTAGAACCATAGTAGCTATGAAAAAAATAGGCCAAGGCCAGAATTAAATGGCATATGACAAGTCATGATCAAGGGGGGGCGAAGTAAATAGTGGCTGATTACACACAACACATTCCCCCTTTCCTTCGTCTAGGCGATGCCTGTCGATGCAGGTCTGACGTGGTACTCGTAGAAAGGGGAGCGAAGAACCTGTAGAGTCAGAGGCCATGCCGCTGATCCCGCATCACAAGTGTTACAAAGGTGACCGGGGTTTGGGGCAACTCAGCCCTCCCAGAGGCCCAAAATTTGGTCGGGGATGACTGTGACAGAAATAGGTCTTTTTGTCAGAGCCTGGAATGAGGGGACGTGTGTTTGATGGGACAATGGGTACCCTCTTCTTTCAACTCGTAGATGAAAATCCTCCTCTTTTGACTCCCGTCCTCGCATAGAAGGTCCCTGGGCTCTTCCAGAACATCCAAGGAGAGGAAAATGGGGGGTGAAGGCGAGGGAAAATGATCGACCGCAAATTCTTACTGGCAAAAAGGGAGAAGTTCGATTGGACACAGGACAGGGCGAGAGTCCGGGCGCAGGACGGAGTAGTAACCATGGAAAATGATGGGAATCGACGAAAAAGGGCGGCGTTGCTTGGGTTCCGAGAGAGAAGCGTGTAGATGGTCAGCCTGAGAAGAGGCGCTAAGGGAAAAAAATTTTGGGCCGCCGCTGAAATTTAATAAAAAAAATCGCCCTCGCCTTCACTGCCACCTGCCTTTTCTCCTTTGCATCCATCTCTCCCTCTCCATCACTCCCTCTCTATCCCTATCCGTTTGGCATTTACTCTTTCGATAGAGTCTTTGCACTTGTCTTTTTTCTTTTTCCCAATAGACGCCGATTAGAGCGTGATTTGCGTGAGAACGCAGTCCGTGGGCATCGATTTTCCCCATAGACCGCCACTTTCAGCTTCTCCTGAAAATCTCACACAACCCCCTTCAGTCCCCATTAACTCATCGTCAACCTTCAAAACCCGGCGTCAAAACGACATGCCAGCGGTCGACACAATGACTTCCACTCCCGTCTCCTCCGCAAAGGAGACCAAGCTCTCCGTCAACACCCTCGATCAGTTGATGCAATCTCTGTCGGTCTCAAAGACCCAGGATGAAATCAACGCAGCCTCCAACAACCTCGCCACCCTGCTGAACGGCCCCATTGAGGAGCACGTTATGCCCACCAAGGCTGTCGAGACCTTCAAGAAGCAACTCGCCAACAAGAAAGATGCTGCCGTCAGAGAACGAGCGGTCGACGGCATCAAAGCCATTGCTGCTCACTCCACCATCTCTCCTGCGGTTGAGCCGTACCTGATTTCCCTCCTCCCACTGACCCTTGCCGCCGTCGGTGACAAGATGGTCTCCGTCAAGAACGCCGCGCAGGCCGCATCTCTCGCCATTGTGCGAGCCATCAACCCCAACGCCGTCAAGGCCGCTCTTCCTCACATCCGAAATTCCATCATCACGGCTCAAAAATGGCCCGAGAAGATGAACGGTCTCGAGTGTATCGAGGCTCTCGTTGAGACTGCCCCCACTCAATTATCCTTCCTCGTCCCAACCCTGATTCCTATCGTTTCCGAGTCCATGTGGGACACCAAGCCTGAAGTCAAGAAGAAGGCATACGGCACAATGGAAAAAATCTGCAAATTGATCGAAAACAAGGATATTGAAAAGTTCATCCCCGAACTGATCAAGTGTATCGCTAAGCCTGAGAACGTTCCCGAGACCGTTCACTTGCTCGGTGCCACCACTTTCGTTACTGATGTGCACGAGCCCACTTTGGCCATTATGGTTCCTCTCCTTGAGCGAGGTCTGGCCGAACGAGAGACTGCCATCAAGCGGAAGGCTGCTGTTATCGTGGACAACATGTGTAAATTGGTCGAGGATCCCCAGATTGTGGCTTCTTTCTTGCCCAAGCTGATGCCTGCTCTGACCAAGAACTACGAAAACATGGCCGATCCTGAGGCGCGTGAGAAGACCAAGCAAGGTCTCGAGACTCTCAAGCGTGTCGGTGCCGTCAAGGAAGATGGCAGCTTCCCCAAGGTTTCAACTGCTGGTGAAGTTACCACCGTTGTTGAGGTCCTCAAGTCTATCCTTCAGCCCAAGCACAAGGATGCCTTGAAATCCGAGGCCGTTATTGAGTACATTGCCGCTATCGCCGGTCAACTGATCGACGAGAAGGTCACCGAAGCACCAGACTGGGTTTCCAACACTCAAGAATACCTAAAGACTTTGGTTGGCGAGCAAGACGCTCCTGCTGTTGCTGAACAGCTGAGAAAGAAGGCCTCCCCCGGCATCGAGGAAGAAGCTGAGGCTGAGGCTGACGAGGAAGAAGGCGAAGATCTCTGCAACTGCACATTCAACTTGGCCTACGGTGCTAAGATTCTCCTTAACCAGACTCATCTCCGCCTCAAGCGTGGCCAGCGTTACGGTCTTTTGGGCCCCAACGGTTCCGGCAAGTCCACCCTCATGCGCGCCATCAACAATGAGCAAGTCGAGGGTTTCCCCAAGAAGGATGAAGTCAAGACTGTGTTCGTTGAGCACGATCTTGATGCTGCCGATACTGAACTTACCGTCATTGGCTGGACCATGATGAAGTTGAAGCAGGTCAACATTGACAAGCCACAATCAGATATCGAGTCCAAGCTCGAGGAATTCGGTTTCCTCAACTCTCAACTCGAGGGACCTATCACCTCGCTCTCTGGTGGCTGGAAGATGAAGTTGGCCCTGGCTCGTGCCGTGTTCGAAGAGCCCGATATTCTTCTGCTTGACGAGCCCACCAACCACTTGGACGTCAAGAACGTTGCCTGGCTCGAACAATACCTGATCAACTCTCCTTGCACATCCATTATCGTTTCTCACGACTCCAAATTCTTGAACAATGTCATCCAGCACGTCATCCACTACGAGCGCTTCAAGCTCCGAAGATACCGTGGCAACCTCACCGAGTTCGCCAAGCGAGTACCTGCTGCTCGTTCCTACTTCGAACTCGGTGCCTCCGAGATGGAATTCAAGTTCCCCGAACCTGGTTTCCTCGAAGGTGTGAAGACCAAGGCCAAGGCCATCGTTCGTGTCAACAAGATGTCCTTCCAATACCCTGGTACCGACAAGCCTCAAATCTCCGACATCACTTTCCAGGTCTCTCTTGGCTCTCGTATCGCCGTCATCGGTCCCAACGGTGCTGGCAAGTCCACTCTCGTCAACGTCCTGACTGGTGAATTGATCCCTACCAATGGTGAAGTTTACCAACACGAGAACATCCGTATTGCTTACATCAAGCAACACGCTTTTGCTCACATCGATAACCACTTGGACAAGACCCCGTCGGAGTACATCCAATGGCGTTTCCAGACCGGTGAAGATCGTGAGACCATGGATCGTGCCAACAAGATCGTCACCGAAGATGACGAGAAGGCCATGGACAAGATCTACAAGATTGACGGTACCCAACGACGTGTCATTGGTATTCACGCGCGAAGAAAGTTCAAGAACTCGTACGAGTACGAATGTTCGTTCGCCCTTGGTGAGAACGTTGGTATGAAGAACGAGAAATGGACCCCCATGATGACTGCCGACAATGCTTGGATTCCTCGATCTGAAATTCTCAACTCTCACCAGAAGATGGTTGCCGAAGTGGATCAAAAGGAGGCTCTCGCCAGCGGTCAATTCCGACCTTTGATCCGTCGTGAAATAGAACAGCACGGTGCCAACTTCGGTCTCGATGCCGAACTCATCTCTCACTCTCGTATGCGTGGTCTCTCTGGTGGTCAACGTGTCAAGGTTGTGCTTGCTGCTTGCACCTGGCAACGACCTCACTTGATCGTCCTCGACGAGCCTACCAACTATCTCGACCGTGACTCCCTCGGTGCCTTGTCCAAGGCTCTCAAGACCTTCGAAGGTGGTGTTGTCATCATTTCTCACAACGCCGAGTTCACTGAGAGCTTGACCAACGAAGTGTGGTCTGTCGTCAACGGAAAGATGACCCCAAGTGGTCACAACTGGGTGGTATGTACACTTTTGAATCTTTTTGTTTCTTCAAATGTGCTAACTTCTGTATTAGACTGGTCAAGGTAGCGGTCCTCGTCTGACTGATAAGGGTGATGATGAGGAGGACAAGTTCGATGCTATGGGCAACAAGATTGAAGGCAACAAGAAGGCTAAGAAGCTGACTTCATCTGAGCTGAGAAAGAAGAAGAAGGAGGTGAGTTTTGATTTGATCTTATGATATCATGAACAGTTGCTGACTATCTACACAGAGAATGGCCCGACGCAAGCGTGGTGAGGAAGTCTTCTCGGATGAGGATGACTAGGCGACTCGCATCATTTGACGATCTGCACGACATTGCGCCATTCCTTTTTTGCCTCTGATTGCATTTGAGGGAGATCTGGCGCTTTATGGCATAGAATGATTCCAATATGCTAGACGCTGTCATGGGGTTATTTTCTCTTTTTTGTTGATGAACATTCATGAGCAATTCGGTTCCGGAGTTAGTTTTTAAAATGGGTTGGTATGATGCACATTGAGTCAGTACCAAATACCTTTGTCTTTTATTTTCCTTGGAGACAAATGAGGCCCTGGTCGGATTAGAAATCTATTTGACGAAAGAAAAGCAAGAATCGAAATAGATTGGCGAGGGCTGTGATAGATATGATAGAACATTGTTATCAATCAATTATCATGGGTAAAAAGTTGAATGAGCTTGGTCCTTGCTTTTCTTGTTTGCTTCCTGTTTTTTCCTCTCTACAGTGTACATCAGCAAGAGTTGATTGTTGTTGGTACCGGAGATGAGTGAGTATACCTTGTATCGTCAAGAGTGGGTAGATATGTCTTTGTCTAGTAGGCACCCAGGTACTCCGTACAGGTAGGTATGGATTGATTGTCGGTCTACCTGAACGTCTTCAGGTTATATTTCCCACCCTTTTCCAATGCTCTCTTGTAGGCCGGCAACGAACGAATTCGATCCAACCAAGTTTGGAGCCTCGGGTATTTGGAACCGTCAAAGTAACCTCTTTGGTCCGCCATGTCCATCGGGAAGATGGTCAGAAAGTCCGACAGGCCTCGTGAGGCACCCCCGAACCACGGGTTCGTTTCGCCCAGGCCGTCTTCCATGTATCGAAACAAGCCACCGAGGTCCTTTCTAAAGTACCGACTGAAGGGGTAATTGAAGATGCCCGCCAAGTGGCCCAACCCCCAAGGGTAGACTGTTGAAGGTAACTCGGAGACCAAGACAAAGTCGACCTTGAAGAGGAGTGAAGAGTTTGCGAATTCTTGGAAAAATTGGTCTCGAGTGAGGTCCTCTGGTGACGACGGTGTCCAAAGGCCGGTACCGTTGTTGTTGCTGTTGTTACCACCCAGAGGTTTCGCAAAAGTTTCGTATAGGTATTGTAAGATGAGACGGGCTTCGGAGATGACGGATTGTCGTCGTCGTTGTTGTTGTTGTTGTTGGTTGGGTATATCACTACCAGTAGTGGTGGTGGTGGTCTGAGTAGGTGGTGATGATGGTCCTATGGTCAATACTGGAGATTTACCCAAAGGATGAACCTTTTCAATCCCATTGGGACCGTAAACTCGAGGGTAGATTTTTAAACCGTACGAAAAGGTTTTTGTATCGTCATCATCGTCTTCGTGGTCATGATTATAATCGTCGTATGCCTCGACTAGATCTTCTAGAGCGCAAAGAATGATGAAGGATTTGGATGATTCGAGGTGATGGAGACATGGATAGACCACGTCGGCGTCGTCACCTTGTCGGCGGTTGTCCTCTTGTGTACTCTCACGAGTGGATGCGGATGGTGATGTGGATGTCATGATGTAAATATACCCTAGGTTCTCCGTACAGATACAGGGACATACGAAGAGACAGAATAACAGAGAGTATATGTTCCTCGACACAATTGCTGACCTTGGGCGAAGCGGGCTTGTATCACCCATACTTACTGCCCATGGGATACACCGACCCACCACCCCACAATCTTCGTACTTTGTACCCTGTATTGAGGACAGAACGAGTTCCAAACAAAGGATGGTGTGTCGCCGCCCATTGACGATTCATTGGGCATGGCTGAGAGAGAGAGGGGGGGGAAAGGGAGTCTGATTATTTCCGTTCCAGAAAGGGATATCTCGGAGAAGGGGGGTCGGAGGGTGGCCTTACAGACATTGTAAGGATATGGTCAAGAAGATGGGTAAGGATGTGACTGTGCATTAGTTAATGGCACTGCTGACATTGCTGACTCTCGCAACAGACAGAAAGCCCTTTGAGGACTGAAGAGGTGGTGCCGACGGGAGTCACAATCCCTAGGCTTTCAGAATAGTACACCACGCCAGTCACTACCTGTGTGTAGGGGCACAAGACTGTACAAGATGCAAGGCGGACCGCGGTTTGTATTTGTTCTACTCGTACTGATACCCAGTGAGATATCTGTCTGATGTATGGTCGTCAAAAATCGTTCAATCATTACGCCCACTCACTTTCTCTCGCTGCGTTTCATTATCAACGGAAACAAAGTAAATTCGTCCCATGTCAGATATCTCATGGTACCCCTGATGAAATGAAATGAAAAAAGGTCATTCACTTCGTTAGATGATCGACATCCAAACCCACGACAAACCCAACCCCGTCGCCATCATCGTACTCGACAACATCACTTCTTTCGTACCATCACTCGTAGTCTGGTCGGAATAGACACAGGCCCAACCGGATTTCACTCCACCACTACCACAGTCATTCGGTTCCAACGGAGGTTCCGAATCATCGCATGACGTCCCACTCGTTCCCGGAGGACAACACTTTTGCTTGTTCCAGATCTCCTGATCCAGCCACAGGGACCACCCGGCCGGACAACAAGTTCCCCAGGTAGAACCGTCGTACGTCGACGACAAGAAACAATACCCACTCCTACAAAACGACGCGGTCGATTGATCTGGACAGCTCGATGTTTGCCGCCCGACGATTTTCTGATTGATCGAGTGGCTTTTATCGTTCAGTCTATCTCGAGTGAGATTATTGCAACCAATTGTTCGGACCTCGGAAATGACCGGATCGAGGTTTTCAGGCTGTGCAGTAGGTGATGCGACAGATTTTTCAAAGGCATATAATATCGCAACCAGCCCAATGAGCCGATCCGCTCTCATGGTTTTGAATGCGACAAGGGCATGAGATGCAATAAGTCGTAGACGAAAGAAACGGTTGTGGGGTGGAAAAGAAAAGGCTTGTTGTTCTTCGGCGCGGATGTTCATAAACATCGGACCACAGAGGAGGCGATTGATGACTAAGACTCGGACCTCTCTGTCATTGGACATGGAAATTCTGGTACGATTGACTGGTTCAGAACTTTGGCTTTCTTTACTTGAGCCTCACTTGTATGCTTTGTACTTCAGGGGACACGGCTTCTGGTGATTTCAGCGTCAGCACTGCAGCCTCCTGAGCGATGGGAATCACTTCTTCGAGTGTGTAGCCTTTTCCCAGTCCCGCGACAATGACGCCCAACATTGTGTCACCGATACCATTGACCGACACAATCTCTTCTTGCCTCACTTCTTGAGAAGGTGGGATCAAACGCATAAACACTCCGCCGACTTCAGAACCCTCGGACATATTCCTAGACAGTATGTAAGGTGCATACTCGGGACGTGTCAGTCTCTCATCAGTACATTTCAGCAGGCTGACCAAGAGACAGCCATGACGTCCTAATTTGGTGACCAGGTTCGGGATAAACGGCAAAAGTTGGATGCATTGTTGCGGGATACCCTCATTGACCAGTTCAACTCCGGCAACAGATATGAGTCGGTCTCGTGATGCTGTGCCTGATAGACCAAACCCATCAATCACCTTCCACCACTGCTCCGATTCAAACATCATGGCATCTCTCGCAGCATCATAGATCGCTTTAAGTTCCATGCTGTTTGGAGAGGCTAGACTGATGATGTGATTCGGAACGACGCCAGCCTTGGCCATAGTGTTGTTGGACTTACTGAACAGACGTGCAGCCTTTGCCGTGGAGACGGGTTCGAAAGCTATCATAGCCTGCTGCCTTTTAGCGGCTTGGAAGATTGACGACAAAATCTCTGGAGACCAGTTTGCATCTGCAACCACCCACTTGGGCTTATTGCGATCGAACATGGTCGCCCAGTAGTCCAACGACTCCATCTCTGGTCGTGCCAATATTGCCATATCTGCCATGGCGAGTACCAGATCTTTGCCGGTGTCATTTACTGCGACATATTGTGCTGTTCGGGCACCGTCTGCAGCTGGGAGTTGTCGGATGTTTGTTGTCGTCAGCCCGCTCTCCTTGATGTGGCTTAGGAGTGATGATCCGGCCAAATCATCTGCCACCACGCTTGCTAAAGCGACTTTGGCGCCTGCAAGGTGTGCTGCCATAGCTACGTTGCGACCGACTCCACCTGCCGATTGAGTTATGTTTGACGGGTTCGATGTATGCAAAGTAGGCGAGATTGGGGATTGAGTGTCTTTGAATGGCTGATGGTCACAAATGGTGTCACTGGCGAGAGATCCAGCAACCAGAACATCTATGGGTTCGGCCTGAGGTTCGACCGACCCGGGAATGATATTGCTTCTAGACGTTGTTGAAGCGTGCTCTGTCGTGGATGTCCCCGAGGAAGTTGCAGAACGTTTGAGAATTGCATGGTCCCTTCATATTGTCAGCAGAGAGACCTCGGCACCATCACGAGAAGTCTAACATGGCTCACCGCTGAAGTGCAGCACCATCTCGTCGTTCGAGCTTAGCCAATTCGACCGCGACCTTAGTTCCGCAGACTACGTTCGCCTCGATCAGAGCTTCATTTGCCTTGACACTAGCACCGTGACTCAACTCCCTGATGCGTTTTAATATGTATGGGGTATTAGCGCTCCCACCAATGCCCTTCTCGTCGGCTTCAGCAACGGCTCGTGCGATAATGGAGTCAATGTCCTCCTTAGCCATAGCAGAGTGTTCCGGCACAGGGTTGGCAAACAGTAAGCCAGAATGTACAGGCAGTTGAGACTGCGCATAGACAATGGCCGCGGCATCGGCTTCATCAAGGATGGTCTGCGGGCTTTTGACACCACTGTCTCGGCAAAAGAATGCAGGAAAGTCGACTTTGCCAGTTCTGCCATCAGCGAATGTCCCGACGCCAACGCCTTGTGTCTCGAGGTATTCCAGAGTGCGTGGGATGTCGAGGAACGATTTACTCCCAGAACTGATCACCGCAACGGGAGTCCGGCCCAACTCTGTCAAATCTGCCGAGATGTCCATGGAATTTTCACCACCTCGATGAACACCTCCAAGGCCACCAGTGGCAAAGATCTTGATCCCTGCAAGATGTGCAAGCACCATTGTTCCTGCGATTGTAGTTCCGCCATTCAGTTTCTGGCCTCGGAGGCCTAGACCACCAATGACGCCCAGATCCCGCCTGGAGATTTTCCAAGTATTCTCGCTACCAGCGGTAGAGACAAGTTCAATCAATTCTTCTGCTTGCATGCCGACTCGAGCGACGCCGTTAAGAATACCGATCGTCGCAGGCACACCGCCATTGACCCTGACCAAGGACTCGAGATGGGAGGACAAGGCGACATTCTCGGGATACGGGAAGCCTGGCAACATGTAAGCCTCGTAATCGACGTAGAGCACGCTTCATGGTCGTTGTTTACCGTGAGTGTAGATCGTCGTCTCTAACGCAACAACGGGCTTCCCAGTAGCGAGAGCATCTTGAACTTCCTCCGAAACCCGGAGTAGCTTTTCCCTTCCTGAAAGGGAGCGATGTTGTAGGACGGGCAACCTATAGCAGCTGCGGATAGAGCCTCTAGCTTGCCATGCTCTGTGCAGAAGAGCCATTGTCGACCCTTGGTGACTCTTGTGAAGCACTCGAGGAATCAACAGATAAGTGGTACATGACGGAAAAAGTGTTTCCCCGCACCCGGGGCATTTTTCCAGCCTCGTTTCACCCAACGAGGCTTTGTCAAGATGATGAACTCTTGATTTCGTGCAACGACCAAACTTGGACTGTTTTTTAATACTGCACACCATCTCGAAAAAAACACACAATATCAGACTTGACTCGGGATATCTTCTCACTCAGCATGCTGGCATAATTTTGAAGGAATTGCTGCCTGATATCTTTCCACCTCACCGCTTGCCAAACCATCATTCGTAGACTCCCGGTACAAACAAAATGGGACAACACTGACAAGGCCGATCGATGGATTCATAATCTCTCCATCCTCCCACACAATTCCTCCTTGATCTCAAATATCTCTCCGATAGAGGGGATCGGGCGACTCACTTGTGGCTCTCAGGTACATTGACGGCCCATTTTCTGGACCGACTTAGGGAAAGCGACTTTCTCGTTCAGTCTCTCCCTCCTTTTTCAAGACGAGGCGAACTCCCGAAAGAGAACCAACCATGCGCCTGTACGCCATATCAGACATCCACCTGAGCTACAAGCACAACAGAGAGGCCCTGGACGAACTCCAACCGCACCATGACGACGGGTTGATCATTTGCGGGGACGTCGGCGAACGTCTGGAACATCTACAGGAGGCCTTTGAGATCACGACAAAACTCTTCAAGCAGGTCTTTTGGGTACCGGGCAACCACGAACTGTACACCCTCCCTGGCGTCACGATCGAGGACGACCTCGACAAGGAATTGAGGGGGGAGTACAAGTACCAAGAATGTGTGAGGGTGGCCAACGAGTATGGGGTCATCACACCCGAGGACGAGTTTGTGAAGTGGGAAGGTGAGGGGGGTCCATGTCTGATCTGTCCCATCTTTACGCTGTACGACTACAGCTTCCGGCCGGACCACGTCACCCGGGAGGAAGCTCTCGACTGGGCCATGGAACAAAACATCTACGCGACCGACGAGGCACTCCTACACCCCGACCCTCACCAGACCAGGGACCAATGGTGCGAAGAACTGGTCAGCAAGACGGAGGAACGCCTCCGAGAGGCCGCCTCGAGGGGTTTCCCACTCGTCCTGATCAACCACTGGCCACTTCGGGAAGACGTCATCACGATCCCGAGCATCCCCAGGTTCAGTCTGTGGTGCGGGACGCGCAAAACGAGGGACTGGCACACCAGGTTCAACGCCAAAGTCGTCGTCACGGGTCACCTCCACGTGAGGAGGACCGACTGGATCGACGGGGTCAGGTTCGAGGAGGTGAGTATGGGTTACCCTCGGCAGTGGCAGGCCGCCAAGGACAGAGGGTTGAACATCAATGACTTGCTGAGAGAGATCCTACCTGGAATGCCTGACCCTGGAGACGGAAGGACGATCTGGAGGAGGGCAGGTGTACCTGGTATTTGAGTTTGGACTTGGGACTTTGATACTCGGTGAGAGCGAATTTACCGTCTTAGAACCCCTCTTTCTATTCAAGAAATAGAAGATACATCACACCAGGCATCGACCCAGACATCGGAAAAGACATATATACCTTAATATTGATGGTCATGGGGACTTGAATTTCGAGACCATCTTGATCAACGTTATTGATCTCTTCAATCATATTCTCATACATACAAATCTCCCTATCCCTGCCCTTGTCTACCACCACCACCACCACCACCACTACTTCTTCTTCGCGGCGTACTCCTCGGCCGTGACCTCCTCGTGCCAGACGGTCTTCCCGTGGCTGACGGCCAGGTGCATCATGTACGTGTCGTCGCCCCCTCCGTGCCAGTGGGTTGTCCCCGCGTCGCACCAGACCATGTCCCCGACGTTCAGGCGGCGAGGCTCGCCCCCCTTGTCGCAGATCCACCCGGACCCGGCCAGCACCTTCAACATCTGACCGTTCTCGTGCGTGTGCCAGTAGGTCCTGGCGCAAGGTTGGAACATGACGTGGTTGAACTTGATCCCCGGTCCCTCCAGGACGGGGTCCATCCAGACGTCACCCGTGAACGTCCCCGTCGCCTTGGCACTCGGCTTCGCCTCGTTGCGGGAGTTGTGGACGATGGTCGATGGCATTGTCGTTGTCGTTGTCGTTGTTGTCGACGGAATGATACTCTTTACGAACCTCGGGAGTTGCGATGATGTGATACCGAGTACTCCAATCGACTCGAGTCTTTTTTTGTTTCGTCAAGTCAAAATTCGGTTGGGATGTCTGTGTTGTCTGGTCACCCCGTAATATTGTCCAGGTAAGTTTTATATTGTACGATATCAATTCTTCTTCATGAGAGAATAGATCTTCAATTCTTTCGTCAACAAGATCTCACTTCGTGATACTCCCCGTGTACCTACTTTAGGGCAATCCCGTATTTATTTAATAACCGAAACCCACGTTGGAGTCGAACGATATCGGCTTCTTTTTGTCATTTCTCCAACTCCAATGGTTTTACAAACTTCCTCCACACTTTTACTCCAAGGTGGGAATCCCATATCCGGGCGTACGTGAGAAGAATTACCCAGAGATTCTCATTTGGATATCTTTATTGATTTGACAAAGGTACAGAATAAAATCAACCCAAGCCCAGTACGATTCTCATGTGAACCTGGATCCCGATGTCGATGGTTTTACTGGATGCCAGGGAGTATTAATTACTCTTACCACACACAAGCACATATCAAACCCCTTCCCTTTTCAGCCCGACCACCCTTGCTTTGTAGCTTCGTATTGACGCCACCAATACTTCCCGCATCCTTCATTCAGCTCTTCAGCCGCTGCCGCTGTCGGTTTGTTTGCTTCGCCAAAGAGAAACAAGCACTCTTAAGCTTTCCACTACTACAACGAACACGAACAGTTTTCCCTTTTCAAACGCCTTCCCATTCGAGTATCTTGGGCACATGCGCATACGCAAGCCCCGGTTACGAGCTCGTATCGTTCAATGACCCTCCTTGCCTCCGTCGAACTCTAAGGTAGAGAGGGATGTGTCATGTATATATAAACACTCGATCGTACCATGTTTCTTCACCATCCTAGGCTTCATATGTCTGTACAATTCTCACACCTCTTCCTGGCACTCAAAAACATATCCTTGCCCTATCCATAATCTCCCCGAATCACACTGATCCATCAACATGGCCACGGCATCCGGTCATGTTCAAGAGACTCGCAATCTCGTCCCAATTGCGCAATTCATCGAATCGAAAAGCGAAAACGGGATACTGATGACGATTGAGATGTTCATCGACCCGTCCAAACTCGACGAGTACGTCAAGATTGTGACCCCGGTGTGCAAGAAGATGCGTGAATACGAGGACTGCATGTTTTGCGAAGTCTCTTGCCACCCCGAGGACAAGGGTCACGTTCGCATCTTGCATGGCTGGACCAAAGACAGTGCCTGGATTCGCGATGTTAGTTGGCATTCCCTTACCTGAGCATCTTATCGAGCAGTCGGTCTGTTGTGAACTTGTGTTGACCCTGGTGTTCATCTTTAAATTAGAATATTGAGACGCAGCCCTGGTTCGGAAATTACGTGAAAGAAATTGTATCCATCAGGGATCCAAATCGACAAAGTGAGTCTTCCATGGCCCTCGGCGTTGAATGATAAATTGGCTGGTGCCGCTGACACCACTACTCGAACACCAGGGGTTGTTCAACACTTTGATCGCATACCGACAGCTTGAAAGCGACTCGCAACTCCAGAAGGATCTTGTGGCAGGAGGTTGGCGACACTGTTCTCTCAAAAGCACCGAGCATGAGGTGTACAACGATGGGGGTTGTCTGGAGAACGGGCGAAAAAGAGCGGTGTGACAAGGGCTAAAAACCAACCTGTGTAGCACCACAAAAATTGAGACTTTTGTGATAATCCTGAATTACTCAATGCAGAAATATAATTCTTGAGCATGCCCCAATGTTCCATCTCGATCAATCATGAGTGTTTGGCCCTGTCAGGGACTACAAGGCTCAGCCAGTCACATCATATCGCGACCGACGGCGACTTGGAGTTCTGAAATCCGGTTGCCTGATAGTTGCTCAGGGACTGAACCAAGATTTGTAGCTTTCGTGCATCCAATAGTACTTGCATCCATCGATTTTGAGCGAGTCTGCCAGTGTCCACATGTCCATGTTTGACTGGCAGCCCTTGGGAGACACCATCCACTTGGAGGATGGCCCGGCTTGCTGAAGTCTTGTAACATTGGCCATCCACAGACTTCGTCCCACACGTGACAGAATTCTGCTCGGTATCATGGAGCTCAAAAACCCAGCGATAGCAAAGTATAAAGACACTGCGCCGGATAAGTGCTGGACATAGATCTCCTCACCTACCGAAATTTAATGAATAAAGGGCCAAAGGTACTGAGAGAGCCCACTTTGCTCGAGAGGATTGCGTCCTTTAGCTGGATGCGACGAGCGACGATAGACACGGGATTCACCTTTCCGACGTGTAAGTGATCACTGGTGGATGAAGACGCTTGGTGTAAAGTGAGGCGCGGTAGGAGGCGAGCATCGACTTCGCGGTTTGAGACGTCAAGAAAGCCATCGAAACCGGGAACAAGGGTCGGTGTACTCGTAGGTATATGCCGTGTGACAGCTTTATGGATCCTCCTTCTTTCAAAAGTGCGAGAACGGGCCTGACGCCAATTGATTCGAGGCATGCAAAATTGTGTTGGGCAGAAACGCAGTGGCTGCGCAGCCCCGGGAGGTCAGGTGGGATCAAAGGTACTTGCGGATCGAGGCGGTGTCCGAGCAATCGACTGGTAAAGAGAATCGCAGCTGCAGTAGTGGCATATTACTCTGTTCTAGATGGCCCGGTGGAAGAATCAGAAGGCTCTCGTTTCGTCTAGGCGTAGGGATTGTTTGATTTCAGGGCGACCATTCAGGACCATCCGCTCGCGAGGCAAATTCACGGCGTGATCAATCTTCGGAGGCAGTTCAGCTTGCTGGGCGCGTATCGGGAAAGCTTCTTGGGCCAGCCAAACCAACCGTCGATGATGTCTCGAAGAAGCGGTATGGAAACATGGGTGAGTCCGATGAAGATTGAAGGTTGAAGCCGGCAGATTGCAGGTTGCGATTGTCACGATGGTGGCTTGCTGATCTCGCTCGGCAGGTCAGACTGGGGTCATAATCCAACCTCACCACATTGATGAACCGATAACATCACAACAAGAAGCGCGACAAGTTGCCATATGATGGATAGCCAATTGATGGAGCTCGAATGCTCAGAAGCCACCGTACATCCCAAAGTCCTTCAGATTGCTAAACAGTGTCAAAGATGCCGTCGATATCGCCGCCGCTTGATCCCAGACGCCGGACTAGAAGGCAACCAACCCAATCTGCTTCATTCATTTTGACCAATCCTGTCGCATTGCCTCTTGCAAAAAAAACAAGGCAAGACTCTCCGTCTTCCTCATATCCAGGCAGCAATTGCAGTCAACATCGCGTTGGGCAGCGTAAGGTGTCCGGAGGACTGCTCAGCCTCGGCCATTTGACCTTCGTATCCTCCCAAGGCCGGTGCATGTCTTTTGCAGGGCAACCAGTCTTCGTCGAGCATCGTATGCCCTTGAGGACAATCGAGCTCCGCCTCTGAGCTCCGACAGCGTGGCAGTGTCACAATCACTGGAAATGAAAAGGCTTCTGTCCACCAAGGGCAAACAGTTCATGATTGACAAATACTCGGGCTAGCGTTGGAAAAGGGTTGATTGAAGCTGCTCATATATAAAGTAGGTCGCAATTTGATAGTCTTGTATTGATTCTACCACTCTTTCTTAGGCTTAGAACAACATGACTCAGATCAAGCAGTCCCAAGTGAAGCTGCCTAAGCACCGAAGCCCTACGCATAATGGAGTTGGGGCTGATGAGAGGATTCCAAGACAGCGCAGCAGGTATGATGTCTGGGAACCGAGCTCAATACCATCTAACGATCTCATAGAACGAATGACGCTCACGTCCATCCCTCTAACCCCTCTTCATTGACGCCTACAAGAATAGAGCGATCAGGCAGAGATGCTGACCAGCGGCCCATGCGTGAAGAGGTTCGATCAAGAGGTACACAAGAGGAGCTACAACACAATGCAGGGGCCCGCTCTAGACTGCACCGATCGAGGGACCGGAATGGCAGGATTATCATACCCGCAACCCTTCTAGCAAGGTTGCTAACCGAGAGCAGGACGAAGGGAGTTGTCCGATGGTACTGCCGAAAGGCTTTCTACATGCTCTCTCCCTCACAGTGATTCCAGCGCCCATAGCTCGGGTCGCCGCACAGGCAATCGTACTGACAGCTCCGATGACAATCATTCCGTTGCACCCCGTCGTACCAATCACTCGAATCACAACCATTCCCCAACCTCATACGATGGTCGTTCTTCCAATCAATCATTAACAGTTTCACAAGTAAGTCCGCTGTGGTCATTTGGCCGCCTATATCACGCCATCTCTTTCTTAAACCCCCATTTGAGATCTCTTTTCCCGCTGACATTCGCCGGAGATGGTACGCGAAGGCGGGCATAGGTATCCAGGGAATGGGTATCCAGAGGCTATTTCAATTGAGGATGACGAGGGATTTAGCGATCGTGACCCTCATCGATTCAATCATCCACGCCGTCATCCTCGCGATCGTTGCTCAAGTCAAGATAGGCGCGAGCGTCGGGGCGGACACTGAGTTGCGTGGGCACTGGGTTTCCTTGAATCGGCGAATGGTGCCATGGAAGAGAACTGTATTTCTTAGGATGTGAAGGTGTTTGGATCGAGGCGGCTATCTCACACGCTATTGACCTCCGCGCACGACTAATATTATCGCATCAGTGAGGGCACGAGCATCGTACCTAAGCATTAGCACCATCTTATGACCACGAAGCACAGATGCCAGATAGAGAATAGATAGTAGGGATGCCGAGTAGCCCCAACAAACCTTGAACGATCATTGAAGAGAAGATCTCTCACCGAGTGATCGCGCAGCCTTGCACCATTGACGTAGTATACAGAGGGCAGTTCTCATTGGCCGCGAGTTGTACTCCGTTTCGCAGTTGGCTTAGTACAATCTTGTCACAACATTGGGTCAGACACAATATTTTTCATCGTATTTCAGCCCAGATACGGCCGGAGAAATTTCCCGGTCTCATCGAGATGGCCACGAAAGAACGACTTTCAACGCTTTGTGAACGACTGCGTGGTTGTAGAAGTCTTGCAGTGCCTTGTATAGTCTCAAGAACCAACCTCAGCTTGCTTTTGGCATCTCTCCATTGTATGTGAAGTTCCAACAGCCATCTTTGAAGGGTCTTCAACGTGACCGCGAAGTGTATCAACTCCTTCCGAGAGGTCAATGACCAGAAGAGCCTTGAGGAGAAGGAGATATTGATCGAACAATGACACAGGAAGGGCTGCTCACAGCAGTGTGTATCGCAAGGATGGATAGGACAAGTACACTGGCGCATCGGCTGCTCTGGCGCTGCGAGACTGCTGGTGAACCGTTGTTTCTGCCTCTTTCGACCACTGTTGGAGGGCATGTGAAGTTCTTCAGGTATGGCACGGTCAAGAACAAGTCGACTGCCGGCTGCGAAATGTCTGAGACAGACACCCAGGGGCGCGTTCAACTGATCAAAGAGCGTGTCGAGTTTCGCCTTGATGGAACACGGAGGGTGCAAGCCTCGTTCGAAGGAGACAGCGTGCCAGGACTGGGAATGCAAAGTGAGGCATACTAGAAAGGTAAGTTTGTTCGTATCAAAGCTTTGTGCGTGAGTTGTGTGAAGCGCACAAGAACGAAGTTTGGGACGAAGGACAGTTCGCAGAGCCCGAAAGTCGAGGTACGAATGCGCAAGACAACGCCAGCACTTGCCCAGGACCGCACGGGAAGGAAAACCGCAAAGCCATCGAGACTTTCCGGTCCGCCCCAACGAGTGGGAATGGATGGTGATACAAAACAAGAGCAATCTCGATCTATTTGTACGAGTATCTGCAAATGTTTTTGAAGGACCCGGAAAACGCAACCGGAGTCTGAAAAGGATTCTTGATTGGGCACTGGCCTCCGGAAGTGCCACTTCCACTCCCTCCAAGGGCACCACTTGGCTCCCTCAAGCAGTATAGGAAGCTTTCACGATGCAATGAGCAAGATCTGATTTTGATCAGAAATTCTCTAAGAGCCAGCCACTCTCCTTTCCCATGATTTCCGACAATACCACGTCCTGGAGCAGTACTGACGTACTCTATACAAGGGTTTTTTAACCAGCTTGTCCATCTCCCGCAACTCCTTCCTGATTACATCTTGGCCTGTTGGATGTGTTATCCTTGCAGTCGCAGAATGTGAGCTCAGGACGTTTACCTTTTTCTCCTCGAGCATACACTGGGTCAAACTTAACCGGTATTGGCTCTGATTGATACAATCAGACCATGACTGAGCCTGGTCCTTGATCCTTTCAGAGGGGCAACCGTCCCTGTGTCGTGGTCTCAACTGCTCGAATGCTACCATGGCTTCTAGGAATCATGAAATCAACCCAATACCAGCATGCATCGTACGGATGACAGGGCTATCCAATTTCAGTCTAATGATGTCCAGCGTACAAGAAGTGTAGGTCCTGGACCTAGAACACCCAGGGAAGCATAAAAAGCGAGGAGGATTCGATCAGAAAAAGGCCGACAACGCACAAGACCTGGTAGTGGACGGATGGCCCGAAGCACTCATAATGCAAACATCAACAAGTTACCTTCTAGAACATGGCGTAGTAGAGGTGGACTGTCGAACATTGTTCAGCATCAACCGTTGTTGGGACTATGCACGCCGGCAATACACGTAAGGCATGGACATGCACTCTTTCGCAGCAAGCTAACTTTGATCCGGGTTTCACCGACAGGTTTGGCAACATCATATGGTGCTCTAGTTTCCTTTTGGCGGTAACTTGCATAGCAACCTCTCAAGACCCAAATCTTAGTATATTGCATATGGTTGTGCTTTCAAATGCTCACTGAGGGGACTATCTCGTCTTGATCCATGCATAGTGGTACCATCAACCTCAATTGTAGATACGTGTCGGCGAAAGTCAGTCTCCGATAGTCCGATTGAGTATCGTCCCTTTTGCAATGTCGTCACCACTACAGCGTATGAGGATGGCGTCCACCTTCTTATCCCGCTCCGATCCAATTTTGACCTATTGTCGAAACTTGGTATATTGGTATAGTCAGGTACTGTATTGTTTATCGACCTTCTCAGGTCAGGAAAAGGAAGGAATGATCTCAGGTGACTCCTTTGCGAAAATGACCGAGGAAGAAAACAAGAACACCCTGGGCGCCATCATCTTCTTCACATACATTATCGCCGCACTGGTCCTGACATGTGTACTGCTGAATGATCTGAACCTACCTTCGGCATCCTCCACACGGCCACGTCGTCATGCCAGCCAGAGTACAAAGAGAAGACAACATGGTGCCACAAACCAAGAGAGCACTCGACCTTGGCTCTTTGCAGCATTGTCGGCCACAAGCTTCGCGGCGCTATCGTACCACATGCTTAATTTTCTGCTGGAATCATACCGAGTCTGGTCAACCACAAAATTGATGGATTTCAAGGTTCGTCCTCGTCACATCTGGACTTGGTCAACCGAGTCTCGTCTCTTCCGGGAGTTTGGGGAAGTGATATGTAACGATCCACGTCGGTTCTGGTGGACTCGGTCGGCACTCGTGTACTCGTTTGGATGGAACTTGTATATGAGCATCGAAGGTACGTCGCAGTGACCGCTTCCCGACGAACTCCTGGGGTTCGCACCGTTGCTGAACCATGTCTGTGTCTTTCCCTTTTTCTGTCTTTAGGCACAAGGCTACAAGTTCCTCATCTCGGTGTCTATTTCCTCCTAAACCAGATCCTGCCGGTCTCCTTTACGCAAAACTTATTCTTGTTCCGTACGTCGGTCCTTGGACGAGCAGACTCGGACACCGATCTCACCCCGACGAGACTCACCGTACATCCAGCCTCCGCCTTTCGACAAGGTGCGAGTACCCTGTCATACCTGTTCGTCTTGGCTCTGGCTCCGTACAGCGTGGGCACGCGTTACTTCTTTCCAGTCCTCTTCGCGACGAGAGTCCTACTTTTCGCAGGGCCGTACATCATCCTTCGTCCTGAGCTCGGCAAAGACCAACTGAACCCTTCGACCACCACCACCACCACAACAACAACAAAATATCACACTGTGAAACTATATCGATGGTCCTGTGCGATCCTCGCGGTATCGTTGGGATACATGTCGATGCAAACCATTCAGACGGCAAGATCGAGCACCGACGGCCTGGCCGCCATTGGGAATGCCCTACACGATAGCCCGGCCGTCAGCGCTCTTGGGTACGATGTCATGATCGGCATGGTCAGCCTAGCTTGTGTCTTTGGGGGATGGTGAGCGATCGGGGCCAAGCTGATGGAATTTCGCCCTCGTAGACAAGCACTACTTCAAGGTACTTAATGGGTAACGAACACTATTGAATAGATGATCTTTGCACAAGGTTTTGAGCATCTACATCTCCATTCACGGTGATTGGTTCTGCGTTTCTCGAAGTGTTTTTGTTCGGTGTACAATCAAATGCGAGCGGGACAACCATTCCGGCGTACTACTTACTACCTTAGTGTGTATCTCGCCTAGCTCCTCCTGCTCCTCCTCCTCCTCCTCCTCGCAGATCCCAACTTCAAATCATTTGGTACACCATACGTAAGGTGGCATTTGAATCCGGCACGAGCACGCGGTTGAGACTTGTGAAAACTATACACTACCGCCAAAATAAAACTCCTCCGCTCAATGTGCAACTCACTCGTAATTTATATTACATTGTAATCTCAACTATTACTCGTATCTGATTGTTTGCTCAATTGGCGGGGAGGCGGAGATTTCCGGTCATGGAGTCGATCCATCTAGCTTCAGCCATGGGCTTTCTGAGAACCCTTCAATCTCATACACAAACGAGCACACAGGGTCCTCATTCCTCTTTGTCTTGTACGAGTGGTGTGTACTGCCCTGAGCTGCGAACTGAGAGAATTTCCCGGACCAGTAGAGCAAGTCAAATACATCATTCGTCGGGGCGCCAGGACTTTTAACCTCAACGCTACTAATAAGATCCCCAATCTCCTGCGACCATGACGAGGAAGTTGCTTCAGCCCCAGAACCACCCAACTGGGACCGCGACCATTATTCGGGAAGATGGTTCTGATGGTCCTGCTGGAGGGAACAACCGCAGCGGCAACAGTAACGATTGGGAAAGTCTCCTCCTCGGAGTCATGCGACCCAGCTCCAAGTTGAAGACGCACGTCGTCCCTGCCGCACACGGTTACGCCTTTGAAGTCAAGCGGTCTTCCCATTTCCGCATCGTCGATCTGGAAGGGCAACAGGTGGTTGACTTTATGGCCTGGGCCACGCCGTACTCGCACTCGCGGGAACACTTCAGCGCCAGTTACACCAGGTACGCCCTGGGAGGGCTCGCCCCCCCTCAGGTGGGCGAGTGTCTCTGGACCAACCGTGACCGAAAAATGTTCACGTTGACGGCCGACACGGTCAAGACCCACGATCTGTCGTTCATGGCTTGCAACCCCGGATTCTACTCTCGCCAGGGCGAGCCCGATCACCGCTCGTGCGCGACCAACTTCGCCGAAGCGATGGGACCGTGGGGGATGAAACACTGGAGCGAGGTCATCGACCCCTTCAACGTGTTCCAAAACACACCCTATTACACCCTCAAGGCCCTGAATTGTTCCAAACCGGGAGATTATGTCGAGATGAGGGCGGAGATGGACACGGTCTGCGCGGTGTCGAGTTGTCCCTACACGGGTGGCGGGTTCAACGGCGGTGAGGTTACTCCGGTGGCCGTCGTGACAGAAGTCGTTGAGGATGAGGAAGAGGATATGGAATAGTTGGTTGTATGCCTGGACTTGTTGTTCAAGGCAAGTTTTTCTTGTAGCCCCTTCAGTGTACATGATCAAATTGCCGAATTAAACCACAATAGTATGCTGATTCGATGTCGCTCGCTGGCCCGGAATTTTTCCCCCATCTCCGGCGAAAACGGTGACAAGTGAGCGATGTCATGCAGACACAAGGCCCCGTACCCAGTAGTTCGAACCCTCACGAGCTAAGAGGGGGGAGGTACGTTTCCGTCCGTTCGTGTGGACCATAACGAGCACAACTTGACTCGTTTGTGTGTTAGCCGGAAGTATAACGCGTGTTCGTCTAATTGGTGGGGAACGAATCGGACAGAACATGTGCCCTACTAAGAAGAATAGATGATCAGCTTACGACTTCTTTCTAAGATTCCATTGAAGGAAAGAATTCGTCCAAGTTCGGATACCTGCATCTGGTGCGACTTACTCATGTCCTAGGCTGTCGCCCTTGTGACTGTACCACGCTTGTTGTTTCCGTTGCGTTGTCGATGTATGATGTTGTGGTTCCATCGGCACTTGCAAAATCTGGGTCGGAGTTCAGTCGGAACACCTTATCTGGGAAGGAGCGCCGGCTGAGGTCAAAGACAATATGAGCATAGTGGCAGAAGTTAACGTGAACGAGAGCTTGCAGCTGGGTTGCTTTTGTTGTTGTGACTGCTCGCCAAAAAAAGGGCAAGGCCAAAACTCCGTAAAAGAATTGAACAGACTCGCAATGATAAAATATTTCAATTATCAACATCAACAACATCGCTTGCCGTTTCTGTCGTTTGGTCTTGGTTCTAATTGTTCAGTGTAGAGCATCTTTCGGTGGTTGTTGATGTAACACTTCCAGCTGGTCCAAGATGAAGCGTATCACTCCGGTCTTGTAGTGCCACCACATTCTTTGTTCCACATGATGATGCGAGTCCGGGTCCCAATGAAGCTGTGTACAGGCATCCCTGGCCTCTGAAGGTCTCAGCGCTATACCAAAAGATGCCTGAACTGGAATTGAGAGACACCCGTCGACACGTATGGCAGAGCAAACCGATCTCGATCAAATAACCATGAAATCATACGAGAGTTGCTTCCCATAATGCCGAGGTGATCTAAATGGATGATAGCTTCCATACCATTAGCAACATCGAGCAACGTGTTGTATGAGTAATAGTCTGCTTAGGTACCCACTCAGGATAGTCATGCCGTATTGGGGTTCTGTTCTGAGTCTGCACGGGTAAAAGTGGTCGGTGCTGATTGACAATAACTGTTCTATCATATATTGGTGGTTTCGTCACGGCTGTCGGCCTTCCAGACGAGTATCAGCAGCTTGATCGGCTGAGTGCATGGTAATGTCGCTGTTCGACTCCGATTTCTGCGATGGTAATATGAAAGAAGTCACAGAGTCTCCATGGGAGATGACGCGCCCAAGGACTTGGCTGGGAGAAGGAAGTTCAAGAGGCCCATCGATGGTGAAGTCGATGTTTTCAAATGCCTGTTGTATCGATACGTTTGCTCGACACTCGTTTCTGACATGTGCTGCTAGCTGCGAGAGATCAACATCGGAGCGTATGACGCGGGCCAGATCTTCGTTGGCATGGGCATCCCCAGCCTTGACAATTGCGATGATACCTCCAAGCAGCTGCCGATGTCTTTCCAGTTGCACATGGGTGTCGGCAAGTTCTTGAACGTTGCGCTGGTTGGCGATTTTCCGTCGCTGGTCGGAAGTTGCATCATACACACAAGGACTGTTCCTGCTCGCGCAGGCCTCACAAGGATTCCCGCCGGTACACTGGCCGTTGATTAGTGGAGGGGAAGCAGGAAGAAGTAAATCAACACACCCTTGTTTTTCTTTGCTTGCACGCGCCACACGCTGTCGAGATCTTGCGCGGCTTTAGTGAATTCAGGGGATAAATTGAGCCGTCAGCATTGTGAGAGGGTCGCGGGGCCAGAGGTTGAGACATGGCAATCACACTGTCGTCGGAGCTGCATCGAGTGCGGGATCCCAACTGTTCATCAGGCTTTGGTATTTGTTGTGCGCAATTACTATGCGATTGTCCAGGAGCGACTGATTCCACACGAAGCCACTGAAAGGGTGGAGGGGAAGATGTGATATAAAGAAGCAAGAAAAAGGCTGGAAACAGGATGGTTTGTTGGCTTTAAGAACGACGGACGAGTCAGAGAGGATTTGCGGACAAGTCATCCGGCGATCGTTACAGTGGTTGCCTTTTCCATATACATGACCGAGTAATGAACGACTTCAACTTATCTTCACCTTTTGCAAACAAATGCCAAACATCCCTCCACTTGATGGGCGTAATTTGCACCCTTGGGCTCCGGGAAACGCAGATGGGCCTCTGTCAAGCGCCCAAATTGGCCATGCACCCGTTAGCACACAATCAAATGCCTCCGAGCCGGGATGGAGCCATGCGCCGGTGCTTGGTTCAATTGAACTTGGTAAGTACTCAACATTTCGTCACAGTACCTTGTCTGTAAACATGCGAAGAAAACCGCTCTCGATGCAGATAGGTTGGAGGCATTCCGCTGCAGCGAAAATTGTGTCCGTGGACCAAAAGGAGACTGTTGCCATGGTAAATACAATACGGTGTATCTAAAATCGGATTTTTCAACTCCACGACCGGCAAGATTATCCAGCTGTCAGTGATTGGCTGAGCCACCAGAGAACCACCAGGCTGTCAGACTCTCCATTATCGAAGGGGAGTGAGCATCAGACTGGACTCGACATTTTCTGGCTGGACTGCCTCGTGACGGCTTGAGCTCGATTGTGAGCGTACGAGCACACAAATTGTTTCAACCTCAAGATGGTTCAGGGCCAGAAGAGACCAAGACTTCGAGTTCAGGTAGTCGGCAGGCTCTGGTCAGGACGGTTAGTGAGGAAGTATGTATTATCGCTGGGTTGACCATTTCAAATGCACTTTTTGGCCATCAGATGTCGCGCTTTTAATAATGACAAGCTGTGTGCCTCGTCTCGTTCTCGTACTCGTTTTCGTCTCCGTTATCACAGCCTTCTGTGGCTGGCTTGGAGTGGCTGAACAATGATCCAGTGGCGCAGGAAGGCGGATCTCGACTCTGTCAGTCAATTTCATCGCGCAGAGTCTCCGTCAGTGCTTTAAGGACCAATATTGACCAGGGGGGTAAACATGTCCTGTGTTTCCGTAGGAATTCCTGGAAATGCACAACATGAAATGGCCCAAGACGAGGCCACGTCTACCTTGTTTTGTGATAGTATTCACTCTTCTGAGGCAGTGACCACTTCACGCCTCTTTGAGCCTGATGGCCCAACAGCGAGAGGGGCACACGTCGCCGCTATACTGGAATTAGCCTGCAAAATTGATGATGTACCGCCCAACTTTTTTTTTCTCGAGTGCCTGCGCTACGTCGCGAATTCATGTGCATCAATTTTTCTTTTTCTTCTTTCTTCAGTACCACATCGCAGAGGCTTCGAGAGCCCCAGCACGACTTTTCTAATTGTATTTCCAGCCTCAATTGTTACCTGAGCGTTCCTGCTGTGCTTGTTCTCCCAATACCCCGAGACAGTCAAGAGACTTCGCGTCTCGCACACTGTCGACTAATCTCACCACCATGGATCAACAAAGATTTCTAGAGCAGTTGGCCATTGTCCTTGATCCCAAGAAGGGCAATGTCAAAACCGCCACCAATGTTCTGCAAAATGAGTTCTACAAGAACCCTCAGTCGTTGTTATTCCTCATTCAGTTAATCATCTCTCACGACAGCTCTGAGCTCAAACAACTTGCCGCGACGCAAGCCAGACCTCTAGTCTCCAAGCACTGGACGAAGATTCCTCAAGAGCAGAGACAACATGCCAGAAGCCAGTTGTTCTCAGCTACGCTTGCCGAACCCTCCTCCCTCGTCCGCCATGCCTCCTCTCGGCTGATCAGCTCCATTGCCAAAATCGACCTCGAGGATGGTGAGTGGCCTGAATTGCCAGGCATGCTCCAGCAGGCTGCTACCAGTGCCAGCGCTGCTGAGCGTGCTGTTGGTGTCTATGTGCTTTACAGCATCCTGGAAACTATGGGTGACGGCTTCAGTTCGAAATTCAAAGAGTTGTTCGCCCTGTTTGGTAAAACGATCAAAGATCCAGAGTCCCTCGAGGTCAGAATCAACACCATGCTGGCTATTTCCAAAATGGCTCTGGTCATTGATGCAGACGAGGATGAATCATCGATAAAAGCCTTCCAGAACATGTTTCCCGCTATGGTCGCTGTCCTGAAAGACACGATTGATTCAGGCAAGGAAGAACAAGCCATGTTGGCATTTGAGGTCTTCAACACCCTTCTTACCGCCGAATATCAGCTCATCTCCCAACACTTTCAAGACTTGGTTCGTTTCATGAACGAAATCGCTACCAATACAAACATGTCCGATGAGACTCGCACGCAAGCCATCAGCTTCCTAATGCAATGTGTGATCTACAGACGCCTTAGAGTTCAAGGAGCCAAGATGGGAGAGCCACTGACCAAGAGCATGCTGCAAATTGTCACTGAGATCGACGACGCTTCTGCCGATGACGACGATATTACTCCCGCTCGCTCTGCGCTTGGTTTGATTGACACAATGGCACAAAGCCTCCCAGCTAACCAAGTTCTGGTACCGCTGCTTGATGCCCTTCCTCAGTACTCAAAGAGCTCTGATCCCAAGCATCGTCAAGCAGGTATCTTGGCCCTCGGCATGGCTGTGGAAGGGGCTCCCGACTTTCTCAGCACTCAGCTGCCATCCGTTCTCCCTACCCTGTTCACCCTGCTGGAGGACTCCGAAGTGACTGTTCGTCAGGCTGCGCTGCAGACGACCGCACGATTGGCAGACGACCTGCCAGAAGACATCACCAAGCAGCATGAGAAGCTTATGCCTTTGCTTGTCAAGAACCTTACGGCCGCCATGGGGGCATTCAAGGGTGAGGAGGAAGGTCCCACGGTTGACATCATGAAGTCTGCGACCAGCGCTATCGACGCTGTCGTCGATGGTATGGATGCCCAGGATGCTGTGCAGTATCTGGATAAATTGGCTCCTCTACTTCAACGTCTCTTCAAGCATCCCGATTTCAAGATCAAAGCCTTGGCTGCTGGTGCACTTGGTTCGTTGGCTTCGACCGTCGAAGGGCCTTTCCTGCCATACCTCAACGACTCCATGCACGCGATGCAAGAATACATTACCAAAAAAGAGAGCGAAGAAGAGCTCGACTTGCGTGCAAGTTGCACTGACGCTATGGGTGAGATGGCCGTTGCTGTTGGTGCGACTGAATTCAAAGACTATGTCCAGCCTTTGATGCAAACCAGCGAAGAGGCTCTTCACCTGGAACACTCTCGTCTCAAGGAAAGCACATACATCCTCTGGGGTTCGTTGGCTAAGGTGTACGAGGAAGACTTTGCTCCATTCCTTGGTGGAGTGGTGCACGGCTTGTTCGCCTGTATCGATCAAGAAGAGGCTGACCTTGAGGTTGCGCTTGGAGATAGTGCAAAGGACCTACTGGGCAAGGAAGTGACCATCGCTGGCCAGAAGGTCAAGGTGGCTGCAGCCGACAGCGACGATGAGCCTGAAGATGGAACCATTGAGGACGTCGAGATTGGTGATGACGACGACAGTGATTGGGGCGATCTGGCTACCGTTACCCCCATTGCTTTGGAGAAGGAAATTGCTATTGAAGTCATCGGCGATGTCGTGTCCAACACCAAAACAGCATTTCTGCCATACTTTGAGAAGACCATCGAGAAGTTGTTGCCATTGGCAGAACATTCCTACGAAAATGTCCGAAAAGCCACCATTAGCACCTTGCATCGAGCATATGCCGCTCTGTACGACGTCTCCGAGGAGTCTGGCCAGATTCAGAAATGGAAGCCCGGTCTTCCAGTGCAAGTTGAGCCTACCCAGGAATTGAAGAAATTCGGAGAACTCTTGATGACTGCTACGTTGAATGTGTGGACCGAGGAGGATGACACGTAAGTTCTATTTCATTTTCAGCCTTCCCTTATGACAAGCACCACAAGCTAGCATGATGAACCTTCTTCGTTAATCCCAGCTCACTCCGACACGGAAAGACCGTGGATGAAGCGAAAGCGATCTTCAACCCTCTGACTCTCTATTGTTTCGCCGAATTGCACTCCTTATATCACTGTATGCGCAATTTCTGACTTTGGAAATAGTGCCACCGTCACGGAGACCTCGCGGGCTCTGTCAGAGAACCTCAAACTCACTGGTCCATCCCTCCTCTCTTACCCAGACTGCCTGTCTCAGATCGTTCAGACTGTCACGGCCCTGATCACCAAGAAACATCCATGCCAGCTTGACATGGATGAATTGGATGAGGAAGATATGGAATCCACAGAACTAGAATGGCTTGTCGTTGATAGTGCAATGGACGTCATCTCCGGACTCGCCGCAGCGCTGGGCCCTAGCTTCGGCGAACTCTGGAAAATTTTCGAGAAGCAAGTCTATCGGTATGCGAGCGGCGGTGAATCTCTCGGCCGTGCGTCTGCCTGCGGTGTGCTCGCAGAGATCATCACCGGCATGGACGCTTCAGTCACACCATACACTTCGCAAATGATGAACGTCTTGCTTAAGCGCCTCGGTGACGAGGATGCCCAGACAAAGTCCAACGCGGCATACGCCGTCGGCCGTCTTGTCGAGAAGTCCAACGACGACGCCACCGTGCTCAAGGCATATCCCCAGATTCTTCAGAAACTCGAGACAATCCTGCACATCACCGAGGCTAGGTGCACAGACAATGCCGCAGGTTGTGTCGCACGCTTAATCCTCAAACACAAGGACAAGGTGCCCGTGTCGCAAGTTCTGCCTGTCTTGGTGGACAGCGGCATCTTGCCTCTCACCGAAGATTACCAGGAGAACGAGCCCGTGTGGAAGATGATCGTGCAGCTCTACCGTGATCAAGACTCTACGGTTCAGCAACTCACGCCGAAGTTGGCTCCAATCATGATGAGCGTGCTAGGCGATCCCGAGGACCAACTCACCGACGAAGTGAGGGAACAAGTTCAGGCTCTCGTCGAGCACCTGAAGAGTATCCACTAGACATTTTCTTCAGCGTCACGCGCACCGAACATACGTCTGGGGTTTGTAGACGTCCAGGTGAATTTGGGTTATTGGCTTGAATTTTGCTCAGGGGGAAACGAGTGATGATTTTATGATGCTTGCGAGCTCCGACGGGTATGGACATGCCACGCACATGAACGTGGCGCATACGAAACTTACGAAAAGGGGATGGATGGTTGGTGAGACAAACACAATGCAACGGCACGGTCAGTGGGTTGCAACGCATAGTCATAGCTGACGGGATGAATGAAGTCGATGAAAACAAGAATGAGACGAATTGAGAAGAGTTTCCAAAGGGGGTTTCCCCCGTGCTTTACAACGACTGGCTCTCGAGTCAAAAACTTGGCAAGTTGGATGTTGGTTTGGGTAAGTCCGATACACATACCTTGCTCTGTACCTCGAACGCATCACGATCCGGATTTCAGTGCACCGAGCCCCAAATGTTTTCGACACGTCTTGTGTGTGTGTGTGTGTGTGTGTGTGTGTGTGTGTGTGTGTGTGTGTGTGTGCGTGTAATCGCCGGGGGTGTTTTTTCCCCCCTTTTGCTTTTTCGTTTGTTTTGTCCTTGGTCTCTTTTGCTGCTTTTTGCCACTTTCTCGATTCCCGCCACACACTCACGCACCGATCTCTGACTGGACTTCCCACTCCTCCTTTTTGTGTCTTGTGTCTCGTGTTTCGTGTTTTCCCCGAGTTTCCGTCGTCACGGCGTGGGTCGTCTGCCTGCCTGCCTGCCTGGACGCCCTTGTCCGAGTCACGTACCACCGCAGCCGTTTCAACGAACGAGGCCAACCAAGGCCAGCCTCCTCCCCTTACGTGTGACGATGTTGTACTTGCCCAAATTTCCATCCAGATTCGAAACGGGAACCGGGAACGGAATCCCTTACGGGGGAAAAAAGGCCTCATCGCCAATCTCGTATCTCGTAAGGGAAAACACACGTGCCGAGGAGCGAAACGTGTATCTGGGGTGCCTGAGATGGAGCTGGGCGATACGAGTTTCATCCCAGAAACAAAAAAAGACTTACACAACAGGGGAGACCCAGGAAGGAATGTTTGAACACCCAAGTGGTGTAAACTGAAAAGTGAAATGTCTTGTTATTCTGATCCAGTGAATGCGCCCACCCATTAATAAAGTATCTGACCCCAGGTACATGACCAAATGAAACAAAGAGAATTAGGGGTATCATCAACAACTTCTTCCTGAAGGACAACTCAAACCGTAAGTAAAGAAAAGCAATCAACCAAAAACGCCAGTCAGCATAGCCATGGCTTCTCAAGTTCTCGCACGCAGAGTCTCGTGCCATTCATGGTCTCATCTAATTCACAACATGTCCTTCATTCGTTCCAAGAAACCATGACATCAGCCCAACATCGGACGGGGTGACAAGGGCTCATTGTGGCCCCTTCATCGTCATACCATGAAGTTAGTAGATCACTGTTACAGCTCGGGCAAGCAAGTGTTGAACACAGTATTCTGTGTCACAGAAGAAGCCCCATTCTGGGATAGAATTAAAGGAGAGAAAGCCAGTCATCTTCTCACAAATCCAAACACCATCCTTTTGAAGTTAGAACCGTGATTTGGGTCTGGTCGAGAATATCCAGAATGATACTCCATTCGCTGTAATGTCAAGCGAAAAAGAGGCCAGGGGTATTGTCCCTCAGATGACTCACTCCTATTTTCTCGAGTCGAAGAGCTCTCACTATCGTTTCTTCGATCTGGCTGGAGCAAGTAGCCAAAGGCTCCTCGCATGTGCAAGCAAACATTGCAATGGCCCTGTCGGATCCGCATCAAGACAAGGTTTCATCGGTAGAGAAGTCTGCGTGGGTCGCACAAGAACCGAGTACTCGTAGTGGCGGTACCTTACGATGGATGAATTTGGAACTAAGCAGCATGGCAAACAGGTCCTGCCAAACTACCATCATCGTTTGGAGGACCACCAAAGAAGCATCGCTCGAATCATCACTGAGATGATGGATCCGATGGCCCTCGAAAGAAGCTTGAAGTCGCAGAAGCGCCTGATTCCTCTTTCCAGTGATTTCCATCGGGCACACTGATGACGGAGCAGGGCCAATGCGTGCTGCCAGTACTTTGTCAAGTGAATTATTGGCCGTTGCCTGCGTGCTTTGTCAAATGGAAAAATACTGGGTGTTGCCTCATAGGCAGAGGCTCATTGCCCTCTTGGTGTGACGGTATTTCAATGCCATGTCTCTTGCTTAGGCCTGTACCTGTTGGTCACGGAGGTGCTGAACCGAAAGGTCCGCTTGGCTGAAATAGAAAGCACACTCTTTTGACCTTCTCGCTGATACAAAGGGACGGTTGACGAAGGATGCTCTCTTCCAGCATGCCGGTGATTCTGCTGTGCAGAGCTCCCCCAAATCTTATACAGCGTTGTCAGTGTTGAAAGATAGAGAGCTCGAAGTCGGAAGCAAGCCCAGGTGCGCCACTTCGTGATGTGCACATTTCGCTTGCTTGCGTATGGTTCCACGATGACCCGGAGGCCGTCGCAATGGGGCCAGCTGATGCTTGAAATAGAGGGTGGGGAGCCCTGAAAGACATAACAGCTAAGCCTAAATAGGGTTAAGATAGGCGCTGTTCAACCCCAGGACAGTTGCACCTATTGGCCCATGCAGGCAAACCTGGCTTGCGAGGCTAGTTGACGCAGAGATTTGCCTGGAATCCTGCCCCTTTTCTGCAACAAGGTGGGCTTCCTAGGCATAATGCAAGCGGTTTCGGGTGGCCAGATCAGATGGCTGTTGCCTCCCATGCCAGATAAATAATAAGACACCCCTCAGTCCACCCAGGATGAGGTTGCTTCTCCGTTCTTTTCTTGCTGCAACATTTCGGAAGATTTGAGCCTTTCTGATTTCACAGCTTTGGGCCTACCTTGGACAGCTCATAATTTTGTTCTTTTCGTCAAGCCTATCGGCTTCTCTTTCTTTTGATTGACAGTCTTCTCGTCTCTTTTGGGTTGTTGCAACTCCCTTCTTGTCCTCAGAGACAGGGCCTTGAACTTTGTTGACCACTATGTCAAGGGGTTTCCTCTCATGAAATCAACATAAGGCTGTCGAGTTGATAGCGCGTCCTATTGACTGTTTTTGGTGTTGATAACACAGCCCGCGAAAAGGCAACAAGCAGGCAACCATCCCGATGCACGTGATGTCGTGTACCGAGATGGGTGGCTCGAACCCACGTGACCCGCGGGTGCCTGAATGCCTGCGAAGATGGTTGCTGGCTGCGGGAAGCCCTGGCTCGATGGTAACGGGAGAGAGCTGGAGATTATCAGGTAAGGAATGATGTAGTCCGGGATATGGGCGATGAGGATCGTTGCTGCTGACCAAATTGATGGAACATGCCAAACGCCAGAACATTGGTGGTGCATCACTGGGGTATGTCGTGATACAGCAGAGAGACAAAGGAAACCTGAACGAATGTCTTGATACTCCAGTTAAACAAAAGCCATGCTGTGTGTCCTGTACGATCACTCACCTGGAAAAGGAAACATCTGCGCCACCATACCATCTCCTCACCCTCCGATTCTTAGTTGGAAGTGTGGTCGACACCTTGCTCAAATTGAGACAAGATGACGTCCATGTTCCCCATCAAAAGACTCTGTCGAGTCCTTGGTGGCATCCTTCCTGCTATGTATTCCCGGTCAAGAGGAAATTGAGCAGAACGTCGCTCCAGAGCCGAGTCGTGCAAGTCTCTAGTAGTGGAAGATGATGAAGAGGAGGTAGTGGAAGAGAAATAAGAAGATGAGGACGATGAGGAAGATGAGGAAGACGAGACCGACGTGCCAGTGGTGGTGGATACACATCGGATCACTGTGCTTTGCAATGAGCCCAACCGGGTCTGTGAAGTTCGTTGTTGGGAGTCACTGTCACGGTCAGTCAGTAGCAGAACTGGCAATGAGTGGCAGGTCACTGCAAGCGAATGGCCTCAGCATGAGCACAAGGACCGTGCTTTGAACTGGAGCCACTCTGCAGCCCTGAGAAAGAGACCCATGTTGGTAGATGTTGTCCTGTCGCAGGCCCACGCCAGGCATCGCCCAAGTATGGGGAGTGTTGGCTATGGGTGCCTGCGTTCCTATGACTGGACTACACAAGAATGACACCAGAAATCATATTGAGGAGTCATTTGCGAGCGAATCTCCGCTCTTATGTAGGGCTCAATATCAAATGTTTGGACTCACCCCATGTTGTTCTACTGTTGCAAAGACACTGCGTCGAGCCACTTGGTGGATTTGTATAGGCGGAGGTTCGGGGCCTCTGGGTCGGTTACCTTTATTTAAAAGTGCAGTAGATGACAGTAGTGATTCCTCAATAGCGTCAAAGTCCTGGCAAGACGTAAACGGGTCTGTGTTGTAGCAAAAATCGCTGTCGGGGAAAGCGGTCTTGTCGAGCAGGGTGGAAATGGCTGCGTGAGACAGTCGTAGGCAGGTTGGGATTCGAGAGAGGATGCGGAGCACAGGAGCGCAGGCAGTTTACACTAGACACCGTCCACTATCTTATTGGTACAATTGTGCCACCGGTCAGTCCTTCCAAAGCATTGTATTTTTGACTCAAGTGTATTGGACAGAAACGCCCTGGTACGGGCTGCTTCAGTGCTTACCGTCCCCCTGCATACTTGTATCTTACGGTTGCGTAGTACATCAAAGTCCTTCGACTGACACGTAATATTCTCGTCTGCACATTTGTGGCCTTCCAAGAGGCGATGCAGAGGTCTCATTATTTGGCACTTTTGCAATGACTCCCAGACATGTTGAGCAAAAGACGAGGATGTTTTTGGAATGCGTGCCGTGGAACTTTTTTATCTACTATGAACGTCTCGTCAGAAGGATGAACACGATAAAAACCTCCATCTGGCAATGATTCACATTTCACATGTGTCGCACATGGGTTTCCAGCAAAACAATGAGTTCATCCGTCTCCGGTTTCTCAGAGACTGAAGGTCGATCTCGCATGTTTCTTTTGTGGCCCGGAGTTTGGAACAGTCTTTGGTGGCCATCTGGTCTACATATCAATTTAGTGCTACTTCTGCTCTCTCAGTACCTATATCACACATATATGTAGCTGGCTACCAGTCTCTTTGACTTATCCCTTTACTCGTTTGGAGTGCACCTCTACCAGTACATCTACTCACGCCATCAATTGTCGTCGGGGATGGTTGAGCACAGGGCACCAACAAACGGTGTCGCGGGGCATGGCGGGGCGCTGATGTAGTTGTCAAAGCGCCTGAGGCGCCTATCGATAAGGCTAGTGCCCGCCTGTCTCCGTTACCCATAACGCCTAATAGAGATACCCTTAAAACAATATGGCTCGGGAATGTTGAGACTTCTGGCCCCTACAGTGACACTGTAGTTCTCAAGTGCAAGATTTCCAGAGGCCAAGATTCCTGTTCAAGTTGGTAGCAGGACCCTCACAAGGCACCACGGGTTGCTCCTCATAGCGCAAAAGCAGCATACAGTATGATATCGAGTTTTTCCACTCGACGCTCATTGTCCTTCTGTTGGCCATTCTAAATACAATTCGTGCTCGTAGTGCCGCGCTTCATGACTGAGACGGAGTAGACTAATCATGGCAACAATCTGGAGTTTGTGATGTAAGTTTGTTGTTGACTCTCTCTAGAAAAGGACCATTGAATTAGAGGAGGGATTACCAAAATGCAGATACGAGCCACTGGGATCCTCATATTCAAGCTCTCCGAATATGGTAGACTGTTTATAGGCGGCGGCAGCTAAGGCCTAATAGGCCGGACAAGGCCCAATCATGATCCACGCGTGTCAGAGTCTTTGTTGAATAATTAGGGTCCCTGACTATCAACGGGAGCACAATAAATACCCTACAATAAGCACCGGTACCATATTGGCGAACTTGGCATGGAATTCTTAAACGACTCGCCCAATCTCCGTTGACGAGACTCCATGATACTCTCTGTACTGTACAGTACTCCCTAAAATAATGCTCCATATGCTACTTTGTAATTCTGCTTTCTTTGTGGTTTGTGGGCATGTATTGTATTATGGCTGGGTTATCTATCTACCTGAGGCTCTGCGCCACGATTTTGCTGCCACAGAGCATCCCATGTGCTTCGTAACCCTGTTCACGTAGATATTCCTGCACAACTACGGAGTAATTCACCTGTATATTGTATACACGTACCTTCACTTCGTGTTCTGCCTGTCCTCCTTTATGACCAGCCGCAGCCCCCTGTGTTCACACTTCCCGAGGTGACGTCACTCAGGCCTTGATATCGCAAATTGGATCCTTTGCCAAGCTTTTCCCAAATTGTCTTGGTCTTGGTTCTTGTTTCCCTGTTTGTCTCGCCTTTTGCCATCGTTGACGATATTTCAATATTTCAATATTTCGATCATTATCTGTTATTCTACTGTATCATTTTCTGGACAACACACTTGATCAGGGCCATCACCATCCTTTTCAATCCTACGCTCAAACCGAGACTGTTGTTGTAACATGCTCCTCTACCACCACTTCCTTCAATAACAATGCGTATGTTTCGCCTTCTCCACTGCCTCGCCCGTCACCCTCGTTATTCCTAACCTTCAGTCCAGATCGAGTCCGAGCATGGGCACACTCGTCCGCTCATCAGAACAAATTCAATCCATGGTCGCAAAGTGATCAGAATTCGAAAGCCGCTGGCAAAGCACCCGCCAATGGCCAGGATACCGCAGATCAGAACCCGCGTGGATCTCGTTCGACGCGACTCTGGAAGAACGTCAAGGCGCCACTCTTTCACAGTTGGGTCAATGTTCTCTTGGTATTTGTGCCCGTCGGTATCGCCGTCCATTTCGCAAATATCAATCCGAACATTGTCTTTGCACTCAATGCTGTGGCCATTATTCCCTTGGCAGGCCTGTTGACCTTCGCCACCGAGTGTGTTGCCCACCGATTAGGACCGACGTTGGGCGCACTATTGAATGTCAGTTTTGGAAATGCGGTGGAACTTATCATTTTCATCATCGCTCTTGTCAAGAATGAGATTCGCATTGTACAAGCCTCTCTGATAGGCTCACTCCTGGCCAACTTGCTCCTCATTTTGGGCATGGCGTTTCTTATCGGTGGCCTGGAATTCCAAGAGCAGATCTACGACAGTACTGTTACGCAGATGAGCGCCTGTCTCTTGGCCCTGGCGGTACTAAGCCTTTTGATCCCGGTTCGTCATTTCCAAGTTTTCCTCAATCGATGACCCACTGGCTAATCCCGAACAGACTGCTTTCCACGCTTCTTTCAGTGACTTGGACAGAGCAGACCGTGCAGTGATTAAGTTGAGTCGAGGCACATCCGTCATTCTCCTGGTCATCTACTTCCTTTACCTGCTGTTTCAACTCAAGTCGCACGCCTATCTGTATCAGGGAACCCCGCAACATGTCATTGACGAGGAATCGGCCCCAGGTTTCCTCGCACGTTTCGATTCAACCAGTTCGTCTGCGAGTTCGTCACGGGTGTCAACCGCCAACTCTAGTACGGGTTCCAATCGTCGTGTGCGCAAGAGGCTGAGGGCAAAGCTGGGCATGAAACGGCATGAGAAGACAGAAATCGAGCCAGAAAGGGACATTGAACCCACTGAGCATGAAGGAGCCCCATCGACAGAAGTCGTGAGCGAAAAGACAGAAGAACCGGCAGAGATTGAACAGCCTCCTCAACATTCGGGACCTATAGCGACTCCTGTCACAGTCACCGCCTCATCTCAGGCGGGAGCCAGGGCAAAAATGCCATTAGGAGCACGAGGTCTGTCGTTCCGTACGCCACCAGTTTTTCGGTCATCAACCAACCCACCTGGAGGACCTCTGACAGATCATTCGCAAAATAACCTCCGCCGCTACAGGTCAGATCCCAACAATCGTCAGTACGCACAGCGACAAAATGTTTCCCCCGCGTCTCGAAGAATTGACAGGCGCCAAACCCCCAAAAGCACCATTTCAAAGGAAGAGGAAAGTGAACCCCCCATGGGTCAAACAGCGTCCATCATTTGGCTTCTCATCTCCACCGGTCTCGTTGCTTTGTGTGCAGAATTTCTGGTGGGCAGTATCGAGCACTTGGTCCAAAATTCACCACTGTCGGAAGCTTTTGTTGGATTGATCATTCTGCCCATCGTAGGCAATGCAGCAGAGCATGTTACAGCAGTGACTGTCGCGGCGAAGAACAAGCTCGATCTTGCTCTCGGGGTGTCTCTGGGCTCGTCCATTCAAATCGCGCTTTTTGTCACCCCGGTTGTCGTCATTCTTGGTTGGATCATGGACAAAAGCATGTCTCTGTATTTCAGCCTATTCGAAACTGGCTCGCTCTTCGTCTCAACCTTCATCGTCAATTTTCTCGTGCTCGACGGTCGGAGCAACTACCTGGAAGGAGCGCTGTTGTGTGCTTGTTACATCATTGTCGCGTAAGTTTCAATTTCCATCCTTTCGAGTTTTTGCAAGCCTTCTAACCAGCACTGCAGTGTCGGAGCATACTTCTTCCCTGATGACCAAGATCAGAGCTCTCTCACAAGCGGACCCGGCAACGGCTAAAAGTTGGGAAGCGGACTATCTATCTCCCCCAAATTCTGTAGAATCTTGTTATAAGAACACATTAATTCGACTTATCGTACCTGCAATGCCTGGTTTTCCTGTAGCTATTCGGCACGTAGAGATTGACTCGTATCCCAGCCTCTTCAGTGTGCCGAGACACTTTCACATGCAAGGCGGATCAACGTGGGTCTCACATGCCGGAAAGTAAATCCACCGATGACGTTCGACGTGGAAACGAAAACACTTTTATACAACATGACAACAAATTCCTTCTCAGGCTCTTTTCTTTCTCGACTTATCTTGACAGAGTACATTGAATGTCACTGTATCTACCATGGCTTTCAATCCCGTCATCTGGTTCTACACCCTAGTCCAGTGGCTACTAGCCAAGATATTCTCGCCCAACCCTCCTGCACCCGGCGCTCGACTTCGGCGACCTAAGATTGCCGTCATCGGGGGCGGCTTGACAGGAGTTTCCGCTGCAGCCCACTGTGTTGGCCATGGATTCGAAGTCACCTTATTCGAAGCTCGAGGCAAGGATCATCTCGGAGGCATTTGGTCCAATGTGAACACGGCAAGTGGACGCTCTGTTTACACTGCTCTCATGGCTGTATCTTTCTGACAATCCTACAGACATCTGGACTTCAGATTCACAGTGTCATGTACCGTTTTCACCCATCTGTGAAATGGGACAGTGGCTATCCGAAACAGAACCAGATTGTGGACCAAGTCCGAGAGCTCTGGCACCGCTATGATCTTGACGAACGGACAAGATTCAACGTCAAAGTCGAGAAGATCTACAAGGACAAGCTAGACCGATGGATCGTCAATGACCCTTCAAACGGTAGATTCGACGGGATCATACCGGCCATTGGAACTTGCGGTGCACCCAAAATGCCCCATCTCCCCGGCCAGGACAAGTTCAAGGGCCACGTCTTGCACTCGTCCAGTCTCGACAACGAAGATGCAAAAGACAAGAAGATCCTCATCGTGGGCGGAGGAGCCAGCGCGGTTGAAGCATTGGAGTGGGCCGTCAACACGGGGGCTGCGGAAATCAAAGTGCTTGCGAGAAGTGACAAATGGATCATCCCTCGAAATGGGTTTGTGGATGCACTCCTGGCCTTCAACATTTTCGGACAAGAGACCCTGTTTTCGTGGATCCCTGAAAACCTTTTGCGGTTCTTCTTTTACCGCGACCTCCGAGACATCGCGCCGACTGACCGGGGTCTGTTCACTGAGACACCGATGGTCAACAGTGAGATCTTTGAACAAATCCGGGCAGGGAAAGCATCATGGCTCCGAGGGGACATCGAACAGGTTGAGGAGAATGGCATCCTCTTCAACCACCGGGCCAAGGGAGTTCCAAAAGGCGGGCCAGGTCATCGTAAGTTGGTGGAGGGAGACATGATTATTATGGCCACCGGTTACAAGCGTCCCGGTCTCGACTTTCTTCCAGAACAGTGCTTTGAGCCAGGCTATGAACCACCTCGTTGGTTCATCCAGTGCTTTCCTCCGGCCGAGCCATCCATATGTGCCATCAACTCGACCTATGTCAATGCCATTGGGTAAGTTTTTTTTTTTCTTTTTTGAAAAATTGGCAAGTTGGATTTTCTTTCACTGCTGACCACCTTACCTTTGTAGAACTGTGGGAAATTATCACATTGGTATCTACACTCGTATGCTGCTCATGTTCCTGGTCGACCCCTTGACCACTCCACGAACATGGTGGATGAAGAGATGGGTCGACCTCACCAGCACGGTCAAGTCCTTGGCACCGACCAAAGCATTCGACTTCTTCACCTACTCGGAGTTGCTCTACTGGTTCTGCTTCATCACATTGATCAACCCATTCCGGTGGAAGTGGGCATTCTTTGTGCTCTTTGGCATTGGCAAGAATCTTCCGGCGAATATCGTAGAGAAGGAAGACAAGTTGAGGAATGGTCTCGGGTTCCGTAAGAGCAAGTTGGACGAGTAGGCAACGATTTGGGATAGACCGGTGACAAAACGACCCTTACATAAGTTGTCACTCTCGTTTTATGTACTGTAAATAGATGATCCATGGTTCACCGAATACTTGGTGCATGTTATTGAAAAGTACGCGCCCATCATAGAATGCATCACATGTAAATAACAGTAAAGATTATGGAATTACCGAGTTCATGGACAGTGACGTCAAGGTTGACGCAAGGCTTTTGAACGCGGAAAATACACAGCATGAGAAAATAAAAAAGGACGAGAGAACCTCGGATGTTCAAAATTTTGACAAATGATCGTTTGCAGCTTCTGAATATGATGTCGGCGTAGTAGGAAAGCCCCTTCCACGCAAAATCACCAGGGAAAGAGGTGAACTGATCAACTTTGATTCCTGAGCACAAAACCGTCTCTCCATTCATCTCCCCATACCGATCTTCAACCAGCCTGAACGATCGAGCGAAAAACAACATACGATTAAGAGACATATTCTGCTCACCAATTCCAAACTGCCCTCAATACTCGTACTTTGACCATGGACGACCCTGGTGCGTCCATTGACCTCCAAACGTACACATACTGCGCCCGGCCATTTTACTAACCATTCTGCCTTTGTAGTGGCCGAGATACCGCATGTGATAAGAACGCTGGTCACAGCTCCCTCCGATGTACAAACCGAGACCATCAAGTCATATTTTACGCCCACCGCATCGTTCACCCACCCCTTTTGTAGAACCGGGAGTTTCCCAGGTTCGATATGGCTCATCATGTATGTCTCCCTCCTTTTTTTGCCTTTGCTGTTTATTGACTCCTCTCCAGCATGATTTACCGTTGGTACAAGATCCTCAGTCCTCATGTCGACATTTGGGTTGACAGTGTCGGTAAGTCTCAACAAAGTTGTGGCCTTCAAACAAGAAAAAACATGTCAATTGATGATGCCATCCAGCATTCGACAAGGAAAAGCTTCTCCTTTACGTTTCCATGCACCAGGATTTCAGAATTTGGGCCGTACCATTCTACATTGCTCCAGTCAAATTGGTCACGGTTTTGCAACTCACAACCGATCCCACATCACAACCTCCGGATGAGTCTGCTCCTCAGGTGAATGAAAGAGAAAGATCGAGATCGAGATCACCAACCAAAAGACCCAAGAAAGGCAGAGTGGGTCATGGCAGGAAGAAGAATATCAGTTTCCATGACGGTAAGAGGAAGGAAACTGCCCCAGCCCTCACCACCTCTTCCGATGCGCTCAAAATAGCCGGTGACAATACCAACAACAAAAACGACAACGACGACGGCACAAAGTACTACATTCAATCCCAGAACGACCTATACCAGACGAGCGAATGGATCAAGTTCATACTACCTTGGGGTGTTGGTGTTTTGTTGATGGTCTTGTGGCAATTCTGGGCGACGTTCCTATGTGTCGTGGGGACCAAGGTCGTCGAAACCATCATGTGGTTGCCACGGAAGGTGTACTATTCCGACGTCGAGATCTTTGAAAATAACGACAACAAAGCTCTTGGACCAGACTGAGCAGGGATTGTACGGAGTACAGAGAGTCGAAAGACTGCTGTGAGTCTGGGCGGGCCTGCAAGGAATATCTATTACTCATGGACTCGAGATGGCGTTGAATAAAAAGGGGATTCTCGTATGAACGACATGATAATCGTACACAAGGTATATATAGTCTGCTGACTGACTGTGACTGTGGTTGGGACCGAGTATTGGTGTATGTTCTTGGACGGCCAAGTATAAGATATTCGGGAAATCTGTGGCAAGGCTGCGTGCAGTGATATTGGGAGGACTTCTCTTCCTGCACAACAAACAAGGACTCTTCTAGAATAGATTTCTTTTGGTATAGAATTACTGGCTACATTTCCAACTTTTATATGTTGCACCGAGTAAGTTCCGTCCGAGAATATCTTAACCATCAGCGCGCCTCGGGAGTCTCGATTCAAGTATATTTGTTCTTTTCTTTCCACGCGGCTTTGATAACGTTACCCATACGATATCAACATTTTCCCGTACACGCCGTACACTTGGGAAGTACACTTTTTTTTTTTTAAATCTTACTTTTATAAATCACCACACCTGTCTCTCCCTCCTATTGTTTTCATCCCTCTTCTTCTTTTTCTTCTTCCATCTCTCTCTCTCTCTATCTCTCTATCTCTATCTCTCTCTCTCTCTCTCTCTTTCTCTTTCTCACACTTCTTTTGTTGGGGTTGTTTTTTTAAAAAAAAAATCAAAAGTCAGTAATGGCCCCGCAGTAGTCCGGCGCGTGGCACTGGACCTTCGTGCCTATCTCGGCGTCGGTCAGGTTCCGGGCCTTGGACATGACGGTGGTGAGGTTGTGGTGACGTTGCCTGGCCGTGCCCATCCGGCGACCCGAGTTCCCGGGGGTCGGGACCGCGTCGGCATGGTCCGGGGGAAGAAAGGAAATGACAAAACTCACCAAGGTATTGTAAAGTTCGGTTTGGTTACCGGTACACCACCTCGAAAAAAGCCACGACGAATCCTCACTGATGAGTCGGACCGTCTTGTAACTGTTGTTGGCCTGTCGGTTGGAAAAGTCGGGCGAGGCCCCGTTGTCGATGGAACCCCAAAACTCGATGTTGAGGACCTTTAGGACATGAATACCACAATCTGATCCACTGTCTAACCTGTTAAATGGGCCACCAGCGTCTACACTATCGGATAGTTTGTGTCTCTACTCGTACCGAGAAGAGTGACGATCGACAGGAACTTGCTTCTGTGACCGAGAATCCGGGGCTCCAGATTGTTGGAGCGGGCACCGCTTGTCTGTAATCAGACATGGCGGAGACGTTTGTGCAGTAGAATACCTGGGAGAGCGGGAATAAACAATCCCCAAAAAAGAGAAAAATGAGCCAAAACCAGGAGCTCGGGAGCCGAGAACCGACATCCGTTCCTGATGTGTTTGGCCCTGATATATTCGTATCTTGACGCTTTCGGAGCTCGCATATACTTGGAAACATGCTCCACTGACGAGGGGGACTGTAGGAACTCGCGAAAGGACAGGGAAAGTACGAAAAGCTATAGGTCACCTAGCTTGGGAACCTCTGATGACATAAAGTGTGCGAGGTCCGTATCGTGGATACATGGGGTATTTGGCGAGATCCGACAGCAGTTCTGCTATAGCGAGGCCCGAGGTGTGAGGATTGCCCCGAGGCGATGTCATGTTATGTTCATAAACAAGGCAATAGATCGATCACGTAAGGATGGACATGACTGGCACATTCGAAATCATCTCGAGACAACCCGTCTGTACACTTGAGAAGAGTTCACAAAAGACAGGGCACTTCCCTGTTGTGCGGCGGCCGAGTCTGTTGAAACGCCGAAGCAGCCGCTTGATTATGCTACGTCGCGTAGGTGGGTAGTCGACGTCGCCGCGTCGGAAGATTGCTCTTTGCCAACGTCACAATGAGGCTCGAATAAAGGATCTCAAGATAGATTCTCGAGATGCTGGCGAGGAGTGCGAGGGACACGTCGAGCACAGGGCGGCGTCAACCAACATCCCAATGGAGGTTGAGTCCCTGCCCAGATTTGCACTACGTCACGCCCCTAGTTTCGCAGGTTTGCCCAGTTGTCCAGGATTCACCAGGCTGAGCCACATTGGTTTCGTCCTCTCAGTTTCAATTTGTCGCAGTCAATCTATTACCTACGAGTACTATTGCTCCTCGAACGCCGAAGGAACAGAGATTGAGTGCCCTACCCAGACAACGCGTAGCGGTCGAGAAGAAAACATCGAGACGACAACACGACAACCCGTTGAGCCCCTAGTCCTGAGCCATCGACCCAACATGCCTCCTTCGTCAACGACTTCTTCGACTTCGACCATCACAAAGGGCGTCAAGGGGCCCTCGAAGCCAGGGTGCATTCCGTGTGACTGTGGTACGTGCATTCCTGCTTTACTGTATCTTCCCCCTACCTGCACCATCTTTAGTCCCATCTTCTTGCTATACACGAGAGTCAAGATCTGGTTGAAAGTACGGACTACTAACATTAAGAGATTTTGCTTTCAAGGTGACTATGAGTGCGATTGCTGCATTATTCCCTGCACCGTGATGTGAACATCAACTGCAGCGACTGGGTTGAATGCATACGGCCCCTCTTTGCCTTTTCCGACCGAGACACAGTTTGAAGGTTGCGTACGTACGTGTATCGGACCGGAGAGACATCTTGCAGGTTGGCAGACACATCGATAGGGCGGGTTGGGTGTGACCCTAATGAATTTATGAGAACACCCGTGGGAATATAAGCGCTGTTATTCTTTGCTTCTTGGTCACATCTTGAACATCAAGCAGGCATTGGTGACTTGAGAACTCGACAATTTAGGTACACAATTACAATTGGACAATTGGACAATTTGTTGTATTATATACCCGCCACGCAGTATAAAGAGTATGTTTGGCGATTATGTAGCTGCACCACCGCGCTCCTGTTCTGCCCTGACAGGCCGAGTCTCCGTCAAAGGAAACGCTTGCGCCTCGCCATCCTCTGATAGATCGTCAAGAGAGAATTCCTCGTTCAGTCGAGCTTCTAGATCTCGTCCCTTGGCAGAGGACCTGGCACTTTCGTAATCCGCTCGACTGGGATATGGTATGTCGCATTTCGGATGCTTCAACGGACGGTAATAACGTCTGTACGTGAAATACGCCACGGCCATGCCGAGGACACTCCCGGAAGTTACGTCGTATACGTCGTGCCTGTAGTCTGCTAGTCGCGACATGGCAATCAACGCCGCCCCGACGAGCGGCGTGAGAAAGAGCAGTACTCTCGCTAGGTCGGCGTGTGGTCGGAAAATGTGCAGTTGTCCGGCTAGAAAGAGTGCTAGATATCCCAAGCCAGAGAAAGACCAGCTACTATGGCCGGAGGGAAAACTGCGCCAGCCGTCTTGTAACGTGTGGTATTTCGACTCTGTGCATACCGAGATCGTCACCAACTCATGTTCCGGGGTGCCAAGTTTCGGCTTGCAGCGAGCAATCAGGTCAGGACGAGGTCGACCAACTGCGTTCTTGACAATGTCTGTGAGGAGGGAAGTGAGGAAGACGGAAATGAACAAGCCCAGCAGCGTTACGTGGGCTTTGTGGAAGCCCGGGCGGAAGACAACGGCCCATAGCAAGATGAACACCAAAGGACCTATGCCTGCGTACAGGATGAGTTCCAACGTCGATACGCGCTGAACGGCGGCGTGTGGGTATTGCTTCGTGTGGTCGTCGAGCGTAAACATGCGGTGGAAGGGCTCGGCAAACATTTGCTCCTATGTCGTATAAATGTTAGAAAGACACCAGCCTGTAAAATGTTCCCGGAAGGTTCCATACCCATACGTATGCCGCGAGCAACAGGGCGAAGCCGATATAGTCGGGCGCATAGGATCGTCGCCAAAATCGTGCCAGAGTCGCTCCCACGCCAGGACTATCGTTGAAAGATTGCCTCATTGCGACGAAGAGGGCTTCGAGTGCCTTTAGCAGAAGCCACTCAGGGCTCACTGGTGAATTGCCATGATGACGAGGAGAGACATCGTGATGATGGTAAAGGGACGGAGACTGTCATGACAAAGGAACGACTGGTAGAGTCTGGTGTGTATAGCAGCCAGTCTTTTCCATCTGTTTAGGCTGCTCGAGTACGGCTTCTCCCGCTGCTACAAACACGTTAAAATTTGGTCACGTGGCTGTCCTAGTCCCTTGTCCTCGAATCACTCCAAAGGCCGCAAATTGCGGTTTACGATTGGCGCATCTTAATCCCACACCACCTTACGCGTTGCTCTCCATATCGACGCCCTACACACAAGGACGAGGAAATCGTCGCAACGTATCTGGCACAAGTTTATGGGATATGCGGCATGCGATACTGTCAGTGTGGATAGCAAAAGCATCACCGTCTCGCAATGGCGGACCAAGAACAACAGCAACTTCCAGAGGCTCCCTTCCCTGCACCTCCTCCCTTCTGGCGCCATTTCACCACAGCGAACGAGGAAAAGTTGAAAGAGATAGACTCGAGTGAGGCAGGACGATCCGAAAAGCTACGAATTCCATTGGCTTATTTGCGCCCTCCGCCTCCTCCACCTGAATCCGCGGAAGTCTACACAACATTTGGCCAAAGTCAGGTCATTGACCCGAGCAAACCAGCCTCGCTGCCTAGAGATCAGCTGCTCTTTGACCCCGACCGTCCAAATCTCAACCATGCCGTGTTGCTGAGCAAGATGACCAAGTCTCTCATGCTCAATTTCCTCGAGTTGACGTGCGACCTCTCATTGGATCCTACATCATACGAAGAGAAAATAGAAGATATCAGACAATTGGTACTCAACATCCATGTTGTCATTAATATGTACAGACCTCATCAAGCGCGAGAAAGTGTCAAAGAGATGCTCGAGAGTATCTTGGAGGACGGCGAGAGAGAAATTGAAGAATCCGATAAGCTGAAGCAGAGAGCTGAGGAGTTCTTGGCCGAGACGGGAAAGACAGATACCCATGCCGGTTCAGCGATGATTGTAGACACGGATGGAGAGACGTCTAAAATTGGCAGAGGGAGCGCAAAAATGGATGAACAGAGACGACTGTGGGATATGATTCACGAATTGACAGACTGATGAGCTACGGACCCACATTGAATACTCATGTGAACCGGCCGCCATTTGGAAGAAAGCATTGAGACTTGAACGATTAAACTGCTTGGTGAGCACGAAGATGCATGGAATGAAATTCGGCACCAAGATCCTTCTTGCGACAGCCTAAACATGAATTTCAGAAGCTGCCACTCCCGCAATCGCCTCCTTGTACGATGCGAGTGCTGGTTCAACCTCCTCCTGGACAAATTCATCCACTTGTTCTGGAGACCTGCCAATGAATTTGGCGGGATTCAAAAGGTCATTTTCCGTCAATTCAGCCCAAACTGGCTCAAAAAACTTTTCTTTTCTGATTCTGTCGACCAAATCGTTGGCCTTGCCCTCTTGCTTCACGACTGCACCTGCCTGGTGCGAAAGCACACGGATCTGCTCGTGTGCTTCCTGTCTGCTTGCACCTTTCTCGACCAAACGCATGATGATTGTCTCGGTGGCCATGAAAGGCAACTCTTGTTGCAAACGGCTGTTGATCACAGCGGGATACACAACCAACCCCGAGGAAACATTGTCAAGCAATATGCACAGCGAGTCGGCAATCAGGAACATCTCGGGGATGTCAATTCGACGGATTGCAGAGTCGTCCAGAGATCGTTCGAACCACTGGTGGGCATAAGTCTGACCGAATCCTTGAGGCAGAGAGGTCAGTTTTCGACCCAGACTCGACATTCGCTCGCAGCGCATCGGATTGCGTTTATATGCCATGGCAGATGAGCCAATTTGATCCTTCTCGAATGGTTCTTCGAGTTCTTTCATCATAGCCAGGTGTCGGATGTCAGTACCGATGTGCTCACACGTCGTACCAAAGGATGCGAGTACATTGGCTACATCGAAGTCGATTTTGCGGTTATATGTCTGGACAGATACGATGCTGCGCTTGCTAAAACCCGCCTTCTTGGTGACCAGCTCGTCCAGAGCCTTGACCTTGGCGTGATTTCCATGGAACAATTCGAGGAACGATGCCTGTGTGCCGGTGGTACCTTTCACGCCACGGAAGCGGAGATCGGAACGTGCTCGCTCAATGTTGCGCAAATCCATGAGCAGAGATTCGATCCATTGTGTGGCACGCCGACCGACGGTGATGGGTTGAGCCGGTTGACCATGCGTGAAGCCTAAGCACGGTAGATCCTTGTATTGCACGGCGAAGTCGGATAGTTTCTTGATACATCTGGCGATCTTGGGTAGCAGGAGCGAAAGCCCGTCACGTAGAAAGATCAAATCCGCATTGTCAGTCACGTAGCATGATGTAGCGCCCAGATGGATCTTTCCGGCAGCTGCTGGTGCTCGCTGGCCGAATGCATGGACATGAGCCATAACATCGTGTCGTCGACGCTTCTCCTCGATGGCAGCAACGGCAAAGTCTTCGTCTGTCATTGTGCTCGCAGCCTTCATTTGACTGATTGCTTCTTCGGAGATGTCGAGACCCAGTTCCCGCTCAGCTTCGGCCAGCCAGATCCAGAGTTGGCGCCATGTCGAGGCGCGAGTGCGGGCGCTGAAAAGTCTGAGCATGTCCTTGCTCGCATAACGAGCGCCCATGGGCGATTGCCATTCGTCGTAGGACATGGCGACGTGGAGAGACTGCTCGAGAAATATGGGTAGATTGAGACTGACTGAAATGTCGAATTAGTTCCTGGGTTTGTTGCTGTGGATTGAATGGAGCTGGGTTTTTTTCCTTGACGCGCGGGGTGTCTTTTAAAAAAAACAATCGATGCTGGTGATTGGCTGAAATGCGGGGCGTCGGCCAGCGATCCAAGTATTCAACTTGTCACCAGTGAGTGATATATAGAAGATTGCTCGATCATAGCAAACAAGTACGCCTTGATCAATTTGTTCATAGATCCAGCACACTGAGTGGTATTCCCTTGACAACACAACTGAAGCTCGAACTTCCACCTACGACACAAGTTGTCTGCGGTTCAATCCACCCACGCCGCTTTTGATCTCTCGTACGGTGAATCATTTTACTGTGAAATGCCGTTCTAGATTCTCTTGCCGCCCTTTAATGATCCAAAACTTTTTTTTCCACTTGTCTGGTACTGTTAACGAAATATTGCAGCAATACTTTTTGGGAAAACGCTGCTAGGTCGATGCAATGTCGAAACGAAAGGTCGCACCTGGAGAACAGGCCGCTAGAAAGAAGCAAAAACTCCCTGACATGAACCAAAATTCCGCTGTGAAAAGTTCAACCGTCAGAGGTGATTCGTTAAAATGGAAAGAGGTATCTCTTCCTGGACGGCTGGAAGATGCCGAGGGATTTTTTGGGCTCGAAGAAATCGACGACGTTGAGGTCGTGAGAGACGAATCTACCAACGCCATCATGTTTCGTCCCAAATCCCAAGAGGCAGTATCGGACGATTCGAATGACGACGAGGACGGAGAGGAATGGGGCGGATTTGACGACGAATCGCAACCCCACCAATCTTCTTCTGAAGAGGCCAAGTCGGTACCTGTTGTCAGTGGGAAAGCCAAAACCCCATTGCCAAAGGACCAACCGGACAACAAGAAACAAACCCAGAAATCGGACAAAGCGGCCGATATTCAGCCCGGGTTGGGGTTTGATGTCTTGGAGGATACTACCGACGACACGAAGACCGACATATCCGCATGGAAAGACCTAGAGCTACACCCGATCACACTGTCACAGCTTGCTCGACTGGGCTTTTCTAAGCCGACACCGATTCAAAAAGCTGCTATTCCGGCGATCAAGCAAGGTCACGATGTTATCGGAAAAGCCGTTACCGGGTCTGGTAAAACACTGGCATTCGGCTTGCCGATCTTCGAAGATTGGCTCTCTACCGCAGCTTCAATAAGGAACGCGTCCAAAAAGCCCAAGAAGTCAATACTCGCCCTCATTCTTGCGCCAACCAGAGAGCTGGCCCTGCAACTCCATAAACACCTCAATGAGTTGTGTATGGGGTTGACAAGTCATCCAAGTGTGACTGCGGTGACTGGTGGTCTATCTATCATCAAGCAGCAACGACAGTTGGGATACGCAGACATTGTTGTGGCGACGCCTGGGCGACTATGGGAAGTCATGAACGACACATCAGCAAACCATGACACGGATGTTTTCATGGACCGCCTGAAAGCGATCAAGTTCTTGGTTGTTGATGAAGCGGATAGATTGTTGAGTGAAGGACACTTCAAGGAGATCGAAAATATCCTTGACGCCCTGGACCGAGAGGTCGTCGATGAAGAAGAAGCCACGGAAGAACGGGTCACAAAAGTCTCACAAAAGTCTCAACGACAGACTCTCGTCTTCTCAGCCACCTTCCACAAAGGTCTACAACAGAAGCTGACCGCCAAAGTTAAGCCTGGCAAGCGCATGAGTGACCAACTACTCACTAACCAGCAGTCGATGGAATACCTACTGCGCAAACTCTCATTTCGGGAGGCGAAACCTACCTTTATCGACGTCAATCCTGAGACGCAAATGGCATTAGCGCTGTCCGAGTCAATCGTGGAGTGTGCTGCAATGAAGAAGGATCTTTACCTGTACGCGTTACTAATGCAAAATACTGCTGCAAAGACGCTGGTCTTTACGAATAGTATCTCGGCGGTACGAAGGTTGGTGACGTTTCTGCAAACTCTGAAACAGCCTGCAGTCGGGTTACATTCGACTATGCCTCAGAAGTCGAGATTGCGCTCGTTGGAGAAATTTGCGTCACAACGTACCGTTCTTATCGCCACAGATGTTGCTGCGCGAGGTCTTGACATTAAGGGCATACAGTTGATTATTCACTATCATGTTCCTCGCACCGCAGACATGTACGTCCATCGCTCAGGAAGGACGGCTCGTGCCGAGAACTCTGGTCGATCGATATTGCTTTGTTCGCCAGACGAAGTCGCAGGTGTCACGAGGCTGATTACAGAGGTGCACAAAACTGATAAGGCCCCTGATGTTGTGGATCTAGATGGTCGACTAGTCAAGAGATTGGCTGACCGTGTTGATTTGGCACATAAGATTAGCGATGCAACGATAGCCAAGGAGAAAACAAACAGCAAAGACGAATGGCTGCGGAGTGCTGCAGAGGAGCTCGGCGTTGACTATGACAGTGAAGAGTTTGAGATCCAGGGGCAGCAGGGACGACGAGGTCGAGGTGGTGGTAAGGCCAAGAAAATCAAAGAAACGGCGGCTACCGGGAAAGACCAGATCTCACAATGGCGAGCTGAACTTCAAAGTCTTCTGGACAAGAGGATCAATTTGGGTGTTAGTGAGAGATATTTGGCTGGTGGTAGGGTCGATGTGGATGCACTGCTGAATGGCAAGGCCGATGGTGCGTTTCTCGAGGGTCGATGAGGGACCAACACGTATGATATCTTCTATTTGCCATACTTCTAAGCTGGAGAGGCTTGGGACGAGTTGAACATCCCTGGTCCAATATTGATAATTCAAAGGGCGGTGTTGGTCTTGATGAAGCCGCCGTCGCTTTACTGGATTTACCAGATGCACCTTTCCAGTCGACAGCACTTGCACTCAGGAAGGAGCAGAGGGACTGTGGCAAGCTACCATCACAACCAACAACATCACATTTCTTTTCTCTTCTCGGATCGATACCAATGTATTGTTCCTCAACCTTCGAGCCCTATCCCTAGTCGTCATCTTTAATACCAGACAGTCGACCAAGCTGCTTACACACCTACTATGGGTGGTGAGACCACCTCAGGCAGTATCGCTCTCGCTGACAACCTTTTATTTCGCAAGAACGCACTCCATCGACCCCGCCATTTCCAGCCTGCGGTGTCTGGTTCCTTGAACACGAAAATATTGTTTTTCGTTACACCGGCACATCGAGACCCTCAACATGCTGTCTTTTGGAGGCAGCCCCCAAGCGCCTGCACCAAAATCCGGAGCCACCGAGTCTTATAACCTGCTAGCTCTCGATGGAGGAGGGGTACGCGGTATCTCGAGCATGGTGATACTCAAGAAACTCATGGACCGCATAAAAGAGATGGAGAATGAAAAGGCCATCCTACAGAACAAACCAATCAACGAGGAAGAACGAAAACCAGTCGACTATTTTGACCTCGCCGCAGGAACAAGTACTGGAGGCTTAATCGCACTGATGCTGTTCCGTTTGGACATGAAATGCAGCGATGTGATGGCGGCGTACCAAACTCTGGCCAAGCAAGTCTTCAGCCCCAAACTCGGGTCAATACCTCTACATCAGTATGGGCGCCTCGGCAAGTGGGTTGGCGACATTTGGCTTGGAATCAAAGCTTTCACTGGACGATCCAAGTTCTCGCATGGACCACTGGAAAAAGCCATTGACACTGTTGTTGCAACATTTCCGCTCGACGATGAAGACAGAGAATTGAGAGGCAATGCTTCGCTCCTCAAAGAGAGTCAAGGGCAAATGTGAGTAGCTGTGCGCTGATGTGAGCAGTCCGAACACCCATTGATTCCAGTCTTGTAGGTTCATGTGTGCAACTCTGGCAGACAAAGGAGAATCAATCCTGTTACGCAATTATGCACCTCCTTTTCCACCTCTTCCGGTCTCTGCAGGAGCCGAAGATCTCAACCTCAACAAAATTACCATCAAGGACGCTGCACGCGCCACCTCGGCCGCTCCAACCTATTTGAAAGAAGTCGACATCCAAGGTCTCAAATTCTGGGATGGCGGGCTACTCAACAATAATCCCATTGACCAAGTCTGGGATAACCGGGGCGACTTGGTCTCTCGAGAAGCCCCGAACCCCCCAATCAAATGCATTGTGAGTCTCGGTACCACCCATCCAGAGCACGAGAGCAGCAAGCGTCCCGGCCGAGGAATTTCGAGGTTCTTCAACACCATTTCCAAGACTGTCGCATTCGTCACCAATACAGAGGCCAAACATCGTGACTTTGACCGCAATATGCGACAACACAACAGACGCAGGCCAGACGAGTCTACAGCTTACTTCCGCTTTGATGCACCGACTGGTACCCAGCAAATTGATTTGGGAGACTATCTTCGCATGCCGAAACTTGTTGATTACACTGAAGTGTATCTGAGACGGGAGGAGGTTGATAAATCGATCAGTGAGTGTGCGGAGATACTTGCGAAGGAGCTTTGAATAGTGCACAGCGAGATTGGAGCTCTATGCATTGTAGGATATTCCGAGTAGCGATAACGGATGAGCGGAATCAACCATTTTCATATAAAGCAATCCAGGTTATACAACACGTATGGGGTGAATATGTATTCCATTTTATATATCAACTAGAACCAATAACTTGAAGATACATGCATCGCCTGCGACACAGCAACAACGGTATTTCATATGACAAGAACAGCGCAAATAACAAACATGGGAAACACCAATAACAACAAGAACGAAACCAACAATTCGTGGAGTGCGAACTCCGTAAAGCGAGTGTGAAATCAATCTGTCCAGCAAATTGTAACCGTCGTTGAGCGAGTGTGGTTGTGGAATGTCTGTGTGTCACACGCCGAAGTAAATGAGTGGATGATGAACCTATTAGTCCATCTAACAATGTCGTCATCGTCTTGATGTGATGGAAAATGAGAGAATTGACTACTCTAGAGAGTTCCAGCTTCCCTCGAAGTAATGATCATTGTGTGTGTGTGTGGATAAATTCGTCGGGACCAGCCCAGGTAGATGAGGTAGGGATAGATTGATCAAAAGAGTGTCAGAATGGGTTGAACGAGTGAAGGAGTGTCTGAGTGAATGTATCTTCGTAGGTTTTCCATGGTGACGACGAATTGTCCACGCCCTAGGCTGTGGCAGTTTTGAGAATGTGGAAACGAAGAGTGTCGGGCACCGAAAGGGTGGACGACCCAAAGGTATGAGAGAGAAAAAAAAAGGAATGAATGTTCCGTAGATTTGTACAGTCCGGTAGGGCAAAAGTCGAAGTTCCCGGCTCCGAAGTGGTGAATTTTTCTCGGGGGGTTTTGTCTGATAAAATAATGAGTGATGATGACAATGATGGTCAAAAGTTCCCGGGTCAGATTGGTTGGTTTTGAGAAAGAAAGAGAGTCCGCCTTTCCGGGAAGACCAATGGGTGGGTTAAGTGTTTCAGAAAAATATATAGTGAGTGACATGCATCAAAGGCTTTGAATTAAAGCCCAAATTAAAGCCCAAAGGAATGAATGGTTTTCCACAAAGTCTGCCCTTTCCTGAAGGTCGAGGTCATGAAGGTATATCGGCTCGAAGGTAAGCGAGTGACTGATAAAAAAAAAAGAGAACGACGGTGGTCGGTCGGAACGAATGATTCAAAAAAGGGACCTGCCTTGGGCGTGGGTGAAGGAATCAAATGGTAGTCTCTGACTTGTGTGTGTGTGTGTGTGTGTGTGTGTAGAGAAAGAAGATGTTGGTCAAGGAATGAAAGGCACCGGTCCACGGAGCTAGGAATGAAATCAGGTATCCGCCCCCATGATATGTCGTGTAACCTTTAAAAAAAGAACCTGTCCCTTTTGTGGTTCGTGATAAACGAATGTGATGGTAGGTAGTGATCGTGATCAAACGATCCGTGTGTGTTGAGAGACTGTGTATCCGAGCCTGCGGTATGTGTCATGTGTCTTTGAATTGAAAGGATTCCTAGGGGCGAGTTCCGAGCTTGGTAGAGATCGACTGGGATTTCGACAAACTACTACTGGCACCGATAAGTATTCCGTAGAAGAGAAAGATTTCGAGAGAGTGACCAGTTGGACTGAAATGTCTTTTGTCATGTGTCGACGAGAAGGCCCAGCTTCAAGGGACAACGAATGTGAGAAGTCGAATCTGCGGTAAAGACTGAGGGATACCTGGGAATTCCCAAAGTATTGGCGTTCTAGTATCAAATGATTGTTGATTTAGAAGCACCACCGAATTGGTAAAGGGTGTCGGCCCGTCGACAATCGAAGGAATGTATTTGATGGTGAAGCGTCCAAAAGAATGGTATGTGATTCTGCGAAAGAACGTGAAAGTGCCCCCAAAAATGGTGATACAAATTGGGACACATGTCGTGCACAGATCGAGACGGCCAGCGCGACGACGGCACATAGCATATGCTGTGACCGGTTCCAGCCCGACTAGCATGTTTCCAGTATGTTTGCAGGGGGTACCAGGTTGTGAAGGAGAGTATGGCCACCAGACTGGCGAAGTCGATTCATGGGTGCAACGTGTTAGACCACGGACGGTGTGGAGACAAGATCAATAGCGCCGCGATAATGTCCAAACAACCGGCCTTCCTCATCTAGAGCAAAGGCGCTGGGCATCACCGCAATGGATCCCACCGACAGGTAGTGCTGGCACTCCAGAGCGGGCAGCGGTTGTTGGGCTGAGGGCATTCTGTGCAAATCCGACCAGCGGATGTCTGGTTTGGCCTTTTCCCTGCCAGCAGGGAAGTTATTTCCTGGGTATTGTAGTTTCCGAAGGCCAGCTTGATTTCAGGACCATGCACAAATTTCTCCAGGAAATTCACATGTGTTTGATCGGGCACCGAGGAGACTAGTAGTGGGAGGAGACCAGCTCCTGAAGCAGTTCACTCTCAGGCCACAGCAGGATGAATGTGAGTTGTCGATGCGGTCCAATGGTAATGGCGTTCGAGCCTTCTTTGCAGACGGATGGCTCTTTTGAATGGACCTTCATCTACTGCCTGAGTGACCATGGTCGTGAGCACCCTCATAGTGCTAGTCATGAGGTTGCTGAGTTTTGAGTCGAGAGGAGTGAAGTTGTCGGATGCCCTCTCGACGTCGAGTGTTTTGCGCTGGACATGGGCCTTGAAGACTTCCTCGCTGATGCGTGCACAAGTCGCGATACCAAAGAGGCACGCCATGATGGCGAGAAGTCTGATACTTAGGTCCAGCATGGTACTGACTTCCATTTGATCGAGGCGTCGGCCTCAATAATGCGGTGGCGGAAAACTAACACGCGGTCGGATACTCTGGTCGAGGAAGCTAGTGTAGAATTCCAGTGGTAGTAGAGACCGGTCGACAGATGGCTGGAGGAATGAGCACCATCTATATATCTCTGGGTGAGTACGCGTTCTTGAAGTGGGTATTCATATCCATCGTAGATTCCGTTGTTCGTAGTGTCATAGATACGGGATTCGACGTGCCGTCAACCCATAACCTAATGGGCTTGGAAACCGTCGTCAGGACACCGCTCACTTGACAACCAGGAGGTCGGGGAACGTTGATCCCATGACGAGAATGGCTGAAGTTGTGAGTGAAGCCCTGTACGTGTTGGCGTTGGTAGAAGGCCCGTGGGTGTGGTCCGTGAACTGTCACCACGAGGGACCGAGCTCCTTGTCGATAACGAGAAGCACAAGATCAACCTGTGGCCCCGGCGGCCCGATGGCTCGGGCCACGCCTTTCTCGAGAGAAGTAGATTCCTGGATTACTGGCAAAGAGCTCAAGAGTGGCATTTGATGTGCTGACAGTTGGTGCAAATCACCTACCAGAATGGAATAGCTGCCCAGTCAGGCACAATGAAGTGTGTTGACTCTTGAGATCCGACAATGTTTCGAAACGGGGTAAAACGGGTGGCAGGCAAAATGCACGGGCTTCTGGGGAGCTGAAAATTCGCAAGGCTGGGCTTCCTGGCGCGAAAATAAAATGACCTTCGACCACTGCAAAGTCGCAATGTGGTCTGATGGCGACCATTTGACAACTGCCTCATCATCAGAGGCTTAGGTGAAGTGTAGTTTGGTGGCTGGAGTGTGGACGGCAGTGATACCGGCTAATCCTGATTTTGTCGGAGGCGGTCCTGCTGATAGCTCGTGCGCAGGAAGGAGTCTCTTCTGTGTAGGCGAAGGCGTGTGTGTACAGTGACTCAGATGACTCTTGAACACATTTTGGGAGGTCTCGAAGGAGCCATCAGAAAAGGGGTGGCTGGCTGGCCGTAGTCGAGATACCGCATTCCTGGCGAGACATCCACGCTCATGATCAGGTTTCATCTACCCGCCAATGCCCGTTGAGAGTTTCCGCCACTTTGAGCTCTGGAATGGCGGTGAATGATGTCTGAGGCGTGGCATGAGACTGAGCAAGGACATGGTCCTGTAAACAAAGAGATAGAAAGTAGCGTATCTCTGAAGGCGCCACGGAGTAGGTCCGATTGAAATGTAGCAGGACGAAAATCGTAGATGCAGCAAAAGGCGCGAAGGTCGTTTGAGATTTTGCAGAAGCTCTGATTCCGAAGAGCTTCATTGGTATCAAAAGAAGGTACAGAAGCGAGTTGTGATTGCTCATATGTTCATCCTCTACAACCTCTTTTTAGCTCTGCAGAGCCTCCATCATCTTTGAGAATATCAAAAGATCAAACTGTTGGGCTCCCCTTCTCACTGCCTGAAGTCAAAAAGAAACAATATCTCATACGGAAATAATTATTCATTGCGAATCTTTCCAGCGACAAAACAAAATGACATGATTTTTTAAAACTCTGACCTCAAGGCCAGACCACACGCTGGGTGAATTGACGTTGAGGTCGAGGGAGAATCCTTTGTGTCCAAAGGGATTCTTTCCGGTGGTAAATATCGTCACATTACTCCCCGAGACTGTGTTGTATCTTGTCGATGATCGCGTTCTCAGTGCACTTACATGTCGTTGCCGTCGTAGAAGAGGAGATAGTTTGACCAAGTTAGCATGAGTGTGCTATGGACTCGAGAGAACAATTGTTGTAAATATGGGATGAAGAAGAAACAAGGACACAACGTATAAATTCTATGAAAGTCTGAATATCTTCGGCAGAGCATTCGCGTACTACGCGCAGATTTACGCCTGTCTGTTCCAGCAATTCGTCTACCTTTTTTTTATTGAGCTTTAGCATTTTCATTCCCTCGATGACGACCAAATGATCATTCTACCATATCCAAGATTCTATCCCACCAGGTGAAAAACGGTGCATAACCACCCTCGCCCGTGCGGTGGTGCCTGGCGTGAGTCCTCGGTCCACCCGCCCAGCCTCGCGGTAAGAACTTGTCGTACCCCCAAACAAGGTCCATGCCGCTGTGCACTTGGATCAGAAGAGTGACGAAGATGGGAATGAATATCGTCCACGTCACGACATGGCTCTGAATGATGTTGAGACTGAAGTTGGCCAGCAAAACCAGCGACAGCCGTTCGACGACGGACAACTGGTTCGTGACTTGTGGATGCATCTCCTGGTGTTTATGGTGAGGCATGTGGTGCCTCGCCATAAATGGAACCCGATGGAAACAGAAATGGCACAAGAAGAACACCATGTCGTAAATGAAGAATGACGCGGCGAGCTCGAGCACCAAACGTCGTGACGTGGGTGGCACGGGTGGAAGAGCTCTCTCGAGTTGCAACGGCGAGGAAATGGTAAAGTTGTGAAGCGTAGGTAGGAGGAAAGATCCCGATATCGACTTTGGGATGGCATCGGTGTCGGTGATGTTGAAGCTGCCGGTGGGAGTTTCTGTCGGTTCAACAACAAGTGCGGCTGCCGTTGTGGCGAAGACGGGCATGTAACCTCCAGAAGTACGAATGTCGTTGATGGGTGTATCCGCAAACTTCTTGATCATGGTAAAGTCCAGAAACAAGAGCGGGCTGACGTAGAGGAATACTTCTCGTAGACGTTTAGAAGGCCGTTTCATCTTGGGTAGCTTTGGCATTGTCACACTGTCGTCGTCCAGTCGCTTCGATTTAACTTGGAGTGTGCCTGGTCTGATGTCGATGCGTAGCTCGGGGCTGTGTGCAAAGTGAGTGGTATATTTGGGTTCGATGATGCCATAACTGAGTACGGTCAAAATGGTTTCGAATGTTGATGATTGGTAAAAGGTGGATGAGTAGAGGTAATTGTACAATGTCGTCAACATGGGTTGGTAGAATTTTGGGAATACTACCGCCGTAGTTAAGACGATCGCGCACACATGTTGAGGAGAGCAAAGCCGTATTGATAACGGTGACTTGTCTGCTGATGTATCAGACTTCATCTTGGGCGGTTGAAAGTGTAGAAAGAGAAGAGAAGTCAAGAAGGTGAAAGTGTGGAAGAAGTGGACGAGACCCTGAATGGGATGTTGGTGGTATTTATTTGTCTGTAGAGTGAATGGATACTTTGGATACTCGGCGTACATCTTCATGCCTATGAAATCGTAGTTAGGAATACCATTGAATTTGCATCTTTTGAAGTTTGTACTCTGAGCTCTCCATCTTTGTGAGTCTGGTCTGTCGAGAGTGCTATAGTCTACAAAACACGTATGGTTCACCTTATCGGATTCTATGCTGTCAGTTTTGACTTCCTCTACAGCTTAAATCTCCTACTGATCTACAGTCAGACTGGTAACTAGGAGAGCTATGGTCAAAGCCGCCAGTACACAACCAAACGTCGCAAAAGCGAGCTTCCTCCTTGTACTGATACGACCGCCCGTAAAGCCAGAAGTTTCGGCACCGTCGTCCAAGCACCTTCCACTCGCAATATCTTGCTTGACCCGACGGATACCAAGCAAGAAGCCAGCTCCTCCCAACCAATATCCAATGGGAATCAAGATGGCAAGGATGTCTCGGGTTTTCTCGAGGTATGCGGGAGACCCAGGCTCAAAGTTCCTCAGTGCCAAACCAATAATCTGAGGGGCACTGGAGTAGATGAGCACAATGGTGCTGGTGTAGATGGCCAGACAGAACGTCTTGGTCCGAGCCGGGAATAAAAGTGCCAGAAGGGAGGCAAAAATGCCTAGCCAAAGCTCTGCCGTCAAATATGCAGCACTCATGACTCCGTATAAAATGCGAACTCCAGCTTCTTCATCTCCACCAGCTAGTTTCAAGCTGAAGACCATACATATGACAAAGGGCGCAGAGACCATACCACCAATTCCTGTGAGGCATAGAATTGCAGTGGCGTGCTCAGACATCAGACTAGAGATCGCACCCCCCAGTACCACAGCGACCGAGCCGACAACCCCTACAATGATTCCGTACCGTGAGAGCAATTGTGTTTGGGTGGGATAGATCGAGGACAGGTATGAAGGCATGTACCATCCGAAGACGTTGCCGGAGAACTGTCGAGCGCCCGACGCCAACGTGAGGATCCAGAAGGACTTCATGGAAACAATCTGCTTGAGAGCCTGTTTGAACATGCGATGTCCGCGTTCGAGCCTCGTGCCGTGCATACCCCCAGTATCGCCTACCACTTGAGACACATCAGGGGAGAGTTTTCCTACGGCGATTTGTTTTCGTGTCGGCTCTCGGAGAATGAGCCTCGTTATGACAGCCAGGACAATGCCGACGATACCGATGGCCTTCAACGCGCTGTTCCACGGGGTATCTGTCTTGTCAAAAGCAGTGGCTATTTGGCCGCTGACGGCCTCTCCGACATATACGCCAATGTAGAAGATGCTGCAACCAAAACGTCAGTCCGTGTAAGGAACGAGGGAGGTGGTGGTCCATATTTGCTTGCGTCGAAACATACCTCTCACAAACAAAAATCCAGTTCAATGGAACCAGGTCACTGATCAGACTGATGCTGATTGCTTCCACCGGCGACTGGCCGATACCCATTCCGATCCTTGCGAGCAGAATTTGCCAAAAGTTATGGCTCAACCCCTGGAAGAGGACGCAGAGACTCCACCACAACGCCGCTCCCGAAAGTACCCAGACTCTTGCGTCGGTATAGTCTGCTATGTACGCCATCGGGATGGCGAGGACGGCATACAGAATGCCCACAGCGTAACCCGAGAGTATGCCATATTGTGTCGAGGTGAGGTTCAAGGATTCAATGACCTCGGCTTGGAAATACGACAACACAAACTTGTCATACTGTGCCAAAAAGTAATTCAGGAAGAGTAACAGTATGACCAGTGGGACGTAGATGGCTCTGATGAGACCATCTCTGCTCCTGCCAGTGCTGGTCGGAAGAGGCTCAGAAGAAGTCAAGTCGGTGGAGATGGTCGTCTCAGTATCCTGGAAGACGACATTCTTGTTGGCGGTGGCAGCAGCAGCAGTGCCAGAGTCTGCCATGTCGAGGATGGCTGGGGTCGAGGCAAAGACCATGCGACATTGCCTCGCGTTGAGATTTCAATTTTATATGTTCGGGGCTTCTGTCCAAGTCCTCGTAATGGAGAAAAATCTCTACATTCTCGGAAACGCTGCGCTGGGACAGAAACGTGTCAACCCACGAGCGTATGATCGACACGCCCAGACCGACCGGAAGCAAGCCAGCGTTTAATCAGGTTCTGCGACTGGGAGACATCATCCCAGACTTGATCAAATGTGATGACGCCGAGATATAGTGGAAACGAGTACGAGTGCGTAGAGCGTATTCGTAATACCTGCCCCTTTCGGAAGTAGGTGCTCCTCTGTCGTTTCCCTCGCCATGTATCTCAAATATCGACATCACCAAGGGAAGTTCTGTTCATGATTTGTTGACTTCATCATTCTCCGCCATAGTGCCAAGTGAAGCATGCCTTCTTTTTGGTACCATTGGTGAGCACGGCCACCCGATGCTAGGGGCCCGTCTAATTAGGCCAACTCTACTAACGTTCCTCGACACCGAAGATCGCTCACAGCCTCCTCAGCATTGGATCACGACAGGATAAGTACCCTTCCTTGCCCTCGACTGGAGCAAAGTTGCCTTGATACGAAAAGGCAACAACCATCAAAGTCGTTAGAAGCAAATACAACATATCATGTCTGCGTCAGATAGCACCATCTACATCTTGTACAACGCCAATGCGTCTTTGCTTGGTAAACTCAACTACGCCTGTCGCAAGATCACCGCGTCGACCGATTCAAGCCCGTGTGCAGCGTGCGACTTGACTCACGGCGGTCTCAAGCTGGACGAGTCTGCTGCTTGGAAAAAGACAAAGGCTCGAATCGGCGCCAAAGTCGAACAATTACATCGTGACGAGTCGACGTCCGAGGTCCGCGACTTTATCAAAGCGAATTCCCTCAAATATCCTGTCGTTTTAGGTAGAGCAGGAACTTCTCCTCTCAAAGTCCTTCTCAAGCCAGAAGATCTTTCCACGGTATCAGCCGACCATTCGGCCTTTCTGGCTCTCCTTGCGCGAAGGGCAGAGGAGGAAAAGATCCCTCTCGTCATCGAGAGTCAGCAGTAATCCAGCATGTTTGATATCCAGCTGAGGCAGGTCAAGGACCACACCTTTCGACCGATAGTGCGATTCGTCCCAGAAATAATCACCCCTGGTCACTTGACTTTGGCTGCTCTTGTCACTGGACTTGGAGCCTGCCTGTGCTCGATAGCTACCGATCGACACACATCTGCCTGGGCGGTCTATCTCTGGCTGCTCAACCGCGTGCTTGACTGCCTTGATGGCGCAGTTGCCCGGGAACGGGGCACAACTTCCGATGCAGGAGGGTTTCTAGACCTTCTTTCGGATTTCATCATATATTCTCTGGTGCCGATTAGTGTTGCATGTGGAGAGATCCGACGAGGGTTGCCTGCAGATGATTGTGTTAGTTTGTTGTTGTCGGTCTCTCTGCTTGAGGCAACCTTCCACATCAACAACTTCATTCTCTTCTACCTCGCGGCGTTGTCATCACAGAAGGGTAATGATGAGTTAACTGCTGTAACGATGAAACCTGCGCTGGTTGAGGGTTTCGAAAGCGGCATCTTCTTCACATTGATGCTGGCAATTCCTAGTCTGCTGCAGCTTCTTACCTTGATAATGGCAGCTGGTGTTTGCATCGGCATCGCGAGTAGAACCTGGCTGATCTTGGACGCTTTTGCCGCCATGAAGACTCAGCCCGGGCATATCAGAGTCGATTGATGATGTTCTATAGTCCATCTTCGTTGCAACAACGTGCTTACCAATTTTCTGTCTTCAGTCTAGTTTTGGAGACCTCGGTATTAGTGTGATAGCAATTCAGCAAGGCATTTGTAAACCAGTCCTGACGGCTTCCCAGGCAAAGAAATGCGAGTTGCAAGCACAGGCCAAGCTAGTTTGAGGAGCAATGATAGGCCGGCCTGAACTATTCCGCATATCGTCGCATGCCAGGGTCATGAGAAGACTTAATCTCGTCGCACCTACTCGTACCATTCCTTACCTCTGTCAATTCTCTCTCACTTACTGCCGTTCATATGTCGAGATGGTCTCCCGCCTGACACAATCCTTCTCGTTTCATTCTTCGCCTGAATCATTCATCTCTTCTCGCCTTGAGCAGTTCACATTATCAGATGGAAATTCATTACCGTTTGCGAGCAGAATCGTCAAAGCACAAATTTTGAACCGCGAAGTCCACATTGTCACCAGTTATCACGCCTGCAAGGCCATCCTATGCCACCAGTCCAGGACAAATGATCCGGTCGAGGAGGGGCGTGCGGACGGGGGCGAATACGCTAGCGAATACGCAGACGTTTACGCGCATGAACGCACGAGCAAAGACGGCGCCTCCCCACAGCGTAGCCGCAAATGCACTGTCCATGCCAGAAACAGTAACAGGAGTCACGACAAGCCCGAACTTTTCGCTGCACGAGCAGCGTATCGACAGTTCATGGGCGACTTTTTTCCTGGCCCCAATCTCCTTCTTGAAGACGGATTAGCTCACAGAATCCACAAAGACCAATGGCGGACCAGGCTGCTTAATCTGCCACAAAGCTCGGAGTCTCTGATTCGAGAAATTACCCAGTCTCGATTTCTTGACCAGCTCGTTGGCGGGCAGAATCCCCAAGAAATCGATCTATACGCACATCTCAAGTCTTTGATTTGGGATATACTTTTTGGGGTCTTTTTGTCGATTACGCGCAATGGAGACGGCAGCAAGTTCCACCGGCTCGAAGAACTTCAAGAAGCGCTTCTGAGAGGACAATTCTCCACATTTCCTGTTAGTATTTCGACACCGCTCTGGTCATCAGCACGGAGCCGAGGCATCGATGCTGTCAAAGAGCTTGAGAAGAGTCTAGGCACAATAGCGAGAGATGTTCTTGCGTCCAAAGCATCAGACCGGTCCTTCAATGCTTGTCCGTTTTCAGAGCAGCTCCTTGAGGCAGGCTTGCCTTCGGACGACCATCTTGACGCTGAGGATGTTATTTCCCATCTTCGCCTGTTCACTAGCAGCATAGCCAATAAAGCGCTCGCGTCGCTACTCACCGCGTTCATCCTGAACTTGTTTGTGTGGCGACCTTCGTCTTCAATGACAAATTCGGGACACGGTTCTGGGACTAGTGTCAGCCTTGCAGAGCTCATCCGATCATATCCAGATCCACAAAAGCGAGTCATTATGTTGCAGTCTGTACTTGCAGAAACAGAGCGCCTGAGTCCACCCGTTGTTGGGGTGATGCGAAGAGTGCAGCAGGATGTTCTCATATCGTCTGCTGATCGAGATCGACCAGAAGAGTACGCGATTCCTGGAGGCCAAGACGCCTGGCTGTACCTATCAGGTGCCAATCGCGACCCGGATGTGTATGATCGAGCTGGTGAATTCGTCTGGGATAGGTTCTTGCCGTCTTTTTCAACATCTACCAAGGATACTGTAAATGCGGACGTGCCAAGTACGGACTTCCAACCACCTCTACCATTCGCATTTGGTGATGGAATCAAATCCTGTCTTGGGGCCGATTTGTCAAGGCAAATATGCTTGACGGTAGCCTACACACTCGTAGATAAATCTATTATGATGGCTGGTCGAATCGATGAAGGTGGAGTCGTTGCATGGCTGGGTTGGGAACGTCGCATGGATCGTAAAGACGAGGTACAACTGATGGCAAGGGACCTCAAGCAATTACCGACACAGAGGCCGAGACGTGCGGTCAAAGTCCAGGTAGGGCGACAAACCAAGTAGTCATAACGATAGCTGGTGACATCCAAGTTACTAGAGCATAATGTCCTCACTCTTGCTTTGATTTCCAAATTTCCTTCAATTCTCTGCGCAGGAACTTGGAGGTGCCATTAATCCACCACAGTGTATTAACGACCACCATAGTAGAGAACCCAAGTTTGCACTGCCATCGCAGCTGCCGCCATGCCTTGAAGGGGCTTATCCCTTGCATGTCTCCCCAGGTCTTCATAATCATGTAAAATACTCCAAGTCGACAGATCGCGAAAACAACGAGATATGCACATGTCGTGAGCCGAAGTGCGGAAGTGATATCTTTGCGACTGGGCTCGGACAGACATCGTTCGTTGCTCGAAGCCTCGCTGATTCTGAAGTTCAATAGGAACCATCTCACTGTACCGAGGGGAGAGGAGGCGTTCATGAGTAGGAATGACACAATGATCAAAATGCCGACGCGTCGTCCTGGATCAGAGAGCAATGCGTACTGAAGCCAGATAAGAAGCGAGACAAGTACTGTATGATGCACATACAGGTGGACATAATTCAAAGGCTGTCGTATCTTGTCTCCTGGCCCTTGTTTGGCTTGGACATCGCTTGAATGAGCAGGAGAATGTTTGTGTAGAGCGCCGTTCGATCGAACGTGGGCAGGTTCTATTTGAGCTGATCGTGGTCTCTTGATCGAAGAGTGCCCAGATCGCAGTAATATGCATGAGTCGACGATGAGATATGCCAGTTCCAGTGTTGTAAGAGCATTCGCAAAACTTGAAGTATGGGTGATGAGGATGAGGTCCGAGTCTTTTGGTCTTGTCCAACCAGTCGCAGGACAGGCGTACAAGACCCTCACTTCCTTCCACAGACAGATGAGGGTCGAGACAGTGATCAAGATACAATGTATGAATTGCACCACCTCTCTCCTTGCAGCGAGGACCACGCTCCAGGTGTTGAGTTTGGTATACCTTGGCGATGAAGAGATGGGACCGGTGATCGCATATAGGCAAGAGTAGAGCAAGATACCTCCGATGAAAGTAGATGGAATAAGGGTGGAATGAGAGGTCATTTTGCAAGGCTATCGATCCAGTTGTAGAGCGTATAGGTGAAAGGGGAGCAGGCTAGGTATCTAGAGACGAGGTATTGAGCAAGTTTCAAAGGTTGCTAGGATCTAAGTACTGTTTGCTGGCTGAATGATACGAATGCGCAATCGTTCATTATACACAACCGTATCGATACGGCATTCCAAACAGCCCACCGTATAACGAATGCTGAAATGTGAGCTGAGATATCCACGGCAATTCCACGTCCCACACACATCGTGCTTGAGCGCGATACCCAAGGACTCTCTGCGTCTCATTCATGTCAATCCTGCGCGCGTCATAAATTACGATTCACATCCAGAAGTTGAGACTGTCTTTAGACACCTAGGTAGCTGCAGCAGTCTACTTGTATCTTGTGGGAACAAGCTCTCTCATACAAGTTTGACAGTCATCATTCAAGGTCGATTTGACCATAGCATAGGCATGAGATGAAATAATATTGCGTAATTCCGAACTAAAGAATTGTGTACATAAAACTACATATTCATAGAAAGCCCAAAGATAAGGCCGAGACCTATTTCAATCGCTCAATTCCCCGCCCTTCATCATGATACAGCCTGTGTGAAAAGATTATACAATAGGTAAACAATTATCGAAGTAGACAACCTCCAATTCATCAGGGTATGAAGAAAAACACTAGAAAGGAAAAAGGTGAAATCATAACCGAGCCGCCGTCACAGGAACGTGGATCGTTTCTTGCGTCGAACCTGCACCAGCTGGTTACCTTCCTTTTTGATCTTGGTCCCACCTAGTAACCCGGGCACCGTGACCTCTGGCACGCCGTACTCGTCTGTGGTCCTCGTTATCCCAAAGGGCCCCTGGCTCTGATAGCTGAACCCGGTCGAGCCTGAGTAGCCAGAGTACTGATCATAGCGATCCCAGTTGGGTTGGAGCCTGTCATCTCCCCGGCGTCTGGCGACGGTGTCGATGCCACCGCGACGGCGGGACGTCACGGTATTGTAATTCCGACCAGGGCTGCTGTGGCGTCGTTCACGTCCATGATCGTAATCGTAGTCATTCACCGATGAGGTGCTGTTGGTGTCGACGTTATCCCAGCCTCGCCTTGCCCGCGGTGCGAACGGCTCACCATCGCCTCCGCGGAGGGTAGTGCGGACTCGGTCACGGTCATTCTGAGGCTGGCGATCTTGTCGATACCGGCGGAGATCGTCGTCCCTCTCTCTGGCGGGCATGGACCGATCCGGAGGCAGCGACCAGTCATCCGAGATTGAAAGATTATCGAAGCCCTCCAAAATGGGGCCGCCGCCATCATTGTCGCCGCGGCGGCCATGATTGAACTGCTGTCGTGGTCTGGTCCGTTCCCGTGATGGATACCGTACCTGCGCGCCACGTCGATGCTGCTGCTGGTAAGGCGACGATTGATACTGTGTCTCATATTCTTGCGACATGGGTTGTCGGTAGCCGGCGTCACTCCGTCTATCGTTCAAGCATCGGGAACATAGGTCCCTTGCCTCTCTCAGTTCCTCTGCACCGAGTTCAGGGACCTGGCATTCTATTTGAGTACGTTCGCCCTCCAGGCAAAGTGAGCGAACGTAACCGCCGCCGCGTATGCGACACTCGCAGAGACGGCAGATGTAGATGATGGGATGCTCGAAGCACATCGTTCCTGTGGCCAAAACTGTGGCTCGGTAGTGGTGGAAGGACGATAGCCTCTATGGTCGATGTTGAGCTTGCGTCCAAAACAGGAGGGTAGATGTGCGTAGTCAGGCTAGATGGCCGTGAAGGGTGAGTCTCTTGGTATCACTGTGTAGCTGCCAGCGCCAGTATCAAAGTTTGGTTGTGGGAAACTTTGAGGATAAGAATCGTCGTACTTGTGGGAGTCAAAGAAACCTCGGGGTAAGCGCAGTTTGGTAAGGAACTAGAAGCAGAGACAGGAGTTGGTGTATCATATCAGGGGCACACAAGGCTGCTTGTGAAGAGTGGATAGCAAACATGGGAGACGTTGATATAAGTTATACAGTAACCTACTAGCAGCTTCTGTTGGCCGGGATGTTGAACTTTTGAAAATGCTGCGGCGCAACCGATCCACGCGACTAACAGAACTTCTGGCGGTCAGGGTCTGTCTGGGCGCTCGAGGTTGCGAACTCTGCATGAATCGTATGTCCGAAACAGATGCAGTTCACTGCGTTTCGGCAGCTAACATTCGTGTGCATGGCGCACACCAGCGTGCATAACGGGGGTTGATGAGAAGGCGGTGCCGCTACTGGAAGTGAGGCAATGAGAGCCACGGGCTATACCGTGTTTGAAAGGGCAAGTATGACACGAGGATCAAGCTTTGACGGACATGGGTGTGGAATTTGGCTCTTCTACCAGGCAGGCAGTGACAGCCTGAGGAAGGCGTCTCTTGTAGTGCGTGTGTCGATGAGCAAAGGAACATGCTCTGTGGTAGGCGTTAAACTTCCCCTCGTACTTGGGTGAAGAGTTTGAGCCGGTGAGAAGCATCATGGCAAAGCAGTAATACAGCGCCGCGGCTACTTACAGCTGTGGCTGTGAAGTCCAAATACGGAGTAGCCCCTGATATGGTTCCGCGGGGTTGTTCAACGGCCTCGAAGCGAGAGAGGCGGCTCAACTGGGTCTCCTGGCTGCAACACCTGTCCGTAAGTTGCCATTGTCGAGAAGATGATACTAGGAGTCATCAAATGCCCATGAATAAAGCGCTGGAAGTTGCCATCAGTTCAGACATGTCTTGAAGCTCCATGGTCCGAGTTTCTGCTGGAGCGAGGCCGAGGCTGTAAGAATGAGCAGAGGATTCCTAGTACGGCTGGTTCTTGTGTTCCCGAAGGCAACCATTTGCGCCTTGATGAGATGATATGCGAAGAGTGCCCCGAGGTACCCTGCTGAGTCCGGTGTTGAAGAAGGGGGAAGCTTCAACCGAGAGGAGACCGGCCATCGTCAATCGCAACATAACTTCCACTCAAAGATCGTCGTGCTAGAAGCGAGTGAGATGGCAATCTTTGTACGACAGAGTTTGGTGGCTGATAGAAGGCAGAACACAAGGGACGTCGTTTTGATGGAAGGTGTAGTTCAGCGAGAGGGACCAGGCCAGCTGATGCGCCGACCGCCCTTTCTAGAGGTGTGTGTGTGGTGGTGACGGTGATGGTGGTGGGATGGTGGTCGTTTCATCCAGTCGGAGAAAAAAAGCTGCAAGCCTGACTTGCTTCTTTCTGCAAGGCAGAATTCAGGCATCCTCTCACTACACACCATCTTGATCCGTAGGTGCGAATTCCCCCTCTGTGACTTGGACACTTTTGCAATTTGACAGTACCGGCTGCCTTCGTACCGATCTGTAGCAAATGGTGGCGGAGGCAGTGCCATTCTCTCCAACCGCACGCCCATACGGGATACTAGGATCATATTCCCAGCACTGCCCAGTCGCTCTCATTCCTCAACACACCTTGAGCAGTCCTTAGCCCAAGGTCTAGTAGGGATCACGGAGCCTTGGGTGTACCACAAGTGCTTTGTGCTTGGCATCCTCGACTGCTGAAAGGCGCGGAGGACTACAATCACTGGCAGAAACAAGGCAAAAAAAGGCAAACGATATGAGGTGGTCTATACGGAGGAATATCAAGGCAAACAATTTTGATTGCGTCTTTGATTTACATACTCCGGCTGTACGGAGTTGGCTGATCTGTATCTGTATTACCGTATCTTTTGCATTTGTCTCTCTTACATTTTAGACACACAAGGTGCGGACCTTGCCCCAAATATTTCCATTTTCTCTTTTCTTCTGGTTTTCATTATTTCCCATAAGTCATATCTATACCGTATCGCCGTAATGGTGAGCACTTTTCATAGGCTCGTGCCCTGGATTAAAAGTTTGTATGTTGAAAATTCGTTATCGTGAGAAAGGGAGCCTTGAGCAACATCTTTGTGCCAAATACCGCAGAACGCCTCGTGAAGGACCATGATCATGAGTCGCTCAAAATGAACTTAGCCAGAAGCAGGGACGACCAGCATCTCCCGGCTGCCTGGTCTTTGTAATCGGTCAATGCCAAGGTGCTCCTTGCCGTCTCTACCCGTAAATATCCCAAATGCGAAATGTGGTGCGTTTTGAGAACGAGCTGCACGTCGGGAACGTTTCTCTGAGTCTTGCATGTTGTTGCCTGAACGGTCACCGGTCAAGACGAGGGAGTTTGACGATCCCATCAGTCGTTCGCGCAGGTCCTTCTTGGTGCGGACATTTTGAAGAGCGCTATCGGCCAGCAACGGACTAGCATACAGCCAGCTCATCAATGCTGCAATGGTGGTTATGTTATGCGGCAGATATCGTTTTCTCGTAGGCCAGATGATCAGGTAGGAGAGTGCATAAATGGTAACAAGCACACTCAATGCGATATATCCAGGCATGCTTGCAACCATTTTGACCTTGTCGTCTCCCGAGAAGAACTGGGCAGTGAACACCCCGCCTGCCAGGACCGGTATCGACAGAGAGAGGAGGGAGATGAAGCACATGTAAGCAACCTTGTAGTCTCTGTTGGCCAAGGCCGTGAAAACGACCGTGACAGGATCCTGAGCAGGATATGACAGCAAGAGTGAATGTTGGGCGACCGCTCCTGTTGGCCGGGAGAGGTTACAGAAAGGCTGAACAGCTCGGAAATACATGGCGATGGGTTGCCACGCCAGAAAGAGTATCATGCCTAGGAAGGAAGGGAGGAAGCTGTACAGGAAATCGGCAGGAGAAAATCCCCCAGAGACCGTCAGTGAAGGTAGCATTGGATCAAAGCCATTTTGGACCGCTCGGTTGACAAAGCTGACAACCAAAAATGCGATCACAAGTATGAGTGAGGCAATAATCCATGCTAAGACAGCAGTGTCTCGTAAGAACCATGCTGTCCAGCGATAACGAACAAATGGAGAGTGAATGCTCCGCGAGAAGGCTGAACCATAAGAAAGTCGATGTTGAGCCTCGACATCGACCGCATCGTCTTGGTAGCGGAGGCTATTTGAGTTCTTCTCCGTCTGCCTTAACTGTTGCAGCGAAAGCCGCTTGATTGGAGCATATTCTTCGCCAACTGCATGGAAAACATCGGGCCTTTCCGAGGTCGTCCAGAAACCTAGGCGACACGTTCGAGGTGGCAATTGATTGCTTGGTTGCGGAGAGACCTCAGTCTGCTCAAAATCGGAAACGATATTCGAGCGACGGAAAAGACAAATAAGATCCGCAATTGAGGTAGGATCCCAAAGCAGACTGGAGTTTCGTCGGCGAAAGCGCACCATGCAACACAGAATGGCTGCACAGAGCAGGCCATACAACGCAACCAACGTCCAGCCCACGCCTCTCACGGCCGTCCAGCGAAACCGAGCTGGACCATCGTTCGTAATCCATTGCGTTTGGTAAGCACAGCTGAGAAGAGGTACTGTGAAATTGCTCAGCCAGAAGACGAAGAATGTTACCCCAAGCATTTTCTCCCCTGTGCGGAAGAAGATGAGATCGGGGAATATATAATTGGCCGGGAGTATGCGCATTTCCTGCAGCACCCATGGGCTGCGTGCATCGGGCGCCATACAGAAAAAGGGCAAACTTCTATACGCTGCGGCCTCAATGACGAAGAGCCACAGTGTCATCATGATTCCGACGAGTTGAGGAAGGTACTGGAAAACAAAGTATCGCGGGCTGGCGTTTCCGTCGTAGTCAAAGAGGGCATGATTGCTCGAAACAAACACCAGGCTGAATATCAGCCCAGCAATTATCAGCAGACATAGGCACAAATAAAGCGCCAGGATCGGAAGGCGTAAAGGAAGCGGGACAAAACCGAGCTCGGATCTGAGGTCTTTGGATAGATCCACGGGAAGGAGCACTTCCTGCGCTACTGGCTTTCGCCGAACTTGAAATCCTGGCTCTGAAAATGGTTCTTGGTGTGGAGGAGACGGCGGTGGAGGAGATGGTGTAGAGTCTGGAGGACTGTCGGACCCGGACTCTGCTCGGAACAAGATAGGTGATCTAGGTTGATGATAAGCCGAGGCGGTACTGTTCCTTCCACGTCCCATGACATCCTCATCTCTTGTCAGTTGTTCTATTGCAAATCTTATATAGGGTGTGTCATCGACCCCAGGAGTTGGGGGGCTCATTTCGTCGAAGCTCGAGAGCATTCGTATGGTGGATGGTTCATCATGTGTCTCGCGTCGGATGTTCAAGGGTGCAGGCTGAATGGCACCGGGTCTAGAAGGCAGAGTCATCTCTGAATCCAGGTTGTTCTGGTTCTGTTGTAGAATCGGGGTCGAGATTCTCGATGGCGGCGTCTCATAGCTTGTCTTGGAATTAACCGATTGTTGGCTAGTTGCGTCGGACGCATAATCAGAGAAGTATTCGTTCGAGGCAGCAGAGGACTTGAGAGAATGTGATCGTGTGTATTGAGGAGTTGTGCTTTTGACTGTATGAAGTTGAGCGTTTTGGGGTAGGTTCATTAGTACTTTTGTAGGTGTTTATGCAAAAGACATCAATGCGCAAATGTCAAAAAGCAGAGTTTAGCAAACAGAACGCACGGGCACGAGAATTGACAAGACATTGGGAACATGGCAAGAGGCGTCGGAAAATAAGAAATGCTAGAATCAATGTTGAGGCTGGGCTGCTGTTAGTGGAGGCTGGGAGCAGCTGGGCGGCAGTCGCGGATTCCAGCCACTGGCATTACAGTATGGAGCGACAAGAGCGAAACACATCATTAGTGAGAAACAAGTTGTTGAGAGAGAAAACCTGGATTGGTTGTAAGCTGCATTGAGGCCAACAAATCGAGGCCTATGCAGATGTGGTGCAATTGATAAACCTGTCAAACGACGATCAAGACGGATGGTTCAAGGAATGAGCCCTGCGCCTGCCTGCCTGCGGGGCCAAGAGCTCTGGCCATTCAGCCTTGCTCAGCCTTGTGCAGCCTTCTCGTCTATAATAGGACTAGTTAGCCTTGAAACCGCCCCGTCATGATGACTTCAAAGTTGACGTTCTGATGAACAGACTTGTCTAGTGGTCTTTGATATAACAAGATTGCGCAGGTGCATGTCATCTACGACCATGGTTTACAAAATGTATAGCTACAACAAGTTCGATGATGTTTGGTCAGCAGACAAGCTTGACACGGTGCAGAGACCTTGTGCAGTCTAATTCAGCAGACGCGTTCATGACTGATTCACACCACAACGTCCTTCCTGGCGGCATCGCGGTTGCTGCATCTTCACCGGTTTGTATGCTGCAGGTACTTCAAAACGGTACTCGCGACTCTCGCACATGGCGCGGTACTTGACTTCACCTCACAGTAAAGTGATGTCTTCTTTTCACCCCAATTCTCCTGTACAATTCTTTCTTCATTCCTTCATTTCTTGTACATCCTAACTTACATCATCTTTCGAATCACCCTCTCTGGTCCTGAACCCTTGTCATCTACCGACATCAGAATGAAGCTTGCGATACTTGCCATAGTCGCGCTGTCACTCGTTGCGACAGTGGTATCAAGACCCGCACAATGGTTCGCTGAACTGGCTGATGATATTGGCTCACTGAGTCTGGCACAGCATCTGTGCAGCCGCAAGCATTGTCTGTTCGGCGACGCAACCTTCGATGGCTACTCCCTTTCCTGCCAATGTCCTGATATGCCAATCAACCTAGTAAGTCAAGAAGAATGAATGATAGCATGAGAAGTGAGAACCTGACATGAGCCTTGAGCAGTTTGCGGATCCTTGCGAAGGTCTAGAATGCCCAAGCGGTACCGAACCCTTCTACTCAGTGTTAGACCAAGACTGTTACTGCGGCACGATGGAGGCATGGTTTGCCAAAGAAGAAAGCATATTGCAGCAACTTGAGAGTGAAGGCCGTCTGGTTACGCAGAAGGACATTTTCAAGAGCCCAAATCATGAGGAAGCCATACGTTATGACCTCCGTCGCCGTCAAGAGCCATCAAGTGCGCCTACGCCAACCTACACTGCGCTTCCAACCTTCGTCCCTCCCCCTACGCAAGATATCACGCCCGAACTTCTCAATCAGTCACTTAGCGTTCAGCCCCAGAATACTGCCACCATTTCCTCGATAATTCCCTTCTTTATGGACAATGTGTTATGCGTTTACATACAATTGAACGGAACAGTTGCAGACACTCTGATTGTGAACGCAAGTGCTTCACTGCCTTGTGGCGATATCGGTGTTGACCCTGAACCAAACATGGCTCTCGTCCCAAAAGTTGTTCAGCAAGGAGATGGCCAGCCGCAAGTTCAAGTTGCAGATTGTCAATGCATCGCTGTCAACATGTACGATCCCAACGTCATCACCTATTGGATACAGAAAGTCTCGGATGGGAGCATTTATTCCCTGACTGGAAGCAACAAGGTGGTTGACATTGATAAAATGAACACAACTCAGACCACAGCCTTGGATCTTGTCACACTATCTGCCGCAAACTCAAAGCGCAATGCTGCAAACATCGAATATCTCCGACCAGTGCGACGCCAAATATTTGGTATTGAGTGTGGCCAGCCATGCCCTTTTTATCACATGTATGTCATCAAAACGACCGATGGCTACTGCGGTTGCATATTCCACGGCGCAGATGAAAAGGTGGGCATTTCTCCACGAGCATTAGTGGTGCCTGACATCAACACTGCCACCATGACCGAAGCTGCTTGCAGGGCAATGATCTGTTACAACAATGGCAATCAGCCAGCCGTCTTCAATCCGTTTAGCATGACTTGCTGGTGCAACACTCCTCCAGCCATCGAATACAATGCCGACGCGTGGAAACCCGACCCCTAATTTGCTTTTACAGTGATGGATAGAAGTGGAGTGTTCTGTTGGACCACTAAACAACAACACCACATTGTACCACCACAAGGAGGGAGGTACGCAAGAAAGTAGTGCATGTGTCACACATACACACCATCCTTCTTGGTAAATGCTAGTCGATTGTTGAGTTGGGAGACACTAGAAACGACAAATTGGGAAGACTTTCTGTGCGTTTCAGCAGACAAGGCTGGTTATGCGGCTCCAAGTTCTGCGTCTTTTCCTAGACCCTGATTTCTACTTGTGTTTCATTATCGTGCTGACAGGATTGGGATGCGGAGACATAGATGGGAGAGACTGGCAAATAGCAAATTATTCTACTCCGGACGAAATAACCCCAATTGCAATGAACATAGCATTACATTCGACCCTGATACTGTATTTCGTAGGCGTAGGTTGAGACTCGAGCAGAATGAATTAATTACTTGGTATTGATCAATTCACACAGTATCCTAGAAGCAAAAAAGAAAAAAGAAAATGCTACACCTGCAGCCTTTTCCCTCCTCAGCCTGTGTCCGCCTATTTTTCAGGTTCTGTAGACAAAAGGGAAAATTAGAGGGACAAAAGCACCATATGCAAGGTTTTTTGTCTCGAAAGCAGGCCTCGCAGTTCCGCAACTTTTACGCCGTCGCTTGCTATGTTCAACCTGTCATACACTCACACACAACTAACCCCCGGATAGACCGACAAGACTTGAATTGGAAAATAGAGATTGTGAACCTCGGCAACTTGAGATCACGATGGTTCACGGTGTTCTTTTGGTGCCATGGACATGAATATGCATCGCGACTTGACGTCGACTGTCGCATTTTGTTGTGGGGCGCACAGTCAGAGATTTGTACAAACGGATAGGTGGAATTGGGATGGGCTCGGAGTGCCAATAAACTCGTTCGTTGCTTGTGAAAAGACAGCAAGAAGGAGGGGATTGGTTGGTTACGGTTTTCCGCCATCCAGCGATTCGATGCGCGCTGAAAGTTCCCCCCTTTGTCGGAGGACAGACGAGGATGATTCCAGGGTTAAACAGGACGTGATGAAGAGATCGTTGCATTCAGCAAGAGGTAGATGATGTCTGTCTGGCCTTTATGATGTCGCGATCAGGACAACGCTCCAAAAATGGCATCTTTGACGAGCGAGTTTCGCCAAGATACTACATGGTTGAAGAAAGAGATGTTCTTCGGCTGATGGTGCAGATCTTGTAGGAAACCCCAATTGTTACCGTCGTGAAGGCAGGTTCCCAGCACCACTGCCACCCTCGCCCTGGCCAGGCAGAGGGCCGGTACCGGAAGCGTAGCTCGTCCTGCTAGGACTCGTGCGCTGAGTTGTCTCTTCGATGATATCGCTCAACCTAGTTGGATGTCGATGTCTAGTTGCCTGGAGGTTTTCCCATCCTGTTTGAGCTTGTGCAACGATTGGAGGTGGCTCAGTTTCGTACCCTTCGCCCTCATACTCCGGTATGCGGCCTTGTGGGATAGCCGGTAAGGGGCCGGATGTTGTTCGGGGAATTTGACCCTGTTGTTGCTGAGCTTGCTGTGGACGGTATTGTGCTGCATACATCCTCTCACGCTCAATGTCGGCGGTGTGATCGTCATCATCCTCGTCGGAATAGTCGCCTTCTTCGCCTTCGTCATCGCTCACTTCGGCTCGAAGACCTGATGGACCAATAGGCTGACGGTAGGGTATACGGCGGCCCTGTGCATCCCGTGTATAACTACCGTCAGGATTAATGTGATACTCTTCTTCTGACGCCCCTGACACGGTGGACGCAATGAACGATTGCTCTGTGCCGCCTGTGCCTTGACGTGTTGGTGCAGGCAAGGCACCAGACATTTGAGAGTTGGTTGTCGTCGGGCTCTGATGGTAACGCAGATCCTGAGCCGCACTTGTGGCAGCACGACTAGCAGCAATTGCAGCAGCGCTTGTCTGAGGTATCGTCGGCCGAGGTGGGGTAGTGTAGAATTGTGTCTCAGGTTCACGGCCTGCCTGTGTTGCTTCACGCTGACGAGAGGATTCCGTGAACGGGTCGGTCACGGTAGGGGAACCTCCTGTGTCGGGTTGGTAGTTGAATTGTCTGGTTTCTTCACCAGGAGAGTCCAAGGAAGTTCCAGTTGTCTGACTCTGAGACCGCGGCCGTTGCGTGGCAGAGGGCTGTTGACCGGACAACATTGTGGGACCAGCACTACCAGTAGGCCCCTCCCTTGTTTGTGGCCGATGAGCTGAGCTGATTTGTCGACTGGATAGTCCTTGCATGGGAACGACCTGAACGCCTCCTATGAGTGTGGGCTCACCACTTCTCAATGCAATGGTTCTCTCGCGCTCCTCCTGTTCTCTTCGACCCAACTCTTCCCAGGCTCGTCGAGCCTCTTCTTTGCTAATCTGCAGCTCTCGACGCATTTCTTTGACAAGTTCTTCGGCTCGATTCTTGTCTGCACGGACCGCTTCAATGGACGTGGAGCTTACGGTCCGAGCTTCCCGTTCGGCGCGAAGCTGCCGTTCCAACTCCGCCTGCCGCTCTTGAGCTTGTTCCTGCTCCTGCCGAGTTTCGAAGAACCAGCGTTGGAATTTTCGCTCCGAGGACGCTCTCAGACGTTGCAATTCTACCACTGCGTGGAACAAATTAGCTCCTGCAGCAGACAAGTCATCAATTTGCCGAGCCATCTGTTTCTCTAATGGTTTGCCAGCCAGCTCATCAGCATTGTTTTGCATACGATGGATGAATGATGACACAATGCCCTCCCAGTGTGCCGAGAGATCCTCCCATCGTTCGAATGCATTAGGGAAACGGCTACGAGCCGCCACACCAGACGCTTGCGTACTTGACTGCGGTCCTAGTTGTGTCCCTGCTTGCAGTACTGGCTGTGGAGGTTGAGGTCTTGTTGATGGCGGTTGCTGCTGCGGCTGTGTGGCTCGCGGCGCCTGTTCAGGTACTGCTGGTCTCGCAGTCGCGGGGATGTTCAATTGCTCGTATGCTTCTGTGCGATTCCGTTGCGTGCTTGCCGAAAGTCGAGGGTCTGTTCCACCACTTTGGGTATGGATATGACCCGTCCTTGACGGACCAGCCTGAGTTGGAGCAATGTTCTCTTGCCGCCGATCAGAGCCAACTGGCATTTGCGCAGATTGACCGCGTATGTGATAGGTATGTGTTGGCTGCGTTCTGGCCGTTGATATTCTCGCAGTGGGTCGTGGTGTCTGTTCTTCCCCAACGCCAACAACCTGTTCTCCCTGTTGCATCCTTCTCTGTTCCTCTTGAACTTGCCTGGCGGCCGCCTCTTCAGCTCTGCGAGCTTCCCGTAGCCTTCTTTCCCGCATAACATCAGTAGGTGTCCGGTATCGAGGTGGTTCCGTTGCGGTGGGCCCGGTGCCGGCGGCTGCAGCCGTTCGTGGTGCTCCCCCATTCTGTATTCTTGCAGTGGCACCGGGCGGATTGCCCCTTACCAGATCTGACATTCGAGCCTGTTCTTCGAGCAGATCTGGAGTCAATGGCTGTGCATTGACGCCACTTCCCTTTCTTATGGCTTCCAAGGCAAAAAGGATTGCGTCGTGAGTATGTCTAGAGACTCGAATTGTTCTTCTAGGCCAGTATGACTCGTCCTCTACCAACCGCTGAAAGTCCTGAGGACTGGTAGACTCCGACTCGTCGAAGCCGCTCAATTGTGTAACACGACGAGCGTCTGGCTGCGGCGGAGCAGGAGGGGATGCTGCGCGTTCTGCTTGTTCACTTCTGCGCTCTTGCAGTCTCGGGGTTCTTCTCAGTGAGCGGACACTAGAAGGTGAGGATTGTGGTGGTCTTTGGGATACAGGTGTAGATATGTGTTGCTGGCGTTGGGGTAGGGGTTCTCGTTCAGGGTCGTAATACTCGTAAAGGTCGTCAAGATGAGAGGAACCGGACTGAGGCACTTCGATCGTCGGGTTTGGAGGAGTAGGAGTGGGAAGATCGTTGAACAACTTGCTAAAAGCGCCTCGCAGCGCAGGTTGGTCGGCGTCAGGATCTTCGGTGCGCAAATGCTAACAGCTGTGCAAAAAGGCTGAGCAGAGGTCAGTTGGAATACTGGGATCCTTGGGCAGTAACATTGACCTGGTCAGGATGAAGGATTGTTGTAATTAGTGTGTGGCTGGTCCAATGCCTGCGTGGGTGGTCAAAATCACGGAGGTTGGTTTTCGCCAGAAGACCCGCGACCGCTGACGCGACGCACCCGTGTCGGCACACCTTTGAAGAATCTGAAGTGTTTGTGTTGATGCATGAAAATGATTCTACCGGCCAAATCGCAAAAGCTCGGATTCAGAGGGAATTGTGGTGTAGAAAGAGGCGGACAGGTTCACAAAGTGGTGGGTGCGGCAGAAGGAACGTGGAAGCTGTCGCGAAAAGAGCTCTGACCTCTTTTTGCACAGGCCACGTTGCGGAGAGCTTCGATGATAATGTCAAAGCTGCAAGAGAAGGCGTATGACAGGACTATGAAGTGTATTCGACGTATAGACTCTCTATGTGTGCGTAGTGGTGCGATTTCACCGATTTCGATGTTACGGGCGCAACCTTCGGGAGCAGCCAGAACCAGGCGGCGACGACGGGCACAAGGTACCTGAGGAACGGTTAACGGTCGAGACTAGAATCTTGTTCGTCGAACCGATTGCCATGATCAGATTCGCATCTCATTGTCTGGACAAGTTTGTGTTATGCCTGGTTGCGTGCTTCATCGCCGTCTCCCATACTGTAATGCGAATATTGAGGAGGCTGGCATTGGTGGCTTCACACCGCTGGCGGGCGATGAGTTGGCAGACCGTAAGCTATCGACGCCTCATCCTTGGAAATCACCCCTGCTAGTTCCATCTTTACCGAGTTCATGATAATGGCCATGTTGATCGTGCGTCTACGGAGTATCGCTTGCGATTATAGAACACACTTGTACCTGTATGGAAGAGATTCGAATTTTCAGCTACAAAGTGTGGACAGTTGCTTTCCCAGAAGAGACAGTCGAATCTCCCAAACAGCTCGCTTGCCCCTTCACTCCATCTTGTTATCGATCAGGCACCAGGAACGACATCTGACCCCTCAAGCTGCAGTAAATGGGCGATTGGCACTCGTATTGGCTCAAGACCTCCCCGATTTTTACGAATCAGCAGGTCAAGACAATCCCTTCGGGTCCTTGTCTGGATCCCCTGCCTCAGATCCCACCGCGCCGCTCCGTTGATGCCGTTGCTCTCTGAGGGGCTCATTGCGCTGACTACCAGCCATAAGCAGGTTTGCTCTCTCGCTGCTCCATACAAACAGACAGTGGCAAACCTGACTATCAGTACGGGCGCTCAGCCGAACAGGGATACCAGGGATATTCGTCCCCTAACTTTCTCTTCCCGCTTACGACACTTGGGAATAGCGCCATCTTGTCAAACCGGAGCTCCATCCGTAACGCAAGGGTTGATTTCAAGATTTCTCTATCCTGTCTGCAAGTGCCAGCTGTCAACTTAGATTCTTTTCTCCGTTACTGGGCATGCTCGTGATGGTGTGCATGACGGGATCGTCGACGTGCATGCGCCTTTCTGACACTTTGAGATTAACCATGTCCCGAAACTGACAGCCTGCACAGGCCTGCGATGGCTCTGGTCAAATTCTCAACGGCGAAAGGACACTCACTCCTGAACAAAATTTAGTTCAGCCTTGAGCTTGGTGGCCGTTGTCGTGTCGTATTCGGAAGAGGCGATGGTTGCTTAACCGAGTCCGCCTGTCAACTCGATACGAATTGGACTATTGTCATCGAGTCTGGAGGAGCGGATGCTCCCTATTTCAGATCCGAAGTACGCTCTTCGCTTCACGTATAACTTCGGGCTAGGAGATTTCGACTATCTTTTGACGTCTGCGAAAACACGCGTTCCGCTCACGTTTACAGGTCGCAATCTTTTCTTGCGCCTCGTTTTTCTATGCATCGTTGCTGTCAAAAATTGCACCATATGCATTCCCCTTGCACTAGACTGGGGCCGTTTTGGTCACTATTGGTACTTGGGAGCTGGTCGAGACAAACTTCAGCATGTTTGTCCCATGGGGCTGGCTTTTCTTCCCTCCCCCGGTGGTTTGATGGAGCAAACGCTCTACCTGGCCTTGATCAAAACCGAGAAACGAATTGGAAGTGTCAATAATGCCCCGGTCGATGTTTTACATACAGCCTACAACTTACAGTCCCTGGGCTTGCATGATTCTTGACAGGCTGCAACATGGAAATGCGGTAATGCCCCAATGGTAGAGATCGGCTGCAGGACGAAGCCACATGAGATAATCTCCCTACGAAGTACGGTTTGCAATATTTCATATCCTACCTCTTTCTTCTCCTGATCCAATCTACCCTGGTCTGTCCGAAACGGTAACGCTGGCTACTCGCGAACAGTACTTAACCGACTCTTGCACTTTCACAATTTTCCATTCTATCAGAATCAATCCCTCCTCTATTGTCCAACCATCTTACTGAACTTGCTTCGAAAGTACCTGTCCAAGATGCGCCATCTCTTGTCGCCTGCTTTCCGGAGGACCCAACGTGCAGCAGAACAAAACACGAAGATTTCAACAACTTCGGAATCTCAGCAGCAGAATGACCCCTTTTCGAACGACGCTTCTGCATGCTCAGTTGTCTGCACTTCGAACAGAATGTCTTTCGCACTTCCTTCAGTACCCTCGTCTTCTCTCCTTCTGGAGGAATTGTTAAAACTTTGGCCATCAGAGACAGGCGATACCATAGAAAGCGTCAACTGTACCGGAGATTCGAGACAACGTAGATCTGTCGCCATTCTGCTTGATTCTAGTGCTTGGTGTCAAGATCTACCGGCGAGTCAGGATCCGAGTTCTCCTCCTGCAGACTCATATCCTGGTCGGGATCCCGCACAACTCAGCACTCCTGTCAATAAAGCAAGGACTCCTGTCCCGTCTTTGACATTCTCTCAAGAGTCCGCATACTCTCGATTTTCCCAGGAGGACCATTCCTCCGCAACATCAATCATGTCGCCGCTAGATCTAGGCGCTAGGAGGTCTGTGCCACAGAGTCCATGTCCCGTCAAGACAACGGCAATCCGGCAAGGAGACAATGAGATGGTGGATCCTTACTACAAACCTCCACAGACCAGGGGTACTCGGAACGCCGTACTGGCATACGATGATGCTACACCTTTCGAAGTCTCATACATCAACCCTTGGACTCATGGTTGTGTTAGCGCCGTTGATCCAAAAGTACAGCCACGCAACATTGCAAGTGGTCCTCAAGAAACATCGTACATAGAATGGGATGACGAGGAGGACGAGCACAAACTTCGCATTCCTACAGCCCTGTCACGCATTAGAAAGAGTCTTGCAGATCTTCGTGCTGCAGACCGCTTCATTTCGGGTGCTAATTCAGGTCGAAAAGCATCTACCAAGTCACAAGACAGTGTCAAGGATACTGTTGCATCGATCCCTCGACCGGTAACAGCAGCCGGCAGTGTTAGCAATGTCAAGGACCGGAGTCCGACGAATTTCACATATGCTGCGCCATACCAGTCACTGTATTTGGAAAAATCTCTTCCACCTTTGCCCCATGAGCAGATCATGACTACATCCACTGAAGCGGCATGGGAACGGAGCCCGAAAAGGCGGAGCACAGAGAGCATGGCCAAGAAGTGCTCGCGTTCCCTTGCATCAAGCGCAAATTCAACTAGCGGGCATATGCGGACAATCCACTCTGAGCTGGAGAGTGCTGGACCAACCTCACCTGTGGCTTTTCACCATTCCTTCACCTCTTATGATCAATCTCCAAAGTCGGCGTCATCGCCCAATCTAACAAGGATGGAAAGTTTTGACGGTCCATACTTGAAAACGGACAAAACTGACGAAAAGCCATCGATAACCCTGATGGACAAATGGCTCAATGGCCCCTTGGGAGCCAGAAACGAAAAGTAATTTGAGGTTGGTCAAAACTCATGGGTATATCGGATTGCGGCGTTTCTCTTCTGGTTCAGATGGCGAGATCAAGGGTTTCTAGTATCAGCGGTACGGGGAGATGCAATTGGGATGAGCGAGCGAATGTGTTACATGGCTACAATGACAATAATGATGAGGACGATGATGATGATGATGTTGTTGTTGTTGTTACTCTTGTATGATATCAGGGTGTTTTCTTTGGGTTTCAGATACAAATCTGATTATATACTACCTCAAAAGGGGAGATTCTCAATGATGAATGTCTTCTTCCCTAAATAGGCGAGTACCTAGATATGGTTCACCGTACTGAATACGGTCACGCGCCATCACGTGCGCTCCTCAAAACTGACGGAGAACTCCATTTTCTCGACATCCACCACCTCCTTGTACAAGTACCACTTTCAGCAATCCTTACGGATTGAGGCAGAACACTTTGGTACATTATCGTTCTCATCTTTGCCTTAATCACCCTTATCGGCTGTCTCCTGCCGTCTATGCGCATGGCAGCCTCCACAACGGTACACTATGGCCATTCTTATCAACCGAGATAGCGACCTCTCGTCCCAACCTATTCTACTGCGTTAAGCGTCAGTGGAGCTAGCTTCAGTAGCCAGAATAAAGCGAAGGCTCACCCCAGGATTGCTGCTTCGGCTTCACCCGACAGCCAATCATTTCCAACAGGAAAGTCCCGGCGGTAGTTATCCTTCTTAATCGTCTGTGTCCAGGCGTATTCTCTGGCGCTCCCTTAGCAGATCACCATCATTGCGCACCAAGGGTCCTCCTCTCCCGACCAAACGGCAATGTGCATTTAATAAAGCTATCGCTGTCGCGCGACATCGCAAATCATGCGGTCAGTCCGAGTTCTTTTGGCTTTGGGGAACCGATCCTATCCTTCAACGACAACTCCAGGTGCTATACGGTTGACCTAGCATCACCATGGGGATCAAGACCATTTTCACAAACTCGACACTGGCCAAGTATGGCAGAGCCATTCGCGCCACGCCTCGCGAGGTCATCTTGAACCGCGATCTCCTCTCTACCGCGGTCCTTTATGCAATGTCAGGCATTCCTCTATGTATGTCACTCTTGTCCCGAGTGCGAATCCATAAATCGTGATACTGATGCATCTTCGAAACAAAAGGTTGGGATCAAGGTTCATCTTCCACGATACCTTCACTACCCGGGTTCGAACAGCACTTTGGCATCACCTCAAGCGCTTCGCAGATCAAAGACTTTATATCACTCGTTTACATTGGCGCTGGTGTCGGAGCAGGTCTAAGCTTCTTCATCAACGATCGCGTCGGTCGCCTATGGTCTCTCCGTCTATACATGTTTATCTGGATCCTCGGTCAGCTCATCGCGACAGCCTCCCCAAACATCGGATGCCTATACTTTGCGCGCATAGTCTCAGGTTTCGGCATTGGTCCACTGACCGTTGTGGGACCCGTCTCACTCGCCGAGATTGCTCCAACTGAGATTCGTGGTCTCATCACTGCGTGGTTCAGTGTCGTGCTCCTGTTAAGTCTGTTTGTGGCTGCATTCACAGTGTACGGAGTCTTCAGCAACATGGCGGCAACCCGGCTGCAATACCAAGTGGTCTGGTTCTCGCCGTGCATCTTCCTGGCCCTCTGCATTGCGGCAAGTTTCTTTGTGTGCGAATCGCCGAGATGGCTCTTTCTGAAGGGTCGTCGTGAAGAGGGTGTCAGAACCCTTGAGAAACTACGCGGGCTGCCCGCCGAACATCCAAGGGTCCACCAAGAGATTCACGATATCGAAGAGTCGATTGCGGCAGAGACGGAAAAGTTTGACGGCCAAGGTCGTTTCGCTCACATGAAGGGGATCATGAAGGAGACTTTCCTAGTCCCCGCCAATCTGCGACGTCTACAGCAGGCCATGATATCTTATGCGCTTGCTCAACTTTCCGGCGCCAACCTGGTCACCAGTTACTTTGTACCCATCCTCAAACTCATGGGCCTGGCCTCGGACAACAACGCGAAAAGAGCACTGTTCCTCAGTTGCATGTACAGCATGGCAAAGTTCTTCTTCACCGTCATCGCCTCTTTCTTTTTCATCGATGCCCTTGGGCGACGGAGGTCGCTCTTCATCGGAATCACGCTTCAAATGAGCTCCGACATCTACCTCGGTGTTTTCATCAAATATGTTCAACAATCGACTGTCAACGTTGCAGCTTCACAGGCCGCCACCGCATTCATCTTCATTCATGGTTTCGGCTATGCAGTGGGTAAGTCATTGGTTGTTCTCTCTCGTAGAAGCCTGAATGGGTTTTCACTATCGTGCTGGTATCGATTGGTCACTGACAACAGGATGTTCACAGGTCTCTTGGTTCTCCCGTACGTTTTTGCCGGAGAGATCTGGCCGAACCGTATCAGATCCTTCGGCGGTGCCCTCACACAGTGTTTCCATTGGCTGTTCTACTACGGCGTCAGTGCAGGAATGCCATCCTTACTTTCGTCGATGGACAACTGGGGAGCTTTCATATTTTTCGGCGGATGGTGCTTCGTTTCGTTGATATATGTCTACCTCATGGTACCAGAGATTGCTGGTCTGAGTGTTGAAGAGATTGATGATCTTTTCAGAGGGCCGTGGTTCAATGCCTACAAAAGGTCTAAACAACGAACCGTGATTACAAGCGTCGAAAGTCAAGAAACAGTTGAGCAATGCGTGTGAGTTTATTCCTTGTCCTGAAGCTGAGTGGAATGATACTAACGTTGCCTGCCTTTAGAACAAGTGAAGCCAACACCGTTAAAGGGGCCAAGGATTGAGGTTTTGATTTTTCAAAGTTGCCTTCATTTCCAATGGGGCGGCGTTATAGCTATTCCGACACGGTATATACATATAGCCACAACATATCAATTGACTCGACATTCACGTTCTTTACTTCGATTTCTGAGCTTTCCATGGAGAAAGGTCGTACCTTGTTGTCATGATTTGTGACACTTTGCACAATATTTTGCCGGCCTGGGCCTCGGCTACATTTCCAATGGGCAGGGAGTCAAACACGATACGTCCTCCCGTTGTATCTGATCCGGTAATGGTAGAGAATCGAAAGTCGAGAGTCTAGAAGTCCTTCGGATTCTCCCGAAGCTCAATAATTCAAAGTCTCTACTAGTGCACTTAGTGGTCATCATGATCCCAGACGGAGATATCCATCCACACCAAACGAGAATGGCTCTAGTGCATCTTTTTCACGCTTCAAAAGGCAAACGGCATGTCGACGAGGAGGCTAGAATAGTCAGTCCACCACTTGCCTATCAATTGAAACCTCAAAAAGGGAGACCCGAACTACTGACCAAGTATATACCCACCCCTGGCTCTCTAGATTGGTTGCTCTTGGCTGCTCCAAAGAAAGAGAGAAAGGACACCGGCCGATCAAACACGTGTGACTCAAGAGGCCTCAACATGTACCAGATTCAGCCAACATCCAAAACACTCGCCAACTGAAGTCGGTGGTTCCTTTTGGATACCCACCTCCGCTATCGCATCATACACCCATCTGGGCTCAAAAATGCCGCCGCGTGGTTCAACGAGGCAGGGTGCACCTCCACTCGAGGACAAGAATGCATCGATCATCATCGTCGGCGCCGGGGTGTTTGGGCTCAGTACGGCAATCCACCTCGCCCGACGTGGGTTCAAAAACATCACCGTCTTCGACAAACAACCGTACCACGAGAGTCGGTATTCGTACTTCAAAGGGTGTGACGCGGCATCGGCCGACATGAACAAGATTTTTCGATCCGCCTACGGTGGTCAAACCGAGTACCAGGCCTTGTCTCTGGACGCGTTTGGCGAATGGCAAAGTTGGAACGCCGAGCTGGGATCTGGCGGTGATGATGCCGTGGTGCCGGCAGGGATGACACGAAAAGACAAGGTCTTTATCAACAACGGCAACCTCAGTCTGACGGACAAACCGGTGATTCCCGAGTTCGAAATGGCCACCGTGAAAAACATGCGGGACGCCGGATACCCGGACTCTCAACTCGTCACGTCGGACGAGCGACACATCGAGATTGCCAATGCACGAGGTTTCGGGTTTGCGATCGACCCCTTTGGTCGAAGGTCGAGAGGACAAAGTCACTTGGGGGTTTTGGACACGACGGGAGGGACCATCCTGGCGGACAAGGCTTGCTCGTTTGCTCTTCACAAGGCAGAGAGACTAGGTGTGAAGACAGTTTTTGGTGTCCGCTCCGGTCTGTTCGAGTCCTTTCTTCGAACTTCCGAGTCAGAAAAAGTTGTGGGTATCCGCACGGTCGACGGCAAAAGCCATCGCGCTGACCGAGTCATCATGGCTTGCGGGGGATGGACTCCCTCCCTTCTTCCCTCTCTGGACTCTGTTTGTGAAGCTACGGCCGGGTCCGTGGTGATGATGAAACTGCCTCCAGCCCTTGCGGCGAAATACTCCGCCGACAAGTTCCCTTCGTGGCAGTACAAGATGCGCGATGGGGCCGAGGGCGGTCTTTACGGTTTCCCCGCCACGGCCGACGGGTACATGAAGATCGGTTACCGTGGTACAAAGTATACGAACCCACAGACGCAAAAGGTTGACGGCGTCGAACGCAGTGTTCCCGTCACGCGATACACCCGTCCAGAAACGGTCACGGATCAAATCCCTGCTCAGGCGATGAAGGTGATTAAAAGGTTCGTGGATGATTTTTTGCCAGAGTTGCCCGCGAACGGAGTGGAAATTTCCACGACGAGGTTGTGCTGGTACACCGATTCTTGGGACAATCATTTCGTCATTGATCATGTCCCCGACCACGAAAATGTCTTGGTCGCCACGGCGGGAAGTGGTCATGCGTTCAAGTACCTACCAAACATTGGTGGGTGGATCGCGGATATCGTGGAAGGGAAAGGGTTGGACAGGCAACTCGTGAAGAGTTGGGGGTGGAGGACGAGACCTGACCGGAAAGAAGAAGTCATTAATGAGTTGATGGAAGGGAGTGGAGGGAACAGGGCGCTACAAAGAACAAAAATGTCGAGTCCTAGGGATCTCAAGTTGGTGAGAGGAGCAAATTTGTAGATGACTAGATGCCTGAAAAACAAAAGATACTCTAATCAAGGTAAATACTTCGTACATGGATACAGACAGTAACACAGTGACTTGACACCATGCACAGGTACGTTGGTCGGTAATACTCCGAAATATCTGAGATGATCAACAGGTGCCACTTTACTTTTCTCATTGACCCTGTACGCATGTACGTATCTGTATCTATGTATTCATTCATTCTTACATCCTGACCTCCTTTCTCTTCTTTTCATTTGTGGCATCGACATTTTCATTTCTTATCCTGCTTCACCTCGTTCACCGGAGCCACCGGTCTACCCTTCTTGAACAAGGACCTGATGTTTTCGAAACATTCCCTCTCTGATTTCTGGAACGCCAGGTCCGTCAGACCTCCCATGTGAGGCTGGAGGACCACCTTGTCGCTGGTCCTGAAATAGTCGTTGATCCGAGGTTCGTTGGCAAACACGTCCAACCCTGCCCTCGTGACCTTACCGGACTCCAGAGCCCGAATCAAAGCATCCTCGTCCACCACGGGTCCACGGGCCGTGTTGACCAAAAACGCACCATCCTTCATCGCCGCAAACTCTTCGGTGGAGATCAGGTTCTCGGTCTGTTTGTTGAGCGGACAATTCACGGACACGACGTCCGACGCCCCCAACAGTCCGTTGAGGGTCGGGTGGTAGGTCAACCCGTACTTTTCTTCCTCTTCGTCCGGTAGTCGTTTACGGTTGTGGTAGGCCAACTTCATGTTGAAGGCCGCGGCTTTCCGGGCGAGGTATTTACCGATCGCGCCGGCGCCGACGATCCCCAACGTCAGGTCGGTCGGGTCCCGAGCGGGTACGATGTTGGCCTTCCACGTGCCGTCGCGGGCCTGTTTCTCTCCTCGAGTGGTGTCCCTCAGGACGGCCAGCACCAAAAACATCGCCATGTCGGCGGTGGCTTCGGCGACGGCGTTGACCGTGTTGCAGAACCAGACGTTTTGGGACGTCATCCAGTCAACGTCGAATTCGTTCTGGAGGGTTCGGGTTAGTTTTGGTGCCCGTTTGTTTCCAAACATGGCGTTTGAAGTGAGGGCGAAAAGGGGGAGCTTTTCTCGCTGTGCCCGTGACAAACCAAAAACCAAAAAAAAAAGAAACTTACAAATCCAGCAGATGCAGAAGTGATAATCTTACAACCGGGCAATAAACCTTTTAACAAATCTTCATCAAACGGTTCGTACGGTGGTGTACCCATTCGAATGATGAACGCGTCGACCGGTCTCTCTGCCACAAGGGCCGGGATCATATCTTTTGTCTGTTGGCGGTTGGTTGCGTCCAAGACCTCAAAGTCGAAATCCTTTTGGAATTCTTCGAGAAAGTCTGTTCCGACATATTTCGGGTCACCCAACGCTACGACGCGTGGTTTGGTCGAGAGTTTTCCTGGAGACATTTGGTGCCGACTTTCTGAGATGATTGAACGACCGTATTGGGATAGTCGTTATGAGTGGTTGCGAAAAACCAAAGGATGAGAATCGATATGGCAGAAATTGCATTTACCGATACAGTAAGCGAAGACGGAGCTGTGATCTGGGTGTTCCCCGGCTAGAACGACCTTGCAAGATCGATTGATGGATGAATAAATATGACCAAGCGAGAATAACGAGAATCAATGGCGTCGTCGGTCGTGCAAGTCCGATAAAGGATATGTCTAGGTAGATGGCCGACGGGTAGGTGTAAGATCAAAGAACCCGAGATATCCAAGAGATTCAGAATGACACCAAGTGAGCTACCGAGATTCTACCAGACGCTCTTCTGCCCCTCGTTCGGTGTGTGTGCCGTATCGTACGTACCTTGTCAGTGCTAAGGATTTCTTCATGGTCCTTGCTGTACTATTGCACATCGGACAAAGTTGATTTACTCTAAAGCGGAGTTGGAGCATGAATGATACTGGCTTCTCCCGTGATTGGTTCGGTGGATCCCGTGAAGGTCCAAAGTTACGGGGCCAACAAGTACGCAAGTAATTGCGGATACTACTCAAGTACTACAGTAGATACTCCATTGTGCAGTACGGAGCAAGTATCTACATCATCAAACAAATGGAGATATCCTACAGACTATGACTTGGCGTGGCTGATGGAGAATAACGATGCTCGGGTAGTTTCAATACCTTGACCCCAAAAACACTTACGGGGATCTACGAATCTTTGTCCAAAAGACCTTCAACTTTATGAGTACATCAATACCAACCGTAACTGCAAAATCACAGCCCCCCTTTATCTGATCCTTTTTACACAACAATCAACAACTTGTATCCTTACTGTAACTACCAGGATCAATAATTTCAAACATGATTGCTTCACAGTCAGATTCCCTCCCACCCATGGGTTTCATCTCCGTGGAATGTCACTTTACTCGACCGGCCGGGGACGGGTGGAACGAGAGGACGTGGCCGTTTCCTCTGATCCGGGAAGAGGCACCGGGTTCGTTGGTACCGAACTTGATTACCGACGACACCTACGACGACGATTTTCTCGACCGTTTCGTGAGGACGGGTCAGAAACTCGTCGACCGAGGAGCCGTGGGGATCATGACGAGTTGTGGGTTTTTGGCAATGGCTCAACCTGAGCTCGCGAGACGTTTATCGGTTCCCGTGGCTTCGTCTTCGTTGTGTCAAATACCGTCACTGTTTTCCATCCTACCACCCACGGCGCACGTCGGAATTTTGACCTTTGACGGGTCAAAATTGGGACGGACGCACCTGACACAATTGGGCATCACCCAGGTCGAGCGTGTACACATCGCGGGAGTGACCCAAGACGGTCACCTACAACGTCTCGTACGGGACGACGGGCCATATTCCCACGAGGCCATCGAAAAGGAATTGACAGACGCCGCCACCGCCATCACTCAACAGCACCCCCAGATCAACACCATGGTATTAGAGTGCGTTCAGATGGCTCCGTTCGCGGTGGCGGTCGAAAAGACGGTCAACATGCCGGTTTACGACATTTATACAATGGGGTGTTGGTTTTATTCTGGTTTGGTCAGAAGGAGACCGGAAGCTTGGGGACCCATCGGATCTGACATGACAAAAGGTTGAGTGAGAGCCAGCCCCATACATATATATATCTACGGAGTGTATGCCATACACCACCATTCCTCCGTAACTAGTCGAGAAAATCCCCTCCGCTCTCCTTCAATATCAAATCGTACTCTGGTTTGAATTGCATGTACATGACCTCTGGCGACCCGGTGTTTTTCTTGGTGTACTCCGCCTCTTCCTGGCCGACGTACGTCTTTTGGACGTCATTCGACAACATCATGTTGGTGACGATGATTTGGGTTTGACATGCTCTTTCTAGGGCGATGAAAAAAGCCGCGGCTTCATCGACCGTCCCACCTGCCGTCAACAAACCATGGTTTTGCAGGATAATATTTTTGTTGGTTGGGCCCATGGCCGAAGCGATATGGGCACCTTCTTCTTTGGCAAAGACCACACCACCAAACCCGGCGTAGACCGCCAGATCATTATAAAACATGCACGAGTCTGGAAGGGAGAATTAACTTTGGTGTGTCTTCACCAGACTCGATGTACTCTTAGAGGGAAGAAAGTAACTTTACCTTGATTCAACATCTCAATAGGTTTACCAAAAGTGGACCACGCCCTGCCGTATGGACTGTGCATATGACAAGCCGCGTTGATGTCGGGTCTGGCTCTGTGGATCTGACTGTGAATGATGAATCCCGCAGTGTTGACCGGGGCGTCGTTTCCTCCCACTCGGTTTCCTTCCTCGTCGACTCGGACCATGTCAGATGCCTTGAGGAGACCGAAATGAACCCCATAAGGGTTGATCCAAAACGTGTCTGGTTCGATCGGGTCTGGGATTCACATTGCGAGAAATTAATGAGTTGTAGGTGACATTTTTCATACGACACAGACAGACACTCGAGTCGTCTCAAAAATAGGACACATGTCTGTGTTTTTGGACAAGTCTTACTCACCTCTAAGACTGATATGTCCACTTCCACCGTCCGCGTAGCCCAACTTTGCAAAGACTCGGAACGCTCCAGCCATGTGTTGTATTTGCCATTTCCTTTCTTCTTCCTTGTTGTCCGGTTTGGGGATGTGATGTAACCTCTTACGACCGGCACCGCTGGCACTGGTGTTGAGGGCAGACTGGCGAGGTGTCGCCGAGTCGGACTGAGGAGTGGTCGAAACTGTAATGGTCGCTGTAGATGACATTTTGGACCACACTAGACGAGATGTGAAAAGATCAAAAATCACAATCAAGGATAGTATTTTGTTCAAGAGAAATGTTCAGATCTCAAGGCAATATCAATCTTCAGTAGGAGAAAGATGTTGGTCGTCTGAAACCCCGCGAAATAGATCAAGACTGGGATGAAGTAAGTAAATGCGGGACATGCATGAGACTTCGGCTGGACCCAATGTACGAGAGATGTCGTACGAGTGTGCAATGGCGTCTCTCGTAATAAACTTGTCATAGGGGGTGTTGCCAGTGTCTCTCTCTCTCTCTCTCTCTCTCTCTGTTCAAGTGTCAATGACTGCGAGATGGAACAAACAAGTTCGGCTTCTTCCGATTGTGGCTTTGTGGAGAATTTTTGAAGGACATGGAGATTTCCGAGTCCCCCAAGACTCTACCAAAATACTCGTGTCGTATCGGTCACAATCGATGGTACCATGTATGACAGATTAGATACCTATACTTACTGTATTAAGCCTCTAATGGCCCTGTGCGCGTGTCACTATTTATTGACCCAGTCGGATGATTTGTTTGTCCCATGGGCTGAAATACACAGTAGGTACGTATAGATGTTGTCTAGGTACTACTTTGCCCTGTAGAATCTATACCAAAGTATTCCACTGATTGTAATCAACGACTCACCGAATTTCTGCTGGCGGTCGTAACCACGGGTTTTGTTGTTTCTTGTACGCTTTACAAGCTCCGAAGCAACCATCCAACAACAAATCGAATTGACCGGATGCAATACAGCATGATGTCCACAGTCGTACATGCATCCCCTCCCACTACTGCCGATGATATCAACGTTCAACATCTGGTAGACAAAGATGATCTTCGCAACACGTTTGCCCTGGCCATGTCGGCAATGTACAAGGCAGAGGTTCCTCTCTATGGTGACTTGGTCAGAATAGTCAAGGACGTCAATCAAGCTTGCAAGGCAGAAACACCCTTGGAGGAGAGACTTGACCTAGAAAGACACGGAGCCATCCGTCTGGGGACACCATACGAACTCCGAACGATCCGTAGAATCTTCGCCTTGATCGGCCTGCATCCTGTCGACTATTACGACTTGTCCGTGGCGGGATTGCCAATGCACGCAACGGCATTCCGTCCAGTGGACCCGGAAGCATTAAGCAAAAACCCATTCCGCGTCTTCACCACGCTTCTTCGACCCGAATTGCTGAGGCCAGAACCACGAGAACTGGCATTGAGCCTTCTCATTCGCCGTAACATTTTCAGCGACGAGCTCACAAAGTTGATTGGAGTCGGAGAAGACCAAGGTGGCTTCTATCCTCATCAAGCAGAGAATTTCATCCTCGAAGCCATGAAAACCTTCAAATGGCACTCGGTAGCAGCGGCGACATTGGATGATTACCAAAAACTGGGAGCTGAGCATCCCATTCTGGCAGACATCACTTGCTTCAACAGTGCACACATCAACCATTTGACACCACGCACACTCGACATCGACAGGGCCGAGACACAGATGAAGGCAGAAGGACTGGCTATCAAATCAAGGATAGAAGGCCCACCTGCTCGGAAATCTCCAATCCTGCTGCGACAGACGAGCTTCCTTGCCCTGCGTGAGCAGACCAGTTTCCACGTCAGGGGATCAACCAATCTCGAGCCAGGATCTCACAAGGCGCGATTTGGGGAGATCGAGGAACGTGGAGCTGCCTTGACAACGAAAGGCCGGAAATTGTACAACAGTCTGTTGACCGAAGCACTCGAAGCATTGACGTCGGCCGAGACTGATGCGGAAGACTCATTCAATCAAATTTTTGACAGATTCCCAGATCACTGGGAGACCATGTTGAGACGAGGTCTAGTCTTCTTCGAATGTCGCTGTACTTCTAAGGCCCGTGAAGGGGCTTTCTCAGGTTCAAGCTCAAGGGTCCCATTGTCAAAGCTGGTCGAAGGAGGCATTGTCCGGACGGTGCCAATAACATATGAAGATTTTCTGCCTTTCTCCGCTGCAGGAATCTTCCGCTCCAATCTTTATAGTTCGTCCGAGGAGAATAGTTGCGGCTTTGAGCCATTCGAAGATCGGCAGGGACTTGAGGCTGCGCTTGGTTGTCAGATCGCTGACTCACAATACATCTATGCGGAACTGCAGCGACAAAGTTTGGAGAAATGTGCGAGTACTCTTGGTCTGCAAGAAATAGTTCTGGATAATGAGGTCTGAGCTGTAACGTCGCAGTAGCGTGAATTTTGAATAATATCCACGAAGCGCATCGCCTCACATAGGATTCAAAACATTGGCCCTTCTAGATTTCCAGTCATATTGTCGTCCTGTTGGCCTCCGAAACCTCGGATCAGACCTTGCACGAGCCATTCGGATTCGTCGGGGACGTTGATATCCTCTAAATTGACGAGCCAATCTTCCAGATGTAAGTCGTCAAAAATAGGTTGAGACATCAGGTTATCGTCGTGGCTGGATTCCAGTGCGAGACCAGCGTTTGTCAATGATGAGGGAGGCGCATTCATATTGTTTCCGTTGCCTCCTGGTCCGCCAAACACCATGTTGATGGTGCGTTCTGAGAGCTTTTCAAAAAGATCTCTATAAGACGCGGCAACACTCCATCTTTCTGCAATGATGACGAGAACCATGTTGCACGATGTGCAGGTATTGATAACATCGAGCTTGGGAATACTTTTTCTTACCGTCTCGCTACTCCATAGGCAATGCAGGTACGTGAGACCTGCCAGGAAAAGAATGTGCAAGGAGCCCCAGGTATAGCGGATCGGTGAACGTTGATACGTCCGGCGGTATAGGACACAGATTTGTCTAGCGCTCGAGGCACACTCTTGAAATGCAGCATCAACTTGAGCTTTACTGCACTGTGGTCCAATAGATGACGCGTTGGGTTGTCGATGGTATTCACAAGTGAGGCAATGACGATAGAGTAGGATGATGCTGTGATCGTAGGCAAGTCGAAACCAATCTTTTGACGTGAAGACCGAGACTGGCCCAGTATCAGGGTGTTGAGGCTGGTAAGGCGTATCAGCAAACCATTCTTCAAGAGCCTGCCGCAATGCAGGGACATGTGCTGAGATGGCGGCACATGTACTGCTGCCATCAGAGGACTGAACAGAGACAGCAGAATATATGGAATCACTGATCCTCGACCAAAGCTGTCGAAGCTTGATGATGTGGAGAGCTCCGGTCATTTGCGTAGGAGGTGCATGTGAGTCTTGACGGACAGGCCCTGGGATACCAGTAGTGGTAATGCCACTGTCATCAATGTCCAGAGGGAGCTGCTCACGAATTCAGCACAATGATTAACTTAGGTGGTGATATCGTCAACGTACCTCCACGTCGATCATCTGATCAGAAATCCCAAAGGGACGGCCGAGGGTCAAGGCAGCTGCGCGGTCGATATCATATGCCACCCAGAAAATTCTTTTCGACATTTCACGTGTAAGGGGGTCAGCATTGGGCCGGAACCTTTCGACACTCCGATGATAGCCGAGCTCGATGCAATGACGGATCGCCATGCCCGACAATTTCCTAATCATGGTTATTGATGGTGTTGACATTTCGGTCTTGCATGATTTACCAGATCGAGGCACCGACAGGGGAACGGATGGAGTATACCGCGCACGCTAAGACGGCTTGAATAGACTCCATGCTGTCCATGTCCATGATAAAGTCAACGTAGTTGAGAGCAGCAGCATAATAAGCCTGTGCACATCAGTTTTGGTGTCAGAACCAGACTTTCCTTGGAAACCCACCTCTGCGTCATCACTACGATCTCCGTTTTTGATGATAAGCGACCCAATCGCATAAACCTTTTATTCATGTCAGCAAGCATGATCATATTGCGAGAGAACTGTTCCCACCATAAGAACGAAAAACAAGGGGATCTCTTTGACAGAATCAACAGTGCCCGCTTGTTGTGCCTGTAGACAATTTTCTTCCCACTTGTCAAGAGTAGGTCGATGCAAGAAAGGATACTGTGGATGAACGTGATTAAAGTACGCCGCCGAAAGAGTGTGGCCGATATTTGGAGTGGGAAATACCACTTTCTGGTACTTTTGCGCTGGGACATGGTTTACTGCATCACTGTAGGTACTTGGTTGAGAACCGCCATGTCGCTTATGAGTCTTTAATGCGGACGAAGCAATCCGGGAGAATGATAAGGCAGAGGATGGGCCAAAGTAGTGCGGTTCTCGGCCAGAGGCGCTGAGTGCGAGTAAGGCTACATTGGAAGCCAGGTCATCCCCATCGTCGTCATCGTGGTGAAAATTGCTGATCCCGGGTGATACTGGTGCTTGCGTATTGGCGGAGAAGTCGATCGGCTGATGTGAAGATCCGTGGTCGATCTGTGGAGGCGGTTCGCTTATAGCCCCTTGATTAGGTACCTCTCCCAGTCTCGAATGACTAACCGTGTTGAAATGGTCAATGGCGACATCGGGTCGAGTTTCACGGAGAAGGCTTTCCAGCAGTGCGACTCGTGATTCTAACGACTGCAGATAGTCCCGTGGCCGCTGAAGACCAGTTGCTGGGTCTTCGACCAAACAATCTGGGAAGATGTGTAAACAAACTACTCCAGAAGAATCGAGATACTGGAAATTTCCAAGACATACCACGCCCAGTTTTGAGGCAATGCTGGCACGTCGGGGACTGTCCGTCGCACTAGATTCTCACATTAGCGAGCGGATCTCTAGTGGACAAGGGGGAAAACACAGCGCATACCTTCAGCTTTCTCTGTTTACACTCTGTGCATGCTAGTGCAGTCCTGTCTCCAAGCCGGGGGCGCTTCGGTGCGCGCAGACTGGCCATAGTTCTATGCGAACCGTGGCAGTTGGTGATTGCCGGAGGAGAGAAAGATACTGCATTTGTACGGTGGTTACCGAGAAGTAGCAAAGTTGCCGCTGCTTCAGAGATGCCTACATTGGGCTACCCCTTCCTAGTAGGACTGTCGCCCAGAAAGCCCTGCCGCTTTTAACTCCCACCATACCCAAGAGTTCTCTAGGCACGGAGTAGACATGGGCTCTCATCTGGTGCTTCAATGCCATACCATGCCATTAATCTTCCCGGTGAGCAAGAACTCCGAGCCACGACCTTCAAGACCCATCTCCCGCTTGGAGGAATTCATTCGCGGAAAGTCACCGTTCGTTCGAATGAGAACGGGACAATGAATACCGAGTACTCCGAGTTTTGCATGTGATAACGCTTGATGGTGGTCTAGGCCCAGTGTGCCCGTAGGCAACACCGTTATTCCTGCATCAGATACGGAAGTACTCCTAAGTCCGTTCCTCGACATACTGGGGATACCTTGTTCTCCGATGCTGAGTATGGGTAATCGTCTCGCTCAGACGAGGTATAAATTGACCAAGGCGGTCGTCACAACGTGCCCCCTTGGAAGTTTGGCATATAGACAAGCCCACTGTTGAAGTTCTGAGCGACGCATTCTAAATACACCTTGGGCTTTTCATTGTGGGTCATGGCGCAACCAAAATCAACCGGCAACTACACCCAGGGCTACTCCAGCCAGACCGTCGCCACTCAACAAGCTCGTACAGTCGAGTCAGAGGCTGCCTTTCTACTCCCATATATCAAAGAAAGAGACTATATTCTCGACGTCGGTTGTGGCCCAGGTACCATCACCACAGGATTTGTCAAATACGCCAGCAAAGGAAAGGCAGTGGGAGTCGATATCTCGACCAATGTCCTTGGCAGGGCCAGAGCAACAGCCGACGAGGCCAATATTCCCAAAGAGGGGCCCGGATCCGTTATCTTTGAGGAAGGCAATATTCTCCAAGGCCTCGCCTACGCAGACAATACCTTCGACGTAGTATTCTGCTCTCAAACCCTGGGGTATATGCCACTGCCGGATCCGCCGGTCAAGGCGATCACCGAGATGCGAAGAGTCCTGAAACCAGGGGGGATATTGGCCACGCGCGATACCGTCGACCAGCACTTTTACCCACGAAGTTCAGACCTTGACCGTCTCTGGGTGGGAAACTTCCGCCGAGCGGTGCTGAAAGGGGCTCCGGGGGCTGAACTTGCGCCCCCCTCACTGCCTGCGCTGTTCCGTCGTGCCGGTTTCGACGCTGATGGAGGCAAGGTTCGGATCGAGACTGGAAGTACGACATTCTCAGGAGCAGAAACTAGACAGTGGCTTGCCAAGCGGGCCCAGAGTCAATTGCAGCCCGGCGATCCCTTAAGGCAGAGTTGGCTGGACGCTGGCATCACCGACGAGGAGATACAAGAGACACTGCGTGCCTCAACGCAGTGGGCCGAGACAGAGGATGCCTGGTTTGCAGCGCTCCAGTGTGAGATGCTGGCTTGGAAGTAAGCCAATCACTATGGGCTTTCCCCGTCGCTTGGACGATGGACCAATTCAAACAAGAGAAGTCTAGCCCAACGATCTCTTGCTCGTGTCCGCTATCTTTGCGTGCGTCGCTCGAGCTGGTGACCACCCTACAGGCCGGTGTGGATCTTCCGATGCCAGGTCTGTGCCCAGGCACTCGCCAGTGATGTAGACACTCCGAACCTCTATGGGGGTTCTCACTCGCGTCAATTGTATTAGAACACACGGGAGCATCGCGCCAAACATTGCAGACCAACAGCTTTGCACTCCGATCGTCTCCGAACATGTATTGGTAGTCAGTAGTCAAGTATTCAAAACACGTCACTGAACCCCTCGAAAGAGCCTCCAGGGCGATGCTGTACACCGTATGACAGTCCAAAATTTGTCGGCTCCGTGACCGTGTTTAATGACAGGGGAGACGAGGCCGGATTTCTCCATCATTACACAAGAGGCAACTCATCTTGTACCCTTGTCCGCTTAATCGAATGGATGCGAATAGACCGTGAATAACCCTGACATGTCATGCCTAACTCGCCTAGTCTCGGGTTCTTGCTTCTGTATAACGCCACCACCGAATTTCACGATCGAAACTTCATCGCACAAACCTATATCCACGCGTACTTCCGTCCAGGTTGCTCCCACTAGCATATGAATCCGAGTTTTCTTCATGATGACGGCGTGACAGCATTTACCGGTGACCGTCCAAGCAAGTCGCTATATTCTTCAGCCATAGCAGCGTAGATCCAGCAGCGGTTGCGCGACGATATCACCAAGCCCCATTTGTGGAATATCTGGGCAATCTGTTCTTGTCAACATAGATACCGTGCAGCTTGTTCACACAAGCTATCGATTGGGGTAATGTTAATAGTGATGGCTTGAAAATGATCTGTCTCTTGAACAAAAGTCCTGGGCGCACTGGCGCAATCGTTCTCTCCATTTGTAGGAGCAAAAATCATATTCTCTCAAGACTGATTGATGGAGTGTGAGGATTGGCTCGACAGTGCCACGCTCGGCATTTTGCTCTCGAGGCTTCTTCAGTTAATATTCATATAAGAGAGTCGACAATGCTGCGTACTAGCGAACATCATAAGACTCGAGAATAATTGTTTTAGTCCAGAGAAGCACACCGTCGTCTCAAACAACAGGACAACATCGGACAACATCTGACAATAGTTGCAAAGCCAAAAGTTCAATCATGAACCAACAGCTTCTCTGTATCATAATCTTTAATATTATATCCACAACCATTGGAATAATCAACATTCTGCAAAATCGACAGTATCAAAGGAATGCCACGGTGAATTCGTCATGAGCCGTGTAATATTCTTATGCTGACTGACGTCTAGAAGCAACTTACTCTCACATTGTATGGATGTGGAACCTTCACCAGCCATGACTGACAACACTTGTGGATGATCTCGCATGTCCGATCTCAAGCTCGGTCTCCGGCAACAACATAGCGCATCAAAGTCGGACTGCAATTCCTCACCTCTGTGGAGAGCTTTATTAGGGTGCTCTTGTCGATGATGTAAATGATAGACACTGCCGAGCCAAACCTTGGGAGGAAATCATGGAAAGATCCAGACTCACCGATTGGAAATGAATAACAACAACAATTAGAAATACAAGCCGTTTTGGCAGGCCTCTCTATCCAAACATGGCAGCACACTAGTTCCACGTTAAAATGCCGCCACTCCTTCAGGCACATGTATTGGCAATCAACGATGGTTTGGCTTGGCCAGACTGGTTATTTTTCCTTGAAAAAGAGAAGCTCGTTATAAAACTTTTGAGGAGGCTGGCAAAATAATGACACCATATAATATACCCTTAGCAGAGCCATAATAGTGCTAGATAATTGACGTAATTTCGCTGATCAAGGGTCTCATCATGAGCCTCCGGTATTATTTACTCGATGAACTCTGTTGACAATTTGACATGGCGCCGTCCTCTCACATAATTGACAGCCTTGGAATAATGGTCGCATGCCGAGACTCGTTGCTTTGGCAGCTGACATGATGTTTTGTCAATGCGTCGCCCTATAACCAAAAGAAAAGTGGGATCGGCTACAGTACTTGCGAAGGCGCCATATGCTGCTGTCAATGCAATCATAAGGGGGGCAGGGGCCACTGAATGGCTACGGCTTCCTCATGGCAAGCAAGTTTTCCCCCGACCAAAAATCCTGCACACATCAAACATCGGAGTTAGGGTAGAGCATGTATGTAAAAATAGTCATGTTTCCGTAACCATCCCAAGGAGAGGACAATTCCTTCACGGTGTATAGTAACCGCGGGTATTGAGGTAGGAGGACAAGGGAGCTTCGTTAGAGTGTTGATGCAATCTCGCAGTTTCTCCGCCCTTTGCGCAGCGCTACATCAGGACGCATCACAAGGTCCGAATATTGGGAGAAGACTGCTCAAAACAAGCCTTGAATGGTGGGTAATCCAGCGAAGATCGTGCTGCAGTACAAATTGGTTGCTGTAGATATGAAATCGTCACGATGATCACGGGGTGAGGGAGAAGGCTGGGGCATTACGTATATTTGGAGGCTGGATTATGTATACAAATGATAGTCAGGTTACGAAGTATGAAACTAGCAATATCGATTCGTACCCATACTGGGCGTCAGAGTTTGGCTCAACAAGCTTCAGGTCAAGCCTTTCGCGTAGTACGTCGATCGGGCCAGAGATATGCATGAAGTGAAACGGCTCAGGTCTCAAGAATGAAGATCCCCTGCTCCTGGGGGCCATTTTGGGGGAGTGTTCATCAAACGACAGGGTCACCTCGTGGTTGCTTCAAGCGTCACACGCCACAATCCCGGAGGGATAATTTCAGCATGGGCTTGACGCCTGCTGATGCGAAGAGATTATAATTGTAACGCGATTTCGGAGCATTATACTCGAAATCATGGCCTGTTTAGGTGTAGATTGCGAGAGTCGCCCGCAGAGAATCGATTGGTCCTCGCGAAGCGAAATGACAAAATCCGGAGTTGAACAAGGGGAAACCTTGAGGCTCCTATTGTACTTGTAGAAGGCACCATGCACGGAGTAAGGGGTGGTCAGAGCTCGGAGGTGTGTTGATGAGATCTGTTGACCCAAATAAACATCGATTCTCGCATGCCGTGTCCATCACTTTGTCTAAGCCATTATTCAGAACAAGGATTTTGAACTCCGTAGTCTACGAGTAATTTTTTCTCGTTCTTATTTCTTCTGTGCCCAATACGCACGCAATAATTCGGCCAGACCATCATCTTACCCCACGGGCGTTGAAAAAATGAAAAAAGTTGTGGAAGTGGACGCGCCAACAGCACCGAAACAAGGAAACAAGGACGCCACCAACTGCGACTTCGCCCGGAAGAGTGTTCAAATTCGGGTTGTAGTCCCTTGCAGAGGGGCCTGCTAGCAAGGTCTTTTGTAGAGTCCGGCTTGTTTGTGGGCGTCTCGCTTATGTGCAAGCGCGGGAACTAACCTCGTTCTCCAAACCCTTCTCACCAGAGGGTCTTACTCCGTACATGAATGTGACTTCGAGCCGCCGCTGTGGAATTTGATGTGCTCGCCTCTGCGAATCTACAATAGAGTAGAAGTTCAAATGCAAGCCAGGTCATTTTTGAGACAAAGACAGTAAAATATATATGCTGCGAGCTCATGTTGTTATCAAGGTCATGCAGGATAGACCCTCCAGATAAAAAAAATGCTCCCGTCTCATTACATCCGACATTAGGATGACCATGTTAAAAACTCATTTCATAACGCCACGCTATGACCCGTCAAGTACCAGCTCCTTTAATGCTGGGGAGGGGCGGTGCAGTTACCGCCGATGTCCTCCAACCAGGCGATGCTGTTGAATTCTGTGTAGATCGTCTTGATCTGCCAGGTGTCTGCTTGACCCTGGGAGTTTTCGGCCTTGAGGATGGTAATGCCCTTGACAGTGTTTGGCGGGATGGTGGTGTTCCATCGGAGGGCAATGGTGTCACAAGTGACAGCGTCAATGGCCATCAGGTTGAATGGGATCGCTGGCTGAGCGCCTTGACCGGCTTCGAAAGCAGCCTTGTTGGGGAAGGTGGGTTGACCCAGGGGTTGACCAGCCAGCTCGTTGATGCTGTCAGACCAATCAACGAGGTCGTCCGCCAAAAGCTTCTCTGCGGTAGCGGTGCTGTAGTTGGAGAGGAGGCTACCGAAACCAGTGACGAGGTCTTGGGCAGAACGAGCGTTCAAGCATTTGCCCGGGTTCATCCAGTCGACCCAGCCAGGAGCAGCAGAGGCCGTGGAGAGCAGGGCAGCAGCGGCGAGAGGAATGAATGACCGCATGTTGGAGAGATTGATGTATACGTGTAACGAATGTATGTCTGAGTGAATGAACGAGTGTGCGGATCGTGGTAGTGACCGTGTAGTGCTGTCGAAACTGAACAGAGGATTAGGCTCCGAGAGGGACAGGTGCAGCTATATATACACGAGCATGTCGGCCTCCACGAATTTGACAAGAGGCGAAGCTGGAACTACCGGTCTCAACGACGCTAGTCAACAGCCGACAACAATCCAGGCTTAGACTCTGATGAACAACCATGTCAAATAAAAGGTGTGTTTGTGAAGGATGGTGGATACAAGACCTACTGTAGTCTCCTTGTGGGGAGTCAACATGGTCCTAGTAACCCTTGCCCAAAACAGATGGATCTGTTAACTCTGACTTCACTGCAAACAATCGACCCGCTCCCCAGCCACATGGACGCCCGTCGGGGTATATCAGATTGATCAATTTATACCGATGTATTGGTTGTGGGTGAAATGACAGCCTTGGCGTCTCCGTAGTGAAGCGCCGTGTCCAGCTTCAGGTCCGTGACCGGGATGGATGTCGGCTTCCAATGAAAAGAGCACTAGTGCCGCTTTCGGTCACTTCAAACCCAGTCAGCCACTGAGGTCGATATTTGGCGGCCGTTGGGCTAGACCTCGCGGAGACCCCGTCGCAGATATTTTTGGCATGATAGTTGGGTGTTGGCGCATTTCGCTAAATGGAGGGATATCCTTCATCTCAACCAAGGCATTTACAACAGCTCTTGGGCCGATATAGGAATCCAGCTGCAGCAGTTGGAGCAGAGTTGGCAACGAACAGGGAGATTTCTTTTGGAGAAATTCTGCACTAAAGGCACACCTAGGATTTATGATCCGTCATCTTTTGCAAATTGGCTTATTCTGTACGAACACTGCAAGTCTGCCACAGGAGACAGTGGTGGGCTCAAAGATGAGGCGCTGTCTTTCCAGCTGCCAAGTACTACAGCCATGATTGTGAATCGTGTCAACGGAGAACCCGAAGCTGACAGTGATCGTATAGGTATATTATTGCTTTTTGACAGCAGATCGCAGCTGCTAATCGTCAAGCCTCTATCAGTTGTCACTAGATGAAAAGGCCAAGGCGCAGCACGGATCCCAAAAGTACGTAAAGCTGGCTGCGTCTGCATGTTGATGAACTGAGCAAACAGTAAACCGTAGTTATCGAGGCTTTGCAGTCGTTCGCAAAGGATTGGGTGAACTTTTGTCGGATAAAGTGACAACTCCTGGTCGATTTGGGTTGACCTGACTCTCAATCTGCCGAGTGCCATACGGTAAGCCATGCGGCATGCTGTAATCTCTTTTTTGCAAGCCATCTTTGCCTTTGATCAATTGCATCAACATGAAATTAAGGGCGCATTTGATGCCTTGCTCTTCTCCGCGTTTGAAAATGTAGCCATTGATGTAGTCAATCTCTGGCTTTTTGCCATGACGAAGGTCTTCCCGCATACTGCTGGAATTTTGAGCTGTCCGACGAGTCACAGCCATAGCAAGCTGCTCTAGCCTCCGGGCCGAAAACCTCATTTTAACATTTGGAATTCCTTCCAGTTCTGGTAAGCCGCGAATGACGAGAGACACCTCGGCCAACAAAAGTCGTTGCACTACGGAGAGTTCGTTGCTCTCAAGTAGGGCGCCGTTCGGTACATCTAAAAGTGCTGTCAGAGGGTTGAGAACGGCGTTCGCTGCTAGCTTCTCCAATTGTAACTGCAAAAGATCCAGGTAAGGAAATACTGCACACGCCAACACTGTTGACCTTGTCAATGTGCGTAAGAGATATCTCGACGACACGCTTGAAAATAGATCCTTATCACTTGGATAGAATTTCGTGCGCTCATCGTCGGTCAGGTCAGAGATATTTCTAGTCAAAGTTCGTGGAGGAAGTGGATGTCGGTCTTTGTCTCGAGACACACCTAGTGCGATTGTACCATAACCAGCATGAACAACCGCACATGGATCAGCCATGTAAACACCGTGAGACACGATTCCGAGGATATATGTCGGGCGAGTTGCGGGATCAGTGAAGACTTCGCGATTAAGTTCGTCGATCTGTCCCAGTCCGTTTTGCATAAAGCATATAGTTGTTCTTGAGTCAACTCTGTCTTGTACTGATCGAAGGGCGGCCACCGTTGCATGACCCTTGACAGCAACAATCAAGCAGTAGATAAAAATCTTCCCATTAGGCAAAGACTCTTCGGTCTCGAGAGGATTCGTCACTGGCGGTGTTGGACCTTTTCCCGGCTTGGTTTCGAAATCAGGCATGAAGCGCCACCTTGGGCCAGTTTCGGGATCATGGCCTTCATAGACTTCCACATCATAGCCAATCTGCTCGTCATTGATATTGTTCTTCTGGTCTATGAGAGCAATGTTGCGGCCAACTTTTCTAAATTCCGCATACTGTTCTTGTTTGTGCATCATCAAGGTGATAGGCGGTGGATTAGGTAGACATCGCAGCGAGTGAGCGACCAATGTGCCAATGCTCCCGAGACCCAGGATGTGTACGCGCCTCGTCATAAGCTTTTCTTCCTCAGGTTCAGACAGGACATCTTCGTCGAGAGGCTTCGACTCGAAAGAGGCCTGCTGAGAGGCAGAGGCATGTTCATCGGTAGGAGAGGGGGACCACCAGCTAGGAGATTGTGCCATGATTTTGAAGCCATGAGAGAAAATAGGACGAGCGATGCCACGGGGACATCGGGTCTTTAAGCTTGACAGCCATGGCCATCCGCCCGAGGCTCTTACGAGCGGGCGGAGGAGGAGTCGTTGCGACAGTTTGAAGGTCTGTGGAGCTCACGACATGAAAGGATCAGCGTGGCTCCAGGAGCGCGGAGAAGGGCTACAAATAGGAATCGATCGAATGCTCGGATTTTACTGAGTGAATATATCACCAGAAATCGTGAGATTTGTGAGATGAAGAGGTCAGCATGTCCAAGAAGACTTCCGTTGATTATTGAAGGCGATATTGGTGACTACATGATGGTCGCAGACGCAGTTAAAATGCGGGGAAATTTTCTGTATCTCCAACTGCTTTTTTCCCTTGCGCTGCAACTGCTCAATGCCACATTTTGACCGCAGGTAAGACGACAACATTCTTTCCTCCCTTACCATTGAACGAGACCCAGAGATCCCCGCCGCCAATATGGAAACCAGTTCCATGCTTGACCTGGTCGACCAACTGGAGGAGAACATAGAAGACCTTGAAGATAGCCTCGCGCCTTTGCTAGAGTCTGGATCTTCCCTGGCATCTACCACCAAGAAACTTCCTCTGGTGGATAGAGCGAAGTTGGACGTTTTGTTGGTGTACGCGATCGAGTCAATTATTTTTTGTGAGTTCTTCATCATATCTCTTAGCAAGTCACTGACCCATCTAGCCTTCCTCAAGTTACACGGTATCGATGCCAAAGAGCATGCCGTATTCCGCGAATTAAGTCGAGTCAAGCCATACTTCGAAAAGATCAAGAATGCAGAGGCCGGTGCTTCTCCATCTCGTCCCTCTGCTATATTAAACAAAGAGGCTGCTAACAGAGTAATCCGACATGCTCTGGTCAGTCAAAGATAACCTTGTGGATTACTCGAGATTCTAATTATGCATAGGCTGGAAATGCCAAATATGATCTCGAACGCGCCGAACGTGAAGCCCGTGACAAATTCCGAGCAAACCAGAAGTTAAAGAACCTGGAAGCCAGCCTTCAAGAAAAGGCCAAGGCACAAGCACAGGATGAGAAGCCGATTGACGAAAAGGCGGACGCGTTACAACTAGCCGCGCAGCTCGCATCTTTACCACAAGAAACCTCAGAAGAGGACTCGTCCTCAGCCGAAAATGACAAAGAGACCGCTGGTGCCGTTGATGAAGGAGAAGCATCATCTATACCCAAGACGGAGTCGGAGAATTTGACTGAGTCAAGCCCTCCACAGGAAATATCACAGGAAACCCCACAAGAGAAGCGCCGAGGGAAGAAGAGAAAATCCCAACAGGCGGAAGATCAGCAACCGTCCAAGAAATCCAAAAAGGAGGAGAAGAAAGCGAAGAAAAAGGATCGGCAGGAAAAGAAGGCCAAAAAGGCACAAAAGAAAACTGCTGCCGGCACTGAGGATGGTGGATGAGTATAGCTGAGTCTCTTCCAACCAATCTCTCCACATCACGAAGGGGCCGATGGAGGTTTTGCGCATCTCGGGCCAGACTCTCTACAGAGACTACAGATGTCACGACTTGATGGATCTCCATGCTCTCAACTGGACCTGGTAGTTGGCCGCCTCGCTACTAGGGTTTGTCTGGACAAGAAATCTTTTTGGAAGCGAGGCTCCCTACAGAACACCCACTCCCCATCACCAACTCAAGCCGGGTGTTTTCAGTCAAAACAATAATCATGCCTCCAAGTGCTACAACACCTTACGTACAAGTTACGAAACACAGGCTTCCGAGTCACTGCCTGGTGATTTGGACCAGGCTGGGGATATGTGTACCAAGCGAGGCTTTGGGTTGAAAACAGACCTACCTACGACGCTACGATTAGTATGAATACAGAAATCAAGTTCACCATCGTCTTTACCATCGTCGATTGGTAGACCTGTTTTTGAATTTGCACATTGTCTACTGAGTAGATTCTCATCACTCGTAGGATTTTGTTTTTGTGTTTAGACGGTAACGTACAACACAAGACCCGTTTGTGTCTCGCCAGTTTCAACATTTATAAAGCACACATGACACATATTACGTGCCCGTCCCCATTCCCATCCTCGGCCTTACCCATCCATCCTCTCAGTTATCGCATCTCTTTTTGTGTGGTGTATTTTGATTCTTTTTACTTTGCCTCTCCATTGCCCGCCGTCTTCTGACCGTCGCCTTCCTTGTCGTGAAACTTGAGGCTGATACTGTTGACGCAGTGCCTCTCGTCGGTCGGGGTGGGGTAGCCTTCCCCCTTGAAGACGTGACCCAGATGACCACCGCAGTTGCTACAGACGATCTCGGTCCGTTCCATGCCGAAACTGCTGTCGGTGTGCCTGGTCACGGCACCGGGGATGCTGTCAAAGTAGGCCGGCCACCCGCAACCGGACTTGAACTTGTGGTTGGCCTTGTAAAGGGGTGCGTCGCAAGCGGCGCAAGTGTAGACACCGGCGGACGGCATGTGTTTGTCGTATTCTCCGGTAAAAGGTGCTTCGGTACCCTTTTCGCGTATGACACGGAATTGATCTGTTTCAGGCACAAACAAATCAGTAAGTATATCCTGGATACGACGTCTGCTCCGATTGCGACTGCGACTGCGATTGCGATTGCAAATTATCATGGTCCCAACTTGTACGACATACCTTTATTCAACACTGCCCTCCATTCATCATCTGATCGACCATCCGGGTATGACATTTTTTCCTTTGGTGACGAACTGAAAAAACTCCCAAGGAATGGTAAACTTGGCATCGACTTTTTCAAAAGATTCGTACGAGTTGGCCTTCGGGACGGTGATGAAAAAGTCGAGAAAGTGTTTATTGTCGTTGTTGTTGTCGTTGTAATCGGACCCCGCAGTTTCGTTGGTGTGGGTGGTGGTGGTGATAAGTGGAGGCGAGAAGTTGCTTTGCTGAGAGTGTAGAGTCTACGTTTCAATATGGGAATGAGCATAACACTTGAGGACGAGAAGGGTAGGGAATATATATACAGGCGCTCAAGTAATGAGATGAGGGGTTGATGGGAAAGAAAACTAAAGACTTTTGTTCGGTAAGCTCACCCAAAAACAGTATTTGAGATTCTTGAGATGCAGCCTCTCAAAACGTTAGAGATGGATGATGCAATACACTCATCAACAGGTACGGAGTACGAGTAACAGGGGCCTTAGTTTGTCACCTTTGGGCACCTGAAATGTGCCCTGCGATTCGCCCAAAAAAAGATTTGTATTGTACGGAGTAGCCGAGAGCTCGTAAAGGTGGAGCTTCATGCTTGAAATGATAATGTAATCACCACCATCATCATCATCATAGCAAGCCACGCATGCTCAGCCCTCCCAGAGACGACGAGGCTGTAAGTCTGATTCATCTAGGTACTCATCTACATCCAACCCATCGGGTTCTCTAGGTCTACAGGTCTAGCTTCGTGGCTAAATCTAGAACTCGATGGAAACATATGATGCAGCGTCCTAAAGCCTCATCTTGAAAAAATCACTCGTATCCTCTCCCGCTTCTCTTGCAACAACTTCCTCTCTGCTTCGAAGAACTTGGACATGTTGTTGAGGTAATCGTACAGGAAGAAAAAGTCGGCAATGTGAGCTTCCGTGTCGGCCCTGGGCGTCAAGGGCGTAACATGAATAAGAATATCTGCAATGGTAGAGGTGATGTCGAAGATCTTTTGCAGGATGCCGGCGCCGTGAACCTCGATCGAGTCCCGCGATATCAAAGTCAACAACGACTGTAACTGGTGAGACAGTCGCAGTGGGAAGGACAACGACATCCAGTCGCTGGAACTGTCACTTGTGAGGAGGCATACCGACAGCGCGATTTGCCACAGCAAAGTACGCACCCAGTAGCTGGTGATTATAATGTCCACCTGTTGCATCTCCGTCAGGATCGGAGAGGGGTGAGCGTGAAGGTCCATTTCGGCACTCAGTTGAGCTTGCTTGGCCTCTATCCAACTCCAGTCCGTGCCGGCATCACATTCCGGTGCCGAGGGGTTTCCCTTCTTGATCCAATTCGCGATAAAGGTGTCGTCGAGCATGCAGAAACGTTGAATGATGGCCGTATACCACTGTTCGATTCCAGGCTCCAGGGTCCCGTCTGATACCGGGAGAGAGGAGAGAGGTGATAAGATAGGGACTCGGTAGAACCTCAACGAGGCGAAACGTTCGTGGATAAAAAGAAGCCAGTAGAGTCTTTGCAATCGAGGTCTATCATTGTTGTTGTTAGCAGCTCCGGCAACGCCGTCCACGTCCAGGATCTGCAGGTTGGTGATGGCTTCTCTCAGGTAGAAAAATGCCATATCGTCGTTGACGTGGTGGGCAAAGAGACAAACGTGGATGAAGGTAGATAGCATGATAGTTTGTACATTCGGACGTTGATACGGCATGATGGCACCCCGTATTTCTAGTCCTCGGGTAACAAGGAAGAGGACTTGACTGCGTACAATGTCATAGTCACAATGCCGCCGCTGGTTGACTCTCATGTTGATCGTGATGGCGGCGGTCGCATGCACAAATGCACGAGTTTCCTGGCTGGCCTTCATGTCTCGGACGGCCTCGAGCAGCTCTCGCCTTGTGATGATTGGAAAGAAAGTGAAGACGAACTCTTCATAGTCGTCGACCAGTCCTTCGAAGAAAACCGCCTCGTCGCCAATCCCTTGCCCCAAGACCATGGGTGTGGGAAGGGTTTGAGGAGTGGGTGGACGCCCATTTCGTGGTGCAGAAGTGATTGTTGATGGTGATGCTGCTAGAATCCTCGGTTCTTTGCGAGTCCCTTGTTCCTTGAACAAACTGACTATATGTCCTCTTGAAGAACCTCGCCGCGATTTGACGCCGGGATTTGGGGCAGTATAATTGCACTTTAAATTCAGATGCGTGCACTGTTGACAACTGAGTTCTCCATTGCATCTGACTCGACGCCTTCTGCAAGCGTCACAGGCTTTCTTCACACGGTCCGTCATTTCTTCTATGGAGAGTTCGAGGCTTGTTCATCATATCACTTTCATTGTGGACCAGCGTAGAAGGAAGGCTGCGGGTGTACCACGGGAACGTGAAGAGGAAGAAAAATAAAGAAAGAGAAGCATGTATTTAATTGCTACCCGAGGTCAAGATCCACGGTGTGAACAGAAACGGCAAAGCCTCGTTATGAACAGAATGATTCGAAGTGAAATTCACGGATTGTATTGCATGGTGTACGGCCACATAATCCACCTGAATAGCAAGGAGCGTTTCCTACGGTCGATACCAGCTCGTGTATTGCTGATATCTGTATACGACGCTAGTTTTCCTACGGCATCTATCAAGCACCGCTCACCAGTAGACAGTGACGATGACTATGATCTACGAGGCTTTCTCTCTCAGTTCTGTAGGACACAGCTCCGATCAGCCCGCAAACTCCTTGTTCTCTACTTTCTCCTCCTTTTCCTTGGTTGTGGCGACAACACTTGCTCTGCGAATATCCACAGTCTCTCCTCGGAAAGGATCGGTGGTAGTCTTGCCAAAGGCTCTTGCGTTGACACGCCTCTCGAACAAGACATCCAATTCCGCATACGTCTTTCCTTTCGGTTCCGGAAGTCGGAAAAACGTCCAGATGATGCAAAGAAAGCAGGACCCTCCCCAGAACAGACCTGCCTTCGCTCGCCAGTTCCAAGCGGTGGTGACAACCATTCTCGGAGTAAGAATATTGTTCACAATCCCGACAATGTTATAAGCGTTGCGTGCCAACACAATGGTCTTGCTGCGAAGTCTTACTGAAGGAATTTCGGCCACCAAGCAGTAGCAGACAGGTCCGATGGTGAGATCGTAGATGAAAGTGAAAATCAGAAGCAGCGTTCCGATAACCCATGGGGCCGCTTTGTTCGAGCTCGGTGCAAGACCAACAAACCCAATGGTGAAGAGGGTGATGCACGAAGCAGCTAGACCGTAAAGGTACAGCGTGCGCCGACCCACTCGAGGCATCAGTGCCCATGCAATGAAGACACCTATGGCTGCAAGGCCATACTGCCCCATTTGAAAGTCGAAGGCGTAGACCGTGTCGAGTCCGGCATTCTGGTAGAACTGTGTCGAATATCCTTGAAGACCAGATCCGCAGAGAGTCTGAATCATCCAAACGACGCAGGCAATCTCTGTACGGCGCAAGTCAACCTCTTTGAAGCAGTCCCAGTAAGTCGTTCCTGCAGTAATCTCTTTCTCGAGTTCGTCAGTGTGCACCATCATCGCTACGGTCTTTCGGGGGTCGAAGTCGACATCGGCTTTGCTCGTGAGCCGCCTGAGACTCTTTTCAGCATCATCATACCGGCCCTTCCTCACAAGCCACCAGGGACTCTCGGGAGCGAATATGATACCAACGAGCAAAGGTAGCGGCCATATCCATTCTGTAATCCGTCAGATAAAACCATTCAGTTGCTGTAGTGAGAAAGTAGGTCGCAAAAACAACTTCTCACGCAGAAGTACTTACGCAACGCAAAGGGGATGCGATAACCCCACTCGCTTTTCACATCAAGCAGGCCTCTGAGAACACCAGAGCCGATAAGTTGACCAAACACCCAGCAAAGATTGACGTATGTCGTCAGGAACGGTCGTAGAGGCGTGGGAGTCACCTCCGCTGCGTAAGCTGTCGTGATTGTCTGAAAGACACCCCTGTGAGTTGTTAGAAAACCCCAGAACTGAGGATTTCCAGCAAACTTACCATGGCAAACCACATAGAATCTCCCCAACCAAGAGCATCTGAGGGTCACGTTGAGTTTGAAATACTATAGAGACATGGCAGGAGTAGAATTACCTGAATGTTGACGGCAAAGAACGTGATGAAGATGAAGCATATCTAGAACATCTTAGACAGTCCTGAAAATCGGCAAAGCTTTAACATACCACAAGGACAAGCGCCAGGCCGATTGTGAAACGATAGCCCATCCGTTCAGCCAATATTCCACATGCCATTAGACCGAGGATTTCGCCGACGAGGGCTCCATTACTCAGGCCAGTTTGCCAAGGGGCAGAGACCACGTAGGTACCATCAGGCTGCTTGTCGCCGTACTTCTTCTGAAACTCGGCTTTCCAATATGTCAATCAGGGTATCATGGTAGATCCTTGAAGTGCCACTTACGAAATCCATAAAAACTTCCAATCACGACCAAGTCGTAGCCCTCCATGACCAAGGCTGTGGAGGCAAGAACACTCCACCCAACTGCTTTTGGGTATGTCTTGATTGCTTTCCAGATACCCATCTGGTGTTCGTATTCCGTCGCTTCTTGGGCCTCATCGACAATGTTCTGGTCGCCGGCCCATTGGAACTCCGACATACGTCGGCCAATGTTGGTGATGACACCATCCTCAGCCGTAACTGAAGGCCGTTGTGCCATGATCACTGTTAATCCTTGCAGTGATTTCCACAATGATGAAATAGAGAATTGAATTAGAGCACTGGAACGGAGAACTTGGAGGGGAAGAGAAGCAGTATATATAGTTCCAATAATGCATGGGTATTATACTTTCGGCAGTCCATATGTCCATTATACGTGAAGTCCTCGTCCGCTTGTCCGTTGCCTTGGTGGCATAAGAGCGACTCTGTATTCCTCGCACTAGGCGACGACAATTTCGCCGTTCCCTCCAACCAAACCAGCTCTCTCCGCAACTAGGGGATAACCTGGGGTAGCATCTGGTGACGAAAGCTCGAGGTTAGCTTATGGAAGATCGATCAAAAGGCCACAATGAGATGGATCAACAAGTGGATGCTAAGCGAAAACACGCTTTCGTGGACACGGTCCGACAGTGACCCAATCGCAGTGTGTGGCCTTTATCAATCTGCCTTCCACTGTTTCGACTGCTTCAATTCCGCGCTGTCTCAAGTTGGCGTAGTAAGGAGCGTCTGGAAAGTACCATAGTCTTCTGATTGGACCAACGTCGGGGCCCTTTGAAGCTAAGGTATTTGTTCGGCATCGGGTATACTATCGGTCCCCAATCCCCCCCCAAAAACGAGACCGAGGTCGTACAAAGATTGGTTGCCTTGGAAAACGCAAATTCTTGCCTGGCGACTTCTGGTGGCTTGCGATGTGATCTGCCCGCTTCCAGGTCTCAGGTGAGCGCCTGACGTGAGCGCCTGACGATTTCCCAGGAGTGATGAAAATAAGGCTAGTGAAGTCTGAAGCTTGACATCTGAAGGTTTCGCCGAGGTGGAGTTCAGCGTAGCATCCTGAGTAGCCAGCCAGTTCTTCTTCGCAGTACGAGTACAATCCGCCGGGCTCGAGCGTGAGGACGCGCCATCTCCAGCTTGGACCTCAAACCTCAAAGCTATATCCATGGTGGTTTGATTTGAACAACAACTGACGATGCTAAGGTCCGCGCCCCCGAATTTTGTCCAACAGCCGTTTTATGCGCACTACCGGCTGAACAGCTTGACAAGTGCCTGCTGTGATCTTCATGATCAGGCCCAGAGCGTCAGAGAAGCCGGCAAATAGTTCAGTCTCTGAGATCGTTTCCATTAGGCCAATGACATGATTGCATCGTGTCTGCGCATCAAACTCCGAGAGTGCTTCAAGTTTTACCTCGATGAAAGTGCCCAGGGTGGCGTAGAGTAGATACAATACCCATCTTTGCATGAGTGGCTCAATGCCAATACCCCTCGTACGGTGTCTGCGAATTATATCCAACCAGTTCCGGCCGAATGCTGCTGCATCCGAGGTGCTGATACGATCGACGTAGAGCAAGTCGAAACAGCCTTCAAGAAGCTGCGCCGCTTCGGAAACAGAGGAGAAGGTTCCCGGCAAGTCTAAAGATGGATGAGATGTTTCCCCGGTAGCGCCCTGGTTGGCAAAAATGGTTGTTGAATGGTGGAAACTTTGATTCGCGTCTAGGGATGGCTTGAGCACTGTCTCAACGAGGTCATCACGGTGGTATGAGGGATCGCTGTCCTGGCTGGAACGAGCTAGATTTTTATCAGCGATCAGCAGGGCCGAGTCCAGGTGTACGCGAGCAGACTGCATCCGACGATTGCCAACTTCATAGGACCAAGCAAGTATGCTGGCAATCAGCAAATCATGCAGCGGATAGCGCTCCCGGGCCATGAGTCCAAGAGCAGCTGTGTGGTACCTCTCTGCAGCCTTCAGCGGTGCACTTCCTGTTTTGCGTAGTGCAAAGTCTGGTATTCGAGACTCATCGAGAATGGCAAGGGCGAGAAGAAGGTTCTTCGTTGCCGCACAGGACAAAGCTGAGCGAATGAAAGCATTAAAAAGAGGCGCTGGAGTGGGCGAGAAGTGGCTCAGAAAAGGGCCAGTGTTATGGAGAAAGAATTCGAAGGAACGAGTCTCGGAGAGGCTGGAGAAAAGACTGAGTGGTGCCAGACCAGATGATGGAGGACAGAGGGCATTTTCAGCTTCTCCAGATAGAGATGACCATTCATCTTTGCGTTCCGGAGCAGGTTGTGGATGAGACTGTGTCACTGAAGACCTAGCAGGCTCAAACATCCAAGTTCGAATAGTATCGTAGCCCAAGCATTTGTGGCCACCTCGTCGACATCGGAGACAGACTGGGCGAGCCTCGTCGCATTTGACATGTCGTTTCTTGCAGGTGATACAGCCCGTGCGGACTTTTGGGGCCGATGTTTTCTTTCGCTCGACTGGTACAGGTTCGGAGTTGGCACTCATGTTGGAGAGTACTCTTTTGGATAAATAGATCCCCGAGCCAAGAACAAGCTGTTCAATGAGTCTACAGGCGGTGTTTTGTGCCTTTTGATGCCTCCAGATAGTTGTTGCGATGGTATTGAATGATTGTACACAGAGATTGCGAATGCTGCTCACATACAGCCGCCATGCTTCGCGCTTTTATTAGCGACGAGTGAGGGGTGCGTGGACGATTAGCACCGGAATTTTCAACAGTAACAATCTTTTCGAGGTAGTGAAATCTGTTCAACGTGATGTATTCCGGCTGTGTAGATAAAAGTGTCGAGATGCGCGGCTCCTGTCGAAATTCTTTCAAGATAGCAGCGTATTCGATTGTTGATGGTGGTGACAACCTTTCATGACCTCGTATTCGTACTCGTACTTGAGCGGCTATGAAGTTTCATCTAGAGGCTTAGAGCGGCGGGAGAGCATCGCCCCCACAAGAAACACAAGGCTACCATTCGCCTCCCACCCGCTCCCTGGACTCGATGCCCATGAACATACTCCGTACTCCGTACGAGTATCTGTCTCCAACGCTGGCAATTGCATTTGACGTCTGTCTCGTACCCGTCCACCCATCAAGACCCTGGCTTGGTGCTGTGCTGTGCAACAGTGTCCAGTCTCAGCCGTAATCCCTTCCAGACTCAATTCCAACCTCACATTCCAGCACCAAAACTGTCCTCATCATCTCAGAGCACCTTGACCCAGCCCTGATGTCTCGAAGGGCGCCTGCCGACCGGGCGGCCCAGAACGCCCAAACCCTCAAGGCCCTTGTCAAGCTCGAAGGTAACAAGGTCTGCGCGGATTGCAAGAGAAACAAACATCCACGATGGGCAAGTTGGAATCTGGGTGTCTTTATCTGCATTCGATGTTCCGGCATACATCGAGGCATGGGCACTCATGTTAGTCGAGTCAAGTCGGTGGACCTGGATGCCTGGACAGATGAACAGCTACAGAGCATCCTGAAATGGGGCAATTCAAGAGCAAACAAATACTGGGAAGCCAAACTTGCAGCTGGACACGTGCCCTCCGAAGCGAAGATCGAGAATTTCATCCGTACCAAGTATGAGTCTAAGCGATGGGTTATGGATGGTCCTATGCCGGATCCTTCCACATTGGACGACGGTGAAGACAACATGCCGCTGAATATTGTTCAAGAGAAGGCTAAAATTGAGAGGTCTGCCTCGCAGCGAGCGGCTGCTACTCAGCCGCCGCCACCACAGCCGCGTGCAGCGCCGAATGTCAACCTGTTCGGTGACTTCGCTCCTCCTCCTCCAGTCAGACCTAGTACAGCCGACTTTGCAGACTCGAGGCCGACACGAACTGCCCCGCCTGCACCAACTCCAGCACAGGCCGCGAAACCCGCAAGCAAACCACAAGACTCACTTCTAGGCTTGGATTTCTTTGGGAACGCGCCTTCAGCGGGGATTGGACGACCCTCTAGTGCAGCTGCAAATCCAACATCATCAGCGACAAGCAGGGGGGACCTCAAAAGCTCTATCTTGTCCCTGTATGCCAGTGCCCCAAAACCACAACCTACTCAACCTCAGCATGAGCGCCAGCCGTCCATGTCAGGTGCGGCGTCACCACCTCTTGGGAAGCAGGATGCCTTTGGTGGTTTGGCAGACGCCTTTGGTGGGTTGAACTTCTCCAGCACAAGCACATCACCACCTCCCCAACCACAGCCATCTTCCGCATTCTCTGCATTCGGCAGTCTCACCAACTCGGGGCCCAAATCTACATCTTCAGCTGGCGCCTCGCCGCCTCCAGCTTTGAGCGGCGGCAGCTTCTTCGATTCTCTGCCCTCGAAAGCACCCGCCGCCAAACCGACTGTCACCTCACCTTCTGCGTCCAACGGCTTGGACTTTGCATTCACACAAACAGCACCTGCACCCCAGCCTGCAGCCGCGCCCAAGCCATCTACCTCATCTATTCCAACAGATCTTTTCGAAGCTGACGACTTTGGTGGCTTTGCAAGCTCTATGCCTGCGTCGCCTCCGAAGCGGGCTCCGACGAATGTTGCCTCACCTCCTACCAGCACCGCCAACATCAACTCCCCGTTCAATTTGTCCTCTCCCACCACATCTGCGCCTATGCCTGCACCACAACAGGCCCCACAAGCTTTCAAATCACCCGCAGTCCCGCAAAGCAACGCAGCGCTTTTTGATCCTTGGGGCTCTAGCAATGACAGCAGTCCTTGGGGAGCACCAGACCCGGCACCCGCCAAACCTGCGCAGCCCAAAGTGGAATTAGGGAGACCACCAGCGCACATCACGGCAAACGATATTCATGGCGGATGGGCAGATCCTATCTCATCAAGTACTAAGCCTCCCCAGCAACCAACGGTGACGGCAGACGAGGACTTTGGAGGATGGACCTCAGCATCGACGACCCAGACACCCATTAGTGGACCAGCAAAACCTAGTGGTGGTGGATTTGGAGGAGCATCGGATCCATTTGACAATCCCTGGGGTTAGTGAGATGACGCATCTGATCACGATGTATGAAGTGCGGGAGTGAGGAGAAAGATTATGCCAGTTCGGATGAAGACAAAATGAATTGTTATTGCAGCATGAGCATTTTTCCATAGACCAGCAGAAAGACACAATTGCAAGAAGCACACGAAGCGTAACACGAGGTGTGTCTATATAAGTCTGCGGACACTGCCCGTGGCACAGGATCAGCTGCACCGTGCCTATTCCGTATCCCGTAACTGTTGTGTAAACTTATTGTACTCCGTACTGAAGGCAGATATCTATCTAATGAGTACCTAGGTACCTTTGGTAGTTGTGCGTGGGAGGTGAACGCCACCATCAACAGAACCAAGAAGCCGGGGCGTGGTTTAAGATCAAGGCGCCCCCGAGGAGGAGTGTGACAGGGGTGCCTCATCAGCCTTAAAGGGTGTTAGTGGGCGCCAAGTCACCCCGAACTATACTCGTATTTAGTGCACTGTACTCCGTACTTGTAGGTGGTTTGTGGCTGTCTCTCCCTGTCCGTCGTCGATTGGCCAGCAGGCGCGCGGCTTCTGGGCTGCCAGTGTGCACATCAATGAGCCTGTTTTAGCCGTCGACCCATTCGACCACTTACCATGCTCGTTGCACTCCCTTGACATTGCTTGTTCGAAGCCTTAGACCAGCCATGGCACACCCTCACTACCCTCGCCTTGTATGACTGTCAAACGAACTACCCATCGTCACCGCTGTAAATATCCGGCTACCTCCCTTCGTCTAAGAAATAACGAACAACCCCTTTTGCCTCCATTGCCCTGTCTTTCCCTATCCTCCACCCCGAATCCGATGATTACAGGACTCTATCCAGGAGCAGCAACCGATCGGCCATTGCGCGCAGGAGGCGGGCCAGGAGGGAGGGCTGTGGCCTGTTCATCAACGCGATAAATTCAATACCGATACAACAACAGGGCCAGAAAGCCGGATCGTCCGCCTCATGAAGGTTCGTGAATATCCTTAAGGTTGCTGAGCCCGGCAATACTCGAGAAGCCTGCAGACGCAAGTAGGAAGTCCATGGGGTTGCTGTGTCCATTTCGTACCTGCCCAGCTTCGAATCTAGACCATTGCTGACATCGTGCTCGCTTTAGACTTCATCGCGGAGCAGGGACACGGGCGCGAGCTTCGCAGCCCGCAGAGGGCATCTCCCACAACTGTCCATCAATGACGAAAGCCATCATATCACCGAAACCATTGGCTACCTTTACGATGACGACGAACTCGAGCAAGACGTACGGAATAATAGTATCAATTCGCATCAGCACACCAACCTCAATTCACATGGCGCTGCCAATGGAATACAGGCGGAGAACACGCGGGCCCTGAGGAGGACTTCAATACCGCGAAAGCAACTGCCAGGTAGAGAGAGCACAAATGGGAACGATGCGACACACTCAAACGGCCTCTCTAGAGGCCTTTCAGTACAAGGACAATCGTGGGACCGGGATCGATCCTCCCCTTCGCCGCCTATGAACACTCGAGAACGGTCACCATCTGACACGGCTACGTCTTCTTTCCCTCTGAACGATATCGACTATGAATCAAGTCCTGCTGGACTGGCGCAAGAGTTGAGCAATCTACAAGCTTTGAGGAGAATGTCAATGAACGTCGGCGCTGCGGATGACCCGGACTTGCCACAACTGAGCGCGGCTGGTATGCCAAATGCGCCGTCCTCTACCTCCAGTGAGGATGATTCCTCGCGATTATTCTGGGTGCCGGCCCGCTTACATCCCGAATTGGCACCGAAGGAGTTTAAAACATTTCTTGAGGGCAAGGCTGAGCAGATAAGGCGCAGGTCAGGTGAATTGTCAGCATTTAGCCCACCAACGTCCTCCAGATCGAGCTCACTGAGCGTGGAAGGAGGGAACTCAGGTTTAAGGCGGAAAAAATCCATGCTGTCCCGACAGATCAATAGCTCTGTGGGCTATCAGGACGGAGCAGATCGACTGGAAAGGAAGAAATCTCAGTCGCGAAGGACTACTCCGCAGGATCCCAACCTACAGGAATTGGAGACCTTGGTGGCCAACACTGTAGGAGTATCGGACGTGGAGCCCGAAAAGCCTAAGGAGGACGACACCGGTGACATTATACTTCCATCGGTCCCCGGCTCCAGCCTTAAGAGGTCGACGAGGACGACGTACAGACGCGGTGGCAGTTTAAAAGGAAGAGGGGCCGATCGCAGTACCTATGCGCAAAGAGCTGCAAGGAGAGCTGCGAGTGGAAGTCCATCAGGGAGTAGGCCTGAATCGCCAGAGGCCAATGTACCTGCGATTCCACCAATTCCAATCTTCGCTTCGGGCGACGTTGCGAATCTCGCTCTAACACTTAAAGATCCCTCTGTATCAGCAGCACCAGCCAAAAGTGCTGCAATGAACTTTTCGCGACCGGCAGGACGTGATGTTTCGCCCAACGCTGGTTTGGGCTCGTCTGTCCCTTCGACCTTCGACTCAATTTTCAAGGACGATGACCCCTCGAGGCGGTCCAGCACGTCGAGCATGCCAGAAATACAAAGACTTTCGTCGGCGCCACAATCGCCCCCCAAATCAAACACACCGGTTGAGCGAAAATCGGTGCCACAGATCGTTGAGACACCACCCCCTGAAGAGCCACGCACACATGCTCAACCTCTACGCTCATCTTCCATTCAAGCACCGGTCAGGCACCCTGAACGAGTATCATCCCGTGAAGACAAGGCCAGAAATATCTCTCCTCAAAGGCCTCCTATGCCGAGCAAGGGCTCGCTGCCAAGCCTCACTGGAAGGTCTCCGCCAGGACCGAATGCAATGCCTCCACAAACCAAACCAACACAGAGCCTTGAGCAGCCTTCGCCTCTTCCAGGGAACGATACGAATACCAGCAATTTGTCCTTCATTCCGACACTTACTGTTGACAAACGCGCCGACAACAGGAAGAAGGAAGACAAGAAATCTTCATGGAGCTGGTTATTGGGCAAAGAGGATGGTGACAAAGATAAAACTGATAAGCCAAAGGCCAAGATTGCTAAGCCACCGCAACAGCACGACAACACTAGGCTTGATGTTTTGCAGGCTTCAATCGATGGTGTTGGAAAAGGTCGGGAGAGCATCGTCCTCGACCGTGATAGCCTAAAGCTAGACGAAGAACGTAAAAAGGAAAGTCAACGGAAATCTTCCGGCAGTGACACGAAGAAGGAGAAAGAAAGCATCTTCTCTACGATATTTGGCGGAAAGAAGGCCAAAGGAGAAAAGGAGAGTAATTCAAAGAAGGCTCGTGAGCGTGTTCTGTCGCCGGAACCCCCGTACCGAGAACTAAGACCAGACATCGACTACAACTGGACAAGATTTTCGATATTGGAGGAAAGAGCAATATACCGAATGGCACATATCAAGCTCGCTAATCCACGACGGGCACTTCACTCACAGGTGTTGTTGAGTAATTTTATGTATAGCTATCTGGCGAAAGTCCAACAGATGCACCCACAGATGAATCTACCCACAAGTGCGAAGCAGCAGAGGAAACAACAGCAAAAGGACCAGCAGCCAGATGAGTTTACTCAATATCAGCGGTATCAACAGGTACGTCTAGTTGTGGATGATGAAGCGTCTCGACTGACTTTTTTTGATAGCAGCAAGCACAACAACAGTCCCTGGAACAACAACAGCAACCACAATCATATGGTTCTCAACAGGACATGAAGGATACTGCGGGATATGATTACGACCGGGGCTCTGGTTCGAGATCGATCTCAAGAGGCAGCAAAACGTCAGTGGAAGATAATGGGTCATCATACAAAGGAGGTGGCTATAGTCAATACCATGGTTCTCAACAGCAGCAACAACAACAACAACATCAGCAAGGGCAATATGGGGCCCAGCTGGATGACGATGACGATGATATGTGGTAATACTTTGCATTCTGTAAGGTTCTACGAAGAGATATTACTCTTTTGCAAATATCGTGTATATCTCTTGTCTGGAGATGGTTTCTGCTCCTTGAGCGAAATTTCACTCAGGGAACATGCTCCGGGGACACGGCAGCGCTTTCTCTGCTTTCTTAGTTTCTCATTTTCAGCATAGCGAGAGGACGTGAGCGGAATATTCAATACCAAGTTCGAGGTCCATCTATTGGGGGGGATTTATTATAGTAGCTATGGTCATGTGGTATCTGAATATACTGCTTACTGCCATCTTCACGATGGTAAAACCCTTACTTTTGTTGTCGCTGTCTATCCATCGAAGTTTCTCGGCGCATACGTACCTACTTGGAGGTAAGAAGCTTCCTGGTGACAGATTGTAGAATCTTCGTTGCGTTCAGCCTTGCCGACGTCATGAACGAGGCTGTGGCGCCACGAGGCCGGCTGAGTGTGACACCCCCAGGAACAAAGAGAAGGTTGTGTTACCCCGTCTCGTAATTGGGACCGAATCTTCCGCCTACGGCTTTCCGTGCTTCACCTTCGCCTCTACGGATACTACGCATCTACCACAAGCTATATTTGTTCTTTTACAATTTGACTCGAGTGGACCAGGATTAGGTCGGTATCTTTAGCGCAAGCTTCGGTGCGGCACCAGAAATCAGCCACCTCTACCGCAATCGAGCCCTTACGACGAGTTGGCCAGTTAGCCATCCTCTCTCAGGTCCATCTGATCCAGATCATACCACCGACCTCTCGAGCATTCTCTCGACACCTAGAAAAACAGTCCTTCTTCTACCTCTGGGGCGCCATTATCCTCCCGTCGCCATGTCCGACGCGTACGCCCGCGAAGAGTAAGTGAATGCTCTCCCATCCTGCGCCATCATCATACCAATAATGAGCTGTACATCGCTGACATTTCGTCCCGCCACCAACAAAGGCAAAACAATGCCCTCCTTTCCTCGCTCTCCCAAAAGACCTCGGCCCTCAAACACATCACGCTCGACATCTACGACAATGCACGCTCCCAAGAGACCCTGGACAACACGAACGAGGTGTTTAGCAACATGACCACCAGCATTCGAGGGTCGGCGGGTCGGCTCACGCGCATGGCGAGACAGGGTGACAAGTTGGCCGTTCTCAAGTTGGCCGGGATCATCATCGTCGCGGTCTTGCTCATTTACTGGGTCGGTGGTTGGATCCTGGGTTTGATCTTTGGTCGGTGATGTCCAAGACGTCACGAAAGATGATGATCAGCGACATCAAGGCAAGGGCAAGAAGAAAAGAAAATTAGGAGATGATTGGGAAAAAGGTCTTTTGAGAGAGAGAGAGACAGAGAGGGAGAGGGATACAAGAGGTGGTACCGAGTAAGAACGGGGGACATGGCAATGAGATGGAGGGTTGAAAGATTGACGGGTGAAAAATGATGAGATTGGAACAACTTCCAGACGAGGACGGGACAATTTTTATGGAGCCAGGGAGAGGTTGCGACGACTGACGAGAAGAGGGAGAATGAGAATGAGATGGAATACGTCAAGCATTTGCACATACACACACACACACACCCTTTCTCTCTCTCCATGTGAGATTGAACGAAGCCGGAGAACCTCCCCATGGCTATACGCTGGACATCTTAAGATGGTCGACTTGGTACCTCGAACCAGTGCAGTCGGACACCGGGGTGCTCACTCGCATGATCTGGGAACAACGCAACGACTGCATACAGCGACAATCCGTTCGGGTTTACTGGTAATTTCTTCTTCAGGTGGTTCCGGTTCGAGAGGGAGAACGTCGAGCAAAAAGGTCATTACATGCATGGACAATGACACTGGACATTTGCTCTTGTCACTACCAAGTTACTAACCACTGCTAGCCCCTCCATTTGCCATCAAGAAAGGAGGATGCAGAAAAAGTCTGCTAGCGACCCCAGGGGCGGAATTATCATCATCATCATTTTCGAACCACCTTTTCGGCTTCGGGACATTGGACCGAAACGAAGACGAAGGCGAAGGGAAAGAGAGGGCATCGACAACGCAGACGGAACAAGACAGCCTCTCTCTCTCTCTCTCTCTCTCTCTCCGACCCGGGACTCGAACAGCCCCCGACCAGGACAGCCAGCGATGGTGCAGCCCTCACGGATAGGATGCGCGTTTTTCTTTTTGGAAGCAAAGGAGTCAGGTTTGAATTTTGGGATAGGAAGGTTCTGCCACTTGTACATGGTACTTGGACCTTTGGTCATCGTTTCTGTTTACCTGTACATGTTTCCGACAGTCACTTTCGTGATGTCGCGTAGTGTTCCAAGTTTATGCCTTTTTTTTTTCTTGGTGACACACAATATCAACACCATACTGATTGGTGACTTTTATAGTCACGTCTCTTGTGTTTTTCTTGATTCATGATTATTTTTCTTTCTAAAAAAAAGTATTACATGGCATCTTCGAAATCTTCATCTTCATCCGAATCGCCATCGACGCCACCACCCGTCGTGGTCGTGCCCGCGTCATCCTCAACCTTGACATTTGCTGTCGCCGCCGTCACTCCATTCTCAAACTTGACCCTCTTGTTATCTCCTCGTCCGTCACCGCCGAAACTCGCGGGCGTGTTGGCATCGCTACTCGGTCCACTCTCGTCGTCGAATTCCCTCTTGACGCCGTTGACGGGTTTCACGTCCAAGCTGGCCGGGGTCCCTACGTTACTCGTCGTTCCCGCACCACCACCACCACCACCACCACCACCGCCGCCAACGACATCAACGTCCTCAAACTCCAAATCGTCATCTTCATCCTCTTCGTCTTCGTCTTCTTCCTTGGCCCGCTTCTCGGCCTCGAGTCTTTCTCGTTCCATTTCGGCCATGTAAGCCGCCACTTCGTCTTGGAGGGTTGAATTTGTCGTCGTCGTTGTCGTAGCAGTCGCCGCCGCGTCCGTAATGATGTCCAAGTTCTTCTTGTCTTCTTCCTCTTCCTCTTCCTTTTTCGGCGCCGCCATGATCTCGTTGGTTCCCGACTCCGGTGTCCCCGTACCGGTCCCCGTACCCGATTCGACCTTGACGGCTGCTGCACCGCCGGCACCGTTCGAAGGGCCGATCGCACTGTTCGTGTGCCAGGCGGGCAACTGATTCTGTTTCGCCAACAGTTTCCTGCGTTCCTCCTTCCGCTCGGCCTCCTCCCTGTCGTGCTCCGCCCCGCTGGTCAGGTTGATGGCGAGGTTCTCCACCTTGACCATCTCGGGGCCCTTCTTGAAGGTCCTGGTGTCCCGCTTGATCTCGACGTACTGCCCGTGTTCCTTCCCGCCACGCTCGCGGGGCACGTCCTTTTTCCGTTCCCACGCGCTCTGGAAATCGTTCTCGGGCACATCCTTCCGGTCGATCTTGAGGATCATGTCGTCGAACCTCTTCAGTTGGTCGTTGACCCTCCTGATCTTCTCGTGGTGGCCCCGGTCCTCGGTCGCGCGCTCGTTCTGCACCAGCGTGCTCCCGCACCGGTCACAGTAGAAGCCGTCGGCGCCCACCTTGTCGAGGATGGCCAGTTCGTCGTACTCGGCCTTGCAGCGCGGACACCTCCAGTCCTTGCGTTTGGTCTCGTCCTGTTGGTACAGTGCCTCCACCTTCTTGCGCAGCTTGGCGATCCGGTACTTGATCGCGTCGATCGCCGGGTGGAACGGACAGTAGTAGTATTCCCGCGGGCTCCCGCGTTGGGACCCCACGCGCACTTCGACGCGGGAGTGTGTCTGTACGAGGCGGGCGTTTCGGAGGGGAGTCATGATGCTGCGGATGTCTTTGGGTTGTGCCGACAACAAGACGGAAAGGTCGTCCATGCCGAGGACGGAATGGAGCATGAGGGCGTCGACGATCAGGATCTGTCGGGGTTGGTGGAAAAAGGTGCGGACCGCGGTCCTGATGAGTGTCTTTGCCTCTTCCATGTTGATGTCGAGTTGTCCTGCAATGAAGGATGAAGGATGGGTATCGTAGAAGAATGGAATTTAAAAAATGAATAGGCGACCAGGAAGCCAAGGAATATTCTTTTGGTTCCAAAAAAAATACAAGGTTCAAACGTTGCGAGATCCAGCTCAAGGGAAAGCAACTTGAACGCCGGCCATGTCACCCCTTCGACAAGCAGTGAAGCCGTAGAAAGGATTGCCGTAGAGAAGAAGGAGCTGCAACAATGACTCTGGTGTGGAGGATCGAGACGAGAGAGAGAGAAGTGGCAAGGGTGGTTATCGGAATGCCACAAAGGGAGTTTTGGAAACCGTAATGTCGACGGTAACAGTACAGAAAGCAAAGGAAGTTCTACTAGTAGGTAGACATCGCGCGCGGCGGAACATGCATGCGCCCTCTACAGCATTACGGAGCAATTCGAAGATCCAACCAAGATCCATGTTCGCTTTGCCTTGGCGTCAGCCTTGTAAGCCTTGCAGCCTTGTCTTCGGTAGGAACAGCCTTGCAGCGACACCTCTTGTGTTGCATACTCCGCCGTAGCCTCTCAAGTAAACAAGAGTAATCCGTACGAGTACGCACTTCCCACCCATAGACTCTGGCTTTCTTGTTCTCAAACACGAAGTGCCTTGTGCAGTACAGTATCTTTAACATTGTATTCTACGCCTTGTGCGGAAGTACTAAACAACATTGACCAACAGACTAGGACACTGCCTGGTTCGCTGCCACTTTTCCAGATACGGGGCCAGACCTTCCCTCGTCCGCTGGACCAGTTCCCTCACCCTCGGTCTTCCCCGGGGATCCAAGCGCAGACAATCCTCCGCCAGGGCCGTCAACTTGGAAGTGTACATGCTACTCTTCAACATCCTCCGGAACATGGAATAATCATACTGTCTGAGCTCCTGCTCTAGGTGTCCGTGCCGATCGACCTGCGCGTCCACCTCGTTGTTGTGCTGGTCGAGGTACATCAACCCGTAAATGTTGGCGCCAACCTGCCAAATCACATGGGACATTTGGAAAGGTTCAGCCTGTGATCCAAAGATCTGACGTCGCCAGTGGCGACCGTAGCGTCCGTTGTCTCGTTGTTCCTAATTATTATACAATAGCCCGTTTCATCAGTACGAGTACAAGAAGTACTTGAGCGTCATGCCATAAGATCGACAAGGCAAGAGAATGTCGGATACTAAGCATAGAATCCCTGGTCGAAGAAAAAGAAACTAAAGAAAAGAAACACTCACAGGTGGAAACCAACAGATTGTACCATGTCCTCTCCATCTTCGACTATTGCCTGGATCTTGTCGGTTTGTACATACCGCCATACCCCAATCCGCGACTTTTAAACTTGGGTAAGGCATGCATCTTTCGTCTGCTGGTGCTGTACCTAGAAGAACTGTTTGATTCGGGAAACCGAATTAATTGGATCAACATCGATACACCGTTGGATGGACAAGGTGGAAAAGGGGGGTTAACGCTCAACAAACATACTGTTCTCATGCTTCAAATCCAAATGCAATATCCACTGATCATTTCCTGGCGGCGCAAATTTCTTATCAAACTTGACGGTGCGCATATGGTAAGTGGCTTGGGCGAGGTCATGAAATGCTTGCCAAATGAATGCTTCTGGAATCCGTTGCCTGGTCAGAGTTTGAGTGCCTTTGTCAGTAATCCAATCGTCTCTCTCTCTCTCTCTCTCTCTCTCTCTCTCTCTGCCTTCTTTCGTATCGATAGGATGATGTCAGGGCGAGGGAGGGTATAAAACGTACTGAAATCTTGGATTCGCCTTGTTGTGCTGGATATAATTGCCGATCAAACCATGTACGGTGCCGTACTTGTAATATTCAACATAATACCTCCAGTTTCCCGAATGATTGCCAGTGAAAAGTTTCAACCCTTTCAGTCTCGTCACATTCTCACATCCTTGGTCGTAGAGTTCCATCATGATCCTCGCTTCCCATGGAACGTCAAAATTGCCACTTCTGTCGACGTCGAAATTTTCATTGACTTCGGCTTGTTTGATGGCGATATGCTACATTATTTTGGTGGTTGACCACGGCCGTTAGCATATTCACACACACACACACACAGGGACACCCACACAGCATAGCATAGCATGATGAGGTAAACTCAAAACGAGCCAGGAAGATCAGGTGGTGGTGTAACATACATCGAGAGCGTTTCCCCTGCCGTCAAACTTTGTCCACTTTCCCACCATTCCAAATGATCCACGACCCAGCATCTCGGTACACTATGTGCCTAGTTAGTATATACGGGCGTCTGGGGGAGAAGGTATATATAGAGAAATCGACGAGGCGACGAACCTCCCAAAATCCATCTTCAGTGTCATTGTTCCCGGCCCTGGGTTTCGACAATGCAAATGCCCCCGCGGTTCTATCGAACCAGTTCTTGGCCCTCCACCTTCTCATTCGTCTTGAGACTTTGTCTGCATCACTCGTCCAGGCAGCGCGTTCGTATATAGGGCGATCCTCGACGGGGACTCTTTTCCTCGGAGCCATGACGGTGATTGATATTGCCTTTTGTGAAGCGATGGGGTGGGGAAGGAGGGGAGGAGAGGAGTTTTCGGATCGAACAATTCAAGGAGACCGAAAGTGAAAGCTCGACAACACGTTCAAGTGTTTCAAGCTAGGAATGAGGACCTTTGTGGAGAGTCTGAGCGAAGATTGGCCGGAGCGAAAAGATAGAGAACAACAGAGATATTATGACAACAAGGATCGACCGTGAATGTCATATGGCTTGCTCATACGTGTAGGTTCACAAACGGAACAGGCAATAGATGAAGAATTTTACTTGCGAGTCCCAGAGTGAATCCCACAAACCTGAGAGTGCCCGGGTAAGGTACCTAGGTATACGAAGTGAAGAACGAAAACGAAGATGTAAAGAAAAAAGCGAAAAGAAAAGGGGCTCGACAACCTCCTTGACTTCATTCATTGTTTTTTGGTTGTTTCTTTCTTCCCAGCCTTGGTACTTGCTTGTGCGTAGGTAGGTATTGAGTGCACGGAACCGTGATGTTTACCTGGTTGCGGCGTGGATTTCTTTGTTTTGCCCCTTGACACTAGTAGCACATACCATGACGGATTTTCATGTGGTGGACAAAAAAAAAACAACACCCACTCAGCTTGAAAAGTGGTCGTTTCCTTTGATCATGACTGGGATGTAGAAAATGTTTGACCCTGACACCGGTGAGTCGTTGACAAGTAACACGTCATGGTGTAGCTGTGACGGTGAGCATATATGTCCCTTCGAATTGGGGACTTTTGAGAACCAAGAAAAGAAAGAGGTCCCATTCCGAGAAACTTCCCGACCAGAGAGAGAGAGAGAGAAACAAAGAAGAAGAATGAGTCTGGGCAACAATTAAAAATCAGAACTCGTGTAGTCCACGTTTGTTGGTTCGGTGCCGTCAACCAGAGTATTATGTTTCGCATTGTTTTTATTACGTGTTCGTTCTCCCGTCGTTCATTCCACCACCATTTAGGTGGCTTTGAGAGCTGTACTACGAGTAAAACCACAAGGAACGACGTTTGACACCACAATTCAGTTGCTGTTGTGCAAGAGGGAACGACGATGAGGATGTGAGAGAATCAATAACTCTGTACCTACCCAGTAGTAAGTACTCTTCAACGAACATTGTTTGCATACAGGTTTCGGAGTACCTTCCACGGACCATCCTTAAGTGACGCTAGTGGGGCGCTTGCACACGTCATGTTGAAGCTTCAAAAAACCCCAGACACTTCCGCGTCCGGCAACTGACCTGCCATATCCGGATATTCCTCATATTCGTACTCCGCATTCGTACTCGTACTCCGCACAACGACAGACTCGAAGAGAGCGTTCAAATGGACGAGATATGCTTCAACTCAAACACCGTACAGAATATCCTTGGGGTTGTTAGGTGGTAGAATCAATTGACCTACTCGTTACGGAGAACTAAAACGAAGAAAAAAAGATGGCTCTCTCCTCGCTAATCAAGGTATCAATGTCAAACCCAGACTCCATTCATTGCAATGCGAAAAACACTACTCTGTAAATCCTGTGCAACCAAATATTCCCTATGCTTCATCAACACGCGTACAATCAATCGCTAAGTCCTTTCATTCGATATGTCGTCTGTCCTTTCGTCTCGTAACTGTTTACCAGCGCTTCGCTTGACAGACAATGGCTGCTTGAATTAAATAATCTGGCTAGTCTCTTTTTTTGTGCAGTTGCCATGGCGGGTCCAAGGCCATTCCCAACCCGCCACATCTTTGCATCGTTCTACTTTTTCCTGGATTAACAGTTCTTTTGTCTTTTGGCTCTGTTGATGCGTTCAGAATAAAACATGCTTGCCGCTAAAATGCAGGAGGCTATTCAATGTTCATAATCAAAGTGAGCGAAAATGCTGTCGTTTGTTCGGTCGGCTCCACACCTGATCAAGGCACCGCTCGACCCAGTAGAACCTCTTCGAAATGGTCGCTTTTTTGCTTGGGAAAGTCATGCTTGCAGTTTGGCAAGAAGGGCGTCAAGTTCATTCCAGTTTGATTGTGTCATGGCAAACTTTCGATGTTTGCGTGATATAATGTGCTGTGTCTGGTTAGCCTGACATCAACTGGACGACATATTCTCCTGCTCACCTCTTCAAAATCATCATATTTATCGCGGCAGTTCTCACAGTATCCGGGTTTCGGATCTCTCTTGACCACCTTCTTCTTTCGGCTGAGATGGGCGGCTCGTTCGGCTGAAACGTCATCTACATGGTCGTCGTCTTCTTCTTGAATTCCGCCCAGCTTTTCTTGAGCACGGCTTTTGGCCGCTCTTTGAGGCGCGGGAGCTCGGACGTTCTTAAGAGCACCAGCAAGGTCATTCATCCGATGAGACGATGGTATGGAACCCACCGACAGGCTGCCGGTATGGGTTCGTTCCAACACCTGTCGTTTCAACTGCTGGTGCACCTCCTTGCTGGTCCCGGCCTTGACCCCGGTAGCAGCTGTCGAAGAGATCATCTGTGATTGAATCGCCGAGGTCAGATTGGACCTTTGTATGCCTGATGCCGCAGGTTCCCGAGACATCTGTAGCTGGGCAGGCCGAACAAACTCAAATGGTCTGTCAGGCATGGGCGGGAATGACGGCTGTCGCTCATGAGCAGAAGGACCTGTCTTCTTGCGATCGGAGTCCAGGTCCATGGGTACATCGGCTGGGTTGTGAACGGTCTGAAGGGCTTTACGTGGGCTTGTACGACGTGTAGGAGGATCAAGGTTCGCCTTGTCCACAGTAACGTGTGACCTCGTGCGAGTCACATGATGCTGTGGTTGTTGATGTTGCTGCAGGGCAAGCATCCTGGCCCTTGTCCGCTGCTCCTGTTCCAGCTCCCTCTTCATGGTTGGGTCCTCCACAAAAGGACATTTGCCAACGCTAGCCGAGCGGAACTGCGGCCAATCCCCATCTGACCGGCGACTGACCCTGACATATTCCCTCACCATGGTCGGTCGATATTTTTCGTCCATGTCGTGAACGTAGATGAAAGGTCCCTTGAACGGCACCAGAGACAACGTGGGTTGTTCGCGTTCAGAATATGCAGCCAGCTTCTCGTGCTTCAATACCTGGCCCAAGTCTTCATGTTGGTGTCGACCGCCGTGTGTCGTGTTCCGGGAGTGGTGAGTATGGCTGCCTGCATCCCCCAGGATCGACGCCAGTACACGTTGTAGCTTTTCGGCCGCCCATATCTTCATGCCCATCTCTTTTCCTCTGACCAGAATATCCATGTGGTTGGCTCCATCGCGTCTTGTCGTCGCCGGCACGTGCCCACGGGGATTCTTTTCGAGGAGCGACGGGTTGATGGTCTGGGGCTGGTCTTCTACTGGTGATTGCTGGGCGGTGTCGTTGGAAGATGTATTTTCTGTAGGAATGTGACGGGTCGTGACGATGTGCGTGACCGCTTTGGAGAAAAACTTTTCTTCCTTCTACAGCCCAAATCATTAGTAGTGCACCACAACAAGGGCAGGGAAACGTACCGCTCCTAAACCCGTGATCTGTCGGAGGAAGCGTGCGCGTGTGTCCTCCGAGATGCCGTCAAAGTAGAAGCTATACGTTGGAAAGAGTTTTCGGTAATGTTTCTGCCAGGTGCGGATACTATCTTCCTTGGTGGTCGACTCAACGTTCTTGGTGATCCGGAGCCCCGTGGATTTCTCCCGGGCAGCTACGAGCCTCCTTTGGAAAGCGGTAGATCCAGACTCACCATTCCCTCGTTCAAACACGCGACCTTCGGCCATGCTGGGGCCCGACTGCCTCTGAGGCGTGGCCGGGTTCCTGTTGGCATCCTTTCCATTTTTCTCCACCGCCAGACGCTTCTGCGGTGGTTCATTTTCCTGTTGAGCCACATTGGCCAGACTCCTCGGCCGCTTGGAACCGCTGTGGGTGAGAGGCCTATGGGGGGAATTTGTGGCGTTCGAAAGGCTCGCCAGAGGGACTCGACGGGAGACGTTGGCCATTTTTACAAGAGGATCATGGGGCGAGGGTGGTATGAATACAGCAGCTGCCATTCATAAGGATATTTCGAGCTCGTCGGCTGCTCGTGGGAGTGCTGAACTGAGGATGGCAGGGAGGGGTACGCAGACCGAACAACGCGACGCGTGCTGCTGCTCTGACAACCCAAAGACCCGATGGACGGTCTTTTCAACAGCTGCACATGTTGGCAGACAGGGCGGACTGAAAGATAAAGATGTGCTGAAGAAACAACACGAGCTCCAAAGGAAGAAAAAGAGTTGGCTGGTCTATTGGAAAAAGAAAGAGGATCGCAAAAGGCGTAGAGCAGCAGTTTGGAGGCAGGAATAGCAGAGAAAGCAGGCGTGTTGACGTTTGGATGTTATTGGCTCCTCCGAGCACTTTTGGGTTAGTCGGAAGCTGGTCTGTCCAAGCTCTCGTTTCTGGCCTTAGTGAAGGCCGGGGGGGCCATACAGAGCAATAGCCAGCCACTGGGAACCCCCAAATAGCCTCTAGGCGGCCCTAGACAGCCCTGGGGAGCCACAGCGAGCCTTCCCGCCGCCCGAGCAACCGCAATCCAAACAAAATCTCTCCCAACAACCAGATTCACTCCCCCACATTCAACCAGAGATTAGCTGTACCCAGCACGAAAAAACACAACGGATGGATGATCATCTGCCGTGTTATTGTTATTATTGTTGTTGTTGATATCTTTCTTATCGCTTCCTCATCTCTTGATAAGTACAAGTACAAAGCTTCCATGTCATGTTTGTTGCTGTAAATACTATTACATGTATATACCGGTAGGTATCGGTCTAACCACAGCTTACTACTACGCGAGTACTTGTACAATAACGACACTGAGCACCCAGCTCGGCGGGCCTTCCAACGTCTCTGCTCTGTCCCGCCACCAGGACGCAATCAATCTGTCGTACTCCGTAATCAACCATCTAATTAAAATCGCCTGCAATCAATGCAACTGTACATAACATGTTGGGTATCGTCAAAAACAACTCCGGTCGGTGGAGGATTCGCCAGTCGTTCTGACATCGCCTCTGCTGCCAGCCTTGCCGTGCAGAGGCCTGGAATCTTTCGAGTACCGATAGGTCCTCCGCACACGGGGATCCCGCAATCGAACATCATTCACATCCTTCAGTTGATGATGTGCCTCGCTCCGATCTTGCCGAGCACTCCGGCCTCTTTGGGCTTGGGGCTTCGGTCTCTGCCTTTCTTTCTGCTCAGGAAACCAAGCATGCTGCCACTTCCCTTCTCGTATTTGGCGCCCGCGTCACCTCCCATTCCTTCCGGATAGCCTGGCGGTGTCTGGTCTGCCAGTTGGGTCCAGCTACCTGTCTCGTCCAGTACCATGTGCACCCCTCCGCCTTTGCTTGGCTGCCTTGTCGCTGCCATTGGTCTCTGTGGTGGTATGGGCCGGCTAAAGGACTTCGACGAAGACGCTGGCCGGGCGATCTGCTGTTGAGCGTGCGGCAATGCTTGCTTCACGTCATCCAGCGGAGGGAACATTTCTTCGCTTTGAGGTGTGACGGTAGCACTTGGTGACAACGGTGGCGATCCATCGGGCGAGGTAGGCACACTCTGCGGATCGGGTTGTGTAGTATCCAGGTGAACATGCTCCTCCGGTACGGTTCCAGCCACTGCTGCAGCTGCAGGCCTAGGTAAGGTTAGCAGACTATTATGGTTTGGTAGTAGAGCTCGTGCGTACACTTCGTAACTTGCAAGAGTGTAGTCAAACGGCTCAAACATGGTCTCTATCATCCGATGTAGCTCGTCTTCCCGGATTTCCCTACTCGTGGCATCGTTGCGTAGTTCGGCCCTTGGCTTCTGTTTCCTTGCGCGTGCCTCTAGAGGCGCCTCCTCTAGCAAGAGTTCCTCCAGATCGTACGTCGCGTCGAAATTGGTCTTTTCGCTGGAAGGGACGAATATCGGGGGTATCTGTTTTCGCTCAAGTGCGTCGAAATTGATGGGTTGGAAAAAGGGATGGGAAGTGAATGTGTCGAATCCGGTGGCTCCGATGCGTTTGCGCCGGTCTTTCTCGATCAAAGAGGTCATAGCCGACAAACAGGGCATCGAGACAGGTGGCTTGGTAACAAAGTAGTGTGGAGATCCTGCAGAGATGGACTCGGCCAGCTCTTCATACGTTTTGCCTTCGAATGGTCGTTTCCCATATACACATTCATACATGGTCACTCCTAACGACCACCAATCCACCTCGCTGTAGTACCCCGAGCCTCTGAAAACTTCTGGGGCGAGATATGCCAGCGTGCCTGACTTACTGGTCAACGGCTTGCCGGGCTTGAAGTCAGAAGCGACGTTGAAATCCGCCAAATGGACGTGTCCCTCGGAATCCAGTAGCACGTTGTCCGGCTTCAGATCTCGATGGACAATGCCCTGACTGTGAATGTATCGAAGGGCGCAAGCCAATTCTGCCATCCAGAAGCGAATGGCGTCCTCTGTGAAGGCTTTCCGCTGGATGTGAAAGCGAAGGTCCCCTCCATTCATCAGATCCACCACAAGATACAAATACTCAACGTCCTGGAAGCCATATCGGAGATTGCACAAGAACGGATGGTTGAGATGTTCGAGCATTCGTCTTTCGCGGATGATATTCCGCACGCTCTCGGATCGAACGACTATCACTGTCAGCTTCGACCAGGTCTGAAGATTAGTTTGGGGTGAAAGGTACCTTCATCCTTGCGAATATACTTGAGGGCAAATGTTAAACCGGAGTCTTTGCGCTCGACAATTCGAACTTTTCCGAAAGCACCCTTGCCAACAACCCTCAGCAAACGAAAGTGGTTCAGGTTGACTAGGAGAGATGATCAGCTTTTGAGACCAAAAATATCCTCATGAGATAGATGCACACCTTCATCAGTCAGTACGACTGGTTTCCCTTGAGAGTTGCCCATGAGCGTGAAGAGACGAGTTTGAGACGGGCTTCAGGGGCTCCACTGCTGCTTCACGGTCGGTGACAAATGGAACATGGGGGCTTGCCACGAAAGATGGAGCGGATTCTCTGAACCTGATCGCGCGGTGAAGAAGGAGTTACGAAGGAGTCCGTCCAACGTAAGTTGCTTGAACGATCGTAGAACCGGCAGTACTCCGGGTATGGCGGTGAAGTAGGGGGTGAAGTTCCCTACTCGTCGTAAACCAATGCAAATCTTATGGCAGACACATGACACGTGGGAGTGATTGCTCAAGATAGGTCGAAGGAGGATGGAGTCGCCAGCGCAACGACAAGTCCCGATTTCAGGATCGAACTCCAGAGATTTTATTCTCTTATTATTTTATTAGCGATCGGAAGCTGTCAGTGGCAAAGCGGCCTCGAGGATCGGAGGCGACAGTTTGTGAAGAAAATGCCGAAGCGTCCCCTGTATCTGGCAATTCGAACCGGTCGATCACCCTTGAGTCCAGAAGGATAAGTCTTGGATGTTTGGAACGGGTATACTCGTTATGGTGAGAAGAGTGTTTGATAATTGTACACTGGAAACAAAAATCCTACAGTGAACAGAAAATCCGACTGGGTGTTCAGCCTGGGCTAGAGACTTGAGGTGAGAGTTTCCAGAGGAAAGGGATGCGGTCAGGGTCAGATTAAGTTAAGACCTGCAAGTCGGTAACCGAGGGTTTCTCTTTGGCAGGGCGGAGGCGCCAGGCCTGGTGCAGGGGCCTCTAGGCTGATGATAGTGGAAGTGGGATGGAGTGGGAGCAGCAGGGATGGAACGAAAGGCTTTTTTCTTCACCTTGACATACACGCAATAATACCGAGATAATAAAGAACGGTTCCACCGTTGAAGATCTACTGAAGTGTGAGAATGGGCATGGTACGGAGTACTGTAACGTGGAAATCTCCTTGTTCTGCTTACCGTGGACGTTGTTACGTAGGTGTAGAATAGCATCCATCGTTTCCACACTCAGCGCTGGTACGGAGTACCGGAATGCAAACATGCCCTACGCACAATAATACTTCGTATGTCATGGACACTCTCCTTACCAAGAGGGAGCCTAAATCTGAAACTGCCCTCCCAGTCTGGCCCTACACCCACGCTTAGAGTCGTACCTATCTCAAAGAGGCATCGCCCGGGATTCTTCTCGAAGGGTCCCTGGGGGCGCTGACCGCCTCGACCGAGCACATGGCATGGCGCGGCTCGAAAGAATTGCACAATAGCACCTTACTCCGTAGGTACTCGTACCCGTACTCGCACACGGGACGAAGGTTCCAGGGTCTGCGACCGATCCTCTGTCTCTCGTGTCGTTCGTTCCCATCCCTGAACATGATTTTGAGTCTCTTCACATGAAAAGAGTAGCGTATCTTCTGCTTTTCCTTCACGGGGATCGATGAGGCGAAATTTTACTGTACGGAGGTATCTGTAGAAGCCATCCAATAGAGACTCCTCCAGCCTTCTCACCCTTGCAACCTTTTCCCGCCAACTTTCCGGTTCCATGACCAGCGAGACTTTCGGTACGGCTTGAAGTGATAAAATTGGCTAGCAGGTCAGCTGCCGCATACCTGACACACCGTCGGACGTCTAGCAAAAGCCAGTGCTGCCAAACCCAGTTTAGGGCTGTCTGCCGCCTGGCAGCCACGTTTCATCGCCCGGTGCTTTACCCCTTTCTCGTGGCCTCCACCACCCACACACACATCTCATGAACCTGGCAGAAAAGCATGGCAAGTTGGTGGTTGCTGATTGCTGGTTGCCTCTTGACCCGCAGACCTCCGAAGCCAAACATGCATGATGAATGATGGTGATGATGATGATGGGTGAGTCCACAAGCCCAGTGCCTGGCTGACTTTACCCACCCATTCCCGACGCTCGGGCTCTGCTGTCCTTTCTGGGAACTGGGCCTTCAAGTTGGTCTGAGCTAAATCGATTTCCTGCAATATTCATCATTATTGACAACCGAATCGGCCAGTCTGTAACTCTGTAATTGCGTCTCGTCCCTACCTCGGGCCCGTCATGAAGGGGCATTTGCAAAGGGCCAATAAATGCATGCATGTTGCCGTGTCTGGGGATGTGTCCTGTGTGTAACGGGCTATTCTTGGCTCCCCTCCAGCCCGGCCGTCCCCAGTTTTGAAAGCGGCAGCGTTCATTATTAACCGACGACCTTTTCAGCTTAAGACAAACTTGTTTCATCCCGCCGAGATCAACGATTGTACTCCGTATTGTTCTGTATGACTACAAAATATGCACAAAAGTTTAGCCTTGGTGCGGGATTTCCACTGTGGAGGTGACAAGTCCAGAGCGCAGGTGGTTGGGCGACACGAACTCGCAACTGTCAATATCCTGTCAGCATCTAATGATCCACGATTCCCAAATTCCCGCTGACATGGCGATGTGGTTTTGGTGGCTGCCACGTTTTCTTCGCGTTCATGCACGTCCTGCCCCTTGCTAAAAAAAATCCCCCGGCCTCCCACTATTGGCTCACTATGTCAGACGTACCATGCAGGATATGGTGCCTGGCCCCAAGCCCTTCCTGCAGCTTTTCTGGCAAAGGAGCGAAAAGGTTGCTGGTGTGGGAAGACATATCTTGTTTGAACACTACAGCGAATAATGTCCACTTGTGCAGTAGACGAGGATGGGGGACGGGACGCCGGTGCCGTCTCCGCCGCGTCCACTCCAATTGCAACCGAAAGCGAAAAAGGAAAAAAAAACATTCTTGACACAATTTACCACCGCTCAACAGAAGAGGCATTTGAAATTTTGCATGACTAGCAGACTCTGAGGCGCCGCCACACAGGTTGGCATCATTGCGTTCAAATCCCAAAAAAGAACAGATATTCAAAATGGACGATACCGAAGGGGGTGAGCGTGCTCCTCATTTGTGCTCGGATGGCTTCACATTATTTACGAGTCCTCGTACGCGTATTCGGTACCACCATCTGGACTTTTGCATCGACTGTGCACTACCCATCTTCATCTTACGAAGGAAGGTTGTTCGAGAAGAACAGACCTTGGATCATAAGGAGTCGCTCTTTCCGTGCAAGGCCGGCGATCCAATCCTCATGTCTACACACATTATGATTTGCCGCGACTCTTTGACGTGGATTCACAAGCGCTGGTGCCATTCCATCGAGTGCACATGCTAGGGTCGGTGCCTTGGATCATGATCAGCTTGGTTTCAGCTAAAGAAAAAAAAGTCTACAGGATTTCGTTGCATTCAAATCGTCCGTTTTCAAAGTCACCACGATGCTAGGGACTTCCAAAGATGCCAAAGAGATGGATTGCTGAGGACAAATGACAGACAGGTAGGCTTATCAGACGCCAACATGTCGATGCGCACTGCCATGCGCGTTGGTAAATCTACTACTCCAGACGCCCATTGGGAATAAAATGGTTAGTAAAGGTATATTACAGCATGTCGGAATGTGTTTCCGTCATGTTGGGTTGGTTAAGATAACCTTGTAGCTCTCATTTGTACAGCTGTTCATTCATCTTTGCAGGTCTCTCGCTACCATAATTATGACTTCAAGATCCGTCCAATGTCGAAAAACCATATGTAAGGCTCAATCTTTGAAATGTTGATCCTCCAGATCTTTTCACGTAGCCTCGCCTCCGTCCAGCCCCGTGACATTGTTCCCAGTCTGCACCTTCCGGAGGGCTCTTTGTTCGAGCTACGGGAATGGTTCAGTTAGCGACCTCTGATTTCAACTGAATCCTTCCGTTCCCGGTCATTCTGAAGCTGTGCCCAACCAGCTGATCATCCTGAGAGCATGCATTCGTGGACAAGGTGAGTGGTGCCGGATCGTCTATCCGGGTGTACATCATATGGCACACGTTCTGTTATGGCCATACTGGGGCGATTGGCTAGAAGTCTCGGTCGGATAATATGGTCACGGAGAGACTTTCCGTTACGCCAGGCTGGGCCGACCTCCCCCTAATGCTCGGTCACTGTGGTTGGATCTTCTCTGATTTTCTGAAGCTGAACTCAGAGACCTTTCAGATGAGAGCAGTTTGGTGTACCTTTGGTGCATATGCTGACGCTGCATTTCAGGTTGAGATGTATGCCGATCGATTCGAGGTATTGGAGGAGTTACAATAGTAATTCGTGATCTTTGTAGGTTGTGGGCATTCATTTTGGACGGGTGCTGCAAGCACGACAGGCACATGCCGAAGAAAGTCTGTCCTCGAGTATCTCTTGCAATGTCTGGGATAGTGCTTTTGCATTTTCCCTGTACTGTTCATGCAAAGACATGCGGTGTCTGTGATGATCACGCCAGAGGCTGAATTTGGTGGGAGACACCATGGATCGAAGCTCGCGCGCAGCTTTCCAATCGTCGTAGGTGAGCTCCTTCTGTGGTGATCTGTCGTTGTTGAATGATGGTAGACGTGATGGTCTTGGTGTTATTACTCGTGCTGCGGCCATGGTGATACGAGTAAAAATGGAATTTAAACTCTTCGGGGTTCTGCTCGTTCTTTCTGATATTAAATGATCAAACAGGTCTAGAGAAGAGATAATTGTGTACGCATTGGCAACAACCCCTTTTGAACTGCAATAATTGGCATGGGCAGTCAATAGTCAGGCCATATCGTCGATGTAGGTGAGGCTGACGTTATCGAACCACCATCGTATGATGTATTGTAGTCGAGGCTTCGTGACGGATGCGACGACCGATTGGTTTGGAGGATGGTGAATTGTGGGGTGGTTGGCATTGTGGTCGATGGAGGAGGTGACGATAAGATCAAGGTGGCATGAGATAAAGTACTTGTACATACTCCGTAATTACTGGAAATAAGAGACGAGAGGGCATACTGTACTCCGTACTCGTACACGATCTCGTCCAAGCGACATCATACAGTAGCTGCCAATTGGTCGGGTCAAAATTCCTGGCGATCAAGAGGCGCTTGTAATGATGATCGTAAGATTTTCAGGGTCTTTTTTCCCCCAGGAATTTGATCGCGAACACTGACAACAATGATCTGACCCTTTGGCACACCCCATCTCACAACTCGCCTTCTATTGCTCGAGGGTCAGGAGAGCTTTCTACTGTAGCATCCGAGTATCCGGCCTTCTTCAGATGTGACCCATGTCATCCCACCAATTGATATTCCTCGCTGCCGCCACAACAAGTTCTGTCAACTCTCACATGCGCCAACTCGGCGTACTCGTGGTCGGTGTCGCACACAACGCCAACGACCCAACTCGCAGATAACGCACCAGAAGGTGTCGTCACTCATACGTTGGAAAGTATGAGGATGAAGACAACCCATTCTCTTTGCAATATGATCTAGATCCCCTTACCGTGTATCCGTAGCTAAGCCCCTGTTGACATTACGGGGTCCGAGGAATCATTGACAATGACAATTCTGATTCTTTCCCCCGCAATCTTGGCCTTTTTCACTTGGAGCCACGAAACTCCGTCCTTTGTGTCTGGGTATGTACTCAGTACATAGTGCAAAAAGATTATCATCGTAAGCTTCTGGTAGTTTGATCCATTGCATCACTATCTAAACTCCCAGCCCATTCTCTTTATACAAAGTAATGTTTTGATTGCCATATTAAACTTTGAGGGTAAGCTGCCACATGGACACAGATCGCTGGTCGAAACATCTCCTATCATCCGGCGTGCTGTTTGTGACGATGAGCTCATCTCCATCGAATTACGGATAAAGCAGCCGATGCGAACTTCATGTCCACCATGATTTCATCTACTTCTTTCTGGCTTCTAGCAAAGGACGAGTACAACGTTCGTCTTGTTGCCTGGACAGAAACCTCTTCCCAAACGACGCGACCTCCGAGTACTACGAGCACAAGCGCATTACACTGACCCATCGTTCCATCACTCATCAACTCATCATTCCCACCGGACCACATCGCACTGGCGACGTTGATGTCTAGGCACCAAAAAGCCCCTGGAGCGACTTGACCACCGTTTGACAATTCTCGTAACCGTAACGAGTAACCACGGCTGGAATCTTCTCGGCTCGCGATCATTTCCGGGCTCACTGGATTTCTCCTGACTCGCCATTGTCGGAAATTGTCATGTCCATGCTGTCTTTTCGAGACCTGATGCCGGTCGCTTCGACTAATTTCTCCTCCATGTCTCCTCCAAACTCGGATCTTTCGACGAGGAGGAAAACCAGTGTCGCCTGCTTTGGCTGTAAAAGGAGACGCACGAGAGTGGGTTGTTTTCCTCCATTCTTGTCGAGCAACATGGCTGACATTTGCACAGTGTGATGAAGGCTTACCGTGTGTCTCTTGCATATCTCACAACACCGAGTGTGTCAAGGACGAAAACGACGATGGCCGCCGTAGGTTGGCCATGAAGCGCAAGCTGAGCGCTCTCGAGAATGATCGTCGCCTCTTCGATGACCTCCTGGCCACGATCCGCAAGACCAACACCACACAGATCGAACCTCTCCTGAAAACGATCCGGAATGGCAGCTCGAGGCACGACATCCGCGCCTACCTCGATTGCCACTTCCACCCTGGTTCGGACGCAATGCAGATCGAGAACGGCTTCGACAAAACACCCCGAGCCGTACGACGCCCAATGCGCGGACGTATTCAGGACGTGGTGAACCCTCCGGTTTCCGTCCCGGCGAAGCCATGGACCACGGTGACCGACGACGACGATTTTGTGTCGCACCTGATCTCCCTGTGGTTCACTTGGGCCCACCCTTGGTGGCACTGGGTCGACGAAAAGCTTTTCCTCAACGCCATGAGGACCGGGGACGACAGAGGCCTGATATGTACTCCCTACCTGGTGAACATGATACTGGCTGATGCATGTGTGAGTTTTCTCCTCTCTCCCTCGCCCCTTCCCGTCAGTTGCTCTAATTTGGGCTGCCTCTGATCGTCCCCCTCTCAGCTCCTGGACACTCTGGCCGATGACGGCTCCGAACCCAACAAGTGGATACGTGAACAATTCTACCAAGAAGCGAAGAAAGGCCTCGATGCCGAAAAGGGTCGAGTCTCCATGACCGTAGTGGCAACCTTGGGTGTGCAATGGACCTAGTAAGTCGACCCCAGTCTTTTCACGTCAACGTTGGACTGACATGTCTGTTCTAGTCTGAACACGAGTGGTCAAGATTCGCTCGGAAATGCCGTCCTGTATCAGCAAATATTCCTGTCCAAGGACCTGGAACGGTGGAGGCAAAAGGTGCTTCGCAGTATGGATCTACCCAGAGGGTATCTCGACGATGTCATGAGATCCCTGGACACACTCCAGTGGACGCTCTACACTCTCAATTCTTGCACCCTCTTGGACTTTGAAAAGACGCAGTTTCTCAGGCCACCGTCCGGCCCCAAACCTCAGTCGGACCATCACAAAGGCGACAACGTTGACTGGACACCGTACCCCCAGCCTCACACTCCGGTCAGCTTCCACCCGACCTGCCACTATCGCAGTTTTCTCTGTCTGATCGAGATGACCGCACGTGGAGAGAGGCTGGTCACCAAAAGAACCAAGGAAGACGCCGACGATGCCATCCGCCAACTGGGGGAGTTGTACGTTCATATCCGAAATTGGAACAGGACTCTGCCCGACTGTTTGCACCTGGATGGAAGATCCTCACCTCATGTCATTGCTCTGCAGTAAGTACAACTCGAAGCCCAACAAATTTCCAGACCAGTTCTTTTTTTTTCTTCTCCTCAGCAGCAAGCCCAACGTTCTTGTACCAAACCAAAACGGAAACTTTCAACTAACGGGTGGTTAATTTTTTTTCCTTTTTCCAGTGCACTACACAATTGGGTCATGGTGATGATGGCGAAGCAAATCGCCGCGGTCGAGTGCGGGCATCAGGGTCGCCCGGCGCTGATTCGCACCCAGCCCGACGGGGAACGGCCCAAGTGGAAGCAAATGTCGATAACGTCGTCGATCCGCATAGCCGAGCTCTTTGAGCACATCCGCCTCAAATGGGGCACCGACCACTTCCCCGTCATCATCATGCAGCCCCTCGCCATCGCCGTCTTCCCGCTGCTGGAGGGCCTGCACGAGACCCCCGAGGCCCCCAAGGCGTTTTTCAACCTGTGCCTCACCATCCGCGCCGCGAGTCGACGGTTCCCCGTGGGCTACGGCCTGCTCCTGGCCGTCAAGCAGACCGCCGAGAGGAGAGGCATCCGACTGCCCGAAAACTGTCGAGACTTTTTCTCCGACCTGTCGGCCGTCTCGGTGTCTCGGAACACGTCCGACCTCACGGACAAGGGACTCGATTATCTCCTCGACAAATGGGAGGATCTCGACCTCGAAGGAAGTGCGTAGTGAAAAGTACAGATTGTGGTTTGCAGATTTCAGATTGTGGATTGTGGATTGTGGATTGTGGGGTCTTTCTCAAGTTCTCTTTTGGGGTTTCGTCGGTTGTGATATGGTCAAGAATGAAAATGATACCAAGTCCAGGGTCGTTACGAAGTTATTGGGTTCTTTTTTTTTCGTTCTTCAGCAGCAGCAAGGGGTTCGCGGGTGGATCGTGGGATACGACGGACGGAAAAGAAATCGCTAGACTCGGAAGTGTTTTGGACACACTCGCAAAAGAAAAGGGAAAAAAAATTCCAGATTGTATTTGTATTTGTACCGAGTACGGACTATACCGGGGGTTAGACAAGAATCACTTTTGTGAGGATGATACTGTACGTACACAGTACCTACTCCGTAAGGTGTACTGTACCTTGGGGCCACCAGTTAGTTACCAACAGACAGGTAGGTAGGTACCTTGTGGTTATGAATTGGCCCTTTTTGCTTGTTCCTTTGCCCTTCACCTTTTTTCATTTTACAAGTATTGTATACGACAAGGGTGACACTACCCACGCACTTCCAAAGGTACGTACGTACACCACCTTACCTATCGTGGGAAGTAGGTAGGTACCTATGCATTTTGAAAAGAACAAAACACAGGGGTCCCTCGATTTGGCTCTAAAATCAATCAGGGAGTTCCAAGTACACACCGTAAGACACGACTGCTCGGTGCTCTATCATTGTAGCAAGTCATTCGAAAACAGTACAAGACAAAAAAGGCCGACCACCTGTCCAGGAGTCATTGTCGTGGGCCAGCCTGGTCATATTCATGTCCATGTTCATTTTTCTGGAACAACTCCAAGTTCCAAGTCCAAAACCGAGTCATGTTCATTCTATTCTTTTCTGTTGCCGTCTTCATCACCATCGTCGTCCATAAATCTCATGTTCCTTTTTCTTCTTGGCACCACCATCACTGGTTCTTTCTCTGGCTCGTTCTTTTCCGCCGCCACCACCACCACCACCACCAACATACGCGTCTTTCATACCCATACTCGTGCTCGAGTTCATCGTCGTCATATGAGATTGTGACTGAGATTGTGACTGTAATTGACTAGGCTCCAACAACCCTCTCCCTACTCTTCCACCAGCCGCCAAACCAACCTGAGACGACGAAACATCGACAGGTTGAGATCTTTCCGCGTCCCTCCCAAACAACTTCAGCATGTCCTGCAAGGTGAGCTTCATGGCACCCGTCTTGCCTTCTATGGTGGCATTGGCCAATTCCCGTTTCTTGTCTTGCAACTCCAGAATCCTCTCCTCGACCGTGCCCTTGATGGTGAGTTTGTAAACTTTTACATCCACGGTCTGATTGAGACGGTGGACCCGGTCGATGGCCTGTTCTTCGACAAACGGGTTCCAAAAGGGTTCGAGGATCACCACCCGGCTCGCGGCAGTGAGGTTCAGACCCAGACTGCCCGCGCGCAGGGAACAGAGCAAAACACGGGTCGAAGGGTCGGTGCGTAGACTGTGTAGACTCGCCTCGCGTGCATCGTTGCGCATCTTGCCGTCGTACCGGACGTACCTGATCCTCTGTTGTCGGAGAAACGGTTCGATCAGATCGAGCATCGACGTGAAGAAGGAGAAGACAATGTATTTGTGTTGGTGGGAGTCGGCTTTCAGGATCCCCAGCAAGTGTCGGATCTTGGTGGATTGCATGATGTTGGGAGACTCGCTCTCACTTGAGTCGTATTCGTCGTCGGAAGCAGAAACATCCTCCTCATCATCCTCGTCTTCATCACTACCGTCGTCGCCATCATCATCATCATCATCACTATCGACAATGACTCGTCTAGCCTCTTTGCGCTGTTTCTGAATCGCCGTTTTCTCCTTCTTGGCCATCTTCTCCTTTTTGCTCTTCTTGATCTTGGACACCTGCATATTTTGCTCTTCAAGATCCGCGTCGCATTCTTTACAGCGGATTGCACCATCCTTGGCTTCTTGTCTGGACAATTCCACCTGACACACATCGCATCGTCTGCTCTCCACACTCAGACCACCGAGCATATTCGCGATGCTGTCCATTTCGTCGTCAACACTCGCCTTGCGTCGACTGGGCGTCTGACTTCCTGCAGGATCAGTCTCGTTGCTCAAATCACTCCCTGTCAATTTCGGATGATTGCACGCCTGCCTCAACCTCATGAGCAGCACCAATGCCGACGCATAGCTCATCTTGTTGCCAGCCATCATCATCGCGAGGCTTCGATCCGTTCGGTTTTCCAACCGAGCATAGAATTCGCGTTCTTGTTGACTAAACTCCGCCTCGACTTTCTCGACCGTTCGCTCCACGATGTTGAATCCTGGCCCTTTTTTCTTTTCTCCGTCTTTTCCAGGTTGAGGTCCCTGTTTCAGAACGTCTTTGGTCCGTCTCTTCATAAAAGCCTTGAGATATACCTGCAACCGTGTTATCGCGAGCCCACCTCGCCCGTTAGACATAGGTTTCGTGATGCTCTCGCGCCACTGGTTGAGGTCATCGTATGGTTTGATTCGCAGAAAATGGATCAGACTCTGCAGCTCGTCGAGGTTGTTCTGCATGGGCGTACCCGTTAGACACCATCTGTACTCAGCATCAAGTGCGCATGCGGCTTTGGTGGCTTTGGCGTTGCGATTTTTGATGCTGTGCGCTTCATCTAGAATGATTCGATACCAGTGAACTCCAAAGCATCCCACCTTGAGATTTCCGCCAGACCCAGCGTGCTCAGAGGAGAGAGTGTGATAAGTAGTAATCACGACATCATGCTTCCTTAAATCCTTGAAGTTCTTTGTTCGATTTGGTCCGTGATGGACGACGACGCTCAATGCATGATCATCGTCGACACGGTCTTTGATTTCAGCTTCCCATTGCTTTATCAGTGCAAGCGGGGCCACGACCAGCGTTCCTTTGCCGATGTTTTCGGGTAGTTTTCGTTTCGATTTCTGGAGTTCTTCGGCGCTAGGTTTGGGGTTCGAGAGGATGAGAGCGATGGACTGGATCGTCTTGCCTAGACCCATGTCATCTGCCAGAACTCCGCCCTTTGGCAATACGCCACGGGTCTTTTTGGTGCCGGTCTCTTTGTCACACATCCAGTTTACACCATCGATCTGGTGCGGAAGGAGTTTAACCTTGAGGCCGGCAACAGTGCCATCATCTTCTTCATCTTCTTCTTCATGATCTGCTTGCTCTTCATTGCCTTCCTCGCCTTCCTCGCCTTTGACGCTCATGACTTTCAGTTTATCGGAAATCTCCTCGAGTTTTGTCTCCAGTTGCTTTTTCCGTCTTCTGGTCCGCGGCTTGTCTTCCTCATCTTCGAATGCTCCCTCAAGTAACGCTTTTATGTTCTCGTTTGCCTTGGCAGAATCAATATACGTGTAGGGGTCTGATGATGCGAAACGCTCGTCCTGCCAGTGACTCCGATTTGTAGCAAAGCCTATCTTATCCATAGTCATGTCAATGATGTTCTGTGGTCTGAAAAAAGCATTTGTGGACTGTTGGGATGAAAAGCTAGGATGACCGGCAGGGTTCGGTTGCCATGACGGCCAGTTAGAAGGCTTCGGGATCTCGAATACATCATCTATTGACCGTCTGGCTTGATGCGATGAGGCGGTCTGAGGTGAAGGTTGAGAAAAGCTCGCAGGTTTAGGGACCTCGAAAAGATCGTCGTCTGAGAGGCGCGGCTTGGACTGGCTCGAGGCGTTGTTAATGTTTCGAAATGCGTCTAGGGGGTTTGCGATAACATGCGGTTTGTGCAGTTCTGGTCTTTGAGAGGGTTTCTTTGAAGCAACGAACAAATTGGAGTATTTATCTGACTGAGGCTTGTTGTTCTGTCGTGGCACTGATACGTTTGCCGCCGGTTTGACAAGAGGTTGCGTTCGTGAATACGGTTGTGGAGAGGCACCCAGTGCTGAAGGTCTGCCGAATTGAGGTTGCTCTGGTGGGTTCTGCAAGGTAGGGTAGAGTGGTTGCGGACGGCCCTCTGGCCGGTCATCCTTCTCTTGAGGCCTCGCAGGAGGCGCCGCATTACCCATGGATGGTGTAAGTGGGTTTCGAGCTGGCGCTTGTTCTCGCACCATGTCGATCGAAAAGATAGAGAAGTCGTAGGATTGAAAGGAGCTTACGTCTGCTCGAATCCAAAGACACGGTTTAGGGATCGTAGACGCAGAATAAGCCCTCAGATGCGTTCTTTCGAACGACCAGATCCTTTGAGGGGTGCCGCAAGAAATGACTGCCTGTGACCCAATTGCGCGCTACCTCCTCGGTTGTCAGGACAACCAACGCGAACACTGTATGAAGAGGCACAAGGTGCCGGCAAGAAGAAGAATAACTCAGTGCGATTTCAGTACACGATCACTCAATGTTTGCGCTGGATTCTGGAAGTAATGCGCTTGATGTGCGTTCCAGGCAAAATCCGCGGCCGTTGATGTCATCGTCAACAAGGACTTTTGAAACTATTGAATTGATACTAATGCAGCCTTGCGCTTCATTGAGCCTTGTGCGCCAGACATGCCCTCTCGACTGCGGAGTACAGGCGTGTAAAGGAAAGAAGATTGAACAAATCAAGGCCTATATCCTGGTATTAAATGTATACAACATACATCCAGAATAAGTGAGAAAGTCGTTAGCATAGGAGATTCATCTCAGGTCATTATCTCAAAAGGTTCACTGTGCCAGTAGCGCCACACCCCACGACCATCCCGTCAACCGAATGCAGGGTATTCGACCTTTTGAACGGCTCGACGAGCAAGATAGCAACTTCATCCAGCTGCAGCTCGAATGACGCCTTCCCAGAACTTTTTCAAACCGAGAACATGTGCCCGAGTCGGATGCACGCAACCACCGTTGGCCAACTCCCTCTTTTCCTCGGCCTGTCTAGCCATTTCCATTTCCCTTCCCCATCGCGCCTGTGCCCTTCTCTTCTCCAGACTTACAGTATCGATCTTTTCTGCTCTCTCGAGCGCGAGCTTTCGTGCCGCGAACCGCCTAACCAGCGTCTTGACCGTGTTTCCCTCAGCAGCCTCCAACTCATCCGCTTTGCGTTTCTGTGCCTGCAGACCTCGACCTTCAACCCAGGCTCGTAGACCATCTTTCAAACTCTCCCGTATGACCTTTCGCCGCGTAGCCACAATCGCTGGCGAGACATTGCGCCTGGCGCATTCCTCAGGCATAATGTTCAGGGATATGAGACTGTTCATACTGGGCCTCCGCTCGAGTTTCCTACCGAGACCGTCCATCAGCCGCCGCCGTTCGACTGCTTGCCGCGACTGAATCAGCGCCGGGGACACGAGGGAGGAGTATGTGGTGCACGTAGACGGCAGGATGGACCGATCCACCAAATCACGCGGACTTGGTCTGTGTTCAAGGTTGTGACTGAGTCGTATGCGAACCAGACTCTTGCTGATTTGTCTCGACAGGACATTTGTCTTGCTCAGCCATATCCAAGAATTAGGTGGGCTTATGGACGACTTGAGCGGTCTCCTTGCCAGAGCAACAGACAGAGTGTAAGAGGCATGATGTATACGTTCGAGATGCAAAAGAGGGTCGCAAGCAACGTCGCGGAGGACATGGCAAGTCCGGCTGAGCTGCAGCAGATCTGGCACGTCGAGGAAAGACAAGATGCACAGGAGCACCTCGGGAGGTAGGTGATTCAGCGATAGCGACATGGTTGATCACGCCGGGAGCTTGTTGAGCCGTGATACTCGCAGCAGGGTGAGATCGAAGCTGTTGGTAAGTACGGAGTAGCGTCGACTGCTTACATTGAGCAATATGACACTGTGAGACAGTCAGTGTTTGGGTTGTAAGGAATAGAACACTGCCTGTTTGGAAGACGGGTGTGGTAGGGGCACAGTACGGAGGTGTTAGGGGTGTGTCACAGGCAGAATCGGGAAAGGGAAGAGGGTCGCGTGGCTGGGGCTCATGAGACGATTCAATGTAATGACGCACTTCCACCCCAATCTAACACCGAGCACAATCCTGGATCACGAATAATGACAGCCTTGAAGGCACACAGCCTGATACAGCGACGACTTCATTGATGAGATGGGATGACTTGTTTGGACGACAATAAAAATGAGCTGGACTCAAACCATACAGAAGAACTAGATGCCTGTTTCCGTTCGGATTCCCATCCCGTCAATTGACCCATTTCGTTACACCAGGCGCCCATGTATATAACCAAACATCGAGATAACGCCCTGTGCTGCATTTCTGCTCGTAGTCATCATCATACATCCTCCATGGTTCCAGCTGGTTCATCCTCGCCGTCGCTATCAAAGTCCTCAACCTCACTCAATTCCCCATCTGTCTCGTTCTCGTCCTCATCAGCATCCGCGTGGATATTCGTTGCATACTGCGTAATATACTCTGTCCTTGATGTTAGTACCTTGGTCCGTCATCTTCACTACATCCTTGACCCACCTTTGACCCTCGCATCGTAGCTCCGCGGCTCTCTCATCAGCAATGCTGCCGCTTCTCCGTTCAACGGGTCTGTCGGATTGGGGTATCTGAGGAGTTGGGGTAGGAAAACTTCGAAGATGTTGATCATGTCGAACATAGGTGACCAGGTCTGGTTGATGACATCTAGACATACCGACCCTGACCTGTATGCTCAGTCAGTGCCGGCGCTTCTTGAATCTCTTTTCCAGTCCAACTACCCACCCCTCGTCAATGTTTGGATGGAAGATCTTGTTGACGAAGCCAATGGAAGGCGATTTGTATGGATACTGATCGGGTAATTCGACGTGAACTTTCCATTTCCCTTCTGCAAAAGGTGCTACAAAAGCACAAGTCGTCCAGTCAGTCTTCGTTCGTCTTATGGTATCGATCAGTGCCATCATTGGGCATATGAAATAGTGGTCATGCTCTTACTCTCTGATGGTCCTTTGAATATGACATAGAACTCTTGCATGTTGTCATTCACCAGTGTCACCTCGTAGTCGCTCATCATGAGCTTCATCACATCTGTCTCTATCCTCCGCTTGGGACTACTCATGGTGGTGCAGGGGGCGGCTGTGCGCGGTGTCAAGTGGTGAGCAGTCCTTTAAGAAATGCTCGACTTGGAAGTCTACAGTGCCTGTGAAATGTCAAGACTCAGAGCGCGGCTTTGTCGCCGTTACGAGGGGATCGGATAGACAGTCGGTGGTGGCAAACAAATGGCGATGCCGGAACTGACTAGGACTGGCAGAAAGCGGAGGAGGCTCGGATACGCGGATTGAATGCGGACTTGCACTTGACGATATAGGGTGTAGGGATCGCGAGAGAGATCAAGCCACTGGAGGTAGATAGGTCGAGGGCTTTAGGGTGTCGGAGGCTTGAGGCAGAACAGTTGATTAGGAGATACGGCGAAGAGTGAAAGTTGTAGGATGGCTCAAAGGACGATTGATATGCAGTGATGCAGTTCGGTGAGCGGATTGGAGCCAACGACGTGGGGAGGCTCATGCCCTCTTATGGCTGTCCCTGACCATCCCGACCCCGGGCGATCGAGCCGCCTATCACGGTGCTATTCACTTACGGTACCTGCACAGCGGTACTTCACTCACACGGAGCAGGTCAGCTGGTTTCCAGCGCATGGGCCGCGACTTCAGGGCTGCTCACTGTCACTTACGAGGCTTTGACTTGGAAACCCAATGGTGGGGGACAACGTGTGAAGGGAACCATCCTTTGATGGTCACATTCGTCGGACTGATGACGAGCATCCAGTCACTCTGACCTGAACGTGCTTATCCATGGCTAACATGTATCTCATTCATGAGGCTGCCTCGTGCCTCATTGGACCAGAACAGAAGTGTCTGGCTGCGACAACATCCGGACTCGTGCGAGTGCAAGTATGAACAGTTCGGGCGTAGAACGAGGCCTGGCATCCGTACTCCGTAGCCCTCGGCAATAAAATGAAGCTCCCAATGACGCCTAAATGGCCCTATGATTGGAATGGGTTTAGCTTTGGATTCCTCCAATCGTGCTGTCGCCGAGGCTCACGGTTACGGGCCACAATAACCTCAAGGGATCGTTTCTCAGAAATACGTTATAGAATACAGCACGACAACAATAAAAACAACGACTTTCCTCAGGCCGCCGCGATAATTTCTTCTACGCTATGAGTCAGAGTCAAGAGTCTGTCTTTGATCTCTCTCTACAATTTCATCCATCCAGTTCGAAACCCGGCTGAAACAGACAGACAAACATGGCTTCGGTAACCTGCGCACGCAGGTCTTACCAGACCTTCTTCACACGGCCTCGTTACAGAACAGTGACCTCGCAAGCAGCCTGCACACGGCAACAGACTAGATGGAGCTCACATGCCCCTTCCTCTCCCGCTCTACTCGCCAGAGGACAGAAGCCGGTCACCATTCAGACTCTACAGAAAATGTACGCCGACAAGTCTCCAATCACGATGCTCACCGCCCATAATTTCCCCTCGGCCCTCATGGCACAAGAAGCCGGCATGGACATGGTGCTGGTGGGTGACTCCCTGGCCATGGTGTCCCTCGGCATGCCAGACACGTCCGAAATCACACTCGACGAAATGATCATGTCTGCCCGAGCCGTCAGCCGAGCCGTCAACCGATCCTTCACCGTCGGTGATCTTCCCATGGGCTCCTACGAAATCAGCCCCGAGCAAGCCCTCGCCAGCGCCATTCGCATGGTCAAAGAAGGTCGAATGCAGAGTGTCAAGTTGGAAGGCGGTGCCGAGATGGCCCCTCAGATCAAAAAGATAACCACGGCTGGAATTTCCGTGTGTGCACATATCGGTTTGACACCGCAACGACAGCACGCCCTAGGCGGGTTCCGAGTTCAAGGGAACACCCCAGGCAAAGCCATGGCTTTGTATGAAGACGCAAAAGCCGTTCAAGATGCTGGTGCGTTCATGCTGGTGCTTGAATGTGTACCCCCCGATGTTGCAGAGGAAGTAACCAATGCCTTGGTCATTCCGACCATCGGTATCGGTGCTGGAAACAAGACGAGCGGCCAAGTCCTGGTCCAGATCGATATGTTGGGTGTTCGACCTCCTGACTCGTTCATGCCGAAATTCGTGAAGAGGTACGGTTCCGTATGGGACGCTGGTGTGGCCGCGATCCGGCAATATAAAGACGAGGTCACCGATCGAAGCTATCCTACCGCACCGTATGTGTACAAGAGCGACGCCAAAGTGACTGAGGCCTTCAAAGCGGCATTGAAGGGAAACGAGTCCTGTTGAGATTTTGTTGTTCTTGATGGCAATGTTAATCGCCTATAGGAGAGAGTGCGTGACCTTAGGGGGAGTTTCTGGCGATGAAGAAAAGATTCCCGTGGATTTTCATAGCGTACGACTTAATTTATTGTTCGTTGCGTTTGACGTACCGTACTCTCAGAATTTCTGACTCGTCATCCAAAAGCGGGCGTGGTAGAATAGCTAACAATCAACTGATCGTCTGTTTTGAAACACTAAAAGGTCAAGTCAGCACAGGTTTTCTTTCTTTTCTCTTTGAGCTTTCCTCTCGTTCTGGTAAAGGGGAAGAAAATGGAATAAGAACGAACCCGAAACAAGTTCCCTACACTCTCGTCCAAACCCGGAGCGAAGACGCTGTTGACGTACAGGAACAATCCATCTCCAGGTTTCGCGCCGATCTTTTTCCTCAAAAAGTTCAAGACGACACTGAATTTTGAGGATGCGCTGATTTTGAACACTCGTTGTTTCAATATCGGTGCCGAACCCAACGGTTGAAATCGAATTGATACTAATTGTAAGAAAAGAGAGTCAGCCAGAAAGAACTCAACAAGAGTACTTACACAGAAGTACACCTGAGTAGATAGAGTGTACACATGAAGTTGATCAAGATATGTGACCTGGGATTAAAGGGGGAAAAGAAAAGGTAGACCCGACATACTCTTTTTGTCATCCAATTCCTCAACCTCCTTCAAAGCCTCACTGGCATCTTTTGGTAGATTTGTCAATATCACACTGGCAGTCATACTCATTGGTAAATCTCCCTTTTCTTCGTCTTCGTCGTCTTCGTCGTCGTCGTCGTCATCATCACCGTCATCACCGTCATTGTCAGCTCCTTCATCGTCATCGTCATCACCATCTTGTTGCCTCTTTGCTCTTTTTGTTGTTGCTGCTGATACTCTGCCTCGGACACCAACGCCAACACCAACACCAACGCCGTCCCCCTCAGGGACATTAGCCTGCTCGACGCGGTTTGCCCTCTCCAGGTCCATGTTGACATCACCTTGTAGTTCTTGTCGAGCTTGTTTGTCCTGAGAGGCTGTCGTGCGGGATGACCGTCTAGGCAGTGATGGTGATTCCATCTTGTCTAGACACCTTGTCAAAGGCTTGTGGACTTACAACCTGAAACACAAGAAACCCCACAGACGAACATAGAAGCAAAAGTCAAGTTTTATTTCTATGAACCAACAAGGCACATCGATAATGAATACGAAGTGCGCCGTACAGTGGCAGCTGCTTGATGTCTGACTTGTCTTAAAGCGGCATGAATAACTCCATCCAGGCATTATTCACTGTGAACTTCGTATGCACATCCATTCATTCTGTGAAGCTTAGTTTCTAAAACTTCTCTCAATGATACCAAATATTCATCATCAGCATTTGGATATAATTGCCATTGATTTTTTCATCGTACAGTACATCATCACCGCCAGGAAACGTGTGAATGAGCCCCCTACCGCTCAACAATGTATCACCTAAATGAAAACCAACCTCTTCGCGCTAGCTAAAGCTTTCAATACCTCTCACCAACTTTGGAGTCATCTCACTCGACTGTCGAGCTCGACTTACTCGCCTCTAATGAGATCGGCTACCTCTAGGAGACTCGGCAATCTCTTCTTCTGCTTAATACTTTCCAACCACTCAAGCATGACAGCCTTCTCGTGGTCGTCATCACCCTCACGATATCCGAGTTCGACAAGATGCTGATAGTCCTGTCTCTCTCTCTGCAATCCTCGATATGCAAGCACGGCGCTCTTTCTTCTCTTTGCATTCGGTGAAGAGCCATGGTCGCTGGATCTCTTACGGATTGCAGACGGATTTGGGTCAGCACCGTTGTTGTTGCACCGCCATTTTCGCAGGGCAGTCCTAGCCTTTGCCGCTTCAATTCGTTCCTCCAGCCCAGTAAGTGTGCCTTCTATCGTTTCAGAGTAAATATACTCGATTGCATTGTGAAGGGACCGTGGTAACCAATCGTTTGAAGTCGCATGGCTCAGCAATTTGCAGAAAAAATCGTCCGCTTCTCCTTCTCGCTCCACCTCTGCCACTATTCGGAGGAGATAGTGGTCGATTGCAGTTCCAATTTTCTCGATGCGTTGACTCACTCGCAAGAGGGCTGGTTTCGGGAATTCACCTTGGACCTCGTGCGCAATTGCTGCCGACGGCATACCATGCAATGCGAGAAAGAGTACCTTCTTGACGATATTGGAACTCAGGACTCGCCGAAAATTAGCGGGCAGGACTTGGACCTTTGCGAAAATACCCAAGACATTGACTATCTTCGGACCTGGTTGGAACTCTTCTGAGAATAAACCTGGAAACTCTGTCACATCTGTTTCAGCTGGAGAAGCACCCACGAACTGCTCGCTGCCCACAGAGGGTCGATCGAGCCGTTTGGGAAGTTCCACAGCATGATTCTGGGTGTGACTGGCTCTATAAATTTCTAAGAGATCTCTCTGGATATGTTGACAAGAGATACCTCGAGTATCGGTTTCGACTGCACGATTCTCATCATGATGGACAATATCCAATTCTGGAGTTTGAGTAGTAGGACCACCAATGCCGCGGACAAAGGTCTGATTATTGGACAAAATTATGTCAACATGACCTGGGCACCCAGTCTGATAATCACTTTGATGACCTCCCAAATTTGCAGCGTTATACTCCAATGCTTCAAAGAATCCTTCAGGGCGGCCCATGCCTCTGCATTGAGTGGTGGATTCTGCAGCAGACTGGAGTGCTCGATAGGGAATGAGAGGGTAGCCTTGCTTAGCCTGAATCCCGGAGTAGTACACGCGGAGACTACTGTGGTACTTGGCGACAATATTGGACTGCGAAGCTGTCGACTCGGGTTTGGTCGATTTGATTTGATCCTCGATTTGAGCATCAATTCCATCTAGTCGAGACTGCTGCTCATCCAGGAATGCCGGATCTCTTCTTGTTGCAATTGTCGAGAACTTCATGCTGAGACCAAAGGGCAGCCTACTTTTCCATGCAACCTCAGCCGCCTTGCTGAAAGCATACTGGTTCAAAAACTCAATTCCCGGATATTGTTGCATCCAAGCCAGTACCACAACAATATTTGCATAAATTTGAGCATCGTCGAAAGCCATCGGGTGTCGTTTCCGGTACTTGACTTTCATGTTTTCTGCGAAGCTGAAGATCGAGCGTTTTACTTCTTCACTGCGAAACCGGTCAGGTTGCCTAGTTGTGTCGATTGTTTGGACTGGCTGGGCTGCGGCATGGTCGTGACTTGGGTGCGAGCTCAGAAATCCAGGTCGGAGTCCAGTGTTCATGCTTTGAGCAGCATTCGTCATGACATCCATCATTCCAGAACGATCGGACAATTGAAGCTGATCATTGTTTCTTTCAAGCCGTCCTGATGCTGTTTGGATTCCATAAAGATGATATGTTGAAGGATTTGAGTCATGACGTGGTTCCAGTGATCGGTTCTGAACCGGATGACCTTGCTGTGATTGAGATGGAGGTAGGTTTTCCTGGTTTCGTTTTTCCGCTTTACGTTGTCGATCCTGATGACTGAGCATCTGTGACTGGGGGCGATGTCCGGAAAGATGATTTGCTGGGAGAAGGTGAAGAGTCTGCTGAGCCAGACCCGCTCTGGCTTCGCAGCCGTTGTTGTTGGAATGTATGCGCATGTCTGGACCAGCCCGAGATGTATCTGTAGGGAACTCCTCGACTTTGATGACTGGTTCCGGACGGTCATTGACTTCGCGATTCTCTCCACCATCATCCCGGGTGGCAGGAGGACCAGAAGGAAAGGCCATTCTTGGCGGTGACGAGCCCTTGGATCAAAGTGGTGATTTGTGACTTCCTATCACTGGAGCTACTGTTATCACACTCTTCTTCTTGAGTAAGTCTTGTTGTTGCGATGACCTGGCGAGACATGAAAAAGGTGTCGAAGGGGGGGTTATATACCCGCGCATGGTGTTGTTGTTTATCTTCTGCAGTGAATGAGGACCGCGAATGTGACGTGACTTCGGCGCTTCACCACGTAGGGTAGTGAAGTGTCCTGCTTGCTGACGTGTCCGGGCGGTGACTATCTGCTGAATCAAGAGATGGCACCTGGGAGAAGGGGTATGTGTCGATGTGAGAGAAGCAAAGCATCGTGGTGAACAAGGGAGTATCTTGACTGGGAGATCGATGCTCTTTTATGAGTTGAGATGGCTGCTACGAGATCATCCTCCAGGAAGGTATATACACGCTCATTGAAGCAGGAGCGAATCACGATTACCTACGCGTCTTATATCCAATTCACGGGCAGCGACGTGTCTCAGAAGGCAATGCAGAAGGTGATATGAAACGGGGCTACAGCGCTTCAATGTATGTTCATTCGTGTATCGCATATGATCCAATCCTTCATTTCGCACTGGCTCACACCTCGCTTAGTGCTGTTCATTACCCATTGATCCGAAAACTCCAGCAAAGATGCATCGTACTCTCACATAATCTCAATAACTTTCGGACAAGTCGCTGAAGTCAGGGACGTCCGAGTCACATTTGAAAGAGGGTGAGTATGCCTTTGACGGCAATATACCCGCCTTGAGACCCAATTCCCAACTCCACTGCACCGCACTCTCAGTCTTCCAAGTCCAGTAGAACCAGCCCCATGCTTGCTCAAAACTGTGCATCTGGGCTTCGGCATACATCTGCAAGAACTGCTTGTACGAGTCGGTATAGGTCTTGGGATCAGCATTGGCCTGGGCGCACGAGCACGGTGGCTCGGGACAGGTTGGTGTCAAGACCGCCGTCTGCGAGTCTCCTGTATTGAGAGTGCCGGTCCATCTTGAGCCAACACCGACATCGTTCAGATACTGCGCACAATCCGTGTCTGCTTGTGACCACTCTCCATCAAGGATCGGTCCCCAACCAGTGCTGGGATTGTTGGCGGCCACCATCAACCCGGTCCAGCCCGAACAAGCCAGGTTGATTTTGTCTTGATGTTTGAGTTTGAGCTGACCAGTGTTGAAAATCTGATATTGATGTGTGTCCATCACAAGTTTGTTGTCAACGCCATGGAACATGTCGTCCCAATCCGTCAAGCTGAGGAACCCATCGCCAAACACGATATGCTGAGTAATGCCATTGTCTCGAATGATTTTGATGGCCTGCTTGTTCCAATCAAGCACCTGGTCAGGCGGGATCACTAGCATCTTCGGTTCGTTCACCAGTCCATAGATCGTGAGTACATTCTTGTAACGGTCTTGAGCAAAGAATTTCGAAAGTTGGTTGTGAATGTCCAACGACCTCTGGGCATTTGTTGCTCCGTCCGTCCCGATGATCCAGTTGATAGAGCCTTGATGACCAGAATGTGCCCAACCATTCTGGCTTCCAGGAACTGCGTGCAAGTCAAGATTCACCCGTAGGCCATTCTGACGAGCATACTCAATCGCTCGGAGCAGGTAGCGCCACGCAACCTGCGGCACGTACGGATCTCCGGGATATGTCGTGACAGCCCAGTAAGGATAGGGTATCCGCACATGATCCAGGCCCGCATTTTTGATGTCGATGAAGCTTTGTTTGGTGATGAAGGTCGCATAATGTTGCTCGATGGTCCGTTTCGCTGCCGAAGGGCCTAGTTTGTCACACAGAGTCCACTCATCCACCACACCTGCTGAAGAAGGGTAGTCGAACATTGAGGGTGTGATGAAGGGCTCAAGGTCCAGCCATCCGCCCACGTTGACACCACGTATCGGCACCTTTCCGTAATCCCATTGCTCGTTCAGCGCGGGGACGTTATCATTCGCTTTCGTCGAATCGTCCCAGTCAGAGTAGAGCCCCATGACCGACAGACCACCCACGGTCTCAGCTGTATACGTGCAATTGAAATCCGTGGTGTCCAGCCAGGTTGAGATGTCTGTATACGTCCCCTTTGCACTCGCCGGAACCGAGCTCCCATCGCACTTGTTGCTCGGATCAGGGGTCGAGTTTGACGTGCTCGTCGAACTCGACGAACTCGAAGAGCCACTTGACTTCTTATTGTTGTTGCTCACAACCACCGCCACAGGGATGAAGATCGCAAGCAACACCACAAAAATGATCAACAGCCACCAGAACTTTTTCCGTGACCGCTTCTGTGTGTGTTTGTGTGCAACTTCGTAGCCTTCCTTCTCATAGGCAGCGCCCCCTCCTCGTCTGGTGACTTTTTGGTGCCTTTGGCCCGCTCTCCCTTCTTCCAGGATAGCACCACTGACATTGCGATTCTTCTTCCGTCGTTGCCGTTGATGCTGCGCTCCGGCCCCTTTCAGATTCTTGTATTCTTTCTTCCTCCGTTTCTGCTCCTCGTACTTCTCCTGAAACTTGACCTTCTCATTGTGCGCGTTCAATTTCGCCAGTGCATTGCTGCTCAAGAGTTGACTGGTGCTGTTAGTCGAGTTCCCAGAGCTATACTTTGCTCGGTCCCTTTCTTTCCTCACGGCAGCGCCGCCAGAAGCCCGGCGTCGGTCGCTCGTACGGTGATGCTTCTTCTCCGGAGACGGAGACGGTCTGGGTGAGGACTTGGCTTTCTCTTTCGGCGTCCGTTTCGGTGTGCGCGGTGCATCATCGTCTGTGTCATCGCCTCGATTTCTCGGTGGTGCTGGGCGGGAGTTGGGTGGTCGGTTGAATGCAGGGCGTGTGTCGGCCCTCGCCGTGGACTCGCGGCGAGGTTTCGGCATGCAAGTGTCGTCGAGGTATAGTTATTCTCATATCAGTGACAGTCTTGAAGCGGACGGATCAGAAGTTGGTAAGTTCCTCTTGTCTGTGCTCGAGTCACTCGTGTTACGACAGCATGTGGTACGAGGCGAGTTGTTCATGCGAGTACGCGGCCGTGGGTCTTGGATGTCGAGGATGTCACTATTTTGGGGGAGTCATTGGCCGGGCAACGGTACTGCCGACGGCCAACTTTTTTCCTCTGCTACGCTCCACATTCGGTATCATGCTGGTGAGACACGATAAGTGATGCCTGGAAGACGGACTTTTCTTTTAATTTCCATTAATCATAGGCGCACACGATTACCAGTGATCGTAATTACAGTGGGTGATGATTGCGGCTCTGCTTGTTTTGCTAATGACCTCAAGGGGCCAACAGCCTTGTCACGTGGATCATTCAGGAACTGCCGTCTTGCGATCACCAACAAGAAGGGACGCGACACTTGTGCGAAGTTGTGTTGAGGATAACGAGTCTCGATAGGCTGTGGCATATAACAGTGGCAAAGGTAGAGTGTACGTGAACATTACCGAGAATAATATACTACGAAATCTGTCGGTATGCGAAGAGCGATAGCAGGCATGGTGGCCATGAAGGGCACAGTAAGTCCTGAACATTGTGGGATCCGTTTTGAGCAAAGATGGTTGAACTTGACGAACACGCCGGAAGACGTGAGCAACACGTTGAGACCGAGAATGCAAATATCTAAGATTTGAAATAGCAGCAGAGTTTCCCGCTTGAACGCTCTCATATACCAAGAATATACTAGAATAAAGTATGCTCGCCGGGACAAGTCAATGGAGACCAAAAGTGTCCCTGCCTCATCCCTGGATCGAAGTGATCTAAGAAACCTAGCTTGCATAGACTGGCCAGAATAAGCAAGGTCGTATGAGGAATTGATCAGATGGAAACTGTTCGGCGAACTATGAACGGCCCCATACATTATCCTCTTCGATAAGGCTGCCGTATCTTCCAGTACTCTCAAGATGCTCATCATCTTGAGCCTCCTCCTCCTCCTCCTCCTCCTCGACGGCGCGTTCAGGAGGGGGGTGTTTGGCAGGCACCGAGCTAGGGTCAAAACCTTCACGGATTTCCTGGCCCTCAGGATGTTCCTCGTCAATGCTATAGGTGCGTACAAATCGCTTGGCCGGACCTCGATTCCAAGTATCACCGCCTTCTTTTCTAGCACGGACGCGCTCTACTTCTTCGGCCTCGGTGTCTTCGACAATCAGATCAACGATCTGGCTCCGGTCAGATCTGCCGGACGATTGTGAGAGGTCACGTTTCAACTTCGATTCTATTCCGCTTTGTGGCGGGGGCCCATCGGATGAATGTTGAGATGGTGACGTGCTCCTATTTTTTCCTTTTCGAAGCGTATGCTGGATTTCACTACGGCGACGGTTTCGGTTGTCTCGCGTCGGTTGAAAGAGGTTACGGTTGGTGGAAGTCGTCAGAAGGCCGGGGTCGCGCCTGAGCCAGTCTTCTCGTCGAGCTTGGTGAGCTGTAATAACAGGATACTTTTGGGAATTAGTAACGACACATGTTCTTAGCGGTGGACAACCTACATTCCAATCACCAAACTCTAATGCTCTGGCATTGGTGTAAAGTCGCTCATCTTCGGCATCCATGCCGACCTCAATGTCTGGTTCCGCTGCTCGATAGTCGTGCGCATGTCCACGAGCTTCTGGCGCTGGAGGCCGTGAGGAGCCGTTTCCGGAAAGAAGTGGTGTTCTCGCACTCGGGGCCTGTGGTTTAGGAATCCAATATTTAGCTTTACCGCCTCTTTCGTAACGCATGCCATCCATCATTCTGGCGACCCGCGAGTGAGAGTCTTCATGTGCGATGACATTATCACCAGAGTCGAAAGTTCGGTAGTCGTACTTCTTGCCACGGAATGTTTCTTTCGTGTCTTCAATCAGATCCCTCGGGCCAAATGCGTCTCTAAGCGCAAACTTGACAGGCATCCTCGCTGCGGAGATTGTTACATCTGCATAGTCGTGCCACGAAAAAGCGTACCAATGAGAGATAGCAAAAATGGGCATCTCGAAGCATATCAATGCGTCTTGAATCGCCGCTGCCAGATTGTCTGATGTGTAGCCGGGAACATCGTTGGGGATGGCCCCCAAGAACTGCAGAATCGAGAGAAAGAATCCTTGCCAGTATGAGGCGAAAATGATAAGTTTGATGCAGAGAAATTTCGGCATGGGCCGGAAAGGCTTCAGGTCCTGGTGCATGCAGACCCAGAACATCGCCAGGGAATACAAGCTCAAAGTGACACTGACATTGTAGGCAATTCCGATCCACAAGTATCCCGAGTTTAACGCGATGTATCCCTCATGATACGTACCAGTAAGCTTCAAGATGATGGTGAGGACGCTGAGAATTGGCTTCAACCATGTGTACTGTAGAATGCCTCGCTTAATGGCGAGAAAGGTGTGCGGGTCCGAGATATCAACCTTGGAGCAGTAAAGGTTGATTGGCCAAGGATGAGACACAGGTGGTCTACCGTGCATCATAATGATCAGGGAGCGTTCGCCTCCAAGGAAATTGACCAGAAGTTGAAGAAAGGTGTATATGGTGAATGCTTCATATATATCGCGGAGAGGATCAAGATAGAACGCCGCCTTCAAAGACACAATAGAACTCCACGATGCAGCTGCGTAAATGGGTACCATAAGCAGTATCCTTATTACGTATCGTTGGAGCAGAGGTTTCCTGTAATTCTTTGTCTGGAGCCATATCGACCTATATGTCACTTAGAACTGCTCGTGTTCGACCGAGGAAACCACATACAGAAAAGATATCAACGAGGCCACGAGCGAGGCGACACCCGCCAGTATTATGGTGACTCTGGCAAGTCTATTGCCCGTTCCTCCACTGCTTTCTGCGTCCGACATGGTGCCGGAAGATGCTTGAAGAGTGAGAGGGTCGTGGCGAAGGTGATGAGGAAGCTGTAGCTGCTGGCTCAGGCTACCTAAATATGCACGGGTACATCTCGTGGAAGCATCGACGGCGGCCGGACATGGGAGGAATGTAGGATAGTAGCGATCTGGTGGTGTAAAAGGACCGTAAACAGGATGTTGCAAAGTGATGCCTGCAATCTATTGCACATGATAGAGAGAGACACGCGCAGTCTGGGAACTATTTATTACGACGACTGACGGAAGACAATACGGATCGCGTACACCGAGAATACTGCTTATCTGTGTGAAATACAATGTCAATTACTGTCACTTACACAATTTCGTACACTTTTGCGGGGAAATTGATTCGGGCTCTGATGTCGATGATCTTCTGTACTCGTAATTCGTGCCGCAGCTGCATTCAACGCGCTCCACGTCCAACATTTTGTACAGCCGACCTTTTCAAGAGAATCTTCCCTTACAATAGCAATGTCACCAACGACTCGGCCCCGTATCTCTATATCTTGAAGCCATGAACGAAACGTCCCAAGGAAATTGCGACATCTACAATGTCGGACCTGAACAACCTGGTCGGACAACCCATCACTAGGGACACCTCTTTCAACTGGTATGCTGATGTACAAATGTATATGAATATTGGCTGACTCTTTGACCAGGACATGGTTCATTGAGATTGCGACTTGCGCCTGTCTGGCCTTGTTTTTCCTTTTCTACTTCAATCGCCTCTTCGCGACAGTTGTCTCCTACGGCCTGCGAGCGTGGACATGGCATAAGTACCGCATCTGGATTGATATACAGGCTCTGCAACTCTCATTCCTCGCTGGACGCATATTTTTCAAGGGCATACGATATCACGGAGAAAATGAAACCGTACTGATTCAGAACGGGTACATTACCTGGAGGTACTGGCAACGAACGGCCCGTCAAGTTGATTTATCGGGCTTGGATGATGATGACAATAACAAACTGAAAGAGAAGGAGGCTTCCGGTTCAGATGATTCCGAACAATCGGAGCCACTGTCGGCAGACCAAGAACTGGGCCGGACGCAAAAACCCGACACCGCCGATGCTCGAATTGCGATCAATGTCACAGGGTTGGAGTGGTTTGTCTACAACAGGACGCCGGTATACCAGGCCATTGTTAGTGACGCCACTTTGTCCAATCTGTACGATATAGATGAGGAATGCCATGAAAGTGACCACAAGCAAGGATCATTCCATGGGATGCTCCACCGACGGAAGAATGCCAGAGGACGATCTGAGGCCGGTCTCGACAGTGACTCCTCTACAGAACTGCCTACGGAGAAAACAGACCGTGTCGTCACTCGAGATGAATTAAATGTACCTGTTAGTCGCATCAACACCGATACCAGTGTGAACACAGATGCCGACCTGCCCGCAACTCAAGTATCCTCCTTTTATTCGTTGCTCCTGCGGTTCTTGCCGATCGGAGTTGAGGTATCAAAAGGTGCTATTACTCTTGGAAATGCCACTACAAGAGCAATTGTTGTCTCTACATTTGCGGCTGCACGAGGCCACATTGATGCCGCCGCCGCCGGCCCTTGTGACATATTTCGCCAGGTTTTTGACTTTGACATTGAACAGCCAAAGGTCGAAATGAGACCAAATCCAGACTTTCGCGCGTCGCAGCTCACAACTGCGGAGAGGGTCATATCAGCAGCTGAATCGGAAGCTGGTCGTCGAAGGTGGTGGCAACTCGACTTCGGCATTCGCCGACGTCTCGCCAGAGCCATTCGCAGCGCAAGACATCTTTTTCCGGGTCTACGGAGTTCGCGGGGATCTCTCCGAACCAATACGTCTGTTGATGACGAGAATAACAAACACTATTTTTATGAGGCATTTCCAGAACAAGATAGGTCATGGCATGGTCTTGGCCGGTATATGGATGACGATGAAAGAGATGACCACGAAGGCTGGTCCCATGTTGATTACGCTCGATTTTCCCAAATCTTGGAGTCGCCGAACGTCCATCTGAACTTCTACTGGGATCTTCCTGGCCAAGTCCTTGCCGACCATGTAGCCTTATCCGAGGATGTGCATACCGAAGATATCAATTGGTCTACCCCACCTGCCTACGGTCTCGATCTGACTGTGCACGGAGGAACTGTTAACTACGGTCCATGGGCTGATCGCCTACGCTTCGAGCTCCAATCAGCCTTCTTTCCAAATCCTTTCCGGTCGGCTACTCCATCATCCGCACTGAAAGTTGGGGATGCACGTCTGCATACGGTGATGAGCATTCGTGTCGATCTTGAAGATGAGGTCAACCTTCGCGTACCAACGAGAGAACGTTCAAAAGATTGGCAATGGAGAGGACGAGCACATGCCGTAAGAGAAGCTGCTGCTATTCGCAAGCAGCGGGAAAGAAGACACTTCCGCTTCCGTCGACCCCAGAAATCGAAGCTGGGCCCTGACTTGAGGCCATTTGGCTGGCTGACCGTCTCTGCGGGGAAAGATTCAACGGTCCGCTACGACATGGATATGGTCCCAAATGCGGAAGGCTATCGAAATCAATTGAGACTCGATCTTAAGGACACGAAAGCGACATCCAGTGTCAACCACGCACTATTATGGCGCTGTCAATCTCAGAAGGTCTCTTGTGACCTGTCTAATCCGCTCGTGTGGAATAGTTTGCATACATGGGTCTTTGATATCGAGAATAACGCCATGGAAATGTTCTTGTTGCGAGACCATATGTTCCTTCTCACAGACCTGATCAGTGACTTCACGGAGAGCCAGAAACCAGACTACATGACGTTCGTCCCTTACCTGTACCAGCTACATCTACAGTTCCCAGATCTGAAGCTCTATCTGAATGCGAATGACTACAATATCGTGGACAACCCATGCGACTTGGACGAGAATTCATTTCTGGTCCTCGGTTTCCAAGTCCTCGATGGGCATGTGGATATCCCCATGCAATACTTTTCGCCTCGTCAAAGCAGTGTCAAGTTCTTAGCTGAAGGTCACAACGCTTACCTCGATCTCAGCACTCCGGTTTGGAATACTTTACATACCCTAGCCGAGGACAAAACTATGGCTACTTTGAAACGCCTCGACCTCGATGGTTCTTATAATTACTATCCGCAAGTATCGCCAAAACTGACGGACTCTCTCTTTATGACAATCACTGGATCTACTCCAAAGTTCTACCTCCATGGATATTTGATCCGTTATTTTATGAATGTCAAAGAGAACTATTTTGGTGAGGACCTGCACTTCAGGACGCTGGAAGAGTACCAAGACATACTTGCTGGAAATGCAGTCAGGACGCCGCGTCCAGCGATGAAGAAAGAAAACGACTTAGACGTTATTTTAACTGTCCGAGCTGACAACTCCTCCGTCCTTCTTCCTGCCAACATTTACTCTCGAAGAGAGAATCTTCGAGTAGACGTCCTTCTAGTTGAAGCAGATATGCGGTTTACGAATTACTACATGGACCTCCAGGTCAATTCAAGTCCACTAGAGGCATCACTCGAGACGATCCAGAAGCTTGAAGCTGGACCTTCAGAGGACATCACCAACTGCCAGTTATTCATTGACGGCGCTCAGATATATGGCCATAGACTTTTCGGAGCGCCTCCCACAGAACCGACCTATGTTTGCTGCTGGGATATCGATGTTGGAGAGGCAACAGGCGAAGTCGATGCGAAATTCGTCCAAGTTCTCATCAATGCCATCACGAGTTTCATCTACACGCTGGACGATTATGATAATGCGTTGCCGAAATTGTTCACAACCAAGCTCCACGATGTAACCTTTTTGAGAGCAAGCGTCGCTGGGCTACGAATCTGGCTTACTGGCGGCGGTGCTGCCTTTCTGATAGAGTCCAATGGGGCAGACATCTCCTTGTCAGACTGGGCAAATGCGAACTTCGCACAGAGTGTTCAAGTCAATGTTCCACATGTTGTTTTGGCAGCCGTGGACCACAAGAGTGCTCTACGACATCATGGCAGAGAACCCGGTATTGTTGAGACTGTAGCTTACTTCCAAACTGCCCTGCGAATTTGCTCTCTTGACAAAAGCGACAACCTGAATCAAACGCGTTCTCTCCAACAACAGCATGTGAAGTACCATGATCAGCGAAGCCACAGAGCACAATGGATATTAGGCACCCAAAAGAGCTATCCACCAAACCATAAGACCCCTGAGTGGGCTCGGGAGCCACCTGCAATGCCGCTCCCAACGATGCCGGAACCAGTGGTTGGAGTCGAAGGGCTTGATGTATCAGCAACAAACGATCCTACTTATCCAGATCAGGCCATGGGCCGCAAAAGCTCATTCCTTTCCACGATGCCCTCTCTCCATGGTAGGCCCGTAGGGAATACCAATCTTGCCAGCAGATCAAGCAGAGATCCTAACTCGAGTCTCTCCCGACCGCTGGACCCCAGGCTCCGTTCATCCATGCTTCAGGATGGCTCTAAAGAGCAACTTGCCGACGCCGTCAAGAGCTCTTCGCTCCCAGAGGGAACTCATCCTGCATTGGCCTTCGCTGGGCCCTGGTCGCCGCCGCATTTCACGTTGCGAGATGTAAAGCCTGATACAAAGAACATGCCCACCGTATCAAGAGCGGAACTTACGGAAGCAGCTTCGCTCATGTCAGCCTCTAAAGCCGATTTTCTCCCTAAAGCAGATGACTTTGAAGGTGTACCTCACAATGGCGTCGTCTTCATGATTGACAAAGGGCTGACTGGTTTCTGTTCCCCGGCCCTGTTCCTTTGCATCGGGGGGCTGATACAGGAGTTAAACAATGACCATGCCATCAACCAATTGGATAAGATACAAGTCACATTGATGGAAAAGATCCTGGAAAGCCAGCGGCATGACGACAAGGGCCATGTTATGGACTTTGCCATCCATGTGCCATTTGCACATATTAAACTCCTCAATTCCTTGCAAGGTGGGCCACAAATCCAATCTTCCTCGGATGATCAGTACGATGTGAAACTTCTCGGCACACAGGCAATGTTCCGCTCATTGCATCCGCAACTTAACTCCAGATACGGAAAAATCTCGATGCCTAGTCAGTCTGCTTATGCATCCATTGAAAAGGTTACAGTCTCTGCTAGAGATGATGCATTTGCGGACAGAGCAGCTACACAGGCTGAAGTTTCATTGTCAAATTTTGGATTTTGGCTCTGCCTACAAGACAAGATCGACTCCAAGTGCCAATTGAGCAATTTCAGTGTTGTCCTTTGGGCCGAACAACTTGCCAATATGGCCGGGCTCATACAAAGGACTCTTTCCATGATTGACCGGATCGCTGACGCTTTCGTTGGTTTGGATCAAAGTCGCAAATCCAGACACCTCATATTTCATCTCACTCAAGGAGGCTCTTCAATCTCTGAGCCGATCTTTTTAACCAAACCTTCTTATGTCCTTCGAAGTGCAGACAAGCATGTGCGTCTGACAGACTCATGGAAGATTATGTCTCGTCTGAGGTATATCTTTGCAACTCTAGAGAAGGAAAAAGGTCCCAAGTCGATGAATAGCTGCGATTGTGAGGATCTGGAATTAAAGGGGCCTGCGTTGCAAAGAGTCCTGACTTCATTTGAGCAATGGCGAGGCTGGGACTACCGACGGGATACAGTCCCCATAATGAGCACACTCTTCGAAAATCAGCGTCCCGGAACATCAGCAAAACCACCTGGCAGTCTTGCTGCCCAGGGCGAAATCATAATTGGCAAGATCGAGGTCGTCCTTGATCCTGGCCCACGGCAGAGCGACTTCACACTTTTGGGCTTGGATTTTAATGTTGTTGTGAGCCCAGTGACGGCATTGCCCGGTGCTGAGGACAACAGCGAAAAAGTCATTCTCCAAGCTTATCTTGCCGATGCTTCCCTCAATCTCAACTGGGCCTTGGTAGAGCTGGCTCGCCAAATCATCGACTTGGGTAACCCTCTCGCGATGTTCCCAACCAGAACAAGTTCGGGCAGCAAAGTTGACTCTGATAAAACCCACTCGCGAAGACAATTTACTGTGGTGGTAGGGTCTGATGTGGCAGCAATATATCTTACGACTCTGAATCTCAAGTTGAAATGGGCATCCGAAGGCTTTCGAAGCGCGGTCTCTTTTGACTCTGGGGGCAGTCTTCCATCTGTCCACTCTTGGACAATCGCGGCAAATTCTGTCTTGACCAAAGTCAGAGGGCATTCTCATACACTGATGACTTGGAAATTGCGAGCACCGAAGGTGTATGGGTCGGTATGGCCCCGGCAATCGAACGACTCCCAAGAATCTGTACTGGTGATTCAAGTCTGTGCAGCATCTCGCAGGTATCGCTTCCAGCTGAAAGAAGACATTGCCAAGCTACTCGGTGTGGTAGAAAACGTTGTCCATGATGAAGCTGCTGCAGTCTATGACCTACTTGGAATGCTACCAAAGGATTCGAACCCTGAGCCTAAAAAGATGTCACGGCCCCTTGCTGCTTCTATCGAGCTGCGGACCGCCTTGTTCTTAGACGACTACCGACTCAGCTTCGCGATTGTGCCTACCTTGCTCTATACTATAGCGGGCAATGTGGCCAGAACCTCCATTCTACCCCGGAAGCATGGTAGTCTTGAAATCAACTTTGACATTAAAGAGCACGAGCATTTGTTTGAAGGCCCACATGTCGATACCAGGAGCAAATCGTCGATCTTGAAGATGCCGCCCATAAATGGCCGTCTGTCTATCGCACAGACTACTAGTGTCATGTCAATAGGGGCGCGAGTTACGATTGAACAGATCAACTTGGAAGCAAGTGGCATCCGAGCCTGTTTTGATGCGCTCAATCAACCTGGTGTGATTCAGCAGCTTTTGGACACTAAGCGAGCTGTGCAAGATGTGCAGAACTCTGTGAAATATATTACTGATGGCAAGTCCAAAGCCCAGAAAACAACATCTGCTGAAACAACCTTATTGCTTCGCTATGCGGTACATGGGACTCTCGCGGGCATCAAGGTGCACATGAGTGCCCCTACAGTCCGTGAAGACCAAACCTACCGAGCCGACATGGAGTTGAAGCTTGAAGGGACTTCATTATTCGTTCACAATCAGACCGACGATCCTGATACAATACATGAGCAGCCACAGTTCATCCTGAACTCTCAAGGCGTAGGATTAGGCATCTATCGAGCCACCGACCACGCCAAGAGCAATGTTGGGAAATGCACAGTCGGAATCAAGGCATCGGGGAAAACAGAACCGGACGGCAAGCTCGGCAAAGTCCATGTTTACAGGGCTTGGAGTGATGGTATTGCGATCGAGCTCTATGAAGACACTGCTACACTGGCAGTCGACATCGCAGGGTTTATCCAGGACAAAATTAAGTCAATTCAACTTGCCGAGAGTCCTGAGAGCATTCAACGACTACGGAGGATGACAACAGCCGGGATTACTGATCGCCTGAGACCAAAAGAACAGATCGAAGCAGCCCTGGAAGCGGTGTCCACCAACGAGTCATTCTCCTCTGCACTCTACGATTCGACTTACGCTGTGAACGTCGACAACATCCACATCAGATGGAATTTAACTAGAAGTTCATTCCTCTCGCCAACGCGAGAGCTACAGGACCTTGTCTTCTCAATCCGCAAAGTTGATCTTCAGACACGACAAGAAGGAACCGCTCGACTGTCGATCTTGGACACTCAATTGCAAATTGTCCCACAGTCCCAATCCTTGCAGCCGACACAACGGACAGCCAACTCAGCTCTCCTACCAGAAGTCGTCTTCGGAAGCGCGTATCTATCTACTAAGCGGGATCGGCGGTTCGCATTTCAAGCCAAAGGGAAGGCGGTTGACATCCGTCTTGCAACCGACTTTGCAGTCCCTGCACATGCTCTTCAGAAGTCGCTAGCTCATGCCAGTGAAGAACTTCGCAATTCAAAGAAACTATATGAGACCAGCCCCCAGGCCGCGCAATCCGGGAATATTGACTTCCTAGGTGGAAAACGTCTAGCTTCTCTCTTGGTAGACGCTGACTTTGCTGGTGCTGTTGTTTATATCAGTCCCTGGGCAGAGGTGCGACATCAAGACTCAGCGTTCAGTTTCCTCAAAGGAGGCAAGCGGTCTCGAGCAGGACGATATGGACAAGCTGTTCAAGGAGAGAATGCCTCTTCGGCACGATTACAGTCTCCTGGTGTCGCGCTCAAAGTCGAGTACAAGGACAACGGCTCTGATGATCCCTATCTTAGCACAGAGGTCAAAGTAGCGGCCTCCACGAACACCCTCTACCCTACAGTTGTGCCGCTGATCTTGGAAATTTCGTCCAGCATCAAAGAGATAATGGGCGAGAACAGCAATGATGACTCAGGTACAAAGCCCGGTGACATCAGCACTCACCTATCAGAAGAGACCATCAACAACGCCAATCCGACCGCAATTCTAGGTCGATGCAAATTGAATGCGGGTCTGTATATTCAACGACAAGAGTTCAGTCTCAGTTGCCAGCCGATTGCCCGAGTTGCGGCCACTACAAGGTTCTCGGATATTTTCGTCAGAATCAATACAGTGTCGACACCTGATCATGAACGATTTTTTGCCATATTGACTACCTTCAATAAACTCGAAGCTTCTGTTCAGCATGTGTACTCTAGAGAATCTACAGCCAACTTCGAGGTCGACTCCATCGTTCTGTCACTCATGAACAGTAAACATGTCAGCGCATCCACTGGCATCTCTGCTGTTCTCAACGTCAGTCCGATGAAAACTGATATCAATGCAAAGCAGCTACAAGACTTTCTCTTGTTTCGTGAAATCTGGTATCCTGCAGAGCTGCGTGGTCGCTCCAAGTCAAATGCACCCGTCGCTACTGCACAAGACCAACAAGCATATGCGATGCAACGATACCAAGAGATCTCTGCTAAGGGCACATTGCCGTGGCATGCAATCGTCTCCATGCAGGAGATCAAGCTTGCCGTGGACTTTGGACAAGGACTCGGAAAGTCAGTGTTTACCATCTCACAGCTATGGGCATCGTCCAAGAAGAACAACGACTCAGAACAAAACCTTTGCATTGGCTTTGACAGAGTTGGTATTGACAGCAATGGAAGAATGAGTGGGTTCGTGGAATTAGAGAACATGCGACTTCGTACCTCAATCAGATGGCCTGAAGACTCATCGCGCAAGGCTCGCGCGCCTCTCGTCCAGGCCTCGATCAGTTTCGAACATTTCCGGGTCAAAGCAGCATTCGACTATCAACCCTTTGCGGTCGCTGATATTTCGTTTTTCGAATTTTTGATGTATAACGTGCGCCAAGGTCAAGGGTTTGACAGTGACCGTTTGGTAGGCATCGTTGACGGCGGCAAAGTACAAGTATATGTCACCACCAGTACTGCAGCACAAGGCTTTGCACTTGTTCAAGCTTTCGAGAGGTTGGCCCAGGAGAAACAGGAAGCCTATGAAACGTCCCTACACGATCTTGACAAGTTCCTCCGACGCAAGTCTATCTTCCCATCTAATACTTGGGTAGCTCCTACACCCGACCCGCAGCACAAGGAGGAGCCTCAGACGAAACGAACATTTGCACTGCACACCGACGTGGTGGTTGGTCTGAGGGAAGTTGATATTGGTTGCTTTCCAAATACCTTCTTCGATGACCGACTCCTCAAGGCCGAAGCCACAGAAGTTCAGGCAAGATTTGCCGTGGCCACCACTGACGGCAAGACTCACAGTGGGTTGGGCATGACGCTTGGAGAATTGCGAGTGGCTCTGTCCAATGTGAATCGCACAACCACCAAGGCATTGAGCGAAGTGTCAGTGCCGGATGTGATTGACCGCGCAACATCGTCGCGTGGTGGTACCATTGTGAAGGTTCCTAGACTGGTATCCTCAATGGAGACATGGCAAGTTCCTGACTCGAACACAATCGAGTACATTTTCCGAAGTACATTCGAAGGAAAAGTGGATGTCGGTTGGAACTATGCACGTATCAGTTTCATTAGGGGCATGTGGCAGACGCATTCGCGAGCATTGGCTCAAAGACTTGGAAAGCCGCTCCCACCGTCAGCTATCAAGGTCACGGCCGAGCCGCAAGGCGACGGCGAAGGTAGACAGGAAAAGATCACGGCTGTGGTGAACGTGCCTCAATCAAAATTCACATATATCGCGTTGGAACCTCCGATTATTGATACACCACAGCTCAGGGACATGGGCGAAGCAACGCCACCTCTGGAATGGATTGGGCTGCATAGGGATAGATTGCCTGAGGCGACACACAGTATTGCCATTGTGACACTATCAGAGATTGCAAGGGAGGTGGAGGATGCGTATGCGAGGATCTTGGGTGCGAGTTGACCTGGCATCACAAGAGATATATTGAATCATAAATTGAAATAATTAATGTCTAATTCACCGTCCTTTGTCTTCCCTGGTATGATGGTATTGCTTGTCGTTGGTGCTTTGAAAATTGAGGTCCAGCTTCCGATAGCAGGCAAGCTTGATGTGACCTCGTCCTCGCAAGATTGGCGAAAGATCATTCCATGTTTTCCAGAATAGCCGTGCCTATTTGAGACTACTCTATCACTGCTATTTGATCCCAGGAGCTCCATGATACATTGTTGTAACAGCTTCCTATTTGGTAGTAGCCTCAGTTCCCTTCTCCATAGAACTGTAACCGTCCCTACAGCGATAAGGCTAAGTTAGGTAGAAACCGCTTTACTCCGGGGCTCAGCTTTCGAGGTCTTTTGTATCTTGTTGCCGTAATATTTGTCGTTAAAGTATCAGAGAAGCGACCGTGCTTCTGTTATAGCTGAGAGAATACTAGGACTGGCTGATCCATACAGATCCGAGAGGTCACACAACCCGAGGCAGTGACATCTTCCTTCATCGACAGTCTCGACGGAGTAAAATGCCACGGCTCGTCAACTTCCCACATCATGACGCCCGATACTCTTAGCTACTCTCTTGGTATTCTTGGCTTTTCCAACAGATCCCTCCATGATGTGTGATCGTCTGGCTCGGAAGTGGTTGTAACTAGCGATGGCGTCTGGAGAGCAAGTCCACTTTGTAGAGTTGGTACAGGTTGGTAACGTTACATGGCACCATATGGCTTTCACTGAACTGCTCGTGGGATGCGGATAGCAATCGTCAATCAGGCTATTGGTTCCGGTTGGTCGCGTGTGTTCCTGGGTCAGTAGGTGCGTGGTGCCTTGCATTCCAGCTTCGGTTGCTCTATATAGCTCCCCCATGACGAGTTTGCATTTAGAAAGTATGTACAGTGTATCCAACGCAGGCAATCTTCACCGGAAACTACCTCTTTTTTTGAAAGTCTGTCACGTTCTGACAGGCAGAGGTCGAATAGGTGCTGATCACCCAACATGAGCTTTCTCACACGCCGGTCCGGCTCCTTGTCGACGACGGTAGTCGCGACAGCTATTCTTGCGCTGACGACCTGCTTGCCCGGTGGAATTTTGGCCCAGCCTTCCGACACGCCGTCGTCTGGACTGCAAGTGCAGATATCGATCGCAGATGGTCTGCTCAATGGCACCGCGGACGGCCGCGTTGTGCTCATGTTCGCACCGAGTGGCGTGGACCCTCTGGACGACACCGAGGTCGACTCCAGCCCCAACCTGTTCTTCGGCATGAATGTGTTTAATGTTGCAAGTTTGGATACCGTCACCCTTTCCGGCGGTAGTGGAGCGCATACCATGACTGGCGTATGGGGCTATCCCAATGTGAGTCTGGACGACGTTGCACCTGGTGACTACTCTGTGCAAGCGTTCTTGAACAAATACGAGAAAGTCACTCGGAGCGACGGATCTACAGTCAGCGTCCACTTTCCTTGCGGCGACGGTGCACCGAATGTCGACACCTTTGGCAGTCTCATAACGTCGGTTACCAACATCACTGTTGAAGGTGGTCCCCAGACGATTCAGCTCGACTTTGACGACATAGAGCCAATGGAAGACTTCAAGGGCACCGAGATTGGGGGATGTGCGCAAGGCAACTACCAAGATACTGCCACGTTCAAATACGTGAAGATCCGCAGCGAGGCTCTCAGCACCTTCTGGGGCCGTGACATGTACGTGGGTGCGAACATCCTCCTTCCGTACGGGTACGACGCCGACGACAAGGACACCCGCTACCCCGTCATCTACTCGCAGGGACATTGGCCGGGGAATAAGACGAGTTTTGGCTATCCCACGGCGAATTTCTCCGCGGAATGGGACGATGGAACCATCAAGGGTAAGGACGGCGAACCTGACCGGCTAACACCCAAGCTGATCTTGGTGACCATCCGCCACGAGTCACCGTTCTATGACGATTCATATGGTGTCAACACCGCCAACATAGGCCCGTATGGCGACGCCATCAACGACGAGTTGATCCCGTACATCGAAGAGACCTTCAACACCATCCCTGAGCCGTACGCGCGGGTCCAGATTGGCGGGTCGACGGGTGGTTGGATCTCGGCCGCGACGGTCATCTTCAGACCCGACCTCTTCGGTGTCTGTTTCAGCTCGTACCCGGACTCTCTTGATTTCCACAGGCATCAAGATATCCCCTTGTACGATTCGGCAAACGCGTACGTCCGTGACAATGGCAGTTCGATCCCGTCCATCCGTGATTTCGAAAACGGAACAGAAGTTGTTCTGGCGAGCGTGGCGCAGGAAAACCATTGGGAACTGACATTCGGCACGTCGACACGATCTTCTCTGCAGTGGGATGTCTGGAACGCCGTGTTCGGGGTGCAGGGGTTGAACGGGTACCCCCTCGAACCCTGGAACAAGGTCACTGGAGAGATCTACCCCGAGGCGGTCGAGTACTGGAAGCACATGGACCTGGCCAACTACATTGTCAGCAACTGGGACAACGAGCGCAATCTCGGGGAGACGCTCAGCGGGAGAATCTTCATCTACGTCGGCACCTGGGACAATTACTACCTGAACGAGGGCGTTATTGAGTTTCAAAAGCGTGTCGACGCCCTCGGGGGACCGGGGTGGGCCAACGTGACGATTTTGCCAGAGGAACCACACGGCGGGAACTACCAGCGCCGTGAGACTTGGGACTTCCTGGAGCTTGTCGACACTTGGGTCCAAGATCACTCGCCCACGGGGAAGACGCCACTTTTGAGTAACGCCACGTCGTCGTCCTCGCGAGGGAACACTTTTGCAGAGGTCATGTCGTACGGTGGGCATCAAGCTGCACTTGCGCGGCAGGCCCCTCCTTCGCTTGAGAGAGGGAAAAACTGCACGAAAACAGAGTGTGTCTTTGAGGCGAGCGTTGGACGCTGGGATCCCGGCATGGTCCTCGAAGCACAGTGGATGGTGAATGGGAAGCCTATCAGTGGCGACGAGCAGCCCTTGAGTGTGAACCAGGAAGATGTACTCACGTACAATCCCGTGGCTGGGAGCAAATGGTCATTCGTCCAGCTCGCGGTGACTGGCCGTAAGATGGGCTACGCTGACGAAACAAGGCTGAGTAATGGTGTAAAGATGCATTGAGGTTACTCGACCTAGAGGTAGGACTGCAAAATGATGGGGGAGAAACCCCTCATGTATTGGCACTCAGAATACAGATGTGCTTTCTTGCAGTTGACTTTGTGTGGCCTTTCTTTTTCTCTCTTTTCTCCTCTTTTTCACTTGTGACTGGTAAAGGTATAAAGTTGCTCAGCCTCGTCCAGTACGGGAACCCAGCCTCGTTACACTTTACAATAGAAGGCAGGTATTCCGACATTCTTCTTTTGCTTTTACAGGTACTCGGTACAGGATGATGATCTTGGGTCAGAGGTACTCCGTAGTTTGTAGCCTACTTGAAAAAGGGTGGCAATGGCAAGCTGGGTAAGAATTTGGTGCCGTCACAAGAAACTAGCTCGTGGTAGTGATGGCGAACTGGGAATCACCCGAGTCATTGGTCTTCATTCTTGTTAGTCTAGATTGTGCAAAATGGCACGAAAAAAAGTGGTGACTGTTTTATGAGTGGTGTGGTGACTGGGAGGCGGACTCGACCATTTCTACACCGTATCAGTTGATGAAGGGTGATTTTGAGTCACCCCTCGTGTTCATCGATCTAGCCCCCAGGTTTCGCATTAGAATATTTCGACTTTGTGTGGGTGATGGTGAGTCGAATTCGATCAGGGGTTTGAAATGGGAAATACTATCTGTGCTTAGAACCCTGGATTCGACGAGACCAAAGACCATTCAATAACCAGCTACGGAGTAGTGCATGTGTATTATTACTCTTAACTCCGAGATAAGCAATAGACAATGAGTCAATGTTGGTCGTTCTCGTTCTCGTACCCGTATGAGTAGCTATTGTAACCAGTAATATGCGTAAGTGGGCTGTTACCCGGTAAACTTGACTGTTTTGTTCGCCGCCAGTCACATCCCATTATTAAGCGTCCCTCAGGTTAGAGCTGCCCAAGTGAAGGGAGTAACTGACTGCAAGTGTCTGTGCCGCCACTGCCGCCAAGACTCACCCCACCCGCCGCACTGCCAGTTGCTACAGAGAAAACTTCACGATCACTTACAACTGTACTGCGCCCTTGTCCCTCGCATCGCAATTCCCTTTTCGACATCTATCTCAATCTCATCACCATCGTCTGCGACGACAAGCGCAGGCGTCCGAGCAGGTCGAGCAAAGCCCTCGATTCTGCCATTTCCCCCAGTACAGCTCAAAGAGAGCCACCTACCCCGCCGTTCTAGGGCAATTCTCCCGGTCGGAATCGACCCCCCAAAGACAAGATGGTCAACTTCACAGTGGAAGAAATTGTAAGTGGTGTTTCTTTTTCCATGACAGCGATGGACTTTTGCTGACCAGCGGTAACACAACAGCGGGCGTTGATGGGTAAATATCACAATAGATCAAAAGCCAGGAGATGAGGTATTGACAAAAGCGCAGACAAGCCCGCCAACATCCGTAACATGTCCGTCATTGCCCACGGTATGTTCATTGATTTCCTTCTTTGAAAGAGATTGAGGACTAACAAAGATCCCAGTGGATCACGGAAAGTCGACTTTGACCGATTCCCTTGTTCAACGAGCTGGTATCATTTCCGCAGCCAAGGCCGGTGAAGCGTACGTCTTTTTGATCTTGCATCCAAGAGTTGGCAGATAATAACAGCATTGCAGGCGATTCACGGATACTCGTAAAGATGAACAGGAGCGTGGTATCACCATCAAGTCAACTGCCATCACCCTGTATGCCCACTTGCCCGACGAGGAGGATCTTAAGGACATCCCTCAGGTATGGGACTGTACAATGAAAAATCAGATTATCAAAAGCTAACGGCGGGCTACAGAAAGTCGATGGTAACGAGTTCTTGATCAACTTGATCGACTCCCCTGGTCACGTCGATTTCTCATCCGAAGTCACTGCCGCTCTCCGTGTCACCGACGGTGCCTTGGTCGTCGTCGACACCATTGAAGGTGTCTGTGTCCAGACCGAAACTGTGCTCCGACAAGCTCTCGGTGAGCGTATCAAGCCTGTTGTCATCATCAACAAGGTCGACCGTGCTCTTCTCGAGCTACAAGTCTCCAAGGAAGATCTGTACCAGTCCTTCCTCCGAACCATCGAGTCCGTCAACGTCATCATCGCCACCTACTTCGACAAGGCTCTTGGTGACTGCCAGGTCTTCCCTGAGAAGGGAACAATCGCATTCGGTTCTGGTCTTCACGGCTGGGCCTTCACTGTCCGCCAATTCGCCATCCGATATGCCAAGAAGTTTGGTGTTGACAAGTCCAAGATGATGGAACGTCTCTGGGGCGACAACTACTTCAACCCTAAGACCAAGAAGTGGACCAAGACTGGAACGCACGAGGGCCAGACTCTCGAGCGTGCTTTCAACCAGTTCATTCTCGACCCTATCTTCAAGATCTTCGATGCCTTCATGAAGGGAAAGACCGACGACCTTGTCACTCTCTGCGGCAAGCTCGACATCAAGATCACCAACGAGGAGAAGGAACTCCCTGGAAAGGGTCTTCTCAAGGCTGCCATGCGAAAGTTCTTGCCAGCTGCTGATGCTCTGTTGGAAATGATGGTTATCCATTTGCCATCTCCCATCACTGCCCAGAAGTACCGTGCCGAGACCCTGTATGAAGGTCCTTCTGATGACCCGGCCTGCATTGCCATCCGCGACTGTGACCCCAAGGGCGACCTCATGCTCTACGTTTCCAAGATGGTGCCCACTTCCGATAAAGGTCGATTCTACGCTTTCGGTCGTGTCTTCGCTGGTACCGTCCGCTCTGGTATGAAGGTCAGAATCCAGGGTCCCAACTACGTTCCCGGCAAGAAGGATGATCTCTTCATCAAGGCTATTCAGCGAACCGTCCTCATGATGGGTCGTACTGTCGAGCCTATCGATGATATGCCTGCTGGTAACATCATCGGTTTGGTCGGTATCGATCAATTCTTGCTCAAGTCTGGTACTCTTACCACCTCCGAGACCGCCCACAACCTCAAGGTCATGAAGTTCTCCGTCTCACCTGTCGTGCGACGATCGGTCGAAGTCAAGAACGCCAACGACCTGCCAAAACTGGTCGAAGGTCTTAAGCGTCTGTCCAAGTCCGACCCCTGTGTCTTGACCTTGATCACCGAGTCTGGTGAGCACGTCGTTGCCGGCGCTGGTGAGCTCCACTTGGAAATTTGCTTGAAGGATCTGGAAGAAGACCACGCTGGTGTTCCTCTCAAGATCAGCGATCCCGTTGTCTCGTACAGAGAAACAGTCGGTGGTACCTCCAGCATGACTGCTCTGTCCAAGTCGCCCAACAAGCACAACCGTCTGTACGTTATCGCCGAACCCCTCAGCGAGGAGGTCTCCAAGGAGATCGAAGACGGCAGAATCAACCCCCGTGACGACTTCAAGGCCCGTGCCCGTATCCTTGCTGATGACCACGGCTGGGATGTCACCGATGCTCGAAAGATCTGGGCTTTCGGTCCTGACACCACTGGTCCTAACTTGTTGGTTGACCAGACCAAGGCCGTCCAGTACCTCAACGAAATCAAGGATTCCTTCGTCTCCGGTTTCCAGTGGGCCACTCGTGAAGGTCCCATCGCTGAAGAGCCCATGCGATCAGTCCGATTCAACGTCATGGATGTCACTCTCCACGCTGATGCCATCCATCGTGGTGGTGGCCAGATTATCCCAACTGCCAGACGTGTGCTGTACGCCGCCACTCTCTTGGCTGAGCCTGCTCTCCAAGAGCCCGTCTTCTTGGTTGAAATCCAAGTGCCAGAACAGGCCATGGGTGGTATCTACGGTGTCCTCACCCGACGACGTGGTCACGTCTTCTCTGAGGAACAGCGTATGGGAACCCCCCTGTTCACCGTCAAGGCCTACCTTCCCGTCGCAGAATCATTCGGTTTCAACGCCGATCTCCGTGCCGCCACCGGTGGTCAAGCCTTCCCACAGATGGTGTTCGATCACTGGCAGATTCTGCCTGGTGGTTCGCCTCTTGACGCCAGCACAATGCCCGGAAAGATCGTTGAGTCAACACGTACGAGAAAGGGTCTCAAGCCTCAAGTTCCAAGTTATGACAACTACTATGGTATGTTTTTCCTCTTGGTTTGTTTTGAACACTTTGCTAACCGTTCAACAGACAAGTTGTAGAATGTTGGGCTTGCAAGCATTAATAGACAAGGCCAAAATATTACGAACCCCCATACCCAATTTTATGGTCTTGAAGCATTGAATAACAGCAAAAAGCATTGATTCGACGCGATGGTATGCTTGAAGCAAGATACCTACCTAGATGGTTGTCGAGCGGGATGAACAGTCACAAGGGAGATACATGAAAGGGGTGGGTGGATGATCCTGTTGATATTTGAAGACTGGCTTTCCCAAGGACATTTACTCTCATCGCACAAGAAGGTCTCTTCATCCATCAAACATAAGGATAGAAGTTTCTCAACTAAGTAGATGACAATTGATGTATTGATGATTTGGTTCTTTGTTGTTTGATTTTTGTCTACACGTGACCAATGTTTTCGAATATTTATTTCTCCGTTAACATTTCTCCCTGGATCCCTTTCAATGACCACCCCTTGCCAGTATCTCCCGTCCACTCATTATGCCATCAAAGATAAGGGACTGATATTACATGCCTATCCATGATGCGTTTGACAGAACCGTACTCACTTGGATTGTGGTCCGGAGAAATGCCAGTTCCCATACGGTTTCGGGACTGTCGCTTTGTCCCTGGCCCAAGATCATCAATGAAAAAGGAGATGGTACCTAGGGAGGTAGGGGAAGAGGAATTTCCCACATACCAGCTCTTTGGTATTGTTCTTTTTAGACAATACTAACGGACTCGACGCACGGATAATGTCTTTGAGCCAACATCTTCTGCGACGTACGTACCTTTGGTGCATCAATATCACATTCATCCCGAACCCTCGAGTCTCCGTCAGACCTGAGTCGAAAAGCAAAAAAACTTCGTATCTTGTTTGGTCATCATTAGGGAACTGACGAGTGCAGTGTGTCGACCATGAGTTCTCGGAATTACCCTGCATTACACGAGAAAGATTTCAAAATGGTGGTGAGCGAGTATACCATGCACTTTGAGGGGACGGGTGACGAAGACGACGACGACGACGATAACAATAACAACAAGGACCAGACCACATGTCCTTCTCGACAACAACGAGATGACAATTCAAGTGGACGAGAAAAGGACGCCGTTCATTTCAGCGACTCGTGAGTACTTCCACGGTGCCCTTCGCTGCGAGATCTCGTACCAGAAAGTACACACATGGACTAAAAAGAACACTGGGCTGACTGTCTGTGGACAAAAAAAAAGGTACTACGAATTCGCGACGGCCGCGTACGAAATGAATTGGAGCACTCGATTCCACTACGCCCCCTTTTCGCCCACCGACACCCTACACTCGGCCCAATGTTTCTACGAACACCGCGTCGCGTTGCTGCTGGGTCTCAAGCCGGGGATGAAGGTGTTGGACGTGGGATGTGGCATCGGCGGACCGGCGAGAGAGATGGCGAGGTTCACGGGTTGCGAGGTGGTCGGTATGAGTATCAACCAGGCCCAGATCGACCGAGCCATCCGGTTGACGGCCGAAGAAGGATTGACGGATAAATGTACTTTTGTCAGGGGTGATTTTTTGGTCCGTCACCTACCTCCCTCACACACACCCAACCTTGCCTCTCGTTTCCAAACGAGAGGAGGGGGTGAAATTGCGTTAACTCACTGATCATTGTCCTTATTCGATACAACACAGAACATGCCTTTTGCTCCTAATTGCTTCGACGCCGCTTTCGCCATAGAAGCCACATGCCACTCACCCTCTTTGTGTGCGGTCTACACAGAAACCTGTCGTGTACTGAAACCGGGCGCCACGTTCCTGGTGAGTGAATGGGTATTGACACCCGAGTTCGACCCCTCAAACGCCAAACACGTCGACATGAGAAGGCGCATCGAAAGGGGCAACGGTGTCGTCAATCTACACACCAGCCTCGAAGCACGAGAGGCAATGCTGTCATCTGGATTCGATCCGGAACATGAAGAGAATTTTGCAAACTACCATGACTATTTGAGACGTCGTCGCGGTACTGCTCCGAACAATCAGACCGTCATCGAGGACGAGGGAGGAGTACAACGACGACAACGTCGACGACAACAACAAATCACTTCTCCTGTTCTGGTCCCATTTTCTTCATCTCCATCTCCCGCGACGTCGTCATCCTCGACCTGGTCGTCACCACCAAACTACCGCCCCGCTCCACCTTCTTCGTCAATCTCTACGACCGTCTGGGCATCTCCGAAACACCGAGAATGGTGGTGGATGTTGCAGGGTCGCACCGGCCTGGCGACGACCTGGACCGACTGGTGGACGACCTGGAAAATGTCCCCTTGGGCCCGGAGAGCTTGTTACTTTCTGGTCTGGTCGCTCGAGAAGATGGGGTACCGTCGCGCCCGGGGCGTGTGCGAGGCCATGGACACGATGGCCCTGTGCGTCGACAGCGTCGCCGAGGCCGGGAGGGAAGGGATCTTTTCGCCCGCTTGGTGGTTCTTGGGGAGGAAGGAGAAGAAAACACCCCGAGACCTAAATAACATCCAGTCGATAGCCCAGTAAGAATGACCCGGCTCAAGGGACAATAATGTGGTCAATGTCTGTCATCCAATAATGACTCTCGATTGATAATCTCTAAGGACGTTACATTTTTTCGTCTCTGTCAGCTTTCAGCATGCCAACTACTCGATTTTTCTCGAGTGTGCCTCCTTTCCATTGATACTCCATGACAAGATGGTCTTTGATCGACTTATCCCATGCTCGCCAACTTTGATACATATTTGCTTCCCCAATGATAAGAGTCAACGGCCCAAGAGTACCAGACCGAGAAGCTCCCCATTTTGCTGATGAATGCCATTAAAAGAATAAAACGACCCAAACCCCAGTCATCTTTTCCGAGCAATCCTGAATATTCTAGGATCTGCAATCACATTGATGAACCTTGCCCTTTTCTCAGAACCCCTTATCCCTTTCTAATCAAACCCCATTTTGTGTGAAGATCCGTAAAAAGCGCCAATGCTACACATTCCTTCCACCCTTTATCATCAATCAATCCGTTCCATTTCAAGGAATGTCACACGTCATAGGTTGGAGCTCTCATTTGCGGTTTCGCTTGGGAAGTTTGAGTCGGCAAGCACTTATGATGGCTCGGAATTGGGCCTCGAAGTTGTTGCGTTTCTCAGCATTTTGTGCAAACCCCGCTTTGACGAATTTGGCCCAGGTATTGGTGAGTACCAACTCCTTGATACTTAGCTCGGCTTTATCGAACACGGTGGCGTCGAAAGTATCCGGGATACCAATGTTGGCAGGAAGTCTTTCTCCGAAATTGGTCATCTTGAGTTCTCGTAACTGGCGGGCTTGAATCGATTCGGGTCGCGGTTCGTGCTTCTCACTGTCGGAAACTGCAGTGGACACGAATGACAGTTGGTCTTTACCAGCCTGGCTCTCAAGGTCGTCAGAGAAAGTCGATGACCAGTAATTCTCAAAAGGTGTGGCTGCGTTCGAAGCTGGCTCGGCACACACGAGAGCAGCATACTGTTCGAACATGGCCTCCAGTTCACGTTGATGTGTGGACGAGATATTGATGGGGAAATCGGAATATTTCAAGCTGACAAAGGAGGCGTAGATGCCGACTGCTTGTTGAAATTGCTGTCTAACCAGCGCTGGATCAGGAGTCCTGGCCTGAGGAGGTTTGCGAAGCATGGTCGACTTGTGCTTGTCCGTGTTCCACTTGGCCTTCCATTCGCGGATGTGGATCAGGAAGCTGATGTTCTCTCCCGAGAAATCCTTGAGGGCTGAAAACATGAGCAATGGCTGCGGGTTCAGTTTCAGAGTCTTCTCTAGGGCACTCATGGTGTACATTTCACCCTGACGGGGATTCGTGCTCGCGGTGCTCTTCATGGATACGCGCGTGGACGCTCTAGACTGAGTTGCAGTCTTGCTTGAGTTGGAAGTTGCAAGAGATCCACCTTCTTTCTGCTTCTCTTCCCACTGGGCAATTATCTCTCGCGTTTCACTTTCGAGTTTTCGATTCTTGAATACCTGGAAGAAGGGAACGAAGATAACTGATGCCTGCATAATAACAATGGAGGCCGAAAACCTGTCACGATTCATCAGCGGAGCGCACTCAGTGATATAGCGATGGATACTTACCACAAGGGAGGCACAAAATATGTGTCGACCTTCTTCATGCCCTTTGCGTATAAAGCAATCAGCCACATAGGGGAAGCAGGCAGTCTGTTTTGGTCAGTAGACGTTTCGAAGACGACAGGAACACTACCATACCCAGCAACAATACATGCAATAGTCTGCTTTCGCCAGCCATGTACATCATGAATGTTTCTGACACGCCATAGAAGCACTGGTGCGTAGATCCAGGACCAAAACATTTGCCAAACAATGGATGGCCACCTAGTAAACAGTCAACAAGTTTGTATTCACGACGCGTCAGCCAACTTACCACTCCCAACCTCGTCGACAGCCAGCTCTGGTGGTGACTACACCGGTTGTGCCAAAGCTAGGATGGAATTTCCTGGAAACCAAAAAGATAATCAGGGACAAAAGAATCTAGCACCGTCAGTATGATTGACTTGACTTTTCAGTCTTTCACGGACCTGAACACCCATGGCGATACCAATCCACGCAATGGTATTCTTTGTCGCATTGTAAGCCTTGAGCTTCTGCCAGTATTTGCGCCGTCCTTTTGCCTGCGCCTTCTCTGTCATCACACCGATGTCTCCCAGGATGTATCTTTTTTGAGCCGTGGCAATTGCAAACAGTTGTGTGTTGGTGGCTTGGAATAAGGCGATGCCAAGCGGCAGATAAATGCTCATGATCCAATACTCGGTCGCACATGGGAAGAATCCATTCAAGACATAGGCGATCATACACAAGACCCAGTATACATGAAGAACAGCCACTGCGCTGACTGCCAATGGGATGTTGCGCATGCGAAGGAAGGGAAGGTGTCGATTTCTGACAAGGAAGATGGCAGCCGGCATCAACAGACATGTCCATGCTATCACTATGCCAACATAGAGGAATCCGAGGCCGTCGGTGTTGTATCTGAGTGCCATGTCGTAGCCCAGCGCAAAGGGAGTGGAAGGTACGGCAGTACTCGCTCCTCGGTCAAGTCCATTATCAACCTTTCGAGGCATAGCCCCTGTGCAAGGGCGAGGTGAGGCCATCTGTGCCAGCGGGTGGCAGTATCGATGTGAGATTTGCAATTGCGATGATATGACAGGTCGTCAAGGTCCGATGTGATTGAAACAGGAGATGAAGTGCAGAATGAATGAAAGAAGAAAAGGAACAAGTGTCGAAGCCCAGTTGACAGCTCGTGTGACTCAAGGTGACAGTGGAAAAGATATGTGATGAAGCGCAATAGGGAAACAGGTTGCACGACGACGGGAAGAAGGAAGGAAAGCAAGTGAGGATGGAAAGAGGTGGAGATGAAGTTGTGTAAGGACAAGAGGATGGAATAGTTGAGAATACTGAGCAGGAAATGAGCGCTCTAGAGATATGAGGAGCCCGTGGTGAAGCAGCTGGTGAAGTTTTCTTGCGTCCCTGATCTCTATCTCACCATGTGCTCAACTGCCTTGGGTACGGCACACAACAGGTTTTATGTGTCGTTTCATCACCACCAACCTTTTACTTCACCATCTTTTGACATTTTACTGCCTGGCCAGGATCACTAGCCACAGCAAATACCTATGTCTAGCAGATTAATAATATGGCAGTGACCAGAATGTGAGATTATCGCCAGCGGCGGTCTGAAGCTGCCTGTCACAATAAAGACAAGAGGTTGAGAAAGTCGACATTGGTCTCTGCATTCTTGGCCCCAGAAAACAACTTGAAAAACGCCACCAACAGCCGGGAACTCGAACCCCGGTCAACGTCTGCGTCGTTCTTTCGCGTCTCTGCATTTGGCCGGGCGATGAAGACAGGCTTACTGAAGATCTCCTGACGACCTTCTCATCACCTGTCACACTGAAGAATCTTTTCGGCTCGAACCAGTGTTCCTTTATTTCGCTTCCCCGCGAGAATGCGACCAGAACGCGGCCTGACCATCGCGCGAAACGGATCCTAGTCTTACAGCCAATCAAATGCTGCAATCTGGAGCTTCAGATGGTTTGATGTGGGCAATGCCTGTCGTTTCACGATTCGGCATCGGAAGATGCAGAAAGAAAAAGCCACAGCCTCAACTGCACTGACTTTTCAAAGCCAACTACAACAAAAAGACTCGTGAGACCGAGCCACACATTCGTCAATCCTCGTCTTGCCACATATGAAAGTTGAAGCATGATCGCGAGGCTGACGAACAGCTTCATCAACAGTTTCACTAGCCATAAACTACTCATCTAACTGGTTGCTATGCCGTGATACGAGTACTAGCTGTAAGAGCATACTCCGTCTCCGCGGAACACATCATATCATGTATTTTCCCGGCCAAGGTACGAAGCAACGCAGGTAAAAAGGTGGGACAGAAGTTCTGTCTTACCCCTCAACCCGTAACAAATGTGAATCTGTTGTAGGTAGACGCAAACCTGTCCGAAGTAGCGATAATAGGCGGCATCAGAAGAGGTCTCGAACCTGGTCCAGTACCAGGGGAAAGGGTGGAAAGAACAGCACCAGCGCGAAGAGTTCATATTTCTTATTGAAGTCTAGTCAACAGCTGACACAGATGACTGCCAAATTATCCATTCCGTGGTCGAACTGATACGCGAGCTAATGGTAAGAATCCATCCGTGCGATTGTCGTGTTACACCATCACTGCCGTGCGCAACGGGAAGGAACACAACCGAGATGCGGCTAGCCCTCATCAAAACCCTGCTGCCATGCAACGAGAACTTCATGAGACCAGCAATAAGAGCGTAAAAGGTACCAATAGGATTGGAAATTGGAAGCTGTGGGGTGGCGCATTGGACCAATTCGATGACACGATGACGAGAACCCTACCTGAGGAGACGTTAGTCCTGCTTTGATAAAAATAAAAGCACATTTTTGTTGCAGTGGTTCCCTCAGAGATCTTGGTGTAAAAGGGTACGATCATTTCAATCGATCAGTTACTATCTAGTGCATAGTGGTGTAATCACAGGGAAGTCAGGGGTTTGGGAGATGTTCGTACCTGGAATACATGTGCTGCAAATAGAGGGACGGACGTCAGCAAGCTTGCTGTTCATGATTTCCAGGACAAGAAATCTGATGTCTGCTTCATTTGTCAGTCAACATTTCGAGCCAGCTGCAACGTGAGAAGAGAAGAAGAGATTCATGGGAACTTTCAGCATATGTAAGAAGATGAATATCATGTCTCCGCCACTGTTAAGAGTCTCCGGCGAGAGACTCCAGTGGCGGATTCAATCGCAAATTATAACATCATGAAAACAATAAGTATGTCTGGAAAGAGTGCTGATCACTTACCCCCGAATCAGTGTTGATGTCTGTGAATCTGTCATTCAATATCAGCAAGAAGCCAGAGGTAATTCGGCATTATGCAATGGAATCGGCCACGACATTCAGGAATGTAGCAATAGTGCAGATAAATGATTGTGATGAATTTCACAGGAGGAGTTGTTAGGAAGCGAGAAAAACTTCTTGTCCTTGCAGCTAGAAAGATCGTGACTAGCGGCAGAATTTGGCACTAAACCCAGGTTGGCAGCCAGCCAAGAAGTGGTCTTGGCAAAAACTTGATCTTGGCGTTCACACACTATCGGCTTGAGAATTGCGACTGGGCACTTTGGATCTCGACGGCGAACACAACCAAGGCGACAATAATATTCCAACACTTTTCTTGTACGCACATTCACCTCTCTCCTCCGCAATCCATACGCTGATCAACCGCGCACAGTCTTCTCGCCAAAATGTCGAACGTTGATATCAAGGCGGCCGGGTGGAAGTTGGTCGAGGTCGGACGTATTGTCACCATCCGACAGGGACCCTTCGCCGGCAAGTTGGCTGCCATCGTTGAGATCATCGATGCTGGAAGAGTATGTTTCAAAAGTCTTCGGTGAAGAGTATTCGCTGACCCTAATCTTCAGGTCCTGGTTGATGGTCCCTCAACGAAAGAAGACGCCGTCGTCCCCCGACAAGCCGTTTACACCAGCACAGTCACTCTGACCCCTTGGGTGATCTCTATCCCGAAAGCTGCCGGTACTGGTGCCGTCAAGAAGGTGTGGGAGAAGCAGGAGGTTGACAAAAAGTGGTCCGAGTCGTCGTGGGCGAAGAAGAGAGAGCAAGCAGACCGAAGGAAGAACCTGACAGACTTTGAACGATTCAAGGTCATGAGACTGAAGAAGCAGGTAAGACTTATCCAGTTGTCAACCAGAAGTCGCTCGCGTACTTTGACTTTGGTCTTGACTTGACAAGGAGTGACTCCGGCTGACGATCAGGATGAATAGCAACGATTCGAGACACTGAAGGCGCAAGCTAGAGTTCGGGCGACGGCGAAGGCATAAACCAGGAATTGTTTCGGCGTCATATGAAAATTCAACCGGTTCAAATAACAACACAAAAGGCATGCGGGCTGTGGGCATGTCGATAAAAAGACCTCAGTGATGGGGGTGGCAAGGATCGTTCGTGGCTGTGGCTATTCTGCTATTTCGCCCGCGCGAGCATCTACCAGAGCATGATCCAATAAATTCATGAAACTCGAAAACCAAGAATTGACACGATCCTCCGTAAGCAGGGCATCGTTCTATGGAGACGTCTGTGTTTCGAGGCTTGCGCTTAAAAAGCTTTTTACAGATTCAATCAGACGTAACTCTTTACTCCAAATGTTTCTACAGAACATATCCCATGCTCTTCGTTGCTGCTATTCTCAGGCCCCCTTCGCCTGCTGAGTTGTTTGTTCTCTCTTCATGTTCCTAAGACACCTTCCGCATACTTGTTTGGTCAACTAGCGGTTTTCGTTCTTAGATCTGCCGCTTGGGTATCCTCGAGGATGTCCATGAACACTTCAATCGTTAAAATGCGATAATCTGTATGTCGTATTCTCGTCATGCAGTCAAAGTCTGAATATCCTTCCGAATAGCCCGGGACATCGAGCGCCTCTGGAAAGAGGAAGAACTCGGGTCACGTGCTATGATACCACTGTGGTTGTAGCGGCGCGAGGAGAATCAATCGACTAACTACGGAGGCGTGTTGCTATCGACAGCCGATTGGAACAGGTTACTCCCATCTATAGCATGCCAGGCCTCTATAATGCGTTGGCGGAGTGTCTCATATGGAACCTCACGCTCTCCTGGATAGTTGCGAGCCAACCAATCCTTCATCTCATTCCATATAGTCTCAATGGGGTTAAGATCTGGAGAATAGATAATATTCCTAGTTAGGAATTCCGAATTCATCCATTATCTCCTTAGATTTATAAGTTAGTGCGTTATCCTGCATAAATAGAAGTGAAATAGCCCTATCTCACATTGAGAATTACATCTAACTATTAATGAGAGGGATAATTCTTTCTCTATAACTCTCTGAGTTTATAAAGCCCCAGTCTTTCTCCTAAAATAGATAAGGACCTAATTAATTACCGTTAAAACAGGCCCAAAACATAAAGCCTTTTATGCGTCGTCGACGCTTAACAACACAGGTTAGCTCTAGTTCCTCATTATCTTAATGAGTAACCCATACTTATTAATGCGCTTTTAGCATTATTCATGTCTTATCACTCCATAAAACTCGATCCCATTATTCTTTTATCTATGTTGTACTGGGGAATGATGAAGGTGTCTCCTAGTGGCCGTTGATTGGCTATGGCAAGCGTGTGCGTGGGACGGTGCGAGTGTCTTGGTCATGGCATCAGAATGAGTAGATAGTAACAAGGATAGCACACACGGAAGTGTGCAACGTGCAACCAGGCAACCAGGTAATGAGATGAGTCTTCTTTTCCTTGAGTACGAGTGCGCTGTTCTCTAGTGGCTATGAGCCCTAGGTGCGTGATGCTGAACGAGTAACACGATCACCCCGTGGCCCCGTGAATGTCGAGTGCGCCTGTACGGACACAGGTGACTAGGACGACTAAGCGGCGAGTGCCAACGAGTCTCTAAGGTTGACGAGGAGGTCGTCCTGCGTTGTGATGTTGCGGGGTGGCTTGATTATGTTGACAGGTATATTGGACTGCGCGTTGTGAGATTTTCAGGAATTCTGCAATATATTGATAGGTATAGCCAAGTCGTCGCATAAGGAGGATATCTCGTCGTTGATCCCGAGTAAGTCGACGACGCCTAGGCGTCGCTGGAGGACTAGAACCTGCCATGGTTGAAGGAGTACCAGGTGGTAGAGGTGTGAGTAAGTTGACAGGGTGTAAGGAAACAGGTACCAGGCACGTGACAGCCTAACCTATAGAGGGTTAGTAGGGTAACTAACCAAAAATAGGCCTTGTACTCCGTAGTACTGTAGGGCAACAACATTTGGTGCACGCCTCCGTACAAGAGGCTGGCCGCTATAAATACGTAAAAGTATGTAAGCAAATGTAGCGGTCGGAAATAAGTGTCTCCGACCCCTCACGCTAGAATCACACCGCCAAGGATTCGATCATCGAAGCGGTGCACATCGAATACAGCTTCATCACGACTGGCACACAAAATCCGATTTGACAATACCCTGCACCTAGAGACAACTGTGAGGCTCCCTGTAGTGACTCAGCCATTGCACAGACTACTGGATTGAAAATTTTCCGAGTTCTGCTTGCGAGACTGTAGACACGATATCCCGACCTCGTTTCCTGATTTAGCTAACCAAAGCTCTGCCGCAGGCTTCACTTCGCTTCCTACATCCCAGACCACCTCAACCTCCATCATGTCGAACCCAAGAATAGAAGAGCTTCCCGACGAGGAACCCACCAAGAACACCCAGGCCGAAGATGCGTCCAGCTCATCCGAGTCCGAAGCCGAAGGTGCTGGAGAAGGTGAAGCCTCCATCCCAGCTGGATCTGCTGTCGCAGTCCACAGCCGAAACGAGAAGAAGGCGCGCAAGGCCATTGGCAAGCTGGGCTTGAAGCACGTTCCAGGCATTACCCGTGTTACCTTGAGAAGACCAAAGGGGGTAAGTTGCCATGGACGCATTCTCTCCCGCTTCGATTCTGCGGGGAGTTGCTGCACATATCATGAGAGCAATGATTGACCCGATGCTTCTCAGGTTCTCTTCGTGATCTCCAACCCTGACGTCTACCGCTCACCGACCAGCAACACATGGATGTAAGCTTGCCCTCATATGTTCACGCCACCGGCATCTAACACACTATAGCATCTTTGGTGAAGCCAAGATTGAAGACCTCAACTCCCAGTCACAAGCTGCCGCTGCTCAACAGCTTGCCGCTGCCGAAGCGGCCAACGCCGAGCACGCCGGTCACGACCACTCGCACGAGAACGGCAAGGGCAAGGAGCCTGAGAAGAAGGCCGACGAGGAGGAAGACGATGACGAGGAGGTTGATGACAGTGGGCTTGAAGCCAAGGACATTGAACTCGTCATGACGCAAGCCTCCGTGTCGCGAAAGAAGGCCGTCAAAGCACTCAAGGAGAATGGCAACGATATAGTCAACTCCATCATGGCGCTAAGCGTATGATCAAAAGTATTAAAAAGTTCGGGATTGGGACCTGAAGTCTCAGGATGCAAGTGATCCAGAGTTGGGGGCGACGGTCTTGTCTATCTTGTTGCACTGTCAGTGCACTGAACTTGGCATGATTGAGTTATGCTTCTAGATGAGCTGAAAATACAACTATGCTTGTCTTGCCATTTATTTTTCTGGGACGTATATCTAATGCTTGCATTCACGTATTCCGTCCAGACATTGCCTGGGCCGAACGCTCGAGGGGAATCCCATCACGTGATTATGATGCTGTATGAGGCATCTTAGCCGAGTCCAGGGACGAGAACGAAGCCCGGAACCTTCAAACATCACTTTGAGAAAAGCTGTACCGACCAACTCTCCCCTCCACCACAACCACCACCACACCGCCAAAATGGCCGCTTCAGTAAGTCCCGAAGCTCTTGCAATGTCTGATCTAGCTCCAGACCATGCGAAATCGACCTCTCGACCCCCCTCTCTTTCGGAGTGAATCACTGACGATTGTTTCTTCTCCGTCATCTTAGTCCCGCGCAGTTTCCAAGCTCGACTGGAGCAAGGTCGGCACCCAACTCGGCCTCCGAGGCAGCACGGCGACGGCCCTGGCCAACTTCAAGAAGCGAAACGACGACGCCCGACGCCGGGTGCAGGTCTTGTCGGAGCAACCCACGACGGTCGACTTCGGCCACTACCGCAGCGTGCTCGCGAACACGGCCGTCATCGACGAGATCGAGCAGCACTTCAAGTCGTTCCAGCCCAAAACCTACGACGTGAGCAAGCAGATCAAGGCCATCGAGAGCTTCGAGCAGGTCGCCATCAAGAACGCCGAGGAGACAAAGTCCAAGGTCGAGGTTGAGCTGAAGAGCCTGGAGAAGGCCCTGAACGACATCGAGGGCGCGAGACCCTGGGAGGAGCTCACCGTCGACGAGATCACCGCCGCCGCCCCCGAAATCGACGAGTACACGGCCCGTTTGGTCAAGAAGGGACGATGGATGCCTCCTGGATACTTGGTACGTCTTCTTCTTGTGATCGGAAATGGGGGATGGCATCCCCTCGCAAAGATACCGTTGCTAACGACCCTTCTTGGTTTTTACAGGAGAAATTCCCCAACTTGTCGGTGCTGTAAGAAGAAGTGGTTTCCTTTCCAAATGCTATGTCAAACAAAGAAGAAGAAAAAGATGGCGTGCGGTAGCAAGGGCTTTTCGACCAGCAAGAAAACCCCTCATCTTTCAATCCTCATGGACTTGGGACTTGGGGAATTTGTGTATAGTGATTTAGATCCGACAAGAATTGTTCCAAAAACAAAACACATTCTACACTGGCATTGCCATCGCACCTACACTTGCCTTATTTCGTGCCTGCAGACTTCATCTCTCGTTTCGATTCAGACAGTGCTTCGACTTGGAGTAGGAAGGACACCACATGGTGACAGAGCAAAGCTAGGTTGTATTGCGTGCTACAGAAGTGAACTGGCACCGAAACCCCACTGTACGAGTACATGATTTCTTTTGCCTTGAACATCAAACACTTTCCCCTTCTATGATTCCATGTTCTCCCAACAAATACCCTACATTTTCTTTCTCCTTGCTTTCTTTTTGAAAGCTCTGTAAACTTACAAACCAGAGTCTTCCTGTTGGTATTGCGCGGTAGCATAGTACTTGTTCCAGCTGGTGCACTCGTTGTGCCAGTCTTGTCCGATGGGCAACTTGCTACGGATGTAATCGGGCTGTTCCAGGAATTGGGCGCCAAAACCCAGACTGACGTGGAAGGCGATGTGACAGTGCATCAGCCAGGCGCCCGGATTGTCGGTGATGAAGGCGAGGACGAGGTAGCCGTTCGCCGGCAACATGGCCACGTCGCGCCTCGGCGGGTTCTTGTAGTTGAGGGTTTGGGAGTTGTTGTAGACGCCCGAGTCGGCGCCGAGGACGTAAAAGTCGTGGCCGTGCAGGTGGATCGGGTGCGGCTGGGGAGGGGCCTGGGTCTGCAGGGCCTGGATGACCCAGTAGCTCCAGGTGTTGGCGTTGGGCAGGCTGATCAGGTTCATGCTGGCCGGGAAGTTGGTGTTGTTGTCGAGCACGTACTGCAGCGTGGGGTCGCCCCAGGGGACGTTGATGGCGTTGAAGTTCAGGTTCCACTGGACCTGCGTCTGCTGGGCGGCGTCTTGAACGATGGCGAAGCCGACGTCGAGGTGCGAGGACTGCGGGATGGTGTAGTTGTCCGGCACGTCGAGCTTGACGTACGGGACGAGGCTCTTGTTCGGGTCGTTGCAGTCGGGGGCACCGGGGGGTGCGTTGGAACGTGTGGCGTTGGGGGGTGTCGTCGACGTGGCGCCGGCATAACTGAAAATGGCGAGGGCGTTCTTGTTCAGGTTGTTGCTGCAACCGGCTTGGGGAACGACGTGGAACCAGTAGCTGTCGACGGGCTGGTTAGCCTCGATGATAACGTCGTAGCGCTGGCCGATTGCCAGAAACAGCCAATTCGTGACGAACGGCTTGATGGGGACAAAGTCTGCAGTCACCACCGTGAAGCTGTGTCCGTCGAGGCCGACTTTGAAGTTGTCGTTTGTCGAAGTGTTGATGAGGCGGAGTTTGTACTTTTTGCCTTTGGTCAGGGTAGTGCGGCTGTACTTACCGACCGTGCCATTGACCTTGACGTTGGTGCCGTTGATGAGGATGTTGTCGCCCGGGGGTGGGCCACGGATGACGGCATGCTGGACGAGCGGCGCAATCTCGAAAGCAGGTCGGTAATACCAATCGGTGATTGGGAAGGCGCCGAGATCGACGTCGTAGTTCGATGTGGTAGGACCATCGATGATGATGGTACCGACTACACCGTCCGAGTACTGGTCGGAATAGTGACTATGAAACCATGTCGTGCCGAACTGTGTGCACAAAAAGGTGTATGTGCGAGTTTGTCCTGGCGCAAGAGGACACTCGGTTACACCATTGGTGCCGTCCATCTGGTTAGAGTACCACTGTCGTACGCCGTGCCAGTGGATGCTGGTGCCGTTGGTGGTGAGGCTGTTCTTCACCCTGATCTGCAAGGTGTCACCCCATTTTGCCCGGATCGTTGGCCCAGGATATTGGTTGTTGATCGCGTAGACGATCCTGGGGACCCCATCGGGGGACATGGTAGTGTTTGTGATCTCGAGATCATAATACTCAGTGTGGCGAGTATTCGGCCATGTACTGTCGTAGTTGGTGGCGATGCTGAAACCATTCCCCCAGCATTGACGGGTGAACGGCCCATTCGTGCATTGAGCGTCAGCTTTCTTGGTAGTCGTAGCTGAGCTACTACTACTTGTTGATGCCTGCCTGGGACCAAGATCACGCGGGGAGAGTTGAACAAGTTCAGCAGTTGGGATAAAGGCAGCAAGAGAGTGGCAGAACAAAAATGAAGAGAGTGACAGAAAGAGAAACATAGCGAGTGACTTGGTCGGAGCCATTATGTGCTGGGAAAGAGAGACAATCAAGAGAAGGTTTTGGTCACATCACGACCCTTTCGACAGGAAACTCGCCTTGATATCATTCTGAGCACCACCCAGTCTAGACTTGCATCTCGACTGATATGTAAGGGGGCAAATTTGCCATGCCCTGCTCGCGTGGTACACGTACTTTAGGATGTCTCACAGCCTCGTTTCTGGGTGCATCACGCCGTCATACAACTAAGGGATGAATATGTTTCTCAAAATGATGACAAGGGATTATCATCGAGTCGTTGAAGTCTTTGCCGGCGAAAACGAAATGGTGGCGATGGAAGGGTAGGAAGTGGCCGAGACAGGACACTCGTGGCAATTTCCTTTGCTGCATTCTTGGCGGGCTTCATCTGAAATACGGCGGTAAATATTGAGACTGTTCCTAGAGGCATATCCGGGTTGATGCATGGCATGGTGGTCGAGAAGGCGAAGAAGACACGACCAGGGATGGTTTGATGTCGCTCAAAATATTGAGTCCCATCTTGGCGAGTATTGGACAACAGTACAATAGCCCCTTACAATGGCCATTGTTGCTGATTCTCCCCTTCCCATCCCCAGTTGTGTTTGCGATATTGGACGACTCCGCCTTGCATCTCCTTGCCTTGTGTAATCCAGTCGTCTGGATCCCTTGTAGTGGCCCTTGGACTGGCCCTTGGATTGACAACTTGTCGGTATTCACACCTTGTTACTCAAATGCCAACCTCCACCTCTTTGCTCTCGACCCGCCACGGTCAGTTACACAGCTTTGACATTTGCTTCCAGGAAATCAAGATGCAGCGAACATTGCAAGGTAAGGATTGCGATGCTCTTGGTCAAATGCGCTCTCTGGGACCGAGAGAAATTGCGACTGCCGCCTTCGCCTGAGACAAACCCATCCACCACAGCTGGAAGTTGCTCCTTGCATTCTCTGCTTGCGATCACACCGCCATGTGCTTTCATGTCTCGGTACCCTCGGCCAGGTGGCTTTCATCCTTGTCTTACCTGGTTTCATCAGGGTATTGACATCTGCTCCATGGCGCAGGTAAGGGCATTACGGAAGTGACAAGGTCGAGACCTTGGGTTGGTGTCCGGCCGATTTTGATATATGTTGTCCATGTCACCCACAACTTGTAATATCTCCCCAACACTCTTTCATGTCCAACTGACAACATGCATTCCTTTGTCCCTTCTGCTTTAATTGTTTTGACGGTGTTGCGAGGAGCTGTTGCAGAATGCTATTCGTATGGAGTTGACTATGTTGATGGAGGAGGGCCCTATTGCATCAATACCACCTCTACAGACTTTTTCTCGTTCTTGTCAGATTTCGAAGGTAAGTCTAGTGACTTTCGATATACCCAATCATGCTGATCGCAACGAGGCTGCCAACCAAGTGACAGTCAGGGAGACATCACCCCGATTCTCATCGATCCTAATGGAGATGAGTACTTCTGTTCCGATGTTCCAACAATGCCAGATGATGTTGATATGAAATCCACTTGGTATGAGCTATCTTTTGAAGTCCTTCTATGCTGGCACTGACACAAGTAGCAACGTGGCTGGCAACCAGGTCACCAAGAACAATATGTTTTCTGGAAACTGGATGGTGGTCATGGAAGGACTGACCTTTGCTTGGATGCGTACCTTTCAGATCGTTGCCGGCCCGCCCGTCACTATCACATCGACACCCACTGCCACATATACTGTCACGAATACCCCATCAGCCACTGTTACAACCACTAGCACCAGCGTATCCTTGATAACATTGTCAGCGTCAACTGTTACAGTACCGTCCAGCACCTCAGTGAGAACAATCACGACCACACCAAAACAAGTGACCGTTTACTCGACGTCAACATCAACACGTACTCGTACGTCGAGAACATGGTCGTCGACAGTCACTACTACCACGATCACTGTCTCGTGTCAGCCACAAGTTGCAAAGAGGGACCCGAGTTGCACGATTCGCCCGACCAAGGCAACCCTTGCGGCTGCATCCAATACAAGTTACCCTGCTCCTCGGGGACGCTTCTTCCGTGGCGCCCCACGACGAGATAGGCCCAAATGGAGTCGTGCAATGGTTGAGCCAAGGGATAATTCGCTCTTTGAGCGTGGAGCAGGCAAGTGATTTGTGGAGCACCTCCCATGAGTTTTCTAACTACTTTCAGATGTCTGCACAACAACGATTCTCCAGACGACTAATGTGATATCTTCATATGTGACGGTGACTGCTCCAACAAGCACCGAATTCATTACAAACACTGTGACATCAAGCTCCACTATGTAAGTGAAACTTCTGGGGCCAAGATATCGTATGGTACTGACATTGGTAGCACACCCGCCGCGGTGACCGCCTACGCTGGTATCATCAGGACCACGATTACTGTCACTGCACCGACGCCGACTCGTACCCGAACAAGCAGAGTCTATGTGACAACCTGGACCACTAGTACCGTTGTGGCTACGTATGTAATTCGCGAAGATGCTGATGAACGTCGTGAGCTAACCAAAACCAGGATTACATCCACTGTGAAGACAACTCCTTCAGGAATGGTATGTGCGACGAAGCCTGGAGGCTGGTAATAGCATCGAAGAGATCGAGATCGTTGTCGGACGCGAGGACACTATTAGGAGAGCTCTATCATTGTCTTGGTCAGAGGTGGATTTTGACGAACGGAAAAGCATTTAATCTCGAGCGACGCCTCGTACTCCGTAGTTGCGAGTGACTTGTTCTTTCCCCACTGTCTCTAGCTATGAGGGCTACCTGAGCCAGGATCGATCGACTGAAGTAGATCTCGTGAATGGACCATAATGTTTGCTCTGGAATGCAAGGTTGTTCTTGTATGGAGTGCTCATAGCATTTTATGTTTCCCGACACGAGGCAAGGCTGTGCTAGAGCCTCGTGTTTGAGAGCGTCGCAGCAGAGTGGCCAATCGGAACGCACGTTTGCTATATTTGTGGGTAAAGTGGCCGTTCAAGGCCCCGACGGGTCAATTGTTCCTCCGATGAGGTGCCCAAACATCTCCATGCTAACACTCGATCTATCCGTCCTCACACTACTCTGACTCTTCAATCCAACCATCGACGCGGGCCTTGACGCTGGGAATGGCGCTCTCAATGTCAAACAATTGTCCCGTCGCTGTAAATGCTGACTTCAAAATAGATTCGATCGACGAGAATGGAGAGGTATCGTACGCACGAAAACAAAAGAGCGTAGGTCTCAATGTGTATAAAAGGGTCGGTGGCTAACGTGTTTGACGGGTCGAGGAGGAACACAATAACATCAACCAGATCGACATTGGAATTCATTTTCCTCAACCACAAGATAGCGAGTACGACGATTGACTCTAGTTTTATTCATTGAGATTGGTGTTTTCGAAATCAAGAGAGATATCTATACCCATATCCTCCTTTCCTCCATCGAGTTGTTTTATTTCCTCAACATGACTTCCACAAGCACGACTCGCACCGTGGCCTTCTTCGGTGCCACGGGAGGCGTCGCCAACGCCATTCTAGTCCACACCTTGCTCTCGGGACACCGCGCGGTAGCGCTCGCGCGCACCCCGTCGAAACTCCGCGACCAACTCACGTCTCAAGGTCTCGACGCGGCGACGATCGACGGCAACCTCACCATTGTCCCAGGAAATGCCCTCGACGTGGCCAGCGTCAAGAAGACTCTCCTGGCATCATCACCCTCCGCTGACGGTGGTGACGACTTTCCCACGCACATCGTCACCGGCCTGGGCGGTACGCCCAGCCTCACCTTCGACTGGTGTCATCCTGGACACATCGCGACACTCGACAATCCCACGATCTGTGAGACGGCCGCCAAGACGCTCGTGACGGCTCTGCGCGAAATCCACGCCGAGAGATCTCTACGGACGTCTCAGAAACCGCTCTTGGTCTTCGTCAGCACCACGGGAATCAGTAGAGGGGTCGAGGATGTCCCCTTTGCCATGCGCTTCTTCTACCACCAGGCATTGGCGATCCCGCACGTCGACAAGAGGAAGATGGAAGACGTGTACCGCGGCGAAATGGAAAAGGGTGAGGGTGAGGGCGTGTTTCGAAACGTCGTGGGCATCAGGCCGACACTCTTGAGTGGGAGCGTCGATTACAAGGACGCCAAGGGCCTCGAGGGATTGAAAGTCGGCACCGAGAGTAAGCCGGCTCTGGGGTTCAACGTGAAGCGTGCAGACGTGGGACACTGGGTGTATGAGAATGTCATCAGTCCGAATGGGACGGGGAAGTGGGAGGGCGAGATGGTGTCGTTGACTAGCTAGATTGATATTCGAGATATATATTCGTAGATCCAGTACGGTTATAAGGCGCAACCGAAAAGATACCAGGAAGTTATAACTACATAGACATGATGGCAAACCAATTTTATTTATTTCATGCAATATTCATTAAACTGCTAGCGCTGCCACTATTGTACTGTGCTGTTGAGGGTATCGATCATAATAGTACAAAATGTGTCCAACTTACGCGGCTTGCCAAAGCAACACGGCCGCTGTCATGGATTCTTCTGTGGGGTGTGCTCGCCATAAACAAAGCAAAACTCTCCTTTCTGCACCGAATATGTCAAGGTTCGCTCGGACTCTCTCTCACTCTCGACTTCACTTGTTGAGAGAGTCCACCGATCAAACTCTACTTGTCGTATGCGTCCTTGATCTATGGTGTCGTCGGGTACGGCCGCAGGTGAGGCATGAGATGATGATGTCGAAGAGGGAAACAATGCCATTGACGATGGCGGTGATGATTGCACCGATGCCGTTAACGATTGCCATCAGCACTGAGCCGATTGTCCGGCAGATGGACTCGAACTGCAAAAGGCGGTCAGCATGTTGTGAGGTTGAGGCTGAAAGTGAGCAGTATGACTTACGCAAGAGACGACAGCACCCATTGTGACTTGTCTATGTTTGGTGTAGGATTTCTTTTGATGTGTGTGTAATGTTGTTGTTGTTGTTGTTGTTTGTATGTGTATGTGTGCGTTGTTGAGTGAGAGACAACAACAGGAGGGTTGGTGGCTTCTATGTCGAGATGTATGTTCGGAGTGAGATTGTCTAGAATGTTCAAGGGCAACTTCGCTTAAGTACACATGAGTCAAGGAGGGAACGGGTTGGTGGCTGCCTCGTGTGTAACGCGGTCAACCAACTACATCATCCAAGCAGTGACTCTTGATTGCTTTGACCTCATCTTTGTTTTCGATGAATCGGACTTTCTAAACTCGATACAATCTAGTGTCGGTGTTTCCCACGCATGGGAATGCTTTGCAGCCAATCCACATACGAATACGACTATCAATTTGCCTACGGATGACGTGGGAGGTTCCCATGTTCAATCTCATCAGCAATTGGATTTCTTCGATCCCCAGCCTGATCATCTGCATCGTGACCATCATCTCAATTTCTCGTCAAGCCATGGCACAATCCTGTCGTGGCGCCATCGACCAAAGAGGAAGTATTGAAGTCTAACACCACAGGGATCTCACAACGGACCAGTCACGATACAGCACACCATCCCATTGCGGATTGAAGCCGTTGAAAAACAAGGAACTCGTGGAACGTCACCGAAAGCCAAACTACGTCAGGTGGGGGGATCCTTGTTCTGGGTGTCGCCGATCCTGCAAGCACGATTTCATAGCTGTGGCGTTGATCTTCCGGATAACAGCCCCGTCCAATCAACTCAGAACCTCCATAGCCGCAATTCCGAGAAGCAAGAGTCGTTGCTGTGGCGGTGCAGTTTGTCGTTGCAGAAGAGAATCTGTTCCTCCACCAATGGGTGATAGATCAAGATGTCGGCACGGTACGATTCCTTGGTGCAGCTGATAGCTTCAATTTACGACAGCCGCGGCCCGGGTGTGTCTCTATTTGCACTGGGGACGCTGACTGCTGTAATTCTGGTGGTCACGGGCAGATTCTTCAGCACAAAACGGGAAGATGCGATCCCCTACACGGTCCCAGTGCCTGAGCAGCTGCGTGCTGGGTATTGGGAGAAACAGACGATCGAGCGACAGAATCAGCAGGCAGATCTAGTAGGTTTGTCGGGTATCCCAGCTGGGAAACCCTCAATGCTAAGACGTTAACCAGATCCGCAACGGAAAGATACACCCTTATTGTCCAGCCGATGGTCGCCCTCTAGGTGCCCCTATTCAACCCGCATCCTCCAGTACAATTGACTCTGGCATATCTGAAGCAGCTCAAGCTCAGCTAACATGGACGCTGACGACCTTCTCCCAGCGACGGCGGGTCCTGCGCACGATACTTCGATACGTTCTCGACCACCAAGACGAAATCGTTACCGCGTGTTGCCTTGACAGTGGGAAGACCAAGATCGATGCCTGCTTCGGAGAAATCCTCGTTACGGTTGAGAAATTACAATGGACAATAAAGCATGGAGAACAAGCACTGCGGCCATCAAGAAGACCAACCAACCTCTTGATGTGCTACAAGTCAAATACTGTCGTTTACGAGCCTCTAGGCGTGGTGGCCGCATGTGTCAGCTGGAACTATGCCTTCCACAATTTCATATCGCCCATCATATCCGCTCTGTTTGCAGGCAATGCCATCGTCGTCAAGCCAAGTGAGCAGACTTGCTGGAGCGCAATCTACTTTACAGATATTGTTCGAGGAGCACTGGAGGCTTGCGGTCACAGTGGGCGTCTTGTGCAAACAGTAATATGCTTGCCAGATGTTGCTGACCATCTCACAAGTCACCCTGGCCTAAGCCATATCACATTCATCGGCAGCAGGGATATTGCTCACAAGGTCTGCTCATCCGCTGCGAACGCACTGACTCCCGTTACAGTGGAATTGGGCGGTAAAGATCCTGCTGTTGTGCTGGACGATCCACAGACGGTCAGAAACATCGATGATGTCCTGTCGATCCTGATGCGCGGCGTGTTCCAATCAGCCGGACAGAATTGCATCGGCATCGAGCGCGTCATTGCCCTCCCTGGGGTTCATGACAAGGTTCTGGACGGTGTTCGCCAGAAGATCTCTCATCTAAGGCTCGGCTCGGTCCTTCTCGATAAGCAAACACCAGATATGGGTGCCATGATCTCCAGTCGAAACTTTTCTACGCTGGAAGAGCTTGTTGCAGATGCCGTGGGAAGAGGCGCGACACTACACTGCGGCGGAAAAGGATACGCCCACCCAAACTACCCGGGCGGCCACTACTTTGAACCGACCTTGCTCAGTGGTGTGACCAAAGACATGCCCATTGCTCAAAAGGAGCTTTTCGCTCCAGTCTTCCTCCTCATGTGGGCAAAGAATCTGGATGACGCCATCGACATGGCCAATTCGACCGAGTATGCCTTGGGGGCTGGTGTGTTTGGCCACAACCGGCCAGACGTTGCAAAGTGTATCAGGGCCATCAAGGCAGGCATGGTCGCCGTCAACGACTTTGGCGCGTACTACGCGTGCTCGATGCCCTTTGGCGGCGTCAAGGGTTCGGGTTACGGACGGTTCGGCGGCGAGGAAGGCCTACGTGCCCTGTGCAACATCAAAAGCGTATGCCAGGATGCTCGGTGGGCGAGGATGCTGGGCATCCAGACGAGGATACCGCCGAAGCTGCAGTACCCCGTCAGCCGGCACGGCTGGGACGCATGCAAGGGCGTGGTCGGCACGGGGTACTCCCTAGGGTGGGTGGAACAATTGCAAAGTGTGTTTGACCTGCTGAGGGCACTGTTACGCAAAGAGTAGCAGGGACTAGGAATCTTTGCGTGTCTCGAAGAGCAAAAAGAAAAGGAAGCAAAGCTTGGTAGGGAGCAAATGAATACGACACTAGAGCCATCGATTTATCCAAGCGCTTCAAATGAACAACGCAGTTCACACTCCAGGTCTCTTCTCTATCTATACTCGTACATGTGTGAACCAGAATAATATCCAGTCAATGCTCCCCTCTATGCACACAGGGAGCAGTAGCATGCCAACAAAAAGAAGTTCATGTATTAGCTCACATTTTGCTTTTCATGACCACGAGATGGCCAACATGATGGCAGCACCTACAAACATGGCGCCAAACTGCAGAGCCGTCTTCTTCAACTCTTGGCCCTTGTCGGAGCCCGTCTCCAACAACTCGGGGATGACGGCGACGGTGCCCACGTACAGGAACGTGCCCGCGGTGAACGGAAGCAACATGTCTCCCCACTGGAGACTCGTGCCCCAGATGCCCTTGGTGGCGGCGCCGTTCAAGTCATTCGTACTGCTGCTGCTGTTTCCACCGTACTCCTGGACGAAGATGCCGATGCACGTGCCCAGAAAGGCACCGACGGCCGTCACGAACTGGGCGCCCATGGCTTTCCTCTTGGAGAAGCCCGACTGGATGAGGAGGGCAAAGTCGCCCACCTCGTGGGGGATCTCGTGGAAGAAGACGGCCATGGTGGTCGTCGCGCCGAGTGCCGGGGACGCGTAGAACGACGAGGACAGGGCGAGGCCGTCGGTGATGTTGTGCGTGAAATCGGCAATCAGGTTGAGGAGACCCGCGAGCTTGACAGAGGGGTTGATCGGGTCCACTGGTTGTGGTGGTGTCTTGGGGGTCTTTTCTGCCTTTTCTGCCTTCTGCGACTTGTTGCGCTGGCGGACCTCGCCATGGGACTTGGAAGGGGTACTGCCACTGGTGTTGGAGGCGCTCCCGTTCGAGGCAGACGACGAGGAAGTAGACGAATGCTCGTGCGAATGGTTGTGACCGCCGTCTCCCCCTGTCGCAATTCTCAGGGCTTTGTCCATGGCCATGAACGCGACGAGGCCGACAATGATGCCGACACCCAGGAGGAGGTTGCGGTTGGGTTCGAGCATGACAAATTTGACGCGGTCGTGGTGGTCTTCACCCAGAAAGATCTCCGGGAGGAGGTGGAAGAGAGTGTCGCCCAGCAGGCCACCGACGGCGAACGCCACCATCACGCTGAGACTGGACGGGTCTATGTTCGGTGGGCATAGTGCCAGGAGAAAATTGGGAGGGCCGGAGATGTAGGCCGTCGCGAGGAGCGAGTTGATTGCCGGCGACGAGGAGGGGAAGAGGACGGCGAAAAGCTGCGACGTCCACGACTTCTGGGACGGGGCTGTCCGGAGCTTGTGCTCGGCGAGGTTCTGTACGAATGCGCATTTCTACACATGGGTGTCAGTCGATGAGGCGAAAAGGAGGCATGTAGGTAAAGGCAGTTGTGGTGGCTCGTACCTGCAGATTTTCCTCAATCTCGTCGAGGCTCAATTGGCCTACGTCCTTGTTGAGGAGAGCCTCGGCGCAGGCAGAGGCCGTCAGGCCTAGAAACAGAGCATACAGGCTGTATCGTAGCATACTGGACGTCCTGAATGATGAGGAAGCCATGCTGTCCCTTGTGTTGGAATTCCGTTGTCACTCCTGCACAAATACAGCTTGCACGCGACTGTCCCTCAATGCTCCTAAGACCGAGCCAGGGGTGTCAAGAATACCTTTGTCTGACCAAGCATCTGGACTAGTTGTTCGGCGGATTGGTGTGCCATGACGCTGTCAGACAGGATTTCCTTAACAGGCAAGTTAGGCGAAGCTTCTTATCGCGATAAGGAAATTTATCTGCGCTCTTGTACGGAGTATTGTTACTCGGTAAGTCTTTTTCGAGTGGCCGCAGCCAGACAGCGAAGAAAGGTGTTCCAACACAAAATCGTGCAGAGAAACACGTCGCCATAATGGGCAGAGAAAGACAGAAAAAGAAGAACCGTTCTTCGATATCCAAAGTCAAACCACATTCCAACCGGACCAAAACTGGAAAGAAAAAGGTCAATTTTTTAGGAAATGCGACCATCGCACAGAATTGGTTTGTTCACACTCTACTGCCTGTGCCATGCCCAGGACTGACATGTATCGTAGGGACCGAAAACTTACTGTATCGCAAAACTACAAGCGCTTGGGCTTGAGTTCGAGGTTGAACGGCGCCAGCGGAGGCACCGAGAAACAACCAAGCCTTGAGACCGAGGAAGATGGGAACAAGAAGCGGGATTCTCTTGCCATTGCCGGCCCACGAGCTCTCAATAAGCAGGCAACTCAAGAGGTCCAGGTTGAAAGAGATCCCGAGACTGGTCGGATTGTCCGAGTTATAAGGGCAGAGCCCGATACGAACGACAATCCTCTGAATGACCCTTTGAACGATATTATGGATATTAATGATGATGACGGCCATGTGAAAGATCGCCCCCAAAACAACATTGTTGCGCAACTTGAAGCCGAAGCGGCCGCCGAGGAAGAGTTCTTGTCTCAAAAGAAACAGCCACGAAAACAAAGTCAACGAGAAGAGGAGTGGATTACTAGACTCGTCGAGAAACATGGCGATGACACCAAAGCCATGGTAAGAGATCGGAAACTAAATCCTATGCAGCAAACAGAGGCAGACATAACTAGGAGGCTGAGAAAATGGAAGGCAAAGCAAGAAGTTGGGACGTGAATGATATTCTCGAGGACACAACAGAGAACGCCTATGGCGCATAAATGGAGAACTTCGACAAGTCATGGTCGCGCAACAACTGGCAGTCTCGGCCTCTGGCAGTCTACACTGACTGAGGCATTGGAATTGGTCATTCACATGAGCATTCAAGACTGAACACACTGGTGAGAAGTATTGCCCAAGCAGCAATTTTGCATCACGGGGTGTTGTATTCTTTGACAGCCAGATGCACTGCTAGCTCCATTGTCAGACGAAGGCTGGTACGTTTGTTTTTTCCGACCTGGCCATCGACTCACAATGTTGGACCCAAATTGTGAAGCTCCCTGGCCTTTGTTAATGCTGGACCAATTACAAATGCTACCATTCCATCCACAGTCTTGATACGGCATTCAGCAATTGTTAGCTGGGAAAGAAACAGTGGCTGCGGGATAAAGCCAAACTGCACCTGGATTCTGGCGACGTCCTTTCGCCACCGCCCAAGTTCTTTGCACTGTGTTGATCATGGTTTCATGCAGAATGATCACAAGATGTTTGGCATGTTTCAGTACGGGGAGGTACGAGATGAACTGGTGGGGTGTCCAAATCCAGCGCCGAGCAAAATAGCTTCCGCCATCAATTTAACCAAGCATCTTTCACTGAATCTCCTCGTGCTTCTTTCCACCATCCTCCGGTGTTCGCATGGTAAGCGCATTGACATTATGATGTTACCAAATGCTTCCACACCTCTTCTCAGACGCGTCGGGTTGAGGACCTGCCAGTGGGATATTGACTTCAAAACAATAAGAAGGACAGCATTGCCCTTTGGACTGAACTGTAAGATGTCACGATGTATAGGAAGTTTCGACTTCGTCAGCGGAGGGCGGTGAGTAGAGAACGCTCTAACTAGGTGACTTGTCCTGCCGTACCTGGATACTCCTCGAGATCAATTCACTGCCCAATATGATGACAGTAGCCATCACCCCCTCGACGCGTCGTTCACGCCATGAGAGCTTCGCGAGACTTGTGGGCAACTCTTGCTTTGCAGCTAGATCCGTGAAACAACCAAAAGCTGCCACAATGGACAACAATCCCGATCAGTCTATGGTGCCCTCAACAACAAGTGCCCCTTTGATACCTGATAGAATCATACCAGGCCTCTATCTATCCGAGTAAGTCACGCCTCGCGAGTGGACCTTCCCTTGAGCTCCCTGACAAAATCTCAGTATCCAGACAGCATGTGCAGTGTTGAGCCCATACTACCCAGCACCTCATAGACCGGAGATCAAGTACGTTTTGTCAATCATTGACAGACCAGACCGCACGCCAAAGGTTCACCCAGAAGATGAATGGAAGTTTGTCCTCAAGTTCCTCAAACTGCGTGATGTTGGCTCGGACGACCTTCTTGAGATCCTCGGCGAAGCATGTGAATTCATCAGGAGCAGCATGAAGAACAATGATGGTGGAATCCTGGTGCATTGTGCCAAAGGCATCTCGCGCTCTGCTTCTGTGGTGCTTGCCTTCATCATGGAGGATATGTGCTTAGATTACGATACAGCTTTGCGGTATGTGCGTCAGTCTCGTTCCAAAGTCAAGCCGAATCCGGGATTTGAAGCTCAGCTGCAGTTGTGGGAACGCATGGAATACAGCATTTTCGAGGCAGATGGCACCACACACAAGGAAGAATACAATGTGTGGAAGGCCAACAACGAACATGCTACCAAGACCCTTGCCTTTCGGATCTTGGAGAAAGGAGCAGGCGGACCAAGCAAGAAAGACGGAACAACTTGATGGAGGATCGTGGACACATCTAATAGCATAGGTCAAGGGCCTCGAGCCGGATGAACAGTCTCGGCACTCGAGAAGGCGATGGGATGTTTCTTGTGCCCTGCTAGATCTACAACACGTAAGGGATTTAGCACAATGCGAACATTGAAGGTGCAGCTGGGAGTGCCCTCACAGGAACATGGGCACGCCAAGTGAAGGCTACCTTTTGGAGGTTAGCATTCTGCCTCAGACTATCCACAATATATTCTGAGGGAGGTGTGCTCAAGGTATGAGAATACACTCGTTTCTTACTGCCTTTCTCTATTGTGTATGAGGACACTGTGTACACTACGTTGGGTGTTCAATGCAGCTGGTGTAAAGCGCAGTTTACAGGGCATACTTGACTGACTGGTACATGGTGGCAGAAAAATACCCCTCCCCAGCCTCCCCTACGAATACGAGTCCTGCGTCTTCCATTTTCTCTGCTTCCTCGACCTTTTCCGCCTCAACAATTCCATCGCACTGTCCAATATCAACGATACCTTTCTGCGTTGCTACGGGGTATTTTTATATCTTGCATTCCTACAGCAACAAGCTTCCTTGGACCTGCAGCAAAGCAGCACCCTCAAAAGTGGTCAGGTTTCCGTTTCTTTCTCATCATTCTTTTTCGTCCTGATCCCGGTTTCTACAACACCTACTCGTACTCCTCGTCACATCTACGTGACCTTGTCGTCACAAGAGCACCTTCTATCTTTGCCTCCTGAACATCAGAGCCTTGTACTCTACGACGACTCTACGACGTGTCTACGTTACTTTCATGTTATCGTTCTCCCTCACTGGGCAACTCCCTTTTTTCTTTTCCATCACCATTTCGTTACTTTTCGTCACTTTTCGTCGCATCTACTTTACATCGTCTCTTCGCCTCGTTGCCTCTTCCTGACATCAACACTTTGTCGCATCTTCTCTACGTTAGCTGTTTCCTACGTTACCTCCTCGTCATCGTCTTCGCTACGTTATCTCTTCCTAACGTTACCTCTTCGTTTCTCTCTCCTCTACGTTACTTCCCGTCGTCCTTCCGTCACTTCTTCGTTATCGACGTCGGACAGGAAGATAGCCTCCTATTGACGCCGTCATTGTTTTCATACTCCTTGCCGTCGTCTTTCTATCACGCTCGTCGCGTTTTCAACAACACGATAAAGGCCATCAGCACTAACGGTGCAGCCTCGCATGCTCATACTACAACACTTACACGTAGGGGCAGTTGCAGTCAATTCGTCTCTCGGCATTGTCGCCTTGTGAAGCGTTTTGCCCTGGCCCTTTGACTTCACGACGTCCATCTAATCGAGCAGCAAGCGAGATATCTCTACACTGAAAGACCTGCATACAAACGAACAAACAGAAAAAGCTTCCTTTGGGTGAGTGATATTGTTACCCCTTGTCAGGACTGATAGTTTGCTGGTCGGACTTCTGCATGCCACCGTGAAGAGCTAGGCTTTGTTCAAACAATACAAACACTGTCTCCTCGCCACTATATGAGGATCCCGGTGCCGGTCTGAAGTTCTGTAGAAATTCTTCCTGTTCAAGCAGACGGTGTATGACTGAGCAGTGCTGACAATGGCTATATATAGCTTCAACTGGGGAGTCTGTGATCAGACTGTGGCAGGAGATATCATCACACCTGCAAACAGTACCTGCATTCTCTCGCCCTGTGAGGAAAGGTGGCGTTGCTATCTCCGTACATGTCTCGTGTTCATAATACTGATGGCTAGCAGCAATATATCAATCTTTACTGTGAGTGTTCTCATTGCCTCCTCCTCAACACCAGCCGATCTTCGTCACATTGCCGTCACACCTTCATCAACTCCTCGTCACAACCGCAGACATGCCCTTCTCACCTTACAAATGACGAAACACCTCCTTTGAGAACCGATGGGATACCATCGGCCTAGCCTGGATATCCATGGACCTCTCCGTCAACCGCTCTAAGCGGCTGACATGTGGTCCTCACCCGCCATTGCACCCAGGTCGGCATCTATAAATGTGTCGATATTTCTCCTCCATCACATCCAAGCATTCTTCCTCCTCCTCCATCATCATCGAATCTCCTGCAACCTGAACATCACAGCTTACAATCATATAGCTCGACATCCTCTCCTTCGACCTTTATATTCATGCAGCGGCATCTCGGACACATCTGAAGCAACGTTGATGAAACAGCTTTGTCTCTCCTCTCAGCACAGTACCTAAGATCGACACTACACGACACACTTTTTTGCTGCATTTTTCTTTTTTTGAGAGTTTTCGCCAATTCTGTCCTTTTCACAAGCGACAGACAAGAAGTAAATAAAGTGAGTCTTCTCGTTGATACAATTCCAGGCACCATCTCCTTTCCTAGCAGCCTTGTTGTCCATCTCCACTTGAGAGTGTCTGCACCCAATTCGCCCGATCTGCCTGCCACTGAGGCACCTGGTACTTCAGAGCATCTTCCGAGACAACCTAGTACGACTTCAGTCAAGGATATTTCCCTGTCGCCTCCGACCTCTCTCTGGTCACACATGATCTGTTTGCATACTGAGCTGTGGTGCCTTCGACATGCAATCACAAATCCAGCCTTGTCTGTGCGAATCCATGCGAACCCTATACGTGCCTTCCTAATGCGACCGCGGGTCTGCGCCGAGACCGCAAGGCTGAACCCTGAAAGGGGTTTCGGCCTGTAATATTCCACGCGCGGGTCCAGCATTCATCTCTAAAACAGACGTCGAACTTGATACCGACATGTGACGACATGTGATGCTCCACTGTCTTTGCATGTTTTGCTACAGACCTATCTCTTCCTCCCTTCCTGTTCAATCCTGGCTGTTCTCACACTCATACACTGCTTCCGCATCAGCCATGATGAGTATACTGACAATGGCTATAGTATCATTACCCTATATTCACACCACATCCCTAAAAGCTGAGCCATCATGGTTTCCACACGATCCAGAACCACGAACGACATCAATACCCAAATTGCTGCCATTGATCAAGCGTGTGCCGCAAGACAGACCAAGCAAACGGCTATAACGGAGTTCTTTGTCTCAGTCGTCGGCAGATCCACTGTGGTGACACAAAACGGCACGGCAGACAATGGCACTGTCACGGAAAGCGCTGTCAGCGTCAGCACCTCGAGCTGCATGTTGACTACAACTCCTGGATCAGTGGGTGCTTCAAAGAACGATGTGGCATTGCAAATCAACCTGCAAAATCAGCACACGAATGTCACTTCAAGTTCTGAAGAGGGGCTCAAGGAATTGTCGGTCGAAAAGAAGGGCGAGTCACCATCGGCTCCTAAGGAGTCTTCCAAAGGTCGCGGCAAGAAGCGCCAATCAGTCGCCAAAGGTATGTCAAACTTTTCTTGTGTGAAGCACCACATCGCTGACAATGCTTAGTTTCGTCCTCCAAGGTTACCAAGAAGGTGAAGGTGTCAAAGACCAAGACCATCAAGGTCAAGAAGGAGGAACTCGATGAAGATTTTCTTCCGAAGCAGACCGAATTGATTCCGAATGAGCTGGCTCAGTGTGGACGCCGTATGCTGCGCCCTCGACCTCGCCGTAGGATTGAGAAGAAGGGAGTGACTGAGGCACCCATTGGTATGTCAGACATGATCATGCGTTGTATTTTGACTGCTAACCCATCCTGCAGTCGATCAAGGTCATCCGACCAAGATCGTAGTTCTCCGCCTAGATCCGATGAAGTTGACGACTCTCTTCGAAGGTCTACTTGCCACCAAACGCAGCCAACCAATCAGTACAGCAAAGACAGGCAAGGCAACCAAGAGCCGCAAGGTTCCACAAGCGACTCCCAAGAGAAAGCCTATTTTCAGACGTCCTCGAAATATGCCCTACACGAACAAGTACCAGTTTGCGTTCGGCGAAGACCGACTGCCAAAGCACGCTGAGCCAACAGCAGAAAGTATCCAACAGGTCGCCAAGATCATGGAACTGGAGCGCATGGATTTGGCAAAGTCTGGAAAGGTTGCACCAGGATCCGCTACGCCTTTTCATGCCGGCAAAGGCATCAGTGTTGAGTCTGTTGTGCGCGTCATCTTGTCGCAAGTCTGCACAAACGAAAAGGCTCTTGACATTCAGGCAACAATGAGACAGGCCTATCCTTACTGGGTCAATGGTGAGAAGTTCATCGGCATGTTTCCGAACTACCACAGTATGCGGGTCCAGAGTCTGGAGAAGCTCGAAAAGGTGATCAGAGATGGCGGCCTGAACTTCAAAGCCAAGTCTATCAAAGGCTGTCTCGACATCATCTACGCAAAGAATGTCGCTCGAATTCCACCTGGAGCCATTGAATACGCTGGAAACGAGCCCTTTGCTACAGACTTTGTGCCTGGTTTGCTGTCCATGGACTACCTTTGGGACATACATCAACAAGGTGGCAAACAAGCCGTCTTTGACAATCTTGTTCAGCTTCCACAGATTGCTGTCAAGTCTGCGTCTTGTTTGATGGCGTTCAACATGGGTCTGCCGGTGTTTGCTGTCGACACACATGTTGAGGGCATGGCAAAGCTTCTTGGCTAGGTGCCAGAAGATTGCACAAGTGCCCGAGACATGTGTAGCCACCTGGACAGTCTTTTACCAGACACCGACTTCAAGCTCCACCTGCATCAGGACTTCTGGCGACACCGACGAAACTGTGTCCGCTGTGGTGGCAATGTCAAGCCTGGAGGCTACAGATGGCAAAAGGCCAATTGTGTCCTGGAAGACCTTGTGAAGAGAACAGGCATCACAATCAAGGAGACAACAGACGAGCTGGTCGAACCAAAGAAAGCCACAACCAAGAAAGAGCTCAGCGACGAAGCTCGGATTGCAAAAGGCTTGGTCAAGACTAGCTACGTGATTGACGATGACTTTGACGCGATCACAGGAGGAACAGGAACTCTGCGTGAAGTCTGGATTTCGGATTACAGCATGATGGAAAGGGAGGTGCAATTTGCGGAGGAAGTGGTGGAATGTTGCACAATGTGCACCGAGGAGGAGATTGTTATTTCTACCAAAATTTGAGATTTATGGAGTTATGGGGGCCAACATATTGCTACGAAAAGTTACTTTATTGCTTTGATTCAGAAGAGCTTTTGATACATATCAGAGTGAATTGATTTTCTTGCTACTCAATGACTCTTCCTGTTCACCGATAGTAGTTGCTGTATTGACTCTAAGAGTCTCACCTCGTCGCAAAGTCGTATGGATACTGTCGGTGAGGGTGTGAAGGCTGTCGAACGGTAACACTCTGTTGCTCGCACTGTGCAGATGGGTCGCGTCAATTCACAACCGTATCTTTCACTTGTGTAGCCTTCCATATGCATTGTCAAGGCTGAATCTCAGGCCCGCCACAGGAACATCCCTACGCCTTGTCATACGGACTATCTGAGGTCCCTCGTATTCGCAATGACATGGTGGAAGCGGCCGGGACGGCGATCGCCATCTAGGCAAGTCATGGTAGAGATACAAGCGGGCCCTCGGTAGTCGATGTCGAGGCCAATGCTACCTTCCCCCACAGTGTAGTGATGTCGATGATGTCTGCCCGCCTCGCATTGGATGCCCTGAACAACACTAGAGGAAGCTTCTCTAACTTCTTATCTTCTGTTCGCAAGGTTACAATATTGTAGCAACCCTCGCCGGATCAGGCAGTTCGTAGTGTTTACTTTCTCTGGTACACTTCTTCATCGTCATTGACTGGCTCAGTCCTCGGTTCCTGGGCCCATCGACCATCTGGACGCTTTCCTCTTTGTGTCGCCGTGGCATGCGACCGCCACGCAGCGGATTGACGCTGGCTTCGTCATAGCTGCTTCTCGTGCAAGAAGCTATCCCATTGCGAAGCTACCCTGTGAGATGGCGTTTGTTCCTGGCCTTGAGTGGCACGAGATCCAATGGATCGTGGTAGGAGCCTGCGCTTGTCGTTGATCGTGCGTTAAGATACAAAAAAGCTACCTTCTGCTCTTTGCCCTCCTGCGTCCGCTGCTGATCTCTCCGTCCCAGCATCGCTCTTGTTCTGTCGAGCCCAGTTGACTCGCCTCGCAAGATGTTGTCGCTGCTCTCTTCAACCATCTTGCTGGCTTATGCTGGCCAGCAAGCGCTGGCTCAATTCGTCACTCCTCCCAAGAACCTAACCACCAAGGAAGGCTACGCGGGCATCAATGTTCGCTACAAGTCCGTCCCGGCAGGAATATGTGAACAGAACCCCAATGTCAAATCCTACTCTGGCTACGCCGACGTGGCTCCCGGCCAACACATCTTCTGGTGGTTTTTCGAGGCGCGAAACGGAAATGCTTCCGAAGCGCCTCTGACCATCTGGATCAATGGTGGCCCTGGGAGCTCCTCCATGATCGGACTCTTCCAAGAACTTGGGCCCTGCCGTGTCGATGCCGACGGGAACGCAGTGAACAACCCGTATTCATGGTCGGAAGTCAGCAACGTCATCTTCATTGACGAGCCGACTCAAGTGGGCTTCAGCTACTCGTCGCCCGTGGCCGCATACGCCGATCCTGTTTCGGGAGATCTCGTCCAGTTGCCCAACAACACCTGCCCCGAGTATGCGAGTGACTGGGACTGCGGCACTTACAGCTACTTCAACGAGAGTCTGACCGCGAACTCGACGCCTGCAGCCGCGCCGAACATGTGGAAGACACTCCAGGGCTTCATGGGTGCATTCCCTCAGTACTCCAGGAAAGGGGTGTACTTCACCACCGAGTCGTACGGTGGTCACTACGGTCCAATTTTCAACGAGTACTTTGAGGAACAGAATGATAAGAATATCAAGGGTGCACACAACATAAGTCTTGAAGGTGTCATGATCGGAAACGGATGGTACGATCCGCTTATCCAATATCAAGCGTACTACAACTTCAGTGTGTTCCCTGGGAACACTTACGGCTATGATCCGTTGAATCAATCTGTCAAGGGTAAGTCACTCCTGGTTCACAATCCCACATCTGACTCTTTTCTGTTACTAAATTCCGATCTTGTCAGACCAATGGTACAACAACCTCTACGGCCCCGGCAACTGCTACGACCAGACGGTCGACTGCAACGCGCGAGGGATCAACGAGATTTGCACGGCGGCCGACAATTTTTGCCTGAACCAAGTCGAGAACCTCTACGACATCTACCTCGGCCGCGACGAGTACGACTTCCGGTACCTGATGCCCGACCCGTTCCCGCCCACGTACTACGTCGACTACCTCAACACGGACAGCGTGCAGGCCGCGATCGGGGCGTACGTCAACTACACCGAGAGCAACACGGCCGTGGGCAACGCGTTCGGCAGCACGGGCGACGACGACCGCGAGATCGGCACGGTCGAGGCGCTGAAGAAGCTCCTGGCCCGCGGCGTCAAGCTGGTCATGTACTTTGGCGACGCCGACTTCAACTGCAACTGGCTGGGGGGCCAGGTGGTGGCCGGCCACGTCGGCGCCCCGGGCTACGCCGACGCCGGGTTCGTCAACGTCTCCACCTCGGACGGCGTGGTGCACGGCCAGGTCAGACAGGCCGGGTCGTTCGCCTTTGTCCGCATCTACGAGTCGGGCCACGAGGTGCCCTTCTACCAGCCCCTCGTGAGCCTGGAGATGTTCAACCGGACCATGAAGGGGGTCGACGTCGCCACGGGGAAGACCCGAATCGGCAAGGACTACAAGACCTCCGGCCCCAAGGTGAGTTCCTACCACGAGGGCAACTCGACCGTCCAGTTCGACGTCGTGCCCGAGAGCGCCGTCTACAACGTCACCACGGCCACGCCCCAAAACGGGACCACCGCCGGCGGCTCGGCGGAGGCCGGGAAAAGAATGGCCAGGGCCAAGAGGACGACCAGGAGAGGCAAAAGACTCAGGACGAAGAGGGACCTCTTGAACGCCAAGGACAAGAGGTGGGTGTTGCTCGATGAGCAGTGAAATCCCTGACTTTATTTTTTGTTTTGTTGAAAAGGGAAAAAAAAATACAGGACGAAGTAGTGCATTCGTCAAGCTTACCATCGGTAATGCCTCATACCTTACGGAGTAAGTAGTATGTAATTGAACGAGGCCCGTCAGCCATATCACGACGGTACAGACACACAAGATCGTAACTTCGTTCCCACTCCCAAGTCTGAATACTAGATCCTTTTTTTCCTTTTCCTTTTTTTGTGTAAAATTGTTTTACAGACGGCCTCGAGCGTTGTCTTTTCTTTTTCCCAGCCCATGAATATCGTCCTCAGCTTTCCCCTTGACATGTTTTCCCTATGAAGGGCCGAAGAAAAAGGAGGTACATGAGTTCGAATGTCCGAAATTTTGAAAAAGAAACTCCCATACAACGCATGCTCTATCTCACGCTTTTTACTAACCGCGGGAAAAAAAAGAGCCGTGCCGCATTTCACATTCCAATGAGCCCTATCCTATGCTGTCCATGCAAGCCAGATTGACAACGACATCCCACCAAAAGTTCCTCGTTCCATGGCTATTCATGCATGGCATGCATGCGCATGTATGTGCCTGGCGCCTTTTCATCATTGCCACACTCCGGGAGTACCTAAGGATTGTCCACCCCAGAGCTCCCGTGGTCCGGCGTCCCCTGAATTGACCGAAGTCTTGTTGTTGTACATATTACCCTTACCCAGGTCATTTTTGACGTGTAGTAGGAAAGAGAAGACCACCACTAGTGTGTGTTGTGTGTCACACTTTTCAACAGAGACTGATTGAGTGGTTCTCTTGGTTGTTGGTCCTTTAGAATCTAGAGAGCACATCTGAAACGCATCATCACTATCGGTCAGGACACAGGATCTGATACGTTCCTGCTGCTGTTCGATTCGACGAGAAGCAAATGGTCCAAAGATGCAACTCATTACTCGTTGTAGTGGTACACCTGTAAAACCCCCAAAAGATTAGCAAGGTAGATTCGCAAATCAACCAAGAAAACACACAAAGTTCACTTACAAGATAATCAGGCAAACCCCAAGACTCAAACCCGAGCCGGCGAGCCATCTTGGCGAAACCTTCAGTCTCAATGAGATGATAGAAAGGAAAGGGAGGGAACATGGCCCCGTCTCTATGCACCTCTGCCTTGACCAAAAGGGTGGTGCCTCCGACGCCATCCAGAGGCATCAGACGGCGCTCGTCCCTGTCCTGACCGGTCTTTGCCAGCATCGCCATCAACGTCCTGTACGTGGGGATCTCAGCATATCCTTCAAGCAAGATGTCATCCGGTCCCATTTGTGAAGCCAGCTCCTGCGCCACGTCGCTGTCGCGCCAGGAGTTGTAGTCGTAGGGCCGGACACTGGGCTCTCCCTGATCGTTGGTGTAGCGTTGGTAACAGTTGGGCACGATGATGGGCTTGTTGTGGCTTGCCAGGTCTTGAATCAACGTTGGCGGCGTCTCGATGATGTCCGAGTCCAGCCAGAGCACCCAGGAGGTGGAGGGTCCGATGGTGGTGAAGAGGAGGCTGTTCCTTGCACGAGCCATGGCCGCCCGGCGAGCCTTTTGGTTCTCCATCTTGTGCCGTTCCTTCTCATCCTGTGACATGATGGGTGGCTCAAAGTCCTGACGCAGGATGATGATGGATTGGAAACGTTTCTCCTCCGGCCCAGACTGTGTGACCTTGATCGCCTCTTGTAGTGCTGCAGTTGCGGCGTTTCCATCTTTTGTCTTGGGCGTAATGAAACCTAGACTGATGTGTTCGTGCGGGTACGACAAGGCCAGGAGGTTGTCCCAGTACTCTTGGTAGAACCGGGCGAGGGGGGTGAGGATGAGGATTTTTTCGTTGTTTTGGAGGGGGTTGGCGGTGCTGGTCAGATTGTTGAGCTGGTAGTGCACAACGGGAGGCGGCCGACGAATGCCATTGTGAGATCTGGAGGAACCAGATTGCTTGCGGAACGCAGAGGTGGGAGGTGAAAGAGGATTGTCTGCTGCGGCGTCGGATTTCCGCTGGCGCAGTTCGGATGGGCTTGCGGAGGTGTTGTTGATGCTGTAGAGGAAATAGATAAAGACAATGCCGAGGAGAAGACCCAAGCCTAACGTGCGGTAATTGCTGCGTGGTTGACGCATCCTGTCGAAGTAGGGCATTGTCCTGTGAAAAGGTGTTACGTACGACGCTGAGGAAAGGGATGCATGGCTGGTCAAGGTCGTAGGTAGCGAAGGAGGAAATGAGGAATAAAGGTCTCAGTGTGCCGGACTTGGACTCACAGAGGAAGAGTAGGTAACAAAAGAATGGATGCTCGGTCAGGAGTGAGCAAGTGGTGAATGGTGATGAGGATCTGATTGTGAAGGACTCGGCACTACGTACACAAGTACCTTCTTCTGCTCAACAGATGTATCTAATTATGAAACATGGTGGAAGTCAAATGCACCGCCACTCCGGCTTCTTTCTCAAGCCACCATTCAATAAAGCCACACACAACCACGAAGACAATGACGGGGTACTGCAGAGACATTGTACTCGATACTCATGTTCATCAACAGTAATTTTGTGGAATGATGATATTGAGATTGGTATTGAATTTGGTAATTGGTAGTTGGTATTGGTTTGTGGTGGATGGTTCTATGTGTAGACCTAAAACACCTAGTAATACTTCCTATAAGTAGGTACATAGGCATATAGGTATACAAAATACTCCGTCCTTGGGTAATCAATCGACCCAAGACAATGCTGGTTGATGAAATAGGCAGCTTTTCTCTCTAAATCATCCGACCCATCCCTCTTTCTTATTACCAAGGCAGGACTTGCCCTTTTCCATCAATTCCATAAATGGTTGTCCAATGATCGCTATGCATAATGTGAATAGTCCACGAAGAAAGATGCATTCAGAGAGCTCATTGCCCTCGTCTGTCGTGCTGCTCCAGGCAACCTTAGCGAATGTGATTTCGCAGAAGCTCGTTGGCGCCGCCGTAAATGCCGCAAAAATGCCCAACTCCAACGTCCGAAGGAGCCCCCCCAAAGATATAAGACCATCAAGGAAGATAATCTAAAGGGCATGGTGAATATAATGTGCTGGGAAGGCAATGGATGGCTTTTGAATGAAGAATGCCAAAATGCTCATCCCACAAACCTCGGCGCGAATGCATGAACATAAGAAAGTCGTTGTCGTCGTGAGATAAGTGATCATCGGTTCATCATGAAGTCGTCATCTTTCAGGTCTTTTGGAAGAAAGAACATATCTTCAGTGATAGATATCGGCTTGTCTTTTGTTCGAGTTCTTGGAGTCCTCCTTGTCTGACGAAACATCACTTCTCGGGCTTCGTGCACCTGGACTGCCGGCAGGAGAAATCTTTCCAGCTCCTGCAACCTGAAAGTAATCTCCGGCCTCATCTAGAGCCAGCGGTGTGACCGGGCCTTTCGGACTACCCAGAGGATCAAGTCGTGGCGCACCGGGTTTGACACCCATCGACGAAGCTGCAATCTTGGCCGAGAGATGAGCCCGTTCCAAAAACTCCCGCTGCTTCTCACGCATCAGTCGAGGTGATTCGAGCTGCATTGGCGGCGTTACTCTGTTGATGGTGATAGCTGGAGACTGTACTGCTGAGGTGGGCGTGGCAGGCGAATCGAGATTGGTGAAGTTGCTTGGATGGAACCGCGGCAGACTCATGTGCATATTGCGGGATCCCTGTCGACCATGCTGAACGGTGCGTGATCGTGCAGGCTGAGGTGACATAGGGCGATGGTTTGCTGGGAGTCGAGGAGATAGAGGTGAGGTTGGTGTATAGCGTGAAGAGAATGGTTCGGGGTTCATTTTATGGGTAATCAATTGGGACATTATCGAAGAAAAGCGCCGCCTCTGATGCTGGATACCTGCGACGCTCTTCACCTAGAAGCCCACTAGGATGTGCATGCGGCAGATGAAGTTGGATGGTTGTGCTTGATTGTCGATGGTTGTTGTTGTGAGTAGAGGCAACCACGAGGTCTCGGCCAAGCTGGCGGAATCGTGGCGCCTGAGTACGACGTGAGACCAGGGGTGGGCGACTAGCTTTTTGCGGATTATTGAGTGGCTGCGTCGTGTAACACAGCGTTAGCAATAGAAGCGGCCGACTATCCTTATTCAATGTTGTTTGAGGCCTTGTAACTGTCGAGCAAGAGAGACTGGGTGCAAGAAGGGTCGATGAGGAGGAATACGAAGCACACGATCCCGCTTTGTATTCCAACCAAGAGTTTGCATACCCGCCCGTGGAGACAGGCGGGCTGTATTTCTGATCCCAGGTTGTTTTTCTTAGGGTCAGTACAGACTGGTTGCCGAGACCCGTTGATCAGCACCTGGGTTAAGTGGTCGCTGCGAAGAAGGGAGCGGATCAGCAGTTTGAATTTCCCGGGATGCCTAGTGATGCACAGCCTGAAACATCAAATGACCTTTGATGGGACAGCACATGGCAGTAGGTTACGGCGCGAGAAAGTCGGGAGTGGAGTAGATAGACACTGCTACCAGGAATTGATTGTTTTATAACTGACGCTGATCGACCTCAACAGCGATGAAGTACCGGTACCCCGACGACCAGCAGATAAACGCTTCGATAAAAAGTCGTCATCGTACACGGCGTCATTCTGCGTGATTCTCTAGTCCCGCATCCTCGGTCGACCGAAAATTCTTTTGCTCAGGGTTTCCCTTTTTTGTGCAGTCCTGACGCAGGGCCGGATGGCGACACCTTCACTAGGGCCCCCCCATACACGGCTGGAGACTGGCAATAATAACGACTGGCGGGAGGAGGACACAGGCCTCTGGGACCGGCAAGAAGTGGTTCGCAAGGTGAACAAAGGGAGCCACGCGAGCCTCCTCAGAGGAACCCCAGCGAAGGCGAGGGACGAGTCGCCGTTAAGGCCATTGGGCCTGATGACGTTGCGACAGGCGCCACAGCCGCCCGGTGATTTGCAGGGGCTGAACCAGAGGGGATCTGATTGATTGCTGCAATCGGGAAAACTGGGATCGGAGGATTGAGACGCCTTGGCGGAGGGAGCCCTGCCGAAGCCTGCCAGGTACCACGTCTAAACCCCAGTCGATAATTGGATGTCGAAGGGATGAATTGTATGAACCAAGCGACCGAGACATGACCTTGGGAAGAGACATCCCTTCGACCCTGAATGGTACGTACCCTTTAGATGCGGTTGTTACTGATACCCAGGATCCCCCTGCGGACGAGACAGCAGCACGAGGGAAGAGACGCGTAGTTTGTGTCCTTGAGACTTACCGTCCTCAGTCTCCACCACCTCCAACAATCTGTCACCAGCGTTATTGGGAAGACGCTGTCGCTGTCCGTCGTTTAAGATGGATGTTCGCAGCCAAGTCACGAGGCCGAACGGTGATTTGCTCAGGCACTCCCTGGATAAGCAGTGTGTCAGTATCGCTCCCTCCTGCAAGCAAGTTATTTGGAGAGAAGGTCCTCGCTTAAGCGCGTTGGCAAACGAACGGACTGATCAGTACTCCACCTGATAACAAATGCTGGTTGCCGTGTTGCCGGCTTGACTTGAGGTGAGCAAGACCCATCCCACATTCTCCTGGCGAGGTGTAATAGGCCTATCTTGTGCTTGGTACTCCGTATTGTGCACATAGTCAAGGGCCAGTGGGAATCGGTCTTGGTTACACGGACGGCTGGTACAGTGCACAATACGGAGTAGGTATCCTTCCAGTAATTCCCGTGATGCTCAAAAGCGGAATTTCCACGGATGCTCGGTTGACAATGGGACTGCCTGCCTCTAGCATCAAAGGGGTGCTGACCTATGTACGAGTACAAGACCTTCCAGATGATTTTTTTGCCCGCGGATGTCAAATGTACTGTATCTGCGAACGGGCGAGGCTCAAGAAATCCGGAAAAGGATCCATTCTCGTGCACTCTTACCTCGTATCAGTGCAATTGCTCTCCGTTTTCAGCGGGCAATAGGCCGTATCATTGTGCTTGACACTGACCATTGTCGCTCCACACAGAACTTGCATACTTTTTACTGCATCAATTTCTCTTTCCCCTCTACTGGTTCAATGATATTCATCGACAGCCTGGCTACTGGGAGGCGGGGCAGACGCGCTCCAAGCGACCTATATGGAAACATCATGGCAGGCCAGCTGACTGCGCCGATCCTCTGGGAGTTTACCCGGCTGATCCGGAGCCGAATGATAATGTACATACTGTAGAATAGGAACAACACTCTCGATATGATGAGCACGCATCATTTCTTGGGGAAAATAATGACGCCCTGAACGCGAACAAGGACTCGTGTTTGGAGAACAGCAACGGCTCGGACCCTTTGCGGAATTTGTATCCGTGACAACAGGGCATCATTGCGAGCTGAAATTGGAAAGACATGATGTCGTGCAGAATATCGAAAGAGGCTTCGATCTGTGTTACACGACAACCCAGCTTATTGGAAACAGATGGTCCGAGTCCTTTTCGTTCAATCTGAAGGGCATTTGTCTGACTTTGGCTTGTACCTGCTTTTTTGGCACAAGTATGGCGCTCCCTGATGTCAGACGCGGGATTGTAAGCTGGTGAGTAAGAATGAAGCATCACTTGAAAAGGAAGGGAAGGACTTTTTGATGTCCTTGAAAGACCCCGAATGAAAGGTACGAGGAACCCAAGGACATCCCGATGCCTGAGGACATATCTATACGAGTACGAGTACGAATACTCGTAGTCGTGGTGGCATCATCCGGCATCTGACTTCCCAACTGTACTGTACATGGCTGGGAATTTGCTAAGGCGTATCTTCCCTTAAATCCATTATTGATAAAACAGGATGTACGAGTATCCCCGGGTATCTGTCTTCTTGTCTTTCGAGCTTCTTTGCCTGCTGTCTGCCGTGAAATCGTGTACTTCAACGCTGCTCTGACGCTGACGAAAGGTACAAGCACCGCATTCCGTCTACGCAGAGGCTTTGAATGGATCATATCCCAGTTCCTTGCAGTTGAAGCGTCAGCCAAAGCCTCGCACAAGTAAGGTGTATTCCAAATTGGTTCGCGATGAATTGATCTGTCGCTCTGCGAGCTGCCCTCATTCTCACGCAAGAAAAGCTGCGAGCCTACCTCATATGCAGCAATTGTATGCGATCTAGTATTCTAGCCCTCTTTGTCCAAGGAGCCTACAGTATGTACGAGTAGGAAACATGAATATCATTACAGACGATGTGCGCTCGCTTTGCTACCGAGCTGTTCGGAACGATGAGCCTGACCCTTTGACCCTTGATCTTTGCTATAACGAGGTTGTGATCTTCGCATCAGCCACGGCCGACTGACGGCCACACAGAGGTCGAGTTCGTAAAAGATACACAACAGTCAGTAGTGAGATAGAGCAAATGCCATGTTCCTCTCCGGTACTTGTGGCTTCGTGTTATCGTGGCTGTGTCGAAGACGGGAGGTTGAGAGCCGGCGTTCTGTCCTATCATGGCTCTCTCGGTTAGTCTAGTCAGGGACGCAATTCATCTTCATTCCCTCCCACCTTGATAATATGCTTGTCGCCTCCTTCCTATATCTTCAATGCTCAAGGTTCTCGACGACACCATTTAAATCGACCAAGATCCCTCGATAAATTAGTCCGCCACATCTAGCAGAATGCCTTGTGTTTTACGCGTTGCATAAATCATCGCCATCCTCGCCCACCTTACATGCCATGGAACCGCAACTCGACGTTACCTCAGCAGGTCGCGACTTCGACAACTGGCTTGACTGGAATGCCGCAACCACCTCCGCGGGCACTGCTACAGATGTAAAGCCTACAGTCCACCCAGATCAGGTCTTCCACCTTCCCATCTCTCCTTCCTCGACCGTCAACAGCGACCTGCACCCCTCCCTGAAAACAGACCTTCTCACCGCTCATCCACACCACGACCTCTTGACCCCTCAACACAGCTCCTCTTCACCAGAGTCACGGTCCAGCATCGACCTGAGACTCAGCGGGGATACGCTACGCGAGCAAACATCGCCGAATGAACGCCCAATGCTGAAGCGGAAGTTGTCTCCCTCCGATGTGCCAACCACCGACCACCATAACGAGGTAACTCCTGCTGCGAAGAAACGCCCACACAACGTGATCGAGAAGAGATACCGAGCCAATCTAAACGAGAAGATCTCGGAATTAAGAGACAGCGTCCCAAGTCTACGGATCACCAAGAAAAAGGCGACGGATGTATCAACTGCGGATTCGGACGAGGAAGACTTGGAAGGCCTCGCACCCAGCAATAAGCTCAATAAAGCCTCGATCCTGACCAAGGCTGTAGAATACATCCGGCACCTTGAGTTCCGTACGAGGCGGCTGGAGGAGGAAAACAAATCGTTGAAAGAACGACTCGAAACACTCGACAAAGTCATCGCACAGGGTGGTCACGACGCCCAAAGAGCTGCTGCATTCACGAGTGATACAATCATTGAAGAGTCTCCAGCCATCTCACAGGTCGACTCCCCTTCAGAAAACCGAGCCAGCTCTTCGAATCCACCTCAGGGATTGATCCCCATTCCTGACAGTTGGCGAAAGCTACGTCAAAATCAGTCGCAGGAGCACTATGGTCATGTTTACGATTCAGATCGGTCCAAATATCGTGGCAAATGGCCAACAAGGATCATGTTGGGATCATTGGCTGGGCTCATGATTATGGATGGACTGGCAGAGTCCGACACTGGCACGGAATCACGAGAAAAAGGTCTATTCGGCATTCCTTTGGAACTTCTAGATGGTTGGAAATTTCTGCAGTCTCCCAGAATTTACCTTGCTGCCTTCAGCCAGTTCTGTCAGACCGGAGGTGTCATTCCGTTGATCAAAGGCTTCATGGCTTTGACAATACTGGCTTTTCTGGTCTTCTCATATCTTTTCAACTCCAAGCCAGCGCCAAAGGAAGACATTGAAGAGGCTTCATCGCGGACTCGAATAACACCGGCGCCTGCTTCACCGATCCAGGTCAGACGTCGGGCCTGGAGCACCAGCATGCAGGAGCTTCACCTTCCTCACCATAGCTTCTTCCCGGAATGGGTTGCTCTCACTTCCGAGTGGCTCAGGTACACTGTCGGTTACCTATTCGGAAGTCGGGCATACGCTTGGCTGACCGGGCGAAGTGCAGAAGATGACGTGGCTCGCATCAAAGCCTGGGACATCGCGATTGACGCTCAATTGGCAGGCGGAGACGTCGAAGTGAGTCGCAGCAGAGTGGTCTTGACTATCTTCGGGTCAGGCACTTTACCAAAGACTCCTCTGCGGCTGATGCTCAAAGCACTCCATTGTCGGGTGTTGTTGTGGAACGTGGGCTCACTCGGAACGGCTACTCACCGAATCGCTAACCGTGTCGGGCAATTTTTCGCCAATTGGCAGTGGACAAGAGCTCAAGGGTTGCACGAAAAGTTACCCCTGCGTGATGCCGATCGATTACCGCCGTATCTATCAGAGATGCTTAATCTGCCGTGCAACGAAGTCTTCCTTGACACCGTCTGCCAAAGGGCCTACAATCTGATGTACGATCGGCCGACGCAAGAAGAATCTTCCAATGCCTTGATGAATGTGGTGGTCGAGGATCATGCTGTGCGGTCCCCGCTGGACGCAGTTGCAGCATGGCGATCTACATATTCCTTGACACAGGCACTTGAAAACGTCTTGCGTTCCCCTGAGCCAAGCGAGATGGTGCGGAGGCATCTCACTGAAGCCATGAAATTGGCCCCGCCCGGCTCCGCGGCCGAGACACGGGCCCTGGCAGCAAGCTCAATCTTCAGCACCACTGCCCGGAGTGCATGCTTTGTCCGTGCCTCCGAATCGATGGAAGCTCCTTCACCCAACGCGCAGTTTGAGCGGCCTCCTTACATTATTGATTCATCGACGCCGTCATCAGCAAGAAGCGATATCTTGAACTGTTTACACTGCGCTAGGACTTTGCAAATACTTGATTATGAGCAGAACGAGAAAAAAGCCAGAACACATTTCTCTTCCAAGGCTCTTGACAACGTGAACGTTGGTCTTTTAACTAAGGCTGCTTTAGCTTATCTTCACCAGCGGCTGCCTGAGGTCCAGTTACCAGTACTTACTGCTGGTAAAGACGAGGTCCGCCTCCTCCCAAACGATCAAGAGTCCTCGGCTGACCTGTTTGCACAAAGCAAGTTGAGACGATACAGCAGCTATAGTAATGACACTGGCTATGAAAGCCAGGATGACTCCTTATCTTCATGGGGGTTTGAAAAATATACAAACGAGCAAGGCTCGCCGGCGTTAGGGAATGAATTTGTGGTTTAAAAGCCGGAATTGGCAGCGAGAACACAGCAGATATCAGGCGTCTACTAGTCTCTTCCAACGCATCTTTAAACAATCAATGATGATCATCATGAGCACAAAGCATGAGAATGCTCCGAAACCATCTTCCCATTTCACATGTGTTGTCGTGAACCACATTCCTTGGTCCTCGGACCTAATCATTAACCCATCCAATCCATTGGCCTATTCACTCCTGGATTTTACTTACAACATGAACTCAGTCCCTTTGCGCAACAGAGCACGCGTACACGTTGAATACCCAGGGTATCTACGCTACCACAGTCCCAAGTCTGGCCGTCGTAGGCAGATTCCTCAGTATTCTGTAAGACACGTAGTATCTAGAGCTTTATTGTGGTCCACCGTAGTCTATTTCGCTTGGCATTGTTGACATCATGTGTGTCCAAACTGCAAGGCACCTCCTTTTACCTGGTCTCCTCTGTGACTTTGATAGTTGTGAGTTGGTCGGCCTCAGCTATTTCTATAGTCATGGGTGACGATCGGGACAAGCATGACTCGATCTGGCAGGTTGGAGTCTTTGACTCTCATTGTCATCCAACAGACATCATGGCCTCGGTCAAGGACATCGTCCGCATGAAAGCGAGAGTCCTGACGATCATGGCCACGAGATCTCAAGATCAGGAAATGGTTGAAAGAACTGCAAGGCTGTATCCTCTGGGCTCTCCGCATGAGCTTTCCGATGTACAATCACGCACACGTGTCGTGCCGGCTTTTGGATGGCATCCTTGGTTTTCTCACCAGATGTATGATGACCGGAGCACACACGATCAGCCCGACCCTGGGGACCACTACAAATCCGTCCTCGTACCTGCTCCCGAAGATGAAAAGTTCTTGGAAGCTCTTCCAACCCCGTTTTCTCTCCGAGAGTTTCTACAGCTGACTGAAGCACGGCTGAAGGAGTTCCCGTATGCTTTGGTTGGAGAGGTAGGCTTGGATCGGTCTTTTCGGGTGCCTGAAGGTCCAAGCGCCATGACCGGTGACACGACACAGAAAACGGGTGGTTCAGAGGAGGACTACACTCCTGGCTCGCGCGAGGGCAGACCTCTGACTCCGTATCGGGTCAACCTGGAGCACCAGAAGACGATCCTGAGGGCCCAGTTCGACCTTGCTGCGAAGATGGGTCGCCCGGTGTCTGTACATAGCGTTCAAGCGCATGGCCTGATCTTTGAACTGATGCAGAGCTTGTGGAAAGGCCGCGAGAAGCCCTCGAAGCGCGAAAGGAGGAAACAAACGGATGCTCCTGGCGCCGCAACATCCAAGGACGCCGAAGAGAGTGGCGGCGCTGCTACACTCTCAAAACTCCCTTACCCCCCACGAATCTGCATGCACTCCTACTCTGGCCCTCCTGATACTCTCAAGCAATTTCTCAATCCTGCTGTACCGGCGGACATTTACTTTTCCTTTTCCTCCGGCATCAACTTCTTAAAGTCCTCTTCCGCGAAGGTTGTCAAGGTCATTGAGGAAGTACCCGAAGATCGAATACTTGTGGAGAGCGACCTACATTGCGCTGGTGAGTTGATGGATAGTTTACTGGCGGACATAGTGGGGAAGATATGTGAGATCAAGGGATGGTCTCTGGAGGATGGTGCTCGGATACTGAGAAGGAATTATATCAAGTTTGTCTTCGGTTGAAACGGAAATGGAATGGGTCAATGCTGATCCTCAATGGTTGGAAGCAGACTTGTCTTGAATGTGAGTGAAGGGCGGACTGATGCCAGATGAAACTTGCCCGGCATACTGTGCCTCCGTTTTCAAGTCACGGTACGAAGTGGTCTCGACGCCATAGAACAACGTCGTGGTTGATGTTCTCCCCAGGCTCAGCACTCCTGGGCTGATGGACATCCCTGCGTGGATCAGTGCAACACCCGGATCGATGGATCCAGAGGTAACGAGCATCGTCTTTTAATCCGTCTTAACGAGAGACCGCTGAGGTCGATTTGGCGATGGTTTGGAGTTCTGCAAAGATTCGCTCAACCCAAAATGCGGGCCGATTGTTGGCAGAGATAGAGGAGACTGGGACCATCGCTGAATTGTCATTGCACAAGAAATAGTAAAAACCAGCGTCGACATCAGATTGACAGCGATTGGCAGTACCAAATTGTCCTCTTGTAGGAATCAAGCTATATATCTACGCTACACCCTCACTAATGCTGAGGGCAATCAATGCTCTCTCCAGATAACGTCGGCCGTACATATATCAACCCGCGTTGAATTGCTTTTAAATACATGAGGGAAAGGATCGTTGACGTCGATACGTTACCCAAAGCGTCATGTTATTTCCAAATCGGCTGCCCTCAGAGTCTACGACAAGCGCACAAATCCATTCCACGTGTATCCCACTTCTCTTCCAGTCGCCGGTACTCCCTCTCTCTCTCCAGCCCTTACAAACGTCTCCCACACAGCTTGGACTTTCAGCCGCCAAAGTGGAGTTTCTCCGCCTCCGAGATGGATGTTCGCGGGGCCGACAAGAGTATTTCGCCTCGTTATCTGGGATCCCCAAGAGGCGTGCCCACCGCATGCCACCCACCAGCGATTGAACCGGAGCTCTTCCGCGCCCATGCCTGGTGACCCTTAGTTTCGGCATATCTCGAGAAAGAGAAGGTCGAGACCGTATCTAGATTCAGAGCCATCATCCTTGGCCTGGTGGCCCCGGCACAAGAGCTCACATAGTCATATATAGGTCAAATTCCTCGACTTCCAGCCTCTTCGATCCACCTACCATTCTTCATCCCAGTCCTGAGGGTTCACGATCAAAGTGGTGCGACCGAGGACCCATTGCAGAAGGAGCCCGACAAGAGTTCTCCCAGACCGATAAGCATCCCACCACCTATTTGACGTGCCTCGGTTATTCCATTGTCGCCCTTTTCGGCCTCGTGTTCTTCTCAGGATGGGTTCGTTGGGGTACAAGGTCACTGGCAGTGAATATGCTCATCCCTTGATTTCCGAGCGAGCGATCGACGAACCGCGGCCTTTGAAGGTCATCTATATTGGTGCCGGAGTCAGTGGTATTTGCGCCGCAATCCAGTTTCCCAAAGCCATACCGAACTTGGAGCTCGCCGTCTACGAGAAGAATGCGGACGTAGGTGGCACTTGGTACGAAAACCGGTGGGTTTGCCTTCCGCGAAAGCTACCAACTTGATCTAATGCTCAAAAAATTTCCAGATATCCAGGTTGTGCATGTGGTTGGTGACCTGTATCTGAATGACGACGAGGAAATCATCTAACCAAAAATCATCAGACATTCCTGCGCATTCGTATCAGTTGAGTTTTGAGTCGAACCTCGAATGGAGTAAGTTCTATGCTGGCTCTCCGGAAATACTGGAGTATTGGCGCAAAGTTGTCGAAAAGTACAAAATCCGGAAGTATATGAAATTCAGCCATAGATGCATCGAAGCTCGGTGGAATGAAGAAACAAGCAAGTGGCACGTCAAATTCCAGAAAGTCGGCTCGAACGAGATCGTCGAAGACATTTCAGATGTTTTTATGACCGGTACTGGTGTATTGAATGAGTGGAAATGGCCAGATATCAAAGGCCTCCAGGATTTCAAGGGCACATTGATGCACAGCGCAGATTGGGACCCCAGTTATGATGCGACCGTAAGATAATCTTGCCAGTTTTTCACACCGATTCCTACTGATGCTGTTCCAGGATAAAAACATCGCGGTAATTGGTGCTGGAAGTAGTGGCATTCAGATCGTCCCTACCCTCCAACCCAAAGTAAAATCAATGGACTGTTATATTCGTGGACGGACGTGGATCGCCGCTACATTCGGCAATGAGCTCGTGCGAGAACGCAACGATGGACAAGACGGCAACTTTGACTATACGCAAGAGGAGATTGAAGCTTGGAAGAAGGACCCAGCATCGTACATCAAATATCGCAAGGCGCTCGAAATCGGTATGCAAGGTAACTTTGCCATGACCCATCGTGGGACAAAGGAGCACGAAGGGGCCACGGCACAGTTCAAAGAAGACATGGGAAAGAGACTGGCGAAGAAACAGGAAATCGCCGACCATTTGATCCCTGACTTTCCGCCTCTCTGTAAACGGTTGACCCCTGGCCCTGGCTACCTTGAGGCGCTGACGGCAGACAATGTCAATGTGGTGTACGACAAGATCTCTCACGTTGACGAGACCGGCATTACGACAACTGATGGTAAGCATCGCCCTGTCGACACAATCGTATGCGCCACCGGATTCGATACTTCCTTCCAAGGGCGTTTCCCAATCTATGGCCGCGGAGGGATCAATCTTCAAGAACGGTATCGAGTACGACCAGAGACGTACCTCACCGTCAGCGTTGACCAATTTCCCAATTTCTTCCAGTCCCTGGGTCCGAACGCAGGCGTGGGAAATGGCAACCTGTTGATCATCGCCGAGGCCGTCGCGCTCTATGTTGTCCAGATCTTGCAGAGACTGGCGCAAGGCAACGTCAAGACGATCGAACCAAAGAAAAAACAAGTCGAGAACTTTACAAACTACTGCGACGCATACTTTAAGCGTACCGTGTTCTCGGCTGAGTGCGGAAGCTGGTATAAATCCGCGCCTCCGAATGCCACGCGAGAGGAGAGGATGAAAGGCAGAGTTACAGCACTCTGGCCTGGTAGCAGCATACATGCCGTCAGAGCCCTCGAGCATGTCCGCTTCGATGACTTTGAGATGACGACGGTCGACGGTAATGATTTCGGATGGTTTGGAGATGGATGGGCTGTGGCAGAGAGATCGGGTGACGTCGAGGGTCTGTCCTGGTACCTCAATGGTACTCGGTTCGTTCATGAGCCCCTGGAAAAGGGTGAGAAGCTGGTGGTCACAGAGGACAAGGTCGTGAAGCACACTGATGAGGGTGTGGAAAAGGGAGAGATTGCAAAGGAATTCCGCATTCCTGACGGCGTAGCAGCCACTTGATAGTAGTGAACGGCGGCTTGTTTGGACTGACGATCACAGTAGATGCATACGGAGTGCCTAGAGTCATGATTTTAGAAATATTAGTTCAGACACACACATCGTCACTCTCTACCACTGATCAATATGGCCTTCACAGAATCGCTGAGTTCGAGACTATGCCGGAGAAGGTGATTCTAAGCGTGACTCGACTGGTTCATAAGGCCATCTCCGTCGTCCCCTTCATTGGCTGCTCCTCCAGTATCTGAGGATGCTTTGTATCATGGATGCCTTTCATTTCGATACTGATGTTATCACTCCATACTTTCCAGTCTTGATCCCAGACGGCCAAAGCAGTGGTCTTTTGTCTTCGAAAGCTCATGAAAAGATGGCGTCGTGGAAGCCGTTGAGCATTTCCATCTCGGCTCTCATCATCTTCTCGAGCGTCGCTTATCTCCTTTTCTTATCCACTCCGTTTGTTTCAATCAGGCACCACCAGCAACAATCCTCGCTCTCTGAATCTCGTCGCAAGCATTTCCGGGCTCCAGCAGTGAATCCGTTCAGTGAGATCGACGGCCATGAGGCTTCTGAGATTTACACGTTTCTTCAGCGATCCTCGAACCTGAGTGTCACCACAGATGTTGTGAGAGGAGGTAGAAGCGCGAACTATTTGGTCGAACTACTGCGACCAAACAAGTCCGACGTCGTCGACTTCTTGGATCACAATGGTCCGATTCCAGAACGATGGGCCAGAGTGTCAAATATCGAACTTCGACAGGATGATGCCTACATTGTCGACTACATGGTCGGGCCTCTCCCACCGAGCAACGACACTCAAATCCTGCCCCTGATCTACCCACACAACTCTGGCCGCAACTACGTGCAGAGTCCGATATCAGACGTCTTTGCTCTGCTGGACTGGGCCCTCAGCATCGGTGAAAACGCGTCGGACATCACCCAAGAGTTATTGGGTGCCACCACAAACCGTCATGACCCTTCCGATCCTGACGCTCTCGTCATCGGCGCTCGTCCCGCCCTGATTGACCACGGATCCATGGTTCACTGGCTCGAGTTCTTCGGATCGGGCATCGAATCGGACAGTCGTAGTCTCTTGCCCCAAGGTCTCTACGTCAAACTGGACACTCCCACGGCGAACCCGTCGACCTGGACGACGGGTGAATGGTTTTACAATGGAATCCTCTATAGCAACGACACCGTTCTCCGCGAGGCGATCAAGTCCCCGGACTTTGTCAAGCTCGAACTCAACCGTGATGGTTCTTGGACCGACACCGAGGATTTTGGTGCGTCCTCTTTCCCCGAACGAGACATGCCTCCGCCTCTATCGATCCAACCGTACGGTCCACGCTACCACCTCGACCGAGAACAAAACTATGTGTCTTGGATGGGGTTTTCGTTTTACCTGTCGACGGCGCAAGCCACGGCCCTGTCTCTCTTCGACATCCGCTACAACTCGTCCCGACTCATCTACCAGCTGGGCCTACAGGAGGCCCTCGCTCACTACGCGGGCGTGGAGCCGATGCAGTCCGGACTCGAATTTCTCGACACCTTTTTCGGCATGGGCAGCATGATGTTTAGTCTCGTGCCGGGCGTCGACTGTCCCGGCCACGCAGAGTACATCGACATGTCTTTCCACAAGGGTGGCAAGATGTACACCAACAAGAACGCGATTTGTGTCTTTGAGTACACTTCCGACGCACCCTTGCAGAGACACACCTCGACCTTTAGCGCGACCGTGAGTAGAAATACGTACCTGGTCGTGCGGAGCGTTTCCACCGTGGGCAACTATGACTATACTGTGAGTATTTTCCGACGCTTTGTACTGATTGTTTCAAGAGAGAAAGTTGAACCCTTCAGAACCTCCTACCTACTACGAGAACTTTTACTGACCTCGGGCACTGATTTTTCATTATTAAATAGATTGATTATATATTCTATCTTGATGGATCCGTCGAAGTCAAACTTCGAGCTTCAGGATACATATTCGGTGCCTTTCATGCGGAACCACGCACCAACACGCAGACCACCGACACGGCGGCGCGCGACGAAAGAGACGACACAAACACAAGGAACGAATATGGCTACCGCGTGCACCAGGCCCTGCACACGTCGATGCACGACCACGTGGTGGTGTTCAAGGCGGATTTCGACGTCTGCGGGACCTCCAACACGTTCGTGCGGACTTCCGTCGAGCCCCTGCGGCGCGAATACGACTGGGACAGACCTGAAGTCCCCGCCGGCGCGGGCAGGAACACGATGCACATGGTCCACCGGCCCGTCGAGCGCGAGACGGGTCTGGACTGGCCCAAGAACGGTCGGGACATGTTTTTGGTCACGTCGAACACCACCAACAAGTGGGGGGAGAAACGGGCGTACCGCATTCTGGGCGGTACTGGCATGGGCAACCCTGCACACCTGACCATCCTGAACTCGACGACCCTGGGACGGTCGGCGAGTTGGTCGAGTTCGGACCTGTGGGTCCTCAAGAACCACCCCGACACCGAACCCTCGGCGGCTCACCACCTCAACTACCTCGAGCCCTTGGATCCCTTGGTCGATTTTGAAAAGATGGTCGACGACGAAGAAATCACCGAGGAGGATTTGGTGGTCTACTTCAACCTCGGAGGTCACCACGTCCCCACCACACAAGACATCCCAAACACTCTGATGCACACGAGCGCGAGCAGCGTCATGTTCGTGCCGTTTAATTATTTCGACGACGACGTGTCCAGGGCAACGAGGCAAGGTGTCAGGATCGACCGTCGACGTGCTCAGCCTCGAGGAAGTGTCGGTGGCGCCACACGTGCACCTGCGGTTGGAGACGTGGTAGGTACAAACGCCAAAGAAGATGTACGCAGGTCATCGAAACCCAGGAGTCACACAATGAAGTCGAATCACGACGACAAGATTCGTGACGACGACGACAAACAAGTCAAGTATTTTGGAGCGAGGTACACAAAAGACGTCAAAATCCCAAAGGAGATGCTCTCACCGGACCTGAGTCATTACATGAAGAGTCGAGATGGTGGGCCGGCAGGAGAATGGAAAACCGTCAGAAACCACGTCGGAGGCGGTTTGTTGGGTCTTTTTGTGGGCAAGGAGAGGTTGGAGGACGATGAGAGACTAGATTGGTGATGGTGAATCGATATGTCAAGTGGGCGGCGGGTGCTCCTCCTTCTTGAATAGGGAGTAGAGTAGATAATACAGAAGAACGGCAGAACGCAAGACGCAGTATTGAAGCTTCTATGCGGAATCAACACAGGAGACAGATGTGTACGAATGAATGAAAAACAGGATATATTTGAGTACATATAACCAATAACACAAACCACTCGACTGATTCTTAACTAAGAGAACTGATGTTTTTCATATGAGAATTGACAACATTTGCAACAACTGACACAGAAAAACCCCGGCATATATTCTCAGCACGACTTGTGTAAAACGATCATTACCTATCATTCCTACTTCCCTCCGCTTTTACTCCTACTGTCTTTGTTCAATTTGCGTAGCGGGAACGAAAAGGAAAGTTTGCGTGTCTTGCTGGATTCGTTTGTGGCGGACAGAACAGAGGTTCCAGCGGTTCGAGTAAATATTGATCTTGACTTCTCTTTCAAGCTCGAGTCCGCATGATACTTTTGTTTGGATCCCTTGATCGGTGGGCGTCGCGAAGAAATGGACATGTCTTCTTCGTCGGTATCTTCAAGAGGGCTCAAGGACTACATTTTTGGTTGGTCAATGCCAACAGCCAGACAAAAGAACATCTTCAGGCAAACAAAATGACCACTTGCTAGGATGGGAGGAGACAACTCACATCGTCATCGACATCGTCATCGCGACCATTATCTCCAGGACTGACTGGACTGACGTCTTGTTCTGTTGTGGTGGCAACCACCGCACGAGAAAACGTAACCTTGGTACCGGGGTGTGGCTCTTCATGTATGGTCTGGAGACTAGGATCCGGTGACTTTCTCATTCGTTCATAGACATGGACCATGGCCGGTGGTGATGGTGGTGATGGTGGCGGTGCAAACGGCACAGACGGAAGAGCATCTATAATCGCCCTGACTGGATGTGGTTTCGTTTCCACCGGCAAGACTTGAGAGTCGGGTCTAATGAGATCAGTCACATTCGCACTCGCACTCGCTGACGCTGACGCTGAGGGACTTGGAGTGGTTGTCGCAGCGTTGGTCAAGAGAAGAGAAGTGGTGCTGAGACTGGAACCCAAGTTGGCGACTTCTTGAGGTCGAACTCGTACTGCTGCTTTTGCATGCGGATGCGAATACGAAGATGGTGGTGGTGGTAGTCGTCCAGGGACGTTTATCATCGTCTCTCCCAGCGGTGTCTTGCTTTCCATGGCCGCCAACAACCCTGCTCGAGTCCTGCGAGGGTCTTGCTGTTGCATCAGAGCTCCTGGCGAAGAAACGGTAGGACCTCCCTGCGTGTCAATACCAGCCTCGGGACCGTACAACCATACGAGGTTCAAGTAGAGTGCTTTGGCGGTGTTGTGTTGGCGGACAAAGGGAGCCACGTTGAGTGCCAAAGTCGCCCGGATGAATCGACACGTCGCCACGGTGGCCGCGTGCCATTCGTCTCGTTCTTGCTCGGACAAGACTCCATGCGAGGAAGCGGTGGCCGCGCGAGGGTCGGACCACTCCCCGCCCAGGATGAGTCTGGAGGAGAGAGGGTTGCCGAGGAGGACGGGCTCGATTGATGACCGCCACGCTTTGAAGTTGGACTTGCCGAGCAATTGGCCAATGGACGAAATGGGTGGGAAAGACAGAGATTGGAAGTAAGAGTCGGTCGTTGAGTGTCTGTTTTGACGGTGCATTTCCATGGTTCTTTGTTTGGGCTTGTTGTGGTTTGCTGGTAACGAGTATTCTGCGAGACTGCGTGGGTGCGGTCCGACTGGAAAGAAGAATTTCAAACGCAGGGGAAGACTCTCTCTCATGAATAATGAAGAATACACCTCTTTCGAGAGCTCTTCAGGAGCTCTTGGATCAGTTCCAGAGACTTTGGGATCAAAGTCCCGATCAATTCTGATTTGGATCATGAGACATTTTATGAACACCTACCATCGTAGGCTCCCCTCGATTTCACCAATGTACGAGATTGATGTTTCAGTGCCACAACTCAAGGAACAAAGAAATCCCAGCATGAATCCCAACAAGGCTTCAGCCAGAATTGCCTTTTGAGAAAGAAGTAGTCGATCTTGGTGAGAAAAGACTCCTGCCACTTACCATCCCACCAGCTCAAGTGGGATTCCCGTGCCAGCACAGATTTCCTCAATCTCCACACACCGACCTTGCTGGCTCAGACATGACTGAAACCTCACGATCAAGGACCGCGTCGAAGGCCCTCGGTGGTCCGGTCGTCCCCGGGACTCAAGAATCGCTCTCCAGAGATGTCGCTCGGCAGGTTTGTAATCCCGTCTGTCCATGTACAGTCTCGCCAGTTGGTCGTGGGCCCATATTATAGTGCCACCTCTGTCCGAGGCGAGACGATCAACTCTCTCTTCGGCAAGTATCCTGCTCGCAACACCTTCCACTGCATACTCTTCATTCTGATCGGCATAAATTCTCCCGAGGGCGGCCAGGGCAGTTCGGTGTCGCTTGTGTCCCATGACTTGACTCTCGTTGACAACTTCCTGGCAGAGGGTCTGTGCCTGCGCAAACTTCTTGCGCTCCCGTAGCATATCGATCTGATCGATACGCAAGGCAAACACCGACGAGTTGCTCGGTTTGCGTCGGCTTCTATAAGCATCAACGATCATACACATCATAGATTCAGAGACGTGCTCCCTGATCCCAGCAGTAGCCACCAGCTGCAGCGCATTTGCTAGAGGGTGATGACGACCAAGCACATTAGCGGTCATCGACGACACAAAACCCAGTAATTGCTGTTCGAGGGCATCGAGACCGTGCCATGGTTTGGCAAAATGCAAAAGCAGACAAGTCAAAAGTTGAAGCGGAGCCGTGGCCAGCAGTGGTTGCACCATCTGGCATGAGTTATCCAATGTTTGGAATGCCCGTGTCTGGTTTCCTGCTTTCAGGAAAACGTATCCGTGATAAAGCGCCAACCAGAATGCCGACACTTGGTCGACTTGTCCGGTGATAACTTCTATTGGGACTCGGCCCGGGAAACGTGATTGGAGATCATGAAGCTTCACACGAGTGAATGCTGTGAATTGCCAGTCGATGGCATCCCTGGTATGCAAAAGGACAGCATTGGCAGCACGGAGATCCGTTGGCTCGTCAAGCTGTGCTGTAAGTCTGGGCGATGCGGAAAGTAGCGTCGCGTTCATCTCCAGACCAGACTCGGATCTGATAAGAGAGGAATTCGTCAGGCTAGGTCCGTCTGAAGAGGTCGTTACAATCGTGTCCGTCACAACTGGAGATATTCTGCAAGTTGATTGTCGATTTGCCTTGGCTGGGACTTTGCTTTCTCGAACGACCAGGTCTTTCTCCGCCGCTTCTTGAGGACTTTGAGACAAATGCTCCCATAACTTGGCCAGCTTCTTGTCATTTCGACAGTGTCGCCTGACACGGTCAAGTTTCAACGGCCTCCCACGAAAAGAAATCGTGTCAGGGTTGTTGCCGGCGTCCACACAAGCCTTGACTCTGCGGGCCAGAGCCACCTTCTCCTGGGCTTTGTAGTTCTTGTGGATCTTCCACTCCGTGATGCGCCTTTTGTACATCTTCTCGCTGGCATCGAAGCCATGGTTCTTGGACAAGATATCCTTGACTTCTCTGAGTTTTCGGTTCTCTGCAATGTATAATTCGGCGAATACATCTTTGATTCGCAACCACTCATCCGGACTAGGTCCCAAGTTTCTGGTCGGTTGATCTGTGACATCTAACCTGTACGCTATCGTACTCATGGGAATGGTAGCATAAGCCATGCTCAAGATCCGTCGTAGCTAGACCCAGGGCAGAACCTCCAACAAGTGTCTCACACTGGCCCTGAACTCTGCTGCTCAAATGGGCACAAACACCGTAGACCCCCAAATACGAGCAATATTTGGAACGTCATGCTTGAACAAGATCAAGCAGTCCATTCTGGAGCCGTAGTTATACGATACTTTCAGAGGAGTAAAGATGGAGTTCAGGAACTTTCGTTCAAGCCGGCGAAGTCCTTGATTGACCGAGTGTGATACGAACCAAATAGGTACGAAGATCGTGGCAGTGTCTGCCTTGCAGTCTGGCTCAACTGTAATCAAGCTCTAGAACTCGTGCATTAGCGCCCAGTGCTTTTGGGATCTCCCCAATAAGCCGCACATCGTCCCGGGGTCTTGGGGTGGCGAAGCACGATGTTGGCTCGAATATCTGCTGCACATTGAATGAAACGGGTCATTTGGTCAGATCGACTTTCACAACAATCGATGTTGTCAAGTAGGACTGATGGCTTGCTTTGCCATTGACGAGCAAAAGAACCCAAAGGGAGCATCCACTTAAAAGCACAGAGTCTGCACTAAATATTCCACATGTCGTAGAACGGAGCCAGCCTTGAGTACGGAGATAGACTGGTCTCTGGATGCTAGTACGAGTACAACCAACGCGTACAATTCATTGATTAACCCAGGTCTGCCATGCCATTCATTCTCTAGCCATGACGACTATGAGAAGATTCTTCAGTCTCAAGTCAAGGCATCCAAGTATCCGAGGAAAAGTAAAGTTGGTCTTCCCTGTCGATCGTCATGACGACCCACCCGAGGCACCGGAGCGTCCGTGGAACATGCCCAGGGTGAACAAGGCTGGAGTCGAAAGACTGTATGAGGGATAAATAAGACAGAAAGCATGCCCATAGAGAAACATCTTGTATAGGGAGAATCTACATGACCAAAAATTTACATATAATCCAGATTGTAATTCACAAACATCCACAACCATAACCAAGTCAAGTCAAATCAACCAACAAAAAGCGTGCACCAACCATAAGCGAGGCTTCAGAATGGCGGAACAAGGGGTGACTTTTGACCCTTCCAATAAGTGTCGAGTAAAACAAGCAGACTAACATGCAGCAGACGACGAATATGTCTATGGCACCGGTGGACAGATTGGCCCGGGTCAATCAAAAACTTGGAAACTTCCCTTTGGTAAAGATGGCAGACGGTCAGACTGTCCCAACAGGGACTGTGGCGACCTTGCTGTTCAACATACGAGCATATGACCAGCTCCTCAAAGAAAATACAGTTGATGATATATCAAAGAAAGCAGAGCTGGAGAAGTTGGAAGGAGAGATCAAGGACCCTGTGCCGCTGTTGATAAACCTAGGCATGTTCGAGTTGTTCAGCCCCGACGAGTGGTGTGCAGGAGGCGCTGGGAGGCAGCTTGTTGGCAGGACTGCTAAGGGCTTGATGCCCGCAGATTAAATGCAATCGAGGACGTCGCGAGCCACAACAACTCTTGAGGGTTTGGAATTCAGTATGTACCAGTGGAAGCTCACCTTACTTGCGCTTTATTCCCAAAGAGGCACTAAATTAAGAAAAATCAATGTAAAGTTATTCAAGTATACGATACTTACTGATAGATGGACCGCACTCTTCTCTGAGGCCTACCTTAATGTCACTTACCTGCCCAGAAATGTTTCTGCGCCGTTGACCTCGAGAAATGATCAACTAGTAGGTAGTCTTATTCAGTCTTTGCCTGAAAGATTGTCCCGGGGACTGTTTGATCATCATGCTCTTTTTCGATTTCTTCTTTGTGGAAGTTGGAAATTTTTTGCCTGGCTTGAAATTTGCTATACGTTGAAGGAGCTGTGCCCGCTTCGTAATACGCGGGGATGTCTTGTCATCTCCCTTGTTCTTCTTTTTTTCATGTTCTGGAGCTTTGGGTTTGGTAGACTCATGTATGGCTGGTTGCCTGGTCTTGTTTTTCTGCTTCTCATAGCGGCTGAGGATATAATCCAAAGCTCCCGATGCAGTGTCCCCTTTCTCTCGGCTATCCAAATGGTCTTTGAGGAGCTCGGGCCCTATAGCCTGATATGTCGGAGCGTTATGAGTGCAGACATGGGAAGGGGGACCAAAGCATTGTATATTAGTCACATTCTTGCCTTCGAGGCGTTGGCGACATAATGTTTTCCACATCTCGCAAGTGTACTGCCAGTACTCCGGCTTTGAGAGCAGAAAATGCGCTATCCAGGGAGAGCCGACAGCGTGTTGGTGGTACAGGAAAGATGGTTCATCGCTGGCCACAGCTTCTCTGAAGTATTTAACTCTTCGACTTTCAAAAAGATCGGCCCAAAGCTCGAGATGCTCTGCAAAGGTTTGGATGGTCACATCACGCTCGTCTGGTACGAGCAAATGAAGTGACCAAGTCAAGTATGCCTGGAAGGGTAAGTCGGCGTGGCTTATGGCCCACGCAACAAGCCAGGCCTCAGATGGCCCCCAGGTGTATGAACTGAGGCGAACATAGTGCTCGAAAAGGTGTTGTATGAGGACATGGTTTTGCTCACGCCAGGAGCTTGTTGAACGGGCGTCATCTTTAAAGGCAAACCAATAATCTCTCGTCCAAAAACGCCAGCATTCCACAATCTCATCAAGGGGCTCAGCCATTTCCTGGTCGATTGACGAATATGGTGCAAACATGGTGTGAATCTTACCGTATATAATGAGGTGTGCTACTTCTTTGTTAAATGAAGAATCATGCTAGGAGGAAATCTGTGCATGGACAACCCCAATATTATACCGCAATCCCCTGAATAGTCCCCTTTGTAAGGGCCTTTTGTTATGCGAGAGTTGGAAACAAGTAACCTTTGTCTGAATGTCTTTCAGCGCGCATTGACACCGATACAGTGGCAAACATCAGTCCTTTGTGTATTTGATATCGTTGTTCTCCCTTTTGTTCTGCTGTCAGGCGCATGGAGGCGTACAGTTGGTGAATCAACCAGCATTGCCGCCATAATCGATTGATGCCGTGACTCTTCCCTTGAGGTGTAGAACTCAAGATCAGTCGTCTCCACGTCGCCAAAGTAGAAAACAGTTCACTCCCATTCATACATAGTATGAAGACATGTCACCCAGCGTTCCAAGCCAAATTAGATCATGATAAAGGCACCATAAATAGACCAGAGGCCTTCTCTTGCTTCCCTTAAGGTCAAATTTTGCCTTCCGCAGTCATGCGCTGGATCCGGTTTAACAAAACTGTGCCCTGCCTACCCACCTTTATCTTGCCGTCTTTCCCAGGTCTCTTGGCTTTGACCATTGCCCGACGTTCCTTGTCCCTCAATTCTCTGGCCTTCTGCTTTGCCTCAATGTTCGCTTTGTGTTGAGAAGCTAGTTCCAGCTCTTTCTTAAAACGTGATTGCTTCTGTCTGCGTTGGCGGGGCTGGCTTCTTGATGAATGTTGCTGATCATCGCGAAAGTCTTTCTGCGAGCGTTCTAAGTCCCGACTATCAGCAGCATCAACCATTGCTTGACGGTCTGGGTGCAATTCGAGACTTGCTGGCTCAACATCGACGGGTGCAGCATGCGCGTCTTGATCTGCGAACTGGGCCGATGACGAAGGGTGTGTGGCTTCTTCCTGCGCCTTAACTTTGGCGTATGCTTTCTTGACCTTTGCTTTTTGGATAAGGTCCCGTTTTATTTTTTGTGCTAGCGGTCGTTAGCAGGATTTCCAGGAAGCGAGGCATATGGCTCACTTTTTCGTCTGTAGGTGCCATCAGGGAGATTTGCTGGTCCAACAGAGAAGCCTTTTCTCTTTTTGCTGTCTGGTTCGTCCGCACCGACTGGACGGTCGCTGCTGCTTCTCTTCACACTCATATCTCCTGTTTTCACGGGTTGAATATGTGAAGGAAGCACTGACAATCGGAAGCGGCGTCCAAAAAGCAAGGCGATAAAATTAAACGGTGCTGCATGAATAAATCCTGCCGGGCGTGGGGCTTCGATCCCCGATATGCGGTGGACCATGCGCTTCATTAAGTACGAGTATGACATGGCATGACCCCGAGGAGTCATCCGCTCAATGAACCTGTGCCACTTCCATACATTCCGCCAGCTTCCCGGCTTGACCTTCTCTCTCTCTCTCAATATTCTCTCTATCTTGCCTGCAAACCGCCTCTACAACAATTCTCCCGATGTGGCACTTCAAGACTGCCGACTAGTGCGGCTACCTCGAAGTACTGCACCGTAGTTGTATGGCAAGTTCGCTCTTTGTCCGCGATGTGTCCGCCAAATACGAGGTGTTTGAAGAAGGCAGACTGTGAAAGAGAGGGCCCTTCACATCTACCATTTGTCCGAGACTGCTCTCGACAACTTTGGGAGCATGCCATTCGTCTTCGAGGCAGCAGCCGTATATGAAAGACCGACCAAGAAACGAAAAATTACCCCGTCTGTGAACATGGCGAGGGATTTGGCGCAGGCATGTTTCGATGCTGAGGGGTCGTCTATAACCCAGCAAAATGGACTGCAAGAGAATTTTGCATTGAAGGAAAGAGGAAATGAGGGGACTACCACTACACCTGTCGTTACAAGTGATCGAGAAGAGTTGATCCAGTGTATTAAAAAGGGACAGCGGCCGACATGGGTGCCCAAGCCTGGGCTTGAGGCTCTTTGTGCTGAAGTCAATGCCGAACAAAAGGAAGTCCGTACCAAGCTGGTACAATCAAATGAGGGCATCCACCCTCCAGAGATACAAGATTCGCATGAATGGGAAAGACCGACTCCCGTATTCACTCCTTCAGTCTCTGCCACAGAATCATTGAGACAGTCCTTGTCCGCCTTACACACTGGAGATTTTCGAGATGAACAGCGTGCTCCTCCAGACTTTGGAGCTATTTCAACCCCGACAAGACCTCTTGCTGGTCATCCAGCTTCGCCCCCGTCGGCATTTTCAGATGTACACCATTTTGTGGGTACTTCGCTCTCACCTAGAGAACATACTCTGGACATCTTGAGACGATCTCGAGCACCTTCTTTAGGGAGTAGCCTATCATCAAGTTTTGTCATGCGGGTTCCAACCAGTCCGCTGGTCCACGCTGTCAACAGTCCCTCACAAGACCTTCCCCATCAAGATTCCCAATGCAACGATGGATCCAAGACTTCTAGGAGGCAAACTATGCCGCCGAACGCTTTTCAGTCCTTACGTGCATTGCCCATTGACCACTATCCGTCCGACAGTGCGCACCAACCGTCAACGTCTTATCCTCACCTCGATAGGAACATTCTTCCTCATCGACCTCGCCGCTCGCTCAGCTCATTCACGTACCAGCCGGCAAGCAGTCCCCAACTCCACTTCCCGGGAAAGTCGAGGCGTCCATCAGTGGCATCAGATTCCTCCCCTCGCCAGCGTGCATCAATGGTTGGGTCTTTCGAGGAATCTATTCTGCGAGGTCGAATGTCCACCCCTGCTTCGAAGCCTCTTGACTTTGTTGCACAAATCGGCGTGGTTGGCAGAGGCAATTGTCCGCCGAGTTTAAAGTGCCCAGCACACGTCACCGTTCCTTTCCCTGCTGTCTTCTACAACTATCCATCTGCCCATGAATTCAGGTCTATCTCAGACGACAATCCGAGTCCTTACGTTGGGACGATTGATCTGGAACATAACTTGAACCCCCCAGAACCTCCAACCCGACGGCTCCGTCGTGCTCCTGCGCCGGCCGACCCGGAAGACTCCTCGTCGAGGGATACGTCAGAAACCGGTAGCAGAAAGCCTAGCAGATCCAAAGTACCTACAGGGGGTGCCTATCGAGTGCCGCAACAGGGACAGCTGCAAATAATCATCAAGAACCCGAATAAAACCGCCGTGAAGTTATTCCTGATACCCTACGATCTCGAGGGAATGACCCAAGGAACAAAGACATTTGTTCGGCAGCGGAGCTTCTCATCAGGGCCAATCCTGGAAAATGCACTGACGGAAACCCGCGTGAATCCGTCTGCGTACGACCCTCTCAGCAACAAAGACATTCTCCGCTATCTAATCCACTTGAAGTTTTGCTCGACAGGAAAGGGTCGATTCTACCTCTATGACAATATCCGTGTTGTTTTTGCCAATCGGGTCCCTGATGGCAAGGAGAAGCTGAGAAATGAGGTGCAATTGCCTGAACCGAGGTTTAGTCCATACAAGCCAGCTGACATTGGATCACGAAGTCCGAGCCTCTCCGAGCAGAAGTTCTCGATTTCGTCGAAAGAAACGCCATATCCAGAATTTGGATCCATGGACGGCATGCTCAAACAACACGTCATTCAATCCGGCGACGTACACGACCCATCTTCCATGGGAATGTTTTACGATGCCCAGCCTCGCGAATCAGCTCTTGTAGGACTCAACATAGTCCACAGGAACGAAGAGAGGCGTGCGGAAGTTGACCAGAGCGTGTCTCCAGTTTCTGGGTTCTTGCCGTCAACATCTTCGCGAAGTTCACCTGTTCCATGGCTGGACACTAGTGGCAACCCTGTCGCGCGTGGCTTGTCCCCCGCGCCGTTGGAGGTGGGGGACGGTCTGATCTCGCGCAAGCTTCGAGAATTGAACGGTTCTGCTGCCAGGCCTTTGTGACTGGGAAAGACTGGAGGCTGGTATAGGATTCACGACTCGTCCAATCTTGTTAGGAAATTTTTAGGAGTTCAATCGCAGAGGGATTGTCGGATTATTGGGAATACCCCCTCAGCTTCAGGAGGGATTGAGGGTTCGGCGTCAAGGAAATCCTTAGGTATAGACAAATATCTTCATCTCAGTGCATGATTCTTCATTATTTTTTAAACTCGTATTTTGGTATGGATAAACTGTATTCCATACCTAAACAAATCGAAGGATTGTCGCTAGGATTCGACTGAGACAGGGTTAGCGACCTCGGGCCCTGCGGAGGACATTCCTAGCACGAGCACTTGTCAGGGTTTAGGCGCACGCCATGCATAATGCTGGGGGGGGTGAGAACACGTACAACTCCAAGGAAGCTGTACAAGTAACGAGCCTCCGTCATGAGTAGAGGCACAGCCTAGCGGATCCCAGCCAGTGACAGGCGCAGTTACAGCCTGCCCTATTGATGTGGCTGCCGCTGACGGATAGAGTGATGATCGAAGAGCGAAAGCGAGCCAACAGAAGCGCCTATTGCCCGCACTAAATTCTCCCTTGTATCCCAGTCTCCAATTCGCCGGGCGTATCTGCACCTGGCACACTGGGCATCGAGCCGGACTGTGCGTGCACATTCACTCTCACCTCGCTCGTCCTTTCCCTCAGACTGACTTTATCTCGTCCAACACGCATAACTCGAAAAAATCGTCCCTCCTCCTCGTCTTCTCGACCTCCTTCGTCCCGTAGTCGACTAGCTGACCCTCCTTCGCGACGACCCCATGCAACAATCATAGCCTTCTCGCCTCACTCCCTTCCCAACGTCGATGACCTGGGGAGTCATCCGAAACGAAGATGCACAAGATCAGCAACTTCACTGGCCAGGCTCGCCATGGCTGGGAGCGGATGACTCCAGCAGCGTTTGGTATGTCTAGGTTCCATCAGGACATGTCTACGCCGCAGCCATTGAGACGTCCTCAAGGCTCTCCAGCAATCGGTTCCCAGTCATCCGCCGACTTGACCCCGGTCAACCTATCCTTCAACGTGCCTTTTGCTTCGTACCTTACCGGCCCCGACCCAGATGATGTCCTACATTCGAGTCCTGGTGCGTTTCAAAGATGGACATTCCCGGCAGACACTCCTGATGGTACGCCGATTCATCAGCTCCCGGTCCATGTACAAAATGAAGAGAGACTGCGCTCCTTATGCACGTACATCAGTGACCAGAGTGGTGGCCGTGTACAAGCAACGGTGACTTCCTCCGAGCCCAAGGCTGGTCCTGCTTTGCATAGAAAATCACAAGGACTTGTTACGAACGTCTGTATTTCGGGAGAAGGAGAATTGGTCTACAAGATGCGGTCCAAGATTTTGAACGAGACTCCCATCATGATGGTATGACAAGACATGTAAATCCACTTGCATAGCTGACAGATTCAGCGCTCTGCGATTGTGGATATTGATCCAGGCTTGATACTCGACAACGGCGAGACTGGAGTGCGATCGAGCGTGCTCAATCACATCGATCTCTGCGCTAAGTACACAGGTAATGACTTACGCCCAAGTCTCTGGTTTTGGCCAGTACTAATGAAGTTCAGGAACGGATATCTTCCTCCTCAAGCCTAAGAATGGTGAGGCGTCTTCGGCAGGTGCATCATACGGCAATGGTGTAGATTGTGGACTCGACCAACGTTATCGAGTGAGCATCTTCGGGGACATGGAGAGTGTTGAGCATGCAAAGACCCGAGCACTGATGATGATTGATCAAATTGTAACGTTCTGAGGCCAGTCTAGTGAGCCACACAACTAACGTATATACAGCTCAAGCACAAGATCGACGTCATAAAGCTGGAGGTTACAATGCACACACTCGTCTCTGGCCGAACTGGTAAGAACATCAAGATGATCGAGTCGGCCACGAAGACAGCGATCTATTTCCCTCCGCCTTTTCCTGGGGTCTTCGGCTACGTTCCTCCACATGCTACTCGACGCGCTGCGGATGAGATCTTCATTACTGGAGAGACTCAGGAACGCATCAACCAAGCAAAGCAAAAGTTGAAAGAACTAGTAATGGGCATCAAGCTGTATTCGAAGGATGCGGTCGTCTCTGCAAGCAAGATTGACAACATATTGCTTGATCGCCTCGACAAGGTCCGCAAGATTATGGAGACTAACGGATCTCATGTCCTGTTTCCGCAGCTTGCTAGCCAGCGTGGTATCATTCGAGTCCAAGGCACCGAAGTCTTGCATGTCGAGCGAACTGTCAAGGAGATCATGGCACTTGTAAGTTTCTACCTGCTTTGTCCCCAGAGTATGGCTTTCCCAGAATGCTGACGTTGAATAGGCTGGCCAATTTTTCAGTGCATCGTGGTGGATCATGATGTCCGACCCGTCACAAGGCCCAGCTATTCGAGCGCCATCTCCTGACGACATCCGTATCATGCTGAGTGATATCTGCACCAACTCGGGCGCTGATATTAGTTTCGAAAAGTTCACCTTTACGATTAATGGGTCTGATGACGCCGTCAAAGCGGCCATGATGGTCATTAATCAAATACCTTTTGTCAAGCGAACACCATATCAGATTCGGGTCAAGATTGAACTTGCGAATGAACACAAGGAATTTGTCAGCGGCAAGAAGAACGGCAAGATCAACAAAATCATGGGCCAGAGTAAGCTTATCCCTCCCAATAGTCTGAAGCAACTAACACGTAGAAACAGGCAACGTTCAAATCATCTTCGACGGCTTCAATGAGTACAACTTTTACATCGATGTTGTGGGTAGCCAGTATGAAGCTACAAAGAATGGCTTGGATCTTGTTGAGCAGGAAATGCCGGCATCTATCTCTTTCCACGTGCCCGACCAGTATCACAAACGCATCATTGGTATTGGTGGACAGCACATCCAACGGATCATGAAGAAGTATTCCGTTTTCGTCAAATTCTCTAACGCGATGGATCGAGGCGGTGCTGGTAAAGACGATGACGACATTAAGGTTGACAATGTCATTTGTCGTACACCTGCTCGCAATGCGCAAAGTCTGGATTTAGTGAAGCAGGAGATCATGGATATGGTTGAGAAAGTTGTAAGCGATGCTGATTCCCCGACTGACGAGTCCATGTCCTTATCAGATGAATTTATTTAGGACGCCGAATTCGTCTCTGAAACTGTGGTCATAAATCGACTCTATCACAGGGAGCTCATTTCTCGACTAACCGAGATCGAGGATCTGGAAAAGAAATGGAATTGCAAGATTGACTTTCCGAATACAGAGCAAGCCAGTGATATTGTCACCATATCTGGACCAGAATACCAGGTTCCCCAAGCTGTAGATGCCTTCCTCGGTATGGTGCCCGAAAGCCACGAGATTGCTTTCCAAAAGGCAGAAGATCTCGATACATTCTTTTCTACAGCCGAATTCTACACCGACCTCCGACAAAAATTGAGAGACCAGTATGAGGTCGATGTCCATGCCAATCCGGAGCTTAGTAGCCTGCCCAAATCTGCCACAGCCTCTGTTGAGAGAATCGTTGGCCCATCCGAGGGACGACTTGTTCTTACTTACACTCGCAACAATGCTGGAGGCCTCAAAGACGCCATCGATTACCTCATATCCCAACTAGTGCCACACGGTCTCGATGCGACCACTGTCAAAGGTGCTATCCCTCGCCCGAAATCAGATTCTTTCGAGGATTCTTTGCCCTTCTTTGATTCAAAACTCCTCCAAAATGCGCCGTCCCTCCATTCGACCGATTCTCCGACACGATCGAATTTTGGTGACGGGGAACATACCCCAGTCTCTGAACGAGCCTCCCTATTTGACCGCCTACGCAAACCAGGCAGCATTTCGTCGTTCTCGTCGTTTATGAGTCGCAAGAATCAGAACAATTCTCCAGGGACATTCTTCAAGCACGCTTCCTCAAATGCCAGCAAGGCATCTTTAATTTCGATGGAAAGTCGTGAAAGCGGCTACAGAAATTTTTGGAACGACAGCGGCGTCAATCTCCCTGAAGAGGACGTATCTGCATCGTCACTTAGTGCCGGCTGGCCGTCGCGGTACGAGAACAAGTTTCCCTTTGGAACAAACAGTTCCATGTCTGGTGACAGAACCCCAAAGCATGAACACCCTCGCGCGAGCTTCGACTCTGGAAGGCCTCCGACTTCGCACTCATTCTCGTCCTATCAAGGTCCCATAGGCTCACACCATCACAATCCAATGCTTACCGGGAGCAACGGTTCAGCCAATCATTTAAATCTCCCTCTGCGCTAGAGAAATTTGTGATGCTCGAAAACAACGAATGATACCCCTTATATGGATATGGAAATCATGATTTATCTCTTCTTATGTGCAGCAAGATACGATACCCTCTATGCTACAACGAAAAGTCAAAAGGTGGAAACAAGCGGTTTTTGATGCATCGTATAGGATGCAAATCAAGCGTGTTTTGAGTATTGATTGATGTTGGTGGTTGATGGGTTGCGAGATGACCAATTTTGATGCATTCAAAGACGTTCATTACCCCCCTTGTTTTGTTTGTTTGCTTTCCTGTCTTTTGAAGATGATACCCACGTTCTCATTCCGATGATGGTTGCAACTTCTTCATTGTTGCCAGCAATGGATGGAGAAGTCATGAATGCTTCGGACGGCCCCTAAAAGAACGATATATACCCCAGAAAGCTATTTAGAGAAACGAGTACATTTACGAAACTTCCTCTGATTATAATTTCCCATTGTCCTGGTCCTTAGAATACGACTAATCACCTGTCCATACATAGCACTTACAATATAGGTAAAAATATTCCTACACATAGAGGAGAACAGGAGAATGTGGTCACGTGATATATTGCTGAGTCATCCAACCATGACGCCTCGAAAACTGGGCGGTTCGGCCAACGCAGGGGGAACTCCAGGTGCAGGCGCGACTGTGGGCGGGCGATGCGCGTCCGCCCCAAATCTCGAAAGCAAACAATACTCGCACTGTCATACTCTGTAGTATATCCCTAATTGTCACCAACTCCTCTAATAGTCATCCGCATCACTCAACCTATGTTGCTCCCACGTCCTTGGTCATGCCATTAGACGCAACTTTGCCCACTGCCAGACATGGGCGACCTCAATATCAAACTGGGTCATACGATTGTGACCCAGGATGGAAGAGAAGGGATCATTCGATATATTGGACCATTACACATCGCGGCTGGTGAATGGTTAGGTCTCGAACTTCCAGATCAATCCGGCAAAAATGATGGATCTGTTAAAGGCCAACGTTATTTCCAGTGTACCCCTGGCTATGGCATCTTCGTGCGAAAGGAGTCGGCCATTACCATCTCCAAGCTGTCCTCACAGAACCCGAGGCTCAACGGGGCTCCGACCTCTAATGGCCCCTCCACCAAACCGAGACCATCCAGCGGAGTGACGGCGGACGTTGCGAGGAAGAGGCAGAGTTTGATGAGTTCAGGCTCAGGGTCGGCCACGACATCAAGATTGTCATTAAGGGTAAGCCTATAACAATGCATACAGTAACATTTACTGATTCTCTGATCGCAGTCTCCTACCAAATCACCTACGAAGCCGACACCCTCCGTCGCCAGTTCGACCGGGTCAACTCCACGCACAGGAACTCCTGCAACAACCGCACGAACTTCCGATTCCAGTACTAGATCTAGGCTCAGTACAGCCGGAAGATCGTCAATGGCTCCGCCTAGCACGACAACACGATCGAGTTCAGTCGCGAGTCGACAGTCTTTGGCAGGCGGTGCGGTAAAACCATTGTCCACAAGACCTGCTTCGATACAGTCACGACAGTCATTGGCGGGTCCCCGGCTGTCCATGGTCTCAAAAGCAGCTCCCAAACATGACACAGTCGTCTCGCCCTCTGCATCTCATGAAAGCGTCTCGTCGCCACCCCTGCACGAAGAAAAGGAATCGGACCAGGAAGCACCACCCGATGCAGACAAGCACAAGCCTGAGCCTCCAAAAGCACAAGACCGAACATTCGAGTCTATCGCCACACGCCAACAATCTGATACTTCACTTCGAGATGCTGGTAACGCTCTGGCCGAGGATCGGTCGAGACATGCTCAAGTGATCAAAACCCTCGAAACGAAGGTTCGCAGCTTGCAGAAACAGCGCCGGGAAGACCAGGCTGAACTACAAAGCCTTCAAGACCTTAAGGCCCAAGTTGCACGGTATGAGGGTATCATTCAGACCCTGCAAAAGAAAATCAAAGCCAATCAACAAGAGATGGCAGATCTCAAGGCCAAATATGAAGATGCAGAAAGTCGGGCTCACAACGTTCCTGATCGCAGTGCCGAACATGAATCCGAACTTGAGCTGGCTACGCTTGACAAGGAGATGGCCGAAGAACGTGCCGACACCTTCGAGGCAGAGTTAGAGGCCTTGAAACTGAAGCATGAAGAACTGGAGCTCGAAGCAGAGATCCTGAGAGAAGAAAACCGGGAACTGAGTTCAGTCATGAGTCCGGAAGACAAAGCTAGTGCTGGCTGGCTTCAGATGGAGCGTGAAACCGAAAGGTTGAGGCAAGCACTGGTTATGCTGCGTGATATGTCTCAACAGAATGAAGCCGATATGAAGAGTGAAATCAAAGAACTCCACGAGACTCTCGATGAGTTGGAACATTCCTCCTCGAAGTACGAAGAGGTATCGGCCAAACTTAGCAAGTCTGAAGAAACTAATCAACACCTTCGAGAGCAGCTTGAAGCAGCCGAAGCGAATGACGATATGCTAGAGGCGATGAGTGCCGAGCGAGACCAGAATCGTAGTGAGATTGAATTGCTCAAGAGGCAAATTCAGGACTTTGAAGAGCACATCCAGGTGACTGATGAACTGGAAGCATTCCACGTGGAAGAAGAAAAACGTCTTCACTATCAACTGGATGAGAGCGAGGCAATCATCAATGACAAACAAAGGCGAAACCTCGAGCAGCAGAAGACCATTGAGGACATGGAATACACTCTAAGCAAGTTCAGGGAGATCGTCCAAGGCCTTCAGGGTGATATTGACGAACTTCGCCGGTCGCGAGAGATCAGCGAGACTGAAGCAAACGAAATGAGTAGTAAGTCACGAGCCATGATGGAGCTGAATCTCAAACTGCAAAACTCGGCGACAAAAACACAACTCAAAGCAATAGACCTGGAAATGGGCAAAATGCGGGCCGAACAAGCAAGTTTGCACCTCGAAATCTTGCAATACTTCATACCGGAAACTTTTGATGTTGACAAGAAACCTATTGCTGCCCTCTTGTGCTTCAAACGGATCAGGTCGAAGGCACATTTGAGCAAGACTATCCTGATGGACAAAATTCGAGATCGGCCCGACCTTCTCCAGGACAATGTAGTGTCCATATTTGCTGTGATGGAGAAAATGAGCTACATCGCCACCATCTGTGAGAGATTTGTGCAGTTCATGACGACTTGTTCTTTGAGTGACTTCATAAAATACTCTGCTGCACCCTTTGAACTTGAGCCTGTGGAACTAGCCGTCACTGGCTGGGTTGAAGCATTACGCCGGGATGAGCTTGCGTCTGATAGAGCCGATCATTTACAACGTATGGCTGGCATTCTTGTCGACATGGCGGAGAAATTGCTTTCCGATAGCCTCGAAACTAAAGCTATGGAGCTATTGGCAAACGCTTCCATGACCGAAATGTACACCGACAGCGTGGCACATCAAGCGCAGGTTCTCGCGAAAGCGGTGCAGGCCAGACTGGGAGGTTCGACTGCCGACGACGAAAGCGCCCTGACCTTTGAGAAGAGAGTGGATCAACTTGGTATCAAGGCTCGCACAGTCAAGTACACTTCTGGAAAACTCCTCCACACCCTCGATGATCTCCGAGCTCGTTCAATGTGCCTTGGAGAGCCAATGTGGCATTCGTTTGCGGAAGCGGAGCACGTAGCCTCGACATTATCCCAATTGACTCAGCACATTGGACATGCAGTCATGGAAGAACTCAACAAAGATGAAAGAGATGAGCCACTTTCATATGCGACACTTGTTGATGCTATGTCGAAATTTATCGACAAAGAACGACCAGCTTCCACCGTGCAAGTTGACTCGCAGGATGTGTTCGACATCTTGGCGAAGCACTTATCCGCTCTGCAAGCCACTATTGATGATCTGCACACCAAATCGGCCGACCTATCCGGAGCATTTGAATTCGAGAAGGGCCCCGCACCATGGGCTTTGCGAGCGAAAGAGGTTAAGGCGCAGAAAGTCTTGTCGCAAGACATGCAAGAGGAAATGGCTCGACTGAAATCAAGAATACAAGAACAGACCATCAGAATCAGCGAGAAGGACAGGCAGCTTGAAGAACAACAGGTCAAGGTCGAACTGCTTGAATCGAGAGCGAGAGAGACCAAGATCAAAGACGACGGCGTCAAAGCTATGAAAGAAGAGATCGAGAAACTACGAGCCGAAAGCGCGGCAGCATCCCAAAGTCTACGCCAATTGGAGGCTGACCACCGTGCCCTGCTTGAGAACCGGGAAAGCGATAAATTGGAACTGGACGCCATGAAACAAAGAGCACCCGCAGACAGTCAAGGGATCCTCACTGGTCCTGTGGATGAAACCACATCTTTGCAATTCAAGGCCGAAGTTGAACTACTCAAGACTGAGATCGTGAGTCTACAAGCGTCCGTACGATTCCTGAAGTTCGAGAACACGCAACTCAGAGTGCCAGTCGATGAAGCTGGCCTGGAAGCCATTGAGCATGGCTGGCTTGATCCAAACCAGCTGAAACCAAAACGAGGCGGAGACAAGACCATGGAGTTGCGCACCGGATCCAAGGACGTTTTAGCTAGTCTAATTCATCTGGCCAAAGCTTCGAAACCTATAAAGTTGGTTGCAAGAACTAGTTCTGATCAGGCTGATACAAGTCGAGCATCTACCTGGCGATCACAATCGACTACGACATTGTACCAAGTTCTCCAGCGGAAAGAGGAATTGGAACGGTGGAATGAAATGAAGGACGATTTGATCAAAAGAGCCAGGATCATAATGCGACCTGCAAAGCCGCAACATAGTGGCCATGGAAAGCTCTGTGGCTTCGAAGAGGGACAGGAGACTTTCTTGCCGTCGAGCGAAGGCGTGCACATTGTGCAGCATTGATATAAAGAAAGCGACAGCTGTTATCAGTTGTGCTCGGTCACGGGCAAGGATTTCCCGGGTATATTTGTTTGAGAGTTGCTCAGGCTGGGGTTACTGGACGAAGGGAGTGCTTGTTTGACAAATCCAATACCTCGAAGGGATCACTTTCTCAAGCTTATTACTTTTCGATTCGAAATTTACTTCACTTCATGTACACTGATACACATAATGAGCTTAGGGTGGACCGATGACAGCAACAGCGTGTCGTCTGTAGGTGTGGTCGTGGAAGATTTGACGTGCAACCACATCCAAACATTTCATATTCTGCCATATTTGTCTTTGGATTTGAATACGTCTTCCAACGAGTGGCTGGTGGGAAAATCCGCCACGATCGAATTGTCAGGCAGTGATTAATACAACATTGACGTGGGAGATGAAATGAAAACTGCACAGCCCTGCTCGGAAGTCTTGTTGATCAGTTTGGCCACCTAAAGGCCAAGGTGAAGCGATCTTACACCGCGCGGTACTCCGTATATATATATGCTGTTCGGAAGCCGAGAAGTTTCCGAGTAATAAAAGTGTTCCGGCTCTATTCCGTACCACGGAGCATGAAGATGCTATACATTGCCTCCCCGGAAGGATTCAGACTCTGACGATGGTACAGGAGATTACGAGGCTGAGTCCACCGACGCTTCCGTAGAGGTTCTATGAGGCCATATTTCGTACTCCGTACCAAATGGTTGAGTGGAAAACAAAAAAGGAATTCTCAGGCGCCTTGCAATATCGTCCAGCCACCACGGCGTGGGCCTGAAAGAAGGATATGCCTTGATCGACAGAGCACGAAGAAGACGTGTGCACGGTACGAGTATTATTGCGCGTATCTACTCCGTACAGGCGTTGTGAATGCAGTGCAAGGGAGTGTGATTATTGTTGCTGCCGTCAGCTCTTACGAGTACCCTCCGTACGGAGTACTTGTGTCTCATTCAAGTAGACGGCGATGGCCGTATGGAGTATTCGCGATCACAATACAATACTCGTATGGACAAGGAATAAGCTTAACCAAGACATGGATACCCCTGAAGGATCGACGTCATGTATCCGCTGATTGAGGCGTTGGTGGAGAGAATGTGTTGTGCAGTAAGGTGTAGTCACCGTACTCGAGGAGAATTTCAACCTCTGCTGGGTGTCTGTGTGCACGGGAGGACCTGGGATAGATGATGATGCTTCGAGATGAAAGGAGATCTCTCTATCTCGTATGGACAGAGGCATGCCATCATGAATCCAATATTCGATCTTGTCCTCCGTCAAGAGACAGAGCCAAGTGTGGCAGTGCTGCTTAGTGTTGGTCAAAGGGGACAAGCTCCCCACCGTCCAACGTATCGCAACCGACAAGTCCCCAGTGTTTTTTGTTGCTCAGCTTCAAGTTTCATCACCACCAGCGTTTTGAACTTCGCATTTTGTCTACGAGCCGACAACATCCTCTGTCCTTGTACTGTGTTTCCTCAACGATATTTAATACCCCGCCACCTTCTTGTCGGACTCTTCTTGGCGATCTGGGCAACTCTCGTATCTAGTTTTGACGGCTCCCCCCCAACCGCATGCGGACGTGAGCACCTGTTAGACAACCACTACCATCTTGCGTGGTATTTCTTTTCCGTTTTTCTCCTTCCTCTTCTCTTCTCTTCCCTCTGTCCTATCCTCGCCGCATCGCTGCCTCTGCTTAGCTTAGGCCCGCTGGCGAATGGGTACGTATAATATCCTTGCCCTCGACCTCGAACCCCACGGCCATACACACTGATTGCACTCTCCGCCTTCAAAAGACCGTCCTTGTCAAACCTTTGCCTGGTCTGCTTGTCCTCTCACCGCGTCACTGTTTTGGCTTGATATCATTGAGACTGACCATTTTGGACGTCGCCATGACGGCGATGTCTGCCAATCCTACAGCTGCTAGCAAGATTCGAAGTACCTTCTTGAGGACACTCACTGGCGAGCGTGACCGACATCGAGAGAACCACTCTTCCATGCCTGCGACCACCGACGATGGCGGCCTGAATGGCCGGGCCGTCGAGCCTGACGAGCGGACGGGTTTGTTGAATAGGTGGACGTCCACAGACTCGGGAACACCATACCACAAACATGAAAACAGGGCCGTCCGATATCCTTTCCTCGTCCTCCATTTGACATGGGAGGTGCTCAAAACAAACTACGTCAATGTTCTCCTGGTTTTCGTCCCCTTGGGTATCATAGCGGGACTGGCAGAATGGTCGCCTGTCCTGCAGTTCGTGCTCAACTTCATCGCCATCATACCCCTGGCCAGTCTGCTCGCTTTTGCGACGGAGGAACTTGCCATCCCGTTGGGTCAAACTATTGGTGGACTGCTGAATGCTACCTTTGGAAATGCCGTCGAGCTCATCGTATGTCGAAATCTCCCCTTTTGCACAACTAGACCAATGAGGTTTGCAAGGTCTAACCGTGAGTTTTACAGGTCAGCATCATCGCATTACAAAAGGGCTACATCCGTATCGTCCAGGCAAGTATGCTGGGCAGCATTTTGTCCAATATTCTGTTGGTTCTGGGATGCTGCTTCTTTGTCGGCGGCCTACGATACAAGGAACAAACATTCAATTCGACCGTGGCATCGACAATGTCGTCGCTCATGACGGTCGCGACAAGTTCGCTGATCATTCCTGCCACACTCTACGCCGTGATGTCGGAAAACAAGTCCCAGGATGACAACATCATGATCCTCTCTCGAGGCACGTCGATCATTTTGCTCTTCATTTACGTCGCGTATCTATACTTCCAACTCAAGTCACATGCCGACATGTTCGACGATACAGAAGCTCAAGAGGGCGATGAGGAAGAAGCTGAGCTGTTGGGTCCGTGGGCGGCTGCCGTGGTTTTGATCTTTGTGACGCTCCTGGTCGCGGTTTGTGCCGAGTACCTTGTCGGCAGCATCGATGCAATTGTCGAAAAGGCCAACATCAGCAGGACCTTCATCGGTTTGATTTTGATCCCCATTGTGGGTAACGCAGCGGAACACGTCACAGCTGTCATTGTCGCATGGAAAAACAAGATGGATCTGGCTATTGGCGTGGCTATCGGTTCAAGTCTCCAGATTGCCATCTTCGTCACTCCATTCCTGGTCGTCTTGGGTTGGATCATGGGTCAGCCGATGACCCTACACTTTGAGACCTTCGAAACTGTGTCGTTCTTCTTGGCCAGTCTTGTCGTGGTTCTTCTGATCCAAGATGGCAAATCCAACTATCTGGAGGGACTGCTGTGTCTGGGCATGTACATCATCATTGCTCTGGCATTCTATGTCCTACCTGATGATGTAGGTAGTGGATTGGGAAATCTTTTCCATGGCTGAAGTGCCTGATTGAAGATCCATGCGTTAGCGGCAGAATAGTTGAGACCAAAGTGTCTGTCAATCGAAGAAACATACCGTTTCTATTTTGTATTACTGATTGGGTTTTGGTAGTGGAAAGGTATGAAAATGATCAAGCAGAAAGATGGGAAAGACAGAAGAATATCACACCAAGGTGAATTGGACTGGAGAGTTCATTGTATGGAATACAAGGCACAACAGGGCTGGATATGATTGCTGTTTGGGGAAAACATCCTTGTCTTTTTTAGTCCAAGATACCCGCGAGGACTCTACAGGAGTTTGTACTGATCGGAAACGAAAGTACGCGCAAGTCAATTTTCTACAGATCGCAGTACTCGTAGTCGTTGATTGTACGGAACAGTCGTGCCTCAACTCTAGAACACGGCTATGTCGATAGCTACAGAAGAGTATATGGCGTAGTGGCGTCAAAACTTCGGTCAAGCATTCGAACTGAGGAGTGTAATACCACGTGACGTATTTCTCGACACTCGTATCTTGCGTCGGTCTTTGAGCTTTACAAGAAATCCATGACTCTCCAATGCGTCTTGTGAAACTCGTTTCAAGACATCACACACAGAGCCCACCATGCCGCCCCGATTACATCTCTTCACCTCCCGGTCGGTGACGTTGAGACCGAAGACCTCGGCGCCGCCCAAATCCTTCGCTCGAGCGGCCCTGCAACGACGGACGGCAAGCGATGATGCGTCGAAGAAACCCGCAACCACCCCAGTCGGCCCCGACACGCAAGGTCCAACGGTGGACCAGTTGCCACACGTAACGGAGGAGCAAGCGGCGTTGGACAAGTCTATGGGAGAAAACCCGCCAGATATCGAGCAGGGAACACCAGTCCAGGAGGTAAGAGAGTATATTCTTCCGAGAGAGCGTATACGGTACCACCGGTTCGAGCGTGCAGCAGCGACTGACCCGGAGAAAATTTATGGTCATAGATCCTGAAAAGAGACAAAGACGCACAAGAAAAGGCCCCAAAGGTTTTGAAGGACGACTTGAAAAGAACCTCGCCGCCCGGTACACGGTCATACTCGACTGCGGTGGAGAGACCGTTGCCGTCACAGCACAACCCGAGGGTCGAGTTTCGCGACATGCAAGTCGTCGGCCTGGATTACCCTGACGCCGGGTTCGGTCATAAATTTGTTTTACCCGACATTCAAGCCATGACGAAGTTGGACAATTTTCGAAAGCGATACGACCCGGTAGTCGACCAAGTCACGAAGAGTATCATGAGGCACGGGAAGTTGAGTAAAGCGCAATCTGTATGTTGTGGCCATCTCTTTTTTCTTTGGATCGTTTGGCACTTTGTCTTTTTTGTGCTCCCTACTGGCGAAACACTGCTAACCGAGTAATTGCCACAGAACATGACCACCATTCTCGACATTTTACGGACTGCTCCTGTCCCCTCTGCCGCCGGGAACGAACAGAGCAGTACCGGCACCGAACGATCCTTGGTGTCTACCGTGCCCCGTGAAGCGCTCCCTCTCGAACCGATAAAGTACCTCACGGCAGCAATCGACTCGGTGGCACCACTCATCAAGATCCGACAACAAAAAGGCATCATGGGTGGTGGCGCGAGTTTGCCCCTTCCCGTACCGTTGGGTCTACGACAGAGGAGACGGACGGCGATACAATGGATCCTCTCGGCCGCGGAGAGCAGAAGAGAACTCACTTTGGCCGAGCGAGTTGCCAAAGAAATCATCAATGTCGCCGAGGGTAGAAGTTCTGCGTGGGAGAAGAGACAGAGAGTACACAGGCTCGCCATCAGTGCAAGGGCCAACATCAGAATTGCCGCTGGTGGGAGAAGAATCAAGAAGAAGGCAGGTTCACGTTAGGCCCGTTTGGATACTGTGGGGGTTTGGTTCTGAGTATGATATTGAGTGATCATGTCATGGTCGTTCAATGGTTATCACCGACTTGACAATCATTGATTTGACGTGCAGGGGGGGGATTTGAAGGTTGCCTTATTATGACAAAAGAACACCAATGGAGCGCGAGAGAGAGACCCATGGAGGACTCTGGCTTGAAAGACCAATATTGTATTATACATGATTACCAAAAATATAAAAATCGAAAACCATGTACTTGCTTGTGATGCGTAAGCACTTCTTCAGCGTTTCGTCAAAGTACATCTACAGTACGTCCCGTGTCACCGGGTTTCTATCCTACTACTCTGTAGGTATGTAGTCATTCTGTTCCCCTTATTACTCACCTCGAATCGGTTTTTTTAGCAGTTCGGCGACTTTGCGCGGCACTCTGGCGAGATGACGCGGATGGTTGTTGATCTTGTGAAATTTGGCCGATTGGGGTTGTTGAAGTCTCGTTTTTGCGGTACCGATGAAATATTGTCATTTTGACTGAGTCGGAAAAGGGGGGGAGGGGGGGTGAAGAAGAAACTACTTTTCTCCTCACCGGAATTTTGTACGTACGTTCAGTACTCAGTATGTTATGACACGAACGACGTCGAGAGGTTTTTGGATCTCATACCGGACTATACAGAGCATTTGTTCTTCCCGCAAACTTTGCGTCACACACACACACACACACACACACACACACACCTCCTCTCCGCCCTTCTGCTGTTTCTCCTCATCTCACTTTTTATTTCCCCAAAAGAAACAGGTGGTTTTACGGAGTTTGACCAAGATGATCGGGATTTCTCCATCCCACTCGAAAAAAAAAGACTTTCCACCACCACCACCTCTTTTGACGAGTATAACCGAGGATAAATGAAGATGTCACATTTCTCTTCGTTTTTTTTTCCCTCTCGGGAGGGGGGGTTTGCGGGTGGGTGGCTCTACCAAGGAGAGAGGAGGCACGTAAAAAGTCGCTTGACATCCGTTCGTCAGAAAGGAGGGGGGGGAAAAAAAGATGATGTGTAGTGTTAAAACAGTCAAAAAAGGTAAAGGATACTTGAGTATGTAAAACTTTGGTGTTGACTACCACCGGTTGATCTATATCAACGGAGCCGCCTTCGTCTGTTGACAAGACTTTTTTGTGACATCTATATATCTACATTCTTGTTTCCACCCCTTCCCCCCCCCTCCCCCCTTTGGAACACACAGCCTCACGCTGGATACTCATCAACTTGGACAACCGATTTGATCAAAAGTGATCAACCCTTGTCGAGACATTACTGTTGCTGTCACCCACCTACCTAGGTGTCGACATCGCCCCCCCTCCCAGAAAAAAGGTCCAAAATGTCAAACACAAAGATCGTTCGTGTCCCACACCTGGGTGGAATCGACGCAGCTTACCAGATGCCTTTTCCCTACGACCCTTCCAAGCCCACATTGGTCTTGGTCAACAGTTTTACCACATCGTCGGAGTTGTACCGACAACAGTACGCCAACAAATCCCTGACCGACAAGATGAACCTCTTGGCCATTGAATTGTTGGGTCACGGTCAAACCAGGACGAGGTCCGAAAATTTCACCTACTGGGACACCGCCATCATGAACCTCCAGGTCATGGAGGCACTCGGTGTACCCAAAGCCTTCGTGTTGGGCACCAGCCAAGGTGGTTGGATCACCGTTCGAATGGCACTCTTGTCACCTGAAAAGGTAAGTACTTACCTGTCACCCTCCCAATCACCCATCTACCTTTTTTTTTCTCCTTTTCTTTTTCTTTCCTTCCACGACACCTTTTTTTTTGTCTCATTTCTCCTCACACTCTCACTCACCCCCCCCCCTTTTCCTGTCGTCTCAGATTTCCGGTATCATACCTCTGGGTACCTCGATGGATTACGAATCGGAACGGACACGGAAATTGGGATGCTGGGACGGTTTCGCCGCCTGCACCGGACCGATCGAGGATTGGACCTCGAACGAACCCACCCCGGATTTCCAACCGGACCGGTCGTACTGCGACTTCTTGATCGACGTGGGCTTCGGGAAGACCTGCCCCGACGAGACCCGGGAATTCTGGAGGAAGACGATCCGGGCAAACTACCGAGGCGACGACGGGAGACGTCGGGCCCGCATGGCCGCCATCAACCTCCGCGAGAGGGACGGACTCCACGGGAGGTTGTTCGACGTCCGTTGCCCCGTCATGTGGTTGCACGGCACCGACGACGCCGTCTACTCGGTGGCCAACGCCGAACAGGAGATCCAAATGTTTGTCAACTCCCCCTCCACCCAGCTGGTCACCGTCCCCGGCGGCGCCCACTTCCTGTCGGCCTCGCACCCCAAGGAGGTGGACGAGGCTCTGATCGAGTTTGTCGGCAAGTACGCTTGAGACGACGACGACGACGACGACGACACCACGTGTCCATCAATTGAAAAGAAAAAAAAGAAAAAAAATGTGCCCGGGGAAAGAAGAGAAGAAAAGTAAGAAGCAAATGTGCCCGGGGGAAAAAACGACAATGACAACGACAAATGACAATCAGCAAACAACAACGACAAGTTTGCTCCATCCTCACAAGTCATTTTTTACCTGTGTAGTCTATTTCAAGTTGAAACTCACCTATCAAACATGTCAAATTCAATTACTGGTGTACACTGACACAACACCATCATACATCCTTGACTAGAAGTAGGCCCATACGACTCGGTACTCTCTCGACTCCATAGTAGGCTAGAGTTCTCCTTTTCAAACATGAACAAAAGGAGGGAAATAGGCATGAAGAATAAGTTTGAGAATTCTTCCATGAATATTTTCATAAATCCCCTTCGTTCCGATATTCCACGTCGATTCACCTCATCAATCTCAATTGCCTGACTCGAATTCCAATGTTCAATCCATACAGTCTTTGTCATTTCCCAACTCCCTTTTCGTCGAATTGCATCAGTCATACTCCTCCAAAGTACAAGTTTCCAAACATCTCTCTCTCTCTCTCTCTCTCTCTCTCCACACATACAAATACGCATATGTACATGCCCATCGAGACATGACGACTCTGAGTCCCCATCGGCACATACCAAATCAGCCAACAAGTATTAAACAACTTCCCATGATTTCGCCCGTATTTCACCAAGTCAACTGGATGATGATCCTGACGATGAAGGTGCTCCAAGATGAAATTGATTCCATCTCTCAACCAACATGTCATAACTTTCTTCCGGAATGGCACCTTCACCAAAGCCGACAACCTCACCGGCAGCAGCGAGACCAACAGCGGGTGAAGAAACACTCCCCTCAAACTGAGCACCGGCATCTTTGAACATCTTTTCAATATTATTCGACGACATTAGTTGAAGTTGACGTATTTTGAGACGTAAAACACGCAACATGCTCTCGGCGGAAACAGACCGGCGGGATAGACTGTGCAATGCAACGGCCAGCTTCACAAATGACGCCTTGCGCTCGGCAGCTTCGAGATCGTTCATGACAACAGATAGGGCCGCGTTGACTGGTTGGAGAAAGCTGATGGGAATGTGATCGACCCCCCAATAGACAGATTGGAGATGGACAAGGTCGGCTACGGCCAGGGCAGAAGTCATATGCTGTGCTCGGACAACAGGGACGAGAAGAGAGACTGTTGCGTCGTCATCTTCATCGTCGGCCTGCAGCGTGAAGATCAGCTCCGACAAGACCAACACCGCCCAGTGGTACTGGGCGTGCACACTCAGGGTATGGGGCGCCCTGACTCCGTTGACTTGCACGCAGTCGGAGAGACTGTCGTACCAAGATATCAAGTCCCGATGGAGTTCCTCGAGTCTATCGAGGGTGTTGGAAGCTGAATTCGCATTGTCATCGACGAAAAGATATTGGCTGATATTGTAACAAATCTCGTACAAAGTGCTCGTGTGATGTAGATGACAGCTGGGATGGGCATGGACAGGAGGTTGATCGCGAGGATACGGTAACCAGACCTCGCCCAACTCACCCTGGCAAAGAGGCGGTTTGTCGGTCGTCGGCGGCCCCATCATGGGTCGCTTTTGAAGAGCAAACGTAGCGGCTGTGGTGGAGACGAATGCGGCCCAACTGGTATATCCCAAAAGCCGCTTAGCACCAGACTCTCTTTCTTTCCCGCGCCTTGTTCGGGGCTTTTGGGACCGACCAGGTTTATCGAATTGTTTCAGATGGTGGATCATTTCCTGCATGATCGAAACGGCGAGCTTGTCCGTACCACGGTTGTCCAAGCTATATCTCGATTAGGGGCCAAACGCTCTGCAAGCGAGGCAGGGAAAGACATCTAAGCTTACAACATCCATTGGACGGCCAGGAACTGTATGGACGGTAACGACCTCTTCTGAGTGGACGCCTCTGCATGTCTCTTGGCTTCCTCGTAAAACAGATCCTGCAAGGGCTTCTCGATCGACGGGGTGGAATTGTCCTCGTCGGGAACGTCGTAGTCGAACTGGGATGTTCTTCGTCAGTGATCACGTGCACATGATTGGGTTTGCCACTCACGCAAGCATCTGCCAGGATCATGTTCACCAACGTCGCAGTACACACACCACCATTCTCTTCACCAGACTGCATGGCCGCGATGAATATGTCACGATCGATGAAGGGATAACACCAGTGGCGCCACGTGAACCAGAGTGATACGAGATGCGACACGAGCCAGTCGTCGTCCGTCACCGCGGTCCAGGGTTTGGCTGGTACCTTGAACATGGGTGTACTCAGCCCCAATGTGGTTCTTGAGAAGCGGCTCGCTGAAGACTGTGGCGATTGTTGGCGGGTGGAAGACTTGCTGCGAGACTCATCCTCGTCGACGTGAGGAAAGTTGGTCGCAAGATAGTTGGACACCTCCTCATTCGACGTAGTTGTCCTGATCATGCCAATGAGGTCTTCCACCTGACCACTGTCACCAGTCCGAATTGCCTCCATCAAGTCGGGGAGCAGTCTCTGGTGAGACTCCAATTCTTCGACCTTTCGCTTCCATGCCATTTTCCTGCGGCCATCTTCTGCCACCTCGCGTATACAGTCCGTCCTTTTCGCTACACATGCCGTACAGGGAGTATTGTCATCACACTATTGACAACCATGAATTCGTAAGCTTTGTTTTCCTTCGAGACGTTGACATTGGCTGGGAAATAATTGGTCGCGTAAGAGGGCTTATTGGGAGTGGGTGACACAGCCCGACGGGAAGCCCAGGCGCCAGAGGAAAGAGCAGGGCGGCCTGCTTATACGTATAAGCTACAGATGGGGCTCCCAGTCAGACTGTGTCGTGTACGTGTACTGCTCAAGAAATCATGGGAGCAAGATCAAAAGGTACGTACCTTTGTGCGTCGTTTCCGACAGGCTCTGCAGGCTGTTGTAATGTTCCGTCGCTGTTTGGAGGGTGATGGAAGCATGCTCGGGCTGGGGATTACAGCGGGGTACATGGGAGCCGCTGGTGCTAAAGGCCGGGGGTGTTTTTGCGACATTTTTGCGGATAAAGATCGAGGGTTGGCTTGGGGCTTGGTTTTTGAGAGATCACCTACGCGGTCAGTCCCTCGAGTTGTTGGAAGGCACATTCAAGGACTAGTCGAGAACTAAGTTTTCGTTCCGATGTACACGATACAGCCATTTGGTTCCAGTAGGTTGCGGTTGAAATCTGATATTGACCTTTTGTGCCAATAGAGACATTTGAGAGCCGGAAGAAATAAAGATAAAAACCTACGTGAGAAGAGATCGTTCGAGGGTAGCAGGACAGCCAACCAGACAATGGAAATCCTTTCCAGTCCTTCGATCACATTCAAATGTTTTTTGGTCAAGAATGTGGCTGATAGAAAGATCCAACCATATGGGGCGGGCCGGGCGCAGTGGATCAGAAGCTGGATAAAGAAACCCAGGTCGCATTTGCAGTTCCTTCAAATGGAGCGAGCGCTGGATGTATGTTTGGCCTTTGTCGCGGGGCGGATTTTGATATTGCACTTTGGCGTGCTGCCGGGACAGACTGTGGGCAGAGTTTAGGAGCGGTTGAGGGAGATTCCAGAAAGGGAAAAGGAGGTTTCCACGGACGCTGATTCGCAGCGTGGAATCTGACCTTGCCTTTTTGACACGAAAAGTGGAATAAAGATAATGTGGCAGCTTCTGGGCGGTTCGACCTGGGTTCAGATGTATCCCGGGGGGGAGGAGAAAAGATGAGGTGAAAGAAAGGTGAGCGCCGTACCGAGTTTGAATCAATCGAAGGACATTCGAGGATGCGAATGAAGAAAAAACCACGTTACCTTTCAATCGACTCTGCGGTATTCTCTCGATTCTCATATGAGTCCAAGCCATGCCAGTTGCGGTCCAGCGGAAAATAATTCCGTCAGAGTCTCGTGCTGTAATTGGACACCTCGGCAAGAATCTCAGCCAACTGGGAATTTAATCCGGTACTGTAGGTAATAAGATAACCGGTACTGGTATGTAACACTCCAGTCAATGTCCATACCTAGGTAGGTATTCTAGAGACATGGAGCGGCCAAGATTGCGACCAGCGAAATTGACAGCGAGATGGTTCTCCGAGTGGATAACTCTCGTAGCTGCTGCGGCGTCGCTGTGTAGATTAATTAGGTAGGACATTGTATTACAGCAGGCTGCTCGAAACGCTCTATGAAGCCACACCTCGACAGCCGTAGCAATGCCCGGACGATCGAAAGAGGGAAGGGAAAAGGAAAAGTAGAAAAGAGATGATCTGGACAAAGAAGAGAAGAATGATGATAAGCCATCCTGGGTACGTCGGATATGCCTAGTATTCGAAGCGAGGGCATATCTCGCAAGAGCGCGCTTACTCTATAAAGTTAAGACTGCGTGGATATCCAAATCCGTGTCTGGTCTGAAAGGCTTCGTGAAGCAGATGGTACTACTTGAACTTTCTTCCACTTTCATGAAGGCATAGCCAGGCCAGCCATTCCACGCACTATGTACGGGTGGCTGAGTTGAGTTCGTGATTGGCCTTGAGTACGGTCCGATACCGAATTGTCCAGCAGACAGGCATTCCCATCCCCCAGTTTCGTAGCCCCGAACACAACTGAACAATACCAGAGCATGTGAGCAACCCTCAACGAGTCTGCTATACTGTTTGTTCACCGGCGACTCATGTTCTCGCAAGCGCTTTGACTCAGATGACAAGATCGTGACATCCATGATTAATCAGACTGTGCTCGCCGTTGAATGCCCTTGTCGTGATGCAGGCCGTAGCCAGGTCGATATTTGGGCCACAAAAATCCCGGACGCTCCTCCCTGATCGTGTCTGATATACTGCAATCCAGCGATGCGTATGTGGTGATGGGGGAAATAACTCCATGGCGCCAGGCTACGACACAGGATGGCTGAATAGATAGCTGACGCTCTCGCCGTTATGAGTACGTCGAATCGCCTCGGCCAGAACCGGAGCAATGTCGATGAACTCAAGTCTGCAACCTTTTTGTCCATCTTCAACCTTGAGTGCCTCGACCTTTTCCTCGGGGACGGGAACGGTATTCGTGATCACAAGTCTTGACAATTTAGAGTTTTGAAGAATCTCGACCGCTTTGCCAGATAGGATTCCGTGAGTAACCAGGGCGACCACATCCTTTGCACCGTGCTTGATCAGAGTGTCTGCAGCTTTGGCAAGAGTGCCACAAGTATCGGCCATATCATCGACCAGGATTGCGATCTTGCCGCTGACGTTGCCCACGAGCGTCATGCGACTTACCTCGTTCGGGCGAGATCTTTCCTTGTGTATCAAAGCGAAGGGAAGATCGAGCTTGTCTGCGATCGAAGTTGCCCTCTTCGCACCACCAGCATCAGGACTGACTATAACACAATCCTCCTTTGCGCCATTGATCTCGGCATTGTCTTCCGTCGCATGCATGAGGTTTTCCCTCACCCACTTGGTAGAGTTGGGCTCGGCGTAGAGATTGTCCACGGGGACATTGAAAAAGCCTTGTATTTGGGACGCATGTAAATCCATTGTGATGATGTGGTTGCAACCCGCGGTCTGTAACATGTTCGCCATCAACTTTGCGGTAATCGGGGCTCGCGACTTGTCTTTCTTGTCTTGCCGAGCATAAGGAAAATTGGGTAGGATCGCAGTGACCCGTCGCGCGGAAGCAGTCTTGCAGGCATTACAAATGATGAGGAGCTCCATCAAGCCATCGTTGATATCGTTAGGTCGCGTCGATTGAAGGATGAATACTGCATGGCACAAAGCATTAGAGACATCCATACCAAGAAATGCGGTAGAACTCGATCGAGGCCTGGCTGTGGACGTGGAGGGGGAGTGGCATGTACCGTCTTCATCTCGCACTGATTCACCGATCGTCACGCTAGTCTCCTGGTTCGAGTATTGCAAGACCATGATCTTGGTGAGCTCGATACCTAGCCTGGTAGCCAACTGAAGTCAGGGAATCTATCGGCAAACCTGGGAGAGATCCGGAAGAGAAAAAAGGAGGGCATACCGTTGGGCAACCGCCTTTGCTAGCTCGGGATGACTGTTGCCAGTCAACAACTTGATAGAATTGGACGCCATAGCTGAGGAGCCGAGGGAAGAAGTCGTTATCGAAGAAGGTCTGCCATGAGAAAGAAAGGATAGAAAATCGTTGCCGGTCATAAAGCCTGTAGATCCAAAAAATTGGTTATGACGGATCATGGGCCCCGCGCGGACCCAAGGCACCAAATGCTTTGCCTCGCGAGGGCAGCAAATTTTTGTGGAGCTTTTCACTGGCTACAATCCTACTACACCGGCGCTGACCAGTCTCGGATTCGAGTCTTGGCTGAATGGCCAAAGATGAGAGTCAAGAAATGGACGAGATGATTACCTAGTTGAGGTTGGCGGCAACGATGATATACAGAAATACTGAAAGAAAGGCTGAAGTCAGCCCAATTCAGCAACATGGTATGATATTTGTCTTGCTATCCCTGCTGGCAACCCTGCAAGGCGCACAACGCCGAGTGTTTGCTTGGTGCTATCGAATGGCGTTGTGACACAGTTGCATGTGATGCAAATTCCTGCAGTTATCCAGTCTCAACGCTACGTACACCATGTACGTTGTTGGATAAGTGGTTCCATTCTGCACGATCCCTTATCCACTCATTCTCGCGACTGTATCAATTGCTCCCTGACTTGTCTTGCGTCTAGGTCACTTTTGATTTCATCTTCATGGCATTACATGTCGCGATCGCGTCGGAAAACCCGTCCATTCGAATTACTTTCTCATTGAGGAGGCACGACGCTTTCGGAGCTCGGTTCTCTTCTCACGTTCCTCGTGCACGCGCTTGGCCAAGAGCTGAGCGTACTCATTGGCAGCATCCTTGGATGCCTCGGCGCGTCTTCTCTTCAGGGCAATTCGGTGTCTCTTGTGTTGCATACGCTGGGGAGTGACGAGTCTCTGGATCTTAGGGGCCTTGGTGTAGGGCTTAGCACCCTCCTTCTTGGGGACGACCTCTCGGCGGATAACGAATTTGCTAGAGAATGTTAGAAGATTGTCCAAGAGAGTGCCTAGAGGTGTCTACATACCGGACATCGTCTTGCTTGGTCAAACCAAAGAATCGTCGGATCTTGGTGGCGCGCTTGGGACCCAGTCGCTTGGGGTTGACAACATCGGTCAGACCAGGGATATCGCCCTCGCCTTGCTTGACGATGGACAAAGCCAGAACAGACAGATCTTGAGCAACAATGCAGCCACGGACTGACTTGCGCTTGCGTTCACCAGTTCGGCGAGGTCGGTAGCAGGAGTGGCCTTCGGACAGGAGAAGTTGGACACGGGTAGGAAGCATCTAGAGTAGACAAGTCTCAGCAAAATGTTTTTCAAGGTCGTTTTGCTGGCGCTTTCAGCCACAGGGAGGTGTAGGTAGAGTACGTACCACACCCTGCTTCATGGGAAAGCCTTGCTTGTCATTGCCGCCAGTGATGCGGACAATCTAAACACAAAACCATCAGTATTGACATGCTTATCCTTTTGAATCAACAAAGGGAGCCATACGTATCCCTTCCACTCATCACCAAGGCTATCGGCTGGGACTTCGTTGCCCATGCGCTTGTCCATGAAGACACGGAGCTTGCGCTCATCTTCGACCTCAATGAGCTTCTGCGAGCCATTGGCCGGGTAGGAAACGTTCAACTTCATCTTGTCTGTCGGTGCTGAGAAAGGCTGTCAAGACTGTCGTAGAGTCTCAACAGAGTATCAGCGATTGAAAGTTGTCGAAAGATAAGTTGTTCGGAGTGGTAATGACTTGCGCAGGCACACAAAGGCTTCAGAAAATTGAAAGTGCGGACCGTCGCCAAGACTGTCAAGCACTAGACCTAATAGGTACTAGCGCGTTAGCCTCGCACCCAAAAGCTCGACTACATCCCTGTACAGTACTCTGTACGGATACGAGGACGCCGATTTCCTATCCCAAACCGGTTGCCCAACATCGATTGAGATTTGTGATGCACCTCAATTAAGATTTTCTCTGATATCTAAAAGCAACACGACTATCTAGCAGCACCATTAGCGTTTTCCAGTGCCAAATACTTCTGCTCCGCCGCCTCGAGTGTTCTAATGTTGGCCCGCGACTTGTTCATGGTTTCTACCCACTCGTCTTCCTCAACGCTGTCAAACACAATCCCACCTCCTGCCTGTAGATAAGCCACCCCGTCTTTAACAACCATTGTGCGCAAGGCGATACACGTATCCATAGCGCCCTCATCCTCGATCTTGGACCCATCGGTTGCAGTCCTGGAAAACCCAAAATAGCCCACCGCACCGGCGTAGACTCCTCTTTTTTCACCCTCGAGCTCGGCGATAAGCTCCATAGCCTTGACCTTTGGCGCCCCAGACACGGTGCCGGCAGGAAAAATGCTTCGAAATGCTGTGAATCTATTCTCCCCAGGCCGCAAAATGCCCGACACCTGACTAACCAAATGCTGAACGTGGCTGAAGCGTTCTACCGTCATCAATCGGTCAACCCGTGTAGACAAAGGATCGCATACACGATTGACGTCGTTTCTTGCCAGATCAACCAACATGACGTGCTCGGCTCGATCCTTGAGGCTGTTACGGAGCTCTTCGGCCAGAAGATCGTCCTCCTCTGGATCCTGACCTCTCTTCACTGTGCCAGCAATCGGGTGTGTGATGATTCGGCCTGCTTCTTCTTTGACCAACAACTCCGGTGACGCACCGACGATGCTGAAATCCTCGCAATCGATGTAAAATAGATATGGGGAAGGATTGACTGTTCGGAGATGTCGGTAAATATTGAAAGGATGCAATGTGGTCGGTCGAGCAATTCTGTGCGAGGGAACAGCTTGAATGATGTCTCCCTTACAAATGTGTTTCTTCAGACGGGTGACATGCGCTTCGTATCCGTCTTTACCAAAATTCGACTTCGAGGGCTGATTCTCTGCAATTGGGGGTTGGTAAGGAAGAGGTATGTGTTCGGCCTGCAGTTTCGCAACCGTGTTGCGCAAAATCTTGGAGGCCTTGTCATAAGCGCTGGCTAAGTCTTCGGGTGACCCCGAGGGTGGTACACGGAGGTATGTGATAACTTTACAGACGTTGAAGAAGTGGTCGAATGCGACAATGGTGTCGTACAGCATGAAGAAGCTCTCGGGGAGTTTCAGAACATCCTTCATAGGTCGCGCAGTCTTGGGCTCAAAGTAACGAACACAGTCATAGCCGACATATCCAATAACACCTCCTGTCATCGCAGGCAGGCGTAGAGAGGGCACACTTGCTACCCGGTATTGTGCCAGTTCCTTCTCGAGGCGGGGTAGGGGGTCCTCCTCTGGACCATGTCCGGGACCGCTCTTCAGGACTTTCAACGGGTTCGCTCCTACGAAACTGTATCGTCCTATGGTTCCTGTCGTTGCAGCACTTTCGTAGAGAAAGGAAAGGTTTGAGCCATTGGCTACTTTGAGATAGGCTTGAGTCGGCGTGAAGAGGTCGGCGGGTATCTGAGCGCAGAGAGGAACTAGATTGGGCGGATATTGTGATCCTTTTGATTTCGAGAGTATTGAGGACACCTCGTCCGACGAGGGTTGGATTTGCACCTGTGAAGGGTCAGGCAATGACATAGTCATGGGGTGAAATGGGAACATATGAATACCATTTTGGTGGAAGAGACAGCAGGGTAAGCGAAGGGTCTGGCGGCTCAATATATGCCACAGAGATTGGAGTTCACCGTATGGCCATTGAGACCGGTTCGAGGACCGAGGGCGAGCACGAGTAATGGTAAGCAGGTCAACCTGCGTAAGCCCGACGAGATGTATCCGTATTTTGAGTCATTGAATTGTAAGGCTCGCCAGGGCCTTAGAATGCATTGCCAGCCTTGCTCCAACACGATTTTCTCCGCTTTCGATAGTCACTCACGTGATCAAAGTGGTGATGCCAGCCACATGTTTAAACTGCGTTCAATCAATCCGGATACTAACCTCCAAGGCAACTGCCTTTCCAGGTTTCGATGTCCTATTCACTCTTCACTTGCTGTCACTGACCACATGGCCTCATAACAGGTTGTAGCATATGGACTGATTATTCATTCATTTACATACTGTTAAATTTGTCTGTCGATGGATCGCACCACACCCACCACTCCAAGTCGTCCCAGTTCGGCGTGGACTAGTAATTCACTCTTCGCCGATTCTGCTATCAGCGTTGGGGCGAACACTCCTGGTCAACCCGATAAACCCCCTCCATTCGCAAAGCTGTCTGAAACTCCTCCTCTTCCCGACCTTGCGACGCGTCTCAATGGTCTTGTATCGGAAATATGGGCCAATGAACAGGATGGTGAGATCCGCGGTGAAAAAAGGAGAAAACTTGAGCAAGCAATGCGTGATATCGAGGTCGTGCTGGAGGATGATCTGTCGGAAGGAAGAGGATCGGAGACGACTACACCGCAACCCGCGGTGCCAATAGAAGAAGATCATCAGACTGCTTCGGACCAAGACCTTGAGGCCGTTCGATTGAGGCTGGCAGCTACCGTCGAAGCCATGCGTATGCGCCACCAAGAGCAAAGGCATCTACATCAACTCACTGTCCAAAAGCTGGAAGCGGTTGCGCAGCGATGCTCAAGCCAGGACAGGCAACTGCGAGAATATGCCGAGAATATGACCATGCTGCAGCATGAAAATCACCTTTTGAGGCAACAAAATGACCGCATGCATTCAGAGCTCAACCAAGCTCACACAGAATCGGCGAAAAAAGATGTCGCTGTCAATGCCATGTCAAGCGCGGTCTCCGGTTTGGAAGGATGGATTAATACTTCACCGACCCCCAGTCGCAGTGTGCGACAGGTCGTAACACGAGGTCGTGGCAGGTTCCGTGGTCGATATTACGCGGGTGAACCCTCTGAAGCCTCACCGAGACATGGTCAAGATGGTGCGCCAGATGCAAAGGCTTTACACGAGGGTGTAACTGCCTGGCTTCGAGGATTTCGAGATGTCGAGGAGGAGCTGCAAGCGTTGAAGTACTCAAAGCCTTCACCGCGGAAGGCGCGGAAGAGCAATTCCGACTTTAGTGATGACGAATGGGGTGATTTTGAGCGTGCGCCTGCCTCATGATTAATGAATGCAAATCCGACCCAGACGGACATGCGTACTGGTTGACTGCCTCCAAATGTTATCTTTAATCCGTTGGAGACCTAACTCCAGCTTTTGTGGTTCGTGATATGTGATATGCGCGTTAGGGCCTAGGTTAATCGCCAAAGTGTTGCGGCGGGATGCAGGGTCTTCACATGAAATCTGAGAAGATCGCTGTGCGGTTCGAGAGGTCAACGTTGGAAGTTGATCACGGCAACCTAAAAATGTTAGATTGGAGAAACAAGAATACCAGATCAAGGCTCACCTGAACACCTAGTCCAAATGCTAGCTTTTTGCTGTCAACGTCCCAGCTCAACGAATGGTCAGTGTTGGCCTGAATCGTATCGCCATTAACACTCGAAGCACCACCAACGCTGACCATGTCGTCGTCTCTAAGTCGTGCGCCGTTCCATGCTTCTGCCTCTCCTTTCCACGTTGCCATGTGATTGTAGGCGTGTTCAGCGTTCCAAATGCGAATAGTATCATAGCTCGCGCCGCTTAGACAGAAGCCATCCGGAGAATAGGACAATGCCATGACAGGCGAAGCATAGCCTATTACGAGTTTGCAGATGGACATAATCGAGTTGCTTTCTTGATCCCAGCGCCACACCTTGACGGTGCCATCCATGGATGAGGTGGCAAAGTCTTGTTTCAAGGCGGGACTGGTACTGGCCAGTCGAGGTCGAAGCTCTAAACCCGTAATTGCTGCTTCATGGGCTCCTTTCTTGACCAAACCCTGGACCGGCAGCCATATGGAACCTGTCTCGGCAGAGGCAGCGACCAGCGTCGCTACTGAAGACTCGTGCCAGGCGCATCTGATAAATGTCCATGACTCGTCCTCAGTTGCATCTGAGGTCCATTTTTTCTCCAGCACGAGGTCAGAAAATGCGTAACAGAAGTACACTGCGCGTTGACCAGTTGCACATACGACGCCATTTCCGTTGAACAATGCGCAGTCCATATCGACGAGTACTTCTGGTACTGATACCGACAAGGGGCCAGTAAAGTTAGGAGACCGGGATAGGTCCCAAAGTAGGATTGATGAGCCAGCGTGTTGGGGGGAGTCCGAAGACTCTGATTCGTATGGTGCGACTCCCAAGAGACGTAAACCCTGGCCTTGCCACCGCAACGAGGTTATGGCCCGTTGTGAGGCTGGTAAGGTCTCCATCAGAGCAAGCTCCTGTCCGTCAAACAGGTGTATTTGGCCAGCTTGATTGCTGTAGGTTGCGATCGCGAGCATCTCTCCGTTTGGCTCCCATGCAACGGCGCTGACAATGGTAGATTCAGATGATTCCATGAGCTCCTGGAAGGGAGGTTGTTGCTTGGACCCAAGAAGATGATTGCCCAAGTTCCAGACGCCACAAAAGTCATCCCCAATAGCGGTCACAACATTGCTATCTGCGGCCCGCCAAGCCACCCTTGTCAGGTGTTTCGTAGCCGCCGTGGATACACTTTCCTGTGTTGACAGGTAGGTGGTTAAAGGTGTCAGATTTGCTACCTTTGCAGGCGCGACCTGGACTCCTATGCTCGCTCCGTTGGTCAGGGTATGTATGAGTGGCGCTACAGGTTGGGGGTTGGCGTCGTGGTGTTGATGGTCCGCATTCAATGAGTCCTCGTCAATATCCATTCGATCGCCGTTTGGCAGTGTGCCATTCTCGTCGGCTCCCCCCTCAGTAGCGGTCGGCGACCTCGCATCTGCAATTGAGGCCGGATGACCATTCGCCATCTCAGCATCTAGCCCAGCATGATTAGCAGTGCCGGACGGTTTGCGCGCAACGCTTCCATTGCGCTCTGAGCCTGCTGCTGTCTTTCGACCTCGCTTTGGTGCTGCAGGAGCTACATTGTCAGGAAAGCCGTTGGGAACGCTTTCTCGCCCTCCCCTTCGAGCGGTACTACTCGATGGGGCGGGCGACGGGGCTGGTATCGACTCTTCACGTAGCTCTGGGGGTGGTTCGTTGCTTTCTGGGCCAAAGAAAAACATGGCCGGGTTGAGTTGTTTCGAAGGTCGGCCATTCTGAACTGGGATTAGCGCCCAACACCTGCATGGGCCGAGTCATGGGTGGGAATACCTCATCAATGGTTAATGATAGGTGGTGGTACCGAAGTCCCTTTTGGACCAAATGGACCAGCGCATGGCCTTTGATGTTCTTTGCGAACGAAAGGTTTTCTGCGTCGACTTTCCAGTCGCGCTGTAATTTAACAGCGGCGTCGGCATAGCCTAGACAGATGTGTCAGAGAAGGGAGAAAATGTGGACCAGGGCCGCGCGGGAGCCTACCCGATTCTTGAAGGTACCTGCAAAATCTGGTCAGCGCCTCAAACTACAAGTAAGATGGGTTGCGCACCTCCATATGAGATAGTTTAGCTGATCGGAATTCAATGGGGGGGGCTTTGCGTTGAAAGTCGAGGCGCTGTCGGTCTCCATGCCGACATGCCGCGTAGGGATACAACTCCAGAAGGGTTTGTTCGCGCAGTAATTGATCGACGAGACAGAACTCCGAGGTACAACGTGTCCCAGGAATCGGAGAGGACCTTATCACGAGTTGAAGAAGTGACCAAGTAGGTTGGCCGTGCGAGATGATAAAGACGAAATTCCTCCTGGTCGACAGCACGCGCAAGACTGAATATTGGATCCGGATGGTAAAAGCTGGGGTCTCGACTTGCGCGCGAGCTGTATGATGGACCAAACACGGAGGGTTATCTGAATTGATGAATGTAGAGATCTTCGATAGGCTTGCGATGCGACAGCGGCGAAACGATTAATCGAGAGCAAACCTCCAGTTGGTAATTTCTTGGGATTAAAAACAATGATAATCTGAGAACAAATTCGATTAGGGTGGTGACATGTTAAGAAGAGGGAATGCCCGGATGGGATCGATAGCGCAACATTTCCAGGGTGGAGGCGTGGTGTGCCAAAACAGCCAAGCCCAGCGTGGATTCACAGTACTCGGTAGTACCCTGTAGGTGCTGTACAGCAAGTCATAGAGCGCATCAGTCGCAATTTAGGTACTGGTAAGTCTTTAGAGTCTAGTGTCCCCAAAGGGTTCGACGCAGGGTTTCAGGATTTTCGTAGGCGACAAATTTAGGGCTACTCGGCTTGAGACTAAGCCCTCTTTAGCTACTGCTCTAGGCTCACTAGGCTCTTCCCATACCTAAAAGCTTCCATCCTACGGAGTACGAGGACCCCGTACAAGTGTCCCTTACCCAGGTAATTATTACTCGTACACAAGTACTGTTTCGATCAACAGAACATCAGGGCACACTATGATACTCATCTCGTCATGTCTGTTGTTCGCTGAGCGTATCAAGAAGTCCTAAAAGTCAAGTCCCTCTCAGTGGCAGTCTTTTGTGGCGCAGGTGGATGACAACAGATTGTACCCTGTACAACTACGGCAGACTTTGTTCCCTGCAATTGGCTGCGCTACGTACCTCCGTATGGTGGTCACAATATACGGAGTAGCATCTCCGAGTCTTCTGCGTTGTGCAAGCGAAAGAAATAAACACGACATCTCATCGCTCATCTGCACAAGAAATTTCAATTGTTATTACTTGTTTGTTCAAACACCTGCATCATCTCGGGCTATGCTTATCTGTGACTTGTCCATGAAATGGCCTTCAGAGTCAATCTTCCACCCGTCACTCGCGCCCTCCTCGCGGCCACCATTGCATTGAGCCTTCTCTACAATATCGCACGATGGCGGTTACTACAGGCGGACCTTGATCCCACCACTGGAAACGAAGAGCCTGCACCGCGACGTGTTGTTCCCTATCTGGCCCTTGTACCGGCGCAATGCATCTGGTACCCTTGGACGTTTCTTAGCGCGACACTCGTCGAACAGAACATCTTCACGTTGCTTTTACAAGGCGGCACCTTGTTCTTTGGAGGGAAATACTTGGAAAGAGCCTGGGGCACAAAGGGTTTCATATATGTCGTCCTGATCGCGTCAGCCATACCATACATCCTTGCAGCTCCTACCTACATCCTGTGGGCTGCCATTACAGGTAGCCCCGACAGAGCCCTCACACCTCTCAACGGCGGCATCACCTTGCAAGCTGCCTTTCTCGTCGCATTCAAGCAGTTAGTGCCGGAGCACACTGTGAGCATTTATAAAGGCATGATTAAAATGAGGGTGAAGCACTTCCCAGCCGTATTCCTGGCCGTCAATACACTCTCAGGTCTCATCCTCGGGACCGATACTGCGCTAATTCTCGCCTGGTATGGACTGATCACGACTTGGACATACCTGCGCTTTTATAAACGGCAGCCCGATCTATCATCAACAAGCCCAGATGGTGGCGGTCTAAGAGGGGACGCTAGCGAGACATTCGCATTTGCGACCTTCTTTCCCGACGTCATGCAAGCTCCTATTGCGGCATTTTGCAACCAGATATTTGTCCTCCTCTGCAATCTCAAGATATGTATACCATTCTCCGACGAAGACATCGCGACGGGAAATGAGCATGCAGCTGCGAGAGGTGAGGCTGGTCTACCCAGCTTCAGCAGACAAGCGCGTGGGGCACGTGGGATGAGCAAACGAGAAGAAGCAGAGCGAAGACGGGCATTGGCACTGAAGGCGCTGGATGAGAGGCTGAATGCGGCCAGCAGTCGAGCTGGGCCTCAACAGACTACCACGGGCACTCCAAGTGTAGCTCAAGGGCCAGAGTTGCTGGGACAGACTGACTACCAACCTGATGCTTGATTTGTTTCTGGTCAAGTTGGACTTGACGAGAATTGTCGCAGTACTTGTCGTCCCTAATAGATTGAAGAATTGTCGACCTTGGACGTTCTCATGTGCACCATGCTGATATCCTGACCACTTTCGGCCGTGCGAGCTCGATTCTGGCGAGAAAACTTCCCTCTCTGCAGGCTCGGCGAGGTCCGTCGCTCTAGGTCGATAATGGTATCCTAGATAGCTTTTAGCTGGTATGGAGAACCCACAATTAATGATGCCTTCGATCACAAGTGTCCAGCCTTCTCATCCACTCATCTTGTGTCTTTTCGCTATCTCGCTTTTTCCTCCAATCACTTCGGCACGACTCGCGCAGGTACAGGTGTGACTTCATCTTCCACTGCTACCTTGTTACCCTCTTTTGCAAGCTATATCACAAGTTGTTTTCTTACATACTACTTGTGCTTATCCGCGGCCGGACTATCAATGCCGTTCCAGGCAGGTGCATGATGCCAGGCATCCGACTCGCTCTGCAAACTCGTCAAGGTCCCTCCCCACACTGGCTCATGGTTCGATCTCATTTTCTGTGGGTTTCTGGGCTTCTCCTCTGTAGACGAGGCTCGAAAAACGTGTTTTCTGTCCCCGGAACGCTCAGTGAATGGATCTGCAGGACCTCCAGAAGCTGCTAGGTAAGCGACAGCTACCTCCAAGTGTATATATATAGCTATTCGTCATGCTCGTAACATCTTCTCTTTTTCTCTCGCATCTTGGGCTGCCGTTAGGGTAAAGGGTCCTTTGCTTGTTTCATCTCGATAAACACATCGTCGTCGTCATGGCTTTCAATCGCGCGGCTATGGCTGCTTCCCTACTATCACTGACCTCCTTCGCTCACGCCTCTCTCTACAACGAATCCAAAGTCAACCACACTTGTGTGCTAGGTAAGAAAATATCCAAGATATCCTGTCTTTATAGTTTATGGCGTCCAGAAATCTAGTCTTCTCTGTCCGCTATCTTTTGTTTCGTCTGTTCTAACACAAGCTGTCTGTCCGCTCTTGCTTCAGAACCATCCATACTTTCATGTTCTTCGGGCGCCGCCAATCCGTTGACCGTCGACACATGCTGTACCGAGACGTACGGAGGCCTCCTTTTGTCCACCCAGTTCTGGTCCACGTACACCGGGCTCGAGGAACAAGGCCAACTCCTGCCCGCAAAGACGTGGACCCTCCACGGCCTCTGGCCCGACTTTTGCAACGGCAGCTACACCCAGTACTGCGACCTGAGCCGACAGTACGACCCGACCCCTTCCCCCAACACGACCAACGGTTTGCCCAACGGCACCGCCGTGCCCGCGTACAAGGGGCCCAACATCGGCACGTTCCTCGAGCCTTTTGGCAAAATGGATCTGCTCGCGTGGATGAACACGTACTGGATCAACCAGGGGGCGCCCAACTCGGACTTCTGGGGCCACGAATTCTCCAAGCACGCCACTTGCTACTCGACCTTTGACGTCCCCTGCTACGGGCCCGAGTACAAACAGCACGAGGAGGTGGTCGATTTCTTCGAGACCGCCATCAAGTTCTACAGACGTCTCCCGACGTACGACTGGCTGGCCGAGGCGGAGATCACCCCCAGCAACAAGACCCAATACACGCTGACGGGAATCCAAAACCAACTGGCCAAAAAGTACGGCGCCACCCCTTACGTCGGCTGCAGCGGCCCGCGGTACAACACCACCGAGGCCGGCAAGGGCAGCACCGACGGCGGGAGGACCGTGGTCAGTGAGGTGTGGTACTACAGCCACGTCGTCGGACGTCCACAGGACGGGAACTCCATCCCCGTCAACGCCACGACGCCGAACTCCAGTTGCGCCAAGGCGAAGGATGCCTTGTGGTATTACGAGGTGACTCCTGGTTCGGTCAGGCCGTCGTCCGGGTCGAAGTAGGTATACTGCCTTTGCGTGACTGACAGAGCGAGTTTCATCGACTTGCTACATTAGTACGACGGGTCATCATTTAATGAATCAATTGTACATACACACCACAGACACGAAAGAAGAACAAAGTCAGAAACAATGATCAAGGTCACGCAGTATAACACCCAAATCTACATATTTAACAGTAAATAGAATTAATCTACACCAGCACATGAACCTGGATCCCAAAACTCCTTTCCACGTTGATCGATGTATCATGAAATCTCGACGTGTTCATCCCTGGGTGTCCTTGAAATCCGAATGATTTTAAAAACAAAGTCAACGAGGCCAATTCATACACATAAACATAAACACATGCATCGTCTCTCCAGCGGCTCCCCACCACCTGGGTCGACAGGGCCTACTCACTTAGGTATCTGCCTTATACTTCTTTCCATAACAGCGTCACAAGCGAACGCTCTGTGTCAGGTTTGCAGTGGCCTCCGAGCTCGAATTCGCGGCAGTACTCTAGATATAGACCTCCGCAAAACGAAGGTAGATTTAATACATCCAGGGAACCGCCACGATGTCGAAGTCGGAGGCCACAGCAACCATGACCCACCAAGTCCCTTGAGAACGACCACACTGTGGGATGCAGAAGTGGCGAGAAACCGAAGATTAGGTAACGTATCTCAACTTTCGGATAAAGAAGAGTTAGTCGCAAGGGTCAGATATAAAAGATGGCCACATCGTCTGATGTCTCGTTCTGGCGAGCACACGAGTCCTGCCAGCTGACCACATGTAATCGCCAATGACTTCACTTGGTGTGAAAGCTTCTGCTCAACCACCTAATGACTGCGTTTCATTCAGAGTTGCTCCCCAGGGGCGAATCAGGTGTGACTGTGGATAACACATGAGAAACTTGGCCACTTGCATCGACGGCTGTGTCTGTTGCGATTGTCTTTGCGTACGAAGAGCTTTCCACAACCATGATGTAGGCATCTGTAGCAGTCTTCGTCTTTTGGTTTTTGGTGCGTAAGTCTGTGCTTTCTCACGGCTTTGGGAAGCTGTGATGTATACTGACAGCTAGGCCAATCACACCTGTATCGTGATGCTCGTATGTGATGTCCATCTCCGCGGGGCCACATGTTTGTAGAGGAATTTTGTGACCTTCCACAATCACTCGAAGCGCTCGAATGTTGGGGAGTTGTGGTATCGCTGGACGGGGAGGACAATGGCCGACATGAACCGTCGGCGAGTAGAGAGCGAGAAGTCATACTATAGGGTGATGGTAGCTGTGTAGCTGGAATTCCAGTAGAGAAGTGCTCTGGGGATTTAGGATATGGCCTTGATATGCTTGTGCTTTGATCGTGTGAATCGAAACGATTGGGTGACACGGACGGTTCACCATCGGCCTTGAGATATAAATGAGCCGGGACGGGGGTAAATTGATCGACATACTCGTTGAGTTCAGGGAAGAGTTATCGAAGGAGAAGAGTTTCGGAGGATGAGTTGGCAACCGTGACTGCGGAGGCTTGGAGCCGAGTTGAAGTATCTGAAGTGACTCGGTAGTTGAGAGTCGAGACAGTACCGGGCCGCAGATATGATTGAACTAATCCATTGCCGCAAAAAAGTTGATCAGGGGCTTCGAGCCCGAAATCGATCTGATTTTGCCAAGGGTCAAAGTCAAGAAGACGACTCCCTTGTTGACCGATGTAGCCTTGGAACGCAAAGGCCCATTCCGCTGAGAAGCGGGCGCTGCGTTTTGGAAAAAGGTAGGTTGGATGTACTGCCCGTGGGAAGGACCCCAGGTGGACTGAGTTAGCACCAACGTCTATGACAGTAGATGGCGAGAGAGAGAGGAAAAGGCCGGGCGATGAGGCTGATAATATATAAGTTGTCAACATCTCCGCATGAAAGTTGCCTTGCTTCGGGTTGATATCATCCCGGCTTGAGTCCTCCGGAGTTCTCTTGAGTCCTAGCGTATGGCTACGACCTTGCATTAGCCTCACATCATAACCCTGGTTGTACGAGTCTGATTCGGCCAAGGAGGTCATGGACACCATGCTAGATCGTTTGCCTGTAAGGCAAAACCGCGCGGAGCCCTGTTTGGATTTGGTTGGTTTGCAGAAATACTCCAGTTGTCCTGGCAGATTCCAATCCTTAAAGCGCTTCGGCTGTAGTCGAAGAAGAATGCTTGCCCAGGTCTCATCATCATCACATCCCTTACTGCTAAGTTAATCCTGTCCTGAGTCCTGCCCTGAGTCCTGCACATATGTTGATGTTCATAGGGTGGAATATAGAGGATGAACACAAGTTCTCACGGTAGCAATGTGTCATGAGTTCCCAACCTTCGATATATGAACGTTGGCCCGACCTGGTACTTTTGGGCAGGCCGATAGTCGTCTGTGGTTTGGCCAAGAATGAATAGAAGAATCATTACAACAAGTACAGCTGAACATTCCTTCTTGTGCCTCGGATTTGAAAATTCCATGAGAATCTCGCCAGCAGTATGCCGCGATCAAATTCCACGTCACTCGTAGCTGAGCATGGATCGTCGACAGAGTAGGTTCAACCACCACCCCATCACAATTGGTACCAATGAAGCATTAGTTGATGCATCATAGCTTCAGTGGTTCAATTGCCCTCAATCAAAGTCAAGAACATTCCTTCTGGAAGAGAAATGTGTGCTCTCAGTCAGACTTCTCCCGTCAGCTCGATCGACATTCGGCCCCCAACAGCGAAATGGCTCGCGAGACATTGAAACGATATTTTGAGTCCACCAGTTCCCATGACTGTTCAATCCATCACAGAGGGGCTCATGACAGAGTTGCCTCGAGTAGAGCGAGAGCAAAGACTGCGATCAACGGCTTTGAGGTTGCGATGGCCGAAGGGAGTCGCTGACTCTTGTCTTGACTCAAGCATCTAGTGCATCTCATTGGTAGTCTGCATTCAGAGGGAGACTCAGAAGATTGGACTTCTCAACTGGACAAGATGAACGGCCCTTTCTGAATAGTTGATAGGTAGTTTGGTGACTTGGCTCCGGTGATCACTAAGGCCGGCTGCTATCTCCGCATTAGTACGACTTTGGCAGGAAGACTGTATATCGAGGAGTTAAGCATTGTTCACGGTAACAACAAATGCAATGTAATCAAATAGATACTCCACGATCTGCTTGTCGGTGTCTGCTTGAGCTTTGAAAGTTATCATCAGTCTGGTTCCAGCTGGTGTGCGATTTTGGCCCCGTAACAAGACGCTCAGGCAGACAGACGTGACGAATCTTGAAGTACAAGAGATAATTGCTTCCTCGTCGGTGTTCGGTAGCATCACATTCTTTATCACTCACCAAGAATTGCACTTTGAACAAAATGCCTGTCACCGAACTTGCACTTCTCCGACTTCGCCCAGGTACGGAATGGCCGACAGCAGAGTTGAATGCAAAACTACGACAAGCCAAACGTGTCATGGAGACGGCCAGCGGCTTCGACTTTCGCTATTTTCGCGCTGTGGAGGATCCGGACGTGATCTTCATTTTTGGCGCTTGGCCATCTGTCGAGTTTCATATGACCAACTTCATTCCAAGTCAAGACAACCAAGAATTACTTGAACTGCTCAAGGATCAGGTCACTGTTGAATGGATGTTTCACCTGGATATCGATCAAACTCATTCTCCTCCTCCGTGGCACACGAATGTGATTGCGGTCGTGCGGCATTTTATTACAGATGGCGAGAAAGAGAGCTTCAAAGCCACGTTCGAAACGAATAAACACCACCTTGAAGCATTCATTGGAGGATCTGACCGAGTAGTGGGAGGCTGGAGAATAGACAAGGGGTTTGACCCATCACTGGAAGGAGAAGTTAAGAGCGAATACGTCCTTATAACGGGCTGGAGGAGCGTGGAACAGCACCATGATTTTGCGAAGACGGATGGATTCGAGAAATACGGTCAGATCAGGAACCATCTTGCTGGGGCAGAGATCAAGCATGCGGTACGGCTCGATTTGGAAGAGGAGGCACAGGCCCATGTTGATGGTTGAGAAGAAGCGGCATGGCCGGCCTCGTGTCGTCAGAGTAAGGAAAGTACTGTACTCGTAGAGAGTGCTCCCATCGACTATCTAGGTATTAGTCAGGTGTGGCTTGAACTGATGCACGAAATATCCGTAGGTGTGAGAGATTTTTTGATGTTGCAGCATTGATACGAGACGAAGAACATGGGGTAATTGTCCGAGCTAGTCACAAGTGCCATATGTTCTGTAAGCTCCGGAAGCGTCGGCTCGTCAGGCGCTGACACATTGTACAGTACAGACGGAGTTCTAGCAAAGACTGTAATACTGTTTTGTAGGTTGATTGTCATCGCTAATTCCTCCGTAGAAGGGAGGAGGAAGGGCGTAAGGCTAATTGTATGCGTACTCGTACTGTCTGGAGTGATAAGTAATACGGAGTACGGAGTACTAAAGGAGCCTTCTGGCGGTGGGTGATGCCAAGGTGAGAGCTTGACGCGGCAAGTGTGGCGGAAGACAATGGGCAGTGACGTTGCGTGGTTTCGTTAAGAGAACAGCCCATCAATCAATCCTCACGCCCATTCATCCTTATTCAGCTATTCCTGTGAAATCAATCCCATTCCATCTATCCATTGCCTGCTCGTACAGTCACCATAATTCGAGGATTAATTGCTGGCTCAACATTATCTGTTGTCAGACTCCCAATCCATCATCTGTGAAGCCTGTTGCCACCGCCTATCGAGATCAGCCGCGATTAGCCTTGCCCGCGCCACGCCTACAACCACCGAGAATTGGCAATTTCATCAGCACCCGCACCGTCGCACTCACAAAGAGGATCACTTGTGGATACTCTTGACCGTCGATATCGTTCCCTAACCTTGCCTGTGCCTGGCCAGTGCTTTTGCCCTGCGCTGCCCATATCGCCCAACACTTGACGTGACCCTTGCGAGCTTGCTGGGCCACCAACCTAACCAAGGCTTCTCCGGATTCTCCTCCATCCGTCGAACTGGCATTCTTCGCCTCACCTCTTCTCTTTTCTAGTCTTCCTACTCGGCGTACAGTGACCGATCAATTTGGTCGAAGATACACGGTCACTGAGACGCCTAGCCGCTCCTTTGGTTATCAGCCCTCTCGAAGAAATACTGTTGTCGGCATCTCAAACGAACTTGATCCGTCCCACCCTTCACTTCGCCAACAAGCATCTGCAAGCATCTACACACGGTCTTCCTTGGAAACTGCGCCCATTGTCAAGATGTCAAAAGTTGTCAGGAGTGTAAAGAATGTCACAAAAGGTTATAGTAGTGTTCAGGTCAAGGTACGAAATGGTAAGAGACAAGCAATTACGGCGGCCTGCGACACAGGACACAGCGTCTAATTGATGACAATAGCCACCTCCAATGACCCATGGGGCCCTACGGGTACAGATATGGCAGAAATCGCTGCCTTGACCTTCAACAAGTGAGTCGTGGTCGATCATGACAATGAATCATGGCAGCTGACCGTGTCCGCACAGTCCGAGTGATTTCTATGAAATCATGGACCTTTTAGACAAGCGATTGAATGACAAAGGAAAAAACTGGCGACATGTTCTCAAATCCTTGAAAGTCCTTGATTACTGCCTGCACGAAGGTTCCGAACTGGTGGTGACCTGGGCGCGGAAGAACATTTATATTATCAAGACGCTCCGAGAATTCCAGTACATCGACGAAGACGGAAGGGACGTTGGACAAAATGGTAAGATAACCCAATGGTGCAGTAGGAACCTGTGCTAATATACTACAGTTCGTATTTTTGCGAAGGAATTGACATCTCTCATTCTGGATGAAGACCGTCTGAGGAGTGAACGATCCGATCGGAAAGTATGGAAAACTCGTGTTCAGGCCATGGACGATTACGCACCTCAGCAAGTCGCTAGTCCTTCGCGCAGACAGCCACCCAGACATTCAGCTGCGGACGAAGATGAAGACATGGAATACAAGAGAGCGATTGATGCAAGTTTGGAGGAAGCGAGGAGGGAAGAGGAGCGCAGACGACGACAAAACGCCGACCAGGACACAGACGACCTACAAAAGGCAATCAAGATCAGTAAAGAGGAAGAAGAGATGCGAAGGCGCCAACTCGAGGAAGCCAATGCTGCGTCCCTCTTTGACGACACCCCAGCACCTAGCCAACCGCAACCAACAGGTTACAACCAAGGATACCAGCAGCAACCTGCCGTCGACTGGTTTGGAAACCCTCTTCAGCAGCAGCCACAGAGCACGGGATTTCTCAACAGTCAATATGCCCAGCCACAACCAACAGGCCAGCCGAATGGTTTCACAAACGGCTTTCAACCCACCCAGCCTACAGGTTACGATCAATTTGGGCAGCAGCAGCCTTTCCTTCAACAACAAAACACTCTTCAACCGCAACAGACGGCATTCCAAACCAACAACCCGTATGGCACTCAGCCTTACGGCGATATGTTTGGTGCACAATCCCCCCAAACCCAATCTGCCTTACAACCAGGGACCAACAACCCATGGGCAACTCAGTCTCCCCAACCCGCAGATCCGCTCAGACCCCTACCGACTGGATCGAACAATCCTTTCGCACAAAAGCCGCAGCAGGCATCGCCGTCGCCATTCCAGCGTACAACCACTCAGCCGTCACTGGGCACTCTGCTGGAGACGCAGCCGACCACACAATTCAGCCAGCCTACGCAGCCAAACCCGATCATGAATTACCAGCCATCTCCTCAGCCATCCTTCCAACAGCAACAGCCACAGAAGCCTGCGAACCCGCAGCATGCTAAATTGAATGCTTTGTTGGCTTCTGGAGAAGGTCAAGACACCTTTGGTAACACTGGTGACTTGCGTATTCCCGCCCAGCACACTGCTCCTGGAGCTTTTGTCAACTCGGCAGGACAAGGTATTGATCGTCTTCGAGCAGCACAGACTGGAACCAATCCTTTCTTTTCGTCGCAAGCCACAGGGTATGCTCAGCAACTACCCAATCAAACTGGACCTGTTGGTGGCTATGGTGGTTACGGGCAACAAAACGGCAATCCCTTTGGTGGTAGACCTGGTGGCCCTCAAGGTGGAAGCTTGATTGACTTGTAGAGCACCCCGTCCTCAAACAGAGTCAATAATGGTTATGAAAGTGGTAGTGAGTGATGACAGCAAGATTGTGCTATACCCCTGGCAGTTGGTTCTCGGAATGAAATTGTCCTGCATGCGCTGCAGTTTTTCTCTTATGTATAGGACCGGCTGCGTTGCCTGCATTCCGATGGTGTTTCCAAGACTCCATTTCCTGCAGTATAATGAAATTTTGTTCTCTTTTCAACGCACACATAAATGGTTGTTTTCGATCGATCAATCAACTCGAATATATGGATTCTTTATGTGTCCTCTATGAAAGACACGATATGATTTACTTGGTGTTCTTTATCCCCGACCCAGTTCCGCTCGTTATATTCAACCTTACCTATTCAACGAGATGCTACCTACTCGTACGCAGCGTGCATTACGCAGGCAGCATAATTTTACAAGCTTCATTTAGTCAGGCAGGACAATGGCTGCAATTGTCTTTTTACAAGTACGAATAGAAAAAGCATTGTTCAAAAAGTAAAGAGTACACTGTATGGAGTACATTTTAGCAAGCCATTCACGGAGTACGAGCATGGTCAATGAAAGTGCATACTGTACGATTGCGACTTTGAGTACATGTACCGTTCTGTACGGACCTAGAAGACAGCATCTTTGATTTACCTCTCGCCCCTCTTTTTCAAGGGAGGGTGAGAAGAGAAGAACAAAGTGCGTAAGATAGGAATTGGTATTAGTCCGACATAAGTACGGTATGTTCGATTCTTCACACGAAAATCAGAGTCGCTCACGTGACTTAAATTGGAGCAGTGCGCTACGGACAGTTCGCTTTCTAAGATCGCATCTCGTCCTGGGAGCCACTCGACGTCAACAGGCTTTACCTTGACTTCTGGATTGTGTCGCTAAAGCTTGGCTGGACTCTACACATATCAATGAGCAGCAGACGTCTTTGGACAGTCTCCGTGTCCTAGAGACTTTGGACAGTCTCCGTGTCCTAGAGACTTTGGAAACAACTCCGAAGCAAGCCCCAATGGTGGTCGAACAACGAGCGTTCCCAATTCTCCCGGAACTAAGGACCAGAACAGACTTGACTGGTACAACGTGTAGTTACTTTGCTGATGCAGCCGAAGATGCAGAACATGAACTGTGGAAGTGAGAGGGAGCTACGCAACAGTCATCGACTTCCGACCGGGAGGTTGTGTCGTCGCTAACACCTACCGTTTGAGGGCTCGCCTTCCTTCGTTCATCACTTTTTTCTTCCAGAGTGCAACGCTCCGCGTTCGAACATGTCGAATCCGTCCTTGCTACCGCCATCGGACGGTTCCACTCGTCGCGGGCTCCGGTTCTCCTCCCATCGCTATACTCTGAGGAGGTGTCTGGCCTTTTTGGCAGGATATTGTCCAACAGATCTGTCGCATTTGCCTAAACCATGAACGCTTGCCTACACTACTGACCGAGTCCAAGGCTGTATCAAAGACTTGTGATTGTCATGGGCTTTGACCATCATTTACGAGGTGTCTACGTCGCTCTTCCAACTCCTCTTACGGCGGATGGAGACGAGATTGACGAACCATTGCTCAGAAATCATATCAATTACCTTCTCAATGCTGGAATCCATGGCTTGGTCCCTGGTGGAAGCACCGGAGAGTTCACTACCCTGACGCTACCAGAGCGCAAACACTGAACTGAACTCTGTGTGAAATTTGCTGCTGGTCGAGTCCCAGTGGTCACGGGTGTTGGATCCCTGTCCCTTCGAGATTCGCTAGATCTCGCCGAACATGCCGCCCAAACAGGAGCAACTAGCTTAATGCTTCTTCCCCCATTCTACGACGCGCTCAACGTCTCTCAGCTCGGCGACTTTCTCGAGCGGCTTCGCGAACGAAGCGGGTTGCCATTGATGTACTACCACAACCCTGCCGCCAGTGGCACGATACTCACACCTGGACAAATTTCCACCCTCACCGAGCGCGGCGTGCAGTACGTCAAGTACACCGCAGACGATGCAGTTGGATTGAGTGAGATGCTTTGGGACCATGGCGCAACCATCACCACTTTCGTGGGTAATGACACGCTCATGTTCTATGGTCTGGCTGCTGGAGCCCAGGGCATCGTCTGGGGCCTGGCAAACGTGATTCCAGAGCTCGCTATGGAATTTTGGAATGTAGTTGCTGTTCAAAGGGACTTCGAGTGTGCTCGCGAAATGTGGACAAAGATTCGACCGCTCTGCGAGCTGTTCGAGTCGAGCAATTACGCCGCGGCTGTGAAGACGGGTATGCAGTTGATTGGAACATCAGCTGGGCCAATGCGCACACCTTTCTCGCTGCTTGAGGGGAATGATCGGGCGGAACTGGAAAGACTACTCCTCGATGCTGGTGTCAAGAAGGCGTACGCGAGTGGCGACACCAAAGGTACGCGCGAATTAGATCGGGGAGTTTCAAGGTCCCGACCATGCTAGGCCCAAGTCTAGAGAACTCGCCGCGACCTGACCTAGAATTGCTATCATAACATCGCTCGAGTAATATGAGTTATATACTACTGGTTTAATTGTGTTTTGTAGAGTACGCATATAATGAAACTGTCTATTTAAGAAGGGGCAATGATGATTTGATCTCTGCTTTTTACCGATTGTCCCTAAAGTGGCTCTTCCCCGGTTCTGCTGTACTCCGTAGGCTTTCCCCAATCCATGGTAGTTTAGCTGCCAGCGAACTTGTAGATAAGAGTGCGAATTGACTCCGGTCTCTCTCAACTCAAAGCTACGGCTTCGATTGCAGTTCTTCAAGGTCGAGCTGCTTACCCGCACAGCGGCACCGAGAGTCGTAAGCATTTCTCCCTTCGCCGGGCATGTCCACTGAACTTTCCGAGGCTCCAGATACTCCTCGCGGTGTTCATTTTTCCGGATACATGCGCCATCGATCCCTGACTGGCTGTCTCACGTGCCGGAGGAGAAGAGTCAAATGCGATGATGTTCGTCCAGCTTGTGGTGTATGCCGGCGCCTTCAGCTCCCGTGTCAAGGATTCGAGCCTCGAATCCTTTTCATTACCCCGTTAATCTCAGGTTCAAGCGATGATCTGTCTTCCCCATCTGAATCACGAGCCAGCAATGCAGAGGCCTCGAAGGAGAGCAGACGAATGCTGTTTGGAGGGAAGCTATACCCCCCCCCCCCTCAAAATACCAGCAGGGCTGTTCTCACATTTCGTGGTGCAGACTTTGAACGGCAACGAATGATTTCCCAAATCACAAAGCCATTGTCCGGACTCAACCTCGGATCCATACTCGATATCCTTGAAGAGCAATGCCCTGTCGATGGAGAGACCATCTCGCAAGGGCCGCTGGGCGTTTTCCGCCACGGACCTTCGGATCCAAAATCATCATCATCATCTTTCCTCGGCACCATACATGATCTCGACGCCGACTTCGTAATAGCCCCTGACGAAAAAGTCTCTCCCTTCTTGGGTTTCTTTGACCTTGAAATGCACGCATCGACCGACAGTCAGTTCGAGACTGCCCTCCCTGATTTCATCGAGTATGAGCTCCCATCAGACTCTTGCACCCCTGCCTGGCAGCCTGTGGACTCCAACATCTTGAGTTCCAACGAGCTGGACTTTTCACTCCCATACATGACTCGACTACCTCTGCAACACCAAGTACCTCCTCCGGATGACTTCGAGATGAAAGTACCGCTTGATGTCAAATTCCTCCTAGACCATTTCGCCGGCCAGTACGTGGACGTGGTCTCTTTAATCCAGAATAAAAAGTCGCCGTGGCGTATCCTTCATCTTCCAAGCGTGTTGAAGACGTTTGGAGAGCTCGTTATCTGGAAATGCCCAAACCACTTCCAGATCGCTCTGTTCTACGCCGTCCTGGCACTGAGCTCATTCCATCTCGATCGGACGACTGCAAAGGCCAAAGAGAAGGGCTACTGGTGGACAGTCGGCAACTCTCACTACAGCCAAGCAGCGTCAGAGCTACGGAAGGGTTTGGACGGAGGGCATGACCGAGCGACCAAGGTCAAGTACAAGGACGTTTTGATGGCTATACTGACCATGGTCACCGTTTGCGTAAGCCTCCATCGGCCGTCCAGCCACCAGACCATTTTGATGGAATAATGTTTGCTTACCGGTTCTTTTAAGATTACAAGCGGCAACATGGAAGATGCTCGCTCCTATCTGCTTCGAGCACAAGACATCGTGCGACGCCGTGGCCTGCCAAAAGCGAACAAGTCTCGAAAAGTCCGAACCCTGCACAGTACTTTTGTCTTCCTCCGAGTCATCGAAGATAGCACATTTCCGTACCCGAAATCAATGCAGTTGCCTTCTCCAGACGCAAAACGCGAAAGCTCGATGCGTTACCCATCTTTCGGGCTACATACCGCAGAGTCGGAATCTATAGGTCAGACAATTCCACCTGCAGATCTGTGGCATAATCTTGCTGAAGGAGAGCCCGAGGGCGACGGCGGCTCGGCTTTTCGCTTGGTATATGGCATTCCCGAATCCTTGTTCGTCCTCATGTCTCATGTTAGCTATCTTTCACAGCAAATCCGTCATTTTAAAGAATTCTGCCCATTGGCAAGCGCGTCACAATTCCATGAGATCCAAACAAGGGTCGCCATCATAGAGGATGCCCTGTGCAATTGGGAGGGCAAAAGCGACCGCCTTGGCGAGGCCGATTCTCGACGGCGGGTATCGGCTGATCAATGGGCTTCGACTTGGAGTTCCACGTCGCTTCCCGACGATCTCAACATCGGTGGCATGAGAGACCAAAGGCAGCCCTGTGCAGATGCGACAGGTGTCAAGGAAGGACATGTGAGCCATATGGCGTTGGCCGTACACTCGGCCCTACTCATCTACTTCTATCGACAGGTGCGTGAAGTGAATCCGTTTGTTCTCCAGCCTTTCGTCAAACGAGTCAAGGAGCACCTTCTCGCGTGCGAAATTTACAAAACCACACACGCCATCGCGTCAAGCAGTCTCGTCTGGCCGGGTTTCATTGCCGCCGTCGAAGCAAATGATGACAAGGACTTCCGGGAATTGATAGACTGGCTCAAAAGTTGTGGCGACCGCTTCGGTCTCAGGAACTTCGATCGAGCGGCAGAAATCGCCACAGAGATCCGACAAACAAAGCTGGGCTCGTCGGACAGGAACAAGGCCAACTGGATGGACGTGTTGCGAGAAAAGCAGGCCCCATTGGTGTGTTCATGAATGGCCGCTCCATGAGTCCCTCCTGGCATGCGTAGAAAGCCTCGTGGCAGCCCTGGAGCCATGGTAGCACGAACAGTCGGCAGACAAGAGGCGCGGCAAGCTTGCGGGCCTTTTTTCCCATCACGGGAGGCACTGTGTACTATTACCAGGTACTGCATCAGTCCAGTCCTTCATCACCATGTAGGTGGCCAGAATCATAACTCAATGGCCATCTCAGGCGAGGCGCAGGGCAAAGGAGAGGCCGATGACACACCTGCACCGACAACACACATGGATATTGTCCTTGTCTTCATGTGAGACCAGAACAGAGATAGATTCTACCAAGCCAAGTCCATAAAGGTCAGGTCTTCAGCTAGGAACGTGGGCAATAGATGGTCTCTTCAAGAAGGCTGTTTGCAGTCAATCAATCACTGATCTGGTATCCGGCGCGTCGAGACTGGGATTATGGATTGCTCCCCATTTCAGGTCGCTAGGTCATCAGCACTTGCTCAATCTAGCGGCACGGAATCAGCCTTTACAATGTCTCGGGCGAACGAGTGCAGGCATCTTGCAGAAGGCGAAGCGAAGGCTGTCACTTTGCGCACAACAATGGGAGAGCGTTCGTCAACACACGTGCCCTCGGCACACAAAAAGAGCATTAATTAATGCTTCACAGCTTTATTTCGTGAAGGAATAGTCATCGCAGTCATATCTCGTCTTCCAGTGGCAGATCGCCCCTTGCCTTCATTTCGGCGCTGACTTCTTCCACTCTCTTCCAGACCCTCAACACATTTCCGCCAATGACGCCCTCGACTTGGGCATCATCGAGGCCTCGTCTGAGCAGCTCCCGGACTAGATCTGGGAATTTACTTACATCTTCGAGACCCCTAGGTGTCTCTGGGATACCGTCAAAGTCACTCCCAATTCCCACATGCTCAAAACCAATCTTGTTGCCCAGGTACATGACATGCTCCACGACGAATTCCAGCGTGGAATTGGCCGGATGGAAGGTCGGCAAATTCCCTGGGGTGGTGGAGTTGACGCACGAGATAAACTGGGGCACAAACGTGACCATGATGACCGAGTCCGTTCCCTTGACCAAGGGCAAAATCTGGTCTGGCACGTTACGCGGGTGAGGACACAGAGCGTATGCAGAGGAATGTGAGAAGATAACGGGTGCTTCGGAGCCTGGAAATGATTTGGTCTGGTTTCCTGCGAGGACGTCATGCATGGTCTTTGGGTGTGTGTGCGAAAGGTCAACCTGGGCACAAGTCAGTGCTCTACGTTCTTCTGGAAAAATTCTCGTAGGTATGATGATGCTCACAATCATGCCCAGCCGGTTCATCTCGCGAATGATCTTGGTTCCGAAGGGACTCAGTCCACCCCAGTGAGGACTGGCTGGGCGGGCTGCTTCTGGATCAAGTGAGTCGTCCAAGACGGTGACTTGCGCAGCGTCGGCCACGGCATTGTGGCAGTTCCAGGTCAAAGTGGCGTATTTTGCACCTAATTTGTGGTAGAGCCGCAGTGTTGAGGCATTTCGGCCTATCATATGAAGGCCCTCTATTCCGATAGGAGACAGGACTTTGCCTTTGCGCTGGAATGCGGCCAAGGCGGAAACACTGTCTAGAATGGCTGGAGAGAAGACGTCCGGGAAGGTGGCCTGCAAACGATGGATCACATCGAGCTGTGACAAAGTTTCCACGACGACTGACGCAACGTTATAAGACAGAGACATGGGCCGGGGGCGCAGCAGACTGAACATACCAGGAGCATAGACCTCGTTAGAGAAATCCAGCCTGTTGGAGGGGCAATCCACCCAGCAACTCCAGAAAAACCCACCCTGTCTGCCCTTTCTCATACGCGCAATATCGAGATGGTCAATGTAACCGATCGAGCCGCCATGTTCGAATTTTGATCTGAAGTCGGGGTGGTAGATATGATTCGAATAGACGGAGCGAAGTCGCTCAGCGAGGTCGATGTGACCGTCTAGTGAGTGGACTTGAGTTGAGTATCCTCCATGAACCTGGCGCGGGGGCGCGGGACTGGAGCGTGCTTACCCATCATTGGAGTCCGAGCCATGATTTTGTCAACTCGTTGGTCAATTGTCAGAAGTGATGACGGTATGAGAGGCATTATGGTCGACTGTAGACTCGCCCGATCAAGCCCTTTCTGCTTGAAAGCCAGAGCAAGTGTCAGGACAACAGCGAGAAGAGCTATTCGCCGCCAACGCATTGCTGGCACCATTGCCTCGGTCTCACTCCCAGCGGAGGATGATGCACGAGTCTTCTCGGATGCCATCGAGGGTAGCAGACAATGGTCCTGCGTCGGAGTTTGGTATCTATCAAGGCAAAGTTGACCAGGTGCACTGGAGCCAGCAGGTTGATAGAATGTTCGACTGCCTCATCATGCAGTCTAAACGCGACTGTTCGACATTGTCCACAGAGGATGGTGGGCATCGGAGAATGATTGGAGCAGAGCCGGTGTCGCTACTGGCTGCCGAATTCGATTTGATCTATCGACCCGAGGGGCCTTATTGGTCAATAGCTTTGACTTTGAGGATAGACACTGTTTCTCAAGCGGCTCGTTAAAGCTTTCCACAAAGATAGTCAGCCATCCCGCAAGAACTTCAAAATGAAGATTCGTCTTCGCCCCCGAGGCGCGGTCTCAGGATCGCCCTGGTGCTTGAACAGTCTACGAGTGCTCGTGGAGTAACCGTTCATCATGGCGACAAGTCTAGAGTCCCAAGGCAAAGAAATCGCCAAGGATGATATCGGGATGGTTGGTGCAAGTGACACGGTACGTATGCAGTCCGCAGCGGAAGGTACCACCGTCACCAAAGGCAGGTGGGAGCGGACTTGGCCAGTCTTGGCTGCCGGGGCAGGCTTGTTCTCTGATGGCTATCTGAACAATGTATGTACATCATACCCACAACCGACCAGTCAAAAAGGGAAACCTGGGCTCCCATACTAACCTCATCTACAACAAGGTAATTGGATCGGTCAGCACAATGCTGGCAATCATGTAAGACAAGACAAACTACTGAATGCTTCGAAAAGCTTGTCCTGACACCAGCTCTCCGCCGCAAGCTATCCGAAAGAATATGCCAACAGTGCCGCCCAGCAGAATGTGTCTTCCATCACGTTTGCAGGGACAGTGCTCGGCATGCTCATCTTTGGCTACTGTTCTGACTACTTCTCACGCAAGAATGCGCTACTTGCCTCGACTGGGATCCTCATCGTCACAGCCACACTCTGTACGGGTGCCTACGGATACCAAGGCAGCATCTCGGGGTTGTTCGTCGCACTGACGGTATATCGTTTCTTTCTGGGCGTGGGCATTGGCGGCGAATATCCAGCCGGATCCGTCGCCGCCGCAGAAGCCACGGGCGAATTGAAGCATGGCCACCGGCACCGATGGTTCATCCTCTTCACCAATGTGCAGATCGATCTCGGATTCGTCATCGGCGCGTTCGTACCCTTTGTCTGCGTGTGTATCTGCTCGGAACGGCATCTGCGGCTTGCCTGGCGTCTGGCTCTGGGGTTTGGGGTTCTTCCCCCATTGAGCTTGCTGTATCTGCGCACCAAACTGCAAGAGCCCGAAGAGTACAAATACCAGACCATCAAGGGAGGAGCCTCGGTGCCCTGGTCCTTGGTCGTGAAGCGCTATTGGAAACGTTGGTTGGTGGTCTCCTCACTATGGTTCATGTACAATGTACGTACAGGCTACGGCTCATAATATCCCGAGGATGACTTTCTGAACAAGACGCGACAGTTTTCGTCCTACGCCTTCGCGATCTACTCGAGTACTATTCTAACGGTCATCTTGGGAGACTCCGCGCCACTATGGAAAAGCTTTGGCTGGAACACGGTGATCAACCTTTTCTATATCCCCGGAGCCATCCTGGGAGCTTGTATGTCGCCTTTTATAAAGTCTTGCAAGGCTGCAAGTCGTTTGGCAGGGCCTCTGAATCCTGTTTTCTTTAGCGACAATGAGCTGACTTTTTTGCGATCATGCAACACAGTTCTCTCCGACATGGTTGGAGCTCGAAGGGCTCTCGTCCTGGGCCTCGGCGCTCAAGCCATTGTAGGGTTTATCATGGCTGGCTGCTATGTGCCGCTCGCACAGCCGCAGCATATCGCCGGGTTTGCCGTTGTGTATGGGATTTTCCTGTCCTTGGGTGAGCTGGGTCCAGGCGACAACATCGGTATCGTCGCCTCCAAGACTTCTGCGACGGCCATACGGGGCAGATACTACGGCCTCGCAGGCGCCCTGGGCAAGACCGGCGCCTTCGTGGGTAGCTACGTCTTTCCAATCATGGAACGGAACGCTCCTGGGGGACCCTCGGGGGACCGTGCTGCCCAGGATCCCTTCTGGGTCGCGAGCAGCTTGTGCGTCTTCAGCTGTGTCTTGGTGTGGTTTTGCTTGCCGGAAATAGGACAGACGACCATCGCGGACGAGGACATGGCCTTCCGCTCGTATCTCGAGGAGAATGGATGGGACACGCGGCAGATGGGCATTGCTGCCGATGAGTGAGACGGTCAGAACGACCGAATTGAGACCAAATAATAGTAGCCAGGGCTGATGATGGAAAGAATGACGCGTAAAAGGACAGCTTTGATTGACTCTCTTCGCTCCCTCGGTTGATTCTGCAGAATGTTACTAGCAGCTTTCAATTGCAGACCGTGGTACTTTGTATATATTGGGGGGGTTTCGGTTCTAAATATCATTAGGGCTGAACCTATGGTTACCTAGGGGGCAGCTATGCTGTTCCCGAGGATGACACTATTCTCGAGCCGCACGATATGAACTCGAGAGATTTGTACAATTACGTCTGTTACTGGAACGGGGCTATTTGAACAACGTAAAACCATCACCGCCGTTTTGCGACGGTTTCTCTCGTAATGAGTGGGACGGTGAAAAGGGTTGAAAGAATCGGTAAAGCCACCAAAGGAGAGGATCACTCAGCGCGCCCGCAAATTTTCTTAGAGGTCCCAGCGGGCACTACACATAGCGTAACACTGTGCGAATAATACATTCAGGAAAGGGAAAACAAAAGGAGTGTTGCCCATACACCACAAAAGCCCCTGCTCTCACCAAACAAACGAGGAAGCATGCGTGTCCTCTACAAGTATGCACACGAAAGAGGGGGGGGGGGGGAAACCAATGTTGCTCTATGAGCTCGGGCGTATTGCTAGTCATATGCAGCTACGGGGCAGACAAAGTTTTCCATTCAGTTTCCTGGTCATACTCGTACAAAAGTTTCACAGCTCTCAAGCACAAGACGTGATGGTCATGACGATGTTTTTGCCACCACCAGCAGCAGTGGCAACCGCGGCAGCAGCGGTAGTAACTCCTCCAGCACCGGCACCACCAGAACCACCGTTGGCACCGAGGATGCTGTTAAAGACATCAGCAGCGGCTTGGTTCTGAGTCGTGGCCACGGCGGCAGCAGAAGCACTGGTGCACGAGGCCTGGACTTCGGCGGGAGCGCTGCAGGGAGACCCGAGACGCTGACAGATGAAGCCGGCAATGACACCAATGTTCAGGGCGGACCCGTGATTGAAGTCGGTTTGATCGGCGGCGATGAAGGCGGCGGTGTTTCGGCCGTCGAGACCGTTCTCGAACAGGATGGAAGGGTCGGAACAGGTGCCAAAGTCGCCGGCGGCGGCGGCTCGTTTCAGCTTGTTCGCCACTCCACCCGCCGCATTGCATTCTTGTTCTTGGGTCTCACACTGCCCGACGCCGCCGGACAGGGAACCGGAGTTGGCGGCGCCGGCGCAGGCGTTGTGCTGGACGGAGCAAGAACGCTGGAGGGCGGCGCCGATATTGATGAACGTGTCGCCGTTGACGGAAAAGGCGCGTGCGGCACCGGCGGTGGAAATGACCGGCGGTGGAGGTCCTCCCAACGAACCGGTAAAGGTCTGCACGTTTGTGCCGGTCGCACCACCTGTTGCTGCGGGGGCGACGGCCGCCGCCACCGTGGATGCTCCAACGTTGGCGGCTGCCATTGTGGTTGTGATGACGGTGCAGGACGCTGAAGCAGCTCCGCCAGCGGCTGCTGCTGCCGTTTTCGTACTGGCCTCCTCGACTGTGCACTCGTCGGTGGCTGTGGCGCCACCAGCGGCGGCAGCGGCAGCAGCGGCAGCAGTCGCGGTGCTCCCGACGGAGACGGCAGCAGTAGCAGCGGCAACGGAGAGACCAGCAAAGTCGATGTCGGTTGCACTGATACCCCCCGTTCCAGTAAAGGTAGGTTTGATGCTGGCGACAGCTGAGCTGATCTCGTCGGGTGTGGCGTCCAAGACAAGGAGCTTCTGGCTAAAGATGCAACCTGGTTCATCATTTGCCGTGTCACAACTGTTACCTGCTCCGGTATTGTCGTTGAGATTGCCTGGAGCGAATGTGCCGCTTTCGAGAGCCAGGAGAGGGTCGGCACCGATGCCAGCCAGTTGCTGGGCTAGAGCGATGGTAATGCCCTTGTTGACATCGGCGGCACCGTTCGAGGCAGGGTCCTGGTGCTGCGTGATGGCTGCGATCTCGGGGTTCGCAGCAGTCTGGGTGCAGATGGCGCTGGTTTGGCCCACTTTGGCAGTGTTCCGTTCGACTGCTCGGTAGACAAGCGCAGCGGCCATGCCTCCTAGATCGCCTGCTGCTTTGGCGTTGGTGAAGGCCGTATCCGCGGTTTGTTGTTGTAGACAGGCCAAGTCAGTGACATCGCCGGCACCCGCTTTGGCTGCTGCGTCACCTAAAAGGCCAAAGACGGGATCTTGGATCTTGAGAGGGTTGTTGATCTGGAGTGACGTCCGGACCAGGTCGAGGAATACATTGTGCGAGTGCTCCTGAGGAACTTCACGCGCTTTGTGTTGATGGACTGGGCTGGCAGTAGAAAAGCCCAATGTGAGCGCGAGAGCGGCGATTTCGTACTTCATGATGTGGTTCTTTTCCTCTCGTGGACACGTGGATATCGTGAAAATCTGCCTCAGAGGATGATGATGGAGTCGTAGAGTCGAGTATAATGCCGAATGTAGGGCCTGCCTAAAGAATGCAAACGAAGACTAGCTTCGCAGGAAAGAACGAAAAAAGGTTCGCAGAACCGGTAGTGAGAACGAATGGCTTGAAATAGAGAAAAAGTGGTGAAGATTGATGGGAAAAAAAAACTTGGGTCAGCAGAAAGAGCAGATTTCAAATCCCTTTTAAAAGACGAAACCGTCTGGCAATGATGATGCCGGCAACATGGCCTGATCACAGACAAGCATGTCTCATGGAACAAGCTTCGAGCAAGATGTTGCACTTGCTGCCTCAAATTGCTGCACTTGCGGAAGACGGTCGAGTGTCCCGATGCCGCAACTAGATCTAGGAGGAGTCGAGGGTGGGTTTGATCGATCTAGGGGTCCTTTGCCTCGATTCTTCACGATCTTTGTCCGGGACACGCCATCAAGTAGTCGTGAGAGATATTTTCCTGGTGGAGAGTGTGTCAGAAAGAAGAATGCGAAGCTCAAAGATGGCGTCGATGTTGGCGAGTTCGGTGTTTACATTTGTACGGAGCTGTATGGAGTTGAACCATACACCACCTCCGTGAAACGATTTTAACCGGCCACGTGGGCCATGTCCGGGCTCGTTTTGACACCTAGACATTGCTCTGGAGCGTTCGATGATGATATTGTTCCAGCTTGAAGCTTGCTATGTGTTGTAACACCATGCAGATCTCGTCTCAAGAGTCCAAGAACTTGGCGAGCAACGGGAGATCGGATGACTGCCCGGACTGGGAAAGGATAGCATATTTCCTTAAGCCTGCAAGCCAAGCGCGAGCCTTTTTCAGGATATGTACTCCATACAGCACATCGTTAATGAGGGCGCTTGCCATGATTCTCAGACCTGACGTCGCAAAGATCAAGAAAGCATGTTGAGGGTGAATAAAGGGAGCGAGGAAAGTGTGGTCAAACACAAATCAGATACAATAAATGTCGGACGAGTGACAAGCTCTGGTCCCTCTTTAGAGCTATGGAGATTGCCAGGGTCTTTCAGGGGCGATCACAGCTCGACATATTAATTAAACACACTCAAGCGTTTCGCCGAAACGCCCGAGGTTCAAGCGGAGCCTCGTCAGCCTCGTCAGCTTGGGTGATAGAATTATCCAACATTGAGCACTCGTGTTGTACTTCGTTACATGCAATGATTACCTTGGGAAATTGATACTCATAGAGAGAAATTTGGCTATCTACGGCCAACGCAAAAGAGCTCTTGATGGGTGATTCTCGCTTCTTCACAGAAACCTCACAAGGACGTCCGCTCGATTTCAGGGAATCTCGTTTGGCCTTTTCGGATGTGGCACATCCCGAACCGCATACAGGCAAAGATCATAGCTTCAACGATTACCGCCGCAACTTGTCTGAGTATGTTACATGCTTCAAGACACCGCAGCATGGCCGTGCCGTGGCATCTAGACCTTCCTGATAGGTGATCATTCTCTTGCACATGGCCAGGAAAAGCGGATTGTGTTCTTTTCCAGCCCTTCCTTAACGACACCTATTCCGCCAGACTTGATCATCCATTCCAGTCGATGATCGCGGTACTCACGCCTCATCAATCCTTTCGCGATTGCCTCAGCAGCCGCCGAGGAAAACGTGGCGGTAGCTGTAACGAACTCCTCGTGCACCGACTTCACGGATGGACGTTGTTTCGCCCTCTCGTACCATTTCCCGAGGGCACTATCTGCTGCAGGCTCCATACCGTATGATGTCGAACGATTCACAAATGGCCACACGCACACGTCTGCCCATCCGAGGCTGACTCCCCCAAACCACTCTGCGTCACCAAGCTGCTCTGTGAGCCATTTCTGCACTTCCCCAGCCTGTTGCTTGGCTTCGTCCGTCATCTTCCTGGCCAGTTCTCCTTCAGCCCGTTTGTATCCGTGTACCTCTCCCATACCCCAGTTTATCGCCTCGTATTGTGAGTCGCACACATCCTCAATCATGCGCGCTCTTGCTCGTGCTGCGGGATCGGCTGGACGAAGTGGTTTGTCAGGATACTTGTCCTCAAGATACTCAAGTATGATGGTTGAGTCAAAGATGGTCAGATCGCCGTCGACAAGCGTCGGCACTTCGACGCGGTGATTGTTTTTGGCGAACGCAGGATCCATGTTCGCAAGGTCTCCTGTGCCTGCACCTTTCGGCGTTGCGAAGTTGAATGGAATGCCCTTCTCCCGAAGAGCAATCCTGACCTTTTGTGCGTAACAGCTCACTGGGTGGTCCCAAAGCAAGAGATCAGCTGCCATGATGACAAGATCTCAACTATTGGAACACCGTAGTTGATTTGGTTCAGTACTATAGCTGTGAGTCTGATCGGCGTTCAAGTACTGTTGCTGGAATGTAAATCTAAAGAACAGTCAATCTCGATGTCTGATTTAGTATTCTAAACGAGGATATCGCAGAGACAAAGCTTATGAAGCTCTTGTACTGTGTTCTTGATCTGTGGTGCTATGCAGATGTAGAATATTTATTACCCATATTCTGACTATTAGTAAGCCAGCGAGTTCTGTAGAAGCGTCTGAATATCCGCGCTTATTTCTGACTTTAATAGGTTCCAATGGCTCGTTCATAGGGAATACGTTATCGGTAGAAGCCCAGAAGTATGCTTTCAATGCGCATTAACAATCGGCATAAACGGAAAAGGGGGTCATTACTGAAGATTACGCGAGGGGGAAGGGAGGTGCTAGTTGTGGGAACATATCCATCATGGCTTCTGCATAACATCGACTCGTTAGTGTCCGTCGGAAACTTGGATACTGTTCGATAGGTACTCGTACCTCGTTGATTCTCTGCCTTGAAGAAGGGGAAAAAAGGTGCAACAAATGTTCCCGAACTCCAGGTGGCTCGAAGCAGCTCGAGAGACTGACCAATAGCATGATTTTCCGTGTCCCCACCATAACACGCACGGCCACGCACCCCACAGTCGGGGCACCTTGTGAAGCTGGGGTTTCATATAGACGGAGGAACACCTATATCTTCCTGTTGGCTCGTCGTATTTGATCAGCGGCAAGGTATTCCGAACGATCCAGGTACAGTCCGTTTCCTCAAGAGTACAGCAAGCGGTATGGCGTCCAAGCACATCATCAAAAATGCTACCGTAGTCTCGGTAGACAAGGACATTGGCAACGTACCCAATTGCGATGTCTTGATCGAAGATGGAATCATTGCAGCTGTCGGTCCAAATCTACAGCATACAAGGGAACATACCGTCATCGATGGCACAAATGCAATTGTGTCTCCAGGTTTCATCGATACCCATCGACACACCTGGCAGACACAGCTAACGGGCATCGGCGCGGACTATGTGTTGTCCGACTACATTCTGAACTTGAGACAAATCTACGGAGCGTCCTATGATGTTCATGATGCGTACTTGGGAAATTATTGCGGAGCGTTGGCCTCCATTGATAACGGAATCACCTATCTGCTGGATCATTCGCACATCATGAACTCTCCTGAGCATGCCGACGCCGCTTTGAAAGGATTGAAGGACTCCGGGATACGCGCGACCTTTTGTTACGCCATGTATCAGAACCCAGCATGGCCTGGATCTTGCATGGACAAGGAGCGGGAGGAAAAGACTCCAGATTGGAGACTGCAAGACGCCAAACGCGTTCGCAAAGAGCATTTTCAGTCGAACGGCCCTCACGAACTTGTTCGGTTCGGCTTCGCACTGTCCGAGCCTGATTGGACACCCATCGATCGGCTTGTTCATGAAATCCGCGAGGCACGAGCGATGGGAGCTGCCATCATCACTGGCCACATCAGTTTTGGCCGATGGGACCCCGGCAATTGCGTAACCCGCCAACTTGGAGAGAAGAGGATGCTGGGCCCAGACCTGGTACTCAGCCACTGCAACACTCTACGCGACGATGAACTCGAGTATGTCCGTCAGTACGGCGTCGGAACTTCCTCCACTCCCGACACCGAATTCCAGATGGGAATGTGTCACCCGATCGCGTTCAAGGCCAAGGATGTCGGGGCGACCGCATCTCTCGGTGTCGACGTGTGCTGCAGTGCACCGGCGGACATATTTGCTCAAATGCGGCTTCTACTGCAGGCGCAAAGACATCTCGAGCACGAGAGCAGACCTGGAGCTCCTATGAAGATCGCACGCTTGTGTTCGGAAATCCTCGAAATAGCCACCATGGGTGGTGCCAAAGCGGTCGGCTTGGAAAAGGTTATCGGAAGCGTCACGCCCGGTAAACGAGCAGATCTACTCCTCACCAGGTGTGATTCGCCCAAATTGGTACCGGCTCAGGACCCGGTCGGCGCACTAGTGCTATATGCAAATGGTACAGACGTCGACACTGTCTTCATCAACGGCGAGATGGTCAAGTCTGGAGGGAAACTGACAAAGGTGGATTGGCCAAAACTTCGCGAAGAACTACGAGCTTCTGTCGATTCTGTCATGGCCAGGTCCAAGAAGGTTCCGGCCGAAGATTTGCGCACTGCACACGACGCAATGGTGAAGATGCTTACTCGAGGATGAGGTGGACAAAGTAATTGAGTACGGCGGTGTGAGGCTGTGTCTCAAGGTACCTGACAATTGATTCTCTGTTCATGTGGAATCAAAGAACTTGTTGCTTTGACCCGAGCTGTATTGTGTCTGTTGCCGTTCTATCGCCACTCGATATGGCTCGCTAGACACACGTAGAAGCACTCGAAGGTAATCTTCTGCATCGAAGTCAAACTGAACCTTGAGAAGTGGTGCCTGTTCATGTCATATTTTGGCTGCAAGACACCAGGCTGGATCTTGCCCCGCTTTACCTCAGCTGCATTGTCATTAAACAAAGCGAGTTCACCCTCGACGGGCACATACTCAAGGCCTACGATGTATCTGCAGACCACGAGGATTCGACGGTTCTCCACGTTCCGAGTCTTGATCTGGCCGTCTGCGGGGATGTCGTGTACGGAGACTGCCATCAGTACTTTGTCGAAGCAAACACTGCGGAGAGACGCAAACTCTGGCTCGACGCCCTAGACGTCGTCGATGGACTCAAGCCCAAGATGGTTGTCGCCTCGCATAAAAGAGCCAGCCAGATTGACGGCGCATATCTAGTCAATGCAACGAGGAAGTACATCCTTGACTTTGAACGTCTGGGGGCTGAAGTCAAGAGCAAACATTCGGACGGTAGTGGAATTGAGAATTGGCAAGTCCTCTATGACAGGGTGAAGAAGGCGTACCCTCATCGCTGGAACGACTTCTTGCTCGGACTGAGCGTCAAGGCATATTTCAGCGCGGGCCAGTAGTCACTCGCTATATACCCAGGTACTCGTGTACAGTTAGCAGCTCGTCCTCTTCCAAAATGAATGTGTCGTAAGCCTTGATAAATGCTGTCCACCTATATGGATTTCCCCGTGTCTTTCAGTGCCAAGCAAAGCGTCGTTCTTTCCCCAAATATCGTTTTCCGTCCCCCATTTTCCGTGTTACAGTAAGAACAAATCGACATTCTCCCGGCTCTCCATCGTTCTCATGCATTTTCTCCCTGTTGTGATCTTGCAAACACGGGCTTCCCCATACCAGCAAGAGGTTTCATCCTGATCTCAAGACGGAGTATCTCGATGTTGACCGGTTCAGGTCGACCGAGGAAAGCATGTGGGACATGCAAGAGTCAAAAGGTAGGCAACACAAGTTGTCGTTTTGGTAAACACTGTGGGATTAAGGGAGCCTAAGTACCAGATTTATCTGCTAAACCATGGCTACTTAGATCCGTTGCACCGGGGAGCGTCCTAACTGCAAACGATGTGTGAGGCTGAAGCACCCGTGCGTTTACAACACTGCTTCAAACCATCGCAACAACGCGAAAACGCGCCATGCTTCAAGCAAGACAGAAACCAGGCGCCCTTCTACAGGATCTTATCCAAGTCAACCAGAAAATATGGGAGAAAGCTCGCCAGTCGCAATCAACGCTATCTCTACAAGCGGAATAAACCGACCACCTGTGTCGCAGGAGGGATATCTCGGGATTCCGACAACACTGGTGCCCACATTAGTCGACATCTACTTTGATCACGTCTACAATGCACATCTTCTCCTCCACAAGCCCTCATTTCTTGCATCACTCGCTGCCGGTACTGTTCGGCCACACATTGTACTAAGCGTTTGTGCATGGGGAGCAAAGTAAGCCCTGGTGAGTGGCTAGATCGGAAGAAGATACTGAACTATCCATATAGATTCTACCGAGACGCCAGTGGTCAAGCTACATTGAAAGAACATGGCTTCATGATTGAATGGGCTCAACGTGCTGGCAAGCTTGTTTTCCAAGAGGTAGAGGACCTTGACGAAGACAACATCGTCACTTTTCTCACTCTCGGCCTCTTCTGGCATAGTCAAGGCGCTTGGAGGACCTGTTACTTATACAAAGGTTTTATCAAATTCCACGACCTTGCTGATATCCTGTGACTGACTAGGCTCAGGAACGGCATTCAACTTAATGTCCATCACAGGCCTTGGAGAAGACACAATGCGTGCGCAAAAGTCACTCAAGTGTGAAATCCGTCGTCGTCGGTTCTGGACTTTCTATTTGATGCACTGCCATAATGGCGAAGACTTTTCAATTGTCCGACAAACTGCGGATATCGACAACCTACCCCTTCCGTGGCCGTCGAAAGACTTCAAGAGCGGAATAACCGACACCGCTCCAGCATTTCTCAATTCAAAGACGAGTAATGGGGGAGTTTACATGGAGGTTATTCGAGCATTGACTCTCTGGTATGTTGGCATCAATACCGCTGTTGGCTACATCTTGTACTCACCTGTACCATGTTTTAGGAATTTTGTTCTAGCATTCTTCAAAACCCCCGATGAGCTCAAAACAAGAGTGCCCGCAATTCACGCCCTTGATGAAGAATTATCAATTTGGTGGCTCCAACTTCCTCCCGAGTTTCGCCTGACACCATCTAACCTCATGGACACACCATATGATGAGATACCGCGAGTTATGCTGATCAACATGGTTTATCATCAAGCTCTCTGCGCACTGCATGCTTCTATAGTGCCGCTGTTCTGCTGGGGAGATGGTGATGAGACTTGGCTTTCTGCCCGACTACTCTCCGCGCAAATCGCCTATGAGCATGCCTGTGCCGCCTCAGAACTGATTCGTGCAGTTCTGTCTGACTATGACCGAGTCTGCGCGATGCCTAGTTTTGTCGCCTACGCCGCCTATTGTGGATGTGCCATCCAGATACCATTCATGTGGAGTCCGAACTCGGTCGTGAAGGACAGAGCCCACATCAATGTGAAGGCCAACATGGAGATGATCCGACTAGCAGCCGAGGATTGGAAATTTTCGGCCGTTTTGGTACGTTGGAACTTTGCAGTCAAGTGCAAGATTTGCTGACAAGTCTGTTGTTCTGATAGAAAGTCTTCGTCCGATGCTTGTACAATGTGCACAAGAAAAACCCGGTCGTTTTGGAGGACGAGCCAAAGCACATTGATCCACGCAAGCTGACTAACTTCAGAGTGAACGCTCCCCATGCTCAAGCGTCCATCCTCGAGTTCAACCGGATCTTACGTTCCAAGAACGATGGTTACCTCAGCCCAGGCCAGCTGGAAACCATCGGAATTGAGCAAGACTCCATCGGCGCCGGCAACGGACTCGAGTCTCGGGCCTCGAATCATGTTGCCGACGATGAAAGTAAGTTGCAGTATTTTCTTGGGTTTAGTGACGAGAAACCTTCCGTCTTGGAACATTGACTAATTGAAGACACCGTAGATCCTCCTCTGATCCCAATACCACAGACTCCGAACGATACAGAAGACGACAGTTGGCTTCCTCCCCATGAAGTGACTTGTCAGGTCGCGGATGATCCACCTCTATTGACTCTGCATGAACCACTTGACAATCACTCAAGTAATAGCGCATCAATGTATCCAAATCCAGAGCAGCACCCGCAACACTATGAGGAGCCACTAGGAGTGACAAAATCGCAAAGGGCATCTCATTCTCAACCCGCCGTCATTGTCCCGAACCACACCATCGACATATTCCATCCCTTGCTCGATCCTCAGATGCTGGACCTGTTTCCGGACGGAGACGTTCCCGACTTGTCGCAATTCGACACTAGTCCGTTCAATCTCGATTATTTTGACCTTGAAATGTTGAGTGGCAGTGGTACCAGTGGCCAGGATTCCGGCGGCGGTGCTAGGCTGCCCACTGGAGTGAATAACCACCAGGATATACTGACGTCTGGATGGAGTCCGACGGGCGGTATGGTCTAGTAGAAAGAAACCCATCAAAAATGTCGAAATCTTACCAAGATCCACAGTGAACATCATGTTTACTTTGAACGACGAAGGCCAGGCTAAAGGAAAATAATCCTTTGGACATAAGACTATGAGATATTCGACGCTCGTTCCTTCACGACGTCAACCCGCGGCATCGAAAGATGACCATTGACCTTGTATACCACACCACACTAGCCACGAAACATATCCAAGCATAATCAGAACATATGCAAGATATTGCAAAGATTGGCAGTGGGTCGACCAAGCATACTCGACATATTTGCAAGATATTCCGAAAGGTGGAAATGGGTCACGACCGCCGCCAAGTTTTGTCTACCAATTCAAATCTTGAAGTTATTCGTCCATTGCCGAATGCGTGCACCATAGATGTATAAAGGGATGGTCGTTGAGAAGAGCAAGCCTTCAATGAGCAAGTTGTAACCAGATACCTAGACAAAACAAAAAGATTCAGTACAATTTTTTTGAGGGGGTGGGTTGCCAACATCCATAATCTGTAAGTAAAACTTTACCTTGAGAAAACCATCCTTTGCAATCCACGGAAAGACGGCGAAGCTCAGTCCAAACGCAAAAGTGTTTTTGAACGCCGTCAACACCGTCATGGTCTCGCCGGCCAGGGCTCTATAGCTATCTACCACATAGGTCATGGCGACCGCGGGCACGGCGCAGAGGACGCCATACGTAATGGCCGTACCGACGATCGGTACCATGTGGTTCAACCGGTCTTCGAGACCGCAGCCCCAGAGCATCAAACCGACCGGCGCCACGATCGACGGCGGAATGAGGCACCACAGTCTGTACTCGGGGACGAAGAATCCTCCATGACGCCTCGTGATGAATTTGATGATCCAGTCGCTAAAGGGTCCTCCTGCGGCAGAGCCCACCAAGGCTGCGACGAGGTACTGATTGAGAGGTTATCACTTGGTGCCAATGGGACAAGGGGGCAAGCAATCGGACGAACTTACCGAAAGATTGATGTTTCCAACGGCTTGCGGACTGAAACTGTAAAGCTGCGGGAACGCGCTAGAGTTTGTGTTTATCTGGAGAATAAGCCAGCCCAGACAGACACCGTAGACAAGCGAGCACCAGACGACGGCCGGATATTGCAGAGTGAGCCAGGGCCGCCACCACAACCACAAGATCGACACGTTGCGATCGTACCCGCGAGTGACGCTGAGTGAGTCGACCCAGCGAACGTCCGCCCGGGCACGAATCGCCGCGAGAGCCGAAGACGGCAATCCCTCGCCCGACTCGTTCTCGACCGGTCGTTTGAAATTGGTCTCTGCTTGAAAAACGATGACCGTCAGGAAGAGGAAACCCGTGAGGATGACGTTCTTCCAAAACACCCAGCGCCAATTCGGGGTCGCGCTCGCCACGAGTCCGGCGAAGACGCCACCCAGGGCCGATCCCACGGTGAACATGAGCGAGTAGAAGCCGACCCAGAGGCCGCGTTCGTGGAGGAAGAAGAGGTCCGCGACGACGGCGAGGCCCAGGGCCTCGCAGGAACTGGCCGCGAAGCCTTGCACGATGCGGGCGCCGAAGAGGGAACCCCAGGACTTGGCGACGGCGGCCCAGATGCTCGAAACAAAAAAGAGGCCGGAGCACATCAGAAGGACAGGCCTCTTCCCGATTTTTTCGGACAGTGGAACCCAGAACAAATTGCCCAGACCTAAAAAGAGGAGGTTGAAGGTGACCAAGTAGCTCCCCTTGTCCAGGGAAACGTCGAATTCCGCGATGACCGAGATGAGGATGGGTGATATGCTGAGTGTGATGTAGTTGGACAGAAAGACAAAAAAGCACACGCTGGTGACCGCTGTGGTTTTGCGCCGTGGGGACCACGTCTACAGGGGAAACTTCAGTCTTTTGACGTTGCCGAAATAGAGAGAAAAGGGTACTGACCAAAGGATCGTTGGGATCGTCCGTGGGCCTTGGGAGGAGAAGTCTGTCCAAGACCTTGCCATTACTGTCCTCTTCATACATGAAAAGAGAAATAAAAAAAGGGTCAGAGCGTTTTGACTAAAATACAACGTCGCGGGAGGGGTTCGTGAATCGTAAAAGCTTGTGGACATGAAAAAAAGCTCACTCACCTTGATACAGATGAGACGTGGTCGCCGCGCTGCCTCCTTCGAGGACATGGAGTTTCGACTCTTCGAAGATAGATGGTTGTTCGTCGTGAGATGTGGCATCTTTGATTTCCATGATGTGTGATGTGTCGATGATGAGAACAGGGATCTGAGATGACTGGAGTTACAGCCAAGATGGGTGGAAGAAGCTGGATATTCAAACTTGAGAAGAGCTATCGTATACCAGACCTATTTATCTAGATGAAGACAGGTCTAGATGGGGTTTAGGTATCTCTACCCAGGTACACGGAAAGTATAAACTGGGGTTTGTCCCTTGTGCCTCCTCATGGATACTCCGGACTTTTGCTTTGTTCTTTTTCAAAACGCGGGAAATTCATTGTCCAAACTTCTCCTGTTTCTCCATGTGGCCTGAGATTTGTGGAGGTGGACCCAGACATGTTCTTGTTCAGTGCGCGGTTGGGGAGGGAGGGCCGCAGTCTTGGCCGTTCCTGGGAAATGTAAATAGACGGGGGGGTTTTTTGGCCTATTGGCGTGGTGTTCTAAGCCGGGTTTCTCGCCTTGAACTGGCACAGCGGACACGGCGAACACCGCGAGTTGCTGGTTATAGGGGTCGTGAGGTGTGTGACGGACTCCTGGTGCTAGCTAGGTTGGTGTTTTTGCAAATGCGCAAAGGTTTGCCGAAGCCGGACGGAAAACTATTTTGATATGCCGTGTTCCGCTCCGCCAAATCCTCTTCTCCTTTTCTCAGCGTTGTGATGATCACCGTTAAGAATTGCTGAGGGTGTGCGGTGTGTCTACCGGCTTGGACGGAGTAGTTGTCGCTAGAGGTGTTCGTATCGGCCCCGAGAGTGTAGACTGGATCACTCGTCGTGTAACTTTTTGCCGTTTCGATACCACCTTCTACCGAGATCCCAAAAGAAGAGATATTTACAGAAACAGAACTCACTTACTTGGTTTTGACGCAACAATGGCCTCTTGGATAGAGATCAAAGAAGACTCGGATTTCTCGCTCAGAAATCTACCCTATGGCGTGTTCAGCACGGATGGGCCGAAGCCACCACGTATCGGCATCGCCATTGGCGACCATGTTCTCGACATGAGCGTCCTAGCCGCGGATGGAGTCTTTGACGATATCGGGTTTGATGTCAAGACAATCACCGGAGAGACGACGCTGAATTCGTACGCGGCCCAGGGGAAGGATGTACATTCCAAAGTTAGGAAACGACTTCAGGACCTGTTGGAAAAGGAGACGAAGTTGGGGTCTCTGTTGCGAGACAACCAAGGTCGACGGGCCAGAGCACTCGTGCCCATGAACAGCGTTAAAATGCACCTACCCATGGCCATTGGCGACTATACCGACTTTTTTATCGGGTTGCATCATGCAGTTATTGTGAGCTTTTCCCCATTGTTGTTGTCGTCGTCGTCATACAAAAGTTACGTTGGTGGATGAGAGTATATATTGGGAGCTGACGATTATTTTTGGTTACTTGATGAGACATCCAGTGTGCGGATGTCATCAAACCAGGAGCCAAAATCGAACAACTCTGTCCGTGTTTTTACAATCTGCCAGTTGCTTACAACGGGCGGGCCTCTTCGGTCGTCGTCTCGGGCACACCGTTTCACAGACCCCGAGGACAAGTTCCCGTCGAGAATGGGCAGATCGTGTCTGGTCCTTGCAGGAAGCTTGACTTTGAAGTCGAGTTTGCCTGTTTCATCGGCAAAGGCAACGCATTTGGGCAGGAGATCAAGGTCGACCAGGCCGAGGAACATATCTTTGGATTTGTACTCATGAACGACTGGTCGGCCAGAGACATTCAGTTTTATGAGGCCCCGATGATGGGCCCGTTCAACGGGAAAAGTTTCTGCACGAGCGTGTCGCCCTGGGTTGTCCCGTTGGATGCACTGGAACCATTTCGCACTCTGCCGAGTGAGACACCGGTGAGGAATGAATTTCTGAAGGAGTCGACTCTTAGTGAGATGGAATTTACTGATGATGTTAGATGAAGCGTCTCCTCGCCGATTATTTGACCGGAAAGAAGACCAAATCGGCGTACAATATTCCTATAAAGGCAACTCTCGAAGGTAAGCATTGGATTCCAAGGTGAGGTGGGAGGACATGAAAAACTAAATGACCGCCAACAGCCAATTCGGAACGTTACGACATTGCGACGTGCAACACAAACAACGTCATCTTCTCTTTCCCACAGATGCTTGCTCATCATACGCGAGGTGGGTGCCCGTTACGACCAGGAGACCTTGTCGCCACTGGCACGCTCTCTGGACCTACAAAAGCAGAGTCAGGATGCTTCTTCGAGCAGACCCGTGGTGGTAAAGAACCATATGAGTTGAAAGCTTTGAAGATGGGGAAAGGAAGTGTTCAAAGAGGCTTTTTGGAAGACAATGATACTGTCGAGTTCAGAGCCCAGGTCAGTCTCGGGGATGGACTTGGAAATGTAAGCTTTGGGGTCTGTGGTGGAAAAGTACTGCCTGCCCTGTGATCGAAGACGTGGGCTCGTGGAGGATCTGGTCAGCTAGAGGAGAATCCAGCGGAGGTTGTCCGATCTAGATAATGGCAGCTCGTCCGCTGTCCTTGAGGTAGAGAAGGAGAGAGAAATAGTATCAAAAGCTGAGAAAGACAGGAGCTGTAGTGAAAAAAATGGCCCGGTCTGACAACGATGATTAATGCTGTTGTGTCCTATAAATTTCGAAGTCTGCCAGACAAAGGCTTTTTGTGCTGACCTGTCAGACACCAATTTCTGGTGCATAGCATTGACTGGTCTCGAACTTATCAGTATTTGCTATATACTAGGCTGAGACCATTTCATACCATAACAAAAACTAGATGAAGGTGGTGTTATCTTTCCAGCCATTGACGGTATTGACATGAAAATTTGTGTAGTCAGCAGCTCTCGTTATGAAAGGGTGGTTGTAGCTCCATGGATGTCAATATTCACTTGCAATTGCCCGATCTCCTGTGCAGATTCACCTGCCAAACCGTAGCCACTGCTCGCTTTCCCTTTACTGCTCTGCTTTCTGCTTACCAGGTACTGCCTCTCTCGTTCATGATTCCTCTTCAGTTCCTTCAACATCATCAACCCATCGATCTCTTCTCTGCTCATTTGGCCCCGCTACTCTATCCTCTTCTCATACACGCAACGTCATGGCGAGCACTCAACTTCCTGACCACATGTCCCTTGCTTACAAGAGGTACAAACGTGACACTGAAACCGTTGCAGCCTGGTTAGCTGAAAAGGCATCCAAATTGGGGTTCGCTGCCTCAACGTCCTCTCCCTCCCCCAATCTGCCCAAACTCAAAGGAAGAGCTCGTAAGCTGGCTCGTGATGCCGCAAAGGGCTCACAGTCAACAATATTGAATGGACCCAGACACTCTTACACGGTCAAGACGACCGACTTCATCCAGATGGCAACCATAATCGTCAACGCCCGTCCCAAAATCACCCTCGGTAGATCTCTACAAACCGTCTGGCAACGAGCCATCCAAGCCAGACGTTTCTTCAGTACCTGGTTCAGATCTAGGTCCAACGTCGATCCCCTTGCTGACGAGAAGCACGCTCATTTCACCACGGTTCTTGAAAAAGCCCTGGAACTTCTTCAACCATGTTGCGAAGTGCCAGAAGCACCCGAATCTCCACCGAAAGTCAAGGAAGAAATGTCCGAAACACCTTTGGAACAGATGAACAACATGTTTCAGAATCTTGAAGTTGAGGAAATACAATCAGATGATGAAGAGCCGGATATAGAGATGAAAACTCAGAGAGCAAAACAACCAGCACCAGCTCGTGCATGCATCGAATTCAAAGAGGAAGAGGCCGAGGCAGAGTTCCTCTTTGCCATCTGGTCATTTCTGCAAGATATCACTGCGGTCAGAGCATATGTCGCTTGCACGTGGCAACTGTATTCGGCTGGAGCCATTGAACTGATGCAGTGTGCTAGTGTGACTAACTTTGCAGTCGATTTGGTCCGCAGAGCAGAAGCTGATTTCGAGGCCTCTTTGCAGCGTCCATTGAAGTATCCAGCCTCAGAGTTCCCCACCGGGTCTTTGCCGTTCCTCATCTTCAAGCTCCATCTGGACAAGACAAATGGGGGTCCACTCGACTTTGATCCAGATCTACCATTCTCGATCATCATCTGTGGCTGTGAGATATGTGACATGTTGCTCTATGTGCCATGGGCCATGGCCAAGTCATATGTCAATGTGTTGTTGGAGTCTCCTCCTATCATACCCACTTCGAACAATGGTTTCTCAGTCAATGTACCCGGTTTTCCTTCTGCGAAGACCTACCGCGCCGAATTCTACCATGCGAAGAATCCCAGCCAGAAGGCCACGGATGACCTTCGAGAAATACTTCCCACCTCTTGCATGCTATCGCTACTGTTCAAAAAGACTTTTATTGAGGATGAGATACTGCACGCTGCACGTCATCTCATTGAGAACCATAATGTCCCGGTCTGGGTCACCTTTGCTTTCCAAGTACAGCTCGACATGCAACGACTCAATACCATCCAACCAATTCCGGCGTTCAAGGAGTTGGTGGAATCTTATGCTGATACAAAATCACGATACAAAGCCCACCGAGACTGGAGCAAATCTCTTGGACATAAAATCTGGGAACTTGATGGGAATGTTCGCTCACTAGTCAAGGAGTTCGGTGAATGGATCGAAGGTTCTAAGTGCGGCAGAGCTGACCCTACCGAATACAAGCTCAGACTCGCTGCAGGTCAAGATATGGCGTCCGCCTTGAAAGACATCAAGAGGATCCCCTTGGTCGAGCTCTTTCCTTTGACCTGCGGAACATTGAAGACTCAGATGTACCTCGAATGGCATGCATCGGGCCTGAAACTCGTCAATGATACCGGCCATGTTTCGATGCTTTGTCACCTATACAACGCACTGAGAAACCTCAACCCGGATGCTCCTATTTGGCCGGACTTGGAGCTCGTCATTCGCAACCAGGACCCTGCCCGAGTCTTTGTCGGTGGAATACCCAACACCTTAGAAGACTCTCTAAAGCGGTTCTACCTTACCATGGGCATGTCCTCAAGTATGTTAGCACGAGGTTCGAACAATATGAGTTTCAGGAAACACAATGCTCTGAAACACCGGTTCCAAACAGGAGCCATAGCAGAGAATCTTCTCGTTCGGTGTCTGGGCCACGGAACGCGCAAGGTTGATGAAGTGGCGTACCGAATGCAACAAGTGCTCTTCGATCCCAAGTACAAGAAGGACCTCATCCAAAGACTCTTCATTCCAGTACAGTCCAAGTCGAGTAATTTGAAAATGACACTTCTGGAGACCGAGATGGTTCGTGTTTTGATAAGCTTCTCCGAGGGCTTCGCTGCTGAAATGCCTGCATTCATGTTCGATTACTTTGCCATGGAACGCAAGTGCTACGACTTCTACCTGGGACTCAGAGACTCGTACCGGATGAGGATGGACCAGCATGAGATGTCTCAGGGGAAAGAAAAAGAAGAGCTCGACAGCCCCATATCTATCACGATTGCGATCTTGACGACAGCTCGAAATGGGGAAGCAGTCACGCAGTACCTGAGATCCAATAGAGCTAAGCACAAGGCTCAAGGACCTGCGATTGCAAAACTCATGAAATCAAACATCATGCGATACAAAGATGAGAAGATCAACGACACTATAGAGAGCATGATTGACCTTACTCGTAAGGGTGGGGCTGCAGAGGTGATCCAGAAGTACGTGGACATCTCTGAATATGCACTGGCTCGAAACGCCTTTCAGCCTATGTCAGCGACGCTTCAGGAGTTTCTCAAGACAAACCAAAGTGATGGGGAGATTCGAAAGTTGAAGACCAAGGTTGGAAACTCTGATTATGGAATCCATTTGTTCTGCAGAGCCAGTCTTCAGGCACTCTATGGTTCCCAGCCTCCCGAACTGTGGACCGATCTGTTAGTATCAGAGGACAGAATCGACGATGCGTTGAAGAGCACCGCCGCCAATCCTATCCTCGTGCTCTGGACCATCCTGCACCTGCGTCAGGAAGGAGTGATGTGTGGGAAAGGTGAAGACTCGCATAGCGCAAGACATTTGCAGGAGATCAGCCGTGCCGAGCTTGCAGAATTGAACAAAGGCCAAACACGAAACGTCAAGAAGTCGTGAGCATGTTCAGCATGCCGTTCGGACGCTATTGCTTCATTGTCGTGGGAAATCTCTACTTTCAGCCATCAAATCGAAAAGTGGTCAAATAGGCCGCGATACCTGGGTTGGGGAGCTGAGAACTTGTTCAGGTATGGAGAGCATCTCTTTGCAAGGATTTCTGCTAGCAGAATGAAGGTAATCGAATAAGGAGCTATGTGATATTAAGAAGTTTGCAGAGAACCTGGGCATGATCAGATGAAAGGCGTGTTCAGAGTAATATGGAATATCTCGTGTCAAAAGGAGAAAAAGGAGCATGGTGCAGCTAGTCCTGTTTTAGATTAGATCTTTTTATCCTCTAGAGAACGCCCGGCTTTCATCTTCCTCATTTTCTATTTCTTCAGTCACAGTGCCGACCAGGCTCGTTTGTTTTCGCTGAGCATTTAATATATCGACACAAGAGCAATGTGTCGTCACCTTCGAACATGGCTACCCTGACCGACGAATGAACCACTCCAACAACACCGTCAACAGAGTAAATAGGAAGCCTGGTCGGAATGAACAATGTGAAGATGCACCTCCATTGACAATCTAAAACTATAACGTCTGATCAGAAAGAATGTCGACTCCTCGGTCCCCTCGCAGGGCCTGTGACAGATGCTACAAGCACAAAGAACGGTGTCATTTTGATGATTCCGCCGCGGAGAAATGTACTCTCTGTCAAAGCTCCAAGTCACAATGCACCAACTCCCGGGTCCAATACCGCTCTGGTCGACGGCCGAAAGTGTCGACGTTTGGCCCCGACGGTTCTTCGATCCAAGTATGGGCCGTCAAAGACTCTTTGGGCGTCAAGGTCAATAACAACAAGAGTCGCAAACGTCGAGGTGAGCAACTCACCAAGTCGACATCGAATCCCAATGTGAAACTTGATGGGAACGGCAACGGTGATGATAGCACAGTACCACAGTCGACAACAATATTGTCCACACTATCCGGGGTTGCTCAAGTCGACTCTGCCTCGACCCAGACCTCGACCGACGAACGATACTACTCATCCGCCAGCCAACTTTACGAATCGTCACCTGAAATCCTCGAACAATTTTCTCAGGTCTATGATTTGTTCATGTTGGGCCCGACCTTTGCGGAAGGGTTCCGGGCCGCGATCCGTCTGTCCTTTTTCTCCTCGCCGGCTTTGCTGAAAGAAATCTTCGAGGCCATCCATTCCGTCGTCACAAGAGCCAAGGACTTTGTCGTCGACGTCGACGACAACGACGACAGCCACCGGCAACGACAACGACAACCCTACGTCGAGGCCGATATAATGGTAGGGGCGGCGGCTCTCGAAAAGTTGCGGACCGTCCAGATCAAAACCGTCCAAGACGCTCTGGCGGTCAACGCGCTAGGTCAAACCTTGGCCGCTTTTGATCTACTCACCGGGTGCAACGATCCGGCTTTGATTCTGAGGTACTCCTTGTCTTCCATCGAACCTTGGTACGGTGAGTTGTCGAGTGACCCTGCCTTGGACCCTTTTACCATCACCTCCATCTTTTGGGACACGGCTTCTTGTCTGTTGCGTCGAGACGTGCCCGTCCTGAGGTACACTTATCGTGACCATCATCATCGTCACAACCACGACCACAATGAAGATGAAGATGAAATGAATCACAACAACTCCAACACCACCACCGGCGGCACCGTCGTCGAACGGTCCGCCGGTCTATGTACGACCCTTTTACCGATCCTCTACGACCTGTGCGTCGTCAGTAAGGAACTCGACGTCCAACGCCGTTGTGGCATCCCGGGGAGCATAGGACCCGTCCGGCGAGTCGGCGAGAGTCTGGAGCGGTGGGCCCCCGACCTCGACGCCCTCGCAGTCGCGTGCGAATCCCACCGCCGGAACTTCTCCCCCAACGAGAAGCTCGAGATGCACTCGCAGGCGGTCATGTATCGTCTGGCCGGCCTGTTGCTGGTCCACCGAATCTTGAACCCCTTCGGTACGCTCGACGGGACCGCCGCCCGGTATGCCCGGGACATCCTGGATGCCATGTCGAGGTTTTGCGCCTCCGCCGCCGCCGCCGCCGCAACCACCACATCCCCCACGTCCCCCCCGCCAGCGGAAACGAAGGCGAAAACGAAGACGAAGACGAAAATGCACAATGTTGCCTTACCTCTACTCGTAGCTTCTCTCGAAATTTCCACCATCCCTCCAGACATTTGGCAAAATGTCTCCTTGTCCAGTTTTGCACCCGTGTGCGTCACCAAAATGCAAGCTCTCGTAGATCATGTGTGGACAGAAAGGCGACGAGGCTCTAAACAGTTCATGTTGGACTTGATAGCAACAGGACCGAATTTTATTGTCGTCCCATAAGTCATCAAATGGTGCGACGATTGAAAGCTACTTAATATGGTGCCAAAAGGACCTGCCTCAGCTCTGTGTTTCTAATGTCTTGCATAACTTGTGATGCTATCATATACCTAGACTGGTTTGTCCATGGATAACCTCATATTCACTACCATACATATTCAGTTGGCAGGCCTTCCCATGCTGACATGCCAAAAAAAGCATCGGCTCCGGCTAATAGGTACCATGTTGTCACCTTACACGTAATAACCACACTGCTTGCGGTACTAGGCCATCACAAAAGTTGGTCTATGCTTGGGCGATAAGCATTGTCTTTGCTCATACTTCGATGTAATAGACCCAAGGACGATTGCCCATCAATGGGAAATCTTCCTCGGTCGATGCTGAACATATCTCGGTGTTTGCCAGATGACATTGCCCTGGGTCGACCCTCAGGATTGGTCTTGGATCTAGATCTCCCTGGACCAGCTTTCTTTGGGTACATTTCCGACATGCTCGCTCTCGTACCGCCGACATAGGAAGCGGGCCCTTCGGGGCTGAAATTTCCAAAAGGTGCATGTTTGGGTTCCGCGCTGGCATCGGCAACGACATTACTATAACGTGGTTGCTGCTCCTTCGACCTTCGTGGCTCTTCTCCACGCTTGATGTCTTTGCTGGGTCGCCTAGTTCTTCTGTCTCTTCGGTCTTCTCGAATACGAAGTTCCCTCTGCTGATTGATCATGTTGCGCTCTCTCTCGCTGAGCATGACTTTCCGAGGCGGAGAGTCAGCTGGAACATCAAATTCCGATTCAGAGAACCCAAGTCCGGAGGTCGAGACTTGTAGTCGAGGTAATCGTGGACCTTCACGCACCGGAGAGACTTCGGACCCTTCTGCGATGTGGCAATGGTAACAGCTTGGACGTTTTGTTACATGATGATGTGAAGAGGCGTTGAGTCTGGGCCGATTAGGATCTGCGTTCTCTTCCGTCGTCTCGGCTTCGTCCTCTCCTTTGCAATGGCCATGACTGTGAACTCTCCTCGGTGAATTGTCAATGGCTGTTTTGAGGTTTTCCATGTCCGCCAATGGAGGGATATCTGCTTCGCTCCTTGCATTCTCAATTGAGCGTCGCACTGGAACAACAAAAGCTTGACCCTGGAAGTATGCTGCGGGAGTAGGGACACTGGGTGGTAGCGGGACCGTCCTGGCACGCTTCGCTTCGATCGATGCCGCCACTTGCGCGAGAGAATTGGGCAAGATATCCAACGAGTTAATGGGTATTATGGTCACAGGAAGCTGTACGGCGACAGTCTTGAACCTTTTGACAGTCACAATGACATTGACAAAATATCTGACCTCGAAATACCGGCCCGTGCTGATGGTGACATGACCTCGCGGTGCTTCAAGCTCGACCGTTCTGACATCTGATGAATGGGATGGAACACCTTGCCAGGAGTCAGACATCTTGACGCTCGTGGTACTGACGGTTTCCGTATCCGTGCGTTTGGGCAAGCGTAGATGAACTGCACTTTTCTCAAACGTCCCCGCTGGTGCATGAGTATACCACAAAGTGGTTTTCTCTAGTTGAACCTCGATCTTCCGGACTGTCTTAGCGGAGTTATTGGAAATGTGAATGTCGACGAAGATCTTGGCGCCGTTTACCCACGTCTGACGGTGCAGGCCTGCAGTCAGCTTAACAGTCTGAAGCTCAGGTTCCGTTGCGAGATACAGTGTATCCGCTGCCAGAAGAGGACTAGGCAAGCTTGCAAGTGCTTTCTCTGGGTCATGTACAGTGAGCATCTGGATGCTCCAGGTCTGTCTCACAGTGCTCCTTTTTTCACCTATTTTGATCACAAGCGAAGGACACAAAATGTAACGAATTGATGCTTGTTTAGAAGCATAAGGTGGCGGTCCAAGCTTCAGGGGCAAGTTGACACAGAATGGAATGTTCGTCTTTGCTGATTTGAGCTCCCACCATATTTCGGGAGTCTCTGCAGGTTGCTGAGATGTTACAAGGGATGGCGGAGGTGGAGTTTCCTTGTCAAATAACTCGGTAGCTAGGGACAAGAATACCCATCTTCTACCGTCGTTGATTTCCTCGACCCCAATGACATCCACAGAAGCTCTAGAGACATATATTGGCTTCCATTTTGGCTTCCGAGGGGCACCTCCGTCGACTCCAATGGACATGTGACCCTCAACAGTGCCGCCTCCTACGAAGAGCGGCGAAGGAAGACGTATCGACAAATCGACCCGTGGATGTCGCATACTGCCGTTGTCCAGAATCTCGTGGGGGGGAGAGGTCCGGATGAAGGTTCGTGTCAGAGACGGCCGGAAGATCTCAGCTGACTGAGCGCCGCGATCGACCGCACGGCGGACAGGAGACCGAGCTCGTCCTCTGTTGGGGATCATTTTGCCAATGCCATCCAACTCAGAAGCCTTCCAGGTAGGCAACTCTTGTAGCGAATTTGGCTTCGATCCGGCAAGGCCCTGGGAGAAGATGCTCGCCGACGATCTGCGCTCTGGTACGCATTTCCGTGGAAGGCTTATGGCACTCACAGCACGGTCACCCAGAGCGGTGAAATTTCGAGGCTCCGAGTGGTTGGGAGTGGGTGGTAGATAATCAGAAGAGGTGGTTTGGGAAAGATTATCTGGTCTTGGAAGAGGCCTTCTCTTGGGGGTATCGTTGGCGCCATCTGTCCATTCACCGGGATGATCGCCTGTGGAGGTAGCCTTCGAGGACCCTGAGACTTCACGAATGTCCGAAAGTTGATTGATTCGGTGCCTGGCCAATGCCGAAATTGGTCTTGTAACGCTCTCAAATCGTGCAGACAGAGGCAGTCGGGGTGGTTTCCGAGCATCTTCGGAGGAATGCTTCTTGCTGAGGAGGAACCGCTTTGGAGGGTCTGATGAATGTCAATTCAGAAATTCGAAAGGACGATGGCCACACTCACCTTTTACCGCCCATTGCTCCATCGCAAATTAACAATGTCGAACATGACATATGCATGAGACCAACAAATTCCTAGAACAGACCAAAAAGTGAGCCAGACTTTGCACAATGAATGTAACCTCACCAAGCACAGCCTCGAACCGTGTAAGTCAACGCGTAAGAGATGAATGCGTGAGGAGAGAGCACATTTTCGACCTGCCAGGCAAGAACAGATCCATCATGTTGTTCCTGCGGCTGCTTTCTTCGTACTAAAAGGAAACAGCATGGGAGTGTCCTCCATCCAACACGCTACTTCCTCGCCGACATCAAGCATAACTCTTGCGGCACGGGTGACAGATAGGAACATCTGAAATAATTCCCCGTACTCCGTACATATAGGTCAGTATAGCATGTAAAGACGAGGTTCACCTATGCGTTGACATGACTCGAGAACAGAAATGATTCTGCCAGAGTCGATGGCTCAAGTTGAGTCAGTTGCACGATTATGACTAAACCTGGGCCAAGACCTTTGAAGGGCGATGGCGTTCAGCTGTCACTCTCTAGTACTGTATAGTACATACTGTACCCAAGGCTCTAGTTTCGCTTGCTTTGGTTATGTGGTCAGTACTGGTGGAGAACGGTTGGGCTCGAGACCGATCAAAGCTCAAGGTGATTGAGACGATTACAGGTAAGCGTACCGTGCAATACTGACTGACACCCATGCATCCTGGACAGGGAACGAGAATAGGCGCCTACGAGCACTCGTTACACCGTACGAAGACCTCCCTACCTCTACGAAATACTCGGACATTGCCAAGCGAAGCCTCGCTTGTCTAAAGACTACCGACCCTGCAGTCTCTCCAGCCTTTTTGTGGTTATCGTTCCCACAGAAACGGGGCGATCACACAAACGCCGGGGCCATAACCTGGGGAAAGGGCAAAGAAATGCATACAATATTGACAAAGGGACTGGAGCTGCGGGCACCATTCAGATTCAAATACGCGCAAAGCTAGGTGGATAAGACACCCTGCAGTAAGAGCTGAGGGACTGAGGTTATGGATCGCACTTCCACCTCGTATCCGGTTGAGGTACAATACGAGGAGTTACGCCTAGCGAGGGCCTTCCATATTCCACGGAGAAAGGCGACCAGAATAAGGGGCGGGGATGGATGAGCTTGGAGTGTGGTTCGTCCGTCGAGACTCGGCTGATGCAGGGCGGCGCTCGCCTGACGTTGGATCAATGTTGATCTGCTATTCCCCTTCGACGTCTAGGCGCCTCGACTACGCTGTTTATAGGCAACAGACGCGGTGTGAAGTCTTTACTATTGGCTCCCGCACTTGGGAAAATTTCGAAGCCCCCAAGCATGAAAATTTTTCTTCCACGTGGCGCATCTTACAATGTCCCATTGACCAACCTCCGATGTCGTTCAATGCTCCTCGGGCTGGGAGGAGAAATTTTCATGCTGGGAATACGAGGCAACAGTGGCTTCTGAAACACCAGCCCTGGATGCAAGATACGCGCATCTTTTTCTTTAATCGTCGACTAGTCTTTTGCGCCTCGCCAGGAAGGAGGATGATCCCGTGAAGCCGCGATGATCGACCTATTGCTCTCAGTCCGAGTGTCTTTCCAATGAACACCGGCTTCCAGCTGCTCCCGCTCCGACACCTACTACTGTACGAGTATTCCCTTCGCCCCATCTTCAGACACCGAGAGAAGTGGGATAACCAACTCTATCCCTACTATAATTATCCGGAAAACAAAAGCAAAAACAGCACCAACTAAAAGCCTTGTGACCTTCCCTGCCCATCCGTGGAAGATCACGCCCGAAACAGGTCACCCCGTCTGCACTTTTCCTTCCAGCCTACCATACTCGGACCACGCTCAACCTCCGCACGAGCCCGCTGCTTCCTTCCCCTCGATTGAAAATTTGTTAGCTCATTTGATTACCTCACAACATCCCGTCTGTGGGCGTGTTCACTGCTTCTTCCTTCTCTTATCTCTATTTCCAGTTGTCAACAATCTATCTCGTTACGTTTCGAATATCCCATCTCTAACGCGCGGATCTATTCTTGCTATCCCCGGTCGACTATCTTGACTTGTTATTGGTGCTTATGCCAGGCACATCGCCTTAGGCTCGCGTGGAGACAGGCATGGGCTCAGTCGCAAACTCCGACGTTACGCTACCCGACGCTGTGGTCCCTAAACGTGAGCCTAGTATCGAGAGATATACTTCCTCCGCAGCCTCGTCGCCTGAGCGTGATGATAGTGCTGGCGCCGTCTCGGAGAAGACCAACCAGGAGCCGGCGCCAGCACCGAAACGCAAAGGAGGTCGGAAGCCGGTATGTTTTGTCTTGGGACCCTCCTGGTACATATAGCCTTGCAGACTGACGGCGTTTCAGATATATGCCACGTCCGAAGAGCGTAAACAGAGAAACCGCCAGGCTCAAGCAGCATTCCGTGAACGACGAACGGAATACATCAAGCAATTAGAGACCACCATCCAACATCATGAGGAGACATTGCAGAATCTCCAGCAGAGTCACCGTGCTGCGGCTGACGAGTGCCTGATGTTGCGCTATAAGAACTCATTGCTCGAGCGCATACTTCTAGAGAAAGGTCAGCTAATTCTCATGAGTTCAACCTTCGCTTTGACTGACATACCTAGGCATTGATGTCCAAGCCGAACTTGCCCTCAAGGGCAGTCCCAATCTTCGCCCTCACCGTGCGCCTCCCATCACGGGTCAAGCATCACCCATGCAGAAGGCCATGTTGAGTCGTCAGCAGCAAGCGAGACATCGTCCTGCAATGGCCCCGCCTATTCAGACTGTAAATTCATCTTCCCAGGTTGGTGGACAACGAAATTTCGCAGGCTCACCCAACGTACAGCCCACTCCACCTTCACAGCATTCATCACCCTCAACAGCACGATCGCCCGGGTTTGCCTTGCAAGGTGGGATGACTTCACCCGCCACTGATATGACAAGCCAGCAACAGCAACCAGGAGGCCGTACACTACCACCTCCACAGCACCAAAACTATGCGCCGCAGCGTAGAGTCATGGCACGTTCTATCTCGAATTCGAACGCTCCTCACGGATTTCCGCAGCGTCCCCAGCCAAATCCTACAATGCAAGACAATTACTATCCTGCCTCTTTTCAGAAACATTATTCGCAGCTGGGCAAGTGGTCCCCTTCTTTCTTATTGCCCCTGTTTGTGGAGCTTTGTTCGTCCTAGACTGATTCCGTGAGTACAGAGCAGGAATACGATGCACAGCCTGATATTATGGACGAATTGGACGGCGACGATGTCGATACCGACAGCTTCATTCCTAACTTCCGACTTCCTCCTACGACTGGGAACACAATGCAAATGGGCATGCAAGCCTCGCCCCCTATGACGACGAGCGCTGCTAGCGACGGAGGCAGTGGAAATCTCTTGATTGATCCGTACGACCCAATGTTGGATGCGGATCCATTCGGTCTTACTGCAAGCATGCATTTTCCGAATCCCTATACATATCCGCCGTCACAAGCCAGGAGGTAGGTTCCTCCAAGGTAGACAGACATGGAAAGCGGATTTGTATGTCCTCACGGTTTCGTAATGTTCACGAAGTATTGTTAGCGATGGCGCTTCTGTGATCGCATTTTACCAGGCTGTGGCGCTCTCGCGGAAAAATGGAGTTTAGCTCGTCCCGTTGAGTCATTGCTTAGGAGACCAAGGGGTCTAGATGTGTATTTAACGCCAATAAAAGCAAGTATAAAAGCTGAAGCTGTCGTGATTCCTCGCAATACACAACGCACCGTAAGGAAACTGATATTCATCACGTGCAGCCCTAATGCCAAGTTTTCCTCCAAAAGTGGCCTAGCGCGATGCATGAGGTCACGCTAGCCAATGGCTTTGAGAATTTCATCATGCATTGCAAGAATGCGCCTGTAACCTCAGTCTTCTCTAAATCGGACACGAACCCCTACTCGACGCGACAAGATCCTAGTTTGAAGGAGCTTGTCTTGGTCGAGATTCCTATTCTTCCACTCTCGAGTTGGAGTTTCAATAAAGCAAAGCCTTCACGGAAGGCGCTCGAGAGGAAAACGTCATGGCGGACGTCAAGAGCAAGGTGAGCATCAATTCCATCTCATCATCCCATCCACAGCAACGGGTTCATCGTCATCATTCCATTTACTGACTTGTTTGTGCTACAGAACCTCTACGAGCTATTGGGTACCTTCTTTCCCGCGCCTTGTAACGACTATTTGTCATTGACTCTCATTCAGGCAATACCTCGGACCAGGATTCTGACCGCGAACCTGAACCACCGACCAAAGCAGTTGATAAAACGGCAGCGCGAGTTGGCAAGCGCGATGCTCCAAAAGCAGCACCGACTGATGCATCCTCTGCTCGCGGTCGCGGTGGCCGAAGAGGTGGATTCACTGGCAGCGAAGCAGGTATGGAAGCTCGAAACATAAGTGAAAATTTCCATTTTTACTCACTTCATGGGCAGCATTCCGCGATAGAGCCACTGGCCGTACGTACAACCGTGATCAACCAACTGAAGGCGAGGGTGCGGATGGTTTCGGCAACAGACCAGGTCGCACTCAAGGCTCGGCTGGCACACGACGAGGTGGTCGCGGCGGTCCTGCCCAGCGTCGCGGTGGCGATCGACACGTGAACCGCACCGGCATTGCGTGAGTAGCATGTTCAACTTTCTCGCATTCCTTACTGACAATCTTTTCGCAGCGAACACCCTAAGCAGGCCGGTCATGGCTGGGGCGAAGCTACCGGCGAGGGCGAATGGGCCGATGAAAAAGCCGGTGAAGCAATCGCCAAGCAAGAAGAAAAGGAAGGTGGATGGGACGCAGGTACTCAGGCCGAAGGCTGGAACGAGAATGCTGAGCCAGTGGCCCTTCCCGAGGGTGGCGAGGCTGTTCCCGACGCTGATGCCGAAGCCGAGTCCAACCACAAGTCCTATGCCGACTATCTGGCCGAGAAGGCGGCTCAGAAGCTCCAAGGTCTTGGTCTCAAGGAGGCTCGCGCACCCAATGAGGGCGCAAAAGAGGACAAGAAGTGGAAGTCGGCCAAGGAGTTGACCAAGGAAGAAACCGCCGACTACTTCAAGGGCGAAGAAAAGGCCAGACGAGAGCGTGAGCGTGCTACCAAGAAAGAATTCCTCGACATCGACTACACTTTCAAGGAGCAGCCTCGCGAGACTCGTGGACGTGGTGGTCGCGGTGGCGGTCGTGGCCGTGGTGGCAGCGATCGTGGTGACTTCCGTGGCCGTGGCCGTGGACGTGGTGACCGTGGAGAGTTCCGTGGACGTGGCCGTGGAGGTCGCGGCAGTGATGCTCCAGGCGTCGCCGTCAACGACGAGTCAGCCTTTCCCAGCCTTGGTGGAAAGTAGATTACCACAACACACTACCCAACGCAGCAACCATACATCACCTTCAGCACCTTCAACACCGACTTTTGTACTAGTGAAAAGCAGACTCATTGACTCGAAGCGCCAGTTTGATGGCGATTTCGGAGGGACGAGCGGTCACTTCCAGGGAAGAATTCGGGATTTGAACTTTATCAGAAACAAAAAAACACTGCAACTCTAAAAGCATCGGGTGCAATAGTTTATGGGTATAGGAGGGAATTTGTTCTACGCTCTCAAGCAGGACCTATGGCTTGGAATCGTGTAACATATGCTTCCTGAATTCATGAAGACTATTGTTCTTGAGAGAATGAAATTTCAGTTGATCATCTACTCATACACACTTTGTGTGTTTTTTGCATGTCCGTGATCTCTGAATGTGAATCGTCGACGTCGATTGATTCCAGACACGACTCACATCGTATGCGTAGTGAGAAATACCGCACTTTTGCTCGAAGTAAACAGACGATTTGAATGAAGTCGATATTGCTGGAGTACTCCGTCGTTGACGCTGAGATTGCTCACCCTCAGGCCCAACACTCATTGACGGCAGTTGTAGCCGGTGCATTTGCCGGGAGCACCAAATACTTCGACCTTTTTTGGTTCAATCATCTGCATCTGAGCAGTGGCAGCGGATCCCCAAAGATCCTACTTCGACAACTACCGGTCCTTTTAATACGAACACCACTGTGATGTACACGCCCACATTACTTTCCTTCGCTCCCACTTCACACCCTCCCCCACCGGCTACTTGTGGCCTCGGCTCTCAGACCAACTGGCACTCCCCGGGTTTTTGCCATGCCTCTCTACAGTAGGTCTCGATTCTTCATATGCCGTCCTTGCGCCCTCTTCGTCGCCTCTCACAAAGAGCGAGCCGAGCGGTCCACAGAGACGTGTCTTCTCCCGCCCATTCGCTGGTTCAAGTGTCAGCACTTTCTATGCCTGTGCCGACTCCGACGTTTGTCTGGCTGAAATGACAACTGCCGAAAGACAGCATGAGCCGCTTGGACGTCTCGAGTAGTGGGAGAGATCTCGTACATTGGACAGACAGATCTCGCCCCAAGGCTACGGCAACTAGTCACGGTGCAATCAAGTTTGCTTGTGCCTCTCTTGACGATTTAATATGGGATCGAAATTCAAACGACGCTCGTCTCTGACCTGACCAGTTTCCTCGCGGTGTAAGTCTTGTCTGTATACAGTATTGTCGATTCTTCGTCGTGAGTTGTCCTTCTCACCCCCCCCCCAGCTCTTTTTGTTTGCGCACGTGGGAAAAATGCTCGAGTCAGTATTCCCCGTCATTGCCAACAACTGGCCTATCGCATTATCGATATTGTTGGTAGGCTACCTACTTAGCAACTACTTCAACCATGGCCTGAACAAGTATCCGGGACCTTTCCTCGCCAAGTTCACGAATTGGTGGAGATTCTTTGATGTTTACGGGAGACGGCCGGACATCACTCACCTCAAGTTGCATCGCGAATTGGGAGACGTCGTCAGGCTAGGACCCAACAGCCTCTCCTTCGCCAACCCAAAAGCCTTGAAGACGATATATGGACTGAACAAGGGATTCACAAAGGTAAGGCTTGAAGTGCCTGCCCCCGGGCTTGCTGGCACTACTCTCCTCTGTGCTGACTCTTGCCGAATAGTCCGATTTCTATCCCGTTCAACAAGCCGTGAAGGAAGGCAAGCGGTTACCGTCCTTGTTCTCGACCACAGATGAGTCGTACCATGCCAACTTGAGACGATCCGTCAACAATGCATTCTCTATGAGCCAGTTGGTCCAGTACGAGCCGGCTGTCAACGAGACCATTGAAATCTTCTTGGACCAGACCGACAAACTGTACGCGAAACCAAACAGAATATGTGACTTTGCAGAATGGCTCCAGTTTTTCGCATTTGACGTGAGCAAATTATACGATGACGCTGAGTATACCAACGACTGACTAATGACAGGTTATTGGACAAATTACCTACAGCAAGCGACATGGCTTCTTGGAAAGAAATGAGGATGTCGACGGCATGATTGGCTATCTTGGGAAGCTCTTCTCTTACGTCGCTCCGGTATGTCCGCCATAGTAGCGTTGGGAGAAACTAGGAGGGTACTAACAGCGACTCTAGGTCGGTCAGATGCCGTGGATCGATTTGCTCTTCTTGAAGAACCCCTTGGTTTTGCTCCTCGACAAGCTCGGTGTCAAACTATTCGCCTTTCCCATCACTAAATTCGCTTTCGCGCGTATGAATGAGCGTCTGACCGAGATAAAGGCCCAAGGTCGGGAAAATGGCACCAACAAACCAGACCTTTTGTCCATGTTCCTCAAGGCCCAGACCGACCGTCCTGAGTTCATGACAGACCAACGCGTCTTGACCATGGCGGTATCCATGGCCTTTGCCGGGTCGGAAACCACAGCCATCAGCCTGGCTGCCGTCTTCTACTACCTCCTCCGCAACCCGCACTGCTACGAGAAAGTGATGGCCGAGTTGAACGACGCCGTCAAGGAGGGTAGGATCGAAAACAGACCTAGTGGAACGGTGTCTTGGGCGGAGTCACAAAACCTGCCGTACCTCGACGCGTGCATCAAGGAGGCTTTCAGAATGCACCCTGCCGCTGGACTGCCCCTGGAAAGAATCACCCCTCCCCAGGGTATCGAGATCGACGGACATTTCATTCCCGGTGGTACGATAGTCGGATGCAACGCGTGGGTCATTCATAAACGGGAAGAAATCTTCGGCGATCAAGTCGACAGCTATATTCCCGAACGATGGCTGGAGGCTGGCAAAGAGCAACTGAAGGAGATGAATGGTACCTTGTTTCAATTCGGCGCCGGTGCGAGGACGTGCATTGGCAAGAACATCAGTCTGTTGGAGATGTACAAGCTTGTGCCGTCATTTCTGAGAAGGTTCGAGGTGAGTAGTGGCAGCATTGAGTCGTTGCAGGAATTTTGTACTGGAGAAGAGAAGCTGACGGCTTACATGTGTATCAGGTTCAATTTGACGACCCAACCAGAGACTGGAAGTTGCATAATGGTGAGTCTTTTACTTTCCTTGCGGTGGTTTGATTATGAAGGTCTGAACCGCGAGAAGTTGCAAATGGCTAACCATGGGTGATGTATAGCATGGTTTGTAAAGGAGCATGACTTTTACTGCCGATTTCGACCTCGGAGTTTGAAAGCATAGAGTTATTGTTGCATTTGATAGCTTGTCGTAGGCGCCGACATTACTTGTAACTGGAATTGACATGATGTGTTTGTTCTTTTGATCGAAGAAAAATCTGAGCGAGGTCGTCGTTGGGTGTGTTGTAGTATTGTAGTATGTTGTGGGTATATCGACATACATTACATCTGACTGTTCAAGACACTCGAATACAAGTATTGTTTACCTGGGTAGGTGGTATAAGTCCAGGGGTTTTAGGGGCGAGTATAACATGATGACATTTCCAATGGGATCTTTTCTCCTTCTTCTCCCCTTTTCAAAGTTCCAAACCTCTTACCGAATTGCTCAATGTTCATACATGTTATCCGCACAATTTGTGTGATATTACTCTCCCGGGTGTCCAGAATATTGGTGCCTTGTGGCGTTGGTATTTGTCAGTTTGGCAGGTACGATGAGGACAGGACACAGGTGTACCTACATACCTACCTACCTGCCTACCTGGGTTATTGGGTTTAAGTATTCCATGTCCCAATTTTCGTCTTCCAACAGCAGTCTCTTCTCAGGTCTCATTGCCGACACCCGGGGGATGTTCATACCCTTGATAGGTCTCCCCGGGTGATCGTGGGATAGGGCGCCGCCCCCTGAGAAAAGCAGTCTGGAGATAACCAAAAAAATCCCACGAAGGTCCATGTGTTGTCGCTTTCCCTGCCTACTCGAGGGGCGGCGGGAGCGGTATGCACACCATCACGAGGGGGGTTCAACCCCCGATGTGGACTGGAAAGGATTTTCTGCCAAAATGTCCCCTGGTTAGTTTTTGCAGTTTTTTGTTTTTTTTTTCTTTGGCGTGTTCTTTCCTGTTTCTTACCTCCTTGAGAAGGAGCTGTGAAGGTGTTTAGTTAGTCCGGGGTATCTGCCAAACCTGTTGATTAAACGTTAACAACATAAAGGCAGGTTGTGGAAATCGTTGTCAATTAGGATCCATGGCTCTCTCTCATTCTCTCTCTCTCTCTTCTCACATACCTCTCCATCCACAATTGTGCTTGTGAGACAATTATTCAAGAGCACGAAGCGAAAGACTCCGACAAGCAATGACATACCGGTCAAGACAATCAGATACAAAAACATCCAACAATTGGAGACTCACGCAGGCTGGCTTGAAATCGGACAAGGCGAATCTTCAACAAATGTATGGAGAATTCCGATGTGATTCAACAAGACCCGAGTGGTGTGTGAGGTTTCGACACGTTTGCAGCATCCATCCTTTAATATCACCACAGACTGAGAGAAAAACGGCATGTGCTCAGTTTAATGCACACCGTGCTCCAGGAAGTAACACAAGTTCTAGCCATTGAGGTACAACTGACGGATCGTGGAGCCATGACGTGTTCAACCGAGCGGTGTGCTTCAAAGATGAGCCTTGTAACAGGCACTCAAACAGTGCTTCAAGGAGGTTCGAGAAGGATCATGGTCAACCAATCAATCCACAAATCTGAGATACACGCCTCCATTGTACCACTCAACTTCCGTTCATGATCCACCTGCTTACACCATGGGCAGTGCAAAGGCTTGCGAGAATATGGAGTGGTGGGCCCTTGTGCTTTCTGGCTGGTCACGTGAGCAGATGATTGAGGCACAATATCTCGCCCGAGAAGTGCCGGTATCGTGCGTGAAGCCTTGAGTCTCTTTGAAAGCCACTGAAGAAGAGCCATTCACAGACCTCGGGCGCCGGGTACAAGCTCGACCTTGCATTATCCACAGGATAACGCAATGCAGGTACCTGGGCAAATTCAGGTCCTGATTTTTAATCCGGTATCCCCCCCTTTAACCCGACAAATATGAGCAAGACCCAGATAGGATAGATATAAGATCCAGACAGCTATCTTGATTTTGTTTTGGTATCTCTACCTTCAGCTTGCCCAGCCCTACCAAGTCAGTCATCAAAAACCAACAAATTTCTTGATATTACAAACTCGCTTCTACCACCATGGGTGCCGCAGACAACTTCCTAGAGCTCACCAAGGCTCGGAGATCCATCTACGCCTTGTCCAATGCAAGTACCATCCCCGACTCGAGAGTTGAAGAGATCGTCAAGCATGCCGTGACCTGGGCACCTTCTTCATACAACGTCCAGTCTGCCCGTGCAGTGGTGGTCCTCGGTGCCGAACACAACAAGCTGTGGGCAATCGTCAAGAAGCACATGGACCAAGTCCCCATGGATGAGGGGATCAAGGGCTATGTAAGTGATTCTTTACCTTGAGTTTCGGCTCAAATTTCTTCTCGGATAATTGCTCCAGTGCACTCTTCCCGATTCAGTTTGCCTATTCGTTCACGCTCTTGCGGGTCTGACGGTTTGATTCTCGTATAGTTGGCCGGTCGTATCAATGGCTTCAACAGCAGTTACGGCACGGTGATGTGGTTTGAAGACCAGGCCGCCCTCGACGCCTTGGGCGAGAAGAACCCAATGGTCGTGCCTTTGTTGACTGAGTGTAAGTTCGCAAGAGAGATCAATCCTGGATCGGACAGATACTGGCGACGGTTAGCTGGATATTGGTACTGACTTTGGGTGTGCGTAGTTTCCGACCACTCGAGTGGTATGCATCAGTTCATCGGTGAGCTCTTACTCCTGCCATGTCGTATCCTTCCACAAAACTAATGCCCTCGACTAGCTTGGACTGCTCTCGAAGCCGAGGGCCTTGGGTGCAATCTTCAGCACTTCAACTTTCACCCCGGCATTGTCGCGGATGTGAAATCCACCTGGGGTCTCCCTGACACCTGGAAGCTCAAGTCCCAGTTGGTGTTTGGCAAGCCATCGGCAGGCCCAGACCACGAGAAGACCTTTGAGCCGATCGAGAAGAGGGTTATGGTCAAGAAGTCGTGAAGAAAATGGACTAGATCTTCGAGCAAGGACGACAATCTTCTGAACTGCGACACTCATTGATTTCAGGATATGCAGCAAGCAAGAGAGGCGAACAAGGCGCCAGAGATAGATGAAGTGGCAGGTTTTGACTGCTTAGACAGCATCAAGTCCGTCCCCAGAAAAAAAAAAGTGCACGCCAACGCGTCGCGTTTCTCGGGACGCTAGAGGAGCAAACGTGGACACAGAGTTAGATAGCATATACAAGTATCTTGGTCATCAGCCGATACGAGGAATCATCATCATGCCACAGATGTCAAGGAGAAATTCGTGATACTTTGTTACACGACCCCCTGGAAATGAAGAAGACAATCGATTGATTCCCTGATCCCCTCGGAGCTTTGCGAATCCAGCCAACGCCACGATTCCCGATTTGGATTAGTGTCTTCTATTCTCGGCCACGTTTCTCAAGTCGCTCAAATGAACTTGTCCCTTTTTCCTGCTTATCTTTCTCTCAGCTTATCCATCGATCCATCATCATCATCCTCCTCTCCGACCATCCTACATTCGTTTCTTTTTCTTTAACAAAGAGCGAGAGAGAGAGAGAAAAAATAGACTCCTGATTCTGACTACCTTGAAGGGGTCAACAACCACCTGTTGGTTGCAGCACCGCATTGAACGTACAACCTTGTACCCTGTTCGGAGTCTTCGGCAGAAGAGTCTTGAAATTTTAGCGGGGACCGTGCACAGAGAGAGAGAGAGAGAGAGAGAGAAAAGACCCCTATTATTCAATCCCATCCTCAGAACGCGCGGGTCACTTTGAACGAATCGTGGCCTAGCCATTAATTATTTTTACAATATTCGATATTCGAGTGTTCGGTGTCGTCTTTTGAGAGAAGTTTCATCTCGACAACGACAACGACAACGCGAATCATTCCTTGGGAGTTTATCGCACACGCGACGACGACGACGACGACGACGATGATGATGATGCACCACCTAATTTCACTTCCGGCATTGCTGGCTTTTACTTTCTTCGCCAGTCTCGTGTCTGCTTACCGACCGGTTCAATTCGTCAAGCACACCGGTGAAGCTGGCCGGGCCGACCAAGCGTTCAGTCTGGTGAATTACTACAATGAGACGACAAAACAGTCGGACCTTTACGTCCGGATGTGGGCGTTCCGATACCAGTCCAGCGCAAAAGGATGGGCGGCTTTGGCCCTGGGTCCTCAGATGAAGGGCGCGCTCATGTTCATCACGTACGGCGACCCGGCGACCAACGAACTCACCCTCACCGTGCGGACCGTCGACGGACACCACCCCCCTCGACCGGTGGTGGAGATGACGGATTTCTACAAGGGCGCCGTCCCCGTCGTGGACGTCGTCTCGACCCGCTTCGACCCCTACGACGGAGCCTTCTTCCACGAGGAACTCCAACAGAAACCGTCACACTTGGGCGTTGCCGAGTTCGTGGTACGTGGTTACGAGCAGTGGACGGCCGCCGACCTCGGCGTTCAAAATGACACCACGAAGCAGTCGATGATCTGGAGCAGCAACTTCAAGCAAGACTACGACGGCGACTTCGCCCCCGACCGAAACATCGACATGCACCAGTTCGGTCTCGGTTTTGGTTTCCTGTGGGCCGATCTGAAGAACGCCGCGTCGCCGGTGCCATTCTTTGGTCCCATCAACGAACTGGACGGGCACAAGGGTGTGAACGAGATCGGTGACCCGGTGGAACCGACCGCCGACGAGTTGAAGGCTGGGGAAGGTATCATCGCCGACCAAAAGGATGTCGCTGGTGGTGGCGTCGGCGGCGACGACGGATCGTCCACCGACAAGACCCCCGTGTCTCAACCCGGCGCCGACGATGGGACCAAGGTCGAGGAACCCGTCAAGACTGTCAAACAGTGGAACATTCGATCATTGATGTGGTGAGTTTTTTTTTGGTTCTCTTCTCGTTTCTTTCTTTTTCTCATTTCCAAGAAGAAGAAAAAACCCCCTCCGTGAACAATCGAGCTGACTCTTGTGTGATCTCAGGCACATCCACGGTTTCCTCATGACCGTGTCCTTCCTCATCCTCTACCCCTTGGCGGTCTACTTTTTGCGGTCGTCCCGGGCCGAGGCTTTCAACCTCCACTGGACCATCAACTCGCTGTCGAGCGTCGGGGTGGGCGTGGGCGCCATCGTCGGCTTCATCAATTCGAGGTCCGTCTCCATCGCCCACCAGTACGTCGGGATCTTGATCGTCTGCGCCCTGGCCGTCCAGACCGTCCTCGGCTGGCGCCACCACGTCGTCTACGTCTCGAGCCGCGGCGGCTCCCGGACCTGGATGTCCCGGGTCCACGTCTGGCTCGGCCGCGTCGTCGTGCCGGCGGGCATGGTCAACGTCGTCACGGGGCTGCTGTTGCGTCACTACGGCTGGTTGACCGTGAGCCTCACCATCGCCCTGGCCGCCGTCGAGGTCATCGTGCTCACCCTCGTCGTCGGTCGGGCCCGGAACCGCAGGCCCGCCGCCCGCAACAAGCAACCCAAGGACGTGCCCATCGGCGCCGACGAGGCCGAGGAGTATTTCCAGTTGGGCGACGACGACGACGATGCGGAATTCAGTGACGGTGATGACGATGACGGAGAGGCCGCCGCCGGCACCGCCTCCGGTCCGGCCGAGGAACGTGCGAAGAGGGACGCCGAGAGGGAGGAGCAGGCGAAACGTCTGGCCAGGTTGGACAAGGTCTGAGTTTCTTTTTTTGGGATCTCGGTCTCTTTCGGGGTCTTTTTTTGGGCTTCTGCCTTTGCTCTTTTTGTTTTGTGTGTATGTGTGTGTGTGTGTGTGTATTTTAAAATTCAACCTACAACATTAGGTGTAGTCACTGGGTTAAGTGGAAAGGGGGGAGTAAGGAAAATGGATCATGATATGTGTATGTATACATGTATATATTCTCGGGAAACGAAAATACCTGTTGTGGTGTGAGACTGTGAAAATGAGAATTGTGTCATGATCTTGATATGTACAATCTACATGGGGTTGGATATACGGATAATACGTGTTAATGGAAAATTCATTCCATCATATTCATCAACACCGCTGGCTTACAACACAGACATCACATGCAAAATGTGCGTTGACTGATTGAACGTGATGGATATGTGTTCGAGTTTCTCGTGTCTTGTCAATTAGAATATCACTCCTCCGCAGACAGGAGGGAAAACAACGTGTCGTCTGTATCATTTGTTTCTCTTTGACTCTTGACTCATTCGTGACCATCATAACCCACCGACAATCTGCCTCCACTGCGGAACATGATCCCCAACGAAATAGAGACCGTACAGGGTGAGACCTGCGATCAACAGACCGCTGAGCTTCTCCAGCCACGTGTGGAACCAGATGGCGGTCATCATCAGCATCCAGAAATCCAACACCACGACGCCATAGACCAAATATCGCGACCATATCCGTAGTTTTGCCGCCGTTTCGGATTCCCACCCCCCTACAGCCTTGCGTTCCTCTTCCGTCATGTCGTGGGCGACCGCGGCCGCGGCCTTGGGGGAGACGTGGGGGTGTGACGAGTGGCGATCGGAAATGGAGAGTTCGTAGAGGAGCAGGGCCGAGGAGAGGACGAGGATGAAGACGTGGCCGGAGATGTCGTGGCCACCCCTCCAGCGACCCCCGGCGGCCTTGCACACGGGGCCCGAGGAGATGGTGGTCATGTCGATGGCCTCCTTCAGGCCGTTGGTGTTCATGATGTGGGGTTCACAGTGACCTCCGGTGATGGTGAAGCTCCGGTCGATGAGTGCCGGGCCGAAGAACCATTGCGTCGTCAGGACCCAGGACAGCGTCGCGAGGCAGTATCGCAGCGCCACTTGGGCGTAATGCTTGCCTCGGAGGGTTGGGGCCGGTCGGGTGGTGAGTTGTAAGAGCAGCAAAGCCAGGGACGTCCAAAACCAGCCCCTTTTCACAAAGTAGATGTTGAAGATGTTGCCTTTACCGGAGAAATAGTTTTGATTCGGTATCGAGGGTGCGTGGACATCCGCAGTCACACCCGGTGCCAATGGAGCCACGGGGGGACCAGACGCGATCGGCGACAGGATGGAATAGGCGGACCCGAGAGCAAGGATCAATGGATAGACCAGGAGGAGGTACGTGGAGGGACGTTCTCTTGTCGTGGGCATTGCGAAGGAAGAGTCGATGCGCGAGGGAGGAGAGGACTTTGTTTCTGGTGGTGCGGCTGCTGCGCGCCCGTTACGTTGGACCGTTGGCATTTCGGAGGTGCGAAGGAGGATGGAGATCGTGTCAACAGATAATAGACATTGCTTTACCAGGACTAGAGGGAGGAAAAGTAAAGGGAAAAAAAGAAGGTGAGAGGTTACTGATTGTATGTACAGGTGAAAAGAGGCAAAGAAACAAAGGGCAGCTCAACGAAAGATTCGTATGTATTGCGTATTGCGTAGAGGTACGAGCAGATGACACTTTGATTGAATTGTTTGCTGTTCTTTTGTGAGTGACGTCAGATATCAACTATATATGATCATCTCTCTTCTTATGATGCTCCGTAATTATTGTATCTCGTGGACTCTTGTATAACAAATGGAGTATCATTCTAGGTGTAAGTGCCCCTGTATCTCTTCTGTAATTGATTCTGTTGATCATGTCACCAAGAGAGAGATGTCTGGTACTGAACTTGGTGGTCTACCTAGGAATGTTTAATATATTATTAGTCCCAACTTCACACCCTCATACTAATATGCACGTGTATATCTTCATATTCATCCTCTGTATCAATAGTCCTTACCTATTAAGAGTACTGCTTCCTCGTACCCAGAGATCGGGTGATTCCTTCTTATTAAAAACACACTATATCCTACCCCCATGTCATCGCTTTTTGCCACCATCTCGAACATGGCACAATGCTCCATGAAATCGCGTGTCAGCCTGATTCTGGGTCTCTGTGTCTGGCCCAATTAACAAGTCTCAACTACTCCTCCTCGACCTCGATATCCAATCGTAGCCTGAGCCTCGACGATTTTCTCATACCGGTCTGCCTGTCCGCCGCACGCATCCCTGCAAAACCCTGCATGTATCTCAGCCGAAGAGGCAAGGTATCATGCACCTGGAATTGACCCGTCCTGCAGTGCTGGATCATGGCTACCTGGGATTGTGATCACACACACACACAGCTTCCAAAACTTCATATAAGCGGTCTGTTTTTCCAGCCACAGGGTCAAAAGCCAGAAGTCATAGAGACTCTTTTTCCTTGCTTCAATTGTTTCTCCCAATTAGATCGCACAGAGTTATTCACAGACAGAAAGAAGACGCCGTGCCACGAAAACCATCATTGTTACTGCCGCCGTGCACCGACTTTTGTGCTGCATCAACCCGCTTGCTTCATCAGCCAGACCGTGCAACGTTGACATAGAGAGCTCCTGTTTTCGGTCACAGATTCCAAATAGCGAGTCTCATTTCCAAAAACCTTCCTCCTCGTCTTGACTTCTACACAAGTTTGTATCCGCGCCAGGTATTCATCAGTATGGATATTCAACGTATTCGCCGCACCGCCGCCACAGGCACCAACAGCCTCATTGAACTCCCCGAGTACATCATCACCACCTTCTTTCCCAGCGCTCGACCATTGCTCGACAAACATCCTGCCCTCTTCCGCTTTGTAGGAATCTTGCTGGCCTTATATTACTTCGGTCCTGTCACACGCCTGCAGACCCTCTGGCAGCGTTTCTCGTCTCTTCTGGTCTCCACCGTCACGGTCTCATCAGACGAAGACCTTTTCAACTACCTGAGCACGTACATCGCAGAGACGCGTACTCTGCGCGCCGATCAATTGCTCAATGCCACCCTCAACACCCCTCACGACTTCATGCCGGGACGCCGCCGCCGTGCACCCCATGAGATGGACGTCGAAGAGTCGGCTCGCCGCACCACCGACCCCAAGATCAAGTACGAGCAGGGCCAGGGCGTGCAACTGTTCATATACCAACGCCGCCTGTTCTACGTGTCCCGCAAGTATGGCGAGGGTCACACCTACGCGGGCAACCGGTACTCCCGCATTGAAGTGCTCAGTGTGTCGTGCCTGGGACGCTCGACCACCCCAATCAAGGAATTCCTCGAGAACATCTACCGCATGAACAAGGAGAAAGAGCGGTCTCTCACCATCATTCGTCGTCCCTATGACGGCGGCTATGGTGGCCGCTCGACTTGGTCACGATTGACCAGCAAACCCCGTCGTGCGCTGGACACGGTCATCCTCGACGCAGGTCAAAAGGAACAGGTGCTTGCCGATGTGGAAGAGTACATGGACGAAACGACTATGAACTTTTATGCGAGCCATGGTATCCCCTATCGCAGAGGCTACCTGTTCCATGGACCGCCGGGTGTGGGAAAGACGTCCTTCGCTTTGGCCATGGCGAGCAAGTTCAATCTCGATGTGTACAATCTGACGTTGCTTGATCACAATCTCACAGATTCGGATCTGGTGTCGTTATTGAATCAGTTGCCTGGCCGGTCGTTGTTGCTGCTGGAGGACATCGACACAGCAGGACTGAGCCGCAAAGGCAAAAATACGACCTCTCGACGTCGGCGAGGCGCAAGGGCAAAGTTGCCAGAGGGTGCAGTGGCAAAAAAGAAGGAAAATAGTAATGACCTCGACCTTGACAGTGACGACGACGACGCATCGGCCACCACGAGTCGTGTCACCTTGAGTGGGCTCTTGAATGCGATTGACGGAGTTGCTGCTCCAGAGGGACACATACTCATCATGGTGAGATTTTAAAACGACTCTTATAATCAAACTCATTCGGCTAACAATTGTGATCAGACGACCAATAAACCTCATGACTTGGACGATGCTCTCGTTCGTGCAGGGAGAATCAGCGTACGAGTGGGCTTCAAGAATGCCTCGAAGAAGCAGGCCGAGGAGATCTTCCTGCGGATGTACGTCGACATGCCGAGCGCGGGTCACATTCAGACCCAGGAAGAAGGTGGTGAGAAGAAGGTGCAGCCGGGCGGCACACCCGCGGCGGCCGACACTGCACGCCTCTACGAGTTGGCGAGAAGGTTTGCGGACCTGATCCCCGACCACGACTTCTCGCCGGCAGATTTGCAGGATTACCTGCTGGTCCACAAGAAGGACGCCGAGAAAGCCGTGGTGGAATTGCCGGCGTGGATGGAGGAGGTGTACGAGGAGAGGCGACGCAAGGAAGAGGAGAAGGAAGTCGACCGTGAATTGAGAAAGGAGGCCAAACTCGAGGAGAGACGGAAGTTTAGGGAAGAGGTCAAGGCGGCGGTGAAAGAGACAAAGGATGGCGTCGAGGGCGACGATGAAGACACCAAGGTCGAGCAGCATGCGAAGGAAAAGGAGTCTGTGGATGCCAAACCCACCGAGAAAGGAGAAGGCTCGGTTGACGAGACACCATCATAGAGACATTTTTGACCCTCACCAAGTAGGCGAACATAAAGGACAAGTAGCTGCTGGGAAAAGGACGATGGCTTTTGTTGGTTCTGGAATAGAAATAATGAGAATGTGTGGTTGAATAGACACGAGGGCGACAGAAAAAATAATGAATAGATCCGAACATCAGACACTCATCAATCACATATAGCATGCCAAAAGAAGAAGCAAATGGCCGAAAAACGGTGAAAACATGAAGAATGAAGCTGGTTTGGAAAATGAGATGGGTTGAGGGTTTCCCTAACATCGACATGCTTTTGATGTTTTCTTACTCAGTAGTCCGGGAGGAAGGTAGATTAAAAAGTACCCTCAACGACCGACGTGTCTACTCGATCCTACTACTGCTGATATTGCTACTACCAAAAAGGTGGAATCATTCGCCATCGAGTTTCGACTTCTTTTCGTCTTTCTGGAAATTTCGTCATCATCCATGTTCGAGTCCCATCTGCGGTGACACCGAGATTGACCATGACAAACAGTAAGGCACAAATCAACGACCAGTTGACATTGATATTGACGTGGTTGCCATGATACCCGTCTGGTTTTATTTTTGTTGTTTCAAGGAGGACCAGAGAAAGATAAATTCCACATTCTGCCGTATAGTGAGGTGCTACCAACTTTTGGAAAGGATTTTTGTCCGGGAGTGTATATTTTTTCAGGCTTGACAAATATCGATGGTAGACGTTTTGTTTGTAAGAACAATAAACAAAAAGTAATATGTAGATGAACTTGAGGTACGCCGTCGAAGTCTTTCCTGATGGTGATGTCTGATTGTCTCGGTTCTTGTTCTTGTTCTCGTTCTCGTCCACAGCATTAAAAGCCAGGTACTCGACATAAATTGCAAGGTTTATAAAAAAGTAAAAAGCCAATCCGATAAAATAATGACCTATCCACATTCGAGAGGTACTTTTTGTTGTTGTGAGGAAAAAACATTCGAGTAATCGACGGCTTGATTGAATGAACATCAAAAAGGAACAGAGTAGAGGTGATGTGTTTGTTGTCGTTGAGGTGAAGATGTTGAGATGGGAACTGGATGACAAGGTAGTGGTGGTGGTGGTGGTTATGATGATCATGACGATGGATATTGTCGATAACAACAGTGACAAAATATAGAAATGAATGAACCATGAATGAGGTACTTTCCAGGTTTTGACATGGTCTAGAAGTTGAGACAATAGAGAAGGAGGTTGTTGTTGTTGGTTGTGGTGGTGTTGGTGGTGTTGATGATGTCTAGGGTACGTGTGATCTTGAACATCTCTCGCTCCGTAAAATAAAAATCGATCTTTGAGATCAGGTATTAGACGAACAGCAATGATTGTGACAGTGCTTAGAATGTAGAATGATCTTGTACACCATATGATCAGGTCTAGCATTTTTGTTGCAAAATGTCCATACGTCGTCAAATTCACAAGGAACGGTGTAACCTTTTGAAAAACAAAGCAAAATTATAAAACGAGTTTGAAAGGGCTGTTTGGGGGGGGGAAAGGTTTCGGCGTGGGTCTGAAGGTCTAAGGCGGTCTTCATGAATCCAAAGAAACAAAATGATAAAATGATAACAATAACAAAACAATAGAAAGGTGTCTGTACAGTACTCTGTACCTAGTTACCTCATTTCTTCTTTCTAGGAGAATGAAGAGAGAAAAGATGATGCAGGCTAGGTGAAGGGCTCGCAGGTGATGATTCTCTAGCAGTTCTGACGCCTTTTTGACGTAAAAGGGCATGTTCTGCAATCTCATACCCTTACCTAAGCATCACATGCAATTGTACGAGTTAGAGGAGGATTCGTTGAGGGGAATATGGAGTACCGAGGACAATCCCAAAAAGCATTGCAAGGCTTCTTCTCCATTCTTCGCCCAGAAAAGAATGAGAGGAAAAGGGAAAAAAGGAAGAGAAAATTAGAACCTTAGGTCCTCCGTACCTAGGTACGGATATCCCTATGTACAATATGTATCCGTACAAGCTACAAGGATCACCTAGAAATTAATGTCTTGAAATGGGGAATCAATGAGATTGACTTTGAGCGGAAGATTAGAATTGAAATTGATGGCTGATCATAGCAGGGGGGGCCCAGAGAGCTACCTTAGGCTATTGTACGGATGAAGTGGAGGGACCGGATGGTGGAAACAATAATGGAGGTGAGTAAGATGCCCGTAAGACCTGATCCAGCTACCCAGGTAGGGAAAGCTAAGGTAAGGTAGCTACGTTGCTTCGACCAGAGTGTTGTTACTACAGTAGTTGTTGAGTGACAGGGGATGAAGAGTTAAAAGAGACACAATAAGGGTGAAAGAGCATGTTGGAGGACTGAGACAATAACTGTTCTCCGTACAGTAGGTGTACGGATACGGAGTACAAGTAGATAACCTTAGCGAGAGGCAGCAGTAGCAGCATCATCATCATCATCATTATTACGGAGTAACCCTATTAACAGAAGTAACCTTAGTTACAGGCATTCGTTTAGCTCGTATTCCTCCCAGCCAGCCAGCGTCAAGGTCACGTGAGTCCAACCCAATTTGGTCTCGCTGGTCTTTCGCTGTCTTTGTTGGTGATGCAGAGTCAATTCAATTCATTCATCCGCAAAGTCAACCGAATTCATCAAAAGCCCACCATTCCCTCCACAAGCGCATCCTTAGAACCCGATCTATCATCTTCATCATATTCCAGCTGTTACCCGACACCATCATCGGTCACCGTAGCCCTTCCAGTCTTGACCACGCCGCCCTCTTCACCGCCATCGCCCACCCCAATCTTCCAATCGCTTTTCCCAGCCTCCCACCCAAACCTCGCCCACCACGGTGACCCGTTTCACCCAACACGGCCGACAATAATGATCAAACTCAAAATGAAGAAAAAGCCGACACTGCAATGAGCGATCCGGTCGGTCCAGATGTGGCTAAAGAGGCCTCGCCCGATAAAGCTGTTGATCACTCGTCAACCAATGGAGGCCCAGCTCAGTCCGCATCGAAATCACCAAAGCCTGAAGAACAGAACCCATGCGATCCTAAAACTGCTGCGAACGAACCAACCGTAGACCAGGCCATGGCGGATGTGGCAGACGCTGACGCAGAGGGAGACTCGGAAGCGGAGACACTTATTCAGTCACCCGAAAAACAAAGGACCGCTGCAGGATCGACCGCTGGTAACACGTCCGTGGCCGGCTCGGTACGGCATGCGGCATCAAAGGACGACAAGACGTTAAATGGAGCAAGTGCCACTGAAAGCGACAATAAATCAAGGAAGCGCAAGCGTAGCGTTGACGACGCTCGCGACGAACTCGCCTTTTCCGTGTCGAGCCGCCAAAGCTCACCGTTATCATCCCTCTTACATCCCCATTCAGAAGAAGGTAGTGATTCAGACGTAACCAGCCATATTGCATCGACGACCCCGAAGCCATCCAAGAAGAAGCGCGAGAAAAGGTCGGCAGATCCCGACGATGCCGAAGAGAAACCGGTCAGGAACCAAACTCGTAGACGTCGCCCGAGCGACATCCTCCCCAAACAACGCACAAAGAACAATTCCAGCGGCGTAGACCCTGTCTCTTCCGAGCGGCGCGAAACGAGGTCAGCTACGTATCCTCGCCACTCTTCCCAAGAACCTTCACCTTCACCACCACCAGCGCCGCCGCACCGCAAGGAACACAGGCGTGGCGTGTCGACCCAGTTCACTCTTGGCGATGTAGAAAGGAAGAAGCGCGGGCGTCCCCCCGCCATCCAAACGAAGAGAAGTGGTTCAGCGGATCACAGGAGGCGTTCCGTGTCATCAGACGGGTCGGATTCACCGCGACGCGTCCGCCCTGCTTTGCATAAATTTACCTCGACCGATCACGAGACTATGTCACCGGCCAAAGCAGCTGTATCGATTATTCGCAAATTGAAGGATCGGAATGGCAGGACTTATCTTGCTAGAGCTGCCAACAACAATGATCTGGAATTGGCCAAGCAGAAATTCGCCGAGAGACCAGAAGATCTGAACGAAGCAGACAATGCAGGAAATACGCCACTTCAGATTGCCGCTCTTTCGGGATTTACAGACATCGTCCAGTTCTTGTTGGAGAACGGCTGTGAAGTTGACACGCTGAACATCGATAGAGACACACCGTTGATTGATGCTATCGAAAATGGGCACGTTGACGTCGTCAAACTGCTTCTGGACTATGGGGCGAATCCTCGACGCGGTAACGCTAAGGGCGAAGAACCGTATGAGCTTGTCGATAAGAACGACGAGAACTATGACGAGATTCGGGCACTGATAGCAAAAGCAAAAGACAAACCAGTCCATCGACGAGTATCCAACGAACATACAGAGGTCTCACGTGACGGACATTCTTCTCGGGCTGCCTCAGCTGCGAGTCCTCGCGATTCACCTCCAATCAATGGTCCTCGAAGTCCACCAGCTTTTCCGTCCTCGAGGCGGCGAAAAACCGGTCGTAGCGAATCAACAAGAAACGATCTGCTTTGGCAAGCAAACACCCAGGAAAATTTGACTCGTCTTGCGGGTAAGGGAGATGTTCAGGGAGTGGGAAGTATTCTCAACATACTGCAGAAAGCTGAAACCGAGTCACTGATAGCTGCGGCAAAGGCTGGACACGAGGAGGTATTGCAATATCTGTTGGCGATAGGCAACGCAGAACCCGACCCCGACCCAGTAAAGAATGTCAAGCTTGGACACAACACGCCTATGCTTGCGGCAATCGGACGGGGGCATCCCGAAGTGGTCAAACTTCTGGTGGAGTTGGATGGTTTCAATCCCACAAGGAGGCTTCTTAAGGGGAAGACATACCACGAGATTGCCGCCGAACGCCGAGGCGAACAATGGCAGAAGGAGTACGAGATCTTGAAAGATGCATATGACAAGCACTCGGCTGGGAAATCAAGGAAGACCACGTCTCCTCGTGCCACAAGAGACGGCGACAGGCACCGTGCTCGCGTCGCCCGGCGTTCGCACTCACCTGTTGCTAGCAAACAGCGTACATCTTCGAGCCCGACCTTGACACACAAGACCAATCCGAACAAATCGCCTCAATCTTCGAGCAACAATGGCGATCGGGATCGAACGTCTGGTGAAGCGCTCGAACGGCGCAAGAATGCAACTAACCGGAAAGAACGTAGTGATGTTGCGGTTTCTTCCGATCAAGATCAATCTACGTCTACTCCTCGCCAAGGCCATATGAAGCGCAGAAGTCAGAGCGATGCACAATCTGCTTTCCTCGATGCTGAAGGCACGCACCGACGGAGACGACTGGTCACCGGGAAGGAACACCGTCGGGGCAAGAGTGTCATCACGGAGCATTCCTCGGACGAGGATGGATCTACGCCTATTGTAAAGACAGAGACTCGGCCGAGCACTGCCTTGAAAAGAACACGAGAGAGTCTCACTCCCGACCAAGCTCGTACCCAAGGCGAGAGCACTGGAAGCGTTGTTAAGAAACGCAGAACGGTGGTGGAAAGCAGTCCCGAGGAGTCAAGAGCTGGACCTGCAAAACGAGCCGACCGTCTGTCCCAGTCATCCCGCGAAGTCAAGCCTAGCGTCGAGGAGAGGCGTACAGCCCAGTCTCGATCGTTGGACACCGACGCTAGTGTTGCGAAGGATCTAAGCGGCCCCGCCGAGGCTCCAGAGCAAGAAGCCACGCCAAATAAATCACCCGTTCTGTCAAGTCCTCGAGAAAATGTGATAAAAACGGAAGAGGTCGATGTCGGACCAACCGAAGCCGAGCTACAAGCACAACGCGAAGAAGAGGCAAGAAAGGTTGAGGAAGCAAGGAAAGCGGAAGAGGCAAGACAGGCAGAAGAGATACGAAAGGCAGCAGAGGCGAAGAGGTTGGAAGAGGAAAGAATTGCAGCTGAAAAGGCCGAGGAAGAACGCAGAGTGGCAGAAGAGAACGAGCGTCGTAAACGAGCAGAAGAGGAAGCGGCCGCAGCGCAGCGGAAATTGGAAGAGGAGGCAGCTCAAAAGAAACGCGAAGAGGAGGCAGCACAAAAGAGACGAGAAGAGGAGGAACGGCAAGAACGTATCAAGCGCGAGCTTGAAGAGAGACAACGACGACAAGAAGAGTACATTCGACAGCAGCGCCTCGAGTATGAAAGACGCCGTAGAGAGGCTCTTCCAATTGTGCTCAGCATGACGGCCTTGATGATCGACAACAATGACCCTGCTGTTAGGAGTGATGTCTGGCTACGAAAGTTTCTGCCACTTTTCACCGTCAAGACGTCTCAACTGACATCTGAGTCTTTTCCAGTGGCAACGGATGATCTCTGGGTGCCGAATTTTCAGGTTGCCGGTTTACTGGCAACAAAAGACTTGAACCTTCGCAATTACACTTCTCTCGAAAAGAGGCCGGTAACACATAATCAACGACTTTGTTTGTGGAAAGTATCCCGGAACATGCTATCCTTTGAATACGATGCCACTGCATACAATACGACCATTCAAAAAGCGAAGGAGAAGGAAGAGGAGGAGAGACCCAAGTTCCTGAACATGGAGGAACTTTTCTGGGTCAAGGTACGTACCGCCCCATCGCATCTAGTGCCCAGATACTGACTCGTCATCTAGTACTCTGATTTCGAAGATCAAGTCTTTCGACATCCTCATTTGGCAGCTCTTCAACCACTGAAGAAGCAAGCCATCTCTGTGAGAATCCCTCAAGGGCAGCTATCGACAACACAAGGACCACTTGCAAATGGAATATACCCCCTCCAAGCCAAACTTACGAATGGCATCACCTCCCATTTACCACCATCATCTTATGGAAATGGCTACGCTCGTTAACACTCGACCTTGTCGGTTTTCTGTCACTGAACCACTATCACGACTCTTGATGAGGAGAATTACTATGGCGCACATTGTAATGACGACGATCCCCGGATATTATGAGATTGAGTATGGCTTTTCTTTGTCTCGATAATACTGTGTATGTATATACATACAGTAGTTCCATGCACGAGGTCATGAGATGGTAGGAAGGGCTAGATACCCTCTACGAACAATTAAATGTGGATAATAACAATATGAGACACTGTGAAGCTTGATGGTTCATGCTCTTTTATTCGTTTGAGTCTTGGTCATTGAGTGTTGCGCCTTTTGTTGTAACATCGTGAGTACGGAGTCCTGAAGAAGGCAGTAGTACTGTATGTAGGTGCCTTATGTAATTATTCAGGATGCGGGCGGTGTGAAGCGTGAATGCCTGAGGCGTGTCATTTCAACCATCTTGGCATGTCAAATGACCGTCTTGGCATTGTGCGCGAATTCGAAAATCACACTTGCATTAGTCGGACCGTTTGAAACCCTTCGATGTACCCATCAATTCCTTCTCTACACTCAGTGACTCTTTGAGGATCATCCGACATTGTTGATATCCCATACTTGAAACGACAAGTAACGAATCGCCAAAATGGTATGTTCTTGACACGATTTCCTGCGGCTCGCGTTGATCCCAACGGCCCCGATCTCCCCGTCGACTGCACCTTGATCAAAGAGTACCTACCTCGTTTCGATTTTTGATCGAGTTACGAAAATTGGATCTTTTTGCAACGGCGCTTTTTGGGATGGTGGAAGGGAAGACAAAAAAAAAGAAGGAGAACAACTGCTGACGTTGTGTTTTTCTGTCTAGTCGGACGGAGAAGAGCCCACTTCCCCCGTCGTCGCCGCGGCCGATGAAGTCGAAGTCTCTGGAGATGCCGCTGCGTCTTCCGGATCCATGTCTGTCCTTGACGCCCTGAAAGGTGTGTACCCAATTTGGAAAAACGAATGTGGATGGGGGATGAGGAGACAAAAGTGTCGATGCTGACTTGTGCGTGTGTGTGCGTGTCGGAATTCAGGTGTCCTCCGAATCGCCCTCATCCACGACGGTCTCGCCCGTGGCCTGCGTGAAGCCTCCAAGGCCCTCGACCGTCGCCAAGCGCACATGTGCGTCCTGAACGAGGCGTGCGAGGAGGAGGCCTACAAGAAGCTCGTCATCGCCCTGTGCTCCGAACACAAGATCCCCCTGATCAAGGTCCCCGACGGAAAGATGTTGGGCGAGTGGGCCGGTCTCTGCGTCCTCGACCGCGAGGGCAACGCGAGGAAGGTGGTCAACTGCTCGTGCGTCGTCGTCCGCGACTGGGGTGAGGAGAGTCAAGAGCGTAACGTTCTCTTGAACTACTTCCAGACCGAGCAGTAGAAATGTCAACTGCCGAGGGGGGGAGGGGGGTGATGGATCTGCTCTGGGTCTCGTGGCAATAAAAAAAAAGTGGAAGATTGTCTTTTTTTTCGTCCTTGTCCTTATGGAGGGATGAAGAGCCAAAAACCTCGGATTTCTTTCTTTTTTTTTCTTTCGGAAGAGTTTTTTTTTGTTTCAAGAATCGCGGAACGACAAATTACCAACCGACATTACACGGACATGTTACGGGATTAACAATAAAAAAAAGAGAATCATCAAGAAAGAAAGAAAACAAACGCGGCAATCTTCTACGATCGAAAAAACCACCCTAGAGTCAGAATTGTGACCATATCTTTTCTCAACCTTTTCCCCCTTTTCTACCTTATCGACACAACACCGAAAATCCAACTACGGCAGAAATTTCAGGTCGTTTTTTCCCTTCACAGACTCAAAAAAAGATATCCGGATGGAGAGCTTGACAAATTTTCTTTGCCTCTTGAACTGGCAATTTTTGCATGTGGATGGGTTATGCTATTGCATCAAATACGCTGGGGACGTGGGAAAAAAAAAGAAAATATTCAGTCGGCGTACATAACAAAATGTGATGTCAATTAATCACCATCTCTTGTTGTTTTGCTCTTGCTTCCCTATATGATGTGTCCGATGTTTGTAATAGTAGGTCTTCGTCGATACTCGTGATGACACGGGTTTAGGTTGATGTTCCCGTGCTCCGGGCACATTCTCTCAACGCCTCGGACCGATTCTTCCATCGACGACCCAGAAGAAAGATCGCAGAGATTATGTTCCCATGGGCTAGCTCCCTGGTACAGAGTACGACAATAGGGACTACCGACGGGATCGATCGCCCGCAGTCTGGGTGACTGAAGAGTGCACTACCGGGGGAACACGAGGAGTGTCGCCTTGTGAAGAATGGTACTTTTTTTTTGGTTTTTATAAAAACAAAAAAACCAAGGCAAGGATCCTTTTTCAAAGGCAAGCCTCGGACACTACATCAACAAAAACCCGCCCTCGACGTGAACTATGGTGCCGGTCTGGAAGCCACTCCTCATGAGGGCCAGGTACGCCTCGGCGATGTCCCCCACCTGGCCCGTCTTCCCGACGAGGCTCATCTTGCCGTACATCTCCCTGACTCGGTCCCTGCCCTCCTCCCCGGCCTCGGGCGGCACCTGCGCGAACAGCAGGTCCGTCTCGCTGGCCCCCGGGCTGACGGTGTTGACCCTCGCGGGGGCCATGTCGACCGCCAGGCCCCGGGTGAGGCCCTCCTTGCCCGCGCCCACCCCGACCATGGCGCCCATGCCCTTGCGGGGGCGGAAGACCAGCACGCCCGAGGTCATGGTGAAGCTGCTGCCGGGCGCGGGGGCGAGGTACCGGGCCGCCACCTTGGCGAGCATCGTGACGCCGAAGAGCCTCACGCCGGCCAGCTGGCCCAGCAGGTCCGGCGTGACGTTGTCCATGGTGACCTTGCCCATGAGCGCGAGGTCGCCGGCCGTCTCGACCACGTGGTCGAGCTTGCGCGCGTGGTGGTCGGTCGCGAACTCGAACAGCTCCGTGAGTTCCTCCTCGATCTCGGGTCGACCCCCGTCCAGGTTGACGGTGTGGCCGCTCACCTCGCCGGCGCGCTCCGGGTACGCACCCCGGAGTCTGGCCACGGCCTCGTCGACCTTGGACCGGGAACGTGACGCCAGGATCACCGTCGCCCCGAACTCGACGCACCCTTCGGCCAGGCCGTAACCGATGCCGCTGGTGCCTCCGATGATGAGGACACGCTTGTCGCGAAGTTTGTCGAGGAACTTGGTCACCATTTTCTCGCGCAGGGACCGGAACAGATGATCACAAAGGACCCAGAGGACAATGGGAGAAAGAAAAAACGGGAATATGCCTTGATTTTTGGGGGGGGGATTCCGAGAGGCGTCTTTTTTTAAAGTTCACTTTGGGGTAAGTTTTCTTTTTGGGATCGAGAATGGCAAAAGAGGGAGGGAGGGAAACGTGCGGCCTTTATACCTGACGTCCCAAACTTACTTGCCAATTGATTGTGCTGACCCCGAGGGGGAAATTTTGGTGCGTTCGACGTCGACTTCACCTTTAACGCCGATGTCGATGTCTGCAATATCCGTACGTCGAGGGGGACGCTTGGAACGCATTCGTATACCGGATACGAACTTGGGTTAGCGGCGTTTTCACCGGGTTAGCGCCATTTTCGTACTGCCCAGTTGTTCACGACGACATATCCTGCCACCGAGAGGGAGAGAGAGAGAGAGAGAGAGAGAGAGAGAGAGAGAGAGGCAGCAAGTCTTGGTGAGGGGTAACAACATTCTTTGTTCTTCATCGGAGCATCGTGTTTCCAAATGATTACTTTGAGAGAGACACTTGGAGGTTTTTTCCTCCGTCAGTAAATTAGCAACAAAGTAAGAATGGCACGACGTACTAGCCACAAAGCTTGCCGGAGCCCGAAGTTCGGCATCATGTCCGGGCGAGCGTCGCTGCGTGTACAAGTTGTCCCAAAGAGAGCAAACAAGTAGCATTGTATACGATTGCTCCTGTACGGATTGTTTCATCATTAATGCTGTTTCCTATTGAGCTGTATCCGTGTTTGGATGATGAAATATAAACATGTATATCGTCTCAGAATCTCTCAAGTCCGTCCCAGTGACATCCACCAGAGTGGACGTGGTTATAGGTAGGAAAGCCGTAGGCTTAAACTCTGTAACAAGTCTTGCGTTTTGTGTGTCGCTCAGACAACTCCCATGCTCTCAGTGCCGACATCACCCCTTCTGACCCCAGCCACTGTGCCCTCTTCTTGCATCTTTCTCATCTTCCTCTTTGCGGACCCAAACCCGTCGATGCCTCGTTCTTGGTCTTCACCCAACCAGGCCTTTTGGGCTTCTCCCAAAACCCCCTTACCAAAGTAATAGACGAAATGACCAACCATGATGAGCGTGAAGGCGATGGGGTACATCCAGTGTACGTGCAGATGGAAGACTTGAATACCGATGATGACACCCCAGAAATTACCCGTCAAGAGCGAAATGTTCTGGAAGGCGGCACTGGCGAAACGGTACAAGATGGGGACCAAGGAGTAAAAGATGGTGAGGATGAGCGTGTACCCGACGAGATAGCCGGCGACGTCGCCGTTCCAGGTCGCGGTGTGGAAGGAATGACGGTCGAAAATGCCGGCCTGGGCACCGTTGATGATCATGGCCCAGAAGGCGAGCTGGCCAATGACTTCGTACAGTGGTCGACCAGACACAAACCATTCCTCGTAAACGTTGGCGAACCCGTAGAAAGTGGCACCCAGAAGGGCGAACAAGTCTCCCTTGAGTTGGTTACCAGAGGACACATCTCCACCGTTGGAGCCGGTGATGTGATCAGAAGCGAGCAATAAGCCCATGCCACCGATGCAGACGAAAATGCCGAGAACTTGAGCCCAGTGGTAGCGAACCTTGAGAAGGGCGAATGAAAGGATGACGACGACGACAATGGCCCAGAAATTGATGAGCTGAGCCGACAGAATCGTGGTATATCGGTACGCGAGGACGGTGAAATAGTTGCCTTCAACATCAAAAAAGGATAAGATGATGTCTATAGCAGGTTGTCAGTATTTTGCCAAATGTAACCCAAAGAGCGGCAAAACTTACACTTCCATCCGTCACGTTTGATGAGATTCAACCACTTTTTGAAACCGTACTTATACAAGGTGTAGCCGGTGTAGATGATATTAAGCAATACGTAGTTGAAGAGGGTCTGGAATGCGGGAATGCTGGTTCCTTCCTTGGCCAAAAGCGTGGTCAAGGTGTTTGTTCCCGTAATGCAGATAGCCAGTATCTGACCAAGGATCAATATGAACCAAAAGTCTCTTGTCTTGAAAAATGCCAGCTTTTCACGCCATGTTTTCTTTTTGCCCGCTTCGTCGCCAGGACGCTCGGGACTCGGCTCGACGAATTCAGGATCGCCATGTTTCATGGGAGACTGGGAATCAGAAGCTGCACTTGCGGTGGTGCCATAGCCATCGCGACCATAGTCGATGCTGGTGGCTCGCACCGCAGTGTCGATGATTTTGCTGTCACTCATGATGACGTCGTTTTTTCCGTCGAACAAGAAATGCGGAGTTCTAAAAATGCAATTCTCTGGGCGCGGGAATGGAGGACGTAGGGCTTGGGACTGGAGCTTTATGAAGATTAGCGAGCGCAAAACTCCTGAAGTCGCTCACTGTGTTGTACGTCTAACGACAACGGTAGAGAAGGGGAAGAGGGAAGAGGAGAAGAAGAAACGGTGAAAAGGCTGAAGGTTGCATTTTTATTGCTTCGAGGTCTGGATCGGTGCTGGCCGAATGCTGCATCAATTCTGAGTGGACAAATTCCAGGCCCAAAAAGATGGTGGGGGATCAAAAGAATTTTCTTCCTTTCTTTCTGTCTACAGTATTTGCTTATCGATAACGCATCCCGCATCCCACGTTGCGAAGAGAGTGAGTGACTTTTTCATTCTTCGTGACGATTCGAGTAGAACAATATGGGACGAAGGTGGGATGTTCAATGTGTATAGTCATTCAATTGACGGTTCCATGTGGTAACACACAGACATAGACACAATTCTCGGTGGTCCGCAGTGTTCTATTTTTATCTGGGCCATACCATGCCATGCCATACTTGTACCATCATCGCACCGACCCTTCTGATTTCCATGCTCTTGAAGACACCAGCCACATGGTCAGTGTGTTCCAAAAGTACAGTTCTCGCACAGTACAAATACTCTGAAGATGTGACCCTCATTTACGTAACGACAGAGATCACGCGAGAGTACATGTGGACGGATGTGAGATGGATTGAAAACGTGATGGATTCTCCACAAGACCTTTGAAGCGATGGATGAGGCCAAGAAGTGTCGGCGTTTGCTGTCGAGGTCGACGTCTTGAGACGATCTTCTTGGACACAGACTGCCCAGACATTGAATATCCCGTTGTAGCCGGTGCTGACAACCTCGTGTCAAGGGTCGCCAATAACGGGTTTCTTGGGTACATGTAACATGTACTGTTCGTAGGTATTGTAGTATAGTGCGTACATCGAGTTGTGCCAGTAAGGTGGACGACTACGCGGAGGGGTCAAGGGAATGGGAGAGATGAATCCTCCGTATCGTGGAAAATGACCTGAACAACCACAAGTACTGTCTGTACTGTACCTACACACAGTATGTGACACCAATCATCGGCCAAGATTTGGTTGGGTTTCAATGTGGCCGTGAATGGTGAGGATTGTCTGGATCAGCCACTGAAAATTCCTTTTACTATATCCATACAAGGATGAAGGTGTATCGGGAGGTGGCGGATATTTTGTGTTCCGAGACCATCATCGCCATCGCCATCGCCATCATCATCACCCATCACCCTATTTGCCTACCCTACTCGTAACTGAATATGTACTGTATCTATCATACGGACTATCGCCGAGAGTATCAGTCACCATCCTCGTGCCTACTGTACCTGTGTCTCGTTTATCTATTCGTGTCGGCCTTGGCTGGTCCTTGGTGTCTCTTGGCTGGTGCGCTCAAAGTGGCGCTGTTTTCTCTTGGCCGACGGAGTTTCTCTGGTGCCCTCCGGAGTGATTTAAGCCACCAAGATTCTTGGGTGCCACAGTTGAGGTTCAGGGGCCTGTTTGATTTGGTGGACAAGCGAAGACCTGGTAATGAGCCAAGCCTCTTCATCTCCCGCTAGACAGGGATCCTGACTAGACTTTTGGTGCTAATGCAGGAAAAAAGGGTGAAGCGACACAGGGCCAAGATCAGCCTCAAGAATCCTCCCGGAGAGCCTCATGCGAGATTCTCCGGACTGAGGACCAGGTCCCGTTAGGTGGTGTCGATGAGGTGATTTGACTTCGATATTGCACATTCATTTTCTCTCCGTGCTATCTATTCCCAGTAATTGTACTCCGTTATCGTCCCACAGTTTTTTTGGGTCTCTCGGTCTGGAGATATACCTCTTGTCTCTCGACATCCCTTCTTTTTCCAGCTGGCACCCCCCGCCTCGTCGTTCGTTCTCTTTACGACCTCCGTACACTGTCACCACTGTTCCACCAGCTATTCCATGCTTGAGGGGGCCAAAGAAAGGTCACAACTCACATCTTGACCCGTCTCATGTCGGTCCTTTTGATTTAATCAACCAACAAAGAGGCTCCATCAGATCGAAACTAGGGCGCGCCCGCGCCCTTACTACTCCTCTGCCCTCTTTCACCAACCTCAACCACTTTTCTCCCTCTCACACGACCTTGACACAGTCAGTGACCGTTTCGTTGTAAACTTAACTTTCCATGTGGCGTTGATATCTCCCCGACAAACTTTGTCTCTCCTTTGTACATAAGGTTCCCCCCCAAAAAAGAGATTCACCATGGGGGTGGAAGATTCGCGCAAGCTTCAAGAACCACTGCTTGAGGAAAAGGCTGGTTTATCTCCATCTTCATCTTCTTCTTACGACGACGATGACCTTTCTCTCACCGGTGCACCATCGCGAATCCTTTCCAAAGCCGCCATGCTTTTCCGACCTCACCATGCCTACCGGCTGGGTAAACGGTTCGCGTACTGCTTCGTCCCTCAACTCCTCAGATCTCGGATATGGGACGATGAGGCGCCGAAATCGAAACAGTTCTCGACCAGCTACCTCAACGGCCTCCGCGGCATCACCTCCATCAAGGTCTTCACTTTCCACTGGCTGATGGCGTTCAGCGGCGCCGGGTTCATGCCCTGGGGTTGTGACGACCGCCACAAGTACGTCCTGGAACTGCCCATCATTCGGTACTTTTACGCCGGCTTCACCGCCCACGTCTTTTTCGGCATCGCCGGCTACCTCACGACGTTGCGACTGTTTCAACTCATCGACCGACACGACCAGGCCTCCCAGTCCAAGGTCCTCCTCAATGTGTCGGGCGCCCTGTTCCGCCGCGCCTTCAGGCTCTACCTCCCGACCTTCATAATCACCCTCGTCACCGCCCACTACATCTACTTTGGATTCTACGAGGCGAACCGCCCCTTCCTGCTCGACCACGGCAAGCTGTTCCCGGGAGACTGGAACGAGCCCAAACCCGAACGGTTCGCGTCGTACTGGATGCAGATGAAATTCTGGGGCCGGGAGATGTTCGACCTGACAAACATCTTCACCTACGGCGCCGTGTACCCGTGGCACGACCAGCACCTGTGGTCGATCCTCGCGGAAATGAAGGGTTCGATGTTCCTGTACATGATCCTGATCGCCACCGCGCAGTGTCGGGTCTACGTCCGTTTCGCCGTCATGTGCGCCATGACCTACCTCTACTTCCTCTGGAACCACTGGGAGATTTGGGTCTACATCCTGGGCGCCATCGTGGCTCAGATCGACCTCCTCCTGACCGAACGTGACGAGAAGAACAAACAAGTCCTGCCGACGCCTTGCGCGGACCGTTTCCCGCCGTCCCCACCTCGATCCCCGGCGCCGGAAGAGATGATGATGATGAAGAAGCGCGAGCGTGAACAGCACGGCGGCGGCTGGAAACGGTACTACAGACACAACTTGCCCACCGCTGGACGTACGTGGTCGAGGGCTTTTGGGTTTTTCGTGGCCTTTTACTTCTTGTCTTACCCGATCCACGGTGCTAGAGACCCCGCGCCGGGATACATGTTGCTTAACAAGCTCATTCCGGAGTGGATGGACCGGAAGGACAAGTTTTACGCCAACATCGGCACCGCCATTCTGTTGTTGTTGCTCGCTCGTTCCGACCCCCAGACGTCCAAGTGGAGACGGATCCTCAACAGCGGTCTGGCTCAGTATTTCGGCAAGATCAGTTTCGGTCTGTACCTGACCCACGGACCCGTCCTGCACGCCTTCGGTTACATGATCCCCCAGAGGATCTGGTGGATGATGGGGACCCAGGGGGTCGACACGACCGACGCCGTCTGGACGGCGGTGATTGTCATCGGATGGGTCATCAACCTCGCGTCTTGTCTCTGGGTCGCCGACGTCTGGACACGAGAGGTCGAAAGTCGCTGCGTCAAGGCCGTCAAGAAGTTGGAAGATCTTTGTTTTGTCAAGACCAAATAGAGTTGAAACTTGACAAAGCTGGTGAACTTGATTGCCACCAGGGCTGATGGTTCAAAGGAAGTCGGCAGAAAATTCTCCTAATTTTTGCTTGTTAGAATCAAGTTCTCTTTAGCGATGGGGTTGTGCTGGCGTTTTTTTTTCTTGGGGGGGCGCTTGGTTTTCCACTTTTCAATGCATATGACATTGCATCACAAGTACAGTGTCACTCCATTTTGCATTGTGCTGCATGGGGGAATGGGAATGAACAAACTGGACGATTGGAATTGCAAATGGGAAAATTGAGAAATTGAGCCGAGAGATTTGCATAGATCAAGACAAAGACTATGCATGCATTAATGGCAATACTTTGTTATCATTGCCAATGGCTTATCCAAGAAGGAACCTTTCAAAGTCAATCAGAAAATCAGATATCAAAGAATGAAAAACAAATGTTCAAAAACCATCTCTGAAACATTCTGTATGTATACCAGTACTCAAAATGCATGGAACTATCCGATCCGATCCGATTTGTCATAAAGTACTATGTACTGCACTATGTTACTGTAGTTCGTACCATGTACAACACACCAAGCCTCCTATTACTCCTTTTATTTGAGGCTTATCGTTCTTCAAAAGTGATTATATCCTCGACGGTTTCCTTGATCGACTGTCTGGCCGATTTCCATTGGTTTCCAAACACCTTCTCAGCCTTGCTCGCGTCCGACTTGACCAGATCAGGGTGTAAACCTTCAGGCCCAGTCCCAGCAGCATCGTCGTCCGGTTTCACGACTCGGTTTTGTAGTTGTGGGAAATCTTCACGAATGATTTTGGCGGCTGCGTTGCTCGACATGAATTCTTTCGTGTGGTGAAAAGTGTACCGTTCGTTTCCGGGAACGTCGGACGATAAAGCTTTGACGTGGACTTTTGCAACGTCTTGTACGTCCCTGTGCAATTGATGGTTTGTTAGTCAAGAGTCATATCTTGGTGAGTTTGACAATCGAACAAGAAATTCATTCCGGCAATGAAAGAGGGAAACGGCTTCTGAATACTCGTGGGGGCAAGGATCGAAAAAACTCACATGAAGTAAGGATACAAAAATCCCGGTTTCTCCACGTCAAAAAGTTCACTGTATATCCCAGCCTGACCTCCCAATTTACTCTTCGAAGGTTTGTAACCTTCTTGTAGTGCTCTACCCGTGACGGACGGGGCGAGCAAGAAGATCAAATCGAAATTCCGAGGTTTCGAACGCATGAATTCCCACGCACCCCTCTCGGCGTGAACCTTACTGAACTGGTACGCCGTGCTTGGACTCTGACCGGCCTCTTCCGAAGTAATGTCATTCCAAGTGTCCGAAGACATGGTGCCACCCGAAAACAACTTGTCGACCCTCCACGCCGAGACCATGCTCCCCGTGACGACGACACGTTTGACTCGGCCCGACTTTTCTGAAGCTGAGAGGACATTTTGGACCATGTCCCTGCTAGGTTCGACCATGTGTTCCATCATGCGGGTCGGGTCAAAGGCCAAGGGGGTGGCGACGTGAATGATGAAATCGGATTTACTTGCGGCGTCGTCAAAACAACCCGCGACCGCCATGTCGGGGATCTCGACGAAAGAGAGCCGACCCGAAGACACTTTCGAAGCGTACTTGTTGCGCAGAAAAGGTTCGGATCGTGAACATGACCGCAACACCGTCGTGACATTGTAGTTGGAATTGTCTAGGAGTTCGGCAAGGACGGAGGATCCAACGGTTCCCGTCGCTCCTGTGAGGAGGACCGTTTGTGGTTTTTTCATTTCCTTTTTCTTTTCCACTCTAGTAGTTGTATGGCGGCGATGAGGGATCTATCTATCTCTTCAAAAGAACGAGACGTAGATCCTTGCAAAGTGGTCGCGAGAGAAAAGAACCCACATCCACACCCCCAGTATATCATGGTGGGTATGGGCGGATTATTAATAGTCGTCCATCGCACTCGGGTGTTTTGCAGTTGCCGGTGTTGGTGGTGGTCGTTGGTTGTGGTGCTGCTGGGGTTTCTTCATTGGGGATTTGGGGGAGAAAATGTGGGGGAGACACTCGGATACGTTTCTGTACAAAGTACCTTACCAGGTACCTACGAGTATTCGTAATCTGAGGACTCGACGCGGTTTCTGCTCATACCATCAATCCATAAGTGGCACTCAAACGTTTCGCTTTCTTGATTTTCTTCTTCCCATTTGGCAAAGTGACGACGTACTCGTTCAAGCCTGGAAGACGACCGATCTCGGCCCGTTTCTTGGTCGCCGTCTTCTCAGCCGCCTTTTCAGCCGCCGTCGGTGGTCGTGTCGGAAGAGGTAACCCGTGACGTCGCGCGCGTTCAACGGCCTTGTAAAATCCCAGATCATCTTGTACCGACCGAAGCTGTTCCGAGGATAAAGACGCTACCAGAGAAACATCATAGGCCGGAGGCGTTGAAGTGAATTTGTCATAGCTGAAAGACGGGATCTCGTCACGAAGACGCTCACAGGCCCAACAACAGCACTCTGAAGCGGGACATGCCGTTTCGTCAAGCGAGTCGACACTGATCTGAGGTGAAGGTGGTGTCTTCACATCCGTGGATAAGGTCGACGACGGTGACAGAAGAATTCCCTTGCGAAAGAACTGATACTGTATGGGATAGAGCCTGTGTGTTTTCCAGATCAAGTCTAGGCCAAAAGGGATTTCTGCGATGGGCGGCGTGTCCTCAGCATTCTCAGAGAGCTGGAACTCGAGATATTCGGCGCTGGCTCGTTCCAGAGACCCCCTCAAAGCTGGAGAACGGATCCACAAAAGATCATGAGCGACGTCCATGAACTTCTCCTGTCGCCTGACGTTGTCAAAGAGGTCGATCTTGACAGGCAACTCGGGACATTCGACGTATGCCGGAGGACTTTCAAGGTACGTGAGGATGTCTGCGGATTGAGATGTCAAGGTCGAGAATAGGTTTTCTGCCGCTCGTGGCAGTGTGAAGGTCATGGTATTCAAGTCGAGGGCGTCGCGGATGGCAGGCCAGGGGAAACATATCCCCCCGACCTTTGAAGATGGTCGGATGGAACAGGTGGTGGTGTAAACCTCATTGTCGTCGAGCATGAAGGCGTACCAGACGAGAAGGACGTCCAAGGGAGGCAAGTAATCCTTTGTCAACTGAACCACAGACTTGTCTCCAGCGTGGTGGACAAAGGCCGTGGCATGGTACAGCACCCGGTCGATGTTCATCCACCAGACTGTGAAGCGAGTGACGGCAAGTCGAATCAGTAAATCCCAACGCTCAGATTCTGGTAGTCGAGTCGGCGAGGCACTGTTAACCTCTTCTTCTTCTTCTGCTTCGTCAGCCTTCTCAGAATATGCCGCTAACTGTTCCACCTCGACGTCCAATTTGCTGGCAGTCATCCTCAACTTGCGGAAGCACTCAAGTAGAGCCAAGTGCAATGCCGCATGGCCCACATCCGGGTAAACGAGGTTTCCTTCCATCATCCCCAAAGAAGGGTCGCTGGGTATGAATACATTTCTAAAGATTTTCGGGTTCGGGATGACCGTGGTAGTGGTGGTGCTGTCTCCCCCTCGACTGCCCGATCCCGACGTGGAGTAGGATGACGGTAATCGCCATTCATGTGGATCGATATTGGCCTGATACCCAGAGAGTCGTCCGCGAACATGTTTGATCATTGACATCAAGCTTTGCGTCGGTAATGGAAATATACAATGCGAGATGTGCCTCAGGTTGTGAAAGATGACGGAGAAAGAGATTTGAATCTTATTGAGGTACTGGAGGGGGCACCATGGGAGCCTGATACTTTTATTAAAATACTCTCTACTAATTACAGTCAAATAAGATGAGCAGGACCACTTAATACTCGGACATATTTAGGTTGGGTACTCGTTTATTGTAGAGGTCTCCACGATCCTCAACACCACCCCCCCCCCCCCTTGCAGGCATACGCGGCACGGTCTTGGTAAAATCTGTATACTGTAGGGCTGCATTCAGGCGGTGCGGGGCGCTTTTCTGGGCACCTTGGCTGCCTCCCGCGCGATGTGCCGTAGCCCGGGGATCTTATTCACCAACGAGACTTGTCAGCTGTACCCCTGTTCCTGTGACCTGTGACGTGTACAGAGTGCACTCAGTACCCAGAAGGTGAGTCAAAACGATGCTAACGAGCTACTCCGAAGTAGGAATTCCCAAGAGGCGAAAAGGCGCCCTCATCCGACAAGGTTGCTGAGCTGAGCATGGCTTGAGTTCCATCGAGGCTTCAGTTATCGTGCTCGTCGTACTCTCCGTATCTCGTACGTGTGTACCTGGTCTCTCACCTTTTCCGCTACCCCCCCGTTTCCGAGATTCCCGGACAATGCCTGGAACCATGCTCAAAAGGAAGCAAAGGCCCCCCCCGGATATCTGTAGACTTTTTTTTTACGCAGTACTGTGGAAAATATACGGAGTGATAAGAGATCCAAAATATAAAATATTGTTTATTGTACTACATGTACCCTGTACGGAGTACCGGGTCAGGAAGAGATATGAGCCCACGTGGTTCCCACCACCACCAACATGGCTTTCACATGCCATCGACCAAACAAGACGCCCGGCCAAGCAATTCCTCACAAATAGCACCGTTGTATCTCCTGATCTTGGCCGTCGGCGGCATCGTACTAGTAACCAAACCTATCCTGATCGTCCTCGCCATTCTGATTGTCGGGTACGGTCGACTCTATCATGTTCAACCGGCGAAAAAGTCGCGCATGCCATGGTCGCAACACGAGTCTCCTGGGTATGTGATTCGAGCGGGACCACAGCAGGGCACAGCTTCTCATGACTGGGAAAGGAACTTACTGCAGGGTCGCCAATGGATGGTCCATGGGAGGGAACAAAAGACGCGTCTTTCCATTTGACCAGTCGGTAAATACCTAGGTCTTCTGATTCAAAATCGGAACGAAGAATACCTTACTTGGCATGGCCTGACCCAAAATAATGTCCAATGGTTGGACTTTGAGCAGAAAGTGGTGACGCTAGGTGCAGTTGTCGACTTGAGTAGATGCAAAACACAATGACAATGAGTATTCTTGGGATTCATTGTCATCATGGCGGAGAAATTGAAGAGGATCTGCTAACAGTGTCTTTTTTATACATGTGTATTGTGTATATGTAGGTCATATCATGGTCGCAACAGGGTGGAGAGTATACAACTGCTCTCCCAATAGATACCTCGTTATATTCGGTGGGTGCATAAACCCTTCAAGGCTTTTGTTCTTGCTTTCCAACTCTCGCGCTTGGCATCAGCATGCCTTTCATTTCAGCATTGACAGGTTCTTCGCGAGGTGTCCATTCCTCAGAGCCACACAGTTTGTCCCTTTGAAGGGTAAGAACAGGATTCGCTGCCGGAGATCCAAGGTGCTGGTCGCGTCTTTCTGGACTAAATCCGAGGGACTGATTGCCGTTCGCATTGTGTCTTTTTTCCTGGGAGAATGGGATGGATGTTGATTTGGATCAAGGTCGTTTGAAATCATGGAAAATTGTTGCTTCGCACGCAACGTGGGCTCTCTTCATTCGATACCCTCTGTCCTTAATACTCTCTGACAATCGACGCTTTTGACCAGCAGTCCATCGTCGTCGAAGGTCATCATATCGATGGATTCTTTTCTCATGCCCCCCGGTAAGCCTGTGATTTCGCTGCGCACCCACACTTTGTGTTGTTGTTCGTCTACACATGCCTCCTTGATATTGAGCTGAAATCCCGGCATTCGCCGTAGGATATCAGCCCAGTCTTGCATGAAGGCGTCTCTGGAAAAGACTGGAGGCTCATCCTCATGCTGGGACATGACATTTGCTGAAATGAAGCGGTCCAATGAGGTGAAGTCTCCTGGATTGCTGAGCGTGGTCAGGATCGTGCGTGCCGTCTCTGACAGGTCGCCATATGCTTCAGACACCATACTGGATGATGACACCATATTTAATTCGTTTTGTTGGGTAGATGGTGATTCGTTGGATGGTTGGATGGTGATTGTGAACAGGGTATTGAGAACTTCCAATTGATCTGATGTACTGGGTATTTATTTATTCGTTAGTGACTAGCGATAGTCGGATTGGAATGTGACTTGAGGTGGTATAGTATCATTCGACAATCATGAGATGGAAAGGTACATGTCTAGATATATATCAGTTCATAGGTTTCACTATCACCAAGTGAAACGCGGTTGACACGGTGTTTAGCGTCCCGGACATCCGAGTTGTCGAGGGGTTTCGGCCTGGCTTTGTCGGGCGCTTGACAGGGCCCGAGACGGTTGAGAAGAACACGCGGGGATTTGATCTGTAGGTCCCTGGAGATAACAGCTTTCAGCGCCTAACAAAGCCCGGATTTAACCATTGTTCAATCTTGTTGGGCCGAAGTTCGCTCATTGGGGGTCCATCATCGATTGGCTTTATTCGTCGGTCGTTAGAAGTCGGCCGTTGTCGCTGCTCGCTCGATAAATATTTGACTCATTAATGTCTCGGCTGTTCCTTTATCCTCCAAGTCTCATCACAAGCACTCAATCGTCTTTTCGCTGCAGCCTAGAAGTGTTGACGTACCCCCTCAGCCGCTGGTTGGAGTACCTTCACACTCTGGCATTCGACAAGTATTAGTATTCGAGGTGAATGGTCAACTGATGCTCATGCTACGCCCGCAGCACTTGCAACACTTCTTCACGCACATGCAACTCCGCTAGACTTCCTAGGTCGCATGGAAGATGTTCAATGGAACACTGGCTGACACGGCAAAGTTAGGCATGTCGACCACTTCGGCAAGTTTGAGGTCAACTGCCACACTCGCCAGCATATATGCTTCAGTCCGAGTCAGGTCTTTCGTTCCTGTCAGGTAGTTGATGATGCCGCGGACAGCTTTGCGTGTGGCCTCGTGCAAGTCTGAGTCAATGCCCAGAGCAGCATAGCATCCGCGATCTTCAAAGCCAGGTATGATTGCTGAAGGCGGAGAGAAATAGTGAGGCGATGTAACCCAGTCATGGTTCTTGCGCACCGTGAAACGAAGAGTCGCGCGCATTGGAGTTTCGATGGCTGATCCGCAGATCTCGCCGTCACCCTGCGCCGAATGACCGTCACCGCAGCTGAACAGCGCCCCTGGTGTCTGAACAGGTAAGTAAAGCTTCGAGCCGACTGTGAGGTGGCGGCAATCGATGTTTCCGCCAGTGTCGAGAGGAGGAATGGTCGAAAATTCACCGTCCGCACCGGGGGCCACTCCCATTTCGCCCAGGAATGGTCGCGTAGGAATGCGAATCCCTTCCTTGAACAGCGCATAGGGTCTGTCCTCGAACTTGGACAACTCCCATATTTTGAGCTCCGCGTCCGGGAACTCATCGGAAAGCAGACCGAATTTGGGTACAATGGCAGTCCAACCCCAGTCTGCGGTTTCCAAGTCTAAGACTTCGATCTCCAACGCATCGCCGGGCTCGGCTCCATTGACATAGATAGGGCCAAATACTGGATCTGCTAATTCGACCTTGAAGTTGTAGACATCGGCAGACGTTGAGTTTTGGGTAATTTGGCCACCACTTCCATCGATAGTGTCGAAGCTCACGGTCGCCCCAGAGTCGACAGTCAATGCAGGTGGGACTGTCTTAGACCACTTGAGGTGGTTTTGTGTTCGGTTGATGTGAAAAGATGATCCCATGGTGGTAGCAGTGCTGTGGTTGAATAGTTGTTGACCAGGCTGAGGACTGCTATATATAAGAATTTGTTGTAGTATGTCTGAAAGATTCTATCTCCGGTGACGTCTACCAAGGATTCGAGAACCATAAGAGGACAGGATGCAGAGTCAGATACAGAGGAAGAAATAAGAGCAGGAGACGGGATTTCAAGGCACCCTGAAGAACAGTCATCTGGAGGTCATCCATTTGTTTCTGTATGGGGATCGGCCCGTGGTGGCTGGCCGAATTGGGCAGGTGATAGAGCAACGGGCGAGTTAGTTAAGAACTACGCACGGACTACGCCTGGTATAGGCAGGAGCTTAGGCATGGGAGATAACATCCGGCCACTTGCAGCGCCTAAACCATGGCTTCTAAGCGGTCCAATCACTGCAAAGTAAATTCTTCGGCCTGGAGTCTCGCACCAAAGCATTTTGTTTTCCGTACTTGTTGTACGGAATACTGTGTACTCATACACTCGCCAGGACCTTCACACACCTCCTTAGGTTCTACAATAACTACCTTTGTTTCACAGGTGCCGCACATTGGGAACCCAATTTCTCTTCCTTCCTTCCAGCCAGCCAGCCACTACGCTACGTCTGACTGGGCTTGTGTCGGATACGACTCTGTTACAGCCAGCTTGATCACAGGCGCGAGATTCGTCATCAGGAGTAAGACACGTTGGCGTTTTGACACGATCACGTCCGCATCGCTGTGCCTCTCCACCGTCTTGAAATGTGGACATTCCTCTTAGTACCTCTCGACGGTAGCTTGGGTGACGATGGTCCAATTTTGATAACAGATCTTGCGTATCACGAACCTCTTACCAAAACCTCCACCGTACTGCAGGAGCAAACGCCAACATGGCCCCCGTAACGTTTGAGTTATTACTCATATGCATGAGGTTTGCATTGTGCAACGGCTGGTTCCGAATGTACACTTTTGATGATTCCATTGTAAGTTGCTAATTGAACAGATTCGTTTCTTGAAGCCGGCGGCAGTACCGGCGGAATATGTTTTGACTAAGCCTCACGACCTCACGGCCGACGGACGGACGAAGTGACCATATGCCAGGATTCGCCGTGATCGAAGGGTTAAGAGCTCACTTGAAGGCAATGTAAGGCTTGTGGAATCGGCACAAGAGCATTCCATATGTAAGGTTCGGTTCGACCGACAGCAGCATAGAATTTCAATGATCGCAGCGTTATCCTCATCTCCATCGGTCACATACCACTTTTGCAGACGGCCCATCATGGAAAACTTTGGGGCAAATTTGATTCGAGCTACAGACTCGAACAACAGCGAAGACTTTGTCTCTCCAGATGTTGTCGTTGCTGTTGTAGACTGCAATGGGGTCAGATGGACCAAGAGCTCCGGGGATGTAGACGTTGACTCGGTTATGTTCTTCGCTTCGCAAGGAAAATTATTCACGGTCGTTGCAGCAATGCAGGCTGTTGAAAGAGGTCTGATAGGCCTCGACGACGACGTTGCGGAACACCTACCCGAGCTGGCTGCGTTGCCTGTGCTCGACTCCCAAGACGAAAATGGAGAGTGGAAGACAAGCCTGAGAAAGGCTAAAATCAGTCTGCGGTAGAGCACATAATGTCATTTGTAGTATGTGTGGGAAGCTAACAACCTGAAGGCATCTTCTAACGCACACGAGCGGCGCAGGCTATGATATGCCGTCGCCAGAACTCCGAGAATGGAAGGCACAGACGGGCCTGAAGTCTTCGATGCTTGATGGAGATTTTGTATGCTCACTCCATCGAAGCTGTCACCTTGCGAAGGGGTCTATTCCATGAACGAGGCTAACTGCCACAAACAGAAAATCTTCGAAAGTCTACCTCTTCTTTTCGAGCCTGGGACAGGATGGGCATACGGAGGAGGGGTAGACTGGGCTGGCGAACTGGTAGGATGGAGTTTTATTGGGACTTTGAAGTTTTCGGATAATACTATTCAGAGGCGCTGATCATTCGGATGATAGGTCGCAAGGCTCAATCACACCAAGCTTGAGTCCTATTTGCAGATGAATGTCTGCCAACCACTTGGACTCACCTCGACCACATTTCACCCGGAGAATCTGCGAGACTGGCCGCAACGTCGTCACCAGTGCTATCTACGAATGGGCTCTAGCTCGAGCGTCGAGAAAATTCCTATCGAGGCGAACACCAATCCAACACGAGATTGCGGCGGCCATGGCATCTTCTCGACTCCGACCGATTTCATGAAGCTTTTGGTTGCACTCTTGAACGATGGAGGTGCCATACTGAGCAAGCAGTCGGTAGAAGAAATACTCAGACCCCAAGGCGTACCTGGACAATTCGCCGAGACAATCTTGGGCGACCTGAAACCGCTCTTTGCACCTTCATTGCTAGCTGGTAGCCGTATGGATCATGGTCTGGGCGGAATGGTCAATCTCGCCGATATCCCGCAGGTGCGGAAAGCCGGAACAATCCAGTGGTCGGGAGCCCCAAATATGATATGGGTGAGTCAATTCTAATCTTGTCACGATGCTTCCACTGATGCACCAGCAGTGGCTGGATCGGACCTCTGGCATTGCAGCCGCCAGCTTCATGCAACTATTTCCCCCGGGTGATGCGAGGGCTGGAATGTTCAACATCGAATTCGAATCGGCAGTTTATCGCGAATTGAATCAGGTACAAATTGAGTCACTGGAGGATTGGTCTTATTAAAAGGCTCAGTGGCTAGCTAGGCGGTGCACGAAATCCCACGAATGCAAGATATCTGAAATTTACCCAAATGAAAGACATGATCAAGCACTCTGTTCTTCAAGTCATAGGTTCGCCAAATATTGATGCTCAAAACGAAAACAGCGCCTTGTTCTTTCGGCCAAGGGGATAGATCACAAGCGCGCTGATCAAAAGACCCACTGAAAGGCCAATGGCGACTTGAATCATCTGCGCTCCCACACTAAAAGATTGATATTGATTGTCGGCGTAAATCTGTTGCGCATTCACAGTCTCGTTGCTGAAAAGGGGCACCGTGATGCCCGAGATCAAGCCACCCTGAGCAGCTATGCCGCCAGGAACGAGGACCATGATCCCGGCGACGATGGAGGCGAACGCGAAGCCGTGCCGCGATCTCGAATACAAATGGCCCAAGACGCCCAAGGTGAAGGACGAGGCGGTGTCTGCTATCTGCGCCGTGGCCCGCTGGCTCACGAAATAATCCACCGTGTATGCCGCGGAGCCAAAAAGGACCTGCAGGGGGATTTGAGCGGGCCGGCTTCGGATCAACATCGCCTGCACCACGAGGTAGGTCGGGACGAGGACCATCTTCCAGTGAGGGTCGACCTCTCTGGGACACACCGCGGAGACGGGAGCGCTCGGGTATATGACCGCCCACAGTTGAGAGCCCACATTGATACCGTAACCCAGGAAGAGGGAGTATATGACGGCGTAGAACAACCTCGTCGAGCCGGCAGTGACGGACTTGGACTGCAACTCCAGAGCGCCACAGAGGACGATGTAGCCTGGCAGCAAAGTGGCGATGGAGCTCTCTGCGATCGCCGCGAAGCAGAAATACCTCTGGTCGGATCCACCGATGGACGCGACCGCTCGAGCACCAAAGGACGTGATGACGGCGGCGGTCACCTCGAGGACGTTGGTGTACAGAGGGTTTCGAGACGTCACGACGATCTGGAGGAGCCCGACGATGCATCCTAGAACGAACGACGCAGACATGTCGGTCCAGTAACCCTTGAAGGCCCAGACGCAGACCAGGGCACTGGCAACTCCGTACAGGGGCACCAGGAACCATGGCTTGTAGAAGGGAGGTGCGTCGATCAGCTCGACCAGGCTCCTCTCGGCCTCCTCGAGCGCGACGTCCCCGTGAATGACGTCCTTGTACGTGCAAAAGGCGCGGCCGAGGGACCCTACGTCCAGACCCTGTGCCTTGACGAGGGTGGTGTATGAGTACCGAGTCGTGGGGTCGGAAGGGTGAGGGGCGTTGATGAAGCATATCTCGGTGCACCCGACGATGTAGTTCACGCGTCCGTCTAGGTCGAGGACTTGGAAGAGGTGCAGCACGTAGTCCTCGATCCGGTGCGAGGGCGCTCCGTACAACATGAAGCAGTAGGTTAGGAGGAGAACGACGGACCGTCGAACCGCCAGGTCGCTCTTGATTTGCGTGTATTTGGCTTCTTTGCTGGTGTCATCTTTGGAATGGCCGATTCTATCTTTCAGTTTGTGAAGAGCACGCGACACGTCTGTCGAGTCGACGCTGGGGTCACGTCGTCGCGGCCATGATGGGGATGATCCTGCTGCTGCTCCAACAGGCGCTTCAGAACCGCTTTCCGACCCAGATCGCGAATGCGGCGTCGTTGAGACATCGTGTCCGAAGGCCAGCGTGGACAGTTGAAGAGACGATCCGATCAGGTTGGATATTTTATTGTGTCTCTGCAGCCTTCGCAGGGCGTCGAGGTCGATCCCGGTGTCACCTATCGAGTTGGTCCGTTCGAGACTTTTGTCGGGAGCGCCAAAGTCACTCTTGAGGTCGTGCCAGTAGTCGCTCAGGTACTTTCGGAGACCGCGTCGGTGGTTCTGCTGTCGCCGAGGGTGCGTTTGGACATTTGCCATCATCGAAGACGACGATGATGGAGGCTTCTCGGGGCCCTCCTCGACGTCGGGATTTGTATGGACCGGTTCCTCGTCGCAGCGGTGCGTCAATCGCGGCTGATGAATGCGTCTTGATTCTCGGTCGCCCCCCCGAGGTGCTCCGTATCGTAAAGTCGAGGCGAGAGTGTCGGCGCCTTGAGAAGATGCTTCAAAGATTCGATTGCCAGGTTGGGTTTGCGATCCGACACCGTCACTCGCCTCCACGGGATCGGGTTGATTGAATTGGTATGGGGCTTGAGCGAGGGAACTGATTGCAAGACGGCGAATGTGGTCGTGGCCGTTGTTGCGTGGATTCTGCATCGTGGTGTCCGTGTGTTCAATGCCACCTTCTCTCTCCCTCCTCTGATTGTGTGAACGTGTTGCTGAGTCCGAGACACAGATACTCGTACGACGAGTACAGACAAAAGAGATGCTGAAGGGATTGTGAGAAGCCTACCGAGTTTGTTAACATTGTTGATGCGAGCGCGAATGGAATGCTCTGACGTGATCACGGGTTGATGGAGCTGGAATGTAAGAGTTATGGACCGAAGAAGGCATCTTGTCAAGCACCAAACAAAACAGTTCACGCATTTTCTGTGACTCTGATTGAGAAGAAAGATACACTAGATTGGCTGTTCTGTCCAAACCCCATGCTAGAATGTCTGTCTACTCTGGACATCCTCATCCTCGTGACCGTCGAATATGATCCAATGCCTTTTTAAAGTACGGCATGAACTCCTCCGGGTTCTCACTAAATGGAAAATGTCCCAGACCCTTCATCTCCTCAAAGACGGCGCCTCTGATCTTGGCCGCCGTTTTTTGGCTTGTCTCCGGGGAGCAACTATAGTCATATTCACCCGTCAGCATGTACACTGGACACGCGGTTGTATCGATGAGGGCCATTCGGTCCCGGCCGTCCCACCCCTCGAAATAAAACATGAGATCACCGGGGAAGATGCGGGAGGCCTGTGCCGAGTACAGCCACCAGTTCAGCCGCTTGTAGATCTCAGGCGAGGTCGGGGCCATCATCCCACACACGCGCTCCGGGTTGAGGACGGACTCGTCCCCGGAGAGCCCGTATATCGACTGAGCCTGCTGCCGGGGCAGGTAGTCGCAGGCCTCACAAGGTATCACGCCGCTGACGTTCAACTCGGCCGCTCGCAGCGCGACCGCGAGACAGACTTGGCCTCCCATGCTGGCCCCGGACACTATCACGTCGCGCAGGCCGAGCTTGGAGATGATGCCCTTGATGGCCGAGATGTAGAATTCTTCAGAGTTGGCATAAGAAAGTGGATGTTGCTGCGAGCCGGGGAATGATCGCCCGTGACCCGGTAGATCAAACGCGACCATGCGGTATCGTCTTTGAAGGTACCCGTTCATCATCATGGAGTGAAACTGGCGCGAGTCCGCACCGGCAGTGTGGAGGAAGAGGATGGGCTGGTCACCTTGCCCCGAAGTCTCGTAGAAGATCTTGCATTTGCCCACACCCGGTAGACTGAGCCAGGTGTAATGTCCGACTATCGAATCATCGTCACATTCGTCGTCAGAAACGTAGTCCTGTGCCGCGTCCTTTTGTCCGCGTTGGCCAGTTACAGCCTCGCGGGTTTTGTCCAAGATGATACGCCAAACGAGAGCGTGGGTCGTGAATTCAGCCAGGTCGCCTCCAACTTCGACATGCGACTCTGTGCCCAGCAGGCGAAGCATCCCCCAGTATGACTGAAAGGGTCGTGTGGGAGTTTTGGAGAAGAATTCATTCCAGTGTTGAGACCGCGCGGACAGGTTGAACTCTGGTATGTATGTCGAGGTCCGTAGCAACTCGACTTCCGCGAGCCCCTTGTGAATGTAGAAAATGAGGCCCTCCTCGGGATTATCCCACGATTGCACGTCAAAGCACACATCGACACCGGCGAATGCGGCTCTGCATGCGGCATCCTCATTGATGGCTGCTTCGATGGAGGGAAGTTGACTGTCGTCCAAAGTGGACAAGATGTTCCTGGCTCTCTCCATCTTGTCAGATTATGGCTCGAGAGATGCGGGTTCAATCTTTGATCCGAACTCGTGGTCAACAAGTATATCGTCAGTCTTCACAGCATATGATCTTCATTTCCAATAAGCAGAGACCTTCTCCGCACTCTTCTACTCGCAATGCTACGGAGTAACCCTGGCATTGTGTTGGAGAGAATGGATGAAATGCCGGACCCCGCTTGAGGTGATGCCTCGGATATGTGAGAAGATGCCGTGTATGATCGTTGCTGACTGGCGCATCACTTGTGACTGCGTATCTGTTGGGAGAGCAAAGCGCCAGCTCAACATACCAACACCCTGGAGGTGGAAATTCAGATCTCTTAACAGCAAGCCGCAATGCTGAAAACGATTAACCGTGGCTGCAAATTGACTTATGGCCAAAGGCAACGAAAGCCACTCCGTATTCAAGGTGAGGGAGTCGTGAAGAGCCGCGCTAGACAATACAAAGTGATGGATTGACATGCCTTGATCGGGCGATGGGGGAGATAACATCTTTACGATAGCGTAGGTAGTACTCCGTGCAAAGGGTCTCCTCTGCGACGTATCCCTCATGTCGAAGACGAGAATTACAGGGCGTGCCATATATGGTGCCAGCAAGGCATTCTCTTGTCTCGGCTGCTGGCTCCTTTCACAAACACACGGATATTAAAGCAACCCAGTGCATTTCGAGCACGAATGATCCAGTCAGCCAGTCAAAGCCCAGCAGTACGAAGTAGGGTTAGACGAGGCTGTTACCACCAAGAAGGTGGAGAATGGTCTGGCTTCAAGGGTCAAGGCAGATTCATTGCTACCTCTGGACGATTTCTTGTGGAGTATTTGTACGCGGTCCATAGTGTGTACATACAATACAAACGGTACTCTGTGCCGAAGCCACGTCTCAAAGCACCATGTTCCGTGAGCAGTATTCTGGTCCTGGAAGGAGAGGGAGATGCCACGGGGACAACTGATTGGTCTGCCCATGGATTTCCAGACGTGTGCCTTCTTCCACAAGATCGAAGTTGTTGCGGAGTACGAGCTCGTGAAGGTGAGATTGATGGAGAGAAAATTCAAGGTCCAACTTCGTCTCATTCGACAGCTTGTTGAAAGGTGTCGGGCTGCTCATTTCCGACTCTCAGACGCCCATGCAGGAACCACCAGCTTAAACGGCCACTAAAAGCGGCCTACACGTTGCTAACGAAGGCCAAGCATCGTTAGAGGCCCAGGCGCCAATTAAAAGCTTTCGACCCCTGGAACTAGTGCCTGTGCTGGAGCTAATAAAGCCGCCCTAGGCGTCTTTGGGTGCCATCAGAGAGACATCAGAGACATCACACTCCCCGTCGCAGTCTCTTTCTCTCATCAATCTCCATCTCCATCTGCTATTGCTGCCGCTGTCCATTTTTCGCGTCGTCCATCTCCTCTCAACTACTCGTCGGTGCTCTCGCTGCTTCAGACTTCTTTCTTTCCCTTGTCCTGGCATCCTCCTCTTCGAACTCCCTTTGTTGTTCTTGTCGGCTTTACAATAATGTCGTGTGTCCCTCGTTACACCCGTCCCGCCTGTTAAACACCCTGCCAACGCCCTATCGAATCCTTGTCCAACACCCATCGAGCCGCCTAACACCTCGTGTTTGATTATTTGCTTTAAGCTTGAAGGAACAGAACCCGTCGCGGCACAGAGAACCATTGTGGATTGCTCGCGGCACAAACGCTTTTCTCTCTTGAATTCTTACGTCCAATATACACATTCCCGGGCATCAGTTTTCCATCTCACGCTTTGCGATAATGCTATAACAGCTTGAACTCGAGGTGAGTCGAAACTCACAAAGGTGTCTCCGACAAAATGTCTCACAGGCCCACTAACACCGCATCCCATTTGTCACAGGTCTCTTCTCCATCTCCTCTCCCTCGTGCTGAGCTTCGCGCCAGCAGCCATTCGTTACCACCAGTCGCTCATTTTACACACCATTTCGTGTCCCGCTTTGTATACCTACCCTTGTGAGCCGCTCGTTCGATAGAAGTACAACCACTGCGATTGGAGACCCTATTCCCCGAAACAGGAGGAACATACTCGAGATTCATCTAAGGACATCTCCGACAAAGTACCAGCAAAACATTTGCGCGAACCCCAACTAATATCAAACCAAATATATGAAACTTATCACTTATTCGACATAATGGAAAGACCGGCGAAGCGAATGAGAATATCTAATCCCGAAGTACGGAATCCCCGAGATACAGGTTCGAGGATGACCGAAGGCTTGTTCACATCAGAACTTGGCATCCGAAGCGACGACTCTGACGGGACCGTTCATCCGACTCGAACAATCAGCTTGTCGGATTTTCAGAGACGAAATATATATGGCGAATACCAACGTGTGCCACGACAAGTTCTGCCTCGAGGCAACCAAGGCATTTACCTCCGGCCCCGAGCGCCCGATGCAACCGTCACCGCGAGCGTGGTTGAGATCAACGTCAATGACGGTACTTCTGTGTCCAAGGTCACGGAGGTGACAGCTGCTCCATCTGGAACCGTTGTCTCTATATCAGACATGGGCTCAGCGACTGTTTCTGTTACCGTGCCTGGAAATTCGGGGACAGGCAGTAGCCACACGGCATCTGAACAATCTACATTGACCACAGATAGTGCTTCTCTGACCTCTTCTTCTTCCTCAACAACTCCGGCGGCTGGTGGTGCTACCACCACCTCCACAGGGTCTAGCACGACAGGGTCCATCATTTCTGACGCTGCGACCAATGGCACCTCAACCTCTTCAGACACAACCACGCAACACACAGTTACTGTTACCGCCACGTCTACCTACGAAATCTCCATCATTAATGGAACCTTTATAACGCCAGATATAACTGCATTCGTGATAGCCACAGACTACAGCCAAACAGGACCCATCACCGATATTGACACAGCGACCACCTCGGCCACTTTCGTCTTTGGAGATCTCACCAGCACCCCATCGCCAACCTATTCCTCTGATACCTTCAATTCAGGTGCAGCTTCGACGGGATATCTGCCGGGGGGCATCGTACAGACAGGCTCACCTACGGAAACCGCCGGTTCTGCAGCCAGCTCAAGTCCTTCCTCGAAATCCGAATCTGGAAGTGGTAGCCCCGGGTTATCGCCCGCGCAACAACAAGTTGTCGGCGGTGTGGTCGGTGGTATTGCTGGCATCGCGTTGGCTTTGGCAATCTTGCTTGTCGTCCTTCGTTGGTATCGTCGTCGACTCAAGTCGCGTGGCCAGCTACCCGAACAGATTGCTGCTAGACAGCTTGGAGGGAATTCGGGCCACGATTATCCCATGTCTCAACGGTCTTCGAACACGCCTTTCGCTGCTGCCGTAGCTCACAACCTGAGAAGACTTCGGCCTCACAGCATCCAGACCAATGCCACTACAGCGACTGGCGCCACAGACTTTAGTGCGAAGGATTCCGAACGCGGTTTTCAAAGGATCGCTGGTCGAAAGATCGCACCCGTGTTGAGCAGCGGAGGTGACCCGTATGGTGGAAACTACGGTGCGTTTGAAAAGGAGACCGAAGCTGGTGCATCAGACCCGCTGTACAATACAGACAGTCGCCTTGCTGGCGCTTCTTTCTACCGTGATCATGATGGTTTCTACGGAGGCAAAGGCAATCACTCACCCACTTTCCCACCATCGCCAACAACTGCTGCTACGGGTGGAAGAGCAGGGGATTTACATCTTGGGGGCAGTGGCCTAGGTTCAATGGCGAGAGATTTTGCCGGTACTATTGGCAGTGGCAGTGGCAGTCAGGTGTCTCTCAATACACCAAGCCGACCTGAAGGCATCGCAGTGATGCGGCCCAGTCCGGCTCGAACTCCCGTCACATTGAGTCCTGCTGCGAGCTCGATTAGGTTGCCCATCCAGCAAGCGCCCACCTTGGACGAAGATGCTCCTCCAGTACCGACCGGACTTTTGGTACCTGGCCAGATGCAGAGAGATGGGGTAGGTCGAAGTCTGGCCAGTCAAGATGGTAGTCATGTTAGCAGAAGCAGTGGAAGAAGTGGCACGAGGTTTGTGGAGAATATGTGAGGCTTTGTACAGAGGTGCTTGGTGTCGTCTAGTACCAGCTCTATTTTTCTGTTATTTTCAATGCGTTCTTGAGCGTGGTGTGTGGCGTTTTTTGTATACATCAGCATTGGGGACCAGCTGATGGGTTGTCACTTTGCGTCAAGTTTGATTGAACGTGGAACTGTATGTTGTGCAGTGTTTGATATGATACCCGTCATTTATCCAATGTGATGTAGAGAAGTCTCAATTTATATTTGTGCATTTGACATTGCAGCTAGGCCGTGTTTACATGTTTGCTTTCTCTTCTTTTGGCATATGTTTCTTCGTCCCTAAATAATCTAAAGTCATGATCCTCAGACGAGGCCATCTATTTAGTATCTGTTGCTACTCTGAGCTGTGCTCCTCGGCGTCTAGTACTCGTACGGACTGTTCTCCTCTGCCTCGTACACGTACAGGGTCGAGTTACGCTGGTCAGGTAAAAAGTACAGACGCATCTTGCCGTCCACCAGGGCCACGTCGAAGGGGTTCTGGGTGATGGGAGTTCCCAGGTCGCTCATCATGGTCAGGGGAACTTCCGAGTACGGCACCATGGTTTCCGTGTCCACAATGGCCACGGCCCCGACGGTGACGTTGTTCGAGTACGTCGCCACGCCCGAGCACATCATCGTGGGACGGCTGGCGTACACCGAGGAATAACCTAGGAATTTGCAGTCCTTTTGTAAAGTGGTCATTCTGGTCAGTGTGATGGGATGGAGAGTGGACTCAAAACCGTCTCTTGGTTTTTTTTACATCGTCCTTGCTTTAAGTGGGTAAAAAGGAAAACCAGGTGCTTACCTGATAATCTACAAAGTAACTCGGATTTCTAGCAACAGACTTTGGCTGGCTGAATTCCGGGTACGGACAGGCCGGAGGACCATTCAAATCCCAGACTGAAGCGTTGCGGGCTCCCCAGTTCAAGGTGCTGAGCTTTTGGGCTTGGGTGTCGTGCACGATCCCGCCGAGGTGGTCTGCGTAATGAAAGACTGGCTGATCCGCAAGGGTCTCAGGGTCGACGGAGACGATGGTCGCGGTGGTGTTGGGCCGGTACTGGGCTATGGTTGCCCAGACTTTTTGCCCGTCGTACTCGATCCCCCCGATGTGGTACTCGAGGGCGTCCGGTTTGGTGAGTGTGGCGTCGGCGATGAGTTTGCCCTGGCCGTCGTAGACGGTCAAGTGGGCGTAGCCAGACCCCGGGGTACGGTCGGTGCCGTTGATGACGACATTCTTGCCGTACGAGACCGTCTTGTTGGTCCATTGCCCGCCGCCGAGGATGTAACGTTCTTCGCCGATGTTGACCATCCCCTCGGGTTCGCCGGTGTCTCCTTCAAACTTGACCTTCTTGACGAGATTCCACACCGTCGTCCGACCCAGTCGGTTGAATTGTTCGATGATGGCTTCAAAGTGGCTGGCGGCCCCAGGCGCGGGAAGTGGTGTCGGGAAAAAAGCGACGTTGGGTTGGTGGACTGTGATGTTCGTAGTGGTGGTGGGGGCGGCGAGTCCGGTCGTGAACAGGAGACTGCTCGCCGACAAGACACCAGCAATACTGGAGTGAGTGGTAGATAGTCTCATTTTTGTTATGGATTGCTAGTTGCTTTTGTGGTACTGAGTTTTATGAGTAGAGTTGAACTACAACCTACAAATGCTTATGACGGTCAGCGTTTAAGTATATTTTTCCTCACCTACATAGGTAGTCTCTCTCGCTCATGCGCTAGGAATTCTCTCTCTTGTGGCATTAAATGAATCCATCCCACTCGCTTGGATCGATCTGGTGTAGACATTACAGTCGGTTGTCTGATGTAGTAACACTACTGTGGAACTAAGGCCTGAATATGGCCGTCACGTGCGCCAAGTGCCGCCGCCATTGGCTGGATTCTTTCCGACATTTCCATCCTCTTCGTCTTCCTCTTCTTCTTCTTCCACCATCTCGATGAATGATGACAGAATCACTCGCTCTTCATCGTTTAATCGTTCTTGGCTGAACGACAACATACAAAAATCCCACGTGGTGCCCTTTCGTGTCTGACTCCATCGGTCTCAAATGGCTAGCTCCTGGCTACGGACACGGCCTAGTACCCTGACTATCCTCGTGCTTGTCCCGAGAAACTGGTTCGTATGCTTTGATTACGGAGACCTTTCGGATTTTTGCCGTTTCATGCGGCAGAGTCCCGGTCTTTCTAGGTATTGGACACAAACGAATGTTTACAACTCAAGGGTTGATTAGCCAAAATTGGTTCCCTTTTTCGACCATAGGCAGTCGACGTTGATCCATAAATGGATTTATGCACCTTCTCAAGACCTAATTCGAGGTCAGAATGGGGCATATATCACTGGGAACGACATCTCACTGTATTCTGAGGCGCGTATCAGCGAAGAGAGATGATCAACACATCTCTCAGTGGGTAAAAGGGCCACTATTTACCAGGGCCTTTAACTCTCTCCGTCCACCAAGAACGAGTGATTACGATGGATGCAGTAATGGTTATTGAGAGGGAGACAGTAAGTTGAAGCAGCGGCAACTGACATGATCCCCAGCCCAGCCACAAGCATCACGACCCCAGGTTAGAACCGGCGAACCTCTCGCCAGACAAGATTGATTACTACCAATACTATCTCTTTTCTCATGGCTTCACCCGAGCACTGGTATCGAAGGTGCTTCTCATGTGCACAGTTATATGGATCAACAAAGACCAAATTGCTCCCGGGGACCTTCGGCCATACAGCAAAATGTCCCTGTCGACATTGGGGCTTTCCATCCTTGGACTGGCCAGCAAGGCTATCTAATGGCATTTACGGAGACAATGTTACACTCACAGATCACCTACCATATCACCTGAGAATGTTGTGGTCTAGACTAACTTCATCAAGTCTGCGAAGAGCATGATCACTGCCTGACTTGTCTCATCGACACACAGCGATCCTAAATTCCCAAAATTCCCGTTGTGTCCTCACCCTAACTCGCTTGCTGGTAGTTTTGTGGTCCCCTAGGATGTCCTGGTATTTCACCCTTGGACGGTCGATCGCCTCGATGAAGTCCACTCAATCTTTATGCTAGCGCCACAGAAATCCGTAAGGGGTAATGACTTAACGCCGAATTCGTCCACCCATCCGTCTCAGACCATCGACCTGGAAACTTATCACCATGATTGTCTTGTTTTCACGCCAGACGAGGCAGCTTTTGAGCTTTGACACTAGTACACCTGCATATGCATGTGCCTCATAGCGCCGGACTTAAGTAGACATTCAGCCTTTCGCTGGATGCAGAGGTTGTGCACTCACCCTGAAGCATCAGTCCCTCGCACAACGCCACAGTGCTTGGGACGCGACAACAGGAGTAGGAAATTACAAAGATGTCGCTGTTCAGCTTATATAAAAAACTGTTCTCCCTTGGTTCGACTTCAGTTAACTAGCAGCTTCAGTTTGATTCTTGTCTACGGCTGGATCAAGTTGTTGTATTCTCAACTAAAGTCATTTGGACTTTGTAACTTCAGACACGGAAATCCACTCCAACCAGGTTCGTGTCACTTGCATAGCCTTCGACGTACAAGTGCTCATCCAAGTTTTCACACAGGAGAAATGGCTTTCATCTCCCCGCCAGATCATATAACAGAGATTGAAGCGTCCGGCCGTGAGCCAGAGATGCATACATCTCTGGATTTAGATCCTCAGACATTCGAAGATGAGCTTTCGGGAAACGAAAAACGGACAGACACAGAGATAGACCCTGCTGTGGACGAAGAAGGCATTAGGAGGAAGAGTGACCCCACGGCTACAGACAACAACGATGATAACAGCGTTGTTGACTGGGAGCCTGGAGATGCAGAAAAGCCTGTCAATTGGACAACGAAGAAAAAGTGGTCAAACATTGCTGTGGTATCCACAATCACCTTTCTTACACCTTTGGCATCTTCCATGATCGCGCCTGCCACTCCTCTCATCATGGAAGATTTTCAATCAACAAACTCGACCGTCGCCAGCTTCATTGTGTCAATCTATGTTCTTGGGTATGCCCTAGGGCCTCTTTTTCTGGCTCCCTTATCAGAAGTCTATGGACGACTCCCTATCTATCATGGCTGCAACTTCATGTTTGTGATCTGGACAGTGGCATGCGCACTCGCTCCGGGGATCTCTTCTATGCTCGTTTTTCGGCTTCTAGCCGGCATTGCAGGAAGCTGCCCGCTTACGATTGGCGGCGGGTCGATCGGCGACCTCATGGTGCAGGAACAAAGAGGTGCGGCCATGGCTGTATTTGCTATGGGACCTTTGATGGGGCCAGTCATTGGGCCGATAGCTGGAGGATACCTGGGACAGGCCGCTGGTTGGAAATGGGTCTTTTGGACCATTGCAGCTGCAGTTCGTATACCCTCTTTCTTTTAGCCGAGGATTCACTGATTGTCGTCTAGGGCGGTGCTGTTCTGATAATCTCGGCCTTAATCCTAAGGGAGACTTACGAACCTGTTCTTCTTGCCCGGCGCGCGAACCGCCTGCAGAGGATCACTGGCAATACTGCGTTACGTTCAAAACTAGATGAGGGTTTACAAATGCGCCAATATTTTCTTCGAGCCATCGTCCGCCCAACAGGAATGCTCCTATTCTCGCCGATCGTCCTTACTTTGTCGATCTACATGGCTATGGTTTATGGCTATCAATACCTCTTGTTCACGACTTTCACGCAAATCTTCGAAGACAACTATCATTTCAGTCACGGGTCAGTTGGGTTGTCATTTTTAGGAGTTGGAGTTGGGGCTATGATTGGTTTGTTTGCATTTGGAGCTCTTTCGGATCGCGTCGTCCAAAGATTATCGATTGCAAGTCAAGGAGAGATGAAGCCTGAGTACAGGTTGCCTCCACTGATACCAGGATCGCTTCTTATACCTATCGGCTTGATTTGGTATGGCTGGAGTGCTGATAAGCATATCCATTGGATCATGCCAATTATCGGAACAGCTTTCGTCGGCATGGGCCTCCTTGCGACTTTTATGCCTATCCAAACCTATCTTGTCGATGCCTTTCAAATGCACGCAGCATCTGCCCTTGCAGCAAATACCGTGCTGAGAAGTCTTTTGGGAGCCTTTCTGCCTCTAGCTGGGCCTCAAATGTATGACTCACTTGGGCTCGGATGGGGCAATACGTTGCTGGCGTTCCTGGCATTGGCCATGTCACCTGTTAGTTGGATCTTTTTCAAGTATGGCGAGCGACTCCGGAAGAGATACGATGTGCAGTTTTGAAGCCACTCCAATGCGTCAGCGAGCTGGTTCGAGAGTCCCCATGCTTTGGACGGCGAACCAGACTCCAGGGTATCATAATCTCAGACCAAATGTGTTGTGTGAAACGTTGGAAATGGTATGTGAGTTTCACTTCTTTGTGGTAATACAAGCGTTTCGACAGACAGGTGTATCATAGAGTTCAAGATCGAAAATTCATCTTGCTGTTCCGAGAACTGGGTCTACCAGGAATCTGCGTGAAATGACAACCTAGCAGATCAACAACGACAGGCATAATTCGTCACGACCAAACACTTTCGAGAAGTTTCAGCCCTGAGTCAGTTTCCAGGACTGGAGGCAAAATTACATCCCCTGATACCTACACCTGTTGTTGCATGTTTAATTGACAATTTGCCCAGACCACCGGCCAGGGAACTCGATGAATAGACGTGAAGAATGGAATATCCTGCGACACCATCCCCACTATCTAGCGAAGTGAGAAGCCGAGGTTACAGTACGACACCCAACAGGGGTGTTTTCCCTTTTAGGAATTCAAAGACGAATCCGACTACTTACAACAACTCACCGACTGTGCAGATCATGTCATCACCATTGTTTTCTGGACTTCTCCTGCCCCAGCCTCACTCTCACCCGCAGCCGTAGTCGCAGATCCAGGATCCCAGTTCCTCGTGCACCAAACTCTGTGGTGATTGTTTTTATGAGAGATGGTGCCTGAAATTAGCGGTCGAGTACGGAGGACTCCGATTGTTTTCGCTCACCTTTCAAGGCTCTTCGAGATCAGTATTTATTGTTTGAGGACATCAGCATACAGTCCAGAGTCTACGGAAAGCGGTCATTCATGATATTAGGTACGCAAAACCAGAAATTGAACAGCATACTGCACCTGAGAAGCTCTCGATTCCCCAGATTAGCAGTCCACTCCTGTAAGTCTCGTAACCGTCGGTAGCCCCATCGCCTGCACCTCGTCACTATTGCTCGGTGGGTCTTAAAACGACACCATCTAGCTTGATATAGAATACAACGACGGCACTAATATACCAACTGTCCTATCGTTTCTGCACTTCCAAGAAAGATCTACTAACGGGCTGGGACCATGGGCTACGAGGCTGTTGTACCGGGATCCATCTGCAACCTCAGCCTTGGAATCTAGGATCGACTTTGATATCAATCGGGTATCTAAGGACGTGCTGAAACAGCACGATCTCGTGGTTCGGTCGCTTTCGACGCTGTTCAGGTCCATGCCTCCACGAATCAGATTTAACACTTGGCCAGCTGGTTCCATTCCAAGCTCTGATCATATGCAAAGTAAGTATTGATCACCCCTTGGCTGTGCTGTTAGCCCAGAATCCTGGGCCGGAATCCTGCCACATTACATGCATGCAGTTTCTAAATTGAACGCTGATGATGAACTCATTTTTCTTTTGCAGACCCCAAATTAAGATGATGTCGATCCTGAGGAAGCCAGAGGGTGCTTTTCGAAAGGATATAAAGGAGAGGCTTCTCCTGGTCAACCAAGCTCACCATACGCCTCATCTCTCATCCTCTTTTCCCAACGATATCTGAGTAACTCTTCCACGCGTCTACGACTGCATCAATGACCAAGACCTTCCTCGCCAATGCCCTAGTCGGGCTGGCTGCGTTTAGCGGCCTCGTCACCTGTTCTCCTACGCCTTCCAAGGAAGACAAGACTCCAAGGCCCAATTGGTACGACTGTCCGGCCTCACTCTCGACGGAACTCAAGTGTCTTGATGTCACCGTCCCTCTGGACTACGATGACCCAGATGGAGAGACGATCAATATTACCGCCGTCAAGATGATCACCAACAGTACCGACAAGATCGGATCGGCAGTGTTCCAGTGGGGTGGACCAGGTTTCCCAGTGGCAGTGACCGTGGCCCAAGATTTGAACGGCACGGCAGAGTCCTTTTTCCAGTTCAAGGACCGCTTTGATATCGTCGCCGTCGACCCTCGTGGCGTGGGGATCAACCATCCCGTCAAATGTGACCCGAAGTATGGCAAAGAGAACTGGTTCGACGCCGCCTACCCTAACAACGAGAAAGAATTCAACGACGGATTGGCCTTCTTTAAAGAATTGGGCGAGAGTTGTGCAAACAGGACGGGAAAAGTGATTCATCATCTCGACACTGTCACCCAGGCAAAAGATCTTGAGTCTGTGAGAGTCGCCATGGGTGAGGGAAGGTTGACTTACTGTACGAGAATCCATTCTTCTGTGGTTGGACATTGCAAAGCTGACAGGCGTGTGTTTTGTAGATGGTCTCTCATGGGGAACCATTCGAGGGCAAGAGTATGCCAGGCTCTATCCGCAAAACATTCGAGCCATGATTCTAGACGGTAAGGATTCGAAAAAGTCCTGGTTTTCAATCACCTAGGCTCTAACACGGCTCGCAGGTGTCGCCGACCACACGATCAGTTCGTTCGACTTTACCAGCACCGAGATCACTGGCACGGCCAACGACATGTCACGAATGCTCGACTGGGCCGCCCACAACGAATCGTCCCCGCTGAAAGGCCAAGACGTCCGCGGAATGCTGAGGGAGATTGTCGCAAAGGCGGACGAGACCCCGATCAGGATGCCCGGCTGTGAGAAGAGCGGGACGTGTCAGGCAGAGGTCAACGGCAACACCTTCCGCGGCACCATCGTGGCCTTCCTCGACCACCCGCTGGGCATCTCCGGAGGGTTCCCCCTGTGCGCCCGGTCCATCCAGGAGGCGTACGAGGGCAACTACACCATGTGGGCGACGCTCAACCCGACCCGCCCTTACGAGTGGGACCCCAGCTACTCGGAACTCGGCATCATCTGCCAGGATTTCGACTTTGACGAGGACTGGGAACGTTTCCAGCAGACCCAGATGACCACGGCGGCCCTGTCGCCGGACATGGAAGGCTGCGACGCCACCCGCATCTGGTCCATGGGTTGCAAGGGTTGGCCCACAAAGGTGACGAACCCTCCTCACGATTACAAGATCACAAACACTTCGGCGCCGATTCTGTTGGTCCACGCTCTTTGGGATGTAAGTTTTGAAATGTGCTTTCCCATGCTCATCACGACGCCGTTCAAACCCCCTCTTCTCCTTCTTTCTCCCTCTGTGTACATGTTTGACTTCGATTGTCGATGTCAAATGGACTAAGATTTTCTTTTCATAGTCATCAACACCATATCAATGGGCTGTTCGAGTCAACCGCAAGATAGAAGGCAGTGTCCTCCTCACACGCGAAGGCGAGGGTCACGGTAGTCTGGCGTTCGACTCCACCAGAAAGGCCATGTTTGATTATTTGGTCGACCCGGTCAAGAACCTCCCAAAACCTCTGACGGTGATCAACGAGGCCGTCGCTCACAACGAGACCGACGGGTTTTCCACGAGACCTTTGGCCTTGAACCCTCCAGACTTTGACGCTGCATAAAGGCTGTGGTGGTGATGACCCGGCCCTCGATGACCACCATTTTCGGCGGTCCAAGAGTTCTGCCAGATGTACAGCGATTGACCTTGGTTTGTGTTTGGGGATAACTTACAATCAACGTGCCTCTCTCTCTCTCTCTCTCTCTCTCTCTCTCTCTCTCTCTGTGTGTGTGTGTGTGTGTGTGTGTGTGTGTGTGTGTGTGCCTGGTACGGCGAGAGTCGAGAAGTCACGAGGTCAGAGTCATTGAATATGTCTCTTTTCAACCACATCAAGTCAGATCTCTTTACAGTCTTCATTATTTCAACACCTTGATAATTATATATATATGTTTATGGTATAATTTTTGGGGGATATCTTGATGTGGATTTCGAAATTTTCGGTCTTGAAAAAGCCACTGCATGGCAATGATTGCATAGCAAAACACCGTCTTATGGTTGTACATCGGCAATCGCCACTCCAAGATCACTATCACCTTGACCTGTTTTTTTTTGTTAATGTCAGTACGAATTACTTTGTGTTTTGTTTCTTGCCCTGTCTGTGCGTGTCTGTGTGTACTTACCGAAATAAAGGTACCATTTCCCTTTGAACTGTACGAGCCCTTCTGCGAAAACCACCTGATCGACTTGACCCTGTTGCTCGTTCCCTGCCTCTGGCACCAGAATGGGTCTCTCGAGTCTCGCCACGGGCCCGTCTCTCAACGCAGGCTGATAGGCCTGCTGATCGGTCACGTTCAACTTGGGTCTGAAACTCCCCGAAGGGTCGATGAGCATTTGACCCACGCTGTACTGGTTCCGGGGGTACCCGACCCGCCCGGTGGTCATTCCGTTGTAGACCAGCAACCATTTCCCGTCCCGGGTCTTGATGGGTGCGGGACCAGGTTCGATCAGACGGTTTTCCCAGGGATTGACGGGACCGGCAAAGTATTCCTCCGCGGGCATGGCCGTCCAGTTCAACATGTCGGGGCTCGTGGCATGGTAGAAGAAGCTATCGCCAAAGTACATGTGGTACAGACCGTCGCTGGCGGTGGGTTCTTTGACGATGGCGCCTGATTTGCTGTGATTGAGGCGTGGCACGGCAACGTCAATGTCGCTGTAAGCCACGTCAGTAAAATCAGGAAACAAAGGACCGTGTTTGGTCCAGTCGAGCAAATCGGTCGAAGAGGCAAGACACAACCGAGCCGTGACGTTGTCAAAGGCCGTGTAGGTCACGTAGAAAGTCCCATTGACCCGAACGATGCGTGGATCTTCGGTCCCGCCGATGGTTTCGTAGGGTTCGGTGGCCTGGATGATGGGCTTGCCTAGACGGGTAAAGTTGGTACCGTCGGTGGACCAGGCCAGACCGATGGACGAGGTTTTGGAACTGTTTTGGGCCCGGTACAACAAGAAAATGGTCGAGTTGAGGACGATCGCCGTCGGGTTGTAGAGGTACGCACTCTCAAAGTTGGCCTGTGGGTTGGGGGTGAGGATCGGGTTGTTCGCGTACTTGGTGAATGGCAATAGAGGGAAAACGGGCGCGGTGTAGTTTGGATCATTCTCGACGGTCGACTCTGAAATGTTGAACGGGAGTTGATCTGCTGATGGCGAAGAAGAAGATTGTGAGAGGGAAAAAGTGAGATGGAGGAGGATAAGAATGAGGGACGACGTCTTCATCTTGGAACGGTTTTCCTCAAATATCACCGTTTATTAACTTGGCTGGGGGAGGTAGAACAGTCGATAGGTAGGTACCAAGTGACATTGTACCTACATTCGTTTATATACACTTTGACAATTCCGATTTGGTCATTGGCTTCAAGTGGCTTCAAGTGTCGGCAAATCGGAGTCCTTTGCAGGGTTACAATTACCCAAATACGAAGTCATGTAACCCTGCAGTGAAGCTATGAAGATCCAAGACTTTTTCCCTGATGATCTTTTCGAGTACGGAAGTAGACAAGGATGGAGAGAAATGAAGATCTTTTCTCGGCGATGACATCTGTGGAGAGTCAAAAGAGATCTGGAGTATAATAGTTGTAGTTCCCACACCCATGATCATGATGACATGATACATTTACATACGGAGGAATAGGGCTCACTTTTGATGTACTCATACTTTATGAAAAGAATAATTGACAGGGGATGCCGCTTCTCCTAGTCGTATGTACACAATCATCTTATCTTACACTGACTGTATGGTTGGAAACCACTTCATCACTTCCATATGGTCGAAGGTTTCAATTCCTCGATTGGTTTCATGCCCAAAAGTCCACGCCCTGGACCCGACACTTGTTCCAGTGCGATGTTGGCCCTCGCCGTGACGTCCTTTTCATAAGCCCTCAACGTTTCTTCATTCACTTCTGGTCCGCGCAAGACATCCGCGAGGCACGCAGCATCTTCGAAAGCCGAGTTGGCACCGAGAGCACCCACGGGGGTCATCGGATGAGCCGCATCACCGAGTAGGGTGACGCTGGAGCTGTGCGTCGGCCATCCCAGATGTCCCGGCGCCGCCATCTCGAGGGCCAACGCGGCGGACGCCGACGAATCCGCGTGGTCGACGATCGCACGGTTGCTCCTTCGCCAGTGACTTGTGAGGTCCCTCGCGAGCTCCGTCGACTTTTCACCGTCGAGGGACAACAAATCTCGGTCGTCGAGACCGTCAATCTTGTGCCGGGGAAACAAAAGGACCCAGTAGATGTAATCTTCTGGCAATTCCACTTTCAGGGTCCGGTCACGGTCAAAACGCATCCCGTCACAGAACAGTTTTACGTCCCCGTCGCCGATGACGGTGATTCCCTTGTCGATATCACCAGGTACGATCGGTCCATCCCCTAGAGGTGTCTTGCCGAAGATCGCTCGAACCTCGGTGTCGAGTGTGACCTGGTCGGGTACCAATTGCTTGCGGACGTTCGATCGAACTCCGTCGGCACCTATCAACAACTTCCCAGAGGCAAAAGTGCCGTCGGTGAAGTATGCCCTGACGCCCCCTTCTTCTTTCTCCGCGGCGGCGAGTTCGTACCTTTCGAACCTCTTGTCGAATTCGATGTGGTCCTCCAACCCCGTCAACAAGACGTTCCTCATGACGGTGCGGTCGGCGTTCCACGAGTGTTCCTGCTTCTGGTCGGGGACCCCTCTCCTCAGACCCTCGTCCCTCTCGCCCGTGACCGCGTCGATCCTCCGGCCACCGGGGACGACGTCGGGGCACGCCCTCTCCAGGGTCTCAAACACGTCTCGAGGCAACAACCTCTTCAGCACGTGTTGGAAAATGCGGATCCTGTACCCCTGTGCGCGGTAGCTCGCCGTGTCGTCCCTCTCGAAGATCTTGAACGGTATCCCGTCCCTCTTGAGGCTCTGGGCGAGGCTGAGACCCCCGAGGCCTGCTCCGATGATGAGGATGGGGGCGGCCGTCATGTTGTTTTTGCTTTGTGGGGACATTGTTGTTTCGTTCCCGTGGTCGGTAGGTATGGGAAGATGCTGCCCTGACCTTTTTGTACCCCCCAAATGTATCTCTCCCCGTGGGTGTCCGTACCCGGCTCTCTAGAGAGTCCCGAAGACGGAGGCCTCGTCGTCGTTTGTCGGGTCACGTGCTGCCCGGACATGCTGCATTCGGCGCCGAGAAAACATCCGTCCCTCGATAAAAATAGTCAAAGGAGCAAATGCGTTACGCGTCTTTCAGAAAATTAGTGAAGAGATTGATTCGAGATGAGATGGAGATGAGACGTCGACATTAACTGATAGATACATACCTCAAGTCTTTTGAGGCATCGCACTGTAGGTAGCCTGACTCGGCGAGATTCGGCCGACGAGTTGACAATCAATTTCAGCCTACCACCATTGTGTTTTTTTGGGGTCGCCATCGAGTTCGAATGGGTTGCAGCCAGTGGGTACGTTTCAAGAGAGTCACCTGGGTATTCACTTCTAGATTCATAAGTTTGTATTATTAAGTCTATATGGATCATCTGTATCGTTGTTCATTTTCATCATCAATGTCAAAGGGGGGCGTGGAGCCTTTTCTCGACAATCGCTTCCTTCATGAATGGACTTCTTTCTCGAAGCTTTCTGCCCCATATCAAGACACACACCGGTGCAAACGATAGTGCCAAGGCAAGGAAGCCCAACAGGCTGCTGGCCCATCGAAATCCCAGGTTGGCGTACATGGACTGAGCTGCCAGTGGCAGAAAGGCGGAGAAGAGGTTCTCACCAAATACGATGGCGGCCACGGCGCTCGCGGCATATCTGGCATAGGCATCCACGACGTAGTCTGCGATCGCTATAACAACGACGTCTATCCCGTACCCGACCATAGCCAGCCCGACGGCCGGAGCGATCCAGGGCAGGAATGAGTAACTGGTCCAGGCATACACCATCATCCCACCGACGACCCCGACGAAACTTCCAAAAACACTGACGTACAGTCTCGCCTCGGGTATAGGTGTGCCGGGGACTTCGGTGTTTCGTGAAACAGAAGCAAAGTACAGTTTTGCCGAGATCAAAGCCCCAGTCCAGCCGATGCATTCGCCAACCACAATCGCGGCCTGCACGTAGCCGGCCTGAGACGGGGTCCAATCGTACAAGCCTCCAAAGACCTGCTCAACGGATTGCGTAAAGAGATACACCGTGCCGACCATGAACGCTGACCACAAAGTAAAAACAAACAAGACGGGTTCGGTGAAGAGCATCCACAGTGGTCGTTTCGTGCTCCGGGCCAGCTTCCTAAATATCGAATCATTGCTCACGTCGTCATGAGGGCTTCGGACCAATTTGCCGGCTTTGCGTAGCTTTTGCACCCTCTTCTGCAGAATGATGTTGCCCCGACTTTCCTTGAAGAAGAAGAAGTACATGGGGAACAAAGCCGAGTACCAGATCAGCTGCATGTACGATATCCAACGCCACCCGAGGGTTTGGAAGATGACTGCCGAAATGACCGGTCCCATGCTGCTTCCTGCCAGGTAAAGAGTGACGAACATGCTTAAAGGGATGGTCCGGGCCCGGTCGCCCTCCCAGATGTTGCCGATCAACGCGCATGCCGTGTTGCCCAAGACGGCCACGCAGCCACCGGAGAAGAATCGTGAGACGATCAAGGTGGCAAAGTTTTGTGCCACAGCTTGGGGGATGATGAAGCAGATGAAGACGATGTAGGTGATGAGGAACGCCGGCCGCACGCCAAAGTCCTCCATGAGTGGAAGAACGACCAGTCCGGATAACGCACCACCCAGCGCCCAGCTGGTAATGGGCCAGTATGAATTTGGAAAAGTCTCGTCGCTGACGTTGAATTCTTCGTTGATGGCGGCGTGAGCCACGGTGATCATGGTCCCGTTGAGGATGGTGGTGAAGGTGGCCATACAACCGACGACGGTGATGATCCATTTTCTGGTCAACGACCATCGATATGGGTTTTCTGGGTCATTGTCGCCGTACCAGTCGATGAGTTCTGGTTCTTTGATGTCGTCATCCGGACGTCTGAGGTGGTGGTCATTGAGAGGGGGAGGGGGAGGAGCTGCCATTGACAGCTGTTTTGTCGTCCTCGGTCACTTGCGAGGAGAGAGACCAAGGAATGTAAGGAATAAGTTAATCAGAACTCATGATAGCAAAAGGATTGTTTGCATCTCTGTCTGATCAGACTCAAGTCTTTCTTTTCTTAAATTTGCTTGTTCTCGTGGTAGACTGCTTCTTTTTTTGGCACCCCATAAGAGTGCAATGGTGAATGGACACGGTAGGGGGCGGTCCGGGCGGTCACCACTTAATAAATCATAGTTGTGTGGCCACTGAGAGATGACCAATTTGTGCCTGGAGATGGTCGGATTTGTTCGGACGGATTTTTCCTTTGAAGGGATTTTTTGTTACGCGCACAGTAGTAGATGGTCAATCAGGTGCTCGGATCCTCCCTCGGAAAATACAAGGTGATTTGGAGAATTTTCTTCATTTGATCGAAGTGACGACAAAGACGTGGGAAGTGGCACTTGCTGTTGGTTACGGAGAATGGATGGAGTTGGAAGGGGAAAAAAATGGCCATTCTTTACCTAATGAGATCCATCATGCACTGGGCAGTAGGAAATTCCATTACTTAACCTTGAAATACGGCACAGCGCGAGCCGACACATCCAATGCCTTGGATACCTGGGTCACTGTACTGTATTATTGTAGGTGAAGGTGTTACTGTAACAAAATAAGAGCCTCATCTCCCTGACACTTTTAACCACTCACATGCCTCTCAATAATATATGCGATTCTCTTCTTAAGTATCAAATAATTCCACTCAGCACGCTGTTTTAGAAGAGAGAAGAGTGGCCTCGCGCTGCTTTTACCTAAGAAATCAGGTGACCTGATTCGTTATCTTATCTAGCATTCTGTTCAGCCTCGTCCTCAGCCTCGCAGCCTCCATCCTCAGCCTGATGTTCGCTCTCTCTTTCTCCTTTACATACTGTACAGCAGGCCAATACTCATCTTTTTTCGGTAGATCATGCATGACTCAATCATTTGTTCCAACCTAGTAGCCTGTGGTTGGCCATGTATCTGATCCGGCGGCATTCAGAATGATGTTTTCGGTTTGACCAGGCAATTTCATTCCGAAACGAACCATGCGACGTGTCACCCTGGTCATATTTATGGTCAGATTTATGCTGTGAAAAACAACATCTTTCATTCGGCCTGATCTAAGCATAGCCTCCAGCATCAGACCTCCATCTGGAAAGTCGGATGGATGCGAATGTTCGATAAGACACAATGTCTAAATGATATATCTAAACCGTGCCTCTGGTGGAAGACTCGACGCGGCAAGATCCTCGCCTTCACCTTCGCCGTCGACATGCTCCACCTTGCCATAGAGACGATCCCGTCGCTTGTTCTCTCTGTGAAGCAGAATGCTCAACGATGTACACAGGGCTGCCGAAAACAACGAGAAGGCAAAACCAGTCCACATGCCGCGGCGGTAGTATGGCTTTTCCGGGCCAGGAAATGAGTGGGTACCCAAGATTGTGCCGCATTGCCCTACGCACTGAATGATCCAGACTCCTCCAGCTCGCTTGGACTCGTTTTCATTGGTGTTGGCATTCCACACGAGCACGGTCGAGACCGTGACAAAACTAGTGACGATCAGGAAACAACTGACGTATCGGGCCGCGATTGAAGTGGTCAGCGCGAGGACCAGGTATCCAATGGCGGCGATGGTTGTGAAAAGCGCGGCGAAGGGTCCGCGGATCTTTAGTCTGTCCGAGAAGAAGGCGACGCCCACGATCAGAAAGAAGGAGAGCAGGTAAGGCGGTGCCGACAAGCCGTTGGACGTCAATTGGTCAAAGCTGCCAAAGTCGGAGATGATGGTGGGCAAGAATAATGGTAGCGACGCGAAAGAGACGTTTGTGCTAAAGTTGGACAATGCAAACATCCAGTCTTTTGGAGTGTCAGTGTTTCTGGTCAGGAAGTTTGCGGCATGGATTGGGGAGTAACAAAAAGAAAGGAAAAAAATTTACTGACTTCGATAGTCTGCAAAGGCCGCCATCAGACTCTGCCAATGTATCCCTCTCTTTCCCGGTTCTTGAGGCTGGGCCTGTGAGTCGTTGGCCAGATGAACGGCAATCTCCCGTTCTCGCGGAGTCAAGAACCTCGCTTCCCGGGGGGAATCAGGTAGGAAGAACCAACAAACGACGGCCAGCAGCGCCGTCGGGGCGCCCTCGATGATGAATAGAATCTTCCACGGCGCCACGAACGAATGAATATGGGATATGGCATACGCAAGCGCTCCGCTGTACGCGTTGGCCAGTGCCGCCCCGGACAAGAAAATACCAAACCGGAGACCCATGAGGCGACGAGGCCAGAAGAAGCTGAAGTACAATGGAATCCCTGGTCCGAACATGGTCTCGGTGAGGCCTAGGAAAAATCGACACGCCATCAGGCCACTCCAGCTGGTACAGACGGCCTGCAAGGTACTGATGGTGCCCCATGCCAACACCACGAAGGAGACCCATTGATGAGGCTTGAATAGTTTCCAGCCGACACTGGAGAACTGGAAGACGATATACGCGATATAAAACCTGTAGACGAGAGTCGGGCTGTCAGTCACGTCTGTAATAGTCGGCTGGAGGGAGGCTGAGTCAGGTAGGTTGGTTGATTAGATATATACTCACATGGTTCCAAGCCAATCATACTCGTCACTCGTAAGGTCAAGGTCTTTGTACAAGCCGGCCAGTTTCGCATTTCCAAGGTTTCCTCGATCGAGAACTGAAAAGGTATAAAGAATGAAACAAAGCGGTAGGATGTGCCAGTCCAATTTGCGTATGACCGCCTTTGCTTCCTCTTCAGTGTACTCCAGTCTAGGGGGAGCGACCTCGACATTGGTCGGTTCGATTTTTGTTGTTGTGTCCTCCATTGCGGGCGGCGGTGGGCAAACTGATGAGCGACACTTGATGTTGTGTGCTTCTCGAGCTTCTGTGGTGAGCCGAGAAGTTATGCACCATCTTATATATAGTTCACCCTTCGCGATTTACACCCACACGTCGTAGTTCTGATCCATCACCTGTTGTCAGTTGGTTGAAATGAATTCTCCCCGCCCTCGGTATCGAATCCCCGGGAAATACTACCCCAGGCTAAGGGTGGGTCTTCGGCATGATAGCGAGGGTGTAGTACTGTAAAGTATACCCCGATGCCGAAATTTGACGACCCAGGGCTGGTGAATTGAAATTGCGCTAAAAGGATAGTCAGGAGGTTTGGGGGAAATTCATGCAGTATCCTGGTGATAGGTATCACGCACAAGGCTCCCTACCAGGTATGTATATATCACTGAAGTACCCCTCGAACCTGTCGTGTCATTTCTTAGTATCACCATGAGTTAAAATGATGACCGACAGAATCCAAATGAGCCCAGAGACATTCTCAAGAATCTTGAGAATGACGAGCACCGAGTCGCCAATAAGGATAGTAATAACGACCAAATTCATAGTTGCTCAGTCGTGTGCCTTTTGCAAATCAATCGCCTATAGCGAAGGGCAATTGGGGGGGCTCAAGCATGTATAGCTTCGTGCGTAATGCAGAAGTTAGTGTGCGTAATACATATCGCCAGTATCCTTGGACCTTGTTGGGTATGCGAGAATCCCAAGACCTGAAGGGCCCTCATTTGACCGAGACGAATCCCCCAAGTCATTGTATGATGGTGACGGAACTGAAGAACTATCTTAGTTCAGTGTACCAACTGAGGCTCTCTGGAACAAATCCGCCGCCCACGTCCGGGGTTTGGATGTTCCATAGATCAAAAGCCTCCCCATCAAAGGGCCACTGCGGCACGACACCACTCAACATATCTGACTCCCACGCTCCAGGCGCATTCGGATTCGATTGACGCGCGAAAGCATTCTCATGTGGTTGCGTCCAATGAGACACGGGCTGCTGGATTTGCGCAGAGCTAAGCAAATTGGAATGATCGGGACTTACACCGATATGCCCAAAAGAGATTGAATGAGATCCGGCCCGAGTAGCAGAGGCAGTCAATGGCGTCCGAGGTGATAACGTCTGTTTTGAAAGACGCATCTTGATGATGTCAATACTTCTTCGGATCCCCGGAGTTTGCTTCACCTCCTCTTCGAGCATTGCTAGCGTCGTTGCGAGGCACTCAAGAGCCATTTGTGAGATTGTCGGATCCGGATGAATCGCTTGTTTAACCTCAACGGTTGCCGCAGTATAGACACAGTACGAAAGCAAGTACGTCTGATTCTTGTTGCCGAACCATCGGCCGTACGCCTGGAAAATAGTGTTGACTGCTATGGCTTCTCTACTACACACGGCCGAGGCGTGCTCAAAAATGGCGCGATCTTTGTCTGACTGTGTGTTTTCCTTCAGAAAGTATGGTCGGTAGATCAGTATATGCATGGTATGGTACAGTATGTTCAAGCAACAGATATGAGGTGGTGTACACGCTGAATTGAGCATGTCTTCGTCAAGTTGAAGTTCGCGTGGCAGGTCTCGGTAAAATTTGCGTAGCTTCTCTTCGAAACGCCTCAGTCGGGAGAGATCAACATCCCGAGCCCGAGCACCAAAAATGTCTCTGAAAGCCTCGTTAACTAGTGTTGCCAACTCGACGAAATGAGAAAAGGTCGTAGTATTGTAGCCCGGGACGGGGTTGTATGTCATTCCCTGTTCATGCAGATAAAATGGTTTCCAAACTTCTTCATCGTCAGAGTGATCCAGCAAACAATGAGATGGATATAGCATAGTGGGTAAAGATGGAGCCCGTCCTAGGCATAAGCTGATGGATTTGTCCCACACAAAAGCGGACAGGTATAGCCGTTTCTGGGTCTCAAAGTCGTCAGGTTCGGTGTTGGACATACGCAGACGGCGAGGCAGATGAAGGCCAAGGTCTTTGATCATTCGCATCGCCATGCCCGTATATAGCCACCCCTCGCTGCTCTTGCCCACCGCACATTGGCGGCCACCTAGGATGAGGAGACCTTGAATAGTTGGGATCGCTGGTCTGTCTTGCTTGAACTCGTCCACAAGAAGTAGCCTTGCTTTGTCAAGAAGTGGCTCGCCCTGCATCAACAGCAGGTGCCGCGAGTCAGTAGAAGGGATATGGCGAGACGCGTGGGCGTAAATGACATAGAGTAAGAAGCGAGAAAAATAAGGACCCTTCAGTACCATATCTCGGAAGAAGCCTGGATGGTCAGTTATTGTGTTTCACAAACACGACTGCTAAACTCACTTCGCCGATAAACACAATTATGTAGTGGTGCTTGCCATGTCCAGTAAATCTTAAGCAGGATCCTTGCGGTCTCTGCATCAATCAATTCTTCGTCCTTGATGTTGTCGTAAGCAATTTGTTCGAAATGGTTGTTAAAGCGGGCATTCGATGCCAGCCAGCGCCGATGATAATCCACCTGTGCGGCATCATCGTGACTTGCAGGAATATCATATTCGGCGTTAGAGTCGTGGTCTTCGACATGAAACCTCGAAGTCGAGTTATATCTCTAGAGCAAGATCAGTATGAACATCATTGCATGACCGAGTACGACCTACCTCCTCCACCTCTTCTTCATCTGCCAATTCGTCATCGACGTTCAGAGTGGTTTGGGGGTGCCGCTCCCCGGACGACGACAGCTCGTCTAAGCCTGGAGCATCGGTTGGTGCGACAGCATGCTCAAGAGCGCTGTCCCTTTCCCTGTCTCCTTCTTGAACCGATGTTTGAGCCAGAAGGAGACGAAGGCCTTCCCGACATGGAATGGGCTCTAACGACAGCAAGCACCCCAAATCTTGCTCCAGCTGTCTCAACCGCTGTTCTGATCTACTCAGAGCATTCCTCAATCGAGTCACAGCCGAGTCCTGGATGCCATAGGTGCACTGCTCACCGGCGCGTACGCACTTGGCACAACTCGGCTTGCCACCGTCGCAACGGACCTTTCTCCTGCGACAAAGCAAGCATGACTGACCATATTTCTTAGCATGAGGTGGCATGGTTTGGGCGATTCGGGGTTTCTGGCGACTGATATGATGGTGAACAGCCGGAAGCCAATTCCGAATACGGCGAGGGAGCGTATCGCAAGGCTCGTCAATGGCCACGTTTCAGTAGCGCCAGCAATCAATTGACTAGCGACAGCTGTCGGGCTTCTCTGTGTGCAACGCATCAGGTCAACCAAATCAGCGGTTCGTGCAAAACTATTTCCCAACTCCACGTTGGGCTTAGCGCGAGATTTGGGGAAGAGACTGTTCACAGACCGCGAGACTCAGGAATCCATCCAAGCGCATCCCCGGCAAACCTCTTACGGAGTCCCCAGATGGCAGACAAGACTTGTCCAAGTTCCCTCCGGGAATAATGCAGGGACAAGGGACGGGCAAGGGTCGTTTGCCTTAGCTCGACCCATGGCTGGTGCTGATCTCGGGGTCATACCGAACAACAGAAACAACCAACTCCACCTTGCCAATGACCAGTCACACTCCTCTCGTCTGATGAGAATATGGCTTAGGATTTATCTCCCATGCCGTGGACAGCCTCGTGGGAAATCTCTACACAGACCTCACGATGAATTCCTCAATCAAAGAGCGTACTTTGACACCTCCATTTGAGCAACCTGGAAAACGTCTACGGCCAAGCTTTGATGACCTTCCGCTGAGAGAGGGCGACCCAAAGGGTTCAGCATGGGGCTTATGGGGGGATGAAGATGAAATCGGCACACTGAATCTGATTACGCCAGAGGCAATCGCGCGGGCTACGCAAGAAGCGTGCAGGGGCGTCGTCGTACCTCTGAGTCTGCCCTTGGAAGAGCCAGTTCTTCCCATGAATCCGCGGAGAACTCCATGCTCGCACCGAATCAATGCCAAGGGATACGCCAACGACGATGAGATTCATCTCAACACTCAGAGCTCAAGCCACTGGGATGGATTGAGGCATTACCCCTACCAGATCGAGCAACAACGGAGATTTTATAACGGGGTCACCCAAGATGACATATCTGGACCGGAGAGTAACCCCAAAATTGGGATACAGAGTGAGTGAGTCCGGCGGTGCATGTGCTACTTCCAGACCAAAGCAGACCCAACCTAACTGAATTCACAGACCTCGCTCGTCGGGGCATCGTTGGGCGAGGAGTTTTGCTCGACTGGAGAGAATATGCAAAGCAGAAAGGAATCAAATATTCGCCCTTTGAGACCCACGCCATACCGCTCCAGGAGCTACTCGACGTGGCCCGGTCACAGAATGTCTCGTTCTGTCCTGGAGATGTACTACTGATCAGGACCGGCTGGACAGAAGAATATCGCAGATTGAGCGGCGAGGCCAAGTTACAACTCGCAACGAGGGAGGTGAGAAGTTTTGTGGGTGTCGAGGCAAGCGAAGAAATGTTCAGGTGGCACTGGGATTCCCAATTTGCCGCCGTGGCTAGCGACACAAACGCCTACGAGAGCTGGCCGCCGACCAAACCCTGGGGCGTTTCTTGTCATGAAGTGCTGCTCAGCGGATGGGGAATGCCCATCGGTGAAGTCTGGGACCTGGAAAAGTTGTCTGGGACTTGTCGTGCCCTTGGGAAGTGGACGTTTCTGATCACAAGCTCGCCGCTGAATCTCAACGGAGGTGTGGCCAGCCCCAGCAATGCACTGGCCATCTTTTGAACAGGGGTACGGCGTTTTCATACTTTCTGACTTTTTACTCTTACACCTCATCTTTTAGAGCCTTGTTCTATAGATTATTTTCATAGAGCACGAGTTTTGTATCTTGTATGAGAATCCGTGGCATGCTCACGATATGACAATGAGAACAGCGTTCCTCAGAATGACGATAGATAGCTTCGGTGATGCCGTAACTGATCATCCGAGTGCGGGTACTCTGTATACAGCGTACCAATATCAAACTAGGGCGTTTAGGGGCTTGCGAAATGTTCGCTGTGATGCCGAAGTTCACGAACCAGCCTTTTGAGAATCTCCAACCACAATTTCGGTGCCATAAACGACGCCGACCGCGTTCCTCGCTTGCACATACGGTAACGATACGTTGCATACTCGCGTCTTCGCCATCAACCCGAGAAAAGAGGAGTCTGGGTGTTTGCAAATGGCTCGCGAACCTGTGACATGGAGTTGCAGATTGATTGTCATCCAACCACCAGATACTTACAGTGCCTGTGCCACAGTTCCAGAACAATGCTGTCCCTTCTCCGAAATATGCAGTATAAGAGGAACCCTACATAAGTACTTATTCAAGGTAAGTGAAGATATAGTCGGGTTTCTGCGGTGCGAAAAGGATTCAGCAACACATCACCACCACCACTATCACAACAACCACAAGGATCTTTCACGTCTTCACCACCGCAATGGGTAGCGTCGACCAACAACCCGACTTCACCATCTTGACTCCCTGTGCCATTCTAGGATATGGCTACCGGAGCGACCATTTCTGGTTGGGGGTCGACAAGTTTCGACCGTCGGCCATCATCGTCGACGCCGGCAGCACCGACGGGGGACCTTACAAGTTGGGTCTGAACAAGATGACTTGCGGCCGTGAGAGTTATGTCCGTGACTTGCGACCAATGCTACAGGCTTGTTACCATCGCAAGATCAAAGTATTGATCAGTTCCGCCGGGGGTGATGGTAGCAACAAACACGTCGCCGAGATGTTGGACTTTATTCGAGAGGTTGCAACGACAGAAAATTTCAGCTTCAAAGTGGCCACCATCAATACAAACCTCGATCGTGAAGCCGTAAAGAACAAAATCAAAAATGATCAAATACACCCTTGTGGTCCCGTCCCTGACCTGAGGACCGAGGATGTCGACAATGCGGTTGAGATTGTTGGTCAGATGGGAGTTGCACCGTATGTTTCAACCCCCTTTTTTTGCGTCCACCCCCCCTCCCTCCATCCCCTTCGTTTGCTACGATCGATAAATAGTACGAATTATTCCTCTAACTCGTACTCCAGATTTCTATCAGCACTACAAAATGATCCGGACATTATCTTATCAGGTCGATCCTATGACCCGGCCCCCTTTGCGGCGTTTTGTCTTCATCGGGGCGCCGACCCGGGTGTGGCGTGGTATTTGGGCAAGATCATGGAATGCGGAGCGTTTTGCGCCGTCCCCAAAGGTCGCGTCATGGTAGGGACGGTCAGGAAGTCGTCGTTCGACCTGACCCCGGTGTCACCTTTTGAGCGTTGCACGCCGGTCTCGGTCGCGGCGCACACGCTGTACGAAAAGACGCGACCCGACCGTCTTCCCGGCCCGGGTGGGATTCTGAATCTGGACGGAGCACGTTACGAGGCTTTGGAAGATGGCCGGACCGTGAGGGTTTCCGGTGCCCAGTTCGAACCTAGCCGGACGTACCAGGTCAAGTTGGAAGGGGTCGAGAAATTGGGTCATCGGACCATCTTCATCGGTGGGATCCGCGACCCCATCCTCATCTCCCAGATCGACGAGTTTCTCGAGGCTGCCCGTAAATACACCCAAAAGTTGTTTCCCGAACTCGATCGAGACCCTGGGTGCCAGCTCAAGTTCCAGGTGTACGGTAAGAATGCGGTCATGGGGCCTCTGGAACCCAACTACCAGGACGCCGCCCACGAAATTGGGATTTTGGGTGAAGTCGTCGCTCCGACACAGGAAAAGTCACACGCCATCGCGAACAACGTGAGGGCGTCGATCCTGCACATGCCCTACAAGGGTCAAATGGCGACGGCTGGGAACTTTGCCTCGCCGTTGTCCCCCCACGAGCAGGACGCCGGTGGAGTGTTTAGATGGAACATTTATCATCTCATGGATCTATCGAGGGGTGAGGAGGTCTACTTGTTTCCAGTGACGCATCTTGAAATACCATGCTCCGACAAGACCACGGCGCCTGTCGAACCAGCACACTACACCCCAGAAGAGTTGCAAGAGTTTGTCAACGGCCGCCCGGAGCCCATCATCCCCAAATCAGTTCCTTCCGGTGAAGTTCGGATGATGGACATTGCGAAAATCGTGAGATCAAAAAACGCAGGACCGTTCGAGTTGACCCTGGACATCATGTTCGACAGTTGGGAGGCGTATCAGAGAGTCAAATCTGCCAACGTCCTCACCAACGAGGTCATTTGTCAATTGTACAGAGTCGGCCAGAGTGACATTCTGACAAACATGTACTTTGACCCGGCCATGGCTTGGAAGACGACCATCAAACGACCTTGGGAGCAAGGGAGTATCGGGGAACGAGACACGCTGGGTACCCAGCAGTACGCTCCGTTGTTGTACCTCAAGGTGCCGCCGGTGGCGAGTTGAGTGTCGCAAAAAATAAGTGAGACAATCAATCCTACGGAGGAGGATGCCTACAGGTTAAGAAGCTTCAATTGATATGATAGGGTATTAGTATATCATTCTTGCAAAAAAAATCCGACATCATTCAGCGATGTCAAGCCCAGACGTTCAAGACGTTCTAGGACGAAATGCCTGTGTGTGAGTCGGTGACTTTGATAAATTAGTCCTTCTACCTCAAACACCTACCAAACACAAAGACATCCTCAATGTCATAAACATACTCCATACAGACAATGTATCTTGTGTAGAGCTTGGGAGTATTGAATCATGATCCCTTTTTTGGGCCAATTATGATCCGCATAAATATCATTCCAAGTCTATTCGTCAATTCATTTACGACTCTTTCCGGTCACGATCAATTCACCATGACCTATTTCAATCTTCCAACCTTCCCTGATCAACATCTTGCTCACTGCAGGTCCTATTCGAGGAGCGTGGTTCTTGCTATGACTGCCAACCCCCGTCACTATCCTAAAGCCAGCCCTCGCCGGATTCGCCCCAGATACGTACTTGCTATCTCCAAGACCATCCCACCAGTCTTGTGTCTTACTACCAGCGAGACGGACGGCGTCTTGGACACTTACTCCATGGAGATCAAGCACGTTTGAAGACGACTGTTGAAACACCAGAGCATCTGCCTCTTCAGCTTGAAGGGCTCTCGCTGCATTGGCTCGTTCACGTCCAACTTCTGCATAGTAAGCTGCCGCTCCACCGTACAGTCGGTTAGATTTGCTCTTCTTCCAAGCCGACGTGGCTTGACCAAAGCTCTGTGTCGCTGCGGCGTTTTGAACGGCTGCGGATGGTCGACTCGGCCCTAACCAGGTACTGCCTTTTGTTGAGCTCGTCTGTTCAAAAGGCGTGTTCTCTTTCAGGTCGAGCGGTGCGTATTGTGGTGCGACGCGACGTATCTGAGTGATATCATCATCTGCTCTAGAAGTTGCCATGACTTCTAGGAGCTCGTGCGCCGCAGAGGGTATCTTTCGCGCAAGAATCAGCATTCCGTACAACAATGCCTTTGGAACCTGCTGAAACTCGCTCTGAAATTCCGCCATCTGGAGCTCAAGAAGTGGATCTACTTCGTCCAACTGATCGTACGAAGCACCCTCCCTCGTTGCTAACGCGGTTATCGTGGCTGAGAGACGAGCGCCACTCTCATGGTAGACCGATCTCACCGTCTGCGGGTGAAGGCTAGTCCTGGAGCAGATAAAATCTACATCCTCAGACATGGTAGACCATACATTCACTGGTGAATATTCTGCTTCATACTTTGAAACCGATACTGAACTTGCACGTGATGAATCGTTGGTTTTGGCCTTCTTCTTTTTCCTGCCCTTACGACTCGGTTGCATCCCCTCGGCGAATGCGTCAACACTCTTGAAGACGGGTCTATCCTCATTAGAGTCCTCGGGACCTTGTTTCAGAAATGACAAATTGAGCAGTTCATCCGTAGCCTTGTCCAGGGCACCATCGTGACTTTGTAGGATACTGACGAGTTCGCGCTCGGGTATGTCAGGGAAAATTTTGAGCAGCCATGTTGTCTTTTGCTCGAGAGTGGAGCCATCAAGCTGACGGTCGATATTGTCGGTTGTTCCGCATCGTAGATCAGACAGACCGGTTGTTATGCTCGTGACCTCATTTGAGAACGTATCTTCCCGGTTGGAAGTCGAAGTTCCAGTACCATCTCTAATAGCATATGCCGGACCTCCTGTGCCAGAAGGATCAAAATCGGCGGTTTGTTGTTCAAGCGCACTGCCCTTTAATGTTTCTAGAACCTGAATCAGGGCATCTCGGTCTTGGGGAAGTTCGTAGTCTGAGGCGATTGCATAGAAGACTGCGTCGTCCAGGGGAGGGCAGTAGGCTGCATGGAGTTTCTACGGAGTGTTAACCCTGAGTTGCTGCATGGCGCAAAAATAAACGTACCTCTGTCTCTGAAGTTGGCTTGTCCATGGCACCGAGCTGAGTAACGACTTTGACGTTTTCATGATTAATTAGGGGCCTGGTAGAGAGAATGGTGCCACTGCAGGTGGTCTATTCTGTGGGAGAGTGGAAGCTGCAAGCAGCTTGAAAATGGGTTTAGGCATCCTTGACATGAGCCATGGAATTCATTGTGGAAATCGAATAATGAAGGGGTCATCAACACTGCGCCAAAGTGAAAATTATGGATTACGGGTTTCGCAGCTGGGATCTTTGTTGCTTAGAATTAACCGAGGGGCTTCTGGGCGCCATGAGGGGGGTTGAATTGGGGTTGAGAGCTTACCTAAGGAGCCTAAAGATACGCTTTAAGCTAGCTGTGATTGAAGTCTTTCTTATTTTGCGCTTGCTTGCCGGAAAAGAGCACTTAGCGGCATAATTTAGAGACCAACTCTAGGCGGCGATCTCCCGACGGGGACTTTACCTAAATACAGTACTTGCCGGAATGCGATGAGGATTTCTCTGAGGATTGTAGGAGATGAACTAGAATATACATCTAGCCTGTACATTGACAGCCATTGTGACTTGTCAAATGTCGAGGCAAACCGCCAAATCGAACAGCTCGAGGTACTCGGCAGGTAGCAGAGATATGAAGGTGTCGCTAAAGGGTTTGCCGACCTCAAATCCTCGTACTCGCACGCTACCAAATGCATGGTTTGTAGAGTTCATCGATATCATTATCTCATTAGCATAACATTTTCCAGCACCTGGGATTCTCATAATCTCCCAATGCGCCGTGGAAAGGCGAGATCTAGGCCCAGCCACAGATCTCATGGTCAACCACAGCACCGTGCCACTATACTTCTCGCCAGGTATATCCTTTCCTGCCTAGTGACTCCGGGTCAGGAGTCTTCATCGCGTTCTTATCCCCAAAGGGATCATCTGGGTCATCTTCATCAGTCTCACTTTCGCTGTCACTTTCGATTTGTTTCGCTTTCCGGCTTGGTGGACTCTGTTGGGCAGGCATGGCGATATGCCCGGGAGAAGGTCGGGGAGGTTTGGGCGGAGGAGAAATACTCATCGCTGCCACCATTCTCTCGGCTTCTCTCGTGGCAGCCTGCTCGCTTTTTGCAGCCTGCCTACTGAGATGCTGTGCTTCTTCAAGTTCACTGTCCGAATCGTCGTCAATTGACTTATCCAAGACCTCGAACGCCATCAAAGCATTGACCAGTTCCTCGTTGGCGTGGATGAGGCCTCCTAGGAATTCTTCCGTTTCCACAAACTGGATATAGCGTAAGATCTGTCGTCGAAGCTGCTTGCATGTCTCAAAGCGCTTCATGACTTCCACATTGTCAGACACCCGCTCGTTCTCGCGATTAACAAGCTTCAGTGCGTTCGCCAAGCCAGTAGAAGCCACCGAAGATGCGGCAATTGCTTGGAGGATATTGGGCTTTTCGCGCTCTAAATTGAAGCCTTTCACTTTGCCCTTCTTTTCCTTTTTGTCCTTTTTGGGCGCGAAGCTAGAGGACTGGCCTAGGGTGATAGGTGAACTTTGCTTGCGCAATCTCGTAGGACTGGAGGGCTCTCCGGCAGGGGACATGCTGTCTAACCTGCTCCTTGCCAACTCCATTTCTTGCTCGCGTTGCACTTCTTCTTCGGTCTCTCGCAAGACTCTGCTCTGCTCACGTCGCTGGTGCGCGGGCTTTTGTGTCTTGGGCAATTGGTTGTACAGTGATTTGGCTCCTTCAAGTCCAGGATTGTCTTTAGAACTGGCGACCCACTGTCCGAACAGATCTTTGCACTTGGTTCGAACGTCCGCGTCGGAGGTTGGATCGGCGGCGGCAATTCTAAGCCTTTCCAGCAATGGCCCATCCGAGAGAAGGGCACGTTGCATTCTGGTTCCTCCATTTTGAAGAAGACCATCAAGGATGGTCAAGGCTCTCAGCTGTCGATGTACAGAACCATATTTCAGCTTCTTCCTCAGGGCTCGAGCCACCTCCTGTGGCCCGGTACCTTGTAGCTTCACCACTTCCAGCAGATCGGGCACACCGGCAAGATCATCCTCATCGTAGGTCTCGGAGGTAAGGTTTTCGACATATACTGAGATGGCGGAGAAAGGTTTCTTCTGTTTATGGTAACGATAACGAGTGATTAGTTGATATCTTCTGCGCTGACGGGCACAACAGGCATAATGCAAAACGGCAGCAATCAGACGTCTGTAACCTCGCAGGTGACCGCGGGGTAACCAGTAGTATACCTCTGGTGTTGGCGGATAGGCTTCAAAGGACGGTTGAGGTTTCCTTCGCGCGCAGCGACCGCATCGTGTAGTAGATTGAGCGCATTCGAGTACATCTAGCTCAGGAAGATCGTTCGTCTCTTCGTCTGTCGGCCTCGATAGCTCGGTGAGTCCAGCATCAGGAGCGCAGGCTGGGGTGTGCAGCAGGAACAGAGACATACTGAACGTCATGGTGGATGGATGGCGGGGTACTGAAGCCCGAAACTCATGTGTCGCCAGACACTGCAGAAGAACGAGGGGACAGAAAAAGGAAGACTCACCGAAGCGGAGAACATGGCTACAAGGCCCTTATATGTCAGAAAAGTACGAGGAGGATTCGTAAAATGAGATGGGGGTCATGAAGATGAGGGAAAGGTGCACTTCGGTGAGCCGTAATGAGTATTGTGAAGGAGCACAAACCACAAACGCATGGTGCCGCCCGTTTAGGAATGGCCCGTTGGTTCCTCTCCTCGTCCCGCCGTGAAGCCTTTCCACCTGCTCGTGGCCATAAGTGATCTATAGTTGGTTTACTCGGGTACTTATTCGAGGTACGGAGCATCTGTAGAACATCATAACAGGTCGCGCCATGGTCTACGAAGGAAAAGGCATCGAATAACCCGCTGCGCCTCTGGCCATAAGCACACTCCGGACCGGTTCTCGAAATTGCTTTCCCTCTTCTTCACTCTCCACGTCCTCAATTTGACCCTTGCCATTCGCTCCACGGTCCAAATTGCAGACCCCTGTGAGCTACCTCACGGTACGGAGTACAATAAAACTAGACCCAGCATGCCTCGCCTCGATCAGAAGGGTCTCGGGAACGTTGATTTGCCTGGCTGGGGCCGGGTGTGGCTTGATTTCCAATGTATCTTGTGACTCGTGTCTTTGGCCTTTCTCACCTCATTATTGTTTGATCTAAACTTGCGCGAAACAGGTATTCTTGCTGATCCGGTCCAGGATACACAGCCTGGGACAACGGCAGCCTCATTGACTGTTTGCTCGACACAATCATGATCCCATAGGACACGCGAAATGGACACCCCTGGTCTCAGTCTAGTACGGGAGGTTACGACTGCCACGAGACATAATCCTCTTCCCGGAGGTATGCAAGCTAAAAGCGCCATCGCCCGCAAGAGAAGTCATTCAAAGGTTGTCATCAAGCCCAGAATACTCATCTAGAGGGGCTGGCGAAGCTGGTTCCCGTGCTCACACCTACATCCTCACACAGTTGTACCTTGAATGCCACGGCCAATAGGAATGATGCCGTCTTTGGTGGAACGAGTGAGAATTCAGTCAACCTTGCCTGAGTTGATTCCTTCTACCAGCCTCATCCATGTGCTGGAGACGGCATATAGCCGTGGACTCTGCGGCGAGGCGTTGTGCAGTAGGGTGTACACCATGAGTACTCCGTACTGGCAGTTGTTGCACATCGACCTCTTGCTGGTAACACTTTAGAAGCAATTCTAGTTTAGACCGTATTCGACGGGATGCGATTGACGATGTTGGCTCGAAGCCGTGATACGTGTTCGCGTGAGATGCTGCATCAGTATGGAGTCGGCTGAATTTGAGACTCATCAACCTACCTAAGCGTTCGAAAGGAGAGGCTCTTGTGATAGGTAGGATGCGGCTATTTTCGCGTTTCTGAATATGAAGTTCAACTTTCTGAATAGTCCCTTCGTCTGCAGGATGTTAACAATGCTCTCCGTCTATGCAACCGACTTCATCCTCCGATCACAAACAAAAGTGACCCTGACATGGTGCCAAGCCCACGACCTGCATAGGCTACGGAGTCGAAACGATGAATCTTGTCCCAGTTTCAGTTCATATCACAATAGTGCGGTGAGTCTCAGCAACAACAGCTAAAACACCAACCCAAGCTCTTTTTGGCTGAATGAGAATTGCTTGTGGCAGGCCTCTGATTTTCCTTTGCACGATTGCAGCATTGCTGTTTGCTTTCGCCCTGGCACCCCACCACACATCATCCACCCTTTCCCGTCTAACCACTTTGGCCTCTCAGGTAAACCTATCTGGCAGAAGCATATTCACATCACCACGCACAGCTCGGCTATATCAAACGATGGCCTACGAGAAAGAGCTTAAAATCGCCCAATTGGCCGTGGCCCGTGCCGCCATCTTGACCAAAGCTGTCTTCCACGAGAAAGCCAAGGGGACAGTATCCAAAGACGACAAGTCCCCCGTCACCATCGGCGACTTTGGTGCTCAGGGTCTGATAATTGCCGCGATCAAGCATAACTTCCCGTCCGACGAGGTTGTTGGAGAGGAGGAGGCCTCGTCACTGCGTGACCAAAAGGACCTTGCATCCAAAATCTGGAACCTGGTCAAGGATGTCAAACTATCTGACGCCGAGAGCGATGCCCTCCTAGGTGGACCCATCAAGAGCGAAGCTCAAATGCTCGACGCCATCGACATGGGCAACAGTGCCGGCGGTAACAAGGGTCGTATCTGGGCACTGGATCCTATCGACGGCACCAAAGGTTTCCTCCGCGGTGGACAATACGCCGTCTGCCTTGCTCTCATGGTCGACGGTGACGTCAAAGTCGGTGTCTTGGGCTGCCCGAACCTCCCTGTGGACGATTCGGCGCCCTTGACCGAGGACATGGGCTCAGCCGCCACGGATGCCGAAGGAAAAGGCGTGCTGTTCTCAGCCGTGCAGGGTGAAGGCGCGACCTCACAGCCCTTGACCAAAGGTCCTGTCGCCAAAGGCCAGCCCATCCACGTCAGCAAGATATCAAAAGTCAGCGAGGCTGTCATGTGTGAAAGCGTCGAGCCAGGCCACAGTTCCAAAGGTGACAATGCGCTAATTGCGGAGAAACTCGGCATCACGGGCAAGCCGGTCCAGATGGACAGCCAGGCCAAGTACGGTTCCGTCGCTCGCGGCGCCGGAGATTTGTACCTGCGGCTGCCAGTGCGAAAGGACTACATTGAAAAGATCTGGGATCATGCTGCAGGAGACCTGATTGTACGAGAGGCCGGCGGTCAGGTCACAGACGTGACAGGCAAGAGGTTGAATTTCAGCCTGGGCAGAACACTGACGGAGAACAAGGGTGTCATTGCAACGCCAGCGAACGTACATGCCGAAGTGCTCAAGGCAGTGCAAGAAGTCCTGGCCGCAAAATGAGCAAGTCGACATGACTACGATTGATGGGACAGAATGAGGACGGATTTCGAAGACCTGGGCCACTGTGAAAGTGCTAAGGCGTATAGATTGATACAATGATACATAGAGTTCCGGGCTGGCACTGTGAGCCTCCTCCCTCCACTCGGTCCGACTAGTTTATTTGATCTTCTTCGCCTTGAGCCGTATTGTTTCATCGTTGACAAATATGCCTTTGCCCTTGTATGGCTCTGGCTTGCGCCACTGACGGATCTCAGCTGCAAATTGCTTCACGGCCTGCTTGTCACAACCTTCCAGCAGTATTCTTGTCGGCTGCGGTACACTCGCCTTGACCCCCATGGGCACTGGCATCTCGACAGGGTGTGCATAACCCAGCTTCAAATTCACAAATTTCTGACCCGGGTATTCTGGTGTCTTTGTGAGTGCCGTATCTTCGATAGTGGCACGATATCCAACTCCAACTAATCGGAGAATACAGGGGTGCCCTTCAGACACGCCGGAGATGGTGTTTTGTATCAGGGCGCGCATCGTCCCTGTTTGCATCGTGTCAGCTTCGAGTCCCTTTACATAGTACAGCAGCAAAAACCCACCCCACATGGCCCGCTGGTGTGCTTCTGCGGCGTCAGCGACATTGACGTTCATCTTCTTCGAAACTTCATCGTGCTCGGTCTTGAGGTATGGTGGGAGCGGGACCGTCAATTGTCCTAGTTTTCTGCATCAGCCACGGTTTCCCTTGTTTCTGCATTGCCCGTACCTAAAGGCCCAGTGACCTCAAGCGCTGTAGCCGGTGTATCTGGCTTCCTGCTCCTGGTGTTTCCTCGAGGCAAATCATAGAATCTCAACGTGACTTCGGGCGGGACGGTAATGGGAGTTCGACCAATCCGTGACTGTCTGGCTGAAGCCGCGAGTGTCGCATTTTGTCGAGAGAGCCACCGCTGTGAGGCAGCCGGGAGGAGGAAAGAGGGAATTTCTCGAGCCCGTCCGGCATCGCGAACTAGCTGTCGGAGAGGAGAGTGTAGGCTCGTACAAGGCATGTTGGAAGCGATCGAGGTTCGCCTGAGGGGTATTGAGGTTTCAGATGACGGAAATCACCTCATAATGTTGGGTTTCTGTAAGAGACCTGTTCTGATTCTTTGAAATCCCTCGAGGAAACGTCTAGGTAAGTTCCAAGCTCATCAATGCTACTTTCAGCGTCAATCGCAGACAGAATTTCCAGAGACGAAGATCGACAGCTACAGAGATGACGCTAGACTAAAGAGGCTTAGTTCAACCAGATTCACGTGATTAATTGATCGGGAAAACTTCGGCTTCCCTTTCGAGTGCCTCTGTTTACTATCTGACTTGTTCCTTCACTTCACTTTGTCCATGTCAACTTTAGCAACTCGATAATTGCAGAAGCACCGTTACCTTTCCAAAGCTTGCTTCTGCTGAAATGCACACTCTCTATCTGCTCTGGTGAAGCTTCAAGGTGAGCTCGGTTTGGGACGTTCCCCTGAATCATCCTGCTTTTTCCTCAACGCGGTGATCACTTGATGAGGCTGGTATAAAAACGATTTTGCTTCGCTCTCGTTGACTTACTCATTCTTCGATCTCACAAACCAAAACATCCCCCTTTAATATTCCTTTCTCTTCCTCCCCTGACTACTTACCCTCCATGGTCTTTCTCGACAACCTATAGCAATTCTCCTCGCACTCAGTCTTCTCGTTCTATCATTTCGAAATGTTCAACTGCTCAATCCACAACATGTCTTTCACTCGAGGCCTTCAAGGCTTACGGTCAACTCAACTCATCTTCCTGGTGTGCTTGATATTCTCTCAAGCCTGTCAAGCAAAGACTTTTCTTGGTGGTAAGCAAGCCACAATACGTTGAAAGCCATCTTCTTACCGTCCTAGCCGATCTGACATGGACTGCCCTGCGAAAAGAACGGAGTGATCTTCAGCCGGACCTGACCGACTTACTTGCTTTCAGAGATTTGGATCAGGATCCGGTCTTTGAAAAAGCCATGCACGTCATTGACAATCTTGCCACACAGTCGACTTGTCAGCAGACTGCTGCAGCCCAGCTTCTTATCACTTGCAAAGCATCAGAAAAGGCTTCGAACCACAAGCCGGTCAACCATGAGCTCCTCGAACGAAGCAAATCTGCGTATGCTGTGAGAGTCGCTGTGTGCGAGACCGGTGAGGGTCGGGCTACGATACCGCCGGCTTGCAGACCAGTCCTCGACATCCCGCGAAGATTACAAGGCGAGATCGATGTTGTTAACGCTAAGTCTTTAACATCATGCCTCGAAGGCCTTATGCTTGAGCATTACTATTGGACAAGCTACAGCAACAGTCGACAAGATGCCAACATCTTGTGCCAGGCTTCCACTCTGGAGGCTACACGTCTTGACGCACTGTTCTCATACCAGAAGCTTGCTGAGCTTCTTCCAGACTTTCGCGAAGTACTGGAATCAACTCGGTCTCAATGGCTTGGCTTCCTCAAACAACAGGAACAAGAGGCTCAAAAGTTGACGAACGTCCAACAGAAGAACTATGCTGATCTTAAGATGCAACACGAGATGCATGCGAGGACTTTCGAGCACGTCATGGGTACTGCAAAGGAGGACCTTGACGGTATTTCGCAACAATTGCGTCAATACATGGCGGAGACAAGTTCGGATATTGACCAAACACATGAGGTCAGTTGAAGTAATCTGCAATTTCGTCGGTTTGGAGACTCACTTTTCTAAGACCTTGGGTTATGTGCTATCTGACTTCACAATCCTTCGAGACTTGGTTGCCGAAGTCATGAGTGCTGCAGGAAGAAACAATGCTGAAATCGCGGCTATGCATGCCGAGGAAATGCACAATGTTCAAGATATAGCTCTAGCCACGACAGCAACCCTCAACAAACTGCTAAGCAAGGAAACTGTCCAGGTATGAGAATTCCATGCCTTGATCTTCTAGAGATGCTAACGGAGAATACAGGTCATCAATGGTCTCCTTCAGCAAGTCAGAACTGATCTCGATATAATCTCGTCTTCACAAATTGAACAGCTCACACGCGCCGAAGAACATCTACGGGTGAGCGACAAGCTTACAGAATCGCAGAGAACGAACGCCGCCGGGGTTCAGGAGATTTACGACACTTCATCCTTGCTTGCGTCTCAGCTTCATACTGCAGATGCCGTGGCCACGCGAGTGTCTTCCAGGCTTGACAAGGTCAATGAAGCACTCAATCGCGTCGAAGAGGCCTCCTCTGCCCTAAGCGCACTCTTTGCCTTTATCGCCGTCCCCACACAAATGATGCAACAGCTTCATCTTCGCCTCCTTGCTGTGTTTTCTATGCCGGCTATCATACTCTTGATTTGGAAGCCACGGAAATATTCTTTTACTGTGATGGCTGCTTACGGTATGCATGTGAGATACCCGACTTCGAAGACACGCTAACGCTATCTAGTCTTTCTTGAAAGCCTGATGTCCCTCTTCGTGCAGCACGGGAGAACAATCTCGACTTGGCTTCAGAGACTAAGCGTCCGTTCTCAAGATGCAACAGATTTGGCTTTCGGGTTTGCCGGCCAGCACTCGACTCTTCTTTTTACGACTTTTGGAATCATCTTGGTCTTATGTTGCTGTGCCATTATCGCATCCTGCCATATAAAAGCCCGGTATTCACAGAAACGCTCTTCACCAAAGCTATCGCGTTGTGACGAAGACTTCGAGCGGCTGTCTGTTGCATATCGTCTACGTGGTGGCAAGCACTTGCATTTTGGAACGGTGGATCGCTTTCGTCGAGCTGTCACCGTTGCCTGATTGTAGCAGCCGCAAGGTTTCACGACATTACCGTGCAGGCAACGGTGCCATATGTTGAAATACTTGCCGATTGCTCAACACTTACAGACCAGTCTTTACGAAGCTATGAGGGGTTAGGTGGATTTTCTTTCGGTTTACTTGATTTGATTGTTCCTTTGCAGTCAGGCCTTCTCTCGGGCTTGAATGATGGGTGTCTATGGAGTACATAAGTATGTGCTCTTACCAAAACGCCCTCCTCGAGGGAGATCGTCACACACATACTACTCGAATGAAAATTTAGAGCTGTCAATACAAGAAGTTCTGGTACTGCTACACTAACTGAGTTTGAACTGTGATCAGTATAATGGTCTTAGCAACTCTCACTGACAGACCATTAAATGGTATACTGCTGCAATTTGAAACCTCGATATTCATCAAAGAAGTTTGGTTGATACGCTGGGGGCCTGAAGAGTGACCAAAACCAAGACCGCTCCTGGTTCGCCTTCCTTGTGCCCCGTTCACCGCTTGGAATTCTTCATGCATGCCTGTGGGATTGTTTGTCTTTTTGCAGTCATCTTCTCCCTCTAGGGGGACTTTCACCTCTCTGAGAAACTCCAAGGTGGTGGCTGGCTGGCTGGCTGGCTGAAATGCACTTCCGTCCAGCATGGTTAGCACAACTGCACGAGCACCAAGTCACGCATATAGTGTGTGACGTGGAGAGAGTCGGGGAAAGGCTGCAGCATTTCCCCGAGAGCAGAGCCTATGAAATCAGTTTCTTTCCTTACACCGCCTGATGTATTATCATTGTGCAGGGCCTTGCCTCACGTTGTTGTTGTCGCCGTTGTCGAAGTCGCCTACCTCGCCAATCACACTTTTTAGGATCTCTGGCACGATGACTGCCGCATCACCTTCAAAGAACCAGTCTCGATCCGTCAGTTGTCTCGCATCCCCTCGGTCCATGTTGATGACGGCGACGCGGGCGCCCCTTTTACGTGCCATGTCGGTGTAGCCCGCGGCCGGGTACACCTTGGAACTCGTGCCAATGACCATGATCAGGTCGATGGCCTCGGGGTTCATGAACCACTCACTCACGTCACTCATGACGTCCGCGGGTAAGGACTCACCGAACCAAACAACCGCTGGTCTCAGCAGGTTCTTTTGGCATTGCGGACACTGGGGCAAGTCATCCTTTTTCAGGCTAGGGATTTCGATGTTGATGTCTGAGATGTCGGCGGCTCCTCCCCGCAGAAGAGAAGAGTTCTTTTTCTGTTGTACGGCGTCTCTCAGCTTCGAGTCAGGCTCTAACCCTTCGGTTTTGTCGGGAAGAGCCAGGGCGGGAGCGATGGGGTCGGTGAAGTCGTTCTTCCGGTAATACCCACACCCATCTTCGTCCCAGCACTTGACGTCGAAGAGGTTGCCGTGCAAAAGTTTCAGCTGGGAGGCCGGGTGGCCAGCGCGAGGACTCAGACCGTCGACGTTCTGGCTGAGGGTGATGAAGTCCGGGTTGCGTCGAGCGAGCTCCGCCAGCGCCAGGTGGGCACGGTTGGGCTTCGCGTTGAGCGCCATGTGTCGTCTGTAGCTGTAAAACTGCCAGGATAGTCCCGGGTCCGACTCGAAGGCCTCGGGGGTGGCGAGCACGGTGGCGTCGTAGGTCCTCCATAGCCCTCCTGCTCCGCGGAAAGTCGGCAGACCGCTGGATGCAGACAGGCCGGCTCCCAAAAGGGCAACGATGCGTTTGGAGGACTGCAGATGTTTGACGAAGGATGCCACGTCGGTCGAAGGCATTTTTTTGGCGCTCATGGTTCTTCAAGCTGGTATTCGTGTCGCTAGGCCCCGAATTATGGACTGGTTTGATCAAGACATTTGTGTATTGCCGGGGACAAGGGTATGCTTTGGGTTTTGATATGGGTATTGACTCCGGAGTTGGTGTCGCAAATGGGATCAAGGGTCGAGATCAACATTGCTGCCCAGTACACTGGAGCCGAACTCTTAAAAGGCACGACCTGTTGAGTGGCCTATACAATGTATGGCAAGGGATGTAGGTGTGCCTATTTGCATATGTCTTCCCCCCGCTATAACGATTACGATACACGGTTACACGGTTACATAACGGCAAATGAAGGTCACGAATCGGAAAAGAAGCCGGAGCGGTGACTGGCGCAATCACAAAATGCCACTTGAGAACGTGATGCAAATCCAAAAACGCCTGCGGCTGGAACAATTCAATGGTGGTATGAGAGTGCAATGTGATGCGATATCTCTACCTACCTTCATACTCGCAAATAGCAAGAGTCTCTTGGAGATACAACTAATTACTGGCTGTACCACCCAGACAGCCTAACTAAATTCCTCACACCACCCGTGGCATTTACAGTATCATCTATCAGATAAGCCCACCGCCACCCCATCCCATTCTTTGTCCAAATTCATTTTCGCCACAAATGTCGGTCTCCCTCTCGACGCTTTTCCTGCCCTGACTTCATACCTCCTCCACCGAACTGAGGAAGAGTCTCAAGTCAAGAAGACGGAATCTACGACACCATGGCTATCGAGCGAAGGTCCCGTATGAAGGGTCGACGGATCAATATTCTCGTCTACGTGACCTACGCCCTCGGTCCTGAACTCCTACCTTACCTCCTCCACAACCCCGACTTGAATGTACGAGTCGTGGCCGATTTTTCCAAGGCCGAGTTTCAGCAGTACATGAAGTCCAGCATCAACCTCGACGAGTTGCAATGGTTCGAGAACAAGAACATTCGCAGCCGGCAAGGTCGAACGATCGAGGTTCGAAATGAAGTCGTGATGCAAGCTCACAGACTGGCACGATGGGCCGACCTCATGTTCGTGATCCTCGACGCTCATTTAGTTTCGGCCATGATGAGTGGTCTCGCCACGGACCTCCTCTTAAACGTGCTACGATGTTGGGATGTGACAAAAAGAGTCGCTCTCCTCCCAGAGATGAGCGTGGATCAACATAAACACCCTATGTGGAGGAAACAATTCTCTAAACTCCAAACCAAATGGGATTGGGTGCATGTAATGCCGCCAGCATTATGGGATTATGACAGAAAACCCAGGATTGAGCCTGTGTGTGCGGTTGAAGATGAGGATCCCGCGATCGTATGGGATTGGCAAGGCCCAGGAGAAATCATTGAGACCATCGAATCTGAGGTTCGAACCATTCTCCGGTCCATGTCCAAAGCCAACGCTATGATTCCCTACCCGTCACCTACCCATACTACCTCGAAACCGCGGTTGCCCGCTGAGATTTGGACCATGATACTTGAGAACGTGGGGGATTGGGAACTTGCAACGGCGCTCGGCATTTACACGCAGCTCCCAACGCCGCATGAGTGGGAGGCTTTGGTACTGAATCCAGGGTCCAAGAAAGTTCCCTCGCTTGAGTACACCATCCTCACTCAGCCGGTTTCTCAGATCAAGACATATTTTACCAACAATACCTCTTCGCAACCGCCGACGACGCTCTCATCTATCGCTACGCGCTTAATATTTCGCTTCAGCATGACCGAACTTTTGACCTACCTCGCCCTGTATCAGAAGGATATTTTTTGGACGTCGTTTGGTCTGGCGCTTCTGCCACACAAGGCGTCCTTGATCTACAACTCACCTACAATACTGAATTGGTGGAAGGACTGCCCCGCCGTTATCAAGAAGGAGTATGGGCCGGAAGCTCTAGACGGTGCATCAAGAGCAGGATTTGTCGAAGTGCTGGACTGGTGGCTAGAGTCTGGCCTGAAATTGACCTACACAGAAAAGGCCTTGGAGTCGGCATCTGCGAAGGGACATGTCGATGTATTGGAGTGGTGGCGTGTCAATTCTCTCAAGCTTGCAGGCACAACCCGTGAGATGCCTTTGAAAGTGGGCAAATCCATTCTCCTTGCTGCCCAGGCCGGCCGCACGAACAGCATCGAATGGTGGGAGAACAGCGGCATACCCTACGCTCATGAGGACGGTGTTGCTCGTCTGGCGTCGGCCCATGGACATGTTGGTGTTCTAGAGCTTTGGCATAGCTTCAAAGGAAGCAAGATGATTTTCGACAACCAGGTTCTTGTGGGTGCGACGAAAAATGGCCATGCAGGAGTACTGCAGTGGTGGAAAGACGTGTCACGAAAGACGGGCTTGAGGGTAGAATACAAGACCTGCGATATCGAGGAGGCGATGGAAGATGCTGTCGGCGGTGGTGGTGAAAGTGAAGTCCGAGAGTGGTGGGGACGTAACGGATTGAATCTGGGTGTTGGTACGGGTGAGTGGATGAGAGTCAAGACATTGTGATACATTACAAGGTTTGGTCTACGGATACGATTTATATTCCTATTTTTTTGGGCGTGTGCTGCGCTTTGAGCGAGGAGTCTGGCGCGTAGCCATGGATGGACAGGTATTTGGGAAATCATGGCAGATACTGATCCAGGGATCGTTTCGTTCTTTTCCCAGATTGTCAGAGAGTCACGGACTTTGGTAGAAAGGCGTTCTACTCATGCAAGAATATCTAGGTCTCTCACCCTACATTACTACGTGCTCAAGGGGAGAATGAACAACGCATGATTTGATGAAACGCTCGCCGCAATCAGGCGTCCAGTATTAATCCTCTCTGAGGTCCTCGCGTGCTGACTTTATACCTGGCCCTGGTTATCATCTTGCTACTCGTGTTTGGCTGCAGGAACGATGCATGTGAAGGGAGGAGAAGCTAGGCTGTAGTAGTTTGTTATATGCGAACACGCTGGATGGAATGCTACACCGTCTTTAAAACTGGCCTAGCAAATCATGTCGATTACTCGCACGATGAGCCCTGATCAGAAAAACATAAGCCGTCGACCTGGTGAATTGTGTGGACTTATCGTACAGCAATTGAGGCTGGGAGGCCTTAACGAACAAAAGGACGCCGTCAATTCAACCACCTGAACCCAAAGCTGCATATACGAACAGCGACTCGGATGACCATCACTCTGATTCAACGCCCCTTGCAAAGCCACCAGTCAGCACTGCCTTCTCTCAAGCTTTTCGGTCTTCATCGATCCTTACCCAATGCTACGGTTCACTACCACTGACGGTTCCAGACTCCAGTCGATCCGTGCATATCACTAAGCAGAGAATCTATCGAGTCCTCGTTCTCTCTCCCTCAGCCTTTGACCCAGCTGACTGTCCTGCTAAACACCAATCAATTTTTCTCTCTTCTGCCTGTCCATTGTCATGGCTCCTACCGAGATGCCATCCGACTGCTGGGATTCGTTCTCATCTTCCTCCAGGGCATAGCCCCAGCTGCCCCCTGGATTGCGGCACCATGGCCCCGGTACACCCACACAAACCACGTGTTGATGATCTTTCCAGCCCTGTCTGTCTCAATCTATCTCAAAAGTGCCCACTGGCATGTGCTGTCTGCCTTCCTGAGCCAGGCTTAGCGATCGTTGATGCCGAACCTTTTCTCCTTCGTCGATGAAAGTTCGTTTTCCACCTACTGCTATTGTCGAGAAAACCCTCAAGCTTTTTGTTCTCGACATGTTCAATCCATCTGTGAGGTCTGGGTACACCTCTTCTTCACCTTTGACATACTAGATCCGCGACAAACGAAGAACCAAGATGCCCGCCATGTCAAACAACCGCTCATGGCTTTTCTCGATTCCTCAATCTAGCTCGATTAGCACGCCGTCAACAGCTTTTTCCGATCCATGGCAAGGAAGTCTACCAAACAACCAGCATGGACGCGTGCCGTCATCACAGGAGCAATTCCTCAACCACAGTCATACCACACTATCTGACACGGATTGGTCCGGGGACATCTTCACCCGTGCCAAACCGAAAAGACCAAGGACCTCGAGGTTCAACAGGATACCTTCTCACCAGTCCAGCAACTGGCCACTCACTGAAAAGTCTTATCCGACGACGACATTCACCAAGGATGAACTCAGGTGTCCGAAAAGAGGCCTGTGGAAGGCAATTCTCGTCCCGACAATCATCATAATCTTACCTATGGCATGTCTCGTGGCTGGATTGTTGGGATTGATATTTGGATATCGGGTGAGGTCAGACACCAGCCTTTTCCCGCAGGTTTCCAATTCCGACACCTTGGGCGACCACGCTGTGGTGCTCGTCAACTATTCGGCGACGAGGATAGCATTTGTCGCGTCGTGGGCGTCAACATTAGCTCCTCTGCTCGCCGCCTTCATCATGAACCTGATGAGTTATCAGACTGCTCTCAACATGCTTCGTTCTTCTTCTGGGACCAACCAGCACGACCTGCCCTCGCCGTACCAGTACAGTCTCGTGGTTGGCCTCTGCCTGGCATCGATAGGGAGACTGGGAAGATACTGGATCTACTCGACGGGCGAACGGGTCATTGTCCCACCTGTACTGCGGCGCGCGGCCCGGACGCTATCTCTCACGTTGCTTCTGGCGGTGGTCGTCTTCGCGGCAGACACGGCCTTGCACTACACCACGACCACGATCAACTTCGACCAGGTCACCATCGTCGCCGCGCAGCGATCGTACGCCGCCTACGGGTTCGGTCTGTCGGAGACGTGTCTGTCCCTCAAAAGGACCGACAATTTCAATCTCCCTTGTTCTCGCAACGGACAACTCGCACAGCACGACTACAACGCCTACGTGGCGGGTCAAAACGAAGTGTTTTTTCTGCAACACGGAACCTCCAACGTTTCCGAGGTGAAACTGGTCTTGTCTCCCGGTCGGCCCTCGACCAGTGAGCACGGCAGCGTCGCTATCCTTATGCCCCAAAGTCGCAACCTCTCGCCATACCGGGATTTCAGGTCCCACACGGCCGGGGTGGTGACGACTTGTGCGCCCGTGAGTTCGGAATGTCAGTGGAAGACCCTCGGGCCCGACGACAGTTACAGCCAGTTCAACTGTACCAAGAACTTTTATGGTGTGCTGGGCAAACCGCCGACCATGACGGCGAACGGGCTGGGGTTTAACGATTCCGACATCCCGCCCTTGGGGTTCAAACCCGGCTCGGGTTTACAGTACGCCTACTTTATGGACGAGAACCTCACCACTCCGTACGACAGCACGGGGGATCTGAGGCCCGTCTTGACGGACGCACAGCTCATCAATCCCGTGTATTTTGCGCTGGCCGCGAGGTTCGCCGTGTCCGCTCAACGGGCAGGAGTCAGCATGGCCGACGACCCTGGCATCCACAAGGGACCGACCCAAAACATCGATTTTGTCTTGAAGTGCCAGTACACCACCTACGACGCCGAGTACACCTGGGTCAACTCGACGGCCGAGGTCCACACGCTGGAACCGTCGCCCAACGGGACGCTCGCCGAAATCTTCCACGGGTACCGGTTGGTGGGCACGGACAGCGCCTTTGACAATGACCTGGGCGATGATATCTTGCAGGCCGCCCTCGAGGCCGACCCCACGTCCATGGCGGACAATTTCGCAGACAGCTTCTCCCAGAGGGTCATGAGTGTGATTGGTCCTTTCCTGTCCGCCCGGACCAACTCCCAAGAGCAAGACCGGACGCCTCTCCTCGTGGCCAAGGTTCCCAAGGCTCCCCTCGCCATCCTGGTCGCGTGTTGCATCGCCTATGTCATTTTCGGTGTCGTCGCGGCCGTCGTCGCGTACCGTGCCCTGGACGACGTCGACGTCCGTGACATCGCCGCTCGTTTTTCCCTCGCCGCTCTGAGTCTTCACGCCTTCCGTGAGGCATCGACCAACAACTCTGGAACCGTCGAGGTCGACATGGCCGGACATTTGGTCTTTGACGAGTCCAAGATCCGCGGTGAGACGAGCAGGGTGGGTGTCGAAGGTGAACCGAGGAGTGGGTTCGTATTGAAAAGTTTGGTTTAGAAAAGAGACTTTTATGTCTATACATGTTATACGTTCACGTACAGAGGTAGACACTAAGTTCTTGCTGGATTCAAGATTCTTTTGGGAACCATCTTTGAAGAAAGAAAAGGATAATGCCGATTCCGATCCCGATTCATTGTTACAACAACGGTGATAAAATACTCCGCACAGCAAGCTCACGAGGAAGATATATAGATATAGTCATATTCATCAGGCCGGGGGGATTTCTGAAATATTTTTGGCAAAGAGTATATTCATTTCCCTTTCATCTATCATCATTGCTAAGCTGAATGAGGATGAAGCCGTCTACTGTTTTCCTCCCTTTATGACTAGGTTGACAGTGACTATCGCCATCGTCCCCGAACAGAACCACGACAGTGATGGTCAAGTCAAAGGCAACTTCTGTACCATCCAATTGTAGACATGTAGTGATGGTCAGGTCACTCTCGAATCCAGTTCGAGTTTAAACACACACACACACACACACACACACACACACACACACACACACACACACCCAGTCCGCACCTCATACACACACTCACCCAGGACGAGGGTAGGTGGTACTCGAATTTTTCACAACTCATCGTGTCCTCCTTTTTCCTTCTGGTCCGCCGGTCTCTCTCCGGTTTCGATCTTCAACCCATCTTCCAGACCACCACCTCCTCCACCACCGACAAGAGTCTTTTTGACTTCCAACCCGTCGATCCTGGCCAAAAACTTGACACCCAACAAGATTTGTTCCCGCTCAAAAAGTCTAGATCCGTCAATGACCTGAAAACTTTGCTTGAGCACCACGCTTTTGTCGCTGGTGGTGCCATCCCCGGCCGCAGGTCCTACGATGACGTCGAGGACAATCTGAAAAGTGTCCTTCTCACCGTCGTGATCCATCTCGTCGATTCTCCCGAGTCCACGGACGAGATCGAAAGTAACAAAACTTTGTTCGACGGTCAAATTTGTGGTCGCCAAAACCGTCACCGGTTCCCCCGCCGAATTTTGCAGGACCAGACCCATGAAAGTCTCGGAACCCGGTTTGGTGGTGGTGGTATCTCGGGCTTCTGAATCCGATGACCCTGAACCTGGTGTGTCACAACAAATGGCTTGAATCCAAGTTGGACAACTGGCTTCACAGTGACAAGGACATATTTCGGTGTGTTGTGTGTCGAGTTCTAGAGGTTTCTGACCGTCTTTGGTGTCCTTGGACTCTGATGATTCCGGAGTTGTCGAACAACATACTGCTCTCACTTGGGGAGGACAATCATCTTCACAGGTACATGGACAATCAAGTGGTGATTTCGGTGTCGATGTCGGTGTAGAGCCAGGTTTTTTCCCACCGGAAGGAGATTTTGATGACGACGGTGATGGTGATGGTGAGGAAGGCGGAGGTGGCCAGGGGAATGGATGTCTGACACAACAAGCCAAATTACATCCTGACAGACAAGCCTGACAAGATGGTTGACAACCAGAAAACCACCATGCACCGTGAACCACGTCGGACCATTTGAAAGGACTTTCAAGCACCGCTGGATCAAAGGTCTTGGTTGGTGAGTCGTTGGTGGTGCCGCTAGGATCGGCATCGGCGGCGGCGGCGGCGAAAAGTGCCTTGTACTTTTGAACCTTTGCTTGATCAATTTTGGAATCCGCGAGGACCGACGACGAACGGAGTGTCAGAGAGACCACAAAGGTCTTGAAAAGAGTATTGACGAGCATCTCGATGAACACCAGACTGTGTAGGTAGTTGCGTTTCAAAAAAAAATGGTTCAATGGTAGGACAGAAAGAGAGGTGGTTTGGGCTTGAGAGATAGTTGTCAGATATATATATATATATGTGTGTATCTGCAGACAGTTGACGTTGCTCAATGTACATTCTAATCTACGAATGTCATGGTTTGACGAGAGCTGAAATGTAGTGTTGTACAGTAGTGAGCACCCTTTGTGGGAAAAGGGGGAAAATAAACCTAGGCAGTTGGACGCCTCGTTGTGGTCAGCCCCTTGATTCGTTTTTGGTCAATATCTCTGGAAAAGAATAGTAGAACTGAAAAAGAAGAGAAAAGAGCACATGTGATTACCGAAGACTCATGGTACAAGGGTCATGGTTTGTACCACTTGGTTGGTACTCGTAAGCACGAGTTGTAGTATCGGACCGGCAGGATGTGAAAGAGAGCGAGTCACTTACCCCCGGACAGTATCCGCATCAGTATCTACTGTATGAGGGACCCCGTACTCGAACTATTGTACGAGTAACAGGTTCAGCTTCGATCAGGGACCAATCCGGATCCAATTCGTTCACACTCTCACTTCGTACCTCAGAAGCGATGGAATGAGAAAGGGGGGGGGGAAACTTGTTAAGGCGTCCCACCGGTGGCACAAAACGTTCCCGCCGGCGCAACCATTGACGACTCGCCATCTCCTTCAGCTCGGCCAACCCATGCCAGGTGTGCCGAGAAAAGGGTTTTTGTGTCGGAAAAGCTTTTGAGAAAAACAATGCAGCTGGACGCACCAATGGAGAGGGGAGAGGGCTGCACTGTGCAGACGAGCCAGTCAAAACATGGCCTCATCGCACGGACAAAGTACCACCAACGTCTGATGCGGCTGAAAAGTCGCGTCCCAGGTTGAACATGAGATGGGCAATCAGCTAGAGTTGCCAGGTATCTATGTACTCGTTCAGGAAAGGAGGACAAAGGGAACCAAAGTACGGATACTCACTAATCAATTCTTTGCTCTCGTAACACACAACAGTGTGTTTCTCTACCTTCTGACATGCGATGTTCTAATCTGGATGACCGTATTGATCAGCATATTCCAAGGAGACTCGTCATTCTATGATCTTGTATTCGTACCAACAGTCTACGTCTACGTCTAGGAAGGAAAAGCAAAGGGGGAAAAAGAGTGATGGACAGAATTAAAAGTATCAAGTCTGTGCTTCTAGAAAAAGGTCCATTCCACCTTTGAGGGACAGTTAAAACTCCAGCTTCGTTACATAAACCAGCAATACTTTCTCATCATGTCGTAAACCATCATGCTTTCGTCGTCGATTATTGTAGCATTTTTCTGTTTCGTTCCAATCTTCGTCTTCCAATAAACGCCGGGCAGTCTGAGCCCAAAATTCATAACGCCAGCCTGACCACCCAAATCTCTATTCGACGCCTCTCCAATACATACGTCGACACACCCATACGCAGTTTCATCATCCAAATTTTGCTTTGCTTTCACGGACTCTGTAGGTCTTCAAAATCTTCCGTACTCATTTCTGCCATCTCGCTGCTGTTCTCTTGCCACTCTGTGCTCAGTGTCTCGGCTTCTGCCTCCGCCTCAGCTTTCGCCCGAAGCGCTGCTAGCGTGGTTTGAATACTGGCAACTTGCTCCTCATCTTGTGCAGTCTCAAGGTCAAAATAGACCAAGCAATTCTCGACCACGTCAATGATTTGATGAACTTGTCCGGGGAACAGTGCTGAGCCTGCCCGACTTCGCGACGTCAAAAATTGAGTATGTATGTAGCCCTGGGCGTCTCTCGCCAACTCTTGGACAAGGGTGCGAAGCTGGCGATGAAACCGAGGATCTTCGTATTCCGGTTCTTGCAGGGGAGTAAATACCAGTCTTTTGAGCAGCTCCATTGTGCCATGCCGAATATGGCTCTGTCCATCAATGGGACACAAGAGAAATGTGGGCGCCCAACGAGGTAAAGTTTTCAACACTTCCTCCTCCAAGAATCCAGCCTCTGCATCAAGCGATTGATTCTCCACTTTAAGGATGGCTTCAAGAAACTCGAAGTAGTCCCGAGCATATTCCACTCCCACCGTTGCGATGCTGTCCAAGGCAGATTGTACCAAGTCGATAATACGAGGTTCTGACTCACATTGTTCGCAAAAAGTGACAATTGGATTGAGAAAGGTAATGGCAATATGAATCAGTCTGTCGTTGAGTCCAGTGTGAAGTATTTCCGAAAGTGCACCGGCAAGACCTGGATCTTGTGCAAGACTAATGACCAGGTCATTGGCTGCTGTGGGGTTCTGGCGGCCCGCGATAAGTCGCAGCAGCCAGTCTAGGTTGGGAGGCATTTTGCTAACCCCTAGAACTTCGAGTTCACTGGGCGTCAAGCCTATCTTCTTGTTAGTCAAACGGTAGTCGCCACCGGGAATGTTGTGGAGATCGGCTCTCAACACAAGATTCACCAAGAATCGGACAAGCAAGCCATGGCTAAAAGGCCGATTCTTTTCTCGGGCAGCCAGGTACGCGGAATACCGTGTCTTTAGTCGTTTGCTGATTGGGAAATCGGAGTTGATAACATGAATGGAGATGATGTCAATGCACTTTTCCAAAAATTCTTCGTCGAACAAGAGCACCACGACATCATCCCCAAGTCTCTGTAAGGCGAGTAAAACGCCGAAATACTCAGGCCAGCAGCGACCAATCTTAGTCACCATGTCCCATGATTTGGCCAGCTGACCAATGGCAGATTGTAGCCAGCGAGAGTAATTTGCCGCCAGTTGATCGCGTTCATCTTCGGTGGCGTCCATGGTGGATTTGAGAGCATGCAGATGGCTGTACACAAGGTTGAAGAGACTTGCAAATGCTTTCCGGACCAGCTGATATGGACTTCGAGCGATGACATCTTCGAGAACACGGGGTGACGCAAACCATTCAGCAACCACCTTTGCACAGGTACAACACTTCTCGGCGCACTGTCCTGCGAGCTTGAGGCTCTCCTCAACACCTGGGTGATCCTTCCAGCGAGACGAGATTTGATACACATAGTCCAAAGCCATTTCCAGTGTGCCCGTTTCAATTGCATGATAGTCGCTACACTTTTGTCCAGATACCATCCTCTCTAATAAGCGAAGTACAAATTGTGCATGTGTACTGTCTTGAATGCAGTACGATCGCAGAAATAGTTCATTTTGCTGAGCAATATGATGTTCCATGTTGTATGGCAGTGGAAGGCGAACAGGATTTATAGCGTCATGCTGGCGATACTGCTCTTGAAATCTTTCAATGCTCGACGTTCTCTGGTAGAAGAGCATGTATGCGCTGTAATACTTAGGTAGATGGTAGAAACCGGCTTCAGCATTTCCACCGAAGCAGTTGTCTCTCATTTGGCTGGGATCGAACACCGTGACATCAGTGTCATTGAATTGAACCCACGATTCCTCCACTGGCTTGCTCGACGGCCGCTGACGAATGAAGGAGTAATAATGTCCCGTATCTGCCGTTCCCGAGTGGACTATAACGCCGGTGAGTTGAAACTGGTCTTGTTCTTCAACACCTTCATCACTGAGGCTGGCAAGAGTGTACGGTGCGATGTCGAGAACATCTGGGAATTGAAATTCATCGTTCACTTTGGTCCGCATCCCTGTAAGAATGTCGTAGTCGAAGCGCTTCAAGTTGAATATCAAGTTGTCAGGAACATCTTTGAGACATGAACGTTTGACAGCGTCGACATGGCGGCCACAAGACGTGCACGAGTACTTGTTCTCTCCCTGTAGAACTTCGCCCTCCACGTAAGCTCTGAGACTGTCCTCGAGTCGTGCTTTTCCCTTGATCTCGACTTGGACAGCTGAAAACGGCTCCAGTCGCTCAGAAATGTGTTCGCATTCTTTGGATTTGATCTGCTGCACAAGCTGTCCACCGTAGATGGATTTGAACAAATCTCTCGCTCTGTGATCAATCTGGCTCTCCAGACGGTCAAAGAGAAGATTGAAAAATTCGTCAACATCCATTTGAATGGAGACATCGATTTGTTCCCCCTCATAGGTCGTTATCGCTTCCACAGCGAGGGAAGGATCGATGGACTTCTCATACGAATTTTGCATATGAGCAAACACTTTCGCGAGCTCTTTCACAAGCTTTTTCTTAGGGTCACTAAATTTATCGGTATCCAAGAAGAATTCCCGAATTTGAACATTCATGAAAAGTTGTGTGAACAGCGAATTGAGATAACATGTGTTTGAAAGATTGCGAAGACCCGCATAACCAACCTCGGTGCGCAGACTCTGCCGTTCGTGCACATAGATGGGTTCGAAGAAGTCTCGTTCAAGATGGGCAGCGTCCTGGAGTTTTGCGAGAATCGTGGCCTTGTCCTGTGGGCCTTGCGAGAGTGCCAGAAGAAGGTTATACAGCCCCTCACGGACAGTGCTGTCTAACACAGGTATCACGGGGGGCGTTTCGCTGAGAGCACCATCCACTGATAACGGTGGTAGAAGCAGACGATCGATAAGCTTTTCCATCAATAGGTAGCTCGGAGGCAACAATTCATTGCTTTTCAATAATTTGCAACACTCGTAGAGAAGTTTTGTCAAGGATCCGACAACATGGTCTCTGGTGGGTTGCCCGACCGTCTCACGATGGTCGTGCTCTAGTAGCATGGCGCTCCACTGGACGAAGTGATGGCGAATTGATCCGATGGTAATGGATTTGCCTATTCTTCTCAATATCACGAGGACTGCCTCGGAGATTTCGGCGCATTGCTCAGGGTATTCGCATATGTGAGGTAGAGTCTCGACCAAGGCAGCCCAAAGATGTGACAAGCACGCCTCAATAACACTTGCCGGAAATCTCGAACGTGCTGCTCGTGGATTGTTGATTTTCAGATGTATCTTAGTTCCAGCAGCTCCCGTTAGGCCCACCACGACTTCTAACAGGGAATGTCGAACATCGGCTCGACGCTCAGCAATGAAGGCTAGAGCGAGCAATTCCTCAAACTTTTTGCTTCCATCCACATGCTCCCAGACACGGTCGTCGTGCAGACAGGCTTCAGTGAAAGCCTCCAGAATCATCTTGACCATCGCTGCTGGGGCAACCTCGTTGCTGATCGTACTAGCACCTTCCAATGTGAAGAGCAGCAACCGGTAGATTTGGGCGGCAAATCCTTGACGATCTTGGATGTAATCTTGCGATGTCTCTGCAGGAACCTTCGCACGGAATGCTAACAAAAGGGCCTGAATAAGCCAATGTGCAATGGACATTTGAAGTGGATTTTTGGCGTCAGATAGCTCCAATTTCGGGAGAACGGCCAGGATGGTCTGAATGCTGTATGTCAAGAAGAGTGTATTTGGTTCAGAGCTGAAAGATTCGTCTTCAATGCAGGCCAACAAGGCTCGGGCGCAATACAAGAGCTTAAAGGGCTTCTTCGGGGGGAGTAGCTCAGCGGGGTCCTTCTCTCTAGACCGGATAACTCGAATGAGCTCAGACTGCGCAGGAAATAGACTCAAGAAACCATACACTTCTCCTGAGAGGCGTTCATCTGAATCCAAAAGATCGTAAAGATCGTCAAAATGGTGCATGATCTTATAGTCCACCGGTGACGAGGCACGTGTTGTACGGGTGGGCGCTTTCTCCGAGGAGTTGGCTATCTTATGGACCATGAACAGGGCCTGAGAGGCATCTAACTCGGCTAGAGTCTTGTCGCAGCCTGAAAGTTCAATCCCTTGGCCCCAGTGATAGATTGTAAAGTCTGTGAAGCCGCTAGCTTCAGAAATATATTTCCACAGATCATTTCCCGTGTTCTCGGAGCCGAAAGCAACCTTCTGCTTTTCTGGGATTACATATCTACTGCCGTAGACTTGTATCGAGACCTCAATCTCGTCGCCTTTCTTGAGAAGAAATTCGGGTAGACCTTGGGGCTGCTGGCTTGGAGTTGGGCTGTAGCGCGGGCGCGATTTCATTCCTTCCAAGAATTTTCTGAGAAATAGCAATGATCTGTCGAAGCGTAGTTCTTCTGCCCGAATCTCTTGGTCAGATGCAATAATTGCCATCGGTTCGTCTTCGCCGCTCGTACTGCCATCAGAATAAGACTTGAGTTTTGCAGCGGATGCCATCACTTGCTGCACGCAACGATCAACAAGAGAAGAGTGCGTAGCATCGATCGCCTCCCTCGACCGTCGTGTGATGAGCTGGTGATCCAGATACTGTTGGATGATAAACTCGGTAGCTTGGTTCTCAACGGTGTTAGGAGGAGCCTCTAGCATGACTCTCCATATTCTGTCGATGCCTGGAATGACCACAACGTCCTCAGCATCTGGCATGGCATAGTTAGAATGTCGAATGGTATACGAGACTGAGATTTTCAAGAATTCCAATACCCTCTCATCGTAGTCTTGTGGTCCTAGTCGCTGTACATGCTCACTGACAATCAAGTCCAAGACTGGATTTTGTTCGCTGACCTGCCTTCTTCGCATGACATTGATCAAGGTATCCCAGGCCCTAGCTCGCACTGCCACGGGCAGCTGCTTTGCGGTGAAGAATGAGGTCCATAAAGATTCGATCGATGGCTTGGAGAACATTGTAGGGGCCAATAGCATTAACGAGTAAAGGAGCGTTGCTCGTACGTCATACGCAACTTCAAAGAATGCCACTGACACATTTTCTTGCAACTTTTGCTGAAATACGTTGGTAAGGTGAACAATATCGGCTACGAGAAGCTCGATCAAATCGAATTTTGCGATGACCTCTGAAAGTGATTGCCTCAGCATTGGAACTAGGACCGTGAGGACAAGAACATCACCAGAAGAATATTCTTTGTGAGACCTCAGGGACTCGGTAGACTCTTTGATGAGATGACTGAGCTCCACATCGTCGACGGTGATTGTGCTGGCATCGAGGATACCACCGAGCGTTAGCGAGGTGCCAAGGTGACGCGAAAAATCTTTGCGAATGACCGTGGCTTGTTCGAGGGACAAATTCTCATCTAAGCATGCTTCTCGTAAAAGGCGAACCAGCAGGTGCCGGATTGTAGGGTCCGTAGGTTGCTGCGGGGTTGCTTCGTTACAGCTTCTAATCTTGTCCAACAGACCAACGGTGAATTGCAAGACGTGTGTATCGAATCGTTGGAATGGATAGTCTGCCAGCTTTCGGCAGATGTAGCAAAGTGCATGGAGGTCATACACATGGCAGTTAGATAAAAGGTTGAACACTTCGTGCACAGTTCGGGGATCTTGGCTCTCCACAATTGTCTTCCAGATTACATCTGTGGTGGCATCCGTGTAGGTGCCCGAGACACATAGAAATCCTACAACATTATGACTGCGGTGTATCAATTGTGGATGCGAATCAACGCCGATGATGTAGTCGATGATCTGATTTTGCTGGATGAATTTGACGAGAAATCTGACCAGAGGATCACTGGTGGGAGGCGGAGGTTGATTGGAGATCCGTTCCTTGTAGACTTGGACAAGGTCATTTGACATATTTTCTACGCCAAAAACTCGCAGTTCCATGCGTCCGTGGGTAATGAACTTTCGAAGAGTCTTGAACTTCCACGCCTGCGGCATTGTGCTTGGGAGATCGGTGAGGTCGGAATCGGCGAAGCCGACTCCGGCAGTGGCGACAATATCTTGGCCAATTTTGGGAACCTCGACAGCAATGACACCAACAATGGGCATAAGCTGACCAATAATCTTTGGGGCGCTGTCAAGGTTCAGCCATGGTGCTTGCTTCACAATAGCTTGCTGTATGACATGGTCAGCTTTGAGCATGACGTCGGCGATAGTAACTCGAATGTAATCGATCTCGGTAAAGCTGGAGGGTCTGAACATTGGTTCAGTAGTCGCAGCAGCACTAGCAAGAGGTTTCATCGCGTAGCCTGTCACCGTCAACAATTGGATGAAACATTTGACAAGGTCTGGTTTCTTGGACAGAAAGGGAGTTGCGGCAGTTATGAGGTTGGAGACCGATCTGACTAGAGCCACCTCCCTGCCGCAGATGCGATCGAGCACCGGCACAAGTAGCTGCGCTATCTCAAAACCCATCGTGCCTCGAAGAGCATCATAGAAGGGGATCCCTTCGGGTTGAAGCATCCAAATTAGCGGCTGGTAATATGGCATAGACTTCACAATAAAATCTTTCAAGTCTCGAGCATCGAGTTCCGGTGATAAACCTTGAATATTTCTGGCATCGTACTCCATGATCAGCTTCGTGACCCGGGCATAAGCGACAAAATATTCGATGAGGTCTTCGACCCGAGCCTGGGGTGGCGGGCCACTGGTGCGTCGTAGCAAGCATTCAATTAGGCCTGGCAAACACTGCCAAAAATCATGGTCTTCCTCGAAGAATCTTTGTGGGATTTCCGTACATGTGTCAACAAAGTCGACCATCCAATTCTTGACCTTCGAGAATAATTCTCCATCTTGTGCGCCGCCGTGCTGAAAGCGATTAGCTATTTCAAGGACCGCTCGGCGAGCGCTGCCAGGGGCATCTCCTGCATAGGGAAATGTACGCTGAATGTAGTGGGGCAGCATTGGTTTCGGCACCGTCGCCCTAGCAGAAGCTCCAATTCGTGTTGTCCATCTTGTTTGGGTTGGATCTCGGTCATAATCCTCCACCTCGGCGATCTCAATCTCAGGGGACTTGCTTGGAGAAGAAGGAATCGAACTAGCATCAGGTTGCTCAAGTGTATTTGCTTCCGTGTTGGATGGTTCCGCATTGGACGAAAGGTCGTGGTCCTGAGCACCATCCATGCCAGTACCATGTGCTGGTGAGGTGGATTGATTCGACGGAGGTACGTTGGGTTTTGTAGCGTCTGCGATGCTCTGACTCGGTTGAGTCACAGATTGGGAAGAAAGAGGACGGGTTTGGATAGTAACTCTGCTGGTTGGAGACATGGCAGTAGCAACGACTGCTGGTCGAGGTGGGAGTGGTGGAGTTCGATGAGGACTTCCTTCCACTGCCAGGTTGTTCTCATCTATCACTGACGCGGAAGGAGCAAGTGATGACTTTTCTGTTTGCTGAAGATCTGACATGACCTGTGTCTCATCAGGCTTGCTCTCACTCAGCCTCGGACGCTTGTGCTCATGCTGGGGCAACCCGGACCCCTCAGTAGAGTCACTCCGATTGCGAGTTGAAGAATCGGATGTTGAGGACGACATGTTATGTGAATTTCATCTGGACGGCAGGGATACGCAACTGAGATGATAGCTGTGTGGCTGAGGCTGCACTGAAGGTGAAGCGGGAGGTGATGGCACAATCAGGGAGAGGTCTTGGCGTCAAGAAGGCCACCGTTTGTAAACAAGGCAAACTGCAGTCGATGGACGGCTTTGTCTGCCTGATCCACGACTGAAGAGAGGACTCGGGCGGACAGTCTGTCGCCAGCGACTCAGAGACTGTGTGTTGATGATGTTGATGCTGATGGAGATAAGTCCGCTTGGGCCATAATGGCTTTAGTGTCAAAATGTAGACTTTGTAAGTAGGTAGGCAGGAGGGCAATGAAGAAAGAGGCGGGGCAACAGGAGATGAAATGTTTGCTCCGGTGATCAGGAATTTTGATGTACAGGAGAAGTGATCCCCGATATGGCCTCTGAGAAGATATGTTGATTGATTCTAATGGTGAACGAAAACAATCAATATGTCCATGAAGATGGAATATGTTGAGGGTTTGCTTTGACCAGGCTGCAGTGGACGATACGGATCAGTTTGTTAGGGGCCAACCCTAAAAAGGACCTCAAGTCTGTCAGACCGGATCTCGACGCGTCCGGGGCGCGAATGAGGGGCTCTACCCAGGTCTTTCCAGTTAAAAGACGTCACTAAGCCTCTTTCATCTTGGTTTTCTCTGCTTAAGCAACTTCTCGCACGGTAAGGCACGTCATCAGAGGTTTATTTGTCTGTAGGCATTGTTTTCAATCTGTACATATCTGGGTTTATCTTTGCCTGCGCCAACATCTGCGCCCAGAGAGAACAAATGTCCTGCTGGCACTACTGACTCTTACATGCCGAATTCACATGGATAACAATCGGAAGAAATTAGTCCATGCAGTTACCCTACCCTATCCTGATCAACAATGGTACTTGTACACCTCAACCATGACAACAACGTCCGGCTTTGCTAATTCGCACCGCAGGCCAAAATTATCCTCCGACCATGAGCAAGTCATCCTAAGCCTTCTCCTCCCATTACTACAGCCAGTCGGCGATTTTAGACGAGATCATATCCTACGATCCAAAGGCAAAGGACGAGCCAGGAAGAAAAATTCCATACAGGAGCAATGCACGGTGCAAGAGTGGATGCCTGATGTATTTGGTCACCTTACTATAGGATTTAATAGCACTATTCGAAGACTTGAAGCTCTTGCCAGTCACCGGCAGCCACCATCCCCTCTTCCAAAGTCAGATGTCAAACGATCCCGAGACCCTCCTGCAGCACTTTCAGCGGTGTTTGTCTGTCGCGAAAATCTCCCAGATATGTTAACCTCCTCCTTATCTTTGCAGGTCACAACTTCTGCTCCTCGGTCGACTCGAGCTAGACTGATTCCTGTTTCTCCGCAATCTGGGGCCAAAATAGCACGAGCACTACACCAGCCTCGCGTTGGGTTACTCGGTGTAGAAAAGGATGCTCCGGGGTCTAAAGCTTTGCTGAATTGGGTATCAGATAATGTGGAATTGGTTGAGATCCCGTGGCTAGAGAAAGTATCGAGCTCCACGTACTTTCCGGTTAGTGTGAAGACCCATGAGATAACCACAGATCCAAAATCCAAGGCTCGGAAGAGGAAAGGAACGGAGATGGACGTGGGATAATGGTGGCAATGTTGCCATGTGACTACCATCACTGAATGAATGGGATCCGCACCGGGACACGATCACGATAATTCAGGTATTGTTGGCCGAAGAAGGAGACAAGATGACGTTCTTCGTCTAGACAAGACAGTCAGCACTTCAAGGTTGGAGGACAGCAAGAGCTCGACTCACTCCTGATACGGTGGTTGAAAAACTTCCACAACACCACCGCATACGCCACCAAACACAGTCGATTGCCCATCAATACCTGAGTCCCCAGTCCCCACCAAAAGAAGCCGAAATAAGACGGGTGTCGGGAGAATGCATACACCCCGTGAGTCACCAAGACATGATCAGAACGCTTGGTCCATTGGACGACGTGATTGAAATTGGTATTGGCTTGCTTCATGGCAGTGCTTCTCACGAACTGGCCAACAACAACTAGGACAATACCAGTCCCTACGCTCAGAGAGGTTGGAACACCTAGAGTCAACGAGGGTATGGGGAAGGGTAGACTGAGCCACTGAGGCTTGTATGCGGAGTGCAGCCAGTAGCGGAGCAGTAGCTCCAGTATCGCAGTCGTGTGGGCTGCCGCATAGGCCATACCATTAGAAAGTAAAAGGTACGATGAGATTGATGCATCAGGGGGGTTGTACCTCGCCGTCATGTCAAATTCCAAGTAATGAAAAAGTGTGAGAATGGCCACAAAGCACGGCGCCCGCCAGAGTCCATAGCCCCAGTAAACAAGTTCGATTGTCAAAAGGGAACAGAGACCAAGTGCGCTGCCCAGGCCGAAGGCTCTGATCGATACTCCTGAGAGTGACCTACGGCCTCCCGGCATGTAGGCTGGGGGCACATAGATGGTCGGTGGTGAAGTGGCCATCCCGTTCTGGTGGGTCCGGTGTTGCTGTTCGTGTTGCTCGAATCGATCTCTTGGGAATTCGTGGATAATGCCTGGCGAGGCAGGCTCAGAGGGATCGGACATGGTTGTGGTTTGCTATGATCTCCTTTTTAAATGAAAAACAAAAAACAAAAAATGAGAGCCTGCCTGGTTTGGTTGGGTGGTGCTCGAACAGACAGACGTCGTGGGTGCATACTTTGGAACGACGAGTTCACCGAGGATTTGGGATGGACATCGTGGAACTCGAAGCAAACATTGTCTCGGGAGTACAGGACGAAAGGCAGTTGGGATCTTTTTGTTTTTGGTGTGGTTGGCACCACGGCAGAGGACAATCGGTATGTTACAAGATTCAAGTCGCCTGACGACGTTCGTCTTTTGTTTGCCGTCCAGCCGGAATGGGACACTTGTGCGTCATAGTTTTTCCGGACCCGAGGAATGTTTCTACACACCTAACACTCTAGAGACTCGACTTGAAATCCTACAGTATTGGCACTCCTTACTCCGTACATGATACACAACAGAGATTTTCATAACCGGTGACACTGGAGCGCTCATATGATGACTCCCATTTATTACTCCACTCCGCAGACTGCCTCGTGGCTAGCCACTTGTTTTTGACAGCGACAAACGACCTCTTCCACATCAAGAGCCAACTCAAGCGGCATACGATCATTCCCTTCGTGATGAACCATGGAGTTTTGCCAACAAATCTCACTCCAGTCTTATCATCTGAACACAGACACGAACTCGAAAGTTTCGGGCTTGTAAAGTCCGCCATGATTGAGGAACTTGCTAATAAAGGGCAGCATCAAGAGTTCTGGAAACGGCGTGAAAACCCGGAGAGAGGCTATACCACGCGAGGCCACCTCTGCTGAAACAAGGTGCTAATCTTACTATCCCTCCCTTCCTTACCGATACATCAAGGCTCGGGGCGAGAAAAGGAAATCGATCTCAATTCTGTCTGGCTTTTCACTCCCAGACCTCGTAATCAGGGAAGAAGCGACGGTGAATCCGCCCCGCATAATCCATGACGCCGGATAATGACTTGACAAGAGATCGAGTTTCGGGGTTACTGTTGTTGTGACCATCTGTTAGCATGGAAACCTCACCCTGGAGAGAAATCGACAAAAACAGTGCGAAATCTTACCTCTCACTAAGAAGAGCCGAGACGATAAACCCAAACAGTGTCGCATCTGCTTCGGTAGGTTGCTCGCCCCCCAGTACCCACGCTGGCTCGGTCTTCGTCGACCTCGACGACGAGGGCTTCAGCCTTTGCTTCAGTACATTGTCGATTGATTGCCACACGTCTGCCCGGAACTTTTTGACCTCTTCGTCGCTGAAGCGGCCAGTTCCTTGTCCGTGCAAGGTCTGCGTTATCCCTCGGTGTATCATGTACCCGATGACGACACGCATGGGGTACGGGAGTGCCCATAATGCCTTGTCGCGCTGCACGTAGAAGTTTTTGCCATCTAGCCACTTTTCTCGCATCTGTTTTGTTCTTGTGGTCAGGGCTTGCTTTTTTCTCTCCCTGGGGTGGATGGAGCCTGTAATGTTTGGCGCGGGTTGACTTACATTGTAGAAGTACAGCTTGTCCTCGCAAAGTGCTCTGATCGCAGAGTCATTGAGCTTCTGCTCGTCTGTCAAATTCTCGTTGAGGTTGGGAATACAGTCCATGCTCTCTAGTCGATCGAAGATCAAGCTAGAGTCACCCAGCAGTTGGGGTGTCGGGTTAGCAGCAGCATCCTGCTGTTGAAGAAGAGGAGCGAGGTCGATGTAAGGTATCTTTCCCTTGGGTGCACTTCTTGGACTGCCGGGTTCAGTCACGTATCGCAACCCAGCGTGGCGGAAGCGGAATTCGAGCTTGGTCACGTACGGCGACCAAGTGTATTTGCCTTTGTCTATAAAGCCACGGTAGACGACAAGAGGCGGCGATCGGGTGGTCATTTTTGTGTTCAAGTCAACCACAGTCGATGATGATAATCTTGGTGGTATATTGGTTCGTGATGAAGGACGACAGAAGTGCCGCCAACCAAGGGACACTTCATCCTTGATATACTTTGTCAATTTTCTACCGATACAGAGAACGGACAACTACTCCGTATACCTAGACGTATTTGTACCGAGTCACGAAACCTGGTCTGTGACGACCTAACTAGTGTACAATTGTGACCAGACTGTACCGACTCGGCTTTAAAACGTCCCGACTCGGTGTCGCAAATCAATTGGCCTGTATTTTTGCGACGGGACGGGGAAATTTTGGATGTGTTCCGGGGGCAACTTGAGAAGTCTATGCCGGACGCTTAACAGGGTGACCATGTAATTTTCAATGGGGGCCATTTTGCAAAACTCAGGTATTTCAACGCTACTAGACAACAAATTATGATGCTTGAGCGCGCAAGATGATTCCATTCTCAAAGGGGCCAAAAAAGCAGATTTACATGCAAGAGCAACAAGGACTCTGAACGTTTCCTCCTTTACCTTACCGAGCATTCTGTCTAGATACCATGATGCAATCTCGGCTACAAAGCATTTCGCGAGCCTCGAACATAAGTTTCATTGATGTTTTACTCCCTTGAGGCGGAATGTGCCTCGGTTTTGAGGAGGACAGACCATACCGGATCACCGTCTCTGGTGTCTCTCGCTTCACTCTTCATCAAAGCCGACAATCCCAGCAGCTAAACTGTCCTCCAACTTCACCCAACCCGGAACCTTGAAGAAGCTCTTGAGCAGTTGCTCTGCCTTTTCCCTCGGCTTGATGATGGTCAAGTCGCGACCTTCGTTCTCGGCCGGCGCGGGGAGCTTGGTGTTGTTGGGCCGCATCTTGTGCAAAAGTGCAATGATGTCGGTGTAGTTGTATGGCTCGGCGAAAGCAAAGATTCGCTGCGACTTGACTTTCGGGTCTAGGAGTGCCGCGACATGCAAACGTGCATCATCTCTGACATCCACAAACCACTCTGAAGAAAGAGTATTTGGTCAGCGAGCGACACTTTGAACGAGACTACCTTGAACAGGCCGTGTGGCAATGACAACTTACGTGGAGGGAATGCCTTGAAAAATTCGTCACCCTTGAGGAGGTTGCGAGTCCAGTTCATGGTGCTGCCGGCGATTTCTGGAGCCAAAATTGGTCCCATCTGCAGCACAGCGAAAACGGTGTCGTCAGTCTAAAATGGATCTCGGCTGGAGAAGGGGTGGCATTCATGAGGGACTAAGAGTGGCTCACGTTCAAATTTGGCAAGACGGTGTTGAAAGTATAATGAGGCTTGTTTTCATTGTACCATTTCCAACCCTCGCGCTCGCCTTGAGTTTTAGACGCAGCGTAGACGACCAATGGCTTGAAAGCCTCGGGGGTGTCTTTGCTGTATGCTGCCTCGACAGCCGAGTCATTCCAGGTATCTGCAGAAAGTCAGCAAGTGGTCGCCGTCAACAAATACAACCCTGTGTCTATGCTTACTTTCGTCGATCTCCACTTCGGTGTTGGGTTGAGGGATCAACAGCGCCGAAGAAGAAGACGTGAGGACAACGCTCTTGACCGAGGGATTTTTGGCAGCGCTCTTCAGGACGAGAAGTGTACCTGCTACGACACCCGATATCACACTATCTGCGTCTGTACTGAAGGATACATCTGAAGCCTGCAACAATCTGTCAGTCAACTGCTATTTTTTCAACCGCGCAAAAACATACCACGTGAACGATCCCTGAAACACCTTTTGCAGCCTCATTGAATGCAGACTCGGAGCTCAGCGAGGGTACAATCACCGTCTCGAACCTGCCTTTGCCATGGCGCTCGTCAAAGAGTTTGTTGAGCCAAGGCTTCTCGGCACGAACGCTACCACGGACGTTGTACCCTTCCTGGAGCAGGACATCGACGATGTGGGAACCAATATATCCGTTGGATCCTGTGACCAGAACCCATTCACCTTTGGCAATTCGCTTTTCCGCTGTGGTCATGATGATGTGGTGATGATGTTGCTTCTTCGGTAGTTGATGGTTGGTGTTTCAATGGAATTGACTGGGACTGGGAAGATCTGATCTTGATGTGTGTATTGTACTTCTTGGACTTTCCTCGTGGGTAGATGCTTCATGTCGACTTGTAATACAAAGCAATCACTTTGTTATATAACGGGTGGCACATAGTTTTGGGTTTGAAGATTTATCATCCATGCTGAATAATAAACTTGAGAGGTATGGAGTAGTTGTAGCAACACTGAGGCCTTTGTCGACAGCTACGTACTAACTACGTAGGTACCCGGCGCCGCGGCGCACGGTGGCCCCCCAGAAACACCGTCCCCACCCGGTGAGTACCACGATTTGAGAGGTCAGCTTACATACTCTGTAGAGTACGGAGTAGATGCCGATCAGAATTCCCTAATCAAAGGCAGGGCGTCATTTATAGTCCCAAAACCAAAAGTACGCTCGAACCACACACATGATAATGCTACCCTTCACGTTGATGCTAGACTCACCATAGAATGGCAAGGAAGAGGTCTACCTTGGAACACATAGCAATCGCACATACCCGATCTTTGGTTCTACTGTTGTTACGTGGTCTGTCTATTGTCGAGAATTGGCTTACCCCGATGTTTACCAAAGCATGACCCGGAACTCCGTGTATTTCGTCCACGAGCTCAAACGGTCCACGCTCATAATCTGGCCTTTGGCTCACCCTCAGCCAACAAACTCAGACCCGTCACTTGTTCCAGCTCTTTGACCGCTTCTTGGGTTCGTCCGAGAAAGACCCTGATGGTCCGAACACCAAGACTCCGCGCCATCTTGAGATTCTCCCCAATGTCGTCCAGGAAAACGACATCTTCATTTCTAATATCTTGACCCCACGTCTGGCGTATTTGACCCAAGGCGTACTCGTATATGTCGCGATTCGGTTTCCTCATGCCCACGTGAGCACTGCTGACAAAAATCTCGAAGAAATGCCTCACGTCGTTGGGGCCGACCTTGTTGAACTCGTGGCCTTCGGGGAACACTGTGGTGTTTGAGAGAGCCGCCAGTTTGAACTTGCCAGATGCTTTTAGCTTTTGGAGGGCCGGATACATGTACGGGTCGGGATTGCGAGACATGCTCATCATGGTCCAGTACAGTGCCTCGGCGTCGATGTCTGGCACCGGCGGCGGGTTGGCGTTGTTGTGCTTTTCGCGGTGGAACTTCGCCCAGAGTTCTGGCCGTTCGAGGTCGGCCTTGAACATACGGATCCAGTTGGCGTCGTTCGGGACCTCGCCGCGCTCTAGTTTGTGCCACGCTCCATTCGGTGTAAGTTCTCGTATCGAATAGTTGATGTAGCCTTTCGGAATGCCACGCTCGACCTCATAGTCTAGAATGGCCTGGAAGGGCGAGACGACCTATTTTCTCAAACTGTCAGAATTGACGTAGAAAAGAAAGAAATTTACCAGGAGTTCTCATTCACCCACGACCCTCTTGGGGATAAATTGCAGGGAAATCCAGACTTACACAAACGCCGCCAATATCGAACATAAGCACCTTGGGAAGAGGTTGAGACGCCATTGTATGAGACAGGCCTCCGGGCAACAATATGGTACCGCAAAAACCTCACCCAGCACAAGTCGATGTTATGTACTCTATTTTACAGATTCAACGAGAAATGTCTAGGGAGATGTCCACGGCTAAGCCGAATCAACTCGGTAAAGTCCTCTTAGAAGACAAATGGTCGTCTTGAAAGTCCTGTTTGGACCGTTAAGCCGAGGTTAAGTCTCGCGCGGAGATCGATATCCGATTAAGAATCTTGATTGGCCTGCCTGAGACGCGCTCATCCCTCTGGAGCGCGTCAGCACCGGAGAAGCACATGCATGCGGTGGTGACTGCGCCGGTCATACTCACAAATTGAGCAAGACATTCATGACCTGTTGAACTCTCGAAAACAGTTCATCAACATGGATGACGAAACTATCTCCAGCCTCAAGGCAGCCTTTATTCGATCCCAGGTCCGGCATCTGTCCATTCCTCTGGAACCCTTGACCGATTGGCGTGAACAAGTGCCAGAGGCACCAGAAGGAGGAGGCCACTTGAGTGACAAAGTCGTCCAAGATGTGGTTACAAAGGGTAAAGAAAACGCCTCTATTGTAACTAATAAACTGGGTCTCGAGTGCTAACTCTTATGTCCCTCCTTCACCTAAACAGTCAACGAGAAGATCAAACAGCATAACCGCATGGTCTTTTCCCAACAGTCACAGCGGCACGTCGCAGAACAAATCGAGACCCTACACTGGAACGCGGTCAACGTGGAGTTGGACGAAGCAGAGCTGGACACCTCTGTACTACGGCGTGACGCCGACCTGACCAATTCCTCGATGATCGAGGCTTTGCCCGAAGAGTTTGACGATTTGTTGATCCGGTCCGGCGAGCGTCCGGCGAGCGCAGACGAAGCACAAACATACAACGGACTGCGCAATGAATTGTTGAAGCATAGCCAGCACCGCGATGCACTGAAGCGGAGCCTAGCAGAATACCAAACTCTACAAAAGTTAATGGCGCCACTTGACGATCCGCAGACGAACGTCCAACCCAACCTGGTCACGAGAGACGGGGAGTTGAGCAAAGAACTGGACCGTACCCGAGTCCTACTTGCACGAGTCGCTGAAAGGGTGGCAGATATCAACAACACAACTAGATCGGCTAGAGCAAACGTCCCGAAACAGCGTTTGACTGATGAGCAGAAACTAGCTGCTGTATTGGATCCCACCTGAAATACAGGCATATGCTACATCGCTCGGAGCTGTGCTAAGACGGTAGTACAGATTCTCTCTGTCATGACTGTTTTGATATTGCGCAAAGCCATTAGCATGCTTCTGCTTGCATCCCAGACGTCACAGATCCTCAATATGAGGCTTATTCCTCATCGGCTTCTTCGACGGTGGGAGCGGCATGTCTCTTTGCAGCCATCGACTTGACGACAGCTTCGGCAGAAGAAGTGGTGGCAGATCCTTCTGTAGGGGCCGGCCCTGATCCTGCAGCTTTGGGGGCTGCCTCCGCGCTCTTTCCCCCCCCATCGGTCAACTTCCCAGCAAGCTTCGCTGCCTTTTTCGCCTTCTTTTCCTGCTTCTTCCTCTTGATGTCATCCTTGGTCTCGTGCCAGCCCCAGAGAGGACGGAAACTATCAAAGAAACCTACATCTTCGAACAGGTTTGGGTAGAGCCAAAGACCAGGCGGGACGAGAAAGAAGGTGAGGATGAACAGAATAAGGCGGAAGATGGACATGGCGAAGAACACAGCGGTCAGACCCATAGCTCCGACTGACAGGTACCAAGCGCCCAGTCTCAAGAAGGGAGGCCATAACGGGAAGCAGACCATGGTCAGCACCGCAATCACAACTCCCGCGGCTAAGATTCTGGTCCGCCATTGAGGCGGCTCAAATACCCAGACATAGTGCATCATTGGTTCAAAGTCTTGTTGCTGTTCGATCTTGACGTGCCATAAGCCCTTGACTCTTTTCTCTTTTTTCGCGGGCGCATGGTTGTGTCCTTCATGGGGATCTTTCTTCGAGACTCGTAGTGCCAGCATATTCAGGGGGAGCAGCTGCAAAGCTGTCCGAGCTTCAATGTCGTTCTCGACTTTAGGGAGGAGGGGGTTCTTCTTTTGGGCCTTTTTGTAAGCGTCGGAGTTGAGAGCCCGAAATGCTCGTTTCACTGTGAAGTGTCAGGATTTTTTTGCAGAGATAAATGCGATATCCATACCTTTGAACATGTCTTTCCTCTCCCCATTGAAAATGCACGTTCTCGTCTTCAGATCTTGCGAGCGTAGGAACTTTGCAACGGCGAGCGCAGGGGGAGTAGGCTCTACAGGCTGGTTCAGGTTGACTGCCATTTGTTGTACTTGGCCTTGGGGAGGTCGCTGGCCCTGTGCCTGCTGGCCCTGGCCTTGTGCTTGCTGCTGTTGTTGCTGCTGCTGCATAGCCTGTTGCTGTTGCATATATTGCCGTCGAGCTTCTTCCTGTTTCATCTGGACGAACTGTTGCGGGCTCATTCCGGCTTTTGCTGCTTCTTGTTCGATTTGTTGGCGTTGGAAGGCTTGAAATTGAGGGATCGTCATGCCACGTTTCTGCGCTTCCATGGCTATCATCTGTTGAATTTGTTGTGGGTTGAAAGGCTGCGCGCCTGCAGGGGGTCCCTGCGAAGCCATAGTTGAGAATGGAGGGGGGTGAGTGATGTGAGAGACACTGTATTGAAGCAAGAGAAATTCTGGTCGCACTCAAGGATATGTGTGACTCGATGTAGGCATTGACCTCTGGGAGACAGGAAATAAGAGAATGTTGCAAGATATCTCAAGGATGAGATTTCTCTTTTGTGTTCTTTTTCTTGGGAGAAGACACGGTTTGCGATCCAAGCGGAAAAGGACGCAGCCTCGCGCAGCCTTACGTCAGCCAACCACGTTGATTTAGACATTGAACAATCACCACAACCATCTACGATCATCTTCTTCTCTATCCGCATCACCAAATCACACCGAATCAAATGTAGGTGTTGCCAAATTCTACACCTCAACCTCTGGATCTACACAGCCAATGCTGGATGCAGAAACCCTCAGAATTACAACGTCACTGAGCGAGAGACGTCTACCACCTGTACACATTCATTATGAGGGCGCCTTACGAAACATAGCATTGTCGTGCAATTCCACGCAACTTCTCTCCGACCTCTGACACATGTCGCTTCAATACACGCCCAGCCCTGGTGCTGTTTCTGATGCACACTGGACGGCGGTGTTTTTGGTAGGCTAAGTCTCCTCTAAAAACTATTTCCAGCTAACGGCGTCCAGTCTACTCGAGATGCCGGTGCACGGGTTCCGATAGACTTCATAACACATCCAGGAGTTCATCTTACTCAGGCATGTTTTTCGCACGGCATATATGATGATATTCCAGCCCAGACCTGTATCTCGGATCTTCTGGCGAGCAATTTCGGTCGGATTGTCGTCGATCTGTACTGGGACAATATCAACCGTCAGTTCAATTTGTGCCCTGTTGAACTACCTCCGCTGGCCGGCAACTCGACAGCCGGGTACAGTGTCGACTTTTCAGAACTTTCATCTATAACAGCCACGACCTCTTCTGCCGCGGACCCCACTGTGCCTTTGACTGCTCCCACTGCCCAGCCCCTTGTCAAGCGCCAGTCTGGAGTCAGCAATGCGACAACTCCCGTCACCACTACTCCTCCCATTTCCTCGTCGGCAAGTGCTGCACCCATTCCGACCACCACTGGTGTGTCCGGCACTGAATTGCTCGAGCTAGGGCCATACAAGTGTAGCCTGGATTTGAACTTGGATTCGATCATATCCTTGTACGGTGATTACTTCGAACAAACATCCGACACAATCTCTGCATATCTGCAATACCTAACCTTGAATTTACATGCTGCGTCACCCTTTACCGCCCCGTCTGACGCTGCCAATACACCAATGCAAGCACGACTGCCCCACGGAAACAGTCTTATTGGTGCTCAATTCCAGAATAACCTTCCTGAGACTCTTTACACTCCAGATCAGCTTCAGGATGACCGTGAAGACCTCAAGAAGTCATGGTTTCGTAACAATTTCGCAAGTAGCACAGACACGAATTATTTTACAGTCGATCACGGGAGCGACGGCACCAGCACACAGGATGGCTGGCCTGGCGAAACATGGATTCTCTTGAACTCTCATCGGCGACTCCTCCTCAGTTGGGGAAAGATTGACCCTCAGATGAGCGCATATGATTTTCAGACCGACGCCAGCAATGTGTTTCCGAGCGACTATCTCGAAACTAAGCACAAAGTGTCTGTCAACGATGAAGGCGATGTTGTTTCCGGGTGCTTTTACGACCCCGAAGTTACGAAAATTGGAGCACAAAACTCCTCCGGGGCCTACACAGCGATCACTGAGAACTACTCGTCCCAGATCTTGCAACACTTGGTTCAGAATCTTACAGCTTGTGGTATATCACCCATGTTGAACGTGACTTTGGGGACTTCAACGGTACAGGATAATCTAGATTTATACCAACAATTCGCCCGCTCCACGGTCTTTGGATGGGCTTCTGGTGAACCCAGAAATGCCTCACAAATCAGAGCCAACCAAAAGAGAGCCAACGACGAGGAGAAGAATTACGCTTGCGCCGTCCTTGATTCCACTAGCGGATACATGGGTCGTTGGCGAGTAGAGCAATGCCAAAAGCAACACCGCGTGGCTTGCCGTATTGCCGACGAGCCATATGCCTGGCGACTGTCAACGTTTGAGGTGGACTACGAATCGGCTCCGGATTCCTGTCCGGAATCTACAACTTTTGCCCTGCCTAGGACTGGCCTTGAGAATACCTATCTATACCGGAAGATTATGAACGACTTGCGCTCTGGGGTCGATGATTCCATCTTGTCTGGGATCTGGATAGATTTCAATTCTCTGGATCAGACCGATTGTTGGGTGAGCGGAGGACCAAACGCATCGTGTCCTTACACTGGTTCTGAGGATTCTGAAGACCAGAGGCAAGTCCTCATTCCAACGATTGCAGCACTGATCGTTCTCATCCTCACGGTTTTGACATTGCTGGTGAAATGCAATGAAAACAGAAGGAAAAGCAGGACTCGCCGGAGAGGAGATGACGGTTGGGAATATGAAGGAGTACCATCGTGAAAAGCAATCCGCTTCTTACATGAGTTCAAAAATTTAGCATGCAAACCTTCTGTGGATTTATGAACTAAACGGAGTGTAGAAACTCTCCTAAGTCGGAACCGGAGTGTTTTCGACCGAACTCGGCATCTTTTGGTCTTTACGACAGCTAGGTTCAGTCTCGTCTTTGTCCAATCCTGACTTGAAGGCAGCTATGGTCAAAGAAGCTACCGGATGCCTCGTCCATTTCAGTGATCTCTACACCAATTTGGGTATTCATGACAGGGTCGGGCGTTTGGGGATGAGGGGCCCATTGGATTGGTAATTTTGGGGAAAGGCATGAATCCGGCTTGCTTTTGCTCCTTTATCATTGCCTTGGCCTTCGTCCGGGATCATCGATCCCTAGGCCCAGTGTACCACTTCCGAATGCGATCTTATTATGTTCACAGGCGCTGTTTACTGGCCGATAAACTTCTTACAAGTTTCTGCAAAGGCGATTGTTGCGCACTGCCAAATCACACCATCATCCCGACCTTCGGCCAAAAAGTCCAAAGAGGAACCCGACCGGCCTCCACATCTGTTTATTCATATCGGCCCCACATAACACATAAGAGGGCTGGACAATCACCTTTCAAGTAGTCTGCTCGCTGCTCGTGTTATTTGATCGATGCCATATCGTTGCTCGTCGATATACTAGTCCTCCGTTGACTCTCTAAATCGCCAACATGTCTACCAAAGTTGCAGTTGCTGGAGGGACCGGAAACCTTGGATCTCCCGTCGTCGGTGCCCTGTTGGCAGCTAACTATTCCGTCACTGTCCTCACACGAACGGGAAGCACCAGCACCTCGAAGCTCCCCAAGAGCCCACGGTTGAAGGTCACCGAGGTGGACTATTCCTCGGTGGCCTCTCTGACCGAAGCACTGAAAGGCCAGGACGTGGTCGTGTCGACCCTGGCCTCCGAGTCAACCGGCAGCCAGAACCCTCTCATCGACGCCGCGGTCGCCGCCGGGGTCAAGCGGTTCATCCCCTCGGAATTTGGAAGCGACACGACCCACCCGAAATCGTCCCAGTTGCCGATCTACAAGCACAAGGTCGACACTCAACGATACCTCAAGGCCAAGGCGGCCGAGAATCCCGGCTTCACCTACACCTTGGTCCTCAACGGCGCCTTCTTGTCGTGGGGGGTCCAGGTGGGATTCATCGTCAACGTCCAAAACCACTCTGCCACGGTGTGGAACGGCGGCGACGTACCTTTCTCGGCCACCAACCTCGAAACCATCGGCAAGGCCGTCGTCGGTGTGATCAAACACCTTCCGGAGACGGCGAACCGTCCCGTGTACGTGCAGGAAGCCCTCATCACCCAAAACCAGTTGATCAAGTACGCCAGGGAAAAGGACGGCGTCGAATGGCAGATCACCCCCAAGGAGACGGCAAGGGCGTATGAAGAAGCCATGGCCGAACTCGCCAAAGGTCCAGATGCCGACATTGGATCGGCCATGGTGGGATCCCTCATGAGCGCAATCTTCGATTCCAGTTACGGCCCGGACTTTTCGTCCCACCTGGACAACGAACTGTTGGGCATCAAGGGGATGACGGACGCCGACGTCAAACAGATGGTTGAGAACCTCATGGGGTCATCAGGTTCTTCCTTGTAGTAGTGACTACCAAGCCGTAGAAGATCGAGGTACACTACCTGGGTACATAGGTAGTTTATGACCAGCATATGCAACTTTGGTGCTTCATGCCATGTCATGCCATGCCATGCTGTAAGATGGATCGATTTCTACCACTGCTTACTGTAAGCTGGAATGAACATCATTTGCAAAATCCTCTTCTTGGATAAGTAATAGAGCTGTTCCGACCTGGCTGTGTTCATGTCCCTTTCTTTTTGGTCTATCTCGGTATGGTAGATATCGAGTTCTTATTTTTGGGGTTACTGTCCAATTATATCCACGTCTGCCCTTCCTCGTCCAGGAATGTAACCACCGCCGTTGGGGAACGAGTACTGTTAAGTAAGCCTTTGTTACATCTTGGACTTTGCATTGTGGGTATTTGTTCATCGACATTTGATCCGAGTCCGGAGGCCTTGGATGGTCGCTCTCCATTCATGCTACGCCTTGTTTGTCCGCAGGTGTGACTCTCTCCCTCACACGAGTACAGGTACAGATCGAGTAGTTCGTCAATGTCATCATCCAAAACAGAGTCCTCGTCCCTCTCGGATCGATTGTCCACTCTGCCGCGTTCAGGGGTACATGATAAGTTTGCCCTTGAGGATAAAATGTGAGACGTCGCAAAACTCGTAAAGTCATGATCTTCGAGTCCTCCTTCATTCTGTTCTTTGACCACACGGTGGTCCTCGAATGCTACATCACTCCCAGGACTTCCTTGTCGTTGTCGTAGACGTAGACGCAGTGGTGCCGGACGTAGTAGATCTTGTTCCACCACTCCTACCACTACATCATTATTATCGAAATTGTTGTCGGCATGGTTTTCATCATCGTAGTCGGAGTCATCGTTCTGTAGGCGACACCTACAGACCTCGCACTTTTGCGCGGTTGCTGATACCAAGAGTTCATCATTACCCGCGTTGAGGTTTGATGGTATTTCGTCTTGGCTGTATGTACTCTGACTCTGACTCTGACTTGCCATTCGCTGGCGGTCAATGCCCCCTCGAACAATAACATTGTCGTCGTCGTCGTCGTCACTGCTGCTGCTGCTGCTGAATTCATCCTCGACCCACTTCTTGGGTAGGACTTTGAGCCAACCGTCGGGTTGTATTCGTGAGAATGCATTACCTCTTTTGTCCTTGTCGACATCTCCCAACCTTTTCACGGAGTATTGTTCTTCTTCAAGTAATGTCCGATGGAACAAGGGTTTCAAAGGTCGAGGGGGTACTGGCGGACTGATTCTACACTCTTTTCTTCTTCTAGTCCTTAATCCAAACTCCGTCATGTCCGACACAAGTTTTTGAGCTTCTTGTCTATTGTGGTCGTCATGATCGTCGAGTTCTCCAAGATCGATTCTGCCAGGACTCTTGGATTGTACATCCGAAAGGGACAACATTGATCGGTTTTGGTTTATACGACCGCGATTTTTCAACCCCAATACCGAATCGATACTCTGCCTTTGTTTGAATAGTGTGGTTGCCACCGATCGGACATTGTCCATCATACCGGGGGACGTTGCGGTTGCAGTTGTTGCCGCAGTGTCACGTCGTCCCTGACGACTAAAGATAGACATTCGAGAAGGAAAAATCATTGCCGGGGTCCGAACATTGTCCCAGGCAACGTGAGGATTTTCCTTGATGAAGAAGCAGAATAAGGGGATTCGACCCTGGGAAAAGTTCTTGATGATGACTCTGAGAAGACGAAAGACCTTATTGTAAGTCAATTCATTCGTTTGAAAGGGGGAGTGACAGTCGATCATATAGAAACCAAACGTAAATCACATACACCAGGCTCTTCATCGCTACTTGTGTAGCACCACTCAGCTTCACCCAGACTGTTCTGGGTGAATTCTGGAAAGATCACTGTTTGCGACGCCACCGCTTATACACAGGTGGTGATGCTGGAGTGTAGTTCGGTCAGTCAACAGGCAATCAAACGCCGCTGGGATCTTGTTGACTCTTTGAGAAAAGACACAAGGCAATCGAAAGGTAGGTATGAGATGGACATGGGACTAATATAGATGTGAGTGAGGTGAAGCCCTGTCACTCCAGTCGGTGTCGTGAATTGTAAGGCTTTGCAGCCCCAGACAAGACAAGAACCAACTGATGAACAAAAAATAACACAATTTATTACAATCCTATAACTCTTGACCTCCTCACCTTCTTCTGATATCGTAACCTGGCAGCCCCAACGTTCTGCTCTCGGCCCTGAGATGGATTCCACTCCCCAAGTGGAAGCTAGCTTCACAATTTCGCCTTCATCCAAGACTTGATCGCCTTACCCTGTTCGGTTTCGGCTGTCATGCCCCAGCGTATATTCGAGATTGGAGCAATGTGTGTTTCATGTGCTCCTACGACGTAGGTGATGCCGCCGGGGTTGACGGACTATTGATCAAAACAAGCAGCAAAAGCAGTCAGTTGATCGATTTGGTTAAAAAAAAGAGCGGGGGGGAGGGGTGAGAAGAACTGATATGATCTGCTCCGGTGTAATGCGAGAGAGAGAGAGAGGCCTTTGTTACCTTGTACTTTTCCACCCAAGCATCAATAGCGTCGACCAACATCTCATCTTTGCCTGCAACGCACAAGACATGTTCAACTTTGGGGTCTTTCCACCAGTCGGCAGATACTTCAAGAGCCTCCGAGTAGGGACTTTGTGGTTTTCCCGCCATGTAAGCATTCGACCACATATCGGCAGCCCAGGTGCTGACAATGTCCTTGTTCTTGCATCTCTCGCTGCTCGGCCAATTGACGTCAAAGGTCGTCCAAGGGGCGACGAGCACGATGGCCTTGAATTTGTCTCCCTCGCCAAGGGCAAGGTCGGGAAATTCGCCGCTCGGGTGCATCGCATGGGACAAGACGGCCAGACACAGGTTGCCTCCGGCAGAGTCACCCCCAAGAATGATCTCGGAGGCGGGCCGTTGCAATTCGGTCCTCACATAGTTGACGGCTTCAACGGCCTCGATGATCTGGGTGGGGTACGTCGCGTGAGGAACCAGGGTGTACTCGAGAAAGAAGAAAGCCACATGGTCTCCGCTCTCCTCGAGAGTCTTTTGGACACCGTGCCAGAATTTCAGGTGAGTGTCGTCGCCATCGAGTGAAAATCCTCCCCCTACAATGAGTTTTTTGTCCAGTCAGCGAACGTCTCTCCCTCCCGAATATCATTCTCGCTCGGAGTTTCGCTGTACGTACCGTGGAAGTAGACGACAATGTGCTTCGCCCTTTTGTAATCACCCATCCAAAAGGCCTTGCAGCCTGACTTCAGGGTCACAAACTCGGGCTGGATCCCGATGCTCCTTGCCCATTTCTCGTAGACTTTGCCAAACGGTTCATTGATGTACCTGAAAGAACGTCAACGGATGGGGGAAACCACATGTTCTCGCACTAGATCCCTACTGCAGCTGTCGAGTGCTGAGCCTCAAAACCAGCTTCGGTGGTCAGCGAGAGTTCACACCCTGTCCAAGACTGACCGACCTTCCGCACGAGAGCGGCGCTCAAATGCTGTCCATAGGTATATGCCCCGGATTCGCCCCGAAATGGGCTTGTCGCCGCCGTGTAGAAGACCGAACCCACTGTGATATGGCGCGTCAGAACAAGAGCTACGATGGCCGAAAGTGAGCACGAACAAACCGACAAAACAGCTGGGAAAAGGTCTAGCTTCTCCAGAAGCGACAACTGACTGATCGGTGTGGAGGCCACCTGGCCAGGAGTAGGAGGGAGTGTCGACATGTTTCACGCTGGCGATACTGTTGACTGCGGATTCTTTCAGAAATTCAGGATAGATGGCGAAGAATGAGTCGAGGTGTTGGCCAGTATTCCCCAAGTCGTAATCTAAAGAATAGAACGGTGACGACTGATTTTTTGAATCTGACACCAAACAGGTGGTGATTGTGAGTGAGCTTGTTCTCGTCTGAACTAACCTGACACGCGCTATGGGAGTCAGTAAGTCTCGACCATTGGACAAGTTTAGACCGTGACCGACCACCGAAACAGGTGCAGAAAAGGCTCGAACAAAATGATCTGGCCTGGAGACGTCGACCAAGATTGGCTCGAAGCGTATTTCCAATCCATGAGAACCACATCCATCTTGTTGCCGAGGTCCAAGGTACTTTATGCGCCTGGTGCGGACGAATCTTTGACCATGTGTCCGTGAAACTGAATGTCAATGGCCCGCATGAGCTTTACAGAATTAACTGATAGCTATCCTCTACTCACGAGTGGGTAGTTACCTAGATGTGCATCCAAGTTACTGACTAGCCTCTACCAGCCTTGACTTTCATCTATCCTCATCCTGGACACTCCTTGAACACCTCTAATCAGACCACCGAGGATCAGCATCTCAGCGACTTGTTTTGTTGCAATGGGTAAAAGGTCCCCCGATAGCTGCATTCACAACGAGAAAACCTAGTGAACCCGGTCATCCAGCTCCCATTGATGGTGTCATGGCCGTGTTGTTGTTGTTGTTGTCACGGGCTTTGTGGCCGGCCTTCTTCATCTCACTAGGGAACATTGACAAGCCCGTGATCGTGGCATTCGAGGCAAAGGACAACGCAATCTAGTCGGGATCGGTGCAATCAATGGGAAACATAACTCATAATGTCTATTTGCCACAACAGCGCCATTCAAGAAGTCCAACCAGGATCGTAGGCAAAGCCCTATATCGCTAGCAAGTCGACTTTGGTATCGGACCATTTTGGGCGCTCGGAATGCCACGCCCATCGACCCGACTCATGTTCTGGAAGGCCTAGGTGACCAACTGTCGAAGCTATTACTGTATTTCCTCTTTCGGAGCAGGTTCCTATTCGTACTTGGCCGTGTGTCCCAACCATACCCGCCAGTTCACATTCGGCCGACTATGTCATGCAGAGACGCTAACCCATATCGTCATGTGTCTGAAATCGAAAAACCCCACGCATATCCTCAGATGCGATCCGCGTTCAAGAAGCTTCCCTGAAATTATTCTGATAGGCACATAACGACACGTGAGAACTGGATGCGCCGCGGTGGCATCCTTTCTTGTTGATAGACTTCAGGTCGTGGACATAATTACTGGACTGTCTGGCCATTTACGGCTTGTGCTTGCTCGATAGACATGCCACCATTGTCTGGATTGTCCACATTGTGATAGTCCAGAATCTCCGAGTACATCATGATTTTCCACGTGTCAACGGGTAGATCGGCATCGTTGAATGACCAGTCGAACTTTTCATCTGCTACAGGCTCATCGGTTGGGTCGTGATAAGGTGAGAGATATTCGTGTTCCAGGGCTTGCTCTGCCGAAACTCTTGTTTTCGGGTCAAAAACCAGCATGTCTTCCAGGAGGTCAATGGCGAGGGGATCGGCATTCTTGAATTTTGAGCTCAGGGGTTGTCGCTCTCTCTTGGGCAGGGACTGGACAAATCTCAGCGTGTTCTCACTGCAAATGGTTTCAATGACATCCTGGGGAGGGGTGCCAAGTAGCTCGGTGATGATGGAGAACTGGTTGACGTGGTCTTTGCCTGGGAAGAGCGGCTTTCCTTCTAACATCTCGGCAAAAATGCAGCCGGCACTCCAAATATCGACCTCGACGTCGTACTTTTGCCAGGTAAGCATAATTTCAGGTGCTCGATAGTAGCGTGTGGACACATAGCCGGTCATCTGAGGATCTTGAATTCTGGCCAGGCCAAAGTCGCAGATTTTCAAGTCGCAATTCTCGTTGACCAGAATGTTACTAGGTTTCAAGTCTCTGTGGACAACGCCGGCGGAATGAACGTATTTCAAACCTCGCTACATGTAATCCCGTCAGACCTTGATAACAGCAATCGGATAGATGTTCCGGGACCTGTAGCCTACCAAGATTTGATAAAGAAAGTATTGGATGAACTGCTTCTCCAGAGGTCTGGATGTCAGTAATCGGTGGAGGTCGGTCCCCAACAGTTCGGTCACGAAGTAGCTTGATATGGGTCAGAAAGGTAAAGTGGTGTGAAAGGCGGTAGGTGAAACATACATATCCTCGAGGGGAGAGATGAAGATGTCGCTGAGAGAGATGACCTGACGTTGTTAGGAATCGGCTAGGCAAGAACAGCACCGTCGACTCACGTTCTCATGTCGAAGATGCTTCAACAGTTTGAGCTCTCGATATGTACGCTTTGCGAGGACAGGTGTCGAGAAAGGCTTCATGATCTTCTTCACAGCTACGGCTTGACCTGTGAGTTGATCTTTCGCAGAACTGGCAAGGCGTCAGCAACCACGGTGAGAAGCTTCTGGTGCAAAGAATCGTTACCAAACCAGACCGAAAGCTCCCATGCCCACGGGCTGCAAATCAGTGTATCTTGTACCTAGTTAGACCATCTCTTTTGCCTCAATGTAGTCATTTCATGTACCTGCTAGTGATTTCAAAGGTTGTGCCAAAGATCTGGGCTCGCACGAATTCCGCCATGTTGATCAACGATGCGGTCTTGTCTTGGTCGGTGTGCTGATGGGGGTGAGGTATTAGGAGTCTCGCGGTCGGTCGGCGATGGCGGAGAGATCGCAGACGAAGAGTGAATATTTACTGAGGATCGGCGGTTGTGGAGCGATCAGCTAGGCGACGATAAACCAACGGTAGGGAAGAGGATCAGAGGCGCGGAGGATCGTGGTCGTGGTCGTGCTGAGGCGAGATCAGAATGGTGCAGGTCGCAAAAAGGACTGGCACACGGTCGGAGAGGCCAAGGTTGTGAAAGGTTGTGAAAGGTGACAGCGGCAAGATTGACTTGGGCTGCTGGATGTGAGTGAATGGGATGCGGTTGATTTGCGTGGGGCAATGAGACTTTGCGGCGCGATGGTTACTAAGGCGGCAGGGGTGCAACAATCGTGATGGACCGAATGACTCGGAAAGAAAAGGATGATGAGGATGAAGGTGAAGACGCGGAGGGAACGAGTCAATGTGGATGGCGGTCTCTACCTAGACCGAACAAGAAGAGTGATTGAAACGAGGACAGCCTCGAACGGCAGCTTACAATATGCACCTTACAGCAAGTTGTTTTGAATGAGCATCGATCCAATTGCCCCTCCATCGCTGTTTACTAGACTGTATTGTACGAAAATCCATGTTTCGCCCACTTCTGTGGCATAAGCGAAGCATTTGGGGCCAGTGCCACCCAGACTGCCTCAAAGAGGCCTACTCCGTATATTCAGGAGAATCAGGATGCCCGAAACGAGTCGCGGTGAACATCAATTATTATTACTCCGTATCAATAGTACCTTCCTGCCTACCTAGAAGGTACCTGAAAATGTGTTGGCCAGTGCAGTACAGTAAGGTAGGTAGGTAGGTATCCCCAACCACTCCAAGTGCACTGATGAAGCCCGGAGAAAACATCCCACCAGAGCAATTTTTCTCTACCAACAACTCCCAGAATATGAGTTACGCTTACTCGGTGTCACCGATCCGTCGGACCAAAGACAGCAGGTTGGATCTTCACGATTGTTACATCGACCAAACAAGACTTTTGGTCTGGCTTTTTCCAGTTTTTCCGTCTCCAAAACCGCCTTTGTCCTCTTGCAGCACGGTTTTGCATGTCTTATTCAGTGATGACCTCACCATGCTTGCTGCTTGTGGTCTATAGCGCCGGCCCAGTGGTGTTGGTTCCTGAGGACTCCAACCACAGCTTACTGTACGAGGTATCGGCCCAACTGGTACGAGTATCACAGGCTCGGTGGCTGTACACTTCAGGCTACTGCTGACAAAGCCCCCTTACACACCCGCGCTAACTCTTTACCCGTACATTTATTGATTTTGTGTACGGAGTAACTAGAGTGCGAACTCGATCATCCTCTATTCCGAAGTACTGGTCGATCGATGAGGCTGCGGTAGATTGTGCACTCATTCTGATGACTGCATGAAGTGACGGGTGGACATTGGCAGGTTGTCTTCTCGATCAGCCCAGGGATAGCCGCCGTTTCTGCAGTAAACGTCTTCTACAAAAACATGGTTGCTGTGGAGCAAAGGGTTGTTTGGGGCTCGTGGCCGGTCACCTTCCACGTGGTAGAGGCATCGATAAGCTCAGTTCTCGATTTTCCTTTTGGCGGCACAAGGACTCGAGTCGTACTGATAGATTTGATTGATTGATTGCTGCTAGGCTATCATGTTGCCAGTGTTCTTCAAGGTTGTTGGCGCATGTCAATCACTGCAACCTCACCTTGGCCTAGTTCTAGTACCAGTTCGATTCTTCGAAACCCATGTCTAGGCGCAAGCCCTGCGTGACGATTCTGAAGACTCAAGGCTTCAAGGCATCAAAGTCCTTGGTCTTGGGGGAGTAAAAAGAGACCCAAACAATTAACATGTAGTCGCGGGCCCTGACATTCGAGCGGCCGTGTATACACAGACGCGCAAGCAGCTAAGAAACACTGTAGCACTCGAAAGGTGGAGGAAAACATTGCTTTTGCCCACTGCAACTTGGCTGCAGATCTTTTGCAGGTTGCAGTGAGCAAAAGCAATCAGCCACTGAGCGATTTTCTGCACTGACGGGCGAATAAATGTCTGGTGTTGGAGAAATTGAGGCTTTCGCTCTCATGTGGCTGTTTCACCCGCCAGAGACCAGACGGACAGATATGGGGATTTGGACTGGGAGCAGCCAGCCATGAAGAAGATGGGTGTCTTTAGGGCTCCGGGCTATTTATAACATGTATGTATCTCCCCCTAGGTATGTACTTGTGTAGGGCGACTATAGCAGGATAAGCCAACTCCAGATATCCAAATTTACCTCATGAGAAAGGAATTTGGTAGGTGCTTGTAGCAAAATGCTAGAACATACCGAGCAGTGAGGGGATGATGCGCCGGTACTTGAGGAGCAACATGTCTTGAACAGAGTTCCTTGTCTAAACGGCTGGCAGCGTCAGGGCGTTGACCCCAGGTACTCCGTAGTATATCGCAGTTTAGCAGGTGCTTACTAGGGTATCTTAGGTAGGTCTTACAGGTGGAAGGATTACTAGGTACTACTTCCATACTCCATGTTGTCAGGACCTACCTAGGTAGGTAGGTACCTAGATGCAAGTATCTAGTACAGTAAATACCTGAGGTATCTTAAGTGATGATCCATCTACCAATATCTTACTGCAAGATCAGCCGTATACACTTCCCCTTTTAGACCGAAGTCCAAGGCGAACTTCGCTGAATCCTTATCCGAGACAGATTCGAGTCGTCAATCAAAGGCCGAGAGAAAGACCTGGCGAGGTCTGCCTGACCAACCAAGATGCCCCCCAACCTGGGTAGACAACGTGCCAGCCAGCATCATCCACTGGCCCAATAGCTTTCCCGCTCTCGGCTACTCCGCTCTAAACTGCTGCTAGTTAATTCTCTCTCTCCCTCTCTCGTCAGCCAGCTTGTCGACTAAACATCACCCTCTTCGTTGCGCCTACTGACCTGCATATGTGCTTTCACGCCCGACGACACCATCTAGCAGCTTTCCATCTTCATTCCCATCTTGTCACTATTCGTTCCAGTCTCGAGTCGAGCCTTCTCCCAACACGAGCCGTCCTACCGAATCTGAGCTCCACAGCCACCACCCGGTCTCGTTTACGAATACCCTGTTCACCATCATCCGCCCCTCTATGTAGTCCAAGACAACAGCCACCATAACTGGTCGCGAAGCTCTTGAATTCCCCTCCCTCTTTGACAGAGGCTGCGCGACGCCCTCGCCGGGCCTCAACGTCATCGATCCGTCGCTTGTTGGCCGAACCCTGTGGCAAGGAACACAGGAGATAGTCCCATCAAGTTTCCGAGCAGCTGCAGTCGCTTCTTGCGCTGCATCTGCAGCGCAGCCACCCTCGATCCTCCATCGTCGTTGTCCTCGTCACCAGTACTAGTCGTTCGAAATGGGTGCGTGCGGAAGCAGAGAGGCGTCCAACGAGGACTCCGAACAGAAAAAGAGAAGTCAGGCCATAGACAAGAAACTCGAGGAGGATTCGCGCCGGTTACGGAGAGAATGCAAAATTCTGCTGCTTGGTAGGTACAACCTCAATCGGTCGTGCGGAAGGGAAACAGTGACTGATGCAAACGCGCAGGGTCTGGGGAGAGCGGCAAATCGACGATTGTGAAACAGATGAAGATTATTCACCAGAATGGCTACACGCAGGAAGAGAGGACGCTATATCGACTGACAATATACAAGAATTTGGTCGACTGCATGAAAGCGCTCGTCGGGGCCATGCAGCAATTTGAAATCGAGCCAGAAGATCAAACAGTCAGGGATTATGTCGACTACATCATGGAATATAATGTGGATCCCGATCCCGATACACCTCTGGACCCTAAGGCTGCAGATGCTGTGGAAGCAATCTGGAAGGATCCAGCCTCGTCAAAGACGATGGACAGACAGGCCGAGTTCTACCTCATGGACTCGGCACCCTAGTATGTGGACTTTAGCTTCTTCCATCCTCCGTCAGTTGGACTTACACCAGACAGCTTTTTCGAAGAGGTCAGACGTTTAGCGGCCCCTGACTACATCCCAAATGAGGCCGACGTTCTCCGGGCACGCACGAAGACGACAGGTATATATGAAACCAGGTTCACCATGGGTCAATTGAGTATACAGTTCGTCGCACTCATCTCCTGTCTCCGCTGGCTATCATACTGACCCTGTCCAGCATGTTTGACGTGGGTGGCCAACGTAGTGAGCGGAAGAAATGGATTCACTGCTTCGAGAACGTCACGTCGATCATATTCTGTGTGGCGTTGAGCGAATACGACCAAGTGCTTCTAGAAGAATCGAACCAGGTAGAACACGATTGGAGATTTTCAACATGTCTGTGATGTACTAACCTTCTTCCAGAATCGCATGATGGAGAGTCTTGTTCTTTTCGACTCGGTGGTCAATTCCAGATGGTTCATGAGGACGAGTATAATTCTCTTCTTAAACAAAGTCGACCTGTTCAAAGAGAAACTTGGCCGGTCGCCTCTGGGAAATTATTTCCCGGATTATTCTGGTGGCAACGATGTCAACCGTGCCGCAAAATACCTTCTCTGGCGGTTCAATCAAGTGAATCGAGCCCAGCTGAATCTCTACCCTCAGTAAGTCAAGTGTCGACGTGGTAGACAGACGCAACCAACTGACTGGCTCTAGTCTCACGCAGGCGACCGATACAACGAACATCCGCCTTGTGTTTGCTGCGGTGAAGGAAACAATCCTACAAAACGCCCTGAAAGATTCGGGGATTTTATGAAAGCCATGATCGAGTCGTTTCATTTCCTCCTGATGGGTGCATTGTTCTGGCGTCAAGCGCGGCATATGATGATTGGGAGTCATGATGGATCGGGGCGGGTGCGGTGTCTTTGGACTCCTACAGTTCGGAGCCCTCTTATCGCCTGTCAGGTTAGCACCAGGTGTTGGGTTGAATTGTCAGCCTTCTTGTGTATTGACTTTATTGCCGCAAAAGTTCCACTTTTGGGAGTTCATTTCTTTTGTTGCGCCCGAGTCGGTGGGAAGGGGTCGAGGTGACCAGTTTTGTGGACCTGGCCTCCGGTTCCGTGCAAACGTGCGGATGGGTGGCCGGGCCCAGGCCTCAGAAGAAGATAAGAAGGACAGGGAATGGATTTGGCGCGAACACGACTTCATGCTGCTGTGTTTGCAGCAGCACCGTGATGTTCTCGGTCCTTGGGGGACGATGTCACCAGCGAGATCACCCCAAGGACGGATGGTTGGAAAGCAGTGAGGACGACATCTACAATGCGAGCAAACATCGCCGTGTACTCATAATAACAACACTGATATACGCAGATGCATGATATTCTGATCACCTTACAATTGGGTCCTCGGGGATTATTTAGTTCTAGGACAGCTCTTGACCCAGAAATTACTTGATGAGTTCAACGTGCGTGCACTTTATGCTTTGCTTCTCTTCCTTGGAAGTGGTGTGATACACGATCCGCTCTAGACTCCAGCATGGTAAATCCTTGCCAAAGACAGTCGGGTTATCTTGCAACGCATGATAACGAGATCGCATTTCGATTAATTCAAGGATGAGACGGATCATTTTATGGAGTGTCTTTGTTTAATTCTGTTGTGGTGTGAGGCAGACGATAAGAGGATGAGGCGCGCAAGGCTACGTTTTTGACATGTTTTATATGTACAGACTGACAGAGTACAGTAGGATAAGGTAGGTACCTTAAGGTATCTATTTGGAGGCGGTATCTCGGTATCTCGTTGTTGGTTAGAGCCCTCTTGGAAGTTTAGGGGGATACCTACCTACCTACCTAGATGCTTCCTGAGGCACCAACGTGTAGCGAGACCCGGCATCACTGGCTGCAATGTGATGATTTTTTGTTTAGGCCATTGAAGCCTAACTACACCCTAGCCCTTACAGCAGGTCTTGGGAACTCCTCCAGGGCTGGTAGAGCCCGTGGCTCCGTAATCCTGGCTGCCGGCAATGCTTGCTTGTTGGCGGAATGCTCGGCTAATACTCCACAAGTGCAACCTCTACTTTACTTGCCCCTCCTCACCGCGGATCTGTCCAGGCATTGTATGTCCATAACTTGGTGTTATCAGCGATGCCTTCGTTTTTATGGGAGCATTGCTTGAACTCGACAATTAGCATGTTCGTGGCATTTCCAAGTCCAGCACAGACATGAAATTCAAGTACAAGAGGGTGTCTTCTCTGAGGGCCAGGTTGCCATTCCTGAAGGTTGGTCTGGTCACCATGAAAGTGGGCGCAGGCGGGGTACCGATAACAGAAGGTATTTATCATTAAAATGTGCATGGAATGCGATTTCTCCAGAAACACTCGATCGAGGCATTGTTCGATGAAATGCATTGTACGAGCTACAGGACAGGGGGGAGAATGAGGACAGCTCCAGCTTCAAACTCACCGCTTCCAACACGAGCTGCTCCTCGAGCATTCTCTGCCAGTCGTAACCTGACGGATGCATGGGCTTTCTCTCCCTCAGCATTACTAGCCTTGCCCGTATTCTGCACAATGACATGACATAAACAAGACAGGCCCGCTATTGCGGAGTGCCTAATGCAGGCCTAGTATCCCGGAATGAGCACGAGCAGCTGTATGAGGCGTTTGCAAGGCCCCAAGTTGTCGCTATTGCAATGCTGCACCACATGTCATCTTCCATTCCAAAACACATCCTCCTCTTTTCTGCAATATACAACACAGCAACCCTTTCCCCTGCCCTCAGTGACTTGCCGTACTAAACTACCATATTCCTTCTCGTCCTTCTATCGTTCCTGAGTTGCTCCTTACAACCCACTTACCTGTGTGCCGTGCATCGCCTTCTTTTCTCCCCAAGATGGCCACGGAGACAGCTCCCCCGCCGCGGGAGCGCAAGCCCTCAATGGGAGCTCCCATTTCCACCTTTACAGGTCCTGTCGGCCCTGGCTTCTCTCGACCCAAGCATAAGAGAACTGCTACGGGTTTTGGTGCCAGTGATATCAAGGCTGTCGAGTCAAGCATTCCCGAGCATATGCGAGAGGCGTAAGTGATGCTACTCCCAGTGTACAAAAACCTCCCACTGACAAGCAATGTAGCTGGAGGAAATTCGTGAGATACATGTCTTTACCTATTTACGACACTCCTAATCTTGTCACCCATAGTCTCCCAAGGGCTTCACCTCCAAGGAGGATTTTGAGGTAAGCCAGGAAACATTCTGTGCGAGCCCTAAGGACTCCGGCTAAGACTTCCATCCGCAGGCTGAATGTGTCCGACATATTGAGACCACACTCGCACGATCACTCTTCAACTGTGATGAATTGTACGTTCTACCTCCATTATCTGCCTGTATCCCCTTCTGACCGAGATTCTAAACAGAGCTGCGTACTCTGGCACTGCCCTGGCCTTCCGAGACCGCCTTATCATCGATTGGAACAAGACCCAACAACGGCAAACCTTTGCCGATCAGAAGAGAATCTACTGTACGTGATTTATGGGCGCAGAATGAACAAGTCCTTCTGACGAAGCTTAGATTTGTCACTCGAATTTCTCATGGGCAGAGCCTTGGACAATGCTATGCTGAATGTTGGCTTGAAAAATGTGGCGAAACGTAAGCGACGTCTTCACCGAGCATGTGAAGTAGCTGACACAAGTGATAGAGGGTCTGGATGAGCTTGGGTTTCGAATTGAAGACATCATCAACCAGGAACACGATGCAGCCTTGGGCAACGGCGGCCTCGGTCGACTTGCGGCTTGCTTCCTCGATAGCATGGCCTCCCTGAACTATCCTGCCTGGGGCTACGGTCTGCGTTACCGATACGGTATCTTTAAGCAAGAGATCGAGAACGGTTACCAGGTCGAAATTCCTGACTACTGGCTGGACTTCAACCCTTGGGAGTTCCCCCGACACGACGTGACGGTTGACGTCCAGTTCTTCGGCTGGGTCAACAAGTACACCGATGACGAGGGCAAGCAAGTTGTCTCGTGGCAGGACGGGGAGATGGTCACAGCTGTGGCCTACGACGTCCCTGTTCCCGGTTATGGTACATCGACTGTCAACAACCTCCGTCTTTGGTCTAGCAAGGCGTCCAGCGGAGAGTTCGACTTCGCCAAGTTCAATTCCGGAGACTACGAGAGCGCCGTGGCTGATCAGCAACGCGCAGAAACCATCTCTGCGGTGTTGTACCCCAACGACAACCTGGAGCGAGGTAAGGAGCTACGACTGAAGCAGCAGTATTTCTGGTGTGCGGCCTCCCTTCATGATATCATCCGAAGATTCAAGAAGACCCAGCGCAAGTGGTCAGAGTTCCCGGATCAGGTCGCCATTCAGCTCAACGACACTCACCCAACTCTGGCTATCGTTGAACTTCAGAGAATCCTGATCGACAAGGAAGGTTTGGAATGGAACGCTGCGTGGGACATTGTCACCAAAACATTTGGATACACTAATCACACCGTACTCCCAGAGGCTTTGGAGAAGTGGTCTGTCCCTCTTATCCAGAATCTACTCCCCAGACATCTGCAGGTAAGTAATCTCCCCAATCCTCCTTGCATATACATCCTAGCAGCCTCCACGAGAGACCTTGGACATTCTTTCTCAGGGGTTTCCCAACAGTCGGGCTCAGAATCACCGTGCACGAGCCGCTGCTCGTAAGCAGTAGGCCTGAACATCTTCTGAAAGCTGGATATCCCACCGAACTATCCTGTTTAGTTCTGTTAACCATGTTAAATGCCATTGCTAACATACGGAACAAGATTATCTACGATATCAACCTGTTCTTCCTTCAAACTGTTGAACGACGTTTCCCCAAAGATCGAGAGATGCTCTCGAGAGTTTCTATCATCGAAGAATCCAATCCCAAAATGGTCAGAATGGCATATCTCGCCATTGTCGGATCCCACAAAGTCAATGGTGTGGCCGAATTGCACTCGGACCTTATCAAGACGACTATCTTCAAGGACTTTGTCAAAGTCTACGGCCCAGATAAATTCACCAACGTGACCAACGGCATCACTCCTCGACGATGGCTGCACCAAGCTAACCCACGCCTATCAGAGCTCATTGCTTCCAAGCTCGGAAGTTATGAGTTCCTCAAGGACTTGACTCTCCTAAACAAACTTGAACCTTTTGTGGATGACAAGGAATTCAAGAAGGAGTGGGCCGAGATTAAATATGCCAATAAGGTCAGACTTGCTCAACATATCCTCAAGAGTAATGGCGTTAGTGTCAACCCCAAGGCACTTTTCGACGTGCAAGTGAAACGTATCCACGAATACAAGCGACAGCAACTCAACATCTTCGGCGTCATCCACAGATACCTGGCAATCAAATCCATGACACCCGAGGAGCGCAAGAAGCTCGCGCCCAGAGTGTCCATCTTCGGCGGCAAAGCTGCTCCGGGTTACTGGATGGCTAAGACGATCATTCATTTGATCAACAAGGTGGGAGAGGTGATCAACAAGGATCCTGACGTCGGAGATTTGCTCAAGGTCATTTTCCTCGAAGATTATAACGTCAGCAAGGCCGAGATCATCATTCCAGCTTCAGATATCAGCGAGCATATTTCCACTGCAGGTACCGAGGCGTCAGGCACGAGCAACATGAAGTTTGTCCTTAACGGTGGCTTGGTCATCGGCACGCTTGACGGAGCCAATGTGAGATGATTTCGACGTTCAAGCTTAACAAGACCAAGGCTAACTCTCCTAGATTGAAATCACTCGTGAAATCGGGGAGGAGAATGTGTTTTTGTTTGGTAACCTGGCTGAAGACGTAGAGGATCTCCGACACAATCACGTATGTTTGCTCATATCTGCTGGATACTCGCTCTTGCTGACCGATTTAGTTCTATGGTGACTATAGCGTCAACCCAGAGCTTCTCAAGGTCTTTGAATGCATCAAGTCTGGTACATTTGGCGACGAAGCTGCTTTCGGAGCCCTTATCAGTGCCATTGTTGATCATGGAGACTACTACCTTGGTAAGCTCAAACTTCTGGAGCCCTAATCCGTACACTACTAACCAGCGTCCAGTGAGCGACGATTTCGACAGCTACTGCAAGACTCATGATCTCATCGACGAATCTTACAAGAACCAAGACAAATGGGTCAGCAAATCGATTCAGAGTGTTGCTAGGATGGGTTTCTTCACTTCAGGTATGTCTACATCTGTGAGGCGTGATCTTTCTGCTGACTTTGCCCTAGACCGATGCATCAATGAATATGCCGATTCCATTTGGAACATTGAACCTCTGGCCGTCAAGGAGGAGGCCGAGGTTCGAGCTAGAACAGGGCTTGAAAAATAGAATGGATAATATTGGTCATGATCAGTCTTGACTCGAAGGCTGAAAATGGGATGCTGCAGAAAGCGTCTTAGAACGCTGTCGAGCGGTGAGCAAAACATGAAGGAACAAATACTGGATATGGACAAAATCATGGGTCGTGTGAAAGACCAGACTCTAGACAGGCTTCTACAAAGATGTCAAATTACTAAAATGGATAATGACAAGGCTTGGTAACGAGAGAATCTCTGTGTGCCTCAAGCATCAATGTGATCACTTTACTTAAGATAGATCTCAGTATGTCCAAGACAACAAATAACGTGTCTGACGTGTAACAACATGGAGACTTGGCGGTGTTTTTCGTTTCTCCAATTCTGTCAGACGTTATATTTATGCTCTTGTCTCGTGAATATAAAACTACAAGGATTATTTATAAATTTGTTGTTTCTGCTGTCACCCCCCCCAGTTTTTGAGGCGCATCTTTAATTAATTATCAAAATCGACTCTTTCTACCTACCTTGGGTGCTTTGGGAAGAGTTTGGATGAATACCCTCCTTCTTCGTGTCTCGTCTTTGTTGCCATGCACTGAACTTGAGAGCCAAATCCAACATTATCAGAATGACGGCCGTGCCGCCGCCGCAAGTCGTGGTGGTTGACTTTCACCATGCACGGTATGTTCTTTTTTAAACCGACTTTTCATGGAGGATCGTTGAGGAATTGAGGAACGATGGTTTAATTTGTTTTACTGACTTGCCCTCTCTCCCGTGGATTTTCAGAGGACCCGAAGTCGAGTTTTGGGTAGATCCGGCCGGCGTCGAGCTGTGCAGGCGCAACGACTGGTCACTTTTGCCGTTCATGGCCTTGTCCGACGGCGCGCACGCCATGGCCGAGGAGTTTTCATACTTTACGCTGTTGAACAGAGGAACCGACGGCGGGGCCGAAACCGAAGTCGAGGCCGGGGCGACGAGCTTGTTCGGAATATCCTGTACCCGACAGATACGGTCGGAAAAGTTGAAGCGAAGGTCGGCCGACGTGACCAGGTCGACCGTCCAGAAAGCCGTGGTGGTGATCACTTCGACGGCCCGAGGGATGGGTGAGCTGAGGGAGCGAGTGGGAGCCGTCACCGCCGCTTGGTTCAAACAGGAGTAAGTGTGTCGACCGACCTACCTTCTGCCCTCTTTCGGGTGAGCGACGATCATGAGTGCCTACATGGTTGACGTACCAGGCACTACCTTGAGAGCTGGAGTCGAAGCAGAGAAGCAGTTGGGAACTGTTGTCACGAGGAATTATTGCAAGGTCGTTTTCACGGTCCGGTTCTGTGGTTCCTTTGGGAGATTCGCATACATTCTTCTTATGGTCAAGGTATTTGTCACTAACTCGTCAAAATCTATGTAGGGACTTTTCAGACATTACGATACTAAAGGTAGGTACAGCCACCATCAGGACGACTACCATTGACGACAACGAACAACATGAGCTGATCAAGTTTGTTTCATGTCTCAGGAATTCCAAGAGAGTCTTGCACGATCACCGGCCGTACACGACGATGGCAATGATCATTATTTTGGTAAGAGTCATCCGTCAGCCGCCCTCCTTGTTTACAAACCTTTTGCATTTTCTGACACTATTTCTGTTCTTCTTGTTGTACAGGACTATCACTGCGAGAAATGATTTACGAGTTTAGGCACCAGACCCTTGCCCTGGTGAAATGCCTTCTTCTGCAACGGAAAGTGAGTGTTACTACCACTTGTCAAAAGGCCTTGATCCCACTTGGGGGTAAACACGAGAGAGAGGCTGTTCTGATCGCGAATACTAATCTAATACTCCTCAGATGCTATTCTTCGGATCCAAATGTGAAAGACTTTGCATGATGCAATTCGCCCTCGTCTCTCTCATCCCAGGCTTGATCAGAAATCTCCAGGACGCGGCCGATCCGAATTTGGACTCTTACTCACAAAACACAAAGAGAGCGGTCACGCTGAGGACGAGTGACAGGAATTCATGTGCGCAAAACACACCCCATCATGCCTTCTCTCGAGATTGAAATCTTTATATCTGTACCGTTCTAACTCGTTCGCCAGTATTGTCTTATATGGGTCTACCTTTACAAATCTTTGGCAAGGTAAGACGAGATATCCACGACCAGACCGTCCCGTTTGTGTACTGCGCGGCGTGTGCATTGTGCTGACGGTAGTGTCAAGGGATCCTTCTTCGGCCCCTACACGCCCCTTCAACAACTCGACATCCTCGCCGATTATGACACCAAGTCCTACGTCGTCGGATCCACGAATTCGTTGCTGCTGCAGCAAAAGGAAAAGTACAGCGACATACTGATCAACCTGGACGAATCCAACAGCATCACCGTCACGTCCCCTTCTCTGCGGACGGCGTTGACCTTGTCGGCGGCCGACCGGCGGTGGATCGACTTCTTGACTCAAACCGTGTTGGACACGTGGGACCCGGAGAACCCCAGTCGACCGAAGAACATGGGATACGCCGGGTCCGAGGACGCCATCCGCCTGCAGTTCGAAGAGTACATCCTCGGCTTGTTGAGTAGCATGGCTTACCAGGTCTACCACGAGTCCATGCAGACAGAGGCCGGGATCCCCGCTTCCGTCACCAACACCGAGCACTACCCGGACCCGGGAGACACGGCGACGGACTTCAACCCCGAGTTCCTGGCCATCTGGAGGAGCACGCACAATTTCGAACTGTTTGACCGGTTGACCCGAGGGAACCGGATTTTCGACATCATCGAGCCTCGCCACCCGACCGCCGGAGGTCTGGGCGTCGAGGACGTCCAGAGGCGCCTACAGCAGAACCTCGCCGAACTCCACCTCGACGAACGGATGAGGGAAGGCAGGGAACAGCTCGGCAAGACCTTTGCCGTCGGACGAGAGAGGGTGGTCAGGTTTTGGGCCGAAGTCGAACAACGTAGAAAGGTCGGTGGTGGAAGAAGTACTAGTGGAAACCGCGGTGGTGGTGGTGGTGGTGGTGGTTCGAGAGATAGTTTGGAGGTTAGTGGTGGCAAGGAGAATGACGGTTTGGAAAAGGAGTCGTCATCGTCATCATCTGCCAAAACAGTAGGGACAGGTTCCGTTTCTGGTTCCGGATCTGGTTCGACAGGAGGCGGCGGCGGCGGCGCCGGTTGGGCCACTTCATTCCGTGACCGAGCATCCAAGGTACAGTTGCAGAGACCAAACGTCGACACGGCCCAACTTCAAGCGTCCGCCAAGGAGAACGCAGCGAAGGCGGGTGCCTACCTGAGCAGTTGGGGTAGTTGGGCAAAGGATCGTATGCAACAGGGCAGGGGAGGTGTTGGAGGAGGAGGAGGAGGAGGAGGAGGCGGGAGTGCACCCGCGAGCACGAGTACGAGCACAACGCCTACTCCCACGACGGCGACAACCACGGCGGCGACGGGAGTGCCTACTGCTGCTAAAGGGGAAAACTAGGGAGGACAAACCGGAACAGAAGCTCCGGTCCTTGACAGATGGACTAAAACAAACCTCTTCTTGCAAGCTTGGTCGTGAGGGATTTCTTTTTTGGCACGAGAAAACCCAAACCAAACCAAACCAAACCAAACCAAACCCGAATAGAATGAAGCCCATGAGCCAATCCATCGACGACTCAAGTGTCGCTCGAGACTTGTCTATCAGAGCCATGCATCTCTTGAAGCTATCTGATCAGACACAGCTCCCCCACCCGAGGTGTACGAGGACGTACACGTTTGCATCCACGAGTGTAAAGCGACACTTTCTGCACAATTTTTTTTCATCTTCTGACTTGGGGGGCAACGAGAACAAGAGAAAAACACGGGGAAAACAAAGAACGATCATGTCATTCGAATGTCATTGTCACTCTTCGATCTAATCAACCAATGCTTCAGCTCTTTTGACCCTGTCCAGATTGAGACGTTGGGAGATGGACTGGAAGGGGGGAGTCTGCAAAAGGCAATGCCACTTCTCGCTCCCTCTAACTCAAGGCCCTTCTGATAACTGCCTCTCACCTGGCCAGACCCTCAATACAAAGAATGTGTGCTATCTGCGAACCCTGGTGAACGGTATCATCATGCATCGTGAATTCGTCTCGGTGTTTATTTTCTCCTGCCTTCTTCCCCTGTCTCGGCGAGCGAGAATGTTGGAACGAAACAGGCGCAAGAAAAAGCACCCAAATGTGTGTTACACGGGCGGAGTCCGTATGCAATGCAATACAAGGAACGCCCAGCCCAGACTGATTCCCCTGTCCTCGCATCATTGACGAGGTAGTTACTCCTTTTTCCTCCACGCCGATTGCAGCAAGAAGGAACCCCACTCTCTGACACGTCCAATTTCAGCAAGAAAACCCTATCTCATTTGATGAGTTATGGAATAGTTGCCACCGAGATATCTCATAAAGACCCGCTTGCTAAGAAATAAAAGTTAGGCAATGTAAGCCAACTCGTCGTTATCAAGGCGCTCAATGTAGTCTTTCTCCATAAGTGCATCGATGTTCTTCTTGATGTCGGGAATTTTGGGTGGGAATCGATTCTTGACCTGATTGATGACTTCTTCGACCAGAAGGACGTGCTTGAGCTTCTTGCGACCTTTCATGATACGAACAATCACGGCCTAGACATGGTCAGCGCAGCACCAACAATACAGAGAAAAATGAACATACCTGAAGCAGCAACTTTCGATCCTCCTCGATCGTCTTGTGAGTTTCATCCGACTCGGTCTTCTGTTCAGATTTGAGATTGATGTTCAAGTTGATCTTGACCTTCTTGTTCTTGAAGTTGTAGTTCAAGGTGTAACTAGTTCCCGCAACAGGTTTGCCGTCTTCTGGACTGGGCAAGAGCACACGAGCTTTGCAGAGGATACCAAGCGCAGGCTCCAGGTTTTCGTCTGTCAATTTAGTGACTTCTTTGATGTCGGAGAAATCAAGCTTGTCAGAGTCATTGAACAGCAGGAGGATGGCCATCTGATACGTAGACACTTGGAAGGTGTATGGTACCTTCTGACTTTTGATGTAGTTGGCTCGAATCTCTCCCTTACACAATTGCCACAGCCATGTCAATTTGCGGCCATTGTGTTTTGAATCGTAGAAGCGAGTGAATGATTCGACAGCCTTGTTGACTTCAGCCGGTGGAGCAAATGGCGTGTTTGGTGCGTTCAGAGGCCAGAAGCCAGTACCGAGGATCTGGAATGTAGAGTCGACAGTCCGTTTCTCATCACTATCTTCCAGGATCTTATCATGCCAGTCTTTGTACGATGTATTGAGATCTTTGGAGATCTGAACATCTTGGAACATGCGTTGTAACTTGTTGGTGTATTCATAACCACAGGCTTCCTTCAACTTGCTGATCATGCTGGTCTCGGCATCGTCCGATACGGAACTTGTATGGACAAGACGCTTGGCCAACATGCGAGAGTAAAACTTCTGGAAAACATCCTTGTCTTCAATGTATTTGAAGACAACCATAATTTGGACAAGCAACTCCTCGAGTTCGGACTCGTCGGCCGCCTTGGCTCCTTTCTTCAACAACTGGTCTGCATATTTGGCAAGCAATTCAGGAGATCTGGTGGTGTTGTTTTTGCAAACATGGTTGTGGTTGACAAAGTCTTGACAGGCGTTGTCGAGAGAGCGTACGAACTCCGACTCCCCATTAAAGGCCACATTGACAAGCTGTTGGTACTTGCCATGAATCTCAAGCAGAGCATCGACGTAGACTTTGGGCTCGAAATTCTCACCGTTGGCTGCCACCTTTTCAACCGCAATTGTGCCTGCTTTGCGAACGTGATTCTCGAAGCGATTGCGGAGAGGATCAAGCCCATCCTTTATTCGCGAAAGAAGCTTGTACATCCTGGCAAGGTCTTCGGTGCGTTCGTTGTCAAGGAGGACCTGGAACTCGTCTCTCAAGAGTACGGAGTGTGCGCTGATGAGTGCCTCGTTGCAGGTTTCCATCAGCTTCTTCATGATGTCGGGGTGCAAGTACATATTGACGCGTTCCTTTTCTTCCTCAAGTCTGGCCTCCGCCTTTTTCATGTACTCTACCACACTGTTTTCTGCGACGAAGCGTTTTGACTCGTTTGTGTAGTAGGCCTTGGTCGCAATGATGAAGGGCCGTTCGAAATAGAGACGGTAGACATCGAGCGTTGACTTTGTGCTGTCGAGCTCATCCAGCCCAAGTGATACGAAAGAGTCCACGATAGCCTTGATCTGCATCTGATCGATTGTTTCGCCGTTTCGCTGCTTCTCAACGAGACGCAGGACAGCGTGCATAACTTTTGCCTCCACAGCCTTGAAGAAATCATCCCGCCACTTGACCAGATGTAGAGTGTAGACGTCGTAGACATTCTTCTTACCCTCGTCGATCTCTCTCCTCACCCAGTGACGGTTGAGGTAGCGGAATAGATGGTTGTTGTACTTCGCGGCATCCGTGTACCTCTTCCACTCCCGAATGTAGAACGTAAGAAGGGCCTCGTCGGTATGAGATTCGGAGTTCTTTAGCACTTCCCGAAGGTGCTCGCTGAGGTATTGACCTAGGAGAGTGTACAGTTCCTCACCCAGGAGGTGAGCACCACGGTGTTGTTGACTGAGAGTGGGCAACGACCCCTGGGGTTGAGGCGTTGCTTTTTGAGAAGTACAGAAATTGTGTACTGCTGTGTAGACACCCATGTACGTCTTCATGTCAAGACCCTCTTGCAACTTAGTCATGACATTATCCAGGTTGCTCTGAAGGTAGGTCCAGGTTGAATTGAGATCATCTCGAGCCCTTGAACTGGGGGTCGTGGCCGTTGCCAAAGGCGTGCCCACAGGAGGCGCCATGTTCTTGGGTCAGACGATGATATCAAGACTGAGTTGACTCTAGAAACGAGAGAAATGAATGGGATGGCTGAAAGTACGCAGGGCCAGACAAATCGTCGGTCCATAGGCCATCAATGTCCATAGCGCAGCGCAGGCAGCGCCAGCCAGCGGAATGACTAAGTTGTCAGTTCACTTCGCCGTTGTGCACGTGAACATGACGTCACTTGAGGCGATACGCGTTCCTGGTCAACATTAAGGTGAATGTGAATGCGAAGACAACCAACTACAGGGTACTCGTTGCTTCTCTACGTTTGAATTGATTGTGAAGATTTGACACAAATTCGCATCGCAAAGCAAAGCGGGAACTCAGCACCTGCGCAGGCTTTGTTGAAAAAGATGACTATTGCGCCATTGAACGCTTTACGAGTATCCTCACACCAGATTCCTGCCTACAAGGGTATCCCTAACACTTCGATCCAAGGCAAACCCTTGATGATCTATCACTCTGCGTTCCCATCAGCCTCCGCGTCACAAATTAAAGCTCATCTTCGAGCAGTCGGGGTCGTCTCTCCACAATGGGAGTATACGATGTTCAGGGAAACACATTTCCATTCAACCACTCATGAGGTTCTCAGTATAGCATCCGGTTCAGCTAAGTGTTGTTTTGGAGGAGAGCACAATGAGGCTAGGTTCGAGCCTGTGCTAGAAAAGGGCGATGTGGTGATTGTTCCAGCCGGTGTTGGTCACCGATTACTCGAGGATTATGGCGGTTTTCAGATGGTGGGCTCTTATCCTTTCGGTAAGAGTTGGGACATGTGTTATGGGCGAGAAGGGGAACGAAACAAGGTCAAAGCGATTAAAGACCTTGGGTGGTTCGAGAAAGATCCGATTTATGGTGATGATGGGCCAAGCCTGAATGTATGATGGAGGTGCTGGGCCGGTTGCGGTGTTCATTAGAAGGAAAGAAAAGAAATTCGTTCAGGTCGTCAGTATTGCTACACGAGTGAAACAAGATTTTTTCCGCTATTCTGTCTTCGTTACTTTGTGTCGATTCTCTCCACCAATCTGCAATACGTCAGCATTCCATACTCACACCCAATGTGCATGAAAACGTACCTCAAAACACTGATGGAAAAGGTCATCAACCAGGCCACCAAGGAGACCAAAAGGACTCCACTCAGCGCCCGTTCTTTGGAGCACACAGTGTCAAATCTCGGGGACGTATACGGTACGCTTCCGACTTTGCAGGCGCCTTGGTCGACGGCTAAGGATTCAAAACTCAGGGCAAGATTGGCTGATTGAAATACGACGAAAAACAGATCAAGAAGGACCAGGCGTACTTTGGCCCGAGCCGGTCGAAGGCCGAGTGGCTTGGAGAAGTACTCATCGTAGGTGATGTACAAGGTGTAAGCCACCGCTATGGCATCGACAATCATAGCCATGAGTCCGGATGGATCTTGATAGTATTTTGTGGCCGAGTTGCCGACGAGGTTCCGACAAGCCTCATCTCGCGGATTTTGATCGATGCATTCGACGATTCTGTTCGTTGAATGGTATATTGAGGTACCCAAGCCCAGTGCCACGAACGCAAAGGCGAAGATGGTCAGCCTGAAGGCGAGTGGGATGAAAGGGTTCCGTAAGATCGTGAACTGTGCCCGTTTGTACCATATCTTCCTCTTGCGACGGAACGCCCTGTAGCGGCTGCTCCCATCTTCGAGATCGTCCTCGTGCCCGGCTAACCAAGGCCTGGAATAGTCGGTGAAATGTTCGTTGAGATATTCGGCGTCCACCTTTTCACCCTCGAATGTCTCTCTGGGGTATGCACTTGCTCGTGCAAACGAAACCCATCTCGATGTTCGTTCGGGTCGGACATGCCCTGCAGATATCACATGCCCGTTGCGATGTGGATGCCTGCTCTGTACGTTGGGGTGCCGAGTGGTGGCGGGACTGTGATTGTGCTGTGCGACGAGGGCAGCAACGGGAGAGTCGAGAGCCTCAAACTGGGGATCGTCAAGATCGCTTTCTTCTGCGTCTCGAACCCACGCTACCAAAGGGTCAAAGGTGAACTTGGACAAGAGGGAAGAGAATACACACCAGGGATGGTCCGGACGGGGAGGGGTGTGCCCGGTTTCTGGTTGGTGTTGGTCGTCGAAGAATCAGCTGCAATGCCGCTGATGGTTGGTATTACACGATGCGGACCCTTCACAGAGCCGTTGCGGCGTTTGCACTGAGAATTGTTGGGTTTCTTGAGCTGAGGTTGATGATCAGCAGTGCTGGCCCTGTTCTCGGCGCCAGGGACGACCTCCTGCTGGGCTACATGCGAGGGGTCTAGGGTGTCGCTCGGTGAAATTGTCTCTTCCTTCTGCGAATCCCGTGTCTGAGCAGTCCATGGGAATCCTGGTTCTGCCATCGCATGTGTCTGAGAGAAGGAATCGTGTCGAGGGGAGGCCTCAACCGCGATGGGCTATGCAGAACATGCCGGGAGGCTGACTGGCGATGGACTCGTCTAGATATGCATGGCGATACAAGTAATAAGGACTAGAAGTTCAATTGATCTGTGTAAGCAATCTGAGTATGAATGGTGTTGAATGATCGCCGTGTAAACACAATGCGCAGGCGATGCAATGCAATGGGAATTACTTGGTTAGTGGCTGATTTAGTGCTTTGTAAGGGGTTTAGCACTTCCGACCTGCCGAGCATATTGTAAGTTGGTCTGTCAGCCTCATCAGCCTTGAACCATCTGACTGGCGAGGCTGCAACAAGCATCAACAAGCTACTTTCTCGGCTGTACGTGCACTGCACCGTGTGCATCATTTCGCATCAGACAGAGAGCCGATGGACTGATGCATTGACCTGGCTTGACCTTTCCAAAGCCTGGCGCTCGTATTGGAGACACTGATTTTCTTTTAGTCCCGACTACTAACTATTTGTGAAACCTGGGGCACCGTATGACATCTACCAGTTCACTCGCTTGCCTATGCATACAGATATGCGAATTCCCATTCTATGTAATTGCCCCTTGCCGGACAATTTGGAATCAATGAAAATTCATTAGGATACATACAGCCCCAAAAACCTCCCTCCGGCATTCTTGGAATGGGAGATTATCGTGACCATTGCCTTGCGAAGGCCTCACTGAACAACCAGATCAGATTGCATCACTCGAAGATTGTACATACAGACTTGAAGAAGAATCTCCGGGCCGTAGAATCAGATTTGATCATGGTCAAAGAACGACAACGGTACATTTCCGCCATAAGTCAACACAACATCGGCGGTTTTCTCCACCTCGAATTATTAGCCAACGCCTTCATACGGGCAGTTTGGTGCGGGGATCGTGGTAGAGATTCCCTTGCATGGACCGAGGAAACCACTGAGGAGGATCAAACTCCTCAGCCCAGCCCGTAGCCTTGACGTATATAAGTTGCTGGGGGCCCAAGACGTTTCGTCATGTACTTTGCAACACAAGTAAAGATTCCAATAGCATCACGTCCAGAACACCATGTCTCTCCAAACCAATCTTTTCATCAACAACGAGTACGTCCCGTCGTCGTCTGGCGAGACGTTGACGATCTACAGTCCAAACGATGACTCAGTCGTCACCGACAAGGTCCAAATCGCGTCCGAAGCAGACGTTGACCGTGCTGTTGCCGCAGCCAAGAAGGCCTTCCCGAGCTGGTCAGCAACACCAGGGGTGCAACGAGCCAAATTGATGCTGAAGTTTGCCGATCTGCTCGAAGCCAATGCCGAGAAATTGGGCAAACTCGAAAGCATGTGCATGGTAAGGACATGTCGTTTTCCAGTTCCTCAATACCAGATCCAACGCAGATTCACTGTGTTGAATCCGAATAGAGGTGCAAGTATCTGACGAATCTGATAGGGTCAACCGATCACACTGGCCAAGGGCTTCGTCGCTGGAGCATGTGCCACCTGGCGGTACTATGCCGGGCTGGCTGGCAAGGTCGCCGGCGAGTCTTACCCTCCTGAAGGCGATGGCTCGTACAAGATCGTTTCCTACGAGCCATTGGGTGTATGCGCCGGCATCTCCGCGTGGAACGGCACGCATGTCCTAGCTGCGTGGAAGATGGCCCCTGCCCTTGCCGCTGGGAACACGTTTGTTTTCAAGTCATCGGAGAAATCACCACTCGGTGCCGCTGCGTACGGCGACTTGATCAAAGAAGCCGGATTCCCGCCTGGAGTGATCAACATCGTCACCGGCGCTGCTCCTACCGGTGCCGTACTGGCATCACACATGGAAATTGCAAAGATTGCCTTCACTGGGTCGGCTGCTGGCGGCAGGGCTGTGCAGATTGCGGCGGCTAAATCAAACATGAAGCATGTGTCTCTTGAACTAGGAGGAAAGTCACCAGCGGTAAGTTGACTTGTGTGCACTTGCAACCAGAAGCATCGTACTTGTGGTTCCTCGAGGCACCATCTCCGCCATCCCCCCACCCCCCCCTCAAGTCTTGAACTTGTTCCGGCGGCTTGCATACAGAGAACGTACTAACATTTCTACAGTTGATATTTGATGATGCCAATCTCGACAACGCCGTGTTACACAACGCCACTGGTTTCCTACGGAACTCTGGGCAGGTGTGCTTTGCATCTTCGAGGGTTCTCGTACAGGAAGGCATCGCCCCCAAGTTCATCGAGGCTGTCAAAAAGGCCTTTGACGACGCCGCGAAGAAGATGGGTGATCCGTCACTGGCCGACACTGCGTTTGGTCCCTTGGCCGACAAGAAGCAATTCGAGAGGGTCATGGGATTTTTGACCGACGGCAAGAATGAAGGGATCCAAATCGTGAGCGGTGGAGGCCGCATGGGAGACAAAGGAACATTCGTCCAGCCCACAGTCCTCCTAAACCCGGACGTCAAGAGTCGTGTGTTTACGGATGAAATCTTTGGGCCAGTCATTGCCGTCAGAACTTTCAAGACGGAGGAAGAAGCCATTGCTATCGCCAACGACACCACCTATGGTCTCGGATGTGAGTTTCTTTGCTTTCCTTTCTGGGGTTTTCGTCTTTTCCTCTTTGCTCAGCTGATGAAATCCTCAACAGCCTCCGTCTTCACTTCCGACATCCCTCGAGCGTTGCGAGTGGCATCAAAGATCGAGGCGGGCAACGTCGGTGTCAACCAGGCATACAAGACGTCTCCACAGACCCCCTTTGGCGGTGTCAAGCAAAGTGGTTACGGCCGCGAGGGTGGTTACGAAGGTCTGAGGGGTTACTTGCACGCAAAGACAATCACCATCAACATGGAGGTTCCTTCGACGTAGGCCAAAACAACTTCCACGAAACCACGGAGGCGAGCGAGAATCTTGTCGGAGGGCAAAATATGTGTCGCTCTTGTTTTACGATGGACATCGACAAAGGTCACGTACGTACACACTGGTACCATGTACCACACCGTAGAGTATTTGTGTACTGGTAGTGGCAGCGACGACTTCCTCTGCTTGACGCCTTCAAGAAAGCTGAAACTCGACCGCGGAGGAGGAGGAGAAGAAAGAGAGTGAAAACTACCTACAAGAATCTATTTACCTCACGTTTGCGGAGCGTATGACAATCATTGTCCCGGTCCGGTCTCTCTCTCCCTCCCTCTCCCTTGTCTTTCACATTCTTTTTCTCTACCGAGATCGATGAAGCGTCATGGAATAGCCAGGTACCTACTGAGTGCCTAGGTACCATCGTAAACATTTCTCGCTCAAAACGTACTCCCGGCGTCACAATCCTCAATGAGAAGTCGACGTCCGAAATGGGTTGATTCAAATTCAAATTCTTTCGTCCCACTATATGGATAGTTACCCAAAAGGTCTGTTGCGAGCAAGATGAAGATTTTCGCTATTTTTGTTTAAAAATAAAAGAAACATGCCCTTGCCAATCACTACTGTCTCTTTGCTTGTCATTATCCATACCGTACCAAACGTCCATACGTACACCATTCATGGGCCCATTACTCCCCATAGCACAGGATGTAGCTATAGCCCCTTCAGCCCGTTCGGTTCCAAAAAGCTGCCACAGGGCCAAGCTACCTAGTAGTCAAAGTTTTTCATGAATCTTCTCATACCTCCAGGAGTCCAATAGCGAGCTCCCAGCTACTTTTGAAACCCGGGTGTGGTCATTTGCAAACATGCTCCCCCAGTTTCCTCCCCCTCTGGACATCCCCTCATTAGCTCACTCTGTTCGAAAGTGAACTCTCTGTCGAAGTAATCCCCCCCCATATTAAATCTCTGTCGATCCTGTCGGCCAGCTTCGATGTGTGCATCCATGCCACAGCCGTACTGCTACACACGCAGGGCGCCTTTCGTTCGAAAGAAGTCAAATCGTTGCCACCAAATACCCTCCGGGAACCTTCAATCTTTCCAGTCCCAGACCTGTGAGAGGAATGTCGACATGCTGACTTTTTTGGCCTTCATCTCGACCATCCAAGGATGCTCCAACATTCTCCAGGGTGTCGCTCTTCTATTCGGATCCTTCTCCAGACAACATTCGATAAAGTATTTGAACATGTCGGACCACTTGATGCCGTTTTCAGGCTCGTCCTTTAACTTCGGTATGGGTTGGGCGACAATGTACGTGAGCAGGTCGATCAGACCCGCCCGAGGTTGCATTTCGGTGCCGTCGGCCGGGAATGGAAATCGGTGTTGTGCCACCTCGAGTAGCGTCACACCGAGTGACCACACGTCGGATGTGATGGTGTAAGATTGCCCTTGTATCCGTTCTGGGGCCATATAGTACGACGTGCCGATAAAGGTGTTGGCATCTCCTTTCGTGCCAAATTCACCACTGACGCCAAAGTCGCAGAGTTTGACCTGGCCATTGCGGCAGAGCAGTATATTTGATGGTTTGATGTCTGAGAAGTCAGCCTCACGGTAAGGGAGCACAAGAGCACTGATGCTGGTCAGTCACTCACCTCTATGTATGATCTTTCTGCTGTTGAGATATGTGAGGCCGTGTAGAACACCCTCGGCGATCTTTCCAAGCACCTTCTCACCGGTCCTACCTCCAAGCTTTTTCACCTCACGGTAGACACTGTCGAGGCTTCCGCCTTCGCAGAACTCCATGGCTATGGATATCGTACTCGACGATTTGTCCATGAACGCACCGTAGTACTGGCAAATATATTCCGAAGTACAGTTCTTGTTGAATTTCAGCTCTCGCAGGATTTGTTTCTTAACATCCGGATCTGGGCTTGTTGTGATGATCTGCTCTTGTCAGCCACGGTGTTCTGGGGAGGAAAAAGACGCTGCCATACCTTGAGTGCGAATATTGTCTTTCCACCTTCGAGCTTACATCGAGTGACTGCACCACCTGCACCCTCACCCAGCGAGCCAAGCTCAATGATTTTTTTCTGATCACTTGCTGCTCCCCATCCTTCATCGTCCAGATCCTCAACATCCAGTGGTCTCCCTTTCTCAATGCTGAGTTTCTCGAAATCGATTGACAACCCACCCATGCTCGACTCGCGTTCCATGGAGGTGCCGCCTATGCTAGCCTCGGAGTAGATAGAACTGATGGCAGAGGATGGATCCGGTGTACTGCCTGTCCTTCCCTGCATGGCGAAGGACAGGGCTGAGTATGTAGATGATGAGGCCGAGCCTGGTACACTTGCGTTGTGGAAACTGTCTCCTCTTGGCCGACTCCCGCCATCATTGTTGTTGACAGCACTGATGTTCAGTGGCTGTATCTGTGGTCTCAGGTTTGTTCCACCTTCTTGAATGGACCCTTGGCTTCCCATCGGCGTAGCGAGTGATAACTTTGGCGGACCCTTCGCAGCCAGGCTGAACCGTGGGATTTCACTTGTCGATTCGCCCTCGCTGGTCACTGGTCTTGCGTTCGGTGATGGAGGGATTCCAAGTGTCAGTCGAGGGGTTCGGGTACCGCTTTGACTCCGTCCACCAGGGACGGGGGCCCGAAGAAGCGGCACTGGGGACGACATGACCGTAGTGAGGCTGGCAACGACCGGTGCCGAGTGGAGGGGAGGGAACGCCGAGGAGTTCGGAGACACGGTCGTAGGTCTTTTATCAGGTACAAAGCACAAGCGCCTGTAAAAGTGATGCCAATCAGAGGGGCGTCGAATCTTGCGCGGCGGCCTGAATCAGCGTCGACGGCCCGCCGCTGATTGAACCGGAGTGTAATCAGGGCAAAGACTCGTAGCTCTGCCTGCCTCGACAGCCTCTGGCGTCGCTATGAAAAAAGGACAATGCAATGTCTTGGAGGCTGCAGTGGCTGGATCGTTGACAACAGGTTTGTTGGGCAGGTTTTTGAGATTGTTTGCTGTTCACGAGGGCGACGTCAGGTCAAGGCGTTTCCCGCATGGGGGCGGGATCTGCAACAGGCGGCTACTTGAAACGCTTACGATTCTCGACAGGCCCGAGTCTCCTCACACGATGACCAAACTGCCAGAGAATCTGTTGCACCAAAGGTTGTTGTCTCAGATGATGAATGTAGACGAGAGTACGGATGTGCATATACGAGTATTGTCTGTGTTCCTCAGGCAGTGAGTAGAGGCGGGCGGACCCTCAGCTGGCCTCCTTGGCCATCTTACACTGCTACGAACAACCTTGCACCCGCCGTGAGCACATCCCAGGGCAAATCACCCTGGCACTAACGACAGCCCTACCACCGGACGACACGTTCACTCAATTGGCGAACAGCTATCCATGCCCGCTACCAAAACTGATCAAGCAGGGCATTTCTGGGGCCCGCTAGAGGCAAAAGCAGAACAGCTGGGGCCATCAGCAACGAGGAACCTGTGATGGAGAGAAGTTGTGTGACAGTCACATACATACCGCCCATTTGCTGCCATCCACATGCCAATATGACCCTCCTCCGCCTGTCAGAGCCAGGCAACATGCGGTGACAGGGATTCAGCAAAACCGTACCCTAGCTAAAGCCGATGATCCGAATGGAGCCTTGTCATGATTTTGGTTAGTGGCGACGCCTACAGCCTTCACAGTACGAGTACTTGGGTATACGATTCCCACTTCATCGTTCCAGTTGAACGGGTAATGCACGCAAGCGGATCAATGTCAGAAACTACTAGGTAGGAAATCAGAAGATCGAGTATTGAATGAGTATTTTATTTTGGCAAGGAGAGGCCCGCTTGTTCTTCGAATTGATGCCCTCCTTCTCGTCCGGTTGTTTCTTCACAATCTAGGTCCGCCACCACCGCGTCTACAGTCAAGCCGGGGACGCGAATTTGTGACTCGGTTCGTTGCCACTGTCAGGCTTTTCATGTCCCCACGAGGGGAGCAGTCTCGCCGACAGAATTTCGAGGCTCACAGCGGATTGGATGAGTGTTCTCTGTGTTGTTTTTGGGATGAGCAGGGTTTGAGACTCGGTCAGGTCCGGATTGAGTTTGTGTCGTCGGGTTGGGATTAAGAAAGGATCAAGGTCGTTGCATACAAGCTCAAGTCATCATTCGTAACTCGCTTCCCTCGCGAGATTTAAAGGAAAAGGTATCATAGCTTCGTCAGGTCGCTTTGCGCAACATACCGTCTATCGGTTGGACGCCAAAGAGCAAAACAATGCCTTATGCTTTTTCGCAGGACTGTCATTGTGTCGAGGTGGTGGTTTGGGGAACATATGGAATTCGAAGGAATGTGTTTTCTCGGAGCGTAGAGGCGTAAATTCAGGATTGAGAAGAGGTGGCAGCGAGCGGGAGACCTGCGATGGTGTGTACATTACTCCGAAGAGGCTTGTTGTCGGCGTCCCTTCTCCGCTTCCAAGTTCTCGTACAGGAGATACAGAGCTCGCTCATTCGCGCTTGCACTACCCATGATGGTGAACATGCGCTCACCAGTCTCATCATGCGGTGCTTTTGCAATCGAGATTCTGGCACCCGAGGTCTTCCTGATTTCGCTGATCTTGGAGCCACCCCGTCCGATGATGCAGCCGACCATATCGGCAGGAATGCTGATGTTCTGGGTTTGAACTTCCTCCCCATCTTCGGTGACCATTGGAATTCCACTGCCCCGGGGCGCATCACTACCGCGATTGTAGCTGCGTGTTTCGCTGAAGTCGGTGCCGTTTCCTGTGCGGTTATAGGTACGACCGCTGGCAGGATAACCGCCGCCGGTCATTGCACCACCACCAACAGCAGGAGGAAGAGGGCCCGAGCCGACCTGAACGCGGACCGCGGGATTATACAGGACTGTTCCAGTGCCACGTTGCCAATCATCAACCAAACACTTTCCAATTTCCCAGACGGCCTTGTCGATGCCTTCCGGAGTGCCCTGGACTTCAACAATGCGCTCGGTGGACTGAGGCAGCATTTCCTTCTGAGCAACCATGCGAACTCCGGAGACGTCTTGGATGTGCTTGATCTTAAGGCCTTGTCGGCCAATGATGGTGCCCATCTGGTTGTGAGAGATGAGAAGGCGAATAGCTAGACACATGGTTAATGACCGACGACGAAAGGGGAAGTGAGGGTTGCTTACGATGGGTACCATTGTTCTGAATGACTCCTCCCATGCCCATCTGCGGCGCACCTTCCAAAAGGCCCTTGGCAACGAGAGCATATGCCTTTGCGATGCCGGACAGAGGTCCGGTGACAGTCAGGACTCGATCATGAACACCCTGCACGACCTTACTGACACCAGCTTTGACTCCGGTCTCTTCGCGCAAATCGGCCACATTTTTTCCCTGTTTGCCAATGATGACGCCGGCCTCCTTGGTCGAGACGATAGCTCGAAGGGTCAATTGCGACTGCGCATATTCTTCATCGGTCTTGGGAGGCTCATTCTCTCGGTCACCAATATTGAGCTGGTTCATAGACTCGTTCAAGGCGGCGGCATCGTCGACGTGGTTCGCAACAGGGGAGTCGGCGGAATCCATTGTAAGATGCGGTGAGTGGGACGGAGATGGAAGAGGAGTATTATCTTGTCGAGTTCAAGGTCACGGCTGATGGCAGACAAGCAGAAAAGAATTTGTTCGAGGAGTGGCAGGCCAACGGGGGATGAGCGCTGGGGACCCGGGTGGGATTTGTGGGCACGGTGAGGGGGGGATAGGACAAAGATGAGACTGTCCCCTGATGAGTTCAGGACAAGGACGGGGAAGAGTTTGGAAGGGCGGAGAGAAGGAGGATCGAGTCGTAACGGGAGAAGTGGTGAGAAGATGAGGTCGCGTAGTTTGAGATGAGGAGAAGAGAGTAGGATGTTTCGTGGTGGAAATAACGAAAATAATAAGATGCTGCTGGGTCCTGGTTTTGTTATTCGACGGTGCCAGGGGAGGGGGAAAGGAGGTTGTGTTCGAACTGCGGCTTGGCTCCACTAGAGACAGAAGTGGCCAGTGAGAGTGTCTAGTGAGTGTGTGTAGTGCATTGAGCTTGTGCATTGAACGGCAAAGTCCAGTTCTTTGAGGGCCCAGGGTCCCCGAACCACAGTCCCTCTTGGCGCCCTGAATCTCTGGGTCCAGCCCCTAAGGAGCCCTCACCCAGTCTCTAATTACACCTTTCCTAGGCTTAGGTAACAGGAAATTCAGGTGGTCCTTATTAGGGAACCTTGACTGTTCGGTTGTCGAATACGGCGTTACCATCTTGTTGATCATCACAACTACCTACATTACTCAGAATGGTATAGAGTGCTCGTATGTACATAACTCCGTACTGTGTTTGCAGATCGCCAATATGCGGTCCAGATCTCGACAACTCACATCATTCTCTTCGACCCTTGTCGCTGCCAACCTGCCCCCACGAGTTCTCTCGGTCAGAATCGAAAGGCACAGGGAAACTGCCATTGCCAGTCGGACCGGGGATACCGTATACTGTAGGTGCCTATTTGTCTGCCTCGAAAACGACCTTTTGAACCAACATTCGGTTGAATTGGTCGTAATACTTGACTGCTTCTGACAATGGCTGCACGCACTCCGTCATGAAGCTGCCATATCGTCAATAAATCGAAAAGTGATGAGTCGAATGGGGGGTAAGGTACTTACTCGAGTTTGTCCTGCACTTTCCCAAGGAGTTCCAGGGCTGGTTCAAAGAGGCCTATATCAAACATGTGAGTATTGGTTTTGGGGGGGGGGAAACATTTGAATGGGGCTATGCATACTTCGAACTGGGCACCGTCCCATCTGTATCCTCAGGTTCTTTCCATAAGCTTGGTTGCCAGTCCAAGGGATTTCCGCGTTATGGACGCCCACACTCGAAATGTTCCCCCACGGTCTCAAGAGGTCAAAGGCCATCTTCAGCGCATCGCTGTGTCCGACAATTTCAATGGCCGTGTCCGCGCCACGCCCGTCGGTGAGTTCCAGCACTCTCTTCTTCAACCCTTCCATGTTGGTTTGGTAGTTCCATGGTTCGGCACCGAGTTTCTTCGCGATTTCCAGTCTGGATTCCACTCCATCGACAGCCAGCAGCGCTCGCGGCTTGTACTCCAGTGCACTCACCAGGCCACACAACCCGACGGGCCCACAGCCTATAAGGAGAACCACGCTCTGGCGTATCGTCGCCTCGTCGAACCCGCGGAAAGCGTTGGCCGCCGCGAAATAGCCCGTGGGGAAAATGTCGGCCATCAACACGAGCTTGTCTTCTGCAATGTTGGGAGGTGCTTTCACCACGGTGCTGTCCGCCAGTGGGATCCGGCAATACTCGGCCTGGCCGCCGTCGAGTAAAGGGCAGCCGAACAACTTGCACTGGGTGCAGCGAGACGAAAAGCCCCCTTTGCAGTAGAAGCATTCCCCACAGCTGGTGGTGAACGGGGTGACTATCTTGTCTCCCTTTTTGAACGACTTGACCTCGGACCCGGTCTCTACGACCTCGCCGGTGAATTCGTGGCCCATGATGAAGCCAGTATCGGATGGCTGATGACCACGGAAGACGTGAAGTTCACTTTTTGCAACTAGATTAGTCTCCGAAAATGCTTAGGAGGCTCGCTTTGCTTTTGCTTTGCATTGTTACAGTACCTTCCACATAGCGCCGTATATCGGACCTTGACAACGATGTCCTTGGGATCCTGGATTTTGGGTATAGGCCTTTCCTCCACTTCGACGTGCAACTTGCCCTTGAATACCACCGCCTTCATCGTATCTTTGGTCGTCGCCATGTCGATTCTTTCTCAAAAGCTAGTTGGGCTGAACCTCAAAAGTGCTCGGGTATCGTTTGCCGGTTTCCCGTAACAATGTAGTCTTGATCAAAGATTGCAAGCTCGAACGGGGGAAGACACTTTTTCCACACGTATGCCGCAATAAGGGGGAGATGCAAGAGGGCGCACACTATTCTTCACAACACTTCACAAGTCCTGCAAAGAGTAATATAAGGAATGAAAAACAACACTCGTACATACTTCCGTACGGATACAGGTTGGTAGGTCAGGCAGCTCACACATAATCAACAAGTCCCGTAATATCCCTTGTGCGGGGGGGTTTGTTAGACTTTCGAACCACTTGCCATGGCCCTTGGGAGAAGCAACGGCCCTGAAATTAACCGAGGCTTTGATACTCATAGAGTAACAAACGCGGTCCGCATACGGAGTACTTGTTTGGTACCCAGCAGTTACTCCATAAATGCTGGCGGGGGGAGAGGGACCTGTACCGAGTTACTTTTTCGTAGGTAAGGTAGCTTAGGTAAATGCTTTGGAGACGCGATATCCCCCGCGCACGTAAATAATGACGACGAACTCCGGACACCAGTGCGAAACACCCATGATGGCCCCCATTGGATATAAAGTTGCCCAGCTAAATGACCTAGAAAGGGGTGATTTTGTGCTATCACAAAACTTAAGGAGTAATCAGGTACTCATAAGGTACACTTTCACGCCGTACGGGCGTAAATCTTTAAGCGGAGGACGTCGGTGGGTTGCGAGTACGCAATATGATGATGTTCTCGCAACATTGTATCATGTTCCTATCTCCGGGCGTCCCCAGGCTTACTATCTAAACATACTGTAAGAGTACTTTTGAACACAAAAAGCCAATGAATGCTATTTTTTCTGGTCGGTCTGGACAGGATGAGCACGGCGTTTCGCAGTTGACGTACCGTGTGCTGAGATCTTAAAACCATGCTACGGTCTACTGTACCATTTATCAGGCATGTTCATTCTGAACAACGCTGGCAAAAGATTTCAATGACCCCCGAGCAACCATTCATGGACGATAAAACAACCTCGCAAGGAATACGTTAAAATGTGAGAAATAAGAAAGGATCGTCTGGCTCTGACGGAGTAATCAGAATCAGTCAGTCTCTCACACATGTGTGTGTGTGTGTGTGTATGTCAAAAAATGCCACGCGAACTTACTCCGTACGACGACCACGATTGTCTCTGTGCGAAGCTGACTGAACGGACGGAGGCCTGACATCTTACGAGGGCCCAACCATTTATTGAATTTCTCCTCCACCACTCCGGGGGGAATTTGCAGATATTTTGTCCCTCCAGTTCCACGTCACCGGTACAAGTCGCCCCCAGGGGAAGGGAGGGGTGTGAAGTAAGTCATTCATATATAAGCAAGCAGCATCTGTCACTGTCATCATCTCGATGAAACTCGTGCAATACAAGAGCAAATGAACCCGTAACCACCCAGCTTTCTCTCCAGGCCCCAGCCGGGCATCATAACCAAAGAAATGCCAGCAGACAAGATCGAGAAGCTCAGGACCCTACAGGGCTTCCTCCATCGACAAATAGACGACTACGAAGCTGCCGTTTCCACCCACCCCTCAGGTGAAAGGCGCAAATGGGCCATCTTGGAAAATGAAATCTTCAACACCTCCGAGAAGATCGCCGACCTCATGTTGACCCCGGGAGACCGTGTCCTCAGGCTCGGTCTCGCCCCCATGCTGAACACTGCGCTGCAAGTGTCGATGCAGCTGGATCTCTTCAACATCATCCGGGGCGAGACCGACCTCCATACGTTGTCCGAAAAGACGGGTGCGACCCCGACCCTCCTCATCCGGATCCTGCGCTGTCTCGCCGCCTTTCGCATCCTCGGGCAATCCGGCAGGGGCACGTTCTCGCCCACACCGCTGTCGATCAAGTTCAGGGAGAGTCAGGCTCGCGACTGGGTCATGTCGGCCTTCAACGTCATGCAAGCCCAAAGCCGGATGGTGCCGTCCATCCTGGAATCGAACGGCTATCGAAGCCCGACGGACCGCGCGGACAACTCGGGCGTCCGTCTCTGGGGCAAGACCATGTTTGAGATGATGGGCGAGGACGAAGGGTTGAGGACACAGTTCGGGTCGGCCATGGCGGCCCAAGAAGATCTTCCTGCACAGATGTATCCCGAGTTTCCGTTTCAGAGGTATGTGGTGGAGAACGACGAGCGAGGACGGTCCATCAAGGAAGACGATGCCGTCACCATCGTGGATGTGGGAGGAGGAATGGGCCACGTGCTCGAGCTGATCCTCCAGCGAAACCCTGGCCTGCCCGGACGCTTCGTGGTCCAGGACGTGGAGGAGATTGTGTCTCTTGCCGATCCCAACGAGAAGGCCTTTGAGGTCATGGCTCATGACTTTTTCACGCCACAACCGATCAAAGGTGAGGGCGTCTTGTCTGTCGTTCATTTGGGACTTTCTTTCCGGTGGAACTTACTTACCCGTCAAAACAGGGGCTAGGTTCTACTACACCCGGCATTGTCTGCATGACTGGACGGACGATCAGTGTGTGACTATCCTGAAGCATCTCAGAGACGCCTGCAAGCCAGGATACTCCAGGATCTTGATCCATGAGTTTGTTCTTCCAGCGACAGGTTGTGGCCAGCGTGAAGCATTGTTTGATGTCCTGATGATGTCACTCTGCGGTATGGAAAGGGACGAGGAGCAATGGCATGACATTCTTACCGAAGCTGGCCTGGAAATGATCAAGATCTGGAGAGCAGATGTAGGAGGCTACGCTATTATTGAGGCAGCCCCGGCCCCATGATCTGCTTCCTCCTCTCAAGATTTCAGGATGACTGTACAATACCCTTGAAATCAAAATTGTTGGCCCCCCAGTGCGGAACTGAGGAGGGTGGCCGATGGAGAGAGATGAAGGATGAGAGATGTGAATGCCGTTCAATTCTATTATCAGGCGACTCCTTACCATAACGCCCAGAACCATTTGTCTCTTCCATCCCATTCCTTTCCTTCCCGTGAGCCACCCAATGCACCGTGATCTGGAACTCCTGCAAACACAATGTCGTTCGGCATGTATACGGCGAAGCTGCGAGTGTGCTTCTCGCTTCTCATGCGACTACACACAGTAGCTCGGACTCCAGTATGTATTTGCCTTCTTTGTATTTCTCACTTGCTTCGTAGGCCTTGTCATATTTCCAGCCAACAGTCTCGTCGCACTGTTTGCATTTGATGTCCCGCACGATGTGTCTTCCTGTGGTCATGTTGCGCTCCATGGCTTCGCATTGCTTGATGTTGACGACGGTGGCAAACAAGAAGGCTTTGCCATGCTGGCCTCGGAAATTGCGAGAGATGATTTCGTCAAAATCAGCCAAGTGCGTCCTGCATTTCTGTGACAAGAAAAACGAGAGCGGGTTAACAACGAGTTCTCTCTCCTCTAGTGACAATGACCAAGGCCAAATATTTCAATGATCGATGCATACCTTGCAGCCGAAGATTTTGGACGAATTCAGATAGACATTGTATGTGAGACCCATCTTGGACGCGGGGTCGGACGTTTGGGTTCCCAGGCAGGGCTTTTCAAATGGTAGATAACAAAGCGGCCTCCGCAACCCGAGCCTGACTTGAAGCTGGGTTCGTTCCGGTGGTGTTGGCACCGGATGTATTTGTCCTCACCCCCAGGCCCTTTCTTGAACGCCGATGTTCACACTACTACGGTTGTACTATTGCAATCGTTTTGCGACGGCGAGCAAGGAGGAGGATGTAGGAGTACGCTAATGAGAAGGAAGGAGACTGCGCGGTGTGGGCGGCGTGTGATGAATCGTAAGGCGAGGCACGGGTATCAACTGACGTCGTGACGGATCGGCAAGGTCAGATCAGGTAGGCAAGTCTTGTTAAAGAATGGTCAGCTGAGATATGTGTACAGGTGGATGTACGGGTAACACTCTTCGAGATGTAATGATCCCCGAGATATGTGGCTGACAGCAATGGACATGTACAAACAACGACTGTTGGACAGAGGATACGAGTAGAGGATGGAGGGGTTGAGTAACCACCCCCCAGCAAGTACGAGTATTGTAGTAAATAGGCGCCCGTCGGGAGAACCGGTCAATCATCCCCCACCTTGGATGGACCCTGATTGATGATATTAATTCGCCAACTTAACACGATTGACGGCTTCGATGTCTACCTAAATACTCCCGTACCAAATCTTGTCTCCTTTGCTTGCGTATTGAGTGTACAAGTAAGTCCTAGTACCGCCCGCCTTCTAATCTAAAAAGAGTTCTCTCACGAGCGGTGTCCTCCCCTGGCAAGACATGTCCATAACAAAGAGTGGCATCAAAAGATGCAAGAGTTCTGTCACCGGTGTTGCTCATGACAGAAAAACATGCCCAGGATGATGTGTCAAGGATTCACAACACCTCGAACCTGGCCGCCATCCGTGATTTGCTACCAGCGATTGATGTTTCCCTATGTACGGACTGGGCTCTACATTGGCCACATGCCACTGCGGTGCATCTATCCAATCCACTACCATCATTGCCTGTCAGGCGGCGACCGGTGTGGCTGTCTGCTGAGCGATCCTTGTTGCTATCCAACCGCGTTAGATTCCAAGGTTTGAGAGAGAATGTTGTGAGAAGGGTGATACAGAGGCAGAGCTCGTAACTGGTAATGTCAAGACCTAGTATGCAACCACTTTGTTACCATCCCTGTTGGCCTTGAGGGTATAAGATGTGTTTCATATCCGAGAAACACTGAACTTGATTTATATCATGTTCTGCCGCCCAGAACCACTTGCTAGCCACCAACACCACTGTCATCCTCGGCCAGGAATGCCGAACTAGAGCACTCTATCTCCAACCTAACGGATTGTTGCAGACAAGGCACTAGTGACCACTGCCATGTCCAGCACTAGATCGAACCCCGGCGCCTCTGCGGGCGGAGCTGGACTGGTCTAAGATACCTCCGCGCAGGCTGCTAAGGCAAAACAAGCAGCGGCCAAGGCGAAAGGTTTGAAAATCAAGCAGATTCAAGAACAAGCCCTGGCGAATCTTTCTCAACGGCAACTGTATATCGTCTTGTATATTCGAGCAGCACCTCCATCTGCAAACGACTTCCATTGGGGATTTTATTACCACAGAAATGAGGCAGGAGGGACAAAGTATCACATCACAAACCTGAGCAACGGTTGGATCACAGATCATGGCCCAACAGTCGGCCTCTTCAAGTCCATTTTCCTCTGCGTTGTCATCAAGATCGCGAGCGTTCCGGCAGAGACAGAGTAGCAGCTTGACCAGTTCACGTACCCAGGTCAGAGTTATGACGACCAACAAGTGATCGATGCTCGGCCCAAAAGAGAAAAGGTGTGACCAGTTCACTACCTACTTGGTGTGGTAGGATCTTCGTTGTGCGGCATCTGGGCCCTTCGCTCACTTATATGGAGGACATCAAGGATCCAAAAACCGTCAAATGGCAGTTTAAAGGTAGGATAAGAAAAAAAGAACAGCTTTCCAGATACCTCAGGCACCCTGCCTTTTACGGTATAACTCGTAAAATACGTTTCACGTCGATAACTATGTTTCAGCTTTCTCTTTTGCCTTGGATCTTGGCCAACGTGAATCCCTCATTGTCGACGCCATCCAATCCACCTTTACGTGGACCATCTTGCTGTCGTCTCTGTTGCTGTCGTTCTTCTGCTGCCGCTGCTGCTTGCTTCTTCTGTCCACCCCCCTTTGATGGCTCGCTGCCCCTCTCCTGCTCTGGTAGGGCGGCCACGGAACTGACAAAGCTCGAACGGTGTCTGTTCTCTCCGAGCATGAACGAAAAGGAAGAATCCATCAAAGATGGCCGGCCCCCTGAAGTTGGCCGTGGGCCGCCGCTGTCGACTTTGGCAGCCGCTTTATCACCCTCATTATTGTCATTATCATCTTTCAGCTTCCCTGATTTCCCGGTGGGCATCGTTGTCGTCGTCGTCGTCACCTGTGCTGCGGGTACCTCGGGGACTTTCCTTGGTTTCTCGTCCGGCTGATGGTCTGCTTCCATGTCCTCCCTCCTCGTAGGTTGCCCTCTAGGGATGGGTATTTCTAGGTCGGCGAGATAGACCGAGACAAATTGTATCTTTGCCAGCGTAATGTTGAGATTGTGTTCGGCCTCGTCGGCACCTTCTTTGCTCGTCAACTTGACCGTCCTCAAAGAGTCTATGGCATCTTCGAGCATTCTGGACAGCAAAATATTTCGCTCTTGCAATTCATTGAGTCTTTGTTGCAAGGCCTTTGCCGCATCCGACTTTTCAAGATTGGGCGGCGTGTCGTGACTCGTTTGGCGAGAATGCGACGTTTGATAGTTGTTCATGTTTCGTCGGACTTCGCCAACCGCGCTCCGGACAGCTTTCGACACGTTCCAGCCCTCGGTTCGTTTTTGTAGGCCACCCGCTACCTCTTGAAACAGGCCCTCGAGTTGTTTTTGCGAAGAAGTAAATCTGCCGGGCGAGGGACTCGGAGACTGCCGGAGCTGAGGAGATCTTACTGTTCTCGCTGTCGAGGAGCTGCGGCTGCTCAACGCATCTATCTGTTTCGGACGCCGTCCTGTATAATGCTGGATCACTGTCGCTCCAGCTTCAACGGTTCTGTTTCTGTCAAGGAATGCGGCATCTCTGACAAGCGAGCGGGCTTCCTCGGAAGAATCTGGAAGCGTGTAATGAGTCAACGCCGTAATGGCAGTTGTATAGTCCGCATCCACCAAGGCCCACCGTGATCGCAACAGCATGGCGACACAAGTCAGGTCGACAATGTCTGGTCTCAAGTTCTCCGCAAAGAGGAGATCCCAGACGCGAAGCACTTCCTGAAACTCGAATTCGCGTCCGAAAAGAAGACGAATCCAGCGACTGTGATGTTAGATCTAACCTGGGAGGCACAAAGATGGACAGACTCACATCGAATATATCTGAGGAAGAATACCAATAACGTTTAGGTGAAGAGCCAGCTCCGGATCAATAGCTGCAAGGATATCATCATGGATTCTCTTGCTTCTTGCAACAATTGGGGACGAATCTTTGCTTTCTCCCGTTTCGTACGATGCTTTGGTGTTCTGCATGACGGCGCAGAAGAGGTTGAATGAGTCATGCTCGACATGCTTGTGGCCCAGCACGTCTTGCATAAAATCAACGCCGTCCATAGTTTGAGCCGCGACAGGGATGCTGATGGAATCGACCGCGTCCTGCTGGACCGCCCACAATATCGGGGCGAGCAATTCGTGCATGCCCTGCCTGTAGCCGACGTCCGGATTGAGCTTTGCATAGATGAACAGAATGTCCAATAATCTCTTCTGCGTGGCAGGTTCACGGAAGAAGTAGTTATCTTGCATACAGCGAGTCACATCCTGAAAGATTTCTTCCCGGGCAATCTCATCCTGCCGCAGCGTCGACCATGGAGACTTGACTTCAGTCAGATGTCAGACCCGAGGGACAGGCTTTGAAAACCAGTTACATACATTGTCATCATCCGCAAGGGGATCTGATGAAGAGTGGAGGTTGTCTGGGTGCTCGATATATCGTAGAAAGTGACTTTTCAGAGAATCGTACGCCGACCTCGACTCCGACAGCTTCTTGGGCCATGATCCACGACTCAGTGGCCCGTAGAGGAGGAGAGCCTGTCACTATCAATAAAAGGTGGCGGCAACAATTCGATGAGATACTAGCCTTCCAACAGACTGACCGCAGACCATCTTCACATGAGTCGAAGCCTTCTTTATCTCTCAGTGCTTGCCGCAAGTCAACTCCGATCGAGGTGGTAAATAGGGTTGACCAGCGCCGCCTGCTGTGATGAGCCCTTATGATAAATGCAACAGAATGTGGATTGAGCTCACTGATTTTCCTCGAAAGATCGCATGATCACCAGCACACTGACGCCCCCTCCAACGTATTTTAAGTTGACAATGGGGTGAGAACAGAAGGTGAGTTGTTTATGTCAGGTACAGTAGGTAATGTTTTGGGCGAGGTCTACACCAAGTAGGCGTGTTACGGCGAAGTAGAGCGCGCATCAACGCTTTCGCGCCGATGGGCTGTGTTACGACAAACACTGCCTTCTCATTACAATTCACGACTGGCACATATGTCATTGTCCAAAGATCCGGCCTTGGAGTAGTTTCGATGTCCTATATACTGCCCATGTATCCATCTTGATTTTATTCAGGAGAAATGCAGGTTTTTGGAGTGGTAGTCAAAAGAACCACAACCAATCTACGGTCGGCCATAGAATCCACAAAGTGTGTACCACACGCTCCTCAACAACTTCAGTCTTTGCTGCTAGACTTGCGTTTTGAAACTCTCGTGGAGCATTCCTCTCAGAATTGCCACCATGACCCGGTCATAACATGTCCGCCGATCTGTTTGCTGCCTTTGCTACAGCGGATGACAAGCAGGAGAAATCTGGAGATGTGGCGCAACCACCTGCTGAAACGATCGAAGGATCCTTGATCAGCCACGACCTATCAGGACCAATTGTGACTACTCCGGGCAGGCCGCTTCGGGGAAACCGAGTGTCACCACTGTGGAAACGGGACGTTGATGGAAGTGACGTTCTGTTCGATGCCGAAGATGCACCAATTGATGATGATTTCGGCGACTTCGAGATAGCGAACCCTCCGGAGGGAGCGGTGGTTCAAAGTCATGCACATCATCATGCAATTCATCATACAATTCATGAGAGTGTAGTCTCGGAAAAGCTTATCCCGGACCTCCTTGCCGATGATAACTACACAGAGGAGCCTTCTAGGCCAACTACTGCCTTGACTCTCTCGAACAAGTCTGACGCCAACGAAGAGACAAATTTGTCGCCAATCAACCTTGAAAGCCGAGAAGAGCCCCAAGACGCGTGGGAAGAATGGTCAGAGTTCGACGATGTCCAAAACGTCATTGATGTGCGAACAAGTAAGAGGCATCTTGGAAAGCATGAATCTCAACCCTTCCCACCTCAAGAAACAACAAACAATAACGAAGATGAATGGGAACCTTTCGAAGATGGGCGGACCGATAAACTGCCACAGGAAAGCCTTCCAATGCAATCAGACACTGCTCCGAACTATTCAGGATCAATTTCAGGACGCAAAGCTGCGATCCCTTCCTTCGAACGACCTACAAACGTTCCGCCACCGTCTTCGCTGTTACAGTTGATGAGCACCGTCTTTGATCAACTGCACCAGGAAAATGTTGCTAATAACATACCCAAGCCCGTACTAGCCACCAAGGTGCTCCTGGTTTATAGAACAGCGAGCCGACTAGCAGCTGGGAGATCATTGCGATGGAAACGCGATACACTTCTATCACAGAGTATGAGAATAGGCCAGGCAGGGACCAGGGGAGGAATGAAGCTCGCGTCAGTGAACAAAGGGGAAACTGCAAAAGAGAGCCGAGACTCGGAAGAAATGACTCATGACTGGACGAAGAATGTTCATGAATATAACAGCATTATTGCTCATGCGGGATTGCCACCCCAACGACTGAAAATGTCTGCAGCTCCCAGTCTAAAGATGCAGAGATATTCTGGCTCATCCGACACTAAACCATGCGCATTATGCGGGTTGAAAAGGACTGAACGATTGGTTGACGTTGATGTCGATGTTGACGATCTGTTTGGCGAGTTCTGGACAGAACACTGGGGTCATAAAGACTGTTACGAGTTTTGGTATTCTTATAAGGCGCTGCTTGCACAGAGATAGGTGGTTATTGACATCTCTGGGGGTCCAATCCAGTCAAGCAAGGCTGTGACGCCGACGAGGAAATTAAGAGTTCAGATGGCGCTGGACCAAACACACAATACTTGATGTAGAGTGCATTCAGCGGGACTGTTATAAACAATCGTGGGCCTAGAACAAGCATTTGCCTCTGAGTAAGGTACCCGGTGTAAAGGTGGTGATTGTACCAGTAGATCCTGAGATAGATACACGTTCCTCGCTTTATTACGCCTCAAAAGCCTTGGGCCCGACGCCCCCCACCAAAGGCTCCATTTTACTCGCAACCACAGGACGAAGTCCATGGAGCACCAACAACTCACAGCCGCAGCTGGTCATTGTGATCGACATTCTTCTTTGCTTCCCACGGTTGTCCTTCTTCTTAATCAAATGCCATTATTCCGTCCTCGACCTTTGGTCCGATTAGTCCATTCATACTTTCTCTAAAATATCCTGGGAATCACCGGGGGTGTGCTGATATCTTTCCTTTTTTTTTCTGGACAATGTATTTCGGTGTTTTATACGGATATATAGCATTGTGACCATCACATTGCACTGATCATTCAGCTGGTCCGGACGTGGTGTTGAGAGGGTGTGTTCAGTATGACCCAAGATGGACGACATAGCCATGGTACGTACCTAAAGAATGAGACTGCAAACTCGCCGAATCTGACTTACACTCGACACTACGCATATCTGGATCTGTGGCACTGATCATGACCAGGAAACAACACTCCGCCTCTCTCGCCCATTCTTAGATCAAGCACACTGGATGTCCAGACACTGCGGATCCCAAAGAATAAGAGCACGTCGAACCTGCCGCCGACCGCAAACGATGCATCCTCCTCCTCGTTACTCAATCCGCGGACACGCTTCTCCTTCGATGCTGGTACAACGCAGGAGACGAGCAATCTGAAGAGGTGTGTTCCGGATGCCAATATGGGTGATTTGATCTCTGACTGAGACAGAGCCACGCGTCTTGACCATGAACATGGACTTGGAAAGTCAGGTCTGCGAAGAATTAGACGGCCAGGCCCTTCACTGCGGACACCCACTCTGGTCCTGGGAGATGGCGACTTTCTCGCCTCGCCCCTACACCACTCAAAGACCATGCCGATCTCTGGCTCCTCGTCGAGATCAGTCTCGACTGGACACCTGCTGAGCGGTCCGACGTCTCCTGTTATCGAGGATCTTCACCGTTTCCCGTCGGAGTCATTACACTCGTTTTCTTTTGCCAAACAATCGGAAGAATTTCTACATAGCAGACAAAACATATTGCAAAAATCGGTGGATTTTGTGCGAGATCGGTCTCAATGGGCCATCAATCCAGCTCTGGCTGACGCCCAAGCACGAGTCAGCGGTAACGTTGAGGTACAAGGAATGATGGATCTTCTCAAAAAGGCCAACATTATACCCATTGATACTGGTCGCACCAATTCTCGAGCTATCGGAGCAGGGCCTCTCACTGGTCCGGCTCATCACGACGGACGTAACATCTTTGATAAGAGCTTCAGCCAAGAATTGGAACAAGCACAGAAGGAAGCCGGACTACAATATGCAGAAGATCAAAGCATTCGGCGCAAATACTCGCTTGATAATGACGACGAGGACGAAGAATCATTCCGTGAGCCAGATCTAGAGATGAGAATACCTCCAACGCGGTCTGATTCTATGAGCGCCCCTCGACGAACAGCTCTTCGGAGGACCTACACCGACGTACACTCTGTGTCCCTCCAGCAGAAGTTGATAGAAGCTCTTGCACAGCCTTACTCCACCGAAGATGGTTCTTATCCTCAAAGCACTGTGACCGTGTCCAGGAATAGTGTTCCTACTACACCGGCGGTGGCTAATCCGTCAAACGTGCACAACCACAGCAGCAAATGGTCGCCAACTCACCAAGCCGTCTTTCGGACTGAGGGGGATGCTCCGTGGACTATTCTAGCTGCCAACGATCTGGCCTGCCTTATCTTCGGCATCTCACGAGCCGAGGTGCGTTCCCTTAGCATTCTGGGAATTATACAGGAAGAAAGAAGACAATGGCTAGAGACCAGGCTTGCTCGCCCCGAAGAGCCTGCAGAAGACATACGTCCAACCCCGTCCAAGAACGGGACGGGAAGCGCAAGCATGTCATTGATTGGGTCTAAAAGCGGTATTACAGCTAGACTGCTTAGTAAAGCTCCCTCTAGAGCTAACAAACCTTCAGACACAAGAGCAAAGACGGTTGACGGTTCTGGTGGCTACAGCCGTTCAAAACCTATGAACCACCAGCCTACCAAATCCAGAGGCGTTCTCCTCTGTGGCGATATCGTGCCTATTCAGAGACGCGATGGCACCAAAGGAGCAGCAAGCTTCTGGGTCATGGAGAAGCGAGGCGGTCTCATCTGGGTAGTAGAAGAGATTGCCGAGGATGTTGCATATGTGAACGTCGATGATGATGGCACAGTCAAAGATGCCTATGGAGACGTCGAAGCCATCTGGGGGCAATCGGCCCTTGAAGGTCTTCCATTGCAAAGCCTGCTTCCCAAGTTCCCTCTGAAAGATGTGAATACATTTGATAAGCTTCATCCAGGGTTTTATACAGCTAGAACGGCTGAACATGTGAATGTTCCCACAACGGTCGAGAAGTCACCTACGGAAAATCAGCTTCGAGTTTCGAGTTTGCCACACATCGCCGGTGTGATGGTTCTCAATCCAGACAACCTGAAGATCAGCAGCTCCAACAACATCTTTGCCGCCGCGTTGTTTGGCTATGAGAAGCCTGAGGGCCTGAAATTTACCACTCTCATCCCAAGTTTCGGTGACATGCTGAACATCTTGGCCAGCGAAGACGACGTTCAGCTGTCGGATGGAATTGTGATACCGGAGCACAGTTTTCGTCGAGCTCGTGGTCTCCTCGCACTACGCGAAGGATACGAAAACCCAACCGATATCTTTCTGCGGCCCTGCGGACTACCGGCGAAACATCATGATGGCTCTGATATTATGGTTGACGTCCAGATGCGAGTGGTTCGAAGTGAGTCTGTGTTCCCAATGTCCGACGATGCTATCATTGAAGAGAAGGAAGATGAAGATCTCAGTGGATCAAGCGTTGCAGTGGCCGAACTTGTCTACGCCGTCTGGATAATCTACTCTCGAAATATTCATTCCGCCGGGATGATAGGATCCAGCACTGGCCCTGAGCCCCAGTCACGTCCTATGTCACCGCCTTCTCAACCAGAGCCGCCGACTTCTCTGCCATCTCCGCCACCCACAAGGTCCACTGACAGTCCCCAAACGTCAATTCCCTCGGATGAGCCGGATGAGGCAGAGTCAATTGCTATGGATGAGCCCTTGGACCATCCACCTCCCCACACTCCGTACATACCGCATGAAAGAAAGACAATCGACGACTTTACGATCTTGGAGGAAATGGGATCCGGTGCATATGGCCAAGTGAAGCTTGCTCGCTATAAACGAGGAGAGGCCAGGAAGATGGTGCTGAAGTATGTAACCAAGAAACGCATCCTGGTCGATACATGGACCAGAGATCGGCGTTTGGGCACTGTACCGTTGGAAATCCATGTTCTTGATTACCTTCGCCGTGATGGACTTCGCCATCCAAACATAGTGGAGATGATCGACTTTTTTGAGGATGACGTGAATTACTACATTGAAATGTTGCCGCATGGCATTCCAGGCATGGATCTGTTCGACTACATTGAACTCCGGACGAATATGACGGAAACAGAGAGTCAAAGTATTTTCCGCCAGGTTGTCGATGCCATTCACCACTTACACACCAAAGCGCTTGTGGTCCACCGCGACATCAAGGACGAAAATGTTGTGCTGGACGGAGAGGGTCGCATAAAATTGATCGACTTCGGAAGTGCTGCTTACATCAAGAACGGACCCTTCGATGTCTTTGTCGGCACTATAGGTGGGTGTCTGAAACTTTCCACCTCCGACGATGCTAATAGATGAATAGATTATGCTGCACCAGAAGTTCTGCAAGGGAAGCGATATGGAGGCAAAGAACAGGATGTGTGGGCATTGGGGATTTTGCTGTACACGATCGCGTACAAGGAGAGTGAGTTTTTGCCTTACCGCATAACTTTGACCGAACACTGACAGTGTGATGTAGATCCGTTCTATAACTTGGGTAAACATGGTTCGATAGATTGTCGTTTGTGGAAGGCTAACCTCTCTCACAGACGAAATACTCGACCACCCCTTACGAGTTCCGTATCTGCCGTTCTCTGAGGAGTGCCTAGATCTCATTCGAAGAATGCTCGACAGGGATGTCGAGAAAAGAATTACGATTGAGGCAGTGCGGGACGACGTGTGGCTCGAGGACGATTGATGAAAGCTTGGTCGGGGACTTTTTGCTCCTTCGACAGCGTTTGTTCTTCGCAAGATGATACGAGCGCGATGATATCTACGATTAGGGACGCCATATAAATCACGAATTCGGATGATAGGCAAATTGATTTGAAGGCGAAACAATGACAGCGAACATGTTGGATATTCATGACCCCCATGAGGCAATAAAAGAAAAGCCTTTGGGACGGAGAGGGTGACGGCGGGTACTTGATATCACCATGGAAACATTGCGATGCAAGAACGACAAGACGAAGACTTTGTAGAAAAGATACATGGGGTAGGGATCGAACGTCGAGATCGAAAATCGCCGTTCGGTAGGCCCGGTGCAGTTGTGCTCCGGAAGAGGCGCGCCAGCCGTGTATCAAATATTCGTCAACGTGAGCTTGTGTTAAGCGGAACAGCATGATCAATATCATTCAACGTTCCAGCCAGGATTTTATTTCTGGTGCTATGAATAGGCCCAGGACACCAACAGAACACTTTGAATTCTGCCACATCTCGAAGGCAGGCTGACAACCAGGACATCGCATCTTATCAGCATGGTAAGCCAATGAACACTGTACAGCTTGCGTGCAGCTCTCGAGGACGGCCTGCTTCGACAAGGGTCAGATGCACAATGCAAGGGCAAGAGGCCTTTAGAGATCTTTCTAGGGCATTACCGCTCTCGGGACGGAGCTCTTCATCACACCGGTATTGTATTGGAGCATACCCCGAAGTGTTCTCTCTGGGACGCCTCTGCTAGCGACAGCTTTGCATTTCGCCGATGCCCAAGAGGCTGGGGCGTCTCCAAGATGGTAACAGGACGAGGGTCTGGACAGGGAACCTGGGGCCAGGTGCTTGAACTGCTGCATGGTTCACGAATCCGAGGTCCACGGATGTCTGTGCTCTCGCTTTCTCTGGCTAGTCCAGGCGAGAGGTTGCCACGCGGGATTCCAGCCCATCGACGCTGGGTTGAATCGGGTCTGGCTCTGGATACTCGTAGCGGACCGGGTGGGCGTGCGAGACCAGGACACTGCACGTCTTTCTCTCCACTTGGGTATTTCCTTGATGGCTTTGTGGAGAGCAACGGTGCATCAAAGAACGTCGATTCGACACAAGTTGATATGGATTCAGGTCGTTCCCTCGGGTAAGTGAGGATAATGCGACGCCACTCTGAGGCGATTGGGGTAACAAGGGTCCAAGCCACGGCGGAAGAGCTACAGCACACGCGCCCGGTTGTCCCACAAGATGCCACCGCGAGGGAGACGCAAAGCCCCTCCTCCTCTGGACTCGTATACGGGTATTTTATCGTTCATGCTCCGTAGGGTGTGAATTTAGCCATATAAGCGAGGTGGACAATGCCGAGAGTCACCATGGCGTACGAGGATCGAAAGGGCCATTGATGCCTTGTTCTGCTGACTTTGAGGGATTGGATGATTCCCTGTTTTTGTACCGAATACCAAGTAACGAGAACCAAAACATGTCCGGTACAGGTGACAATAATAGTTGCTAGGTTATTGCGCAGGGACAGCAGGAGCGAGTTGGAGGCGGCGTACGAGGACGCCTTAGCACTGTCCGTACTTGGGTGTTGTGGGCATCCGATGGACTCGCTTCGCTTGTACTCCGTACTGGCCACGCACGAGGATGGATCTTGAGCCGTGACAGTTGAAGCTACTGTAAGTACAGGCTCCATAAAGGTAGTTGTCTGGGGGCACTACTGTGCTTGGGGGAGCGTAGAGGCCGATGGGATTCTCCGTAGCGGCAACGACTGATACGTGTAGATACCAAGTGATTAGAGCTGATAGGGAGGGAGGGCTTTACCCTTTACCCTTTTACCCCTCCTTCGGCACCCCCCCACTCACCCTCTATCTTGACACTGCGAGTACCGTTATCATCCTTACCACCGCTGCCACCACAACCACCACCACGATTACGAGTACTACCTCCCCATCCTCAGCCTGGTGCATCCTCCCGAGATCTGGCACTGCCCATTTCTGTCTTTCGCCTCCGTATCATCGTCGTTGTACCGATACGCTTCTACGATACCTTGCTAGGGGTGCTCTGAACCCCTGCCACCTTTCATCCTGCATCGGTACTTCCACTTCGTTCGGTCCAAGGTCCTTGGCCTGTTCAAAGCTGGTCGAATGCACTCGAGTCCTCTGCCGATCTCCATGCTACTTTGACTCCCTGGCTACTTGGCTGCTGCTACATCTTTGTTCCCTTGCAATATACAGACCCCTCGTCGCCTGACCTCTGACCTCCGGACCTCAATGGCGTGCCTCGTATCAACCAGCACCACCAGCTGACGATTGACACTGATCCTGTGCTCTTCTGACCCTCCAGATCGGACTGCACCTTTGTACGACTACGAGGATATTCCTAGCCTCGTCACGCTTACTCCCCGCCGCGTGAGGGGCCTATTGCTGTGCACCCGTGGTCGAGTGCGAATTGTATACAACACTTCTACATCATGGAGCCAATCTCCGCCACCACAACCATGTCTTCTCTTTCACCTCAACGCCAGCCCGACTCACCAAGGCCGATGACTCCCGCCAGTCCGATGATCGAGGCTACTACCGCCTTCGACCAGCCGGTCAAGCTGAAAGGGCGTCATCGACTGCTTCAAGGCTTGCAGCGCATGTCTTCCTCCCCCTCGCTGGCTAAGTTGGGGAGGACGAGGTCGAGCGAAAAGGTCTACAAATCGGGCCAGAGAGCATCAATTTCCTGCGTCTCTCTGGGTTCTCCCACCGGCTCGTATTCTTTGTCACCACCGAATTCCTATACTCCCCAGCTATCCAATGCCTACTCCACCGCACCAACCACTCCTGGTACGCCGGGAAGTCAACAGTCCTACTTCGAAGCCAACTCCAGGCTACGCCTGATCGAATCAAACGAACTCGCAACGGCCTCTCTCCCTCTTGACATCCGAACGTCCAAACCCCTCTCTACACCCTTGCCTGAGATCTCGGAGAAACCCTTCCTGCGTCGGCCGAATTTTGATTTTTGGAAAGATATGCCCCACGAGCTTCGAATACATATTTTAGGTTTCTTATCACCGAAAGAAATCATAAGAGTATCTGCAGTATCCAAACAATGGCATGACATGTGCTTTGACGGGCAGTTATGGACCAGCCTCGACTGCCAGACATATTATCAGCAAATAACATCTGATGCCCTGATCAAGATCATGCTCAAGGCCGGAGCGTTCGTCAAGAATCTCAACTTGAGAGGATGTGTCCAGCTGCGCGACCAGTGGTTGAGTCTAGGGACGAGAATGACAAACCAAGAATGTAGGAATCTTGAGAATTTCAGCATCGAGGGATGCAAAATCGAACGATCGTCTATACACTTCTTTCTGTTGAGAAATCCGAGGCTCGTCCATATCAACATGCCTAGTATGCAAAACATTAACAACGCTACCATGAAAATCATTGCCTGCCACTGCCCGCAACTGGAGCTACTGAACATCGACTGGTGCTCTCAGATTGATACGAAGGGTCTCAGAAAAGTGATTCAATCATGCCCAAACTTGAGAGATCTACGAGCCTCTGAGGTTAGAGGACTGGACGATACGGATTTCATGCTGGAACTCTTCCAAAGAAATACTCTTGAACGACTTATTCTTCAGCACTGTGAGAGTTTGACGGACGAGGCTCTGCAAATAATGGTTCACGGCCTGGACCCGGAGCGAGATGTGCTCACCGACAGACCCCTTGTGCCACCCCGTAGGCTACGGCACCTAGATATCTCGAGATGCAGGAGTCTTACCGACCGGGGCGTCAGAGCCCTTGCCCATAATGTTCCATTCCTGGAAGGGCTTCGTCTTTGCCAGAATACAGCGTTGACGGACGACGCGCTGGAGGATCTTCTGCAGTCGACACATCGACTAACTCATCTAGAGGTGGAGGAGGTTGACCAATTGACGAACGCAACGTTGATCAATCTATCCAAGGCCAGAGCGGCAAGCACCCTGGAGCATCTGAGCATATCATACTGCGAGCTGATAGGCGATGTGGGTGTGCTCCCTCTACTGAAGGCATGCCCAGAAATCAAATCTCTTTGTCTGGACAACACCAAAATCTCAGATCTCGTCCTCATGGAAGCTTCAGAACAAGTTCGCAGACGAGGAAGTACCACCAAGAGGTCGCAGATACCCAAAAAGGGTCTGGAACTGGTCGCCTTTGATTGCGCCAACGTGACATGGGCTGGCGTTCGCGAGATCCTCCAAGGGAATGGCCGAGTCATGCAGGGCCGGAAAAAATCCGTCGTCCAGACAGTAGTGGAGGAACTCGGTGATGAGAAGAAGTACAGAAAGGTGATCGAGATCCAAGAGCTGCTTTATCCGAGCCAGATCATCCACCTCAAGGCGTTCTACGGCTGGCAGCAGACCGTGGAGGAGCACTATAAGAGATGTGTAACTGGCCGGTGGAATGCTGCGGCACGTCTGGAAGAGAAGTGGGCGGACTGGATGGTGGCGAGTGAAGAGGTGGGTGTCATTAACCACGGATGGAACTCCAGACGCAGACGCCGTCGAGCCCGTGAAGCAGAAAATCGAGTCCGGGACGATGAGGATGGTGCGGCTCAAGACACGGGGACAGGCGACGAAGGAAGTGGTTTGGATTATGCAACGCGGCCGGCCCACGGTGGACGACGCCGTGCGCGCAGCGGCGGCTGTGTTGTGATGTGATGGAAATCTATCTGCAGTCTAACAGATTGCGGGTGTCTCGAGCTGGTTCTGGCAATGCCAGGCTGGAGTTACGGAGAACACGACTATGACTGTGGGCTATTTGCGCTTTTTGGGGAGTTGGGATATTGTTTGAGATCCATGCGATGTCGTGGGTTTTTTTTGTCGTTAAGCGATCCCTTGGTCATTCAAGGTACATGATGTTGGAGTATGTGATGAATGCATTTACCGGTCCACATGGGAGTTGAGAGTGCTGGCAGACAAGCTACAGTAGGAGTGTTTGATCGCATGGGCTTAGTCAGGGACCCAGTGTCCGTACAATGTCAGAATACAAGCAAGATGTTCATTATACTTGTCATCTTTTTACGTGCTGTCGACGACAGAAACGTCACTGGGTGTTCCGTACAATAGGTTGGTTTCATCTTTTAGGCGGCGAAGAAGATCGTATGTATATCTGGGTATGTACCTTTTATGATGATTGTTTGACTCTTCTTTTCCAAAGAAGAAAATATCGACAATCTTCCGAAAAAATAGTTTTACACATTAGAACAGCCAGCCTTCATTGTAGCTAGGCAGCGGGCAGGGTAGGATGCCTGCTCCGAGGGCATGATTTATGTAGGTAGGAACAAGAGTGGTCAGCCGACTGGTCATCCTTTCGTCCTACACGCATTCGCATCCGCATTCGCAAAGTGTTGGGGGCACCAAGTTTTTCCGTTGGTGCTTACTCGTCACTATGAACATCATCATCCGTTTTTTGGGGGGGAGACAATGTCTCATTCTCTCGTCTCGACTCCGCTCGTCTCCTCAAACGAGCACGTACAAGCTACACATGCCGCTGAGACCGAGAACCATACTGAACCAGAACGCGGCATTGTTGAAGACCCACCGACCTCGGATCAGGGGGCTCCGCTGGATTGCGACGATGGGGAGTTGCAGCATCATGGCCACGAACCCGTAACCGCGGAGTTTCTTGGTGATGCAGCCCATGATGAGTTCGTGACCCAGGGCGCTGATCAGGAAAGTGATGGTCATGGCTATGGGGGTCGAGACGTAGGATTTGGACGAAAAAAAGACGTGGCGCCGGAGGAAGTGGTAGACGGGTATGTTCCACTCCCGAGAGAACTCGAGCCAGTCGCTGCTGTTCCACCAGTCCGAGTAGAAGTGTCGGTCGGCGAAGCAGGTGATTTCGGCGAATGCGCCGAGAATGTACTCCCAAATGACCAAAAAGACCAACAGGAAGGTGATCATGAAGGGGAACAACATCATGCTGGTGGTCTCCGACAACACCAGCGCACTGTCGGCGAACGAGGTACTGTTGCGCAGACGGACCGCCGACTCGGCCAGCACGGGCGTGATGAACTCCTCGCTCACGGTGATCATGAGGAAGATGCAGCCGAAAACGGCCAGCGTCTTTTGCGACAGTTCGAGCCAGCGAATGTGCGGAGTCCGGGGGTACTCGAGTTCGTAGCACAGCGTCGGACAGAGGATGTAGTCGACGTAGTTGGCCAGCGTCAGGTTCTCGGGGTAGGTGACCCGGCCCAAGGGGGAGGTCAACTCGGTGGCCAGGTCCTGCCGGAGCTGGGAGAGCTCTTCCAGGGATTCCTCGGCGCTCTTTTCGCTGCCACTGTCGGGGTCGCTCTCGTGCGACTGCCGTGACGGCGAGCTGGGGTAGATGACGGCTTTCGCCCGGTCGGCGGTCTCGGGCTTGTCGAGCTCGTGCAGGCGTCGTTGGGTCTCGCTGAGGTGGCCGTTGTAGAAGGCGTAGGAGTGCATCTTCATCAAAAAGGTCAGGGTGTGGAGAGCGAAAAAGACCTGCGCCGTCCACGTCCAGCCGAGCAGGAACGGCCATTCCACCCAAAGCATGAGCCACACCGCCTGGTATATGCTCTGGATCCAGATCCCTGCCCGTTTCCAGCGCAAGATTCCGGTCTGACCCTGCACCCATCGCTGGATGACCAGACTCAAGGCGGTACTCGAGACCATGACGGCGTCACTCAGAGCCATGGACACCACGTTCCTCGACAATAACTCGTACACTTGTACCCGCAATGGGTATCCTGTCTCTTTAATGTTCCGCAGTCCGGTCGTGATGACCATGATGGTCAGACTGATCCAGAAGAGGACAAAGAAGCCTCGGAAATCCCGATAGTCGCTGCGGGGGTCGAAGTGAGAGACTCGGTTCTTGTACACGATCGTGTGGTACAGGCGGTGTTTAGCCTGGGCTCGAGCCTGCTTCCGAGCGGAGGAAATGGACTGCACCGAAGGAGGCGCATCTTGAGGTATGGGTGTCGATCGACCACTGCGATTCTAGACTTTAGCACCACGCAAACGGTTGGGGAGGAGGAGGAGGAGGAGGAGGAGGAGGAGGAAGCGCAAATCTAACCTCGAAATCCCAGAAGGAGCTTCGGTGAAACCATTCAGGCCGTGACTACCGGCTGCCCGCAATGCTTCAGGCAAGGCCCTCAAAGGACGCGGACGAAGGAGGTTTCCTTCCGTATCGCCATCAGAGTGGGCGACGGCCATGGTGGAACGAAAATGAAAATCAAGGTTGGCCAGGGTACCAGGGTATATCAACGCAGGAAAAACAAGACAGAATAACGAAAGTCGTCCATGTCTCCCGGGAGTTCAGGAGTTGTATCACCGGTGAGATAAAATGTTGGTCTTGGGCTTGGGAATGGGACGACCTGGTGTGATTCTCAGCGCAATTCGCTTCTCTCGGGCTCCTTGCCATCCGAATCGCGCTCCAAAGATTATTTACTCCGCTCGTTTTAGCTTAATTCGGGTTATGAAGTCAGCGGAAATCAAACGACGTCAGCCTTGGCGATTTACTTGCTTCTGCCTTGTGGTTCGCCTTATTGTGATGATTCAAGGAGTAGGTGGTACGCCGTACGTCCGTGTCGCATACCCAGCCAGACCACCTCCAGAAAACCTACCGAGTACAACAAGCCGACGCAGCCTCAAGTGCAACGCGCCGATGACAAGTGCAGATGAAAAGCATTGCATGTGCTACCTGGCAGGGAACTCCGCCGTACTCTATATACGGCGAAACATAAATGTCGTCTATGCAGGGGTATCTTGACAACTTTGGTGAAGACAAGACGTACCTATGGCTAGGTAGACTTGTCCATTCATACCCTCAAACATTCTTTGAGCTGACTCCGTCAAGCACCCTATGGAGTATGGTGACTTTTCTACGGATTCACTGTCTTAGATGTACAACAATGTAGGTCGTCATCTCTGTCATCTTGTCTCCACGTCACAACCCCCCTGTCACGACCATCTTGACGGTCAGGTAGTCGTCCAGTCCATATTTACTACCTTCCCTGCCGAACCCGGAATGCTTGACGCCTCCAAATGGGACCGGGGCGTCCGAGACCACTCCCGAATTGATGGCCACCATGCCGGTCTCCAGCCTCTCACTCACGCGGTACGACCTTGCGAGGTCCGTCGTCATGACATAAGACGCCAGACCTACATCCGAGTTGTTGGCCCTCTTGATGACTTCTTCCTCTGAAGAGAATTTCAGGAGGGCCGCGACTGGCCCAAAGGTTTCTTCCTTGGTGACTTGCATGGTATCGTCGACGTCGCCGAGTATGGTAAGTTCGTGGAAATTCCGACCCAAAGATGGAAGTTTGTTGCCGCCCAGCAGGATTTTCGCTTTTTTACTGACTGCGTCCTTGATGTGAGATTCCACCTTTTCAGTGCCGTTGGTAAGTGGTCCGTGAGTGATGGATCCGTCAGTGACGCTGAGTGCATTCCCAACTCGAAACTTCTTGACCTCCTCGATCAATCTTTGACTGAATTTCTGATAGATGCCTTGCTGGACAAAGATTCGATTCGCGCACACGCACGTCTGGCCCGTGACCTTGAACTTGGCGACGAGTAGACTGGAGATGGCGGTTTCGAGATCCGCATCGTCAAAGACGATAAACGCTGCGTTACCGCCGAGTTCGAGACTGAGCTTCTTCAGGGTTTGTGCAGATTGTTGATACAGCAGCTTGCCGACCCTCGTCGATCCTGTGAACGAGATCTTCTTGACAATGTCCGACTCACAGAGGGCTAGGCCGATTTGGGGGGTGTTTCGAGCGCCTGCCGTCACAATATTGAAGACTCCCTTGGGGATGCCAGCACGCTCGCCTATCACGGCCAAAGCGTTGGATGAGAAGGGAGTCAGTCCGTCCGACTTGAGCACTATCGTACATCCCGCCGCCAGAGCGGCGGCGATCTTGCGTACGCCCATGGCCAGGGGGAAATTCCACGGCGTGATGAGGCCGCACACGCCGATGGGTTCCTTGACGACTCGAGTTCGAGAGTTGGGGTTACTGTTCGGGATCACGTCTCCATAGATCCTTGCCGCCTCTTCGGAATACCATTCGAAAAAGTTGACCGACAGTCTGGGGAGGAGTTTGTGTGTCAGTACGCCAACCTCATTTCTTTTTGGTTCACACCGTAAAGGTCTCGTCGTCGTCGGCCAGTCAAGATCAGAAACGGAGAACTCACATTACTTCTCCTGTGGCGTCGGCTTTGGCCTTGCCGTTCTCCAGGGTGATGATGGTACTGAGGTCCTCTTGATGTTCCGTCAGGAGCTCACACACCCTGCGGAGAATCCTCCCTCGCTGCCGGCCGGACAGACGCTTCCAACCTTCCAATGCACCAGACGCGGCTTCGATGGCGTCGTTCAGATCCTCCAACCCTGACTCCGGAACCGCCCCGATGACCTCGTCGGTCGTCGGACTCTTGACCTCGAACGTCTGTCCTGACTTGGCAGACACCCATCGTCCGGCAATGTAAGTCTTGTCGACGACGAAGAGACTCGGGTCCTTCAGGGACGAAGCCGAGAAAGAGGACATTGCGGTTGTGTGGCTGTGATGTCGAGTGTTGGAACAAGTTGGTATCGTTGTTGTTGACACAGCGACGACAAGACAAGTGTACTCATAGATGAAACACTCGCCCCAGTCGGTCTCACAACATATATATCATGGTTTTTTTGATTGTGCTCGTTCGCTCTTGTCGGTTGGTTGGTGAGTAACAAGGAAGCCACTCTATCACGGGGTGGAGCGAATCATATGTTCCTCTTCCTTCCTCTTCTTTTTCTCTCTCTGTGGGCAAGAGGGTCCTTGACCAGGCACAATATCTACTGCAAGGTACGTGTGGAGTTACTCCCTGCTCTGGGTGTGTCTTGATACGAACTAAACCCTGTGGCGTAATTTTACCCGACCCCTTCCCCCCCCGACTCTTTTACGAGTGAATTCTCGCACACACAACCTGTTGCACCGTACAGCTTGACAATGTCCCTGACTGCTGACCGGCTGGGTAAGATGCAGGAGTGATGATTCCCACAATTCACTCCTCTGGATCATCATCAATCTCCGCTTGGATAGGCTTTCCTCGTGGGATCCCAAAATGGCATCTGCCATCGTCGACGTTGCCTGTGTCTGTGCCTATGCCATCGTCCCCTTTTGGGTTGCTCAGTTTCATTCCGTCTACCGCCTCAATTCCAGACTTGAGTGTCCGGTCTTATACAAATTTCTTCTACCCTAAATCATCGTAGTCGTCTAAGTCAATGAGGAAAAGACTGGTGGGGCCGCTTTTGTTCGAGATTGACAGTTGTGGTTGCCCAAGTTCTATGTCTCTCTGGTACTTGTATCTGACGTTGAATATACCGTCTGAGTTACCCGATTTCATCCTTGTCACCGGTCAACCACAATACATCCACCGAAATGACAAGTGTTCGATTTCCTCCATTACCCAATTCAAAGACTTCACAATCATGGAATCAGGCGGCCCAAGGACAAGCAATGTCGTTGCAGATTGAAGACTACTCGCCGGCCAAGCAGTGTCACGCTTCGTAGGTCCTCTGCATGTCTGCTCAATGACCTTTCAAATCTCCTTGGCCAGCCTCAACGGTCTCGAATTCTTGGGTGTTGTTACTGGCAGTCGCGTGTATACCATCAAACACCACCTTTGGACCGGTAAATGTCCTGCGCTTCCCGAAGAACCAACTCAGTCCAATGAAGAAAAGTGCGCCCACAGCAATCACACTCAGATAGTTCATGCTCTGAGCCTTTACCGGCAGGGCAGTGGGGAAGCAGAACCACACAATGTACATAGCAATCCAGAGACTGGAGAATATGTTGCAAAATAACCCGGTCCACTTTCCCAGCGCAAAAGGTCGAGGTGGCAAGATCTTGTCACGGCCACGGATCACAACGATAGCCTGAGGAACCGTGTATGTGGCGTTCAAACCCAAAATGGATATCGAGAGGAAGGAGTTGAATGCGGTGGTGGACCCGATGTAGATGAGACCGTAAAAGATGGCGAAGACACAGGTCAAAACCGTCGCGTTCACCGGCACCTGCAATGTAGGGTGGACCTTGCTGAAGAATTTGCTGTATGGTAGGCCATTGTCTCGGGAAAAGGCCCAGACCAGGCGTCCCGACGTTGCGTAGCAGGAGATGGTGGCCGAAACGTACGCCAGAAACAGCCAGACAGCAAAGAAGAGAGCCACCGGATCATTGTGGATGGCCTGAAAATAAACGGTCAAGTACGGTGACGGGCTACTCATGACCGCATCTAGATCCGTGGCGGAGAACAGAAACGCGACGGTCCATACGAAGCCAGTGATCATTCCGATGACCATGGTCAGGCCCATAGCTCGAGGAACGTTTCTCCTTGGATTGGGCATTTCTGTTTTGGGGGGGAGATCTCAGTCAGTCTCTGTCTCAGAGTCCAGCTGGGACTCGAAGTACTTACCTTCAGAAACATGGGTCGCCGCGTCAAGAGCAATGAAAGCGAACATGCCCTGGCCAACGCCGATAAAGAAGGCAACTCCGTCGACCCAACCACTGTTGTTGTTCCAGTCGGCAAAGACAGTTCGACCGGTCTGTTTATGTTCGCTTCTTACCAGCACAGTAATTGTGGACACAATGAATCCGATGACGGACAACCAGAAACAAACAATCTCCGCCATAGGTAGTTGCTTGGGAAACAACGTTATCAAAGCCGTGGAGAGAATCGTAAGAGCCACGTAGATGAGGTAGATTTGCCACTGTGTGGCTGCGAAATCCGGGTGATAGACAGCAGCCATGGCAGCGACGGCTTGTGCACAGAAGATGCAAGAACCGCACGCAAGCATCCACCAGGAAAAGACGCTCACCCAGCCGATGGTGTACGATACTGCTGCTCTGAATCTGGGAGGCGCAACCATGAAGGAGAAGCTAAGAGCAGGTTAATCGAGTCCTCAATCACCTTTGGAGATGTTCGTACTGGTACTGTCCACCTGATGTTGGATATGCACTTGCCAACTCGGCGAGACCCAGGGTGATGATACTGCATACCACAAAACCAATCACCAAACTCCACACCACGCATGTTGCTCCGCCTGCAATAAGAGGGATGGCGAACACGGCCGAGTATGCAATCCAAGAGTTGGTGATGGTGAAGGCAAGAGACAAGGTCGACAAGATGCCGAACTGGCGTGGTAGTTCACCTACGTGGCCTTGAGCACGAAGTTCAAGTTCGTCCGCCGATAGGTTCTCAGGGTTGGAGGCCCCGACAGCCTCAGGCTCGATGTTGGTCGGTGAAGGGCCCATGGTATGACCGTTTGTGTGGTAATGTTGAATAGTAGAAGGAAATTTCTCGTAGAGAGGTGAGGCGCCCATGCTCACGTCCCTGGTGTCTTCCTCATGATTATATGCGAGATAACCTCTCGCGTATACGTCGTCCATCCTCCTCAGTACCGTTCATTCTCATTTCAGCAGAGAGGTTTGTGGAGTCCGTGTATCTGGGGAAGATGAGATGAATTTCGCGGCAGCAAACCCATTGATGCCCACTAGTCCCTAAATTGTTAGTTTAAGCGGCCCTTATCACTGGGCGGTGATTGACACGGCAGAGACTCCGGAGTCTGCACAAGAGAGCCCCACTTTGCAACCCGGGGAAATGACTAATGCCGGCTATCTAGGCGATGGTGACAGCTTGGGGATCTCTAGGCTTGGTGGTGGCTGGAAAGCCTGTCTCGAACGCCCGCCTAGATTTTCCTGTTCTGGGTTGTCGAGCCGTCACAGTTTTCCAAGTTGCCCATACTCAAATTGGCAATGTTGGTAGGATGGACAGGCATGCATTTCCCTTCTTACCGGCATATGCGAGTGTGAACAAGGAATGTTCGATACGTTGGGCCGTCTGCGAGGACATCGAAAGGACTGTGCTCCGCTGGATTGGTGGACCGCCAACGACACAATGCACGCTGGAGAGTGTAAATATATAGTACTCTTCGTGGGCTTCCCTGCAGAAGACTGACCCCTTGATGAACATTCCAGCCTTATGAATTTGTATCGGGAGCGAAACTTCTTCTTGTCATGATGACTGTCGACAACAAAACCACAGAGCTAGACACCCTTGTGGTGGGTGCTGGATTTGCCGGCATCTATCAATTATATAGCCTTCGCAAGCTCGGATACTCGGTCAAAGTCATCGATAAAGCCGGGGGTGTTGGCGGAACCTGGTACTGGAATAGGTACCCTGGTGCCATGAGCGACAGCGAAAGCTTCGTGTTTCGCTTCACTTGGGACAGGGAAGACCTGAGAACCTACCCATGGACCCACCGCTATCTACAAGGGCCGGAAATCTTGAAATATCTTGAACACGTTGTGGACAGACACGACCTTCGCAAGGACATCCAACTCAACACCGAACTGTTGAGCGCAGATTGGGATGCTAAACAAGACAAATGGGCCGTGACAACCAGCACCAACGAAGTCTTTGTGGTCCGTTACCTGATCACTGCTTTGGGGTTACTTTCCACCGCAAAACTGCCAGACATCCCAGGGTTGGACGAGTTCAAAGGACAAATCTGCCATACTTCCCGCTGGAGAGAAGATTTCGACTTGAGCGACAAGCGTGTCGGCGTTCTTGGTAATGGATCCACGGGAGTGCAGGTCATCACCGCCCTCGCCCCCCGAGTGAAATCGTTAGTCAGTTTCCAGAGATCTCCTCAGTACAGTGTGCCCAGTGGCAATGGACCGGTGACGCCAGAGTATCGCCAGTGGCTGAACGATCATTACGACGAGATCGTGGAGAGCCTCCCGAAAACTGCCACTGCGTTCGGGTTCACAGAGTCAACGACGCCTTTCACTTCAGTGGATCCTGACAAGCGAGAGGAGGTATTTCAACGTCTCTGGAACAAGGGCAATGGGTTCCGCTTCTTGTTTTCAGAGTTCTCGGATATTGCCACCAGCAAAGAGGCCAATGAAGCCACCTGTAGCTTCATCAAATCGAAAATTGCTCAGATTGTCAAAGACCCAGAAAAGGCCAGAAAGCTGATGCCACGGGAACCGTACGCTCGACGACCTCTCTGCGACAGCGGCTACTATCAGCAGTTCAATCGCCCCAATGTCGATATTGTTAATCTTCGAGACACCCCGATTGAATGTTTCACCTCAGCAGGTGCCAAGACAAGCGACGGTGAATTTCATGAGCTGGACACCTTGATCCTGGCCACTGGGTTTGACGCTGTCGAGGGGAGTTACACCAGGATCCGGCTTCACGGACGATCAGGAGAATCACTCGCCGATCACTGGAAGAATGGACCAACAAGTTACCTCGGGTGCTTTGTTCCTGGGTTTCCCAACCTTCTCATGATTAGCGGACCTCAAGGGCCATTCGCAAACGCCCCTCCCAATGTCGAGATGCAGGTCAATCTCAACAACGAGCTGATCCAACGAGCGGAAAAACTGCGAGCCACGGGAAAGGCTGCGGTCATCGAAGCGATTCCTGAAGCCGAGGCGGACTGGAGCGAACATTGTAACGAGGTGGCCCAGACCACCTTGTTCCCATCTATCCCGTCGTGGATATTCGCAAACGTACCGGGGGCTCCGAAACCCATTCCTCGCTTTTATCTGGGCGGCCTTGCCAACTTCATCGCAGTTCTGGACAGCGTTGCCAAAGCAGGCTATGACGGGTTTGCAGCTCCTCTAGGAAACGGTCGGAAGGAGATCTGCAATGGCACTTCGAAGAATGGTTCTCTCGACGATGTCACTTTGGAAAACGGCACGGTCCAAGTTGCACTTGCCTGAAATGAATGTTGTACATAAGGATTGAGTCTGAGGCACATGTCGCGCCCGGATGAGTTTTTAGTGTTGGATTTAGTTCTAGAAAACCGAAAATAAAAAAGGAGACTTGGCCATTCGGACCAGAAGGCATCGAAATCGCTGTTTCGGTTGTTCTACATGGTTGTAGACTGAATGTCAGGATCTGGTTTTTGCTGTTAATAAATCTTACTCGATATCGAGATGGTGACTTGTAGAGCGGCGAGCACCCCCCCTCTCGTGCCTAAAAATCACCCTGACGACACCTTATCTTATAACTGGAAGATAAGTGCGGGGAAGGCCCACTAGGCAAGGCCTACATTGGGACTCATGGGCCCCTGTTATAGGTCTAGTCTGAGGTGCGCATAGATAAGAGCGGCGCCCCCATTACTTGGCTCGCTCCCCAAAGCGATAGCGGCAGATGGCTCGACCTCACTTATTCGATTTGTTATCACGTCTCGCTAGACACCCAGTCAGTTATTTCAACCCAATCCTCACCATCTGCTTGTTATACATCATCTCTACACGTGTTCCATCAGTGTTGAATTACATGGGATACACGCTCATGCATATTCGTCGACATGCCTCCTCGTTCTCGAGGTGAGTTTCCCGCCATTGAGACAATCCTCGACTGACCGCACTTCTTTAGCTGGCTGCCCACGATGTCGTTCTATGGTAAATATGTCCCTCTCGTCAACGGCTATAATGCTGACCGGTGCAGAAAATCAAGTGCGATGAGACCAAACCAAGCTGCAGACAATGCTTGAAACGCAACGTCATCTGTCCTGGCTATAAGCGTCATCTCAAATGGAGCGATAAACACGAAGTCTTCAACGCCTGGAGACCGAAACTGCATCCTCCACGAGACTCAGCACCACTCCCGCCCAATGCGGTCGACAGTCTCAATCCAACGGAACCACATTTACTTGTCGAAGCTTTTGAGCCAACCCTTGGAGATCAACCAGCCCAGATTGCTCCCATACAATCCCACGGCTCGGTCACGGACGCGAGGTCCTCATCCCATCAGACGCCACCTCAGCCCACCAACAACCCGGACCCTGTTGCTTTTTCCCCTGGCGTACATAACAATGACAACGACAGATCTACCGCAGACATACTGCGAGAAGATCTTCGCGAGTGGTTGACAAGCCACGAACCGATGACACTCTTGGAACAACAAGACTGGGCTTGGACGCTGGATGGACCAGGGTTGGATTGCGATCAACCCGCGACATTTGTGGCCACTCCAGACTGCTGGGATGCAGCCGCGTCGCAAGGGAGCGAGTTCAATCAAGCCTTGGTACAGTACTTCTTCGACAACCTATGTTGTATTCACACTGTGCTCGATGACACCGCCGAGCGTTTCAAAGTCCTCGTCCGTCGTTATCTCAACACGTCTGCACTCCTCCACAAGAGCGTCGTGTGTATGGCCGCTGCTCATTGCTTCCAAGACGACGAGTCCATGCTCTCCACATGCCTCGAATGTCACACTGCTGCGGTCAGGTCCCTATCGGAGGCAGTCTTCCAAATCGAGACGGTGCTCGAGCAATCGACGGACTCCCCCCCAAAGTCGGCACTGTCCGACAAAAGCATGCTGCGTAAATTGGAAGAGACTCTGTTGGCATCTATCATTCTTGGATTTTGCGCGGTAAGTGTGGCCCCTCTATCTTTTTTTGACTCTACACTACTAGTACAGCGAGCTGACATCGACAAGCCTTGGTCCGATCCACGAGACCTTGGTTTACCACATCTTCGCGGAGCGAGGAAACTGTGCGAATACCTTGTCAACTACGTCACCATGGATGGCAAGGAGCCGGAAAAGGCGCTGGTGAATACAGATCACCACTTCTTGATAGGCGCAATGTCATACTGGGAAGCATGCATGGCTTTTGTCGTGGATCAGCCCAAGACTGTGGTGCAATACCTGCACCCATTTTGTAAACCCACCAAAACCACATACATTCATATGTTTGCTGGAATCAGCCTGCCACTACTAGTTACGCTCGCCAGGGTCGGCATCTGTGTACGCCAGAAAAGGACTTTGCGAAACATGGTCGGTGTTGGCTGGAAGGACCGAGAGTCTTATCAAGTACTTGCTTCCGAAGTCACACAAGATGCAATCGAAGTGGCCGAATATGTCGTCGACTACCAAATCCCTGCTGATGAGACTTTCGACACGAAGACCCTCGGTTCCTCTACCTATCGGCAACTCAAAGCGTTCTCACAGATGTGTAGATTTGCAATCTTGCTCGAACTACAACGAAACTTCCCCAGCCTCCTGGACTCCCAGCTTGATGATGCCGATGCCTCCACACCTGAAAGTCGCCCTTTTCCACGAACAATAAGCCTCGATCGCTGGTATTTTGATCTCTCAGGAGCAATTCTCAGCCATGCACAAGACATCCCAGAGGGATCCACGTGTGGTTTGTATCAAACAATCCTACTGATCATCTGTGGGAGTGTACTACGGGCCTCGAAGGAATCAAAGCCCGCCTTTCCTGGCCAATTAAGCCTGCGTGACAAAACAGAAAATATAGTGTTATCCACACTTGCACGACAAGACGAGCTCGAAAAACGTCGGGCCTTTATTCGACGGCGGTTACAGTCGAATTGCTTATCATTCGGCTTACGCCAAGTCTTCTCCAGGGCAGAACTGCTTCTGGAGGATGTATGGGATGAGTTTGATGCTGGCACAGGCGAGGCCGATGACCTTCGCTCCAGTCGTCACTGGATCGACGTCATGGCAGATCACAAGTTGGAAACTTTTTTCGGTTAATATGCTCAGGGATTTTACTAATTATAGCCGTATACTGCCGTTTTATTCATTGTACTATTTCGTCAATGTACCAACAATCTAGCAAACCCATCCTCCGTCAACGTTATAGACAGCGCCGGTCACGAAGCTCGCCTCATCAGAAAGCAAGAAGGCCGCCACACGCATAATCTCACTCGGGGCCGCTTTGCGTTTTTGAACCTGGGCTCGGATCTCGTCCGAGTTCTCAACCGTGTCATTCGCCATCATCGGAGTATCCGTACAACCTATTGAGGGCAGTTTCGTCAGCTTTGCTCAATGACGCATCAACGACTTTCGACTTACCAGGAGCGACGCAGTTGATGCGGATTCCCACATGTTCTTTGGCTGCGCTACGGGTCAAACCAATAACAGCGTGCTTGCTAGCGCAGTAAGCTGAAAATGTCGGCCAGCCAATTTGCCCCTCAGTGCTTGCCGCCGACACCTATCAACGAGGTCAGCCAACATGGAATCATGGTGCACAGGATGTCGTGGTTTCTCACAATGGAAGCGCCATCTTTCATGACACGAAGCTGGGCGCGGATACAATTGAACACGCCCGTGGAATTGACATCCATGACAAAGTTCCAGTTCTCATCCGTCTCCTCCACGACGGGATTGACCCTGATGACTCCGGCCCAGTTGGCGGCTCCGTCCAATTTTCCAAACTTCTCAATAGTCTTGGAGATCCAGGAGTCCACAGACGCGCTTTTGCGCACATCGACAACTGTGGAGAGATGAGACGATGAGTTTTCCAGGGATTGAATCGTCTCAGCGAGGCCTTTTTCGTTGACGTCGGCCAACGAGACGAGTGCTCCGCGCTTGGCCAACAACTGCGCAAGAACACGACCTTGACCAGATCCTGCTCCAGTGATGGCAACCTGCCGTGTTGTCAGCAAGTCGAAGTCGACTTCCTCCGATCATGAACCATACCACTTTTCCTTTAAAGTCCGACATGGCACAGCAGATCTTTTTGGTGTTGGTCAATGTAAAAGTATCGCGGATGAAAGTAAGCAAATGATTCTTGAAAGGAGAAAGTCAAGAACTTGTGTTGTGTGTATGGTCGATTCTGGCTTGCTTTGCTGGGAATCAGTGATATCTAATATAAAGGTTCATTAGGAACCAAATGGATCCTTTAACGCAGATGAGCGATGTATGACCGGGCAGGCCTCAGAGAAGCCCTACCTGGCCCTACAATGAACACTGTCCTTCTGGACTACCCACAGTCTGGCCAAAGCAGTATCTTCATCCGCATGCAGTACTTCCCGCCCTGTAGGGGCCAGACTATCTTCTCCGAACTGCGGGGAGATGCACCGTCGTCAAACGAGAAATTACTCTTTGCAGTAAGCGGAAGCGTCGTTGCAGGACGGACCAGGTCGAGGTTGGGTGTACCCAGGTTGGACTGCCTCCTCATCTCTCTTATCACTGACCAAGGATTGGGTGAATTGGAACCACTCGAGATTGCGCATCCTCGTCCAAAACGTATCAACAGAAAAGGTCCCACACTTTTGGACATTGCGATATACCTACGAGCACAGTCGCTATTAGACATGCTGATCACAGGACAGACATGTGTGAGAAATCAGCACAGTCCACATTTCTAAAGGGCCGCTTAGGCTAGCCTAAACAGGCACATTTAGCCTTGGGGCGTTGCGCCTTCAACCGCCTACGATAACCACAAACCACCAAGTGCTCCTCTCCATGCTTTATCGCAGCCCGGCAGGTATTCGGGTACGCTTCTACGGTGCCAGGGTGAGATGATCGTCGAGGTCTGGAAGCTGAAGTCCTTCTCAATTATCAGGTGAGCATCGAGCCTCGAAATGCTCGACCACGCGCCAGGGTCCAAGTTCTGCTAGTGCATATTGAATGCCGTGCCTGGATTCGAAGGGCGCGTTACTGTTGCGATGTATCATGGCTCCATAATACGCTATTCCTCTGTGTGATGTTTGGTATAAGAGCCGAGACAAGGTAAAGCCAGCAGTGGTATCGAGTACCATTCATCGATCTCATACTCGCACTATCATGCCTCGCCGCCAGCTTCAAAAGTCCGACAGGATCGTCATCATCGGTGCCGGTGTGTTTGGATTGAGTACAGCCCTCCACCTCGCTCTCCGTGGCTACAAAAATGTCGTGGTCTTTGACCGACACGATTACGACGTCTCCCAATATGACTACCGGAACGGAGCCGATTCGGCCTCTGCTGGTCCGTTGAAACCGCCCTTGCATCTGCCGCTCGGCACGCCGTTACTGACCTGAGGTGAACCAGACATGAACAAAATCATCCGCTCCGCATACGGCTCGGCGGTCGAGTACCAGGATCTCTCCAAAGAGGCGATCGAGTGGTGGACCGCGTGGAATGACGAAATTAAGAATGCAAAGGATCTCCCGGCAGGACTGAGTCCATCGGACCGGGTCTATATTAACAATGGGACGCTGGCTTTCACCGACAAGGATGAGTTGCCCACCTTCGAACTCGATACGATTCGAAACATGAGGGCTGCCGGTCTGGGTTCCACGCAGCTGATTACTACCAACCCGGACGATGTCACGGCCGCTGACCGGCGGGGTTGGGGTTACGGAATCGACCCATTCCGCCGCAAGGAAAGAAGAAAGGCCAATGTCGGCGTGCTCGACACTACCGGTGGCGTGGTCGTGGCAAACAAAGCTTGCCGCTTCGCTCTTCACAAGGCCCGGACTTTGGGGGCCAAGTTCGTGTTCGACGAGCGAGCTGGTGCCTTTGAGTCCTACTGGCACGACAAGGACGGAAAAGTAGTGGGTGTCAAGACCCAAGATGGCCAAAGGCATCCTGCGGACAAGGTTGTCATGGCTTGTGGAGGCTGGACACCATCCCTCGTGCCTCAGCTTGACGGTCTTTGTGAGACGACGGCCGGGTCGGTCATCATGTTGAAGATCCCACCAGAGTCACCGCTCTATGATCGATTCTCTCCCGAAAAGTTCCCCAGCTGGATGTGGAAGCTGTGGGATGGAGCCGAGGGCGGTCTGTACGGCTTCCCTCGCGACGATCGAGGGTGGATGAAGATCGGATACCGAGGCACCAAGTACACCAACCCACAGGTCCAAGCGGACGGCAAGGTTCGCAGTGTCCCCATCACGAGGTATTCTCCCGGTGAAAAAGTCACGAGGATCCCTCAAAAGGCCATGCAGGTGTTCAAGCGGTTCTTGGGCGAGTACCTGCCCGAGCTGGCGGAGCACGGCATCGGCATCGAGCTCACGAGGCTCTGTTGGTACACGGACTCCTTTGACAACCATTACGTGGTCGACGACGTCCCAGGCCAAAACGCCGTCATGGTCGCCACGGGTGGCTGTGGGCATGCCTTCAAGTACCTGCCGAACCTGGGCAAGTGGATCGTCGACATCATGGAGGGCGTCGGCGCGGAGCGGACCCTGGTCCAGCGATGGAGATGGAGGTCCTTGCGCGCAGACCAGACACCTTTCAACGTCCTGATGAAGGGCAGTGACAGTCCGACCGCCATCAAGAATGTTTCATGGTCGAAAGATGCCGATTTGAGACCAGGCAATGGCTCTCGTTTGTAGATGACCACGCATCCGGAGTACTTCATGGAGAACTCAGGGGCTGTACCTGAATAGATATCTGTTTCATTGGCATTCGACGTGATATGACACAGTCACGCACGCGCTGTTGCTGGTTGTGCCCCAGGAGTAGATACACTCCTTCTTTGATTGACGTTAGAATCACAGGTTATGTCATATCGTATCATGGTCATTGGCTACAAGAAGTACGGGTTCGCCGTACGAGAACTTGCAGAATCAAAGTCTAAAGCGCACTCACTCGTCGATGAGCAGCACTTGTCAATGTCAACGATGTACATGTACATGGGCATACATATATACAGGTTTCGACTAATTTTATTTTTGAACCACCCGTGGTTCTCTCACCTCATCCAGTCAATGTCCAAATCAGCCTTGTACTCCCCTTCATCGTCTATGCGGCTCAGGACACTTTCCTCGCCCGTCCAAGTGGTGGGGGTCCCGTGCCTCATGCTAGAGACATCACTCCCGGGCTTCTCACTCCCATTGACACTGCCTTCTCGCAGGGGCAGGCCACCACTTTCCGTACTAGTACCCGACCGATGATCTCTCCACCATTTCCCGCTCTCCGTGACCACCCTCTCTTCCCAACCACTGACGGGGCCAATGACCTTGACGACCTTCTGACCGGCCTTCAACACATCCCGGCAGGGCAGGGACATGGTCATGTTTTCGCTGTTGCCGCCACCCGTCAGGTCGTTGAGCTTTTCCTCGCTGGCGGCGTAAAGGAGCCGTCCGATGTTACTCCAGTACAGAGTGCCCGAGCACATGGCGCAAGGTTCCCAGGTCGACACCAACGTGCACGCGGCCAAGAAGTTTTGCGAAAAGTGTATCGAGGCCAACCTCGCCAGTTCCGTCTCTGCGTGTTGTACGTGCGAAATCGAGTAGTGCGTCAGAAGAACGGTGGTGTTGTCAGGCCCTAAAAGGAGCGCCGCAAACGGTCTCTTTCCATGGTATTTGGTGGCGGTATTTTGCAAGCCTAGACAAGTCTCCAACGCCGCGTCGATTTGTGCTTTTGTCAACGGTTGAAGAAGTTGTGTCTGATGGGTGGTTGTGCTGGCCGCCGCCGGGTTCACCACGGCCCCACCAGACTGCGTGGTGGTAGGAGGTCTCGAAGCGATCGTCGGGGAAGGCGCAGTAGAGGAGGCAGAAGTGTAGGATGGTGGTGGTGCAGCATTGTTGGTGGATGCGGCACTGAGGGACGGGTTGCGAGTGGTCGCCGTGTGCGCAGAAGGCGACGGTGTCGGGCTCGATAAGGTCGCCGCGGCAGGTTTTCTGTGAACGGGGCTGGGTGAAGGCGTCGTCTGGATCGCCGGCTTCGAGTTTTGTGTCGCCTTTAGGAATGATTGGTAGCTCATACTGCTGGAAGTGGGTGCGTTTTCTTCCTGAGCTAGCTCAGAGACGGTCGGGTTGAGATGCAAAGTGGCGCAGATCAGAGATCGGAGGAAACGGGGGGGGGATAATAATGTCACTGTTACTGTCGTATGATGTGGGAACGAGAGACAAGAGACCCAGCAACTCGTTAACGATGTATCATGGTCCAGCCGAGAGAAGGTTACTGTGGTGCTGGGAAATATGTCTGGGGTAGATGATATCTTGGGTAGAGTGGACGTTTGGCTGAACCAAGCAGGCGCCTTCCGGATTGTATCGTAAATTGATAGCTATCTAGCTGCGGTCTCGCTGTTGAGCCAGTGACAGGGAAAAGGGAAAAGTGTTTCGAGGAAGCTGGGTTGATGATGATGCCTCGAAGATTTGGCCCGCAAGAAGTAGTAGAAGTCTCCATCATGTCTCTCTCTAGTCGGTAGATTCGTTACCGGCACGAACAAAGTCCATTCCAACCCAATTGGCATCGATGTAACAAGCTCACGCAGACAGACGGCGCCGCTTTTAAGCTTAAACGGTCAGCTCGCGACATGACCCTCTCTTGTCACCCTCTTCTCACCTCTTCTCACCTTCTTCTCACCTTCTTCTCACCTTCTTCTCACCTTCTTCTCACCTTCTTCTCATCCTACTAGGAACTGAAGCTCTCACGCACCCTTCATAGCGACAGTCTACTTTTACTGCAATTCCTTACTACTAGGCTCCGTCCTAAGATAACATCATAAAGATCATCCCGGACCGCATTTGAAAACGCCTTCGTTCGAAACCGGGGAACAAAGACTGCAAAGTTCCCTGTTTCGTAAGACCGGCACGACAAAGGATTCGTCCTGGACGAGTGAGGGAGACGCTCGACCGGGTTTGGTGCGGAACACGGTCGAGCGGCTGATCTTGTTCTACGATGCTCGCGGTTTGAAAAGGAGTCCGAACGTTCTCAGGTGGCCTCTGGGGCGAGAACCCACAACGGTAGATGAATGGGTGGACCGGACTTTACAGGACGCGAAAACGACCCCAAAATGATGATGCCTTGATGATTCTTGTATGGTTTATTTGATGAACTGATGAAACCTGGGACAAAGATCCTGATACCATCACTACACATATTTGGAGCTACCATGTGACACATATCTGAACCGGCCCATCAGTTCAGATAGGTTCCATTCTCACCGAGCGTATGAGCCCGTTGTGACCTAATATACTCGCTGATGCTCGTCTCTTTTCCTGTGCTGTCCAAGGCTTGATGTTCAATTTCAGATTCCCGTTCATGATAAGGCAGAGCTGTTCCGAATTTGTTCAAGGACTACGTGCGTTTGTGGAACAGTGTGGGATCTATTAGGTAGTCAGTCGACTTTGATGAAGGGGGAGTTTGATTGGTGTGTGGACTCAAACATTAACAAATAGACGTGTCATCCGGCGTTTCTTCCCTTGATTCAGTCTCTACCAGAAAAGACTATCTATATCTCTCCATTCGTCAGGCAGTCTGGAATTCACTTTGCACTTAGAGACCTCTTCAATTCCCAACTAGATCTTGGCCCACGGGCTAAGTCCAACTTTCTTGACGCGTAAAATGGTGTATAAAAAGCTCGAGACGCATGCACACACGCCCGAGAAAACCCAGAATCCGACCCAGTTGTTGGTCGGATGGTGCGTGGCTAGGATGGCGCCGCTTCCAGGTCCACCGATCAAGACGCCGAAAGCGACAAAGGTAAAACCCATGCCCATTCGCGTTCCGATCAGAGCCTTGTTTTGGGTCAAAGCGACGAAGCACACGGGGGGGAGGGCGATGTAGATCCCGTTGAAGAAACCGGCCAGGAAAGCCAGAACAAGAAAGCCCCCGGTGTTGACGACGGCGGGCATACAAAATGTCAGGATGCCAAATATTAGTGCCCCCGGGGCGATGAGGTTGATCGGTCCGGTCTTGTCGGATATCCAGTTTGGAATCGTTCTGCCCAGACAGGAGGCGGTGTTGAAAATCGGGAGGGTATAAAATGCCAACTTCGTGCCGGTAATGTGCTTGTCGTCCGGGTAAAAGGAAATGTAGAACAGCATGGAGATGACGCTGACGAAGCCGATCATAGTCGAGACGGTGAACAGGAGATAGTCCACGTCCCGGAAGGCGGTCCAGTCGATCAGACTCCGAATCTTAGCCGGTTGCACGCGCATCCGAAGGATGACGATCGGTAGCAACAAGGTCCCCAGGGCCATGAACGCAATCACCCGCACCGACCAACCAAACCCGATCGGGCCCAGGAGACGGTACAAGACGATGGGATAGATGACGCCACCCAGGGCCGAACCCGAGGACGCGATGCCCACGGCCAGCCCGATCTTGGACCGGAAATACTGTGGAAGCACCGCGACGCAGGGGACAAACAGACATCCGGCCCCGATGCCGGTCACGAACCCCTGGGCCAACACGAACTCCCAGTATTCCTTGCACACGCTGGTCGTCATGAGGCCGAAGATCACCATGAAGCTCCCGAACCACACCAGCGCCCTCAGGAAGCCTCGATCGTAGATGGGGCCCGAAACCAGGGCCACCACGTACACCAAGGCCGCCTGGATGGCCCCGATCCACGCGATATTGGACGAGGACTCGTTAAACAGCGCTCCCGACTCGTAGTAGGTCTGAAACACGCCGAATGTGCTCAGTAAACCCCAAGAGTTGAAGAACAGGACAAAACTGCCCGCCACTTGAAGCCACGCCTGCCATCCGCCGTCTGGGGGTGCGGCAGCCTGAGCCTGTGTGGGATTCGACGGCGATGCGACCTCAGCGACTTCAGCAGCAGCGACGGTTGAGTCCCCGGGACCACTGGTCTCCAGTTGACTTTCGTCCTTGTCGCTAACGGTCATGGTCACCGTCACCGTCACCAATTGCTTATGGTTCTCGAAGAAGAGAAGAGGACACGAGCGTAAGGAAGAGTGTCAGTTCCCATCACTCTGCACGAGGTCGACTCTTCGTAGCATATATGTAAGTAAAATCGAGTTCGGAATCAACGGAGTTCCAATGACCAAACCTCCACCCTTCGCCCGGCCCAACCCCCGTAGTTGGGATCATTACAGTAATGGTCGTACTCTTCCAGCTCGCACAAGAAAAGAAAAGATTTACCAACCCAAATTCCACCAGTTCTTTATCTTACAAAACACACATCGGCTCGGATCGGATTTAATCTTGAAAGAACAAAGGGGGTACTTTTTGATTGCCGACAGGTTCTCGGCCCGATGCTCAATCTCCGCCAAAGAGTAGGTTTGATAGTACCACCACAATGGACTAGCATATTATGTAGTACTTCACGAATTGTACGAGCGGGTAGCTGCAATATGGGCAGTGCATGTGTTAAAACACTACAAGACTCACCCTGCAGATCACACCACCGTCTTCTTCCACTGCCAGTCCGGGGTTAGTCTAGACTGCAACAAGCAATCAGGTAGAGGAGTTCAAAACTCATTTTAACAAAAGAACAACTGCCCATCCCGTGGTAAAATGGCATCTGACTACATGGATAAAGAACTGGCCTTCTCGATTAAGATGTACAAGCCGGTCCGTAGATCAGAATGAGCATACCCATTGTTAACATCCGTTGCTGATTCCCGATGTCATTGGTAACATCTTCTTCACATGCCTCCAGAGCCAGCCCGGATGAAAGAGCTACTTGGTTGCTAGTAAGATCGCTTCCTCGCACAGTTGTACCAGTATACACCGGGCTGGACCCCCATTTCTTAACGATGAATCGAATCCACCAGGGATCACCATCCGACTAGCAATCCTTGACAGTATGTAGGCGCCAAAGAAAGTGCCGCCCGAGCAATACAATTGGGTCCGAAACACGAATAACTCCACTAGGATCAAAGATTGGCGTCAAAACACAGTCCAGTGGGTGTTTGTTGGTTAACAGCAAAGGTGGAGGTTTACCAGCACTAGGAAATCCAGTTGGGACTCTAGTGAGGTGTACGATTAGAGACTGTCGTGATTTGTATTATATGCCCAGGGATGCCCGATGTTGCAGCGAGTCTCGAAATCTCTCCTCAAACACGTCTGTGACGGCGGCCAATCTAGCTCCCAATCGAACGTTTTTTATCATCTTTTTCGTCTGGTTCTCATTACGTACCGAGTCGGCTCTGCAGAACTTTGAGGTGTCCCTTTCGAGGACCTCGTGGCAGGTTCGTCGTCGACCGAACACACTCGACATCCAACATGGCACATGACCCGCATTTGGGCTGTTTGCCTTCACACTTTACCTTTTTATTCCGGTATCCGACACGGGCGAGGCCGGGTCCCTGCCGGGGAAGCTTCCCCGGAGGTTTGCCAAGTTCGGCCGCACTGACCGAAGGCGGTGGACGCTGCTGGTCGTCCATGACTTGAAAAGAACTGAGTCGACGAAAAGACAGATACCTACTTCGCGCGCCTACTACATACATATGAAACGTTCCTGCACATTTTGACCCCTCCTCCTCAGCACGACCGGGTCTTTCGGACTTTGGTGTGTATTCGAATGATCGAAAATGTTTCCATGGCCACGAACGAGCCCATGGTGCCCGGTGCTGCCCAAGAGCAGCTCTTGGCTACCGAACCCCTGCTCATGCACGGTGCTTGGAGAGTGTAAAATATCCAGACCGGTCCAGTCGTGACTATGGGTGTTATGTTGGCGGAACAGGTCCCCTTGCCGGTCCAGGGGGCGCTGAACATGGAGTTGTATGTGGTGTCCTCCCCCTTCTTCCTTCCTCCTCATCGTCATCCTTGTCGTCCGCGGAAATATAAGACTGATGCCCTGACACAGAGATCAGCTCTACTTTGAAAGAGTCCATCACTTTCTGCCGATTCTTCACCGACGTCGATACTTTAACTCGGCCCGCCGACCGACCAACTCTTTCCCCCACTGTCCCTCCAATACGCCATGTGGACCCTGGCGGCCTCGCTCTCCTACCAGGTCCAGTATCTCCGAGAAGAGAGAAGCGGCCACTTGCTGTCGTGATTGCCCATTCCGTCACCCTACGGCTTTGTAGCTCGCTGGAATCCATCCCACTTCCTCTCGCTGAATGTGCAGAATTTTTCTCCTCGCACCGATATCTGGACAGCTCTAATCCGAAGACCCTAGATATCAAGCTGGGGTACGTGCGGCCACTAAGCAAATTCTCAAATTAAAGAATAAAGACTTGTCCAAGTCCATCCTATGAAACCCCTCGACAACAGGGAGGGTGGTTAAAGGGCATTCTAGGCCAGGTCGAAATGAGAGAAGGGCAGCATTTCCTTCTGGCAATGTAGCAATGTAAGGGTGGGTGTTCTCTCTCAGGTCCTCTCGATATATCATCTCCTCTAGACGAGGTGCCTTTGTTTGCAATAGGAATCCAAGAAGAACTGAAATGTTTCCTGCTAAATTAAGACCTGGGAATCTCTGGCTAGACAGGAAGCACTACACTAGTCAAGAAATGGAAGATACTACCAATGAATGATTGTGTGTTTACGCACCATGCGCCAAATCGAGTCCGTTACAGGGTTTCTTCTTCACCTCGCTCCCAGAGAATATTTAATTGACAAACTCCGCTCGGGTGGCTGGTGGCCCATTCCTTGGCTGATGAACCCCCACAGCAGTCCTTTCGGTCTCTGCTCACATTATCACGCGCGGCGATCAACGGGCAATGGTGCCGGAGTTGTCTGCGCACTCGAAAACTCCGCCAATCGTACCATCAGCAAAGGCGCTGATGATCTGACGAATCATGGAATAGCTGCAGAAGACGGTAGTTAGCACCGACGAGCATCCAACGTGGCCAGGACCTTCACACTTACGTTCCGCCAATGACCATGTACACTCCAACGACGGCGATAAAAACGTGTAGACTGTAGAAAACCCTGTGACTCTTCCCAGTCTGGATCGACTTCATATCATACATCCAGAGCAGCACTGGATAGATCAGGCTGAAAGGGGCGGCGCATAGAGTGCCGGCGAGGCCCAGGAGATAGTTCAGGATTGGGACACACTCGCACATGATGAAGGCAAGAACACCCAGTGACACATTGACGCCGATCCAGGTGGACCAGTGCACGACGGTGTTTTTCTGCAGGTGATCGGAGTTGCGCAGGATGCGGACAAAGGCGTACTTGGCCGCGACGTGTTGGTAGATGCCGTTCCCGATGATCAAGCCGGGCAGAGCCACGCCGTACGAAATCTTCTTGAAGAGGGTGCCGGCGCTGCCGAAGACGGGCGTCGTGAGCCAGACACCACACCAGCGATAGATGACCAGGCTGATGGTGAGGTAGAGGATGGTGACCACGACGCCAGCCACGATGATGGCTTTGCGATAGTGGCTCGGCTTGCGCATCTCCGCAATGATCGGAATGTACATGGACGATCCGCTCTCGGACAAGAACAGATTGGCCGTGGCAACCATACCCGTGACAAAGTCAGGGTAGCTGATACTCCTCCAGCCCAGGTCGAATGGGCCCTCCTGGGGGGCCGCGGCGGGTCGGTCTTGCTGGGTCACGGCCACGGTGAAGATGAAGACGGCGACGAAGAAGGTGAAAAACCCGAACCAAGTGAGCCATCCCAACTTGGAGAAGGTGCGCACAGATGAGAAGAATGTGACGATGACGGCGGCCACGAGGTTGAACACCACTGTGCAGGCCCCGTGGTTGGATAGGGCGTTTAAGGCCGTTGATATGGACAAAGTCCCCGCCGCGGCCACCAGGACCTGTTGGAGGAGGAGTTGGAAGCCGACGATCTCTGCGCCAAACCGGCCCCAGAGAATGCCGAACATGTCGACCATGGCTGCAATCACCCGTCAGAAGGGAGTCTGTCCAGCCGGTCGAAACGGTCACGGGGAACACCACTTACTGTGACATTCTGGGTGGCGATGGCGGAAGTCGCCAATGAGCAATGCCGTGTCTACATGGCCCAGAGAGTCAGTCCAGAGCACTTGCAGACACTTTGTGTGATATTGACTGATCGCGATGGCTCAAGGACTCACAGGCGTTCAAAGTGCCCCAGCCCACGATCGAGAGCGCTCCACCGACGGCACCCAGAGCAGCCAACGCGCTGGGGACGGCCAGAATGCTCATGGCGAACTGAATCTTGAGGAACAGAATGGCGGCCCTTTGCCAACTGACGGTGCGAAACTCGACGCCATCGACGTGCGCCTTGAACACCTCCCGTGTCTCTCGCACCTCGCCGAAGTTCTTCAACCCATCGTCAGGGATAGGCTGCGCCGGGGACAAGATGTCGGCGACGACCGGGGAGGATTTCTCTGCCGTTGTTGGATTATCCATGGCTGTTGCATGTAACGTCGGGCAATAAGAACAAAAACGTGCCAGATGTGTGGGGGTAGACGACGCCTCCTGATGCAAGTGTCCTTTTGAACAAGATATGGGACTTTCAAGCAGGGCCCTATTCCCTGGCTCCCCTCTCGACAGACCATTATCTCGTTCGCTTCCCCGGACCGCGGCCCACCTCACCACTCTATCCATCCACCTTATCTTCACTTCCTGATCAGAGAAAGTACATGGCACGTGGTGGGTCCACTTTTTCGGAAGTCGAGATTATCAACGGAGTACGGGGTATATTACCACTTCGTAGGGCTCGGGTACCTTAGCCGCGGGCCGTGCACTTTCCACCCTTGCCTAGTGACGATCCCAAACCGGAGGACACCGTCGTGCCCAAACCGGGGGAACGTAGGCTGCGAAGGGATCGCCAAAAGAGAAATGGTTCTCACTTATCGTGAAGGCCTTTCAGTGTAATTCTTGAGTATTGTGCCAAACAATCACAGACTAGTACGAGCTCTTGGGGGAAAAGGAGGTATCCAATAGATATGCAAGACTTGGCATATCCAGTCCTACTACCCAAACGAAAGCAAAGCCGATTGGGAAATTACACGGAGTATCATATACGCCGCCCCAGGGGGAAGCAAGTGCTTTACAGGTCCCATATCTCGCATTATGCGCTGGTGAGGGATCTTTGTGTGTCCGTACTTATGTACGTCTCCAGACGAGAGGGAGAGGTCATGACCCTAGAAAATAACCTTGGGGGAAAAGGCAGGTTTATCCTAGAGCGGCCGCTGCTGGTCTCATGCCACTCAAGTTTTGTCTAGAATGTAGGAGTGTTCGGCTCCGACATTCTGAGTATCAAAGAAACTTGTTAATTAGGTGGACAGGCGGTTTTGGAATATTAAAGTCAGATGGGAGGAATAAGGTCACATTGATTCGGAATTTCTACATGTATGTACTTCGCGAGAGAATTTTAGATCGTCAGACATGATAACCAATGCTGCAAAGGCTGGCGGGGACCAAATGAAAAATTTTGATTCTCTTTTTATTAAGAAAACCACAGGCACCCGTAGACACACGCGCGCACACACACAGAAGGCCTCCTCCTACGCACCGAGAATACCACTAGGAAGTCTCAGGCCCTTGGGTAGTCCATTCAACCACGGCTCATTGAATGGCTCGTCCCGGTGTTCGGCCAGCCTCTGTTCAATGTCCTTGTACATGTCGTAGTAGTTCATTTCTTCGATGGTCAGCTTCTCCTTCTCGTTGGCCACGCGGTAGGTCTTGGTGTTTGTATTTTCCGACAGGCCGATGCGCTCATTCATGTTCTTGGCGGCCCTGGAGGCCGCGATCTGTACGCGCGCGGTCCGGGGCAGGCGAATGGTGTTGTACACGTCCAGGGCTTCGGAAATGTCGCCCCGGAAGTACTTTTGGCTGAAGAGGATGCCGAAGGCGGCGGCGTCCTCGATCGCCATACAGGCGCCTTGGGACTGGTGAGGCATCATCGGGTGGCCCGCGTCACCCAGCAGGGCCACCCTGCCCTTAACTATGTAGGGATATTGTTCGTGCTCCCAGATACGCCACGGTCGGATCTCGGTGCTGATCTTGAGATGTTCAAACACCTGGCGGTCCAGGGTCGGGTAGGGTTTGAGGAGTTCCTCGACCGGTCGGTCCGCGCCGCCCCAGCTATGGTTCATGTAGTCCCCTTCCTCGCGCGGGAAGAAGCAGTAGTACGAGAGGAGGGCGGCCTTGTTGGTGTCGCCGCCGTTGCAGGGGGAGAGGACAATCTTGTCCCACTTGTCCTCCTGGCCCCCCCAGTACTCGAGCGCCGCGTCCTCGGAGTAGTCGACCAGTCCGAGCTTGATGGCCTGTTCGGTCGACACGTTCGCGTGCAGACAGCTGGACCCGGACGGCTGACGGTTGGGGCTGATGCCGATGAATCCTCGAACCACGGAGCCGATGCCATCGGCGCCGATGACCAAGTCGTGTTGTACCGTCTTGCCATTGGAGAAAGTGATGCTGCCAGTTTCGACGTCGACCTTGACAGCTGCATGGTTGACGAGAAGTTCGGCCGGCTTGCCGGCGCCCTCTTTTTGCAAGGCCGTGTCTTTCAACATGGTGTGCATCTGAGTGACATCGTATGAGCCTCTCACACGAGAGGAAAAGGACAGGGCGGGTGACGGTCGAAGAAACTTACCTGCTGTCGGTGAAACATATTGTACACATAACCCCAACGCTGTTCATAGTCGCTCAGATCGTACACGCTGATCGGTTCTCCCGTGCGCCAGTCTCGGTTGATCAGCTTCTTCAACACGACAGGGTCGCCCTTTTTGGTGTCGACGTTCCATTCGTGCAGCCATCGGGTGCCGTTGGCAGCACAGGATACCGAGGCGCCCACTTCACCCGCGTAGTCTGCCTTCTCGTACACCACCACATCGTGTCCAGCACGGCGCAGTGAAATGGCGACTGAAAAGCCTCCAATACCGCCGCCTACTACGCCGACGTTCAGCTTTCTCCAGCTCCCCGAGTTAGAATCAATAGAACCCATGGTTGATATATGTCATGCAGGTTGATGTGATGGTCACAGGCAGAGTTGAGAGGTTCAGTTCATAAAAGGTCTTTCCTTAATAAATACTATCGTTGACAGGCGCCAGTGGCAAATTCTATCCATCCTGATATTCCTAAGACGTTGGTCAAGTAGGAAGATGTGATCCAAGTGGTCCGGGTGTGGAACGGCTAATGGTTCCGAGCGGAAAGGGTTCAAACAAGATGGATGGTTCTCTCCCGACATATAATCCTCCTGCCGCGTTTTGACCTACAGTATGTGTACACACTCGTACCAATTTTGGTGTGAGCGTATCGACAAGATGACACTCTGCTTTGATATTACAATAACGAGCGGCAAAGGACCTGCTCGGGATTGTCATTCCAAATCGAACCACTGTTGTATTGTGGCTTTGAAACGTATTCCATCTTGTCAAACAATCAACCATTGTCTCGTGACCATCAAAACCAAAAGGACCCTTCAGCTCCATCCTAAGAAGTGTTGAAGCTGTCTCTTACAAAGGGCGAAAGCAGGGTTCTAACATACAAAGCACCTTCGTCCACATTGTGGCCTGTCACCAAGGAGCTTTGATTGGCGATGTTAGGAATGTCCGAGACACGTTCCTATCGGTCCTTTAAAGACTCATCCGGGCCAGATTTTCCGTCTAGTCTCTCTGTAAACTATAGATCACTGTCTGGAGAATACTGATAAAGGCCTGCGAGGATAAACCGAGCATGGCCACAACATGATACTTCTCAGGTTGCAGTCTGCATGTGTAGGAAAATGCTCTCGAGCCACTGAAGCATAAAAACGCCGTCCTAGCTTAGGGACAAAGAAACGCCACCTCGTGGACAAGCCTGACTCCCTTGAGTTATCTAACCAATGATTGTTTCGTGATAAACTCAAACAAAATGCCCCCTACAGCTGCTATGACAAGCGCGCTTGAAGGCTAATCGCACCTGAAGGGTACAAGCACTAGGGCCAGTGCAGAACTATATGTGGGCCTGGTCCCTCCTTAGCAAGCGAGACCTTCCCGTCGATGATGGAGCTGTCAACCCTCATCTCCTTCGGTCTCCGCAATCAGCAATCAGCAATCCGTGATCAGTAACCAACAGACTCCCACGGTCTAGAAGTTTCATCTTGGTCTCCCGCTGCAGAGTTATCCAGGTTGACCGACCATCTGATCTTGTCCTTTCCTTGCTGCTCGCCATCTGGCGACCACGTCAAGCTGTAAGTATGCCTCGAAATAGAGTAAGGCCTGAGGATCGCCAGCGGTCTGTCCAAGCATGTGTGGCTTGCAAAACATCCAAGATCCGCTGTGACTCCCAGCTACCATGTTCCTCATGCGTCAGCCGTGACCGTGGTCACTCGTGCAGCTATTCAGACAGTAGACGAGCCCACCGTCCCCCCTCTGAATCATTCAGACCGTCCATCTCAGGGTCACAATCGACCACGATAGACACCGGAAATGGCGGTCTCGGCCACACCCAGATTCAAACCCCGAGTGTGTCGACCACCGCTGCTGAGCCCCTGACACCCGGCCAGAGCCCTGATTTCCGCATGCTGCTCACTTCCAAGGGCGAAAAGGGTACTCCAGATCAGAGTCGGGTCGTGAGTGGCTAACTAACATGTGTCTCAGTGTACATTGGGGCCACGGCCTCGTTATCATTTCTGCAATTTCTCCGAGAGAAAGTCAGGCAGTGCATCGGATCGACCGACTTCACCGATGGACATAGTAACAATATCATGTTCGAGGCCGAGCTTGAGGGGGATGCGACCATGGTCGTTGACGAAGACCTGGAGGAAAGTCGTCCTCTCATCGAGTGTTTTCTTGAAGCTGTGCGTGGGCGTCGAGCTGACTCGTGCCTTCTTTCCCTCGCTAACGGATGACAGACCAGCGGCATTCTCGATGTGTTCTCATCAAGTGAGGTAGAGATGCTGTGGCGACAAAGCTGTGAAATCCCTGCTGGCTCCGTGAGTTCGTCACCGTCCGTGGAAGCCGATCTGGCCCCCTTGTACATGGCCATTGCCATAGGGGCTCAGTTTCGTGCTTCCTCCGACGCAGATCGACACCTGGCCTCCTCGTATCTGAGGAAGGTCCAGAAGCTAGCTTTCGAAGGCATGCTGTACGACACCAGCCTCAGCATGGTCCGGTTGTTTACCTTGATGGCCTTCTACATGATGGGCGCCTGTCGTCGAAACACCGCGGCCATTTACTTGGGCGTTGCATCCAAAGCTGCCGTCGCCCTTGGCCTGCACATGACCACCGCGCGAGGCGGCATTCTGGACGAGGAGCATAGGACCAGGTACGTTGGTCATTCGACTCGTGTTTACTCGCTCACCACTGCAGATTACGGCTCTGGCACAGCTTACGGACACTCGACACGGTCGCCAATTCCATTCTCGGACGGCCTGGAAGCCTCCCTTTGGTGCGGGTTGATTATCTCGAGGGATCTGAAGCCAACCAGATTGGAAACGGTAACCAAACCGTTCAAGCAGTTGCGACGGCGTGTTCACTCTTGGATGAGATCATTCAGAACCTAGGCGGCGTCAACAAGATTGACATTCTTCAAGCCGAGGAAGCCCTGGTCAAACTGCGAGCGTGGAGCCGAACGCTTCCGGTTGACCTTCGTCGATTTCCTTGTCATGACAGCGCTTGTGCGACTTCGGCCGATCGTCAGTTCGCTTTTGGAATCTTACACGTATCCTGCGTGTACTACTTCACGGTCATTCTCGTCACCCGGCCGTTCTTGACGGTAGATCTCGTGGGCCGACTGAAACCCAAACCCCGATATCCCTCGACACATCCGGCCGATCTAGTGGTTGCATCCAAGGTGTCGAAATTGTCCCAAGTTTGCCTCACCTCTGCATTGTACATGGCGGAAATTTGCGACAAATACGCCTCGTCCTGCCTTCTGATTGGCAACTTTTGTTTTGTGAAGTATGAGTCCCCTCTCCTCTCAACTTGCGCAGGAAAATTGATCTTGATCACAGAGCCTGGGTCTTTGGCGCAGGATTGGTCCTGGGCTTCGCAATCTTCGCCGGTGAATCTCGGTCCGACATCAAACATGGCTTCACCCGCACCTGCGAAGTTCTCAGGGGCCTGGCTTGTATGAGCCCGCAAGCCAAGCACTACTTTGAGATTCTTTCTCGGTTTTCCGAGGATATCGGGAGGTACCGCCAGAGAAGGGATCTTGAAAGGCGCAAGGTTATTGAACAGTACCTAGACAAGATCCTGGACTTGGACGTCGTTCAACCTCTAGAAAGCCAATATTCCCCTGCTGGCCAGAGTTGGGCCACAACAGGGGCTGGTCGCCCAAGGCACGCGATGACAATGTCTGAAACAGAGCCGTTCAACTTCGACGCACTGCTCGACATGAGCGCTGGTGGCCCCGATGTTCCCTGGGATGACATGAGTCAGCTGTCGGCGGCGAATTTGCCGGACTACGACCCGTTCAGCATGTTTTTTGACGGCACAGAATGAAGACTATACCATCTGTCTTACTAGACATGGAAAGGTCGGTAAAATTCTCGAGCTTAATTTACAACGAGCCTAGAATCAAGGGACTCAGAATCAGTGTTGTATCTCTAAGAGAGTGTCTGCAGTAAGATGACCTTCTTGGAGTTTGTCGCCATACGACATGTTCATGGTCTCAGATAGGCGATGAGCCGAAACAGGTGAATTTTCAGCTGGCCCACGACAGTACAGTCCCTATCATGGCATCTCGAAAAAAAGAAAATACTGTCCGTGAGATGAGCGTATGAGTGCCAACGAAGAGAGTGTGCAGTCAATAAGCCTGTCCACTGCTTCATCGGCCCATTCACACTCATTATCCCGGGAACAGTCAAGAACTCGTGACAGAGGAGTAAGTACCCTCCTAACGCGAGTTCATATCGGTCTTTCCCTCCCTCACCCCTGCGCTCGACCGTCTACTGGGCTATGCGCGGTCCATTTTTCACTGATGGACCATATGAATGTTCCCACACATGGGTTGTTGCTTGTTCGAAGCATACCTTTGTCAAGGACATTTTCTCCAACGATTTCATGTCTGGAGGACACGAATCTAGACCTCACGAAGACGATGACGGCGAAAGGTCCCTTTGGGCACGACGTTAATTTCAAGGTTCAAGGTGCATATTTCCCTTCTTCCAAGCCAGGCCTCGTGGTTCTACGTGCTAACAACATATCAGGGTATGGTGCTGAACAGCCCATTGGTCCGTCAAACCCGTAGGAAGATCAATCACCTTGCTCCGGTGATTTCGCCTGACATGAACGATGCTCATATCTTATTCACCAGGCCTATTATAAACACGAGAACACTATTTTAATGCCAGCCTCTCCTTTGGGCATCGGCGCTGCCATTGAACTGCTCATGATCTGCAACAAATTCAGAAATCGCAGTAGAGTTCCTGGGATGAATTGTCAGCATGTTTTTTTGTAGCTTTGACAGCTTTGCACTTACCGAGCGACATATGATTTCTTCGTGATTATAAGCGACAAGGTATCTTATCCAGTTCTGCTCTAGACCTTCCGCAGTGGTCGGATGGGTTCCTCAACAAAGCGATCTTTGCGTCTCGGGTAGTTGGAGTCGCTGCTGCCAGGGCCAATATCTTGATCCATTGGAATATGCGCTTCATAGACAGACTCGCTCATCCGACGCGGCCAACTAATCAGCTGGCGACGTGCGTGTAAGATGTAAATCCAGATTGTGCATATGTATTGCTGATGGTTGGACTCAAATCCATTCTAGCCCAAATCCCTCGCACCTTAATATGAAAAGGTCAGAGGGTGGGCATAGAGCCGGCAGCTTCTCTCGTGAGGGAGAAAATCATTTTCTCAACATGCTTAATGCAACTCAAAACACCAGAATTTCGAGCCGGTCCTGCGTGCTGTACCGAGTTCGAAAAGCCTCCAGATTCAGCAATGCCTGCAGCGGTTGAAACAGTTCACGCATGCCAAATATATTCCTCTTCTTCTCGTCACAATAAGACCCATCCACCACTATCCGCCGAACACTGCCTGGCTTGATTGCCCCGGCCGCTATCACGTCCATGATTCTTGCAGGTGTCCCTATGACAATCCCCACTTTGTTTTTCTGCATATATTCCACGTTCTCCTGGAGTTTCATGTGCTTCGCAATAAACTTGGCCACCTTGGACTGCTCTGAATTGAAAACGCGCAATTCTCTGTAGAGGTCCGCCGCCCGTATTCCCGAAGGAGCAATAACGAGCGTGTGTGGCGCTGCCTCGGCGTCGCACGCAGTCAAGACTGTTTTGCCATTCTCTGTGAATTGCTCAAGAAAAGCCCCGAGTCGGCCAGTGCTATGGATTCCGGCGAAGCTGGTGGTATCTCGGAATGCCTTTGTTGGGAGATATTGTTCTTCTAGCTCTATAGAGCTGCTTTTCGGGTTGTGCTTTCGCATCGTCTTAGCACAATGATCGGCGAGAAGCGCAGGATCCATCATCGCAATGGTCTCATCGACTTCGGTAGGCCTGCGAGGAGGAGGAGGTTTCGAGGCCTGTCGCTTCGAAGAATGGTCATTCTCGGTTCCGTCGACGTTTTCAAGGCTTCGCTTCTTACTGCCCTGTTCGCGAGCACGATTTTTTGTTCTTGACATTGTGGAACAGGTATTGGGGTGTGGGGAAGGAGTAATTCAATGCGCGTTGAAGAAAATAATTGATTTGGGCACTCGATTTACAAAAGTCGCATATGACGATCGATTAGTGGGGCGAGACCGAATAAAGTAAGTATATTTATTAGTCCGGGGAAGACATCGACATGATCAACTTCGTGCAGAGTGCGAGTCACCGCGCTGCTCTAGGATAGATAGATACTTTATTTGTTTTGCGCACTTCCGCAGTTTCATTCTTACGACCCAATGCTATTTTATGATTCCTCATGATTCCGTATCATGGCTGAATTAGAGCTCGCGGAAGATGCATACCATCACACGCTGACTGCTCGTCCTTATTTGTTCCCTATCGATGGCCGTGATGACAGATTGGCAAAGATCGTTTCACACTTACCTGAACTACCCGTTGAAATTCGCTGGAGGATCTATGAGCACGCCTTTTGGTCAAATCGCGTTTTCGTCTCGAGCACATCCGGCTGTTATTGTGCCTCCGATTCCAGAGGGCCATACCGAGCAGATCACCAGTGGCTGCTGAACGCCGACATGCCTACCCAGGTGCGCCACGAGGCACGAAGGGCCTTTGTGCAGCTAGCAATCTGGGAGATCCATTGTCAGAAAGCTCTAGATGTGTTTACGAATAGGATGACCGCCTTGAGGCTCGTTGAAGGCGTTCGCCATGTGCGACTAAATGTCTTTGAGGAGGAACTGAATTGGGAGCTGGATCTGAGACCCTTTCGAAACCTGTCGACCGTGACGTTTTCCCCGTGGCAAAAGGGCTGGACGCTTACCATCCCTGCGCAAGCAGATTCAGAGCTGCTCACAGACGGAAATATCTCGCGACTTCTATGGGAAGTATTGCTGTCGAAGCCAGCCTACAACGCTCTCTTGGAAAGCCTAATGCAACCGCGAAACTACGCTACGCTTTTTGTTTTTCCAATCCGATATCATCTACCTCCTAATCCAGGTTCTGGAGCAACCCTGTGGCAGTTAGATGTTTGGCGAGCCCATCTGGACACAGGAATCATCGATCGAACTTGGCGAGAGGTTTACCTACCGCAAGAAGCAACGTTAGATTGAACTGGGACAACCACTTTCGTTCGAGGGAGGCAATGGGCCACGAGGAAACATTGGCCTGTCTCATGTCGATGTTGAAAACGCAGTCCATACCGATACCGACAGGAGATACGATGCAACAACTATAATTACAATGGCAGTGGATTGCCTATGAGATATGCTTGGTTATCTCATGTGCGCCGACCGGAGTGAGCGAGACATTTGCTGCGGAAATGTCTCTGCGCAATTTCGGACTATTCACGAAGAGTCGTGTGCCCCTATAAGTCCTAAAATTCTACAGAGAACAGATATGACCATCGTAAATCTGTTCAGGAGTCGTTGTTGATCACCGCTTTCCGATGTCAATCCACTATGAAGACCTCCACCGCCGTCACACTTCTTTACCTTATCAACCACTGCTACCTGTCCCGTTGTCATGCCACGGTTCATGCAAGTCGAGAGACCACGTTCGTCTGTCCCAACGGCAGTAGTCTCTGTCTCTATCTAGCTGGGGCAGGGTGCGTCAACTCCACAGCTGGGGATACCTGCTGTGTAGATGGTAGCGGTATATTGTTCTTCCTTGCTTGCTCAACATTATCAGCTAAAAATTCATCGCTAGGAATTTGTTCCGGTGGCCTGCAGTGTGGAACTGGAGTGGCTCTTAGTCGATGCTGTGAAGTGGTAAGTGCTCAAAACGAGGAGAAACCAACCTTGTCAGCGTGCAAAGCATCGGTCTCACAATGTGAAGGGAATTACTCCGACTCAGTGTGCGCAGGCTACACTCGTAGGCACCGCAATAACGGCAGTGTCCCCGATCATGAATCCCCAGTCGCCACCAACAGCCGATGGGTTCAGCAATTATGAAGCATTATGCTTGACATCTGTGGTGTCTGCGATTGTGATTGGAAAGTTATTGAGGATGTTGGTGTGAATCATGTACCTAGCCTAGATTGTCCATTCCTGAAATACGTGTACAGGCTTGGACGGGACATATCAACCACTCTGGCGCAGGGTAAAAGGCCAAAGGAAATAATGTTAGCAGATGCGAATGAACTCCAGCGAATTGATTCATGTACCATCAGAATCCCACATGTAACCCTGACATTGAAGGCCAGCAGCTCAACTACCACGGTAGCATACTCTAAGACCCCAAACTCAGGGTTCCTCTGCTACTACCTAAACTACCTAGGTACCTATTTGGCGGCTACGAAAAGTCCGAGATTCAGCCCACCAAGCCCCGCGGTAGGATAGCGGGGATGCCCTCTGGAGTCTGTACTTGCCCTGGTAAAGCGGCCCTTCTTACAGCCCGAGCGAGGCCTAAAAGTGCAGCTACTCTAGGTAGAATTCCTCCTCAGCCAGCCTTATAAGGCTCAACCATGCCGAGGTCCGTATTGTACTCGTACTCCGAATCGTCCCACCTGCACTTGGTCCGCCCGTGTTCACACCGAAGCCTGCAACTTTTTTTATTATATTGCCGAGTAAGAGAAATCCAAACCCACCGAACTGAGCGCGATTCTCGGTCAGCCGGATCGGCAACAAGAATGCAACAAGAACCAGTAGGCCTTGGAGGTTTCTGAGTGCAGATGCCTCTTTACTCGTGCCCAGACGACGAGACCTTGTTTGATTTTATGGGCGACTGGCTGGATTGACCGAGGCCGTCGACTATGGCGGCACCAGAGAGACCGTCGATGGACGTCGACATTGAGGATACGTCCGCAATCATCGACGGCGATGGCCCTGGCCGACCTCCTCGTGCGCCTCCTATTCCTGCATCTGTCAAGATCAACGTCGAAGGCGCATTTATCGTGGACGAAGATGCCAGCGGCAGGAATGGCGCAGGCAGCGAGTTCGTCCATTGGGAACGCAATGATATCCGACTTCCACACCACACGGATGTGGTCAGTCATGTAGCTGTCGATGTATGTATCCAGACACTGATGACACCTATCCATTCATCTCCTGACCTCTGTTAGATTGGCGGCTCTTTGGCAAAGCTGGTTTACTTCTCCCGCGAACCTGGTTCGACCCATGGCGGCGGTCGCTTGAACTTCGTTAACTTCGAAACCGATCGCCTCGACCTCTGCATCGATTTCATCCAGGAACTAAAGCAGACTCATTCAAAATTGAACGGTTCTGCTCCTCATCAACTGTGTGTCATGGCCACCGGGGGCGGAGCATTCAAGTTCTATAATAGGATGAGGGAAGTATTGCATGTCGATGTCATCCAGGAAGATGAGATGGAATGCCTCATTATCGGTTAGTTACTACTGTCTATCGCATGCCTGGGGCATTGCTAATCAAGGCTCAACAGGGCTCGATTTCTTCATAACGGAGATTCCTGGCGAAGTCTTTACCTATAGCGAAGACGAACCGATTCAATTTGTCGAGGCTCGTGCGGACGTCTACCCCTACCTCCTTGTCAACATCGGGTCTGGTGTATCCATGGTCAAGGTGTCTGGTCCCGGTGAATTCCAGCGAGTTGGCGGAACATCGCTAGGAGGCGGCACCTTTTGGGGAATACTCTCTCTGCTCACCGGGGCGCGAACATTTGACGAAATGCTCGCCTTGGCAGAAAAGGGCGACAACAGCGGCGTCGACATGTTGGTGGGGGATATTTATGGCACAGGATATGGCAAGATTGGCCTCAAGGCCACCACAATCGCAAGCACATTTGGTAAAGTATTCCGGATGAAAAGGCTTGCCGAGAGAAATGCAGAAGACGGAGAAGGACTCTCCAACGGCGATCCGCACGACGAGGATGAAGGCCGCGTGCAGGGTTTTAAAATCGAGGACATGGCACGAAGTCTCCTCTACGCTATATCTAACAACATCGGACAGATTGCATATCTGCAATCGGAAAAGCACAACCTTAAACACATATATTTCGGGGGATCGTTCATTCGTGGCCACACCCAGACCATGAACACCCTTTCATACGCCATCAAGTTCTGGTCCAAAGGCGAGAAACAGGCCTATTTCCTGCGACACGAAGGCTATCTTGGGTCCGTCGGAGCCTTTCTCAAGAGACAGCCGAAGAACTGGGGTCGGCGGAATAGTCTGGAGGACCTCAAGCTGGGAAGAGTGCTGTCAAAGGAATGAACTGGTATTCTGAAGTCAGCCTCAACATCAAAAGACCTGAAACCGGCGTCGCACTAACCGCTTGAGACTGGAACGTTTGATAAGAGCTGAGCAATGAGGCTAGTAGCCTTGAGTGAGACCGGAAGCACAGAAGAAAAGCAAGTCGAAGTGACTGTCAACCCAGCATGATAGAAGCCATGGCTCCGACAATGCGACTTCGGTATCTGTTCCTATCTTTGCGACTCGGAGTTGGTTATTTTCACTTTGGGTTGTCGCGAACATGGTGTTGGTGTCGGTTCATTGGTCGCTGTGATGGCACACTGTCACTGCGAGCGACATCTCAAAAGTACTGGGCTCGAGTGAGCCATCTCCTCAACACTTCCTTATTGATCACAACCCCTTCGGTCTCTCAGAACATACTATGTGAGTGTCAGACAGAAGGATGCCCAACCTCGATGCAAATTAGACGACTTCAAGGTATAGGTCCGCTGTGAGGATGCTAGAATCGATGCAGCAACAAGTGTCGGCAAACGATCTCGCCCGTCCCGCGGCCCCCTTTCACTTGTGATCTCCCGGCCAGGCGACGCTCTTCTTCTGTAGGGGGAACAAATCATGACAATTGATAGACTGTGTGGAGTGCAGAGGCTTGTTGAAGTTTCGTCTACTGCTGGCGGGGTCGGTCAGTCTGGGGTTAATTTAGGTCTGTGCATCGCATGGCTTGACCATGTGCAATGACGGATGCACGCACAGGTAAAGAGGCAGTACAAGTATGAAAAGTGATCGCACCTATTCCAGGTGCCTGAGGTAATTTTGATACAGAATACAAAAGTATTCGTACTACCACGACTAACCATTTGCTAGTGGTACTCTGGACTCGTGCTCGTACTCGTACACGTACTCGTAGCTGGCCCCCACAGGCTTGGTCCTTGTGGCTGGTGAAGTTCCTGCTGACGTCAACTTGGTGAGCGCAAGTCTCGCTTTGTTTTATTAACTCGGTAAATGGCTAAACAAGCCTATCGGCAACCATGATGCGACTGTCAACAACACCACCACCACCACTACTATCCGCACTCCCGTTTCGCTTTGCGAACTTACGCTCGCTTGTCGCATCCTTCTTGTCGCCAGTGCTTCGTCGAGTGATTGCGATATCATTCGTATTGCATCCCGTTGCGACCTGAGTTTCATCGCTGGCAAGCCCTTTACCCGTTCCAAAAACAAAAGCCTTACACAGTATTAGCGCCTGCGCATGGGTTTCGTACTACGACAGCGAACATCAACTATTTTGCAGCCAACGTCGCTCACTGAAAGTGCGCACTTTGCAGGGAAGAGTTGGTAGTCCTTGTAAGATTTTCAAACATGGTACGCGCGCAGTTTGGAGTTGGGTTGTGCGAGAGACGGAATCGCTGATAACGAGTCTGACAGTCACCCCATCCGAACCCGGCGTCCGCCCTCGATGCCGTAACGCCCGTGCTCGTTGCGAGACAGGCCACGACGACCATTGTCACCAACTCCTCGCCATCCTGCTCGGGCCAATATTCCGGCGGGACCCTCGCCGGCGCCATCCTCGGAACTTTTTTCGGGACAATTCTGCTGATATATCTATTCAATTCGTTAAACAACAACAACAGAAGAATAGGTCGGGAAGAAGTCGTGGTAGAGAGAAAAGTGCGGAGCAATGGCAGCAGAAGACGGCGGAGAAGTCGAAGTGGCAGTTTGTCGAGTGTACGAAGGCCGAGTAGGGTATACTCGACTGGTGGTTGATGACTTTTACTTTTGCCTCCTTCAGCGACACGACTAAGTTGTATTGGACATATGAATGAATGAGGGAAATGTTGTACAGATATCGGGCAGTTGCGCATATATTTTACGAAGGGTCATGGATTTCAGCACCAGTTATAATTCACTGAGACGCTACGTATGTCTGGGGACGTCAAAGTGGTTGTAAACAAACACCATGCTATACTGGGAGGCTGTGGTAGCTACGACTCCGGATGGTGCAAAGAATACCTAGGTACGGGGGCCGAGTCCGTTATCATATCACTATAAAAGTGTCTCGAGTGCGACACAGTACCTGGCAAGGTAGTATTGCTCGATATCCCTCACCATCCGCCCATGTCGAGTATTGGAAGAACTCGAGTTTGCGGATATGGGATCTGGTCGCTCGCCATCTCGCCAGGTGCTGTGTTCACACCCCAGGTACGGGCATCCGAGTGCAGAGTACGCACTCACTACCTCGCTAACATATTCCGTACGAAAAGTGTAGAAACATAAAAGTATTGTGCTGACGAAAGACTGCTTTGTTCAGGGGAACTACTCTCGAGGTAAGGATGGACAATCATGTGCCTTGTAACCATGGGGGACCCTTGCCACCGCCAGTGCGAAGACGGGCAAGCAACGAGCCGACCCAGCCTCGTTCAATACTTCACCCTAGTAAGCAGCCCGCCTGACCTTCCGGTCACAGTACCGAGTACACCTATTGTATCATACCCAGGCACGGGCCACCAGAGTCACCAGCGTAGCCCTGCCGAGGCCATTCCCGGTGATCCTGCCTGCGTGACTCCGGACTACAGTACATTCCAGATTCCAGCTTCAATCATCCTTATCATCGTCTAATCTTCGTGCTCGTATTGCACGCGACTTCAAACCTTTCTGCTGTTCATGCTACTCGTGTTGTTTTAGGCCTGGCATAGACCATCCGTCTCTGCTCATCAGGGACCACACAGCTCGACTGCCGGACGAAACACCGCCCAGCATGGCGACCAAAGCAATCATCCCCATCCTGGTGGGAATGATGTTACTGACGGGCTGTGCCAACACAATCCTCACCAAGTATCAGGACCAACAATGTGTACGCAACTGTGACGATGAAAATCCGCATCACCGCAAGACCTTTGAGCAGCCGGTTATCCAAACGTAAAGAAACTCCAGACTCCGGAAGGCGGAACCGAACCTTTGGCTGACGAGATAAACAGTGTACAGATGTTCATTGGCGAAATGGGCAGCTGGCTTGTGATCCTTGGTTTCTTCCTATATCGATACTTTATCCTATCTACCCGCGAAGCTCCTCTGCTCTACCAGCCCGTGAATACCGAGGAGCGAGAAGAAGACGATGACGACGACGTTACCGTGCGACCGACCTCGAGAAATGCTCCAAGCCCCGCGTTGAAGCCTCTCGTGCCGAATGCTGATGATCGAGTTCCATTGATGGGTTGGAAAGTGACACTGCTCGGACTCCCAGCTTGCTGCGACATCGCGGGAACCACACTCATGAATGTCGGCCTGCTATTTGTGGCCGCCTCGATATACCAAATGACAAGAGGCGCACTGGTGTTGTTTGTTGGTCTCTTCAGCGTACTATTCCTCAAGAGAAGACTCTACATTTATCACTGGCTGTCGCTCGTCATTGTGGTGGCAGGTGTCGCCTTGGTCGGCCTTGCTGGCGTCATCTCATCTGGTGACCAGAAGGCGTCACCTCCGCAGGATCCGAAGGAGACACTCTTTGCTCTGCATCTAGCGGTGCGATCTGTGGCTGCCCAGGCTGCCAGTGCAGAAGTCCTCAAGACTGTTGTCGGTATTCTCCTGATCGCTTTTGCTCAAATCTTCACCGCGACCCAGTTCTGCCTGGAAGAGTGGATTTTGGAACACTACGCACTCGAGCCACTCAAAGTAGTCGCTTGGGAAGGGCTATTTGGTTTCATTGTAACTGTTGTTGTGCAGGTAATTCTACATCTCAGTGTCGGCATTACACCATCCGGGAGGCAAGGGTTCTTTGATGCTGAAGAAGGTTATCGACAAATTTTCACCAACAGGGCAATTGGAATATCGAGTCTCGCCATTATGGTGTCAATTGGCGGCTTCAATTTCTTTGGACTATCTGTGACGAGGAGTATCTCGGCAACATCTCGTTCAATCATCGATACCTGCCGCACACTTTTCATCTGGCTCGTCTCCCTCGGGTTAGGATGGGAATCATTCAAATGGCTTCAGGTGGCTGGATTTGCACTCGTAAGTGGCGAAAAGCATGCATGCGAGCTACTGCAGATAACTGACAACGTGTAGCTTGTTTATGGTACCTTTATGTTCAACGACCTCGTGAGGCCACCTATCCGAGCTCTACTTCCAGGAAGGGAGGAGGAACCATCAGAGCACACTCATTTGCTCCCAGAAGAGCCAATCGAACATATATAGCTCATCAATCTAATCCCGTTCCCCATCGAGATCTTCCACTTTCCCTTTGCATGTGGGATCCGATCAGTTGGCCAGATCATTGACAAGCCTAGCCCCGATAAGCTGATCCGGCCCAAGCTCAGCATGCGAAGACTGTACATATTTGTGAATTGTCCGACCTTCCACTCGACGCGAGTCTTTCAATAGGGACACTGATTCAAGTCCAAAAAGGGAGCAACACTGCAGGCTGCATTCTGGTGAGACGAGTTCAAATAAGACGAAATTTCTCCTACAATCGCCCCCCTTTAGGAATTGACCTGGTTTCGCGGCACGTTGTTTGCGACACAAGGGTCCAGAGCTGTGCTTCCACCATGCAAGGCATGACAATTAGAGACACTGAACTTCCGTTTAATTTCGACGATGGTGTCTACTGCGGTGCTACTGCTACGACTGATCGACGCTTGTCATCGGATGTAAAGTTGGCTTTTGACGCAAGGGATGCGTCTCCCACACTAGAGACACACTCAAACTGGCCGGATCCAGCTCCCCCCCTCAGCGGCGGGATGTTTTGTGTACCACGAGATCCTAGATTTGACGGGAAATGCAAGGGCAAACATGAAATTATGTCTGAGACAGGCGGCTGGTCGCACGGCTAACTCGACCAGACGCCATGACAGTTGAATTTGCAACACACGATGCGCGTTCTATATCGACTCGGCGTTCATGGCATTTCCTCTTCCCCTGCCTCCCCTGTTCCCCCCTCGACGGGCACTTTTTATCTATACTGAATCATTTCCCACATAGGGACAACAATGTACACATCAGGTTCTACATCTCACATGACTCTTGAGTCGCCCTCGAACCTGCCTCATGAATTATTTGGCCAACAGAGCGTTCATCCCTTCGACACCTCGAGCACACCCTCCGACGTGCGATGGTCACCGGCTGCAATTTTCGAAGCTTCTAGAGCGAACTCGGTCGGTGAGATCCAAAGCAAATGGACTTCAGGCCCGGTTTCGCAGGATGGCGACCGGATCATCAGTGCCCCCGATCAAAGCTCCTTTTCCGGCCAAATTGACGCAAACTCCGCGTACGAGCGATGAACAGTCACCTGCAACGCCGTGCTCGAGAGAACTTCGAAGATCGGGCACAAGCTCTGATGACCTCCGTGGACTTGCGCGACAGCATGCCGCCAGTACCGTCACGTCCCCGCTTCCGAGTCCCATCACGCACGACGCAAAAGACGAAACGGACTCATACTTTGGATTTTCTCATAGTCGAGCTGCAAGTCAGACCTTGAATGATGCTGTATTGGACAAGTTGCAAATATTTTCATATTATTGCAATGAGGAAGATACCATCAGTACGACCGGAGATTTCATGTGTGCCGAGTCAGTGACGGACGACAAGGCCGATGACAATGATGAAAGTACTGCGTCCGACTCCTTTCCAGTCACCCCCATCGATCAGACATCACATGCCTTTGTCTGTTCGGACGAGTCGGGATGGCTGGCGAATACAACATCTCACGATGAGAGACGCAGGCGGTTCAAGGCAAGGTTCTTCCAAATCGTCGAGCACCCTTGCAGTCAGGATGACCCAGAATATGCGGACGGTCAAGTTGTGAGTACAAGCTCTGTCTTTTGATGAGTGAGGCACGATCTGACGGTTCATAGATGGTTGCAACTGTACTGGTTGGATCTGGCAAACCAAGAATTGTCCAGATTCAGCGACCAGTGTCCCGTCGCAAGGGATCAGCACCGACCCCTGAAATTTCCCAAAGTCCATCGACACCAGTACAATCGACGGTTGAGATCTCTGCCTTCAGCCCCTATGACACTCCGGGGGAGGAGGTGGCGACACAAATGACTCAGCCCAATTCTCTTGCTGCGACAACATGTATTCCGTCCGATGAGGTCCAACTGGCGCACTCTTCGGGACAGCCAAGGCCTGTGCCTGCATCTTTGAGTAACCCAAAAAGAAGACCGATGTGTCACCAGTCCCGGCATGGCGTCTGCAATGTCGCCGGCTCGCAAATGTCGCCGTGCTTGGCGGATCCATTCACTGTGTCCGCGAGGAGGTGGTCGACGTGCTCAGAGTCATCGACATTCATCAACCCAAGGAGGCACGAACGAGACGATCGACTTGATCTTATCGTCGGCCAGCCATCATCCCATCTGTCTTCTCCCACCGAAGAAGTGGCAACACGGTCGAGGTGCCGAAAAATGGAGAGAATCCTCAGGGCCGTCACGCAGGCCATTTTCAATTACCCTGATGGAGTGCCACGGCTTGATTCATCATCCGTGCTCGAAGTCTGTTCGCCGGACGTGGCAGACCAGACTTATATCGATACACTCGGGAAGATCTTCCCAACGGCGCCCGACACGTTATTGTCGAGTCTCGTAGCATGGATTCTGTTTGATATTTACTTTACACAGTTGGAGGACGCATCTGAGCAACCCGGTGTGCACGGAGGAGGAGGTCGAGAAGAGGTGGTGGTGCACCACAATATGAATGGAAATACAAATATACAGCGGATCCCGGCAAAGGCGAGAGCGATGTTGGGTCTTGATGACCAGACCGGTGATTCCATCCCCTCCGTTTGCTCGACCGTGCACGGTCTAGGGAGCAGGGCTAGAACTGTCCATACCGGCATGGGCATTGTAAGTCGGAGGCTGATGGGAGCTCTGAGAGGGTCTTGGGACGAAGACATTTGGCGCTCGTTGAAAGTGTTGGTCGAGGTTATCGAATCTGGTGGGTTTCGGTCATCGTTTTGAGACCACCGTTCACGTCAGGGAGTACGGATAGTAGTTGCATCCTTCCGATATGAGATGATGGAAGTATCTGCATTGTTTTTTTTTCGGCCCCTGTTCCAACACCCGAAAACAAAACACGCACTCGTATGTGTTGGATCAATTCCCTGATTGACTCTCTCATTATGATTCCTCTGGATTCCGCCTCGGGTTCCTCAGTGACAAGTTGACCTCGATGTCGGTTTGGTTCAAGGCCCAGGCGTTTTCGACCTTCCACTCCCGGTCTGGGTGAGTCAGGGTCATGTTGAACTTCAAAAGCATGGCCGGGATGAGTTTGTGAAGTTCCAGGAGGGCAACGTTCTTCCCCAGGCAAGATCTTTTCCCGGCACCGAAAGCCAATAGACTGTGCTCCATTGATTTTGTCGATTTTTCTTCCGGGGTCAACCATCTGGTTGGGTTCCATCGTTCTGCGTCTTTCCCAAAGATGTCGGTGGATCTTTGAAACACCCAAGGGTTGATGCCGATTATCGTTCCTGGGGGTAAGGATGTCGTGGTGTTGTCTTCGTGCCGGAGTGTTAGTCCTTCGGCGGGGACGACTCTTTCCAAGGGTAGTGACAAGGCAGGGTTCATCCTCAAACCTTCCTTGATCACCGCGCAAAGAAAGGGCAAGTTTTCTTGTGTCTCGACCCAAGTCGGGCAAGGCACGGAAATCTTTTTGTCTCTGGCGGCAGCATCGAGTTCCGATTGTAGCTCCGTCAGGGACGTTGGATTCTTGAGTAGATGATAGAAAATGGCTCGGAGTGTTGAAGCTATCGTGTCACTGCCGGCGTTGATGTTCATCTTGATGGAGAGGAACAAAAAAGAGGTAAGCTGGTATTCATGAAGGTTGGAATTGAGCAAAGATGGTGAGAAGCACAGTGATTGGGATTGCTTGAGGGGACCAGAGGAGGAAGGAATAATGAGACGAGGGTGTTTTGGTTGTTCACTTACGAAAAGGTAGGACAAGATTTGACCATCCGACAAAGCTTCGTCGTGACTTTCCATTTGCTCTTTTCGTACTTTGAGAAACCTCGTGAGGAAATCTGGTCTGTTGTAGGACTCTCCTCCTTTTCCTTTTGGGTCTTGTCGGTTTTTGTCGTCCCCACCAGTATTATCCTGACCATCCAAATCCTCGAGACGTTCCTTGAGTAGACGTTGAGCAAAGATCAGGATTGGTGAACTGACACTCTTTCGAAAGTATTTGACATAGATTGGGTTTTTACCCAGCAGAGTCTCGTCCAACCACGGCATCTGACCCAACACGGAGAAGTAAGAAAAATTTGCTCCTATGGCCGCCATGATGTTGTCGACGTCGGTGCCAGACTCAATAAAGCCCAGACGTCGACTAAAAGTCAATTCACCAATGACGTCGAACGCGAAAAACTGTAGGTATCGAGCGAGGTCCAAAGACTGGGAGGGACGGGATTTTTTGTCGCCTGTCGCGCCACGGGTTGTGGCAAACCTCTCCTCCAGGGCGTCCAAGAAACACACGGTGGTCCTCTCCACCAGCCCTTCGTATTCCACCAGGGTGCTCAAGGAGTAGGCGTGGGCGATGAGACGTTTGGACTTGGCGTGAGCCGACTCGTCGGTCTCGGCCACCAGACTCGCGGCTCGTCGACCGTTGACCACGTTCTGAAAGACACTGTAAAAGTCCGACTTCACGAGACCCTTGCCGATGCCGTAGATTTGAGGGACATAAGTCCGCGACCCGGTGACGGAGACGTAGTTGGGACCCAGGCGAACCAAATCGCCGTGCTTCTTGTGCAGCGCCAGATGGACCTCGTGAGGTCTGCGTCGGTACACCAACAGCGCTCGGTACGCGTCGGTGAAGCGCGCCACGAACGGACCCGGAATGCTCGACGTCAGGAGGAAATAGTTTTTTATCAGTGTGTAGACCACAATGGCCGGGATCAGGGCGAGGGCCAGTGAAACCAACATAGTGGTTGTCGTTGCGGGCTTTGGTCTTGACTCCTCGGTTATGATGGAGAGCTTGGTTCCAGAAAATGGCGGTCGAAGGCGACACCAAGAGAACTTCACTTTGATTGCTGCTTGATCAGTTTAAAGAAGACCACATGTTGTGTGCAGATATGAATATCTGGCTTGGTGTTTTACGGAGTATCTCATAGGTTTACTGTCAAAAGCCCAAGATGGATTATCGGCGTCTTTCCGCTCCCCAATGCCCGACAAACCGGATCTCAAGGGCCAACAGCAACGCCTATAAGGTCAGAAACTACGGGGAATCAGGGCAAAGATCGATGACTATCTAGGTATAGAACGTGGCTCGGGTATCTGGCAAGAACCGGTACAAGGCACTTGAATGCGGAAGGGCTTCCGTCTTCAACGGTTGGCATCGGAATACATAGGTGCTTGTCGAAGGGCATTTCCACACGGGAGACAAGCCGATCCAACCGAGAGGCTCTACGTAGTCTAGGAAGACTTGTAACGTCAAGCGGATTTGGTTCACTTCTTCTGCGATTCTGTGCCAGATGTACATCTGAGAATGTATATGCGAACTATGCTCAAGCAAGATCATGGCTCGGTCCAGTCGACCTGTTCCGTCACTGGCGCCCCTCCTTCTTTGGTGTAGGATATCTTCAGACGCAATCGGAGTTTCGGAGGCAGGGACTAAGATTCAGGGTCAGCAGTAGATACAAAGAAAACAGTCAATAGATTAACTCACTCCAGTCGCTGCAACGACCTTCATGGCTTGCGTAGCTTCGTCACCACCAGAAAGGGTGCTCCGATTAATGGCCTGCAGAGTCAATTTCTGACTCTTCGGCACCGCCGCCTGGAGGCCCACGCCCGTCATGCTCTCAAAAGATGAGTTGTTCTTGAAGCGAGCGACGATCTGGGCCCCAGAACTATTCTTCGATATCTGCATGAAAACCACCAGGTCGTTCTTATTGTAAGCCGGATGTGCCGGTGGACCTGAAGGAGCGGGACTGGCAGCCTTGGCTGTACCATTACCAAATAAGTCCATGATGGAATCGGTGTTGGAAGTTGGTACTGGACTTTTGACTTGCGGTGGAGGGCTCGAAACGGCGGGTCCACCACCAAGAATGTCGGCAAGGAGGTCTGCAGTTTGTTGCTGACCGTTGAGTGTAGCGCTAGCACTCACTGCTGGTACATCCGAACCGCCCATAAGATCCAGAAGCATGTCTGATTCGGTGGTCTTGGATACCTTGGTGTTTGCTTTTGCCTTCAGCGTCTTTCGTTTGTCCTTGGCTGGGGTAGTCGCCTGTCCAAGCACACGCTGTTCCTCCTTGATTTCTGGTGGTGGCATTCTCTCCAAGACACCGCGACGTATGGATTCATATCCGAAGAGATTACTGTACTCCACCGCTCGTTGCTGGATCTCGACACTTAGATCAGACGTCCTCGATTGCATCAGTCGTCGTATCCTCTCAATTTGTGACTGATCGGTTAATCTGGTGGTCAGTTTCATGGAAGACGTGATGATAAATTCAGTCACAACCTGATTCGCATATGTTGAGTTCAATATCGTGTAGTAAAGGTCGACAATATCGCTTTCCCTGACTTCCTTCACCAATTCTTCCTCTTCATACGACCCCCCTTGGAGGAGCGCGTCCCCAAACTCACCAATGACCCAAACCCCAGATAGAGTCAAGGCTTCCTGGGTGATGTCGGCCTTCAAAGCCGAGTACAACTTCTGGACCGAGTATGATTGCTGGTCGGGTGACGTAGCGATGAGTCGGATAAAGGATGACAGGATTTGCTCCCTCACGTAGTTGCCGGCTAATTTGACCACTCTGAGCATGGTGTCGATATGCCACCGTTTGTTAGGAGCGAAACGATCAGCAGCAATCCCAATTTGTGTGGTGATGACGGACTTGAATTCATTGTCCGCAACTTCCAAAAAGGCAAGCAATTCCCGCACCAGTACACGAACATTGTCTTCCCGAATCAAAGTGAAGCTAAGATCCAGAGCTCGTCGGCGAATGGAAATATCTGGGTCTCTCAGACACTCTAGAATGGTGTTTCGGTGCCGCTGGACTGCATTCGGCTCAATCGCAACAACCTTGATCAAAGTATTTAATGCAACATAGCGAATGTTGTTGTCTTTGTTTGCCAGGAATTTTCCCAAGATATTAACCCCCAGAACGCGCAGTCCGGAGTCGGCTTCGATATCAAGGATGGTGAGAACGGACTCGTACAGAATTGCATTTCCGACATTCTTGGTAGACTCGGTGTTGGTGGCTACTTGGGCCAGAATGTCGTTCATCAATTCACTCGTTGCAGCATCACCTCTCCCAAGTACTCTCAGCAATTGCAGGATTTTGACTTGCAGAAACGGATCAGTGATGCCGGAAACATCGTGCTCAGGAGTGTAACCGGAGCTGGTCAGACTTTTCAATGTTCTAACAAGGTGAGGGACAACAGGTCGGAACATCTCGACCAGGCCTTCTTCACCCTCTGCTTCATCAAATTCACACATGTTAGCGATCAGGGTAATGCCGCAGAGCAAAACCCCGTGATTTCTGTCCTGTAGAAGCAATTTCGCCTTTTCCAAAAAATGTTCCTGGAGGTCTGGAACCTTGCGGCATATTTTCATTGCGCATAAGGCCGCTTTTCGACGAATGTAGGGGTTCCCAGTCGATATTAGCGTTTCAATCTCGGGGAAGAGGTCTCGGGACATTTCGATGGACGCAATGTTTCCAAGGGTGCAAAGAGCAAGGCCAACAACATATTGGTTGGAGTGGTTCAGATCGCTAGGGCAAGTTAGAGATACCGGAGCACGAGAGCTGTGAGAACTTACTTCTTCAACGAATTCGTCACTAAAGTCAAGACCTCCTGGTTCTCATCCAACAAGAGCATAGTCCCCAGGTAGCCCAAGCGTTTGTCCGCGAATCGAGGGGAGGCGAGTAGTTTGAGGCATTCGATCTGACCGAAATGTGTACGCTCGCCGAGCGTGAAGAGGTAGAGAAGTTTGGCGACATTGTTCCTCCTGTTAACGGTCAGATTTTGTCTATGGGAAATACTGTCGCGTGTAATGACCTTATGTTTGAATCGTGACTTTCTTCGCGGAAGCTGGCTCGGATTGCTGCGCTCTCCTTTTGAACGACGGCTCGTTCGTCGGCGATGGTCTTTGACGCTCGCACATTGCGAATGAATTGCTTTACTGAAGAAACAATCAGCTGCTGATTCGTAAGAACATCTACAAGACTTACGAGAGGTCATGTTGTCCCGTTGCGCTGACCCGGAGAGGGGCCACGTTGCGGTTTCAGTGGCTCATTGGAAGCGGTATGGAGAGGAGGATATGAGTAGAGCGAGATTAGTTCTTGTGACCACAGAGACCGCTTATGGCATCGCAAATTGTATTCAATTGGGCTGCAAATGATTCGACAAGTTTAATCGTTCTAAGCAAGAGTCGATGCGCACGAGGAAATGATGCCGGCGCAGGTTCTCGTCCTGTCCAATCGGAGCGCATTATTGTTTATCCGCTGCGAGGCTGCGTTGAATACAACATCTACTCTGTTCACTCTGTGTCATGCCAGAATTAATCAAAAATTAGATTTTCGATCAGACCAAATATGCAGAGACAGTTGCATTCTCCAGGCACATTAGATATTATCCAAGCATTTCATACAAAACATTCATTCATACCTCCAACGCACGTTTCTTGTCCTTCTTAATCTTCCTTCTCCAGCCATTAACGTCTCTCCCTCCCTCGACATCTCGCAACGCATCCATCTTTGCTTCTGCCACGTCCTTTAATGTCCGACCTCGGACCACTCTGGTCTCGATGTTGACCCCTTCCTCGGTCCATTCTTCCATCTTTGCCCCTATGTACTCTTCGATTGCTAGAACTAAAGCCACGTCCCGCTGGCCGATAAAAGTAATGCTCGTACCTTGCCTTCCCGCTCTTGCGGTACGTCCAACGCGGTGCACGTAGTCTGTTGGATTTCGAGGTACGTCGTAATTGATGACGATATTAACATCTGGAATGTCGAGGCCTCTTGATGCGACATCTGTTGCGATGAGTATACGAGACTTCCTTGCCCGGAAATCGGAGAGGTTGCGATTCCGTTGGATCTGCGCCAACTCAGAATGTAACGAGGTGACAGGATGCCCTAGTGAAAGCAGTGTTCGATGGAGAATGTCAGCAGTGGCCGTCCTATTGACAAAAATGATGATGCTCGGCTCAGGCACCTTTGTGAACGAAGGCACCGAAAGTAGTACGTGTAGAAAGGCGTCTTTGTGCGTCATGGGAGTTTGAAGGTAGGTTTGCAACAGGCTTGTGGGAAGTAGACTGGACGCCACGGAGGAGTCGGACAGGTCTGTGACCTCGGAAACAAATACAGGCAGCCGGTCCTCTGGGCGTGGCAGACCTTTCAAGGCACGAACTTCCGGGGTAACTGTGGCCGTGAAAAGAAGCGTTAATCGGGAGGAAGCCGGCGGTAGCGCAGTAAGGCAGGTGTTGAGGTCTGGTAGCATTGAACCAGGCCCAGGAGCAAGCAATCTGTCGGCCTCATCCAAGACTACTGCTTTGGCGCGCTTTAGCCCGATGACGGTCTCGTCACCAGAGTGCAGGATATGATCAGCCAGCCGACCCGGTGTCGCAACAACAATATGCGGACGCTTCGACAGCGCCACAGCTTGCGGCCTCATGTCACTGCCGCCAGTGATCAAGACCGTCTTCAATCCCTGCGGTGTGCCCAGCGCCTGAAATTGTTCGTAGATCTGGAGGGCAAGTTCTCGAGTTGGAGTGAGAACAACGGCGTATATCCCAAAGGGATCTTCTGCCCATCTTTGTAGAATAGGAACTGCGAACGCCACCGTCTTGCCGGTACCCGTCCTCGATCCTCCGATGCAATCTCTTCCTTTCATTATTTCTGGGATACAAGCTCGTTGAATTTCTGTAGGGTGTTGAATTGCCATCGCGGCCAGTGAATGTGTCAACCATGGCGCAACATTCAGGCTCTCGAATGTGGTCGAGGTAATTGGTATCGAGTGCAATTTTGGCACTGAAGAGTTTCTAGTGTGTGTTGTGGGAGGTTTCACTCTCGACAATGAGACTGGTTCAAGTGTGGTTCGGATTTTGTCGTTGTCGAGGCCGTGGTCGTCGTCGTTGTTGTTGTCGTCAGTGTCTATCGAGATGCGCCGTCGTTTGGCTGGAGGTGTTGGGAAATCTCCATGGTCGTTTGAGTCAGAATCGCTGCTGCTCGATGCGGAGTCGCTGGCAATACTTTCCGAAGCCTGCAATCGTGCCATGGGAGACCAAGTGAGGGTGTTGTGTTGTAATGTGCTGGCGCGCAAATTGTTCTACAGTATGCATGCCAGACCAAAAAAAATACCGGCTCGGATAATTATTTTGTTTTCTCCGATAGGAAAGCCATCTCGTTCTCGTATAGTTCCCGGAATTAACACTGCTTATTGCCGGCGATGGATACCAGGCTCGTTTTCTCTGTTCTTGTCGTCCCTGTAGTCAACTTCGAAGACGATAAGTCTCTTCAATCTTACGTGCTCCAAGGAACGAGTGATCCCTGAAATATTTGTTCAAAGTCTGTGATCTCATCTTAGGTCCTTTGTTGAAGAGAAGCCTAATAGCGCATATGACTTTCCCCAGTGGAGGATGTAAGACCTGCAAGATCAGGCGAATCAAGGTGAGTCAAGCCGTCTTCACAAGGCTCTGTCGTTAATTAGCGTAGTGCGATGAAACACGACCGACCTGTCAGAGATGTCTGAAGTCTAGGAGGATGTGCTATGGAATGGATGCTCTTTCTGCCGTACACAATGAAAATTCCTATGCCAGTGGGGTCAAGAAGCGCCCTCGAGGCCCTCGGGCATCACTCCAGAAAAGCAGCACCATCGGCTTCGAGTCAATGCTGTCCGGCGGCTGGGTCGAACTAAAGACACGGGCCATGCTATATTACTACAATCACTACCTAAAGGCTCCGAGAGATACGCCGAGGGTCCTGAAGGCCATTTCAGAGGACTACCTGCTTGCGTGGATCCCCAAACTCGAGAGCCCTATCATTGACCTTGCCGTTTCTTGCATGGCACTGGCGGTATTTTCACGGAGATACAAGTATCAACCAGCTGCGATTGAAGCATCCTTGAAATACCACCAGCTTCTGCAAGTTGCGCGGACTTCCATGCCATCCCTGGTAGTCAACGACGTCGACACTTGCCTACTTTCAATTTTTTTCATGAGTCGGTATGAAGATGTAGTGCACGATGTAAAGGGGCTCGATCAACAAATTACTGGAGCGCGAAGCCTCCGACACCACGACGGCGCACTGTCCGTCCTGAACATGTGGAAGCACTGTCTTAGTGAGGATCAACCAGCAACTGACATCATGAAATATACACGACGTGGAATGATCAAGTCTGCGCTACTCAGGAAAAACGGCTTACCTGCATGGATCACTGAAGGCAGCACGTTTGGCGAGCGCGGGCTAGAGCTTGAATACGACCGTATTATAATTCGACTGGCCAATCTCCGTCATGAGCTTTTTGAATCTCTCAAAAGTCATACCGAATCTGATCGTACAGACGCGGAGAGATTTGCGCAAGAAGCGCGGGATATTGACAAAACCCTAGAACACTGGGCATTGCATTTCCCTAGCACCTGGTCATATCAGCGGTACACTCTCCCTGATCACGGCCAATTCCCAACCTCCAATTTCTTCTCTCCTACGGTCCATAGCTATTCCAGTCTCGCCCATGCCGCGGTATGGAATCAATACTACTCGACTCGGATGCTGTCGCTCAGCACGCGTATCAGGGTTTTACAAAGCAATCATTTTGGACACGTAGCTGCTGTGGAACGCGAAATCGCCGAGTGCGCAGGATGTGCCGAAAACATGGCCTTGGACCTTGCATCCAGTCTGCCATTCAGCCTGGAAAGATTCAAATTGGAAGCGCTCGATGTTACCCCTACGCCTGAATCCCCCGTGATTCGTGAATCGAAGGAAGATATCAGGCCCTACTTTATCTCAATGACCATCTGGCCTTTGTCACTTGCAACAAACCTTGAGAATATTCAAAATAGACAGGTCTTTTGGCTTAGAAGTCGGCTTGCAGACCTTGGAAGGATTTCGGGGTATGGAATGCTCGAGTCTATAGCCACCACACCATGGCTGAAGCTCTGACCTCGAAGATCGAGAAAATCAGAGTGGATGGATCATGACTCCAAGGTTCCCGATTAACTAATCGGCCTCCTAATCGGGGTGATGTGATGTCGCCTTACCTCACCTATATATATTATTATGACGACGTCTACGCTATTTGACGGAAATGAAATGACATTATGAAACACGCCATCTCGCCACCGAAACCCGGAACATGTATTCCGCATGGAATGTGTTCCTACGAAATGTTCCTATTTTTAATATTCATGATAACATACGCCGTACACGGAATATGTCCTGATACTGTCTGTCACCTGGACCCCGAGGAATCGGGAGCTCATCATCAGCAGAGATTCTTCCTCTCTGCTTACTGAAATCTCCTTTTCAGACTCGGGGACTATGCGGGAAATTATCTAGATCCCGAGGCTCGATGGAAAAGCCTCCGCCCACTTAGGCTGGTCATTGTGCCAATCCGCTGTCAAATTATGTTCCTCCCAGCCAAGATGAGCAAGTTTTGCACCCCTGAGGGTGGTATGATTATGACCTTGGGCTTATCCTGGCAAATTCGACAGGTTGTCTATGTAAGTGTGCACATCGAACGAAAACGCAAGTATGGCTATTCGCAGCGTAAGTCCAGACCTGTAGTTGATCGGCACCATGCAATTAGCAGCCTGTCTATGCCCTCTCCTGCTACTATTTCTATCGCGCTTCATACAGTCTGTCGCTGCAGACACGGTATTTTATAGATTCAACGTCACCTGGGCAAGGGCAAATCCTGATGGGGCCTTCTCGCGGCCTGCGGTTGGTGTCAATGGGCAGTGGCCTCCTCCCAAGATCGAAGCCAACTTTGGGGATGAGATTGCGATAACGGTGCTGAATCTTCTCGGAAATCAATCAACATCGCTCCATTTCCATGGTCTTTTCATGAATGGCACCACTCACATGGATGGACCAGCGCAGGTCTCACAGTGCTCAATTCCTCCTGGATCGTCCTTTACCTACCGATTCAAGGTACGAGACATAACATAAATCGTTTTCATGTCTGACATAGGACCAGGCAGAACAAGCAGGGACATTCTGGTACCATTCGCATGTTAAAGGACAGTATGCGGACGGATTTAGAGGCCCACTGATTATTCACGATCCCCAAAATCCATTTCGAGGAGACTTCGATGAGGAAATTCTTCTTTCCGTCTCGGATTGGTACCACCAAGAAATGGCTGTCCTCCTGCCAAAGTACAAACATGGAAACGGAATGATGTCCAAGGAGCCTGTGCCTGATGCCAATCTTCTCAACGACACCCAGAATCTCCAGGTCACTGTTACTCCCGACAAGACCTACCTAGTTCGCATAATTAATATGGGTGCCTTTGCAGGGCAATACTTTTGGATAGAAGATCATACCTTGACCATAATTGAGCTTGATGGGTCATACACGCAGCCAACAACCGCTGAGATGATCTACCTCTCATCAGGCCAACGCTGCAGCTTTCTCCTGACAACCAAATCTGAAGTGGGCCGAAATTATCCGTTCATGGCTTCTATGGATCGAGTATGATAACTATCAGGCTGAAAGGTTCCTACTGATTCTTTACCAGAGCCTATTCATGATGGCAGGCCACGTCAACGCTAACGCTACAGGGTGGTTGGTATATGACTCCAGCCAACCGCTCTCGTCGCCCTCTCAAGTCGACGAGTACAATCCAATCGATGATATGACCATCTCTCCCTATGATCAGACGCCTTTGCTGCGCAAGCCAGACCAAAGTATACGACTGAACATCAACATGAAACACGCAAATGGCGCCTCTTAGTAAGAAACTCCGCGCCCTACTCTGATGTTACTAACCATGACAGTTACTTTTTCAACGATATCGCCTATTCGTCGCCGGAAGTCCCGACCTTGTACACGGCACTGACAAGTGGTGAGTCGGCAGCACACTTCGCCACATACGGAATGCCCTGCAACCCTTGGGTACTCCAACGTAACCAAGTTATCGAAGTTATCCTGTACAATCGACATATGACAAATCATCCCGTCCATATCCACGGACATCATTTCCAGGCTATTTGGCGTTCAGAGCCTGGTGGTGGAGATTTTCCATCCTCGACCATGACTGATGACGATTTCAGGCAAATTCCTGTGACGCGCGATACCATAGTGGTTCCAAATGGTGGTAGCGTAGTTATACGATTTCGAGCTGATAATCCCGGTGAGTCAAGCACGTCATTTATTTACTGTCAAAAACTACGGACGCGACTAATCCATCCATTTCTACCAGGTGTTTGGCTCCTCCACTGCCATATGGAGTGGCACGCGGAAACGGGATTGGCAGCAACATTTATCGAAGCACCATTGGATCTTCAGCAACAGCAGCAACTTCGACATATCACAGCTGATCAATTAACGCTCTGCACCGCAGCTGGCATCGAACTACCCCATGACTCAGACAATGCAACTCTTGAGCAGACAGGAAACCCAGCCGCCGTTGCCAGTGAAAGTACAACAGACAGACAAAGGGCACTAAGGTACGCTGATTGATTTACGCCCGCTGATGTTGGGTACCATGGGGATGCCAGATTTGGTAGAGTCAACTGCTAATATGTGAATACTAGCTATACACCTGGTCTATTCGTTCTTATTCTATCCGGACTTTTCTTTGTTTTCACTGGTGTAGTTGCGCTCTTTTGGCTTCGCGGATGCTGGAGGCCACATGCCTTTCAATACCGCCGTCTCAAGGAGGGTGTCGAGTTGGCCTCACCAGAAGAAACTTCTCACGAGCCTCGAACGACTCCCAAGAGTCGAAGAATGTCTTTGATGGTCGATCCCTAGCAGCATCAAAATTCATCCCGAACATACGCCCTTCGTTGGTCGGGAAGTCTGGCAGTTTGCCTGAAAACCTGGTCTCTTGTCACAAAAGTACCAACCACGCCACACCACAACTACGTACAAGAATCATCCTTTTGAAACATCGAAACGGCCTACGTGATGACCTTATTTGTCGCTTGAGAATCATGCGTCTTGGTTACATTGTCATCGGCCTTTTTCTCTGTGGTGATGGTCGTTGTCGATTCGACATACTTCCCATTCATCGGCGCTCTGTGGTACTGGTCGATCCAAGACACCTCGGTACCTGTCGCCAGAGCAACCTTCTGGACGAAATTAGGGTCCCGCAGGAACTCACGAGCGACATGGACTACGTCAGCCTTGTCGTTGTTGAGAATGTCATGAACTGTAGCGCCATCCCTGATCCAACCTACCGCAGCAACGAAGAGGTCAGGAATCCCCAATGACTTGATGGCTTGTGCAAAAGGAACCTGATACTGCTGGCCGAGCTGCACTTTCTGTCTCCTATCGGTACCGCCACTTGAGGTGTCAATCAAGTCGACACCTTCTTTGGCCAAGATAGGTACATAGCGCAAAGTGTCCTCCAAGTCCCAGCCTTCTCCAGCCGGCAACCAGTCAACTGCAGATAGCTTCCAGAGTAGAGGCATTGTAGGAGGAATGTTCTTTCTAATGGCACGAACAATCTCGACGCCGAGTCGGACCCGGTTCTCAAAGCTCCCACCCCACTTGTCCGTTCTCATATTACTCTAACATAGAGATGGTTAGCAGCTCGGATCTCGGGGGTTTGAATTAACTTACAGCAGGTGAAGCGAAAGAATGAATGAGATAACCATGAGCACCATGTACCGCGAGCACGTCGACACCTGCCTCAACAGCTCTTCTAGCTGCGGCGCCATATGATTCGATGGTTTCACATATCTCCTCTTCCGTCATGGCCGCAGGTGTGGCATAGTTTTCATTCCACGGCTCGGCAGTAGGAGCTTGAACGTGCTGCGTATTGCCACCGAACTCGTCCGGCACCAACTTGAGGCCCAGCCATGGAGGGCAGATACCAGCTTTCCGCCCAGCATGTTGCAGTTGGATTCCGGCCTTTTGCGATTGGGAGTGGATCAGGTTGACAATCCTCCTCAGAGGTTCAATCTGTTCATCCTTCCAGAGCCCGGCATCCTGGGGTGTATTCTTGCCCTATATCAATCATTGTCAGTCCCTCGATAATGGTTTTTCAAGCAAGTAATAATAACGTAACTTGTTCAGTCACGGCAGTTGCCTCGAGTGTGATAAGTGCCGCACCTCTCATCGCGAATTGCCCATAGTGAGCGACATGAAAGTCGCTGAACATGCCATCTTCACAACTGTACATGCACATGGGAGCAACCCAGATCCTGTTTTGAAATGTTGTTCCTCGTATAGTTATTGGCTTGAAGGCACGACTTATGTTGTTCTCGGTAACGCCTTCCTCGGGTCTCAGGATTGCAGTGCCGACTGGTAATCTTTGCTTCGGTGTGAAAAAGGGTAGACCTTGGACAGATATGCTTCGAAACTCCGTATACTCGTGGCTGGAGTCCATATCGACGGATCTTTCAATACCAAGATTCAGAAGATCAGGAAGTCGTTTCTCGTGTCTTATTCATTTGTCATCTATGTAATCCAGAGTCTTGGTCTGACACAGAATATATCTAGTGATGTTGGCCGCCTCACATCATTCGGAGAAGGCCGTCGACACGGTAGACACAACAATGGGACCATCTCGGATAGATAAGTAGGTAAGGCCGAGTATGACTTCATTGCGAGTCTACCGACCTGCTATACTCACCTTGTTTTCACCAATAGCCTTCATTAGTCCATGTCTCTTTGACGACTGGAAATGCTTCCAAGGCTGTACTCACATCGAGCGTGCTACCGTGCACAATCACTCACTTCTAGCTATTTACAGCTCCGGAAGCGAAGCCTGTCTTCCGCCAAGACAATATCTTCATCTCTAGTCCAAAAGTACGAGATCAATGCTGATATGGGTGAAGGCTTTGGTAGATGGAAGTTGGTGAGGACCATGCCTTGTCCTTGATCTTCTCAGAAAGTACTAAGGACGAAGGGCCCTGACGAGGATCTCATGAGGTTCGTCGATGCGGCAAATATCGCTTGCGGCTTTCACGCCGGAGATCCTTCCATTATGCTCAGGACTGTACAACTCTGCAAAAAGCATCGCGTCAAAGCGGGTGCACATCCGGGCCTGCAAGACCTGATTGGGTTCGGAAGAAGGAAGATTGAGATGAATCTCGATGACCTGCACGCAATGATTCTCTACCAAGTCGGCGCCTTGAAGGCGATGTTGGATGTCGAAGGCGTCGAGCTGTCTCACATCAAACCTCATGGTGAACTATACTTTTATATGCAAAGAGAGGAGCCCGTCATGCGTGCAGTGCTGGAAGCGTGCGCACCTTTCAATGTCCCGGTTTATGCATGCAGGAACGAGAAACAGCAAGCCGTGTGCGATCATCTGGGAATCCCATTTCAACAGGAAGTATATGTCGACATCGACTACTCTGCAAAGGGAGAGCTTCTTCCGGTGTCAAAGTCTAAACCTACAACGCCTGAAATATGTGCATCTCGATTTCGACTCATGGCCGAACAGGATCAGACGAGAGATATCGATGACAACTTGATCACACTTGGATTCAATGGAAAGCCATTCAGCGTCTGCTTGCATTCTGATATGCCTGGAGCTCTGGAAAATGCCCGAAAAGTCCGCCAAGTGGTAGACGAAGTAAATAGAAATAATGGCGTCATCTGAGTCCAATTTCTGAGACCAATTCGACAACGTCTCACTCTTTGTCTCGGGGATTTAGCCGGTTGCTATTGTTCAGCGATTAAGCCCGCACATCGGCATGTTCAACGATCGTCTCAGCACGTTTCTCGGTTTCATTGTCATCTAGACCAGCCCTCGCTTTTTCAACCGCCGCAATGGCCCTATCGGACTTCTCCTTGTCCTCAAAGACTGTGACAGGTTGTTAGTTATGATCCGACCAACGACAATCTGTAGAGACTCACTGAAAGCCAATTCCTCCAATGTTCTTCCATAAGTTTCTGGGAAGAAGAAGTAGATGAAGACATTCTCGAAACCGAGCCAGCAGCAGTAGAAGATCAGCCACCGCCACTGGATGTTGTCAAGGCCAATTGGATTGATGAAGGTGGTGAAGAAAGTCGCCAGTCGCCCCCATAGTTGGAAATATGCAATGCCGCGAGATCTTTCAGCAAACGGCCACAATTCGACGAGGTAGGTATAGGTCAGAGCATTGTACCTAGAACAGAGTACCTTGTCAGGATTATCTCCTTGCATTGCACGCGCTACCACGATAATTGACATACCCAATGTTATATGCCGGCTTGTAGGCAAATATGAAAAAGATGACTCCGATTCCTGCTCCATGATTGATATTGCCAGCCGCGTCCGATGTCATGGTTTCTTCCATACAGATAGTCCATCCGATGTAGATACACAGCAAGGAGATGGCGCACGCCATGTACATGACCCTGCGGCGGAAGCGGGTGACCAAGAGGGCGGCCGTGGCGGCGGTGATGAGGGACCAAGCTGAGACGCCGACATTGACCTTTTGAATGTCGGTCGAGTTGGTCCAGCCGACCATCTTCAACAGCTTGCCCAGGTAGTACGAGATGAGCGTGTTCCCGGACCATTGAGTGAACAGGCCGAGTGCGGTGGATAAGATGACACGTCGTCGCATCCCGGCGGTGGTGAACAAGTCCAACCATGACTTCTTGGACGCCTCGATTTCCATGTGGAGTGTCGCGCGAATCTGGGCCATCTCGGCACGCACGAATTCCGAGTCGCAGTCACCTTCGGCATGATACTTGATCAGGATCTCGTGGGCCTCCTCGTGTCGGTCTTTGCTGATGAGCCATCTTGGGCTTTCTGGAAGTAACAGGACCAGCGAGATCTGGATCAAGGATGGTGCAGCCTGTAAGATGGACGGGGTCCTCCACGACCAGTTGCTGGCAATGGTGTTGGTTCCGAAGCAGATTCCGGCAGCCGTGAGCTCCCCGACAAAGTATGAGACGTTGAAGAGGGAAGTGAGGATCGGTCGTTCCTTTGGGTATCCCAGTTCACCGATCAAGGCAGACGCAGCGACGATGCAGGTCGGAATACCAAAACCCAGCATGATACGGGCAAAAATGTAATTACCAGCTGTAAGAGGTCAATCAATGTTGTTGTGACTGGCAGAAAAGATTTCGAGTGACTACTTACCATTTTGCGCAAAGCACTGAACAATGGCCCCGGCTACCATGACCCAGAAACCGATAAATATCGCCCAACGACGACCGAATCGATCGTTTAGAATAGGAACAAAAGGTAAACTCAGGATGGCTCCGAGTGAATACGAAGCATTGATGAAGCCGGACCATGAACCTGCGGGTTCATTGAAGTCTACAACATTTGTGAGCGTTTACAGCCTCAGGGGGCTGTCGGTGTATGCAACAGTGCTTGTTCAACTACTCACAGTCTTGCCAGTGATCTGAGATCTGGAGGGCGTTGATCATCTGAGAGTCGAAACCGCTTGTGATTTCGATGCCCATGCATGTTGGTATGAGTAACAGGTAAAGATGTCGTAAGTTTGGCTTCCTGTACCATGGTACTTTGTCTTCCTGGGCAAGCCTTTGGACGACTGGGTCGCTAGCGCCCGTTCCATGTGGTTTGAGATCGCTAATGTTTGGTGCCATGCCAGGCCGACGGTGTAGAGAAATGGTAGGTTTGAAGTTTGGAGAAAAGGAGTAGTGAAGATGGAGAATGCCAACCTTTTATCGTCAAGAGTCAGGGACACTGTCTATCTTGTCCTCTAGCTAGGGCCATGGCTGGATCGATTTTAGCTCAGGTGTAGAGCACACCAGGGACCAAGCACATTAATGTCAAACAAATCCTACCGATACAGATGTCTCTCCCATCATGACAGTATACTAACCGGTTGAGCCATCTCCCGGAGGGCTGTTCGATCAGGGTTAGCCATGCTGAGAGCTTCCACAGGAACAGTCCAAGCATTATAGCTGGCGGAAGTGTCTCTTGGGTTGCATTCACAAACCCGAGTTGGACAAATAGGACAGTGAAACAGAATCGAAAGACATCTTGGCAGTACAAGCCAAGGATGTTGGCCAGCATGCTTGAGAACATGCGGGAAGGTTTGACTTTTATAAAGACCCGTCGCATCTTGCCAGACGGGGCGCGGAGGTCAGTCGCTGGGGTCTGGAGAGCTCACGTGGAAACACGATGTCTCGAGTCGACCGTCGCCCGGTCTTGGAAAGCCTTACGGAGGATGAAGAACAAGTTAGTCCTCGCCAATACTCTTGGGATTTGGAACGAACAAATGATCTTCGTCGAAGGATAATTGCCGGCTAAATATCTCCTAGAGTTGCGGCTAAATACAATATCAAACATTGATTCCTCCACGTAGCGAACACTGGATGGAATAGAGTACGTACGAGATAGATCCCTTCATCAAGAGCGGTCCCATCTTGAGGTTCGACGAAGAACATGATCTTGGGACTTATGGGTTACTGTACAGTCAAGAAACTAGACAGGTCATACAGTGGGCTAGCACTATACCAAGAATCCCCAAGTCCCTGCAAACCGCTCTTGAATTCAGACTGGGATACGCGTCTAATTAAACCTGTTGATCTAAGTCGTTTTCATGTTCCTGTTTGCTACTCATTTCTTCTCATTGATGATCGAATCAAGAACGCTGGCCGTATTCAACAGCGCTTCGTCTGTTTGCCGATACCCAACGACTTGCAAGGCGATTGGAGCATCCTTGTAGAGCTCTGGACCGGTGTCTAGATAGCAATAGTATCAACCAACTGCGTTGTTCCACACAACGCGGGGTCCAACGGAGGGAGTCCAGCAGTCAACGTCTGGTGATGTATGACTTACAAAGTTTGTAAAGCTCGGCATCCTGGGGCCCGTATTTGGCGTGGGAAATATCGTCGGCAAGATCCTGCTCACCTACCTTGCCCACTGGAATGACGACGGCAGGATAGTCGAGATAATTCCAGAGGCCAGTATAAGACGCGTTCGAAAATTTGTCCCAGGGAACAGCAGTGTGAGGTGCCACTGGCATCAGAATCGCATCGATCTTGTTGTCTCTGAATAATCGCAAATATTGCTTCGCTGCTTCGTCTCGGCGGACGTTCAGGTCAAAGAAACCCTTCAAGGTCGTGCTCCCCAAAGATAGAAGCTTGATCGTGTTGACAGATGGCACAGGAGGTTCTCCTGTACGATCGAACAGCTCAGAGTAATGCTTTGGCGCGTCTCGTGTTAGTCACAAAAAAATTTGGATTGCATGAAACCTGACATACCTCGGTTCCCAGCGGTGCCCAATACTGAAGTAGGTCAAAATAAATATCTTTGACACCGGGCACGGTCACAGGAACTATTTCAACATTGCCACTTTCTCGAAGAAGCTGAGCTGTTTGGTTCAAGCCTCGTCGAACAGGAGGAGAAGGGGTGTAGATGCCGTTGTCTTCAACAAGGCCAATCCTCAACTTTTTCGGAACCTCAAGCTGCCTCCATGGCACCGAAACGACCGTGTGGTCATACCGCCAGGTCTCCGACTCCATGATTACTTTCATAAACATTTGACAGTCGCGGATCGATGTCGCCATGGGTCCGGCGGCAGAGAACACCCCGGATGTCCCTGGAACGGCGAGATCCCGTACGCCGTTGTGAGGTACCAGCCCGACACTGCCCCTGACGCCGTAAATGCCGTTGCACAATGATGGAACACGGATGCTTCCACCAATGTCAGTGCCTACTCCGAGCAAGCTGCCACGAAGAGCGATCAAAGCCCCTTCTCCGCCAGTGCTTCCTCCAGCGGTCAAGGCAGTGTTGTGAGGATTCAAGGTCCTCCCGAAAACATTGTTGTCGCTGTCGCCGGTCATAATTGTTTGCGGCAGATTGGTTTTGCAATATAGCACTGCGCCTAGGTCAAGCAACAAAGCAGCGAGCGCACTGTTCTCCTCCGCTGGCTCGTTGACAAAGCAGGCCAGTCCCGTCGAAGTGTCCTTGCCTGCCACTTGGAAGCTGTCCTTGAGCGAGATTGGTAATCCGTGTAAAGGTCGGAGAGCTTTTCCATCGGGAGAGTCGATCCTTTCACGGTCTAATTGACGGGCTCGATCAATTGCCTCGTCAAAAAAGATCTCCGTCAAGCAATTGGTCTATCTCATACAACACACGAACACTCTGGTCAATGAATGGCTCGTGTGTGATATATTAAGATGACAAGGACGAACCAGTTGGTGAGCAATGGCTGCTCGTTTGCAAAAAGCAATAGTGACCCTCTCAGCCGACCAGATGCCTGTCTTGATCTTCTCCAAGAGAGATATCGCATCATGATCGGAGGTGATCTGGCACTCTGTCTCATCCAATATTCCGCAGTTGACAGGGGCTTGTAACAAGATACCAGCTTCAATACACCTTGGCAAATCAATCATCCATTCCTTTGGGATTTTTTCTTGTCTCTGACGTTGTTTATCAGCAGCAATCGCGAGATAGCCCTTACCCTTGGCCGACATTTTGTCTTCTCCGGCATGGATTTTGAATTTAGAGATGAAGAAGAAAATGGGCTGCACATACTTCTCAGGGCACTTTATACCTACCTGGGATTTGTGGTATTTGGCATTTTGCGAGCAATACAGCCCCCCTGGACAGCTGTATAGATATGAGTTGCATGGAATGTTTTGTCAACTCTCCGGCCAAACCTCCGGTCAACCTTCCGGCCACTAGCCGTCTTAGGCCTAGAAGAATTTTCCCGGGCGAAACTGAGTCGTCGGCTATCCTTCCCTTCGTGGCATTGCAAGGCTACCACAATATCAGTCACCCGTCACTTCGAGCTCCTACAGTAACTTACGCTGAGACAACGATCTTGTTCCCCCTAACAACTAGGCGAGAATCTACGATCATCTTCTTTCAGGACGGATGCCACTTTGGGCAATTCGGTCACTCTTCCTGATTCCATGGATTTTGCTGCAAACCAATCACGGAGGCTGCAGACGGCCTGCGATCGATGTTACCGACTCAAAGAGAGGTGCACGCGCCCGACTACTGCAGATGATTGTGGAAGATGCCGCAGACTCGGGTTGCTATGCTCAACTTTACGGCCTCCTCGAAAGGCTGGACGAAGACCCAAAGAGTCTCGCCTCGATTTAGACCAACCAAATGTTGGGAACCACAGCTCTGCTTGCCTAGAACCGAGGGAGTCTAGAACATACATAAGCAGTACAAATGCGAGATTACCATCAGAAGATATCGCCAAATGGATCAATCTTCATGAGGAACTTAGCCAGAATGAAAAGGACAGCCTTCTGTTCCTTTTAGATAAGCCCGGAATCCTCGGCTGCTATGTCATGGGCCCGACTTTTCAAGACGATGAGAGACGCTCCCTAGTCGCTCTTCTACCCACAGCCTTGCCTGTTCTTAAGGATGCATGCCTTGCATTCGCCGGGGCTCTCAAGCTGACATATTCCGATCCTCATGATGTGGCCAAAGTGGACGATGAACACACTAATTTGCTTCACGCCCTGGCTGCCATTGAAATACTCCGTTCATTTCCAGTGTGCACGCCTCAGGATGTGGCTATATGTCTGACTCTGGGAACTTTATTGGCACTATTCAGTTACTCTGCCGTCGGTCGTGGCGTTTATGAGATATCACAACACTGTCTAAGCACCGCTCGGCCGTTCATCGAACAAGGAGTGTTGGATGTGGATACTGAGCCTCGGCTGGTCTACCTGACTCTTCAAGAAGTGATGGATTGCCTGGTCCATCGCAAAATGCCATCTATCAGGTCTCCTCGACATCGATTATGCTCTGGAAGGGACGTTGTAGATCGGCATTTGGGGCTGTGTGTGCCTCTGTTGCCTTACTACCATGACCTTTGTGTTGCAAGTCACTCTCTTGCCAATACGACCGATGAGAGCTACATGGCTCTAATCAAGAAGCAGCTGAGCCTCATTCAGGACGAGTTAGAAATCTGGAAACCCTCTACGCCAGATCAGTTCTTGGAGAAATTTACCTCTACAGAGGTCATCCATCTCCTTGCCCAAGCGAGACTGTACCGATTAGCAGCTCTGTTAGTGAACCACAGGCTTTGCTATGCTTTTGGTACCCAAGATCATCAAGCTACAATCTGGGCAAACGAGATTATGAGCGAGCTGGATCTTGCTCGAAACGTCACCAACCAACCGATACGTTCTGTCACTCTGCCATTCATTGCTGCCGCGATTGAGATGCAAGGTACGAGAGCACGTAGACAGGCACTACAAGATACGGTTATGCATGTGGATCAGTTCACGCCAGCAGTACAAAAGGCTACAAAAGCCTTCCTCACCAGAGTATGGAGAGAACGAGATGACAAAGTGATAATTTCATGGTTCGACTCCGCCTATAAGCCCTGTGTGGTTCTAGCCTCAATCGACATGGATCTCTTTAGATGATGCTGGTCTCATAGAGGCGATTTTCTCTTCTGTCTTGATGCGAACACACTACCTCTTCCTCGAATCGTTTCTCACAACCTGCGTTATGGATAGGATGGTGTATGACTGGCACGGACAGGATCGTGCTTGTACAAAATCGGCAACTGGATGTGCCGAATTTAATTTCCATCATCTGCGCGGCTCAATTTTCAGCCGATCTGCAAAGTTGCCGGCTTTGCTGTACCTTCGCCATTACCAGAAGAAATGTATTTTCAGGACAGACCATGACTGGTTGTTATCCGGCACGTTCTTTGGGCCCAGTTTTACTCGAGATTACGGAGTACATTCGGATTTGATCGGCGAAACTTTGAATTTGCCGATCTAATTTGGAATAGCCTTACAAATGTCTTCCTTTCTCTGGCTATCCGCCGATTCTCAGGACCTGTTCATTCCGGCGGGATCTCGACGATGTTTCTCCAGTCAGCCAAAGTCTAGCTGGCTAACACGAATAATGCTGTTGTTTGTGAATCACAACTGAAAGCTTTGAGAGCTCGAGATCAAAACAGCAAACGCCTCTTTTTCTTCTGCCTCCTCAACAGGGTCCATAAATCGATCGTTGAAAGAGGATAGCCAGTCAACAGGGCAGAGGCGCGCAAGACGAGATCAGCCATGTCAGTACCTAGTAACAACCTCCGCCCTCTAACTCGCTTCGTTACAGGCCACAACAGTGCCGACGGCAAATCTGTTTTCGAAAGTGCTGCGGTGAACGAGAGCCCGCCTGTGATCAACTATCCGGGTGGTATGCAAATCGCTTTCTACTATGGTACTTCCGGATTTCCAGTCGACCTGAGTAACGATGGTGACATCAAAATATACCACAAAATGATTCAGAACCCACCCGGCATCGCAGTCCTTAATGGATCTGCCGCCCGAGTGATCGACTTTCCTCCAGCATGTACAACTCCCATGCACCGCAGCATGAGTTTGAACTACAACTTTGTCATCGAGGGCGAGGTAGAGGTGATTTTGGACTCGGGTGAGAAAAGGATCCTGAAAAGAGGAGATGGTTTAGTCCAGCGAGCGATAAATCATGCATGGAGGAACACGAGTCAAACAGAATGGGCGAGAATCACAGCCGTGGTGCTACCTGTCCGTGAATTCGAAGTTGCTGAGAGACAAATTACGGCGAATCTGCCACCCAGGACTAAGCAGAGTGGTAGTCACTGAATAGATCTCAAATCACAATATATCAGTGACAATATCCCTCCAATCTCACAACTCGTTTCTAAGCTTGATTATCTGGATTACTGCTTCTTGGAGAGAGCTCAGTCATTGATTGACCTCTCAACTCTCAAACCGAATCTGCCAAGGCCTGGTTTGAATTCAGTGCCAGACCGAGGACGGGCTAATACTATTTGGCTCGGAGTTTATGACTGTGGGTGCCCCATGGCATGGCAACATTTTCATGCTAGCATGCCGGCTAGAACATGTAAGATACCTAACGGTACCCGCGGCCCGTGTGAGGAAGGCATAGGCTAGTCTGACGGTACGCTGGCCTCGACTTTATGCCGCGAAGCTCAGATTTCTCCAGACCTCCACCAACTAGACCCTCAGGTGACTTCAGGTGACTTGTCTATGTGTGAGATGACCGGGGACACGATCATGCTGACCCGTCAGTTGGGGCCGAGAGACTTTCGTCAAGTTCTTGTCAAACTTAAAGCCTCCTGTACCCTGAGTGTGAAATATAGGTTCACGAGTCTGGGGGCATGAGCTCGTATATTTACAGCTTGTCTTCTATCCTCTTATCCAATCGCACATCTATTTCAGGCAAGGGAGAAAATGACGGAGCACAAAATTCAGAAAGTCGTTGTAGTCGGTGCAGGCCCAGTAGGGCTCCTGACTGCTTTAATGTTGGGTCAGAAAGGCATATCTGTGGACGTCTTGGAGTCTCTCAATGAGGTGAACAAATCTCCTCGAGGACTTGCGTATGGTGCGCCTGCAGTAAAGTAAGTATTCCACCGTTTTGCTCTCAAGATGACTGTATACACTAACCCTGTCTCGTCTTTCAGAGTGCTAGCGCGAGCAGGTATCCTTGAAAAGACGATTGAACGGGGGTTCATACCCAAAGATATTGCGTGGAGAAAACCTGACGGTACAATGATCGTTGGGTTTGACCGTCTGGAGACTCGGATAGATGGGCTGCCACGCAGTGTCATTCTCCCAGTTGGCTCTCTGTCGGCTCTCCTGGTAGAAGAAGCCCAACACTATCCTAGCATCAAGATCTATTGGGGTTATAGGGTCTCCAATGTGGGACAGGACAGCGAGAGCGCCTGGGTAGAGAGTAACAGCGATGATGGGCTTAATTCCAAGAAGATGATGCATGCCGACTTTGTGGTGGGTTGTGATGGTGGAGCCAGCGTTGTGAGAAAGACACTGCAGGGAGGAAGCTTCCCTGGATACACTTGGCCAAAGACTCTTGTTGCAGTCAACGTAAGTGCTAAATGAGTCAGACTGAGAGAATTTGACTTATATTGAAGTGAACACAGGCACATATGAGCTTTGACAAACTTGGGTTTTCCGATGTTCAATGGATCATACACCCCGAAAACTGGTTCGTCATTGCCAAAATCGACAACAAAGGACTATGGCGCATTGTGTACGGCGAGGCTCCGGGACTGTCGACAGAGGAGATCCGAGATCGACTCCCACAAAGGTTCCGAGAGACTCTTCCAGGACACCCTGAACCCAACGAATACCAACTTGAGACGGTAACTCCATACACTGTCCATCAGCGATGTGCAGAGAAGATGAGAGTTGGACGTATCTTGTTGGCTGGCGACGCGGCTCATTTGAACAATCCCATGTAAGACTGTGGCTATCCCGCTATCTTGTGTTTCATGCTCACTTGGACTCCGCAACAGGGGAGGTCTCGGCCTTACCACTGGAGTTTGCGATGTGGGCAGTCTGATAGACTGTCTCTACGGCATTGACACCGGGGAAACCTCTATCGACATCCTCGACCGGTATGATGAAATGCGTCGGCAGATCTTTAGCCAAATCACAGACGCTACCTCCACGGCAAACTTCCACCGTGTCATGGCCGACCCGGAGACTATATTGGAGAAGGATATTTTCTTCCAGCTTCTGGAAAGGGCAAAGACAGAACCCAATGTCGCAGCAGGTCTAATGAAGGTAAGTCAAACAAGTGACGATAGTTCATCCTTCCTTCCGTTGCCAAGGAAGTTCTAATGAGGCTTCTCTACAGCATGAGATGAGTATCGGTTGTGATATGACACAGTACTTTGCCAATGGAGCATCGGAGAGCTCTAACAACGGAGTGGTCTTATAATTACAACTCCTCTGAACAAAGACAGAGAGTGAAGGCACTACTATGGGAGTTGAAATGATATCACTCAGACTCTTTGGACTTGAACAGCGATGAATATAGATTAGATAGTGTCGAAAAACTTCGAATGTCAAAAGCTTAAGTCCAAATCTAGAACACTACATTGTCTATTGCCAATGAAGTGTCTATGCTCCCATATCTCTATTGTGTATATCTAGTCTTCGAAGGAATACCGGTTTGCTAATCGTCCAAAGCCTTCAATGCCCACCTCAACCACGTCGCCATCATTGATCACACCTAAGGGCTGCATAAAGCATCCCACCCCGCTGGGAGTGCCGGTCATTATGACCGTCCCTTTTCTCAACGTCGTCCCTCGACTCAAGTGCTCGATGATCTGAGCTACGGTCCAAATCATGTCGTCCGTGCAAGTCTGCTGTCGAACTTCACAATTCAGATTTGTGAAGAGCTGCAGGGTTTGAGGGTCGGCTACGGTATGAGCTAGTACGACTGCCGGGCCGATCGGCGCAAAAGCATCGAAAGATTTCGCATAGCAAAACTGTCCTCCAGAGGCACGTGGCTTTTGAAAGTTGCGTGCGCTCACATCATTGCCACATGTGTAGCCCAAGACGTATGAGAGGGCTTCCGACTCGGTGACATTTTTGGCATCACGACCAATGACAACAGTCAACTCGCCCTCGTAGTCAAGGAGAGATTGGCAGTCGACGTGGACGGGAATCGTATCGTATGGACCTGGGAATAGTTAGAGAGTTTCGATCAACTCGTTGACTTAGCATTGAGCTTCGCCTGCACTAGGCCATATTTACCAGCAAGAGCATCTGCTGGCTTCGTGAATACTACAGGATACTCAGGAATGGGATTCTTGCCCTCCTCAGCATGCGTCTTGTAATTCAGTCCGATACAGATGATCAGAGGTGTCGACTCAAGCGGACAAAGGACCTAGACGATTGTTTAGTTTGTGTATAAATTACAGTACCTTGTGGTTGTGCAAAAGGGAAATGCAGTATACCTTGCTCACTGTTTTCCTCTGAGAGTCAATTTGGAAGCCTTCGAATGGTGTACCACTTAGAGTGTTGATTGAGAGTCCCCTCCCCTCTAAACCCGATCTCAACTGCTCTTGAGAGACTGCACCATGGTGAATTTCTCCTTCCTCGTCAGAAAAGCGAATAAATGCGTCAACTTTCATGTTTGATTATTAGGCCAAAGAACTTGCAATGAAGGTACTGAGATATCATGAGCTCCTGTGCTTGTGAACTTCTCCACCGGAGTCTCTCGACCCTGACTACGTCGAACATTGCTGTCTCCCTACCGGACCGGTATGCATATCAGATTGTTCCATATGGGAAATGACTTTCGCCCAGGCCGCGGAGCCTAGAAACACGAAATATACCGAACCAAAAGGGGCTTTCCAAGAACGCCACCGGAGTGGAGATGAAGAGGTCCAGGGCGTTACACCAATGCTTCATTTGACAACCGGGCTGGGAAAGACACAGAGCAACGCGAGATATCCTTTCTAACATCGTATGCTCCGTGTATGATATTATCTAGTCAGAGACTGACAGGCAGAGTATGCTTTCTCTATGATCATTTGACAAGTATGTCAGCAAATGGATCTACGAAGTAGCTTCTACAATGAGTATGTGGTTAACGCCGAGTCTTTTGGGCTAGATTGCTCCACCGGACTGCGAGAGTTCGAAACAGCACGATTAGCAAACTTCAGCACAAGCAACTCTACAAAGTGTTTCAGGCTGGGATGCAGCCGTCCAGGCCACTCTCCCCGCGTTCGAGAAGTCCACCGGAAGATGTAGTGGGCCGTGGAGTACCGAACCCTCCCCAGGATCCAGAAACCGGGAGTGGTGGGGAATTTGGCGGGATATCAATAACCAGAGAAATTAACCCGATCATGTTGGGTTAGCTCCAGACTATGGACCTTCAAGTGAAAAAGGCCTTGTTGTCCCCTGAACTTGTGCGGTATTTGCACTCGGGATATCAACTGCAAGATCGATAGAGAATTACAAAATCAGCAATATGCAGGAAACCCACAAAGATATCGAGAGAAGCCAACAAGAGATGGTTGAGGCCATCACACCGGCGTCAGAAGCCAAACCTTCCAAGCATCGGATCGGTGAGGAGGTTCTGGATTCTCATATCCACGATGACCACGGTGATCCGCATAAAGCGGCATTGGAGGGTGCCGATGAAGACGCCCATATCAACTGGACAACTTGTGCTGCGGTCTTCTCTCTCGGACTGACATTCCTGTCGGGGCTGGGATTCACATTGAACAGCTTTCTTTCCGTGGCCACCGTGGTCGCCATCCAGCTACAGGGATCCACGAACAATGTCAACTGGGTTGCCGGCGGCTTCTCATTAAGCGGGAGTGTGGCATTTGCTATCGCAGGACAACTTAGTGACTACTTGGGTCGGAAGGATGTGATTCTCTTGGGTCAAGCATTCCTTCTCATCGGTCACCTGGTCTGTGCTACCGCCCTGACCTTCAATCAGATCATCGCTGGGATGGTACTCCTCGGTGTGGGCACAGGTATCTGTTTTGTGTAAGTATCTCCTCTTGAGGGGTTAATTTTTCCGTCTCTCCCCCGGCCAAGTCTCCATACATGCTAATACGAGACTTTTCTTTCCCGTAGCATCTTCGCCGGAGTCTCCGAAATCTTACCCAACAAGTGGCGATCACTAGGGATTGCATGGATCGAGGTCAGCATTGCCATTCTCGCGCTATTCGGCCCCTTGATAGCTCGCGCGCTAACCGACCGCGCGACATGGCGCTGGTTGTTCATCCTTGGTGACATTGTCGGAGTCCTCGCCGTGGTCGGTACCGTCATCTTCTATCAGCCACCGCGTCGGATCTTCCAGGATCGCACCAAATGGGAGGTTCTGTATGAGCTGGACTACATCGGAATTCTTCTCTACACTTCCGGAGTGACTTTGTTCTTACTCGGTCTTGGATGGGCTGGAATTCAACATCCCTGGCGAAGTGCGGCCGTGATCGCGCCGTTGGTCCTCGGCGCCATCTTGTTCTTGTGTACCTTTGCCTGGGACTTCACTCGAGGTCCCGACACCAGACCACTATTTCCGTGGCGACTATTTCGAAAATTCCGAGAGTTCAACTCTCTCATCATCATCATGTTTGTGTCCGGACTGGGACATATCGCCTGCACTACGTTCATCCCGCAACAGATCCTGTTCGTCTTCACCTCGAACCCGATCACCGCAGGATGGTACAACGTCCCCGCTGCAGTTGGTGGCTTGTTCGGTGGTGCTGTATTGGGTGGTCTCGTGCCACGTCTGAAGCATATCCCTCTGCAACTTCTTGCAGGAAATGCTATCCAGGCATTGGCAGGCGGACTGCTGTCTCTTGCGACGCCCCATCGCATCGCACCGGGCTTGTTCCTTCGGGCTCTTGTGAATGTGCCTTTCACCTGGATCATCGTGATTGGATACGTTACCGTGGGTCTCCACGTTCCGCAGCGCGACATCGGTCTTGCTTATGGTCTGCAAGGCGCCATGCGTTATCTCGGTGGCGCTGTAGGCAGCACCATCTTCAATACCGTCCTTAACGACCGGCTTCCCAATGTCATTCCGCCAAGAGTTCTGGCTGCGGTCGTTCCACTGGGTTTCCCTGCAAAAGAGACGGGTAAACTGATTAAAGCGATTCAGTCCCGGGTACCAGCAGCGGTGAAGCCGTTCCCACCAGACGTGGTAGCTGCAGCACGGGAGGCTATTCGATGGGGTTATAGCGATGCATTCGCCTATGTCTGGTACACGTCCATTCCTTTCTTTGTGATTGCCTGCGTGGTGTCTCTCTGGGTAGCGGACCCTTCACCATACTTCACAAATCACACCGCAGTGACTGTGGCGGAGGAGAATTTGGCAACTCGGCTCAGGCGTCATGATAACGTTGAGTCAAAGGATGTCACCGAGACGAAGAGGAGCTTGAAGGAGATAGAATAGGGTCTTATTCTATGTTCGGTCGAGTTGCTTTGGAGGAAGCCACTTGACCTCTAGCGATATCAAAACACATGCCATACTTCAAACCTGTGCTCAGAGGCAGTTTGCCAGTCCCTGTACAAGTATGCGTTACAAAAGAGAAATCAGGCCCTCCGCGCAATAGTAGCCTTATATCGTCCTACGAAACTTATTTTCTACTACTACCGCTCTTGCACTCTTGTACCTTTACTGATATACCGTTTTAGTGTAGAATGTCTTCGGAACGGATGAGACTTTCAGATTGGATCGTTTTCGCATTCCTATCTAGCTAGCCTTGGACTTGTATGCATCAGCAACTGCCAGGACCCCTGTTTCTCGTTCGAACTTGCTGTTTCCACCATGGGGCCTCTGCGGGGGAGTGTGCCAGATCATCTCGTGGACATTGCCTTCCACGGTCTCCCCGGTGCGGCCTCGCTCGACCCAGTCTTGGTTTCCCACCTCGGCCAGATCTGCGCAAGCGTCGAAACATTTCATGATCGTGCTCATCGGGGTAATCTGATCAGGTGGGAGTTTTGACACCAGCCCAGGTGGGAGACCTGGAGTATCGACAATGGCGGGACACACTGCGTTGATACAGATGTTCGCCGCTAGCGAGTCTGGGTTCTTTGCGAGCGCCCGGACGAGACCGACAAGAGCGTGCTTACTGGCTGTGTATTGGGGGATCGCAGGAATCGGAAAGAGTCCGCCTCCAGAAGAGGTAATGACGATCTTGCCGCCTGTCTTTGGCTTCCCGCCCTCTTGACTTGGAATTGTCATGTAGTGTGCGGCGAGCTTGAGGCCGTAGTATCTGTCCCGAGAGATAGTTAGAGCCGAATATGTCTCAGTAAGGTAGTATAGAACAAGAAAATGTCGAGTTATCTTGTGCTTGTCTGTGTTATACGTACGTTCCGATGTTATTTACAGAGAAACACCTCGTATCCGGCTTCAACGGTGGACTGTTGATATCATGAGACAGGTTTCTAAAAATGCTATCTCGATCATCGGCAGCAGCATTGAGCGCAACAAAATCCAATCGTTTGCCCCAGTCATAGGCTCGTTTGAACAGGTCGAACTGCTGGTCCCAAGAGGATATGTCGGTGCGAATGTACAGGAGATCAGAGCTGGACATTTTAGGAGGTTGTAGATCGGCCACAATCACTTTCCAACCAAGAGATATCAGGTGCTGCACCAGAGCCTCGCCAATCCCAGATGACCCTCCGGTCACGATTGCGGCAGGCAAAGTCATGGCTATCTTTTGGCCTCGGTTGATTTGAACAATGTTTTGGAAAGGTGATGCTGTCTAAACCACAGATAACGACAAGCGCTGAGAATCTGTTAGTCCTAGTAATGGAAAGCAGCCTTTAAATACCCTGCTCACGGATTCGATGATTGCTTCCCAACAAGAAAAGACTCCACGGGATCCATGGCAGAGAAAACTATCGAAACATGTTGTGCTCGTAGCTTTTACACATATTTGAAATTGAACCACGGGTCTCATGAACATGATTTTAGCGAATTTCTTTGAAGGATCCTACGTGTGCCACCTCGGCATGGTGTGACCACCGACCAGGCTGGGAAAGCAATGAACTATTGAGAATGTCTTCAGGAGCTGTGGCGAATGAGCCGGTTCAAACTGAACGCCGAACGCTTTTGGAAAGACTAGAAGAGATTTGCCGAGCGGATGGGCAGGTGAAGTACCCCCGTTCCTAAAACCTCCAATCAAACTCCACTAGGAGAAAGAAAGTGGGTCTATACAACAAAAATGCTTCACCTCGGCTGGTCAAAAGCCTGTGGTGATCCACCGATATTTGGGTGTAAGGATAGTCCTGCATATTGCACCTGACGCAGTTGATTCATTTGCGCCAGAAAGGGCTCGTTTGTACAGGATCACATCCTACCAACCGACCACACTGACAGTGCCATCGAGCGACACGAAGCCAATCCACCAACAGTGAAGCCAGTATGACTCCTCCACTCATCACGCTCGAAGAGCACTACTATTCCAAAGCCATCTTCGACTCATTCGATAACTCAATGAAAGAGGGTATCAAGAAATGGCCTGGCGCGATCGAGAGACTGTTTGATGCGGGTGATCTGCGCCTGGAAGAGATGGATAGAGGACAAGTGTCTCTCCAAGTCATCTCGCACTGTGCTGCAGAGAATCCATCTCCTGACGCCTGCCGGGCGGGAAACGATCAGTTGGCGACAGAAATTTCAAAGTCGGGCGAATCAAAGGAGCGGTTTGCCGGCTTTGCCGTTCTGCCCATGATTGACCCAGAGGCTGCCGCTGTCGAACTAGAACGAACCGTCAAAGACCATGGTTTTGTAGGAGCCTTGATCGATAACAAAGTCACCGTCGGAGCGAACTTTTACGATGGGTATGATTACCATGTCTTCTGGAAAAAGGCGGAAGAATTGGGAGTTCCTGTCTATCTCCATCCATCCTGGCCATCGGACAAGCTCCTTCAACAAACCTATCTGGGTAATTATCCTCTCAGATCTGCCACGGTGATCGGAGGAGCTATGTGGGGATGGCACAGTGATGTCGGGGTCCACGTACTCCGGCTCCATGCCGCAGGGGTCTTTGATAAGTTCCCGAAGCTGAAGATCATCCTGGGCCACTTTGGAGAGATGATGCCCTATCTGCTCCAGCGGATCTGTGATCAAGAATCCATCATGGGAAAGAGGCAACGCACCTTTAGGCAGGTTTGGGACGAGAATATCTGGATCACGACATCCGCCTGTTGGAGCTTGGACCCGATGCGCTGCATTCTCGCAAACACCAAGATCGAGCGGATCATGTACAGTATCGACTATCCATTTACCACCAACGAACATGGCCTGAAATGGTTCACTGAGCTCGAGAATAGCGGTCTGTTGACACCACAGCAGCTGGAGATGATTGCGCATAAAAATGCCGAATCCCTTCTCGGAGTCAAGGCTCCGTCGAGAGAGCAGGTCAACGGTGTCAATGGCCACAGCAGCACACACTGAAGAGCTAAAATTGTCCATTGAATTGATGCCACCGAGGAGAGGAAAGACAAGTTGATAGGAAGGAGACCTTAGAGATATATTGGCTTGTAAACTTTGTGGAAAAGGCATAACTTCAAACCATTCTATAATGACCAGCGTCTGACAGATCGGAAGGTCTTTAGCAATCGATACTAGTACAAATAGAAATCAAATGTTCCGCTATTGAATAATTGCTCTTGACATATGTCGTCGTGCTCAGAGAACAAGATCATCCATATCGGTGAACGGGAGTAAAGTGCTCCACATTTCGAATGTCTCATCTGGTAGGGAGCCGAAGAATTCGTTCTCCTAGGTGCTTGAGTCAGTTCTCGGAGCAGACGATATGATATGCAAAATCTCGAAACACTTACGTAGATATCAAATTCTGCTGGCTCAGAGACACAATTGTTAGGGAAAGTGTCTCGCGATAACTCCGTGATATTGCGGTAAGTATCAAGGTCACCGCCAATACCATTCCCGATTTCGTTGTTACCACGTTCGAGGGCAAGACGAGCGAAGTGACTCATTTCTCTTACCAAGCTCACGGACAGTTCGAAATCTGTAGTTAATTCGAGGCTTGAAAAATATCCCACCGCGATCTCTGCAAAGTGACTGTGGTCAGTGGAAGCTCGATTTTCGGACACTAAATGCAATGGCACAACTGGTAGCGGCGAAACACAAACCTAGGAGCATGAGATCCGACTTCGTGGAAGACATACTCGTATCTCGGAGTATGTGAATAAAGAGGTTAATGGAACTGTAAAAGGGGGTGTACAATGAAGCCCTGGAAAATTTAGCAACCGAAAAACTGAATGTCGTCGCCGTCCGAGTGGTCTCACAGTGCGGTGCAGCTGGCATCGAACTGGATCTGCCGAGTTCCAAGAATCGAACGCCGTGCAGCCTGTACAACAGCGCTACAGGATTTTTCGACTTGTGCAGAGGCCGGCAAGTCTTGTTCCGCGTAGGCATGGACCCCCGACCACGGGTAGCTCAAAGGGGTGTTGATGTCCAACACGAGACAGCAGTAATGGGCCTGGAGGGATTGGGCCTGGCGCAATGTTAATCCCAAGACTGGCAGTCTAGATAGGTCGAGTGGCTCATCTAGACAGAGATTGTACTGTATAGCGAAGCGGATCTTCATATCTTCGAGCTCTTGGGCCAGAGTGCGGACAGTTTCAATCAAATTTTCAGCGACCTGTGCAAGACCTCGCGAGCACGAGAGTCGCTTCTTGGCCCTAGAGCACAGCTGCATCATCTCGACGAGGATGTGACAATACATAGTGTCCCCTGATGAATTTGTGAGCGCGCTCTGGGGAACAAGAGTGCTCACATCATCGTCATCCATCGACTGGATCCGACAATTGGTTAGCTTATGGCAGAAGGCGCTGCAAATATTGAATAGAACGTACCGATGGACGGCCCGAGCGTGTACAAATTTGTTTCTCCAAGCAATAGATAGACCAAAATATCCAGTTTCTATGCTTGGCTTCGTATGGAGGTATCTTCCATGATCTCGGAGGTTGTCGGTGTAGCCCTTTAGAACAGGCAAGGCGCATTGCAGTCGAGCACAACATGTACTGCAAGGATGTCTTGCCCACACCTTCGGCGTAGTATGCCTGTGAAATGGAGGAGTAGTTAGAAGTGACGACAACGAATATCTTGTTCTCTGACCTAAATCTTTACAAGTGACAACGAACCATTAACACAAGTGCTTGTACAGCGACTAGAGAAGCGCGCAAAAGCTGAATTTCGGTGTGCACAGAAAGTGCATTTTCGAACAAGGCCCACGAAGACCGGGAAGCTTCCCCAAAGCTCTTGCTTTTCGACAGCGAAATTCGAGACCCACTCGCCCAGAGAACACTACGCAACGCATACCAAGCTTTGTCGTCGGTGGTCGTGCCATTTTGAGGGGCACTAAGCCGAGACTCAAACCATGAGCGGTTAACGACATTGAAGGCTGCTTCGGGAGCTTCTTCAAAGTAGGCTTGAATTGGCGATATCGTCAGTATGGAAAATCAAGACAGATCGCAAAACATATGAGTCAAGTCGATCACCTTTTGTATATTGCCTTTGGACTTCTGCAGGAGGTTCTGGTTCCCGCGCAGCAGATGGCGTGCGACTCATCTTCAACATACGCGCCATTTCGGTAATCATTCGCGTGGCTACATGGGAAAACTCAGTTGACTTGACTTTTGAGTTGATCCAAACCACTCCAGGTTGAGAAGAGAAGGATAAAAAACTTCGCGGACCTGCTTCCGTGGTTAGTATTAAGATAATAGCTTTGTAGAACATCGAAACGAATAGCATAATTTACCATAATACTCTTGATTCAACTATAGTGATTACAGAGTTAGTCACTATAAAGCCCGCGCAAGAGACATGTCTGGTTCAAGACTTACAGTGTCTGAGGCATATACGCTGCTATCCTCGTGCTCATTCTGGTGAAAAGTCGCCCTCTCTCGAGGCACGATGCTGTGAGGCACGACGCTGATATCATCGTGTTCAGTCTGATGTGGGGTCAGACTGTCTTGGTGAGAGGTTCTGTTGTCGTTGGGTGAATTGATTGTTGTATCGTCGGCCTGGTAATGGACGAAGGTCAATGGATACTGTACCACGAAATTTTCTGGGACATCCTGGAGGCTGTCAGGCGCTGGGTACTGTGACAAGACATCAGGCTATCATTCGGGCGTAAGAATCCTTGTTTGCGGTCTTGAAAGTACAATCTGAGAAAGGAGAGCCACACAACCACATAGGAAGATCACAAGAAAAATTATTCGGAAAACTATTGTCCAGACTTACAGCAGTCTCAGGGTCATTGAGTCTGTCCTTATGATGGACATTGTCATCTGTTGAGGTTGGAACAATATGAGTGACGCGTTGATCATGATTTGGTCCAGCGCTTTCCAGGCTGGGATTGCCCTGTCCATTCTGACGATGCGAACTCGGAGAGTCGGCGCTTGTACTGTGGTGACGACGTGAAATTGCTCGAACTCCTCGATCACCTTGTTTTCGGTAAGGTCTTCTGGATACCACAACACATTCTTCGGAACGGTCTAAGCAGTTGGTGCACGGGATTTGTCCATTGCCTGCGGAGATGATGAGCCTAACTAACCAGGGCCGAAAGTGCACTGGCTAGGGTATTGCAGACGTACAACGGATCTTCCTTGTTCTACAATGGCTACAAGCCACAGACCGCCTGGTTTTGCCCGGCCCATGATCTCGAGTTAGACTGGAGAAAGCGGTTGAGCTCATGGGCGAACAAAAGGCAATAGCTGCGAGAGCAACGGCTTTGGACTATGCAGTGTCCGCGGTAGCAATGAATGGTAGTGCTTTGTATCCGAGTGTGATATGGTAGCTCTGTGTATCCGATCAAAGCGGGCTTGTCTATCTCAGGTAGAAATGTTGTAGACCGACACCACAGTTGAAAACGAAGGGGGGGTTTTCTTGTGGACTGATCAGACTTATCCTGTAAATTTCGGCGAAATTACCCGATACGTTCGGCCCGGCTACAGTTTTGTCCGTGCGCCAAGTCCGTATACGGTAGACCACGCGAAAGGGTGATGGCGCATTGACTGCTATGACCATCAAGTCCCGGCAAGACCAGCCTCACGAAAACCCTCATCAAAATACAGTCAGTATTGGTGTGATCTCCGCATTGCAGTTAATTCTGAACCTAGTTCAGAAACATGCCCAACCCGCCAATGAGAGTCATATTGTTGCTTCGAAAGTGAAGGCAAGTTTTCTCGCTAAGTATGTCTCAAAAGATAAGTGTATACCCGTATTTATATATGCTTTTCAAATAGACATATATCGATTTTTATCTCTTTTATATTGTGGCGGACAGCATCACCGCCGCGTAGGAGGTGAAGAATAACAGCGACAGCTGATGGAGTTGTTAGCACACCACAATGCAGCGTCGGTAGACGATCAAATTGATTTTTCATAACAACACAGTCACGATTCAGAATACTCACGGTGGCGAAGAGAGTGGCTTTGATCCAACAGACCTTCAAGGCGAGAAGAGGGTGGTAATGCGTTCGGCGAAGAGGAAAGAAGGGTTACCGTAAGACAATAAAGAATGAGGGGATTGTTGTTGTTGGTTTTTGTCACATTCAAGACCATATAACGACTTTAGGCCAACTAATCCCGGGTGATACATTATACACGTGAAGAGGCCAGCAAAAAGCCTTACTATCATCTCTATACAATCAATACGGCACTGGCGTATTCCCCGGACAGAGTGAAGTTGTAGGTCCCATTCTTGGAGTAGATGGTCGTCTCTGTCCAGACGCTGGTGACACTTCCGAGCGTGTTTGTGCTATATTTATCCGGCCCGGAGAGAGTGATCAGCTTGGCAGGGCTTGATTTATCGGCGATTGTGACGGTGACGGGGGTTGAGGAGGCGCCGTCGAAATTAACAATCTTCAAGTAGTATTTACCCGACGGCGAGGCATCCTTGGTCCCTGCCCAGTACAGTGGCCCAAAGTTGGAATCAGATGTGATGGGCACGGTTTCGGAACCGTAGTTGTTGGCGAACATTCTGGCGGCATAATAGCTGTACGAGAAGACAATCTCAGTGGCCGAGTGCTTCATCATGGCAACGTTGCCCGGTTCGTGAAGGAGGTTCTTAATCAGCGCTCCATGGCAAATGCCAATAATGAGGTCGGCGTTTCGTTCAAGACCGAGGAAATACACCGCCTCTGCCATCGCAGACTGCAGAGTAGGATTATTGAGCTGATTGGGGTTCTGATGCTGGTCGTCGTAGATGGCTGCATACTCACCCACGAGCACGGGATAATTGCGATCCGCATGGTCGTAGCCACCGAATTTACCGACCATGTCCGCCACGGAAAGGTAGTCGTGGAGATCCTGGACCGTGCCGGGAGGGGGGAGGGTAGGGAAGTAGCCCATCCAGATCGAGGAAATGACATTTATGTCCGGGTAGACGTTCTTGATGGCATCGTGAAACATGGTATAGCGGTAGCCTAGAGATTTTTAAGAAAAGTGTTAGTGAATTCTCCTCATCCTTGTCATACAAGGGACCGGCGGTCAGGCTCTCTCATACCAACGTAGCTCGGGATCCCGTTATTCAAATAGTCTTCGTTGCCAACCTCGACATATTTGATCTTGAATGGGTCAGGGTAGCCGAATGACGCTCGCAATGCTCCGTACTTTGATGTCGAAGGTCCCTAGTCAAACAAAACAGTGTTAGGCTCTGCACAACTAAAAGATCGCTTGTCCCAGGCCAAATGTAATGTTTGGCATACCATCAAGAATTCCAACTCATTCAGGACGTCGTCGATATATGGTTGAAGATCTTCCTCAGCGATGACCTCGCTGTCGAGATACAGGCCACCCCATACACCAAGGATAGTCTCAAGCTGCATATCTAGGCACCACTGAGGCCATTTGGTCAGCCTGACTCACTTCCAAATTCAGGACCATGATGGCCCTGCCGGCACTTACTTGCATCATCTCCAAAAGCCCAAGGCCATTGGTGTTGATATATCCCCAGGTACCTGGAAAGAGACGGCGGTCGATGATAGGACCAATGGTCTCATTCCATTTCCAACGGTATGGCGAGGATTGACCCTCCATATTGTTTCCGCCTGGCATGCGGAGAAACCTCCCGCCGATAGCTTGGACTCCTTCTGCGAGATCCATACGTAGGCCATTGTTGGAGTTCTCGAATGACTGTTGGAAGACGCTGATCATCTGGAAGCGCAGACACTTTCCGGCAACTTTGGCACCATCGAATGTAAGATGGAAAGTGTTCTTTCCGTCTGGAGCGGAGTTGTCGATTGTGAATGATTGCTGATAGAGCATCCATCCGTCCGATTCCGTCTGCGAGACGGTGAAAACGGTGCTTGCGAGCATCGACTTTGTCGTGTTGCTCCAGAAGGCGCCCAGAATCTCGCCGTCATAGTCTCCACGAAGGTAGAAACTAGCTGCATACCGGGTGGCAGTGGTGATGTTCATGCCCCAGTAGCCCTCGTTCCAGAAGCCGGTATCCCCAGATGCATTTGAGTCCACGTCTACCCGCATGTGCCAGGCCAGTGCATCGCTCAAGAGAGGAGCATCGTTGTCCAAAGCGAGCGAGTCAGAGCCTCGGCTGTGCCAATAGTCAAGGTTCTCAAAAGGCGGAACGACGTGTCTATTCGAGTCCAGGTGGACAGTGGTGCCTTGAAAAGCTCGGTTCTGGATCAGCTCACTGTACATACCGCCGTCACCCGAGTGATATACATCCTGGTCCGTCTGATCAGCCATATCCCATGTTCAGGTTATTTCATAACGGCTTGCCATACTTCGTACATGACTCCATACAGCATCGGGCTCGAAGCATTGCCTCCACTTGTCGCGACGTCTAGATACAGGCCTTGTGCGATGTGAAGAAGCCCACAAAGTGCATGCCACAGCTTCATGCTCCTGAACAACATTTTGAGATACGTTGGGGCTGCTTTGAAATTGTTAGTCCTGTCGTCTACCGCCCTTTGATGCTCTTTTATACCATTCTCGCGCAACTTTTTGACCCCTGAAGATCAGAAATTGCAGAGCGACAAACAATCTCTTGAGTGACACTCCGATCGTGAATACACCGCCCAACGCAATTTCAGCCCAAGTCCTCGATGTTTACCAAGAACCTGGGGTTTCATTCAGGAGCTAACCAACCCCATGAATAGATGCACCGCTGACAGACTTGCATTGGCGTAAGGACTAGCCGAAGTTTAGAATACTGTCTCGGTCTGCATTGTTCCTGGACGCTTGGTCATGTATCTGTGGCCGTCCTGCTCTAGGAAATCGTAGCCTCGGAGGCTTTTGCACCGGGATGTTGGGAATAGGAGATTAGAACGATCTCGCGGAGGCTAGCCAAGAAAAGGGAAACTGGTTCCACCATTTTTTTGCCGATTGTGAGTTGTACAGGATTGTACTATCATTACCAGGTGTTTCACAAACGCCTAGGCATAACCAGAGCCGTGAAGATCTAGAAGTCGAAGGCTCGCTGCGTGCTACGCCGAAAGTTCTCTCGAATACCATTTGCGCAACTTGGGCGGAAAACTGAAGACTCGGCCTTGTGCCGCTTTTCCCTTACGCGAATTCCAGGTGAGTCCATGGTAGCGAGCGTCTTTTAAGAGCTTCACTGTTTAGCTTCGAGGGCCGGCACGCAACTTATCAATCAAGAAAACAACACAAACATACAACATATATGTCAAAAGTGAAAATGCCTGCTGTGACACTTCCCGATATCCAATTGAGCGATGGACCCCTGCTACCAGATCAGCTTGGCTGGCTTCGACCATCAGACCCAAACACTCCGATTGAACTTCTCCGGGAGCGCTTCAAGGAGGATCATTACCTCTTTTTAAAAGGCTTGCTTCCCCGTGAACATGTGCTGAAAGCCCGAGAATCATACTTCCGCCTTTTATCAGCCTCAGGTGTTTTGAAGCCTGGCACAGCTCCCATCGAAGGCATCTTCGACCAGACGAACGATCTATCCAACTTTGCAGGTCTCAGCTCGCGAGTAGCAGATCTCAGGAAGCCAAAGAGCGAGCGTGCAGCTACATTTGCCGATTTAACGGCCAGGGCACATACCGAGAAATGGTACACCGAGCAGTTTTGCAAGCATCCGAACTTGATCGACTTCGTGGGCAAGCTCACGGAATGGAAGGACGTGCGCCTCTTCGAACGATCTTTGTTTCGTTGCAACCTTCCAAACACCTCACCCGTGGGCGTGCACTACGACCAGATCTTTTTGAGACAGGGAGACGTGACCAACATCACGGCTTGGTGTGCAATAGGCGATGTCAAGCTGAACGGCGGAGGGCTTATGTACCTGGAAAAGAGTAAGTCCTCCAAATTATTGCTAGCCTTATCATTCATTTTTCCTGTAAGGCCTGATGCGGGAGTATTATCAGGTGCGAAAATCGGCGAAAGCATCGAAGCCGAATTCACGCGCAGATCCCGAGAGAATGGGTTCTCCGAAGAAGAGGCCAAGAATGCCTATAACAAAAATATGGTAGATGGCGGAGGAGACCTCTTCCAAACGTCGAAGCCTACCGAATTTGCGTCTCGGTACGAGCGAAAATGGCTTGTCAGCGCCTTCGAAGCAGGAGACGTTGTGTTTCATGACCCGTTCACCGTAGGTGCTTCCCCAAATTTTCGCAGTCTGCTTGAACTAGCAGCACTATTCGTGCCAATGAATGGTAATTGATTTATTTGGGTTTGGGTTTGGACTAGATTCACGCCTCGAGTATCAACACCGATGAGGACGGTGTGATCCGCCTATCCACCGATCTACGATATTACGACGCTTCACGCCCATATGACAAGGTGATTTCCTCCTACCCTTCTTTTCGGGATGTTGCGTCTAGTTGGCCACTGATGACCTGATACTTTTTCTAGCGTTGGACACGCCATTTTTATCCTGGGTCAGTACTCTGAGATATCGGAATCTCATCTCAAGCTGACACTGTCTATCAGGGACGAACTCTAGGACTTCGGGGCTAGAGACGGTGCCACATGTGCAGCAATGTTAGTGACTTATGACCAACGTAACGCAATGAGAGCGCCTCCAGTAGTAAAACTAGGCTAAATACCACACCTTCGCTACTTGCGGTATAATACAAGGCTGGCAGTAAGATAGGGAGAAGTATTGACTCTAACTCGGTCGTTTAGGCTAGAGAGTTGAAGATAGAGAGCGCACCGCGGAATCACCGAATGATTCATTGCAAATTCTCGAATACAGTCGCTTCACCCTTAAACACACTGCATATACGTGCTCGAACACAAACCCACGTCCGTCTACATCACCGTGCCCCATCCAGGACAGAATTCATGGACTAATCTCATCCCCCTACACTACGTACGACCTTCTAGCCATGTTTCCATCCTCTTAGATATGGATCTCTTACATTTGAGTGGTTTAGACTCGACCTTTTATCTGTGCAACCGCATGCATTTGGCCCTCGGCGGCCGTGGCAGTCTTGGACCACCTCCATGCCTGGATTTTGCGCTCGTAAAGCTCGTCAATTTCGGCGGTAGAACGGCTACGTAAAGTCAGATTTTGTACCGCCACGTTCGCCAGTAAGAGGGACGCTAGCTTACCCCTTGGTTTCGGGAAGGTAGAACCAAAAAATGATGCAAACTGGCACTGAGAACGCTCCGTAGACGAAGCCAGCCTTGACACTGAGCGCGAGAAGCATTGGTGGAGTCGCGTAACTGTTGCGAGCGATTGAATGAGATTTCTCTGCACCCGGGGGAAGATTGGGAGAGTGGGGAAGAGGTTTAAGAGTTGACGCACCAGGTGGCGATGCCCATGCATGAGTTGAAGAAGAAAGTGACAGGTCCGGTTTTTACTGGTCTCCTTGTCAATTTTGAGGAAACCCACAATGTGGTGGTCCATGTATGTTTGAGCACTCACCTCGAAGGATGGCAGAGGGTAATTCTGCCGAATAAATATAATAAGACATGACAATGATGGAGTAAAAGAAGGTCCAGAAACAGCAGATGACCAACTGGAGGAGCGTGTCAGCCGGAAAAAGGAATCTGTGGTCTTAGAAACAGGAAGGGGAGAGGCCGGGGACTCACGAGGGCAGTGCCAGCAGAGGCGTTGCCGGTTGTCGCTCCCGTCCAGTACAGGCCACCCACGACAAAAAGGATCACGCAGACGGCCGTCTCGCATGTGTTGATGATGGTACGACGGCCGAACTTATCGGTGGTCAAAGACCAGCACAAGACAGCGAGGAGATTGCAGCAGCTACATTGAAATTTCAGTCTCATAGTACACACAGCCGGCGGCGATTGTGCACGAGTATCTTACGAGAGGATGACAGTCGCGAGGAAGGGGTCTTCCAATCCAGCCAGAGAAAAGAAGTCTGGAGGCAGGGGGTCAGTATGCTCTTTTAACAGGCCTAAAACCCTGGATCAATTCGCAACGTACAAGTTGAGTAGGTACTGATAATGGCAAGACCGGCAAGCTGCTGTGAGATTCCGAGTACCATTACGGTGAGGGTTCGTTTCTGACGCACTCCTGGTTAGCCCTTCTCAAGGGTTTTGGGGGGTTTCGGAAGCACAAGACGTAAAGGGAAATGGAAACACCTACCAAGTTAAGACCTTTGAAGACGTGGATCACACTCGGTACCTCCATCAGCACCTCTTTCTCGTGCGCGATCGTTCTCTCGATAATCCCGTACTCCTCTTCGAAGTCGTAACCGGGAATTCCACCATAAAGCTGCCTCATGGCCTTCAAGGCCTTGTCCTTGTTGCCATGTCGGGCGTGGAACCAGGGTGACTCGGGAACGAGGGTCCAGCAGACGATCATCAACCCAATTGGAGCCCAGAGGATTCGCATAGCCAACAGATAGTTGTCGGGGTGTTTTTGGTTGAGCTGTTGCATCATGACAGCGCAGATAATACCACCAATATTGCTCCTGTTTTGGATGATGATCAGCAACGGAAAAGCCAAGGTGGTCGCACCGAGGGGACACATACCAGACAGATTGGAACGTGACCATACCGCCTCGGATCCTATTTGGACAGATTTCCATCACGTACACCTGGCATGTGACTCTGCAAAGTTCGCGGTGAGTGCTGATCGAAGTGTCTGATTCAGGCAGGAGGGTATAAGGCTTACTGGAGGACGCCGATACCTGCACCATTACATAGCTTCGCGAGGGCCTACGACAACGAGCTCAGCATGAGCTCGGGGTTCTACATGGTCAAGTAGAAACTTAAGCTGCTTGGACTTACCCATACGGACGGGCTCTTTGCCGTGTTGAGGAACACGCAGCCCTAAACATATCATCAGCTAGTTTTTCTCTCGCCAATGTTGTAGGATGCCTTTCACGTACGACGACAAGCCAGATCCATGCAAGGTAGAATGACGTCTTGCGGCCGTATTTGTCGGCAAACCTGGGTGAGTGAAGTGTGTCAGGTACAGCGAGTTGGCGCCCTGAGAACATTCACCCTTCGAGCGCGGTATGCGGAGGGTGCTTACCATGCAATGTGAGTTAAGGTGACGATTTGCCCGACGTTCTAGAACATCCGCATTAGTATATTTGTTAGATAGCATCGTTGAGGGTGATGAGAGGAATCGTGCACATACCAGAAGAGCACTCCACGTGGAAACTGGTGGCCAACATCATTATTGTTAGCTTTACGGGTTCATCCGGTACAGATGATATAAGTTATAGTAGGACTTACGCCATGTAGCGTTAAGGGCCCTCACGCCCGTGCCGCCGTGCTCCCCGAACTGCTTGATAAAGCCCTCGTTCGCGACGATACTACCTCCAGCGCCGAGCTGAGCAGGATTATTAATAATCTGTGCATGGTAGTCTACGCGACAGCTCCCGCCGGAAAGGGGGGAGTGCGCCTTCGCTTACCTCGAATCCTTCGCAAACGTAACCCGTGTACACGGCTAGGATAATGAGGATGACCCGCTTGAACACCCACAGAGTCCGGGGAAGAGAAAGCTCATCGAATCTCGATTTAACGAGCCCATAGCTTTCGTATCCGTCGACTTCGGTGATTCCTATAGTATCAGCACCGATTCCTGCGGTGTGCGCCGCTTCGGCCTTTTCCATCGCGAGACTGGCCATGGTGAGTGCGACTGTGCCGTTAAGCTTTTGCTTTTAGCGATTGATGTGATGTTGACGACTAGCATGGACCGATCCCGCTGAGAACAAAGAGTATTGGTAGTTAACATGAGCAGGAGGGGAGGGTGCATATATAGGCACCTCGTCCGAGTATGTGAAGTGCAACCTCTTCACCAAATCCAGCTGCATCATTGGCGCCTGCAGGACTGTGGGATTACAGACCATGCCGTGCCATAAGACACGCCAGCAACTCATCACGCAACTGCGCCAATACTTCCGGTAGTATTCATCGCTGTCGTACTCGTTCACAATTGCCCCGAAGCCATTGAATCTGGGGCCCCGCGACGAGGGTGGAAATTCCCAATCACAATTTCGCGTATTCCTCTATACCTCGCTTAGGAGATACAGGGTCAAATCTCCCCAGCCCTCCACACCGCCACTCCTGTCCCGTCATCAGATTTCGATTGCACTGCTGCTACTGACTCATAGACGAGCCAACGAACAGTTTTCGTCGGGACAATTGCGAGCGAGCGTTGTTGCCCACGGCCCCGCCATCAATCCTGGTGGCTAGCCTCACATGGTGGATGAGCCAATACTACCCTTCTAACCCGACGATCTGCGCCAGCTCGCGCCGATCGAGATTGCGGGATATCCATTCTTCGGATGGACTGGCGCCCGAATGAAGAACCTGATTTTAGAAGATCACACATTGCCCTGTATGTGCTTCGTACGTCTGAGTCCTGGCCTCGCTTGTCTAAAGAAAGTTGTGAGATCAGTAATTTCTATTCCTCGCCATGGCTTCAATCCGTATCTCAGCGGTATCGTTTGAACACCATCCCACCGGGTTCGGTATCGGATATGCAAGACCTCGAATCTCATGGCGTTTCTCTGCGGACGACAACACCAAAGATTGGTCGCAAGAATCGTACGACATCCAAGTTGGCGGGCACGGTAATGTCGAGGGAATTACATATCATGTGGAGAGCTCGGACTCAGTACTAGTGCCCTGGCCTGACGAATCACTCGACTCACGAAGGTCGGCCTGGGTAAAAGTTCGCTCGCAGGGCAAGACTGTAGATTTGACCGGCCGTGTATCAAATATCAGCACCGAGTGGTCGAATCCTGCCCTTGTTGAGGCCGCGCTGCTTGCCAAAGGAGACTGGAAGGCGAAGCTTACGACGTCGCGGTTCAGATCTAAAAAGAATGAACCGATGCGGCCTTGGCTTTTCCGAAAGGTCTTTCCCTTGTCTGAACAGCTAGGAACGATCTTGCGAGCTCGCCTTTATATAACAGCTCATGGCGTTTACGAAGCATTCATCAACGGCCAGCGGGTTGGCAAAGAGGAAATGGCTCCCGGGTGGACCAGCTACGGCCACAGATTACTGTATCAGACTTTTGATGTGACGACGCTACTGGCTACTGGCCAGCCCAATATATTTGGCGTTGAAGTTGGCGAGGGTTGGTTCGCTGGTCAGATTGGAATGGCTAGTAGACGCTGTATCTATGGTGACCGGTTAGCATTCATCGCACAACTTGAGATCCTCTGTGAAAACGGTGACAGCCATACACTGGTCTCGAATGCTACATGGAAGTCGCATCAAAGTGCGACCACTCGCAGTGAGATTTACGATGGGGAAGACTATGATTCTCGTGAGGAACAAGAAGGCTGGAATAGTGATCCTAATTTCAACGATCAATCCTGGACATCAACTGATGAGCTGGAGTTTCCATCCGCGAGGCTCCTGGCTTCAGAGTCTCCGCCTGTACGGGTGACGGGAAAATTATGTCCTGTGAAGATATTCAAGTCGAAGGCTGGCAAAACCCTGGTCGACTTTGGTCAGAATTTGGTTGGAAAGTTGCAGGTACGCCTACCAGCCGCGACTGGGGCAGGAGACGTCGAGGGAGATACCATCTCGTTCAGTCACGCAGAAGTACTTGAGAATGGGGAACTTGGAACACGACCTTTGAGAAAAGCCAAACCCATCGATAAGGTGACATTGTCTCGCCAGCAATCGTTCACTTGGTCTCCGAAGTTTACTTTTCATGGTTTCCGTTACGTCCAAATAAATGGCTGGCCTACTGACGATACAATGCCCAGCCAGGACGATATCACAGCTCTTGTCATGCATAGCGACATGAGACGAACCGGATGGTTCTCCTGCTCCGACCCTCTCATTAATAAACTCCATGACAACGTTTTGTGGAGTATGAAGGGTAATTTCTTTTCTCTGCCGACCGATTGTCCCCAGCGCGACGAGCGGCTTGGATGGACTGGAGATATTCAAGTCTTCAGTCCCTCAGCAAATTTCATTTTTGACACGCAGGGGTTTCTCGGTAGCTGGCTTGAGGATGTGTCGGCTGAACAGCTCGCAGATGGGAAGGACGGAGTGCCCGGTCTCGTTGTGCCGGATGTCTTCAAACCAGCCTTTCCACCGGGGCCTCAGTGCGTATGGCACGACGTCACTGTTTTGACACCTTGGGACTTATACAACACCTCGGGGGATTTGGAGATCCTACGCAGACAGTACGCCAGTATGAAAGCTTGGGTGGACAGCGGGATAAGTCGAGGTCCGAACGGTCTGTGGAACCAGAACATATGGCAATTCGGCGACTGGCTGGATCCTGCTGCCCCGCCAGATGAGCCAGGAGCGGCTCGCACGGACAGTCTTCTCGTCGCCGACGCCTATCTCGTTCGAGTGCTGGAAACCATTGCCAGAGTCAGTCTGCTACTTGGTAAGTCGGAACATGCCGACCGCTACGATAAGGACGCTTCCGCCGTGAAGAAAGCCTTTAGACACGAATATATTGCCCCGTCAGGCCTTCTCGTTGGAGACACTCAAACGGCACACGCGCTCGCCCTCTGCTTCGGACTGTTCGAAGGCAGGGCCCAGGTCGCCAAATCGGCCAGTCGTCTCTGCCACCTGGTGCACGAAGCCAGATATCGGATCGGGACTGGTTTCGTCGGCACCCCATTGATCACCCACGCGCTCTCCGACACGGGAAATCACCAACTGGCCTACCGGATGCTTCTCGAGCGAAAGTGCCCATCCTGGCTCTATCCAATCACCATGGGTGCGACAACCATCTGGGAAAGGTGGGATAGTATCCTCCCGGATGGGTCAATCAACCCGGGAGAAATGACCAGCTTCAATCATTACGCATTGGGCTCCGTCGCGAACTGGCTGCACAATAGCATGGGTGGAATCAGCCCCATAACCCCTGGATGGCAGAATATCAAAGTCCGCCCGGTTCCAGGTGGCACCATCACGAGTGCGAAAGTGGCATATGAGAGCCCATATGGGAGGGTTGAATGCTCGTGGAGAGTCAATGAAGCGGACGGGATATTTAGCATGACGGTCGTTGTACCTCCAAACTCAAAGGCAGTGGTTATATTGCCATCAGACTGGCAGGAAAAGAGCCAGGATGGAAGAAGAGAAGAAGAGAAGGGCCGTGCCATCGGATCTGGCAGATATGAGTTCTCGTGTCCTTTTTTGCCATCTGAATGGCCACCCAAGGCAGAGTTTGCTCGTTCCACGTTTCTAGTGAAGGTATAATCACGAACGATCTAAGTTCTCTCGGGACTATATACTCAATAGGTACTCCTATGACCAGGGACCTTTAGCATATATCAAAGAGACAGTTACATTTATAGATTGATTCTATGGATTGTGTCTATAATTGTATATGCAGGAATAAGCGTGCCTATAACTTAACACTAACTTCCCTGCTGCCTCCCTTCTATTAATTATTCCCTGTTTTATTTAGTCTATAGCGCAAGTTGTCGATGGACTTCCCGCCGTTCAGAATTGAAATACACCGGTCTATCTCGCGTCGGATGTTCTCTGGAGATCCGTCGATATATTTCGGAGGGGGAACCGTGGCTCCCTTGAGGAAGACGACGACCTTGTCTCTGTCATCCGGGTATCTCGAGTAATACTCGGCCAGCAAGTGAATTGAATTATACTCGGGGGTGCCGTACAATGTCCCTGCATTCCAAAGAGTGGCACCTGCTTCGAGAGCGGCTCGCATGGTAGCCAGGCTCTGCTCTTTGGGTGGGTTAGGGTCATCCCATGTTAGACCCATCATCCCATACGCGATGGGACCGACTTCGGGCGAGACGCCAGTCAAACGCGGAATTTGTGGCATAGCGAGGCGACGAGGCCTCTTGGAAAGCGTCAAGGCCATTACTCTTGCTCTACAGCTGTGGTCTTATAACACTACCAAACCACTGAAGGCCCCTTTCCGATCACGTGGATCACGTGGTACCCAGGCTCATGGAATTTCCCCTTGGAGGCAAGGCTGAGACGACCCACAGTTCGTCGAATCGTTGGAGATTCTAGCCATGGGGATCTGTCGGCAAGACTGGAGCCGCATGGTGAGGGGACATACCTTAGTTGGCCCGAGGACCTTACGGAATGTACTCCGTAGCGCATCAAGAGATCTCTCTGGTCATGTCCCAATCGACATAATTGTTAAGACCAAGGCTAACAAACCAGAGAAGCAACTATCAGTGATTTGCCGTCAACACCATAAATCATCAATATCTAGTCTACCTTATCTAGAAACAGACCGAGAACGAGGATCGATGGTCCAGCAAAAGATGGGCGTGCGACGACTTAAATCCAAAGAGGGGTCGGAGGCTCAAAATGCGCCGAAGGTGGATGTCTCCAGCATTGTCAAGGATGTCATCGACAATATTAGAGCCAACGGCGATATTGCTGTTAGACAGTACTCTCAAAAGTTCGACTCGTGGTCACCGGCGGATTTCAAACTCTCTGCGAAGCAAATCGACGACATCATGGCCACGGTCGATCCACAGATCATCCAAGATATCAGGGAAGTCCAGCACAATGTTCGTGCCTTTGCAGAAAAGCAAAAGTCATCTCTCCATGAGTTCGAGTTTGAGATTCAGCCGGGCGTCTTCCTGGGTCAGAAAAATAACCCCATTGAAAAAGTGGGATGGTAATGACACTCTTCCTCTGTCCCGACTGTGACTTAGCTAACGACGAGGACGATATAGTTATATCCCAGGAGGAAGATACCCCTTGCTTGCCAGTGCACACATGACCATCCTGACCGCCAAGGTCGCCGGGGTCAAGCATGTCATCGGTTGCACACCACCTATTGCCGGTAAACTTCCCGCCGCGACCATTTCGGCCATGCATCTAGCTGGCGCCGACGAGATCTTCATATTGGGTGGCGTCCAAGCCATCGCAGCCATGTCACTGGGCACTGAGACCATCGCTAAGGTCGATTTCCTCGCTGGACCCGGCAACGCGTTCGTGGCTGACGCGAAACGCCAAATGTTCGGCCAGGTCGGGATCGACCTCTTCGCAGGGCCGACAGAAGTCCTTATCCTCGCCGATGAGCATGCCGACCCCTATATGTGTGCCGTTGACCTGCTTTCCCAGTGTGAGCATGGCCCAGACACCCCGGCGCAACTCATCACCAACAGTGAGAAGGTCGGTAGGGAGACGTTGCGCTGCATTGACGAGCTGTTGAGAGTCTTACCGACCGCCCCAATTGCGTCAGTCTCGTGGAGGGATTTTGGCGAGGTAATCATAACGGATACATTGGACCAGGCCTACGAGGTCGCCGACGAATATGGATCGGAGCACGTTCAGATATTGACGGAGAATCCGCGTGAAGCTCTCCAAAAAATGACCAATTATGGCGCCATCTTCTTGGGCAAGAACACTTGTGTGTCATACGGTGACAAAGTAAGCCACTCCCACACGTCATTTGAGATCCTCGTAATCCATTCTCCAGAATTTCATCTGACTCAGTTATCTCAGTGTATTGGAACCAATCACGTACTCCCGACTCGCAAAGCCTCTCGGTACACCGGCGGTCTCTGGGTCGGTAAATTCATACGCACGCAGACCTATCAAGAGGTCCGAAACTCGGATGCGTCCGGCAAATTGGGCCGGCTATGTGGACGAGCAGCAAGAGCTGAAACCTTCGAGGCGCATGCGAGGTCCGGCGACTTGCGCGCGGCAGAGCTGTTGGGAGACAAGATTGGGTGGATCGAGCAGACACGCAATGAGCTTTCATTGCCGCAACTTAGCTCCGCTGTGAACTCTAGCTAGCTTACAATGTTTAGGCAGACAACCGTACGAATATAGTGGCAACGGCTGCAGTCGTTGCCTGCTAATCTCCTCCACTAAGAAGATAACCATCCTGCATCTATAATTACATTCTGCCCAGTGATAGATCTCGTTGTAGCCAACAGAGCTATCTGCTTTGCTCCATCCTAAATTTCGGTGCTCCAGATCAGTTTCCTGCATTCGTATTTCCAACACATCCATCTGGGAAGAGGATAATGTGCGCCTAGGTACTTTAGACAGAGTAAGGAAGACAGACTAACCTCGACATCCGCCAATCTTTTTAAGTACACTCTTCTGGGTCGCTGCTTTGAGAGTCTCCGTAGGGGAGCTATGACCCCATTCCTACACCATGCCGGTGGCACTGCTAGCATGGGGTCTCGCACAAGAGCTTTCCCTCTCCACACAAAGCGTGCTCGAGGCAAAGAGAAGAGTGTTTTGTACTGACCGTGAGCAATATGCCAGGACAGACCGAGTTGACACGGATTTCTGGTCCTGAAATCTTCGCGAGAATCTTGTTCAAGTGGATCTGGGCGGCTTTGGTGACGGAGTATGGCTGTATATATTGAGCAAAGAACAAATTAGCCGTCGAGTACTCTTCAATAGGAAGCCTCATTTCATCTTTATTGCAATCAAACGGACAGAAAGTTTCCAAAGAACAGTCCGGCTAGAATATGTCCTACGTACAATGGAACTCCCGCTGGGGATGACACCGGCGAGTGAAGCCACACTGACGAGAGCTCCTTTCGTGGCGATCAGATACGACCGTACCGCGTGGAACAAGTGAAGGCGCGATTTGGCGTTGATGTTGAAGCAGGTATCCCATTCGGACTCGATCATGTTATCGTCCAGATAGGCAAAGTTGCGCATACTCGTCCAGCCCTTGTTCGAGATCACGACGTCCAGGCGGCCCAAGTGACGTATGGTGGTAAATATACATCGATGGATATCATTACTTTTGCTCATGTCAGCCCGCACGGCTAGGACTTGCGGAGCCTTCGAATTTGAAGTCGATTCTTGTCCGGCTGATGTTTTCTTATCCGCGGTATCTGTTGGAGCCTCCCAGGCACTATTGTCAACATGTGTTTGTGCAGGCTTTTAATCTCGGTGACAATTCTCTCTGCTTTGTCCTTGATGTTCAGGTAATTGATCACTACTGTGAAACAGCTTTTATACTAAACAAATTTCTTATTGTGAATTGGTCTAAAGGACTTTGGCTTATGTATTGCATTATTTTTAAGATTAATAGTTTTTGGTTTGTAAATGCTCTTAAATAATAAAACTTTACTATTTAAAATATAAACTTAAAGTTTGCAAATCCCAGTAAACAAAGGCAGAGACAGACTCCGAGGCCGTCCATATCGACAACGTTGACTCTCCTGTCAGTATATAAAACTTCATCCACAGTGATGGCGAGGAAGAAGCCGAGATTCACATTCGCACCTAGATTACCTATGCTTATTTGCTCCTTTTGATCTATTGTCAGAATATGTCCCTCTCGGGTCCGCCATCCGTGATAAGTACCGTCGACCATTCCCTGGGATCCTTATTAATCCAGTCTTGATGACACCTTTCCTTCATCGAAGCAGACCTAAACAACACTACTGCCGGATATTGGGTCATCAAAGCCCTTGTTCTGGTTCAAGTAACAATTGGCCCCAGCATGTGTATGGCCTCAGACACCTTTCAGGCTTACAAATCCTTGTTGGTCGGATCAGGTCTCATCGCCATGATCAGAGCCGGTATCGCACCAGGATCTAAGAATATTTACAGGCTGATTGCACCTCAAGCGTTGATCCGGTTTGGATTTGCCAAGGTACCACTCATGTATGGTGTGCCCAGTGAGATTCTACTCAGAAAATGGCGACCTTGTAGAATTTTCCCTTGCTCCTTTACATCATTCCTTCCGAATACTAGGTGTAGTGGCTCAAGGAACTCTCAGTTGGCTGCTTCCCTATCGATTATCAGTGGGCTTCTCATAGGAAGTACGTTGACTACGTAGAGTCTACATGCTGGCAATACAAATAAATCTGGATGGCGCAGGTACTTTGTATGTGGTGCAGTTGTTCTCTGTCTTGAAACAAGACAGTCTAACTGCCTCCTGAACAGTAGATCGGATTTGCCATATGGGCTGCAGGCGCAATGGGTATCTTTTTCTGCTACAGACCACCCAAACCTCACACACGGCTTCCTGGCATTCTCCGGCTCCTCAGACGCGGCCGGGATAGTACCAGATGAACGGTCTTCATTGGGAAAATCCACATTCTTCGCTCGGTTGACATCTGGCGACGATGAAACACGGCCCGAGAGCGAACTCATCTACCCGCGGCTGTTCCATATCCGAGCCCTGCCCGCCTTGATTTGGTCGAGGCTAAGCATGGGTCCAACACCATATGATCACTCCACAAATTTACTAGAGCCTTGCCCAGCACAAATGCTCTCGATTTACCCGAATGCTTGCGAAGCTTATCGCTTTTATAAACTGCCTGCGCGTCCAACACTTCTTTCGTTCCCTATCTTTCCATATCTCTCTGTGCCCCTCCCTCTTCCCAATTGTCGTCAAGATGAGTCTCAAGAGCGAAAACCATACAATCGGTGAGGATAACCGTAAGGAGATTCCATCCCATCCAGAACGTGCCTCCTTTACCGACCATACACATGGTCGGCAATTGAGTGTGGATCCCGAGGATCGTGCAATGGTGGAAACCGACCAGAACCGGCTGCACCGCTCTCTGCAAGGTCGACACATGCAGATGATTGCCATGTGAGTTGGTTCCTACTGTCCTCAACTTACGTATACTAATCGTAGCGCTTAGTGGCGGTGCGATTGGCGCCGGTCTTTTCGTTGGCTCTGGCAGTGCTTTCCAGACTGGTGGACCTGCTTCGGTATTTCTAGGTTTCCTCCTTATTGGTAAATCTTACGTCAGGTGATACAGAATCGTTAGTAACTTATTCTCTAGGTATTATGATGTATGCTTAATGGATCTCGATAAGCTAGTGATATCTTAGCTAATGTGGCTGTTCAGCTTCTTCATGATGCAGGGTCTCGCGGAATTATCCGTTATGTACCCCGTTAACGGTGCCTTCACCATGTACATCTGTCGATTCGTCGATCCCTCCTTCGGGTTTGCATGTGGCTGGGAATACGCTATTAGTTGGATGACGACCCTTCCCTTCGAACTTTCGGCTGCGTGCAACATTATTCACTTTTGGCCTGGATCAGAGGGCATCAACAATACTGCGTGGATCATCCCGCTACTAGCTGCTTTAGTGGCTATCCAGATATTTGGTGTACGAGGCTATGGCGAGGTTGAATTCGTTATCAGTTTGATCAAGATTATCGCCTGTATCGGTTTCATGATTCTCAGCATTATCATTAACGTTGGGGGTGTCCCTACAGATCACCGAGGCTACATTGGTGGAAGATACTGGTAAATGATATATGACTTATGGCTCCTCGGGCGAAGCTAATGCGTTTGAAATTAGGAATGCCCCTTATTCCGCATTTCTTAACGGATTTCACGGCTTCTGCGGCGTCTTTGTTACAGCAGCGTTCGCTTATACGGGTACCGAGTTAGCTGGACTAGCTGCAGCCGAGGCAGCGAACCCAAAAAAAGAGATACCGCGAGCCTCGAAGCAGGTCGTCTGGCGTCTCGCTATTTTCTATGTCGTTAATCTTCTACTCGTCGGTCTAATTGTACCGGCGAATAGTCCCTTATATCAAAGCGAGGGGTCCGAATCACGGCACTCGCCTTTCGTTATTGCGATTCAGCTTGCAGGAATCAAGGTCCTCCCGTCGATTTTTAATGCCGTTATCTTAATAGCGGTTATGAGTGTCGCTAACTCGGCTACTTATGGGTCAACCCGAACTATTCAGGCTCTCGCGGCAAACCGTGTGTATAAGAATTTTATTCCTATCTTTCTATTAGCTACTAATCTCAGCGATAGGTATGGGTCCTAAGATTTTAGCTTATGTCGACAAAAAGGGTCGTCCTGTGTCCGTCGTTATCTTGCAACTACTCTTTGGTTGCCTGGCATTTATCAACCTAGCTAAAGATGGAGGGGTTATCTTTAGTTGGCTCCTATCACTCACAGGTCTTACTGTTCTCTTCGTCTATAGTGGAATCGCCATCGCTCATATTCGCTTCCGCGCCGCCTGGTAAGTAATAAGCTCTATGTCTCTTTTCTAAATCTCGATGATTGACAGCTTCTCGTAGGAAAGCGAACGGTCATGGTCTGGACGAACTCCCCTTTAAGGCCGTTTTTGGAATTTGGGGCTCCTACTTATGCTTACTTATCGCTGTTATCGGCTTGGTCGGTCAGTTTTACGTGGCACTTTATCCCGTCGGTGGACCCAACCTAGATGCCACCACCTTTTTCAAACTATATCTCGCTGGTCCCCTTCTTGTATTTCTGTACTTGTTATGGAAGGTCTATAGCTGGTTCTCGCGGCCCTCCGACCGGCCTTTTTTCATTCGACTGGAGGATATCGATATCTACACGGGTATGAGAGAGAGCCAACGACAATTAATTAGTGGTTTCGGTGTTTCGGATGAACAGAGACGTGCCAGCATCCAGGAGCTGCAGGAAGAGAAGAAGTTGACGGGTCCCAAGGGCTACATCATGGCTGGCATCAGAAGCATCTTCTAGGCTCATCGAAAACTGAGGTTCATGATCGACCAAAAGACCGTGATTGATAATCGCTCGACATGAGTTCAAGTGCTGAAGAGGCTATCACGTGTTGAGAATTGTGAGTGTGCTAAAGCAATCAAATCAAATGGATTGTCTTCAAGTACCGCCCTTTTTGCTGTTTTCTCGCGCTTCTTTTTCAGTTTTCAGAGATAATTATGTCAACTTCTAGCAAGGACAGCTGCAAAGTCAGTCACGGCTCCTTTCACTTCAATGGGACTTTGCTCTTATCGGTTCGCATGCGAGTCGTGATGCAGTCCTTAAAACCACATCCAACGCCTCAATTTCTCGGTGGTTTCATTTGAATTGGAAGGTCACTTTCGAGAGGCATCCTTTAAGAATTGAAGACTCCGCACCGTCAGATGGCATACACCTAGAGAGGGAACATAAGACAAAGCCCGATCACTTCGAAGGTACGGTGCAGACTGGTCGGCAATAGCCACACAAGAGAATGTGCGATTTCTGATAGAATTGAGTCCATTCTCGGTGAACTAGATCAAGCTGTTGAGGTGTGGAAGAATACCAGCGATGTCATATTCAGACGAACCTATCGGACATGCTCATGCCAGCGAGGCGATGAGTGGACGCTACCCTACCAATCGAGACGTGGCTCGGGAATCAGATACTTTATACTCTATGCACAAGAAGGTTCGATAGCACCGCCAAACATAAATCTGGCCTCAAACTCAGACCCCTAGTGATTTCGTGTACGAGTTGGCCCATGATTGTGGAGTGGGCGGAAATAGTCCACACTCTTCGGAACGAGGTATCGTATACAACCAAGATTCAAATTGCGCGTCTCGGATCTCTTGGGGTTCTAAGGTAACTAACCTTTTTAGCAAACTGTTTTGAGGGGACCCCAGGTTGCCGGCAGTCTGGTCTTCGTTCTGGTATCCCGCACATCTCACTGTTTATATAAACGCAAATATCTACTAAACACTGGTTTGACAAGCCGTGTCGCCAGCTCTCAGAAAGTAGCGATCACCACCTCGCCTTGCTATCTCTGCTATCATTCCGCGGCAAATCGACAGTATGGCTTTTAAGAAAACAGCCCTAGTGGTCGTCGACGTCCAGAAGTTCTTCATTGAGGATGCGACTGAGCCTATTGACCAAGTGGTTCAGCTTTGTGATTATTTTACAAAGCGAAATCTGCCGATATACTTTATCCAGCACGGCCACGATGAGGCCGAATTAACATCCAAGCCGATCACAAATCCTGTGGTGCGCAAGTGGGGTCCAGCAGGTTCTGTCGTTGTGGGTTCCCCAGGATGGGAGCTTATGGACCAGCTATCACCCTTCCTACCAGCATATCCGTCACCTTTACCGGCGGTCGGCACCTGTTTTCCGAATCCTGAATCCAACCAGTGGCCCAAAGTCGTCTTCAAAGACACCTATGATGCCTTTGTCAGAACACAGCTCGACGATTCGCTTTCGCACCACGGTATCGAGCGGCTTCTGGTATGCGGGTTGGTCACTGACTGCTGTGCCGAGACCACAGCGCGAGGGGCATTCAATCGAGGGTATGAGACGTGGCTTATTGGGGACGCTTGCGGAACAAGAAGAAAAGATCAACATGACGCTTATCTGAAGGGCTTTGGCTTTGCATTTGGAGATGTTTACAACACCGCTGAAGCCCTCAAGGCATTACACTGAGAAATCGATCCACTGTGCTTTTCAGTAACAAAAGAATGATATTTATGCTTGACTCCGAAGAGTAACTTCGTTATATCACATCTATTCTCACAGTCTGTTCTCCAAACCGAGTAAATCCTCAAATCACTCTCGAACATAAATGCGCTGGTCTCACTCTTTGGCGTTGCTCGTCTCGATGCCGGGTGATTTTGGGTTAATCTGCGTTCTCTCAAGTCCCACCAGGACCTCTCTCATGTCAGCCTTACCTTCCCGAATGACTGAAAGATCAGGGACATTGCTATGCTTCTGTCCATCGAACAATTCGTCAATTTCCTCGAGTGTCTTTCCCTTAGTCTCGACCCAGAAGTAAGCAACAAATGCTAGCTCCAAAGCATCCCAGGCACCGTTGATCATATACATTTTCCAGCTTGTTACACAGTCAGCATATTCCATTCAAGACCGATAGATAGAGGTTAAAGAATTTTTGGCTTACCCGATTGTCTTGAGGGCGTAGGGAAAGGCAAAGGTAGTTAGGAGACCACATCCTTTGGTGAGCACACCGTACACCCCCATACCGTTCGCTCGAATGGGATAGTTGAGAACCTCTGGCGGGTAGAGAACTGTCAAGGGCGTCCACGCAAAGCTGAAAGAACCTTGGAATAAAAATATTGCAGCTACCGTTCTGTTTGCTTGTTAGCATTTGGATGTCTTTTTACAATGTAGAAGGTTGCCATACCCATAGACACCCGATTTATTCTCGGAGGTTCCGTACACTACAAAACATCAGCTACTATCGCGCAACGATCTGTAAAAGAGGTGATACCTTTCGTGAGAGCTCCAACGCAAAAGAGGAATATAGTCAAAAGAGCCGTACTGATGAGCGCTTGTGGCTTGCGGCCAATGTGATCACTCAAGAAGGTCCCAAGGAGAGCAATCACTAGGCACCATGCGTTGAGTATAATATTCTGGTGGATTTGTAAGCTTGTCAAGGCCATGTTCAAGATGTTCTGTTGATTGTTATAACCGGGACTTACGATTTCCAACTGAGTTGTCGTGTCCTTGATGCCGGCGTTATTGAGCATTAGAGAAAGATAGTATGACACAAAATTATTTCCTGTCAAGGATAAGTATCGTTTCACATATGGGGACTGCCCATGTGTTTGCACAGTGGACTTACCGGAAAGAATGGCACAGACGGCGACCGACAGCGCCAGCATCATTCTCTTCCGACTCGACGGCGTTTTGATCATGGTCAAGAGTGAGACAGTTTTGCCGGCTTCCTTTTCAAATCGTATGGTGTCCGTGATCTCAGCATACTGGGCCAGAACAATTGGGTCATCCTTTCTTCCGTCGGCTTGGGTAAGAGCCAGAGACTCAAGAGCGTCTTCATGACGGTCGCGGTAAATCAACCATCGAGGAGATTCCGGGACAAAGGGGAAGATGAGCATGGACATGAGGCTGAAGACACCCTGCAAGGCAGAGGGAAGTCGCCAGGCCCGGGTCGAATGGTATTGAGCTGTCTTATACGTGACTCCGGCGCTCAAGAGCCCACCTGTTTTTGTCAGAAGAGAGTCCAGTTATCTAACTCATGAAGTCTCTCCTAACTCACCAACATAGAAAAAGGTGAAGAAAACTCCCAGGCCCAGAGCTCTGAAACGTGGCGGAAGAGTTTCGGCAAGATATGTAGGGCCAGAGACTGTTGATGCTCCCATTCCCATGCCCAGCAATATTCGAGCCGCAACGAACATGCCAATGTTTTGGGCTGCAGCTTGCAGAATGGCAGCACAAACTGTGAATGCTGCAGCGCCGATCAAGGCCTTTTTTCGGCCGACTCGGTCGACGATCATACCATAAAACAGACTAACAATACCTCCTCCCATCCAAGTCGCCGCGGTATTGAGCGATAGTGTTGCGGTGGTGAGATGGAAGTATTCGGTGTAGGACGGGAGAATGTTCAGCGCGTTCCTAGCTCACTTATGAGTATCGATAGCTAGATAGGCGGTGTTACAGATCCCGAAATAGCGCAAGAGGAACTCACATCATGGAGGAGTCAAACCCCATCGTCTAGACACTGTTTAGCGCAGTTGGAGTTGGTGAGGAGCATGGTCACCAACCGTTGAAGTGATACATGAACAGAGAACCAGAAGACATGACACCACTAATGAAACTGTTAGTCGTCTAGAATCCAGTCTCGGGGATAAGTTAGGCTATAGTAATGCCATGTTCATACGCCAGGAAGACTTGGGAACTCGAGTTAGCCTCATGGTGATTGCGTTGATGGGTCTCTTCGAGAAATGGTACTCAGAGCCTTGTGGGTAGACCTGAAGGATTCGATACTTGATGAAGGGCTGAAAAAGATGAATGTCGACATGGGGCGGGAAATCGATGGCTCTGGGGTTTTTATACTGTAGAGCCTAGATTTCGCAGCGCCGTGGTGCCGTCGTTTTCATCCAGATAAGAACGGAGGCTGCCTATCTAGTACGATCGACTGGAAGGGGCGTATATTCGCTAACAATACTGATTCCGCGCCTATAGCGCGGGGTCGCGTTTTCTATCAAGCTGTCAAGAAGTCATGATGTCGGGGCCAGTCATCAACAGGTCGACTATCCTGCTTGCCGGAGATTCTAGGTTTAAACCGTCAAGAGTGCTTTTGGGTTGGCCGTGCGGCCGAGGCGTGGCCAATTAGATCCTCTAGACGTATCAAAGTGGGATCCCGGGCGATACCTGGCCGTAGATAGGAACTAATGCACTTTTTCTCGCTCTAGCGATTTATTCTCCTCAACCTCTACTCAAAAGGCGGCCAACTTGAAGCCGCATTTATACCAACATCACTCTTCAACAATACAATATGAGCATTTCTAGTCAGTCCGCGCGCGAAGAAAGCCGTTCGCTTGCTGGATCGCCGCCATTGTTGACAAAACGACCTTATCGTTCGAAAAAGATCCAGCCGTAAGTTCTGTGGACTGAGCTCCGGTGGAGAGCGGCGAGGTCCTAACGTCTCCAGATGCGATCTATGTCGAGCTCGCAAGGTCGCTTGTACGATGGAGATTGGAGCTGCCTCATGCTCACTTTGTAGCCGAAAGGCATTGAGCTGCACCTTTCAATCGCATCCCAAAGCTAAATCTCGTCCCGATAACCGACCGACCACGCGAACGCCGCAGGAGCCCGACCATGTTGCCCTGAAAATTCGTTTTCTCGCCCGGACGGGCGTCGCCAGCAGTGAACCTACCCCGACACATCTGTGGTTTAACCAGACGATGAACATGAAAGGTCACACGTGCTTCTATGCCGGTGTGAGTGGGGACCAAGGGCCAGATCTCCTACGGCACTTGAATTTCAACGAGCGAGACATTTTTGGCAATTCCTCGTGGAGTGCATGGCGGGTCTATCCTCATGTTCACGACCCGGTCTACTTTACCGTACGTTGTTCATTTCCCGGAGACAGAGGCACCGCGAAATAACCGAAAAGTAGATTTTCCCTGAGTCAAATCTAGACCCTCATTGTGACATGTACCACAATTCCAAGATTGAACAGATGCTGGGTCCTTTTGTTCCTGGACTGGTCGATCTCTACTACACATATGTTCACCCCTCCTATCCCCTTCTAGAGCCTAAGGAGGAGCTCCTCGGCCGTATCGAGGGTGGACAGGTGAGGTCGTCGTTACTCAGCTGCGTTTACCACCTGGCCATACATTTCTGGACAAAGTCTACTGAGCTGAGACAGCAAGCCATCCCCCATCACCTTGACTTTTGGAATGACATTTTCGTGGCTCTGACAATCGAGACGAGAACGCCAAATCTGGACACCATTAGAGGCCTTTTACTGTATATGCAACTCCCGTCGCGCTTTGTCAAAGAGCCCAACAAACCAGGGCAGTGGCCTCTGAGTTGCTTATTGGCTGGCGTGGCCCAAGACCTTGGGCTTCACATCGACCCGTCCGATTGGCGTATCCCCCCGGCAGAACGCAAAGCGCGCCGTATTTTATGGTGGGCAGTCCACGCTCATATAACATGGACCGCTCACTTCCTGGGTCGGCCATCGAACCTGAGCTCTATGAGCTCCGATGTAAAGCCCTTAGTCGTCGATGACTTTACGGATGAGTCCTTGATGATTCATTTGGGTCATCTGGCATCCGCCCGAGTGTTTATAGCATTTTCAAACCTATCATGTATCCTCGAAGATGTCCTCCGAAGGCTATGTACTACTACCAGCACTGAACATGAACACCGACTGTCGTCATCTACTGCCGCTCAGGAGATCTGGGAACGCATGTTCGACTTCAAAGAGAAGATGGACGCCCTGATTGTGGACTTGCCAGAATCTGGAAGTGGTGAGTATGTACAATCAGTAGGACCTGATCACTTGGCTGACACGTATCTCGAAGTTTTGTCGCTCCGGATTGCATACCATACAGTCGAGTTATCAATTTGGCGTGCAGAACTCCGAGAAGCACATCGTCCATCTGGAGAAACTAGCCAGCTTATGGTACAAACGATCAGAGAGATGCTTCAGATATTGGTGCGGTTGCAGCGCTCTGCCGAAGAGGGATTCTGGCTTTCGTGTAGGTGATTTTGGCTGGTCAGAGTCCGCTTGTTAACCGCGTCTGGCAGATTGCACTGGAAACTTGGAAATTATAGGCTCGCTTCTCGTTACACTCTGCCTGTCGAGCACGAGTGAGCAGACACTGAACCAACATATCTCCTTGCTTCTAGAATTCCGATCGCACTTACAGCAAATGTCACTGAGCAACAACTTGATGTCCGGGATTGGAAAACTGCCCTTGGTCAGGCTGAATCTAATTCTAGATCAGCTGTCACTTAGACAACCTCAATTCTGAGACCATCTAGTAACTAAAGAATAATTAAAATCTCTCGACCAAATCGACCTTAGTATTGAATTTACGCCAGGGATGTGACATCTTTTGCAGGTTGCATCTGCTGACAGTCGTGTGCAGTAGGACGCAAGAGGGTTCCGGGCTACCACGAGCTAAAGATAAGCTTGTGAAGGCATTAGTCGGGAAAATTAAATAATCAGCGACGGCCAATTCAGTTGGCCGTGTCTCCAGCTCAAATCAACTGATCTTTCAAGGAGGCAAGCGTAGCCGCAAAAGTGGACCGTCACGCTTGAGGGTCGCATATATATGCTAACAATCGAACCTCAGGCAGAAATAATATCTGTGGTATGAGACGGCGAGGCTTTACGAATATCCTCTTGCCACAAAAGAGAATCAATATGCTGCAAAAAGAGCTACATGACAATCCTTTCTTTGGGGGTGCTCCCCTGCCTCCAAAGACCTTGGACGTGGATGCAGTAATGAAGGAGCTGTCAATGCAAGAGAAAATACAACTTTTGTCTGGTGTAGACAACTGGCATTTGAAGGAGATCAAGCGTTTAGGTATTCCCGCCATTCGAGTGTCGGACGGTCCCAATGGCATCCGCGGCACCAAGATGTTTAATGGCTCTCCAGCGGCTTGCTTACCCTGCGGAACGGCTCTCGCAGCAACCTGGGATATGGACATGATTCGACGAGGAGGAGAATTGCAAGCCCGTGAAGCCATTGCTAAAGGTGTTTCGGTCATCCTCGGACCTACAATCAACACGCAGCGGTCACCAATGGGAGGACGAAGCTTCGAATCTTTCAGCGAGGACCCAGTCCTGGCGGGAGCAACAGCGGCGGCAACTATTCAGGGAATCCAATCTAAAGGTTTGTCGACGGTCATCAAACATTTCGTCTGTAACGACCAAGAGCACGAGAGGATGAAGCAGGACTCTCGGGTGAGCGCGCGGGCACTTCGGGAGATTTACATGCTTCCATTTCAGATTGCCCTTCGACTATCCAAGCCTTGGGCATTCATGTCCAGCTATAACCGAGTCAATGGCATCCACGCCAGCGAGGATCCTTGGTTGCTGGGAGACGTTTTACGAGGAGAATGGGGGTTTGACGGTCTCGTTATGAGCGATTGGTGAGACATATCAGCCCTTGAGGCCGCAGCGATGCTGATTTGGTTGCAGGACCGGGACATATTCAACCGCCGAGGCGATCAAAGCCGGTCTTGACCTCGAAATGCCGGGACCTTCGTTGATGCGAGCGTCTCTAGTCAACCATGCTCTCGTGTGTGGCAAGCTGAGCAAGGATGACATTGACATTTGTGTGCGCCGAGTCCTGCAATTTATAAATCGAGTCATCCCTCTAGGAATACCGTCACATGCGCCGGAACGCACCATCGATACCAAAGAAACAGCCGCCGAGCTCAGAAGCTTGGCGTCATCCTCGATCGTACTCTTGCGCAACGAAGGTAACGTGCTTCCTTTTGCGAAGGAGAAGTCGGTATGTCTCTGGTACCTCCTCTCCACTTGCTTTCTTGCTGACAATATAACCGATCGCTGTCATCGGGCCCAATGCTAAAATCGCGGCTTATTCTGGTGGAGGGAGCGCGAGCTTGCCTCCGTACTATGCAGTAACTCCGTTAGAAGGCATCTCGTCCCTCTCAACAGGCCGCGTCGACTACACGGTCGGATGTGCGTCTGGAAGTAAACCTGCTCTGATCACCAACATGATTCCGGAACTGAGAATGTCGGCATACAACGCACCATCTCAAGATACGTCCCGACAGAAGCTCGATGAGATGACAATCAAGACTTCCGATCTATTCTTCTTTGACTACTGCCCACCCCTTCCCATGTCTCACCATGGTGCGTGGTATGCCGACATCACTGGAACTTTGATTGCCGATGTTACGGGAGAGTATCTTTTCAGTATCAGTGTGGCCGGCACCGCTAGGCTCTTCGTCGATGGGACGTTGGTGGTTGATGCTGCATCGCATCAGACAGCCGGAGGGACGTTCTTCGGACATGGAACGGGTGAAATTCTTGGTCGTATTAACCTCGTAAAATCGCAACCATACAAGGTGATGGTTGAGTTTGGATCCATCGCCACAAGCTTACTTCAGACGCACAGTATCGAGTCAACGACAGGAGGGGGCATCAGGATTGGTTGCGCCTACCAATTGAATGCCGAAGAGGAGATACGAAATGCTGTCAGGATTGCCAAACATGTGGACCAAGTTGCTATCATCGCTGGACTCAATGTATGTGACCTTCTTACCCCACTGCCTCTATTTTTGCTGACCCAAAACATGTAGTCTGATATCGAGTCTGAAGGTTACGATCGCGAAGAGTTTGGCTTGCCTGGCCACGCCGACCGCCTTATCCGCGAGGTGGCCGCAGCAAATCCAAATACCGCGGTTGTCGTCCAATCAGGCAGTCCGGTAGCCATGCCTTGGATGCAGTTGGCTCCCGCAATTGTGCAAGCATGGTACGGCGGCAATGAGACCGGTAATGCTATTGCAGACATCCTCTTCGGAGATGTCAATCCTGCTGGGAAACTTCCTCTCACATTTCCTGTTCGACTAGAGGACACACCCACCTACTTAAACTTTGGCTCCGAAAGAGGTCGCACCCTGTATGGCGAAGATGTGTTTGTGGGATATCGTTTCTACGAAAAGAGCAACCGACGCGTTCTCTTTCCCTTTGGACATGGCCTCTCCTACACAGAGTTTAAAATTGGAAAGCTGAACATCTACACGTCTGAGAAGGAAGATACCATCACCGTTTCCATTAGTGTACAGAACCTAGGTTCACGCGCAGGTGCATATGTTGCCCAGGTCTACATTTCACAGCGACAACCCTCAGTCGCGAGACCGATAAAAGAACTGAAAGGATTCACAAAAGTTTTCTTGGAGAGTGGCGAGGAGAAGACGGGAACTATATCGATGAGTTTCAAGTATGCGACAAGTTTCTGGGACGAACAAAAGAACGCATGGGCAATGGAGAAGGACACTTTCGACGTGCTGATAGGATCTAGCTCATATGACAAGGAAAGTTTAAGCACATCGTTTGAGGTTTCCGAAAACAAGTGGTGGAGCGGAATATAGTATAAAAAGAAGCACCACATGGCTTATTTCAACGGTGCTATTTAGTAAATGAAGGCTTTGTACTGGTGTAGCTCATCGTTATTGCGGCGTCATCCATGTCCACTTGGCCGTGAGGGGCATCAAGGGAAGATAATAACTCGCATACTTCCTGAAATCTTCGTTCTTTGGAAATGTATGCTACTTCGGCATCCATCATTGCAGTTTCTGCGGCAAGAATCAGGTCCGTTGATACGACAGGCTGCCATGTGAGGATTGTGTCCGAGGTTAATATACCATCTTTTGTCGGTCTTGTCTAGCTCATGAATGATGAGACTACCTGGCAGCATCGACGAGGACGACTCTCAAATCACAGATCGACCAGACCGAAACCAACTGTTCCGGATAAGCAAGCTATATGAGTTGGTGGTCGCAAAGAACCGTAACCTTTGACTAAGAGATTTCAAGGTCCCTGCTTGCCAAGAGCAGCCGTCGCGTCCAGAGATGGCTAAGCGTGTTCAAGCTCAGCAAGCATTCCGGGCCGCAAGGACGAAAAATCTTCAATCGACCACACTCTCCAACACCGTGCCGTGGACTTTGCCGTAAAGCCACTATATCGCCCCTTGCCGAAAACCGACTAACCTATTTGGGACTGCCGTTTTACATGTCGGAGCGTACCTGTACCTATTCGGCTGGTTATTGAACGAGCAGGGACCATGCAGGGGTCAAATTCACCCAGGTAGGTCATCGGCCATTCGGCATGGCCTGAATTGAGAGCTTTTACAGCTGCTGTGATTGCTGGCGAGCCTATGAGACCCAAGTGCGGGTTGACATCCGCCATGGTTTATCGGTATACCCCATGGGGGCTGCCCGGAGAATATGGTGGGAATTACGCCCTCGTCGAAGAACCGGTTCGGTTGTGATTAATTCCAGAACTGAGTACAAAAGCACCATGATAACTAGATCGATGCGACCTTTTCTGGCCCGACACAGGCAGTGAACAATCTCATGTGCCTTACTGACAAAACGGGCATCAACAGTCTCTCCCGAAGAAAAAAAGAGAAGGCAATAACATGAAAAGGCCTTCAGCCTACAATATCCTAGTGCGTGTTTGTTCTCGTCAGCTTACTAGGCCTTTTTGCTGGAAAACTTACCCGTGGCTCTGCTCAGATCTCCTTCACGGTTGCCCTAGGCAGTCTGACATATGGCTATGCTGCAGGAGTTCTGGGGAACGTAAGTGATGCCGCCAACAACCTGAACACCTTGCTTCACAGGGAAAAAAGCAAGATGTGGTACAGAAGCTAACAGAGCCCATTGGGAGAATAGACACTGGGAAAAGCACCCTTCTATGCGTACATGCACCTCGACCCCGAAGGCCCCGGAAAGTCGTACGCAAACACAATAATTGCGGTATGGAACACAATTTTGTACGCAGGTGGCATCATCTCCTGCCTGACGTGTCCCATCGTGGGGAACCGATATGGTCGAAAGAAGGTCATATTCCTCGGTGCTGCGATCTCGGTACTCGGCGCGGCCCTTCAGGCCGGGAGTGTCAACCCAGCCATGATGATTGTTTCAAGATTCATCGTCGGCACTGGAATGGGTGTGCTTCTCGCCACAGTCCCATTGTACCAAGCTGAAATATCGCCTCCATCCAACCGCGGTCTTATAGTGGGTCTTCACGGTAAGTTGCTCACGCCAGAATAGTACCACTTGTTATCCAGGTAGCGGTTGAAGTGAGAGTTATCACTGACAATCATAGCATCACTGATCGGATATGGGTCAATGATTGCATCCTGGATAGGTGTCGCCTTCTACCACGTCCCTGGTGCGGTAAGTTGCTCCTCAAGAGAGATATGAAGACGCAGAGAGTAAAAATTCAGGTCTTTGTGCACTGATAACAAGATCTCTATCTAGGCCGGCTGGCGTGTGCCACTCGCTCTTCAAGTTGTATTCCCGCTAGCTCTGTGCATTGTGGTGTTCTTTGTGCCGGAAAGCCCACGATGGCTCTACATGAACGATCGCGCAGATGAAGCCGAGAAGGTGTTGATCGCCCTTCATAGGCGGGCAGATGACCCCAATCACACATTTGCCCGCAAAGAAATCCAGATCATCAAGAGCCAAATTGACTTCGAGAGGGAGAATAAACTGCCTATCTCCCAAGCATTCAAGAAGCGATCCCTTCAAAAGAGATTCATCATCGGTTTTCTCGCCATGTGGGACACGCAATGCAGTGGCTTAATTGTTGTTCTTGGTACGCAAAGTAGACCCAGTCCTATGCGACCACAAAATGTCATATCCTTCAGACACTGACACTCTTCTCTCCTCAGCATACCAGGCAACCATTTACGAATCGCTGGGCTACACACCATTCATGGCGGGTATCCTAGGTTCCGTATGGTGTGTTCTCAACGGCACTGGCAACTTACTAGGAGGCATCTTGGGAGATTACGTCGGTCGGAAAAGGCAAATCGGTAAGAAGGCCCCACCCTGCTGATATCTGGCTGCAAAGCGTCCTGGCAAACGGCTGAGACACGTATCTAGCGATTGGCCTTGCCACTCTTATCCTTCTATTAATACTCCTCTGTATCACCACCAAGCTGTACTCAGGAACCGACAACAAAGCCGGGAAGACCGCGGCTGCCGTATTCACGTTCCTCATGATTGCTGTGTAGGCCGTCCACCAATCTGTTCGCTTCAATGCTGACCGAGTGCACCACAGGTATGCCGGCGGTGTTGACTGTCCGTCGCTGGTGTACAGCTCAGAGCTCTACCCTGGCGAGTGGCGAGCAGCAGGAGTTGCAACCTCGGTGTCTGCCGTTCTCTGGGGATGTCTGATCTTCACAGCAGCGGCACCAGCTGCGCTCGCCAACATTGGCGCCCTGTACTATGTCGTCTTCATCGCCCTTACCACAGTTCAACTCTTCATTGTCATTCTTGTCTTTCCAGATGTAAGTTCATCGTCGTCGTCGTCTCTTGCAATTGGCGCTGCAGGATTCTAATCGTACGGTGTGCACTAGACCAAAGGTTTCACTCTGGAACAAATGGCTGCCATCTTTGGGGATGCAGTCGTAGATATGGAAGGTCATATTGAGAAGGCTGAGGACTTCATGCTAGAGCGTCATTCTATCGACCAAATTGCAAACAAAGATATTGTCACCGTGCATGAAGAAGGGCGAAAGACGTGACCGGGAAACGCCATCGAGCCCGGGTGCCGCTGTTTGCCTGGTAACTATCTCGCCTTGTTAGATATCGCAAGATGGTAGACCTTCAATAAAAGTTCGTGTAAATGCGAAGACCACCTGTACGGCAAGCTTTCAGAGCGAATTTCTACTTGGCTCCACGCAGGGTCGACACATGGCTGCTATCCTGGTGCCTGACATGAAGGTTGGACTGGGCCAGCGAGAGATGCACCTCGACCCTGCCCGCTGGCTCTGGAAGTCTTAGCTGCATTGAAAGTATCGGTTGGCGGGTATGGGGAGCTTAATTTCAAATACCCCACTACCATCGAGAAGTAACATATTATGAGTCAAGCGCGATTGACAAAAGTGATGCAATGAGGTCTACTCTACGGAGTACTGCAGTATTAATTGGAGACGCCTACTTTACTCCGCATCTGCCTCCACCCCATGAAGAGGATTTCTTCTCCTGCTGCCAACCGTGCTCCGCAGTACGTGGGAGAGATATCTTGTCGTAATTTCACCACGGGCCACGGCTCTAGGAGAAGCGCTACCAGTGCACAATGACAGAGGCTCTATTCATGAACAGGAGTGTACGGAATATTATGGCATGTCTCGTTAATTGTCAAGAAATATAATGTTGTCCGATGTGCAGGCAACAAGAATATTGAATGTCTTCTCCTTCACACCGTCAACAGTAAACATCTCCAAAGTACGTTGTGGTCCAGTCTAGTCCCTGGGCACATATGTCTTATCTAGAGCCAAGAGAGCTTAGCTGTTGAACCGCCATGAGCAGAAATTGACCGTCACCATCCCCATACACTATCTTTTAGTTACCTCGCCGTCATTTTGACATCCCTAGCAGAAAATAAAAAGGTTCAAGAGGACCGGAGCACATATCCCTTTGCTACATATGGCACGACGTTCGCTAAAGCCTGTTTGTTCATGTGCTTCAGTCAATGGGTCATTTTGCTTTGGACCCATTACCGCTGTGCGCTTCTGGTTCCATCTCCCATGCGCGGGGCAGGTATTGGCCATGATCTGATGACGGACCCAGATATTGCTTCGCTTTGTATCCAATTTCTCCAAGTATCCTTTCAGACTCCATTCCCAATATCTCTCACGATTGTCTCGAGCAAAAGTACCCCAAACAGCAAACACCGACCCGCCTACTCTCTTGACCCGCGGTCGGTGTGGACTCTGACGATAAGCCTGTATCTTAAGTGGTCCGGGCATTTTCCGCTGGTAAGACTGCTGGAAGAAGATCGGCTGCTTCGCAAGGTAGGATCCAATTGCAAACTAGCTTTTCTGGCAATACGGCTCTGTGCTCTGGCAATACGGCTGTTCCTCTGGCAATACGGCTCTTCTCTCTGGTATCTTAGAAGCTTCAAAACCAGATACCCCATACTCCAGACTGTGCTAAATTTACTTCCCCGCGTCCACAACGGAGGAAAACGTGTTGGCGCCCCTTCCAGGTCGTTTGAAACAAGGCAATATAAAACTCTCTTCTGACTCTCAGAATCTTTGTTTTCTCACAATCTCGAGCACACTGCATACCTTTTTTGGGTTCCCATCGTCCCAACAAGATGAAATATAGTGGCATCGAAAGTCTACGAGGCTCGCGGCTTCACGCCGCCATCTGGGGAGTGTCCTGCGTGACGATTCTTCAGTTTGGGTACGTCGAGTCTCTTTCGGTCAAGCTGCTTGAGCCAGAAGCCAGCACGAAATGATCGCTGACGATGCTTCATGTGCCCAGGTTCAACAATGTCGGAGTTGGCGGAACTCTGATTCTGGAGGTACTGCATCTTCCTACAAAACGCTGCGTGGTTGTATTCGGTCGCTGACATGTCGAACCAGTCTTTCAACCGTCAGTTCCCAGCTATTGATACCCTCAATACTGAAGGGGCCAAGCAGCGGCATAACGCAACTCTGCAAGGTATGTTCTCAAACTCTGGTGAGCATCCAACTGCAACATGTTCTGATCCGTCTGGACAGGCACCATTGTCGGCCTCTACACCCTCATCGGCACGTTCGGCGCTTTACTTTGCACCTTTGGAGGTGACAAGATAGGGAGGCGATGGACCACTTGGTTCGCCTGTTTGTTCAACGCGCTGGGCGCCATCATAAGTGCATCGTCCTTTACCCTCGCCCAGTTTGCCATTGGTCGTGCGGTCCTGGGTTTCGGGTCTGGAGGCATCATCGCCACCGTGAGTGTGTGGCAGTCGGAGCTCTCAAAGGCTAGCAGCCGAGGGTCGCACGTGTCGGCGTTTGGCATCTTCAGCAGCTTGGGCCTAATCTCGTCCCTCTGGATCGACTATGGCTGCTTCTTCATTAAGTCGTCCGCGTCGTGGAGGATACCGCTCGCCTTCCCGGTCCTGTTTGCTGCGATCAGTATGTCAACCATCTTCCTCATACCGGAGTCGCCGCGCTGGCTGACCAAGATGGGGAAAACCACCGAGGCGCGAGAGATCCTACACCGGTTGCACAACAGCGACGAGGTCGTGGAAATGGAGATGCAAAACATCAACGCGTCGCTCGACCTGTCTGGCCACACGACTATCAAGAGTGTCTTCACCATGGGAAGGCAGCGCACCTTCCATCGCGTCGTGATTGGCATGATGGTTCAGATGATGTTGCAGCTCACAGGTATCAATGGCATCTCATACTACGTTGACACCCTGTACACCCAGCAGCTCGGGTTCAGCACCCAGATGTCCTCGCTACTCGGTGCCAGCTCACAGTTCGCCATGCTACTCGGCGCACTGATTTGCGCCTTTGCCGTCGACCGCTACGGCCGCCGGACCCTGCTCATTATCAGCGCCGGCGGGCAGAGTATCTGCTTCATTCTTGCCGCCGCCTTGATCTCTCATCCGAACAACAAGCCCGCGTTGGATGCCGCCGTCTTCGTGCTCTTTCTCTACTATGTCATCTACACGGTTGGATATTTGGGGATACCCTTCCTCTACGCGTCCGAAATTGCGCCCAGCAAGGAGCGCATGGCGGTGGCTGGCATTGCCACTGCAACCTCGTGGATTTTCAACTTCTTAGTCGTCGAGGTCACTCCTGTCGCCTTCACCAGCATCCACTGGCGCTACTTCATCGTCTATGCCGTGCTAAATGCCTTGTGGGTACCTATCGTCTACTTCTTCTTCCCCGAGACCAGCAACCGGTCGCTCGAGGAGATTGACCAAATATTTGCCGCCTCAAAAAGCATCTTCGACCCACCTCGAGTCGCCAAACGCCTACCACGCATGGACCTAGGCCAATTTGCCAGTACTGAACTCAAGGATACTCCGGTGGCCGAGGAACAGGAATCAGTACTGAAAAGCGAGGGTTAAGGATGACACATGGATGCAGGCTAGATAGCACGGGCTAGTATCGGGGCTGTTGGCTATTGGAGAGTGAAAAGGCTGTCCAAGGTAGGTCTTGGTCGCAGACGCTTGGCTACTTTACTCGCCATTTATAAAGCAGGTCGAGCAGGCAGAGCGTACTCTGATATCTGAACTGCGTAGTTGGCCTCCTTAACGATTGTTCCTTTATGTTGTATTTCTCATCTCCCTCCTCTAGTATATCGACTCACCTTCTAACTCATAATCGTCCACATACGATTAGCTCTCCATATGCAGAGCGTGACCGAGCAGGAGATTTCCTCATAGAGCACCGGTCTCGGGGAAATAACTCAAATCTCCAGCTTTTGTAAATTGAGGTGGTTTCGCCATAGCCATTTACCCAAACTCGGTGCCGAAGCCGAGTCTCCGAGTTCTGCAACTCATAGTTCCCCTGACCAAGTAGATCTCCGCAATCATTTTCTCTCGCAATGTACTTTATAAAAGTCCCGGCGTGGCGACCCCCATCTCCTCGTGTCCAGGCCCCAGATTCTAGCGAACCCCAGAGTGGGACCCTTGATCCATCATGCACGACGTCACATCCTCATATCTGTTGGCATGTTCACTAAGGTTGTTTCTGTAGCTATATACTGACTATGACCCAGGTTGTCCTAGCCGTCACCTTTGGAAGTTTCAGCTACGGCTACTGTGCGTCGATTTTGGCGAATATCTTTACCCATGCTGAGTTTTTCGAATATCTGGATCTCGACCCCGAAGGGCCCAACGCATCTCACGCAAACTCCCTCATTGCGGCGTTCAATGCCTTGCTCTATGTTGGAGGCTTTGTCGGATGCTGCCTCTATCCAATTTCCTCGTCCAGATTGGGTCGACGCTTCCCGCTCGGAGTAGGCTCTGTTCTTGTCATCGTTGGCGGAGCTTTACAAGCAGGAACAACCCACAATGCTATGATGTGTGTTGCGCGGGTTGTGACTGGCGTGGGAATCGGACACTTTCTTCCCGGTTGTCCACTTTACCAAGCCGAGGTGGCACCTGCACATAACAGAGGCTTCCTGGTCGGACTCCATGCCGCCGTGGTGGGAGCAGGGTTTGCTGTAGCACAATGGATGGGCGTCGCCTTTTTCAACGTGCCCGGCCAGGCTGGCTGGCGAGTTCCTCTGGCCCTGCAATGCGTCTCACCATTGTTTATGTTGTGCATTGTCCCGTTCCTCCCAGAGAGTCCTCGTTGGCGTAAGTATCAAAATTCTCGCACCACTGTCACTTCTGACAACAAACAGTGTACTTGGCTGGTGAGATTGACAAAGCAGAGAAGACAATCATGCGGCTTCACCGGGACCGGACAGACCCTTCCAACGCGTACGCACTCGCGGAGTTTCGCACCATCAAAGCCCAGCTCGACCTTGAAGCCCAGAACAGGCGATCTCTTTGGGATGGCCTGCGAGATCCTCACCTACGGAAGCGTTTCGTCTTCGGGTTCCTGGTGAATACGGCCTCGCAATCTAGTGGCTCGATCGTAATTCTGAGTGAGGAAGTGCGATCCTACTGAAGTTTCCGTGGAGACTGACCCTCTCTAGCTTACTCGTCTGTCATATATGGGAGACTGGGCTTCAGTGCATTCCTGCAGGGCATCTTAGCCGGAGTGTGGACTACTCTCCTCATGCTCTTCAATTTCCTCGGAGGCATCCTGACGGACAAACTTGGCCGCGTCAAACAGCTCGGTATGCCCTTCTTACATCCTTGCTTTTGCTGGTATTAACTCATATGGCAGTCCTCGGACTTCTGGGTTGCTTGTTTTGCCTCATCATGGAAGTCATCCTGACTGCGATCTACGCCGACCAAGATTCCACATCGGGGAATGCTGCCGCGACCTTCTTCATCTTCCTTTTCGTGTGCTTGTAAGTGGATTACGCAGGTATCTCGAGCATGGAGGACCCAGTTCTGATGCGCTTCAGTTTCGCGGCCGGGGTCGAATGCCCGTCTTTTGTGTACTCCTCGGAGATCTTCCCCGCTGGCTGGAGAGCCCTCGGTGTCGGAATAGCATTATCTGCCGTTCAGATGTGGTCGGCTATTCTCAATGGTGCTGCTGCAATAGCCTTTGAGAACATCAAATGGTTCCCTGTGCCCGGGATCTACTTACTCTTTTCAGCAACACTGACCTCAACCATAGGAAATTCTACCTAGTCTTCATTTGTTTCACTGCTTTGATGGCGGCAGTGGTTTTCTTGTACTTTCCTGAAGTATGACACCCCCTCTGGTAAAACATCATTGAAAGTGCTAACTGGTGCTCAGACTAAAGGCTTGACATTGGAGGAGATCAGTAAAGCATTTGGAGACGCAACTGCCGAGGATACATCAGCTCTTGAAAGTTTGCCGGTATCCCCAGAGCAAGAGAAAGCAGTCACAAACCTCAAAGAGGAGGTACTCTAGCACTCTAGATATGTCAGAGGGATCGTGGGAAAACATCTCCGACTTCTCGCGCCCTCGTGCTCCAGCTACCTCTGCGGAATGAATTAGGCATCCTCCCAGAGACCGTCCAGGTCCAACAGAGATTGTTCACATTTCATTCCACGCTCAGACATTTGGCTGAGTCATTTGTTGATCTCTACCATTTCCCCTTTGCCATTGGCAGATATCTGGCTATTATAGGAAGCAGTTTTTGACATTTCCCTTTCCTACCCAATTCTTGGGCAGAGCAGTGAAACAAGATGTTTCTTACGCATTTTAGTCAGCGTAAACGAGCCCGCTTGCAGTTCAGTACGATCGACAACCTACCGCATCGTGCGTTAGTCTTCTTATTCAACGGCCTGAGGCTCGGTGGGTCGGTAACTGGTTAGTGTGCTCGGTCTCGGGCCCGAGGACGCCTGAAATGTGGCTGATGGAGAAGCCAGCCGTGTGACCATCAAGGTGATATTGTGACAAATCGAGTTTAGCCTGCAACACATATATTTGTTCGCATAGGGTTGACATGGAAAGTCATGTACATTATCTCGACCATTCTAGTCTAGTATAAACGATTGATCCCTCTTGTAATTCGTACTTCCAATCTCTCGCAACATTGGGTTTGTAGATTGTTATTATCCACCATATCAGCTAACATAACATCACAATTTGCCCAACACCTGCCACCCGGAAGCCTGGCGAAATGGAAATTGATCAGGATGCTCTTTTTAAGCCTACGAGTAATGTGGCGATCTCGACAAAAGATCTTCTATCTTGGATTTTCGACGAACCAAAATATTCATCAGATGAACCAGTTAGTGAGTCTGCTGGATGTCCAACTACCTGATCTCAATGTGTTCAGATATATATTGATGCTGTGGACCCGACGCGCTCCCTATCCCTGAGGCAAGCAAAGCATTTGATACGAGGTCTCATCGCTGGGCTTCGAGCAGCATCGTTGGAGAAGGGCGACTGTATTTGCGTGCACTCTTTCAACAACGTAAGTGTAAAGCAAGCCGATATTTCTGGAAGTGCAGCATCTGCTGAAGTGGAAGTCAGCTATATTACTCGTGTCTCGTCCTAGCAATTGTGGGCGCAGGACTTTGTTGGACAGGTACAAATCCAGGTTACACCAACTACGAGCTACAACATCATCTTAAAACTTCCAGAACAAAACTGGTCATCGCACAGCCAGACTTATACGTAGAGGTCTTCAGAGCAGCAAAAGCATGCGGCATTCTAGAACGGAATGTGCTTACGTTTGATTCCCAAGTGCAAGAGAGTCTCCATCCAACATCGTGGCACAGACTGCTACAGCATGGAGAGGAAGACTGGGAGCGATTTGACGACCTGTCTGTGGCACAGTCAACGCCTGCCTGTATCCTCTTCAGCTCTGGAACAACGGGGTTGCCTAAGGCCGCCTTGCTGTCGCATTACAACCTAGTAGCTCAACATACTCTGCTTCAAGAGCAAGTATCGAAGCCATATAGAGTCAGCTCCTTGGCCTATTAACGTGTAAATTCTGAAGTGCTTACTTCTTTTAGGTGAAACGAATTCTTTGTCTACCATTTTTCCATGCCGCCATGGCTATAATGGCCCATGTAACCCCACTACGCTCAGGCCATATCGCCTATATAATGAAGAGATTTCACCTCGTGGATTTCCTTCGCTTTACCAAGAAATATGAGGTATCCGAGTTGTTTGTGGTGCCGCCAATCATTCAGTCAATTATTCAGTCACCATTGACTAAGAAATACTCCTTGAGAAGTCTACGGTCTGGTATGACAGGTGGTGCCAAGATAGATCTTCTGTCTCAGGACAAGTTTTCGACTCTGATGCATCCTGAGGGTTGTCTGAATCCTTGTTATGGTATGACCGAGATCAGTTGTATCGGAGCTTGCCATCCATGGCCAGAGCGAGATACCGATGGCAGTGTCGGCTATTTCCTACCAAACCTTGAGATCAAGTGAGTTAATGATCTATCCCCTATCTGACAATTGGTTGTGTTGACTATTGAAACGACTCGTGGACGAGCACGACCAGACGATCCGGGCTTACAATACACCCGGGGAGATATGGATCCAAGGTCCAACTGTAATTCAAGGATACCTTGACAACCCGGATGCAAACGCCTCATCCTTTTCTGAACGATGGTTCCGTACGGGTGATATTGCGTACTGTGATGAAAAGACCAGAAAATGGTACATTGTGGACAGGAAAAAGGCACGGCTTCTTCCGTCTTCTTGACACAGCTTCTGATGCAATAGATATAGGAACTAATCAAGGTCCGGGGGTTTCAGGTCGCACCAGCAGAACTTGAAGCTGTGCTGATGTCACATCCTTTGATTGCTGCCGCCGCAGTCATCGGGATTCCGGCCCCCAATCCTTTGGACGGAGAGCTTCCTCGGGCTTTCGTTGTGAGGAAAGAAGGGAATGATGTCGACCGCCCGAGCGAAAACCAGGTCAAAAAGTATGCCGCCAAGCGTCTGGCAAAATACAAACAATTGGCCGGCGGCGTTGTGTTTATATCAGATCTGCCTCAGACAGCCAGTGGGAAGTATCTTAAGCGGGATCTACGCGACCTTTACAAGAAGACAGTTACTAGCTCAAAGACCAAAGTCTAGTAGGGCATCTATTCCGCTTGATCATCAGAGAGATCCTCTTCATGTCTAGTGAGCTGGAACAAAGGTTTCATTGTCATTTATCCACCGCTAGCAGACTTTTAGTCCAGTCTATAATATAGCCAAGTGCGCATTACCTGTCCATCTTCTTGCCGCACTCTGCAGGCTGAATTGTTACTATTGCCCAAGACGAACAGAACGTCAACGTTGCCCATCACTCAAAGATGTGTTAGAGACCAGCCCCCATCGACGGGCAACTCAACTCCTGTGATTGCACTTGATGACTCTCCGAGCAAGAAAATTACAGCTTGCGCCACCTCTTCTGAAGTAATGTCGCGACCAAGGGGGGGCAGTGGCAAGCGATGTCGCAATGCTTTGCTATCTTGCCGAGTTTCGGGGGCGGTTTGGCTAGGAGGATACGGGCATACACAGTTGATCCGAATGCCGTCCTCAAGATGATCCAGCGCAGTTGCCCGGCTCATGCCGACAATGCCGTGGGCACCAGCACAAAACGAAGGAAATCCTAGCTCACTACCAAGACCCTGCGCGGCTGCGACGTTCACTATACTCGCCGAAGCTTTTTGCCCCTTTTCATTTTGAACCAGAAATTGACGCACTTCAGCTCGCATCGAAAGCCAGACCTATCAATCAATCTCTAGTAAGAAATGGCGAAATACAACAGTATTGGCCGTTGTTATCAGGAGAAACTTACTCCTCTCTGCCAACCTGGCCCGAATTTAGAGAATTCTGCTAGGTCAATGTCCAAACTCTGGCCTGCCAAACCGTCCGGTCTCTCGCAGTTAGTACAATAATCAATCCTTCCAAATGTTGTAACTGCAAAGGCGATAAACTCGTGCACGGTGTCAGGATCTCGTGTGTCGATTCTTTTGCTTGATATGCGGTGACCAGGACTTCCTAGAGCCCGGCACTCCTCCACCGTCTTCGCAAGCTTGATGTCATCCGGATCCCCTAAAACCATTTTCTTACAACCACTCTGTACAAGTAAGTGGGCGACTGCTCGCCCATCCCCTGTTGAATTCAGTCATGGTCTGGTCTTGCATGGCGAGTTGATAGTGAAGGTCTACCTGATCCAGCCCCGATCACCACAGCGACACCCGGAAACATCGCCATCAAGTTACCTTGGCGAGGTGAATGTACGATGCAGATTAGTTAGAGGGAGCCGTCTAGTTAGGATACAAAGATATAGCCTCAATTATGCCTCAATTGCGTCGTCGGTCGCCGCACAAAAGCAAGGTCACCAATTCTGCCTCGGCTTCGGCGACTATATTGTGTGCTGCCGCCAGTCCGCGGTAGATGGAGATATTCCCCTCTCCTCGGTCCATGTGTCCCGGGCCGCCAAATCCTAAGTTTATCATCACGAAACAACAACTCTATAAGTACAAATTGATGCATGCTTTGGAAGGACAAGTGATGTTCTGACCGATTAGCTTCTTTGCGCCAGAGCTCAGCCATCGTCAATGTCAATTCCACTTCCTGGAGTCTGCCTGATCACCGGTGCCGCCTCAGGTGAGTTAATGCACTCATTAGAGCTGACTTTCAAGAGTGCTAAGCCTAGTCTCCTAGGTATTGGTCGAGGTACTGCCGTGACATTTGCGAAAGAAGGATGTCGGCGCTTGTTTTTAGCAGATATCGATCTTACAGGCCTGGAGGAAACCAGAAAGCAGATTGCGGAGGCCGATGCGAACACCTGCGTAGAAATTCGGCAGGTCAACATCGCCGACGAAGCGTCTGTGAATCATATGGTCGATTCATGTGTTTCTATCTTTGGACGGGTCGACTATGCGCTCAACATTGCTGGTGTGGTTCCCCAGAGGAAGAAAATCGCAGAGTTCGAGCTCGAGGTGTATGACAGGACCATTCACATCAACGAGTATGGGGTGAGTCTCTGAAAGCTACGTGGTACTGGTTGGCTTGAAATGCCACGTATGCATCGTCTGCAGCTGTATGTCTGACTTTTGCTTGCGCTCCAAAAGACCTGGTTGTGTCATCGATCGGAGCTCCGGCAGATGATGAAGCAGACAACGTTAGAAGGTAGCGACACACGAGGGAGCATCGTCTCCGTCTCTTCTCTCGCTGGAATCAATGCATCCAGTGGAATGTCCGCATACTGCGCTTCTAAGCACTCCATTGTCGGCTTTGCCAAAACAGATGCGCAGGGCTACGGTCCCCATGGAATCCGCATTAACGTTGTGTGTCCTGGAATGATTGACACCGACCTCTTCCGCCTTACAAGCCCGTCTGATGCACCTGCCAAACTGTCCGCAATAACACCAGCGCGCCGGCTGGGAAGAACTGAAGACGTAGGCTGGCTGCTGGCGTTCTTGTGTGGCGAAAAGTCGTCTTTTATTCATGGCGCCGTAATACCTTGTGATGGAGGATTGGCCCTACAGAGAGGCGTGATCTAATAAAGGTTGTAATGAATCAAGCCACTGTTCATTGCAAGGGTGAGGAAAGGCTCCAGCAGACTGCACATGATTTGACTCGAGCGAGTCCAGTATCAAATTAGTCCTGAAGAATGCGAAAATATGTTCACCTCCAGTTGATCGAATTGTTACACGAATCAATATAGGGCAGATAATGTGCCTCATTCATGTCCTTTCTTGCTCGTTATATATCCATATTGCTTGGGAAAGATTCCAATTCAAGGGCCCTTTTCACCTGAGCACGTTGAGCCTGTAATTTCCATTTTCATCCAACAAATTTTTCGCTTCCTCCCATTCGGCTCGGGCAATCTCAGCACGCTTTTCACTGCGTGGAGTAACAAGGCATCTGTGTGGGATTCGATCAGGACCGAACTTAACCTTGGTCAGAATTTGGAGTACTCACGGAAAGGAGACTGGTCTTGCGGCGATGGATTGAGTGACCTCATCTTTGTCAACTTCTATCTCGTTGCCGTGCGCATCCCTCGCCTTATAAATGTTAAACATCCATAACAAGCGAGCTGTGACCAGGAAAAGCGTCCTCTCTGCGACATGGATTCCCGGGCAGATACGCCGTCCAGCGCCAAAGGTCCAGTTGTCGCGGTCCTTATAGTCGGGTGCAGAGGCTGCCTCCTGAAAGGACAGAGATGCGTTGTGCCTCGTCGGATCAAACTCTCGGGGGTTGGGAAACAGGTCAGGATCATTGTTGGCGGCCCATACTGCCAGCACGATGGTCGTGCCACGCGGAATTTTATATCCGTCTACCTCGTCGTCCTCGAGACTGGCGTGCGGGATGGCACCACTAATGGCCGTTGGAAGCCCTATGTGTGAAGAGTGTAGTGAGCATCGCACAAGAAGACTCGAAGAGGGCTGAAGGGCAATCGCGTACATCTCAGTGCTTCTTTTGTCACTTGGCGAATATATGGAAGGGATTCGAAATCTTCCATTGTAGGCAGCCGGTCATGACCAACCACTGAATCCAATTCTTGCTGTGCCTTTTCCTGTACGGCTGGGAATAACATCATAGCCTTGACTGTTGTCAGCAGGGAGAGCTCGGAGACACTTTGTGACGCAACTATATATTATTACCTTGATCATACCAGCAAGCGTGTTACTTGAAGTATCGGCAGCCCCCTCCATTGCAATACCTGCGATATACGAAGCAGCATGCTCTGTGAGAAGCGTTCCATTTGCGCTACCTTTCCACGACTCTTTTGCCAGGCTGATATCGGCTGAAAAGCCTAGGGATCACCATTAGTGGCCGCAGTACGAATAAAATCGCACCATACTTACTGGGGAGAGCATTATCCACCTGAGCGGCGCGTGTCGCCGCCGTGTATAAGTGGCGGAATTGAGCTTTTTCACGATAGTAGACCTCTTTAGCTTTTTTTGCCATCGGATAGATCCACGATGGAAAAGCTTTGACAACCAGTCTTAGCTGTGGATACCAATCCAGAAACTTACTGCTGTTCACCATAACGAAGAAGCCGTGGGTGTTTCTAAAGAGCTCCAGCATCACCTCGCTCTTCGGGTCGAGAACCCGGAACCCATACGCCATACTGGTCGCAATACTTAATGTGGTGCGTGTAATGAGATTTTCAAAGTCACGCGAATCGGAGAGCATGTCGACGAGTAGCTGTTTTGTTTCGACGTCCTGGTACGGAATATATCGTTGAGCCTTGTTGATGTTTAGGAATTGATGATATAGCTTGCGTTCGACTTTCCATAAGGCGTCATAGCCACGCATGATTATTCTGGAGCCTTCCCAGATGTCTTGCATGTAGAGCTTGGGGCGACCGGCGTAGTTGCCGCTCCGTTTGTCAACCACCCTCTTGATAACTTCACCCTTTGTAAGGACGACGACGTTCTGCGACCCTAGCTTAAGCGAGAATATGGGGCCATCTCATAAGAAGTGTCAGAAGTGTACACACTATTGGCTATATGTACTCACATTCTTGACCCCATCGCTGATATTGCAGATGGAGATCGCGCTTCGGGATCTGGTGTAAGTTTCCTATCAATGGGAGTGCAGGGGGACCTGAAGTGGATCATAAGCACGTTACCAACTATCTGGAGTAGTACTTTCCCTCAGAAGTGACTGACCTGGGGGCGCATTCTTCCACCTCGTTGTCATGGACACGAGCTTCAGCATGCATGCTACAAAGACCACCAAGACGAATCCGATTAGCCGTAGGTGTTCTTGCGAAATAGAAAACAGCATCATGAGACTTAAGATCTGAACTTCCTGAAAGTCACTGAAAGTAATGCTCTGAAAGACTCAGCGTCAAATGCAACAATATTCAGTGCGTCTGGAGTACAACTTTTATCCCACGCAGAGCTTTCAACACAATATATTAGAGCCGGGAACAAGCTAAAAACGTAGGCTGTCAGCATCGCCTGCCATTAACCTGAATAGTCCATTTCGATGCACTGCCACACTCTTCCTACATAAGGTAGTTACTCTGTAGTAAGAAAGATACTTTCAAATAAAACTTTTCGCTCTCTCGGCGCCACACTTCGGCGCCCTAGTTCGGCGCTGGGTGGCACTAGCTGTGGCGCCGTAGGGTAGCAACACGACGGTAATGGCGCACAAGGACGTGGAAGATCTGTCAAGACCTGTTAGTCCTCTCACGTGCCGCTTGCTTATGTGCGGGGTTGAACCGGGGCCCCTGAGGCGTTGTGTCCTGGGGGGATATTACAAGACAATCTCACCGACTGCATTGTTTTGCGGTATCCATCATCACTTCAGGCCGACGGTTTCTTCCAGTATCAGAAACCCCATCAGGTATTATGTAGCTCTCCTGCCACTGTCTTGTGCCTTCGCTGTTCAATGGCGTCCAATGACACTTGGGCCGAGGTACGCAATTGTCTCAATCAAAGCCCAGCCAGAAGGCCGCGTGCATGCGTCCATTGCCATATCCGCAAGGTGCGGTGCAATGCCTGGCAAGTAGGCATCCCTTGTACGAGATGCAAGCGACGCAATCAAGCAGATACCTGTCTGCTCGCTCTTTCCTCGCACGGCGGCGTGCCGAGGTGAGTCTTTTCCATGTGCTATCCCCGATTCCCACGCGCGCTGACACGTGTCCGGCTCAGAGGCCCGATACTAAGACCACGGGAGACACAAACTCTAGGCCAATCGCCGTCTTCGCGAGGTAGGAACCATGGTATTGATGGCATGTCGGTGCGTGTACGTGGTGAGGCAGTTGATTGACCCCGTCCGCTGACAACTCTTCCCCACAAAGTCGACTTCTTCTCCCCAGCCAGCGGATAATGCGCAAGAAGACAGCGTTGCGGCCTCGATGGCACCTCTCTCGCGATTGGCCTCAGACGTTGAAGGCGCACGTCGGATTACCCAAGGAAGGACCGTGATCCCCGGGTCAATGACCGATGGCGAAGCGATTGAAGATGCCACGAGCATTAGAAGCATGGTAAAGCAGACAACGAGAGAGGAGGACGTCCAGTCCCGTATTTGTGAGGAGATGTCCCGCTGCAGGCAGAATGCCATGTCGCCTTTGCTTCAACCTCAGGACACGGACCGGCGGGAGGTAATCGAGTTGCACGAAGGAGTGAACCCTATGACCATCCTCGGTGGCGCACTTGCTCAACACCCCCCCAATCGTTTCGTTCGATTCGTTGTTGAAGAAGACGGATCCCAGCTCGATCTGTCGCATTCAATTTCGGGACTTGACTCGGCGGACATGGCGTATCTCGAGGCGAAGGGTGCTCTTCTCTGTCCGCCTCGCCCAGTCTGGTGGGTATTTCCTCTGTCCAGGTGCGTTTTAGTAGCGCTAATGCGACCTGGTCCTCAGTGATGAACTCCTCCGTCTATATTTTGCCTACATTTACCCTTACGCACCCATTCTCGATCGGGCGAAGTTTGTCCGGGACTACCACGCCCACCGCCACTCAGTGTTTGTCTTGCAATCGATCCTCGCAAATGTAGTGCCGTACACTCCCATGGATCTTCTCCGACGAGCAGGATACGATAATCGTATCAGTGCACAAAAGTCCTTTTACACTAAGGCCACACTTCTCTACGACATGGGGTGTGAAAAGCAGCAGCTATACATGCTTCAGGGTTCCATTATGCTTAGCTCATTGTCCTTCTCATATCCAATGGACAAGGACTACCGGTACTGGTTGAGTAATGCTGGACGAATAGCTACACAGATGGGTCTTCACCGAAACTATGTGTGTGAAAACCTAGGGGCGCGCTCGCAACGGCTATTTCGTCGCATCTGGTGGGTTTTGTACAACCGTGACACCTTACTGGCCATCTCCGGTATCGATAACTTGAGACGATTCAATGAGAGATATTGTGACACTGCACCTCTGAGAGAGTCCGACTGGGAAGACGATGACGAGATCCCGGCCGATCTTCAAGACATACTTGAACTCGTGTCACCACTCCAGAAGCTTTTCATGGTCGAATATAGCAAGGTGTCAATCATAAGTAAAGGCCCTTCCTTAGACTTCCTTCCCATCCCCACACCGTGCTGGTAAAATTGATCATATTACAGGTGGCCTGTTCATCAGAGAATTCAAGGCCCCCAACACAACGTTCAGCCAAGACGAGATCGATCGGATGAACAACCAAATTATTAGTTGGCGAAAACAATTACCTGTCGAAATAACACACGCTCTCCAAGACGAGTGGAGCTCGGACAAAGTCTTGGTCCTGGTTCTCCTCGCGATGGGATATCGACTGGAGGCGGTATTCTGCCGTGCGGTTAAGGACCATTATCGGACCACAGGCGATTTGACCTCGATGCATAGGATGGGACAACGACAGGAAACTAGCATGTTCGAGCTCTCGAGCATGATCCAACGGGCATCCTTGCACGAGGTGCTTCATCTATGCCCTCTATCCTTGTAGGTTCTTCCCCTTTTAGACCCATTACACTAGCACTGGTTGCTGACAGCTGACCATTCTTGATAGTATGACTTGCGCTTCGACTATTCTAGCCATGCGTATTGAGATAGTCCTAGACCCTGCAACCAATCCGCGCAAGCTGGCCGTGATGAAGGCCCAAATTTTCTCCGAACTCGAATACGTACGCGAAAGCTGCGAGTCCTGGAACAGCCTCATCTGGACCGTCCGCATGTTCGAGGCCGTCATTGCTAGGACCCGCTTGTGTCTGAATGGTGCGTCTCCCAGTGCAATGGAAGGGACCGACGATAGAACAACGTCGTCAGATGCCGTAGCACAAGGCACCAATACTGCCGGACCAACTAGGCAAATGGCGTACTCCAGTAATGAGGTGTTCAAAAATGGTGAAGAGGTGGATTTCGGCTTGCCCATGCCTTCCGACGACGTCTTTGGTATGTTGCCTGTGACGGATAATTATGACTGGTTGGACAGCCTTTTCGATGTAAACGCTAACGACGACATCGGCCATCTGGCGTCCACGAATATCTAAAGATGAAATTATTGCATTCGGGTGCACATGCAAAAGGAGAAAGCTCGTTAATCTGAAAAAGATCTAATATTGGCCTCTAGCATTTCCAAAGGTGGAAGAGTATGATGAAAACCTATTAGATTCGGCATGTTGTTCAGTAGACCGGGTCAGGAAACGTGCGTGGCTGCTTGTCTTCGTTGTTCAGCAGGCCATAGTACCAGGTGATATCGCGTCCATCAAACTCACGGACATCAAAGCCGTCGCCGAGGAAGTTGAAGCGGTTTTCGGACAGGTAGTCGAGATCGAAGTCCTCCCACCGCGGTTTCTGCAGGATGGTCAGGTAGTGCACGCGCGAGCCCGGCCAGCAGAGCGGCTTGCTACTGGAAATGCCGTTCTTGAACCATGAGCTGCACGGTCCCGACCAGGCGGTGCGCTTCAGGTACAAATCGGCGTGACTGGTGAAAGCCTCGGCAACGGAGCGGTTGACTCGGACGCTCTTGATATCCTCCACTTGTACTTTCTGCAGCACCTGTATAATGTAGCTGGTGTAGGCCTCCACCATGGGGATGACTGAGCCGTGGCCCAAGGGACCGTACGGTCCAATAAAGACAAAGTAGTTTGGCACCGCTGGCACTGACAGACCCAAGTATCCTATTGTATTGCCGTCATTGAAGTCGTCTTGCAAGTTCCTACCGTCGACAATCACCGGAAAGGCTGGGCGGAAGCTGGTGTCGAACCCAGTTGCGCAGACAACCACGTCGACTTCATGGGCATTGCCTGCGGCGTCAATAAAGCCTGTTGCCGTCAATTCTTGTATTTCCTCGCTCAGGACTGTAGTCTTGTCCAGGGTGAGCGCTTCCAGGAAGCCATTTCCCGGCGTGGGTCGCCGACAGCCGACGCCAAAGTCTTTGGGGATCAGCTTGTCCATAAGCTCAGGCTTCTGGACCAGCTTAGCCTGCATCTCCTTGATCGAGTATTCCTTTGCCTCGATCGCACTAGCAGACCCGTTGATGTAGAACTTAAACCGTACGTTCAGTTCAGATTCGATAGCTTTACAGTAAGCCAGATAAAATTGTGGGTCTTCTCTGAACTTCTGTTGCGTTTCCTTGGAATAGTGGAAGTTTTCTCCGTCTTTACCAGCGTACGTGGGCGCGAAACCAGCTGTGACCCAGATGGGCGATCTGGCCACCACGTACAGCTGGTCAACCTGTTCAATGATGGCGGGCACCACCTGCACGCTGGAGCTGCCCGCACCAATGATCAGGACTCGCTTGTTCTTCAGATCCACCAAGTCGTCCCAGCGTGCGGTGTGCAGCAGTGGGCCTTGAAAGTCTTTGAGGCCCTTGATGTGCGGCCAACGCCAATTGTTGAGCACACCGCCACCATGGAGGAAGAAGTCGGCGTAGTCGACCAAGACATCGTTAGGGTCGTTGTTGCGCATCACCTCGACCTTCCACTTTCCTCTATCCTGTAGCCATTCTGCACGCACGATCTTGTGGTTCAGGTGTGCATACTTAAGTACGTCGTAGTCTTCGGCGATCTGGCGAAAGTAGCGATGAATCTGCTTTGAGCCAGAGTAATATCGTTCCCAGTCTGGATATTTGGCCCAACTGTACTGGTAACAGACGCTGGGAATGTCACAGGCACATCCAGGGTAGCGATTCTCAAGCCAGGTGCCACCGATATCGTTATTCTTCTCGTAGATGACGAGCTCAACATTGTCCATGCCTTGATGAAGCTTGTGGGCAAAATTGATGCCGCTACAGCCCATACCCATGAAAATGATCTTCAGCTTTCGTTTAGTTCCCATGGGCTTCTCACGGATCTGATAGCCAGTCTGTGCTCCATTGATATTCTCAGCATTGGGTATCGCCTTGATCTTTCTAGCGAGCTCATCCTTCAATACTGGAGTTGGCTGAGCATCTGCAACTGAAGGAGTCATAGTTAAAAATTTATAACAAAGTTCCTCAAATCAATGCGGTGGACAAAAAGTTTGGTATTGCTTATTTGCGAGAAAGGGATCTTGAGATTTCTTGACAGATCAAAGCCAAAGGTAGGACATATACACCAATGTGACTGGGCGGCATCGAAGCTGTCGCCCTATCGATGCCATCTGACCACTACTCAACTGCTACTCCGAGTTCTAATCGATTGTGCGGCAACTACTTTTCGGTCCGGGCACAAATCACCCCACGCATTGCCAGGCCGAGAATTCCTACTCGGCTGGCCGAGGCTCTGTGCGCGACGATTCTCAAGGCCAAGGATATCCGTCCACGCAGGGGACTATTTACATTGTTTAATCTACCTCGACTGTTTAATGAAAAGTCTTGTCTAGCCTCTAGAGCTTTGTATTGCTGGCCTTTGAGCCAGGTTTCAACTTCTGCAGTTGTCTCCTAACGACCTTTCCGCTTGCCGTGCGAGGTATGACATTGATAAAATAGACACCAGCTGTGAGCCATTTATGCCTTGACATTCGTGTTTCGACAAACCTCTGGACTTCTTCCGCTGTAATTTGTGACTCTGGCGCTTTGACCACGAATGCTTTTGGATACTCGCCATCCTGCCTAGACTAAATTAGGATCTTGCGGCCGCAACAAGTCTCTTCATCGTAATGCTCACTCACCTTCGTTCGCCGACTACCGCAGCATCGACAATACCTGGATTGGTCAACAGTGTCTGCTCGATCTCAGCAGGAGCAACCTGTAGACCTTTAACCTTGATGAGCTCCTGATGAGTAGATTATCAGTACGATGGCCGGAAAAGGACCCAGCCGCCATTACCTTGAGGCGATCAACGATGAATAGACACCCTCTTGAGTCGACATAGCCAACATCCCCTGTCTTCATCCACCTTTTTCCATCCTCGTAAATAATTGTCTCTGCAGTCTCCCGTGGCCGTTTGTAGTATCCTATCATTACATTGGGTCCCGCTATCCATATCTCGCCCACCGCATATGGGAGATTGGTTGTTTGCTCAAAGCCATGTTCTGATACTGGCACGATTTTCGCCGACATATTAGGATTCAGCCAGCCGATGGAGCTGCCGTCATCCTCATCATCTTGAGCGAATCCAGTCGCCGAGCATGTCGTTTCGGTCAGACCCCATCCCTGCTTGACCTGCACTCCCGGCCGTAGGTGAGTCTTTTCAACCAGTCTTCCAATCTCCGGGCTCAGTGGAGCGGAGCCCGTGACGACTGACTCAATCGCCTTGAGGTTGAATAGCTTTGCGTTGGGGTGCTTGGACAGAGCCACCATCAAGGTTGGAACACCAGTCAAGAACGTGATCCGGTAGATGTCGAGAAACAACAAGTATTTTTCAATACTGTATTGCATCATTATAAACACCTTAACACCCATGAGAGCTGCCGTCACGCAATAATACGCCTGGCCCTGCACATCGTCAGGTTAAAGTTGTTCTAAGAGAAAGGAAAGGTGTTTACATAGGCGTGAAACATAGGAAGGGGAGCTAGCCACCGCTCCCCCAGCAAGTCGACCCGTGATTTGCGCTCCCTTGCCCGCGGTGTGTCAGCGACCAAACTCCGTTTGAAAGCAACTTGTAGAGAATTTGAGACCAGGTTGTAATGTGAGATCTCGACGCCTTTCGGAACACCTGTTGTCCTGAGAAGAGTCAGTACAAAGGGTTGTTGTGGCAGTAACAATACACATACCCGCTAGAATAGTTGATAGCGGCTGTGGTCGTTTGTGCCTCCTGCATACTGGAGAACGTCCTCCAAGTCCACCCTTGAGCTTCACTCTCTGAAGCCCAGATACTCGTCCACGAAGGAAGTCCGCTCTTGGTGTTGTGATCATGAGGGTCGGCAAACTCGAACACCCTTTCTTGTGGGAGACCAACCTGTTTAACAGCTTCGATAGCCGTTCTAGCTCCTGTAGCATTTGTAATGATCATGACCGCATCAGAATCCTTCAGCTGGTACGATAGTTCTGTCGAATTTTCTTATGATCAGTTCCTCCATCCCAAGAGGTGGCATTGTTGCACAGAAGACTTACCGGCAGCAGACGCACTGGGACTACACCCGGTGAATACGCACCCTGCAGCCACGACTCCCCAATAGAGAACCGGGAAGTAGAGGGAGTTGGTCGAGAACAACAGCACTTTGTCGTTCGGTTGGAGGCCTAGTTTCTGCAACCCCATCCCTAGCCTTTTGACAAGGACCTCAGCTTGCTGCAGACTGAACCAGCGTTCTGGGTGCTCGGCATCAAAATACTGCGGTCGCGCACGCTGTTCTGCATCCCCGGAAGAGAAAATGAGGGTCGGCAGGTCGACCATCGGAACGTCGAGCACAAATTTGGAGTCGAAATGTTTCGCCATTACCGCGAAACTGATGGTGCCAGGCCAACAGAGCTCTCTGACATCTCATAACATTCTAAGCTCAAGAAATCTCAAGGAGCTATGGCTACTTGTTTAAAATGTGACCAGCCTCGTATTTTCGGCGCTAGCCGACTGATATTTAGATGGTACCGACCAACAGTTAAAGATGGCTGTGAGTACTGCTGCATAAATAATGGCAATACCCACTTAAACGGCAGATACGGAATAATTTTAGTCTTCATTCCGAACATCGGTCTCGGCACTCATGTTCCTGTCAGTTCGTTTAACCTCGGCCCGCAGACAAAGTATGTTATCACCATGCTCAGATCGTGCTGGAAGAATCTGGTCCTGCTAAACTACGAAACCTCTAGATTGACAGCGTTGTCTCTGATAGAGCAGTCGCAGTAAAGTGAAAAGAAGTCGAAGGGAACATGACCAGACAGTACGCTGAGGCTACATCGCTTCAAGACACGAATGTTGACGATGTCAGAAACCCAAAGGCGGAACGATATAATACCAATATTCTGAAAATTCCGGGCATAGCATTCGATGTGAAATTACAGGATCCGAAGCAGAGGATACAGGCGTACATCGACTCGTACCGCACGGGCAGCTCGGAGCTTCGCCAGGTATTGACAGCCAACTTCTTCCGCATGGACAGCAAAGTCAGACACTGACCGAGTCCTACATATTGCAGGGATTCGATGAAGTTTTCATGCGAGAACACGTATCGGTGGTCACTGCAGCAAAAGTTGGGGACCGAGCTACGGCAGTGTATGAGGTCAAGGCTGCACCGATCTTTGCAAGCCGCATGGGCAACATGCACGGCGGCGCAGTAGCGATGATCTTAGACATGTGTACCACCATGACTGCCGCGCCACTTGCTCGGGAGGACTTCTGGTGGTTTGGCGGTGTTTCGAGGACGTTAAATATGACGTATCTTCGACCAGTGCGAACGGGTATGGAACTCTTAATCGAGTGCGAAGTAATGCAACAGGGGGCACGCTTGGCAACAATTCGTGGTCAGATCAGGGACAAGAAGACAGGGCAGCTACTCTCGCTAGCCGAGCACAACAAAGCTAGCATCAATTTTGTGAAAGCCATAGAGCGTTTATGACGCGAACTATCGAAAGCGTGGCCCAGGGGCAGAAGTAGCTAATCAAGAAACGCTCAATCAAGCCACCGGACGATTGCGTAAGCCTCTTTGAGATCATGCATGATCTTGGAGATGTCAGTAAGTCACCGTCTATCGAATAACTTCAGTCAACAGATCGACTGGCCACTTGGCTTCATCTATGCCATTGCCTCGTGTTCCGACGTTGTATCTCAACTCGACTGTACCCTCTGGAAACTGCAGAATTGGCTTGGGCACTCGAAATACCAGCCCATTCAGGGCACTAGATGTTCTCTTGTGGAAGAAATCTAGGTTGAGTAAGGCCCCATTCTCGCGGATCATTTCGATATAGCGCGGAATGGTGTAGTTCATGCTGTGATAATGTCGAAACACCTGCCGACCGTTTCGCTTCCAGACGTCGTCCCAGACATGTCGTGGATACTCGCCGACTGTGAGCGCGAGCCATTGGTTGTAGTAGTCGAGCGATGTGTCGACCAAATACGAACCGCCGTGGGCGGCCTGGTCCATCAACGCGTGGAGGGCGCCGCACGTTCCAATGATGCCAGTACAATAGTCCGAGTTTGGGAACACCGGGGTCACAGCTTCGTCGTTACCCATGGCCCTTCCAAAACCAGTCGAAATGCCTGAATGAGCATCACTAATGGGCTGCCAGCCGCTACGGTGCGCCAGGGGTCCGTCCCAACCAAAACAATTTTCGCGGATATAGATGAGGCCCCGATCACGATGCTTAATCATCTCGAAAACCTGCTCCTGACCAAAGCCATACTTGACCAAAATGTCAGGTCGGTAGCCATTGACGATAATGTCCGCGTCCATGATCAATGCACGGAGTTTCGATCGGTTCACTTCCTCTCGTAAGTCCAATGCACAATTCCACTTCCCCCAATTAAGGTCGGGCTGCAGCCCCGAGAAGTCCGGAAGGTGGGAGGCGGTCACCCTCATGACACTGGCTCCTAATTCGGCAAGACCGCGACTGATGGCAGGTCCAGCAATAACCCGGGTCAGGTCAACAACCTTAAGGCCACCTAGCGGTCGACTGGGGTTTGTGAAGCTGGTCACTTTCCACCACCCCGCCTGCTGATTGGAGCCTTCGTGTTTTGTGATGCGATACAAGTCAACCGCGGAATTAGTCTTTCCCTGTGTGCTGGCCGAATACTCTTTCGTACTTAGGCAGATTGTTGCCGCCTGACGGTACTCTTCTCCAAGGATGCGGTCCCATTCATCTGCTGTCTTCTCCTTCAAGCGTTCAATGAACGGAGCCCACGACTCTTCAATGGTCGTTATCCCGGACATGTCGCGTGGGAGTCCAGCAGCATCGAGGGACGGATCTGGATTGAGACTGCCGTGAATGTGGAAGCATCGATCATCCTTTGTTTTGTATATGTTGTACGCTGCTCGGCGATACGGCGAAGAAGCCATCTGATGTAGGTCACAGTTTGGAAAGTATGTCGCGTACTTCTCTGTCAGCTCTCGGATCG